AAAGTATCGCCTAGTAGTCGGAAGCTAGAGCTCTAGGGGGAATAGTCATTAAGGGGTAGAACTAATACGTGTGTTGTAATTAAGTTAGTTAACTACTGTTACAGTATAGAAGTCTTTATGTTGCGGCTTCTCCGCATTACCTAACTTCCTCTTACTACATCTGTTACCCTAACTACTATATTGTAACACCTAGATACTTAACTTTAGTAACTTTGAACTCGCTCTTATCGATGTCCGTAAAGAGTTAGGCCTATCGTAAGCGCTAGAGGACCTTCTTAACATAATCTCTATGTTCCTCTAAGGTCTCGCTAAATACTAAAATGTTATCGAGGTATCTAGTATAGAAATCGTCTAAGTAGTCGTATAGCGCTAAGTTAATATAGGACTAGAACGTTCCTAGGGCATTATAAAGGCCGAAGGGCATAACTAGATACTCGAACTATCCGTAGCGCGTATTAAACGCGGTCTTCTATTTATCGCCGTCCTTAACTTAGAGATTATTAAAGGCAGTAATAATGTTAAACTTGCTAAAGAACTTAGCTTTAGAGAGCTTATCTAAGGTTTCTCTAATAAGCGGGATTAGATAGCGATTTTTAATAGTTATCTCGTTAAGGCCGTAGTAGTCAATATAGAAACGGAGGCTACCTCCTAGCTTACGTACTAATAGTACTAGCGCGGCGGAAGGGGAGTTAGACTAGCGAATAAATCCTTTATCTAAGTGTTCGTCTAGATACTTCTTAGTAGCCTAGAGTTCCTCTTAAGACATACCTCGTAAACGGGCGTACGGGGGCATCTTATCTTATCCTATTATATCTTTTTATAGCTTAATCTCGTAGTCTTAGGGACAGTAGGGTAGTAGACTATTAGTAGTAGCCCTTAAGAAGACGTCTAAGAACTCCTAGTACTACGGAGGGAGTTTAGAGGAAGGATCGGTATATTCCTTCTTACTAAGGAACTTCTCGATATCTTCCTAGCTAATAGCCGATAGGTGTATATCGCCTTCGTCTTAGTTAGTAAGGGCGACTATCGTTGTCCCTAGGTTTATATATCGGTTTGCTCTAGAGATAGTCTTATAAATCTACTCGTCCTCTAATGCTAGTGCTATCGAGGCGTTCGCTACTAGGTAGGGTTCCTAATATGTCGGCAAATATAAGAAGGCAAAAGCCTCGTTGCCTACATAAGCTAGCTAAGCAAACTCTTTAGCTATACATTCTAACAACTCTACGGGTGTATCCGGAGATGCTATGTTAGTATACGCTATTAAGAGGTTTCGGCCTCCCTTAAGATAGTAATAGCGACAATATTCTAAGTAGAAGTGTACCGTTCTAGTAGCCTAGTCGAGTTAGACATTATGCCGTTCGAGCTATAGCATTCCTAGGATTAGGTCTCTAGTTCCGAGGTCGGTAACGTAGTAAATAAGTAGCTCGGTATAATGTCCGATAGCGAGCTAAACTTAGACGGCGTAGGTAATCGACTTAGCTAGGCGGCCGTCTACTAACCTTAGTCGTCGTAATTTCTTTAATATAATAAGGGGATAATTATGCGTAAGAGATTAATTAATAAAGCAAGCATTAGCTCTATAGTTAAGGAGGGCTCGCGTTAATTTGTCTAATATAGAACAGTTAATAAGAAAGTGCTTACTAGTTAAGGCACTCTCGTCGATGTCTATAAGACGTAGCTCCCTCCTCTACTTAGCTTTCTTCTTATGCTTGTTTATTGTTTTAATCTCTTCCTATCCTTAGGGGCGACTATCCTTAAGGACTAACTATTTCCCGGGCCCTTATTAACACCTTCGAAGGCGGGGTCCTTAAGGGGGATCTCGATAGTAGCGAGATTAGCGGTCTTATTCTTACGTTTAGGGTAGTAAGTAAAGGTATATTTAGTACTACAGTACTCGAAGTATTATCCCTTATCGCGTAGCTTCTAGCGATCGGCCGCGCTAAGCTTAAGGAAGGACTTAGGGCGAGAGTCGTTAGTACGGGGCTTAGGTGCGTTATTGCCGGTAGGGCGGGCTCGGTTACCTATAGCGCTAGTGCCTAGGCTAGCGGTAGTAGGTCCTTCGCTTTAGCGGGGGTTATTAGTCTTTAGGTATAAGTCGACGTAGGCGAAGCTAGCGTCTAGGGCATAGCAGCGCTTAATAAGGACCTTTAGGTTTTTAATGTTATAGCCATCGTTTATCTTAGTGCCGTAGCGAGGACTAAGCTTATTAAGGATCTACTAAATCTAAGAGGCCTCTAGTAGATCGACATAAGCTGTCTTTTCTTTATACTTAGCGAAGAAATTAGTAAAGCTTTCCTAAGGACCCTAACGAAGGTTATTTAACTTAGTCTATACGCGGGTAGCACGGTAGCGATTACTATACTAGTTACTTAGTTAGTTAAAGCATTTATCCGTAGAGGTAAAGACTAGAGCCGTATTAGTGACGGCAGTACTAGGAATACGAACCTAGAGTCTTTTAAAGATAGACTAGTCTATACGTGTTAGGATATAGCGGAGTTTAACCCCTTCGGACTTACCCTCGAATTCTCTAGATTTGAGCTTTATGCGCATCTTAACGAGCTAGTATAAGAACTTAACTTTACCTTAAGTGTCGTTAGAAAACTCGGGCGGTTTAGGGACCTTAATAGAACGGTTAGCATAAGCTAAGAAGGCGGAGGCGTAAGTAGGGGCCTTAGAGTTATAGGTACGAGCAGCGGACGGAGCCTTAGATACTCGGATACCCGAGGAACGAGGCTAGATCGAAGAACGAGGACGGTAGACGTCTTTAGGCGAGGATAAACGAGGACGTAAGATAGAGTAGTAGGTAGGTCTATCTAATCTCGATAGGGGGCAGTAGCCTCTATAGTCGCGGGCGTGCTAGAGTTATTACCTTAGTTTATCTAACTCTTATTATACGAGATAGGACTATCTCTTTATTTCGCGCATCTTAGTTTCCTATATAGAGAGTCTATTAGCGCGTCTATTAGCAATAGTATAGGACTCCTTTAATGCTTCTTCTAACTCTAGGACCTAGTCCTTGAGGACAGCTATATCGTTAAGGGATTCTATGTCCCTCTTGCGACGCTCCTAAAGAGCTATAATGGCGGCGTACTAAGTAGCTAGTTCGTACTTTACCTTCTTAACGAAATCGTCGTTATCGAAGGCAGTAAGGTCGAGGTAGGAAACATCGAGGATGCTATCTATCTTAGATTATATAATGTCTAGGATAATGTTATTTAGGTTAAGTTAATAACCTATAGTAATGTCTAGTAGGGTTTAGTCGATTTCGTCGTTATAACCGTTAGTTAAGTTATCGTCTTCGGCTAGACCTAGGATAGAGGAGTCGTAAGCGCTAGGAAAGCGAATACGGGATTTCTCGGTACTAGGTATAGGTATAGAGGTCGGACGTATAGTAGGTTATTACTATTACAATTACGACTTAGCTACTACTATCTATAACTAGGTAGTAGGTTACGATTAGGTCGTGTTAAAGGAAGGTTAGTATATCTATACGAGTTTATCGTTCTCGTCGTAAGAGAAAGGTTAAGCGCTACTACGAGGGACGCGAGGTCTATCTCTATTAAAAGACAGATTAGCGGCTAGAGTTATAGGTTAAATATAACTTCCGACGGCGGACTAGGAGCGAGAGCGGGTAGGGTAAACTATTAAGGACTATCCGGCGATAGCTTTATTAGCTATTATGCGAGAGGCCCTACCTAAAGGCTCCTACTAATGTTATTAATTACGCTATTCCTTAGCGGCTTTAGCGAGTAGGCCTACGCGGCTAGGGTCGATATTATTAGATATATTATAATGCTACGCGCATCTAGTAACTACTACGCGCGGTTACGATTAACCTACTAGGTCGACCTACGAGGTTAAGAGGAGGAGCTATTAGAGTAAGACGGTTTAACTACGTATTAAATTTATAAACTAATAGCTAAGAGTAGAAGGATAGAGCGTAAGGCGCGCACTATAGATATAGCTACGTAGGTAGCCCGTGCACCGCTAAGGCTAGGGCGTATAGGCTAGAAGACTACGGTTCGAATCCTAGCGGAACCGTATTATAGAGATATTAAAAAGCGAAAGAAAGCTAGATGAACTACAGTGTTAGTATAAGTAAGGATCTTAAAGTCTTACTAGACTATACGGATGTTTTATAGATATACAAATCCTCCTTTAGCCTCTTAGTTAGTTGTTAGGAAGGCATAATGCTTTTAAGACTTAAGAGATGTCTAGCAGTATCTCTTATAGAACGGACTACCCCTAGTCGAAATCGCTAAAAATACTACGCCCTGCTACGATACTTCTTACCGACAACATCTCTTCTTAACATAGGCAACTACCACCCCTACTATGTTTCCATGCATAGCATAAGGACCCTACTAAGCCACTTGTGCAAACAAAATTGCATGCACAATCCCATCCTCCACGACCAAAAGTTCAAGAGTTTCGAAAAATACTATTCTTTACCCAGATCTCCACCACCGCTTGCAAGCAGCAGCATACCAGTGCCAGGCAAAAGGGATGTTGATGAGAAGGGGATTCGAACCCCTGCCCTTTCGGACCAGCGTATTGGAAGAACCTTAAGCTGGCGCCTTAGACCGCTCGGCCATCTCACCATTTGATGAATTGACTAACGGTATGTCAAAACATAATCTCTAGGTTGGGCGGAGCGTGCTAGTAAGGTCAACGAGGGTTCAGTGAGAGCCGAAGATGTCCGGGACTTGGCCCGGAGATTTAGTCCGAGGTGCAGCGGACAGAGGAAGACTGCGGAAGAGAGGGGCAATGGCGATGCGACAAGCTATGATGAGCAAGTATGGCAGTGGCTACAACTGTTATAGACTGTATGTGTTCCTGTAGTACGTCTTTCACCGAAGTGGACCTTCCATTGGGGTATTATATATCGTTGCTGTCGAGTAGCTGTACATCGGTACAAGATTTTTGGTGAGCTTTGTGCGGGTGACAATTAGTTAAGCGAGAACAGGAAGCTCTAAAGCCTGCGACTGTTTGAAAACCAAAGAAACCAAACCATTGTATATCGTTCAAGAAAGCAAACAGAAAAAAAGGTCAAACAGAGAGAGGAATACAGTAGACCATGAAAATAAGTAGTTGTGCTTTCAACACAGAGTGAGGTCGAGCGAAATCAAGGGTCCCACCACTGCGGCACTGTGGCCTTCTCCGCGAAACGGGGACCTCCCCGCTATGGAGTGCAGTCCGAAGGGCGGAGATTCGTCGGATTCGTCTGTCTCCATTGCCTAGCAAAAGCCATGGGTCCAAACATCAATGTACTCAGACTTTCTCTACGCCTTCGGGTGGAAGGCGATTTCGGTGATTCTTCTGCTGCTGTTTGTCGAACTTCGCTAATCAGTTTGTCAAGTCGCTCGATGAACTCGACTCGTTTGGATATTGCGAATGGGTTGCGCGTGGCTGGTAGAATCGATTCGACTGCCAGAACAACCATATTGTAATGTGCGAGAAAGACCATCAGAAGCGGATCGCGATCGGAAAGACGCAACAAGGCTTTCGGCAGCCATGATAACCAGTGGCGAATCGGATGCAATGCCTGGAGTTGTTCGTCTGGTGTAGGTCCTGGAGGAGATATTCGTAAATTTTGCAAGAAGTTGATCAGCTCCTTTATTCCACGGACAAGCTCGGCATCGTCGCCGACTTGTTTCTGGAGTTCCTTCAATGTCGAACATGCCAGTTCCACCGAGGCATCTACCGAGTGTAGCGCATTCTCAGGCAGAACCGTCTCGCGGCTTTCTGCTTGTTGAATGAGACTCCTCAGCTGTGACTGGTGGCCGAACTTTTCCATTTCGTTTAGGGCCTTGGCGAAAAGTCAGCCAGATCCGTCAGTATGTCGTCAAGATAGAGGGGGATTCACTCACCAAGTCAACGCCCTTCATGGTTTGCATGAATTCCTGGCTATTGTTTGGGTGGGAAGTAAGCAACTCCTCTTTTTGGATTAGTGCGACAGAAGGCAGAAAAGAGCTTCACTCACCTTTCAGGGGCCTGCCAGCTTAGCAGACATGAGGCGGCTAGCATGGCATCCACATTATTCCGGTTGAGTACCGTTAATGATTCCCGGAGTCCCCGAAGGGCCAAATCTCTGTAGTAATACGCCAAGTATACCATGGAGCTTGATTGTGTCAATAGTGCCAGATGCGTACTCGCCAGACCGCAAACGCTATGTCGTACAAACGAGCAGCCTACCGATATGCGGTGGGTCCTGTTCTTGCGGTCAGAAAGAAAGCCATTGTTGCGGATAGAGACTCACGGACTCTGGGAGCAGAGAAAGGCCGAAGTCAAGAGCGTCCATGCTGACCGCGACAAGATCATCGCTGATTTTGCAAAGATGCGCCATTAAAAAGCGTTCCTGTTTTGACAGATCCGGGGATTCATCGATCGGGAACAATAATCGAAGAGATTGCGGCTCTTCAAAGGGGTCGTCGGCGTCGCCGTGTGCACTGTCTGAGTTGGCGCGGAGGATGCGAGCCACTTGCGTCGAAGATTCTCCCGAGAATGATTGGGAAGACAAAGCTTGCCCAAGAAAATCGCATCTTACCTGTCGCCGTATGCAGTTCATGCTGTGAATGGGAATCAGTATTCGCCTCTTCTCCATGACCTCTTCCTGCCTGCCTGGATACTGACCATTGCGGTTTTGCTTCGTCACATTTGATTCTTCTCCCGCGACAAGTTGCGCAGCCTGTGCGAGACTTCAAATGTGTCTTTCGAGCTTTCATCCTCGTGATTGTAGCAAGTCAAGTGAATGCAGGAGGCAAAGATGGCAAAAAACTTCTCCTTGCGGTGACCTACGTGAAGTGTGAGCATGACGATTAAAGCCCTGATAGGGAAGGTATCTGAGCATACTGTAGCCGAATTATACCCAGCTTTACAGACTCGTTCTCGCGAACTTGTCGGATTTGTTCCTCCTGCCTCGGAGATTGCTCCTTTACACGACCCTTATTCAGAACTTGATGAGTTGGGCTGATCGAAGGTGTAGGGCGTGTTGTCCCATATTTAGAGCTATACCGAAATGGAGGGTGGAGAACATGGTCAACAAGTCAGCGAGTAACATATCTTTATATCCAAGGACTCGGTTCTGCAGCTCTCCTTGTGACCCGTGGCTGTGTCATTGGTAAACGATACAACATGCCGCGTCTCCGTTGTTCACGAACTGTCGTGAAGTTACTTTGACAGGAAGGTTCCAGAAACAGTCTTGCCCAGGAAGGGAAAAGTGAACCCTGGGTTTTCAACCTGGTAAGAATAGTCTCGTGCTACATCACTCTACAAAGCGAAACGCGACGGTTATCAACGAATCGGTGCCAGCGCCGGGAAATCGGGAGACCTGAGTGGCTTTTTCAGAAATCAACACGTTTTGGCCACATCGGCTGTGGCGCCTTCCGCAAGCGAGCGACCTTGCTTTTTTGACCACCGACTGTCGGTGTACCAACGAATCATCGTCGAGCTCGGAACACAATGCGTATACTCAAAAGGGAACAGAGAAATGCAACCAAGAGCATCGTTACAAAGCTACTCGTACGTAGATGCAGATTTTTGAGGTGACTCATTTACGATCGGATTACGAAACAGGCACGCAGTATGGTGATACCGTGCTCGCGAGTGGCAAAAAGATCCAGATCTTGGCCAATGAGGGACAAGGGAGCGCGCCACCCATCGCCGCTGCCTTGCGACGACTATGCGTGATAAAGATGGGCTCAATTCACATTCTGTCAAGGTTGCTGTAGGAGCAGCCTGATGGTTGCTACGCTTAGACGCTTGTAGTCCCGGTAGGGAAGCTGAAGCCATAGGCTTCGCCGAGATGTCGCTCAGCAAGCATGTCTCCCTTCCTGCAGGAATCCGATTATGCGAATTGCCAGGAGCTAGTAGGAACCGTTCTGACCAAGTGGATGTCCTGCCGTTACTGTGCCTCTCGGAAGCTGTGAATACCGACCCGCCGGAGGAACGTAACGCTAAGTACTGTCCAGAACCCGGGGGATTGAAGGTATCGGAAGCGAGCTACACAGCTGTAGGAAGTAGCTGAGGAGGCTCTAGTGCAGTCGACACGGCCAATGATCTGTAGAGACCCTCCATGCGACAACTGCCAATACATGTGTCCACCTGTCATCTGCCATGATCCGCCTAAACACCGTAGGGCTAGAAGTGATGAAAGTGCAAACTCTAATGTGCCTATAGAGGTTCATTGGTATAGCATATGGTTACACAGTCACAACCGATAAGGAAAAGTTTGAAGGATCGATCTTCATTATTACATGTCTGTCTCCAGTCTGTGGACTCGATCGCCATGCAGCGCATCGCTGCAATTTTGCTTACATTGCGCAGTCATTTGGGATGACCACTTGCAACGAATAGATGGCTATAATTGCAATGCCATCTGCAGTTCTGTTCCGGAATCCTTTTTCCTCCACCACGGATAAGCCTTGTACAAGGACCTTGCGGCTCCGCAGGCGCTACTAGGTTCGAGGGCCATGTTGTGACAGAAGACAGGAACACATGGGTGAACTTGGACATCACATGTTCGTACCTCAAAAGCAATGTGGCACTATGGCAGCGAGGCGCCAGGACGAGACCGATCAAACTTTATCTGTTCCTGGCCAGCCACGACCAGAATCTCTGCTTTGAGAATCTATCACCTTGCCATGTAGGCGGCTAACACGCGGCCAGTGAGGACCATGAGGATTATTGAAGTTCAAACTCGCGACATCATGCCTGATTAAATCTGAATAGCAAGGGATGCTAACATGGCACTTTCGTGATTACCATATGGGATACTCCAGGATGACCTGGACGGTTGTTTGCCGCTTAAGCGTTGGATTACAGTGACTCTTGAACTAAAAGGTGTCATTCAGTTCCATCGACTTCACTTGACAATACCTCATGTTGAATCCTTCTGCATATGTCACTTTATGATCAGGCAGGTGGTCAAGAGTTGTCAAAGGCAAACTCGAAACCAAACAGCCTTTCAGCCCATCCAAGCCACGAAGTGTACATCGGGGACGGACATGGAGACCGGGGTAATAGATGTGGAGTCGACAACCCGAATACTTGCGTTGTTTCTGCTTTGTAACACAAGACCATCTCTCATACTCCGAGCGAAAAAAAGACTGCTTCGGAAGCTGCTCCAAGTCTGGGGGATTTTGCCCCTCCCCCTGTCGGATGCCATCAGTGCGTTCTCGGATGTGCAATCAAGTCCAGAACAACTCGAGAGAAATGGGGAGAAAGAAGCCAGGTCACGTTGAGGCTGTTCATGCTCCGGTGGCGAAGATGTTGGCTGACTGGAGACGAATTCAAGAGACCACTCTGCGAAAAGGTCCGAATATAATGGAGTTGGCAGTCTGGAGAGTTGATCACCCGTGATCGAGCAATGGCTCATCTCAAGACTTGACTTTCTTGTGTCCTTGCTTTTGAAGACGTTTGCTCAAAATCTCGTAGTCTGGTTCAATGGATCTTCCCCCTCTTAGTTTTCTTGGTCTGGGACTGATCTCATCTTCTTCATATCCTCGGGAGGTGTACCATTGCCGAGCATAAGTATTGCGCTTGAAGACTGTGAGCATTGATTTGTCCATGCCCGTGGCTTTGCCAATATGCTCGACCATCTTGAAGAGGTGTCGACCCAGGCCACAATCTCGGAAATGCTCGGAGATGTGGATCTCGTAGATGTAGACAACGTTCTCGTCCTCTTCTTGGGTGATCATGAACGATAGGAAGCCAATGATCGAATGGTCCAATTCTGAATCTTTGGTCCATTGCTTCTCGGTTTCTGGAAGACGTCCATTGCTGAGCTTGACAACTAGGTAGCGCATGTCTTCGTCCTCCATCTCTTCGAGCTTATGCTCATCATCCCAGCCTTGACGACTTGCTTTGTAATCTTTGTAGCTCGTGTGTTTGATCAATTCGAAGAGTGTTTGTGGGATTCTGGGTGCGGACCTGGTCTCGTTCGATGGTTCGTTGTCGAGCCCAAAAACATCAGAGCTTGTGGTCATGTCGATTTGGAACATCGGCGGGCTATCCTTTGTCGTCGATTCGATCTTTCGTGTAGAAGATTGATACTCCATCAAATCCGTCGGTAGATATTCCTTGGTAAAGTGAGATATTGGTAGGTTGTTAAGGTCTCGGATTTTCCGGAAGCGCGAGAGGGCCTCGCTGGCTTCAATATATAGCTTCATGCCTTGACTCTCAGTCTTACCAAAGGTGCGAAAAACATCACTGCGCCTGAGAAGCACGTTGCCGCAGTCCTTGGATGTTCGCAAAGGACAACTGGCAAGGAAGTTGCATGCTCCAAGAATGACCCATTTCATGTCCATGTCTCTGAGTGAAGATTTTGCTTCCTCAAGCAGATCCACGGCCTCTTCATCGTCTTTGTAGTATATCGATTTGACCAGGTCCAGAGTTGGTGGTTTGCCAGTCTTTTCATGCACCAAGATTAGGGATGTATTTGTCTCCAAAAGTCTGTTAACACCCCATAATCTCCACTTGTTAATCTCCCTTTCCGTCGCTGCACTCGCCATGCTCCTGACCTCAGAATCACCTATGTCGAATTAGTTTTGTTGTTTGGAAGATTTTCAAAGTCAAGTCGACGCGACGGTGTTTTGTTCGTGTTTCGTATTGACGTCAAAGCCGGCTCTCAACCGAGGGCTGGACAATTTCTACGGATTTATGCTCGGCCAAAAGTGTAGACGACATCAACAATGAACACTGTGAAAACATGATGCGGCAAACAGCAAGTCTTTGGGCCAAGATAGCGACACAGAAGTCGTTGCTACGGGGCAAGAATGTGTTGACTCTGGAACATGTACGCGCCGTCTCACTGGAGGATTGGAATTGGCAGTGGCTAACGGATGGAAAAGTTCATGCAAAAGAAGAAGGCGCTGAGCCTATGGCGAGAGATCACACGCGCCATCGCTAGTATGTCTTAAATTGTCCAGAGTGTCTGAATGTCAGTCTGATGAAAATACAGAAATCCCTGGATCGCCGACGAAGAAGGAGATGCGAGAATATGCGCGCACCGAGTTTGAGCGCCACCGAGATGTGCAAGACATTGGTCACATTCGCTACCTCATCTCGACGGGACGCACCCAATTCGACGGCATGAAGCGATACATCAACGAGCAGGTGCTATAAGCATTTGATGGGCACAAGCAGAGCTCAGACTCAGACGGCAGGCTCGCATTTTCTCTCCTCACACGTTTTCATGCTATCATGCCTTTCTAAGATACCCACCCAAACCACTATTGCATTGTCCTATTATCAATTACCAATTCCCAAAGGAATCTCGTCACTTCGGATAGTTTGTTCGCTCAATGCAAAGTGACAATAGTGTGTGAAGCAAAACTTGTCGTCGTCCATGTCAGTCGGGCGGTCGGCGGCAAGCTCCGTCGCATTCGCATGGCGGAAGGAAGAAGTTGCGGGCAGCGAATTGCGCTTTCAGTTTGGCAAGAAGTTGAAGCTGCAAGAAACAAGAAACATCGGCGCCTTCTCTCCACCACCGTCCACACCTGTCGCGAACATCAACACACGCTTCTCCCGCCATCAATCAACCCCCCTTCACGCGCGATCATCACCATGGCCGACGTCGCTCAATCTCCCGTCCCTCTGGACACCATCCCCGTCTCGCCCGAGGGTGGTAATGCCGCCTCAGACTCTACTCCCTCCACCAACTCCGGCGAGGTTGTCACCGTCTTCCACGATCCAGAGAACTTCAACGTCAAGCACCCTCTCGCCCACACCTGGACTCTCTGGTTCACAAAGCCCCCAAGTGGAAAGGTACTTGACCAGCCAGCCTCGCCATGCAGCCACATTGTCCTAACACGCCTAGCAGCAAGACTGGAATGAGCTGTTGAAGGAGGTCATCAGCTTCAACTCTGTCGAGGAGTTCTGGGGCATCTACGTAAGATCACACCATCCTTCCCTGCCATCCCTTCACCCGTCCATCCATCCACCCACCCATCCAACACCCACTAACCCAACCCTCAGAACAACATCACTCCCTCGTCCGAGCTCGCCCCCAAGTCCGACTACCATCTCTTCAAGCACGGCGTCCGCCCCGAGTGGGAAGACCCTCAAAACAAGCACGGTGGCCGTTGGTCCTACACCTTCAAGCAGCGCCAGGCCAACGACGACATCTGGCTTCACGTCCTGCTTGCCGCCATCGGTGAACAGCTCGAGGATGACAACGACAACGAGGTCATGGGTGTCGTCATCAACATCCGCAAGGCCTTCTACCGTATCGGTCTCTGGACCCGCTCCGCCGGCACAAAGGCCAACCCCACCAAACAGGGCCAGCCCCAGCGCACTCCCCAGGAGTCGCAACAGATCCTCATGAAGATCGGCAACAACTTCAAGACCGTCCTCTCCGTCCAGGACAAGGAGCCCGTCGAGTTCATGGGTCACTCCGACTCTGCCAACGCCGGTTCCACTCGCGCCAAGGCAAAGTACTCCGTCTAGGCTGCTCCTCCAACCATCTCTCTGTCAAACTTGCATTTTTCAGCGGACTCGGGATCATCAAAAGAAACCAAAAGGGCGTTCACGGCGTTGATAACTTTCTTCAGACCATGCAGGTCGCTGTACCGCTTTTACACACCATGACATTTATGGGGGCATGACTTTTTTCTTTTCTTTTCGTCTTCTTCAATACCAATACACACAACAGGGGGAGAAAGCAGGGACGGGCAGTCTAGGAGGTTGAGCAAGTGGCCCTCTGTTCTAACGACGTCCGTCTGGTTTTTATGACGCGTAGAACCTGGCACGGTTATGGGGCATGGAGGATTAACGTAGAGATTGGTTGATACCACGAATATGAAACATCTGATAATATTCCATCTTGTTGAAAAAAGTATGATTTGACCGTTTGACGACGCGAGGAGCTTGTGATGACAGGCGTTCTGCCTCACCCCCTCGTAGACATGCATCGCGATGTAAAAGATAGGGCTCTCAATGGATAACCTCGCCCAGGATGCTTCTTAAGATACGAAACGTTGTCCAAACCTACATCATCCTTCACTGACATCCCAGAATGTATACCCTTTCAAGATTAGAAGATCTCTACAATAACAGAACCATCATATTGCAAGACCCGAGAGAAAATGAAGTCAACAGTAACAGAGAAGCACTCATTGATGTGAAAGAATTATATTACACTGGGTGCAAGGAAAACAACAAATCGCTCCTTCCTATTTGAGAGATAATGTCTATTCGTCGTCGTCGGCCATGTCCTCGTCCTCGACCTCGAACTCATCGGGGAGTTCGGCCTCCTCGCCTCCTTCTACGTCTTCGTCGACTGCATTCAACACGCCAGATGCGGCAGCCGCGCCTACACCGGCACCGGCGCCGAAGCCCAATGCGGCAAGAGCGTCATCGCCGGTTTGACGGGCAGGTGTGAAGGGTGTGGCGCCCTGTTGTGATGATCCACCGACAACCGGTGCTGCGGCGGCGTTGTTGGTCTTCTTCTTGGCCTTGAGTTCAAGCAGAGACTTATCCTCTGATGACTGCGTGTCGTGGAGAAGGATCACACCTCCAGTGGGCTTCTTTACTGGTTGGTAGCGACCTTCTTGCGAAAAGGAGATGTACTTGATCTGTGCCGGAAGCACGCGGCTCATGTTTTCCAGCTCGTAGCCGACCTTCTCGCGCTCAGCCTTCTTCTTTGTGTTGCTATCCGTGAGTGCAGCCTCGCCCTTCTCTTCGGCAAGCTTGGCAGTATCGATAACGTTATCATCCATGTCCATCTTGTCGCCAGATTCGACCTTGGGACTTGTGGGTGTTGTGTCGATGTCCATGCTTTCACGTCTAGCTTGCCTCTTCTTTGCCTGTTCTCTGCGCTTTGCGTGTGCCGTTGTTGACAAGACGGCAGCCTTGACCTTCTCAGGAGCTTCTTCCGCCTTGACTTCAGCCTCAGGGGGGTAGTCGAACACACTAGGGCGAGTGTTGCTGTGGAACTTAAATGATGGAATCTCGAGGTCGGAGTCGACACCAATGATAGCGGTAGGGGTGAATGAGAGGGTGAGGAAGTGAGTAAGGGGGAACCAGTACCAGTACTGAGTAAAGACGGCCATACCGACAATGGCGGACATGTTGAGGTTGCCGGTAGGAGTTTGGAGACCGATGGTGCAGTTGCGACCACCGGCGTCAATGATGCCGAGGGCAAGGGCGCAACCGAACTTGCACATGGCGTCCTCATGTCTGTCGCTAATGATCTTCTGCAGGGTCTTGCGGATGGTGGCAACCTTGGGGTTCATGGCCTCGTTTTGCTGAACCATGATCATGGACAAAGAGATGAGAGCACCCTGACGGACAAAGTCGACAGAGTCCTTCATCATGGGCTCCAGCAGGTCGATGGCCTCATCAAGGCCGGTACCAGCACAGGCAATGCCAAGGGCCATGGTGGCACCATATCTGACGTGAGGGTTGTAGGACTCGGAAAGGAGCTCGACCATGCGAGGCACAGCACCAGGCTTGCGGAAGAGGACGAAGCCCAGGGACATGACAGCAGCACGACGGACATCATCACTGACATCGCTAACGGCGACGTGGAGAAGCTTTCTGACGGCCTTGTTGCTGCTGGTACCGCAGTAAGCGAGGGCGACGGTAAAGATACCACCATATCTCAAAGCCGGGTCGGCATCGTCGAGAAGGCCGTTGATGAGCTCGTCAGCACCTTCTTGACGGTTGTACATGATCAAGGCCATGCCCATGGCAAGGCCGCGGACAATCTTCTCGTGCTGGGTCTCGTGTGCGTAGACAATCATGTCCTCAAGAGCTCTGGTGTTGCCAGTGCCAAGCATGACGAGACCCATAGCAAGACCGACGGCTTCACCGTTAATGGCCGAGTCGCTGTAGAGAACGCCCTTGAGAGCTTCGTAAATGTCTTCGGAGCCAGTAGCCATACCAGCAACACCCAGACCGAGGGCACCACCGTGTTGGACGACTTCTTCTTGAGTGTCCTTGAACTGCTCGAGAAGGTAGTCAAGCACATTTGTGCCGTGGTTGGAGTAGATCAGACCAAGAGCGTAGAGAGAACCACCCTGGCTGTAAGGAGATCCGGTACCGGCGACAGCATTGCGCTTGGGGAGGTAAGGCTCGAGGAGCTTGCGACCGTTGGCGAGGTTTCCTCTGTGAATGACGCCGAGCGCAGCAGTGGCGGTGAACTTTGACCAATTGACGGCCTTGCCCAACCACTCGAGGTTGTCACGGAAGAAGGTGTCGACAGTGGTACCGGAGTTCATGAAGGCGTTTGAGAAAGTGACTGCCGTGTGGAAGATGGAGTTGCGGGCCTCGAGGCTGTCGCGGACCTTGTTGAGGATGTGCTTGTCCGTGTGGCTGTTACGGAAGAGGAACTCAAGGTTCAGCTCGATGCTGGTAGTGCCGCGCAGAATGTCGCGTATCGAGTTGAAGGCCTTCTTCTCCTCTGCCGTTGTTGCCTTTGCTCCTGAAGGACCTGTGCTTCTTCGCAACTCAGACAGGAGCTGTGTCGACTCGTCAGCATCGTCAGCGCCTTCGCTGGTAGGCTCAGGGGATTTGTCGTCGCTTGAAGGAAGCTCTTCCATAACACGAATCAGGAACTCCTGTGTGCCGTTCTCGTACAAATCAAAAGACAGTTGGTATGCAATGGCCAATGACTTTGCGTCGGCCTTCTGCACAAGCTGGCGGAGCATGTTGCTGGCCATCGAGTACTGCCCAAGGTGTACAACACATCTAGCGATGGCGAAGTAGTCCGGGTCGGGAATATCGTTGAGCAGTTCGAGAATAAGCTGCAAGATCTCGTCTCTAAGCCCGCGCTCTTGCACCACGTTCATGCAAATCTCAAGCACATACTCCATCAGCTCATCTGTACTCTGCTTGTCCTTGCCGCAACGCAGAATGGCATCCTTCAAGACCTGACGGCTGCGGGCCTCGATAGCAATGCCAACAACGTGTCGGTATGCGCCAGTTTGATAGCATGACTCGAAGATGCGTTGAATGACACCGTGAAGGCTCTTTTGTGTGGCAGGCGAGAGGGAGTTGGGGGCGGGATGTGAGCCAGCGACTCCAGCGGCTGCGCCATCGGCCTGGACACCGTCGACTTCGCGGGAAAGGAGCGACTTTGGCGGTGCGGAAGATTGCGAGAAAGGAGTTGTGGTGTTGGCGCTGCCGTTGGCAGTGGGTAGCGACGAGTCGTTGAGCGATGCAGACGGCACCGAACTTGAGGGAGCGGGAGGGTTCTGGAGTGCTGACAGGGCGACGTAGGTATCAATGCACTTGGCTGCCGGAGTGTCAGTCGGACAAGCAGTTCTATTGCCTCAGCATTCTTCTTCACATACCAACAATGGTCTCCTCAAACTCGCCCTGATGATCCAAACGGAAGAGCTTGCCAGCGCCGAGGGCGAAGACCATGCTCTCGTTGTACTCCTGCAGCTGGTAGTAGACCTTGGCCGCCACCAGTGCGGCGAGCTCGCGGTTAGGGAACGATTCGTCCTCGTAGAGAGCCTCACTGTCATGTGTCAGTCCATGCTCTTGATAGCCATATCTTGATAATGGTTGCGCACATTTGCCCGATGGACCCCGAGACCTCAGTCCAGATGTTGTCCATGTCATTGTTCAGCTCCTCCAGGGCAAAGATTTGCAGAGCAGTGTCGGGCTCTGAGAGGAAGCCGACCAAACTGGCCGCAGCAGAAGGAGCGCCGACCATGGTGATGATGCGAGGGTAGACGTGTGGGTTATGGTTGATGCGAAGGTAAGAAGAAGGCGTTTGTCGTGAGTGAGTGGCGCCGCAGCTCGGAGGTCGAAGCACGTGCGAAAGTCCTCTCGTGCAGACTAAATGGGAAGCGGCGATGCAGAAACAGGTGTCGTCAAGCTCTAAGCAGAAGGAACAGAATCGTCGTGATGGAAGTGAAGGCGCGAATTGGGAAGCTTGTTGCTGCTGTAGATTGTCCGAACGGAAGCTACGAGACACCAACACGCTCATGACGCTCGTCATCAACCACTCGGCGTTTCCCGTTCCTGCGTCTTCAATGCACAATCCATTCACAAATTATGCTGCTGCAATGCAACATGTTCTCAAAGATAAGGTACAGCAAATGTCTAGTGAGAGCTGTAAATATCAATGTTCTCTGCGGACGACTTGAATTGTCAGGAAAGCACTGTGATTTGCGATAGCTCTTTACACAGTTATACGGAGAGAACCTGCACCCACCCTCGCCCTCGACTAGGAGTGTATCAACTGTCCTCTCTGCTTTTGGGTTTATTACCCGTCCTTCTGTGCACTCAATTATGTCTAATTGACAATCACCTCTTTACCAATCTCGCAAACCCCTTCGATGTTCCGCAGGAAAACGATTACAAATTCATTCGAGATCAATCGGTCGAGATGTTCCTTTGCCGTGAAGGCAATATTGAGTGGGATGCTGAAGTCTTTGAATCTGGTGCCGATCATGTTACGATTTCGTCGTGTGTTGAGATTCCATCACTTTACGACAGCCTGGTAGCCAAGCGGCCATTGTCGCTGGTCTGAGAATCTCAAGAAAAACAATTGATACGCAGTCCAGGTCAAGTCAAGGGCCATGAAAGATATTTCTGTACTCCGGGGCCTCCAAGACAATGAAGGCCCAAAGACATCGGCGCAGCTCATGTCTTGCTCGCTGGTTTGACACCAGTGACGGTCGCATTTTCCTCAGCCTCACCCACAATAGTTGAGTGTTCCGATAAAGCACCGTCCTGTCCGGGTTGATAGTAGTCCTTCATAATCTCTGTTCCAAAGCCGAGCTCCTCAGCATTGAGCGGAAGTACTCTTGACCAACCCCTAGTGTAGTAGGTGTGGCAATCGAAGATCCCTGGTTGATCCTTTCTTTCCCAGAAAACACGGTAATTGGGGGGATGATGTCTGCCACATCCCGTACAGAAGAGTCGGCCTGGTGTGTCTTGACGGTGAAAAGGGACGTGAGTATCCCAGATGATTGAAGAGGCCGATGGTCCTTTCTTCAATTGCCGGATCACCCAGGATTGGAATGCTTGCGAGCGACGGGAGTCAAAATTTTTCCTTCGATTGTGTCCCTTGGTAAGGTTCCTTTTGCGGAAGGTAGCATCTTCGGCATATCGGGCTCGACATATCTCGTTGTAGCGATCGTATTCCTCTATACGGGAATCCAGGCTCTTTGGAAGTTCGACACGAGATGAGTTGCTAAACAGACGGGAAGATGCCAGAAGCTCCAACGACTGCAGGACCGGGATGTATGTTGTGCTGTTCTGGTGCACGAGTGACTTTATAGCTGGAAGGCGATTGCCAAAATTTGCAGTCATCAGACCCAGCATCCTTTGTGGCACATGCCCAGCACGGCTAAGCAGTGTGTACATGCTTCCACCGCCGTACCGGAGTCTTTCTCAGAAGTTTTTGATGCTCGTTGACGGCGAGATTGATCTCGTGAGTCGTGACGGGGAGCGACAGACTCCGAATCAGCACAGACCAGCCGAACTTCGACCTGAACTTCGAAGACCGTCACCTTTCTGACATCTTCGCTTCCATCTTTTTACGTGCATCTTCTCAATTCAGAAAGAGACAAGCATCAGAGTAATCATCACAATTACGCTCGGCACACTCATGTTCTATGAGGGTGTCGAATAGCCGAGATAGGTCGCGCAAACAACGATTCTTTTTCAACAAGGCTCCAACGACACGTCCTCCGGTTTACGGGAGTCGTAGGATGGACAGGACATTCTACTTTACGATAGGGTAAAAGTAGAGGTGTTTTTGGTTGGAGTGAAGAAAAAGCGCCGTTGGGAAACGTTAAGTATAGCTGTCCTGAGGGTGGAAGACGCATGTGAGTTCAAGATCTATGCACAAAGGTTAAGTAGCATTATGTGATAATTGTTGATTTCATTCCCACACAGTCAAAGATTCACTACTTTGCAGCTGCCCACTCCTCACGCAAATCTCGAAGAACATCAGGATACCATCTCTCACCCACATCTTGATGACTTTTGACCCGATTCCTCAATGTAGCTTCACCAAGCGTTTTTGCTTTATTCCCTTTCTTGAATGTAAATTCGACATCATCGATTCTGCCTCCATTCTTCTCGATAATCCGACGGCGTTGCTCTTTGATGTCTTCCGGAACATTGCCCACCCCCACTTCATCCAACTCATCGAACTCTGCATCATATCTCACGCCTTGGAAGAAGGGGATGGACAGCCTAGCACCGGAGCCAGCGGACGGCGATAGCACCCGATGAGTAGTCGAAACACAAACCCCCTGCGTCAAAGCCTCCAAACCCTGTCCAATAGCCACAACAAGCGTTCCAGGAATAGGAGGACAATCTATCCATGTGCCAGCAACATTCTGCACCTGTAAACCTCTGTGGTTGGTGACCTGTAGCAGATAGCTGGTCAACATGGAATCCTTATGCGGCCCCACACCTTGACCTTCAACTCCTGCTTCCTGATCAAGGGTGGATAGAGCAGGATACTTCACAATCTTGAGCTTATGCTGTTGATCTTGATCAAAGTATTTGTCAAAAGCGTCCCTGGGGAGATGCATAGCCTCTGCGATCAATGAGGTGAATGCGATAGACATCTCGCTCATTTTAGTCATATAATCTGTGAATACATCTCGGAAGCCGGGGAGTGCGGTCTCGGAAGGCCATTGATTTGGTGCTCGAAGGTTATCGTACAGAGGTGCTCCTGGTTTTGGAAGCGGATGTTCAGTTGAGAAGTCGAATTGCTCCCGTTGGTCTGTTTTGCCGGCTGTGATTTCCGCTGCTAGTCGAGAGTATCCTAGGAAGGAAGGGGCGTTCTTCATCTCAATCTTGAGTCTGGCTTCCGTTCAATCGGTGACCACAATGACAACTTGTAAGATTGGTGACTTACTTTTCTTCCTCTGGTATATCGAACACTGCTGTTCCCGCGGCTTTCACTTGCTCGAACAGATTGTCTGGTATTGGAGTGTTTTTGATGTATAGGAAGCCTACTTCCATGAGAGCATGACGTAGTTCTTCTAGTAGTTCGGGCTTTGTTCGTGGATCGTTGGCTTTTGCCAAATCCAGGACTGGGACAGTGGTAAATGCCATGACTATTATAGCACCAAGCAAAGGTCAAGATACAGCGATTTCTGCGTTGATATGAATGAGCAGAGGTCAAGTGGGATACACCTCCGCATCTACAGTCCGGGATCGCCAAGACGTCACGGCAGATGGCGTGCTCGATGGCTGGCAGTACTTGTACGATAGTAAAACATATTATGAGGCAGCTCATCCCTTGGTTACAAGCAGCAAAGATGTATCCGTAGGACATCACACAAGTCTACCTGGGCAGTAGCGTGAGGTCGAAACTTGATTGCTACTCGGCCCCTTGTCTTCATGTACTTCTGGCAATGCGGGCAATGGAGTTACCGTGAAGTTACGGGGTTCATTCGCTCAGAATGCTTACTGGGAACACTCTGTAAAGGCTGACAGCTGCTCTGGTAGTCTCTTCGAGATGAAGGTTGTCTTGATGAAATGATTGACGTTGACAAGGCTTCAATCGAAAAACAGTAATCTGCGGCGCACATTTCTCAGACTGCCACGATCTTTCTGAGCACGGCGCGTCTCGCCGTATTCCTCAACTTCTCAGTTTGGACCGCACAACCACCAAGCACTTTCCAAGCCATGGAAGCAAAGCGAAGCCTTTCCCACATGCTTAAGTTGAGCCTATTCGATATCCGGAAGGTCAATGGATGCGCCTCCACGTCGCTTGAAAGTAATTGAGAAGGCAGAGATGCACGCCGGCTGGTCAATGCCGTCGGTGCCGACCACGTGCAAGCGACACAAACCAATCAGGCAGGAACAAAGATAAGCACGTGGAGCTATCGCAACTTTCGCTCGCTGCTCAACATCGCCTCCTGCATCTTTCTGAACGCACAATTGTTCCGTGGTATAGTGGTGATCCACACCTAGAGACGGCATGTACATGCAACCGAAATGGTGGCCCTCATATCCGCGCCTACGGGTCATGGCTAGATCAAAGGAAAAGCCAGCCAGCAATCAGATATAAAAGAAGGCGAGCCATTGGCAAGTATCCTTTCGCATCTCCATACCCTTTGTAATCATGAAGAGCACCATCGGAGCTGTACTTGTTGGAACTGCTCTTGTTGCAGCTGCTCCCCCTGCAGACCGTCGCGATGTCGACACTCGCTTCCCGTACACCGGGCCTGCTATTCCAGTCGGTGATTGGGTCGACCCTACCGTCAAAGGCAATGGTAAAGGCTTCCCTCGTCTGGTTGAGGCTCCTGCTGTGAAGCCCAAGTCATCCAACCCGACCAACAACGTCAATGTCATCTCCCTGGCCTACATCCCTGGGGGTATGAACATTCATTACCAGACACCTTTCGGTCTCGGATCCGCACCTCAGGTTCAGTGGGGTACTCAGCAAGACAATCTTTGCAATGTTGCTACCGGACAGTCCAACACGTATGCACGCACGCCTCCTTGCTCTCTGGCTCCTGTCACACAATGCAGCGAGCACTTCCACGAAGTTCAGATTACCGGACTCAAGCCAAACACCAAATACTGGTACCGCATTCCGGCTGCCAATGGTACCACCGAGTCTCAGACTCTCAGCTTCCGCACTGGACACGCTGCCGGCGACCGCTCCGAGTTTACCATCGCTGTGCTGAACGACATGGGATACACCAATGCTTATGGTACTCACAAGTACCTCAACAATGCTGTTGAGGATGGTCTCGCTTTCGCCTGGCACGGTGGTGACATCTCTTACGCTGATGATTGGTACTCTGGCATTCTGCCCTGCGAGGACTCATGGCCTGTTTGTTACAACGGCAGTTCAACCAGACTCCCCGGTGGCCCTCCCTACCCTGCTGAGTACCTCGATGCTCCTCTGCCCGCTGGAGAGACTCCCAACCAAGGTGGTCCCCAAGGAGGTGATATGAGTGTGCTGTACGAGTCCAACTGGGATCTTTGGCAGCAGTGGATGAACCCTATCTGGTCCAAGGTTCCCTACATGGTTCTTCCTGGAAACCACGAAGCTTCTTGTGCCGAATTCGATGGAGGCAACAACACCCTCACTGCCTATCTCAACAACGACCAGGCCAACTCTTCTGCAGCAAAGTCGGCTCTGAACTACTACAGCTGTCCTGAGTCTCAGAGGTATGTCAAGATGACGATGTAACATTTAGGAGAATCACGCTAATCACATTCCAGGAACTTCACAACCTTCCAACACCGCTTCCGCATGCCCGGAAAGGAGAGTGGCGGTGTCGGCAACTTCTGGTACTCCTTCGACCACGGTCTCGCCCATTTCATCAGTATCGACACCGAGACGGACTTCGCCTACAGCCCCGAATGGCCCTTCATCCGTGACATCAAAGGCGACGAGACTCTGCCTAACGAAGCACAAACCTTCATCACCGACAGCGGTCCTTTCGGTCGCATCGACAACAACAACTGGAAAGACAACAAAGCCTACGAGCAATATCAATGGTTGGCCAAAGATCTCGCCGCCGTCGACCGCAAAAAGACTCCCTGGATCTTCATCAACGGCCATCGCCCCATGTACAGCAGTCAAACCTCCTCCTACCAAAAGAACGTCCGCAACGCTTTCGAAGAACTGATGCTCGAACACGGCGTCGATGCTTACTTCGCCGGCCACATTCACTGGTACGAACGCCTCTTCCCTCTTGGCGCCAACGGCACCATCGATACTGCTTCCATCAAGGATAACAACACTTATTACACTAATGAGGGCAAATCGATCACTCACATCGTCAATGGAATGGCTGGAAATATCGAATCGCATAGTGAATTGTCTGCGAACCAACCCGTTCTCAACATCACTGCCGTGTTGAATGCGAGAGATTATGGATTCAGCAAGTTGAAGATCACCTCTACTTCTGCTACTTGGGAGTTCATCAAGGGTGGAGATGGCAGTGTGGGTGATAAGTTGACGTTGTTGAAGAAGTAAAAGTGGATATCTCAAGGGTCTGATGGGGTGTAAAACGTAGATGTCAAAATGCAAGATGATTTTCAAGATCAACGAAATGACCAAAGAGAGTACAGGAAGTGATTCATCTCTCTGGACGAACGGACCATACTAAAAACAACCTTGCCTTTTTACAACGCGGATCCAGGAGGTGAGATTGAGTTAGGAGTTGTTGCGAGAACAAAAAAGAATCATAACGTTTTCATCACATCTCAAAAACCTGCTTGGGTGTAGAATGTACAGTGTCAAAATGCAACATCATTTTCAAGATCAATAACACGACCAAGGAGAGTGCAGGAAATGTATCCTTTTACTGGAGATCGGAGCATTGGGCACATTAGCAATCTTCCGGTATTAGCTTGCTCGATGTTAAAGATTGCAACATGTGCAACGGAATCACAGCACGAGCGTCTTGATCTGGTGATGATAGGAGACGAAACACGGGGATAAAGCACGCCGTCGAGCACCAGGCGCATCAAACCTCTTCTAGTACCGGCTCGCTCGTTAAGTCGATGTTACGATTGACGTGCAACGGAGTTACAGCACGAGCGTCTTAATCTAGTGATGATAGGAGACGAAACACGGGGAGAAAGCACGCCGTCGAGCACCAGGCGCATCAAACCTCCTCTGGTACCGGCTAGCTCGACAGTAGACGTGCAACGGAGTCACAGCACGAGCGTCTCGTTGTCACGATCACGGAAGGTCAAGCACAGGAGAAAGAAAAGCACACTGTCGAACCCGGTTCATTGTTATTACGCCTCCTGTCTATCGTATCGTCTCGTTCTCTCCGTCTCTCCGTCTTGCTCACTGCGGGAAATGAGGAGGCCAGTTAGGCCAGTTGGCGTAGTGCCAAGCTAGTAGACTCGTCAGTGACCCGGTTCGTCATGAAAGGAGTAGATGGATACGTACGGGGAGGTGGGAGGGGGTTGGCGAAGGGAGGGGGCGGGAGAGGTTGTTGCTGCTGCTGCTGCTGAGCAGGAGGTGCGGCCATGATGACCGGAGGAGGAGCCATAGCAGGCGGAGGTGCAGGTGCGGCCACGACCACCGGGGCCGGGAGAATTGCGACCAGAGGGCCAGCAGGAGGAGGATTGGCGGCGGGTGCGACGGGGCGAGGGGGCAGGTTCACAAAAGGCCCACCGGCAGCCTCCACCCTCACCAAGGCCCTGAAGTTGGCAGGAGGTGCCTCGCCGGGCAGGAGGTTGTTGCGGCCATGGGCGCTGCGGGTATGCGTGCGGAGACGATCGCTATAGCGGTTTAGCTTGGAGGATATAGGTGATGGATCATGACTGGCGTACGCTCTGGCCTCGTCGTGGGGGCAGTTGGCGCATCTGAACGGTCTGATGTGGGTGTGCAAGTGCTCAACGAGGAGCGCCTGACTGGGAGAAGAGTAGCCGTTGCATCTCGGGCAGTTGATGGCGGCCATTTTGGTTGCTTGATGACCTGGTCGTGCTGGAGGTCGAGAAGAGGGAGGTCGAATCGCAAGTGCGCAGTATCAAGTATGCCGACGCTAGTGGTGCCGCCTTGGCTATACCATTGAGCGGCGTCGGAGGTTGCCAATGAGCGAGCACCGATCATGCTGGAGAGGAGTGTGCTGATACTTGCTGCGTACAACGCTGTTGGGTGCTCAACATGACTCCCTCAACACCACACTCCGATGACAGCACCTCTGTTGCCTCGACAGTATGCAGTAATGCAGCATCGAAGGCAGCACTGTTCATGAGCGACGTTGACGCCTAGCTCCCAGCCTCCAATTACACCAGATCCGCCAGCGACAAACAGCAGAAGCCTATAGAGCCGTGAGAGATTGTCCAGTGAGATGATTCAGCATCTTGCCTCTCAGTGGCCGAGTAGAAGGAATCGAACTGGCTTCTGCATTTTGACAAGAGTCGAACTGGATGAACAGATGGCAGGAGACAGGCGAATTTCTGGTGTGTTATTTGGCTGTTCCAAGTTGACATGAGCATCCAGATTTAATATCCATGTCCAGGAGTCCAGTGCATGCTGTGTACCGAAGGCTATGCCGCGGAGGTATTGCCCGGGCAAAAACCAAGCCTCACATATTAAAAACGATGAGGAAGATGATGGCGAATATTTGGGATGGTTTGATGATTGTGGTGATGAGAAAGGAAGGCGCAAAGAGGGAGCTTGTCTGCTGGTCAACATGTCGCTGTGGTGCACGTCCTCATCAGCAGAGTGCACGTTCCACCGCCACTTTGCTCGGCTAAACTTCTGGGAAACACCTTCCATGGACATTCGGATGTCCTGACTATCTGTACACTGCAAGACTGGATATCCCAATTTACTGGAAATCTGTCGCCATTTTGATGCAGGCTGGTACACCAGTAGGCGATGCATACCTGCAGATGGCTGAATAGGCCACAACCACATCCTTCTATACTCCGATTTGGGACTGGGTACCTGGACTGTAATCAACAGTTTGTGATAATATTGCTGTTCGATTTTTTGGAAATTAAACGCCCTTAAAGATACAAGCATCGCTGCAGCGTGCTGTTAGGAATTTATGCCGCTCAATTAGCAAGGACAGGAGTCCTGCCATCCCACTCCTGACTGACAGTCGCATCTAATATGAACTCAGCAACGCTTTTCGCGCTGACAGATGGCATGAACCCAGACTTCTCCCCAGCATCGCCAAGTATCTTGACCGACAATGCAGTATCTCCCTTTAACATGGCGGGTCTAGGCATAACGAACACCATCCCACTTTCCTTGATAATCTTGTCCACAGCATTCTGATCTTCAAGCGTCTGTCTCATATCGAATATGTCATAGTCGCTCGCATCAAGAAGTTGAGGTTCGAAAAGGAGGAGTTTGTGCCGAACATTGACATGATGATGACCTTTTTGACTTTGTCGGCAGGTTGTCCTTTGATGGCTTCCGCTACTGCGGTTGCGGAGGCCGACATGAAAAGAGGTGGAGAAGTCGTTGCGGCGAACGGGTTCCCAGATGTTCGTGTTTGGCCGAGTGTGCTGATTAATACCACAGGACCGTTGATTGTGGTCAAGGCGGTGGTGATATCACCGGTTTCGAGGGGAGAGCCTTTGGATATTGTAAGGGAGGGATGAGAAGGCAGAGCGGAGGAAGGTCGGATGAGAGCGGTAACTTTGTAGCCGCGAGTGAGAGCTGACTCGAGAACAAGACGACCAGTGCGACCGGTTGCTCCAATGAGGAGGATGTTGGGGAGGCTTGTGGTGTTGGTTGTGGTCAACATTTTAAAGGCTCGGGTGGCTGTAAGATTGTGTTTGATTTTGTCGAGATCCTAAGCGTACGAGAGTCACGGCTATCTCGAGTTAACTGGTCGAGATATCGATCGGTCAGACGGCTTCGTCAAAGAGAGGATTGGACGAAGCTGAAATGAATTGTTAAAGTCGTTGTGAGATATGGATGGTGGGAGCTGGATATAGCTTTGAAATTGGTCGGTGACCAAAGGTACTTATACTTATTCATAGTCGTCCAATGAGCCACGAACTCTACGTCTTACTTGCAGCAAAGCCACCACCCTTTGCTACATCGTTGTTTAACGAAGGAAGGAGGATTCGGACAAGAAGGTGCAGTCGGCCGCTCGGACTTGCCATCTCCGCCGTCGGCCGAGACGCCGCACCCGAGCTTCAACTTTCGAGCTTACATTCCCTCGATCCTTCCTTCTTAATCGGCCACAAAATATGATTACAAACAGCCACTGCTCAAAAGATCGTCCACGGCCTATGAGCTTGGCATCGATGAGTCTCAATGATGACTCTTTGCCGCTGCTTGCATAAGTTCTCTGCGAAGTATGTAATCAAGGATCCGTGTCGGAGGAGAATTCATGCAGCTCGGCCGACGCAAGTGAGACTAACCGGAGGATATATTAATATAAGGAAGTCGGGTTGTAGAGTATATAACTTGACCTCCCCTCTGTTGGAAGGTATACACAATCCCACCACATCTCGAACGCCGCAACCAAGAAAGCATCTTACTCAACTACTATTGCATACCTGATCATATTTTGTCCTTCTTCACTTCTCATCTCACCCTCAGTCCAGAATCACAATCACCATCAACAACCTCAAAATGGCCAACGAAGTCGCCATCATCGGCGCCGGCATTGCCGGCTTGACTTTGGCTCTCAGCCTGCACACCCAGGGTATTCCCTGCGCCATCTTTGAAACACGTCCCGAGCCCCAGAATATCGGCGGCGCTGTCATGCTCTCTCCCAATTCTCTCAGGCTCTTCGACGGTATGGGTGTCTACAACGACCTTAAACGCCACGGCTTCAGCTTCGACACCCTCTATTTCAGAGACCTCGCCGGTGACCTCCAGGAAACGTACCCCTTCGGCAGTGTTGAGAAGTATGGGTACAGCGGCTTGCGAGTCTATCGCTTTCAACTCATCGACTTGCTTCTTGAGAAGATCAACGCCAACAAGATACCCATATACTTCAACCACAAGTTCTCGCATGTCGTCTCCGAGTCCACGAATACAGTGACCTGGAAATTCATTGATGGAACTGAGAAGACTTCATCTCTGCTTATTGGAGCAGATGGAATACACAGTCGCGTCAGGAAGTACATGTACCCTGACCTCTCACCAAAATTCACCGGTCTCGCTGGCATCACCGCTGCAGTACCAACTGCAACCCTCAAACTACCTAGCCCGGACTACACAATGCCCGTCACAATCATGTCACCCACTCACGGTGCCTTCGTCATCGCACCTCAAAAGCCAGATGGAAGCGAAGTCCTGATTGGAAAACAAAAACGCATGCCTGAACTATCAAGAGAAGGATGGGATCAACTTTACGCAGACAAAGAAGCCGCTGTCGCTTTCCTTCGCGAAGGATCCGAAGTCTTCGGTGACATAGCGGTTAGCGCTACCTCAGATATCCCGCATGCGCACATCAACATCTGGCCCTTCTACATCATCCCGAAACTCGATTCTTGGTCTTCTACCCACAGAAGAGTACTTTTGGTAGGCGATTCAGCACATGCCATTCCTCCCAGTTCGGGCCAAGGCATATCCCAAGCCGTAGAAGATGTGGTAATGCTAGCAATGCTGTTGGGAAGAGGTAGGAGCGAAAAGAAGGATCTGGGGTGGTGGCAAGAAGTTCGACAAGCTAGGCTTCAGGATATCTTGTTACTCAACGCTCGCGTGGATAAGCGTAGACTACCCAAAACCATGGGATTAGACGAAGAAGACGATGCTGAGAAAGGCTTTGATCTCGATTGGCTGTATGGCTTAGATGTGGTCAGTGTGGTAGAGGAATACGTTGGAAGTTCGTAGTTCCATTTATCTCTTTGGCCATTTACATCCGACGAGAAGTTATTGTGCATTCTGACGTACGTATCTAAGAGAGCATCCACGATAGACGAGAAACGGTTAAGAGTGCTCCGAAGAGAGTCACTTTTGGGTAGAAGAACAATCGATGACCAGGCAACCTTGCACACGTCCATCAGTATCCGCCTCTATCCGCATCTCCTCACCATCTGCCACTACGCAATCTATCGTAAGACACTAACCTCAAGCTGAAGGACAGGGAGAATACGTTAGAATGTGACCCCCACTACAGCTACAGCTAGAGAAAACGACAAGGTTCTACGATTTGATTTAACAGTGGCGCTCTGCTTATACCTGCGCAGAGCATAAGTCACCGCTACGCATGTTCTCACGTAGTACGCTACAAAGACAGGACATGAAGATAGGAGAGTTGAGGAACAAGTCAGCAAAGAGGAACAAGCCAGCAGTAGGGATAGATAGGAGAGAAAACGAGAAGGCTACACTGATGCTCCAACGACACCATGTTCCTCCGACCACAGCTTTTGAACATCCCTTTGCGCACCTTATCGAGCGGTCTAGGACTGAAGTCAAGGCTTCGCAGGAGAGGGGCAAGGCAAATGCAAGGCTATCTAGCACAAGGAGAAGGCATCTATAAGGTTACATAGACCAAGCAACAACATGACCTTTCCATAGATCCATCACACTCGATAACACACCACTCGGCAAGAAATCAGGTGGTAAAGAGACAAGAACCATAATTGAGAGGAGAGAACAAAAAGAAAAAATCGATTGCCGCAGGGCATGTGTCGCTCCCTGATGAGGCGACAGCGACAAGGTGGGTATACTACTCTAACAAAGCAACAATCTCCGTCTCCTCCTACGACGCGGTCATCATCGCCGCCGTCGCCACTGCCGCTTAATCCTTCATCTCCCATCCTTGCTCTAAAAGATGAAAAAGTTAGTATATATCCGATCAAGTGGTTCTAGGTCTGGGGAGTTACATACCAAACGCGTACCGCCTATCATTGTACTCTTGCAGTTGCTCGAGGGACCTAGACAGTCCGTATTCGTCGAGTTGGGTATGGAGGTCCACCCAGTGGTCCTGAACAACGACAGGACCACCAGATTGATCGACGAAATTATCGATGTCCTCGTCGTCCTGATCAACGGCAGGACGGTTACCCTGAGCTACAGGGATAACCGGAGCCTGTATGACCACGGGGAGGTTGGCCTGAGCGGCAGGCACGTTGGGCGCGGGAGCAGGGGGGCCAACCTGAACCTGGATGGCCACAGGGATGTTGGCCTGACCCTGACCGCCAGCAGGAGCGGCGACGACAGCAATGGGAGGAGGTGGTGGAGGTGGTGGTGCAGCGGTAGGGGGACCAAAGCAGTTGTCGGCTGCCACGCTCAAAGCCGCCGCCAGCTGCGGGTCCCGTGCCCACGTAGACGGAGGGTGCCCGCCGTGAACAGTGGCACGGCCGTTGCTGTGACAGATTAGATATAGATAAAAAGACTTGATGCGTAGCAAGATGACTGCTATTGAGTGATACATACTCCCTGACGGCGCGTTGTCCACAGCCGGGGAACTGGCAGAGGTATGGGCCCATGTCGTGCCCGGGAATGTTTTTGCAACCGAGATGCGTCGCCATATTGCCTTTGGTGGCGAAAGGGGGGTGGACGCATTGGGAGCAATGGTATGCCATTTTGGTTGATTTAACTCGTTGGTTGATGCTACAAGACTGCGCAGCCGATCTCTCAAATTTGTGAAAAGGAGTGCACCTGCCTGCCGCTATCGCCGGCGACTTCCGGTCCCGCTGGCAGCGACAGTGAGGCATGTCTGATAGCGGGTAGGGATGACTTGGCAGGTGGTGGCGCTAGGAGCAAGTGCAACGCCAGCGTGAGGCGGTGAGGCGCGCGTGTTGACTGATTGCGCATCCCATTCTTCTCTATGCAGCACACCGTGTATACACACGACAAGAGGCGAAGTAGTATCCAGGTAAAGCATGTATCCAGAGAGACAGAGGCTGATGTTGATGTTGATATTGATGTTGATGTTGATTTTGATAGGGCTCTCTTTGGTCGGCGACACAACACTCAATTGCTTCTTGCAGTTTCACGACCATCTTGGAGACCACACGACCACTGGAGAAGCACCGCAGGCCTGTGTAGGGTACTGGAACATACCGACTGCAAGGCGCACTCCTTCATTGCGCGTGGTGCAGTATACACCTCATCAAAAGGCGGGATGGCATTGCAAAAGAAACGCATGTCCATAGAGATTCGGCGACGGTTGAGCTCTCACTGGACAACCACACCATACCTCATTGCTTCTTGCATTTTGATAGGCAGTACGCAACGGCACTCGCGCCTCTGGAGAACGAACAGAGTATTGCAACAGCCCGGAGCAGCTGTTCATTGGCGACGTTTCTCTCACGATCCAGCTTGAGTGCATATCGATGCAGTAGAAACGCAACAAGGATTTCAGAACCAGGAGACGGTCCAGTGAGGGTCAAGAGTAGAAGGACTCTCTCTAGACATCTCAGAAAGTCCGAATATTATGCTGCATCATGACAGCATTGATAGAGACGCTACCACGACTATGAGAGGTGGTGCAAGGGCTGAGAATGTCCAGGTGTGTATCAATTAAGTTATGGTGAGATCGTTGTCCAAGAGATCGTGGATCAGACCATCCGGAAAGTCATGTTGATGGAAGCCCAAATTAGGAAAGAAGCCAGCCATACCAGGGGGAACGATCGATGGAAAACATGGTGTTTAGAGGAAGGATCGATGTTGTTGTGTATGCGCAGAGCAGAGAGGAAAGCGCGTTGCTGATGGAACAAGAAGGTGCACGGTTGTCACGATTTGCGAAGCACCGACCATCAGATCGCCGTACTAATCCTTAAGTGTCGCCAGTGTACATCCGTGCGTTGCCGACATCCGAAACTGGCGTTAGGGCTCGAGCTCAGCAGCACGGACCATGCCATGTTGTCCTAGACTATCTGGCTATCTATGATAGCATTCATGTGGTACATGGCATTGAGAAAGGTGGTGGCAGGTGATGAGATACACTTGATTGTGCTTACACGTTACAGGGAGAGAAACGTCTCGTCATTCGGGGTGCTTCGAAACAGAATACTCATACTAATTACTAAAGAGGTTATAGACTGTTCTGTACACGAAATTTGTGACCATAAGATATGCAGTCGGTATGCGATGGAGACTAACAAGAGTGACTGAAGCCTAGATCAGAGATGCCGCCGACGATAACGACAGCGATCAAATGTTCTAGGTTGTTTATATACCTTCAAATGCCCTCATCACAGCTAATCCAACGGGAGCATAGGTAACAACGCGATTGTGCATGCCATATTGTAGCATCTCGACACGGACACCCACCTTGCCCTTTGCAGCGGCGTCTCTTGTACCCAGTGGCAATACTTCGACTTCTCTCCCGGTCGCCGTAGCAAACAATTTCTCCGTCTGCGCAAACGCAATATCCTGGTCGTCACGAGCGTGCAAGATGTGCACATTACCCGCTCCATTGTTCTTGGAACCAACAGAAGCAGCCGCAGAAACATACGCGTTGAGGCGGAGACCTGAAGGCCAGGTGTCAAGAATGTATTTCGAAATCATGCTGACGAGGAACCTCGAGCTGCGGAGAGGTGCCAGAACTGGGATTAATCCTCCGATACGGTAGCTGAGGAGAAGGTCCGGCAGAGAGCTGAAAGGTGCGACTAGGATTATGCTTCTGAAAACTGCCTTCTCTGCAATTGCGCCCACGATAGGTTGGGGCAGAAGTTCCGAAGTGGGGTCTGCGAAGGACAATCCTACGGCGGACGCGACGGCTGTTCCGAGACTTTGTCCGAGGATTACGATTCGAGATGGCGGAATGCCAAGGGAGAGGACGTAGTTGACAAGGGCACGACCGTCGGTGATGAGACCTCCTTCTGTAGGAGAGCCAGTGCTACGACCGAAACCACGGTAGTCGACGGTGAAGATGTGGGTATGGGGTTGGTTCGAGAGGGCACGGTAAGTGTCCGTACGCCATCCTTGGGCTACGTGGCCTGCGTTACCGTGGACTGGTAGTTTATCAGCTTTGCGGTCCTTTGAGCCTTCGGGTGTGATGAGATGATGGCTCACAATTTATGACAACTCTGGCTTCAGGATCTGATTTGAGAAGCTGGAGAGGCAGAGTTTGATCAAGCGGATCAGCTGCAGCCAAGGTATCTCTGTTTCTGGCGACAGTCGCTAAAGGGAGGATGTGCCATGCGTACAAGACTTCATTGTCTGGGGTGCTGACGTTGAAGGGCGTTACTTGGTGAGCAGCAAAGCCAAACGATTCGGGCTTGTTGACATCATGCCAGAAGCCGGAGTGTATTTTGTGGGCGTATAAGGCGCTGTTCCACGACCAGTATTAGACGAAGAATATTCTTATCGTGGAAGTCAAGATCATGGGGTTTGACAGAAGTCAAGGGCTAGAGAAGTAGATCACGATCGAGGTCAGGAAGGAGCGATACGCACTGTCGTTGCAACCAAGGATTCGTCAAAAGAAGTACGAGAACAGGGTATAGAGAAACTGTGAAAACGAGGAACAGAAACCCGCTCTTGAGTACACCCATCTTGATGGAGTTGTCCCTTCTACACTAACCTATCATCCTTCAGCAAAGTGCGCTCTGGGGATGTTTGGGCTGGATGAGAGATCGCGACATGGGAAGGAAAAGAGACGTTACTCATTCTACATGCAACTCCATTGTTGACTTACTCTTGGGATAGTGTCACACGACGTGAATTGTGCTGGTGTCAAAAAGTGAGACCCCAAGGGCCGTCCGTGGTCATCCGCTCATTCGATGCCAAGACTTTTGTCAGCCGTGTCAAAAGTCTTCGCAGTCCGAGTGTCCATGAAATTTTCTGGCGTTTGCTCTGCATTTCTTCTTCAACATCATCTGTCGCTGCAAAATGTTGCCGAATAGACCAGCATTGTCTATCCTGTGGTTCCATCAATTGATCTATTTATTGATTGATGGCTAAAGGTCATGGTTCTACACTGCGACAGATCAAGGTTTGTACATTTCTTTCTTTTCCATCACACAGCAAGTCAGTCCTCTCGGCTCTCGTATACCCCCATCGAGAAGCTGGTGTTTAGACTCAGGTCTACACTTGCAAGATTGACACTTACAAGGCCTTGCGTTTGAGGTATTCATGACAAATTACCCCTGGATGAATCACCATAGAAGTCTCGGTACATCACTATTTACAGAATATAATCTTTTGCGTTTCTGAAAGAATGGTTATTTGTCTTTTGGTCTCGTGAGTGTGAGCGATTGCTATCTGAATGGACTAGGTAGGGGTATCTAAGTTGTTGTTGCTGGACCATCTGGAGCTACTGCTGGATAGGGAGCAATTGTGCCATCGCTGGCTATCTGAGGCACTTCAGAGATGCGAACAGACTTCTTGCGCTTTGCAGTTGTGCCGTCTGCGACTGGCGCATCTACAGCTGGAGCAGACTCGGCGCTTGTGAGCTGCGGTGTAGGAGCTGGTGCTTCCACCGTAGAAGCACCTTGTTCAGGATTGGACGAAGCTTCGATAAGACCACTTGCAGGCGCTACCTGTGTCGCGTTTGGTGCCGGCACTTGTTGCGCAGGTCGAGCTTCTGTTGCGTTCGGTGTGTCTTGCACAGCATTCGCCGATGTCTTTTCCGCTCCCTGCTCGATGTCCTTATCTTCCTTCTTCTTCCTAGGTACCGGCTTGGGCTTCGGCTTGACCTCTTGCACAACCGGCGCCTCCTCTTCTGTCTCGACAATGCCACTCTTGTACGGTAGCCTGAAAGCGAGATGCCTTGTGGGCGCACGTGTGCACTTCTCGATCATGTCTGTCATATAAGTGCGAACCTGATCGGCAGGCTTGACGCAACGAGTGATGAATTGTAGAACGTCTCTTGCAGCCGAGCGACCTTCGGGAACGCTAATGGTCATGGTAACGGGCTCGTAATACTCGGTTTCACGATCGAGCTGAGGACTTATGTCGCGACCCTTGCGGATGACGAGGAAAGAAGCGAGCATCTTGTACGAGTTGAGGAATTCGAGAATGGTATTGTCAGGAAAGCGGAAGCGGTCGGGCGAGGCGCCTTGACCTTGGAATTCGAGGACGATTGGGTAGCTGGGATATCTCGGTGGTGGAGGCGGTTGATGCTGGTATTGCTGCTGAGGCGTAGGGTATATAGGAGGATGTGGTTGTACTGTCGCAGGATGCGGTTTGATGACAGGAGCGGCTGATGGTGGTCTCGAAGTAGGATTGTGGTGTGAAGGGGCGGGAGAATGTGTCTGGCTTGCTGGCTGGGCTTTGTTGGCGTTGATCATGGCCGTCAGCTCGTCTATGTGCCTCTGGAAGATGCGCAGCTGTTCCTGGTTGGCATTGCCGGTAGCAACTATCTTCATCAGGGCCTTGAGCTCGGCGTCGCTACTCGCACGAGAGGCAAGCATCTGAATGACAGGGTCTGGCGATTGTTTGGCAGGCGCTGGCGCAGCGGGCGGAGGGGGAGGGGCAGCTCGCGCTGTAGCGGGCATGATAGGAGGCGGGTGGGGACGACCTCCCTGGTACTGTGCAGGGGAGTGCGAATACGGAGCACCATAGGGACTACCTGCCGGGGCACTCGGGTTGGGTCGTTGTTGTTGATTGTACTGTTGAGGAGGAGCATGTTGATACTGGTGCTGGTACTGTTGGTGTGGAAAGTGCTGCTGTACTGGAGCTGCATGAGACGGCGCTGGGGCGGGACCTGGCTCCTTGACGTAGTATGCCGTCGCCTCGAATATCAGCGGTTCGACTACCAGAGTACACGGTCCAATCTCCTTCATCCATGACTTGTGTGGGTTGCCTGCTGGCGCTGGAGGCGCATCTTTTCTTCCCGACGTCTTGGTCCAGTACTTGTCGAAGAAGCTGCCTGAGATCCACTTCTGACGCGATCGTTCCAGCGATGCTAGCAGGACTCCACTCTCTGCGATGGTCTTGTATTCGTCGTTGGATAGGTCGAGAGGTTGGCGCTCCGAGAGGGTGGGAAGAGGCTTGGATTCGACGACTTTGTTTGGTAAAGGTGTCGCTTCTCGCACGACTTCTTCTACTGCTGGTGTAGCCTCCTGTGGTGTCGCGTCCTTTGGCGTAGCTGCCTTGGTTGATGTCCTTCGTCGTTTCGCATCTCGCGTCCTGCCTGAGGCTCGTCGCTTCTCCGCCATCTTTGTCGCAAGAACCGTGTTGTTCGTATCTCGGTCTAGCCGTGTAGGTATCTCGTATTCATCTATTCATGTTGTCTGTATCATGTACTTCGGGTCGCGTCTGTAGAAATTGTCGCTTCGTACGTCCAGAAATGACGAAGCTGCGCGACGCTGACCAGCTAACAGGGTTGCCCCACTTGCAATTCGAACAGGTCACTCAAGGTCTCTACTTCCTCGACGAGGCTCTATAAGCATTGAGAAACTCGTCGGTATATGGATTGTGTTTTCTAATGTATACTGGGAAAGATTAGATTGACCAGCAATGTCCATGTGGATTTATGCTCGAAGGTCAACGACACAAGCACAATTGCCCACAGACAAATCAAAACACTTCCTTTGCCGACCCATCTTTACAGGCAAGCATCTGTTCGTCTCTTTTTTTTTCCATCAGAGCAGTTCTTACTGTACTGTGATTGACTGTAGACCAGTTTCTCCATATCTGGACTCGAACTCACCAAACATCTGGCAGAATCCCACCGCCTTGACGCAAGACGTTTGAGAACGACTGAAGCTGTGGACAAGTGAGCTTTGAACTTTCCCAAATCATCACACTCAAAACATCACTTGAGAAATATAGATAGATGGGAAGGATCAGCAGTCATGATGAACAGCAAATGAGCGAGCTGCACGAATTGCGCTTGCGATTCGACCCCACCTACTATACGACTCGCCTCGTCTAATCAGTCGCTCCTTCCGAGCACAAATAGAACATTCTTCCTCCACATTTGACCTCTCTACCTATATCTCACCTTCTCGACAAGCGATATGACTGACAAGCCAGACTTGCGAATCGCCATCATCGGTGCTGGTATGTCATCTCTCGAGCCACCGGTTCTTGCATCGTACTCACACCTGCAGGCATCACTGGTCTTGCAACAGCCATCGCTCTCCGGAAGCTGTCAAACGTAGACGTACAAATCTACGAGAGAGCTACCGAGCTTCGCGAACTCGGACAAGCTATAGCTCTAAATCCCAATGGCTTACGCACACTTGAGAAACTTGGTTTGGACAACATTTTGTCCGATGAGCTTGGCTACAGATGTCCGAGTGGTATTCCGCAGACACTCAGGTGTGTATCTGACCATCTTTATAGAAGGGCATACTAATGGTGTCTAGACACTGGCAAACAAACGAAGTAGTGGGACAAGAGAAGCACACTGCTCATGTCGAGGAGAAGCATAAGATGACTAGATTCTTTCGGCCTTACCTACAAGAAGCACTACTCGAGTATCTGCCACGAGACATCATCCACCTGAACAAGCGAGTTGTAGATGTCCAGATCAAGGGCGATAAAGGGGTGGATGTCGAGTTCGCAGATGCTACGACCATACACGCAGATCTCCTCGTGGGTGCAGATGGCATTCATTCATCTGTACGTGGGTTTTTCGTTCCAGACTTTGAGCTCAAATGGTCAGGGTTGATTGCCTATCGCTCTGCTTTCGATGTCAAACTACTAGACAACGTCAAAGATCTACCCGAAGATACGACTCAATGGGTACGAAAACCCTACTTCAACTTTGTATACCAATACTGATATTCTACAGTGGTCATCAAACAACGGCATCCTGACAACAAGAATGGGAAGAGGAAAATACGGCATCGTAGTCTTTCGCTCCGTCAACCCATCCACATCCTCCCATCTCCTGGACAGAAATCACTGGGATGACACAACCGATACCGCAATCCTCGGAGAGATGTTCGCAGAATACCACCCGGTTGTCAAGGACATAGTAGCAGTAGCACCACACATTCGCACCTACCCAAACTTCTACGGCGGCTTCTTAGACACCTATCACTTCGCTGGCAGAGTGGTATTGGTAGGCGACGCAGCACATTCACACGGAGGCGCGTTGGCTGCAAATGCCTCTCTGGGGATGGACGACGCGTATTGCCTCTACCTATCCTTCTTGGAGCAGATATCCCCAGCAGGCACACTGGAACTAGACTCCGAGAAATTGAAGCAGGTGTTGAGCCTATATGAGGCCGTACGACGACCGCATTGCGAGAGAGTGCTCAAGGTAGCGCATGCGATGTACGACGGCAACAATCAAAGGTTATGGGGCGGAGGCGAGGCAGAAACAGATGAACAACTCAGAGAGAAGTTGAGGACAAGGCCTTATGCCGAGTGGATACATGAGTATGATGTGGAGGCTGCGTTCAAGAAGACCCGGGATGATGTGCAAGTGGGGAAATTGTAGGAACCCCGCCTTCCACCTTGACATGTACTCCAATGCCCGTCTACGGCCTAAATTCCAACAGGAAAATCAAGCAATTCACCTTGATAGGTTGTATAGTAACATTGCTTTTGTCGTTAGAGAAACATGCATTTAGCCGAGCCCGGTGGGTAAAGGGACAAACCTGAACCTGATCCGTCTTATACGGTGCCTATTGCTCCTCTGCTCGTAGCAATAACTTCACTCTCTCCAGAACATGGATTTATTACGTATTCCTCACCTGCGTCAGACTGCTAATTCCAAGCAGTTGATCGTTGATGGCGAACCCTTCCTCATGCTCGCTGGAGAGCTCCAAAATTCTTCATTCAGCTCGCCAGAATATATGAAGGATGTCTGGTCCAAACTCATCACGATGAACATGAACACGGTATTAGGATCTGTCTCTTGGGAGCAAATTGAGCCAACCGAAGGTGCCTTTGACTTTACATCGCTAGACCAAGTTTTGCTCGACGCGAGGTTACATAATCTTCGTGTTGTGCTTTTATGGTTTGGGAGTTTCAAAAATGGTCAGCCTCCTGAATCAAACTTGCAAAACATCAAGTCTGACACAAAGTACAGGTCTTTCGACTTATGCACCGCCTTGGGTCAAACGAGATCCCAGGCGTTTCCCAAGAGTGAAGCTGCGGGATAAGGATGGCAGCCGTACTACTGCTGATATCCTGACGCTGTTTGGAACAGAAGCACAGAAAGCCGACGCCAAAGCGTTCAAGACACTCATGCAGCATCTCAGAGACATAGATGGTGAACATGCGACTGTAATCATGGTCCAGGTCGAGAACGAGGTTGGCGTCCTCGGCGATTCCAGAGACCGTAGCGATCTCGCAGAAGAACGCTTCGCTTCACCACTGCCAGTCGAACTTCATGACTTCCTAGCAAAGGACTGGTCCGGCTTTACGGATGCTTTCCAGCATAATCTCGGAGAACTTCGTCAATGTTCTCTCACAAGAGGGTTGACATGGGGCGACCTACCCGGCAACAGCAAGCGCATCGACGAACTGTTCATGGCCTTCCATTATGCGGTGTATCTGGAAGAAGTGGCCTCAGCAGGAAAATCAGTGTACCCTCTTCCTTTGTATACCAATGTTTGGCAGAACTACGCGGGTAGCGATGCCGACGCCAATACGCCAGCTATTGTAGGGGGCGGCTCAGATCCGGGTGACTATCCATCCGGTGGAGGAGTTGTAGATGTCCTGGATGTATGGCAGGCATTTGCTCCTTCGCTCGACTTCATTGCTCCGGATATCTACCTCAACAATTACTCGAGGTTGTGCAAGGAGTATCGTCATAATAACCAACCCCTCTTCATCCCCGAGCAACGTCGTGATGAGTATGGTGCTCTGAGGATATGGGCCGCTATCGGTTCGTACGGATGTTTGGGCTGTTCGCCGTTTGGCATTGATACCGTGGATCCAGCGCAGAGTCCCTTCAGAAAGCACTATGGTTTGTTGGCAAAGACTTCTCACCTTGTGCTTTCGGCTCAAGCCAAGGGGAATGCCAGCATTGGTTTTTTCTTCGACGAATTATCACCAGATGGCAAGGATCAAACGCCGAAAGTACAAGCCACATTTGGCGACTGGAATCTTCAGATAGAAAGATCGTTTGTGTTCGGACGTCCATCAGTCGGCTCAGGGATGGTGATTCACCTCGAGAACGACCAGTTTCTTCTTTTGGGCTGGGGCTTCCAGGTGAACTTTAAGCACAACAGCTCAGATGCTCATTTCAGCGGGATACTCAAATTTGAAGAGATTGATGTCGATGGCGGGAGCAAGGAACTCAGAACCGTTCGTTTGCTGAATGGGGATGAGACGCGAAGTGGGCTGTTCGCCATCATGCCGAGCGACGATCCTGATTATGGAGGCTTTCCTATCAGTGTCACCATTCCCGCCCGTACTGGTATTGCTGTATGTCAGCCTTATGCACTTTTTGACGAATAGGCATGAGTGATAGTGGAAGAGGAAGTCTGGTTCGTGATTGCTCCCTGGATAAATTCCGGCTAATTTCCCCCGGTCACAAATTCAATCTTGGAACAGCCGCCAGCAACAACCTGATATTGTGGTAGCGGGTTTTGGTGCGAGTTTCCATGTTTATGAACGATTATGCACCTTGCATCGAATTATCTTTACCCTTGTCTCGTGTGCAGCTAGTTGTGCAATCGACGGAGAAGGATTCCGCTGGTATAAGAGGGAGCAACTTATCTCGTGCCCCTCATTGTGTCATAACTCGCAAGGCGGAGCAGATGATCGGCATGGCTGTGCGATAACAACATTGCCAACAATGTGCAGCAACTCTCACTCTTACCTTTCTAGTTGCTGAGCTCTCCTCGTCTCATCCCTTACACTGAACAATCACCTCTGACAAAGAAGACAAAATGACGGAAGCCAACAAAAAAGTCTTCCTTATTGGTCCCGGATATATTGGCCTCGAAGTCCTGGATCGACTACTGGAGAAAGAATACGATGTCACAACATTGGTCCGTCGTGAAGAGGCCGCCGAAGAGCTGAAGCAAGAGAACGTCAAGGTGGTGATGGGCACAATCGACGACTCTGAGCTCATCACCAAGCAAACCGCAGCCAGCGACATCGTAATCCACACAGCGACGGCCGACCACCTACCCTCTGTTCAAGCCGTGATCAAGGGCATTGAGCAACGAGCCGAGGAAGACAAACATACCTACTACATTCATACCAGCGGTTGCAGCTTCTTGAGCGATGACTCGCATGGCGAAGATGGGAGCGACACAATCTACAAGGATACCGACCCTGCAGCTCTTGACGCACGACCAGAGACGTCCTCCCATCGCGAAATCGATCTCGCCATCCTCGATGCACGGAATAGACTTGGATTGAAGGCGAAGCTCTTCATCATGCTTCCTCCTTTGATCTATGGCGCTTCGACACATGGAAAACTGTCGATACAAGTCATGACCATGGCCCGTTTCGCCCTCAAGCACAAATACGCCGGATATGTAGGAGGCGGCAAGGGCATCTGGGGTCTTGTCCATGTCAAAGACCTCTCGTATGGATACGCGACGATACTTCAATGGCTAGAAGCTTCCCCGGACGAAGTTTCGTTGGAGAATCCATACTTCTTCTGCGAAAATGGCGAGGAAGCCACATGGGCAGAGTGTGCAGCATTCATCGGCAAGGAGCTCAAAGCTGCTGGGAAGATTGAGGATGAAGCACCGAGGCAAATACCAGAAGAGCAGTATGGAGATTTGTTTGGCAAGTACAGTGATGTTGTCATAGCGTCGAATGCGAGGAACAGAGCGGAGCGATTGAGACAGTTGGGTTGGCGCCCAGAGCACACGGACATCGGTAAGGCGTTTAGAGACGAGGAGTTGCCGGTTTTGCTCAAAGAGACGGGCGAGTTCAGTGGTTATGGAAAAGCCGCCGCGTCAGGATCAGGCTGATACAGTGGAATTATTTCGAGAATTATTAATCAGTGTCGCTGCCCTTGTTCCTTTGACAACTCTCGTAAGCTCTATCTTTTACATGTGATCCCTCTAGCCATCTTGAGCATGAGTTAAACCCCTATGGCCTGGTTTCATGCATTGTGGGCGACACGGCGGGCCGAGAGGCTTTCGAGAAGGAGCGGGCCAGCAACACTGCTTCTCGAAAGAGTTGTAGTGTAGATAGTCAACAAGACATAGATATGTCCATTTGCTCTACGGTCAGAGTATTTAGCAGTCTCTCTAAGCCCTGATTTACCACACAACGGAGAAGGATAAGGAGTAACCATGTACCCAGAAGATGGTTGGGCCAACAAGCTCAAGCACGAAAGGCAGGTGGACGCGCTCAAGAAGGCTTAGAGTTCGTCGCACGGACACGACGGACTTTGCGGCCGAAAGTTTGAAGAGTCTAGAAGGACTAAAAGACAAAGGCGTTCAGGGCAACTGGCAGGGATGCAAGCAAAAGCAGACTGAGTGGAACCAATCACGTTTGGAGCGGGGCAGAGAAGTTTGAAGGGGATTGAAGAGGGCTGGGGCCGTGGCCAAGGGTCCGCACGTCTTTGAGCAGAAGTTATAGCGCACCTGTGTCCGCAGCGCCTCTGGCCTCTGTGTTTTGCTTGAGCAGCTTCCAGGTTGGGCATACCATGTCGATCGGACCTCTTCTCGTCGCTCTCGCACAGAACGGCGTGCTTCGCCTGGGCTGCGAGTTCGCCTCGGTCTCGCTGATCGACGAAGGCTTCACACAAACCATTGTCGCTGAAGCCACGCCCTCGACGTCGCTATTCGATTCCACCCACCATGTACTGGACAGAGGAGATGGAACAAGCTCGCCCTCGATTGCCGTCTTCAATGACCGCACTGCCGAGCACGCCGTCCAGACGCACGACCTTGTCGCCAACACGACGAGACGCGTTGTAAGAGACATGCGCTCCCTCGGCCCATACAACCAACTCAGCCATGTCCTCGGTCCTCCATACATGGTCTCCCTCGTAGAAGTCCCCATCAGGAACGCTTCTGGCCAGCTCCTGGGCACCTATGCCATCATGGACAACAAGACCCGGCCAGACTTCTTTCTCGACGAAACCATGCAGTCCCTGACAGACATCACCGCCGCCATCGCCGACCTTCTGCAACTCACCACTCCCGCCGCACTCGCCGACCTCCTGCAACTTCACACACCTGATGCGCATTGCACCACAGGACAGATCACCCGCACCCTACACTCTTCAGACTCGTCTCTGACTGAGCCGTCGCGCCCTGGATCTGGGACACCACAGGGCCACCCTCCCCTGACTCCCAATTCTGAAGTCGACGACTTTGCTTTCCCTGCAACCACTCCGAGCAGCTGCTCCTCTGCCTCTGATCCAGGTGTGGAAGGAGTCAAGTCGGATTTTATATCCTCCATCAGCCACGAGTAAGCTCCTCGAAAGCCACGCTCCACCTACCACATGCTAACCAACTATCCGCTCAGATTACGTTCTCCCCTGCATGGTTGTCTAGCAGCAGTCGAGTTTTTGCAAGATACTACGCTTGACGATACACAAGCCGAACTCATCGGGATGATCCAGTCCTGCGCTTCGACTCTCCTTGACACTCTGAACCATCTTCTTGACTTTTCGAAGGTGAATGAACATAAAAGCCCAAATCTTCGTCTTGGAAAACACCCCAAAACCCACCGCCCAAAGCATACGCAAAACACCTTTGGTTCGAGCACCGATGCCTATCTTTGTACTATTGTACAAGACGTGATCGAAGTAAGTACATTCAACCTCCAGTTCATGAAATGCCTTGTGCTAATATCCTTCTTCTTGTTCAGGGCGTGCATTTTGGTCAATCTTCGCAGCAGGCGGCTTACATAAAGGCCAAAGCGACGCCTATTGACAACCTCGCATTCTCCACTCATACTGATCTCATGCTTGACGACACTGGTGACGAAGGATCTATCCTGTCCGTAAAGGCCGCTGGTGCTGTGGCAGTTTACCTCGACATCCAGAATCATGCAGGCTGGTGTACGACGCTTCCTGCCGGTGCATGGAAACGCTTGGTGATGAATCTCTTCGCCAATGCGCTCAAGTTCACATCCGAGGGTTTCATCGAAATCTCGATGAAGCTGGTTGAAGATGAGGTTTCGAAGCAAAGCATGGTCCATCTCATGATTTATGACACTGGTTGCGGGATGGGTGAAGAGTACATGAGAAATCACTTGTACCAACCGTTCATCCAAGAAAATCAGCTTGTAAGCGGCGTCGGGTTGGGATTAAGCATAGTCAAGCAAATCGTCGATGACTTGAGTGGCACAATCAGTGTCGAGAGCAAACCAGGATTCGGCACCATGTTTGATATCATGGTGCCGCTTTGTGAGCAAGACGCGCAGTGTTGGGGCAAGATTCCTTCCGGAGGAGAGATTTTGGACCCTAATGCGGTTTTGAAGGATCTAACTGTCTGCTTGCTCTGGCCCATGGACTTGCAGCCCCCTCACACGGATCTATACTCTCGACGAGTATCGGTCATGCATTCATACGTACGATCTATTGCGGAAGGATGGTTTGGTATGAAAGTCGTCACAGCATCGGCGACTGCCCAGGTCGAAGCAGACATCTACATCGCTGAAGCTTTACACTTTTCCGAGGAGGACACCAAATACTTGAAACGCAGCAGACGTCCTACGATATTGGTCGGCCCTTTACCAGCTGCAAAGACACGCAACAACAATTCCCAAAATGACACCATAAGGCTAGCCTATCCTCTCGGACCAAAGTCGCTCGGCCGCGCATTGTTCGCTGCTCTTGAGAATCCCGTCGATACGGGTCATCCTCATGAGGCCATTGATCTAGAACCATTGAGCGCACCCGAAGCGAAGCTTACGCAGGATTTACAGAGTTTAAAGATACAGCAACCAGTCACAACAACGACCAGAGCAGAGCAAACTCAAGTCACAGACATTGCCAAGACAGAACATGTTCTGCTTGTAGATGACAACGCGATCAACCTCAAACTCCTTGCAGCCTACGTCAAAAAGCTCGGCATAAGCGCGGAGCTAGCAATAGACGGCAAAGACGCCTTCGACAAATATCAAGCCGCAGCACGGCGGAAACCGTTCACCACCATCCTCATGGATATCTCAATGCCGATCATGAACGGTTTCGAATCCACACGCGCCATAAGAGGATACGAAGCGGCACAATCTATCTCATCACCTGCCAGGATCATCGCTTTGACCGGACTCGGCTCAGACGCTTCGAAATTAGAGGCCGAGTCAAGCGGTATGGACGATTTCCGCACGAAACCTGTGGCACTGAAAACACTCAAAATCTTGTTGAACGCCTGAGAGCGGGACTCTCGGCCTTTTCTTCTCTTTCCCTTTGTCACGCCCTTTTTTTTTAGCGATTTGTTTTTCCTGATCTCATCCAAGCATCTACAGCATTTACAGGGCGTTTTTGGAGGGTCGGTCTTCAGGAGCATATGGTCAGGTCAAATATCCAGGAAGGGCATTTATGCATGCGTGCGCTACACGCAGCCACTTTTTCTATCAAAGAAGTCATTGAAAGTACCCACATTCCACTTTGCCTGTCATTTCTCCTCTTGCGTCCCGTGACTACCTGACCATCTGTCGTGCAGGATCATATTCCAAATCAATTGCTTGACCAGCACATACGGCCACAGTCAGCTGAAAACTGGGCATCCCGTCCGCTCTGCCATACATAAGCAGTTGAACGGCAGATTAGTACTACGGTGGGTGACCACGTGGGAATCCCTGCTGCTGTATGTTTTGAATCTTGTTTTGTCACCTTGATATCCCTCTCTCTTTTTTTTTTCGTTGGCTCGTCGGCCGCAGAGAACACATCGTTGCTCGTACCGTGTGTGTTGATGATTAATTTGTTGAATTCGAGGGTTTTGGGGCAACCGCTCGCCTTGGGTGAGTCTAGAAGTATTGTGTATTCTGCTGATTACATTTCTACGAGTCTCTGGACTGGGGGAGACGGTGCGGAAACAAACGTTGAGCATAATGGGAGCTAAGATTGTGGTAGGTGGGTTTGATAGACATTTCCGATCTGGTCGACCTTCCATATTTTCAGCTAGTTGACTTCTTCTTGGTCGGTACGGTCGTGACTTCCTTTCAATCTCCTTTCTATTGCTGAAAAAATCTGCATCAATTGTCTCTTTCTGCCGGAAGTCGCTAGGATTCAGAGGATGAAAGATGGCTGCGTCTACACGCAGTCCAGGCATCTGACATGAGAGTATCTGATTCAGTGCACTCGAAGACCTGATGACCGGCTTTGTTCAAGTCGTAGTCTCGAAGGTGACTTTGCTACGGTGACGGAACCCGACCATCAATGGCTTCTTGTCCCAGACGACGTGGACCTCCTGCTTGAGCCAATCTCGAGGCACGCCGTCGGCTTCAAGGTCAAAGTTCCAAAGGAGGTGGGCGATGATGAGGCGCATTTCATGATATGCAAGGCTGTATCGATCATCAATATCAGGGGGAGCAGTCCATGAGAGTTGAATAAGAGAACTTACTTCATGCCGATGCAGTTTCTGGGTCCTGTGGAGAAGGGGTTCATTGCTGATTTCTTGTCTGCGGCGAAGCGTGGGTCGTGGCCGTCGATACCTTCGGCTAGCCAACGCTCTGGGATGAAGGAGTCGGGTTCGACGAAATTATACTCGGAGTGGTAGGCGGCATAGTGAGGCACACTCACGCCAACCTAGGAGAAGTCGTCGTCAGTCTCATGGTCACCTGAGATGCCGTAGGGAGATGATGAAACTCACATTTGGAGGGATCCACTGGCCACAGATTTCGGTTGCAGTGCCAGGTTTTGTCTTGCGACGAACGCCTTCGGCGACAGAGGGGTACGTTCTCAGGCCCTCCTCGATGCAAGCGGTCAGATACTATCCTCTTGTCAGCGTTCATCAGATGATTGCGTGGTTGGTATCGCCTTACCGGAAGACGGGGCAGCTCATCAATAGTGATGTCGTCTTCACTAGCGAATCTCTCGCGGATCTCTGCAGTCAGTCGTTTCATCGGGCCAGGGTTGCGGAGTAAGTTGTAGGTCAAGCCAGACAGCATGGTCGCTGTAGTCTCTGTGCCAGCAATCATGAGCAAATCGGCATTCGAGTACATCATCTGGCGTGACATGTTAGCGCCATCTTTGTGCTTGAGCACTAGACCAAAGATGTCTGGTCGATCGGTGTCCATAGCCAATCTCTTGTCCACACGGTCAGATGAATGTTTGAACGACGCATTCGCAGCATCGGTGAGAGACTTGGGCATGAATTTCTGCACAACCATCCAGAGAAGTGGGAAATATTGAATAGTACGAGATGAGCAAGCGAGGAAGATTTGGTCGAAGATGCCTTGCAGCCAGGGCGTGTACTCTTGTTTTTCGAGCAGTCCTAGAGATTCTCCCTTTGGCACAATTAGCGTAATTTTTCATACAAGGGATCTGGAGGTGTGGTACAAAGCACAAATCCGCAATCACATCAAACCTGGTTATATGTCAGTCAGTGTCTAAACACATGGACACGCCTTCACTAGAGTCACTGACGTAGTAAAGTTGTAGAATTTGACCAAGTCAACCTTCTCGCCATTCTTCTGCTTCTCCTTCAAGGCCTCGACCAATTTTCGCACATAGTGATTCAACATGTCGTTCTGGTCTCTAAGAGCACGAGCCGAGAATGCGGGCAAGAACATCTTTCGCATGCGGTGATGGTCCTCATCGTTTGCCAAGATGAGGCTGTTCTTGGTGTCTGGAGCAAAGGGATAGAAAGTCGGGTCCTTTGGATTGTTGTTCTTGTGTCCGTAGATGTCCTTCCATGCTTGTTGATCTATAAAACTGAGTTCATTGGGAGCGATGCGAACGATCGGTCCGTAGCGTTTGTGCATATCCAATACCACAAATGGTTCACGGCCGCTGATATATAGCCATAGGCGTGGGAATGGCGTAGAAGTGTAGAGCCATGATCCTGGGTACTTGCTGACAGGATTGATGTAAAGGTTGTAGAAGACGATACTGGTGCTGTACAGGACGACGCCTGTGAGGAGGTAGCCAGCCGCCTTGGTGATTTGCTCCGAGAACATGGTCGAGATGGAACAGAAAGAACTGTCTGCCTGCTCTGAATCAATGGGGGTTCAGCCTGCTTTATACAAGGGCCTCGTCGTCACTGTGCGAGACTATCGCATGCAATGATTTCATGGGGGGGTTGACCCGTCTACAATGATCCACATTCACATGCCATGCTTGCCCATGGTCTGATCGAGTAGGGCATATGCCTTCTATTGATCGCTTTTGCCTTCCAAATGGCAGAACAAGATCGACTGCACGACTACCGAGTTGCATGATGAATCCTCGCAACGTCAGTGCTTCCATTTCAAGCCAGTCGGTCGGCTGTGAATGTTGACATTTAGCTGGTCAAGGCAAACAAGCGGTGTTGAGGACATTGCTTAGATCGTGACTAGACAGTACAGCTCAGGTTTTGGATCCAGATTCATATTCTTCGTAAAACTTGATCCGAGGCACTCTCCCATGCATGCTTTATCCTGTTTCCTGGTTGTCAAGGCTGGTCGTGCAACCGTGCATAGGGCCTGTTGTACAAAGAAAGCTCCAGGGATTGGACATTCAACATATCACTACGTACTAGACACACAAGATGGTAAGCAGTGAAACCTGGAACTCCAACGGATTGCAACTGCGCCACAGATGTTCGTAGGAAAATTGTGGTTTCAACTGCAGGTGAGGCGCTCGGCTGCTGGCCGAGGGGCCATCCGGCTCGGCATCTCTCTCTTTCCGTTCCGAGCAATTTGACAACGCGTTCGATGCGATATCAGACTTGCATGTGAAGACGATGTTGAAACCATTTGCTTCACGTTAAGACCAGTGTTTTCCTGTCAATCAATTTTTCGATTTTGTGTCGAGTTTTCGCTGGGTCTGCCACCCATGACTCAAATGCTCCAATGATTTGGGTTCAAGCATCTATTCAAGCTTCTATCAGCGACTGGAATAACGGAGGTTCAGAGTAGGCTTTTTTGCTCGACCAATCTATCTTTCTTGTACTTTTCAAAATCGAAACCTAGTTCTTCCAACGAAGTGACTTGGTGTCTGCCCTCGCCTCGGTCCTGGAAGGCTTTTTTGATCTCGGGAAATTTCTCACGCATCCAGTATTCTTTCTCGCCCCAATGTGGCGGCCGCTTGCCCTTGGTATCTGCATGAGGAGCTGACATTGACCAATCATACATTTCGTTAATGTAATTGGCATCTTTGGGGAACTTGAGCAGGTGGAAATCTCTACCACCCCCGTTCGTCTCTTTCAGGAGATTGTCTTCCCAAGCTTTCATGTCTTCTTCCGAGGGTAACGATATGCGGTTGTTCCACAGGCGGGCAATAACAGCGCTCTGTGCTTCGGACATGGGGAAGGGTATGACTCGCTGTTGCAATACAGGGAAACAGAGGGTGGGGTGCTGGCGATAGACCATGTGTTGATACAGATTCTCGACGTGGGTGCCACTGGTGACGAGCGGTGGACTCAGGTTGTTGAGGAAGGGGAAGGAGTAGAAGTATCCAGTGCAAAAGAGGATCGAGTCGATGTTTTTCTCGATGGAGTCATCAGCAAAGCGCACAGCCTTGTCTTGAACGATGAATTCGACTATTTCGGGACGCTCTTGCTTCTTCGGTGAGGGGTCGGAGAGGAGGAAGGATTCGGATTTCTGGGACTGAATCAGGGGATGTCTGCAGGCCGTCATGACCTGCATGGCGATATCGATGCCTGAAGCGCCATTGCCGACGATGACTGTCTTGAGGTCTTTGTAGTCTTCGGGCTTCTGGTAGTACATGGAATGCGACACAGCACCAGGGTACTTCTCGGCCCACTCCTTCATGCCCTTGATTTGAGGGATGAAAGGGACGGCAAAGTGACCGTTGGCGACGACGACAGCATCGTATGTTTGTACCTTTGCATCTTCCTTCATGTTGTGTTGGACCTTTTGGGTCTTGACAGACCATGTCTCTTGTCCATCCTCTTTCGTAGCTGCCAGGCTAATATCGAGGACTTGGGTGTTGAAGTGGATGAGGTGCTTGACATCAGCGGCGTAGTCTTCGAGGTACTTGGTGACAGTCTCGTGCTTGGGAAAGAGTTGTGAATCTTCAGGCCAGTCGAAGTCGGAGTAGCCCATCAACCTGTGGCAGGCGTCAGTCCAATGGAGCCTTCAGGCAGAGCTTCGGGTGAGGTGACTGACGTGCGTGGGATGTTCGTCTCAAGACGATCATAGAGCGGGCTAAGGAACAGAGAGTCCTCTTCGACGCGACCTCCCAAGGCCTTTCTGGTGCCCGATTGCAGCCATTTGGGTTTGGCGAGGCCGGCGTGTGGTGTCACGGATGGCACAGGAAGGTCGTCGGGCGTCTTTTGTTCGGGCGAGTAGTCCCATACACCGCCTACTCGGGATCGCTGTTCATAAACATCGATGCGCTCAAACGCCTTCTCGGCAAGCAAGTATCTGCCAACATCAGCTTTGTTGCTTGGACCTAGACGAGCAAGAGGAAGGCGCGACTCGCGTTGCGGACTCACTTGGCTGCTGCAACTCCCGACGGTCCCGCTCCCACGATGCAAACATTCTTGACTGAGAACTTACGACCCATCGCGCCTGCACTTCGTCCCACAAACATACAATCAATATTGCTTCGTGAGATCAACCGCTCGGCGCTGACTTTACTGTGACCATATATCTTCACCTTCGTCGCGTCATGGACGATGGCGTCAACACTCGACTGACTAAGGTCACCTTATTCCTCTGCCTATCTTGACCGGCCCGAATCGTGGCTGATTGCTTTCTGCGCCTAACATGCACAACATCACGCAGTATCAAACGAGTCAGCTGAAGAGAAATCTTGGTTTTCATTAATCATAAAGGGTATCGTAAAAGTGTGTCATCGCAGAATCCCAATCGCCTATGCGCCAGCGCTGTTGAAACAATCAAATCGCCAAACCACTCTCAATCATCGAACCATGCTGCCGATTCGGTCAAATCCAGCCATCTTCATAACCCACTCGTCGAGCAACGCTGCTCCATAGTCTCCTCGGTTGGGCAGACGCTGCGTCGCGTGGATTTGGTATTGTCTGCTCGATGCTCCGGGCACCATGATACCGTCTTGGTGATCGAGTTCGTCCATGACCACAGGACTGTGGATGCGGAAGTAGAAAGGCGCATCGATATGGACAGGGCCGAGCCAGGAGAAGTATGTCTCGTCGAGGTGCTTCTCAACACGCTGCATAAACAGTTCCAGCGAGTCTTGTGGTAATACTTGGTTAAACGAGCACACGATGTCCAGGAGCGCCCTTCGTTGCTCGTAGCTGAGGTCGGCTGCGCAGATGCCTTCGTAAGGCACGATCCTGTTATCTTGCTGTGCTCCACCAAGGCTGCGGTAGTCCATCGGGTCGAAAAGATCCTGATCTGCGCTGAAGTCCTCAATTTCACCAAGGAGACTGGCTTCGCGTTGTTGTTCGGGGTTGAGGGAGGCCATCAAAGCGAGTCCGGCTGCCTCCTCCCTCTCGAACACATGTACACCTTCTACCAGACCTTGCTCGGTAAAGCTGGGGCCTGCACTAACGAAGAATGGCCCAATCACCACTTCTCCGCTGAGAGTGAAGACATTGACGCACACGTTGTCGCCGAAAAGGTTGAACCCCCAAGGTGAATATGGACCAGGCTCGCCAAACAAGCAGAATTGGTAGCCAGCGATGCGGTGCAAGTCTTCCGAGTTTTCAGAGTTGCTCATCATCATCGCCACCCACACCTTCTCGAAGCCTTCAGGACTCAGTGATGCTCTAAGTAGCTCGTACACTGCATTCATCGTGTCTGTGCTCATGGCATCAACGCGAAGGCCGCACTCCATGACAAGAACCTGTTTCCAGTTAGTCGGGTTATATCAGCCGCAGCTTGCATGCTAACACGAACCTCGGGGTTTGACCAGGCACGCCATTCTCTAGCAGTGACGAGGTGACGGAACCGAGCCTTTTCATTTGCCGATGCTACTGAAAGCAAGTATTGAGCTGCATCCACCATCGCGTGGGTAGGTCCATTGGCATTGGGGTTTGATTTCCAGAGACCGGGGACAATGTTCCCATCCGAGGTGAAGCCTTTGTAGGGCTCTCTGTAATTCCTGAGCCATTTTTTGGCCAAAGGTGAGAGTGAGATACGCCTATCCCGGATATGAGCCTGGGCGTAATCCTGGTAGTCTTGCAGCTTGGGTGCTGCCGCTGTGTGGAAGTAATCCGGGGAGAACATTGTGATCTTTGACTGAAAGATGGATTGTTCGGTTTCCAAATGGTCGCGACTTCTCTCTATCAAGCGGATGGGCGAGCAACCCAACTAAATACAAACGACCTCACGGCGCTGCTGCGGACGAATTCGCGAGCACAGGGACCCATCGGGACGGCGGATTGTCTTGCCCTCGTTATTCCTCCTCTGTCACTCTTTAACCGGCGGCGCTTTTAATTCCAATGTGGAGGAGGGTAAGGTCTCACAGGGCCGACCATGGCGGAAAAGGCCCAGGTCGGGCCGATAAACAGACGTAATGAATCTCGCGCTACTCCACTGGGTCAGCGACGGGTAGCGCCAAACTTCCCACAATTCCAGATGCTCTTCCCCGCTGTGGCTCGACGGCTTTCTGGGCAGCGTGGGGTTTTGGCAGTGGGGATCGGTAAGTCTTCACGGAGCTGCTGCTTATGGATGGGCATCTAGGGCAGACGACAACGTGGAGAGCTGCTTGATTCTGTTGTACTTAAACAAATCTGACTGCCCTCATCTCCTCCACGAACATCCAAATTATCATCATCACCATGCCTTCCGCGACCTCTTCATCCTTGGACATCGTTGTAATCGGAGCTGGACTTGGTGGCTTGGCTGCCGCTATCTCCTGTGCTCTCGGCGGCCACAACGTAACAGTATTGGAACAAGCAAGAGAACTGGCAGAAGTACGCGCTCCTTTCACATGCGGTCCCGGCGGAAGACACCTTTACTGACCGGCAATTCAGATCGGTGCAGGGTTGCAAATCACACCAAAGTAAGCCAGAAGATCCGGGCTCACCCGTCTTCAATAGCCGAGGGCAGGAAGAAATGAACTGGTTCCTGACAAGCATCACAGCGCGTCGAGACTATTCCAACAATGGGGGATTGATAAGGTTCTCGAACCGTTGGCGGCCGAACCGACCTTCCTCGCGGTGCACAGATATTCCGATGGAAAAGTACTTGCCTTGCAGCAAGATTTCGACAAGAAAATAAGAGCCAAATACGGAGCACCCTTTTGGGACCTGCACCGTGTGGACCTGCAAAGGGCACTTGCACAGCGAGCAAAGGACCTTGGTGTAAAGCTGAGGCTGAACAGCAAGGTGACCAGCGTGGATTTTGACAAGTCGACATTACATTTGGATGATGGAACCACATACGAAGCAGATCTTCTGGTTGGAGCTGATGGCTTGTGGTCAAAGTGCAGAGCGCATTTCTTGAAACAGTCGGGTAAAGAAGATGCACCTCTACCGACTGGAGACCTCGCCTACCGAATTGTACTTGACTTGGACGACCTCGAAGATCCTGAGCTCCGCGAGATGGTGTCCAAGCCGGCGTGCCACTTCTGGATTGGACCAGGAGCCCACGTCGTCGCATACTCGGTCCGTGGTGGTAAGCAGTACAACATTGTCCTTCTTGTACCCGACAATCTTCCTCCGGATGTTTCGAGATCTTCCGGAGACATTAGTGAGATGAGAGAGATCTTCACAAAATGGGACCCAATTCTGAATCGCTTCTTGGACAATGTCAAGACAGTAGACAAATGGAAGCTCATGCACCGACCAGAACTGGACAGCTGGGTCAGCAAGAAGAGCAACTTCGTCTTCCTCGGAGACTCATGGTAAGCTGAAAGCATTGCACCTTTTTACATGCCCTTCCAGTACTGACAAGGTCCAGTCATCCCATGCTTCCCTACCTGGCCCAAGGTGCCAACTCCTCGTTGGAAGACGGTGCGGTGCTTGGAAATCTGCTGGCCGTGGTTAAGAGCAAGGAACAGCTGCCCGAGGCACTACGCCTGTATGAGAACCTGAGAAAGAAGCGAGGTGAAGCTATCGTTCGAGAAACCTTTGCTCAGAGAAACGACTTCCACATGGAGGATGGAGAAGAGCAACAAACGCGTGATAAGCTGTTCGCTGGTCAGCTTGGCAAATCAGAGCCTGAAGTCAAGTTCCCAAGTCGTTGGTGAGTGGGAATACTATGTGACGGCGTCCGTGCGAAAACATCTGCTGACATTCGTAGGACCTGCCCGGTGGTACAGCCATGGCTTTACGGCTACGACGCGCAGAAAGAGGTAAACGACGCGTTGAAGGGTTCGTCACTCGCGCAATAATTCGGTGATGGTATAAACCAAGCGACGGTTTGGATGGGACATCGTACCATCCTCTCGCGTTCAGTACTCGTACCTACCTCGACGATGTCATATCCCACAACGTCAGTGGTGTTGAGTTCGGCAATACAGGCCATGTATTTCCCCGTGGGTCATGACTTTTCGGCATGAGAAACAGACGGAGAGACCGTCGGCGTCAATTGGCATGTAACGTTGCTTTTCAATTCGGTCCTGCTGGCGGTTATATTCAAGTCGAGCATTTAGCCTGTATATGCATGAAGAAGTTCGCGACAGAAAAAGCCCGAGAAAGAAACAGGCGTCAAGTCGGTCCTTCTCTTCTTCTCCACGAATCTCCCCAGTCGCGCCGAAGGAATGTCACTGATGACCCCACATCTTCGAGAAACGGAAGGTGGGCGACGAAGGTGGCTTCCTCGTCCTTGCTTGTTTGCGAGCCACCGTCATGCCTTTTGCGATAAGATTTCTTCCACGTGTGAGCTTTGCAGCTTGTTTCCTACTCAAATTTCGACATCGGTCTCGCCCGTCAGAAGCCCGGTGGGTGGGATTCTCATCATCCTTTCCGCGCGCTCGGTTTCGCTCGGTCCCGCACGACTCCTTGCCCTTCTATCTTTCGGAGCAACACCTCCGAGCACAAACGACACACAGGGTCTCATCTCGGTTCAACTCGTTGCAAACCACAGTGCCACCTTCACGTGCTTCTTCATCGGCGCCTTCTCGCCCGAGCCATGTGCCAGAGCCTCGGGCTCGCCGTCTATCCGATTCCGCACTTTGTGGCTGCCCTCGATTAGGGCAGGACCTCTCCACGCTTCTCCACACTTCCCACCACAGCCTCCTGACTCCTGAGAGGACTTGCGTACGCTGATAGATATATCTTCCACCTTACTGGCCCGGACGACTGCGGGGTCCCCATTGTCCGACGTAGCTATTGCTATGGACTGCAGATCTTCGTGGGGATGTTGCAACGACGACAAAGCCCTACCTGCCGACCTCAGATAGTAAAGGATTTGCAGAGATAGGTAGGTATTGTAGGAACATGATTGACGCACTGTACGTGTGTAGTGGGTCGCGCATTACGACCACCCTATAGCACCGGCCTTGCCCATGTTGAGGGGTTTCAAGTCCTTCTGTGTCTATCACTCTTCCTAGAAGTCGGAGATTCTACACCTTCTTTGATCTTTACATTCCAGCTTACTTCATCCAAAAGTCATGGCGGACAAGCCGGAAGAGAGCAGAATCGATGATGTTGAGGATCTGAAGCCTACCGGAGACGCAGGCACTATCCGTTTGCCAGTACCGAGTAACGACCCAAACGATCCTCTAGTAAGTTGTTCTTGTCAGGCCAGACTGGTGCAGCATACTGACGATTGTCTATAGAATTGGCCTGTATCTACAAAGATCTCAGTCTATCTCACAGTGTGCTTCTTCACGTTCATCGCCAACGTAAACGGCAGCAACTTCACGGTCGCAATCGTGCCATTACGAAAGCACTTCCACATCGATGCCACGGATGCCACTCTCCTCGTAGGACTCAACGTCCTCATGTTCGGTGTCGGAAATGTTGTCTGGGTACCTCTCATGCGAGTGCTTGGAAAACGACCAGTCTACCTGATGGCTCTGACGGTCCTCACCGTGGCCAATATCTGGAGCGCATTTGCACAGACGTGGGGCAGTCTCTTGGGTGGACGTATGCTCAGCGGTGTCGGTGCAGCGTGTGCTGATGCTACAGTGCCCTCACTCGTGGCCGAGATGTTCTACTTTGATCAACGTGGTCACTGTATGATGTTCTTTCACGTGGCTTTGGCCTCTGGTCTTTTCTTGGGCCCCCTAATCAATGCTTACATTGTCGGAGCTTACGGTTGGCGCTGGAGTTGTGGTTTCATCGCCATCTTTTCTGGAGTACTTCTCGTTTGTACCTTCCTCCTTGTGCGAGAGACACAATACACCAGGCCTCGAATTCAACACCCTGAGGAAGAAGTCCCAGCAAAGAGGAGCTTCGTCGGCTGGCTGTCACCTACCGTGGGCTACAACTCTCAAGGACACTTCCTACGCACCTTCTGGGATATCTTGCGCATGGCAACCTATCCGCCAGTCTGTTGGGCTGGTATACTCATCGGATGTTTCGTCGGCTGGACCATCGTGATTCAGATCGCAACAACACAAACCTTCACAAAGTCGCCATACAACTGGACCACGGGTACTATCGGTCTGTTTTCCCTATCCGCTTTCATCGGCGCTCTGCTATCCTTCTACTTCGGCGGCCGCCTCATCGATCTGATCGCCACCCGTGCACGCCAACGCGCTTCCCACCCTCGTCCTGAGATCCGTCTCGTCGCTCTGATCATCCCCGCCATCATCGGTCCGCTGGGAGTCATAACATACGGCCAATGCGTCGCGCACAAAACAACATGGGTGGGCCCAGCATTCGGCTTCGGCATGCACGCATTCGCCCTCACAGCACTCAGCAACGTCGTCGTTACCTACGTGGTAGACTGCTACCAAGCTTTCGCCGGTGAAGCCTTGGTCATCGTCTTTGTGATCCGTAATGTTATCGCTTGCGTGCTGAGTATGTACTCCAGCGACTGGATCGCCGAGCAAGGAGCTTCCATTGTATTTGGCGAGATGGCGGCAATACAGTATTTCCTGTTGCTGTTTGCCGTACCGCTATATTTCTGTGGTCCTGCATTGTTGAAGTTTACGAGCGGCTATGGACCTATGCGTAGGATTGGATAGGCAAGTAGATACACATGTTCCTATCTTTAACCATGAAGAAGTCCTTTTTCCAAGACAGTAACGACTCATATATGACCAATAATCTTCCATTGCAAGCGGCCAAATTGGACTCCTTATATTTTCGGCTCTTTTCATTGTGTTACCATGTACATCTCACACAGTATGCATAGAGGATGTGATCTAAAACACAAAATCTCACAACAAGACGAAAGAAACGAAGAAAAAAAGAGAAAAAAAGTACGCGAGATGTGAAAAGTGATGGAAAAAGCCACCGCAACGAAACACGAATTGTCACATCAGCCGATTGCATGCTCTCATACGTAGTACCACTTGGTTTTTTCATGTTCGAACTCTGGTCCAGGCCAGAGCTTTCTTTCACAGACCAATGTGTATACGTCAATTTTTCTGAACAAGCCGAATCCAAAAGTGGTTTTGGTCGATATCTCTGTTGACGGGACATGAGTGCTCACAACCAGGGATAACACCGGATAAGTGTCTGTAGTAGCATATGATGGCATGTTAAGAAGAAGACAAAAAATGTACGGTTGTCGTGTAATAGTCATTTTAGTGTCACGAGGCATTGCTAATGGTATAACCCTGTCTGGAAAAAGGTCAACCGGCCACTTTGAATGCTTCACATCACCTCTCGTGCAATATTCCACTTTTCGAACTCAGCACTTGATATATGATAAACAAGCACTTACAGACCAAGAAAATAGGTACACGAATTCAACAGAGTCATAACTATCCTATACTGATGTTCATAAATCTCGACAAGGATTGCCACAGCCGCTGTCCCACTATGACTGTCCAACTCTGAGGATTTGATCAACCCTACTCTTCATCCAAAAAGCTCAAACCTTGCATGGCAGTACCGCCACAAGCCCTCTCCAAAGTCAAAAAGGCAAAGTGACTACCAATAACCGGTCTGGCGAAGAAGTTTGGACCAGGGAAACCACCCTCACCTTCGGTATCGTACAGATCAGTGAAAGGTCTGTCTGTAGAAGTCTCATTGAGCCACTTGGAAACTCTGTCGAGGATCTCCGTACGAGTCTTGCGGGAAGAGACGGCAGCGGCTTGGAATTCCCAGTCTGATTTGGTGTACAGATGGCGAGAGTCTAGGGGAAGGCCGTATTTCTGCATTACAGCGGCGTACCAGTCGGATTGCATCTTGTAGATGTGGTTGGGGATGAAGTCGTGAGTTGGTGGCTCGAGGATGGGCTCTTGCTTGCCGCCAGAGACTTGAGCGTAGTCGTCGGAAGATTGAGCACTGCTGCCGTTCGTGGTAGAAGGATGGAAGCAGAGCAGTGCGTCAGCGTACAGTGAGTACAGAGTAGTCCAGCTGCCATACCAGTCGTATGCGAGCTTTGCATGTGTGCCATCACGAGAGATACCAAGCTCTTCCCAGCGCTTGATGTAGGTGTCCGAAATGTTGCGGAAGTGCTTTGCGTCGTCCTTCTTGTCCATGACTGTAGCCAGCTCGCTCATGGCTCGGATACCAACGATACCCTTGAGTGCAAGGTTAGTCTGCAAAGCCAGCCATCCAGCGAAATCGTCAGTGGACAATTGATTGTGAGGCTCCAGACTGTACTCGACGAGGTATGAGGTCCATTGCTTCCACAAGCCGTATGACTTGTCGAGCCACTTGCGGGCCTGCTTCAGTCCTTGAGCCGAGCCACCCCAGCGATCGTCGAGACCAACAATGTGGTCACGGTTCTCCAAGGTACCAAGAGCAAAGGGGCTTTCCTCGTTAGGCTGAGGGATGTGATCACTACCCAGAGCAGACCAGACGGATTGAGCTTCGGGCTCGGAGCCATATGTCAACGAGTTGACAAGAGCAAGACCCATGATGAGCATGTCTCCACATTCTTCGACGGGCATGTACTCGTCCTTGCCATCGGCATGTCCTGTGAGATTAGGGAAGTGCGTACCCAGGTCGTGCATGCTGTAGTCGTTGGGGTACTGACCACTGAGCATGTGCTCAATTAGAGGCTCAAGCAGGTATGCGAGCCAGCGAGGCTGAGTGTAGAGGAAGAAGGGGAAGGCCGGGAAGATGACATCGACAGTCTGACTGTTTCCGTTACTCGAGATCTCCTTGAGGAAGAGGAGCGGATTCTCTTGAGTTCCCGAAAAGCTAGTAGCGCCCATGGTCTGACGAGCCGAGAGAGCAACGATGTCGACGTACGAGTCGGAGCCAGATTGGTAGGCGTCAACAGCGAGTTGATCAGAGTAGTTTTGTGCAAGCTTCTGAGCGTTGTTGAAGTCCATATAGTGGAACGAAGTCAGGTTATCGTCGGTAGGGAACCAGGTCTTCCACAAAGGGCGCATGAAAGTCAAGCCTCGTGCGGAGGCATACTGTGTGACAGGGTCCTGGATGTGAGCGATGGTGAAGAGGACGCTGTCGGAGGAAGTGTTCTTGTGGCTGCTCGTGTTGGGGGCTAGGTTGAAAGACTTTGAGAAAGCAAAGACGGGCTCATCTTGCATGATGCTTCGGAAGCGCTCGTCGTTCTCGTTCTGCAGGGTGCCCGTACGGGAGAAGCGGTTTCTCAAGACACCTGATGTCCCACTTTCGTGACGGACGTCCTACTCGACATGTCAGTTCCGTGCTGTGGAGCGTGGGTAGCAAGACAGGGAAGGTCATGCTCACGGATGGACCAGTGAATCTCAGGCTTCCCCATTCAGCACGATCGTTCCATTCGGCAAAGACGAGTTCATCCTTTCTCTTGACCACCCAGCTCTTCAGTTTCTCCGTCTCGGCATTCTCAAGCTCCCAAACAATCTCACTACCTCGGTCTCCGCTGACCCACTGGCCGTTGAGATCAATGTAGATATCGATGTCGAAGCTTCCGGTAACGTGAATGCTGAGGTATGAGGCCGGAATGGACTGGCGAAGAGTAGACGACGGTGTGACGGGGGACAGGAAAGACAGAACGATCTCGACGTGTTCCGACTTTGAGTCGTGCGATGGGATGCGGTATGTGAGGTTCGTTACGGATGCGTCGTACTGGGCGCCTTGGTACACAGGATAAGAGATGTTGTAGCTGATGACATGTCAGTCGGGTGTTTGTTGGGCTATGCTACGGGTACCAACGTCGTGTCCTTCTCGTCCAGAGAGTCCTGAGGACGACCAAGCAGGGGATACGCGGTGCTAGTCTCGGGTACGCTTGCGAGGACAGAGAAGCCAATCTACGTCGGCAGTCAGACATGGCGAGACAGCGGCAAGCTTCTACAACTACACACCTCTTCTCCGGTATAAAACATGGGCCATTTGGTCCATGGCTTGTCCCTTGCGTTGCCTAGCCAGGTCGAAAGATATGGATTTCTGACAACCAACGGCAGGACAGGAGGAGTCAAAGTGGAAGCAGCGACCGACGAAACCAGCGACGTCACAGCCACGGCAACGTGATGAAGCTTCATCTTCTAGAAGAATATTCAAGACAGGACGACAAGCAAAAGACAGAGATTCAGTCCAGCTGATCTATAGAAAGTAGGAGATGGAGGCAGAGGAGGGGGGAGAGATGGAAGCTCAAGACCTCACTAGCGCACTCATAGACTTGATGTGTGTGCAAGGAAGAAGGAAAGACGGTCCAGCTGACGCATAGACAGAGACATGGACAAGCAAATGGCAGTGAGCACATGTTCGAGATCTGCGTCGGTGGCTTGCTCGTCCCTTGCAGCACCCCACGTTCGCATGGCGGGGTCAATTTATCCATGCAACGATAGGGTTACTTGCAGCTTCCAAGCACCGCCATCGAAGATGAGTTGCATGTACAGGTAATATCCTTCATGTAAAAGACACGCGTGACTGTGTGCCACAATATAATCTGTTCATTGTATTGCTGCAGTACTTGAGTCTTGGTGATGCATGTGCAAAAAGCTGTGCACGACGCGACCCATAACTTAGCCGAGGTCGAAGTTCTGATCAACCCTGCGGAATGATCCGCTTTTCGTGTACTGTACGCGTCACACACATTATTGCGACTGGCAGAATGTCCGCCAACCTCTCGTTCAACATAGATCGTCCACCGTGAAGTCTTTTGTTTTTCTTCATGGCTTCTCCCATCAGAAGTCCACCGCGAGCTCGGTAGACTCGAAGATTCCGACTTAGGAAGACGGTCAAGAGAAGGATGCCGAGCTGGCTTTGTGGGAGAGGGCTGGATGGATCGGGCTGGTCGATCTGGTAGCTCTTCTCTTAGAAACGCTCCCAAACCATTCCTTGATCTTTGCACCACTGCGCTTTCTCAGACTTGATGGTGGTGTAGCCGTGGCGTGCTGATCTGTCACGACGGGTGTAGGTGTTCTGACAAAGTGTCGTCGAAGGACTGTATCCACGCTGCTTAGACGTTCTTTCTCGCTTTCATCTGGGGTTTCCAACGCTGGCTCTGAAGCGGCAGGTGAGATTGAAGTTGGCGATAGCTCTGCGCTGACCGATGTCTCTGGGTCGAGGATGGTTGAGAGGCCTATCTCTGGAGGAGCAGGAAGATCGGGGTCAAGCTTCGTTGGCGAAGAAGGCTCGGTGCTTGAAGAGGTGGGAGTGAGACGGATACTCGGCGGGTAAGAGAGTCTACGGAGCTGAACTGGGTCTGGTAGTTCGTCTGCGACGCTTTCAAGATGGTCGTCGGCGTCGAGGTACGAGTCGTCGCTGCTGTATCTCTCGGATCGCTGGTCTGAGCGACGGGCTTTGACATGGGGACCGCCTCGGACATGATAGCGGAAGGTGGCGTACGGCTGGTCGACAGCATCCATGAGGGCGTACTGATAGAAGTTTTGAGGATGGTGTTCCTTGAGGCGGCCCCAGTTGAGAAGATCGAAGCCCGTCTCGCCAGGAGGAGGCATGTCGTCGAATTGCCTACAGGCCTGGCGTCTGCCTCTTGCGCGGTATGCCAGGACATCAAAGTCTTGGTCGTCTCCGGTAGGGCGGAAGAAGAAAGCGCGCTTGTCGACAGTACGCCAACCGCCATTGTCCTCTCCACGGAAGAAGGCCCACATTGTCTTGCCCTTCCATTCATCTTTCTCGCCGACTCCCCAGCTGACGACACACTCGCCGTCGAGAAGTAGCTTGAAGAACATGTACTTTGTCGGGGCATGAGCAGGTGCGAGCATGGCTGGGTTGATTGTGTAGGATAACCAGAACTGCGAGGCAAGAAACGAGGGGACATAGATGGCGACTGATCGCTCATCAGAAGTCGAGGCGTCTGCTATGGCCGCCTCTGGAATTGTGTCGGCATCGAATTGTGTTTCCAGCATCAAGACTATGCCCTCGATGGCGGGCATTGTGATCTGTCGCTCTTTGTCCTGTGAGACAACAGTACAGGTAGGTGTGTTGGCCGAAAGATATCAGACTGTTTTGTCTCGGTTGTTTGCTTGTCTTTGTTGTTGTGCCTTCCACTGTTGAGAGCACAATCTTTTATGCCCAGCCCCGATCCAAATCCACATCACAACGCTTGCCATGACCCTTTCCCTTTCCCTTTTGCTCAAGCCCCTTTCTGCTTTTGAAACCCCTCTGCATATTTACGTCCTAGATGCAGCCATACTGCCCATCAACTACAATTCATCCCATCATAACACACCATTAATCATTACACTCACCGGCGCCAAGACTCCTCGAATCATCAGAATAGCTTATACACCAACTTGTGCCAATGACTCCTAATCCAAACCAGTCATTTGATTCGCTTTTCTGAGCCAAATTGCGCGCATTATCATGCTGAAATCTACAACACATCACGCACCAGTCACGTCTGACTCTTCTTCCAGACATCTATATTTTGGATCTTCTGACACCAAGTCTGCACTTTTCTCTCGAAATCTTGCATTCCCACCAACACGTTACAGCAAGCCAACATCCACTTGTACTACCGCTTTCTACATTCTTCCATCAACTTTCTACCTCTTATCAGCACCTTCTTCTCCAACCCCCTTCTCTTCTACCGACAAAGCATCCCGCCTCGCATCATGGCTCCTTCGGCATTGCAAAAGGTCCTCAAGGGTGCCAGAAGACAGCAACAGGCTTTTGGCCCTCGCGCTTGGGCAGCTCCTTTTCCCCATGAGAAGCTCAACGACGAAAAGTCTCGCGTCACAAAGATCATCAAAGTCAGCTCCCATCCTTCCGACCTCTTCCAGAAGGTCCACAGCATCAACAAGAAGTTTGAGCAGTCAAGCTCCAAACTGCAAACCAAGACAACTACCGCCGAGTCCGAGGTTGCTGAGCAGTCAACCACCCTCCCAGCTCAGGAGACTCCCATCATGTCTGGACTCGAGGTCCAGCACAAGTCAGCACTCGAGTGCGCACTCGGGGACAAAGCAAACATGCCTCCATGCATGGCCCCTGAGCAAGACTCCGTGACCGCAATCAAAGTCACCACCGAGCCTACCACCAACCCTGCTGTCCCCGAACGTACCTCCAAACGCGTCACCAAGCGCAACACCAAGCGCAACACCAAACGCGCCGCCGAACCCATGGCCGGTTTCAAGCCGCTGCCTCGCGACTCTCACTCGCCACTAACCAACCTCGCTCCTATGGCACCCATGGGCCACAAGAAGAACAGCAGTGCCGTCAAAACACCACAACACATCAAGAGTAGCTCCAGCTCCCTGACTAGCATAAATGGAGTCCACCTTCTCCTGGCCGTCATCCCCATCGACCACTATGCCCTCTGGATCGAGGACTGGGAAAATTTCCTCACCCTTTCCAAAGATCACATCTCTGCCTACTACTCCAGCATCCAAAGACAGTTCGACTCTGCTGGCTGGCAGGTTTACGCCGACTGTGAGAATAAGACTCTTGCCGATTTGCTTAAGAACAAGGTCATTGACGAAGAAGTCTTTGGCAAGAAGTTGATTTGCAGATACATCTAAGGGGAATCAAGATTTTGACACACGTCATGGGATATCAGGGGGGTTTACTACATGGTTTTGGGATATCGGAATTTGGAGTTTGGAGTTTGGATTTGTTTTGACATGGGCACCATACATATACCCGCATTGTCTTTGGAGTTTGGGTGACATATACCCTACATTGTTCTTTGGTTTTTGACTTGATACCCTTTGATGTATACCAGAATCATCTTCTCGTCTACCTCTCCTGCTTTTGCACTTGACAATATTCATAACTGCTTGAAATCACGTCTGCCTACGTTCACGTGCCTGCGTGATTGACGGCTGCCTATTTTACGTGTAGAAGACACCTGTGGTCTTTCATGAGTCTAATAATTCAACGAGAATCAACGCAAAGGACATCACGTGTGAATCATCAACATCCGTAGTGGGAAAGGAGAAAGAGTAGGAGGACAAAATGTGAGACATTCCTCATTCCAGCTCTTATCTCAACACCTTGCATGGAGTTTGAACTCAGACTTCTTTGCTTATGGTTATGCTTTGTTGTGAGATCATTGCTTGCTTCTCAATTATGCCTGTGGTATCGACAAAAGTGATGATCACGTCTGCGAACGGTATAGCGAGATGAGAAAGGGTCATGTGTCCGGTGAGGTGAATATTTATGTCGTTGCGTCTCCTCAGTGTGTTATAAAGGGGCCAGCAACATTGAAAGTGATGATTCGTTTACGAACCTGGTCCTTTTACCGGTTAAATTCGTATATCCCCGTCCTCAAAGAGACGAGTATGTTTGCTATTATGCTTTCTATCATGCTTTCGAACATGGTTGACAAACCATGCCATCCTGAGAGCGTTGTGAGTATGTGTCTGTTCATCCACCTGGACTCTGGTGATGTCGCTAGACAAGCTCCTTGGTTGCGAGAGGGTATGAAGACATCGGACGAGTGCAGGACGCCAGGCTCCTCCTCCCAAGAAAAGACTCTGGTCTTTGTGAGCGTTGTTCTGATCCCATGGTTCGACTGAGCGATATGTTTGAATGGTGACTTGCGACAGGCAATTCTCCATAGTGCTCATGGCTCGGCCGAAGGAAAGCGGTTGAGGATCGGCGTAGATACTAGTCATTTGGCGATACCATAGTGATGAATATGGCATTGAAGCGAGCATTGGGAACAGTAGCTAGTGTCAGTATCATAGTGCCATGCATACATCAAGCATAGAAGTATATGCTGTTGTGTAAGGACGTCTATAGATAAAGCCGCTTTGAGCCGAGCTTCACGACACACCATCTTTGCATTTCAGTAACCACATCAAAGACCAAAAGTATACACTCTAATAGAGTCTTGAGAGAGTCTATGATTGCCGATGTCCTTCAAACACCGACATAACAACCCCGGACCGTGATCGCGTTTCATGCCCCGTAACGACATCCGGTCCAGCCTAACCCCTGTCAAGCACCACCCCCCTCGACACGACCAACCCCATGGGTCAACGCTAAAGCTGCCGCTTGCTCTTGTATGCGGAGAGAAGTACGTGAACCAAGAGTACACGGTAGCCCGGCACGCTGATTGCAAGAAAGATATGCTACCGCCTTTTGCCAATGCCGACGCTATGCGCGAGGGTCCCTGAGCTTCACCACCAACAATCTTGACGACAACTCGGATGTATCGCGTATGTTTCTGTTAAGCCGACAGAAACAGTGGCCGGATGCTGGGGAAGATAAGAAGAGCTTGTACTTGGAGACGATCTTTTGACTAAAACGAGTGATTGTACGTTCATGGTGACGGTGGTGGAAGGAGATCTGTGTTCGCAAGATAGGAAGGGCGGCGGCGGGGGCGGCCTTGTCATTTTTAGATGCACCGCCTGCTAGTGGGTGCAACAGAGGGTCCTTTGATAGGTCCAGTCTCGGTGTGAAGTCATGGCTGCTTTGTGTCTGTTGAGGACTTGTTCCATCACCTTCGTCAGGGGGTCCTGTGTGGCTTGCGTCTAGATCATGTATGAGGCACCGCGTTCTGAGAGCTCAATTGGCAGCGCTGCAATAGCAGTCGCTCTGGATCCCAGCCTCGTGGGTTTAGTTGATGCCGGTGACGGTTTAGTGATGCCAGATATGCAGACTGCAGCTTTTATGCAGATCCTTCGGATAGAATTTCCCGTGCGTGCTTGTCCTGAGTAAGGCAGCCCATGATATCTCGGATGTGTGAGAGACGGCCAAGATGAAGGTGTCTCCATGGCATTCGGATGACTTGAAAAAGGTTGAGACGGATTGACGCCAGGCTTTCGCTCGTTCTCTCACCAGGCAAAACAGAGGCCTGCGCAGCCGTCTCTCTCCAGGCAGTCGCGATCAAAGCAGCTTCCCGTCAGGCATTTAGACGATGTAGCCTAGCAACGTCCACAGCGGCTTCCTTCGTGGCGTAGCGATGAGACTCCCGAACCAGTCCTAGAGCAGGTATTATCCTGGCCAACTTCAAAGTCTCTTGACTCGCTGATTAGGCTGATCTTCATCTGCAGCGGCGAGATGTTGATGGAAATGGCTTGGGTTAATGGATCAACATTTCTCTTTCTGACGTCTGTTTAGCGGACGCACAAAGTGGCCTGAGAACGACAGCCAGACAGAGTCCTTCGATGCTTCCCCTCTTTTTGTTGCTGCCGAACTCCTCAATCCTGACATCAGAGTTTGCACCTTCGGACCTTGTTTTGCGAAGCCTCTTTCTGGATTTGAAGTGCGAGACTTTTCTGGGAACTATGGAAATCTTAGCAATGTTCAATTAAGACATGGACGAAATGGAAATCGTAAAGATGAAGGGAGAATATTGTAAGACGATCATTGTAAAATTCTTTTCGTCATAGGTATCTATCAAAATGTATAGGAGTTCATCAAAAATGCAGTTAAAAAGCAAGATTCATAGCATACAAGCATCCAGTGCTCGTTGCTTAAGAGTTGTCCGCGCAAGACCAAGAGTGGCCGCTAGAGTCCTTGGCCAGCTCAGTACCTGAGGCGTACAGACCGACAACGCAGATGATGATACCCAACAGTACCAAAATAACGTTGCAGCAGAAAAGGAAGATCTTCTTGGGGCTGCTGAACCAAGTGCCCTTGGCGATATAGAGCCACATGATGCCAGGAAGACCGTAGCTGAACCATGAGGCGAAAAGAGCAGCGACGAATCCAAGCAAGTTGCTGAAGTTGGGAATGGACTCGGCGAGGATCCATGCGACGAACCAGATACCAAAGATGATGGCGAACCAGGAAGAAGTGGCAACAACACCACGGCTGTGAAGGTGCTTGGTACCGGCGAAGAGACGGATGTAGATGTACTTGGCAGTAACGTGACCGAAGATGACACCGGCAATAATAATGGTGGGCAGAGCGATACCCCAGGCGATCTTCGAGACAAGAGGAGAAGCACTGCTCAGAGCGGGACTGGTAACCATGTCACCAGCGAAGTAATAGATGACAACAGCAGCGACCAGGTAAAGCGAAGTGTCAACGCACTGAAGAGTAATCAGAGCCTTGGGGTAGTCCTTGGGGTCACGGAGTTCGCTGATAAAGCTCAACCATGCAGCATGTCCACCGTAAGCGAAGACGATGTTGGAGACGCTGTTGAAGGCAGTAGGGAAGTTGGGGTGTGCAGTGTCGACGAGGTTACGTCCTTCAATGGGGTTGATGCCCAGAGCGATCATGGTGATCATGACGGCTGCAAGGATGGAGATGAAGGAGGCGATAGCCAAGAACGACACGTTCTTCATTGTGCGAGGAATGGTTAAGAGGGTGAAAAGAACCAATCCAACAACACCGAAGACGATGCTGCAGGTTCCGTGGTTGGTAAGAGTGTTCATGGCGATGATGAATGTCAAGACGTGAGAAGCCATGCCTATATTTTGGTCAGCTTGATGGAAATCGTATCGCGCACGAGAAGAACTTACAGAAGACACAGAAAGTAACGTAGGCGAAACCGAACAACTCGCGTCCGAATTTTCCCATAAGAATCTGACCAACATCACCGAAGGAAGCGACCTGAGGGTACTTCATGCGGAACTGCCAAAGAGTGTAACCGGAGTAGGTGGTGATGATACCCATCAGGAGGATGGCGATGATACCACCGACCAGACCGATGGTCTTCAAGACAGCAGGCAAAGACAAGATACCAAGGGAGATGTTCTCGGCGATCATGATCATGGCACCTTGCCACCAGGTCATGGTCTTGTACTGAATATCGGCACCATCCTCGTTACCAAAGACGTCCAGCACTTCGGTTTCCTTCATGGTAGTGTTAGATTCCTCATCGTCGGCAATAGGGACTGAGCCAATAGCTCCGAAATCATCAACCCTTTTTTCCTGGTCGTATTGAGGTGGGTGACCAATAGGTGTGGGCATCTCGTTGTGATGCATGGTGAAGGAAGAGAAGGCGTGAACCGGATAATGTGTCAAGTCTGGTGAGCCTCAATAGGATCCGACCGGATATAAAGAGTGGCGTGCCTGGCTGCTGAATATCCCCACAGAAGCGTGACAGTTGTAAGAATAACCAGAGATGGAGAGGAAGAGGGTAGAGGGCACAGAACGGAGGGGCAGGTAGTTAAATAGTGGTTGGGGTAGAGATGACTAGTACGGCAGATCACCAAGCAAGACGGTTGTCCCTACGTAAAAATTTGCTCCTGTCGTTTGGTTGTTGGTGGAGGAGAGTGGACGATGCACCAGACGCTACGGCCTTATAACGGAGCCTTTCCCCAGAGTGTTAGGTAAAAAGAATCATGCTCCTGGTTGAGCACGTATGCGTTTAGGTTTCAAGCAACGCACTGGTCTTGATGGATCGACTCGTTGTCGATTTGTATCAAGTAATAAAAATCCTTTCGCACTCAGGACAACGTGGTCCCCAGTTTTTCTGTGCTCATATCTTGGGGACGCATTGTGGAGTCCCCAGAACAGCCAATCTGGACCTGCTTCGAGAACTGCTCGATAGCAAAGCGTCTGGATACCATATCACTTTGCCTCTGAGAAGCGATTTTTCTGTTGTAGGAGTGTCGTCAGAAGTAGCGCGCTACGTATGTGGAGCGGTTTGAGTCAATCGACGCCTCCAAGCTTTGCCAGGCGCTGTGCCTGAGAGCCACAGAAAGAGCCTCCAACCTACACTCCTATCAGTTGGGTAGAAATTCGAATGTGTAAAAGGTTAAGGCTCGGTTCGGGTTCTGGTACATCCGTCGTACGACCCGGCATCAGCTTCCTCGTGCGGATCCTTACCCAATAGCGATGTCGGCAGGGTCTGTTAACCAAAACAAATTCCCGATCGCTTACCAGCGGTTTTGCTCGGTCTTGTGTGCTCAATTCAACGACATACCGTGCACTTCGTACATAAATCGACTTTTATGCCCGCTTGTGTCCTTGTTCGAGAGTTGAAATTTGGATATTCGTGACCAGTTGATTTCCTGGATTTTTTTGGTGGTTCAGATTATTGTGTGCTCGCCACTGTCAGACTGCTCTATTTGTACAACAAAACCAGGCGGCAAAATCTGCCATGAACAGTGCTGCGGCTCATGCGGCCTCGGGCTTCTGACACTGCCAGAGCGTTCCAGTCTCATCTCGACTCTCCTTCGCACGGTCGGACAAGGCGGCGCGCGGCGGCCTTTGAAAACTGAGCGCTTCGGAAGCCTTCCGTCGCAGTTGCTTTCTCATCAAATTTGTGCCAAGGGCTCGCCTGGATCTGCCCTGCTGTTGTGGAGTATTCGCTGCCGACCATCTGCGAATGACGTGTGCTGTACAGGGGCGTTCGCTGTTGCTAGGAATTTTCGGATGCGACAAGATAAGCCCGTGAAGATCTAGCAGCGATCTCAATCCTACGCTATTGCTGCTTGATATATGTTGCAGATACATCACGAGATGAAGATAGCAAGCGATAAGTGCGCGTACCACGTGTAAAGATGATCAATGCCATAAGGTATGAGGAACTCGGTCGATCTGATGCAGGTCTGCATGTATTGCATGCCCTTCCCTCGATGCTCTTCACGATTATTACAAAATCGAATTTTACTGGTTTGTGATCGATCCTCCGATGAGCTGTGCTCGAAGTTCTCTGGTTAATGCTGACTGGATAGAAGGGATGTAATTGAGTGAGTGGGTATTGGTTCTGATATACAAAAAGTCTACGGCTATGAACCGAGTACTCTAAAAACGAAAATACAAACGTCCAGATCAAAAACGCCGCTCCAAAATGCGTCTATCATGGCTTGGGTTTGCAGATGAAACGCCCCCGAAATGCTTCCATAGCACAAACCGTTCTTATAATACAAGTTTAAGCGCTTCTTCACGACAACGCCAGCTCGTCCTCGTCGGAACCCATGAGTGGATGTAACTCGAAATACTTGAGGAGCTGCTGGTACATTACAAGCATGGTCCCGCTCTGTACACTCGTCCATACGAAACGAGGGCCCACACCTCTAAAGAGACCAGCAACGCCCTCATGCTTGTAAATGACCTTCAAGCCTGCAATGACATTCTCAGTTTCGAGAGCAACCGCTCCGTGATTCTTTAAAGCAGTCGAGGGACCTCCAGTCGATATGGGCCGTTTGGAATCATGAATCGAAGGGCCATGTCCAGTGGGTCTATGTGTTGTGCTGGCCGGACTGACGGCGGAGGCAGGCTTCGAGGGCTGCGAGGCGGGCGCATGAGCAAACTCGGGGTCCAATTGAGTCTGGATGCGTGTCTTGACCACATCCAGTGGACAAGTGATGACACCTGCCATTCCTCCAGCGCTCGCGCCGGTGAAGATTTCCAGCGGAAGACCGATGTCCTTGCTTCCCATCCAAGCTTTTGCAATGCGTTGCTCTTGCTCGTAAAAGGCGAACTGTAAAGCGGAGAAGGGCAGGTCGCGTGCCAGGGTGGCCGAGTAGCCAGAGAACATCTCCCGCCATCCTTCAACGCGCATGATGGTTCTAAAGGCATCCCAGGTGCCATGGTAGTTGTAGCCGCTGTGGAAGTAGGGGTTGTTGTATCGGCCCTGCAATTGCAGTCTGGTCTTAAGAACCTCGGAAGGGACGTACCAGGGCGAGGCGGCAAGATCGGCGAAGAAGCCTGGATGGGTTGTAAGCATGAAAGGCCATGGAGCTCGATGCAACGGAAGCGGTCTTACCAGAGGTGAAGTAGGCGACTGAGGGATTGACACCAAAGTCGATCATTGCGCGCTTGGAGTATTCGTAGGCGCCGAAGAAGGTCAAAGTACCGGTAAAAGAACCGAGGAAAGCAGGTGTCACGCCTCCGTACAGTCCTCGTACCAGACCCTCCTGGCGCCAGATGGTGCGATAGGTGGAGCCCATGGATGTGTATTTCGGCGGCATATGAGGGTCGCCCTGTTGCCTTGTCTTGACTGTGTCGAGCGAGTGCATGAGCATGTCACCCATCAAACCACCGAGACCTCCTGCCAACATTGCCTAAACTCAGTCAACCCACGCCGTCGTGGCCGTGTCTCGATCCGACTAACATGAATGTACGGCGGTCTGACCGCATCTAAATCCTCCTCGTCCATGATTGACTGCTGCAGCAATCTTTCGGCCTGCTGATTCCGTTGCTGTGTCGCCGCCGCAGTTGGATCATAGTGTGAAATGGTGTCGGACGGGAACAGGTATTCAGCCACGCGGGCTAATACCATGGATGCCTTCGAATGCGCTTCCTTTGCGCTTTTCCGGTTTCGACGAGAAGACCAATTGGAGCAAACGTGGGGAATCGAGAGAGGGTATATTAGTGGGCGTTTGCGGCAAGGTTGATATGGGATGTACAGATTTCTTGTCGTCTTGCATCTGCCTTCTCAACTTTCTTTGAGCCTTCTGCACTCGGCGTCATCTTGCTTGGCGTCGCCTGCACTTCCCGCTTCCGTGCACCGACTCTCCGACGACTACCTTGTCTTGACCGCAGTCTCTCGGAGGCCTTCGTCTTCTGGCTGTCGCCGCATGCTCAAGTGGAAGCTGTACTTCTGCACAGCGTGGGATATTAATGATACCGAATCCCCAGGAAGCTCAGCGCTATAGCACCGAAGCAGATCACATGGTCAGATGGCTCCAACTAATTGTGTGCCAAGACATTTGTTCCTCTGCTTCGGAGTGTTTACTTTACCTCACCGAAGCTGCACAGCTTCCCTACGCGTCTTTGCACACTCGTGTTTTTCCTTTCCATCAAATTGCTCGCGACATACTTTTCTTAAAGCCTCCATCTCACGAGATATCTGATCGCCTTAATTACGCGACGTGTTGCATAAAAACTCCGCATCATGCCTTCCTGGTTGAACACGCATCGCAAAGCCGACCTCGAGGATCTTGCCGGCCAAGCTGGAATTGACGAGTGCGTAGCCCAAACGCGTCCTTTTGTATCATCGTTCTGATCCTTTTAGCGTCTCTGATCTTCGCAAAGTCGAAATCGTCGCTCTTCTTGAAGAAAGATTGACAAATCACGCGTCAGAGTACTCTCAGCTTCCAGTCTTCGAAGGCTACTATGCCCGCAAAGGTTCTCCCACCAAGCGAGAGATGGGTTCCACTCCTGCTGCCGAGCTAGATGTGACAAAATCTGTCACTCGCAGACGCGCCACCCAGATCAAGGGTGAATCAGACGCGTAAGTCATGCTTCATTTTGCAGATAGTCTTCCAAACTCATGATAGTCTATTAGTGAGCCAGTCTCCTCACCCACTGCAGCTACTGGCAGGCGCGCTGCTCGCGCCGCAGTCGTGCGAACTCCGGCCAGAGTTGAGGCTCCCAGGATCGAGGCTGCCATATTCGACGCTCCCAGGATTGAGGAATCAATCTTTGATGCCCCTACAGTTGGAGGCGCAATGATCGAGGATACTTCACTTCTCAGCCCTCCGCGTATGCCATTGCCTCCTTCACCGGCTGTCGTGACAGATGCCATCGAGGAGCAAACTGCTCGTATCTCAGAGGGCGTGAATAAGCTCTGGAACGCGTCGCACATCATGGACATGCTCTACGATGCTCGTGTTGGTTTGTCTTCTGTCACCGGTGTTCACACCACAATTTTCCTCCTCGAATTTGCCGCCCTCCACTACGCAACCGTTCCGCGTAATTTCGCATTCGATGTTCCAAGTCTATTCGGATTCCCCGGCTTTGCGGTGTTCTTACCTGATCTGTTTGTGTTGCTTACTCATCACTACTGGGCTCCTTCTTTGCTGTGGGCTACCATGAACTTCTGGGCCCCACTTGCCATGGGCTGGTTGTTCAACCTCTCTCTTAAGCTTAAGAAGAAGGATGGGTACGAAGACTACAGACCCAAGTACCGCATTGACCCTCTCATGTTTAGTATTGCTAAGGCTCTGATGTCATGGATGGTATATTCTCAAGGCAACAGGCTCTATGGAACCTTCGCCGACGAGACGGTCAAGACTGTCGAAACTGCCATGCCCTATGGCTACAGTGGCAGCATGGTTGCAGCGTACATCGGTATTGCAACAAGCATCTGGGATGGCATCCAGAATAAGAAGTGATCAACAGAGTGTAACTGATGACACTCCCTGGACACAACTCGGACTTGGAGACGTTCGTGTGTTTCTACAGCTCGGAACTTCTTGGTATGGTCATGGAAGGCAGAAGACTGCACACTGGGACATAAAGCAGCGCTAGCACGTTGGTGAATTGAGATCGTTGTTTATATGGTTGTTCAGGAAGATTTGGCTGGCGTTACTCGGATTTTGGGGGGCTACTTCTTCGAGTAGATGGATTGCGCATGTTTGTTTACTGTGGGCTACAACCCTGTACAGCCGTTATTAGCTATCTCTCCATAACACACGATACAATCGAACAAATGCACAATCGACTCAGCGTGGTGATTTTCGAAAAGGTCACGAAGCAGAAGCGGAGGCGGAAAGTTCCGCGTTCGAAAACTTCCAAACGCTTCCATTTCAAGCGCGTTCCGATCAAGGGTCCAGAGAAATAATTGTTGCAAGATTCACAGACCGGAAACACTACAAGTCAGTGACAAACATGGCGGATGCTTTACAGACTTTCTTCCGCGGCTCTCTGCCCGATGAGATTTCGGGATTGTTGGCTGAACGTCTCTCCGACCTTGAATCTGGAGATTTTTCCGCCCTTCTGCAATCCAAGGATGCCCAAGAACTTCTTGGACGCAGTGCAGGCTCAGAGCTGGATGAAACGAAACTGAAAGATTGCGCAACCTGGAATGAGTACGTCTCAATCCGATTGAACCGAATTCTTGCCGCCGACCAGGAGAATGCCATATACAAGCAGGGTATCTTCTTCATCATTGGATATGCCGCGCTGCTCGCTTTCCTGCAATCAAATGCTACCGGTCCACCTCTTCCATTCACACCTTCACAAACCGTCTTACCACAAGAGGTGGCCGAGGATAAGCAACAAGTGACGGTTCTGCGCCGTCAACTCATCGCAAGCCTCGCAGTCGACGGTATTGCAGCTTATCGTTTGACACCAAATATTGAACTTCTTTGCCTGGCAAACGTCATTATCAGTAACCTGGATATCCTCGAGAATATTCCGGTCGCTAGATGGGCCAGACTGAGAGTCACATTTATGCACCAAAGACTTCTATCTGAAGACTGCGGAACTCTGCAGGACAAGATCTTTGTCGATGTTGACGCGATACAAGAGCAATTCTTTGATGTGTCGCCCAAGGGCAAGTCAAAGGTTAGCAATGATGAAGCGAAGGTTGAATTCTTGCTTGAACGTGCCAGTATCGAGACCTTCTATGGCTTGGACAAAAAGGCTAGAGTTGATCTAGACCAGGCGGCAGCTGAACAGGGCTTCCAATTCGCGCTCACTGGTATTTTGGGAAGAAGAACAAAGTTCCAGCAGCATGATGTCAGTCAACTGGTTGTGCTTGCCAAAAGTGCACAGAATACCGAGGATGCCAAGGGCGTGAAGTCTTCCGAAGTTCAGACAGAAGGCGCAAACAGTGGCCCCAAGAATGTGGACCTCAATGATGACACACTTTTAGAGTCCATATCATTCACCGAAAAGCCAACGCTCAACCTAGATGTTCAGACCAAAGAGTCCTTGCCGCCAGCATTAGCGGAACTCGACCCTTCAAACCAGCCCAAGCTACTTCCATTGGATTCCATTATTCTACTCGCCCTTGCTTCCTCCATCACAAACACATCTCCCGCCAATGGTCTTACTAGAGAAGAGACGCTTCCCTATGCTACACGCGTACTGGAGGGTGGCAGCTCGAACTGGCAGGTCTACACACAAGGACTGCTCGTTCGTAGTAGAATGGAGGGCTACCGATCTAGAACCATTGAACGCGGTCTTCTGCAATTACAAGCCGTTGTCGACCAGGTCATTGCAGACACCACTGAAACCCCTGCAGATGGAAACGCTGATGTTACGGCCACAAGCTTCTTGCGCAAAGGCGAAAGCGAGGACTCTGCACCAGCTTCGGAGAGACTGCGATATATCTTCCAGATTGCAGCCCCTACTCGATGGGAGTTGGAGGGTGAACTTGCACAGAGATGGGTTACCTTGGGAGGATTGCGATCAGCACTCGACATCTACGTGCGTCTGGAGATGTGGGCAGAGGCTGCTCTCTGCTACGCTGCCACCGAGAAGGAAGAGACAGCGAAGAAGTTGGTGCGCCGCCAGCTCTTCCACGCAACCAACAATGGTGACGAGGACAATGCCGGCGACGAAGAGACATGGGAGGGTCCTGAAAGACAACCTCCACCAGCTGACGCAGCACGTCTTTACTGTATTATCGGTGACCTTGACCAAGACGCTTCTATGTACGAGAAGGCGTGGGAGGTCTCGGGTCAACGTTATGCTCGCGCCCAACGCTCGCTGGGTCGCATGTACATTGGCCAACGCGACATGCTCAAGGCCGCTGACGCATATGCGAAGAGTTTGCGGGCTAATCAGTTGAATCACGCCTCTTGGTTCGCTATGGGGTGTTGTTTGCTGGAGCTTGCGCAATTTGAGAAGGCCGCTGAAGCCTTTTCTCGCACTGTCCAGCTTGAAGAGACTGATGCAGAAGCATGGAGTAATCTGGCCGCTGCCCTCCTCAAGAATCAGATTCCTACTGCTGACGACGAACCCCCGGCTCCCGCTGTCGAGCTCGCCGAAGACGAAGACGAGTCGATGGCCTCCCAAACCAAGAAGCCTGACCCGCAGCAGAACAAGAAGGACGCTCTTCGTGCACTCAAACGTGCTGCTACTCTCAAACACGATAGCCACCGTATCTGGGAGAACCTCCTCATCGTCGCTGCATCACTATCTCCACCAGACTACGACACAGTGTTGACAGCTCAGCGTCACATCATTGACCTCCGCTCAAAGACCAACGGTGAATCTTGCATCGATGTCGAAATCATGGAGCATATGATTCGCCATGTCATTGCTTTGAACGACGAGTACGATCCCTCAAAGCCCGGTTTCGAACGTCTGCTGGTAGAGATGTTTGACAAGAAGATTGTACCTCTCATCACATCCTCTCGCGAGCTGTGGCAATTATACGCTAAGTTGTCTCTTTGGCGTAAGAAGCCAGCCACTGCATTAGACGCCAACGAGAAGGCTTGGAGAGCAGTGACTAGTCAACCTGGCTGGGAGACCGAGAGCGAGGGTCGCTGGGATGTCATTGTTGATGCCACCGTCGATCTCTGTGATGCATACGAGAGTCTGGGTCAGATGGAGAAGACAGAGGGTATGGCAGCTGGAACTGGTGCATTGGTTGCCAAGGACTGGAAGTTCAAGGCGAGAAGCGCAATCAGGAGTATTATGGGTAAAGGCAAGGACTGCTGGGAAGACACGGAGGGATGGGAGAGGCTGAAGGAGGCATTGGAAGGTTTGCGTGGCTAGTGTATGTGACTTGCGTTTACCTGATGTGGCTGATAAAAAGCGCGTCCAAATGGCAAAATTCAGCAAGCTCAAGTTGAAATGTTTTGCTGACTGAAGCTATGTGAATCTTTATTTAAAGCTAACACTGGGCCAGATAATAGTGTCCGCTGGGAGTCTTCACATTACATGTCCCAGATTGCCTCGTCGTCTTGATCAGTAGACTCACTGTCACTCTCATCTTCAGACCCGTTTTCGCGTTCCAACTCGTAATCACTCTCCTCGAAACCATCATCCTCATCGCTCCATCCAGGTCCGCTGTAGTCACCATCTTCCTCTTCACCCATGAGAAGTCTCTCTCTTCTTGTATGTATCTGGGCGATCAGACCGTCAAACCCGGCACGAACTTCCTCCACGTCATCGCACCATGTGCGTCCGCTGTATGCAATGATAGGAGGCGAGATACTATCGCTGTGGTCGCACATCAAGTTTCTTATCTCGAGGGTTTCCAGCTCAGATCGTGGCGAAGCGGGCGAGAGAGTTTGGTCATGAATGGGTATGGCTCGCCATGGAAGTCGCGATCGTTCCATTCTAGCTGGATACGGATGCTGTATTTCGTGAGGATAAATCGACAGTGAGGCAGGAAATGCTCGCCAAATGGCTTGTTGACCACGTTACAGACTGCTTTGCAGGTCAAACGCAGCAACGCCAACGCCTCCGGCTCGACAGTGTAGGCGATTTGAGTGAGCATCTCATCGGGCATGTCCAGGAGCGTGATGCGGCATTTTGAAGCAGACATCTCGAATGTGTGTCTGATGGTGACAGTGATGAAAATTTGATTTAGCAAATCGTCAAGCGTGGCACTTATAACGTGACAGGGTGCAAGGTTGGTGCGACTAATAATGGAAATCGGTGAAAACTGGGTGGTTGTGGTCAACAAACAGAAGGAACCCGTTTGCGATCGAGTGTCGGGCTTGTCGAACAATGCTGCTGTTCTCGAAAGTCGGTAAACAACAAGCAGCTTTGCTCTTTGAATAACCCATGGGCAACTCCCGCGAGGTTGGAGAGGAGACGCAAATGCTCTAGTCTCCAGCCATTGTCGTGATGTGGCTGACAGAGGACTGTAAAAAGGCACAATTCAATTCATCCCACACCAGTTTGCCAGAGAGAGCCTGCGCCAAGAGGACACACTCAAAAATAGAGTGAAGGATTGCAGTATTCTTATCTCACAATCTTCCTGATTACTTTGTAGAGACTCCTTCCAGCACTCTACTCTTCTCACCAACCCCATCACCAGAATTCAACAAAATAACACAGTAAAACAAAACACATCACCTCAACATGTTATCAAACCCTCCATCCACCGCCGGCCCCATGGAAAGGCCTGACAAGCCGCTTTCGCAGACCGTCCAGCTAGAGCCCAACCTCAAGTTCCGTGTGTTCACACTCTCTCCCCCGGCCCAACTTCGCCAGCTGGAGTGCATTGGTGAAGTGGACACTGCAGCATCCAATGCAGTGTCTCACGTCACTTCTCCAAAGGCCATCATCCCTACCTTTGATATCGCACACGAGAGCGTCAAGCAAGGCGATTTCCACAAGATTCGACTCGAATGTCTTGCTATTCCCGCTACCCAACTACTCGACCTCCTTAAGGGTCAAGGCAAGGTGCTCAAGAAACTTGAGATGGTCAACGTCTACGTCCAGCTGGACTCGTCGGATTGGGACGACGATGACGAGCCATACCCTTTCTTGACCATATTCCTTCACTTGCTCCAAGGCCTCGAAGTGGAAGACCTCCAAATCAAGCATCTGGTTTGCAATACCAGCAAGAGACCCCACTCAAGACAAGTTGCTCTCGACGGACGCGAATGGCGTGGAGTGAAGGGGGTCCGCGACGGATTCGCTGGCTTGATTGAGCAGTTCAGGAAGGAGAGAAAGTCAGAGAACAAGAAGATACAGGACGAAGCCAGTCACAGCAAGGTGCAGTCAAGCTTCATCGAGCAAGAGAGTTGGGATGACGAGTACGGTTTTGGACCCGAGGAGGAAAGTGATGAAGATCCTTACGTCCACGACGATGACGGAGAGTGGCAGATGTAAGAAGCGTGCGGAGAAACGGAATACTCATGCTATCACTGGACGAAGTTAGCATTTGCAAAATACTCGTGCATTCCGATAGCCAGCTGACCGTCGAGGTCTGTCGCTGGAGCACGTACATATCTATGGAATCCAACCCCTGAGTCTCGGCGCCCATGTTGTTCATTGTATTGCATTGTCCTAATCATTTTCGTTATTGGGAAGTATAGCTAGTAACGTGGCGATGAGCTGGGGGGAGACTGCGGGCTTGTCATATGGGAACTGCTGCGGAGTTAGAAAGAGAATAAATTTGCTCCTTCTGATGTGGAAGTATTGTGGTCCTGCTGAAGATTCATGACGTATTGGATGCACGGTGTGTACCATATAAAAGCGTCCTGGCCAAGATTGAGGGTGGTTCTTTCTTCTTATATCTGTAGCAAAAGCTGTATGCTGTTCAAACCAGAACTTTGGGCAAGAGTGATCAGTTGGCGTCTGCCTGGTTACGAAAGTGACCAGGGCTTCAGCAATTAGCAATCCTTGCTTTAGCATTACTTGAGTAGCAGCAGCATTCTATCAGCCAATTGTTACCAGTAATCCACCATCAATCGTATACCAGCAACTATTCATCGGCAATCATATATCATCAATTGCCTACAGGAAGATCCTCTTTTGGCGCTTGTTCACCAGCGAAACTCGATCAACCATTCTCCGAAGAGTCTTCACCCGCCCTTCATCGTATATCAGCCATCAGCCATCATCCAGCCTCAAGCAATTACCCTCCATCGTTCGCCAACAGTGTGCCACCGTTCACCCTGTGTAACAGAACCAAGTGTCAACTACACACTTCCACCTTTTCCATCGAGCCATCGCGATGTGCAAATGGCGTTGTGTCTACCACATGAAGTGCAAACACACGGTTCAAAAGCCTGTTCTCTGCCCTGGAGCCGAAGAACGCGGGGATCTCTGTGAAGACTGGGACGACTTGTCAAATGATGTCGAGAGTGCCAATCGCAATAACCGCCCGTACACACCCGTGAATGCTACGGAACGTTGTCCCGAGTGTACTCTTCTCAGAAAGACCAAGAGGGCAGACAAGAGGAGGCAAAGGAAGAAGAAGAAGGATGACAAAGACAAGAGAGATAAAGAAAGCAAGGAGATGAAAACTGGATCTGGAACAGGGTTAGGTGTTGCCAGCGGGCTCGAGAAGCAAGTGGAAGGGGAAAAGGCTGTATAATCTGCGTTCGCGTCAAGCAGAGAGGCCGTCAATGGCTATGAATTTGGGGAATGATGACTCTGAGAGTTAGGCGAAAGGTTATGTTATGCTCAAGGTTGAGTGTTCTTTGTCGGGGAGTATGTTCTCTCATTACAAACCCACAGAATGGTCAGAAACCATCTTTACAGGTTGATGAGTGGAGGGGCACCCATGCAGTCATTATTAAAAAGGCAGAGTCTCAAACAATGAACACACGGTTTGTTCTTTTGCTTCACGTATATCAACCGTCTCGCCGCCCACGAATCAGTTCTCCGCATCTCACCCCATTGATATCGTCCACAATCATGCCTCACCTCCTGGACCTGCCACCGGAAATCCACTGTCTAGTCGCAGAAGAAGTCGCAATTGGTGATGAGCCTGCTACATGGGATTGCAAAAGCCTCCAGAGTCTCCGCCTTGCTTGCAAAGCCTTGTACGCCGCTTCTGTCGACATCTTCGGTATCGCATTTTTCGTCAAGAGAAATCATGTCGTATCCAGATACAGCATTGGAGAGTTGCTTACGATCACCGAACATCCGGCCTTTGGTCCTTGCGTCCGGAGTGTTCAGATTGAGGTATCTTGCAAAGAATCAGTTGATTCCGAAACGCGCCCTCTGGTCAACAAAGACGTGTTTCTTTGTTCTGGAAGCTTCTGCGGCGTTATGCAGAAGGTCTTTGAAAACATGAAAAATCTCGGCAACTCCGTAGACATTGTCGTGTGTGCTTCTGAGGGTGGCGGTAGCTTCGGTTGGGAGAAACTCGCAGTTGGTAAAGACGCCTTCTACCCCATTTCTCACACTTTGAGGCAGACTCTTGAGGCGGCCGATCTCTCTAAAGTCACGGTTCGAGGCCTAAGCATTGAGTTGAGAGATCGTGAGTATATGAGTTTCTTCGTTGGTCAGGGCGAGGTCGATGCTCTCGAGGAAGCCGTCGCCGAATGCTTGACTGCCAGAATCGATGACAACATCAACTTCAGGTTTGCAGGAGGTGATGATTGCAAAAGCAGCATCTCGTATAAAGCTGACGAGCGGCTGTTGGAGCTACAAGGGGACCACATCCAGCTGGAGGATGATTGTTCGGACTATGTGTTTGACAAATGGATAGCCAAGAGGCCCGTCCGTAGACTGGATATCTCAGACTGCGAGCTCTACGGCACAGGGGAGGAGATTATGGCCAGGTATCTCAGGCCATTTGCAGATCTGCAGGAGATCAGATTTGACCGCGTATTGTTGGACAAGGACCCTGACTGGAGCGCGATACTGAACTACCTTGCGGACCATCACGATCTAGTGCGCTGCAGTCTCAGTAAACTGGAATGCTGGATAGACGCAGCTATCAGAGGTCAAAACGTGGCCGATTTACCTGGCGGATGTGCTACATTTGTTGCTGAAGGGGAAGCAATGGCCGCTGGTCTTCCCGAGATTGCTATCCTTTCCAAGAAGAGTGCTGCAACTTCTAAACTTTGATGATCGTACGGTGGACATACATCAATGATGGCGATGGCAGGGTTTGGGAGGGTAGTGACGGAGACAGTGCAAAGACCTCAGGCAATCCATCTCCAGCCTGTATTGAATATTAGCCACTATACAATCTCTGAACCCATGCATTGCCCAATACCATAATTCTTGTACATCAACTAGTGTTCAGAGAAGACCATGATACATTATCCTGTGCACAAAATATTGTGTGTATACCTAAGGAGTGGCTGAACTCCAAGCAGAACCGATTGCGGAGTGACATCTGTCCAACCAGAAACTGTGAGTTGGGCCAAACAAGAGGCGCTCTCCAACTCTCTCAATAAAAAAGTCTGTAGCATCAATTGATAGGTGAATAGAGCACAGTGAACATCCGCATGGAGTAGGAGACGCGACGAGCTTTGGCGGTCGTCCCATGGTAGATCAGCAGTTTCTGTACTTAAGCTCGATACAGCCCTGTATCAAACCAGCGGTGGTGATGAAGAAGCCCAACAAGTTGCAGTAATATGACAAAGCAACGTGCTGTCAGACGCGTGTGCATGGTTTGGCTAGAGCTCATGATTTATTGGATCTGATAAAAAATTGTGGAAGCTCTGACGATCAAGGAAATTTTTGCCGAGGTCGACTCAACTTCGCTCTGCCCCCAGCAGCAGCGTCTCTCGACATTTCCTCCATGACTGCCCTGAACGAATGCTTTGTGTCTACCGGCTGATTTCCCAGGCGTTTGTTTTGTCATCAAAGACTGCTGCTTCCTGCAATGCCACCATGCATGCCGACTCGAATTGAGAAGCCGCGCCTCAGTCCCGGTACACCAAATATGAGACACCCGTTGAGATGAGGATCTCCGGATCTATCCCCAGATAAACGTTGATCAACCTGGTCAATCAATCGGCCATCAGTATGTAGGCTGATTACCAGCCAGTCGCTCTGCGGTACCGGGAGAAGCGATGATGTGCTCTCAAAAATTTCCCTCACTCCGAGTATAAAATGCAGAAGCTTTCCCTTATCAGATCAGATCGATTTTTGATCTTGTCAAATCAATCTGCATCTCCTGGAATCTCGTATCATGCATCTATTGTCCTTGGCCTGCACGGCCACCTCTTTGCTCTCATTACTACCATCATCGGTACTAGCTCGCTCTCCGAAGTCTGCCAAGTACGAGAGGATCCAGCATGAGCGTCGCATCGAGATGTTTGCTGCTCAGAAGGAGCAACAACAAGATCAAAGGCTTCAAAAGCGTGCGAATCATGCTTACTTGACGAATAACACAGCACCTTTTGCGGTCAATGGGTCTGGGTTACCTGAAGTTGACTTTGACATCGGAGAGAGTTATGCCGGATCAATGCCAATAGGAAACAGTACAACCGACAGTCTTTTCTTCTGGTTCGTACCGACCACAAATCCATTGGCCAGCGATGAGATTGTGATCTGGCTCAATGGTGGGCCTGGATGCTCGAGTTTGGATGGCTTCTTTCACGAAAACGGTCCTGTCAACTGGGCTTCTGGTACATACCGTCCTGTCAGAAACACATATTCCTGGTCGAACCTGACCAATGTTATTTGGATCGACCAACCTATTTCGACTGGCTTCAGTACGGGAAATGCTACTGCGACCAATGAGGATATTGTAGCAACACAGTTTCTAGGCTTTTGGCGTAACTTCATGGACGCATTCGACCTCAAAGGACGCAAAATCTACATCACAGGAGAGTCGTATGCCGGCATGTACACACCTTACATCGCTTCTGCTATGCTCAAGCACAACGACACAAGTTACTACAACGTGAACGGACTCATGGTTTATGATCCATCAATTGGCTACGACGGTGTCATCTCTCAGGCACCCGCCCTCTCTTTTGTGGACCAAAACCGCAACTTCTTTCCCCTCAACGACACCATCAACGCTCAAGTGAACAACATTTCCGAATCATGCGGCCTCAACACCTTCATGGAAACAGCTATGACCTTCCCTCCCACAGGACCTCTTCCCCCGCCTCCCTCCACCTACGAAGAAGTCTACGACTACGATAATTGCGACATTTACGATATCCTGTTCACCGCCATTTTTGAAATCAACCCCTGCTTCGACATCTACCAGCTAGGTCAACAATGTCCCCTACTCTGGGACTCCCTCGGCTTCCCCTACTCCTACGATCAGTTTTACCTCCCCGATGGTTATTCTCAACCCTATTTCAACCGCACGGATGTCAAGAAAGCCATCCACGCTCCCCTAGATGTAGATTGGGAATTCTGTCTCCCTGGCGAAGAAAATCCTTTCGTCGGTGACGACTCTGATACTTCGCCACCCTCTGGCTTGCAAGATGGACCTCTACAACATGTCATTGAAAGCACCAACAACGTCATCATCGGCCATGGAACTCTTGATTTCGTCCTTTTCGCCAACGGCACTCTTGCTACTCTGCAGAATTTGACTTGGAATGGCGTACAAGGATTCAGCGAATACCCAAAGAACCCATTCTATGTTCCTTACCATGATCATCCTATGGATAGTATGGCTGGCGCTGGTATTTTCGGTTCTTGGGTCGAGGAACGAGGCTTGACTTTTGTGCTTACGCAATTGGCTGGACACTTTTTGCCCCAGGGCGCGCCGTCTGCTGCGTATAGGCATCTGGAAAAGTTGCTTGGTAGGATTGAGGATTTGTCGGAGGTATCGCCGTATACTACGCAGAGGAATGTTACTCAACCTGAAACAATCTTGGGCAATGGAACTGCGTGGGGGAAGAGAGAGATTGATGGTATTGTGAGACGTGGTCAGGTAGAGCTCAAAGCATAGGAATATGAAGTAGAAGAATTGTCTTGACGATATGCGTGTATTTTGAAGTATACAAATTTACAGAGGCTTCAAATTCTATATGCTCCCATCTCAAACTCTGACATGCGCGTATGCACGCTCCTCTCCTCGAGCATGGTGATTGCTCGAACACCCTAGTACAAAGGTAACTTGTATGCATCAAAGTCATACATCCAAGTGTTGATGCTAGCCTGATCGTACTCGCAAACAAGCTCGGTACCATTGTTCTTGTACATAGGACGCAAAGGCCAGCTGCACAATTGCCAATTGGGCCGTTGGCTTGTAGAGTGTTGGTTGAGCAGTGGGCAGCGCCGGGCACAAGATAGAGTCTGTACCAGTCGTTCATGGCGGCGACACTGTTGTTGTAGGACTGCTTGGGGTACATTGTCTTGCGAACGGATTCGTAGAAGTGGACGGACGAGCCGGTGGGGATGGAGTCGTCTTGTTCGCCGTGGACGGTGAGAATCTTACCACCGCCGCCGCGGAAGGCTGAGAGGTCGGGGTTGGTGGTCTGGAGAACATCTTCGTACATGTACCAGCCTTGAATCATCCACTCCTTGACAGTGTCGTAGGTGACGTTTGCGAGAGTGTCGAGGTTGGAGGCTTCGACCAGGTTGATGAAGCGAGCGATCCATTCACCGCCAGTAGAGGCGATGTCAAGCTCCCAAGCGCCGGTGTTGGTGTTGTAGGTAGTAGAGGCGTCTTCGAACGAAGCGCCGATCTGGTAATTGATGTAGGCACGACGACCCTCCGAGTCATGAAGACCATTGAGAATGGTGCGAACGAGCTCAACGCCTTGTGCGGAAACAGTGCCGTTCTGCTCGGGCTCATAGCTGGTGCTGCCCATAATCTGTCTCTTGCGCTTACTGCCGAAGCCGAAGCCAAGACTGGAAGCTTGTGTGGCGTCACAGTGGTATGGCTTTCCAATAGTAGAGTTGAGATCGAAGTGAATCTGGCACAGGTCAGAACGAGCGATGACACCGTCGGTCTTGCCGTCAAGAGGGTCACAGAAAGCGATCGTCTCGTTGACAATCTTCTGGAGCTCGCAAGGAGGAGGATAGTAATCGAGAGTCTGCTCAACGACATTGGCGAACAGATGGTTGGCTTGCTGCTGACCGTAGCGGATGGCAGGTGCTCCAATAATGGCACCATCGAAAGCGTCGCTGAAGCGCTGGACCTGACTCCAACCATCACGACCGCCCTCGGAGCAACCCTGATAGTAGGTGTAGACCTTTTCCTTGGTGTCGAAGAAGTTTGCGGTGAACTCGCGACCGATGACAGTCAGCTCTCTTATACCCTTGTATCCGAACATGTAGAGAGCGTCGTAGTCAAGAGTGCCGTTTGCGTAGAGCGAGACAGTGTCGTAGTTGGTGGTGAAATCTCCAAAGCCAGCATCGGTGATACCTGCTGCTGCACCGTAGATGATGCCACCCGGGAGTGAGTTTGAGCCTGAGTTGATGGCAAAACCACCACCTCCAGTGCTCATCCATCTGTTTTTGAAATTGCTTGGGCTAGGGAGCCAGTACTCCTGAAGCACTCTGTCATCTTTTCCGGCATGACCATAGGCGAAGGTGACGTTGCAGTAGTTGAAGGTGCTGTCAGGGAAGAAGGTCTGGCCACTGACCGAGGTGTTGTAGACGGCGTTGGCGGTGACAGAGGAGGGATAAAAGAGGTAGGTTCCGTTCTCAGGGAGCGAGTTGCGAACGTGAGCAGCGGTGCAGACTTGGTCCAGCGACGCAGCCTGAGCAATGGCGGCTGTGGCCGAAGCGGCCAGAATGGAGTTGCGCATGTCTTGACAACGACAGGTCTTGCAGGAAAGAGGTACGGATCAGTGGCTGGTTGCAACTGCTGTCGGAGGATGGATCCGTCATATATACTGCTGCCCTCGTATTTACACCGTCAGTCCACGTCATGGCGCTGGCTGATGATGTGTCTCCGAGTCTGCTGGCGTGTGTCATGTATATCTGTCTTACGCGGTGAGGGCTTGTTCACAAGTGAGTTTGCCTTTGCGGAAGGCCCTACAGCGCGCCTTGGCCAACTCTCTACTCCGTACCAATACGATGGTCGATTGTCTTGTTGTGAATGCGCCCTTCGGCAAGCCGCGTCAATCAGGGCTGTCTGGACGCTGTATATAGTATTCATTCTTGAGGAAAGTTCGAAAAGACCGCATGTTGGACTGCTCGGCCGAGTGCTGTCACCATCTCCGTGTTGATCTCGAGGGCTCATGCTTCCAGAAATCGATCATTCTGTAAGCACAGCAACAAGTCAAGCTAGATTGAGTGGCCGGAATAGGTCAAAGATTCAGGACTGCAGCAGATGATGAAACCAACCATGTTCAAAGGCTGATCGAAACAGTAGCCAGCTTTGAAATCAAGTAGAGTTGCTGCGAACTGAAGCGAGCATGTAAAATCGATTTTGATGCGCGAAGAGAATATCCTATTTGGGATGCGCCGTAGAAACTTCCTACTTTGATATTCTTCGCGTTTGACAGACTTTGTCCTGAGTCACGGGCGTGAGGGCAAACACATGTGTTGCTTCTTGCTGTCCCTGGCGGCGGATCGGTACAAGCAGGGGAAAAGCACGGTAGCACAGGTGCGTATTGAGGGCTGTAGACGAGTAAGATTTGGTTGCAGAGATTTGTTGCGCGCCGTCCAGATGCCATGGCGATGATGGCTTTAAAGGCCTCGGACCAACAATATTCAAGTCACGTTCTATGGTGGAAATTTTGCAAATTCTTCTCCAAAACTCAGCATAAAGCCAAACAATGATGAAAAATAAAGAAGAAAGGCCTGTCAGAAGTCCATCAGTGCCTACCCAATCAAGCCGACCGAAGCCAGACACTCAAAAGGGTCGAGATCATCACCACTGAAGCCGGAGCTAAAGTACTTGGTATCACTCTAAGGCACCGAGGATATATCTCATCCGCCAGGTTGGAGTTCTGTGGCTCTTTTGAAGAGTTCAGATAAGAAGACAAACTAAATGAAAAAGATTCTATCTTGAAGGGGGTCAGTAAGATGCTCAAAGAGTGGCAGTAGTGGTGGCACATACGAAGTAAAGTCGACTAATGAGAGAAAGAGGAGGGCGAGGTGCAGACTTGTTTTATACACCTTGATGAGGCCTGTGCTCAGCCATTGCTTACTAAGCTGCTTACTAAGCGAAGCCGATGGGACTTGCCAGCCCTTTGGAGCTCTGTCTGTCCAAGATGGCATGGGATGTGAAGAAGTTGATTTCGTTCTTTCCTGTCTGAGAGTTGAACACAGGGCACTCGCTCCTTCCTCAGTAGTGAGCTACTCGCGTGCATAATTCATCACATGCAAGACCCTGAAAATCACCAGCAGCCGCGTTCCAACGTCTATGCGGAGCACTTTGACAGGCCAAGGTAAGGATGCGTAGCAACCACTCATATATCTAACAACCAAATCAATGTCCAAATCATCCGCTACTCCATACTTCCAAACCATGTCTGCTATACCTCCACAGCCCCAGCCTTCGCAAGCGCCTCCCTCGCTCCCAACACCAACTCAAGACGCCGAACCGACGTCAACAAAGACGTCCATGTTCCCCAAACCTAAATTGCGCCTCGAACTCCGCGACGTCTGTCACAAGTCCACCAGCCTCTTCCTGAAGAACTTTGACAGCTCAAAAGACTTTGCCGAGTTGGTTGAGACTGTCTTGACACGGCTGTACAGCATTCCCGACCACAAAGATGTCTCGACCACAGGGCCAATACCCGCGCATACGATGATCCCCGGCACGCGATCAGTCACGTTGATTCTACGCGACATGGACGGTGTAGCATACACTACCGGTACAGACCTCGATTCTGACCACAAAGAGATCCACCTCTCCCTCTCCTACCTCAATCATGTCGCGTCACAAAAGCCCGGGTACTCCGCCCGCACAGAGATCCTCGGTGTCGTCTGTCATGAGCTTGTACATTGCTTCCAATGGAATGGGAATGGAACCTGCAATGGAGGCTTGATTGAGGGTATCGCCGACTGGGTTCGTCTCAACGCAGGTTACATTCCTCCTCACTGGAAGAGAGAGGCTGGCAAGAGTTGGGACTCTGGATACCAAAACACTGGTTACTTCCTCGACTGGATTGAGAAGAGCAGGGGCATAGGCAGTGTTTACAAAATAAACCAGGCCCTGTGCAATAAGGAATACAAGAACGACAAGTTCTGGGATCATCTGTTTGGCAAGGACGTTGGCAGTCTCTGGAAAGAGTACGCCGAGTCTCTGAAGAAGTCCAAGGAGGAGGAGTCTGACAGTCACGGTGACCCGAACTTGAAGATGCAGATCCGTATCAAGAAAGAGGTCGAGGGACATGATTGAAGGTGTGAACGACGGCCGGTACAGCTACTCTACTCAATCTTATCTGATGAGCTCATATCCTCTACATATCTTCAAGCTTTGGTCTCGTCCTCGCCTTGCTTCTTTGCCTTGACACTTCGCCACTCGAAGCCCCAGGATGCCACAAATACGAGGCAAGACAAACCCAATCCCAAGTACCAAATCGACCTGATGGAGTCGTTGTACACCCGCAGCACGATAGGAAGCTGATCTAGAGACACCATGTCTCTGATGGCGGTTGCCCCTGCACCCGAAATTGTACTCGGATCCAAGTCTGGAAGAATGTCTCTCAGCCCAGAGACCAGACCGTTCTCGAGGAGTGTCTGAGAAACAGTGACAAAGGTACTTCCTGCGAAGAACGTGATGAATTGTAGGAACGATAGTCCAACAGACACATCGCTGTCTGGGAGGACTGTCTGAGCTGCAATATTCGGTCCTTGGAGAATGGCACCAAGCCCAACACCTGTCATAATCTGGGTCTTGTTAGCCTTTGTATCGTACATGCAGTGTTGAAAGTCAGCTTACCTGATATCCGATCCATATCCCGGCCCCGATGTTAACCGACCACGTTGTAAGCAGTGCTGACCCTACAATGAGGATAGCACTCCCGATGATCAGAAACGGTGTGTAATACCCTAGCAAGCTCGTTCCGACACCACACGCAATCACTGCAAAGACATTACTGAGCAGCAGTGGCAGTAGGGACAGGCCAGACTTTTGCGGCGACTTCCCCTGTATGACCTGAAACCAAATCGGCAAGTAGAAAGCATAGATGACGAGCACTGCTCCAACACCCAAATTCGCCACAGATGCAGCTATTATGCTGCGCTGTTTGAGGATCCTTGGGGGTAAGGTTGCCTTGTCTCCACGCCAGGCTTGAGAGGCGATAAAGGCCAAGAGAAGGACGGCAAAGACGACGAACAGCGCGATGATGCGACCACTGTTCCAGGGATATTTAGAACCACCCCATTCGATGGCGAACAGGAGGCAGATGACTGACGGCGCTATCAGGATGAAGCCGAGAGGATCCAGTTGATCGAGCTTTCCACGCCAGGTCGGAGCTGCCTTGACAGCAGGAGGACTGTTTGGCGTGAAGTAAACAAGGCAGCCTAGAGATACAGCGCCGACAGGGACATTGATCCAGAAACACCAGCGCCAGGAGACCGATGTGAGGTATCCTCCCAACAGTGGTCCGAGAATGCTTGCAAGTCCGAAGACGGCACCGATGCCACCAGTCCATTGAGGCCTGGCTTGCAGAGGCACCAGCATGCTGATGAGGATGATTGCTCCGGACCCGATACCTGCTCCACCGATGCCTTGTATAACTCTCCCTATGATGAGAGCGTTGGAATTTGGGGCAGCGGCACAAACAATGGAGCCGATCTCAAAGATTGAGACGAGGATTATGAGAACCCACTTCGATGAGTAGTATGTGTATACCAGGCCGAATGATAATTGGAGCGCACAGAGAGGGAGGAGGAAGCCTGACTCGTACCAAGCAATGTCTCCAAAGCTGTTGAACTGGTTTGATATGGCAGGAATAGCAGTGCCGATGATAGTACGATCCTGTGTGAATATGTTAGTCTCGTTTCATACGGCTTCATGATCAAACTTGAGGTTGTCACAATGCACGAAGCCAGTATGTCTGGAGAGACTTCCATTGAAGGCACATACAAGTATGACACTCAATGGCCATTGAACATACAGCAAGTCGAAGAAATATTAAAGCAATCGGGACGTACCAATGCAACAAGAAACATTGCCAAATATATAGCAGCCATAGCTGGAAGAACAACCTTCTTAGAAGGATATGTCTTCTCATCCTTTTCGTGCTCTGAACTTTGTGTGTTTTCGCTTTTGGTTGTGTCCAACTTGTTCACCCCATCTTTGGGGTCCTGCTCCGAGCTCTTTCTATCCATGGTGTGAATCTCGGTTTCAGTCAAAGATAATGAGGATGAAGATACGAGGAATTACCAAAGATGGAATGCTTTCCTTATATGTCCAGACTAGCTAGATCTAGGCAACGATAATATCTGCCATTTGGTGAGACCTCCTGCTTCAATGACGATGATTGATTTTATCTTGGACCTCGGCCTCGGGGACCGAGCTCACCTCCCATCGAAATCTCGGACTTCCCCCGAAGCCGTCGTTCTCGAGACAACCTCTCACGACAGTCATGTGGGCATTTTCGTCGCCGAATCAGAAGCAGACATCTCGAAAAACATGAGCAATCAAGCTTGTGAGCCGTGTGCGAGACGGAAGGTGCGATGCGACAAACAACAGCCGTGTTCAAACTGCAAGCGGAGAAAGCAGGATCAATGCACCTACCCAGAGGCAGCTCCTACCGACCGCGTCAAACGACTTGAATCTCTTGTTAGAAGCCTCGGAGGCGATCCGAATAGTGATGGAAGTCGCACCCCGAAGCGCGCGAGATTGGGTCCTTCTCCCGTTGAGACCCAGAGTAACGACCGAGATGCGGGCGCCTCCACCGAGAGCGAACGTGGACAACCCATCTTGGTGGAGCAAGATGGTCAATCATATTATGTTGAAATGTCAGTAAACCGATTACATGAGGAAGGCTGGGTATCCATGCTGATGGTTCTAGGCGTGCCTGGCATTCGCATCTCGGTCTAGAAGTCAATCAACAAAACGAGGTCAATCATGATGTACTGATGAGCAGACCTCTCATCTCAAGAACGAAGCCGGACGCGTTGCAAGGCCTTCTTCGTGCCGACTACAACATCAACCTTGCGCTTCAACATCCTTCCGTCCAGGATGCCAATTTTCTATGGGACAGATTCGAGCGAAATGCCAACCCATTGATCAAGATTGACTTTGACTGGGCTCTCAAGGGACTGCGAGCTAATTCGACTGACATAGAAGGCCGGACAAGTCTGAAGGACCCAGAGCATACTTTTCTGTTCTGCCTTTATCTGATGAGTATTGTCAGCATTCCCGAGGAAGAGTGTACAAAGATTTTGCACCAACCAAAGCAAGTACTGCTATCTCATTATCAAGCTGTCTGCGAACAAGCACTGTCACGCAGCAACATCTTCTGCATCGCTGATGTTATCATCATACGAGCTCTGATCTTGTACATGGCAAGTTGTGTCTCCCCCAGCGCCTGGACCACCTGCTAATTGCTCCACAGGCGGCTTCCATCGAACGATTGAGCATACGGAGCTTGTTTTCACTCGTGGGTCTCACGATACGCAATGCAGAAGCCTTGGGTATCCATCGCGATGGTGCCATCCTTCGCCTCAATCCAGTGGAGACAGAAAGTCGTCGTAGATTATGGTGGCATCTACAGCATCTCGACCTTGCGTTGGGTGTGCGTTGCGGAACAACACCACTCACGCTGATGGCCGGATGGGATGCAAACGTCCCACTAAACGTCGAAGACAGTGACCTCAACCCGGACATGACTGAGGCTCCGGCGGAGCGCAAAGGTTTGACGAGCCTGTCATACTGTCTTTGGACGTATTGGATCGTATCACAGCAACGCGAGTTCTTCTCTTCCAACAGGGGCAAACTCGGCATATCATGGGCATCCAACAAGTCTTTGCCTCATGCTACGAAGATCTCTCTGATCAATACCATGGAGGAAGGTCTCAACAAGAAGTTCCTGCAGTACTGCGATCCCATCAAGCCGCTTGATATCCTAGTCCAGCTGACTTCCAGAGCACTGATATGCACTATGCGTATGTTCACCTTGCATCCAATGTCATTCAGTGGGGATGCGAATATCACCGACGAACAACGACATGCTCAGTTGGTTGAGGCTGCCATCAAGTCTTTGGAGTACAACATCGCCCTGAACTCTCGACCAGAAATTCAGCGCTTTCAATGGTTCATCAATGGCTACTTTCAATGGCATGCTTGTGAGTCTCGTCCTTCCAGCCGCAGCTTCAGTATAGTACTGACAATCCGCAGTCATCAGCGTAATAGTCGAAGTCATGCAACTCAAAGGCTCACCCGAAGCCCAGCGCATCTGGGACTTACTCTCCGACCTCTACACCTACAACAAAAACCTTCTCGAGCTTTCAGAGGATAGACGAAAACTTCACGCTGCAGAACTAATCACCAGTGCTTGGAAAGCTCGACAGACAGCTGATCCTTCTGCCTACAAGCCGGCTTGTGTCTCCATATTAGAGCCTCTTCTCTCAGACAATCGTGGAGATGCGACAAAAACGCAGACTGAGGTTGTTGGACAACCATTGGGGCCCGTCATGACGGATGAAGATCTTAATGCGATGCTGGACCTCGAATTTCAAGATATCGATTGGGGCTTTTGGGCGGGTATGGAGTAGATACTTTCTTCAATTGGTCCTCTGCAGCCTTTTCAAGGAGAAACCGGATCGCCCTTGGTGCTTCGCGCAGCTGTATGTGAAATTTCGGTTGGTGTTTGAGTTGAGACCATACGCCAGGGTCATACCCTCGACAAGCACATTCGACACCTTTTTCGACGTATCGAGCCAATCAGCCTCTGTCATGGCCTTTGAAATGCTCTGGGACTGGCGGAAGGATCTCAGCTACCATCACAAGAAGTTTAGCTGGGGGCTCACGCGTTTCCGTCCCACAATAGACGATTTTGCGTTTTCACAATCGATGGAATGGAAAATGGGCGCAGCTCTCATGTGTCTGACAACATTTTTCGAAAAACATTGATCACCGAGGCGAACGATTACCGGATACAATTAATCAAAGTATAATTTAGCATTAAGCTGACTTCTAGTGTATATATATATGTGAAGAGAAAATCGAAAAAGACAAAGCCGCAACGCTAAAGATCCAAAGACAAGATATTGGCCAAGAAGAAACAACTACTCCTTCTCAACCTCCCAGTTGGGGAACAGCATCGTAAGTCTCTTCAGACTCATTCGCTTAGGCTTCGGTGCCTCCTTGACCGGACCATGGTACGCAGCACGGCTGACGTGCATATTGTTCCATTGAGCGTGCAAGTCGTTCCACGTCAATCGCTTTCTGTCGCGTGCGGCTTTCTTGGTCTCGATTTGTACAGGCTTGACCCAGGGTCTGACGCCTGAGTCTTCTGTGATGCGTTGGGTGAGCTCGGGCGATTGGGATTGCTGACGCTGTTCGGGCTGTTGGCGCTGCTCCGGTCGTTGGATGGTGACCTCTTCCAGGGAGATGGCGTCTTCATCTTCGTGGAGTGTGGCGTCGTCTGGTGCTCTGCAAGAAGAACGTCTTCGTACGAAGGTTTCGACAGGCGAAGGCTGAGGTGTAATATCCACCTCGGTCGCGTTGATGACGACCGGAGCAGGGATAGATTTGACTTTGTGCATCGAGTCGGTGCCGTCGGATACGGAAGAAGCGGATATGGAACGCACGCTGACAGCCTTGGCTTCACCAAACTCTGCCTCTTCCATTGCGTCGAGTCTGGGGTTGTCTGAAGAGTGGTCGCTGCGTTCGCGCCAGCTTCTGATCAAGGGACGCAGAGTGAGAAGACAGGCGGCAGCGATTCCAGTACCGACCTCAGCCACACTCAGGACGGCTACCGGGTACGCGTTGGTCCAAAATTCTGATCCCATTCCACCCAGTGCTTGGATGAAGCCAAAGCGAGGCATGGACATGACACTGCTGACGCATCCGAGCACGAGAATGAAGCAAGCAGAGATCTTGGCCTGGTGATTCATCTTCATGGCGCGGAGAGCGAAGATGGGCAGGAGTGTGAGCAGCCAGTCTGCCGAGGTATTGATGACGCTGTTTGTGTATTGAATGCCTTGCATGGCGTCCCAACTGACACACATAGAGTGATGATAGCGACTGTAAAAGTTGGTCGGGCTGCCGCAACGGAAGATGGTGAAGAAGAAGGTAGCAAGGCCGAAGGCTGTGTGAATACCAACGCAGACCTGCACGACAATACGCTGCCATCTCTCCAAGAGGATGCGATTGAAGGTGATTGCCAACGAGGCTTTGAGGAATACGTTGCCCAGAGTGTAGAAAGCGAACTGGAAAACCTGGTACTGTTGGATTCATCAGTTTCGAGATCTCCAATGCCGAAGAGTGCAAGTAAGACTTACAGTAACATAGACTGTGGCAACCTCGACATCTTTCAAATTCCGTCCAATGGCAATGAGAAGGCCACTATCGGCTGTGAAGATGAGCTGGGAGCGAGTCAGTATGATGATCTGAGGTGGACTTCTATTCTTGTTGCATACAATTGTTATGACCATAAGCCAGTCGTCTAGACCAAATGAACGCATGATATATCCTTTGACGACGGTCCGTAATGAGAATGCGATCCATGCGACGACTAGATATGCGCTGGAGACACCAATCATGGTGTTTGCTCTCCCTTCGAGACCCATGACGATGGGCTGGTGTGACACTGTGGAGATTGGAAAGATATGGAGAAGTAAGAGCTATGTATCAAACGAGCCTGAGTCTGGATGGCGATCGTTTGGATTGATAGGCGGTCAATGACAGTGGTAGAAGTAGATGGTATCAATGAGTGTATCGTTCCGAAATGAGTGGAGGAACGTAATGAATTGGTGTAGTGTTTTGAAGGAAGAGAAATGTCAAAATAATGGAGGAAGGAGCAATGGGAAGCTGGGAGAGACACATGCCTTTTACCTACCTCATACACGTCCATATTGACTGTATGCAGACGCGAATGGTTCTACAACGGCAGTAGCAATGGCGTCGACGAATTTGTGTAGAAGCTCCCTTGTAAGCATGAATGAGACAGATCTATCGAAATGCACAGGCTCTTCGTCGCTTCGGTCAGAGAGCGTTGAACGTTTTCTTCGATAAATAGCCGTCGTCGGCACTTGTCAGGCACATATCCAACAGATCTATTCCACAACTCTGCCCGAGACAAGCATGAGATGGACGCATAACCTGAATGCGATGTAGAATCAAGGTCTAGCGTGTTGACAAGAAACCACGCGATGATAGTTGAAGTTTCGGAGAGTTCAAGGAAGGAAGAGATGGTGAGAGGAAAAGCAGAAACGTTGGCAACAATTTCTTGGCTTCCCAGCCTTACCAGCCACCTCGTCTTTTCGTTTCTGCTTCCACATTCTCCGTTTCTTCACCTGTCTCACCAGAAACAACGAATCGCAACGTTTACAACGACTATGCAAAGCTCGAGTCAGGTACTACAAGTCCGCTCTGGATTGGTCTTGCTCAACGATGGCGGGGTATGCCATCCCTCCGCGGCTTAGTTCACCGACAGCTAGCACTCCCACGTTACGTTTGTTCCTGGCCATAATAACAATGCATCAAAATCGGCAAATACATTGCTTGTTCAAACTTCTTCTAGGATAATTTCGTACTGATCACTTCTTTCTACTCACATTAAAGGCAAGGGTGGTGCATTGCGAAGCAGACTGGTTGTATTTATATTACAGTATAAACTAATTCATACAAAAAAGCAGAAACTCATCAGGGGAAACAGAATGAAGAACCAAAGAAAAACAGACATTAATGCTAACAAAGACAAAACAGACAGAAACTCCATGCTATGCATCTGGTCCAATAGTGTTCGTTGCTCGTGAAGCCAATTGACTTCTTGGATCTTGGTGGTGTGAAAATGTGTCGCTTACTCGATGTTGATCTTGCGAGTGGTGGGTGCAGATGCCTTAGGAACGACGATGCTCAAGATGCCATTCTTGAGGCTAGCACGGACATTGTCCTGGTCGACGCGAGAAGGGAAGGCAAAAGAGCGTGAGAATTGGCCGACTGAGCGTTCAGAAACCCAGTATCGAGACTGAGGACGCTCGGATGCTTGCTGGACTTCCTGGTTCTGGTTGTTGTTGTTGGTGGTGACGACTTGCTGGTCCTCTGCGGACTGGTCAGAAGGTTGAGCACCAGACATTGTGGTCTCGTCCTCAACGGTGGGCTTGTGGTAATGCTGACTGGAGGTGTCTGATGACTGTTCAGCGGAGGCAATACGGCCCTGCTCCTGCTGACCTTCGAGTGCGGCAGGAGGAGTGCCGGACTCGCGATGGCGTTCGGTACGTCCCTTGATGCTCAAGGTCTGAGCATCAGTGAACTCGATCTGGATGTCCTTCTGATCGACTCCGGGAAGCTCGCCATGGAGCTCATAACCATCCTTGACCTCCTTCACATCGAAGCGAGGCTGGAAGGATTGAAGCTGAGACAGATTGCTGAAGTTTCCAAACTCATCGCCTTGACGAGAGATCTGGTGAGAAGCGTAGTCGTCCAGAAGGCGGAAGAGAGGGGCGAATTCGCCAGAAGGGAAGCGTGGGAAGGAGAACATTGTTCTGACTGGAGTAGGCTGAGCGATTTTGATGATTCTGTAAGCTTGAGGGAGCTTGTTGGAGATGCGGTAGTGTTGCATGTAATTGTTTGCTTGGTTGTTGTGGTTGTTTTCTGTTCTGATGATGAGATTCCATGGTGGACTCGACTGCTCCCTTTATACCTTTTAGCCAATGCTCCAGGCAGTCATCTCTAAGCTGCCAGAGTATACCAGAATGTGCTCGTCCAGTCTCACCACCACAATGCTGCTGCATAATGCACCTCTAGAAGGTGCCAGTCATGTCTCCTGACAAAGATGCTGGTACAAAGGATAGATGGTTCCAGAATAGGAAGGAAGTTTCCAGAAACTTCCCCTTTCGGATATCACGTGATTGTGCTCATTAGTAACCAACCGCCGCCCTTCCAGCGAGGATGACAAAGCGATGCTCAGACAACGATGCAAAGAGTACAAGGCACACATTACAGAGAGTAGTAGCAACTCGGGTGAAAAATCCAGTTCCCGGCATGCTAAATTGATAGAGTAGTCAGGGGAACGAAGACGAGATGGGGAGTTTTCGCATGACGCGCTTGAGAAGACTTTCTGGGGAAAAGCTGGGGTCGCCGACATCGTCTATCTTGAGTGATGCGACCACGATTCAATTGTAACAAGAACGCAACATGTCGTCTTTCTCAGTATGTGCGTTCGGATCTGCTCAATTGTCCTCTGTTAATCCCAATGGCCAGTAGAGACTTGTCCGTTTCCTTGCGAAGGATGGCAAAACATACTACGGTGATGCACTCATGCCATCAGGAGCGACCGACATGACAAGAGTGGCTCAGGCCAAGGTTATTCAAGGTACACCATGGGGACAACACCGCGTCACAGACCGCATAGCTGTATGCTGTCGTCGAGAACCGTCAGTACAACACACACGCTGAAGTTGGCCAGGATGTGCAAAAGCTCCTCGCACCTCTAGCCCGAGAAGACATCAGGACTGTCCGCTGTCTGGGCCTCAACTACGAACAACATGCCATCGAAGTATGTTTTTGCTCGCTCGAGTCCGACAGCATCTGCTGAATCGCGTCAACAGTCCAACATGCCCATTCCGAAATACCCCGTTCTGTTCTACAAGCCCGTCACCTCCGTCGCCGGTCCCTTTGACAACATACCCGTCTGCGCCGCTGCTCAAGAAGGCGAAGGCCTCGACTACGAATGCGAGTTGATTGCCGTCATCGGAAAAGAGGGATCCAACATTCCCGAAGCACAAGCACTTTCGCATGTGGTAGGTTACGCTGTGGGAAACGATGTCTCTCATCGTGATTGGCAACTCAAACGTGGCGGTGGTCAATGGGGTCTCGGCAAAGGCTTCGATGGATGGGCTCCCTTTGGCCCTGCCATAGTCAGCTCCAAGTTGATCCCAGATCCGCAAAACCTGAGAATTACCACAAAACTCAACGGGAACATTGTGCAAGACAGTAATACTGGTGACATGATCTTCGGAGTCGCAAAGACTATCAGTGTCCTGAGTCAAGGTACCACTTTGCTGCCCGGAGATCTCATCTTCACTGGAACGTAAGTGTATCGAACCACCCGAGCAATACACATACTTACACGAGAGCAGCCCACAAGGAGTCGGTATGGGTCGCAAGCCTCAAGTGTGGTTGGAAGATTGTGATGTTGTTGAAGTCAATCTCGAAGGTGTGGGTAGTTGCATCAACAAGGTCGAATTTGCAAAGACCAAGGCACGCCTGTAGAATTAGTGGGCGGAATCCAAGATAATCAAAGTCCCAACAAGAGCAGAACGCGGATCACCCGGCAATGTGCATTACGACGTGATTCTGGCCGTGTTTCAACCATGGAGGAGACGGGTCCAGCCGGCATAACCAAGTAGGAAGTCACGACCAACAGGAACCTTGGGCTGTCAACCCAACTCCGCACGCATTAATTCCCCTGTACAACTCATCTACAGGATGAGTTCCAATGCATCGCGCCGCCGTACCCGGGCTTTACTTCAAGCATCCCCTGCATCTCCTGCATCGACGAGATCAGGTCAAACAAGCTATTCACAATACACCTCCTACGAGTACTCGACCCGACCTCGTACTGCTATCTCCACAATCGGCGTAGAATCCCGGCAGATCATCTGCGCTGTCAGTGAATCTCGAGGTATTGCTCCTACCGTCGGTCTTGCATTTGTCAACCTGGAAACTGGTGAAGCTGTCCTCAGTCAGATTCCAGACAGCCAGTCGTACGTCCGAACTTTGCATAAATTGGCAGTCTTCAGCCCCTCGCAGATCTTGATTGTGGATACTGCCGCCCAACCAAAGTCGAAGCTCTTTTCGATCATTGAGGAGAACTTGGATGATTTGAACAGCAACTTGACTCTCCTCAATCGACGTTATTGGGCCGAGACCACCGGCATTGAGTTCATCGAACAATATGCCTTCGTCGAAGATATTGAAAGCATCAAAATGTCTGTCAACGGTAACTACTTCTCTGTTTGTTGCTTCGCTGCAGTAAGTTCTACTCTTGCCATATAATTAAAGACAGTCTGCTGACGATGTACAGACTCTAAAATTCATAGAGCTTGCTATGAACAAAACCTTCCCGCCACACTCGCTGAGAATCAAATATGAAGCGTCCGAAGGCTCCATGATGATCGACCTTTCTACCATTCGTTCGCTCGAGCTGATCCAGAATCTCCAGAATCAAAAATCGTCTGACTGCCTCTTCGGTGTCTTGAATGAGACGTTGACGCCGATGGGCTCGAGACTGCTACGCAGCAACGTCCTACAACCTCTCACCGATGAACAGACTCTAGAGACTCGGTACGACGCTCTGGAAGAGTTATCAACCAAGGAAGAGATGTTCTTTGCGACAAGAGCAGCGATGAAGGTGATACTCGATGCAGACAAGATATTGACTCAGCTCATCATCATCCCGACCAAACCGTCTTTACATTCTACCGAGCAAAGTATCAACAACATCATCATGCTCAAGCAGTTTGTGGGCGGCATTCAGCCAATTCATGAGGCGTTGACAGGTGCAAAAAGCGTCATGCTGAAGGAAATCAAGCGTGTCAGTACTTCGAACGATCAGTGTACTACGACTCTCGTACTGACAAAAATCAAGAACTGTATTGCTGCCATCATCGACCCGGTCAAGGATCTCATCGACGAGTTCATCAACGAGGATATCACGTATGCGACGAAGCCAGTCGAGTTGCGTAACCAAAGAACATACGCAGTAAAGGTAGGCAGTGCGTTGAGACAATTATAGCCGACGCCTGGACTGACAATCGACACAGTCAGGGGTCAATGGTCTGCTTGATGTCGCCAGGCAAACATACAAAGAGGCCAACATGGATGTGTATGAGCTCGTTCAAGAGTTATCAGGTAATTCGTGCTGCCTGAGAGTAGATGGAGAATGTTCTGACCGCCCTTCAGAGACGCACACCTTACCATTGGAGCTCGTCTTTGACAACGCTAGGCAGTACTACCTCCGTCTCAACGCCTCCGAACTCGAAGAAAGAAACTTGCCGCCGGTGTTCATCAACGTCATACGCAAAAAGAACAAGATCGAATGCTCGACGTTGGATCTGCGAAAACGAAGCCAAAAGATAACTGACTCGCATACTGAGGTATTGTTGATGAGCGACAAGGCCATACAAGAGTTGATCTCCGAGATACGTGTCTACATGTCGGTGCTCTTCAAAGTCTCGGAAAGTATTGCCATGTTGGATATGCTCTCCTCTTTCGCCCACAATGTCACTCTACAGGACTATACCCGGCCTAGGATTACGCATACCCTTGGAATCAAGGCTGGTCGTCACCCAATCAGGGACAAAGTACAAAATAGCACATTCATCCCGAATGATGTCTTCGCGACTCAGCAGTCTAGATTCCAGATCATCACCGGCTGCAACATGAGTGGGAAGAGTACTTACATTCGATCCGTTGCCTTGTTGTCAGTAATGGCTCAAATTGGCTGCTTCGTGCCAGCTGAATTTGGCTCTTTCCCCATCATCAAGCAGTTGTTTGCGAGAATCTCCATTGATGACAGTATCGAAGCCAACGTGTCAACCTTCGCATCAGAGATGAGAGAGACAGCATTCATCTTGAGAAATGTTGACCGTCACAGCCTGGTGATCATCGACGAGCTCGGTCGAGGAACTAGTCCAAGAGATGGACTTGCTATAGCCTTGGCAATTGCAGAAGCTATGGTGTCAAGTCGAGCACTGGTGTGGTTCGCAACTCACTTTAGAGATCTGGCAAAGATCTTGGCTGAGCGCAATGGTGTAGTCAACAAACATCTGGCAGTTGACATGTCTGAGGCCGACACGATGGCTATGCTGTACAGACTAACCGATGGTGTTGTGTCCGAACAACATTATGGTTTGCAATTGGCAAAAGTAATGCCACTACCTCCCGATGTCATCGAGTATGCGACAGAGGTGGCGGAGAAGCTTCAAAGACAAGTAGAAAGGAGGAAGAGAGCTTCCAAGGGCGTCATCCTCAGTCGAAAGAGGAAGCTTATCCTTGGTCTAAAGGAAGAGCTCATGCACGCCTATACCGGAGCGATGGAAGGACCGGTCTTGCAGAGTTGGCTGAAAGAGCTTCAACGAGAGTTCGCAGTCCGAATGACGGCCATTGATAAAGAGGCAGACGAGGCTGATAACCAGAGTCTTGATATGGAGGAAGATCTGACAACTTCAGAGGCTATGACAAACGACACTGACTCGGTAGAATATCAGGGAGGTGACGAAGCCACTAGCAGTCACGAGGCGAAATCCACTGTTCGAGATGACAGTAATATGTCGGATAGATATTGATGATGAAGGAAGTGGCTTCAGAAGCAGCGGATTAGCCAATGTAGTCAGATTTTGCTGCACGACAACTCGATAGCTCAATCAAGGTGTAAGCGATGAGTTGACATACCGGATGTTGCAATATTCAATACTTCTTCACGCCAGGGGCATCGGATGATCTAGCCATACCGACGCCAAGGTAGAAAGAAGCACCTGCACGACGACGCCGGTATTGAGCGGACCTGTTTTTTTAGCCACACCCCCCCTTCGATTCCTCACCAAAAACACGGGGGTTTCCGTATGTTTAGACCCCCTGTTTAAACAACACTGCGAAAAAACTCATTGGAGCCTTCCACCGGGCACGAAAACTTGAGTTTTTTTCAGATTCCCCGATTCTTCTCCGGATTCCCCGGTTCTTCCCCGAAAAACATTGGGAATTTTCTCTCAAAAATAGGTCTTCCAGGCACGGTAGAAGGCTCCAATGCGTGCGGCGTAGAGGTATACAAGAATTTGAGTACGGAAACCCGGGGTCGAGCGTGCACGGCCAGAATTTGTATGGGACTTGGCGTACGTGGGGGTTTTACTAGTCCGCTCAATACCGGCGTCGCTGCACGACAGCAAAATTGTGTCGCAAAACTCTGAATGTAACTCACACCGCATGCTCTGCCAGCTTTGTCGTGCGATCGATCGCCGACGAGGCAAAAAAATGATGCAAAAGAAGAAAGGTCGTACCCGGGATCGAACTGGGATTACCGGAATCAGAATCCGATGTGCTAACCATTACACTATACAACCTGTGATATGAGCAAAGTCCAGCAATATCGTATATAATTCATCATTTGTTGGTCATTAAACAGGCGCGCATTCGTGTGCGAAACACCGTCTCTCGATTTGCGCACGTCTTCAAATACCAACTGTCGCGACAGGCTTTCATTGAATCCAAATTTTCCATTCCCGACCGAGCAAAGCAATTCACCAAAAAAGCCCCAACTCTGCAACCATCCACTCAAAACAACAAGAACAGCCCAAAAAACGACAAGAAACAGAAAAAAAGAAGAAAAGAAAATGCTAGACCTCCTAGCCGACCCCCAAAAAACAGCAATAGCAATAGCCTATACCTTTGACCTCCGACTAAGTTCCGACGAAACCTGCACCCGCCTCTCCATCACCAGAAAATCTCTAGATGCACTTGTACGCTATATACGCGAACAAACTGTTCCAACCGATGGCTTGCAAACACTTCTCAACATCACAGACCCTCAGAAACGGCAAATAAGTCCTGGATCCAAGGTTTCACTGGCGTTGCGTGATGGGATTCGACAAGATGGGAGGATGAAAAGTGGGTCTGGGGTGGTGGATGCAGTGAGGTCGACGTTGGTGGAGTTGCAGGGGAGGGGTGTGTTGAGCAGTTTCATTTGGGGGTTGGATGAGTGGATGGTGGAGGAGGTTGCGAATGGGGAGGGGCATTGTCAGGCTGATCCTAGTGGGCAGGAGAAGCTTTGGAACAAGAAGAGGGAGAGGTCTGAGAATGGAAGTGAGGATGGTGTTGGAGAGGAGGTTGAAGAGGTTTTTGATGATGATAGGGAACCGCCTACGCCTCCTAGATTGAGGAAGCGCTACGCTCCAGGTGAGATTTGCACAAAGGCGGCGAGGAAGAAGTGAGCAAAGTACTACAGGGTCGAGCCAGAGATTGTTGAAGGCCCCGATATAGAATGGACATACAAGGTATCAATAGATCAAAGTCTTGTCACGAGAGCACATGCGATTCGAAATCATGACTGATCGTTTCCAGATCTATGGTACAGTATTTTCGTTCGCATCCGCAGACACAGTTGCTGCCGAATCTGAAGCAGCCCATGCCATCCTCCCATGTCCTTCCTTGCTATTCATTAGAGAGAAAAAGAAAGAGGAAACCTCCTTCCCAGAAAAGTTGAAAATAACGCCCCGCTCAAAGATGCGTGTAGATGCATGCAGAAGGTGGTCATGATTTACAGCTTCTGGTATTCGAGCTTGCCTTCAAGCTTCTTGGACTCGGCGACCTTGCGGACGGCCTTGTTGAAATCGTCTTGGTTGACAGCGTCACGGTAGTCCTTGATGGCGAAGAGACCGCTGTGGATGAATGTCAGCATGCTTGTTGATTGCGTGTCAAGAGGGGGTAAAACTCACGCTTCGGTCACGACGTTTCTCAAATCGGCACCGTTGAGCTGATCACTCATCTTGACGACGCTTTCGTAGTCAATCTCGCCCTCCTTCACTACGCCCTCTGCGTGAATCTTGAGAATCTCCATGCGTCCGACCTCGTTGGGGAGAGGAATCTCAATCTTTCTGTCCAGACGACCGGCACGGAGAAGAGCAGGGTCGAGAGTATCGGGTCTGTTTGTAGCCATGATAATCTTTGTCTTTCCGAGGTAGTCGAAACCGTCGAGTTGGTTGAGTAGCTCCATCAAGGTTCTTTGAATTTCTCTGTCGGCAGAGGTACCCTCTGAGAATCTGCGACCACCGATGGCATCGATTTCGTCCATGAAGATGATACAGGGTTCGTGTTCCTTTGCGTAGCCGAACATCTCGCGGATCAGGCGGGCGGATTCACCAATGTACTTGTCGACGATGGCGGATGAGACGACTGCAGTGTGTTAGTAAACGATTAGAAGCAGAAGACGACAAGGGCAACATACCCTTCAAGAAGTTAGTTTCGAGACTGCTAGCCACGGCTCTAGCGAGAAGTGTCTTTCCAGTACCAGGAGGGCCGTATAGCAAGACACCCTTTGGTGGCTTGATGCCGACTCTAAGGAAGAGCTCGGGGTTCTTCAACGGCAACTCGATAACCTCGCGCAGCTCTCTGATCTGCTCGTTCAAGCCACCAATACCAGCAAAGTTGATTTGTCCAGGATCCTCGAGGGACATGTTGTAGACGAGCGGGTCGACCTCTCGCGGGAGCATGCGCATGATTGTGAGGGTTGTCATGTCGAGGGCGACACGGGTTCCTTGCTTGAGCTTCAGCTTGTCGACCTTTGACCTGCATCCGACGACATAGCGCGGTCCTGATGATGCCTTGACGATGACTGCGGAGGGTGGGTTAGTTGTGTTCCCATGGACCAAGCGGGCAACAACATACATCGCTCCTCATCCAACTGCTTCAAGACCTCTCCGATGATCTGACCGACACTCTGCAGGGCCTTGATGTTGTCCTCGGAAACGTCAAAGTCATGTTGCAGGCCCTTGATCTCTAATCGCAGCGCCTTGAGCTTTGCCTCCCATTCTCTTGACTCCAGCAGCTTGGTCTTGTATCCATCCAGCGCGTGTTCTCTCTCAGGGTCGGCGCTCATTGTGTCGGATGTGAGCTGTGTGTGGTTCGATGAGATCGTGTGATGTGAGGCGGCGACAAGCTCGTGGTAGATGGATGATGTTTGGCCGACTGCGAGCCTTCGGATCATGGACGGAGAGCTTCCAATGCCGTCACACGTGCAACGCCAAGTCTTTATACATCCTTCATCATCTATGCATCGGTCACAATCCATGCATGCTGTTTCATCCTCCCTCCACAATTCCTTCACGCTTTTCGCGTCTCACTTTCCTCTCCTTCGCCCTCTGTTCGAAACAATCCTTCGTCGCACTGACTTGACTTTGCTTTGAGCTATCCATTCTCAATTTATTCAAGCCTCGTCTCAACAGATCAAGTGCGCTGAGCCACACAACAGCTTTTGACTGCTTGTGCCGCAGAAACTCCAAATTTGAGGCTGAGTTGCCTAATATATACTCCGTGACTGCCTGACTTGCTATGTCTCTGCGATGAGAGTCAGGCTTCTATCCTCAGAGACTTGCCAAGCCACATCCCATCTCAACTCAGCCTCCTGTAATTGATCCTTTGATTCCTGCAATCCTTTCTCTGCCACTCTCAACGTGCTTCACATGGTGTCAATGCTGTGTGGGTAGGTCGCCTAGTCTTCTCGAGGTAGGTCTGCAATCTCAACTATAAGACTCTGTCTGTCGTTCTGCCTGTCCAGCCTTTCTCTCTACATCGAATATCAAATTTGCATACATACAAAGCTTCTGCCAAATATCATCAATCGTCCACTTAGTCGCCAGCGCCAACCCATATATCGACACATCTCACTGCACAACTTCAACATGACCACCACGAATTGGAGCTACGGCTTTCTCATCACTTTCTGGGTACTGCAAATTCTCGTCTGTATCGTTGGCTGGTTCTTCGGCGCCGTCGCACTCAACGTCAAATCGTTGTTCACTGACCACCACAATGTCGAAGGCGCGGGTAGAGCCCTCGAGTATGCAACTTCTGCCCCCAAATCAATGGATGATTGCAGCTAACGAATACTCTAGAACCAGTGGTGCCATCTGGATATCATTCTCCAGTGTCAGCTTCATCCTAATCGTCGCCGAAATCGTCATGTTAGCTAAGCATGATCTACGCCCTGCATTTGCCGTCGCATCTGGTGCCATCAAGACTACCTTATGGTTGGTCGTATTCATCATCGCGCTTTCCAACATAGCGTTGGGCTCCTTCAGTGTTATCACACTCATCGTTTACGCAATATTTCTGTAAGACTTTTAATGCTCTGATTACTCTGTATATGCATACTAACTTATCACAGGGTTATGTTCGCTATTCCTTTGGTCTACACTTCTTACATGCTCCGACGCCATCGCAAAATACTTTACACTCCTGTTGTCACGCAGTCTGTTTGAATCATATGTACTCATTGTATGAACAGCTTACGAATTTTGCACCCTTCTTTGTCGATAGAGTTCGTCGCTACTCTTCCATGGTGAGAAGGAGCACTCCTGTTTACGTGTGGGCCCCATGTCATTCCTCCTATGTCGTGTCTGAAAGTGCATGTGCCCCGGTGTCCAACCTTGGGAATATTCCGAGCAAGCATTTGTCTTTGTTCAAGGTCTCTTCTAGGAACTACGTTATGTTGCAACGTAGAGGTCAAGTGCTTTGGAACTGCAGAAGCAGACACTCACTCACTGGAGAAGGATATTATATCAACCTCAACACGAGACAGATATATAGTTTCTCAAATTACTAGCTGGCCTCAGCTACTTCTACTATTTACTATCTCAAGACACTTTGAAAACAGACAAGTCACTAAGGTCAAACAAGAAAGGTTGGATACAAAATGACGATAAGGAACACAATCAACTCTAGCCCAATACACGACCCGCGGTAGACGAAGTGCTTCTATCCTTTGTCACCGTCTTTTTGAGTCCCTTGCCCAGTTGAATCTCTCCTAAGAGACCACCAATGTTGGGTCTGGCGCCTCCTGCTGCAGGTGCGGAAGGCATAGGAGGTGGGGGAGGTGCACCGCCTGAAGGCATAGGGGGCGGTGGTGGTGCGCCGCCGGTGGGCATCGGAGGAGGTGGTGGAGCGCCAGTCGAAGGCATTGGTGGCGGTGGTGGGGGAGCTGGAGGAGCAACACCACCCTCAGGCATTGGGGGCGGTGGTGGCACGTCGGGTGTCGGTGGGGGAAGGGGTGGCAGCGATGCAGGGGGTGCGGGCGAGCTGGAGGCAGGCGAATCCATGGCCGATAGTGGGCGTGGCGGTGCCATGGTACCAAATAGCATTGACGCGAGCTGTTTGGCGCTGCCACCAGTGGGTGCGTCATCGTCTTCGTCAGAAGACTCGGAGTCAACAACAGACCAATCGTCGTCATCAGCAGGCTTGGCTGTGCGACGAGCCGATTGTGCGGCAGGCTCGGGTAGAGCAGTCTTGCTGGTATCTTGCTGAGTGAAGCGGTGGAAGGGGTTGGTAGAGGCGGCATCACTAACAGCTGGCGATGCGATACTTGTAGAAGGTGCCGCAGGTTGGTTCATGCTTCTAAAGAACGGATTCTTGGACTCCTCTGGTGGGCTGACGATTGTGGTAGGCACTGGTGGAGGGGCAGGAGCGCTTGGTGGTGCGGGTGCGGCCTCGGCCGGAGGAGCTGGAGACACTTCCCTTTGAAGCTCTTGGCTAGCAGCGGGCGTGCTTTCCATGGGGGTGATAGTTTGAGGGCCGTCGTCTTCGTCGGAGCTGTCATCGTTCATATTCTCAAGCTGCAGTTGCAACTGTCGCTCTCTCTCCCTGGCAGCTTCGATCTCGGCCCGCTGTGCAGCAAGACGAGATTCCTTCTCCTCGGCCTCCTTGGAAGCTGCCTGTCTCTTCTTCTTTTCTTCAGCCTTCTTGAGCTTGCCTTGGCGCACTTGCTCTTCAAGTGCACGAAGACGTTCGGCAGCAGCCTCACGTTCCTTGCGAAGCTCCTCTTCTTGTCGACGCTCTTCGTCTTCGAGTTCCCTGGTTTCGGATGCTTGGGCTGACTGCTGCTCCTTGATTGCCTGTTCCATCTGTTGTTGCTCGAAACGTTGAGCCTCAGCCTTGGCTTGTTGCTCTTCTTGTTTGCCAACAGAGTCGCCACGGTTCTTGCGAGGTGCGGGTGCGGGTGGGGCCTTCTTTCCTAGAGACTTCTCTGCAGTGGGAGGAGCGATGCTTTCTCCAGCCAACCTCTGTTGTCTCTCTTCTTCTCTGCGAGCGTCTTCCTGCTCTGCCTGGCGCAGACGATCTTCACGCTCCTTACGCTCACGTTCCTGGCGTTGCTGCGCAGACTCTCCAGGCTTTGTAGGCGCTCTCAGACCCAGAGCAGCAAGGCGTTCGGCCATACGCTGTTCTGCTTGCTGTTTGATGAAGGCAGCGCGGTCCTCGGCAGTCTTGTAGGTGTTGTAAGAGCCTCCGCCACGGGGTGTCTCGCTTCTTGCAGCAGAGCTCTCCACACGGGCGTTACTGCTACTGCGACTAGCCTCTTCAGCGCGAGGCGAAGCAACACGATCGCGAGGGTTGGATGTCCTGTAAAGATGTCAGCTCGGTCCAGTCTGCAAATTAATCCATGTCTTACTCGTCCTTTCTGATGCGAGCGGTTCTGCTGCTTCGTTGCATGTCGAAGATAAAATCTTTCACTTCATCTTCAACACCAAGGCCATCTTCCCATCTTCTTCTCTCGTGTTCAGTGGCAGCATCTTCGGAACCCTCCTTCAAACTAGACTCAATGGTTCTGCTGAACTCCGTGACAGAGTCTTCGACGTCACGAACCATTCTCTCGTTTTCTTCCCTCTCAAGGCGAACACGGTTACTTTCATCCTCCAATCTCTTAGCAGCGCCTGCACCGTCGTCACCAGAAGCAGCAGCGGGAGCAGGCTTGCCTGTGAGCGCAGCCGAACGAGCTTGCATCATAGCTCTGGCTCTCGCCTTGAGACGATCGGATTCTGTCACAGCGCCACCGGGTCCGGTGCCAACAATTGCTGGAGCCGAGCTGGGGTTGGCTTTGGCATCCTTGAGGCGGAACAATTCGAGTTGTGCATCTGCGATAGCTCTTTCGCAGCGTCTGACATGAGAGGCCAATTCGGGCAAGCGGTCGGACAGAGTTTGGAGTTGTCTCTTGAGGGTTCTACGTTCGGCATCGGAGTCGGTAGTACGGAAGCCGGAGTTGGGATGGCCATCAATATCTTCTTGAATACGACGAATGCGTCTGTAGAGGTCATCGGCCTCCTTGCGATCTTTGCGATCCAGGGCGTCCTCTTCGTCGGCTCTACCCTCGTCTTCAAAGTCCATAGCATCGAGAAGAACTTGTTTCTCGCGGATAGCTTTCTTCAGCTGATCAACAGACATTTCTTCAACAGGCTTGTCCTGGGCAGGAGAAGCGGTACGCCCAGTATCACCGGTGCGACGGCGTGCGGACGAGCGGTAGCCAACATCTTCGTCGTTGTTCTTGTACACGGTCGCGTCCTTACGGGGACCGGCAATACTTGCACCTGCGCCAGCGAAAGAATGGTTCTTGAGGTAGCTCACACCAGTCTTCTGAGGCTGCAAGAATGCGCCGGTGCTTCTTCTCGATTGTGCGTCTTGGGAAAGATGCGACTTCATGGTTCCAATGGCATCATTGATGTTTCTAGTAGATGGAGGAACCAGCTCAGCAGGAAGCTTGGCTGGCACGGGGTAGCCGTTCAACCTGCGGTAGATCAAATGCATAGCGACAGCAAACTCATCCAGATTCAACTTGCCCCTGTTGTGAGGATCAGACAAGGTCCAAATTCTTTCTAGATCGTCCTTTTCGAGACCACTCTGGCCGAAAATTTCAATGGCTGTGGCACCACTAATGGCGCCTCTGCTCAAACCGTCCCAAGCCTTGAACATATCATCGTAGATTTTCTTCTCGTCCTTGGTGATGGCCCAGGGAACAGTGGCGTTACCACGAAGCCCAGCAGTGCTGAAACCAGTCTCGCGACCAGGCTGAGGCATCATCTGCTGCTGAAGAGCCTGCAAGTTGGGCAGACCAGAGGCTGGGGCGTTCACAAGACCCCACTGGCCAGGACGGCCAGTAGGCTGGGCATTGAGTGGCGCCATAGGGAAGCCAGTGGGTTGAGGTGAAAGGCCTTGGCCAAAGCCGGTGGGCATTGGAGGCATTGGAGGACGAGGGCCAGTGTATCCTGTCGCTTGAGATTGGAAACCAGTTTGTTGAGGTTGCAGACCAGTAGGCTGAGACTGGAAAGGCTGGAGGCCACCAGACTGAGGTTGGAAGCCAGTAGGCTGAGGCTGGAAACCAGTGGGTTGAGGCTGAAAGCCAGTAGGTTGGGGATTCAGCTGAGAGAGCAGCTGGCTACTTGAAGGCTGAGGTTGAGGGGCCTGGATAGTCGGCACATCGGGGAAGCTGGGGGCATTGCTGGATGACTGGGCAGCTGGCTGAGCATCGGCCACACCGAAAGAAATGATGTCGACCATGCTAGAGACCTCGTTCCTGACTCTTTCGGGTAGCTGAGCAGGAAGATCCTTTCCGGTAAGCTTCAGATTGCACAGGTACATGGCCAGGGCAAACTCGGGGAAGAGTAATTGGCCAGACTTTGTCGTGTCGGAAAGCATCCAGATCTGGGACAGAGCATCGCCGGGGAGCTTTGAGCGAAGGAGGAGATCCTTGGCTTTGTCGCCAGAGAGAGCCTGGTCATTCCCGACGGCAGACTTGAAGAGCTGCTCAAACTTAGACTGGTCCTGAGCAGTGATGAAGGACAGACGGATGTTGGGGATCTTAGACGAAGCGGCCGAGGTCTGCTGAGGCTGGGGCTGCTGCTGAGCAGGAGTGGAGCGGAACGAGTCGGCGATTTGGGACGAGGTCATGCCAGTGGGCTGGGGTTGCTGTTGGGGAGCAGCTGTCTGCTGAGGCGACTGGAACTGCTGCTGCTGTTGTTGCTGCTGGGGAGGGAAGCCGGTGTATTGAGGCATGAGACCTCCTTGGAACTGGTTCTGCTGAGGCTGCTGTTGCTGAGGAGGGAAGCCAGTGGCCTGAGGTTGTAGCGACTGCTGTTGCTGTTGCTGCTGCATGGGGGGCATGCCGGTGTATTGCGGCTGCATGTAGCCTGTAGGCTGGGGGCCAAAGCCGGCGAAGTTCTGCTGTGGCTGCTGTTGTCCATACTGCTGTTGGCCTGGACGGCCCTGGTTGGCGCCGCCCAGGAAAGAATTGGAGCCCGAGAACATGGTCGTTGACCGTCGCGTTCGAGAGGAAGTCGCGATCGGGAAGTCGAGATTGGGCTGGCGCTGCTGGCTGCTCGTGGGATGCGGAGGTTCACGGTCCGACTGGTGCCAAGCATGACTGCGTCACCGATTGTGTCTTTCATGTGAGAGAGGCACCAAAGGGCTGTTGTTGACTGCAGACACAATTCACTACAATTTACATCATGCCGCCGAAACAGAACGGGGAGACAGAGCACGACTTGCAGGATGCCGACTTTGCCAAGGTACCTGGCCTCAAGAAGCAGCATGACCATATCCGACCTGACATCCGACAGGCATTCCAAGAGCTTAACCGCGGCGAGCAAACGGCTACTGCCCTCGAGAACCATCTTGCTGCCCTCGAAGCAAAGATAGACGAACTCCTCGCCGCTACTGGCCAGCAAGACCAGTCTGACTCTACTTCTCCGGAAGCAACCTCCTCTTCTCAGAACCAGTCAAATCAATCCGGTCAATGAAGTGCCTGCATTGAATCCAGTCAAACTTGCAATTATTATACCAACCCAGCAGTTGACTGCTGCGTGGAAGCTCCCTTTGTCCTCGGCATCAGTCTAGCTGTCGAGTGCAATACAGAATCGTTATGCTCAAGCCAACATGATATAGATAGAAAGAGCTTGGTCTATGTTGTATCTGTTCGCAGATGGGGTATCACTTCTCGCCATATCAAAGGCCGCCAACAGTCGTGGGCTTCACATCAGACCCAGAAGCCGCAAAGATATCCTCGAAATGGAACACTCCGTCTGATCCCTTTTCTACCACTCCCTTCTCGGTCACCACTCCGTCGATCAACTCTGCCGGTGTCACGTCGAAAGCAGGGTTCCATACATCGATGCCGTTGGCGGCAATGCTGACTGTCTCAATTTGCTTCAGGTCGAGTGATGATCCCTTGTAGCAAGGTCCCTTGATCATCGTCATCTCCTTGCCTGCTCTCTCCTCAATGACAATGTCTGCGCCAGACTTGGTGTCGAGATCGATAGTCGTACGCGGTGCTGCTACCAAGAATTTGACTCCGTGGTGCTTGGCCAAGATAGCCAGCGAGTAGGTACCAATTTTGTTGGCAGTGTCTCCGTTGGCAGCCACGCGGTCAGCTCCAACCACAATGGCTGCGATGTTCTCAGTAGGCCCCTTGAGACGGAGGAGTGCAGCAGCCATAGAGTCAGTGACAAGAGTAGCGGGGATCTTGTCATGTACAAGCTCGAAAGCAGTCAAACGTGATCCCTGGTTGTAAGGTCTGGTCTCGCTACAGAACGCTTTCCTGAGTGATCCTCTGGCATGAACAGAACGGATGACTCCCAGAGCGGTACCGTAACCGGCAGTTGCCAAAGATCTCGATAGAATTAGCACATGAGTTTCACGACTCTCGCCTGTGACCAACACTCACCCAGTGTTGCAATGTGTCAAGATGCTGACCTGGTCCTTTCCTCCAGCAGCGTTCTTGAGGATCCAGTCGGCACCATGCTCGCCGATGGCCTTGTTGTCCGAAACATCATCAACCAACATCTGCTCTGCAGCCTGGACGTATGCGTCCTTGACTGAAGTTCCTGAAGCACTCTGGGCCTTTGCGGCCGTCTGCACAATCTTTTGCAACTTTCTTGCTGCGTCTGCAAGGTTCACAGCGGTGGGTCTGCTGGTGACCAGATACTCGAGCTTTTCCTTAATGAAAAATTCAACCTCTTCGGCAACGCTTGACAATTCCTTCTTCCCGGCAATGAGTTCAAGTTCAACAGCCAGACCAAGAGCAGCAACAATTGCGATGGCAGGTGCGCCGCGGGTTCTCATCTCCTTGATGGCGTGCCATGCATCCTGTGCAGACTTGACCTCATCGTAGACCTCAGTATGAGGCAACTGAAGTTGATCCAAAATGTCGAGCTGACCACGCTTGTATTTGATCGCTTCGAGAGACATGGTTGATATGATTGATATTGTGTAAAGTGGTATGCCAAATTCTCTGCCCCGCCAGAATGTTGACTTCGACTTCTGCTTCTGCCCCGCCGAGAGCTTTGACCATACAATGTTGCCTTCACGATAGCATCGTCGTCTGGTCCCACTTGCCAGCCATCAAGTGTCGTCATGAGTCTAGCTAGCTCCAGTATTTGTTGACCCCTCATGCATAGCTACAGCCATGTCGCCTCTCCAACGTCTCTCAGCTCTCTCTAATCAACTGATCGGTTCTTCAAAAGTACAGAATCGCGCATACACCATGTCTTCCCAATTCACCCTCCAGTCTACTCTTGCTCTGCCGAACTCGTCGGTCAAGATTCCCGCTCTTGGTTTCGGTGTCTACCAGTCGCATGGCCCTACCTGCAAGAAGTCATGCTTGACTGCCCTCGAGGCCGGCTATCGCCACATCGATAGTGCACAGTACTATGCGAACGAGCAGTTGGTGGGTGATGCCGTCAAGGAGTCCAACGTCGATCGCAAGGACGTCTTCATCACTACCAAGATTCTGAGCCCCGGCAAGGATGAGGAGGAGACATACCAATCACTCGTCGAGAGTGTGAACAAGATCGACGAGGGCGGCTACGTTGATCTGTTCTTGATCCACAGTCCCAGCTCTGGCCCTCAGGGTAGAAAGACTATGTGGACTGCGCTTGAGAGACTGCACAAGGAGGGCAAGGCCAAGGCAATCGGTGTCAGCAACTTCGGCAAAGGTCAGATTGAGGAGTTGAAGACCTTCGCTAAGGTCTGGCCGCCGCACGTCAACCAGATTGAGGTATGCTGAATCCCGAACATGCCATTGGCTCGCGCGATATTAACGAGGCTTATAGCTGCACCCCTGGAACCAACAGCGTGTGGCTGTCGAGTACTGCCAAGCCAACAACATTGTCGTTGAAGCCTACTGCCCGCTGGTCCGCAACCAGAAGGCCGACGACCCGACACTCAAATCGCTATCCGAGAAGTACAAGAAGTCGACCGGCCAAGTCTTGATTCGTTACTGCTTGCAGAAGGGTTGGGTAAGTTGAGTTCTGTATACCACCTCACGAACTGGCGCTGACATAGCTTTCCAGGTTCCTCTTCCCAAGAGCGATACTCCCAGCAGAATCAAGGACAATGCAGACATCTATGACTTTGAGATCAGCAAGGAGGATATGAGCAAGTTGGACGACCTGGACCAGGGTGCAGCAGGTGCCATTGTCCAGGCCGTAGACAACTAAACTGCATCATGTGCAGCAAAAGGAGATTAAATGTTATGCATAATAGTAGCAGCATGACTGTTTGTTACATCTGCAGCAGCACCTGCATGAACACATACAAACCCCGTGTTCCTGTCAACGTGCGAAAACCAAAAGCGAACCTCCTATTTCCTTAGTCAATGTTTCAGACCTGGAGAACTGCTCCAACGTGCTGGACGATGTATGATGCATTGGATGTGTTGCAACACGAGCAACGGTCATCGTGTTTACTTCTTTCTCTATGTATCCCAAAGATAGATCGGCACATCTCATCTCCCAAATATAATGACATGCTCGGGACAAACTTCGAAAAGTACGCCATAAAGTTTACCTCCACATGTGCAATACGAAAAGCGGGTATGATTGACTGCGCCGCAAGTCAACAGCTTGGCTACCTCTGTGGTACAGCTGAAGAAGCCATGGCGCACGTCTTGTTTTGTTGACATGACACTCGCACTCATACCCAATGCTATGACAATCTGTTTTGGAGAACCGACTGTTTTTCCTTCCAGAATGTTTCTTTCCAGGCACAAACGTCGTGATAGGCTACCGGCTAAAATTGACCGCGATCTAGATTCTAGAGGGAACGGTGCAAGTGTAGCGACAAAGTGCTAATTTTGGCGTCTGCAAGGCCGCAGCTTGGCCGACAGAAGACAACTTTTGGTGGGGAGGATCATAATCACGTTTTCTCAGCTACACACGCTTTTTGACTTTGCTACCACATTGGCCCGCTACATCCGGTAAGCACGAGGCAAGCCGCCTAAAGACGTTGGTGGTCATCAGCCCTTTCCATTCGTATCGCAGTGAAGGAAAACCTTATATGTGTGTAGAGACAAGAAATATCGCATAGGTAAGGGAAGGAACGATCAAAAAGCCACCATCACCCTCTGACCTCGTATTTGCTCCCTTCTCCCCTTGCTTCCTAATATTGTGCGGCTCCGGTAATGTTATAATTCGATAATTCCCTTTCGTATCTCTCTCGATCCCACTCTTTTGCTCCCGATCTCCACCAAAGCCACATTCTTCTTCGTACGACACCATATCCTTTCTCTTCACATTGTTTTGAAGCAAAAGGAATCTCGCAATATGAGTCAAGAGATATTGAATGAGAAGACCGAGCAAAGCGCGCCGTTGCTGTCACCAGACGAATACTCGCAAGACATTAGCGACAGCGAAAGCGTACACAGTGAAGACATGACGGTCGAAACATCGAAAGTGTCGTCGCTGCATCCCGCATTCTTCATAGCGTAAGCAACCCATAAGCAACATCTCGGCCTTCGACTCACGTATGGACTTTACAGACTATGGATCGGCATGAGCTCTCTCGTCATCTTGTTCAACAAATGGATTCTGGATAGCGCCAAGTTCAGATATCCCATCTTTCTCACATCATGGCACATGTTTTCGTCGGCTGTGGTGACACAAATCATGGCCCGCTATACAGGATACCTTGACTCGCGCCATACAGTCCCCATGACACAACGAACATACATCCGCGCCATTCTCCCTATCGGCCTTCTATTCTCTCTTTCTCTGGTCTGCGGCAACGTTACATATCTCTACCTCAATGTCAGCTTTGTCCAGATGCTCAAGGCTGCAGCCCCTATTGCTGTTCTGCTCGCAACCTGGGTGTTCCGTCTCTCTGAGCCATCTCTCGCTGCTCTCGGCAACATTTGCATCATCGTGGTCGGCGTGATCATTGCATCTCTCGGCGAAGTCAAGTTCAATGGTCTGGGCGTCGCATACCAACTCATGGGCATTGTGTTCGAAGCCACCAGACTGGTCATGATTCAGAGATTGCTCTCTGCCGAGTTCAAGATGGACCCCCTCGTCTCGCTCTACTACTTCGCACCTGTTTGCGCAATCACCAATGGTGTGCTTGCGCTTGTCTTCGAGGCACCACACATGACTTGGGCAGACTTTGAGCGCGTGGGTTTGATCACTCTCGGTCTCAACGCAGCAGCGGCATTCCTCTTGAACTTTGCCTCGTTACTCTTGGTATGTTTTCCAGCCCCTGAAAGACAGCCCATGCTCAGATATGCTAATAACCAACAGATTGGCAAAACATCTTCCCTCGTCCTCACACTCTCCGGCGTATTCAAGAACATCATGATCGTCTTTGCATCTATGCTCTTCTTCCACGACCCCGTATCCGGCATCCAGTTCTTCGGCTTCTCGGTCGCACTCGGCGGACTCGCATACTACCAATTAGGAGGCGCACCTGCAGTCCGCGTCTTCTACGGACAAGCAGTGACCAAATTCTCGGACTACAGGAGACCGAGTGAGGCAGATCCTATCTCTGCTGTCGAGGCTCAACAGGTCACAGTGACACCGAAGAGCGAGGATGAGCCCAAGAGTCCTGGGTTTAAGAGCGCTTGATTCAGACTTCTTTTGGTTAGACGAAAGAGGTGTATATAATGTCTTTATCTTTATGATTCTCCATCATGACTCTCTATTCTGAGTACTCTCAATTCTTTGTGTCTTGCATGTAGCCTCGGCCCCCTGTTTGATTTAAGATGCTCGGATGCTAATGCCTGCGTGTCTATCAATCTCAGCCCCTAAATTCGTATTTAGGCACTTTGACCGAGCACCTTCAGTATATCTCTCAAGCCCCGGCCGAACATGTTCGTTGCTCCAAAGGAGAGGATACGATGGCTTCAAACGGTCTCGGAGCCCGCGGACCTCACTCCATCGGATGAAGGATAACACGAACTGGACGTTATGTCGCTGCACTCAAGCAGCAACGGCACTCCCTTTGTACCGGAATCATCTTGATAGCCCTAAGATCCCTGCCCCTTGAAGCTTGATGTCCCATAATTCCAGCAATAGATTAGACTTCCAGCGGTAGGTTGTGTCTCATCCAATCTCAAAAAAACAACATCTCATCGTTGGAGATAAGGAGGTTGGTTGTGTTGCGATGCGCGGCTATCGTTGTTAACTCCCTTCTTCGCCTCTCATGCCCAGAAATGCTCGCACATTCTGGTGAAAGGATGATGGTTATATCGAAACGCTTGAACGATGCCCATCAAATGCGCACCAGCACCCATCAACACGAATACATGAAACCACTGGTGTGAAGCCCCCACGATGTCGAATTTGCCCGGGTACCAGCGTTCGGGTATCCTGCACGCATAGATTACCGCGCCGCAGAGATAAAAGATACCTTCCAAGACGATGTATTTCCAACCCATTTGCAAATTCGCTTGTGCGATACCAAAAGTATACGCGGCATAGGTCATTGGTATAATTCCACTGAGACCAAGCGTTATAAACATGCTTGTGCGGAATGGTTTCCAAGCTGACGTGCGGCAATATGGTATAGCTATTACCATTGCACAGATTGTGGTGGTGGTGCAGATCTATAGAGTTAGTGTTCACCTTTTCTTTGCGAACGACTTAGCTGTGGTGATAAAGAACACTCACCATACTCCAGTAAATCTGACTAGCGGTAGAATGACAGTAAAATCCATAGTAGATCCCTGGGATCCACGATCCGGCTATCAAAGCAAGTATACCCATGAAATCCAGTAGGAGGAAATGATCATGCGCATCCTTTGAATGAGCAGAAAATGTATGGAAAGCGGTCGACAAAGATAGACAGATAGTGACACCAGCGAAGAAACACCCAAATACCACTATATCATGATTCGAGGAAGAAGAATACTGTGTCGACACGATCATCCAGAGGTGGAACCCAGAAAGCAGAAACAGCGGTATACCGAGCAGATGCGTCCAGATATTCACAGTCTCATTGTGGATGTGAAAGAGACTAGCCAGACATTGTGTATAACTCTCATTCAAAGGCCTATACCCTCGAAGAAGATGAATATTATCTCGTCGTCGCCAGATTTCCGGAAGTTGACTCCAAGTCAGGGTGGTACGTCCATCCAAGTCTCGTCGCTGCTGTTTTTCCGTCATGGTATAGCGGCATTATAATTTTCTTTTTGAAGGGGAATCGCAATGATAGGCAGTAGGGCTCACATAGCTATTTGTACTCCCCCGTTTCGCATGCTATGTCATAATTCAATGTCCGCGGTATTGGAGGAAAAATTGGCAGGAGGTGGGTCGGAAAAGCGCGGGATGGAGGATACAAGGGTCCGAAATCGCATGATTGACGGCATGGGAATCGTGGAAGTGGTGGGAATCGCTGGTTCGATACCTCTACTGCGCTACTCATGTCAATCTGTTTCTACATGACAAGTACCGCGCGGGTCATTGTTGCGTGCTAAGGAAGCACATTGATGGTTGGACTCAAGGCTCGCCAACGTGAATAGTTATCTTTATTGTTGACAGAAGCCTGTGTGGACAGATGCAAAGCGTCAGAAGCAATCACGCAACAGATGAACATCACATCACGAATCATCAGATGAATGTAGCACTCCTCTTTGTTTTCGGTCGAAATGACTTTTTTCTACAGAAAGGCATAGAAATGGTATCGAGCTATAATCGAAGCAATTGCCTCCGCATGCGAAAAGGAAAAAAACAAGTACACCCTCGATGCATCAACCATTTCTGAGCGCTTCTGTAACTTCCAGCAATGTTTTCACAAACCCGGAGGAAAGAATCGCCAGAACGCTTCGACAAAAAAGGGGGCGCTCGTGTGATTGCAGTCAAAAAAGAAAAGCGAGTTTCGTTAATTCGTCATCGAATGAGGCAGTGACTGGTGCACCCTCTGGTGAGGAAAGAGGCGGCCACGTACAAGGGATGTCGGGGTTAAGAAAGTAAGAAAAGTAGCGAGTATCAAGGAATTACTTGTCGTGGTGAGCAACCATGGGCGGTAGAGGATAGAGGGCGCGTCGTGATGTGACCGAGAAGAGACTTTTCTGGGAAACGGAAAGGGCATTGAGTCCCGCGTACAAGAAATCAAGCACGCGCCGGTGCTGATACATTAGCGAACTAAGCGTCCTGGGGAGGCATCTGGCTTCTTCTCATCTTCTCGGCCTCGAGGTTCTCGTAGAGCAGGTACAGAGCCTTCTCGTTGGCGCTTGAAGATCCAGTAATAGTGAACATTCTCTCGCCAGATTCGTCATGAGGGGCCTTTGCGATGGAGATGCGGGCACCCGAACTCTTACGGATTTCAGAGATCTTGCTGCCTCCGCGACCGATGATGCAGCCAACCATGTCGGCAGGGATGCTGATGTTCTGAGTCTGGATGTCCTCGTCGTCTTCGGCAGCAATGGGTGCAGGAGCGCGAGGGGCAGATTCACGGCGGGTGTAGGCGGCAGGGGCGTCGCTGAAGTCGGTACCGTTGCCAGTGCGGTTGTAGGAAGAGCGGCCACCGGAAGGGTAAGACTGACCGTTGCTAGCGGGAGCACCAGCTCCACTACCGGAGACTCTGACAGCAGGGTTGTAGAGAATGGTGCCGTAGCCGCGCTGTTCGTCGTCGACCAAGCACTTGCCGATCTCCCAGACAGCCTTCTGGATGCCATCAGGAGTGCCCTGAACTTCAACGATACGCTCGGTGGACTGGGGAAGCATCTCCTTCTGGGCGACCATGCGAACTCCGGAAGCATCCTGGATTTGCTTGATCTTGAGGCCCTGGCGACCAATGATGGTGCCCATCTGGTTGTGGGAGATGAGGAGACGGACAGCTAGGAATGGTTAATTATTGAGCGATAAAGTGAAACGAGATTCAACGTACGGTGAGTGTTGGGGTTCGAGGCGACACCGCCCATGCCCAGCTGGGGGACACCCTTGAGCAGACCGTCGGCGACATGGCCGTAGGCAGCGGCAACAGCGTCCAGAGGGCCGAGAACGGTCAAGACGCGATCGTGGACACCGGGGACGACTTTGCTGACGCCTGCGCGGACGCCAGTCTTGTCACGGAGTTCGGCGACGTTTTGGCCAGCTTTTCCAATAATGACGCCTGCTTCCTTAGAGGAGACGATGGCTCTCAGGGTGAGCTGAGCGACGCTGTACTCCTCTTCAGTGCGGGGAGGGAGTTCCTCGTTGTTGTTGTTCTCCAGGGTAAGGTTGTCCATACCGGAGTCCAGGTGGTTCTGTTCTTCAGACATGATGTTGGGATGCCGATGTTGATGAAGAGGTCGGCTGATGAATGAGACGAGTCACAAGATATGTGCTAGGCGATTCAGGTCCGAAGTCGATGATGTGGTAATTGATCAAGTTGTGAGGGGGTGGGGAGGTGAAGAAGCGGAAGTGCTGTATGGCTTCACTGTCAGAATGCACGAATAGGAAGCAGCGAGCTGGGCAGCGCCTGCCACATTGAGCATTGGATACGTACAGACTGGAGCAGAACTCGGTTGGACGAGAAGAGTCGCAAAAACACACGGCGGAAGGGTAGAAGGGGGATATGGAGAGAGGGCAAGGTGAGCGAAAGGTGAAAGAAAGCGAGGGGCAGCTTGCTTCACGAGTGCTTGAGGTCCAGAGTGAACAAAGCCGAGAGCACTTGGACATGCGGGCAGTGGCGTTTATTACCGACCCTGTCCCATGTGATTGGTGAGCTGCAACCGGACACGCAGCATCCATCGTCCATGTGCTCCAAAGACAAACACCGAAACCATAAATGTCATGTTTTCGTCGAGCTATGTAGCCACCTCAAACATGTAACGGAATACTGCATGTCTATTCGTATTTGCCTTGTCGCCTGGTCCGATATCTGCGTACAAACCTCATCCCCGACCTCTCGGTCTCGTGCTTGTTCGAGGTGCAATGTCTCGGCCTCATTCTCTGTGACCTTTCATGACTGTTCAGAGCAGTCTCCCCCACAAGTCAATCACTCTGCTCTCTTGTGTAAGATCAATGATGATAGTTCCAAGCTTGAAATTCGAGCGAAGATTGGATGTGATAGAAACGCGGACACGGCGGAGGTTGGTGTCGGCGGGGAGGCTTGTGCGTATCCATGGGCTTGGCGTGCAGAGCGCTCTGGAAATGTTAATTCATGATCGCCTGCATCGCGACAGAGTCCCTGGACAACACAGAGATTCCACTCTGCTAATATCACCCCTCGAAATATATTCGCAATGTCAGTCCCGAGCAGACTGTTTTCGCAGGGTCTGCAAATCCGCCAATCGAGCCTACCACCGGCCTTCCTTCTCCCGTCTCTCTTCACCTCTTCATTCTCGACATCGAGCCCGCTATCTGCTCGTCGCGACGGCAACCCCAAAAGAGGTGTATCAGCTCTTCGTCGCACTGGTCTTCGCCGTCGCCAAACCCTCTCCGTAAAGCCTGAGGACCTCCCCAGGCCCGTTACCGACAGCAAGGAGCGTTCGGAAATCGACGTGGACCCCAACCACGGACTCTGGGGCTTCTTCAACCGTGAGAGATTTCCTTTTGCGACACCAGAGTACGACAACAGCCACGGCCGAGCATGGACTGTCCAAGAATTGAGAGGAAAGGACTTTGAGGATTTGCACAAGTTGTGGTGGGTCTGCGTCAGGGAGAGAAACAGATTGTCTACCGAGTCGTACGAGAGAGGAAAGGCAAAGGCTGGCTACGGTGAATACGAAGCAGGAGCCAGAGAAGAAGAGGTACGTCCTGCCGAAAGTTGCACTTGGGTGCAAGCCATCTAACACGCCGACAGGTCAAGCACACACAAAAGGCAATCAAGCACGTTCTGACCGAGCGCTGGTACGCTTGGGAAGATGCGCGTATGCTTGCTGAGTCCGACCCTAGTGTGAATCTCTATCCTAAAGCTGGAGAGCCCTCTTACACCGCCACAGAAAGCGCCTTTGAGGTACGTTGTTCAATGCGCGAGTGTTAATGGAACATTGACTGACGGTGTTTGTCTGCAGGAGTACACAGAGCCGGAGCAAATCCAATCAGCACAACAGGACAGCCAAGTGCCTTCATCAGAGGCTCAATCGCAAGTGGTTCCTGAGCAAATCAAGACACAGCAGGAGACGCGGGTATAAAGCGGATCAGGGGCTTCAGTATTTCTTGACCGAGTGTATTATGACAACTTGTACAACAAATTTGAAAAGAAGATGAATGAAACCAAAGGCAATATAATGGTCAAATAAATATATGGAAAGTCGAATGGTTATTGCGATGTGAGGCTTTGGCCAAGCCCCTGTTAATCTCACGAAACAAACCCACGTCACTAAGAGGGAGCTTCCCGTCTCGCTCTTTGGATCAACTTCTCTACATCTACCACCTGCCCATCTTTTGGTATTCTTCCCCGACGACTGAAACTTGTCATCCCCTCTTCCCACACGCAAACATGGAAGACATCGCCCCCGAGTACGATGTCGTTGTGCTTGGCACAGGTATGGCAACCCCGCATCCATGTTATAGCGGTCAAGAGAGCTAACCAAGGCGATGAAGGTCTCACCGAATGTGTTCTTTCCGGGTCAGCAGAAGACAGCTAATCTAACAGAAGACGAGAAGCTGACGTCGTCACAGTGTCTTGAGTGTCAAGGGCAAGAAGGTGCTGCACATCGACCGCAACGACCACTACGGCGGGTGGGTACCCCTCCTCGTACGTCTTGGTGCATATCGCTGATCGCTCTGCAGTGAGGCCGCATCCATCAACATCGAAGCCGTATGATCCTCCCGACTCTGCAGTCTCGACATGAAACTCACCTCTCTCAGCTCTTCAAGAAGTATGGCAACGACAACGGCAGCGAGCCTTGGAAGAAGTACGGTCGCCCCAACGACTGGAACATCGACCTGGTTCCTAAGCTCCTCATGTCCAACGGAGAGCTCACCAACATCCTCGTCTCGACCGATGTCACCAGATACCTCGAATTCAAGCAGATCGCTGGCAGCTACGTTCAGACCGGTGCCGGCAACAAGGCAAACGTCGCAAAGGTTCCTACGGATGCTTCAGAGGCTCTCCGTAGTCCTCTGATGGGTTTGTTCGAGAAGAGAAGAGCAAAGAAGTTCTTGGAATTCGTTGGCGCATACAAGGAGGAGGACCCCGCTACACACAACGGTATGCCGCAATTTTGTCGCTAGAGGAGGGCAAAGGCTGACGTGCGAATTAGGCATGAACTTGAACCAGTCCACCATGAAGGAAGTTTACGACAAGTTCGGCCTAGAGGCAACCACAAGAGACCTCGTCGGACACAGCATGGCCCTGTACACGACCGACGACTACGTCAACGAGAAGGGCGGTGTTAAAGATGCCATCTCGCGCATCAGACTCTATGTCAACTCGATGGCCAGATACGGAAAGTCGCCTTACATCTACCCCCTGTACGGTCTGGGTGAGCTCCCTCAGGGCTTTGCTCGCCTCAGTGCCATCTACGGAGGTACATACATGCTCAACACCGATGTCGACGAGATTCTGTATGAGAATGGCAAGGCCGTCGGTATCAAGGCAACCATGAAGGAACGCGATCAAGAGGGCGAGGGCATGACCTTCACAACAAAGTGCAGCAAGATTCTGGCAGACCCCTCATACTTCCCCAGCAAGGTCAAGCCTGTTGGTCACCTCCTGAAGGCGATCTGCATCCTGAACCACCCCATTGAGAAGACAGACAATTCGGACTCGGTCCAACTTATCATTCCTCAGTCGCAGATTGGAAGAAAGCACGGTAAGCCTGAAGCAGAAGCGAGATGGACAGGCAGCAATGCTAACAGGTGACAGACGTGTACGTCGCCATGGTTTCGTGGGCACACAACGTGGCTCCCAAGGGATACTACATTGCCATTGTTTCAACCATTGCCGAGAGCGACAGCAACCACCACCTCGAGTTGCAGGCTGGTTTCGACCGCCTCGGCAAGATTGAGGAGAAGTTCATGGGACCTCCTATCCCCATCTACGAGCCTCTTGAGAGCGGAAGCAACGACAACATCTTCATCTCCAGAAGTTATGACGCAACCAGCCACTTCGAGACTACCACTGGTAAGTCTTCAATGCAGAAGAGGGATGGAACGAAAGCTGACATGGAGTTACAGACGACATTCGCGACATCTACAGAAGAGCAGAGGGTCACGAGTTGGTGGTCGAGGGTCTGCGCGAGGGTCAGAACCTTGTGGCGGAAGAGTAGACGATTGTCAATTAGAGAAATCAACAGCCGGCGCGGGAATGATATTTTTGTTCTTTCTTCTCATTTAATTGCCGTTCTGACACTTGCATGTGAAGTTCGGTGAGGGGCTCGGTCGGCTGCAGCTTCCCGCCGAGCGTTGGTCGTAAACAAAGTAGTGGTAAACAACAAGAAGCTGCACGAAACAACTTTGACCCGACAAACGCACACAGTGGCCCAGCGCCAGCAACGACAAGATGAGGGTCATCGAAGTCATTATCGACGGCTTCAAGTCGTATGCCGTGCGCACCGTCATCTCGGGCTGGTATGTTCCCGCGCCTCTCCAACCGCTATGGGCAGACGACTGACTTGCGCAAAGGGACGAGAGCTTCAACTCCATCACTGGTCTGAACGGTAGTGGCAAGTCCAACATCCTCGACGCAATATGTTTCGTTCTCGGCATCACCAACATGACGACGGTCCGCGCCCAGAACCTGCAAGACCTCATCTACAAGCGCGGCCAGGCCGGTGTGACCAAGGCCTCGGTGACCATCGTCTTTGACAACAAGGACAAGGCCAAGTCGCCCATCGGTTTCGAAGACTATCCCACCATCTCAGTCACTCGCCAAATCGTTCTGGGTGGCACCTCCAAGTACCTCATCAATGGACATCGCGCTCAGCAAACCACTGTCCAGAACCTGTTCCAGTCGGTCCAGTTGAACATCAACAACCCCAACTTCCTCATTATGCAAGGTCGCATTACAAAAGTTTTGAACATGAAGAAGGAGGAAATTCTTGGGATGGTCGAGGAAGCTGCAGGCACACGTATGTTCGAGGATCGCAGAGACAAGGCTTTCCGCACCATGGCCAAGAAAGAAATGAAGGTCCAGGAGATCATGGAACTTCTGCGCGACGAAATCGAACCCAAGCTGGAGAAATTGCGACAAGAGAAGAGAGCCTTCCTCGACTTCCAACAGACACAAAATGATCTGGAACGCCTGACGCGACTGGTCGTGGCTTATGACTATCTCAAGAGCAAGGAGAAGCTTCGCCTAAGCGAAAAGGACCTGAACGACAAGAGAGAGCGAGCTCTGTTCCTCGAGAGCAACGCAGAGAAGCTGAAGAACGAGATCGCCTTTTTGCAAGAAGACATGGACAAGGTCAAGGCCGCAAGAGACAAGGAGTTGAGGAAAGGCGGTAAATTCCAGGCTCTGGAGGACAAGGTCAAGGAACACTCGCACGAGCTGGTCAGACTGACCACTGTCCTCGATCTCAAGAAGTCAAGCATGACCGAAGAAAGCGAAAACCGCGCAAAGAGCCAGGCAACCCTCCAAGAACTCGGCAAACAACTCGAAGAAAAATCTCACCTGCACAAACAACTCCAGGAGAGATATGATGCTGCAAACGCCGAGCTACAGAAACAGACTGCCGAGGTCGAGCAAAAGGAGGAGCTTTTGCAGACATTACAAACTGGTGTTGCCTCAAAAGAAGGCCAAGAGGGTGGTTATCAGGGCCAGCTGCAAGATGCTCGCAACCGACTCAGTGCAGCCTCCACCGAACAGGAACAAGCAAAGCTCAAGATCTCGCATCTGGAGAAGCGGTTGAAAGAGGATGAGCCTCGTGCAAAAAAGGCCGAGAAGGAAAATGCTGGCCTATTGAAGGAATTGGATGGCTTGCGCTCACATGCTAAGAAGCTAGAAGCCGAGCTCTCAAAAATTGGCTATGAGGCTGGTAGGGAGGAGGCCATGCACAAAGAGCAATCACAGCTGCAACAACGCATTCGCGAGCTAAAAGAGCAAGCTGATGGCCTCAAAAGAAGAGTCGCGAACATCGACTTCAGCTACAGCGACCCGACGCCCAACTTTGACCGTTCCAAGGTCAAGGGTCTGGTAGCGCAGCTATTCGCTCTGGACAAAAACTTCACTCAAGCAGGAACAGCTCTCGAAATCTGTGCCGGGGGCCGCTTATACAATGTTGTAGTCGACAGCGCGCAAACAGGTACACAATTGCTCCAGAACGGCAAGTTGAAGAAGCGAGTCACCATCATTCCCCTCAACAAGATTTCTGCCTTCAGAGCTGCATCGGAGGTACGTTAATACTGAGATTCTTAAGACCTGAACATCGCTAACCCTTTCCAGAAAATTGGTGCTGCAAGAAACATGTCGAACAACAAGTGCGACCTTGCTCTTAACCTCATCGGATATGAAGAAGAAGTTAATGCCGCTATGGAGTACGTCTTCGGAAACACATTAATCTGTGAAGATGCCGCCACAGCAAAGAAGGTCACTTTCGATCCTGCTGTCCGCATGAAGAGTGTCACATTAGAGGGCGATGTCTACGATCCTTCAGGAACACTGTCTGGTGGTAGCTCTCCAAAGACAAGTGGTGTACTTGTGACCCTTCAGCAGTTGAACGAGATCACAAGGGAACTCGACGCAAGACAGGCATCGTTGAACCAGCTGCGGTCGACCATGAAACAAGAGAAGCAGAAGCTCGATGCCGCGAGACAATTCAAGCAGCAGCTTGATCTCAAGGGTCATGAAATTTCACTTGCTGAGCAGCAAATTAACGGCAACTCGTCGTCTTCAGTGAGTCGGATTTACTTCGTGCTGAGCTTGAGTAATGAGCTAACCAAGTTTTAGATCATTCAAGCAATTGCCGACACAAAAGCTGGCATCATTGATTTGAAGCAAAGTATAGTAGAGGCCAAATCACGCCAGGATGAAGCCGCCAAGGAAGTCAAGCGAATCGAAAAGGATATGAATGATTTCAACAACAACAAGGACAGCAAGCTCGTGGAACTGCAAGCGGCGCTTGATAAGCTCAAGAAGTCGCTTAGCAAAAACTCTGCTTCGATCAGACCTTTGCAGCAGGAAGTGAGAGATGCCATGCTCGAAGCGGAGCAATGTGGCAGCGATCTTGCAGCCGCTCAAGAGCAATTCCAAGACGCCGAAGTTAATCTCAAGACGCAACAAGAGGAATTGAAGTCGTTGATGACCGAAGGACAAGCGGTAAAAGACGCGCACGACTATGCTCAAGCACAACTCGACGACGAGCGCAAAAAGCTTTCGGGCTACGACACTGAACTTGCAGACCTTGAAAAGGCCTCGCGATCCAAGTCTGCACAGATTACCGAGGAGGGTCTGGAAGCACAAAAGCTTGGTCATCAAATCGAAAACTTCTCGAAGCAGCAACAAGCTGCACGCCAGACGCTGCAAACAATGGAGAAAGAGCACGAATGGATAGCTGACGAGATCGACTCGTTTGGCCGACCCAATACACCTTACGACTTCAACGGTATGAACATGACTGAGAGCAAACGCTCACTCGCCGGTCTCTCCGAACGCTTCCAAGGAATGAAGAAGAAAATCAACCCAAAGGTCATGAACATGATTGATAGCGTGGAGAAGAAAGAAGCTGCGTTGAAGAACATGATGCGCACTGTCATTCGTGACAAGAAGAAGATCGAGGAGACGATCGCTCAACTGGACGAGTACAAGAAGGAAGCCCTGCACAAGACATGGAGCAAGGTCAATGTCGACTTTGGTAACATCTTCAATGAACTGCTACCAGGTGGCAACACAGCGAAACTGGACCCACCAGAAGACAGTGGCGACATTTCCAAAGGTCTCGAGGTCAAGGTCTGTCTCGGAAAAGTGTGGAAGCAATCGCTCACCGAACTTTCTGGTGGTCAACGCTCTCTCATCGCATTATCCCTTATTCTCGCTCTGCTTCAATATTCACCCGCACCCATGTATATTTTGGATGAGGTCGACGCTGCGCTGGATCTGTCACATACACAAAACATCGGTCGCCTGATCAAGACGAGGTTCAAGGGCAGTCAGTTCATCGTTGTCAGTTTGAAGGATGGCATGTTCCAGAATGCGAACCGCATCTTCAAGACGAGGTTCTCCGATGGTACCTCTGTGGTCCAATCGCTCACGCCTGCGGACCTCAAGTAGGAGCCTCCTGCCGCAGTCCATTTTCGTATTCTCTTGTGCTTTTTGGAGGTTGTTTTGGTTCATGTCTTGTCGACCCGTTCAGGAAATTTGTTGTTTGACAGGTCGTGGAGTTTTGGGTTGGCTTTGTGAGAAGAGAGATATCCCGTTGTAAATTCTAGATATGCACTTTTACGTTTTCTTGTTCATCAATCAACGCACCCTGTACTGCTGGACCTTCCGTGCTTGGCTTTCGGGCAACTGTGGTTTGTTCATCTTATGTACGAAAAAATACATATAAGCTTATTGAAGCGCTCACAACATCCAACCTTCAGCTCCGCACGGTGGCATATCTTGCTCGAACCGTACTATCCTATCATGCAACCATCCTGACTTCACACTAGATGATGCCTTGCCTAGTCTTGGATCTACTCGAGTTTTGCAGCGTCCATCACTACTGAAGGAGAATTGTTTGCACGCGGTCGATGTCTCGCACTTTTGTTTGCACAGTTCGAACGAGTCAACAGCATTCTCTTCACCGTCACTTTCAAGATATTTCCCAGATAAGACGAGTTCCAGAATGTGAAGATGGCGAAGCAAACCACAGCGATCAACAAACGAAGACGCAGTCTCTTAGTAGCCATGGTATCAACGGGAAATTGATGCGACGAGAGAAGACGGTGATAAGCCAAGTCTACGCAAATCGAAGAAGAGTGAATAGGAACGAAGTAGGGAGGTCATGGTAGGCAGTTTGCATGGACGCGATGACCGAGCCGCAGAGTCCCATGTGCTTGGGACGATCGACTCGAGCATATTGGGTCTCTGCTGATGCTTTGATTAATTTCTTCCAAGCCACAGACCTGTCGTCAGTCACGATATATTCTGCAGTCGTAGCGACACACGGTCGAGAGCGGCATCAAGATAGTTCGTTGCATGACGGAAGGATTTATGACACCGATATAGATTAAGCGCCTGATGCAGGCGCTTGATGGTTGTTGATGCGATGTTTCATGTGCTTGTTCCTTCGGTGCAGTGAGCCGTTCTTACTACGAGCAGTCAACGCAGCCGGATCCGACTTTGACCAACAGCATGGTGGCTTCTACAGCTACCAATTCTGGATCAAACCAGCCGACGGAACGATCAAGACTACGACTGTTCCATTCACCATCGTATCAACGAAAGCGGATCTTGCACCCACAGCATCTGCTCCTTCGGCATCATCCTCAACCTCGTCTGCAACCTCCAGCTCCGCTGCAACAAGCTCACGCTCCACTGCATCTGATGTTCTCGAACCGACAAGCGTTCATACAACAACCAGTGCCATTGCACCCACAATCAGCTCTGCCGATACCAATGAATCCACACCAGCCGAGAACTCCAGCTCCAGCACAGCGCCAGCACTGTCGATTGGTGTAGGAGTCGGTGCAGGAGTAGCAGCCGCGCTAATCTGCCTCGGTGGGGTCTTCCTCTGGCGTCGACACCATCGCAAGATCAAAGATACACACCCACGGCCGCCCCCGATCGAGATGTATGGACAGGGCTGGCAAAAGCATTACGAGACTTCTGTCATGTATCCCCCATCAAGGATGGCTTCGTCGTCCAAGTCCATGGCACCGGCGGAGGCACCAGGCTGGCCTATGGACCCTTATGAGTTGCCGGCACAGACGCCTAGAGGGCTGGGAGTGCATCGATGAAGGCAATGGATTGGACTACGCTTAGATGATAATGTATGATTGGTGCTCGATGTTTTCAGGTTAGAATGTGCAATCTCAGCGTTTGTTGTTCTTGTTCGCGACTGTTATCATGGTTGTGGTCCTGGATTTGTGCGATCTCGCCTCGACTCTGCCACTGCTTTTTGGGTCAGAAGCCTAGTTGAGGAAGATTTCGGGTAAGGGTACCACGCTTGCTCTTGCCTCAACTTCGAAGAAGCCAGAACACCGCTGTTTTCTGTCATGGTGCTTCGCTTTTTCCTCAAACAGTACCATCTAACACGGGCTCGGGAACCAGCCTGAACTCAACGTTTTTGTCTCGAAAAGAGTCTTCGAGTCTGTGGAATTTGTCGAGCAAGTCTGGCTTCAACTCGTCATCAATACGAGAAAATTCAACCATGACACTCAACTCTCTGAGATTTGGCAACCTCCTGATCGTGACCGCTTGTTCTAATTGATCGACAAGAGGTGCTATTTGCTCGTCACACTTGTTGATCAATAGTTTCTCCAGCGAGGCTGGCAACGAATCGGGGATGACGAATGCCGGACCTTGCTCGATGGCAAGCGAGGAAAGCTTTGCAAATTGTGTTAGATTGATGCGGTCTCTCAACGTCATGCCTGAGTGATCATATTTCTGAAGTTGCAGCGTCTCCAATGTCAGAGCTCGTTTATTCAGATTTCTCCAGAAGATGCCTCCAAGGTTGATCGGATCGGACCACGAGAATTGGATATCCAAGTGTTTCAAGCCCGTACAAGCTTCTATGAGTTCGGAGAGGGCTTCTACTGTGAATGTGCATTCATCAAGCTGTAGTGACTCGATGTGACCCAGCGGATGATGGAAGAACCTTTGGTCTGTGTGCCTCGGTGTTGCGTCGAGGTTGGTGCAGCTTAGTCTTCGGAGCGTGGGTATTGTGATCAGACATTTGATGCCTTCGAAGGTGAGGTTGCTCCAGTTGTGTTGAGTTGCTACACGAAGTTCTTTGAGATTTGGTAGAATGCCGATGGGTGTACAGGATTGTGACCTCCAATCTGAGTCGACTTTGAGCTCAAGGCCATGATGATTGACTCTCTTCCTTGATAGTGGACCAAGCATCTGTTCGCAAAGATCGTCTACATACTCTCCTAGGTCGTAATCCGACGAGCTAAGGTGCAAGTGAGACACGTTGGGTAACAGTGCCAGTAACAGTGCAATCTCAGCATTGGGCGCACCACGCCGCAGTGCAGACCTCCACTTGTCTTGCCATTTCAAGATGCTATGCTTGTCCTCTGTCTTCGAATCAACTGGGACGACCCTGAACATCATTGGCGGTTCAGGAGGCGGGATCCGTTGGCTAGCATCCGACATAAGCATGGTCATGATAGGATCCAAGGGCAGGTACTCCGAATCGAAGCTTTTCGGTCTGTTCCCGTTCTGAAAGGCGTGTAGTCTGATAAACTTGACGTTTGCCGCGAGGTCTGATCGATGGATGAGTGTCCTGAGAAAGTTTTCGGTTCGGGTAGTCCTTCTGAAACGACGGTATCGTGTGGCAGGTAAATGGTCATCTTCGGTATACTGGTCCATTTCATCGTTGGTCCGGCTGAACTTGGAATGGAGAATTGGCTGAGCAGCGATGCAGAACAACTTTGAGGATTGACACAGGTCCAGAAGGGTGTGCTTTATGATGGTCGGATCGTTGTTGTCCTGGTTGTATTCATCTTCCAAGTGTCCAAGAATGTTCAGCAAGATCTCATCTGGAAACATGGCCATACTTGATGAACTTGCTGCTGCCTATGTCGAAAGGAGTAATGGAAGAAGGCCGGGCTTTTCCTTGAGTGCCCAAGAGCACGCTGCCACCAGTAGTTGTTCGTAAGCGGGTGGACCCTCGGGTTTTTTACTGGCCGGGTGATTTGGCATGCCACCGACGTCACATGAACACTGAATTCAAGCAAATTCCCATGTTTGCGCCATCGAATTTAGAAAGGATCAGGGGAAATCCATCTTTTTGAGTTTGCCTTATGTGCTAGATTTGTTACTCAAACGGCAACAAAAAATGCACAGTGATGTCTGAAAGTAGTGCTAAGTCCAGAAATATTCGCATCACACTGAAACGTGCTGCTAGACCGTGGAATCACATTTCGATGGTGCATCACTGCGTCTCGCTACGGCTAAACTTGACAAGGCAAAGTGTAGTACTTGGGGAGGCTGCATCGCTGTGTCGTGCCTCCTTGCCTGTGCTCAGTCATTGAGAACTTGGGAGACAAAAACACCCAAGCTAGAGATTGTGCCTCTACGAGAGGGGGAGACTAGTCCCACTGCCACACTTCGTCGGCTCCGTGCACCAGCACAAAGGATTCTCGAGGTCAAGCAGAGGTCTAACAAGGTGTGTTTGAGGGAGAGGATCTTGTCTTTGTCAGAGCCGAATTGTAGCTCACGATAGTCATTAGAGATATGCCCAACAATGCTGAGAAATATTTCGTCCGGCAAGTGAGTTGTGTTTTGAGCCAAGTTCTTCAATGGCTTCTTCAGGCGACCTACACAAAAGGTGCAGAGGAACAAGCCGCGGCGTGAATGTTGAGCTTCACTTCACCTTTGGCGATGCGATGTGTGACATCATGGCCGGAATGATTTGAGACTAAGACCTCTGCGAGGTTTTATTTTCTCTACGCTGACCCATCGAACCGATGCTACTCGCCGAAGAATCAGATGGAAATGGAGTGTTGACTCATTTGTTTTGTGATCAAAAATCGACGACATGGAGACATTGTAGAATGATCTAAATTCGGGACTGGTTCTCGGATGCTATAACTCGCTCAAGCCAAAGACTTGTCACACACATAGGCGTTCTTGGAAGAAGAACGACTCTTCAGGAAGAGAGCGCAGAGACCGAGGATGACGGCCAGAGCACCAATCTTTGCAACCCAGCTGATGCCACTGTCGGAAACAGCATCGCCATAACCAGCAGCCAATTCCTCCTCCTTGTGGTGCGAAAGGGGCTCATCGCCCTTCTCGTTGACAGGGGCGTCGGCAGCAGGCACGGGTACGGGGGCGTTGGCCGAGTCGTCGTCTTCTTCCTTGAGGTCCGCCACCGGCTCAGCCGAACCAATGAGCTTTTCTAGAGACAGCAAGCATCAGCGGCCCGGAGCGGCGAGAGAAGGGATTGAGCAAGCTGATCCGGACCAGACATACCGCCCGGAGCTGAATCAGAGCTCGGCTCTAATACCTTCTTCAGGGACCTCGAGCTCGCCACTCTTGGCGATCTTGATGGGCTTCTGAGGCTTGTCGCCAGCACCCTTGGGAAGGTTCTGGATCTTGTCGACGATCTCCCAGCCCTCGAGGACCTCGCCGAAAACGACGTGACGGCCGTCGAGCCAAGAGGTGATGGCGGTGGTGATGAAGAATTGAGAGCCGTTGGTGTCCTTGCCAGCGTTGGCCATGCCTGGAAAGCGAGTTAGACATGGTTGTGTATAGACCGAGGAGACGGTACATACTCAAAAGACCCTTCTTGCTGTGCTTCAGCTTGAAGTTCTCATCGGGGAACTTGTTGCCGTAGATGGACTTGCCGCCGGTGCCGTCACCCTTGGTGAAGTCACCGCCCTGGATCATGAAGTCCTTGATGACACGGTGGAAAGTAGAGCCCTCGTAGCCAAAGCCCTTCTCGCCAGTAGCAAGAGCTCTGAAGTTCTCGGCAGTCTGATGACACGTAAGCATAAGCAGTATGAGGTGAGAAAGGGTCTTGTAGCTACCTTGGGGACAGTCTTGCCGTAGAGACCAAGAACGATACGGCCGAGCTCCTCGTCACCGGAGGTCACATCGAAGTAGACCTAGGAATGGGTGAGCAATTGACAGCAGGCCAAGTCTTCAGGCTGGGGCAGCATACCTTGTGGGTGATCTTGGGACCCTTGACAGCCTCGGTAGACTGGGCAAAGAAGACAAAGGTGAAGGTGAGGATCACCAAGAGGGAGATGACGACTCTCTGAAAGCTGGCCATGATTGATGGGATGTCGAATTACAGCAGCAACTGGTTCGAGAGAGAGAGATCGAGGGGGAGGAAACAGGGTCAAGCACGGCATTGCACATTGCGGAGAAGACGAGCATTGACCTCCGACCGGCGACCGCCTGCATCTCGCGTCTTGGCACCTTCAGAAGTTCACGCTTCACCTTGATCGTCGACGACGACGTTTGCACTTTGCGCCAGCCTATTGTCCTCACAACACATACACACTCAACATGGTTGTAAGTAGTCATTGCAAGCGCCTTTGATTGTCGCTCTTCCCAGGACTGACCCGCACGCAGCTCGTCTTTGGTGTCAACTTTGCCGAATCGCGCCTCGTCAAGAGCGCTCTCGAGAGCTTTTACGGTGTCGGCCCTCAGATCTCGCAACGTCTCATGGCCCGTCTCTCCATCCACAACACCGCCAGGCTCCAGGGCCTGGGCCATCGCACAGTCAACGACCTTTCGGCTGAACTTCAAAATTTGACCATCGAGAACAACTTGAGGAGGAAGCTGCAAGACAACATCAAGCGTCTAAGAGATATGGGAACATACCGAGGAAGACGTCACGCTATGAGTCTGCCCGTTCGTGGCCAGAAGACTCGCACACAGGTCAGTGTCGATATCTTGCACCTCATGTCAACACACAACTGACATTTTCCAGATCGCGACAGCCAGAAAGCTCAACAGAGTCGTCCGCAGAGGTTGAGCCTGCTTTTCACTTCTTCATTGTACAAATACTCTCTTCACGGCATTGGGCGGCGTAGTGGTTTGCGATACCAAAAATTCATATTTCTTCTCATCCTCTCCGAAGACACAGTTCCCTTCTATTCCATGCAATCCATGATCCAAAACTCCCCCCGAAACATCATCGTTGTCGTCAAGCTAAGAGTAGAGGATATGACCCAACCCAAGTCCTGTTCTGGGTTTCCAGGCATGCACAAAACACCATTGTATGCAAACCAAACGAATGAAAAGAGACCGTCCGATGCAAATGCTAGAAAGATGAGCCAGTGATGGCTGGTCGGAAATGCTATCCGATGTATGGTCTGCATATGGTCAGTCGAAGTGTTTCGCCGGAGGTCAGATTCGACTCACATTGGAGTGTTGATCATTTAGGCCATTGTGGTTGTACGGTCACCGCAGCAGGCGAAGAGGAAGACATTGGATTGTTCGCTTCCAGTCTCCCTGGCACCTGGGTCTTTGCCAGTATCGCCGTTGTTCAAGACAATGTAGCCCGGGTCTTTGCCGGTGTCTCCATTGGCTAATACACCAGTAGGGTATGTGGTGGATGATGTGTGGGAGAGGACAAGGTCCATGGATGAGCAGTTGAGGTCGTAAGGCATGATGATTCTGTCGAGTCAATGGTTTGAGTTGATGTTTCAGTTGTTCGTGCCGCACTCATACTTCTTATACCATTCAAGACTGTCAGGGTAGCGACGTACATGGCGAAGTAAAGACCGTGCTCTGGCTTCGGTCATCAGGCAACAGACCCTCTGAAACTGTGAGAAAGGCCGCTAGGTCAGGGCCGCCAGGCCATGAACATACAGATGACGAACGCTATTCGTCAATACCAACAAGACTTATAGTTAGGACATTGCGGTGTTGGTTTCGAGAAATGCCAATGCCCGACTCCAGAGCGGGCCATAGCCTCCCGAGAGGCCTTAGAGACGTGATCACGGCCATGTCTGCCTGGCAAAGGCCACGAACCACTTCTGTTTTGGGAAGGAGGTGGAGTTGTTTGATTTCGAAGCGAAGCATTCCACGTTCGCAACCAACCCTGCTGTGAGTAAGAGCGTGGCAGTTACAAAAGGCATCAATGACTATACGGATCTTGATTGATCGGTTATCGATTAGTTAATCTGAGATGCTCTGAAAATAGAGGCGGAGTGGATGTCTGCCTTACCAAGACTGAGCCATGACGTCGATACCAACACGCGGGTGCTCGTAAAACCATTGTAAGCAACTTAGGCTTCCATGTTCTGAGAAGAGCACATGGCCTACGGTTGCAGTAGCATCCAAGCATGAGATTGCTTCGCCGCGCCCGGTGACTCGAAATGTCCAAAGGGGATCTTTGTCATGAAACCGAAATGTTCCGCGACCTCTCAAAGCACTGCCTAGATGCCTGGAAGTCGCGGTTGACTATGAGCACGATGTTTACCTTTGCTCATGTAAGCTCGATTCTATCCCGTTCAACGAACATGTATTGATCCTTCCGTCTGGGCACCCTGGACAATAGTTGATAGAGTTTCTGTCATCCCGACGCCGACATGGCCGACGCGGGCAGGTGCGGCCAACTCGAAGCCTTGGAGGCTGACATTCAGACAATCCTCGTCCATCAAATCTAATCAGCTATTCTCATCTTCCAACCCACTTTGTCTATCTGCGTATCCGACCGCAAACACCGCAACGCCAGATGTCGTATTTCGCTCATGCTACTCTATGGGAGTGCCGACTCCCGCGAGCCTGGCAAATGTCCCCAGGTAAAATCAAGCCTCTGGTCAGCTCTCCGGCCTCGTGACGATCGACACCTTGTTATCGACCCCAAAATAGGCCAGCAACATGGTCTGTACGATCGAGCTGCGCCCTCCACATAAATCCTTCCGCATAACATCCAGATGCACAGACAAGAAAGATGAAGAGGTGCTTCATCATGCTGACCTGCACTTCTAAAGGAGAGGCCCTTCCTCAAACTCATGTTTCTTCTGTTGTGAAAGAAGCTACTTCTTTTCAGTGATCCCCAAGGATCTCCAGGCGCCAATCATCCCGACTTCCGAGTATCATGCACATCCGGTATCCGGGTCCGTGCTGTTTAACCATTCTCTGCATTTGTATAGAACTGCGATCGCATGCCTGACTAGGCTCTCATGCTCCGTCACATCGCTAATAAGATAGCCTCGCTATCTCGGGGTTAAAATCATTGGCATTGTACCTCGCCAGACAGGCACCTAAAGCAAACATCCGCCGATATGCAACCTCAAACTTGACGAAACACCCCTGGCAGCGCAAAAGTAACTCAATTCCTACAAGAATTGAGGCAGCTCAATGTCTTCTAACTTAGCTCCTCGTCGTGAGTCATCGGGGATTGACCATTGACCGAGTCCGCTTGCCTTGATTCACCGGTTTGCAATCTGAACCCTCGATTGTGATACCGACCGGCCACAGCCGCTTACGCTGTGCGACTTCTGACTTGCATGAGGTTCACCGATCTTGCAAGTTTGCTTCATGTGCTTCAAGATTCCAACTGTGGTCGAGCAATGCTGTTATCACTCTCCAGGTTGGTTCCATCTCGACATGTCTTCAATTCGGATTGCAATATCTATTGATGGGCTTCATTCGCATGTCATTGGTCCGCAACCGAGATTGCTATATATTGTACATAGTATCTGCATACCGGTTGATGCGGGGCGTCATCACATGACTCTGTGCACCAGTCTTCCAAGCTGGACGACCTCAGCCTTGTAGACTCGTCTCATTCCCACAGCCACGATGACAATGTAAGGGCTGGTGAAAACAGTCTAAGTCCATGCTGTCGTGCGGTACGGAACGCTCCTTAGTGTACGAAATCCTACTCCAACCACCCCAACCTGACACAGCCCTGTGCGCCTGTGTTGTCTTTCCCATCCGGAGGGGCCCAGCTCAGGCGGACCGTGAACACGATGGAATCCTTTGCTTACGGACCTAACAAAATGGAAGATCTCTTTGATTATGGGCCTGACTTGCTTTCTGACCGGGCATCTTTCCAAGCTCTTGTTGATGAGCTATATTCAACAGACTCAAATATGCAATTAGATGTTGAGTTTAGCAGCCGTGGCACCTCGCCAACAGGGCCTGCCACTCCACCTTCGTCTTCGGGCGGCCAGGAAGAGGTTGCTAGCCCAGACGTGGAACACGAACATCAAGCCTTCGCTCAAGGAGCACTGATGACAGAGATGCTTGCCGGGATGGAAGGATCCACTCCAAACGATCTGATGAGGTCAGGAACCAACGTGTATGATGCCCTCGACACGATCGATCAATCCTTCCACAACCCTTATCTGGGCGTGCCATCATCTACTCAGTACCCCCACTGTCAGGTGCCAGCTTATACCTGGGAAACCTATCCTGCCAGAGCTTTACAGTACGGGACTGCCTACAATACCAACTTCTCATGGATGGACCCTGCCGCTGTCAACTCTAGCAACACAGGCACTTTCTATCACTCTGGCACTCGAGCCTCCATCGACCAGTCAAGACTAATACCCAGGTCCACCATGATTCCTGCCTCTCAGAATGGTTCCACCACGGGTGTACCTCGAAGGGTTACCCATGGATATGGGTCTATGTCTTTGGAGAGCCTGCCATCCGACGATATGATGACCAGATATCCACAGTTGTCCTCACCGGAGATTATCATGAGCGATGCTGGCTATCATCCCAACACCAGTCTACCAGAAGACAACGACTTTGAACTGTCAGGCCCACCTGTCAGCGCTGCAAGTCATCACACCGAACCCTCGATTGTCAACAATAGCAACAACATTCAGCCGCAAGCAAGGATTTTAGCAGAAGACACTTTCACCTTCTCCACAGAGAGCACACAAGCCCTCGAGACATCTGGTCTACCAATACGAAATGACGTGCGTGCGTCAAGGGACCAGGGCAACTCTCGTTCACCAGAAACGACTCGGCGTGGAATGGTCTCAAGGCCCTCGTCATCTCGAGGTTCCAGCCCGAGAGCCATGAACAAAGGAGGACGCTCGGGAGGCCTTGATGGCAATACTCGAGCACATGCCAATCAGATGCGAAAGCTCGGCGCATGTTGGATATGCGCGTTTCAGAGGGATCAATGTGACCCAGGAAGCCCGTGTACCAGATGTCAAGATCGTAGTATCAGAGGATCCTTACACATGCTACCTTGCTCACGTATGCATTTGTCGGATCTGGTGCATCAGTTCCTCCCTGCTACGATGAATAGACAGCATCGTCGTGAGGAGATCATATCTTTTGCGAAGAAGAGCTTGCGCTCGTGGAAGACAGAGGCCCCTATCCAGGTTTACCTGACATCTCTCGGTCTGGGACATTTCGCCTGGGATCTGCACGAATTTGAGCCGTCTTCTCAAGATCTGTTGTTACAGAAGCGATACAAGGTCGGTATCTCTGGAACCTGGCAGCGCATTGAGAAAAGATCACCACCGCTCGCCCTCAAACAGGTCAACTTCAGTCAAACTCAGAGGCTTGACGATTACGTGGACAATATTGTCGAACAATATCTTGAAGACTTCCAGAACCAAGCATATTATGGGGAGGAAGACTCTTGCGCCATGTTCCAAAGTGAGCTGCTGAGAGCACTGTGTAGTCTGTACATCAGTCTGCCGGATGAAGAAGACGTAAGTCATTGTGTATGCCTTCTATATTTCATGACTGACACAAATCTAGGACAAGACTCTCAAAGGTGACGTACGTCAGGTCATCAGACTGCTGGTTCTCACCTGCATCATGGACCATCCCATCACCATTGTTGCGACCTACCAAGATACAGCTATCAGTATGATGCAGAGTCACAATAATCCACAAGTCTACGGCACGTGGACCTCTCCTATGCTGGCCAATCGACAGCTCAAGTACTTCTTCTCCGAGATGCAGACACAGCAGTACAACAAGAGTCTGAATCGTTTACACCAGATTCTGCGCAAAGCAGGAGACAAGAACAAGCTGTGGATGTCGTCTTTCGTGTTGATGCTCGGTATTGCTCTCGTGCTCGAGCAATGTCAACATTTGCTGTGGATCAAGGCAGACGCAAAAGTCGCCAGACGGGAGTCCTCGTCAATCGATGCCGAGTGGGAAGCCCGAAGCCATTGCAACGAAATGGACGATGGGTTCGAGTTCCTGTGCAAGCTCTACCACTGCAAATACCGTGGCAAGCACAGACAAAAGACCAGATATGAAGAATTGAAGAACAAGACCTCGAACGCAGCCGAGGCGGAGTTTGCAGAAAAGATTTATGATATTGTCGACAGAAATGGTGAGTTTGTGGATTTGAGTCTGACCCGCACCGAACACTCTGCTAACTTTCCGAGTCGAAGGCGGATACTTGTTGCATCGTCAACAGTTGACGATCTCTGGTATGCAGGAGAACAACCATGTTTCGAGATTGGTTGCCAGGTTTTTGGTCGAGCTGATGGGACTGACTCAATCCTCGCCTTGAACCGAGGGGGAGAACTTGAAGGGATGACTTGACGAATTGGCCAACGACACATTTTACGAAGGATTGAACGACAAAAGGAAAGAACAACGACGGCGGCGTGTGACAGAAATGATTTTGATATCTTAAAAACATAATAACGCGTTATCAACAATACATCTCAAAAATGGCATGTGAGGAAGCGCAAGTCAGACTCAAGAGATCATCTAAGAAACGATGAGAAAGTCATTTGAGAACCACCCTTCTTCTTTTCTCTTGTGCGGTGATATGATCCTTGTCCCGTGGGTAATAGCGGCGACAAAGTTTGATTATCCGCTCGTAATCGTTATGTATGTGTGTGTGTATAGAGAAAGAAGACTGAGTTTCGAGTCGCGCATGGCATTTTTGGAAAGCCCATGCGGCCAAGACGACAGAAGTTGTGGTCGAGAAGGTCTTGGCAGCGGCCATATGTGATGGCTTTTGCCGAGAAGGAAAATCCTAGACAGTTTTGTTCGCGCAGAGCTTGCTTGTTTTCTTTTCTAAACATCAACATCCGACTCGACTTTTGTTAGTTGCGCTCAACTCCGCAACCACGACACTGCTGTCTCTCTTGGCCGCCTGCGCTCTTGGTTCATCTTGCGCTTTACAGTTGAGCTGCAAGAGAACCTCAAGACGCACGCGCACCTACCAGAGATGCGCACGCAGGAAAAGAGCTTGGAAGTAATGGAGGACGATCGATGGTCGTCATCAGGATCACAACATATCTACAACATAACACCACGAAATGCCTGCGGGGAGGCTTTTCAATGCCTTGCCTGCTTACTTATTCAATTAGTGGGAGAAAAACTCCATACGGCGAAATAAGCAGCGCCCTGTCTTCTCCACCCTCATGCACCAGAATAGTGGTGTCCGAGGACTATGATAGACAAACATCTCTTGCATATATCAATTAATTCATTGCTTTCCTGAAATCTCTTTGCCGAGTCGCATCGCTTCCCTTCTCATGTTGTGCTGGTGTGGGTCTGGTTGTAGCCGGAAGCACTCTCACCAGTCTACGTTATTCCGTTCTTCGCACGCACTTGTACAGTCACATGGCACATCAAGGTCATATTGATCTAAGACTGCTTGCTCAATTGCTCCTGGACGATTCTAGAGACAATCTTCTCCAAGATGGCAGGCTCTCCACCAGCCTTGCCTTCAAAGTAACCGATCACACTCTTCTCGACATACTTGCCCACGCAATCAACCTCGATGTTGACAGTCTCGCCCTTCTGCTTGTTTCCCATGACGACCTTCTCTTGCGTGTAGTTGATCATCATGATCTCGAACCATCCTTCTTCGTCATCCACAGCCGTAATGGTGAGACTGGCACCATCCAACGTCACGTAGCCCTTCTCGACGATGTAGCGCAGCACACTCTTGTCCCTCGGTGACAGACGGAAGACCTTGGCCTCGTTGTCGGGAGTCACGGATACAATCTCGGCGATGGTGTCGACATGTCCCTGCACAAAGTGACCTCCCATTCTCGTATGTGCGCTGACAGCACGCTCGAGGTTGACTTTGCTGCCTTGCTTGAGTGCGCCTAGGTTTGTGCGGCGGAGTGTCTCTGGTGCAGCGCCGATCTTGAAGGATGAGGAGGTGAATTCAGTGACGGTGAGGCAGGTGCCGTTGACCGAGATGGAGTCGCCATTGTTGCAGTCGCCGAGGATGGAGGAGCAGTCCGAGATGGTCATTGTGGTGCCGCCGCCTGAGGTGGCATCTTGCTGCACGAGCTCCGAGACGGCTATGAGTCGTTGATTAGCTTGATGGTTGTGGTAATGGCTGTCGCAAAGGTGATTCGCGTACTGCCTAGTGTTTCGACGATTCCGGTGAACATGGTGAATTGATTGAGTGTGGTTACTGTGATTAGGAAGGTGGTGTTTGTCTAAGAGCAGTAGAAAATGGAGGGTAGGGTGTGACTGTTTCTCTTGATCTTTCCTTAACATGAATATGTCATCAGCGGGAAAGCTTCCACCACTCGCCAAAAGATGCCCCGAGTGAAGGCAGCCAGGGTCCATCAATCAATTGAGCGGCCAGCAGGCCCAGCCATCTCATCGCATCTGCAAGCTGCTGCAGCTCCCAATCCCAAGGGCGGTCAGCGCCCAATGCCGTGATTTTTGCTCCAATGCTCACTCCTCTAGCCTTGCCCAGTCACGCACCAGATACTTGAATCACACGCATAATAAACTTGACGACGAATCACACACTACAGCAGCATCCTACAACCCGCCATGAGCTTCTTCGGCGGCCCCTCCTCGCACCGTTCCTCCCCGCGCAGCAGTACGCACCACAAATCCACACGACCGGTCTTTCCACGCGCACCTTCCTCATCTGCATCATTCTTCTCCCGCAACGGTGGTTCATCAAGCTACTACAAACGCCGCCCGCGCGATGGATACGTCCAAAGTCTCATCCACAAATTGAAACGCTTGATACAAGATCTCTGGGACTATGCGCGAAGGCATCCTTTGAAAGCTTTCATGGCCGTGGTCGTGCCGTTGATGAGTGCGGGTGGTGCATTACACAGTCTGCTGAAGCAGTTCGGAGTCAGGATGCCTGTAGCCTTTGACGGTGTTCACTCGACACGAGGGGGTGGTTATTATGGCTCAAGTGGTTATGGTGATTACGAGGAAAGTGGTTTCGGATCCATGTTTGGAGGCGGAAGTGCTATGGATACAGTGGGCTCTCTGATGAAAGTCGCGCGAGTCTTCATGTGAGCTTAAATGCTTCGCAACATTCGACCAAAGGCTTCACAATGACTACTTGATCGATGGTCATGGAAGCTCTTATGGCATCACATCCCATGCCGACGTGAATTGCTGGCCAATTCACGGTCGACAGCCAAGGAGCCCTCAACAATCAATTGGAAATGGTCTTCACGAGACGGGTACCCATGAACGTTACTCTTGAAGAGTTGCAAAGACGACAGCCCATCAAGCGATGGCGCTGCGGAATGATTTTGCTTCTGGGACGGTGAATCGAGGATGAAGGACGCAGCAATTGAGAGCTGCTTAGAGTGATATTTTACGATTCCATGCTTGAAGATATTACTCCAATAGCAGAGTTTACGATAGACGTACACCAGCAACAGAAGGTTCCTTTGAGTCGAGATATTCGAGATTTGCATCACAAAGAATTGAAGCATCACTTCAGCACGTGACTAGAAGATTGCTGACCATGGTCGGTCAAGGTCGGCGAGGCACAGGATTTGGCAAGAGAAGGCGAAATCGACAACGACATGTTTGAAGCCAATCTCATTTGACAACAAGCTTCGTGGAGAGGTGGTCGGGAGGTGGGCGAGATGAACAGACGAAATGCATCTCGTCAGAGATCGGTGGCGACCGGGAAGGTGCGGCCCTTGACCCTCGGCACAAGCAGCGGCAAGCCGGGAGACTTTGGGCGAGAGAATCATCAGGCTCGCGCTGATTGGCCAGATCTGTGGAACAAGTCGAAGGCAGGCCGTCCTGGGGCAAACCTGTGCATCGTCGTCGTCGACTCTTTTGTTTCCCCTCGTTGTGCTCAGATCTCCTACATCTCCTAATCTCCACTCCACACACACAACCCACCACAACCATGTCGTTCAGAATGGCTACCTCGCGCATTGCGCCCCGCATGATGTTCCGCCGCTCCATGGCCACCACCGTCGAGTCGAGCAAGGGACCCATCCAGGGCGGTACTGAGGCCATCAGCGCCTCGAGACCCGTTCTCTCGCCCAACCAGACTTCGACCGTCAACGAGCCCGCAAAGGACGCCGACAGCAAGGTCAAGACTTTCCACATCTACAGATGGAACCCCGATGCTCCCAGCGACAAGCCTCGCATGCAGAGCTACACCCTCGACCTTAACAAGACCGGCCCCATGATGCTCGACGCCCTGATCAGAATCAAGAACGAGCTCGACCCTACCCTCACTTTCCGCCGCAGTTGCAGAGAGGGTATCTGCGGTTCCTGCGCCATGAACATTGACGGTGTCAATACTCTTGCCTGCTTGTGTACGTTCACCTTTACCTTTGGCGTGACATTGGCCAATTACTGACCATCATTCAGGCCGTATCCCCACCGACACCAAGGCTGAGAGCCGCATCTACCCCCTTCCTCACACCTACGTCGTCAAGGACCTCGTTCCTGACCTCACCCAATTCTACAAGCAGTACAAGTCCATCAAGCCCTTCTTGCAGCGTGAGACCGCTCCTGAGGACGTAAGTCTATTGCCTTACCCACTTCCCACAACAAACATACTGACACAACCTCTAGGGCCGCGAGTACCGCCAGTCCCCTGCCGAGCGCCGCAAGCTCGATGGTCTGTACGAGTGCATTCTGTGCGCCTGCTGCAGCACTTCCTGCCCTTCATACTGGTGGAACTCCGAGGAGTACCTCGGCCCCGCCATCCTCCTCCAGTCCTACCGCTGGATCGCCGACTCTCGTGACGAGAGAACCGCCACTCGCCAGGACGCTCTCAACAACTCCATGTCGCTGTACCGTTGCCACACCATTCTGAACTGCTCCAGGACATGTCCCAAGGGTCTCAACCCTGCCCTCGCCATCGCCGAGCTCAAGAAGTCCATGGCTTTCACCTAAGCTATGCTTCTCTTTACCAAAATTTGATCAATCGTCCTTTTTCTCTCTACACGGTGTACATTTTGGAGCGAGGGTACCCACATCTGTTTCTTGTTTAGTTCTTTTTCTCAACCTTTCTTTTTGTCCATACTCCTCGGTCGTGGAGGTAGTACGATCCTGAATCATTGCTATTAGGCATACCCCCCAAATGTTCTGCTGTTCTTTATTCTGTACAACGTATCAGCTACACGAAGAATGAAATAAATTACCATTACCCCTTATCCCTGGTACAACACTTTGTCATGTGCGTAGTCCGATCGGCTCGCAAGCCAAGAATGAAGTGGTAAACATATAAAGAATTGTCGAGAAATCACACGAGAATGAAGCAGCATCGGTAACAGTGCTGTGATAACACATTGTGAAGACTAGAAGCAAATGATCCAAACCGCTCTTTCCTTTTGGCCTCCCTCTCTTGCGCTCGTCCCTTTCTCTTCATACTGTCGAAACGTGGCTGGGTTGTTGTAAAGGAAAGTGTATATACCCTATTTGACAGAGTCGGATGTCAACAATCATTTGCTTTCGACACTTGAGTATCTCCATCTGCATCTGACCTCTTTCCAACCGAGCTACCCACCTTGCTCTCGAGTTTCCATGCACTTGTTTTCGTGGAATATTTCCTACGAGGTCATAACTCTACGGACTCGAGACGACGATAATAACGATAGCTTTTGGGAACCAAAGGTCAAGGATACCTCGAACTGTTACGCTTTCGGCTCTAGGCTGGGTACAGTAGTTCCAATGATTATTCTTGGATCCGTGGTTGGTGGAAAGGAAAGGAAAGTTCGTGCAATACTTGTTTGTGGGGGCGACCCTGGTAGACACGCTTCGCATGAGGTATGCCAGGATATCTCGTGCTTTGCAGTATACGATAGAGTTTTCCGATGTGATGATGTGAAACTGAAATGAATACCAAGAGCCATGACGGACGGAATGATGATGTCAAGAAGTTGCTTGGTGGATAGAAAACAGTCGTTCTTTTGGAGCTGCATGGACGATTCCTTTAGACGCACAAGCTCAATGGTGTGTGAAGCAAGATGAAATGTTCGTTTGGATGGATGTGTATTAAACTTTGAAGCTATCTGATGCTATGGTAACGCTATATACCCTATAAACTAATCTGCTCGGGAGAAGAATACAACGACAGTAGGAGACAACACTTTTCTGCCTTGAAGATGGAGGAAATCGTGAGTAGTATCGTGCTCGTTCAGTTCATTCCCGACTTTTCCCCTGATATAAAGATAGGTGAGAGGAGTTGCACACCTGAAATAAAGAAAACCTGAAGAACGAGCCGTGGGGGTATCAAAGTATGTCAGTCTTTTTTGTTCTTTTCATTGATGGTATTCGTTGCTGATGAGCTGGTCGTATAGGTGTTCATGCTTTCTCGCCATTGTGCTCGACCTCGAAGCCACTATGCTTCTGGCGAAGCGCTTTGGCAAGCATGAGCTCTCTCATCCAGTCGATGCGCTCGTTGCTGTTGGTAACAGCGAAGTGGTGGGTCTTGCCATGTGCCAACTTGACTCTGTCGTTGCCACTGGGCACGAGCTGGAAAGAGAAAGCGGCAGCGGAGTCGAGGTCTTTCTTCTTGTCGCCGAGCTTGAGGTTTTTGAGGGCAGCTGTAATCTTGTTATTGGAAGGCGTGGATGCACAAGCAACGCTATAGTCGTCAACGTCGATGCTGTCGAGCATGAGGGCGGAGAGTCGATTGCTCTCGTGCATAGCGAGCTGCGTGCCATGGAGACGGAAATGCGCGTTCTGCCACTCATGACGCAGAAGCTTTGTCTTGCGTTTCTTCATATAACCAGCATGTGAGACATCAGTGCCGTAGGTAGCTTGCATGTGGGCTTTCTTCATCTCCTTTTGCTTAGCCTTGTCGACGACGTGAATCAGTTTGGACGGGGATCGCTGGATGGCGGTCGTGGGTGAGAACACGGCATTCTCGTCAAGAGCGGGCAGTTGGTGGGAGGGCTGGCGACGGAATTCGGTGCGCGTGTGCTCTCGGTATTGCATATTGGGTGGAACCGATTGGCTGGTGTCACGAGAGATAGGACCCAGGGGGACTGCCGTGACGGGAACGTCCATCTCAGACGCAGGAGTGCCATGGCGATAGATTTGATGGCCTCCAGGCGAGGCGGCTGCACTGCGGCAAGGAGACATGATTGTCTCGGCAGGCGAGAAGACGTTGGGCATGCCTAGCCAAGGGTTGGCACTGGCAGAGCGAGGAATAGCAAGCTTGGGCAGATGCTTGAGATTCTCATGTGGTTCCTGTGTCAGGGAAGGACGTTGAAGAGAAGGATATGCTTGTTGATGAAGCCGTGGGAACATCTCAAAGGCATTGCCGGGAAAGGTATCGAGAGGAGGAGTCGGCGGTGCCTCAACCTGCGCCTGACCTACATGTTGGAAGTTGAGGAATTGCTTGACGTTCTCCTGAGGATCCCGGCTCTGGAGTTGAGAAAGCATGTTCTCGTGAAGTGCGAACGCGGGGAGTTGTCCGGGTCCAAGGAGATCAGAGGAAGCGACGATCGAAGGCGGCATGTTCTCCGAAACCGGTCGAGTCGCAACTCCCGTCGAAGGCGAAGCCTCTTGGTGACGGTGTACGTTTTCCAATACTTTGTAAGCAGTAGCTGCGTTACCGGGATCGCCTGTAATCAATATTTGACCTCCACGATCCGGACTGATCGGCCAGCCTTGCTGATCTCGAATACGAGCAAAGAGTCTTTGTTGTTTGCGCCACTTGGGACAATTCTCGCCTTTGGGGCAGTTGTGTTCTCTGGGCATTAGCTGTTCGATGGCGACAATCGAGACCGACTCTGCAGGTGTGATGACATCGTCATGATGGCGATTCTTCCGACCACGTCGTTTCTTATGGCGGACGGGAGTGACTGGTGTCATATCGTCTTCCAGAGAAAGAGCAGGTAATGCTTCTCTAGGAATGTCCCCATCTGATTTGGATCTGATGTTGGTCGGAGGGCGGGAGATATCCTGGAATGGTGTTGGCACAGGACTTGGGCCTCTCTCACCACCTTTCAGATTCTGTATAGCGTTCCAAAGTTGATGGCGTTTGCCAAAAGACTCGATTTCCAGTTCCTTCAGATTCTCAAACTCAAGCTCTACCAAGATTGTTCCGTTAATGTCATGCTTCTCGAACTTGTCGACAACCTCGTGAGGTAGCCCAGTCTCGAGCATCCAATTTAAGACATCCTCGGTTGTCCATCTCTCGATACTATAGGGCGAAGGAGATTGGAGTACTGCATCAAGACCTGGAACATATAGATCTTGAGGTGAGAAGGCGAACTCTTGAGGCGAAGCAATAGTGGCTTGTGGCGGCAATTCCATGGTCTTTGGAAATAGTGGAGACATTTGCAAAGCGTAATCGAAAGCAAACTCGGCAGAAGACTGGGAAGCACGGAACAAGTGTGGGCCTTTTGGCCCTTCTACAGGCTTTCCATAGACTGTGAATGGGCCGCTACGTTCAAACTGTATATCAGAACGAGGGGTCAAAGCCTCCTCAAATGAGGAAACAGTGGTTTGACTCCGTCGTCTGCTGTCAAACTGTGCCGTGATTAGTGTCAAGATGGAGCGTGAAGATCCGTGAATCACTCACTGAGTCGAAGCTAGGCTTTGGAGAGTTTTCTTCGAACAAACTCTCATCGTCATCCACATCAGTCTCATATATTTCAGTGGCTTCAGAGATAGGTCGAGCATAAGATGTCTTGGATGGGGTCGAGAAGGGTGTTCTGAGTGTCTGAGGCTGTGAACCCTGAACACCCACGTGAACGGCGTGTGTCATGGCCAGCTTGACTCGTCAGCCAATGTCTTGGATCCGGAAGAATGCATTTCACCTACCATGACGAACAAAGCAAAGGGTAAGAACCAAACGTCAAGCAAAATCCAGATGAAACGACAGTTGACACCGTTGCCAGTGAGATATTCTATAGCGTGCGGTTCGTGACACGAAGACGACGGCGAGACTGAAGTTCGGGTCTTCGCGCGGTAGCAATATGGAAGGCTTTTGTAGAGATAGCCGTTGCGTGAATGGGAGGTACACTTTCCCGTATCCTCCTGTGTGCGTCCCCTCAGTGTGACCAGCCATCGTAGCGGGATTAATAGGCGTCAATGGAATTGGAGCGGTTGGCCAAGTGCCTGCAGATGGATAGATTACACACCTATCCTAGGCCGGTTTCGGATCTGATGTTATCCATTGGACGCCATTGAACCTGCAGCGAGCCATCTTGTGGTGGGAGTGATAGGGATTTAGGTCGCATATGCGCGTACATGCAACGATTGATTGGCTCCATAATCTTGGTCAAGTTTTTGGCTGAGCGAAGAATAGATAAGTCAATTGTGGCCTGCATCGGAATAGCTAGCCATGAAATGAGACATATGCCGTGCAACCTGAGCAGTCTTGGATTTCGAGACCAGTCGCGTAGAACACCCCGCCACACGTGCAGAAGCAATATGTATAAGGTGCTCCCATACAGCAAACACTGCAGCGATCACGCTGTCGCAAGAACCTGGTAAGCGTCGCACATGGTCACAATGCAAGGGGGAAGGAGAAAGCACACATCTGGTGTGGCCTCAACACGAGCGGTGAACCTGCAGCGAACAGGCTCTGTCATGAAGCATATTCTGCTGTCTCTCAATGCAGTCAAACACTTCGAGCGAGTCTGGCCAACATACCTCGCTACGTAGGACCTCTCCAGTCGCAAGACTAATCTTGAGCCCCGAGAAAATGATTGAAACGAATTGGTCTGCGAATGGCCGAGCCTTGGACGGGGAAGTGCGCGTGACTCGATGGCTAAAGCCAGACCTGAGCACTGGAAACCAATAGAGGCACGAAGCCGGGATTTTCAATGCTGAATGGTGAATTATTGGACTCAGCGAGCCGCCCGAGTAGACTGGAACTTCACGGCCGCTCAAACGATAGAACTCTGGCCGGCACCACGCAGCCGTATGCAAACTCCTTGTTCGCAAGGACTGATTTCAAAGGGCCATTCTCGACGGAACCTCGAGTTGAACCAAGACGTCGGAAAAGCAGCACCAATGGAGGCAAGTCACATATGATATCGGAATCCTAACGCATGAGACACTGAGGTTCCTGCATGGTGGTCGTTGAATAAATGAGTGTGCCGCAGCAGAGTCAGCAATCGCATGCCGTGTCGTCAGCCAAAAACAGGGTTCGATTCTTCTGACGGGCCGATGCCGCTAGCTGCCCCATCTGATTGGCTGACCGCGCTCGGCTTTGGCGCGAACAGCACATCAATCACAGCGAGCTGCTGCACATGCCTCCAGGTTCATCACATCCGTCAGCAAACCCCAACCACTCATTCCAGTTTCCTCATGGGGTCATGCCAGCCAAGCGCGTGGGCAGATCGGCAAAGTTTGCAAAACCAAGACCCCGAGCGAATTGAACACAGAGCCATGGTCCATGGTGAAGATCTCATGCGCCTCGATGGTATCACCATACACCGCCATCTGCTAAAATGCCAGAAGAATGACCAGAATACCGAATTTCTCAGTGTACAACCAACCTGGACGCACTTTTCATCATATAGGTAATGAGGCACAGAACTCGGGACATCTATGCGGACGATATGCAGCGTTGATCAGGCCTCTCGACATCTCCACTTCTCAGCGATGAAGCCCAAACATTTGCCGACGCTTTGACGTTGAGTTCTTGCGGCTCATTGCGAGCGGGGATCATCTCGCAAGTCCCTCGACTCGAGCTGTCAAGTTGAACTTTAACCTGCATCTTCACCCTCCAGTCTTGAGGCCTTTCTTATTGGTTGACGAGTGGATAAACCTATGTCAAGGGCCCTTAACGACGATTTACTATTTCTTTGAACCACTCAACGAACAAAAAACCGAGGGTGAGTCTTTAGGATTCGATTGGGCATTCAAGATCTCATCCGAGATCCCCAAGATTCGTCAATTCTTCCGGCAATAACCAGACTGCATGTGCATCACGTTGTACGACAATGCGGCTCAGCGCACCATGTCACTGTCTTGTCCGACAAGCATGGCTCCTGATGGCGCACAAGAATAGTGTTAGCCGATCTGTTCACCTCCACTGACTCGGCCCATGTCGGTCCCGTGCCACATGAATGCAGATAACCAATCGCAATCGTTGATGCCCTGCATATCGCATGATTAGCTCTTGTTCTGGACAGTACTCTTAACCCACATTGTTGAGCAGTCTAAGAATAGATGCGGTGATATTTGGTGCCATTCTTCCAGGTTTGGGCATATAAGGTACTTGTCTCCTCTTGCACTTGACCATAGCCAGCAATCGCAGGACGACTTAATACACTTTTCTCTCTTCTTTTTGTCCCCTTTCCCTCTCCTCACTAGCCAGGCTGGTCCAGGCTCCTTTTGCGCTATCATTTAATCACGAACCGGTTTTACGCCACTACATTCTCTCCCAGTCCTCTGGTCCCCTACCAGCCCTCGATCAACCTTTATCCTTGATTGGGTTGCCTCATCATCTGCTGTACATATAGATCAAAGATGTCGTCGTCAATCACTCCAGCAAACTCCAAATCTAACACCAAGATGGCTGCCTCAAAAGATGCAAAGTCGAATGCCTCAAAGATGCATCGCCGTTCACGTACAGGTACGTTGATACCATTCTGTGCCTAGATTGAGCACGGCCCATACTGACCCCGGATCTACAGGCTGTTACACTTGCCGTCTTCGCAGAAAGAAGTGTGACGAGGGAAAGCCCGGTTGCAAAGCATGCACTCATCTGGGTGTCCAATGTGTTTACAAACGTCCCATGTGGTGGAGCAACACTGCCAAGCGTGCAGAACAGAAAGAGTTGGTCAAAGACAGAATCAAGTTGACACAAACTGCAAAGAAGGCCAAAGATGCAAGCACTCCTCCTCCAAGTCTCTGCAAAACCGAGACTGGTTCAGATTCGAAGCCTTCATCACGAACGCCCTCTGTCTGTACACCTTTTGCTCCAGAGATCAACTTTACGCAAGTCTCGCCCGAAGGTTATTTTGCTCTTCCCCCGCCAGAGGCACTCCTGTCGCATCCTCCGTACCCCATGTTCTCCCCTTATGAAGTTGACATCAAGACTGAACGCCAAATCTTCATTAACGATGTCCCCACTCGACGCGACTCGACCATCTCCACATTCAGTACCTTTCAACCACCGCCAATGGGATCAAGCTGTCATGGCTTCGCTCCGGAAAGCTGGGTGCAACAAGATTACTTCGAGATGCAACAAGAATCATTCACAGAGGAGCCTGTCAACTTCGAGTTTTTCGACTTGCCGCATGGAAAAACTGCACCAAATCATGAGACCGTCATCGAGGTAGACGAAGCCGACAAACCTCTGCTCAACCATTTCATCCAAAAGGTTTCGAAACTCATCTTCCCCATCCTCGATGCCAACCAGCACAGTTCCACTCGCTCAGACATCATCTTGCCTGCACTTGAGACCAACAAAAGCTATCTGCATTGTTGCTTGAGCGTGTCAGGTCTCCATAAGAAATCCACCGAGGACGTTCCTTCAGAAGAGATCGACGAGCACATTCTGCGACATCGCTATGCAGCGATATCCGAACTATGCGCGGCGTTGAACGAAGACAAGAACCATGCTCAAATCCTTGAAGCCACTCTGGGCATGATATTTTTCCAGTGCTCTGTAGGTCGAGCGACGGATACGATCCCCGACATACCGTGGCATCAACACTTCCAGGCTGCTTCCGACCTTGTCGATCGCCTTGAACTTCCGACTACTGTCATAGCAGCGATGCAATGTGGTGATGTGTCGCGTCCTCCTTTCAACATGGCCCTCACGGCTTGGATCGATATTCTTGGAGCGACTATGCTTGGACGCTATCCGCGATTTGCCGACACATATCGTGACCTCAACATTGGCAAAGGTAGCGCTGGCTTGTCGGAACTCATGGGTTGCGATGACAACATCATGTTCTTGATCTCGGAGATTGCTTGCCTTGAAGCTCACAAGCTTGAAGGCATGGATGATCTGGTGCTTTGCGACTATGTCAAGATTCTTGGACATAGCATTGGCTACTGTGAACCAGGACCCGGTGCAGTGAAGAGCGCCTTTTCCGGTACTGGAGCCATCAAGCCCAAGCAACTTAGTATCAATGTGACAGCGGCTTTTATGTACGCCGCGCGCATCTACCTTTGCTCACTCGTGCCTGGCTTCAGACTCGACGATCATAATGTGACCAGCTTGGTCAGCGCATTCTGCAATGTCATGGAGTACATCCCGGCTGGACCGGAAGGCCACGACCGTTCACTGGTCTGGCCATTGCTCGTAGTTGGATCAGTATCTTTGCCGACGTCGTCTTTCCGCAGCATGTTTGAAGAACGCTGTTCGCGCTTGGGCGAGGCAGCCAGCTTTGGCTCCTTCGGTCGTGTTCGCGAGCTTTTCAAGGATGTCTGGCTGCTGGTCGACAGTGAAGCAGCCATCGGAAGCTACCAGAACGTCTCCTGGCGAGACGTGATGAGGCAGAAGGAATGGGACTTTCTGTTGATCTGAAACTCCCTTTTCATCCACCTTGACGGTGTGATGAGTCCCCCTGTTTGTCCTGGTCTGGTAACTTTCCCCTTTTAATATTTGTACATATGGCGGATTGTTCACGAAGTCACGATACACCCCGGTCGCCGCATCAGAGCGGTGCAACACATGTAATGGAACAAAGTGTGTTTTGTTTTGTTTTTCTTTCCTTTGATTCTCTCATGGCAGTTATACCCGCAGCCGGTCGAAGGCATGTCATTCTGCCTGACATGGTCGTCTCGTATGAAGGAACATAAACGAGCTTGGCAGTCCAAGCATTCTACTTTATAGCTCTGGGCAGAATTTACAAAGGCTAAACAGGAACAAAATCGATGAGATCGATTCTTCATGATGAAATGCAAGAGCGATAAGACGAGCTTCGCGTGAGTGGTGGTGAGTGGAGATGCAGCAGGCAAAAACGAAGGGCGGGATTCGGGAAGCGCAGACGGCAGGCGGAAGACAGCGGAGAAGGGAAGTGGCTATTTTTAGCGGGCCGGAGGAAGCGATGATGCAGATCATTGCACCAACAGCATTGGCAGGTGAGATGGAGCTCAGATTGCGCCGTATTGGATAGATGGCTCCTTCTGCAAGATGCAATACCCAAGTCGCCATCCTTGACGACAAAGTCCAACAGCAAAATGCACAAGACGCCGACGCGCTCCTGACAGCTATTCCGAAGCTTCAAGTGTGCATCACTAGTAGACACGGCTGTCTTTGATAGTGCTCGACTAGCCAGCACTCTGCAGCTAGCCAGACGACGACTAATCTCGGCCTGCATAGATAGACAATTGCTGCAAATTCTACGCCTGCCTCTCCGTACCTAGTTCCTTCCTAATACTTTCTCACCCACCATCATGTCGGGCCCGCAGCAGCCTCCGCCCATCGCTACCCAAGGCACCTTCTTCGCCAACAGCAGCATGCACACGCCATTGACTCCGGACTATGACGACGTCGAATCGCCGTCGCTGACATCTGGAAATGCCCTCGCCCGCTTTGAATTCGAGAAACCTGCTGGCGACAAGAGGAGCGGGACAAAGATCTTGATGGTCGAATGGGAGGACGACGAACAAACCAAACACATCCCAGGTCAATGGACTGTTAGCTGGGAGGGCAAGAAGGCTGCCGTGCTCAATGCCAATGCCACGGATGGCTCACGGGAAGGCTTGCACCGTCTGTACTTCCTGCTGTCGGTGGTTGAGCGCGTGCCAGGTACCGTTACCTTGACGCTACAGTCGGAGCATCAGGGGGAGGAGAAGATTGTCTGGCGCACGCATCCGTTACCCGCCATCTTCCCTCCTGAACTAGGTGCCTCGGCTCGCCAGGCTGGCAAGAAGGGTGTGCTACACACGGTATGGGCAAAGAAGCGTTTGCAGGTACTCAAGCAGGAGATCCAACACGAAGAACAGTACAGCCCTGAGGGCGTCGCTCTGTCCATGGCCATGCAAGAGCGCGACTGGATCGAGTCCAACTTCGGCGTACGCACAAAGCCACACGGCCTGAAGATTGCAACTACAACCCCGTCCGACACGTTGAACCTCGGACTACCTAGCCCAGCCAGCCCGCGCAGTCCCGGTCGAGGTCCTTTACTAGAGAAGCTCAAGGGACTCAAGCTCGACACCGAAGCCTCCAAGCACGACTCCAACCCTTTAAGTCCCGAAGGCTCAGATGTCGCCGTCAACTTCAACACCTTCGCCGCGCTACACGGTCTACCTGACCCAAGCACGCTTTCTGCAAAATCTGCCCAACATCCGTCCGAGTCAGGAACAACGACACCTCAACCACAACGAAGAATAGCATCACAACTACCACCGGAGTCGATCCTCGCGCAGCAACGACAACAACAGGCCGGAAACAGCATGGCGTCACTGAATGCATTCGCCGTTACCGAACCGCCCGTCGAGTTCAAGGCCCCTTCTGCAGATTCCGTCCCTTCATCGTTACCGAGAAGTGATTCACTTGCAGATGAAGATGATCTTTTCGCACTGCCTCTAAGCCCTCGAAGTCCCGCTGGTACACAGACCGGAGGTTCTGCTTTCTCCTTTGCCATCGACGACGTTGCAAGATACAAGCAATAACACTCGGATGCCTTCAAATTATTCCACGCTTTCTCAATCTTGTCATCTGTCCTATTTCTCTTTTCCATCTATCTTTCTCGCTCTTCTTCTAACATTCTCGCATACTTCTTTGGGTACCCTTTCTTCCATCTCTTTGTTTACTATTCTTGTCTGGAACAACGATGCAGCAGTGGCGTCTATCGGGTGTCTTGTTATCCTGAAGGGGTTGGAGGATGATGCCATATAAAATGTGCTGCAGTGAGGGTGTCAACAATGCATTTATTCTCAACCACTGATCTAAACGTTTGCGTATCGTCCTTCGAACCGATGGAGCTTCCCAATGTTTCAACATTTGCTTGTTTTTCCCTGAAATGTAAGGATCGACGGAGCATCCTATGAAGACTCAGACTCGGAATTGATATGCGATTGAAGTTATCTTAAGTGCTGGATGCTATGAGCTACGAACAGAGCTTGAGAGCGAAAGAGTCTGAGCGAGTTTTCGACTGGCATTATCTGTAGCAGAGGCAAAGCTGGGAGACAGTGACAAGGGCTGTCCTCTCCTTTCGTGTGTGATGCGTATCGGGAGTCGTAGAACACTGTCAATGCACCAATTCCTGCTTGATGGCGATCCCAAGAGCCTTGATTGCGTCAAAGATGTTACACTGTCGGCGAGTGTACTTTGTGATTGCCAAAAATGGGAGCTTCGACAGCTTCCTTCCGCTGAAGCCCGCGCAGGTGTCGGCCACGGCTTTGAGAAGGGGGCCGGGGGTGTTTGGATATGTGGCCTGCAGGAGGAGCAGTTGTCCGTGGTCTGGTAGGCGTGTTTGCCCTTCGATCATAGCATTAATGGGGACGAAGTCTGAATCTTCCTCGGGAGTCTGGGTTTCGAGTTTGTAGGTGATTGCTCCAGCGTCGATCAAAGAGTTGAGGATGTTGCTCAGGATAGTGTAGACGGCGCTTGCGCAGGGAGGTGGGACGGGGATGGCATCGTATAAACGATCGAGGAAGGCCGTGTCCTGATATGATCAGCAGAGGCACCTTTCAGTCTGGTAAAATCGAGTGAAGCTTACAATAGACTCGAGAAGATTGCTAGTGCAGAAGACGACAATGTTTGGCTTGCATCGAATACGGTCGAGGGCAGTAAGAAGCTGATTGGTCGCACGAACGGTATCCGCGCATTCGCCGTTCCTGGTCGATGCCTGACGTGAGGCGGCTATGCTCTCAATCTCGTCAATGAGAACGCAGACGAGCTCCTTTTCATCCTGTGCAATCCTGAGTATCTTATCAAACATGTCTGAAACCAGCTTGCCGCTCTCGCTGTAGAACTTGCTTAGGAGGTCTTGTGTGTTGATCTCGAACAGTTTACCGCTTCTGAACGTTCGACCGAGCCTAATGACCAACTTGTGGGCAAGTGCGCGACTACTCTAAAGTTAGTGGCATCGCAGGTGTATGTGATGTTCCTGTGGATACCAAAGTGTTGATTTGCCGCACCCCGGAGGACCATGGAAGAGCATCAACCGATTGATGTTCATAGCGGCCTGGAGGCCATTTGCATGATGCAACAACATGACTGTTCGTGTATGTTAGCAGCACGCGACCTGCAGAACGAAGATGCCGACATACCCGTGCGGACGACCGAGCTAAGGATCTGTTCCAGATTGATGTTCTGAGTCTCGTCGAACTTTAGACTGTCACACTGAGATCAGCAGTGCAACGCCGACTCGGTAAGCAAGCATGCAGCATACTTTTCCCAAACCTTGTCAAGGGATTCGTGAGGTATACTGATTATCTTCGCTTTGGCGTCCGCTGAGGTCCCAAAGGCAGCAGTAGGGGAGAGCGTGTCTTGGATGTTGAGGTCGTAAGCGTGGATCTCGAGCTGGACCTTGGAGGGTAGGAAGCAGCCAGCTAGGTTCTTCGGTGCGACATCAGTGCCAGTGACTCGGACTGAGTTAACGTAAGCGTGGTATTCGAAGTTGTCTTGAGAAATCAGTACGCGAATCATTGTGGCCAGATTCATATGTGCATACTGAAAACAAGCTCTTCGCCCTCGTTGACCGGGTGTATGTAGTCATTGGTCAAGAAAGCGTGGAAAGCATCTTCGATCTGAATAGTGTGAGTAGAGCGAAGGGTACAAGCGACTATCAAATATGGATCGTACTTCAGAGCGTGGAATGTAGGCTTCATCATCATCGATATCTTTGAGACGCAGTTCGACGTGGAGTTCGTTCATGTTTTGTGTTGAGAGAAGAGAAGGAGTGCAAAAAGAAGAGGGCAAAGCTCAGAGATGGCGATGGAGGCCAGAAGGTAGCCAGTAGCGGCTGTTGTTTTCATACATAAGTTGCTTTCGAAAATGGGAGTCGTGCCTTCCTTGACAACCTTCGAAGTTACGACAAAGAAACTTTATCAAGTTCACGCGCAGTCTCCTACCTTCTTTCATAGGATACCCTGATTCGATGAGAGCATATCTTGAAGCATTCAGGGCAGCCGTACGTGTGCGGCACCTATAAAAACGTGCTGGAAGTCGACAGCTGAAGTTGAGTATTTATCAACTTTACACACTGCAATGCGTCGGACTGAAGCTACGAGATCAAACCCCTGACCAGAGAGAGACGTCACACAGATGTATTGAGTGCACTCAAAAGAATGTCGAGGCCATTGTCAATAGATTGGCCATCCTACTGCGGTGTACAGAATTTTACCCAGCAAACGGCGGTCATGGACCACGATGGGAGGAGTGTTTCAAGGTCAGAAAGCCAAATGAGAAAGGAAGGGGTCTCGGCGTCGGCGGCGGTGAATGGGCCAATCGTGGGCTTTTGCCGAAAGGGCTAGCGTCATCTGGCGGTGTACGATGACGCCTGATTTTGGGCATGTTTCTGGAGAAAGTGCAGTCTTCCTGCTTTCCATTGTTTACACTCTGCACCAGCAGCAGCAATGGTCGACTTTTCTACCTTTGGAGCGAAGGATGACCCCAACAACATCATGGGGAAACAGCGACCGACAACGCTTCAAATCGAACTTTCGGTTGCGTTAGGAGTCTTCGCCTTTTTCACTTTCTGTGTGTTGCGGCCGCGCTGGAGCGGCTTGTACGCGGCGAGGAAGAAGTCCAAGGATGCCTCTTCGTCTCTACCGGAACTGCCCAACAGTCTTCTGGGATGGATGTTGCCCTTATGGCGCATCACCGAACAACAAGTGCTCGCTTCGGCTGGTCTGGATGCCTACGTCTTTCTTCGTTTCTTCAAACTGGCCATCAAGTTCCTCTCCATCACGCTCTTCTTCTCGCTGGTCGTCATCAAGCCCGTACACGACAGCTACCCCGACGATGACGAGAAGCAAAAGAACTCGACACTACCCTTTGTACCCGACTACGACTTCGACTACGAGCTCCGAAAAAGGAGCGATTCATGGATGCCCCTAAACCACTCAGCGCCGTGGATGCCCGAGGTCGAAACCGACTACCTGTGGATGTACCCTGTCTTTGCCTATGTCTTTACTGCCCTGGCCCTATACCTCATCACATCCGAAACGCGCAACATTATTGAAGTACGCCAAGAATACCTCGGCAGTCAGACCACCATCACCGACCGCACCATTCGTCTGTCGGGCATTCCACCCGAGTTACAATCCGAGGAGAAGATTAAGGACTTTATCCAAGAGCTTGGAATCGGCAATGTCGAGAGCGTCTTGCTGTGTCGCCAATGGGCTGAATTGGACCAACACATTGTCAAGAGGAATGATTACCTCCGTCGCCTCGAAGAGGCCTATACGGTTTACCAAGGTCAACGCTCCATTGAGCGTAATCTGGAAGCTCTGCCGATTGCTCAGCCTGTGCCACCCGGCCCGTCTGTCGATCCTGAAGACGACGAGCACGACGACGAAGAGCATCGCCGCCTGCTCCGCTCCGGCGACTCGATGCCGGCTCAGACTCCCTACGCCAGAGTCCGCCCAAAAGCCAAGATCTACTTCGGCCGCTTCAACTTGCGTAGCCGTCAGGTCGATGCAATTGACTACTACGAGGAGAAGCTGCGCGTAATAGATGCCGAGATCCGCGATTTGCGCAACAAGGACTTTGAGCCCGTCCCTCTGGCCTTTGTCACCATGGACACGGTTGCTGCTTCCCAAATGGCCTGTCAAGCCGTCCTCGATCCTTCGCCCTTACAGTTGCTCGCCAATCCCAGCCCCGCCCCTGCCGACATTGTATGGACCAATACTTATCTTAGTAGGAGAAGTCGCATGTTCCGCTCCTGGTCCATCACTGCCTTCATCTTGCTGCTGACCATCTTCTGGTCTGTTACATTTGTCCCCATCGCCACCTTCTTGAACACCGACACCATTCGCGAGTTCTTCCCCTCGTTTGCCGAACTTCTCGACTCGCATCCCTTGGTTCAGTCTCTTGTCACCAACCAACTTCCCACCATCGCCGTCACTCTGCTCAATGCCATCGTGCCCTATCTGTACGACTGGCTCTCCAATTGCCAAGGCATGACCTCTCAAGGCGACGTTGAGCTCTCCGTCATCTCCAAGAACTTCTTCTTCACCTTCTTCAACTTCTTCATTGTCTTTACCATCCTAGGAACCGCCTCCAACTTCTACGATAAATACAAAGACATCGGAAAGAACCTCAGAGACACGACCAGGTTCGCATGGACTCTTGCCTCTTCTCTGCAAAGGCTACTCGCTTTCTACACAAACTTCATCATTCTTCAAGGCCTTGGTCTGATTCCGTTTAGGCTTCTGGAATTTGGAACCATGGCTTTGTATCCTATTGGTCTCATGGGAGCCAAGACACCTAGAGGTACTGATACTTGTCACTTTACTCCACTCTCCATGAACTAACTGCTCAACAGACTACGCCGAACTCATTCAACCTCCACGCTTCAGCTACGGCCTGTACCTCCCCCAGACATTACTTATCTTTATCATTTGCGTCGTCTACAGTGTCTTGCGAGACAGCTGGAAAGTCATTCTTTCCGGTCTAGTCTACTTCGTCATTGGTAGCTTTGTTTACAAGTACCAGCTACTCTATGCCATGGACCATCGCCAGCATTCCACTGGCAAGAGCTGGGTTATGATCTGTGATCGTGTTCAGATTGGTATTATTCTCTTCCAGATCACCGTCGGTGGCCAGCTTGCCCTCAAGAAGGCCCTGCTAAGAAGTGTCATGTTGGTTCCTCTCGTCGTTGGGAGTGTCTGGTTCTTTTACGTTTACGGACGAACTTACAAACCCTTGATGGAATTTATTGCCCTCAAGAGTGTCAGAAGAGCTGAGCATGCCGATTATGAATCGGCAGAACTCCAAGGATCCGACTCCGATGACCATCACCGTTACGAACGAGAGGCCAACCATGGTCAGACAGTTGATGAGTCGCGGGAACGCGGCATGCGCTTTGTTAACCCTAGCCTTATTTCTCCGTAAGTTATATGCCCTCGATCTATAATGAATACAGCTGACCTCACGATAGTCTCGAAAAGGTTTGGATCGCAGACATAATAGCACACAACAACAACAACAGAGCCACCCATAATCCTCCTGGCGACGAGATTGCTTAGCTTTTTTTTTTAATCGATACCCATTTGTACATATATGTAGTCTTTTGAACATACAAAACCATTCCAAGATCATGCGTGCTGTGGCGCCAGAAGCCTGTACTCTACCTCTCGCGCTTCTACGAGTGTGGTTACTCCTAAGTTACAGGTACCCATTTCCAGCCTCTCCTTGTATACAGCACGATTGAGGTATATTTCAGATAGCGTACACGTATGTTGACATGCGATAGGCCATTGCACCTTCCTAAAGACGGGGACAGAGCTCATGCTGGACTGTATTCCAATTTCAAAATACGAATGCCGCGGAGACGATTCCATCGGGGATGGATGGGACAGACAAATGCACGATGTAGGTGCCATGCGAAGGCGACGCCTATCGATTTACGAGCAGATTGAGGGGGAAATCGAGAGCTGCGGCTGATAAGTTCACGTGGATTGGCGCGACTTTGGACTGTCTAGACCGCAAGCGGGAAGATCGTAGACGCCGGGTATGCAGTATGCACTCGCTTGTCGCGTTACACCAAAGAGCCCATAGCCTACAGGAATTGGCGGCGAGATTGCCAGATTGTGGTCTTCGCACGCCGAAGAGGAGCTCTCCAGACTCTTAACCTCATACGAGTTCATTTGTCTGGTTATTGCTGAGATCAACCACTCAAAGGCAAGGTGTTGTTTTGTGGATAGCATGTCACTTTGGGAAGGATTGTGAGGCTTCGGTTAAGTGGCTCCGCGGGATAGTTTTCGTCACGATGACCCGCTTTGTGGAGTCCCATCCCTGCAAGAGGGCAAACATGTAAATCGCGTTCCCTTGGGGGTGGGCAAATCGGGATTGGGATATCAGCGGAGCCGCCTCCATGAATTCAGTCTGTTCTCTCCTCTGCATTACGGAGGAGCTGCTTTTTAGTCGGTTCGCACTTTTTGGTGAGGATTCGTTGTGGGGTGCGAACTCACTAAAAACGAGCTCCTCCGTATCGTCATGACTTGATTCACGAGCCGAAAATGGACGTTGCGAAATTTCTTGAGGCTCCCATTCGATCCAATCCCAGACGCGAGTCCCAGCCCTCGTTATTGTCGACTTTGCTACCCCCAACACCTCGCGAAGCCACATCTCCAGCGTCACAATCGGCATCTCCTTCGAGCTCTTTTTCCGTGGCCGATGCCATCTCTAGATCAGAATTCGATTTCACACCAGCGGATTCGGTTCATCCAGTCTCTTCGGCAACACGCTCCCAATGGCCGACCGAGTTGGGTACCCCGGAGCAGCAAACAGCCGAGGAACCACATCAAAAACTAGAGTCTGAGCAAAGTGATGATGCAACGAAACCAAAGAGGATCATAAAAGCAGCCTGCTCGGCATGTCGAAAGCGGAAAGCAAAGGTATGGTTCCCTCCTTGGCATCTTCTCTGCTTCGCCTTCTCATTATACACATTCGGAGACTGACCTTGGTTTGTCGTTTCTCAAACAGTGTGATGGCAAACGTCCTTCGTGTACGAGCTGTATTACCAAGAGGAGATCCTGTCAGTATTCAGCCGAGGAGGGAGTGTCGAGTCAAATGGTCACAAAGAGGCGGCTTGAGGGTTATGGTGTCGTGTTGCAACTGGTCAGAGACGCCGAGCCTGAAGAACGTGAGCTCATCCTTCAAGACCTGAGAAGGCCTGGAGACCTGGGCGAGATTGTCATGGCTATCCAGAAGAAGTGGACGTCCAGGCACAAGTCTGAGGATCTGGTGACATTTTAGCCTGCACGCCCCGAGTCTGCCCTCAAACACCAATTGGGGTAGAACCTGATCACAAAAACGAATACTGTGCGTAGGGTGAGTATACATGCGGTATCCTTCGACTCTGGGCTGTTGAGTTCTGACCAACTGTCTAGGCTCGTCGCAGTGAATACCACACACCTAGTCTGATTGACCTCTACGCTACGCACCATAACCACCCAAGGATTACTGGCTGTTTTTCTCTGATTGTGGATGCCTGGAGATGGTCAACACACGCAAAAAGGAGGGAGGTTCCGACCACGCCTCGCCATTTTCAAGAGCTTGGAAGTACATGAAACATCATATCATCGCACGTCGATACCATCCCAAAAACACGAATGGAGCTCCAGGGAACGAGACAAGATCAGGCGCAACCAGCACATTATCTTCCTCGTCGTTGTCGTCGTGGTAAGAGTCTTGGTTGCGAGTGATGGCGTTGCGTCCATTTTGAAAGCTTCGATTCATACGGCGTCATGACTTACCCGCGGATATAACCTGGCGATACCGGCGATATCATCGACACGGGGCCAACACATCGGCTCCTTAGCGCACTAGCAAGAAGACAAGTCGATATACCTTGCGCAATAGCCCGCGACCTTGGAACTTCTGGTAAAGGAATGACGGAAATATTGTTCCATATTCCGTATCATATTTCTTTATTTCTCGCTTGGTGCTGGACCGCGTGTGCCAAAGAAGCACATACTTTACATGTGTCCTCTACATGCAGGTCTTCCCTCGAACCGAAGTCGAGAGTGGGAAGTATCTCCTTGCCGTCAAAATTATACATGCATGGACAAGGTCCGAACACCCACCCTAAGATATACAGTATCTGGAGGCCGGATCCAGTCAAGCGCAATACGATCCCGCTCGGTGGCTCATGCATGACGGACCTGACTGCGGTAGCGTGCAGCTCATGGCATTTTGACGCCGTCTTTCGAACCTGCAGGACGTCGATCTGAGGCATGCGGCTATGGCTCAACTTGGGCCTAAAAGGCAGAATTGACAAAGAGGCTACGCTGAATGTTTGTTTGAGCCTCATCATGGGCTATAGGGTTCGCAGATATACATGGACCTCAAGACAAACGCCATAGGGGCGGAGCCTACTCCAGCATATGTCGTCAGTGATCATATCAGATCCTTGCTACCACGATGGAGATGGCGAAAATCCTGGACGATTCTGTCCGTATGAACCCACGTAATGATACACAGGCATTGCTTGAAAAATCGAGGTGATTACACGGAAAAGGAAGGAGGTAAAGTATTGAGGATCAATGCCCCGTCGATTTATATTTACAATTATGATGCCCAGCAAGACTTTTGCTCGGCATATCTCTTATCGCATGTACAGTAAGCAAGACGCCCCTCCCCACTTAAGTCATCAAGGGCTATTTGCCTGCTCGCCTCTTCTGATCCTGTTGATCTCTTGATCCATTACAGCAACCTCTACTGAGAGTTCGCTGCTCATCATGGGCATATGCCCGCAATCCGCGGGGTATACGTGCATGTTCGTGTGACCGACTGGAACATCTTTCTCACCGGAAATAATACTCTCGCTTTCTTCACCAGCCGTGTCTTGATGCATGTTGTTTACAAGCCTTCGGCTTCAAAGACCAGGTCGACTGCTCCCGCTCGCCAAGATCTGTTCCTGCATAATGTTTCCTACGGCGTCTGCCAAAAGCTCATGGGCTTTCAGCTGTTTGATCAAGACTTCACACTCGGCTTCGTTTCCTTGCCTCAGAAGATTGAGGACATGCTTGTAGGCGTCTAGCTGATTCTTGACGGCTTGTTGTTGGGTGACGCCTGGGTTGACGCTGTATTCGCAGGGGGTGGTTTTGCCGACGCAGGATTTGCAAGAAGGTCTGATTCCATCGCACTGTGTTGGAGAAGATGTTGTCAGTCTTGTGTTGAAATATCATGATGGGGGGAAAGCAGGGAAAGCAGTACCTTTGATTTACGCTTGCGACAGGGGATGCACGCGGCTTTTGTCTGTTTGCCTCTGTGACGTGGTGTAGCACCAATGTGCGAAGAAGATGCCGATGAATCTCTCCTTGTACTGTTGTCGGTGCTGTGTTGGCGTTCGTGATGTTTGGCTGACAGAGGTCGCTGCTGGATGGGTGCGTTTACATATGAGCCGGTCGATGATCCAGAGTCAATGTGATGGACTTGGTGCGGTGGTGATGGCGACGGATGCAGAGATGACAGTGGTGGTAGTGCTGACATTGATGGTAACGGCCTCGACGCGCGGCCGGGCAGTTGTGCATGTTGTGATGTCGCGTGCATTAGTGAAGGCAGACGTTGCTGTGACGGCGAGGTAGAGACTGGCGACATGGTCGCACAAGGCGCCTTGTGAACGGGCTCAAGCATAGCTGCAATGTTCATTTTGACGTCGAGGTTCTGCGTCCCCTGGTTTCCGAGAAGAAAAGAGTCAATCGCTTTGATGAGAGGCAGCGGAGGCAGTACGATCTCAAATTGGTAACGTAAAGTCGCGAAAATGGGGCATGCATATAGGACTGCAGGAGTAAAATTGGGAAGATGGGAAACCAAGAATCAGGGAGGAAGGAGACGTAGAAACACTATCATGTATAAAGCCCATCGCTTCGCTTTACCCATAAGGCTAGCCTTTTCTTAGGTGTTGCGAGTTTTGAGATGTGGATCGATCGGAGCTTCCTCCCTGCTGCAGTGGTGTGAAGGAGCCCATCTCCGTTGAGTACTCTTCACTGGGACCTCCCGTGTTTCCGTCCATGACTCTAGCGGAGTCAGCCCCGCCGATGCTCTGGCCCTTAGCACGTTTGCGCACTGACAGCGACGATGGCCATGATCGCTCCGTTTGACTCTGTACTCCATCTCGAGATCCATGTCGTTTACTCGTACACTGTACGCAGTACAGGTGAGCTACTCTTAAACAATCAGCGAGCACGGATCTCCAACAGCAAGACACTCGGAGCTGACAAGCTCAACTCTGGGAGTCACGGCGATTGTCGCAATAATCCACCGTATCAGTTAGGTCACTAGCCGTGTTAACTCTATGATCGACGATCCATGTCAAGATCCAGGTCTGGTGTCGGAGTTTGCTCCCCGTTCAATAGCAATTGCTAGACTTTGTCACGCGAGTAGTTGTACGAGTAAGATGTACGACTCTTGCTACGCCAGAGAAGTCTCTACTAAGAGCATGAGAACCAGCATCTCTCCGCGGGCGACCCTTTTCATCTCGAGGATACCGTGCATTTTTTTCCGCCCAGTCGACCCTATTCTCTGAAAGCGCTCGAGTATCGTGCCAAGCCAATGCACCGTTTGGAGGCTCATCGGACCCAGAGCCCTCTTGAGCCTCCTGTTCCTGCACGAGGTGCAGGGGACTAAGACAATAGACATTGTACCTCGCGCCCTGCCCCTCTAGCCGTTCTGCAGTTTCGAGTTTCTCGTCTCCTCATTTCAGCATACGAACTGCACATGTTCTTTTGGTCGTGCTGTCTGGCATAGGTACATGCCACGGTTCATCGGCATGTCCTTACATCGAGCATGCGGCCTTTCTACTCCGTCTTGGATACAATGGCTGCCAAACCTAGGTATTCGGAGCGGTTTCCGTCGGATCGCAGTCGGTTTTGCTGTTCGACTTCTGATAAGGTTCAGAGAGAACGGCCGGTTGAGGCCTGTGCCAACCTCCGTATGCTCAGATCGCGCGATCTTTTGATCATCGAAACATTCTAGAGTACGGCAAAACAGACAGTAGTGTCAAAGGCCGTCCTTTAGTCAGTAAGTCACGCGCATGGCTGTGCTGGTCCATAAGATCTCTACATGCTTCCAGAATATCATAATCTACGGCATTTTGCTTGTTGGACCATCGTACGACAGGCTGATAGCGAGGCGACAACATGCGAGCGCAAGTCCAAATCAAGCGTAGATCGCTTACGAGGGCGTGAAGGGTAAAAAAATACATTCCTAGGTGGCCGCGAGTCACATTCGAGGCGCACGCGGATGGAAGCAAGTCGTTCGCGGGTCAACTGTTACGACGAAACATGATTTAATTTTATACACGAAGAGTAAGAGTAAGAGTGATGAGGACAGAACAAAAGCCAAAAGAGGATGCAACAATGGTCAAAGATGCGCTGTATAGTTTCATGTCCATGTTATCATGCACGTCCGCATGGAAGGACCGTTAGGTCGTTCTCTCCCATCCACGCTCATTGCTGCTTCTAAGCAAAATCTGCAGCAAACCATCTTATATACCATGGGCGAAGCGCAAGTGATTTACTGTCTCAACGGAGTCTGCGGGCTGTACTACTGCCTCGCAGTACCGGCAGAGACTGGTCTTGGACTAGCCTGCTGCATGACAGGACTCTGATGCTGCATTGCCGATGGTGTCTGTTGTTGCTGCACTGGCTGAGGCGTTACCGAGGAAGCCACGACACCCTGACCGCTGCCCATTCTCGACATCTGCGGTGTAGGCGTTCGACTGTTCGAAGGTATGTTCTGCGATGGATGAGCAGGAGTCATATTCGGACTTGGTGCTGCCATGCCAGGTACTGAATTGGCTTGCGCTACACGTGGGCTGCTATGGTTCTGGCCGGGAGTGCTTTGGTTTTGATGTTGTATTTGATTTTGCTGTGCCAGAGTGCGTTGTCGCATATTTGCAGCGTACTGTTGAGCATTCGGGTTAGCCGGGGTGCCCGGAGTGTTGCTCCCATTGTTGTACTGCTGCGCGTTGCCATTGCCGTTGTTCTGGTGGAAAGCTGCTTGGTTTTGGCTGTAAGCAGGTGGACCATTCGGTACTGAATTAACAGCATGCGAACCGGCGGCAGCACTAAGAGCACTTTGACGCGCCTGCTGATGAGATTGTTGTTGTTGTTGCTGCTGCTGCTGCTGCTGCTGCTGCTGCTGCTGACCATAATGGATCTGTCTCAAACGTTCATTTGCCATCTCCTGAATCTTTTCCACAGAAGCTTGAGGGAATTGTAGCTGGAGTCCATGGCTGATTGATGCGATGGTGTTACCGGAAGCAAGTTGTTGAGGTTGCTGAGATTGGCTCGACGGTGTGGGTGGTGGAGGCATATGCGGAGAGCCAGTAGCGTTACTGTTGGACGTCGACTGATGATTGTGAACTTGCTGGCCAGGAGTACGGACATTCTGCATGCCATTCATTGCGGGCTGACTACCCATCACCCCGTTGGGCGGATGCATACCGCCTGGACTGGAACGGTTCGGCGGGGCCATCTGATATTGTTGAGCACCCATCTTCAACTGATGGGCCTTTTGTGTCTCAAGCACTCTCTGCTGCATGCTTTCTGGAGTTCCGTTTGCCTGTCCGTTGCCAACGGGACGCATATTAGGTTGCATTTGTGCTTGTGGTATGGCACCGCGCATTCCCATTTGCGGCGTATTGATATGAGCACCACTCTGAGCAGCAGCGTTGGAATGCTGGCCGTTCGGCAAGCCTTGATGATTAACTTGTTGAGGTGCACCAGGCTGCCCTTGAGGTGTTTGTCCGGGCCGGTTGTGGGCATTGGCGTTTGGAAGAGGTTGCTGATTAGGCATTTGACCATTGCGTTGCATTTGAGCTTGCTGGAAAAGATGTAAGTATGTGGTTCGCGATGTCGCTGATACATGACATACCCGTAGCATTTGTTCACGATAACGTTCCTGGCGAGCCGCAATCTGAACATCCCGTTCCTGTCGCAATTTACTGAATTCTTGAGGAGTAGGGATGCCGTTCTTTGGGGCTGCGTTTTCGTGCTGCTTTCGCATGTGGGCCGCTTTTTGAGCTGGTAGAAGCGTCAGTCTTGCTTGGATCAACAATTGCTCAGTACGCTCACCTTCTGATTGCTTATGTGCCTGCTGCTCTCTCTTCCTAGCCAACTTGCGCATCGCATCCACCATATGAAGATATCGATTCTGTCTACGTTTGTCAACCTTCAACGGGGTGGTTTTCTTTCGCATAATAGCTGGAGGCTGTCCTGGAGTTTGTGCAAGCTGCGCAAGCTGTGCTTGGTACTTGGCTTCATTGTTGCGATTCGCTCCTTCGAGTCGTTGGTTCCAAGTCTTGAAATAGAGTGTCTTGCGCATCTCATTGGGGAGACTCTCCAGCTCCACCCACCGCTCGAAGCATTCCCATGGAGTACGTCTGTCGGTCGCACTGTTGAACTTGGATGGTAGTGATAGACTGTCTGCAATGAGTGACCAGTTGAACGAATACTCTTTGGCGAGACGACGCAGAGCTTGTTGGTCCTCCTCCGTCCATTGCGATGCCGTTCTGAATTCGTAGAATTGGGAAGAAGGCATCTGAAATTCTGAAGGAGGTCTGAAGGCAGTGTTCTGATGCAATCTGCTCCGCAAAAGCTTGTTCTCGGGTTCAAAGAGCGCCACGTCTGTCTGCTCCGGTTGTAGTCCAGAATCGTCGTGGCTTGCGCGGAGTCTCTTCGACACTGGCAATGAGCTTTCGTCCATGGATTCATCCTCATCTGAGTAGTCATATCTGCTTCTCTTTCTCGACGGTCCACCAACTTCAATCATCATCTTCGCTGTGCAGAACTTCGACACAGCTGGAGTAGAGTGCTTAATAATTGAGTTGACAGGAGTGTTGTCCTCTTCAAAGGGTCTGAGGAGTGGAAGTTCAGCGAGAGCATTGTGCAAAGCCTCGCTGTCTTGGAGATGGAAGGTTTCTTTATCCATGTTGATGGCGGAGAAGAAGGAAGAAGGCACCACTGTCGCATGCTGTGGAGTCAGCGGCATGTCGAAGTCTTCGAGGCCAGATTCGATGTCATTGTCCAACCCGGGCGGAGACTTGGCTCCTTGACTGTGTCTGTCACCATTCGCAATGCTAGACTCGGCAGGTGAGTGTGGTGTCACTGTGTCCTGACGCAGTGCTTCGAGCGATTTGACTCGAATCTGCATCGACTGACGTGTTTCGCCATCAGCCATGACCCAATCTGCACATTGTTCTGCCAGGTACTTGGCTGTCGCTCTCTTGATTTTGCGTTCTTGGCGGAAATCGGTCCTCATCCACTTCATTTCAGCCATGAGATGATCCATGTGGATCTTGGGTGCAGCCGGCTCCGCACATGGCTCCATCTGCCTGAGAGACCAGCGGTTAGCATTCTGAAGTTGGTAAATTCTTCGCAGGATTCGTTGATCCTGCCTCTCGTGGTAGCCAGCAAACTGTTCAGTAGTTGTCACGACCTTGCTAGCCTTTTGCAAGAGCTCATGCAAAGGTCTTCCGTTGGGCGGTTCATGGACCTGTATACGATAAAGTGGCTCCAGATAGTCCTTGGAAAGCTCCGCAGACGCCCCCTTGAGAGCGTTGTATCCTTCGCTTTTCAGTAATGCTGAGCATCTTAGCGAGATCGGCGATTGCGGCTGCTCTTGAACTGGTCTTTGTTGGCGCTTCGAGACTGATGGCTCAGTCTTAACTTTGAGGACATCCCCTGTTGTGTGAGCGCGCTTTGAACCAAACAGTGTTGGTCTAGTCGATTCGTTGAGTTCAGAAGTTGATTGAGTACGAGCGGCAGGTGGAGCGGTGATAACGGTCGAGGTTTCTACCACAGCATTGGCAAGTGCTGGATCTCTCGGGGGCATAATGTTGACGAGTGACGGTCTTGGCGCGCGTTTCTTATGGGAAGCATCTGATGCTGAATCAGAAGGTGACGCCGAGTGAGAAAATGAGGCAGCAATGCGGGCTGCGTCGCGGGCAGCTACTGTCGTGTCGATGGCTTCGGTGAGTTTCACATCAGTCGGTTTTGCGTTCATGGTAGCGTCCCTTGTCGCCTTCGCCGCTTGTTCCTGCTCGAGACGCAACTGAACATCGGGAGAATCGTCATCGTGTCCCAGAGCCTCACGGTAAGCGATTTCCTTCTGTGATTGCAACAACTTGTCGTGCTGCTCCTTGGCCAGAGCTTCTTGGGGCGAGGGCTGTAAGCTGGTAGGCTTGGGCACAGTCTGGCTGGAAGATGCGACATCTTCATCAGTACTGGTTAGGGGCGATGGACCGGTCGGAAGAGGTGTTGTCATAGACGGAGCGCCGATGGTAGATGTTGGCGATGATGCGGTTTCAGGTTGAGGCTTCTCAACTTCTGCAGCATCTCTCCGGCGGGCCTCCTGACGCAGTTGCTTTTCGCGGAAGCGCTCTTCCTGGACTTCTTTGGGTGGAAGGTGAACTGTACGTGGACGATGCCTTTGGCTTTCGCGGCCGGGAGGATTGACTGGCCCGGCATCACGTGAGGACTGCGCCGCAGCATGATGGTCAAGAGTTTCTGGTGAGTTTGTGATAGCGTCTGAATCATTAATAGAGGCCGACTCGTGGGCTTGCTCGTTAGTGATTCCAAGTCCAGTCGAAGCAGGTGTATTCCGGATAGCCAAAGCTTGAATTGCAGGGTTCTGTTCTATTGCGTCTAAGGAGCAAGGCAACAAAGAATCTTGGAAACGAAGACCTCTGTAGAAAAAGGAACTCAATGAGACATGAACAACTGATCGAAAGGTGTATGGCTACTAACCTCGTCAAGTCGGCAGCAGCGAGAAGAGCATCTTCAGAAGGGGTGTGTGGTGGAGAGGGGAGAGAATCATAGTCGAGGTTGAGTGCTGGGGAAAGACCACACTGCTGGGTGATGGATTGGGTAATTTGGTTCAAAGCGCGCAGGCGAGCAGCCCGCTTGGTCAGCGATGCCCTGCGAAAGACAAGTCAGCACAACTCGACAACCACACGACCGGAACAGAAACGGAGCGACTTTCTGCTTTCGCATTGCGAAGGCGAACAGATTGATGTGAATTGCGCCCGTGAAAGATGCAGATCTAAACTCACGCTTTGGCAGTGTTGCGTTCAGTGAGCGGTCCATCTCGCAATTGTGCTAGGGACATAAGTCTGAGGACCGAGCATTCACAGCACCAGTCATTCAACGAATGAAGACAGGTGTGGAAGTATTTCGATGGAAATCTAGAGATGAATATGCGAGTGGATGCGTGTTCCTCGATGGGGAGGCGGTGCGCGATGCGCGTCGACGGCGAGACGACGCCAAGAGCTTTGACCATCCTAAAGCTTCCATGTCCAAACTTTCGACTTTTTTCCCTTCCCATTTCATCACAACTCGACGTATCCACAACACTATTCAGAAATGGTCAAGAGAAAGAGCGAGGATGCGCAGCTGAGCGCTCGGGCCGCCACTGGAAAGAATGCCCGGTTTGCAGAGTCGCCAAAGGTTACGAAGACGAGCAAAAAATCTCAAATCACCAAGCCCACAAAGACATCCACCAAACCTGCCGTCGCAAACAAAGATACCAAGTCCGACGTCGAGCACGAACCCGTCGCTATTCAAATCGTCACCGGATCCTACGAAAGAGTCCTTCATGGCTTTGCTGCGACTGTCTCTGGCGATGTGATTGAGTCCGACAAGTCAGAGGAAGCACAGAAAGAGCCCACATATTCCGATACCTTCTTGTTCGCTGCGCACTCGAGTGCCGTTCGCTGTCTTGCAGTCTCCGCCCCCAATGAGGCACACAAACGAGTGCTTGCGACTGGCAGCACCGACGAACGCATCAACCTTTTCCACGTCTCCACCTCGCCGCCTGTCGTCAGCTCAAAACCTCAACTTCCCACCCTCTCTGCTACAAGCGTCATTGAGAATCCTCGCAACCGCGAACTCGGCAGTTTGTTACACCATGCGCGCAGCGTCAACAAACTACAGTTCCCTACTAGAGGCAAGCTTTTCAGTGCAGCTGATGACAATACTGTGGCAATCTCAAGAACGCGCGACTGGACCGTACTGTCAACAATCAAGTGCCCTATTCCCAAGGCTGTCGGACGTCCCAGCGGAGATACTGCTGGACCTGGTGAAGTGCCTACCGGAGTCAACGACTTTGCGATTCACCCTAGCATGAAGGTTATGGTTACTGTGGGCAAGGGTGAAAGATGCATGAGACTCTGGAACTTGGTCACTGGCAAGAAGGCGGGTGTGTTGAACTTCGACAAGAGCTTGCTTCAAGCTGCAGGCGAGGGACGATACAGCAGCGGAGAGGGAAGAAAGCTTGTTTGGGGTGAGGACGGCGAAGAGTATGTCGTTGGATTTGAGAGAGGTGCTGTAGTCTACGGCATGGTATGTGTTTCATGACCGCGAGGGGAAAGAGAACAAGACGCTGACAGACTGAGCAGGACTCGATGCCAAAAGCAATCATCCGGCCGTCACCACCTACCAAGCTTCACCAGATGCGCATAGTACCAGCCGGCGAGGGAAGAAGCATCCTGGCACTCTCGACAGAGGACGGCAGAATCATTTTCTACGACTTGAAGACGACGGTGGAAGGTGACAAGGAAGACGAGGAGGTACCACAATGCGCAGCGGTAGGTCAGCTGGGAGGCAACCAGGCTGGCTTCACAGGCAGAATCAAGGACTTTGAGGTGTTGCAGCACAAGGCAGGTGCACCTCTGATTCTCGTGACGGGAAGCAGCGACGGCGCAGTCAGGCTGTGGAAATGCAACATGTCGGAGATTTCGGAAGGGGCTGTTGAGGGAGAAGTGCGTCAAGTCGGCACACCGATAGGAACGCACGAGACAGGGCACCGCATCACATGCCTGGTTGCATTCGTGATGGATGGCCCGGCGGAGGCAGCAGACGATGAGGACGAGTTGGCGCAGGGTGTTCCTGAAGAGGCAGGCAGCGATAGCGAAGATGAGTAGATAGGCTGTCGTCGAAACAAGCATACACACCCGATAAGAAGTTGTAAATATCGAGTCACAGCATCTTGAGAGGCTTGGCGTATATCATCGGTTAGCGTTGCCCTAAGCAGAGGGCACCGGGACGGATACGAGACAGCGGCCAGAACGTGCAGGGTCTTCTTGCGTAGGAGCCAGTGACCTCGCATACGGTAATCTGTTTAGCTGATTGTCCCGTCCTCAGGCCCGTCTTTTCTTTGTTGTGAAGACTCTTTTTCCCCATCCACGTCAGACACAGTCGAGGATAGAGCGACCATGTCAGGAAAGAACGGCGGCACCTCACCGCAAGCCATTGGCTCGGAACCCCCACGTTCGACTTCTCCATACGGTGGAGGCTCGCCGTCTCGCAGTTATTCTACCGCGCGACTCGCATCACCCGTACCCTTCGGCACTCCTCCCATCAGACAGATACCGACCCCGCGTCAGCTCGACGGCCAGGACGATGACCAACCCCTGCCTGGAGCGTCATATCCAAGGGGCTCCATCCCCGGGCCCGGCCCCTCATCGCTATCGCAAGCACTGAGGGGGGGATTCGCTGGGAGCCCGCCTCGCTTTGCATCACCCGCCCCGACAGGCTCAGCCTCTGTCTTTCCCGACGATGCTTCATACTCGCAGAGCCCGAATAAGAATGAAGACCTCGAGGTCCTGCGACGACACTTGGTCGGTCCTGCTCAACGCACCTCGCACCAAAACCTACAGGCTTCTTCCTCTTTCCAACGTCCCTCCAATCTCCCCGAAGTTGGCAAATCCGTCGAGAACGGGCCCGGCATAGACGATGATCACTTTTCGAGCCTGCAGCTGCAAGGCGGAGACATGACGAGACACATCTACCGCTACACCGAAGAGCGCGAGCGTGAAGAAGTCGAACGTCAAGCCCGCGAGACTGGCCGTTTGAAGAGAAGTCTGAGTGTCAATCTGCCTCGTTCCAACGAAGAGGATCCAGAGCTCTCCAATATCAAGATGCCAGGTGGTCTGCGCAGAGACTACATTCGCCGCACTGCTGGCTCTCCTGCTCCCGAGGCACGTGTTGCAAGACCAAACTACGGCTCAACTCGCGCCCAAACAGAGCCCCCCGCTCGTCAGCAACCTCAATTTTTGGCAAACAACTTCATCGAGTTTCTCACTCTGTACGGTCACTTCGCTGGTGAATCGCTCGAGGACGACGACGAGGCACTCGGTCCTGACGAATACTTTACCTCCGAGGCTTACGATGATGACGACGACGATCAAGATGGTCGTGAGCGCGAGTGGGGTGAAGACAGCGCTCTGCTGACTCCTGGCAAGCGCAAGCGAAGAAGAAAGGAGCAGGCCGGTAAGGGCAGCCCTGGTGGTGCTGCTCTCCTTCTACTCAAGTCGTTCGTTGGAACAGGAGTTTTGTTCTTGCCTCGTGCCTATCTCAATGGTGGTATGATGTTCAGCAATATCGTCCTCCTGAGCATTGCTCTTCTCAGTTTCTGGTGCTTCATCCTGCTCGTCAATGTCCGTCTCAAGGTCCATGCCTCATTTGGTGACATGGGAGGAAAGATTTACGGCAGATGGTTCCGCAACCTCATCAACTCATCCCTTGTCATCAGTCAGATCGGTTTCTCCTCTGCTTACATTGTTTTTGTCTCGGAAAACCTGCAAGCTTTCGTTTTGGCCGTCACAAAGTGCCGTACTTTCATCGACATCAAGTACATGATTTTGATGCAGATGGTCGTCTTCTTACCTCTCAGCTTGTACCGCAACATCAACAACATTCAGAAGCTTGCTCTGATTGCGGATCTGTTCATCGTTCTGGGTCTTGTTTACCTCTACTACTACGACATCTTGACCTTGGTTGAGAACCATGGTATTGCCGACATCATCCAGTTCAACAAGAATGACTGGACACTCTTCATCGGCACTGCCATCTTCACTTTTGAGGGCATTGGACTTATCATTCCTATCCAATCGGGTATGAAAGATCCTAAGAAGTTCCCTCGCGTCTTGGGAGTTGTCATGGTCGCAGTCACTGTTATCTTCATCTCCATGGGTGCTCTCTCATATGCTGCCTATGGCAGTGCTACCAAGACTGTCATCATCCTCAACATGCCTCAGGATAACAAGCTTGTCAACAGTGTGCAATTCATCTACTCTTTGGCTATCCTGCTCTCGACGCCTCTGCAGATCTACCCTGCCATTGAGATTACTTCTCAGCAGTTGTTTAGCCGTACTGGCAAATACAACCCCTGGATCAAGTGGAAGAAGAATGTCTTCAGATTCTTCATGGTCGCGCTGTGTGCCGTCATCGCATGGGCTGGTGCTGGACAATTGGACAAGTTTGTCGCTCTTGTTGGAAGCTTCGCCTGTATTCCTCTCGTCTTCGTCTATCCTGTAAGTGTCAATACTTCTCACCTGCTCTTCTGGGCTAATATTTTCCACAGCCTCTCATGCATTATCGGGCCGTCGCAACCCGCTCTTGGCAACGCGTGGCCGACATCTTACTCGTTGTCTTCGGTCTCTTCATCATGGGATACACAACTGCCCTCACAGTACTCAGCTGGGCCTCGGGTGGTCCCAAGGAGCCGGGCTACTGTGATGAAAGATAAGCTACAAGTACGAATTTGTCGCCATGTTTCCTTGTTTCTTCGGTACTGCTCACTAGATAGAATATTCATCGCTGAACTTTTCTGTGGGAGCGGTCTCGATTCTTGTAATGGTTTTTGATCGAGATGCGATTTTGCATTGTCTGATGTTGAGATTGAGCATTTGTGGCAGGGAGATTTTGATACATGAACTTTTCCTTCCTCGTTTACATAGCGATACTGATATACAGCCGACTCTACTGTCTTCTGCACGCATGACTTGTGTTTGTCACTCTTCCATTGTCTCGCACCTCATTCTTGGGTTTCACAAGACTCGTCTCGGCTTTTGGTATCATCACCAGCCTGGCAACAGAAGCTTCCGAGCAAAGTGTCAAAGAGATCATCCGCATCGACAAACGCCCAGGTTCTTCAAAAGAAAAAGTAGCATATAGTCACATGGCCTCTATCATGTCTCGACCAGACTTGTCTGTAAGTATTCATGATCATGTTGCTGCTCATTACGGCTCTAAGTATGGGGACAGGGTGCTCCCACTCGCGAAGACATCTGGTTACGTCATTTACTCGGGAAGCTTTTCTAAAAGCCGCTTCCGTCTTGGCCTGCATCTTCGTCACTCGGACGAATGAATGCGCGAAACATTGGTCATCATCAAGATCACAAGTATTACGTGTTAGCAATTGTGCAAAAGATATATATCAGCAGGTTGTGGGGTCAGATTGTTAGAGTACACATGTTTCGTCAGGCCTCGTTTCTCTCAAAGCTTACGACACGTAGTCTCAGTTCTGTTCACACGTCAAGGACGACACGGACAATGGCAACTGCATCCAAGGTACAACTCTCGCTTGGAGAACGGCCCGAGTTTTACCTCAAGAACATCAAACGGGAATCTGCGACTAGGACTTCACACCTGCTACAAGAGAACCACGAAAAGCATCATATCTTCTTCAATCAAAGTGGTTTTCATAACCACATCGCTCACCATCTGCTAACCATTTACTCACTGGCCGCAACTCCCGCACAAATTCAAAAACATTATGACGAAAATCAAGACTATCAAAGACCACCTCAGCCTATTGAGGCAGCCATCGTCAAGGGCATGGAGGATCCATCACAGTTCACGAAGTATCTGGGTAAGGAGCGCTACTACAACGATTATCTACGCTTCTTTCAAAGCGAGATGGACAAGAAAGGCTGGCAGCAAGTTTTGAACGAGTATGTCTTCGCTGGTGATGATCGGGCAGACGACATGTTGGCTCGCATGTTTGCCGGCTTTCTGCATCCCATCATTCACCTCGGCTTTGGCATTGAATTCCACCAACCTGCTATCATTGCGGAGGGTCTCGCTCAAGCCGCCGTCCATGATGTTTGGATGATGCCCTTGTTTGACGGTGCCGAAAAAGCCGCCAAACACCTATCAGGGCCATCAAAGAGCGTTGTGGAGCTCCTGGACATTACGCATGCTGAGAAACGTCTTGCCAAAGCCGCCGATGTCGACGGCAATCGCATCCGTGATGGAATTATGAAGACAGAAACGCAAAGAATCATCGACATTGTATCTCAATATCACATCAGCAGCCCCGCAGAGCTCGAGGAACGCACCGCAGAGATGACAAACGCGGCTGCATACTTCAGCGGTGCAGCTCAACGCCGCGACAAAGCCGTCAAGTTTGACTTCTTCTATATGCATTGCATCAATTCTTCGATCTTCTTCTCGGCTTTCCTCAAGCAAGATTGGCTGAGTGATGCCAACAAAGTTCGCTTACTGGAATGGAAAGTCCGCAACGATATTACTTTATACGCTTCACGAGGCTGCCCAGACCTGCTGATTGATGAGATCTCGAACTACAAGCCCAGCAAACCTTCATCAGAAAACACCGATCCCTGGCACGAGATCATTGAGCGCGTCAAGAACTTCTCGGACGATGGACACGGCTCAAAGCTAGTTAGAGCTTTAGTACACGGACAGCAGATTTGCAAGCCCTATGAGACGAATGAAGACTTCAGAATCAAAGAAGACATGTGGTTGCAGCTTGGTCATATGGCTATCGATTCGGTCGAGGGTGGTGAACCTACATGGGTTCGAAGCGCTGGCTTTGATAGTGCTTGGGAGAAGGTGCCGGACAGACCTCGCGCACAACTTTGAATTACTTCTCAAAAACAGAGCGGATGTCTCTATCTTTTTGAAAAGCATTGGTCTGTCTCAACACTTTTGGCTCATTGGAAAGCACCGTGGGCTCTCACTCACCATCACTCCATCTCCATAGTGAAGGGTATCATACGGCTGTCGAACGTGTCATGGTCCAAAGATCGTCTCCACTGAAGGCAGACAAGGTAGTCAGTTTCGATGGTTGCCGATCTCAAAAGAATCGTGGTCTTTGGCAGTCATGTTTGGCCGGTCTGCTGCCTTCCTTCCAGTTTTGAGTTCCTTCAGAAAGAAAAAGAAAAACAGAAGCTGCAGTTTCTCCTTTGCTCTTACCGCTTGATATCATTTCAATAGTAACTGCCTCCGAGCTCGGGTCGAGGAAAGAACTACCTAGTACACGAAGATTCCATGGACGACCTTTAATGTTTCCCATTGTCCTACCATATAGAGCAACCGGTAACAGCAAACATGGAGGGTATAAGACACCGATCTTGTCTAACCTTCTATCTCACCATCCCATCATCGAATTCAATTTGCCGATCATGGATGATCCTACTTTCATGCTTTTGCAACTGCAGCAGAACGTGCAGTTCTTGAGAACTCACGATGCTCGCTTGCTTACCTGCCTAACGTACGACAAGAACAATGAGCCATACTGGACTTATGCCATTGTCACCTACGACAAGTACGGCAACGTTGAAGATTATCATGACCCTCACGGCGGACTAGCCGAATGGAGCAAGGATCCGTTGGAGATTCTCAAGAAGCTACACTGGAAAGTAGCTGGCTTCGTTGCGAACAGACCGATTCATGATTGCCGTCCTCGACTGAGAACTCTGACCCAACAGCGGGCTGATGAGGCCTCTATCAAATCTAATCCGTCGTCCGATGATTCCAACGCGCAGACGTTCACCGATGCTGAGCCTTACCAACCTCAGAAACTCGGCCCAGCTCACTTCCCTCAACCGTCTCCTATGCTGGGCTCAGAGACTTGGTCTTCCAACAGCATCATGTCACGTGCTAAACCGGTCAACAAGCAGAGAAATGCTGATATCAAGTCTCATCGGCCCCAGAAGCTTGGTCCGTCCCATTTCCCTCAGTCTTCACCTTCATTGGGCTCTGAGACATGGCATCCTCCTAATTTACCCTCGCGTGCCAAACTCTCAGGATCGGCCAACAAGCAGCAGGAACATGCCTTTGGTACAGATGGACCTTCAATTCAGCAACAGATCCAAGCAACCGCCCAGCGTGGTCGGTCTGTCAGATCTGCTGTGAACCAGTCCTACGACAGTCTTGGCAAGGGTGAAATGTCCATGTACTCACAGGCGCATGCTACCGCTCAGCGCGATAAATTTCGCTCAACAAAGAGCAAGCTCCACAGCGAAGAATTGGGGCTGAACTCATCGGCTCTCCAGCATGCAGAAGAATCCCAGATTTCTTTTGCCAATACTGCTTCTATCCCGCATCGTGGAGCAGACCAGCAACAACAATCTCGTGCAAGACATTATGTGTTAGGAGATAATGCCGCACGTCGCGAGATCGTCAGACGCTCTGAAGCCCTTGAAGCCGAAGCACTCTCTCCCTGGATTCGAAACAACTACAATGATCCAGTCGCATCGACCGTCAACACCAAAAACCAGTCAATTCTGCCCGAGCCCCTCACTTCTCACCCTCCTAGAGGCCAGCCCATCTCGATCATGATTGACCGTGAGACGTTCAACATGCAGCAAACAAACCCTGTCGAGTTCGCACACAGAGTCAACCTCGCAAGCCTCGCCATGGCAGGGCAAGCTCACCGTGACCGCGAGCCGATCGCCAGAAGCAAGTATGAAGGTCAAGAATACCTCAATGATGAATCACGCCAGGTAGTTTCAGAAATGGAAAAACACGACGACTTTGACAGTTTCTTCAACGTCTTTACTCAAGCTCGTGATGCCGATCGCCGCACTGCAAGCCAAACTCCCCTGATTCACTTCCCTGGCTCCCCTGAATCCGACAAGACGGTCACTCCTTTCCATACTTTTATGAACGAAGGCTCGATCTCGCGTCGTCGCAGATCAACTCCCACACGCTTTGATCAGGAGATTACCGATCCAGTTCCTCCTGCCGCACCTTTTCCTCCATCTACTTCATGGTACACCTCTCGTGATCCCTCTTACCCTCCTTACCCACCTACCCTTTCTACCTCACGCTCAGAGGCCGCAATGCCTCGCAACATTTCCGCCAGCAGCGAAGCCATCCGCAGAAACTTCTCCACCAGCAACGAAACCTTGCGTAGAAGCACACCTAACGACAATGATGAAATGCCCCTCGAACCTCGCCATCCCTTGCAAACTCAGCAACCCCGTGAAGGTGAGCCGGTGAGTTTTCCCGATTCCTTCCAAACTCTCCAATCATTTTACCACAGCAGGACAGCATGACTGACTTCCATCGTTTGCAGATTCACGTTGAGATTCAGCATGATAGAGATGTTTTCCGCAGAACGGGTCAGATTTTCAGAGTTGTCGGTAGAAAGGTCAGTGAGACATTGAGTGGAAGAAGATTGAGTTCTGTGCCTGATGGGCGCGTGTGATTTTACTGCATACATTGTGAAGAAAAGATGCACCTCACGGAAGGCATGACCGGAACGGAGTGCTGGAAGCGGAAGCGACGAGGCGAAATGATTTGAGAAAGAGCGAACAGTCTTTACAGTCTTGATAGATTCTTCGCCGAATGGAATAAAATTGCTCTACCGCGTTTTGCATACGAATTTTGTTGCACCTCTTGTGGGAAACCTGTGACGAGTTCTCTGAAGATGAAGCTGTGATGTATACATATCAACTGACGACAATCTCATCGCCGACTCTGACCCAAGTCTTGCTTTGCTTCCCACTCAATGCAAGATGAACGCCAAACCAGACCTTGCCCTCACTTCTTCTGGTTTTCGCCAACGTGACGAAAGGTTCCTGCCTCTTCTCTGCTGTTCGTTGGTCTATACACAACATATGGCATCGTCGACATTTGCCCAAAACTTCAAATTTGCCTCCTTTGTTTGGTTCTATTGCTTTTTCCTTTTTACTAATGGAAAGATATGTCCATGTGTCTTCCACATATGGCATTTCGGTTCCAGGCAGAATGGAAGGATGTTGTGCGACAACGATGTTGGCTCTGAAGGTCGATGCCGGCGTTGCTGTTCCTCCTCTTGCTTTAATATCTCTGTTCAATGCGTTGACTGACATCCTGGAGATGCATAATACCGGACTTTCGTTGGAAAAGTGCAATGGCATGTCTTGATCTCCCGCTCCTCGCAGATGCGGTTTCATGTGTCGCAAGGTTGAGTTTGTAGGGAAGCGAGCGAGTTGGCAGGGTACGTCTAGTGCGGCAGTCAAGAAAGCAGAGATGGTCGGATCGGCGTAGATGCGTGCGGCTACGCTGTCACCGCACACGTTTGTCGGCGTAGAGGTTTTGCTCTCCGGTATGAAGCAGCGTGGGTCTGCGGATAGTGGTACGCTGATTTCTGTGCAAGGCGCGTCTTTAAGCCATACCGCGCAGGTGATGCGGAGGAGACCGGCCGCAAAGTCTAGAGATGGGCGTAGCAGAGCCATGCGCGGGTGTTTCTTTTGTGATAATGCGGCTGATGTACCACTGTGAATGATACACCATTGGCGGTCCCAGGCCAGTCCTTGAGGTCTGACCTCCCAAAATGTGTTTTGAGGAATTTGCCAACCCGCGCAGCTCTTGATTGGATAAACCGTGAGGCTCTCGATATGCAATTGTTCTGACGCAGGTATTTCAGCTGACAATATAGGCGAGTCTATCGCGTCAATCGGCGGTGCCGTGGCGTCTACGAAGAATTCGGAAATGAAGGAGATGAACGTGTCGACGTCCTTCAAGGTGCTCATGGCGCCCATACTCGCTCGTATCATACCAGTAGGTTGGCCATTGACAACGTCATCGTTCTCCGAACCGCAACGTTGACCAGACGAGAAATTCTCTTTCATCTGCCACGGCGAAAGATTCAGTGCAGATTGGATGCCACCAGGATTACATAGGCCACCAGTGCGTATGTTGATGTTGCGGACGTGTGCAAGCTTTTCCACCTCGAGATTGCTGACCCATTGCCCTTTACTGTTGCGAAGATTGAAGGCTACAACAGGTCCTTGTGTGGTTCTGTTACCATAGGTAGAAGCAGAATCTTTGTAGATCTGGCATACTGGCTCGTCATTCCCGTGCCGTAATGATTGCAAGGATGAATATAGGCGTTCAGCAAGGAAGGAAGTATGCTCGGAGATGCGCTCCAGAGTGCCGAATAAATTGTGGTGAACAGACAGAGCAGACTTCAGAGCGATGATGCTATGGATGGGCAAAGTGCCGTCCTCGAACTGCTCGTGTATGTGAGCGGACTTGACAGCGTGCCATTGCTCCTTCAATGAGACAACCATGTCAACGGTACCACCTCCAAAGTACTTTCTTTTCTGCAGTGCCCAAGCTGCATCTTTTCTGACGATGAGAGCGCCTAGATCCGGGAAGCCAAATATCTTGTACAAGCTAAGAACTGTAAAGTCAGGAGCCATGTCGAGATTGGCAAGAGACAATGGTGAAGTCGAGAGGAGAGCAGCAGCATCCAGCAAAGTCAGCATGCCTTTACTTCGTACTCGTCCACACCAGTCTAAAGGCAAGCGTCGTCCATTCATGTTGGACTGAGCAGGGTAGGCAAAGAGGCCAAGCCGGTTGTGTGTGTCTTGTCCGCCTCGTTCAATCCATTCTTCAACCTCTCTATCCTCGACAAAGCACCGATGCTCTCTTGCCAGCTCACGCATGCCGACTAGACTGGTGTGTGCATCTCTATGGTATCCATACCAGAAACCTGAGTCGTGTTCACGGAGAGCGTCAGCGACCAGTTTGATGCCTGCCGTTGCATTGGCGACGAAGATGAGGTCAAAGTCGTCGGGATCGGCATCGAAGAAGCGAAGGAGTTGTAGTCGAACATCCTGGACTTGTTGTGTAGATCGTTGCGAAGCCTGAGAAGCAGAATGCGGGTTGCCGTAGAGGTTCGCCATCATGTCGGCCGAGAAGGCTTCGAGGAGCGATTTGCTGTAGAGGGTCGTTCCTGCATGATCGAGATATGTTGCGTCTGGAAGGATGTCAGTTTCAATCTCATCAGAAATCACAGTCATTACAACCTTTGAGCATCGGATATTCAGTCTGCCTCGTGTGCTCAATATAGGCATCGTATTGTGTAGCGTCCATGTTGGAGAGATTATCCATCTTCAGCCAAACTCGTCAGTCACCACGACAGTCTTCTGTCTTATGAATAGATCAGAGCAAGGTGCCATGAGGACAACAAGCGACGACGAGGACAGGCTCGAAAGTCGAAGGTCGAGAATGCGGCGAGCAACGATGGCCCATCGGTCAACTCCGACGAGACAAGACCCTGACAGTCCTGACTCCCTCTCGTCCTTATCGCTCTTATCGCCGCGTTGACTCCGGCATTCCCTGCTTACATAATCACAGTCCGAGCTTCCGCAGCTTCTCTCACCTACAAAAAGGCCTTCGACCCGGCACCCTCTTCAACAAATCGATCAAAACAACAGAGCCTGCCACGACCGGCGCCTATGTCGAGCTCTGGAACCCTTGCTTGCAAGGCAATACCATCTCACAAACATTTCCTCCACGGCGTTGCGTTGCCAGTCCCTCTCTCTTCGGGGAGAGGGGCGTGGCTCTGGAGAACAATTCTCTGGATTTAGGAAGCTGATTCTCGTAATGGTCTTATTAAGTTAGGGCTGTGAGTCTCGGTGTCCAAGAAGGAGTACATATCGATTTTTGTAGTTGGCTTTATCATGCGACGGCAAGTCTGTCGCACCTTTTCCATTGAAGAAAAATTTGCTCTCAACTTTTCACGTCCCTCGTTTCTCAAGATCTTTGTGTTGTTCTATCTCGCATGTGCTCTTTGTCTTCCTGCGAGGTCATCTGTGCAGTGCGTGTGGGGTTTGGAGCTTGAAGTTGGAGTCCGTTATCAACACAACAATGCTTGGGTCACACCTAGAACTTTGCTCTGAGAGAAACCAACCATCCAGCTGCTCGTTCTCAATCCTGGTATGCATCATTACAGAAGTCTTGGGAGGAGCCATTTGGCATCGGTTGTTGATGAATGTAAAATGCTTCTTCTTTTGAACAGCTCAAGAAGGGTATATAGAAAATCGTACAGAACGCTTTTTATGATGCAGAACAAAATCACTCAACCTCTGGCGCCTCGCCATTCTCTATCGTGCCGTTCTCGACAGCCTTTCTGGATACGCGGAACAGCATGGCATGGTTCTTGCCAGCATCCTGCATCCATCGTCCCATCTTGTGCTCTTTGCCGACTGCTGCAACAATGGCCAGACCGTCTTTGCCTCTGTCTCCACGCTCAAATACAGCAAGGTCGTTGATAACACCCTTTACTGTCTTGTTTGACTCTGGCACAGCGTGTATTGAGTCGTCCATGTACATGGCTTCTCCATCAATCAGCTGGTTGTCCTCCACACAGCCGATTGGGCCCAATGCCTCCAGCCTCCTCCTGTCTTCGCTGATTTTCCAGGCTCTGAGTTGACCGTCCCAACTTCCACTGATGATGATGTTGCTGAACGGAACACAGGCGAGTGCGGTGATCCATCTAGGCTGAGGTTCGGTGTAGACGCTGGCATCTGCCGAAGGATCGGCCTCTGCACTGACATCCTCGGGCTTTGGCGGCGGGTCAAGACCGTGTGCAAGGGGTAGCGTAAATACGGCCTTCTTCTTTTGAATATTCCATAACGAGAGAGTGCCGTTGTCGGAACCTGTGATGAATGTCTCGTCGTCGACCATGGTAACTCTGTCGATAGAGCCCTCGTGGAATTCTCTCGGTTGAGGAATGCCTGCTGCTGCATTCTCCTTTCTGTGCTTTGACGAGGCACCGCTACCACCACCACGGAAGACGAGCTGACTCTCCTCGACGACTCTCCAGTATCTCGCTGTCCTGTCTCTGGCTCCTACTGTCACACACAACTCCTGGTTCAAAGCGGAGACATCGGTGACCTCGTCTTGGTGACCGAACAGTGTTTCGACATAGGCCAACTCATCCAGACTCCAGAGCTTGATAGTTCTATCCTTACTGGCCGAATAAAGTTGATTGGTTGTACGGCGGAAGCAGAGCGAAGTGACGGCGTCTCTGTGGTGATGGAAGAACTTCAGGGGCTTGAGAGTTGCGGCGTCCCAGACAATAAGCTTCCTGTCTCTGCCACCAGTCGCCACAAACTTGCCATCGGACGAAGCAGCAACACACAAAATGACATCGGTGTGGTGTTTGAAGTCGAAATCATCTTCTCTCTTTCCATTGCCGCGTGTGTAGATAAGCTTCTTGGGTTTCGTGGGTTGTGTGTGTTTGGAGGAGGCGTCGATTTGCTGGGGCATCTCCCATTTGATCAGAGTCATATCCTTGGAGACGGTGTAGATATAGGGAGCGCAGGTGGCCACACCAGTAAGCGTCTGCGAGTCTGCGCGGAACTGTGAATGCTGGGCGTTCTGGTAATCGTATTCGTCGGCGATCCAGCGGTAGATTTTGCCCTTGCTCTCAGCCGAGTCCTCCTTCAGGCGCTCGCCCATGCGCTCAGCCAAAAGCTCGGCATCAATGTCCTTTGCATCGAAGCCCTCGGAGATGATCTGTTGTCGCGTGTTCTCGAGATATCTTTCTGCCAGTCGTGTTCTCCTTCCTGCTGCATCTTCGCCCTCGAATTCGGACTCTGACGACTCGTCATCAGAATCAGCAGGCGGGCGTGGGCCTACATCATCGTCGTCGTCGAAGTCGCTGCCAGAGACGGAATCATCGCGGGTTTCTCTTCGCTTGGTCGGGCGTGCATTTGAGCGATCGTTTGTGCGTTGGGGTCGTGGAGCGCCAGCTTCGGGTCTCTTTCTCTTCAGAGAGGCAGGCTTGGTGAAGAAGCTCGACATTGTTGGCGTGGCACTGATGTTGCGCCTTGATTGCCTTGCAAATCCAGAAATCTTCCTAAACTTTTTTGCCCGCTGCTCGCGCAAACGCCGAAGCCACGCTTTGGCCTTTTGGCTCACCGCCTTCCCACTTCGGCAACAAGTTGACATCTTGCTGTTGAATGCTCTTTCCGTGACCACGGTTTTTCTTTGCAGAACATGTTTGTATCATTGCTTTGCTGATCTCATCGTACTCGTAAATTTGTCAAGCTCAAAACTTGAAAGCATCTCGATCTTCAATGACCTTCAAGATTTAGTCGCTAGCGACTCAACACAAAGGACAAGACATCTCGGTTCTCGAGTGCCAGGCTGAGCCAGAAAGCATGAGTCGAAATGCTTTCCTTGCGCGTATGGCTTTGGTAAGTTCTTTCCCTCTAGTCAGTCATCGAGACATCTTTCTAGGCCGCAGCCTCATGTCCGCCTTCCTATCATAGTATTCATGTGCACGCACAGAATATATCTCAGCATCATCTTCACAACCATCTCACCAATAAGTAGTCCGAAGAACGAAACTGACAGTGGTCACTAAAGGGCCGGTCACCGTACGAGCCCACTCCGGAAGCTGCAGAATCACCACTTCAACCAACGAGTCCTCGTCAACAACAATACAATGCTCGAGGTGAACCTATCGACCCTCTCACAACTCGGCACAACGAGGCCATGATAGCAGCCAAGAATGAAGTCCTAGCTGCTGTCGGTGTTTGCGAGAAAAAAGACAAACTCATCGATAATCTTGAAGAGGAGTTGATCAATGACAATCAACGCGTCAGATTTACTGATCAGGAATGGAAAATCATCAAAGAGGGTGAGGATGATTACGGCGAACTGATTCGTATGATAGCGGAGACATCCAGGAACGTCTTGACGTGGTGGATCATGAGTTTGCGTAAACGAGTGCAAGTCGGCTTCATCTCGTCGGATCTCAGCTTTGTCGAGATTTTGATACGAGAGCGGGCCAACTTGGCCAGCAATGGAATACTCGGAGCTATTAGATACCTCACTGTCGGTGGGCTCTCGGAAGTGGTTTCCCAACTCATGCTCACATTCGCCGACTGGTACCTAGGCGAATATGTATTGGAACTAAGCAAGAAAGTCATTCGTCTGAAGGCCAGCACCAGAAAGCGTTTCATGCTTCTCAGATGCGTCAACTATGGCTACAAGACTTTGAATGCCTTGGTTCATCTCTCTGTCTATTCGCTGTCTTCCTTCTCATGCCTTCAACAAATTGGCCTCGTTTCTTCAACATCTTTCTTGCCTCCGAGATCTTGGCTGATACCTTGGAATCCTGAATCACCTCTCCGCTGGGCATTATTGAATGCAGATCCAAGTGGAGGTTCAAGGATGAAGGGCTTACTGCTCTCTCCAGCAGCTCTATGGTTGACAATGTCATTGCTCCAACATTCTGCGGCATCGGCATATGGCCATGTGCCTCTATTCGAATACAGCTGTATCCTAGGCCCTCACAACGCAGTTTCTCTACCACAAGCCTCAGACGCCGATGACACCAAGCTTTTGACTCCATTTTCACGATTCAGAAATTGGATTTTGCAGTCTCTAGAATGGGCACCAGTCCCTGCTATTCAGGAGAAGGGGGTCCAAGACTTGATGAGCGATGGCGAATACGGAAGAGAAAGAGAAACACGTCAACGTCAAACAGCGACCAGATATCGCGTCACTGAGCTGTCGACTTTACCTTCCAATCTCCTGGCCTTGAACCTCGACTACCTGATCTGGGCCATCCTTATGCTCCCTCTGGACACGGTACATCTCCGCACTCTGGCATCTCTCTTCCTCTCGAGTCCAACAGCGAGAGATGGAATCGAAGACGGAGTCTCTGCAGGTTTAGTTCCCAGATCTGCAGCAACCAGAACAGGAATGGTGAACAAAGTCGGCTTGTGTCTGGCGTTGGAGTTCACACTCGACACTGCAGTCTGGAGCGGTGCATTCCTTTGGGCGAGATACATTGGCACTTCGAGGTACCATTGGGGACATACCTGAAGTTCCTAGTCAACGTACAAGGCAAACATGTCAACATCAAGGAAGCGGGTTACAAGCAGAAAGGGTATATTCAAAGGTCCATGCTAGCAAATGCACATCGTCTATACGCTCGAAAAACGATCAGAGAAATTCTGTACAAGAAAGGAAAAGAAATATGAAAGGGTTGGGCTCTCTCACACGACCTGTTCGGTCAGACCCCATCTCTTCCAGATGTTTTGCAGCCGTCCTTTGGCTTCGACACTCATGCACAGACTCGGATCCAGCTTCTTTAACTTCTTCTCTCCTAGCAATGATAGAGCGGCAAGACCGAGATATGAGTGGTAGAGATCAGGAAGGTCTCCAGCAATTTTACCGAAGCCGCCAAGAGTCAGATGGACGGTGCGTTCGAGGAGCCAGCGACGTACTGATGCCGTTTGGGGAAGGTGTGATTGGTTGAGGATCTGTGGTATGCAATTAGCCAACGAAGAGAGGATGGAAGGCGAGTATGGGTGTAGAAGAAGGAGCTTACAGAAAGAGAACCATGGACCCAGAAGGCATAACATGTATCTGCAATCTTATTACACCTTCCGTTGAAGCCCGTCCAATCGAGAGCAAAGTTGATCGTCGGACGGCCTTGGTAGTTTATTTCTCCGCGTTTGGACACGAACTTGTCTTGGTAGACGAAGCTGTGTGCGTCGTGGCAGGTTTCAGCCGTGTCTGTTTCATCGCCGTACGTGTCTAGGTCGTCTTCTTCTGATATGGTGGCCGTTTGTCGGGAGACGAGCCACTTTATGAGCAGGCTGGGGTTCGTAAGGGAGTCGTTCGGTGACGATGATGTAGGGAGAGGTGTGTATGGTGGAGAGGGGAGGCGTTTTATGTTTGAAAGGGCACCTACGGCGCAGTAGGTGAAGCCGGCGTGTGCTTCATGGTATGGAGCATCCGAGATGCCACCGTCGTAGGTCTGCTACTGTCAGTATTTTGACTTGCACAATCGTGAAGCGCGTCAACATACCTCAGCACTACGGATGCAGGTGACAAAGTTGTCGACTTCTATGTCTGCTGGTGTTCCTTCTATTTCTCCCTCAACCGTTCCTCGTAGCACATAGCGTACTCCAGTCGCGCAGTATCCAAATCTTGAATCTGTACCTCCGTTGATTGTTCCATTGACGAGTGTTTCTCCAAAACTGCCATCGGGTCGTTGTAGTTGAGTGAGCCATCGTAGAGCCTCTTTTCGATTCACACGACTCAAGTCGTCGTTGAGGATGAGCAACGAGCACAGTGCGAAGAAGGTGGCAGGCAGATTCGCAGGATCCCAGCATTCATTGTCCTTTGTCTTCTGGTCACCGAAGTCTGTGCCAGGGAAAGCGCGGAATCCTCCTTTTTCATGTTGATTCGAGTAAATCCAGTCGATGTAGTCCTTTCGTTGTTCTTCGGTCGTGTTTGTTTCCAAAGTGCCTAGCAAATCCAGACCAGAGAGGGTGAAGAAGGCCAGGCTCATGCGGTTGCTATCATTACTCTGGTATGCCGTCGGCAGGTATGTTTTGAGTGTTCGGAGAAAGTATTTTGTGTGTCTGGACACGTCGAGTTCGGCGTGCGTGGCCATGATGTCTTGGACTTTTGGCATCAAGGGTTTGAGCACGGCAGAGGGCATTTGGTTATGGGAAGGCGCGACTGTTTCCCCAGACCCTGCATCCCTGACACGCTCGACATGATGCTTTCCCTTTATGAAATCACTTATATGAGGCTCAAGCGCTTCCGGAACGCCGCTTCCCTTTCCATGACGCTCACTCCCGGAGGCCTGTGCGCTTGAATCTATCGGGCCCATCCCCTCGATCCAATCATCTACTTCTTGGACAATCCTTCCATCAAGACAATTGCCATCTGGTGGAGGTAGGTCCTATTGAGAAGTTGTGCGAAGTGTATGTAATTCTGGTTTTGCATGTGAACGTGCCCTGTAATTTCTTCGTGCAACTCTGATTTGAGGAAGGAAGCAACAATATCCCAGAGCCAAGAGTTCGCGAATTATTTCTTCTCCTTTGTTATCAAGGACTAGCTTTCGCGTCCAATCGACCGCCATGAAAATGCGACTGTCGATTCATCTCATTCTAGACTGGGATGGCACCTTGACCCGCAAGGACACATTGTCTCTAGTCGGCCAGATCGCATATCACGCCAACCCTTCCAAATCCCTCCCGCCATGGTCCGACTTTGTAACAGGTTACATCAACGACTACACCGACCATACATCCAAATACAAGCCAGCGGTTCTTGGAAGAAAATCTCTTGATCAGGAACGACAATGGTTGGCCAGTCTGGCGCCAATTGAACACAAAAGTGTCGAACGCGTCGAGGCTTCGGGCATATTCAAAGGTGTAAAAGCAAGTCACGTTGATCATGTCGCCAAATCTGCCGTACAAACCGGCGAGGTTCAACTCCGGAGCTCTTGGGATACCTTACTCAGAGGCTTCTTATGCCACCCTTCGAATAAACTCAGTATACTCAGTGTGAACTGGAGTACGAGGTTTATACGACAATCCCTCCTTGCAGCAGCCGCAGAAACCACATGCGCAGAAACACAGAGCTTGACACCGCACATCGAATCCATGGTAATCAATGCGAATGAGATTACGGGTCTTGATACGCCTTCTGGTAGCGACGGCACCTTGTCCAAAGACACAGTCTCTGGTATCCGTACAAGTGCCGACAAACTGTCCCGTATGCCTGCTTCCTGCCAACAATGTTCCAGCACACCTATCCCATTGGCAGACGTGGTAAAGAAAAAGGAGCATGCTGTGGTCTACATCGGTGACTCAGCCACTGACCTTGAAGCCCTTCTTGCTGCGGATGTAGGTATTTGCATTAGAGATGAGGTCATGGGCAGTAGTCAGCAAGAGTTGGCCGATACTCTCGAGAGAATTGGTGTCAAAGTCAGAGACATCAGCGAAGGTGTGCTTCTGCAAGGTACAAACAAGATTCTCTATTGGACAGATGGGTTTGAAAAAGTCGTCGAAGCTTTGGAAAAAATCTGAGCGTAGATGGTAGCGAAGTGAATTGGAAATCCCATGGATATCAAATCTCAGCGCTCTATCTATCATACCAACGCCGAGTTAGACACAGAGAGTTTGTGCAAAACTCCAAATGCGAATAAATAGCTTAGCTACGGCTACAGCAAATTCAAACTGGTCGAACGTATTACACCGTGGGTGTAGAGGCATTGGTCGCAATGATGGAAAACAAGATCAGGGTCACCCCAGCAGAATCCGAACCTGGTCTTTTGTCAAGCGGTTAAATGATAGCCTCAATGTGCCGAATATAAACTTTTATTGTATGCTGTCTACACGGGCAAGAGCGGGTGAGACAGAGGAACACAGGAGAGAGTGAAAAGAGGTGTGTGCAACATCTTCGCACGAGCAACGATCCCCGCGTGTTCCTTTTGCGTCGCGTCAACGCGTTCTTGTGGAGCGTCACACCACGATTCTGGAAGTGCTCATGTCGACGTTCATGGATTTTGATATCGCCTGTCTACCATGATCCATCCTCAGGATGATGAACCTGACGGCTTGATCGGTCAGATGTGGCACGAGCTCCACTGTCTAGATCGCCTTTGCTGTCGTAACACCCAAGCCGCACGGGTGGGAACATGCTGGACACATCACTCCTCAGACAATCGGACTTTCACGTTGCAGTGTCTCATGATATCTTTTGGCATTGAGGCTGATCGCCATGCCGTCTCGAAGATGTTGCCTCCACCTTTTGACGCCTCCATCGTTGTTGTGCGGGCTCAACTCGTGGGATGGCTTGAGAGGCTGGCTTCTCCATGCTGGACGACGCCACCAAAGCTTAGCTGAGGGGTTGTTTACCTACTCCTTCCCTTTGCCTCATGCTGGCTGACCTATGTCTTGCACTCGCGTTGACCTCTGCTCGCAGCTTCGACTTCTCAACTCGAAATGGCCTTCTGTTTCACATTCATCGACAAAGTAATTATCACAAATCCTACAATTCAGTTCAAGTGGTCTCCCTATGTTCCGATCCCAACCACAGTAATCCTCCAATCTCTCAGGCTAAATCGACTGGCTGTATCTAATTTACTATGCTCAAATCAATACTCGTGATAGGTACGGACTTCCGCGTCCTCCACCACGTCCACGACCCCTCCACATCGTCCCCGCATACTTTTGGCGATGTCCAAGTCTTGAAAGCAGCAAGAGTAAGCTCGCAACCGGCGGCTAAATCCTAATGTATACTAGTCACACACATTGTGGACTCTGGCGGCTAATCATGCTCACTGTACAAAGACAACCTCTGACCATATTGCAAGTGCCGTAGATCCAGGTACCTGGCTCTACTTTAGTACGACTCGAGTATAAGACCTTGAGAGCTCTCCTGACACTCTGCATGTCCTTGGAACAAGATCGATTTTGTACGAAACTTATCAAGTCTTGCAATATTATCAGTACCTATCAAGATGCATACTTCTACAGGTGGAGGTCATGATGCTCTGTCTAAGCGACGAGCTCAATTTGCTGGACCGTCAGGCATCAAAGGGTTGATCCAAAACTCGCGAATCTTCTTACTCGCTGTCTTTGCATCACTTGGAGGTTTCGTCTATGGCTGTGAGTTCATGCTAGTCGACTTTTAGCACTGATCTTGCTGATTGGAACAACACAGACAACCAAGGAATGTTCGGACAGGTCCTCAACATGTCGGCCTTCAAGGCGACCGTCAATCCAGAATCTATCAAAAACACTACCACCAGAGGTCTCTTGACTGCGTATGTAATCTCAATATGCTGCAACTACTTTTGACTAACCCAAGCAGCATCCTCGAACTCGGTGCATGGGTCGGTGTCTTGATCAACGGATACAATGCAGACAAGTTTGGTCGCAAGATGGCAACACAGATTGGTGTCGGTGTCTTCATCGTTGGTGTCATCGTTCAGGCTTGCGCAAAGAATGTCGACTACATATACGGTGGAAGATTTGTTACAGGTCTCGGTGTTGGTATCCTCTCTATGATTGTACCTCTGTAAGTATTCGCTATTCCTTGTGCAAGACGACTCGACTGACTCTACACGCAGTTACAATGCTGAGCTTGCACCTGCAGAGATCAGAGGTTCGCTCGTATCTCTTCAACAGCTCGCCATCTGCACAGGCATCATGATTAGTTACTGGATTGGTGAGCAGGGTGAATATTCTTTAAGCTTATAATAGCCTAACATGATTATAGGATACGGCACAAACTACATCGGTGGTACTGGCGCTAGTCAGTCTAATGCTGCATGGCTAGTGCCAATCTGTATTCAGATTCTACCTGCCCTCATCCTCGGCATTGGTATTTTGTGGCTCCCCCAAAGGTAAGACACAAACCCCCATATCTTGAACATGTATTAAGATCTCTCAGCCCACGCTGGCTCGTCTCAAACGACCAAGAAGATCAAGCATTGAAAGTGCTTGCCGACATCAGAAGAGCCCCACAAGACAGCGAGGTTGTACAACTTGAGTTCTTGGAGATTAAGGCACAGCACATGTTCGAGGTCGACAGATCGAGAGCCAAGTTCCCCCAGTACCAATCCGGAACTCTTAAGGACAACTTCTTGCTTGGGCTACACGATTATGCCAGTCTGTTTACCAACAAGTCGCTGAGAAAGAGAGTCTTCGTCGCCGTTTTCACCATGGTTTTCCAACAGTGTCGGTATAGTCAGTTCTCATCGACAAGGCTCTTACTGACTTATGATAGGGTCTGGTATCAACGCCATCTTGTACTACGCCGCCTTCATTTTCCAATACTTGGGTCTTACTGGCAACACCACATCGCTCCTTGCCAGTGGAGTCGGTGGTATTCTTCTTATGCTTGCCACTATCCCCGCCGTTCTCTACATTGATCAGTTTGGTCGCAAGCCCGTCCTCATCGCGGGTGCTATCGGCATGGGAATTTCCCACATCATTGTCGCTGGTCTATACGGTGCTTACGGACCAACATGGACAGGAAAAGCGGCCGCGGGCTGGGTAGCTGTGGTCTTCGTGTGGATTTACGAGATCAATTTTGGCTACTCTTGGGGAGTGAGTTAATTTCGAACACTCTGTCTGAGCTTTGGACACGTATGCTGACTGGTCTTCTTTTCTTTTAGCCTGGAGCATGGGTTCTTGTCGCTGAAGTCTTCCCTCTCGGTGTTAGAGCTAAGGGTATCTCTATCGGTGCCTCCTCAAACTGGCTGAACAACTTCGCTATCGGACAAGCCACACCGGCCATGGTGAAACATATGACATATGGTACCTTTATCTTCTTCGGTATTGTCTGCTTCCTCGCCGCAGCCTTTATCTACTTCATGGTTCCTGAGACAAAGGGTTTGACGCTTGAGGAGATGGACGAGGTCTTTGGTGATGAAGCTGGTAACGCCGCTGATGATCGTGCAAGATTGGACAGAATATACACTCAGCTGGGCTTGATGGACGGAGGTGACCACCCGATGAATAGCGAGAAGGCAGCCGCTGCGGATGTCATGGTCACTGGAGGTTACAAGAACACAACCTTCAACTAGGCTGGCTGTTGAAAGTGGCTCGCAAGATGGGAGACGTGTCTGCTGGGACATTCTCTAGAGATTCAATCATCTGTGTATAGAGCCACCAGAATGCTCATGATACGAATGTAATGGTACTTCTTTCCTAATCTACGATATCACCAGACTTCTTCAGGCCGTGCCCAGGAGGATGGCATCGGGAAGCCATCGGATAACAACCGATCGGCTAAGCAGCACACGTTAGGAACGCGAATGCAACCAGGGCAGTTTGCACTCAGCAATCCTTGACTTGTCAATTGAGGTTTTGCTTGACCAACGATTTTATGTTCGTCCTTTCTCATACGACACTCACATGGACAAAAGGCCTTCTGCTGTTGCTTGTCATCTCGGTTGCTGATTGTGCCATGGACGTGCCCCGCAGTCAGTTGGCCGATCTTCCCTATCGCCTTCCTCTTTCGGGTTATAGGCGCTTGATAGAGCCGCCATGACCAGCCACCCATGATAACGTGATTCTTTGTATTTATCAAGGACAACTCCTCGATTGTCTTTCTCCTTAGACACTAGGCGACCAGTCATCATGGAGAAGGAAGGACTACCACCCTATACTGAAGTCGTAAGACCTTGGGCAGAGAGACGCCGTAGACGCCGCATCTTTCGAGTTGTTGCAGCTACATGTCTCTCCTACTTTGCCTACTCAGCATACAAGATTTCAGCAAATACTGAGAAGCCTGCCAATTTACTCTCTTCCACTCGCTTGCAAGAAGACCTGGCCACCTGCGCAACCCTACAACGAGTCCCTGTCAGCCCATCTGGTATTCGCGAGTACAACAAACGTTATGTAAACGGCACCAAGCCTGTGCTGATACAAAACGCCACTATTTGGACTGGCGAGCCTGCACCTGGTACAAGTGCCGAAGACGCTCATCAAGGAAAGGGCTATGCCTGGATCCAATCGGATGTGTTCATTGAACATGGTCTCATCAAACGAGTTGCGCCGTCCATCTCCCTCTCGGACCTACCGACAGAGTATGAGACTTTCAATGCTCATGGTCGTCAACTCACAAGCGGAATCGTGGACACCCACAGTCACGCGGGCCTTGGAAGCGTAGGCAACCTACAACATGACGAGAATGAGCTATCTAGCGACATCACACCATACGTCAAGTCATTGGATTCCCTAGACCCACTTCATCCTGAGATCCAATGGATCAAGTCTGGCGGCGTAACCACATCTCTGCTCCTTCCCGGCTCTGGAAACAACATCGGCGGAGAAGCATTCCTCGTCAAGTTCGCTGTCGGTAAAGATGGCGGTCGTGCTGAGCTCAGCCAACAAGATATGCTGGCAGATCCTGATCATACTTGGAGATACATGAAGAATGCCTGCGGTGAAAACCCCAAGAGAGGTATGTAATAGATACAAGCACGACGGACCAGTCCTGCAGTTCCGAGTGACATCGACGAGAGGGGCCCAGGACGCCTTTTCGTTTATGCTGAACTCACTTTGTGGGCTGGTTCGTTGAACAAGTAACGTGTCTCATTATTCTAGACGACTTTGCTGACTGTACATAGTGTATGGAAAGCTTGGTGAAAAAGGCCCATTCAGCCGTATGGGAGAAGGCTGGCAATTTAGACATGCCTTTGAGCAGGCAAGAGATTATGTCAAAGCTCAGGATGACTGGTGTGCAGCTGCTGCCTCTGTCGGAGCGGAAAACATGAACAGCTACTTGCCTCAAAAGCTCGAGTGGGAAAACCTAGGAGCCGTTCTCCGTGGCCAAGTGCGAGTCAACACGCATTGCTACACCGTCCCAGATCTTGAGATGTATGTGCGCCTCACTAATGAATTCAAGTTCAGGGTCTATGCTTTCCATCATGCTCATCAGACCTACTTGGTACCTGATGTTTTGAAGAGGGCTTACGGTGGTACACCTGCGGCTGCCCTCTTTGGAGACAACATGTACTACAAAGTGGAGAGTTACAGAGCATCTGAGAAGGCTGGCAAAATTCTCTACGAGAACGGAATCACCCCAGTCTATGTCAGCGACAACCCAGTCATCAACTCTCAGCATGTCAAGCATGAAGCTGCAAAGGCATACGGCTACGGTCTTCCATACCACGTCGCTCTGGCTGGTCTGACTTCAGCTCCCGCAGAGCTTTTGGGCATGGGGGAGAGGCTTGGAAAGATCAAGGCTGGCTTCGATGCCGATATTGTTGTTTGGGATTCTGATCCGCTCTCTCTTGGTGCTACACCCATTCAGGTCTGGATTGATGGTGCCCCACAGTTTAAAGATCCAGTAGAGCTCAAGAAGCCTCTGACTTCACCCATCAAGCCAGATCTTGCACTGGCAGAGGATCATGACGAGAGCGAATCGAGCAAGGACGTCGTCTTCACTGGTGTTACCAACATCCGCATCCCAGGTCTGACTTCATCGTCCGAGTTCAAGGGATCTGCCACCGTCGTCGTATCACAGGGAAAGATCGTCTGCGCTGGTTCTTGCGATGCAGAAGTGCACACAGCAAAGTCTAAGAACGCTCGCACTGTGGCTCTGCGTGATGGATATCTCACTCGCCCGCTCACCGCGTTCGGCTCTGGTCTAGGTATGCAAGAGATTATGCAGCAACCAGAGACGTATGATGGTGCTGTCAATGACAAGGTGTGGGCCAGAGCAGTCGATGGCCTCCTTCTCGACGGCAAGAACCTCTTTGCCGCCTATCACCATGGTGTCACCAAAGCAATTTCTGCACCAATTGCTCGTGTCTATTCTGGTATTTCTCTCCGTGGTATCTCTGCTGGATTCCTGACTGGCGCAAAGACCACCCTGAGCAAAGGAGCCGTCTTCGCGGAGGAAGCTGCGGTTCACTATGACTTTACCCTCAATGGCAAAAGCGATGCGAACCCTTCCATCTCAAGCTTGGTAGCAGATTTGCGACACAAGCTGCTCGAGGCAGTCCGCAACAATGAAACCATCGTCGATACTTATTCTGAAGCTGCATCTCTGAAGAAGGTTGTCGAAGGCAAGTCTGCTCTTGTACTAAGTGCGCACAGCGCAGATACCATCTCTGCTCTCATCCGCCTCAAGTCCACAGTCGAGGCTGCAAGCAAGGTTCCCCTTCGCCTAGTCATCCTTGGAGCCGCGGAGTCTCATCTTGTGGCTAAGGAATTGGCAGCTGCAGATATCGCCGTTGTTCTAGCCCCAATGCTTCCGTGGGCACAAACGTGGGATCAACGTCGCAGCCTTATGTCAGCGCCCTTGAATAATGGGTCCACAATTGATTTCTTGCTCGAATCTCAAGTTCGGGTCGCTATTGGCGTTGATGAAGTATGGGAGACAAGAGATTTAGCCCTTGCAGCTGGAATCGCACTGAAAAACTCGCAAGGAAGATTGTCGGAACAGCAGGCTCTTGATCTCGTTAGCACAAACTTCTATGAGTTCTTGGGCCTGGAGGTACCCAAAGCGGAAAGCGAGTTTGTTATCTATGAGCATTCGCCATTGGAAATAGGTTCTAGGGTTGTAGCTATTGCAGATGGTTCCGGCAAGACAGATGTCTGGCTCTAAGAAGATGGGAAGGAACCAATGATATGCTGCTCTAGGGAGGTAAGAGTTTGTCTATGGCTAGCTAATGCAGAGAAAGTTTTGTATGTTTCGCCCTCCTGTCAAAATTTGGATTCTTGTTCACACTTCCTGGTACTGCATCAATTGACAGCTTTTGCATCCATTCGTCCCTCGCTTGTGCTGCCGTGAGTATATATCCTCAGACAGTGAAACACATCACATCAACACCACCAGTTGATCAGGTCTCGTGGTCTAGCGGTATGATACTCGCTTAGGGAGATACAGCTTCTGCTGTTTCTTGAAAACTCTAAGCCAATTGCGAGTGGTCCCGGGTTCGATTCCCGGCGAGACCCCATCTTTTGCCTGTTGTGGCATCGTTTTTGGTAGAGGTGGTCGTCTTTAGGAGCAAAAATAATTTGTAATTTTTGTTGGTGGTTTGTCGTGTTTGTGCCAAGGCGAAGATTGGTTCGTGGCTTATTCCCGTGACAGCTTGGCCACGTGCACGGCTTCGGAGCTTCCGCTCACAGCTCAGAACGGTGGTGCTTCTCTTTTGCTTTATTGCAACACGATGACAGTTGTTGAACACCGTTCATTGTAATTGTCAGACGTGAGAATATGTGAGGGAACAACAACAAATCATTGCAAATTCACAAAGGTCATGGAAGAGATGTTATCTTGAAATAGTTCGCATAATGGATATGTACAGACAATATGATAAAACATTAAATATGTGTGAGAGAGAATACGAAATGGGGAAGATCTGTTACAATCTTCGAGGGAGGTTCATCCGGAAATGATGATGCATTTAAGCAGCCATGAAAGGTGCGACCTCAAGGACAGCGGGTCCGGCAACAGTGGTGTCGTCGGTGATGGTGGTGTTGCTGGTGGTGAGGATGGCGTAGACCTCACCGTTGGGGCCAGTGTGGCCAACGGGGATTCTTGCGTAGACCTTGCAGTCCTTGACGACAGCAGAGGAGAACATGGCTCCGTCAGCCAGAGGGAAGGCGACGTAGAGAGGGCCAGCAGGGACGGCCATGCCAGCAGCAAGGTCGAACTCAATGGTAGTACCCTGGACAAGAGGAGAGGGAGTGTTGGCACCAGCGGTCAATGTGGGGAAAGCCTTGACGGGAAGGGCAGGGTTGGTTGCAGGGCAGGCCTTGATGAAGGGAGCTGCGAGCGAGTAGACCTGGTTGAAGTCGAGGGGAATATCGAAAGGCTGAGGCGAGGGCTCGAGAGTCAAGCTGTTGCGGACGAAAGAGCTGTGACGGGCCTCGACGGTCAAGATGCTGCCAGCGGCGGTCAAGTATGCCTTGTTGGTGATGAGGGCAGCAGCACCAAGGTAGGCGCTCACACCGACACCCTCGAGGATCTGAGCAGTGGCAATGAAAGTGGCAGGGGTGAGGTTGCCGAAGTCGTATGTGCAGGCATCAACGGGAGTAACACCAGCACCCTTGAGAGCGGTGGTCAAGAAGTCAACATGGACCTGCTCATCACGACCGACCTCCTTGAGGTTTCTGTAGAACTGAGAGCCGTTGAAGCCAGCGGCAGCGAAGTCCTGCTCGGAGAACTTGGCGATACCCTGGGCGTAGAAGGCTGCCTCGAGGTGCTCGAGAGTCAGGGCGTAGTTGAGGATGACACTGTTGCATGTTAGTAAGATTCAGAAGCAGATACTGATGAAGATGCCTTACCCATCGATGTCAGTGCTCTGACGCTTGACAAGGGCAGGAGCAGCAGTGGCAATGGAGGCCAAGAAGGCAGCGCTGAGTACTGAGGTCTTCATTTTGATGTGAGAAGGGGATGGGAAAAGATAGTTCTAGTAGTGGAAGTGTGATGTTGTCGAAGAGTGATGGTGGTCGAGTTGAATGATTTACAACAGCAGGGCGAGTTCGAGGTTTATATACCATATTTCTCGCTCTACCAAGTCAACACCCAGCAACGATCGACCTCACCCCAGAAGCCTTCGAGCCGTTTCTCGAGTTCCTTTGTCATTGTTTGGAGAAGACAACATGATGTGGAGAAGCCACCCACGCTCGAATGTCTCTGAACGGCACGTCCCAAGATCGTTCATTGGTTGATGCCCTGGACTGGAGGTCAGGCGGCACAAGCAGAGTTAAGGTAGTGGTTAAGGTTAAATGCGATCGTCCAACGGCGTGAGTCGACTAAACCGTTCATGGCGAGTCCTCCTACAATCAAGTCTAGTGGCAGGTGGCACTAGCATGAAATTGTGCTGATTGACTCAGATAAGATCGTATTTTGGATTGGCTTTGGCTATGCGATTGGCTGAGCGCGGGTTGTTTGTTTCACTTTGGCCAACGGTTATGGTTTATTGTCCGTCAACAAGAGAATTAATGTCAACCGTCGGGCGGTCATATCTCCGGGGAAGGGTCCCTCCTTCTTTGGTTCGTGAGGCGCAACAATGACATCTTCAACGGTGGGCGTTCCTTGCAGCTCGCAGTTTGGGGGATAGGGAGAAGCCATTTCCTTTCCACTGCATCCCCGTTCAATCGCAATGAAGGCGCCAAACGTGAAGACATGGAGAGATTTGATCATGTAGGGGTCAAGAGTGATCTACACATCTAGACTCAGCGCTACACATGTCTTCCTACGCTTGCAAGGTATGGCATGTTTTTGAGTTTCCAAGCTTGGTCGCAAAAGAGCTCTTGGGTCTTGGAGAGCTAGTGCATCTTGCGGCGCATGACGGTCACCTCGACGAAAGAGGAACAGAACGGCGGAACAAAAGGCGCAGCGCAGTTGTAGACAGCAGATCTCTCACCCATTTGGTCACCCCAATTCATCAACGTCTGTGCCTCGGAGATTTTGGAAGCATTTGTTATAACCTGGTGACGTCCTTGGCTGAGGAAATCCCTCAAGACAGCCTCTTTGTCATTCAGAAAGATGTCCTACGCCCGCGCGGCATGCGCTTGGCCACCTACCTTTTACGACAAACGATAAACGACGTCTCCGAGGATGACAGGAGTCAGGACTCGTCGTCTGTTAATGATTCGGTGCCTACACCTCGATACAAGGGGATGGGCACTTCTTTCTCGCCCGTCGTCTTAAGGGCATAGCCTTCAGCTTCATCGTCGTACCAATGCTTCACAGGTCGCCTTGCGATGCGCTCCTTTGATCGCAATCTTTCTTGGCATCGCACACCCCTTCTCCCTACCGACTCGCGAAGGACCTGAGGACACACCGCCTAGACAGCGATGCTGAGACCAAGAGAAGGGGCTTGACAAGGTTGATTCGTCTTGCGACGATCTGCGCAGCGATTTGGAGGTGTTGACCCCGTCCAACTTGGCCCTCATGTCGACTTCATGAATGCGACGGGAAGGAGTTGGACGAAGACTCCGCCCACAGTCAGGCTCGACACGACGCGGCAAATACCGACGAATCGAGAGCTCTCGCAAACGACAAAACCGCACACGAAGACTTGGGGCGCAGAAACGAGCTCTTTTGCCGAGCGAGCCCAGATGAAATGGTATTTCTCCCAACACTACTAGACCGCCAGACTGTCTACCTCCGTTCCAATCCAGGTACCAAGATTAGTCAGACAGGCGTACGGCACACAGAACGTCTCGAGCGTGTGGTGTAAGTCGTATCATACCAAACGTTGGCAGTGTCTCTCGAAAGTGTGGCCACTCGATGCTTTATATCACCATCGATTGGACCTGGTCGTAGAATGGGACTGGGAACGAAGGTTCTACTCACTAGCTTCTGGTCTCTGCTCCTTTGTGACAAACTTTAGTTTGTCGGATTTGTGTTCGCTCTCGACTCGGGACGTAATTGATCTGAAAGAACACCTAATGACAAGCCACTGGAAGGATCATGTCGTATTTTCTATGTACAAGGACATCCAGCTCGATGTGTATGAGCATTTTGCAACTCGCAAAGTCGTTTACATCGACTCGGGTTGGCTTTAGGCATCACTCAGTATGCACGAACCCGACTCCCCTCCAAGCGCAGCCTGTGCCATGTTCTATCTGCCATTCTTTTGGCTAATCAAGAGATGAACCAAGCTTTCCAAACGTACCTGCATTTCTCCTTGATCATGACACCGATGGCTAGAAAGATTTTCGAATCTCCACAAACCTGGAGAGCGTGGAGGCCCCACAAACACGGGAGAGGGCCGCAAGCGATCCCCGAAAGCGGAAGGAGATGATCAAGTGACAAGTGCTTCGCTCTCGCGGCTAAATAGCAGACCATCACCCACCACTCAAGCCGCTTTCCTGGTGCATCCGACAGCGGGGAAATGGTCATAACACAGGAGACAATTCTATTGCATCACTGTGCCCTAAACACGTAGAATCGGAGATACGTACATAATCAAGCTGTAAAAGTCTAGATGGTGTCGAAGCAACTGCCGCATGTCCGATACTGCCGCTCTATGCGTGGAAATAGTAGTCAGAGTGTGAAAGGGCTAAATGCTTCATCGAGGCTAAAGTGGACATGCATAATGCATCGAACATCACGACAAGGAAGAGGGGAGAGTGGCAATGGTTCTTAAGATGGAACGGAGTTATATATAAAACCACGTCGAAGCCGAGACATAGATCTTCAAGGCCAAGGATATCATCATGGCACCCGTCAAGGAACTTGCCGCCCTGACGGTAGCGGCTGCCTACCTTCCATATGCTTCAGCAGCAGCGATCGCTCCTTCTTCTCTTTCGAATGGACAAACTTCCTTGACACTGCTTTATCAAAACAACCTCAATTTCACCGATGATGTCAATCACATCAGTGCCATATTGTTGGACCCGTCAACCGCTTCCAATGGAGCTGCTGGCTGTGCAGCCTTGAATGAAACGTTGATTACACAGTCTGCTCTGCAAGCACACTCCCAAGACTTCATCAACCAGCTCTCGTATGCATTCTACGCCGGTCGTTCGACACAGGATCAAAAGTGGCACATTGCTAGCGGCCAAACAGTGCAAGTTTCCAACAAGGGGCTCAAATTCGCCAAAGCAGGCCCTGGCAATGTGTTGCCAGTCCTGTGCACGCAGTCCAGCCAGAGCAACACTCCCAGCAATGCCGTTGCCTCTGCAGCCAACGAGATCAAGATCTCCTCTTCCGGAAACACCTTTGTAGGCTTCCGCAACAAGAAGTCTTTCCGCTTCCAGGGTATTCCTTTTGCGGACCCACCAGCCAGATTCGCGTACTCGACTGTGTACTCCAAGACTGGCCAGACGATTGACGCAACAAAGTACGGACCTGACTGCGCGCAGCCGTATGAGAGTTCCAGCAGCGAGAACTGTTTATTCGTCAATATCCAGACACCTTATATCCCCAAGGCTGGATCCAAAAAGAACCTTCGTCCTGTTCACTTCTGGATTTACGGTGGTGGATTTACTGGTGGCTCCGGTGCTAGCTCAGGTAGCGATGGAGGTCAATTGGCTTCCAGAGAGGATATTGTTGTCGTTGAGATCAACTACCGTTTGACCACTCTCGGCTTCCTCGCGATTCCCGGAACCAACATCACCGGCAACTACGGTATCTCTGACCAGGTCACTGGTCTCGACGTAAGTTTCGCTGTGTTAACTGATATCGACGTCTGCTAACAAACTTCAGTGGGTCCTCAAGAACATTGCCAGCTTTGGTGGTGATCCTAACAAGATTGTGATCAATGGCGAGTCTGCAGGTGCTGGCTCCGTGCGTACACTTCTGGGCTCCCCTAAAGCCATCGGAAAGTTCAGAGGCTCCATCGCCATGTCAAACCTCGGCGGTGGTGTCGATCTGGGTCTGACTGGCAACTACGCAACCACGTATTCTTCGTACTTGACACCTGCCCAATCCTATGCAAGAAGCGAGGCTCTGTTTGAGGAGGTTGGCTGCAATCAGACCACTCTTGATGCTCGTATCTCTTGCCTGAGAGCTACGCCTGCACAGACCATTGTCAATGCTGCCACCGTCGCCAGATACGTCGTTCAGGATGGTGTCTACGTCAACACCGAGGATCTGGACGTATACAACCGCAATGGCAGTGCCGCTAACGTTAACACGATTTGGGGGATAGTTGCAAATGATGGTGCATCCTTCTCGACCTACCCCAAGACTCCTGTCACCAGCGAGCTTGCGGGTATTCAAGCAGCATTAGGCATATCGCAAGCCGAGGCACAATCAATCATTGACTCTGGACTCTTCCCTCTCTACAACACTGGCAACATCACGTTGGACTCGTTCAATGTTTCGCAGAGAGTGGCTACTGATAACCAATTCCGTTGCATCGATCAAGCCACTGTGTATGCTGGCGTAGAGTCTGGAGCGTTCAAGACATCCTACTTCTACCAGATGCAGAGAAGTGCGGGTGGTTACGATCCCAACAACCTCGGTGGCCCTCCGGTCGAGCCTGGATATCCTTATGGCAACCCTGAGAAGCCATACTTTAAGCTTCACGGCTCAGATATGCCATGGGTTTTCGTGAGTGCTGTTGATACATTAGTGGTGAGGATGACATACTGACGTGACATTACAGGGAAACCTCAACCCTCTGCGTGATGCCAATGACCTCAAGTCTGTGCAGCTGGAGAGTGGCTACTTTGCCTCTTTCGTCCGCTCGCTGGACCCTAATCCTCCGGCCAACTACCTCCAAGTTCGCGGCTACACCAACACCACTCAAGGAGTCCAGCAAAGTGGACCTTGGCAGCCCGTCACCAGCGACCAGGGTCCGATGAAGCTGCTAGACTTCCCTTCGGTCACTGCCGATTTCCAGGATCTGCCACAGGTGAGTTTGAGAGTCGATCTAGGTTTCCCACGATCAAAGCTGACGATTTCACAGTGCGCCTTCCTCAACTATCCTATCAGCTACTATGTCAATGGTGGTCTGTAAAACAGAGATGATGTGATCAGGTGGATCTTGTAGCAGCTATGCTGTAGTTATGTATTCGATGACGATACTTCTGCTTGTATGTAGTTGAATGCAGCACGAAAAGAATTGAACATTCCCCTTCGTGTTTCGGCGGGGCTAAATGAACGTGGCTGTCTTCCTTGAAGTTGTCCCTGACAGGCGATCAGAAATGGCGAGAATGATCCTCTGAATGGGATTTGGCGAGATGAACATGAGTCCTCCAGGCTGCGTCCATGTGTGGCTTTCTGGTCTTTGTTGCGTGGTGTGGTATCGCAATATTTCATCCTCATCTTCAAGCCTTCTTCTCCCCTGTCGTTTTCGTATTCGTCAACTCCCTCAACTGACCCTCCAATCCTTGCAATTCAGCACTCTTTTCTTCCTTCTCTTCCATAGATTCCAACCTCATCCAAGTGTAGTGCAATACTTGATATGTAAAGAGAGCCATGAAGAAGACTTTTGCGATCGGGCGACCGAAGGATTTGTAAAAGGCGCGCTGTAGGTCTGTATTAGTAAGGTGTCTTGATATTGTTTTGGCGACGAGTATCTTGGTTGGTATGTCGCGTTCGTGGGTCGTCATACATGCGGGTTATCTGGTTCGGGTTGTGGAGTGGGTGGTTGGTATATTGGTTGTTGGCGTAGTGTGCGGACGGTGGAGAAAGCAGCGCGAGATGACCTCGAGGACTGCATCCTCGTTGCGCGGGTGACTGTTGACAACATTGTGCTCGACATTGTGTATTTCGCAATTGACGATATGTAGATAGGAAAGAGCATTCGAAGCTCTCGAAGACGCGACAAAGAAATCACCGAGGTGGAATCATCGAGGCCAAGCTTTTGCGGGGGAACGCAGCACTCCCGCCTTCCGCAAGTTGACCAAGTGTTCTCGAAGGGGGGGAAGGGACAGTGTACACTGCGCAGCTGAGAGCGAGTGCAATCTGTTATTTCCCTTCCTTACCACCTTGTTCTGTGAACACTTCTTTTTTGCTTGTACTACTCGGATTATACTGTTGCCTTGCTGCTCCTCATATAATTTCCTCTATCTTCAGTCGATCGAATCCTCAAAACACACATCACTCACAATGGTATACACTTCCCCTGCCCGCCAAAGCTTCGAGGACACGCGACTAATTTCGGAATCAACAGGTTCAAACACCCCAACAACGTCGCGCCAACGAGGCCTTTGCAAAGAAGCAAGAAGTCAAGCGTGGAAAGCCCGAACCCGTCATCCAGAAGAAGGTCCCCCAAAAGAGCCCCATCAGCAAGTTCTGGTTGTGTACGTTATTCCACGTCTGTCGATCAAGTGGGCTGAAGCTAACGAAGATACCATAGTCGCTCTTATCTTCGTCGTCTGCGGTGGTCTCATCGCCGAGCTGCTGCGTATCATTTCCGGTTACTTCTGAGCGACCGGTGTCATGAACCCCTGAGAGACACTTCTCGAGGGGAGATCGAGGGAAGATGTACAACCACACGACTGCCTTGAGAGAAAGAGAGAGAGAGAAGATGGAGTACCCAAGAGACCGAGCTGCACAGCGGCATACAGGATACCCTGCTACCTGCAATATTTTGAGTTGACAGATCGCCTTTGCGACTGTCGCTGCATTTCGTATCGGAGTTTACGGCGTTAGTCTTTCAGACTCTCCCCTAAGTCGAGGAGGGTCATATTCTGTTCAAAGCGATAGATATCAAGTTTTCACATCGAGTCTAGTGGAAGATTCAAGGAACCGAAAAAGCGTCTCTTTTATTCTATCGTCCAAAGACAAAACGCCCGACCCTTGTGTCTATTAACTACTTCCTGCCTTTGCGCCTGACTGTGCCACTGCTTTTGCTCGAGACCGGTACTCTTCTGAAACCATAACCAGGCTCGACTTCAATTCTCACGCCTTGCCCAGAATCATCGCTACTGCTTCCACTGCTTGGTGGCCTCGCTCCTATCTCGCCTTCCCTTTCCCATCGATCTGCTGCTGCTTCCACGTTTGAAAGCGGTGACCCTTGGGGTCCTCGCCTCAATTTTGCATATGAGACATCAGAAGCTGGGACGTGGGTTTGATAAGATTGACCACCTGGCGGTAAAGTCCCTCCAAACAGATCGGGATAAGATGCTCCGGCTGGTGGTCGACTTGATGATGCCCATGCGTTCTCGTCGTAAGCAGCTCGACTCGATGGCGAGGGTTGGGCACGGAGTTCTGGACCATACCCTCGAACAGAGTATGCCTCGTAGGGCGGGGTGATCTGACGGTTGCTATTCGATGACGGTCTTCTAGAGGACACCGGTGAAGGATAGTAATCGGAAGGGGCATACATCGGAACACCGTCGGGACCACGAATCATGAACGCTGGTGGAGTGGAGCCAGAAGTGCGAGCGACAGGTTGCTGCTCATTCGACGACTTCCTAGTAGTCTTTGGAGTTCGTGAGCGAGATTGTGATGGCGATGTACTGCCGAAGAGACCGACGCTCGTTCTTCGTGGGCGAGTGCTTGTCAGGCTCGTGGTACTACTAGAACGACTTCCTCTGGTTTTGTTCTTGGACGGCGTGCTCGGTTCGGATGAGTCCCTTAGCTGCGTGCTGCTTCTTTCCAGGGCTGCCATTTCCTCAACGCTCAAGCTGACGTTCGTCTTTCCCTTAACTCGTGCTTTTCTGAGCTTCTCCTTGGCCGATTGAACCAGGGCGTCTTCTCGCGACGGCCGAGTCAAGGCATTGCTGCGGTAGTGGTCGTCTTCGTATCGTTGTGGTCTTCCTTCGTATCCAGTATCATCCCTTCCTCTCTCCCCTCTTGCAGAACCCAAGTCATATCCTGTGAATAATAGTTCGTCACCGGTAAGGCCTTCCCTCGGAAGCCGGTCAGCAGACCTGGACTTGAAGCCAGCAGGATCGAGATAGGCATGTTGATACCCATCGTCGCTCTCGTCGCCCACGTCCAGAAACCTCCTTCGCCGAGACTCGAATTCGTCCCTCCAGATTTCTCCACCTCCTCCTGCATGAGCCCCGGATGGTCTTCCCCAATGGGGCATATCGTGCGGAGCCCGCGGCCGACCATTTAGACCGCCTCCTCTGAAAAAGCTGACTCGATGGGCTTCTCCAAGAATGCTGCATGACCAAGAATAGTGACTCCGGAAGCACCGATGAGCCAGAGAGCGGAACCGAAGGGGTTTGAGAAGATGGCGAGAGGAACAGCGATGACGACCAGACCAGTGTAGAGCTGCGAGGTGGTGGCACGGAAGTTGCCAATCTCAATGTCGCGGCCCTCGAGTTTGCCAATTCCGAACATGCCACCAACGACGAGTAGGATGACGAAAGTCAAGAGCCAGTTGGTAATGAGAGTGTAGATGCTCAGCATGCAGAAGAGGACGGCATAGTTGCTGGAGAAGTAACCGAGGTTGTAGTTGACGCGGTTCTGAACCTCACCGAAGTTTTGAGGCTTTGAGATTTGCTTGAAGTTGAAGAACTCGGAGATGGGCTTCAAGTTGGCGAAGCGGGAGCCGACGGACTGCGAACGAACACTGTCGAAGCGACCCTGCAGGTTGAGACGCGACGTGATGGCGTCCAGAGGGAGGTTGATGGGCATCTTGAGTGAAGTGGTAGGGGTGAAGATGGTGCTAGGAAGTTGATCGAGTCGAGGTGGACGTCCTGTGTTTCAGACTTCTGAAGGCTGAAGCCAAAAGGGGAAGTCAGCCGGGAGTCAACAGAATTTCTTTGTTTGCATGTGACGGTGCTCGGGAGCGTCGCGGGACGGGAAGAAGGAACGGACTCGATGCAAGCAGCGATTCGGACTAGAAATGACTTACCTATAGTAAAGTAGTGAAGAGCGAGTGGATGGCAGGAGTGAACCAAGAGCACAAGGCGATCAAGAAGGCAGAGAAGGAGGTATGTGATTGCGCGTGCAACGTGTTTATTTGAGCAGCTGCGTGGAATAAAGAGGCGCAGCTGTTGAGTTGAGCCACATCTCTATCTCTCAGCCACACTCCAAGCTTCAGAGGAAGGAGCGGAGCCCCTGAAGCCAAGCAAGATCTGGGACCCTCGACTTGCTGCAGCGAGAGGAAGGAACAGAAAGCAGAAGGTGATTCAAGTTCTTTCTTCAAAAGTTGATTGGAGAATCAAGAGAAGAAGACTGGCAGGAATCGTAGAGATTCTTATCAGAGACCCAAGCAGTCTTTTGCAGCCGATTACCTCTTACTGCATCCAACCTTGTCGTGACACGACTGATCCGGGGAAACTAGTCCAGGCACTTCTGCCGCTCTTGCAGCTCCATCACATTTCTTTGCAGCCCGATACATCCTCATCACAAACCCAACCATGGCCCGCATTCTGGGTTCTGTTTTGCTCTTGGTCTTGTGCCTGGTCGCTCTTGTCAGCGCCTGGTCTCCTGAGGGTGAGATTCTTCTTTCCCGCGTCGCAATTGCTGCATTCGAGTCTCAAGTTACTGACAGCTGGCAGACCATGAAATTTTCCGTCTCCAAGACGAAGTCGCCCAGCATGAAGGCAGCAACGTTACGTTCTACTCCTTCCTTGGAGTAAAGCCCTTCGCAAGCATCGAAGACGTCAATGCCGCCTACAAGAAGAAGGCTCGTGTCTTGCACCCTGACAAGGCCCGTCAACGCTTCATCGCTACCTACGATACCGCACCTCCTGTCCAAAAGGCCAAGAAGGGTGAAAAGCCCACCGTCCACGTCCACAAGAACAAGAAGCCTACACAGAAGGAGATCAATGCTTTCGGCAAGGAAGCCTCTGCTCGCTTTGCTCGCCTCGGCATAGTGACCAACATTCTTCGTGGCCCTGAACGCCAGCGCTACGATCACTTCCTCCGCAACGGCTTCCCTAAATGGCGTGGTACCGGCTACTACTACCAGAGGTTCCGCCCTGGTTTCACCACCGTCATGCTCAGTCTCTTCGTCTTCATCGGTGGTGGTGTTCACTACGTCGTCCTCTACATGAACTACATCAAGCACCGCGATTTCGTCGACCGCTACATCCGTCATGCCCGCCGTGCTGCCTGGGGCGATGATATCCAAGGCATCGCCAACATTGGAAACAGTGCCCCTGCCCCTGTCGTCGAGCCTCAAGCCGAAGAAGAGCCTCAGGCCATGAACTGGAACAGAAAGGAGAAGCGTGCTGCTGAGCGTGAAAGCAAACGTGCTGCCAAGCAACCGAAGTCTAAGAGAGCTGCCGTTGTTGAACAGGCAAAGAACTCTGGTGTCAGCACTCCCGTCGAGGCTGAGCTTACTAGCGGTGGCCCTGTCGGTGCTAAGAAGCGCACTCAAGCCGAGAACGGCAAGATCCTCATTGTCGATAGTGTCGGCAATGTTTTCCTTGAAGAGCGCACCGAGGAGGGTGAGCTTCACGAGTACCTTCTTGACGTGAGTAATGTCTGATAACTTCGATCCTGATTCATACTAACGCTCCTATCAGGTCAACGAGATTCAGAAGCCTACCTTCAACGACACTTGGTTGGTTCGTGGACCTATTATGCTCTACAACAAGTCTCTTGGCACTGTCCTTGGAAAGAAGACTTCCGAGGCCGAGATGGAAGAACTGCTCGAGGGCACCGAGGAGTCAGAAGGTGTTGACGAAGCCACCGCTACGCTCAAGTCTGCTGCTCAGCCCAACGCCAACGCAGAATCGCGCAAGAGAAAGATCAAGCCCAACAAGCAGAGATCTAGTTAAACAAGTTTGACCATATAAATAAAAGTCATGTTCTTTACACCACTAGTGACAATACGACAACTGCAACTATCCTCCGAAGAAACAGTGTAATTGTAGAGCACATACGATGGCGGGCAAAAGAGTTGACTACAGAAGAATTGCACGGACTACTGTATGGGAACAATCAAGGAAGGAACGATCGAGATCTGACATATCTTGATTTCATGCAATATTGATACTCTCAAGTGGACGAGCTCGCTAGTCTAGCTCATAGTAGCCGGGTCAGTCTCTCACATCAGCCGACGCCTTGTCACTACATCTCCTTTCCATCTTCATCTTCACCAACTCAAGACGGGAAACGTGGGTGATGAAGTTGCGCTTTACAATCCCCAGCTTCCCCATCGTTGATGATGCATTTCAAGTACCTTTGGGCCTCATGAAAGACACGGCAGAGTCCTGTCTAGCACAAGACTATCGCTGAGTTTGCTGAGTCTGTGGAGCCAGTGGCTGGAAACAGAAAGTAGATGGAATGGGACTGATAGTTGGTGGCTTGCTGAAGGAGAAATTGGACGGAGTGACAGTCTTGGATGAGATGATGGGGTATTCAGGAAGGATAGTAGCATCGCCTGTTCAATTACCTGATCAGCTTACAGCATTGGATTACTCTGCAATCACGACATACCGTTTTCTCTGATAATGTAGAGCTGGACGATGTGCTTGCCAGTATGTTGGTAGTCCAGGATAGCGGCTTTCAGGGAGTCATTGTCACGGACGATGCCGAGTTGGTTGGTGGTGGACATGACCCAGACGATGGTAAGACCTTCGGCATCGGTGTCATTGCGTAGATTCTCCATGATCTCGCCTTGCAGACGGCTGTAGATGAACTGATCGATAGTGATAGGGTTGACGGGTGTTATTCTGAGTTTCTTCAACGGGAATTGAGTGGTCCAGTCAGTGTCGTCGTTGGCCAATTTGTGGCGGTTGATGGAGACGATCATGTGCTCAAGAAGGGGGCGTGAGGTTGCCATGGTCTGACTGGTGTTGATGTTGGATATCTGAGTGGTATTGGCAGCGAATAACTGGGCGGGATCTACAGAATATACAGGAGTGAAGACAAAGGACAGAGCAGAAGCAGTAGCTTGATCAGCAATATGGGTGAATGAATGAGGGAGACTAGATGTTTGTCCAGTGTTTGTGGTAAACATATAAGCAGCAGACATCTTTCTTTCGTTGTCGTGATGAAAGAAGGGAGAAATCTTACTGTGATGGAAGCATGTTTTGTGTTTGTGTCCAGTGTTGGCCACGAAAGATCTGATTCTATCACTCACACTCGTGCTTTCCAGAGGTATCTACAACTATTCCGAGTTGCAAAGGAGTCGGAAAGAAACAATATGTTCGCGTATCCTGGCCGCTGAGAAGATGTCTCATTCACTTCCATCTACTGAAACATTTCTGGGACGTCTTTGGAAACAAACGCGATTGCACCTTTCATCTTCCCAAACGTGACTGCTTAATACTTCCCAGGTGATCATCTTCTCTCTATTGATTCTTGTGTTGGCAATGAGTTGTGAACAAGGACAACATTTGTTCCACATGTGACTGTGAAAACCGTGATAAGCATAACACCGGGGGAGGGAGTAAGTGTGACATAAGTACCAATATCCAACATCAAGCTTGTGTGTATGAGTGGAACTGTAGACCGGAATGGAAGGCGCAACGATAAACTTCGAGTAATCCAAAACTCGCAGGGAGTCTCGAGCTTGCTCTTCTTCATCTTCCTCCCACACATCAACATCCACTTCTCCCATCAGCAACTATGACCGCACCCATTAGTTCCGGCGCCACCATCAAGGATGGTCAGCTTGTCCAGAACGCCGAATACTACTCCGCAGATATGATCGTCTCAATCACCCGTCATAGACGCGCAGCCGATGATGCTACTTACACCTACCAATTCCCATTGTTCGCATGGAAGCAAGCTCGTGGAGATACGATCTACAACAGTCTCGTGACAGCAGTGCAGAACCGCCTTGGGCTTTCCCTTGATAAGGAGGATTCATCGATCGTCTGGCGCATGAATGAATCCGGACAGATTGCTTTCGTCCGCTCGCCTAGCTCGTTGCACGCTGCCATCCTCGACCACAAGAATGCTGGCAAGAAGACCGTCCAACTCTTCATCGTCAAGAACGACAGTGAGTTGATGAAGAACAATTTCAAATCTCCTAGAAACTAACAATCTCCCCAGACGTCACCTGTGTTCCCGGACTGGATATCGCCAAATGAGTGCTGACAACGACACCTAAGTCTCGGTCACACATGATCGTCATGTATGTGACGGCTGCGCTAAGATGGGAGGAGACGAGGGAAAAAGAAAGACGGGATGGTCCTGGAATGGAGGGGTGCAAGCAAACAGGTCTACTATGGGCCAGCATTGCGATTGATCAATCAGCGCCCAGCTCTTTCTGTGTGCATGCCACCAGCGATGATACATAGGAGATGGCATACTCATCTTCGGTTCATGCGCTCTCTTCAGCGGCTACGTTCACAAAAACACCCATCAAGATACACGAACTTTGGGAAAAGAGAGGGCTTCCAAAGAGAGCAAAGAAAGGCAAACATACCAAGCTACCTACTCTAGGTCACTGAGATACTGATAATTTTGATGTCTTCCATCGGCTTCTCCTTCCAGACTTTGGCGTTCTCGATTCTGTGAACAACATCCATGCCCTTGACCACGCGACCAAAGATCGTGTGCTTATCGTCCAGCCACGGTGTCTTCTCCGTAGTAATGAAGAATTGACTGGCATTGGTGCCCTTGCCTGCATTCGCCATGCTGACCGTGTAAGGTTTGTCGTGACGCAAGGCAGGAGTGAACTCGTCTTCGAAGTTGCTTCCCCAGATACTGTCACCGCCGGTGCCGTCACCTAGCGGATCACCAGTTTGGATCATAAACTTGCGTATGATGCGGTGGAAGATGATGCCGTTGTAGTAGTCGTTCTTGCTGTGTACAGTGAAGTTCTCGACTGCTTTGGGAGCGTGCTCGGGGTATAGACGTATTTGAATGTCGCCGTATGATGTGTGGATAGTGGCTGAAGAGCCTGTCTGTGCCTTTGCGGCTTCTGCTTGCTGTTTTGTGGCTATCGTGCGCGGCTTCTCGTTGTGGATATCGCGATTGGACTTGTCGATGGCGGTGTCATTTGTGAACATGTAGAAGCGGACCTTGCCCGATCCGGTAGCTACCAGCATAGAATCTCTAGCTTCTGCTTGTTGTAGCAATGGGTTGTCACTGGCGGCCATTTGTACGGTAACGACGCCCTTCTTTTCTGGTTGGCCTTGGTAGAGCGTCAAGTTCAGAGCTCTGAACGGCTCCTCCTTGCCATAGACTTTTACGACTCGATTCGTCAGGGTGTTGATGACCTTTGTACCCAGTATCGAACCGTAGAGGATGAAGTTACCTGTTTCGTCGAAAATGACGTTGATGCGTGCACGAACGGTAGGGTGCTCAATCTCGCGCTCAACACCTAGTCGGCGACCAAATTCGACGTCGTCCAGTTTATCGATTGCGGTTCCAGCCTGCTGCATCTCTGTAATAGTAGCCAGCGACTCGTCGTATGTTCTATAAAGCTTGCCAGTGGGAAAGTCAAATACGCGAACCTTGCGATCAGGGAACGACATGGTCGCAAATTGCTGGCCATTTGGCGACATGGTAATCGAGGAAGGCACGGATTTGGCCTTCTTGAATTCGAACAAACTAGTGGAGCTCTTGATGGCGAAGACATTGTCTGGTTTCTCGTAGTTGCTAGACGGGCTCCAGTATTCAATCATGCCACCCTCATCGATTGATAGCACGCAGTCGTATTGAGAGTTGTACGACATGAGCGATACTGGCTGTCGATGGAGCTTCTCCAGGGTACGTAAGGGTGTCGTGTTCTCGCCTCTGCCGTCGTACAGGGTGATTGAGGGGCTGCCCTCGTAGGAGACAGCCAGAAGGGGCATGGAGGCACCTCGACCGTGTACGAAGCAGACACATTTCGGCGGGGCTAGCTCTGGAGTGAGCATAGCTAGAAGGTCGAAAGTAATGACATCGAATATTTTGACTGAACCATCGACGCCAGCTGTTGCAAAGCTGCGTCCGTCGGCGCTCACACTCACGCTCTTGACCTCTCCCTCGTGTGCCTTGAATTCCTTGACAAATTCGATGCCGTCCGCGACCTTCTTCCAGAACTTGACGACACCGTCGATTGAGGTGGTAATGAGGAAATCGGTATGGGGTGTAAAGGTATTGAAACAGAGTTGGTCCTGATGCATCATAGACTTCGAGTATCTTTGCGAGGCAGGGAGCGCGGCAACATATAGCTTCTCGTAAGGCAACTTTCTACGCTTCTTTTTAGGTGCTGCTGCCGCTGATGGTAGCGCTGGGCCAAGGTCGTCATCGTCGTCTGATGATGTATCTGCCTCACTTATCAGCTCTCGATCTCCAATGGTGCTCGTTGAGGGGCTGTCGCAATGCACAATGCTTCCCGTCTGATAGGTCGTGCCAGTGAGAGACCAGGACCTTCAGACTCTCTGGAAGGGGCCCGGGTAGCAAAGGTATCGAAAGCATTGTGCATTGCGGCAGCTCTCTGACAGGCCTCTGTCGTAGTGGGAGTTGTCGCATGCTTACCGTCGTCGTCCTGATTTGTGGTATTGGTGTTTTGAGTCGCGTCCTCGGCTTCTACGTCGTCTCTCGTACGCTTGGTACCTTGAGGCGATGCGACAGCTTCTACGTTCGCCATGGCTGCTTTCCGTGATTGATGTCTACCTATATCGAGTACTCCAGACAAAAGAGTGTTCGGCATCGGCGCATTGCTCACCGACCGTACATGTCGCGCTAAGTGCGGGCCGAGCCCTGAATGACTCACGGCCAGACTCGCGGTAGAAGCTTCGATCGATGTCATTGGCGGGGCGTTGGCGTTGGACAGTCTGCGTTTCCTTGTGATTATTCTCTCTGTTTGCCTTGCCACCTTCTACATTCAAATAGACACCCTCGACAGTCGTTTGCACTTTCCACTTTCAAGCGTTCGTTCGTCCTTTACTCGTTCTATCAGGCCGCTTTTTATTGAGCCTGCCATTTTTCTTTCTGCTTTGAATTGCCACGACCCATCCGTCACTAATTCACGACTCTATCACAACTACCACCAACATTCTGACATCGGCCTTTGTTCCCTCGAGCATTACAGCGACCATGTCGACCGCCGAGACTACCTCTATGCCCCACACCGAGCCTCAAGCCGCCCGCTCCTCCAATCGCCCTCCCCGCCAGCGTAGACCTCGCGGAGAAAGAAACACGAATCCACCCGCCCAGCAAGAAGATCCTCAATCAGATGCTTCAAATCCAGGCCGCCGACGAAGAGGTGGCGGTGGAAGAGGACGCGGAGCTCGCGACCCTCTACTTGCTCTACGACCTTCTTCAGTCGCACCTTCTACACAGGCATCTTCAGTTGACCCCTCTAGTGCAGACGCGTCAGGCGCAGAAGGTGCCAACTCTAGGAACCAGGATTCAAGACGTGGACGTGGGAGGGGTGGCGCACGAGGAGGAAGAGGAGGAGCCAGAGGTGGCAGAACGCCTGCGAACAGGACCGTCAATGGAAGAGCCTTTGGTGGACAACTCACATCCGACAACGAATTGCAAGGAGACGCCACCACCTTCGTTCCTGGACAGCCCATCCTCACCCAAGGCGCTACATCGCAGCAGACCCAACCCCGATCCTCGAGACGCCGCCTATCAAAATCCACAGCACCCGACATTGCCACTCGTACTCACCACGACATTGACAACGGCCACTACGAATGCCCCATCTGCACAAGCGAAGTGCTTCGTAACTCCAAAGTATGGTCATGCCATACATGCTGGACTGTTTTCCACATGAGCTGTGTCAAGAAGTGGTCCCAGAACCAAGGATCTGCTGCTGCTCAGCAACAAGGTCGCGAGAATGGCGAGATTCCTCCACCCCGACAGTGGAGATGTCCTGGATGCAATCTTCCGAAGGATACACTGCCAAAGACATACACTTGTTGGTGTGAGAAGGAGGTCGAGCCGCGCGCTGTTACTGGCCTGCCTCCACACTCCTGCGGCAATACTTGCGGCAGAGAAAGAGTTCGCAAATGCCCTCACCCTTGTCAATTGACTTGCCATGCTGGCCCTTGCCCGCCGTGTACACACATGGGTCCTACCCAGTCCTGTTTCTGTGGCAAGCACGAGTCGAACCGTCGTTGTACCGATACCGACTACGAGAATGGCTGGAGTTGTGGTGAAGTCTGCGGCGACCTCATGCCATGTGGTGAGCACGAATGCCCTAGGCCATGTCATGAAGGCCTTTGTGGAGCTTGTGAAGTCCGCGTCGACGCTCGCTGCTACTGTGGCCAGGTCGAGAAGGCTTTGCTGTGTGCCGATCGTGGTGACGAGGTCACAAGTCACAAGAAGCATAGCGCAGAAGATGGCCAGGACATTGTTGAAGAGTGGACTGGCATGTTCGCTTGCACCAATTCTTGCGATCGCGCCTTCGACTGCGGCGTTCATCACTGCCAGAAGCCTTGCCATACTCAAGACACTGACCCTGGTCACTGCCCCCGTTCTCCGGATGTTGTTTCTCACTGTCCCTGCGGCAAGACCAAGCTGTCAGAAATCTCACCTGATGCTCGCACTTCTTGTGAGGACCCAATCGCAAACTGCAAGAAACCATGTATGAAGAAGCTCTCGTGTGGACACTCTTGCGAGCAGTTGTGTCACTCTGGCGCTTGTATGCCTTGTCTCAAAGCTGTTCCTATCAATTGTCGTTGCGGCAGGACCACCTCCACTACAATCTGCCATCAAGGTAAGGTTGAGCCGCCGCAGTGTATGCGAGTATGCAGAGCTACCCTGAACTGTGGTCGTCATGCTTGCGATGAACGTTGTTGCGAAGGTGAGCGGAAGGCTGGTGAAAGACAGGCCATGAAGCGTAAGGGCCGCAAGCTGGAAGATGCACACATTCGACCCATCGATGACGGCTTTGAGGCTGAGCACATCTGCACCCGTCCATGTGGTAGACCTCTCAAGTGTGGAAACCACTTCTGTGAGGACCTCTGCCACAAAGGACCTTGTGGATCTTGTCGCGAAGCCATCTTTGACGAGATCAACTGCAACTGTGGCCGTACAGTGTTGACTCCCCCACTTCCTTGCGGTACTCAGCCTCCACCATGCCGCTTCCAGTGTAACCGACCCAAAACTTGCGGCCATCCTCAGGTCCAGCACAACTGTCATATGGACAACGAAAGCTGTCCCAGATGTCCTTTCTTGGTTGAGAAGCATTGCATGTGTGGCAAAAAGAGTCTCAAGAACCAGCAGTGCTGGCTGAAAGATGTCAGCTGTGGTCAAGTTTGTGGCAGGAAGCTCAAGTGTGGCTCGCACTTCTGTACCAAGCCCTGCCATCGTGAAGGCGACTGCGAAGATGCCGGCGGTCGACCTTGCCAGCAGCCTTGTGGTAAGCCCAAGAAGGCTTGTGGCCACCCTGATGAGGCCATTTGCCACGCTCCCACTGCTTGCAAGGAAGAAAAGGCTTGCACTCATAAGATCTTCATTACTTGTGAGTGCCAGGCTCAGAAGCAGGAGATGAGATGTCTTGCATCCAAGTCGAGCGAGGGCAACCTCACCAAATCTCTGCCTTGCAACGAAGAATGCGCCAGGCTCGAGCGTAACCGTAAGCTCGCACTTGCGCTCAACATTGACCAAGAAGCACACGTCGAAGGAGGTGGTCACGTTCCTTTCTCTAATGAGACCCTTAACCTTTACGCAGCTCACCCTACCTGGTCAACCAACCAAGAGCGCGAGTTCCGTGTGTTTGCAGCCGCAGATGACGAGAAGCGACTGAGGTTCAAGCCGATGACGGCAACCCAGCGAGCCTTCATCCATCACCTTGCTGAAGACTTTGGTCTGGACTCCGAGAGCATGGATCCTGAACCGCATCGCCATGTTGCCATATTCAAGACACCTCGCTTTGTCCGTTCGCCACCAAAGACGTTGAAGGAGAGTCACCGTATCAGAAACGCACAGCGCCTGGCATCTGGCAAGGCTATCGCCAGCACTGAAGCACCGGCCAATCAGGTTCGTGCTAATGAAGTCGGTGAGCCTTTCAACAGCTTCGTTGTTGTTCGACCTCGCTTCGGTCTTACGATCGAAGAGGTCAGGACAGAGCTTGCATCGTTCGCACTTCCCCTGCAGTTTGACGTCGAGTTCTTACCCAACGAAGAAGTCATCATCAAGGCTATTAGTCGTACTCTTGATGAGCAGGCTGTCGACCAGACCCTCAAGAATGCCAAGGCTCCAATCGCTGCTGCCATTGCTGCAAAGAACCTCGGTACTCTTCAGCTTTGTCGTACTGACTCATCTCTCAACATTACTCGCCGCGAGACAGAAAGTGGTGTCAGTGATGGTTGGTCCCGTGTGGCTGCGAAGAGTGCAGCTTCTCGTCGCCCTATCACTCAGGCGACCTCTTCCAACCGCAACGTCTTTGCCGCTCTTGCTGGTGGCAACAAGGTCACATTCGCCAAGAAGAAGGAAAAGAAGCCTATTGTTCCTGTCGAGCCTGTTGTTGATGATTGGGAGGCAGCTGAGATTGCGGAGGAGGAGAAGGAGAAGTTGGCTAGTGGCCACAACAGCGGTGCGGAGGAAGACTTGCCCAAGGCGGATGGTGTCGAGACAGAGTTGCCAAAGATCGATGGTGCCGAGCTCGAGTTGCTTGAGGCCAAGGATAATGGCGCATCGGAGACTGAAGCTCCGGCGGTAGAGAGCAACCAGACAGCTTCTATCGTCGATGACGCCCAGGGTGTAGTAGAGGCTGCAGAACCAGAGGTGAACACATCGTTGATTCAGCCTGAGGAAGTCAAAGAAGGAGAAACAGCATAGTTGCCGTTCTCTTCGTTATACAAAAGTGCGAGATAGAAAACAACGGCTTGACCATCAATGTATTTCTTGGCACCATTAACAAGCCAATTCTACTTCATCCTTTCAAGCCCGATCATCAGCCCTCTTTTGTCTCCTTTCTTACTCCAAGCCATACGATAGTAGTCTTGAAAAGTAAGACATAACAGCTGATGCTCATTATGAATTCGATGAGTTCAGCAGAGTTTGCGATTGAAGTTCTATAAACGCATACGATAACGAAGAAAAGCGCGGCCTAGGCGAAGTCGTACACATCGCGTAGAATCCGCATGCATACAAGACAAAGCATTTCATCGGTAACAAATCCAGTCTCATATACTTGCACCGTCAACCTGCATGAACAGTCAAGTTTGTTACGTGCACAGATTCGTGCATGTCGATAGGATCTCGTACTTGGGCAAGAAGCAGCAACGATTTTCAAGCTCGTGAAAGAGTCATAAGCAGAACTCGCAGGTGAACAAAATGTTGTCTTGCGGTGACTGCGAAAACCGAGACAGTTCGAGTGAATCATCGCAGTTCGAATCAGGCAGCGGCGTTACACAAAGCGAGACGCCTACCGCGTGTATTCAATCTTTCTTCCCTACATCCACCCTCTTCTCCCATCGACAGAACATTTGTCGACTGTCGATCAAACATCAAACTCTTCTTCCTTCCTCAAATTCGCAAATCAACCACTGATCCTCTTCACATCATCATCATCATCATCATCATCATCATCATCATCATCATTATCCACCACACATCTCAGTCACCACAATGTGCCAACTCTGCGTCCTGAACTCCATCGCCAGAGGCGAACGCTGGCCCAAACCATTAGAGCCGCACATCTCAGACCTGAACCTCCTGGTCAGCACCGCACACACTGAACTCCTCACCTACCAATCCTGCTCCACCTCCTCCTCCATCACCAAAGAAAACAAACCAACCACCACCTCAAAAATCACAATCACCACAACCACCACGCCCAAAGAGGCAGCCAGACAAAAGCTGCTCACAACTCTGCGCGGCATACAAACATTGCTGGAGTTGCTGGCGGAAGAGAGGGAAAGTTGGTGGGAGGGAAAGGCTAAGGAGAGGAAGTTTTGGAGGGAGACGTATCAGGGAGATAAGATTACGAGGATTAATGTTGTCAACAACAAGACGGGAGAAATGATTGATGGGCTCAAGGCGAGATTGGGAACTTTTTGTCGTTGGAGTTTGGGGTTCGAGGATGGAGTTGAGGGGTTGAATGAGGATAGGGTCGCAAAGGTTGAGGGAGATGTGAAGATGGAGGGTTGAATGAGATTTGAAGATCGCGGTTCCAAGAACGATACGAGGGGGCTCGAAAGCATTGTTCTGCAGGAGAACTTACATGGAGGTCTGGCTGCACTATAGGGAGTCGCGGGCGCAGACTTATTGGTTCAATCAACGAATCACACGTATCGGGGAAGCTGTTCATACTTGCCACATATCTGGGAAACTTGCAATATGTGAATTCGCTGGCTATCATTTGCTCCGCTAAAACTTTTCCACTTTGCCATTATTACATCCTGGGTATCGTGATAACGCTCGCATCGCTCGTCATTAATCATCGTAGCCTTTATTTGGTCTTGTGGATCAAGTTTTCGGTGGCCTTGACACGCTGTGCCCACTCGGTCCAGCTGCCGTCATAAACCTTTCTGTTTGTCTCGGGGAAGCCGGCCTCGGTCAGTGCAGCATCAATTACACTGGCAGTCACTCCAGTACCGCACGAGCTGATGATGGGCTTGAGGGGATCAACACCCTTGGTTCTAAAAATGTCGAGCAGCTCATCTCTCGAAAGAAGTGTCTTGGTCTCGGGATCTAGGAGCTCAGGCAGAGCGACGCTGATGGAGCCGGGGATATGGCCAGAGGAAAGACCAGGTCTAGGTTCAGGGTCGGCACCACTCCAGCGACCAGGAGATCTGGCATCGAGGATCTGAACACCCTCTCTACCCTCCTTGTTCCAGTCCTTGGCAATCTCCTTGACTTCCTCGAACGCGGCGACCTTGGAGGGGTCGATCTTGGGCTCGGGGTACTGTGACTCGGGCAGATCATGCTGTTCGCCTTGTTCCACTGGAAAGCCTTCCTCGACCCATAGCTTGTAATTGTTCAAGATGTGGATGCTGGGGTGGCCGAAGACGCGTAGAGTCCAAGCAACGCGAGGAGCACTGAAGATGCCTAGTTCGGCACTGTCGTATACAACAATGTTATCGTCGCGACGAATGCCTAGTTTGCGCATGGCTTGGGTAAAGACTTGGGGACTTGGCAGCATGTGGGGGTATGGAGAGCTGGTGTCTGAGACTGCATCGAGGTCGAAGAAGCTAGGGCAGTTCAGTAAGAGCGATTGGAGAAGGAGGAAAGAGATATGTACCGTGCGCGAGGAATATGTCCCTGCTTGAAGACCTCATATCCAGATCTCTGTTGCGGGTCGTTCGGCATGAACCAACTGGCGCACAAGGGAATGACTCGAGGAGAGGTGGCTAGCTTTGTGGGCGCATTGCCTTTCAAGGCAGCATTGAGCTCAGCAGGCTTGACCAGGTATGATGAGAGGGACATTGCTCGCTGCGAGGACATGGTCTGTGGAGTGGTGTATAAGCGGCGGAAGGTTGAGAAGGTTGAGTTCCTGGCGGATTGGAGCAAAGAGGAGGCCATGGTGCCCCGCTTATGTGGACTGCTTCGGATGATGTGATTTTGTGTTTCTTGTTGTGATCTAATGCAGCGTATGCTCGTCTACAATGCTGGAGAGGGAATGCCGACTTGCAGAGAGAAGCAAGAGTCGCTTCGGTGTGCAAGAGTGAGATGCAGAACGTGGGTCGAGCTCCGTCCTCGGCCTGTCATTCGTCCGTAGAAGCACGTCAGCGCTGATCCTCCAGCGATAAAAGAAGGCGGGGGTGCTTCTTATCGCCGATATCAAAACTCCGGTCCATGCGAAAGCTTGGCCATGTTTGGAAAACAAACCATCGCACACTTGCAACAAGAGACCCTGACGAGCTGTATACAATCCACCAGGAAGGTTTCGTGCGCGCCGCTTCGAGACTCGAGATGAAGGTCAAGATTCTTTCATATCATGCAGTGGCTGCCTGGCGCTGGGACATGCCAGAGGATGATGATTGCGGTATCTGTCGTGTCCAATTCGATGGTACCTGTCCAAAGTGCAAGTTTCCAGGAGACGACTGTCCTATCAGTATGTGTTCATCTGGGATTTGATCGACATGTACCGTTCTGACCACGTTCTAGTTATGGGACAGTGTACACACTCCTTCCACATGGTATGTGAACATACCTACGCTGCTTGATGAATTATACTGACGTCGACCAAGCATTGTCTCGATACCTGGATCAATCAAGAATCAAGTCAAGGTAGATGTCCCATGTGTAGACAAGGTCAGTACATCTCCGCCGAACTTCCACTCCCGTCAAAGGCTTCACAAGCTGACTCCAGGCAGTCTTCCGTATCAAAGGCACTGTCGACCAGAGCGAAGTTCAAACCGAGCAGACAGCAGCTTCTTGATCCTCGAATGACTTTACGAAAGGTTGCTGACCATTTTCCATCAATCGTTGGCAACTCGAACGACGCACATCTTCACATGCATTTTGCCAAGCACGGCTTAGTCAGGGTCTACTGTCAAGACTAACAACAACCCGTGTGGTCTTGCTCTTGTCGATCACGACTGGAGGATCATGTCGGCTGCAAACAAACGATATTCGCATAGCTTCTCACAGACCGCCGACACCCCTTCCATTTCTCAACTGGAGCACAACCATGCTACCTCGTCCGCCCGTGCCGATCAGGCAGTAAGCACGTCTGATGGTATGTTTGTTCTAACCTGTGGCATCCACCTGCACTTTCGTTACTGATCCACCGACAGGTCTTTTCGATGATCCTACATACCCTGCTGTCGCCCCTACTGAGCTTCTCCCACCTCCCGACTTCCGCCCATTCTTTACCCTGATCGAAGACCCGGACACTGGCGAACATCATCACCCCTCTGTACATTACATATTCTCAGACGACAATCCCGACTTTGTGACATCTACCATCGTAGAGGGAATAGACCAAGAGCAAGCCGATACGTCTTCGGACCAACCACCCGTCACTAACCGCGAGCGCATGATACTACTTGACATAGCACCAGACGGAAAGACTGTCAGCGAAGCTCAAAGTCTAAGTCCACACTGGCAAATTCTCAATACTACTGTTGGCCAAGCTCCATCATGGGCAGATGAAGTGTCAAGAAAAGATATACCAGGGCTAATGCTCAACATACAAGGCATGGAAAGCCACAAGCTGAAGGTACAATCAAGCCGCCGCAGAAACTCGCAGGAAGATACCATGGCTCGCGTCGAAGCAATGATCGGCGGCTATACCGAATGTCTGACGACCTTGGAAAGACTAGTCAAGAAGGGCGTCTTTCAGGAAGAAGAAGATACTGAGGCGACCCAGACAGAAACTACCACAGAGACAGAGGAGGTTCAAAAAGACAAGGACTGATTTATGACAATGCCCAAAGCAAAGGTGCTCGGTGTAACAGGTTTTGGGTTTTGGTCCTTATGTGATCTATGATGATATGCAAGCAGCAGGTGCGATTGCTACCAAACGATAGACTCTCCAAATCGATCATAAAATTGTCCGCTATCATTTTTATTCCAATTCTCTACGAGTGGGAATAAGCCAGCAACACTCTCTTCCGCACTGATAGCACCTTCTTCTTTGTACTTGACGAGTTTAGACTCTACACGACCTGGGTGGCAAAGTACAAAGACTACCTCAGGCACATCGATACTAAAGCTCTTGATGATGCTGTTAAGCGCGGCTTTACTTGCTCGGTATGCGTAGGCAGACCCTGTGGTATTGTGTCCGATGCTTCCCATGCGCGAGGACATGATTACAACCTTGGCATTGTGCGCTTGCTTTAGGTTTGGTAGAAGGGAGCGAAGTAGGAGAAAAGTAGCAGCAGCATTCACTTGAAATGTGTGCATGAGAGTTGATAGGTCCATGACATGCAAAGTCTCTGCCGCAGCAACGGACTCGGGTTGAGCATTCTCCACGGCAGGAACCAAGCCGCGAATACCCACGCTGTGAATGAAGAGATCAATGGGAGTTTTGCTCAGTAGAGTAGCCAGCGAAATGATTGAAGCCTCATCCGTCACATCGACAACATGTGACTGTATAGTGGCTGCATGCTGTTGGTACTCGGATGGTTGAACATTCTCCTTGTCGATGGCTATGATGGTGTTGGACTTCTCATTGGCGTAAGCATTTAAGAAGGCGCGTCCTAAGCCAGAGGCAGCACCGGAGATCAGGATTGTTGGCATAATGGATGGATGTGGATGGATTGGATTGGATGTCCAGGGTGCGTACAGAGTTAATGTCTGAAACGGCTTGTCTTTGACTCGAAGGCGGGTGGACTCTGGGAGTCTGGGGGGGGTGGATGCGGCGTTCGGCAGTTTGGTGGGCCGCGCGCGCATTCCTCGACGCACCTTGTCGTCGCTGTCCAACCCCGACTTGTGCTTCTCGAATCGCCTCCAGTCAGACTGCTGCTTTCACATGCGCAAGTCAGGTCGAGATTCCGCTACTTCTGGATTGAACATGGTTCGGTGCCCACTGCAATAATACAGCCGTCACAAATATCTCGCTCGCATACTCGCACTCGCAAATCCGTAGGATCAGTCCTTCCATGACGGCAATAGTCGGATTATGCTCGTCTCGGTCGTCGCATCTTCTTCCCACAAGTCTCTGCTTGCTAGCACAAGCCCTTGAAGCAAAGCGCCCTCGTCCGTTGAACATGCGCCTGTAGCTTGTTGAGTCACAAGATTCTTGTATGCCACATACCACAGACTTTCCGTCGCACCGTCACACTATTGTCAGCACCGTAAGGCTCTCCTCGACGCATATGATTGCTGCCGCCAACACCAACCCCCGTCTGCTTGCGCCTTTCACCTGTTCACTCGCATCCCTGATTTCTATCTTCGCCCACTCACTGCAGTCATCAGTATCCTACCGCCTCCCAGGCGTCACCAAACATGCGCCGCAATCCGCAACGCCCTCGCTCCGGTGAGGGTGTCGTCGCAACCCCTCGTACCCTCGAACCACCTACCAAGAAGATCTTCAACTGCATTGCCGACGATTCTGCTTTGCTCGCAGGCGCTAAAAAGAGCACTCGCGACGGCATCAGGAAATGGATCGCCAACGGTCAAATTAGGCTATTCGTGCCTCTCTACAGTATGCTCGCTACAAGATGAAACACTCCAGCTCAGGAACTGACTATCGCAGCCCTCGGCCAAGCCACTCGCCTGAAGGACGGAAATGGTCGCATCAGCAGCGACGCCGAAGATGCTCTGGTTTGGCTCGACGACGCCACCAGCACCTACCCTCACCTCGTCACACTCCAGGGCGGCTTTGAAAAGTTCGAGACATGGGCAGAAGTCGAGAAGTTTGCTCTACCCAAGACACTCTTCTCTGAGGGAGATGTGGAAGATGAAGAGGTGGACCGCCTTTCCGATGACCTTGCCAAGAATACCGAGTCCAAACTCACAGTCCGCGACGCAACCCTTTCCATGAGCTCTGCCGATACCGATTCCCGTTCAGCAACACCCTCGTCAGTTCACACTGCTCGTAGTTCGGTCAGTGCCGAACCTCCCAAGGAATGTCCTCCAAAGAACCGCGGCCGTACCCATACACCCAAATCATCCACCAAGAAGAACAAGTCCGAGTCTGAGTCTGAGTCGTCCTCTGGAGTTCCTTCGCACTTGCGCCCTCTTTTCAATTATATCTTGTGGCGCATCCACCAGGAATTGGACCCCGTTGCTGCTCTGGAGTCTTTCATCTTCCTGACCGATGACCCGACCAAAACCAAGCTCGCTCAACGTTTCGGTATCCGCACAAAAAGCCTCGCCGACATTCGTTTCGTCGTAGCCAGAGAAGAGCGTGAATTCAAGAATAGACAAGTCGTTCAGCGTAAGGAGATCGAAAGCAACGCCGTGCTCGCTCGTCCCGATGGTCGCGCTGCCACCGCAAACGTTGCAGCCACACCTGTCAAAGAGGAGGACATTGTACGCCCAGAGCTCTTGCCTGTCGACGAAAGACCTGCCCCGGTCAGCGATGATGAGGAAGACGAGGTCTTGCTGAAGCGTCCACCCAAGGCTCCTGCCGCCATGCTTGCTCAACACAAGTCACCGAAGCCTGGAAACAAGGTCATGGACCCTAACCAGTTCTCGCGCGGAGCCCAGACTCCTACTCGTGGTAACGGAAATGCTCGAGGTGGTTCCTTCAGAGGCAACACTCCTCGCGGCCGTGGTGCTGCTTCCTTTGCACCTGGGCCCTCCAGCAGAAACGTCACCCCAGCAAAGCTTGACCTCACCCCTACCACCAATGGCAATGGACCTATCGACCCTAACTCGTTCACTCGTCCTTCTGCCAACACTAACAAGTTCAGAGGCGGACGCAGACTTTGGGTCCCCACGTAAATCAAATTGCATGAGCGGTCAATCCGCACACGATGATTTCACATGAAAAACAGTCCTTTTACACAAGGGTGTCTGCCAATGAGAGCTTCCGGACAACGTCTCAACGACTCAGCTAATGTCGACTCGGAGCCAAAGCAGCACACATTCCTGGTATCGGACCATACTTCACAGTTGCGTAGCACGCGTCCTTATGGGTCTCGGAGCGAAAACGGAGTTCACCTTTACTGTCGGCCTTGATTTCCAGCAACAGGAGCAGCACAACACGACACCGCTAGCTTGATTATAGACGAAAGTCTCAGCACAAGAATTCTGACCAATGCGAGAGCTCACGTCTGGCAAGCCTTGTGGGAAAGAATAGTGGGAAACGTGGTTGGGTCGAAGCTGATAAAGCAGATTGCCCAAGGGGAGCGATGGAGGAGGAAAGTTGCGGAGTTAGTGCTTGTATTCCTTAGTGATATTTTTGCGTTTCTTGGGAAGTCATTCTCGCATTGTTGTTCCCCGGAGATATAGCTAGTCAGCCGAAAACATGATGAGAATAGCTTTCGAGGAATTGAACCTACCTACTTTATTGATCTTTGTCTTATCAAAGTCACTCGCGACTCTGAAGGTCTGTGCTCGAGCATTTTCACATGCTCTTGGCGTCCGTCATGTTGTTTACCGCGCATCAACAGTCTCGAAACATTAACGTGATCGATCAAACAGCATACCTAGCAATAATCAATGGAGTATAGCCATGCCTCGTGCTGTCAAGCAAGCTGGAACAGCTTCAACTTCAAAATCGACGGTCAAGCCGACCTTTAAGATTCCCACAAACAGTCATCTAATCATCACAACACCTGGTGGCATTTTTTCCTGGGATCATGATGGAGTCAAGAAGCTTTTCAGCAGCAGTAAGAAGGGAATCCTTGCAGCAAAAGAAGCAAAAGATGGGAGTCAAATGCTAGCTGTAGCGGACAAGCATGTCGTTGTTTTGCATGATTGCAAAAGAGGACGCGAAGAGAGCTGGGGTTTGAGCGGTAGCGAAGTATTTCCACACAGCCCAAGTCCATGTGGTCTCCGAGAATACTGACGAAGCGCTTCCTAGGGCATCGTGAGACTTCTCGAGTACACGCCGGATGCAAACTCTCTATTTCTGAGCACCTCATTGACGGGAGCGATACAACACTACTCCGTCCACGAGTCACGTCAACTCGACTCTGTGTCAAATCATCCTTCTCCCCCGACAGTGCTCGCAGTCTCAACTACGTCTCATCTCATGATTTCTGCTTCCGAGAACCCTACAGTGATCTACCTCCAGAATCTCACCCTCAAGACCGCTGCTGTTCAGCTACACCCCTCTGCCAGCAATGCCGCAATTGCAACCGCCAGCTTTCATCCTGAGCGACCCAATCTCTTTCTACTTGCTTTCAAAGACGGAACCGTCGCTGCGTACGATGCGACCAAGATATCTCGACAAAGCGGAGCACGTGTCGATGGCAAATCCTGTCAACCTACCAATGGTCACTCAGGCGAGATTTCTCATTTGTCAAATCTGCACCAAGTTACCAATGTTCGGGGCATATCGGATCCGCCAGATGCTTCAGCTAATACAAACGTCGGAAGCAAAAGCATAGCCATCACAGGCGCAGCGTTTTTGCCTGGCTTCCGCACTCGCGCAATCAGTGTCGGTGCAGATGGAAAGTGCAGGCTTTTTGACTTCGAGGCTGGCGGTAAGAAGATACGAACATGGCATGCACAAGCCCCCGTAACTTCATTATCAGTCTTGCGCCCCAAAGAGACTGCGAATTCAACAGCCACCAGACTCGGCAAGAGAGCGGTTTCTAAGCCAATCTCTAGCACTACGGGTGCCTCTACCGATACCAATACAATAATCGCTGTAGGAAGAGTCGATGGCCAAGTGCTTCTCTTTGACTCGCTTGGTTTACGACTCGATCAAGTTGTTGTCAATGAACTTGGTGAGAAAGTTATCAGCGTGGAATGGATGAAAGGCCCGAGTCCACACGCCATATCAAGCCCTTTTCGGCCGACGTCTGAAAGGAGAGACGCCAGATGCGACTTGTCCCCCGCTATTCCCTGGACTGGAAAAGAGACTGGTCCTACTATGCCGGATGTTCTCAAGCTTCCACCTGGCGCTGTCTTTGATCCGATGCAATCGTTGCCCGCAGTATCGGTGTACATCTCCGAGGACGAAGAAGTGTCGACAGTCAGACACACGCCAGCTGCGAATGTGGAAATACGCTCGCCATTCGTCGAGACTACTTATCTGGACCTTTTCTCTCCGGTCAAGAAGGTCTCACCTGCTCATAGGCCTCAGAGAAGTCCTGTATCATCACCACATCTTCGTCGCTCACGAGTCTCAAGCCAGACATTTATCAGATCGAGTAGCCCAGAGCCTGTTCCTACAGATCTAGATCATACGCAAAGGCCTTTCGAGACACCCAAACAACTATCGATACATCCTTTGGACACAACGATTGTACCAAGACAGAGATCACCTCACGGAGCTAAGCCGCCTGTATCCGCTCGACGTGGGCCCAGATCAGCGCGCAAACGGGATCATGGTCGCCCTGTCGGAAGAAATGGACAGCTTCTCGCTGACCTGCGGAGACTTGACGCGGGCAACTCCCATCAAGCGAAGAAAAGCGGCGGCACTGCTCTTTTCGCTCCATACATGAACCGTACTGGAATCTCCGATCTACCACGAGTGCAAGCGCAGTCATCGCCCCAAGACGATGCATCTGTTCTCCAGAATAATCGGCACTTTGAGCGTAAGCCTGGACATCGCCATCACGAGCCGACACATCCAAGCCAAAAGATTCGCTTCGAGTCTGAGAGTCATTCATCAGACCGTGATATCTGGATGTCTGCTGGGTCATCTGAGGATGAATGTAATCAGCGAAAAGACAACAAGCGTACGCACTACCATGCTCGTCAAAGACAAATTGGACAACCCCATCCAGGAATACCCCTCACGCACAGAAGTTCGAAGCCTCAACGTGAACCCTTCGTACCGATATTGCGACCTGAGCCGTCTGCGAACATTGCGACAATTTCTCCACAGCCGCATAATGCAAGCAAGGAAGCAGCAGTGCTTTCAATGTCTGAAGAAGCCATGTACAGTGCTGTATCGCACATCTCGAACATCGATGGAGAGTTCGTGCCTGCTTCAAGGGATGTACAAAACCTCTTCCCTCGTGGATCATCAGTCTACTCAACGTCGCCGTCTCGTCGTCAATCTCCTAAAAGGTCACCGCAAAGACAAGTTCGTGTCTGGAACGATGAAGCACCAAGCTCCAAGCCGGCAACAACCGCAATACAGCGTGCAAAACTGGTAAATCTGCAGTCGAACAAGATTGTGAAACAGTCGCAACGCGAAACTGTGGCCAAAGAAGCTGCAGCTGTTCTCATGAGTCCGAAGGTTGCGCAGAAGGTCAAGACTCTGCCGCCTTTGCCTTCGGGCGCGATCCTATCACAGGGTCAAGGTTGCTCTTGTGTCAATGACAATTGCCACGGCTGCTTGGAGTTAGGGAGCAGAGTTCGCAGCTTGGAGGACGAAGTGGCGAGGCTCAAAGCTGAAGTTCTGGGACTTAGAAGTGCTCTCAGGAGGACCGGCGTATCTAGTCGGGTTGTCGAAAGGAAGAGGTGATGTTCTTTGGCTTTGTTTTGTTTCCTGCTTATTTCTAGATACCCCTTTACGCGTTTTACACTTCGCTACTGTAACCATGACTTTACCTGTTGCTAATGAGATGTTCAGGTGTAGATATAGATATCATTTATTTCTGACTAACATAACTCCGGGCATGCTGACCTCACGTTTATAAGTATATCAAATGAGCGTACTCCTTCGTGGCTGATGTTTCGACCTTCACACTCTCAAACAGAGGCATAGTATCTGCACAGGCTGTCATATGCTACCTAATAAGTGCAATCATGTGCTGTACTCTCACGAGCGCCACTTTCACGCTCTTACCCAGGTTGTGGCTTCCCTTCCGGCAACATGCAGCGCAAACGACAGACAGCGCTTATGACGTTTCGACGCCCAGCAAACACTCGACAGCACTTTGATCGCTCTTGCTGCAATCTCAGCTTACTGATTTCATCTCGACAGCTCGCTCTCCTCTTTCGTCTCATACACACGACTATTATCACAACGACAACACCTGAGCTTTCACTCGTATTCGATAGCCATTGATTCCATCATCAATTAACCCTTCCTACTACCTCCGAACTATTCATCAGTATATGCACTGTTACCGACAATGACATCAACATCATCGCCACCGCCCTACACGGCACAACCCACCATCACCGTTGCTCAGAAGCTCGAGCTGGTGCAGGCTGAGCTGGAAGTAGCCAAACTCCGACTTCGCAAACAGGCTGGAGAACGACAGGGAAAACAAAGAGTTGCTTCCTCTCGGAGGGCGGTCCTGCAGAGACTTGTTCCCAGAGTACGATTCTATACCAGGTTGTCGATTGATACACATACTAACACCGGACGTGATGTAGGTCGTCAAGCAAGCCTTGAGTCCACCCCTTGAGCAGACATCCAGTCCCGTTCCGGAAATACACGCCCCGCTGGACCATCGCAGAATTGCCTGGAACATGATCTTGAGTGAGGAACACCCTCCCAGTGGCTCCGCATTGGCATCTCTGAAGAAGGTGAGATTACACATGCGACACGTCTCATGCAGTCGTCACTGACTTTCTCTGTTAGATGATGCTCCGTGATCTCTCAATGGAGACTCATCACAGCGGAAAGATGCTCTTGCTGCGTACCATCACCGCGTCATCAATGCATAGTTCGATGCAGACAGCCTATGCCGTCGAGGACGAGCGCGGCGACATTGAACTCCTCACGATCCATGACTTTGCTGTCACCACCCACCCGTCCAAGGCGATACAGAATGGCACCTTCTTCGTGGTCAAGGAACCTTTCTACAGATCGGTTCTGGACGAAGACTGTGTACTGTGTGTCGATCATCCCTCGGACATCGTCTTCCTGGACGCCGACAGCCCGATACTCCCCGATGCCTGGAGGTCCGAAGTCATCGATAGATCGAGTGTCGAATGGAAGCAAGCCGGCAATCATGCCTTGCAAGATCAACAGTTTGTTGAAGCCGAAAGATGGTTAGATTCCTCTCTGCATAATAACATATGACATCGACCCCTGCTGACACTTTGTGAAGTTACAGCAGAGCTCTCTCCGCCTTGACTGCTGCCCAAGCAGACGACTTTGCTAGAGGCATCATTCATCGCAACAGGGCACAGGCTCGACTCTGCCTCCATCGTCACGACGGAGCCTACAGCGATGCACTTGCGGGCGTGAGAGTACTTCCCAAGCAGCCTGATCCCCTTGCAGAGATACAAAACGTCAGAGCCCTTTACCGAGCAGGCCGTGCTGCTTACGAGCTTGGTGCATTCGACAACGCCCTCTCAGCATACAAGTCCATTACTGCCATCTCACCTTTCAACGAGGACTGCTTGAGAGAACTCAAGCGAACACAGTCTCGCATTGTTGAACAGACAACAGGTGTTAACATTTGGAAAGCAACCGGACCTTCGGCTCATGGAACCAAGGTGGACCATGCCGACTTTCTGCGCAGGACCGAAGCTCGCCAGACAGCCCACCACGGCCGAGGTTTGTTCGCGGTCGAGGCCATTCCATGCGGCGACATTGTTCTCTCCGAGAAGGCATTGGCATTCGTGCCGTCACCGGTTGACCCTAAGACCTTCAACCTCGTCATACCGCCGGGTGCTACCAGAGGCACGTTTGGTACACAGATCGACATATGGACAGAGGTTATCCAGAGAATAGTTGCCGATCCAAGCATTGCTCCAAAGGTATTGAGTCTATACGCTGGTCCAAACTATCCTCCACTCGAGAACCTCGATGTTCCCATCGTGGACGGATCGCCTGTTCTCGACATCTTTCGTATCGAGAACATCATCGAATACAACTCCTTCGGATATGGTCATGATCCTGAGCTCACCAGCTTTGGCAATGCTGCTCTTACTACTCCAGGTCTCAATAACATGGACGGATCGATGGGACTCTGGGTACACTGCTCTGCAATGAATCATTCCTGTCTGTTCAATGCCGAGCACAGTTTCATTGGCGACATGATCATTTTCCGCGCAACCCGCGATATTGCAAAGGATGAGGAGATCACCACACTTTACAAGGAAATCAATGCCGACTACGACATTCGTGATGCTGCACTTCGCACTTGGGGCTTCAGCTGTGATTGCAAGCTCTGTGAAGCAGACAGAACATGTCCAGAGACACCCACTCGCAAGCATCTGATGGAGCAAACCAGAGATCTTCTTCTGCAGCTTCCTTTGATCAAGGCTCTCGTCGAACCACGCACCGCAGTGATGATGTTCGAAGACCTTTTGGTGAAGATCGAAAAGACTTATCCAGAAGAGTACTACCACAACCTGCCTCGTCTGGGCTTGATCACCCTACACCGCTACTGCGCATTCGCCTATGCACGCGCCGAGCCTGAGAAGTCAATTGAGCACGCTCTCGCATGTATCGAAGCTCATGGATACAAATTCACCATGACGGACGACAACTTTGAAATCGACCGTACCAACGCAATGTCCGCTCCTCAGGTTGTTGATCAACTGATGAACGTCAGCAGATACAAGGCCATGAAAGGTCAGACAATCTTGGCAGGCAAGATCAGGGAATTGGCATTGCAGATTTACATCATCGTCAACGGAGAGCCTTCTGGTTTTCAGACTAGATACGGTAAAGCTTGATGCCGTGAGAGCGGTTAGAGATTGGAATGACATTTGGAGGGAATTAAGTCGATTGGCGACTGACTTTTGGATTGCGAGGAGGACATTTGGTAACGACACCTAACAGGATTTATAATTAATCAGATGACCTATGATGCGGAATGAACCCCTATGAAGAACGCCTTCGCTATGCTCCGATGTGCTTGTGATGTGATTATAATCCAATAGAGAAAGAGCCAGAACGATAAAAGAAGACTAAACAAATGACATGGTCGACATCTCCCTGATAGTAGCATCATCCAAGACATTGCCTTCTGCTGTCAGCGCAGCTCTACGCTCCTCATCCGCCGTACTTCTCTCTTCCCAACTTCCCGCGACACTTCGTCCTTCGGAGCCCTGTGCAGCGACGGCTGGAGGAACGCCGTTCCTCGTAACTTCCACACCACCTCCCGAATTGAACGTGACGCCAGTGACAGGCAGGCCCGGTGCGAGGAAAGAATGCCAGACTGTTGGTGCTTGCAGGACGTATTGCATCATACTAACACGGAAGCGATTACGATAGTCTTTCGGCGAAGTAATAGTCGGTTTATTCTTTCCACGATCCTTGATCCACGATTCGAGTTTCTTGTCCCAAGTGTACGTTCTGATGCAGTCTGTGGCAATCGGTTCATGTTAGCATCGACATCAGGGTAAAAGGGGGGGTTAGCAGGAGATCAACATACCGATAATACCAACCACCAGCTGTTTCTTTTCGTCATCGAATCCGGCCATCAAAGAATAGTCCATGACATTCTGTCTGCAAAGCCACATCGTATCGTTCCAAACACTCGCCTTAAGAAGTTTTCTAGCATGCTCGCGGACGAAGAGGGGTTTTTCGAAAATCGTCTCGACCAAGTTTTCATCCAGAAGCACTTCGTCTGGTAGACCAGTACTTTCGATCTTGCGGTTGCGCATACTTCCCTTCAAGTCGAACTTCCTGGTAGGGTTGCGGTTGTAAAAGAGATTTTCCATGACGAGAAGGTATGAAGAGAATTCAACACCGTTGTTTGGGTTGCGAAGCTCGACCTGGAAGAGTCCGAACATTTTCGCAATTACGGAAGGGACGCCATGGAACAGGCTTTGCGCGCAGAAGGCGAAATAGTCAGGAGCGAACTTGGTGAAAGCTTTGAGCTCAACTTCCTGCAAAGATTTGATGACGAAGCGATCATCCAGAGTTTTTAGAAAGAGTGATTTCGTCTTGCCGCCTTTTGAATCCCACTTGGCGCATCGTGACAGAGATTCGACGAAGCGTTCACTGACGCCGCATTTCCTTCTCAAGGCATCGAAAGATTCGGCGTAGAAGATTTTGCAGGTCGCGCGGACGGTGTTGTGGCTGAAGCTGTATTTCATGTGCGTGCCTGTCTCACTAATCAAGCTCGCCTCGATGGCTGATTGTTGGCTGGCATCATTACTACTGATGTCTGCCGCGAAATTGAAGCTCGATTGTGATTCAGTGTGGCCGTGATGACCGTGACCGTTGCTCCTGGGATTGCCACGGAACTCGCGCAGCTTGGCTATGTAATCTGCAGAAGATAGGGCAAGAGCGATCACCGAGGCAGGCTCGTCTTCTCGTACGATAATGTCACTATCATCGAAGACATGCTCATTGGTGTGCAGAGGATAGTCAAGCGCTTTCCAGCCTGATGCTGAACGTTCAGACCAAAAGCTTGTGAGCATCTTCATCAAAGAATTCTTCTCATGCTTTGGCAGTGTGAGCTCAAGATGTGAGTCAACGTCATGAGGAGATGCAATAGAACCAGTGCCTGAGATTGATCCAGCCTCAGACATATCTGGCCTCAAAGGCACATGCATCTCATTATCGGTCGTATCGCCTTCAGCATCGGTATCAGTTTGACCAGTCGTCGACTCCGCCATTTCATTGTCCGTAGCGTCATCCGTGTCATGGGGCTCTTCGGCGGTCTCCTGATTCGAGTCAGGAATATCTTCCATCTGTGACTCTGACGTCTCATCGGTTGACGTCTGATGCGGCTCGGGAGCTTCGGCCTCGGTCTTCTCACCGACAGCTTCACGAGCATCTCGGTAGACTTCGACGACAGGTTTGCTACTAGCCAGGGGGTTGGCGCGAACCTGTCTTCGTCGAGCTGCTCGCTGTTTGCGTTCGCGTAGTCTTTCCTTTTCGAACTCGCGAGAGAGCTGCTCGAAGTGTTTTGCCAACGCAGAGACACGAGTGGTTGTATCAAACGCTTTACTTGGGACCGATCTTGGTATCAGAGATGGTTGAGTTCTTCCATTCTTCGAGTATCCACCACCCAGACGATCGCTCAAGCGTAGCTCAATAGACTTGGCTAGATCCTTGTTCTGGTGTTTGCCAGGGGTAGGTGTTGTGGTACCAGAACTTTCACCACTGGCGACTGCATGAATTGTGGGCATCTCTGGAGTGGAGTCGACATTCCTCTTTGGGATACCATCGGGTTGAGACTGGGTTCGTCCAAGTGGTGGAGATATGGGACCTCGAGTGCGGACGAGACGTGGAATTCTTGACTCTGGCATACCTGCATCAGGACCAGTCGCAGCAGAACGCATTTGTTCAATACGTTCAAGTATGCTAGAGTTGAGTGGCTTTGGTTCGGTTACGAATGCCTCGGGCGACTTCGACTCTGGTGTGTCGCCTTCAAATGGACCACTCTCAGCTCTTGGAGTTTCTTGATCTGCTGGAGGTTCGGAAAAGGCTGAAGGAATGGCAAGATCAAGGTGCTTGACATCCTCTCTCTCGACAGCTTGCTCAATTTCGCTGGGTGACAATTGCTTGGAGAGAATGAGGGCGTCTGGAACTTCCATGTTTACCGGTCCTGCCTCGTGTAGCATTTTCATTTCGCCATTTGGCTCCGAATCTGGTTGAGAATGGCCGTGCTCCTCGACGACAGAGGTCAGCATGTGTTGTGCTTTTTCTGATTGGAGGTCTTCGTCAGTAAGACCCATTCCAGAGTGTGGCCTTTCCTTCATCTCCATGCCTTCGTCAGCGTCACTTAAATCATGATGAGAAGTTCCAGTGGCCTCCCCTCGATCGAGGAACAACTTCTTCAACTGAAGTGTAGCCAATCTACGGATATCGTTCTCGGATGGGAAGAATTTGGCTTCAAAGTCAGTGAATTCATCATCCCACCACAGTGCCTTCTCGTCCATCATCCGAACTGCTCTGTTAAGCGGGATGATTTCGTAGAACTTTGAAGCCATGTACTTGTCTTGGAGCTTCTGTAAGAGCGCCTCATGATCCGTGTCCACTTTCTGTGCGAGTTTCTCTAGAGTCGCTGCCGCGTCAGCTTGCTTCTCAGGTGCAACTGTGGAAAGGTTGATCGAGTTCAGACGGCCCCTGACAGATGCGATGAAAGCCGTGAGACGTGTCTGGAAGTGCATGAAGAGCTGGTTCTTGAGTTCTAACCCTGCAGTAACCTCCCAGTTGATAGTCGGTGTAGGGACCATGACCTCGTAAAGATCGACATTGTCCCATTGGATCCGAACAGCAAGACCTTGGAATGCGAAACATCTCACAAAGTCTTTGTGGATGTCATGAGGACAGACGCCTGCTCGTGGCTTCAAAGGCGTACTCCAAAAGCTGAGTTCAAGATATTTGCCGAACGAGTATTTCCATGTATTGTCAGACATTGGGATCCATGTGGTCTCTTGTTGGCATATCTTGCAAGTAGACCACATGAGGATTGTGTTGTGAAGGTTCTGAAATTTTGATGGGAAGCGCTTGACCGAGACACTGATCTGGCCAGTGCCATGAACATATTGTCGATGGTGATCAAACATTCTATGACTGCATTGCTTACACGCAGTGGCTGCGGTAGCGCAGGTCTCTTCGACGAACTGCCCAAGTGTGAGGTCTTCTTCCAATCCTAGTTCGGCATTACCCCAACCAGCATAGAAGGAGAGACCTAGAACCTCGGGACCGGCACAGGGGAAGGATAAAGCGTTGCTAACGAGCGAGTGAAGGACAAAGATGTTCTGATGACTGAATGGGTTAAAGGGGTTGTTGTTGCTGATAGAGAAGAAGGACTCCCATTGCCGTTTCTTGATGCCGTACTCGTGGAGGGCCATCTGATATTGTGCTTCGTGGATGTCTCGAAGAAATTGTCGGACGGGCTTAGTCTGATTGGCAGGCACAGCTTCTGAGATCATGTCAGGGACGACCATTTTGAACTTCTCCATCTGAGCAATGTCCTCTTGTCTGTCTTCGCTAGCCTTCTCATTATGGTCTGTCTCTAGTTCAAATGCATCGTATCGATCTCGTAATCGTTTGGTCTGTTCAACTTTTCGTTCTTGATCTTGGACTTTGGCGAGGAGGATAGGTTCGGGGAATTTGACGAATGGCGATGATGATATCAGTCGAGTCCTTGCTGTCTCTATGAGCTCTCTATACTGTGACGGCATGGACTCGTCATCAATATCTTCTTGCGCGGTGACAGTAGGCTCAGGTACGACATGTCTAGCAGCATCGACAAGGTGATTCAACGCGTTAGGTTTGTTTTCGGATTGATCAACTTCGGGGTTGGCCTCTAATTCCGGTACAGTGATTTCGTCTCCGTCATGCAATTGAGTTGTAGGTGTGACTGGTGCATGAACGATGTCGGCTGTTTTCGTAGCTGCAATGTTGATGTTTGGAGGGGTAGACTTGGCAGTGCTGATTGAGGAAGGAATCAAAACGAATTCGTCCCGCATTAAGCAAGTTTCGAGCTTGAGATTGTAGACAACGTAGCACATGAATTCTGTGATCCGTTTAATCTGACGAAGAACTTCCATCTCTGCTCCGCGCAGAACGATGGTGCAGCCGAGCTCAGGCGGACAACCAGAAATCCAGATGAAAGTCTTTCTAGTCTTGCCATGAACGTATGTTTTCACGTCGAAATTGGAGCAGTGTCCCAATCCAGCAGGATCGATCGAAAGCTTGTCCATCGACTTGATTACCTCTGTCTCCGTCATGCGAGCGACAGCAGCAAGGACAGATTCTTTGATATTGTAAACAACGGTGATGCCTGCCCTTTCGAGCATATTTAGAGCAATGCCAGACACATTGCGTTGTACTAGCAAAATCTGTGGCTTCAATGCTGCTATACGACCCACAAGATTGGAGAGATACTCTTTTTCCTGGGCGATGACAGGCTGCAAGCTCAAGTAATGAGTGTTATGTCGAGCGTATTCAATGGCGAATGATATTATCGCGATACGAGGGCGTACAAAGCTTCGTCGCATGTCTTTGAGAGCAATGTTTTTGCTGAAAACAACTCCAGACACGTATGAGGTATCACCAGGCTTGCCACCAGGTACTTTCTTGATCTTGATATAGTTTCTAATGTCCATGTCGTCGCCATTCTGAACATCAGGATCTACATCATTAGGACACTGCAGCAGAATAGGCATCAAAGCCTTTTGCCAATGCCTGCGTCTAGGAATCTCTGATTCTTTGAGCAGCTGAGTCAGAAGACGTTCAACGTGCTGCAGACTAGCTCTGTTGAGTTCGATGGCAGGTGCGTTCGAACCGTGCATACCAGAGCTTCGTTTGACCTGTGCCTGGTCTGCTAGTATAGGCTTGAAGATCTCGTAAGCCGAAGTCTCATTCGCGCCGACCTCGTAAGTTTTCATCATGTTTTGACTACGACTTCGTCGCGGAGATGGACGCGATACACCAATACTTCCAATACTCGGATTGCGCGTCTTTCGCGACTTTGAGAGATGTTTGTGAACAGCCATCAGATGCTCTAGGTCACGAGAGGCACGTAAACTATGACCTCCAACACTTCTATCGCCCCTTCGCGAACGACCTTTCTTGACAGCCGAAGACAACAAACCGGCGAATCCAGGCCGTTCGTTATCAAGTGAGGAAGGGCCAGGAATGTCACTGATAGTGGCATAAAGGCTCGATTGGTCGTCTACATCAGAAGCATCATCGGATAGGTATGGAGCTAGATCAGGGTCGATGATGTTGTCGTTATGGAAGGCGGTAAAGGGTGGTTTCCGCCGCGTGTCAGCGATGTTCTGATAGAATGGTCCTCGTTCCTCCGCAGGGGTCTTGAGTGGACGCACAGATTGATGGCGAGAGTGATGGCGCTTGTGGCTAGAAGAATGTGGTCTTCCGGTCATAGATTTCAATGATCGAGATGAACTTGGTCGTGCTAGCGTGGGCTGCGTGTCAAACTCAATGACAGCAGATCTTCTCTTGGCTTCTCTGTTTCTCCTTGAGACAGGGATACCAATTGATGGTGTTGCTAGAGCTGGATCGTTTGGCTTGAAGACGTCTTGATCTTGTGAATGAGATGCGGATATTGGGGACTTGACGGGCTCGTCTGAGTCGGAGAATACCGTCGAATCATCGTCGCTGCCATAAATCATAGCGTCGCATGGCTTGCATAACCTGAGTGTGCCCGATTGACCAAATGGCTTTCCTGGAACAGTTACTGTACATTTTGCGTCAAAGATCTGACCGCAAGTCCTGCAATGGTGCTTTCTGCGGAAAGTTGAAAAGGGATCACCACAGTAGAAGCAATCACGGGCATTTTCATCTTTCATCCAGAACTCCTTGCTGATAACCCGGCGCTTGAGATGAGCAGGTATGGTCGTAGATCTTTTTTCCAATGTTTCAAGCGACTGGGCATCCCTTTGCGGCGCCCGACGATTCTGCATGTTCCCGTTGAAGTTGGGTTGCACATCAGGCATGGGCGTACTAGGCTTGGTACCTAACACTGAAGACGTGTCAAGAACACCGTCAACCACAGATGCTTGTGATATCCTTAGACCGGGTAAATGTGAAACAGAGACGCGAAGTGGAGGACGCTCATGCTGAGAGTGACTTCTAGTTCTCGAAGAAGCATCGCTGTCGAATCTATCGGCAGAGGGAGCCATACTGGATGGGCTATCCGTCCTCTCGGGTTGTATCATGATCGTCGGACGCTCAGTCCGGGCTCCCATGAACGGAGCATCTGACTGTGACAGACGCTTGCCATCGTGGTTTTGCGAAGGTCTGCTGTTTTCCAGGTTGACCGAAGAGCGTTTTCCTTCAATGTTTTGCGACAGACGCTTTCCATCCATGTTCTGCGACAAGCGTTTGCTTTCGGCCGAATGCTGTGCTTGATTGCTTTCGGAATGACGAGGTTGGGCGGGTGGAGAGGCGCGTCTTGCAGAGGGGGAGGACGCGGCGGTGTGCAAGGCGGAGCGAGACAAGTCACGAGAGCCAGGACGAGAGTGAACAGCAGAAGAAGGTATTGAATGAGTCGGGGCGAAGTCTGTCTCTGCTATGGCAGCACTTGCATCGCTAGGACGCGAGACGTGATTTGAGCGGAAGAGTGTAGGCGACTCTTGCTTCGAGAAGCTTCTCAGAGATGCGGTATCTGGGACATTGAAGCTGCCGCGACTGGATGGACGTATCGAGACATCTGAAGCAGGCGACGATGCTCCAACACTCTGCCTGAGACGCGAGTACAGACCGCTTATGCGGCCACTGACCAAGTCCTTTGGACCTGGAACGCGTGGACTACTGGTGCGACTTCGCTCAAAGTCGCTGAATGAAGTCAGAGTGTCTGAGCGTGAGGCGGTGGTATGAATATGGTCCAGCTCTTTCTGCAAGGCCTCCTTGTCCACGGTGGGCGAGTTGAGCGACGACAGCGAGGCCCGCCTCGAAGTCGGTGACGAATTCATCTTGCCTACGGTGGGCATCTCAGGGCGCTCAGCTGGTGGGTCGAGATTGTAGGGGCATCGTTTGCTGTTGTGTCGTCCTGCTGTCTGCTCGATGGACGAAAGGTAGGCTGCTTTTGAGGGGGGATGTCGACACTATGCTTGACTTTGTCTCGTAGGTATGTGTCAGGTGATGGTGTTTATTTGTATAGTCGATAAGTGGAGGCTCGGACGGGCCTTGTTCCCTAGCGATGTCGCACACGTGTATTGGTATGTGTAAATGTTCATGGGAGACGGATATATTATGACGCCGATCGGGAGTGGCTGCGGAGTTGATCTGGTGTCGTCCTCGTGCACCTGCCTAGACTTGCCGGCTTGCTCGCTTTGACTCGCCAAACCTGCCTCTCTCGGCTAAGCTTGCTCTCTTGCACCTTCCTCAATTTCTGCTTCTCATCGCGTCTCCCAACTGACCCCGCGTCACCTACGCGCGCTTGGGTGGAAAGCCAACCTGGAACCCACTCCAACGAGTCCATCGACATCAGATTTATCCTTCATCAACAATGGCGTCTAGCTGGCTGGACCGTGTTGTTGCCGATCATCTTGGTGAAGCCCTGGCCTGGCGAAACACAAAGCGAAATGTCAAGACTGAACCTGGTACCGAGCCTAAGCAGCATCATCAATATACGGATAATGGTAGCAGCTTGAAAGTTCGAGTTTCCATACCGTCTGCCGTACTGCAAGTACTCAAGGTAAGTCTTTGTGTTCGACGTCGTTTCTTCCATACCACCTCTCGATTACTAACAGACTTATTCTCAGGTCCAAGGCCAATTTCTCACCCTCACCGATGGTGTCGTCTCTATTCAAGCAAGAGTGTCCAGTAACGCGAGTCAGAGATTCGTGAATCAGCACTCGGCTCCAATGTCTTCCATTCTGAACAAGTCCATCACTGTCAGTTCCTGCGACATCACTGCCACACATCTGGGTCCTCCAGCCTCTCGCGTACAGCTGATCGTTCTTGGCTTTGCCATTTCTCCCGCTTCCCTGGATTTGTCTGATGTCAGTACCGTCACGCCTATTCACCAATTTTCAGCTGTACGGGATTTCTTGCAACGACTACATCAGCTATCAAATCCACCTGCAGAGCGCGCAGCTCCAACTCCAGCTCCGAGACCAGCACTTGTGCCGACGGAGGAAAGTCCAGATGTGGAAATGAGTGACGGTACAGCGGAATCTGCAGAGAAGGTCAACCCAATGAAACGTCCTCGCTCTTCTCCAACTCGGTCAAGTTCTCATCGTTCAGTAAGGCCTCGCATCCATGAAGGTGACGACGATGTTATGATTCAGAAAGGCGTGAATCTGCAGCAGCCTGTACAGGCCTCTGCAAACAGTGCGCATCACGGCGACGTATTACGAAATGTCTTGTCGAGGAACAGAGTCCTTTCTACGGGGAGGGCCTCAGCAAGCACTGCAATTGAGCAAGCCTTGCGGCTCGGTACCGGCATGTCAGAACAAATGGGCCCGCCTCCAGTGCCAGCTGCTAAGACTAAGAACGTTCAAACTCAAGCGCGATCACCGTCACAATCGCAATCGTTATCTCAGGATTTCCAATCTCAGATTCCTATGCGTGAGCCTGCTGCTCCGGAACCTGTCATCCCTGACACTGGATCTCAAGGTGTCCCTGGCGAGGCTGCGAGCCAGAAGGATACAGATATTAATACCTCCAAACTTGGTCTACCAAACAATACCCCAACATCTGCTCAGCCGGAACCGGTCGAAGTCTCACAATCGTCACTGCCTAAAGGTGATTTGCCTGCACAGTCACAGCCTGCTCAGATCTCGTCGGTACCTGTGACTACGTCCAGTTCTCATCTGCTAGAAGTTCCGTCGTCCGGCATACAACGACCAATGCACAGAGCTCCACCAACTCTAGTCATCAAATATGCAAGTCGACCGATACCAGAAAACCAGAGGAGAATATTGGACAAGCTGACCTCGTGGTGGCCACCAAGGCCAGGCACTACTTTCCCTCATCCTAACATTCCCATCGAAATAATTCAAGAGATGGAGGAATATGCAGAGCAGCGTGCTGCCAGGAAGAAGGCAAAAGCACGCGAGAAAGAAATTGAGGAAGAGAATGGAAGGACAAGGGAAAGAGAGAGGGAAAGGGAAAAGGAGTTACTGGCGGCTGCTCCTCTCCTAACTCAGACCACGCAAAGCAGTTTACTTCCATGGAGCTCATCTCCACCTGAACCTGGTCCTTCTCGACATCGTATGCAGACGCATCGCCGCTCAACGAATTTGCAAATGCCTCTACCTCCGGACAGCAGCGCAGAAGATCCAATGCAGGTCGATGAACCAGAGGAAGAGATTCCATCAAGTCCACCTTCGGGCTCTGTGTCCGCTGGTAGTGATGATCCAGGTGCCGATGAACCGTTGGAGACCATGCCGAGACTGAACCCTCGACAGCTTCCCGAATATCCTTTGTCATCGCCTGAGGAGAGTTCTTCCGGGAAAGATCCTGAACTTCGTCCTGACAACTCCCAGCCAACGAGAGTCCTTCAAGAAAGCACGAGAATTCAGATTCAGAAGCGAAAGTACTCTCCTACTCCAGATGAAGATGTTTCGAAACCAGAGGTGCAAGCGGAACATTCGGTTTCTCACGATCGACCACAAGCCCCTGTACTCATCGACACAGAAGATGATATGATGGTGGATGAGCAACTAAAGATCAATGCCGACAACGTCTCCGAAGATCCGCCTCAAGTCGGAGTTGACAAAATCATGGAAGACGTGCTGCAGGTTGAAAATGACAAGATCATGAAAGATCAGGCGCAAGTCAATGTTGGTCAAAGTAGAGAAGACAAGCCACAGGTCCAAGTTGCAGCGTCTCCGCAACCGCATTCAAGATCGGAGTCACGACAGCGTCGGCGGCGAAACTGGGGCCTCGAGGAATCGGGATTCGTTGAAACCGTTGAACAAAGGCAAGCTCGTAAACGTGAGATCCGGGAGAGATTCAGACAGGACCAACAGAACGAGAGTGCTCACGAGACCACGCCAATACCGCATATTGAACAGCAAATCAAGGGCATGGTCCAAAAGGAACCAGAGGTATCCGCTCCAGTGCAAGAGCCTGAAGCTGATCAGATGGAAGTCGATCAGCCATTGATTGGGTCATCTAAATCAACCGACCCTACTATTGCTAAGAGGGCCAATATCATCAAACAGTGGCGCCAACGGAGTGACCAGCAAGGAGGTCCCACAGAAGCAGGAGCACCAGATGCTCTGGTCGTTGAAACGAACGTTGCTGAGCCTGCCATTGCTGAGACTGAGCCTGAGCCTGAGCCTGAGCCTGAGCCTGCTCTTTCTGAACCCACCGTCTTGGTATCTGTCGATGACGGTCCTGTTATTCCTGCATCTGCTGGCCACGGAACCGCTCCTTCTGAACATGCTGCGTTTGACTTCGTTGTTTCTGACGTCCCTGACGTTGGCTCAGCAGTGCAAAATATGCCTCGCCCAGAGTCATTCAGCAATGATCGCATGCAATTGTCACACCAGTCGACAGAGTCAGATTTGCCTCCTTTCAGGGACAGCCAAGTTCGCAATGCAGAGTTTCAGCCACGAACTGAACAACAACGACCACTTCCTTTGTCAAGAGCTCCAAAACCGCCAACTTACAAGGCCCAGCAAGAAGCATCTCCAGAGTTACGCCTTCATAATCGCAAGGGCATAGCGAAGGGCAAATTCCGTGAGCGATCAAGGGCGCTGTGGGTTGGATCACTTCCTGCGGAGATCAGCAACAAACAAGTCATGGAAATGTTCGCAGAGTTCAACCCCGTCTCGGTAGCCGCAATGAACAAGTCTGCTTTCGTCAATTTTTCCGATGTTGAGACTGCGTGCAAAGCATTGGAATTTACGAATGGATCAATATTACAGAATAAGTCGGTTGTTTGCAACTTTACCGCTCCCTATGAGTACTCCGACAATCCTGTTACAAGCCCTGCTGTCTCTCACAACCCGCGTTTACCGACCCGGCTCCCAGAACATGATCTTCGACCCTCATCCGGCACCAGACATTCTAGACACGATGACGCAGTCCTCTGGTCGCTCACTGTTGAAGACTTGTTTCACGAGTTTGTGAAGAAGCGGAAATTCACAGGCAATAGAAAGGCTTTTGAGAATTTGTGCAAGAAACTTCTTGATTCTTCCACGACAATCCCACTGGCGCAATGGGATAACTATGTTGTTCTGCAACCGGCTGTGTACATGCCATATGTCAGCGAACGCGTCACTGACGGTGAATTATTCGACGACTATGACACATACTGGAAAGAGCATCTTCAAGACACTCCACCAGACCTGATCCCTATATTGACCCCAGCCCGATTGGAGGCCGCTTTCAACAACGTATCGGCACCTCAATCGCCAGCCAGTAGACCAAGTGCGCCCATATCTCCGCAGACTGTGTCTGGTGCGAGCCGACCTCGATCATCACCCGCTCAACCACCACCCGCTAGACCATCACCCGCTAGACCATTGCCCGCTCGACCGTTACCTGCTCGACGAACACCATCTTCAGCTTCCGCTCTCACTCCCACGCCTCGAAAAGCCCCTGTTGCGGAGGATCTGAGACGATCTGTCGTAGAACGTAGTGCTCAAACCATGATCAGCAGGCCCCAAAGTACTATACCGGCAGCGTCACATGAAATTCTGGACATGCCAGAGCCTAGAAGGGCGTCCGTATGGTTGGCAAACACCGTCTCTCACAAGGCGGGATTCAAAGTCGTCCAGTCAGATCTTTACGGCATATACAAGGAAACCTTCAAATCTTGCGAGGTACAGCCATTGAATGGTAAAGTGTTTTCGGACCTTGTGCTCTCCACTTTCCCGGTGCTCAAGACCACAAAGGATACTAATGAAAAGGGTGAACACACCTTCTACTTCGACCAACTCTGGTTCCAACAATCAATCCAGCCAACACATGTATCAAACTCATCCGATGCCAATACACCAGGATTCAGAATCAAGAGCGCTTCCGCATCCATTTCTGGAGAAACGTCGAATCGCAGCGAATATTTTACACCCTCTGGCGGATCTATTCGACGAGAAAGAGATAGGAGCTCACTTGACGAGAGAGATGGAAGATCTCGAAGATCTCTCCCCTTTATAGGAGGACAGCAAACATCCAGACCTCAACCACCTCGATCACTCCCTCGCAGCACTTCCTTCAAAGGAGTGCCTAAGGGTAAGCCCTCTCCCGCAGGCCATCTCTCAGCTCGTGAGGTATTATATTTCTCGTTCCAGATGGCCTTGAACACACGTTTCTACTGCAAAATGCTAATCATCCATTCCCAGGTCCTCGGCGACTATTTTGAGTCACCGGAATATCAAGAAGCTTACCAGAATTACCGATTGCTGGGTACTAATGTGACCAAGAAAGGGAACGCTTTTTCGGAGCGTGAATGATTGGTCGGTCTTTGACGGGCATCGTTTGGCGAACAAAGGATTCGCCAACTCGGCAAGGAATGTGGCTGAAACTGTGCATACAATGGGAACAAGTGACAGCGACGGATGCGTCGAACAAAGAAAATGGTTGATGAAAGGTCTGGTGGATATCACACTAACGCCTGATATTAATAATTCTATCTTAGTTAGAAATTCACATGCAAGATGGCACTATTGGTGACTTTCGACGCTGCACGCAATCAGGCAGAACTCGACTACCAGGACATCATCGATCATCCCCACGAACCACTGAAGGATTATCCAGGAAACCCTGCTTATGATGAGCGAGTTTCCTGGCATGGAGGTGACCCCGTTCTGGCCGCAATTTCAGTCGGTTCATTACACAGATTTGGAGCCATGAATCTTCGTGACCCCAATGACATCTTTACAGTCCCCAAATGCTCGGTCGATGTCGATGAATCTCTCAAGAACAAAGGTTTCGAAGAATTCAAGAACTACAACGACACGGAATTGCATCCTGTATTTCGGCGCAAAAACTTTCACAAGATGGATGACTACGACTACGAACTCTTAAGACCAGTTCTCAAGCTTGCTACTGATATTCTAGGAAGTTTTGATGCACTCGGATTCTTTGCAGGCCTGCTCAAGGCAAAACCTTTCACGGGTACACCAGAGGAGCAGCACCGCCTGGGTAAAGGTTTATTATGGAAATTCTCGCCCGATCTCATAACCTCTCTAGACCAAGCGGTCGATGTTATAACGCACTTGCGCGACCTTGGTGACTACGTGGATTGGGATTACAATGATGACCGCAGTACAAATTATGGTGCCGACATGGCTACTTGGCATATGACAAATAAACCAGTCCGACCGCATGGGTAAGTTCTCTTTTGTACATTTGCTCCTTCCATCATGTCCACTAATCAATTTGAATAGATGTTGTAGCGAAATCGAAATGGGAGAACTGTTTCGTGATTCTCTCAGACGCACGAATACCATCGACAAAATACATCCCAGCTTGGACCAAGCATCTGCCGACTTGCGCGTACGCTTCCACATGGCTAGCATCATGCTACACGAGCTTGCTCATGCTTTTGAAAACGCATATGCACCGCAGCAGCGGATTCACGAACCGTTTATGAACGATGGTCGGGTTGCTGAACTGGGGCATTCCTTGATTTCACACCTCTTCGGCAGTGTTATCAAAATTAACGGTAGAAACCCGACTCATTACGGAATACCTTTTGGCTGTCATTTTCACGATTGGCCGAACAGCGATAATCATGCAGCGGTGATGATAGCAAGGCACAGTCTTGCAAAGGCCGGCGTGCACACTCATACTTATTATCCTCTACACATGCACTATCTCCTCAAAGTCTTGAAACCTCAATTCTGGAGGGACGAGGTTGAGAGATTTGGCGGATCCTACGCTATGAAGCCGCCTAAACTTTTGGGCGTCAGATACAGATATGACCATGCACTATGGTCTGGTGAAGGCCCAGTGGAGATGGAGACCGAAGCAGCCCTGCCCCCAAATTCCTTGCGCCCTGATGTGAAAGAGGGTCTTTTCTGGCGAGATGGCGCGACCGCTCTGGGCAAAAGTACCGAATACTACAAAGATGTCATTGCAGATTGGACGATAGCAATGTTGCCGTGGGAATTTGAAGACTCAAAGGGTTTCAAGACCAAGCCTAGGACATGGGATTTGATTGACAGATTCCATCCCGGTCAATTCACCATCATGACCGAACCTCCTCCGCTGCTCAATTTTCCCAAGTACGATCCTGCTCGTTCTCAGTATGAACGTCGAAAATATGTGAGAGACCTGAGAAAGAAAAAACTAAAAGAAAAAGCTCAAAGATTGCCGAAAGGAGGAAGCTTGACAAGGCTAAAAAAGGTCCACCGAAACGCAAGCGCGAATACGACAAGATACATGAAGCGCATAAACCATCTGCACCTTCACCGACAGATCTAGGTCGCTATCCTCGAGCAAATCCTCGTCCAAAGGACTATGATCCAGATCTGGAGTTTCCAAGAGTTCCCTGCACAGGTAACCAACAGGAATCACCTCCGCCATATAACAACAGAGAGAAGTGGGCACCGAAATGGAAGATCGACTTTGGGGATGGTGGGGCCTATCCTGAGATTGACTATCGTGAGTACAAGTGTTGTTTGCGAATGAGATGCTTGTTTGCTAATATGAATTAGAGCAATATCCTCTGGGCATGGATGAATACGATGATGATGACGACTCGGATAGCGATTCAGATGGCTCTCCATCTCCACCGTTCAAGACGCCAATACTTGACTACTGAGCGGTTGTTGACTGCGGGTTGCGAATGCTCCAGACTTTGTAGAACTGTTATATCACAGACCGCATGTTGATCAAGCAATATATCCTCATTCGTGCTGCCTGTACTGATGGAATGACCATGTGTGCTCGATAACAAAATGTGATGCACTCGATATCACCTCTCCTTGTCAAAAGCGAAGCATACTGTATACTCCATACATCCTTCCTAATTCGGAGCAGGGTAACATGCACGGCCTACCCCGCAGCACCGCCACATGACCGTCCCGCCTTCCAGCCACAATATCAACTTCCCTTGCCTGCCACATCTTGAAGCTTCCACGTCTCCAATTCCAAAACAACAACTTCTCATCATTTCTCTTTACCACAATTCTGCAAAAACCACAAAGATGAAGTTCACTACTTTGACCGGTGCATTGGCACTCTTCGCCACCGCAGTTTCCGCCCTGGACAAGCCTCTCAACATTCAAGTCGACAAGGCCGTTGAATGTAGCCGCAAGACCAAGGCTGGTGAGTGGAAATGTTGATGTAACTTTATCGCTTGGAAATACTTATGCAATACAGGTGACAAGATTGAGGTTCACTACCGTGGTACTCTTGAGGATGGTGGCAAGGAGTTTGATGCCAGTTACAACAGAGGCCAGCCTTTGAGCTTCCACGTCGGCAAGGGTCAGGTTATCAAGGGTTGGGACCAGGGCTGTGAGTTTTGACATGACACGATGCTCGATTCTGGTTTATTGACTCAATACGCAGTGCTTGACATGTGCCCTGGAGAGAAGCGCACATTGACCATCCAGCCCGAGTGGGCCTACGGCAGCAGAGGCATGGGTCCTATCCCTGCCAACAGCGTTCTTGGTATGTGACATTAATTGACCTGCGTCAATCCATATGCTAACACACTACAGTCTTCGAGACCGAGCTGGTCAGCATCGCTGGCGTCAAGAAGGACGAGCTCTAAATCATGCAACATCATATACCCCTCCTCATCAAATAACGATATGCTGTCAAACTTCAAGTTCTCTTGATGTTCATTCCTTTTATCATTTGATCAAGTCTAATCTTGGTTCATTGCGAATTCCTCCATATTTTGGACACCATTCTCCAATTCGCGGATTCTCTGACCGATTCTTCTCTTGACTTCCTCTGCCAATTCTGTGTCGGGACCCTCGATGATGGTCTTGTATGCTTCTTGAACTCTTGTCAATTCCTCTCTTGCTGCCTCGCGGTCGGCTTCGGCGTAGACGGTCTGCTTCTCGGTCTCTTCCATGGCGATCTCGAACTAGGCAGGGCGTTAGAGATGACTGTGATGGAAAGAATTGAGCAAGACAAACCTCGTCTCTGGCAGTAGCATATAACTCAGTAATCTCCTCGATAGCCTCATCGGCGGCAGACTTTGTCGACAGCCATCGATTGAAGTTGTTTACATGCGAGGCACTTCTGATCTGAAGAGGTGTAGCGGCAAAGCGAGGGCGAGATAGCGTACCCAGTGGTCTCGAGCCAACAGCAGGCTTCACACGAACAAGCAGAGCAGCAGCTCTAGACAAAGCAGCGCGCGACAACATGTTGTTTTTTCGGGATGAAATGGAAAGATGTGTTGGTGTTGCTGGTTAGTTTCATGACATCAGGGTGGTTTTCGGAGGACGGGCTTGGCGCTTCACTCCCGAGCAAGCACCAGCCTCTCCGCAATTGTTATGCATCCTTTCGCCGCCAAATATAGAAAGTTGATCATCACGTCAACAACAATCGAAAAGCGAAGGAATGGCTGTTTGGGGGATTTCGTTGTTGATTCTGTCTTTGACCTTCTTGATACACCGACACCCGCCGAATACATGGCGCATATCATGGATGCTCTTGCCGCCGCCGGACTCGAAGAATGTCAACCAGACATTACAAGGACTCGATGAGAAGGAGCCGAGGACGAAGGATGATCAAGGAAAGAGCGAGGAGAAGGATCCGATAAAGAACGAGACAGAAGTCAAGATCGCGCAACCGACGGAAGAGGAAAGCGACGACCAAAAGACTCCACAAGCCACTCCTGCCGCTCCCTCAATCGCCGTTCCCTCGTTCAACCTGGACTCGACAGCAACATCCTCAGAGCCAGACACCGCTTCCATGCCTCCGCCTTCCTTCCCAGCAGCAAACTCACCTCAACGCGCCATGCCTCCGCCACCAAAACCTGCTTCCAAACCTGCATCGTCATTGATGCCACCACCCTCCTTCCCAGCCCCCAACTCCGCACAACGAGCCTCTCAAGCATCTTCCCTGATGCCACCACCCTCACGACCAACCCCTCGCTCAAGCCTAGGCGTCCCCGCAGTACCAGGAAGAGCACCACCTCTCAGCGCCGCAGCACAAGCCCGCGCCCCTCCCCCTCGAATCGACACCCCCAAATCCTCCTCCAGCAAAGTAAAACTCGCCCCAGGTTTCTCCCCCCTGGATTGGGCCTCCCTCGCTGCTTCCAAGAATCTGTCAAATGTCAGTTCATTCACCAGAGTCACACCGTCAATGCTGGCGGCGAAGAATGGCAGAAAAGGTAATGATGCGTGGAGTGTGTATAACGGAAAAGTGTACAACATCACCCCTTATGCGCCTTTTCATCCCGGTGGTAAAGGAGAATTACTCAGAGCGGCTGGCAAAGATGGTACGAAGTTGTTCATGGAGGTGCATCCTTGGGTTAATTGGGAAGGCATGTTGAATTCATGTATGGTCGGTGTCATGGTTTCTGAGTCCGAGGGTGAAGGTTTGGATGAGATGGATTGATTGATTGATTTTTCGTTGTCTCGTTCTCTGTTTCTTCGTAAAATGATACCCGGGAGATATTTAGAGGAATAGAATGGTTTGCCATATCGCCAACAAAGAAGAAGGGGAAACGCTTCTGACCTGTGCTTCAAAGCGTTCGAGGCAAGAGAGATTGAAAACAGGCACAGTGTTGTTTCGGCCCAGAGGTTTTGTTCAAGGAGAGCACAAAATATAATGGGGTGACGATTGGTCAAATCGAAAGGTAAGTAAATTTGCTATCGTTTGTTCTTGCCGGATACCCAAGACCCGGCTCCCTTCTTTCCTGAATTTCAAAAAAACATCAAAAATGCAAATACGCAAAAACGCCCTTTTCCCAAAACGCCGTCGATTGTGGATCTCATTTGATCCAACTCGCTCGCTCGCTCCTTCCTCGCAGAACATTGCAAATTGTTTGTTCTTCCCTCGTCGTATTCCTTTACTGGCTTTCCTTGCCATCCTTTCCGACTTCCTGGCCGGATGCGCCTTCCTCACGATCTTTGACGTTGTCTGCGTCGGTCCACTCGCCCTCGAGGCAGGGAGGGTGGCAACGGCAGACGAATGGAAGGTGGTATTCGAAAGACTCCTCCCCCTCTTCCTCCTCATCGTCATCATCATTTTCCTTGTCGGAGTAAGAGATCTCGCCGTGGTGAGAATCGCAGTTGGCGCAATGTTCAGAATCGCACTTGCCCTCACCATTCTCGCCTTCTGCATCGTTCTCCTTCACTTCATTGTCGCGTTCGTATCTGGCGATGTCTTCGTCGGTGACTGGTACGCCGCCCTCTTCGGTGTCGGCCCAGCTTTCCTCATACTCTTTGTGGGCTTGAGCAGCCTTTGCCTCCCAGAGCTTCTTCTGCCACTTCTTGATCATGCCGGTGAGGACCAGAGGCTGGTTCTTGATGAACGGCTCCATAATCTCAAGCAACATGGTGGTCGTGTCGGTTTGGCAACCTCCGGACAGGAAGGATACGTTGTTGAGGGTGTCGCGAGAGGGTATGACGATCTCGAGTTTCTTGATGGCGGGAAGTCTGCTGCGGGACAAAGCCAGAGGCGCGTGTTGGCTGCCAATCACATCGATGATGTTGCCTGTGAGTGTGCTTCTGGCGCGGAGACCGAAGAGCTTGATCAAATCATAGTGACTGTTGAAGGATAGAGTGAGGCGGGTAAGCTCTTCAAAGGGGAAGAATGTGTTCTCACGAAGCGTCTTCTTGAGCAAGCGTTGGTGTGTGAGGAGTAGAGGAAGGCGGAGGAACATGTAACTGCGCATCTCACGAGCCACGACCTTGTTGCACTTGAGCAGGTTCGATACCATCTCGTTGCGGTAGCTGACCCATGGCATACCATTGCTGCGGCCACGGTAAGCTGCGTATGGCTCAATGGCATCTTGAGGGGCTGCGTGTCGGTAGATTTCGTTTCTCAGCTCGCCGGGCAAGTCGAAGAAAGGAAATTTCTTCTTGTTGTTTGACCACCAGTCAGACTGGACTTTGACGATCTCCTTGGTCATATTCTCGGGGCTGAGGTGATAGCAGCGGTTGGGATTGGTAGGATTGGCCTTGACCTCCTCGTTGAGAAAGGCTGTGAGGGCGGTCCATTTGTTGTCCAAGTAGACCTGAACCTCATCCTTGTCGACACGAGTGGAGAGCGTAACATCTCTCGAGCGGCCCCAGTCGAATGCGAACTTGAACTTGGTAGGATCAGGCGTGCACTCCCAAGTGATGACATTGCAGGTTTTGCCGACGGTGACACACAGGTCCATGGCCCATGCGTCGAAGGAAGTGATCTTGAATTCATCGACTGCGTCGAGAACTTGCTTGTGGAGGATACTGGTGGGCTGTTGGTTGTCTGGTGCTGGGATGAAGCCGTCGCTGGTTTCGATCCAACGAGTAGGAAACTTTGTCGTAGCCATGTTGATGACTGGTGGTGTTGAGAGTGTGAATGATATCTGAGGTGGATGTTGTTGTAAGAGGGCAGAACCGGATGGGAGGAGTACGAATAAATTTGAGGTGCGAACAGTTCGTCGTCGAGGGTGAAAGGTTCAGTGATGGGTACTCGAGGTCGAGGGTAGAAGGTAGTGATGAACAGTCGAGGTCGAGACCCCTACTGTGTGATGTGTTGAATGAAGAGAGAGGCGAGAGATGGTGGGAGTTTATATCCTAGAAGATATCGAGCGAGCTTGGACCGGTGACCGAGTAGGCGTCAATCGTCGAACTGATGAATGAGTGAAAGTTCACTTGTAAGCGTAGCCTAGGTATTGTTCGCATTGAAGCGGGGCTCCGGTCGAGGAGAGCACAATCTTATACCGGCCAATTGAGGTGAATTAAAGTCGATTGTGACTGATACTATTGTGTGTCGAAGATGAATCATGCTCAGAGTGAATAAATCCCCAACTGAGGTGAGGCAGCAGTAGCACAAGCCGGAGCTTGTCTTCGTTTGAGCGCTTGTTGTTGTCGATGCCCTGAACAATAGAAAATGCTAGGATCAATACCAGAGACCAAACTCGGGATATGAATATATTCAGGCACTCACAATACAGCTCCGCCCGCCTTAGCTAAAGTCCGCTCGAGCAGTTTTCTCCATTTCATCCAGCATTCAGACTACTTCTCGGCGTCCTCGTCCTTATCTTTACCACCAAAGGGTGAGATCCAGATGGCCAAACAGACAAGTAGACCACAACCAAAGCCGGCAGAAAAAGCAATCTTGTCACTGATTTGAACATCTTCCTTGGTCAGGATGATGTTGTGGACTATCTGTTCCATCTTGCCGGTAATCTCCATCATGGTGTGGTAGTTGTTGTGCTGCATCTTCATGATTTCGAGTGTAGTTTGGTGATCAGTCTCTTGCACTTTCAGTATCTTAAACTGGGTCTGCGAGATGTTGTGCTGATCCTGCACGATCTTCATAATGTCGCTTTGCTGAGTCTTGGTTCTAGGGTTGGTGTTGTTGCGAGGGATGCTCGTTCGACGTCTGGAGTCTCTAGCGAGGCCAGACTATGATTAGAATAGGTTAGCGAAGACGTTATCTTGAGAATACTAGATACTTACAAGAGTGGCCGATGCATAGAAGAATCGAGTGGACTTGGAAGAAGAGCTATGATTGACAGGAATAAGAAGTCTGAAACTGCTCGAGGCAGGACGGACGCCTGAAATGTATTTGACCTGGATGAACATCGTTATTGGCCTTTCAAGTATTAGGATGTAAAGGTCGCAGTGGTGCGAGATTGCTGTTGCGATAAGCCAAGCAAAGCTGATGTTGATGGTCAATTCCATCGCACCTTCCAGTTGATCGTTACAAGCACAAACTCTCAGCATTCTCGGTCAGTAGTAAACGTCCAAGTCAATCAACACATTTCACTTACAAATGCTTCCAGAATATCAACAAGAACACAATCATCTCCATGACAGTTTGAGACTTTCAAGTAAAAGACAACAGGGTATCAGACGAGAAACGGTATTACAAACTAGATGCAGAGGAAAATAAAGATGAAAGAAAGACCCCAAGCCCAGATATGCACCAAACGCCCTCTCGTATTCATATCGAAGAAAAGAGGTAGTATCCACCCTAAACTGTGCTGTGTTGTGTGTGTGTATACCACACCCCCGCATCCGTGACGTCTTCGCTGGGAGAATCTGAGAAACAAAGAACAAAAAGACATACGCTATAAAAGGTAAAAGGTAAAGTCGGAGGGGAATCGTCTAACATTGGCAACCCTGGCCAGCCTGTGTACCGGAAGCTTCAGGTCTGAGGTCAACACCAGGTCTGGGAGCACCACGCATGCCTCTCTGGGTGGCTTGCTCGATGGGGAGCTTCTTTGCGATGGCGGTGAAGAGTTCCTTGACGTTCTCGGCGGTCTTTGCTGAGGTCTCGAAGAAGAGGAGACCGGCTTCTTGAGCGTATTGTTCGGCGTCGGCGGTGGAGACGGCGCGCTTGTCGGGTTCCTCGGTGACGAGATCGAGCTTGTTACCGGCAAGAGCGATGATGATATTCTCGTTGGCTTGACGTTGAAGCTCCTTGACCCAAGCCTTGGCTTTGTCGAGGGATGCCTATGAGGAGTGTGTTAGTGGATGATTGGATGTGGATGTTCCGGGTCGAATCATACGGCTTGAGTAATGTCGTAGACTACAACAGCGCAGTTTGCGTTGCGGTAGTACATGGGAGCCAGGGACTTGTAGCGCTCCTGACCTGCGGTGTCCCAAATCTCGAACTTGACGGTAGTTGTGTCATCGAGGGCGATGGTCTGGGTAAGGAAGGCGGCGCCGATGGTTGATTCCCGGTAGTCATCAAACTGGTCCTTGACGAATCGGAGGACGAGCGAACTCTGTTGTGTGTTAGATGTCTGTTGGTAGTTGTTGGGGTTTGGAGATGGTCGCGCACCTTTCCGACGGCGGATTCACCTATGAGCGCATCGTCAGCATACAGCTTGGGTCGTGTCGGAAGGTGGAATAGACATACCCAAAAGGACAAGCTTGAACTGAGCAAAGCGGGCGCCGCCTGGTCGGCCGAGTTGTTGCTGGCGGGCGGACATGATGGATGATAGGTGTGCTAGATGTGGTTGACGTGCGCGATGGCGGTAGAGCGGCTGATGGTCGACGGTGAGGTTGGAGAGCGATACGACAAAAGGTGTGATACAGGGCCAAAATACAGCAAGGGTTCGGCGAGTTGTTGGTTGGAGATGACGACGGGCCTGGTTGGTTCTGGTCTTGGCTTGACTCTCGCTGCCTGCCACCTGCCACCACAATCTCGCTCGATGCTCAAACTCTCCCGGCTCCGAGCGGCGTGACCTTGCCAAGCCACAATCGCGGGAACATCAAAGGACGCAGGGTCTCCATGGAAATTAGCAACGTCATCCCCAAACTGTCGCTGCGTGCTGAACGAGACTTGAACATTTCGATATCGTCTTTCCGTCTACAAGCCCTTTGTTGCTCTTTTTCCTACTGTCGCGCTCTCACATCTCCTACGCGACATGAGTGCTCTTTTACCTTTCCGCGACATTAATGTCCACGCCTCATCCACCCATTATGCCTTCTCATCCCCTTCTTCCCCATCCGCACCTACCCTTGTTGTAGAGCGTCCCTCTGGTGATATTCGTCTTCATGATGGCAAGCTTTTGGGTGGTCAGAGAGTCACGAGTATCCAAGGTATTCTCGGAATAATCAGTCTCCGCCTCGGTATGTTCTTTGTACTTCAACATCCCTTCAAATCGCTCATATTCTCTAGACAAGTACATTGTTGTAATCACAAAGGCTCAGGCTATGGGCAGGATAAAGGGCCATCAAATTTACAGAGTCGTTGCTACTGAGCTTTTGCCTCTCCGTGAGAGACAGGTTCGCGATCCTGATGAGGACATCTATCTTGGACTGGTCAACACTCTGCTCAAGACTAGCCCTCTCTTCTTTTCATACACTTTCGATCTCACAAACAGTTTCCAAAGACAGGCCGAAATTGATCAAAACTCCCCCATCTGGGCAAGAGCTGATGATCGTTTCTTCTGGAACAAGTTCATCCAGACCGATCTTATCAACTTCCGTCAAGGTCAAGGATCGCGTCGTCAGAATGTTGGACCTCAACCTGCCATGGATCCTTATATTCTGCCCGTCATGTATGGTATGCTGAGAATTACCAACACTTCTGTCAAGAGTGCTCCCATGACTTTCATCCTCATCACTCGCCGATCAAGACACCGCGCTGGTACTCGTTACTTTTCCCGTGGACTGGACGAGCAAGGTCATGCTTCAAACTTCAACGAGACTGAACAGATTGTCATTTTGAATGATGATGCTTCTAGTGGAATGACCACTTTTGCTGGAGATGGTGGTTTCTCAAACAACAAACTTCCTGGTGGAGAGACTCAGGTCCTGTCATATGTCCAAACCAGAGGCAGTGTTCCCGTATATTGGGCTGAAGTCAACACTTTGAAGTACACTCCCAAGCTCCAAATCAGAGGTGTTCAATCTGCTGTGCATGCAGCGAAGTTGCACTTTGATGAACAGATCAAGCTGTATGGAGAAAACTACCTTGTCAACCTAGTCAACCAAAAGGGTCGCGAGCAAAAGGTCAAGGAGGCGTACGAAGACATGGTGAAGCTCCTTGTTTCTAACCCAGCAGAGGATACCGAAGCCGATCGCACGACTAGGGAGAAGTTCCACATTGTCGAACCTCAAGGCGGTCGTCACGAATTCGACAAGCTTCACTACGTCTACTTTGACTTCCACAACGAGACCAAGGGATTGAAGTGGCACCGTGCACAGCTTCTTCTCGATCAACTCAAGGATGGTCTGATGAAGGGAGAATACTTCCGTGGTGTTGACAAACCAAGTGGTGGTGTTCAAGTCTTGAGCCGTCAAACTGCTGTTGTCCGTACCAACTGCATGGATTGTCTTGATCGCACAAACGTTGTTCAGTCAATGCTTGGTCGTTTCACTCTTTCTCGCATGTTGACTGATGTTGGCATCTTGAAGGCTGGTGAGAATGCTCAGGAAGATGCTGCCTTTGAACATTTATTCCGCAATGTATGGGCAGATAATGCAGACGTGGTCAGCAAATCTTATTCCGGTACCGGTGCTCTCAAGACAGACTTCACCCGTACTGGTAACAGAACACGCGCTGGAGCATTGCAGGATTTGAACAACTCAATCACTCGTTATGTCTGCAACAACTTCCTTGATGGACCCAGACAGGATGCCTTCGATCTCTTCCTCGGCACCTACACACCAGACCCATCAGGCTTAGGTTCTGCACATCAATTCGCAGACACCAGACCGGTACTCATCCAGTCTTTGCCATACATTTTGGCCGCCTGTGTGTTCTTCATCTTTATCTCCCTCTTCACACGTCGTCTGCCAGATGCTACCGTTTGGCCATTGAGAATTTTCGTTCTTCTTTGTCTTGTCGGAGCTGCTTGGTCTGGAAGGTTCATCACCTCGCATGGAGGTCTTTACGTGAGTTATTGTGCTGAGACGATTGTTGAAACAAAGCTAACAAATCACAGGTCAACTGGCCAAAGCTCAACACACCTGCACACGCTCTTGAGAGTTATCAAGAAACTCTGGAGCGCGTAGGTAGAGATCCTCTTCTTGGATCCATGGTTGCCAAGCACGGTCGCGGAAAGAGCGATGCTAGACTTGGATACATGGAGGAAGGCAAGAAGCGTAGAGAATAGGTGTTGTCTTGGAAGGAACGATTGAGCAAAAAGAGGTCGGGTCGGGTAATAATAGAAGAACAATGGATGGTAATTAAATGATATTTCTCTCTCCTGCCCATCGTTCAATTCGTGATAAAGTCTTGTAGAAGCCCATGATACCCAAAACTCCGCGCTGAAGAACGACAATAATTTAGGCAGCATCAACCTTGCATAGCACAATCCAGACACAACCTCATCTCAACCGTAACAGCACAGGTATTGCAAACATGTTTTCCACATGCTCCACACGCTGTATCCTGATCCAACGTGTCCATACCGTATTCTGGTGTCAAGACTCTGTCGCATCCATCGCATGTCATGGCGTCTTGGTGTGTTGCGGGCATACCATGCTGTGATAGTTGTGAAGCCTGTGGCAAGTGCCAGAAGGAGTGTAGAGTCGATCGTTGCGGCGTATCTTGCGGTTGGAATTGCGGTTGTAGATCTGATTGCGAAAGCATCGGTGAAGCGTGCGGATGTGCTTTTTGCGCTGAGAAGAGTTTGTCTACCGTAGATGCTGTGTTGGCGTTAGTTACTATATGCGACAAGCAGGCGTACAATGACGCATACCATGTATTTCTGCTTCCTCCGGACGCCCATCTCGGTATCTCTTCCGCGTCCGACTGTTCAATTGCTGTTTGCCCTCATCTTGTGAGGTGTTCGGCGATGATTGCTGCTTCCAGCTAAATGGCGATGATTGCGGACCGAGTGTTTTGTTCTGGACGAAGAATTCGGGTAGGCGGACTGGAGAGCTGAGGAACGGGGTTGAGGAAGCATCTATTGTTGGTGCTGCGAAGAGAGAGCCTGATCGTTTCCTTTTCGTGGCCATGATTGAACTAAGTTGTGCTCTCTGATAGACTGACAATACTTTGATGGTCCTTCGTGCATCGCGTCGGGGAGAAAGTGGATACGCGTCGGCGCGTCTTCTTCCGATCATGATTGCGTCACTGTCACATGTCAATCTTCCCCAAGCTTCCTCCTCACCTTCCACACGTTAGAGGTCCTGCAGATGATATACAAAGTCAAAGTCCGGTGAGTCGTTCCAGAGTTCTGTCAAAAGCTATCATCTCAAAGCTTCTCAATATGCTTCCTCATGATCACCGGCTCACTGATGACTAGAAACAATGTCGATCCGTGAAGCAAGTCATGCCGGTAGCTGGTATAGCTCCTCCAAATCACAACTCTCAAGTCAACTCGATGGTTGGCTATCCAAAGTCGATCCTCCAGTCAAACCCATCGGACAAGTCTCATCTCAGGAATCCTTAAGCACTCTCCCCGTACCTGGTGCCAGAGTCATCATTGCTCCGTGAGATATACCCTCCTCATATTGATATTCTGTTATTGATGTTCCTTCAGGCACGCTGGATACTCATACTCCGGACCTGCAGCTGCATGGGCCTATCGCTCTTGGGATGTGTCCAAAGCAAAGCGTGTCTTTCTCCTCGGTCCTTCCCATCACTTCTACCTGTCGAAATGTGCTCTCAGTAAATGCGACAAGTACGCTACTCCTCTTGGCAACTTGACTGTAGACAAAGAAACCACAAAGGAGCTCTACGACACTGGCAAATTCCAATGGATGAGCCAGAGTGTAGATGAAGACGAACACAGTCTTGAGATGCATCTTCCGTACATTTACAAGATGCTGTCGAGGTGAGTTCGTTCATGCCTGTCTGGAAGCATAATGTACTGACCACAGTCAGATCCTTCCCTGCCGAATCCTCCTTCCCAAAGCTCGTCCCTATCATGGTCGGCAACACCTCCGCAGCAACCGAGAAGCAATTCGGTGAACTCCTAGCTCCATACCTACAAGACCCTTCAAACGCCTTTGTCATCAGCTCAGACTTTGCACACTGGGGTCTACGCTTCCGCTACACCTACTACCATCCTTCATCAGCCGCCCCAGTCGAGCTCTCTGCCCGTTCAAAGCCACCAAGAGATCCACCAATTCATGAGAGTATCAAGGAGGTTGATTTCCAATGTATCGATGCTTGCGAGACCGGCAGTCACAAGGCTTGGCTTGATACTCTTGCTGATACTGGAAATACCGTCTGTGGTAGACATCCGATCGGCGTCGTCATGGCTGCGATGGAGGTGTTGGACAGTCAGGCCAAGTTCAAGTTCGTCAGATATGAACGCAGTAGTGAGTGTACAAAGGTCGAGGACAGCAGTGTCAGCTATGCCAGTGCTTTTGCTGTCATCTGAGCAGACATCAGATAGATTATTGATGATAATGACACATTCTTCTCTTGATTCATGATGTAGCCAAGTCGTCCAAGGAGAGTACTTGGTTTGTCCGCTCTCGCCAGACGTCACTGTGTTCTTGAACTGGTTCTTGCCTTTGCGTGGATCCTTTTGCCGGCATCCCAGTCCGTGAAAGTGATCATAAGAGGGCCTGGAGCAAATGCGGGAGAAGAGTTTATTCGCCTCCACCAGCAGCATATGAAGTAGGGAAGAGCACATACTGCATTGAGTTTACATTTTCCACACACGCGAGTCACAATACATATAGACCAAGAAAGAGTTTGAAATGTTTTTGATTTGTATTCATGTTGATCTTCTATGATCAATGCCATTTAGCAAAGCTTCCGGCTTTTATGGTACAGTGCTCATCATATCTCTGGTTGATTCGTGTCGTGAAAGAGGCATCCATCGTCGTGAAAGGTTTGAGTGTGAGGTGAGGTCGGGTCGGGCGTTTACTTCTTCTGGGTAGCAGGTCTGCTGGGGCCGTCAACAGCCTTCTCGACCTGGCCGGCGATACCGTCCTTGGAAGCGTCGAACTGAGAACCGATGGCACCGTCCTTGGAGAAGGCGCCGCCGATCTGTTGGATCATGTCAGTCGTGATTCACAATGATGTTGATGATAGTGGAGATCTCACCTTCTCGCCAACCTGGCCAATGTTTCCATCAGGGTTGAACTGCTTGCCAATGGCACCAGCAGATGAGATGACAGAAGGGTTCTGAGGGTTGGTGTCCTTGGCCTCTCCGGCAGCCTGAGCGGCATCCTCGACCTTCTTGTCAGCCATACCGCGAGTGCGAAGGGCGGAAGCCGATGAAGGCTTGAAGGTCTTGGTGAAGGTGTTGCGGGTGATTGTGCGAAGCATGTTGATTGATTTTTTGGGAAGGTTTGATTTGTGTGATGAGAAAATGGAATTGGTGGGTGTTCCTGCAGGAGAGGTTATATAAGTGAGGAGCTCAGCTTTGAGGGAAGGAGCTATGCTGGGAAAAGGCGTTGAAGTGACACCCTGTGACGACATTCTGAAGTCTTGACGACATTATCCAATCACGAGTCTACGATGGATTCTGGAGATTGAACAAAGCGGTTGGTTGTTTTGATGGCGTCTTTGTTGACCCGATGTCATGGAGATGCATGTCTTTGTTGTGTTGTAGCTACTGCTGCTGGTCTGCTGTCGCCCATCAAGGTCGTAGCCGAGGATGGAGACCCTGTTACTAACGAAAGCTCCATCAGGTTGATGTTCGAAATCATGCTTGAGGTGGACAACACCATTTTTGTTCTCAAATCATCGTCTTCCCAGGTCAGTAGGAACGTGACAATCATCATGACAACATCCTGGACAACCTACGATTCGAAACCTCTCACTACTGCAGAACTTGGTCTGGACCACCACATCCGAGCCAGGGTGATACCCTCGACCACCATTTTTCGACTCGATGGTCCGGTAGAGGGACTGGCAGCAGGTAAATCATAACAACATACATCTTATAATATTCCTTCGTGCTACAGAGCACTCTACCGCAAGTCTTGTCTTCTGTAAATCAACCACCCTTGATATTTTCCACTTTTTCTTTCTGCATATCTCCAAATTCAAAAAGCCTCATGCATTTGCGCACACTCTCGGTTGTTCTCAAGACAAACACGAAGCAATAGCAGCAAATGAACAGCGTAGGCCAATTGACCTTAGAGATAGCTCCTCAAACGATCTTGGTCATCCCAGAAGACATTAAAGTGTGGTTGACGAGATATATCATGCTGATACAGCAGGAAACCAGCATAACGTACCGGAAAGCCATCTGCACATCAAGATCCGCACAGCTTGCCGAGATCGGGCCAATCCCCACAGATACTCAGAAAGCCAGAGAAAACCTTTCAAAAACCAATGCTCTGAGAGCAATCGAACTGAACTGCACAGCCAGCTAGGTTTCCATGAACATCTTCCATTCTTGCTCTAGAGTTCGTGGAATATAAACAGTCCAAGTCAGCACCGTCGCAAGCACCACAGAAAGCCCAGCTTTCACATCTTCCGTGGCGCAATTGGCTAGCGCGTTCGACTGTTAAGTCTAGCAATAGACTGGCTATCGAGAGGTTGACAGTTCAAGCCTGTCCGGGAGAGCGTCTGTTTTTTTTGCATTCGTTGAGCAGTGTTTCGGGTTGTGGTGGTGCAAAGGGGGTGGAGATTTCGAGTTTTTGGTGGGGCTTTTGCATATATCTTGGGACTCTTTGGGATGATACCCTGCAACCGGCCACGTCCGGCCAAGCTGAATCAACATGTAGCTTGCTGTTATGGGTAGCTACAGAAACACGAGAATGTTTTTGGAAAAAGGCCAGTATCCAAACCTCCTGCATCTGGTTAAGCAACGCAGAAGTTCGCGGTCCTGCTGCTTCACAGACGGTACCCAGTGAGAGCTCAAGGCCCAGTGTATCTCTGTGGACGGACATGCTAACCCAAATATTACTGTGCATTCCTGCATCCTTGAACGGCTCCAGCTGTAATGGTGGGGGATGGCTGGAAGTGAATTTATTTGGAGGACTACTGTCTACTGTTTCCGCCACTGTACTCCGTACTTCTCTGTGATTCGTCTGTGATGTTTTATGCTCAAGGTATCTCGTTTCTTTTGGGAGCAACCGAAATGGTCGCGACTGGGGCAATAGCACGAAATCAGGCGTTGGTGTTGTGCAAGCGAAGTCGAGCCAATTCGGCCCTGTCTGTCTGAACTTGAGCCGCATCAACACGGAATCTGCCAATCTCAAACTCTCTGTCGTTGTAAAGAACTCTGGCCTGGCGGAGTTGGGCCAATTCAGCACTGTCATTTTGACGTTCAGTACGGAGCCTGGCAATCTCGTCTCCTCTTTCGTTGTAAAGAGTTCTGGCCTGGCGGAGTTCGGTCAATTCGGCACTGTCGTTTTGACGTTCAGTACGGAGTTGGGCCACTTCAGCCTGAGCATCGTTGCGCTCCTGTCTAAGCTTCTCGACAATGTCAAGCTTGGTTGCTGTCGTTGCTGCTGACCTCACAACTTGCACCAATGTCTCTTGGTTGTTCTGGGTTGATTCAAACTTTCGCTTGAGAGTGCGGAGTTCATTCAACTCGGCATGATCAGCGTCTGCTTGCTCAATCTTGGCCATCATGCTCTGTGCACGTTGGAGCTGTTGTATGGCTGTGGCTTTGACCGCGTCGAGCTCGGGGCCTTCGGCGATGAACTTGTTGAAGACAGCTTTGCAATCGAATAGATCCGACCGGAGGGAAATGTATTCGCCTGGATCTGCGGCCTGGCGTGTCTGAGCATCATGAAGAGTTTGAGGGAATACGTCCTGGTCGGGGCCTGTGAACGTGGCGAGCTTCTCGTAGAATCTGGTGAGGCGAACGAATAGAGTGTTGATATCAGCAATAACCGCGTCCATTATTGCGGTAGTGGGGGGAGGGCGGAGGTGGGAGAGGGTGGAGGTGGAAATGGAGGTGGAGAAAAGTTGTCCAGCTTGATGCGCGTCGCCGTCGATTGTCCCCAGAGAAGTGAAAGCGGGAGCCCAATCGGTGTTGCAGATTTGTAGTGAGACATACGTTGTCGCGACACCGAGACGTGATTACAAAAGTTTTACTTGGGAAGGTTGCATTCTGGTCTTGGATTGGCAGAGAAGCGTGTGGAAGTGATCCTTTCACACCCCTTCAGTCACCAAGCAATCAATTGTTCGGTATTGGAGTGAAGTTGGGCGTATGCATCTTCGTCATCGCATGTTCATCTACCTACCTCAAAAGGGTGTTCATATAAAGAATAGAGCTTCCATGTGCTGTCCACACGTGTCGCTGTTGAAATGCACGATGGGTATCGAATCGAAGTCGTGGCCAAAAAGAGCTTGTCAAACGGCCCATCTCTTTAGACGACTACGCTGAACCAAAACCATTGTGCATCTGTGCAGCTTCAATGTCACAGGAAGCGATCGTGGGAGGACGCTGACCTGACAAATTTGGAGGAGGAAGATGAAGAAGAGGAAGATCAAAGTCTAGCCCGCTGAAAGACCTTGTTGCGGGGTGATGTGGGGGGAGTTTCTACCCCACTCTATGACGATTTGTTTACCGCTGATGCCAAATTCTTGAGGTTGCATATCTGCAATTGATTCCAAATAGTACTACGAAGGAGAGATCTACAGACAGTTCTCATTTCCTCGTTTGCGTCCAAGATACGATCAAGATGCTCGTTCAGTCTCAACCTTACACCTTGAAAGGATACTGCTTCTGATCCGTCTCGGCGACCCCATCAACACCCTTGATCCAAGCCACACGGTCTTTGCAAAACTGCTCGACCTGAGGCATAAGCTTCGTCTCGTGCAGCTCAAAGTCATCCACCGTGCCGATGCGAGTGACAGACTTGCCAGGCCAGCCTGAGCTTCTTCTGTACATCAATGTGCCGCAGTTGGAGCAGAAGTAGTTGGTCATTGTGTTTCCCGAGGCAATGGTGTCGGAGCGGGAGTATTGGGAAAGCTTGTCTTCTCCTTTGAGGTGCTTGAGAGCGGAGTTGTTGACGATGAAGTTGGATGCGAACATGGAGGCTGTGATCTTGCGGCAATCGCTGCAGTGGCAGACGAATGAGGAGATCATGTCAGGACCTGCGACGGGCTGTTGATGGGGTCAGTCATCTGGATTAATTGATAGCCAATCTTTCGTACCAGCTCGAGCTGGACAGTGCCGCAGAAGCAGGTTGCGGTCGCGGTTTGGGACATTTTCGAGGATGGTTTCGTAATGAGAGAGAGCTTTGTATTCCCAAGTGGATGCGAGTTATTGTTGATGTGTATGCAATCAATATAGGAAGAACAGCGTCCTGCCTTCACTTATATCTCAATCTGGAGCGGGGTAGGTCCTGTAGTGAACCCTGGAAACCGTGACAAATTCACGAGAACCGTCAGCAACAACGACCGCGGCTTTGATGTCATGTAAGCTGACGGACTAGCGGAGTAAGGTATCGGAGAAAACTCGGGTCATGCACAGCAGCGTTCGATGGTCAAACTGATAGTAAGAATGTATTGTAACAAAGACTGGACGGTCATAACACCCCTGTCCGAAATTGTGGCCTGAAACTCCATGGCGCCACGCTCAGCTAACGATCAATCAAAGCATTTCCATGCGTTCCTCCGGTGAAGACTGTCACAGCGGACACCCCCTCACATCTTCACGCGCAAGAGATAGCGCAGGCGGACCTGAGCAACATCATAGCAGATGAACTCGTTGTACTGTAGGTAAGCACCGGGAACGTTGGTGTCGCCAGGATCTTGGGTTGTGTCCGGCTACAAAAGTCAGAGAAGCACATAAGCACATGCAGGAAGAAAGGTACATACCATGGTTGATCCAGCAAGTGAAGGATGAATACATCCGGCGTCTTTCCAAGCCTTGGGCGCGGTCTTACCTTGACCCCAGGTGGAGAAGGCGCCCATGTCTTTGGCACTTTCAGCTGCGTTATAGCTGGCGTCCGTAAGAGTCTGCATGGGCTTGCCCAATTCTGCCTCACAGAGGAGGAGCAGCGCATGGCCATCCGAGTCGTAGGAGCTGCAGTAGTTGGCAGACTTGCTGCTCATGTCGGCAAGATAGATACCCTTTCCGAACATCTAGAGGTGGATGTCAATTAGCAAAGTCCGTGAAAGAGCGAAACAGGATACTAACGTAGCCATTCACAGGAGCCTCAGGAGGAGCGATGCGAAGACCTTGACTGAGGATACCTCCATAGTTGGTGGTACGCGAGCCGTGCCAAAGGAGACGGCGGTCGCTGGCAATGTTGGCGTACTTGCTCTTGCCGAATCTCTCAAACTCTCCCTGACGTTGGATGCGGAAGATGTCCTGAACTTCGTACTTAAGGTAGTGAGTTGAGCCGCAAGTCTTGTGGAGGTACTGGTTGATCTCGCTGAATTCGGAGCTCGAGGGTGAAATGGCCTGCATCTCTTCCATGCCGAGACCCTGGAAGCGAGAATCGAGATGATGGATTTGGGAAGCAGTCTCTTTCGCCTTCTTCAGAATCTCGTCCGCGTTCTTGAGATCACTCAAGCTGTCCAGCAGTTCTATCTCTGGCTTGAGCATCTCGAGCGTGCGAATGACCGGTGGACGGTTGCGGCCGAATGAGTGAGGGATGTAGCTGTAGTACTGGTTGCTGAGCTCTTCATAAGCATCGATGTCGTGAGTAAGAGAGGTGTCGTTCATGAGGACAGATAGGTCTTTGAGAATTTCAAAGCCCTTGGTGATGGTGGCTTTACTCAGTTTACCAAGAGGCAACTTCTTGACATCGTAGTTGAGACTCGTCATGGTGTTGGCGAAATGCTGCTGATTGAAGATGAGCTCCATCAGGGACTGGATTGGCGGGTCCAGAGTGCACTTGGGTGCCTGGGATGCGACGGTGTCGTCTTCTCCATCAGGTGAAGCACCGGACTGTGCAGCGTCTTCGTCTTCTTCATCGGCAACGTAACTGCGCTCGACAAAGACATACTTCTTGGGCTTTGGCTTTTCACCCCTGTCATCCCACTTGAGGCCAGACTTGTCCTTGAATTTCTTGTCGAAGTTCCAAAGAGCGTCGTTGAGAGAGCCGTCGCCAAGCATGGCTGACTGACCATGTTCGCCAACGCGGCCCCAGCGAGTCCATGTTTGGTAGACACCAGAGCCACTCTGTAGAAGCTGAAAACGTATGAGCGTTAGCGTGTTGTCAAGACAGTTGGGTTGTCGCAATACATGACTGATAGACGTACTTGAACGCGATAGAATTTGTTGTTGTTGTTGGAAGCATTGGTCTGGTTGAGCGAGGCATCGTAAATTATACCGGTGATCTAAAGACATCAGCACGAGTCTTGGAAAAGTTTAGTCGTGGTGATCATAGCTTACAGGGTCAACATAGACACGGTATGATGACGAGACACCCTCATCGATAGGAATGTCGAGGTTCGCACCTCCCGCTGGCGCGAATTGGGCGTCGGTAATCTTTGGGGCTGGCTTGACAGGGTCGGTGGGGTTGTCGGCAGCAGGAGGCTCTGCCTTTGCCTTTTTTGGCTGTTTGGCCGAGGTCGGGGCGGGCACAGGTGAGGATGCCTTGCGCTTTGTGGAGGAGCGAGCAGTTGTCTTTGTCGTAGCGACAGCAACATCATCTTCCTCCTCTACTTCATCTTCCTCAGGAGCATTGCCTGATTCGACGTCATCTTGTTCGAGAGCGTCGATGAGTTCTTGCTTTTTGAGTCCTGTAGCAGAGATACCGCGTTCCTTGAGAAGCTCCTTGAGCTCGGCGACTTTGAGCTTGCTGTACGGAGAAGTCATGATGTTTTCTGTTGTGCAATGAAGGCAATTGGAGAGTGTATCTAGCAGACGAACCGGTTATTTGAGTGAGACGAGTGAGGCCCGCTGTGTTGGAATCGCAGGCAGAAGTTGGCTTGGCGATGTGATAATCTGCGGAAGGTGCGACACTGCTGCCCGCTGCTGCCTCAGGACCACGCGCGACCGACGCCAATCAGCCAACCACTTGCGACAATCCACCACTTCACTTGGCATTCAACTCCTCTGCGAGCGCTGATATAACAAACAACCCGACTTCTTTGTCCAGATCACATCCACTCACCTCTCTCTAGCAAGTCTTGATCATGGCTCTCGTCAACTTGCCACCCGAGCTGCTCTTACGCGTATCAACCTTCCTTACTACCACCGAACTCGGCAATTTCAGACTCACAAACAAGCATAACGAGAGAACTTTGTTCGACTCATTCGCTCGCGAGTTCTTCACCAAGAAGCAGTTTATGCTTGAACAAATCAGTCTCCAAGCTCTGGTCGACATCTCGAAACATCCAACTCTTTCCTTGCGCCTGTCTGAAGTCGTCATCGGTACCCAAGTCTTCCCCCCAGACCCAGAGCTGGCCTCTTCGTTCGGCAGAGCAATGTACGAGGCTGGTTATGTCCACCATGAAGTTCTCATGGCAACTGGTCAGGCAATGCACATGCTAGCCGCCGCCTTTTCACGCTTGCCAAACTTGCGTACTGTGGGCTTGCGCGACTACAACGGACTGGGTCGTTATCGAGATGGAGAGTTTGCTACCTGGAAAAGCTGGGGCTGGTCCTTTGGCTGGGAGCATCAAGATACCTATCTCCCATCAGGCCAATACCATCGTACTCTCAGGATCATCCCGCCCGAGTCTATCTTCCCTGTAATTCTCTATGCCCTGGGCACTGCCAACGTGGTTCCCGAGAGCATCCATGTCTTCCTGCGCAAGCATGCAAAGCTCACACCACGCTCCTTCAACGTTCTGGATGGCTACATGGGCGAAAAGATCAGACCCGTGCTCGGCGAGATGAAAGAACTCATGTTGGCCATCGCCCTCGACTCGCCTTACCCCTCCTTCATGCCTAGTCTGCCACCAGACTCTCGAACAGCTACCGATGCCACTCTCGCACGCCTGTTGCAATGCATGCCAAAGCTACAAACTCTGCGCCTCAACTTTGATCCCCACCAATCACTCGGTTCGCACTTCCTGGGTTGGCTTGGAAGTCCTGTTCCTAGTACTCCTACGCTCTCTCCAAGCTCGACAATCAGCTCCGTCGCATTGCCTAACTTGACCGCGCTCGAACTAGGCATGCTCAACGTGCCTGCTTCAGTACTACTGAAGGTCCTCACAAAGTTCAATCTGGAGTCATTCAGCATGTGGAAGTGTGTGCTCCACTCAGCATCACTCGACAACGAGGAAGACTGTTTGGGGCCGCTACTTCATAATCTCGCCGTTGCGTTGCCTCAATCAACACGCCTCAAGTCTGTGCTCATCGGCTTCCCATCGCAAATGTATTGTGATAACGGATTCGGCTTCGGCAGAGAAGACCCCATCTGCTTCAAGCCTGTTGGCGCCGGTGATGTGGGCACTTACGACAAAGCAGAACTGAAGTCTGAAGTCAAGCATCATGCCGGCCCTGGTACAAGCATGAAGGACTGGCTGGAGATGTTGTCCAAGCGCACGCATATCAGGACGCCCGAAGAGTACTCTGACATTTCGCTAAGTCCCGAGACCGTTCATTCGGACGTTCTCGATCCGGACGAGGAGCGTGATGATGGCGATGAAGATGATGACGAGGACACGGACGAAGATGAGGATGAATGAACGAAACGAAGAGACTGCATTAGCTGGACCCTGATAAACACGTGGCTAAGGTATGCAACAATAAGAAGCTCACAGTGCTCAATTGATAATTGATGAATTAATCATTTCGGTTTCTCGTAGCGAACGCCCGGATCGCTCCTAGTAATTGATTCGTACTTTCCCGAGGTGCTGTTGATCCTTCCGAACGCCTCCGTTTTAGATGTCGCCATATTAGAAGTGTTCTCGAGCAACACACATGTTCGTGACAGATGGTGTGGTAGATCCTGCTACACCACCACTTTCTCAATAATCTTTTCCAAATCATCAATTCGGAACGGCTTTGATATCCCATCATCCATTCCTACGTCGATTGCAGCTTGAAGTTGCTCGGACCTGGCGTTTGCTGTTACGGCGATGATCGGAATGTGATTGGTGATGTCGCCGTCTTGCTGTGCTTTTCGGATCATCTTTGTACATGTCATGCCATCGATGATTGGCATCTCTATATCCATACATCTGCAGATGAGTTAGTAAGCAGGGACGCAACAAGCATCTGCGCAACTTACATGAAATCAACACGTGGAAGATCTGAGCTTTTCCCATGACCCTTCCAGTGTCGACTCGACTTCAAAAAATCAAAGGCTTCTTGACCATCGTCGGCAGTGAAGACGGTGTATCCAGCGCGCCTGAGCTGCTTGGCGAGCACAACCTGATTGACATGATTGTCTTCTACAAGAAGCATGCTCAGGCTGTCAGACGCTGAAGCCCTCTTGAAAGGTAAAATAGTTGACCTGGTAGTGAGTACATCAGGCGCTTTGTCTCGTAAGGCGCAGATCGAGAATGCGAAAGTCGTGCCTTGGTCAGTTTCCGAATTGAAACCTATGTTACCGCCTTGCAGATTGACCAACTTCTGAGATATGAAAAGACCCAAACCAGAACCACCATACTTGTTGTATGTTTTAGGTGAAGCTTGTGAGAAACGTTGGAACATTTTGCTTCTCTCTGTCGCGCTCATTCCACAACCTGTATCGGATACTTCAAACCACAGATATATGTCTCCCTGGAACAGGTTCGTCTTTTCATTGGGATCTATCAGCGGCTTTGTCATGATGAGGTCGTTGAATATCGGCACGTCTTTGGTCTCTGAGGCTCCAACGCGGACGGTGATTGATTTTGCTCCGTCAAAGGTCGCTGTGAACTTGATTGCATTGGACAGAAGGTTGGTCATTCTAAATTGAAAGATGGTCAGTATCAGATTTCATGTGAGAGTGGAAGCAAAAGACTGTCTCGCAAGTATTGGATACGACCCACACTTGCATGATCCGGCCGGAGTCGGCTTGAATCCAGTCAACATCATGGAACTTGATGGATGCATCTTGCTTGGCTCCGAAGGCGATATTTGCGCGACCAGTCTCGACCCTGAAAGTCTCCACGATATTATCCATGAAGCTTCCTAGCTTAATAGAGGATGGACAAATCTCGATCAAATTAGAATCGAGCTTGGACAGAGACAATATGTCATCGGTGATGCGCTTCTGGTGAAGAGAGCAAGACGTGATGGTTTCTACCGACTCAGTAATATCTTCGAGTAGTCTTGTCAAGCTGTTTGGATCAATGGCAAGTTTGGCGGAGACTGATTGTTTAACTAATTCCTGTATTTGACTTAAGGAAACAGAGATAGAATCAGCACTGAGGATTACCGCGCCGAGCGGATTTCGAATCTGCAAAGGCATCAGCAAACAATCTTTTATCACGATAGAACTATGGCGCAATTACTTCGTGACTCGTCACGTCTATAAAGCTGGAATGTGTTAGCGGAAAAGAAAAAGAAGAATTTGTCAGAGCACTAACTTTTCCTGCTGTCTTTTGGCCTCGATCGCTTCTTTTAGACTGAACGCTTGTAATTTAGCCTCTCGCTGCTGTGCGAGAATCTGTTCTGCTCTAGCTGCAGCGACCCGTTTCACGTTGTTGTCGAACGCCCTGGCTTCTGCAAGTTTGATAGTCATGACTGAGTTAGCAAAGAATTGGTGCACCGAATGGATCCAGTTGGAATAGTCTTCGTCGTATGGCCTTCGAGGAGAGATGCCCATGACTAACAATGCGTGCACTTCTGAGCCGTAAGCATCAATGCTTGGTATAATCACTGCTTCGAGGGCATCGTCACCGTAGCATCGTTGACGAGCCTCCTTGCACCAGTCTTTTGGGAGCGTGCCATTTTTGACACTAAGAAGAACAGGCGTTCCCGTCCTGATAGATTCTCTCATACAACGAATGTATGGCTCGTTCGATGAAAGACTGATCTGCTGGGGCTGAGCAGACTCTTCAGAGCCGACTTTGCCGTGTAATGTAAAATTCTGGCCATCAACAACATGCCGCTGACAATCGGCTTCAGCGGCATACACTGTGTGAACTTCTGCTCGATAAAGCAGGGCAAAAGAGATGTCTCCATCTTCATTAGAAATCCCTTGGAGCATGGTGTCCCAGAAGTTCGTCATGTCGTTTGCAGACGCACAAGTATCCATGATGGCCTTGAGGGATTCCTTTCTCCTTAGTTGTACAGCAGTTGCTGTTGTGTCGTAAGTGGTCGCATGATATCCTTGTAGTGGCTCTGGAAGCTTGACCATCGTTGCTGAGAGAAATGTTTCCTGTAATCGGTCTTCATTTTTGAAAAAGAAAGTGACATGGTTCTCGTTTGCCGGTTTCGCTCTGGTCGTCGCTCTGTCTACAATCCTACTGATGGCAGGCGCGTTGGATATCAAGGCTTCGTTCATTCCTATGGGCCTTCCCAGATAGAGCGGGTGATGATCGTAGAGTAATCGACCATAAGCAGTGTTGTATATGATAATTGAGTCTGGGCCCAGCAAGAACAGCTGGGGTTGAGGCGACAACATGGCGAGGTTTATGAGGACTAGCAATTCCCTGGACCATGTCGATATGGGACCAATCGAGCTCTCTGACCATGGTAGCTCACGCAGATAGCGCAGGTCTGCATCGATAAGTTCATCTCCGGATGGGGTTGTGAGAAATGCATGTTCAGGTTGACGGAGATCGTCAGTCGATCGCTCCACAGGCGACTTCATGTTGCGCGAAGCGCACCTGGTGTATCGCTTTTCAGCGCACTGTGTCCGTTGTCGGCGAGCTCGTTAGTCTTGGGTTGAGGCTGATTATCGTATGCGGGATGTACAAGCAAATCTACAAGTCAAAACCTCGAGTAGAAAATCCTGCTGGTGAGAGTAGGTACTCCTAAAGCATGGTTCAACGTCATACCGACTCGCAGGGCCTAGACGTTCCTGCCAAGTCAACGTTTCTAATGATGAACCCACACTCATTCTTTATGAAAGTGATTTATGCCTTTATGCAGACATGATGATAAATTCCTCGTCGGAGATGCTCTAGCCTCTCCGCAAACACCATCGCACGGTGACCGCTAGCCAGCATGATCTAGTTAGACTCAAGGAATGCACTCCCACTCACAAAACGTCGTGCCATCTTCGAATCTCGAGCTTGGTGCTTTGAACAAACCTGAAAGGTGTGGTAGTATGAGTAAATGTTTTTATCTGGCTGCTGGACGAGTAATAAGAACGAGTCAAAGAGTGACGGTTGTTGTCCGATGACATTGTCACGCTTGGCAGTGACATGCTGAGAGCAGACGGGCCGCTTTCCCGCGGCTACATATGTCTCCGTCAACGTCAAACCCTCATGTTCAGGGTGCTTTTCAGGCAGAATGTCGCTCTGCCGATTACTTGTCAAGAATCTTCATTGCCCTACAATTTCAATCCAGACTTTCCGGACATCACAACGATTGATTTCTGTACCATCGCGACGAGTATCAATAATGTCAAACAATCGAGTCCATGGCGACCTGAATAACACCGAGGTTATGAGGAAGACGAACTCTCTAGTGCCAGATCCTGCATATGACGGAAAAACACTGGCCATTCCGGAAGCAGAGGATGATGCAGAAATCAGAGCAAAATACAGACCGTTCATCACAAGTCCTGAGGTGACGAGCAGCGATTGGATCGCAAAATCAGAACTCAGCACTGCATTGAAAATGGCCGAGGCAGATATGGAGAAGACTGGTGGAGACAGATTGAAGATCCTGGTTTTATACGGCAGTCTACGCGAGAGGTGAGCATGATCATTGTTGATTCCGACTGTCCGCGATGCTGATACAAGCAGATCGTATTCGCGTCTATTAGCTTTCGAATGCTCGCGGATCCTCTGGCGTCTTGGTGCTGATGTTCGTGTTTATGATCCCTCAGGTTTGCCTGTCAAGGACGACGTCCAACATCAACACCCGAAAGTTCAAGAGCTTCGTGAACTCAGCAAATGGAGTGATGGTCATGTCTGGGTATCTCCTGAGCAGCATGGAAATCTCGTATGTGCCTTGAATCTATCATACGGGGTCTAAACTAATCATTGAACAGACTGCGGTTTTCAAAAACCAGATTGATTGGGTTCCGTTAAGTACTGGATCCGTCCGACCAACTCAAGGCCGTACGTTGGCAATCGCTCAAGTCTCTGGAGGTTCGCAATCTTTCAATACGGTCAACTCTCTTCGAATTCTTGGCCGATGGATGCGCATGTTTGCTATTCCCAACCAGTCTTCGGTCCCCATGGCTTATACTCAATTCACCGATGCTCAAGATCCGGCAGACCATGATGCCTTTGTTCAAGCCGAAGGAGGCAGTAGACTCAAACCATCAGGCAACAGAGATAGAGTTGTGGACGTCATGGAAGAGTTGTTCAAGTACACTCTAGTCATGAGACAACATTTCGACCTCTTTGGAGATAGACACAGTGAGCGCAAGGAGCGAGAAGTGAAACGATTGAGGGAGATCGAAGTCACGAAAAAGGAAGAAAAGGCAGGAGTAGAAGGAAATGCGACTAGCATGATCACGGCGAATACTGTGAACGGCATTGATGTTAAGGGAGCTTAATGACGAACAGATATGGATGTATCTCGCTTTCTCATGGATGGCTGATCACTGTTGGAACACTCGGAGCCCTAAATATCCCACCAAAATGAGCTCTCAGCGTGAGTACAGAAGCACTATGATTTGGAGCCTTTTATGGAGTCCGACGGGAGCACGCAAGAAAAGTTGCTACAAACGGACATTTGTGTTGGTCATAGAAGCTTCGTACATTGCGATACTTCCAAAAGCCTAGCACTCGATCTCCAAACCCCCTAGATATATACAAGAAGCGAAAAGTTTGGGGTATCATAAGGACAAGGAAAGAAAAGACAACACTCAAAGACCCAGATTGACAAGCCTGATATCTCGTTCCCTGGCATAAGACACCCAATCGATCTCAGCAGGACTTCCTCCGAACTGGACCCTTTCTCTCTGCTCTGCGCAAATCATCTCAAGCAATTCACGAGATTTGGTGACGTTGCAACTGATTCCAGTTCCCTCCATAGCTCTGATAATGCCAATGGCTCTGTTCTTGTCGTGGTCGTTGCTGCTGTTGACGCCGGCCAAAAAGACAGAGAAGATGATGTGATGCTGTTCGGTACCCTTCTCTGCGATCACCAGGGCTGCCATGGCGAGGATGTGACGACAATGACTGGCGATCTCTTTGCGTTGAGCGGATGTGTTGTGAAGACGTTGGCCGCGGTACATGCTTGTGTGCATGTACACCATTGCGGTAGAGTATTCAATAGATGCCTGTAAGTTCGTTAGTTTCGTATTCTCCTCGCAACGAATGTTCTGCCCAGGCAGAGAGAAATAAAAGAGAGGAATAAAGGAGAAAAATGGAGAACAACTTACAAAGTCAAAGACAGTCCTGGCAAGAGTCGGCAGTCTGGTCCCAGCCTCTGGTGAGTCTCGTGGTAAGAATGCTGGGTATTTCAGGTTCCAAGATGAGTACAGCTCGTTTCTGAACCTCGTCACAGTAGCCTGATGCTCAGCAATACTGCCACGACCCATCTCGACATCATCTCTCATTTGAAGTGCGATCTGACTCAGCTCAGCCAGCCGCGTACACATATGACTGCTGAGTTCCGAAACAGCCGACAAGCCCGCGATCTCGAGATTGGGTTGTTGGGTTGTGCTTTCCGGCTTACGCCAAGTAGGCAAGGTCGAGCCATGCATTAGATATGCTCGTACGAAACATCCCGACTCTGTGTTTCCTGCAAGACACGACTGTGCGTCAAGGAAGAGAGTATACCAGAGAATATATGCCTGCAGTTCGGTAACTTCGGCATTGTCGCGAGAGTATGCCAATCGAGCGAGTTGTTGAAAATGTTGCGACCACATGACGCCATCCGGGGAGCAGTTTTGAGTTGCGCAACAGATGTCGTATAGAAGAAGGATGAAGTGAAGGTAGATCAATGATCCTGGTGACATGTTTGTGCTCGTCATGCATGCGGAAATGGCTTGATGGTAATGTTGGAACGCTCCTGCTAGGAGGTGTCGTTGTCCTTTGAGCGCCAGGCTTAGTAGTGTGATTGCGCATATCGCATGGTATAGCTGGAGATGATTAGCATCAGAGACTCAATATGATCAGTGACTGACGAAACTCACAGGCCTGAATGTCCGCGAATCCTGAACGATGATATCCTCACTACCGTAATCGCTCAATTTAAACCTCGAACCAAGTGGCATCATCCTTCTGGAAATGAAATCCTTGTAATGTGTCATTACTTCGTCAACATCCGCCGTTCCATAATTCGAAAGACCCCTGTGTAATGAAGGTGCGCCCGTCATCTGACTCGTGAGGTTCATGATAGAGTTTTTGCGTTCGGGGAGTGCCATGAAGTATGGTGTGTCTTCAAATTCGGAAAGCACAATGAGATTGGGATCCTCTGAGAAACCAAATGTTGCGAGGGGTAGAGAGGATCCAGAGCTGCTGCGGTATCGTCTGATCAGCCCGCCATATTCCGGCAATTGACCAAAGCTATCTGGCGTGAGGATGACGTTGAAAGTCCCAGGAGGTTGTGTGAGTGCTTTTCTTTCTCTTTCATCCTCGTTACTGAGCTCGGTGAATGGCGGTAATGTGGGCTGGTGTCGAGCATACAACTGACGAGCCATGAGCCGGAGCTGGTTCTTCTCATCCCACGACGGACTTCCTGCTGTTGAAACATGCTTGTGCCTCCGCTTTGTGCGAATGCTGAGATCATCGAATTTCCATCTTTGACCCCATTCACAGTCTTTCCCCAGTCGAGTGCATGAAGAACATATCGGCCTGATCTCGTCACATTTGACCTTCCTTTGTCGGCATGTCCAACATCCATTCCTTGATCTTGGTTTTGATTGTCGTGTATTGGGTCGACGTTCTCCAATGGCCGAATCAACATCCGAGTTGGATCCCGATGATTGTGATTTTGACGGACTGGAGCCTAATACAGGTCCTGCAGTGGGTGGATAGATAGATGTTGTTTGGATGTTCATGACTTCAAAGCCCTGTGTAGCGTGGGGGAGACTCATGCGATGTTGGAGTTGACAGCGGCAATGACGGAACTTTGAAGCGGGGCAGGGTAATGGTGAAACTGGTGGTATTCCGTAGGGCAGTAGCGATTCGAGTCTGAAGGAAACGTCCACAAAACTCGAGTTATAGGTACAGCCTTATGAGAAGTCGGAATCAACGAGTTTTGTTGTGTTCGGAAGGATTTCTAAATTTGCTCCTTGAAACAGGGCACTCAAGGGTTGATGAGATCAATTGCTACCTTGGGATCTCTGCTGCCCAGACCATAGAAACGTAGCTTTCGGCGCAGCGCAAAAGCTTAACAGTAATTGCGCTAGAGGATCTCACCATGTCTTCCGTTGCACACGGCATGGCATTAACGTGTTTTCGAACTTAGCTTCAACGACTTTTGAACCTGTTCTTCGACGTCAAGATACCGCCGCGCCAAACGCCGCCTCAATCGCTTATCCTTAGCAATTGGGCATCGCGTGGTGGCGGCTGAACTTGCAAGTGTAGCAGAATTCTTCTCCGATGTGCGCCGAACCAAGCCTTGAATAGTTCAACACCAGCAAAAGTAGACTTTACCGTTTGTCTCGAGCTTTCCCCAGCTGGCAGCACCGCCCCCGTTAAATCGCTTGTCAGGTCGGGATAGCTTAGAAAGGACAGACCGACTTCGAAATGCGTCAGAGCGTCAATAGATGACCCTTACATCCACCAAATCATTTCATAGCCCGTGGAAGGGATGGAATGCGCACAGGAGGATCAATAGGGCTTGACGGAGAGCGTTTCCTTAACTTGACCCTTCGAAAGTAGAAGGCCCTAAGTTATCACAACGCCATGACGCGTACGCCATGATCTTGCATGTACTGTTCTTTCTGGAAAAAGGTAATGCTGATTGGTAAGAGATGAGGTCAAGATATGCACAGAAGGCGTTGGTTAGCAACTTGCAAGCGAGGTCAATCAGACCGGCCGTTGTTTGATGAATGCCGTCTACCCAATTCACCTTCCAAAGTTACACTTCGAGCCATCCTGTCTGGCGGCCACGTGAAGGAAGAAATGGCCCGACACTGTAAATGGCCGGCAAAAGACGGCGTCTGAGGGTGATCCTGCGAAACTCTGAAGGATGGATCTAAACCTAATCCTTAAATGTGACGCTTCGAGAATGACTGTCCTGCAGGTTGTGATGATTATTTGCAACGGGTTTCGGCAGAGTCAAAATGTTGGCGATTCCCTACAAGAGAGTTTTCAGAAACTTTCAATGTTGTTATAACAGATCAAAGGTACCTGAACACGTAGATGTCTAGGTAGATCGGTGGAAGTTGTGCGAGTCAGGTCGTTCGTGTCAAGCTGTCGGAGCCCGGAACATCACTACTCCCGGTCCGGGATAGGTCGTCACACTCAGAAAGTCCAGGGATCAAACACAGGACGAGACCGTTGCATTTTCTTACATTGCCATCAAAGCCCGGCTGAGCATTAACGTCCGTTGCTCCATGCAGTCATCTTTTGCAAGGGTGTAAGACAGTGAGGCATGTGTTCGTCACAGGCCAAAGATACAGAGGTACATACATCTCGGCTTCCGCTTCTTCCACTCTTCCTTTCCTTCGGGCCGAGTGCGTTCCTATCCGAAGCGCATCACTGCGACAGCCGTGTTGAATCAACCTCACTTTCCTGGAGAAAGACCCGGGTGAGAATCATAAAAGAAGCTTCAACTCCACGCCATCAATGTTGCCATGTGGAAGACGGGACGATACGAGAATTTCAGACCTGAAACGCCAGCGATCGATGGTACAGGGAAGAAGTTTAGGGGAAAAGTCAACTCAAAAGCCATGTGGCTCGCCAAATACAAGGCTGAACCTTGACCCTCGAATGCTTAGACATCTTTGTGCGACAAAAACATGTGGCATCATGCATCATGCCGCCGCCCCTTACGCAAACGCACCTCCACGGAGTAGGTATCATGAACGGGTTTCCTGCTGTCGCCAAGTATCGAATTATTGATCGAAGTCATGTCCGGTCGGATAAATCTCCGCCAGCCTTATCTCATCAACGACCATATTGAACCAGATTGCCTTGGTACATGGACGTAGAATCACCCTCATCTACCACCCCAGCTGTTCGCTTACAACGGACAGGCTCAAAGCAGTTGAGAATATGCAGGGAGCCGACGAGGCGTTCAAATGCCGGGGCTTGCTGTTAATCCCGGACCATGGTTTGCCCAGCCTGTCCATTTTCTCTTTTCTGTCGTTGGGTCCAGGGCTGGACTTGAAATAACCTCCAGATCAAGCGACGACATAAATCGGTCCCCTACTCCGTACATGTACTGTACCCCAAATAGCTTCCATAATAAGCGACGACATCCCGTGTATTCGATCTGGCTCTTTCTGCTAAGTAATGACAGAGACCGTATCTTTCATCATCCTCAACCAACGGCGGAAGCTGGGTCCCGTTGTGGAGTATATGCGCATGTGTATGAGATACGCTTTTCGAATTGAAAGGGAGACGACGCAAAACTCTTGGCTGATAGAATAGGATGGTCCGATCTTCGGCGTACACTTGCGCATCTCAACATTCGGTCGAGATTCTGTTGCTTTCTTCAATAATACCAAAAAGTCAGCCTTGTATCTTCACATCTCTGTTTCTCAACAGCATCTCCAAAAGCGGCTCGTCTTCAACGCCCACTACACTCACCTCAGTCAATACTCCGAATGATCTGTCAACGACGACTGTAACCTCGGCTTTTCGAACCCTCCTGCTCCGCGGCCATGGTATCGGGGCAGGATGGTTTCAACGTTCCTTTGCTTAACACCACGCATATATTCGGCTTGTTCAGGGGAGACCTTGTAGTTTGCCTCTGCGTCGTTGATGTCGCCATAGTAGTGTCGGCCTACTGCCGCTATTACGACGACAAGGCATGCGCAACACACCAGGACGATGATGATTGTTGCCGATGGACTCAATGCTCCCATTGTTGTGTTTGTCTTGTCGAAAGAGCTTGAAATGTGGTAGGTGCGCGACAGCTGCGCTCTGGGTTTACCGATTTCCGTGGTTGATGTTGCGGTGACCTGAGGATGAGTGTGAACCTCAGGCCCTTCTTGTAGTCCTGCTCCAACCCCAGAATCGCTCTTGTTGACCCAGGATCAACATGCAGATAACCGCTAATGGCTCCTACTTCTTCCTTCGATTGTAAAGGGAAGACTGTGATAGGCTATCGTTGTGCCTATTCTGTGCATACGGTACCACACGCGATACGGTCTTCTATACGATACGGTTATACGATACGGCGCATACGACCGCGTTCATGCTTTCCGATAATCAACACAAGCTGCCCTCTCGTGCGCTGAAGTTTGTCACTGTATTTCACCATGTTCTTGCTCAAAGTCATCTCCCACGGAGACCCGTCCTTCTATCTTTTTACGTGGACGACTGCATAGGTCTTGAAGTGTCTTGCATCTTTACGACTTCGATACTACGAAATATCATGGCTAGAGAGCGGCAATGATGATAGACCTATGCGCTCGAGGGAATGGACGTGTAAACGATCGATGGTGAGTACTCTAGAAGCGATTTACATTTGAATGGGGCTCACAAATTCAAGACCGTGGAAGAAGAGATATTGGCATGGGACAAACATGCTGACATTCATAATGTTGTATACGCTGGTTAGGGCTACTATCTGAAAGAGCCTCATCTGAGAATTACAGCCTATTGGAATAACTCTATGGCATCCAGGATCTATTAATGTCAGTATGTTGCTCTGAAGATGTGGCTCGACGAGATGGCTTACGAAGTTTGGCGCCAAGTAAGAGGCACCACTCGAACCTGATGCAACAGTTATGGTAATGGTGTTTGCTCCGGCAACCAGAGTACCAGCAGGAATCTTGATATCATAAACCTCGCCAAATCCACGATACGCTCCTCTCGTCACGCCACGAGAATCAATTTTCACTGGAGCGGCGGGAGCAGCAGCGCTGTAGCTATTGATCTTGGCTTGAGGTCTGCCACTCGCAAACGCCAGGGTGGTACCGATGCGCAGAGTAGCGGCTCCGGCCTGAGCTGCTGATAAAGTGAATTTGATCGTGAAGGGGTCATTGACACCTTTGAACAGTGCCATCGGGACGTCTGTCAATTTACTTGTACCGACGGTATATGTAAGAGGTCCCCAGCTGGACATGCGCTTGTCAGATGGATGCATACGAAGTTGCTTGTCGGCATTGAGGAATCCAGTAGGCTGACCATCCCAGCTACCGATCGTCCAGATCGTCTTGCGCGCAGTGACTCCAGATGCGATACTCTTACTTGCTGTTGATCCAGCAGTGACGGCTACAGTAGTCTCAGCTACCTTGAACTCGGTCTGATAGAGGACCATCGTGTAGGTACCAGGTCGCATGGGTGGGGAGGTGAAGCTGCCGCCAGAGTTTGCATATGTCCAGTACTGATTGTTTGTATTATACCAGTGAACAACAGTCTGGAAGGAGCTTCCAATACCAGAGGCTGTACCGGAGACTCGACCACGACCAGAGTCAGCCATATATCCAGTGACTTGGATGTCTGAGAAGAATGATGTATCGACGCTGCTGACCGCCGGGATACCCGAGCGACTAAACACAATAGCATAAGGACCATGAAGGCCTTGACGGAAAGACTCTGTCTGCACATGCCCAGAGTTCATGTAGAAGTAGAGACCAGTGTAATCGCCGACATTGTTGGAGTTGATGTCTCTGTGGAAAGGTCCACCACTGGAAGCTTCATACGCAGGATTGGGAAGAACCATACACGCATGAATTGGATCCGAACCATCTCGATAGACGCAATGCACCTGGTCATCGATGAAGCGCTGACTGGAGTAGAACTTGCTTCGTGTCTCGCCGTTAACAACAAACACGTCCGACCCTTCAACGGTGGAAGTACTCCCAGCAATGGTCGAAGCGGCACCGAAAGGATACTCCAGAGGCAAAGACTTGGAGTTGAGACGAGCGATGAATCGCAATTCGCCGATAGTAGGTTCAGCTGTGGTATATGTGGCCATGTACAGGGCGCTGTCGCCACTCTTGACAACGATGTAATGAGTCAACGTGCTGGTCTTGCAAGTGATCTTGGCATATTGACTGGCGATGACTTCTCCAGTCACGGTTGCAGATCCGAGACCTGAGCTGATGTGGGATCCTGTGCTTTTATACTGGAGCTCCTCGCCACGGTAGAGAATGGATGTGATATCACAGCTCTTCTTGTTGACGGTCACGACAAGCGTATTGGACGCTCCAGCATCGACAACATAACTGTCGGTGTTGCTGGTGAGTCCAAAGGCCGCGGAAGCCAAGGGAGTAAAAAGTGTAAGAGCCGGAAGAAGAATGCTTGAGAAAAGCATGGTGAATGAAACCGGAGAATATCTTGAGCGCGAGAAGTGTTGAACGTCTCGAGCCCGCTCTTTATGTGTCGAACAGGATCATGTCGAAGCAATGCTCCCATTCCCGAGGGCAAAACAAAACTCCCCTCCCGACTACGTGCGGACAGACCGTTTCACCACATGTACAGAGGAGCTCCACGAAACTCGCTTACCTGCAGAGACGATCAATAGGAAGAATTCAGCCATGGTTCTGCAAATAGGTGAGACTCGGCCGATTGCTTGTCTCCAGGGGTAAGCATTGGCGATGGAGTTGATGGCGGTAGTGTGAATTTTTGAGAGGAAAATCCGACAAGGAATGCTATAGGTGGAAGTTCAAAACCGCAAAGCCTAAGCAGAGGGAAATCTGTCGGTGATGGATACACCGAGTGGTAGAATAGACTTTGGTATTGCAACGTGAGGGTACATCCGGGAGGCTCACGTGAAGGCAGTTGTGGAGGATCGGCAAGCCTAGCACAGTAGACTAGCGATATAGGTAACTTGGTGCAGTGGTAAGGAATAGGGGAGGAATGGCGTTCAGATGGTGGGAGAATAGTGACAGTGGTACAAGTATAGAGTGGTTGGTTGCATGGGTTGTCGTCTGAGGTTGATTATGGGTTTGGCTTGGCGAGGCAGTAGCGAGGGAGGATGCATAAAGAGGCTGCACAGTAATGCAGCTACCCCACGTTCATCTACAAGGTTGCACCTGCCTCTGAAACCAAATTTCTACATCAACAGCAGAATGAAGCGGATAGTCGGCCAATCTCGCGCTAACCATGTCGCTCTTCGGTGGAGGGGATGATAGTGGCCCGCCGTCGCCCAGCCAAGCAAGCGACTTTTCCATCAGCACCATCGGCGAGGATCAATCACGCACGGCGCATTCGGAAGGCTCGCCCGACACAAACGCTGGTCACGACGACTACAACGACCACGACGATCATGAAGAGCAGGCCGACGGGGGTGCCGGTGGGGGCATTGAAGAGATGGAAGATGGGATAGCCAGCAGGAGTCCATCAGCAATGTCAGATACTAGCGACGTCGAAGTTCGGCCCAATCGCTTCCGAGGGTCAGACCGCGCATGGCTACACCACACACAGCCCGACCGTTCCCTGGCCCACTCGCTCGACCAGCTAGCAGCAGACGACCTGAGCTTGCACCTCTACAGCGCTCATCATTTGAAAGCTCGCTTGCGTCAGCGTGTTCCCTCCTCGTCCACATCCTTCAGACCATGGAGCAGGAAAAGTCGCTGGCTTTCCACCAATCAAGACGTCGAGAAAGCGTGGTATCCTGAACCTGACTGGACTGCATGGCCACTTCCTCCTGATAATGCTCCTGCCGGCAATGAAGTCTTTGGCCGACCGAACGATGGACTGGATGCCTACACTCTACGCACTGCTAACCAAGCGACCCCGGCTGACAATATGCGAGAGCAGTTGCATGCTGTTCTCCTAGCTCGCGCGCACCTTGCTTGGAAGGAAGAAACTCATCAACCAGTGGCACCACGCAATGTCACGCCTAAGCTTCCCGTTATCCCTACTCGACTTTCTCCCGCAAGCCGTGGTCGCACTCGATCCTTATCAATAGGCGCAAGTTCAGCCCCTTCGTCGCCCTCAGTAGGTGATGACCTGCCTCCAATGTCATCGTTGGACCAGTCGATCATCCTGCAAGAAGCCCAAGGCCAAGTCGACTCTCCTCGCAATGGATCCATCAAGGACGAGGATGAAGAAGAGAAGGAAGATGAACACCTCGCTCGCCCCGTCTTTTCGGCCGACGACGATAGCTCTCGTGCTCTCCTGGATCCAACTGTCAATCACATCATGTCCAAACTAGACAAGCTATTACTAGCCTTGCACCAAAGCAGACAGGCACATCTGCACCGCGCGAGAGATGGAGACACCTCGGATTCTTCTGCAAGATCAAACTCGACATCACGCTCAACATCGAACAAGCCAGCCAAGAAGCCGTCCAAGAAGGCATCTCAGCCCAAGACCACAGCTACTGCTCGAACTAGGCACAGTCGTCGAAACACAGGCCCTGCCTCCCGTCAGTCCAGTCCGCAAGATCTCGTCGTATACGATGATTCAGGCGAAGACGAGACATATGAACCAGAAAAGCCTAAAAGACGTTCTCCTTCTGTCAGCGCAGAGCCCGAAGCTCATGATACATCTCCGGAGGCCAAGAAGCGACGCAATGCTCCTAGGCCAGGCTTGAGAGATTGGAGCGAGGTCTTGGGTATTGCTAGTCTGAGTGGATGGGATCCGTTAGTCGTTGAGAGAGCTCGTCAACGATGCAGCAAACTGTTTGGAGAAGACATGCACCTCTACACCATGGCTGAACATGGCGACTCTTCTGCTGATGAAGCCGAGCATGTGGGTCAAGTACTGACCTCACGCTCGAATCAATCAGCAAGCTGGCGATGTCCTCTCACCAACTGTTTCCGCAACATGCAGCCTCTTGAGCACGGATTCCGCTGGCGTGAACACATGCGCAAATCACACAAATACGACAACGACCAGATTGCCAATCTTGAGGAGCAGTTGACTCGATCTGGAGATATCGTTCCTTTTAGACGCCATCGCGTACTGGCTCACAATCCCAGAGGTTGGCAGCCACCAAATCCACTCAAGTGTCCGCACTGTCCAAGTTCTATATCCTCTTTTGCCAAGGTCAGTCGTTTGGTCGATCATATCAGGCGCCGTCACAAGTACGATCCACGCATAGAAGACCCGCCTGAACAGCGAGCGAACCGACAGAAAGATGTCACCTCCGATGAATCGAGCAGCTCCGCCGAGGACAGTGATGATTACATGGTGGGCGGTGTCCACAATGATGGGTTCTTACAACCTGTTTTCAGGCATGCTGGTACTCGTGGAAGAGACCTTGAACAACGAGCAAAGAGAGCCAACGCCCGCCGCTCAAAGGCCGAGCTTAAAAATCTGAAGAAGCGAAAGCATCTGCAAGGTGGGGATTAAAAGGAAAGACAGGAAGGTGAGTAGACATTAGCCCTTTGACAAAGAACAAATAGAATCAGAACATTGTCGGCATTTCACATATCTTCGAGCTCATCAGGAAGTGTATCCCATCGTCACTCTCACATTTGGAATCCATCTGCCTTCGAGAACAGGATGATGAATCGGGCTCTTCTTTCCACGATCGCTCTTCACGCAACCGTGAGATTGTATGATGATGTTCTGAACCAGTGCTTCGTCCAAACAAAGTAATCTACGTAACGTCTTTCCACGGACGGCAGGTGAGTTCTCTTCAGTCGTCGACGACATCATCGCCAACACCGTGTTCTTCCACATACAAAAGCTCTCTTCATCTTCACTGAACAACGTGCCTTCGACAACACACGATTCGGCGTTCGCTCTCACAACATAATCCACACACTTTCTGTTCATCTTTCTTTCTCTTTCACCATCAGACCTGCACATCCGCATCTCCATCTGCACAATCCCACAAAAGTTACACATCTTCATCAACCACGTCATCAACAAAGGTATCACATCACGCGTGACTCCATCACACTGGCCACACTAACACCTCATCAGATGACCACCTTCAATGAACGCGAGCAGAAGCTCATGGCCGCTGCCTGCCAGTCGTTCGAGGGAGAGCCCAAGGTATGTTTCCTCTTTTCATGCCTCTGATAATTCATCACTGACATGGTTTTTATAGCTCGACATCCACAAGGTACATCACATATCGTCTCTTCCTATAACCCATTACTAACACCATGACCTCAGTTCGCTGAGCGCTCCGGCCTCGCCGTCGGCTCTGCCCGCAATGCCTGGGCTGCACTGAAGAAGAAGCTCTATGCCGCCGACACCACCTCAATCAAGGGTGTCACCAAGACCCCTGCCAAGTCCTCTGGAAAGAAGCGCCCTGCTCCTATCGTCCTGCCCGGCAACGACGATGCTTCTGATGATGAGGAGGTCTCCACCCCTTCCAAGAAGCCCAAGACTCCCAAGACCACGGCCAAGGGAAGAACCAAGTCACAGGCAAAGCCTCCAAAGTCCGACGACGAAGAGGAGGACGAGGAGGACGGATTCGTGAAGGTCAAGGAGGAGCCTCTTGGAGAAGACTTTGAGGAGGCTTAGACGTTCTGATTTGCTTCAATGCGACTCAGAATTAGTCCGCAGACATGATGGAACGAACAGCGAGATTACAAATCCAAGAAGAGGAAGGACACTGCTTACTGATGAGAAGTTCGCGAAAGAAACTGGGGAACCATGATCGAGCAGAATATCAAAAAGTCTTCTCGATAACTTGACAGTCAATCGTCTGTACCGTGTGTGTGATATGATGGTGTACTACAGCTCAATAGACCTGTGTCTCAACAATGGCAATGATGATTTGACTCGCAACGCCTGACCCATTTCCTGATACCAAAACACCTACCAACTCCCTCAGAATTGTGATTCACTTCGTCGCTTGACGACGCTTCAATAGTAGTTCCCATCCAACACAGCCTATGTTTATCCTTCACTCTCCAATCGCCAACACCCCATCTTTCCTTCCACCTTTCCCCTTCCTTCTGCATCCACCTCCTCCTTCGCCCAGCCCACCATCTTCATCACTATCTACCCCTCCCCCATTCAACAACCACACCATGGCACCCAAGACTCTTTCTCAGCGCGACATCGAGGTGATGGCCTTTGCTTTCCAAAGCCTGAAAACTCCTCCCGAGGTTAGTAACATCACTTTTCATCCAAGGAAGAAAGTGGTTAGAACTGATTTGACGTGCGCAGATTGACTACGACAAGCTTGCTGAGAAGGCCGGCTACAAGAACGGAGCATCTGCTCGCGCCTGCTTCAAGGACATCAAGAAGAAGATGTTTGTCAATGACGATGGCGATGGTGAGTTTTTGTGGTTGCGCCTTCCTGATGTTTCTGGCGTCGTAATGCCGATGCCCTTTCTTTGAATTCCCGATCAATTGCACCTTCCCAGAATGCACTTTCCTATTTCGTTCTGTGTTTTCTCTTCATCTTCATTTCTCACTCCATCACATATCCTCCTCCCACTCACCTGCATCAAACTCTTTCTGCGTTTCATCATTCATCACCTACCATTGATCATACTTCATCATCACTTCTCCCATCATCGAGCTAACATATCACAACAGCTGGCCCCGCCGTCTCCAAGAAACGCACTCCCGCCAAGTCCAACAAGCGCAAGCAGCCTACCCCCGACGACTCCTCACCTACCCTCGCCGGCTCAAGCCCTCCTCCCGAGCTCCAAACCCCCATGAAGAAGATCAAGAGCACCACCCCCAAGCGCAAGACCAAGGCCAAACAGTCACTCACTCCCGAAACCGAAGAGACCGACGAAGACAGAATCAACGCCAAAGCCATCGCTGCCGGTAGAGCTAGATATGTCGCCGACAAGCTCGCCGCTGAAGTCAAGGTCAAGGTCGAGCATCCTAGCCATGACGAGGAGGAGCTTGATGAGGAGAACATGGGCATGAACGTTGATTCTGGAGAAGATGAGGGTCTGACTGCCGTCGAGTTGATCGAGAAGGAGGTCTTTGGCGAGGGCGTTGAGGCTTGATCAACACTTTTTACAGATGGTATGAAGTAACGAGACCAAGGAGTGATGAGACTTTTCATGCGAGAGGATAGGAATGGGTGTATACATGGTAGTGCAAGTAAGAAGAGGATAACGGCGGTTTGAGAATTTATTCTTTTCGAAATGCACACTTACGAAAAACACCTTTCTTGCGGTTTCCAACATGATCTGAATCTTTGTCCTACACGTATAAATCTAGAAAGAGCAAGCGGCGCTTTGTATCCCGTAACCCGCATTTCGAGCGCGTCATAAGGAAGGAAGCAAGGTCTTTCGCAATGCACCTCCTACTTTTGGATGCCATCAGGAGCTCCAAAAACTTGGATGACCAGCTGTTTCTTGTTGACTAGAATTACGTCAGCAAACCACTCTTCGTGCTCAATCAGAACAAAACTTACTCTTTCCCATGGCGTTTCTCGGAATACTGTCAGCCAATTTCAAGTCTTGAGGAATCTTGAACGGCGCCAACCTATCCTTCAATCCTCTTCTCAAATCCATGGGTCCAAATGCTTTTCCACCCTTTCCGGCAGTCCTGCCTTGTTCGCTCAACACAACCACCGCAGCGACTTTTTGACCCCACGTCTCGGACGGTAAGCCTACTACTGCACATTCGGCGATTGCAGGTATCGAGAGCATTTCTCTTTCAACCTCGAGTGCTGACACCTTTTCACCTCCTACTTTGATGATGTCGGCGGAGAGACGACCGAGAATGAAGTACATGGGTCCTTGTGCCCATTCGCCAGAAGCTCCTTTTCCAGCAGAAGGAACGTTTCTCCTCACAGCCACATCGCCGGTCTTGAAGAATCCATCTTCGGTGAATTCTTTGGCTGTAGCTGTGGGATTGTTCCAGTACTCCTTGAAGATTGTGGGTCCGCGTAATTGAATCTCTCCACTACGTTCTTTGCCATTTGTATCGAGTTCTTCGCCGGGTTGAATGATTTCTTTCGTGTCCAAGTCGACGAGACGGGCTTCTACTGATGGGAGAGGCCAGCCTACGCTTCCGTCTACGCGATCTTCATTTGCTAGACCGCAGGAAAGTGCCATGCCTACTTCTGTCATGCCGTAGCGTTCGAGCAGGACATTGCCATTGCTCAATTCCGTCCAAGCTTGCTTTGTAGGTGTTGGTAGAGCAGCCGAGCCACTGATATTCAAGCGCATGTTCTTTGGGTCCAAGGCCTCTTTTGTCGCAGCTTGTAGCTCCGGACTAAGTGTCTTGTGGGACTGTAGCAGTCTGTTGTAGATTGTAGGGACCACGGTGAAGAAGGTTATGGGCTTTTTCGATGGGGTATTCTCCAGGAAAGGGGCGGCGAGACGGGACCAGACGGAGTCGACGGTAAAGGGGAAGAGGAACTCAATAGTACTGCCGGCGAGTAGTGGTGTTAGAAGGGCGTTGACAGTGCCGTGGATATGATGGAGAGGCAGGACGTGGAGGAAGTGGTCATTAGGCGAGTAGTGCCATGCTTCGGAGAGGGATTTCGCTTGTGCCATCAAGGTGGATTGTGGCAGGAGCACTCCTTTCTACTATACGTCAGTGTTTCCCTACATGACGGCTTTCAAGACACTTACAGGTCTGTTGGTGGTTCCGCTTGTATACAGCATCATGCCGCCCTTTTCCTCTTTCATGTCCTCGAGAACCACGTCTTCCGTCACCTTGATGCCTTCCATAATCTTCTCCCATTGTGACAGTATAGGCTTGTTCTCTAACTCGCCAGACAGGACATCATCAGCTTTGGTCGCGAATTTGGATGAAGCTGCCAGCATGCAGGCACCACTCTGATCAAGGATGTATCTCAATTCTCCGGAAGGAAATGCTGGCGACAACGGTACGGCGATGGCATTGGTACCTAGGATTGCGAGTAGCGTCACTGTTCACCGCATACCTTAGCAACTGCGTGGACCGTACAGCAAGGAAATGAGAAGCCAAGGAGATGATAGACAAGGAAATCAGAGCAAAGCGCACCTACATAGTCATAGCTGTTCTCGACCAAGAAAGCGACACGCTCGCCTTGCAAAGCTTCAGCATCTCTGCCGGAATCATTCGCAAGTCGTTGTTTGGCAGCAGCCACGTCTCTTAACAGCGAACCATAGCTGAATCGACGGCCCGAGAGTGAGTGTATCACGGCAGTACTTTCCGGATCATGCGACTTGATGGCTTCAAACAGGCGTGTGCGTGGCAGAGCAGCTAGGCCAGTCGTCGTGATGCTTCTGCTACCTGCAAGACGGTGGGAAGCTATCGGCGATACATACCGGCGTGAGATCAGCCTGGAGATACTGGTGAGCAACGGCATTCCAACTAATAGATGCGCATAGCAAAACTCCAATGCCGTGTGTCTGATCAAAGTCGTCGCATGTTCAACTATTTTGCTTTGCAGGAGCTTTGACTTTCTCGACACGCACCTTCTTTCGGATTTGTCGGCTTTAGTAAAACAGTCGCCTCTCGGACCGATAGTGTGCATGAATTCCACCTTGCTGTAACATCAACTCGAACTGCAATCCTCGCTTGTGACTCCAGAGCCCAGAGCTCCTCAGACAGGGTAACTAGACTTCTGTCATTGGACTCTTCATATTGCGTGCGTGGGGGATTCAGCATGGTGTTCGATCTAACCGTCCGCGCTTCCCGCTCAGCAACAAGACATGGTCAAGAATGTTCAAGTCTCCTAAGGGGGAACGAATGATCGCATTCCAGGTCAAAGACGATCAACAGTAGCAATTCGTTTTCGTTTAGCAGTCGCTCAATGAGATGCACTATGAATTGACAACGGCCTGTTCTCGTAATAGCACGGACGATGGACTAGATGTATTACTCATGCATCCACGAGCAAGATGCCAACTGACTTCCAAGTTACGCCGAACACTGTGTCCAAGGTTACGTCGAACATGGCTCGCTGATACTACTGTTCTGGTGATACGCTCTGCAATGCATACGAGAACGTCAACAAACCATGGTCCGCGTCAAAGCATGACCATAGAGATGACAAAGTACTCTGTTACTTCGTCTATCAGACTGACGTATAAACTAAGCGTAGGCACGGAGAATTCATGCCAGAACTGGGCTCCCAATCTGCCCGGGCTCTTTGTAAACAGCTATCACAAACGAGATGTTCTTCGGCGTATAAAAAGCCGTCTAGAGAAAGGAGGGGGGACTACACCCTCTCCATCCATCGTTGAAGATATGCTGTTTATTGATAGGCGATGCGATGTCAAATCTACGTTCAGAGATCTCGGTCCCTGTGCGAGTTTTCTTCATGACCTCAAAATCATCGGCCTTTCTGACCGTTATGCTCCACACCATATCCGATGGTAATTGCTATGTTCACCCTTGAGCCCTGACATAGCAGCAAACTCTATGATTTGATCAGTGTGTAATTGGAATGCTGAACGAACAAAGGCCCGACTTCCTCATATCAACGATTATCTTTTGCATCAGTGTGCCAACGTTCTGATCTCGAAATGGCTTGGAAGACAAAACTCTATGCATCGAGAGACCCAGACCCAGAACGGTCTTGATCGACTTCCAGATATAAGTACGAGGATGTTGAATAACTGAGGATGCTCAACTTTGTCATTGAAGTCGATTGCCTTCATTCCGAACACATACTAACATCTTCTCAAGCCTTCTACCATCTCTCAGAAATCAGGATAATCAACCATGGGGTATTTCTCGAGAGGAACTTGGGCGAAGGATGAGGATCGTATGCTTGGGCTCCTCGTCAGCACACTTGGTCCACAGTCCTGGCTCGAGATCTCCACCTCGATGGGAACAAGAACCGCGAAACAATGCCGTGAGAGATACCACAACTTCCTCAAGCCAGATCTCGTCCATACTCCCATCACCATAGATGAGGCAAAGATCATTGTTGTCATGGTCGCACAACATGGTCGACGTTGGGCAATGATTACCAAGTCTTTGAAAGGTCGCAGCGAAAATGCGGTGAAGAACTGGTGGTATAGTTATGCTCATCGCCAACGTCGGATTACCAGAGGCAACACTCGCCTTGAGTCTGAACGTCAGATGTTAGAAGATACCGATCAGGCGGTCAAATCACAACCCACCAAAAACAAGACGACCCAGTCCACCCATTCTCAGATCACTCCTCAGCACATGCACGGCCACATATATTACCACAACTGGTCATCTAAGCCCACCAAAGTCAAGCATCATACCCCTGGCTTACTCAGCACCGACAAAAAAGATCACACATCAACTTCAATCCCCAAACTTGATCCATCAACCAGAATCCTACCACCCATCGCTGGTTTGCAGGTACAAAACCTGGACCAGTTCAAGATTGAGCTCAAGGCTTCCTTACAGCGGACGCGAAGACCGGCCGTTCAACAGATGTCGCCTGTCCTGCAGTCATCTCCTGTGCTGTACACGTCGCCTTCACACCACGGATCAGTCGCTTCTCCATCCGGCCCGCCATCGATCTTCGTGACAACCCCATGCCATGGTGGCCTGCCTGGTGAGCGAGTGTACTCTCATTTGGTTAACCAAGACCGCTCTTTGCAGTCAATTCAAGATAGGAGCCTGGGGTACGTCGACCGTGGATCTCGAAGCGCTCACCACGCGTCGACACAGATGATGATGCGGCAAGACATGCGCTCACGGGAGAATATTCAGACATCATCCGGAGGAATGGCATGCGTTTCTCGATATTGACATGGCAAACGGCTGCTCGTCTTGGACTTGAGGTTTCTGCTTGTAAAGGGGGAAAGGATAGCAGGCGTTTGGCGTATGGAACGAACGGTTGTGTATGTGTTGCGTCGGCTTTAACACGGAGTTCTGGCTGGTATGTCCGATATGAGCGGAAGGAGGGGTTCAACATCATTGCACATAAATGAGACCCTCGCAGGCAGTAATATCATCTCAATTTAATCCTGTATTCATTCAGTAAACCATGTCTTCTTCATCTGATCGCAAAGTCATCTTCGTCACCGGTGCCAACACTGGTCTAGGACTCGAAATCATCAAAGCTCTGTGCAAATCCACCACCGCCTACCACATCTTCCTAGGCAGCCGCGACCCAGTCAAAGGCGAAGAAGCAGCGAAACAGGTCCAACAGGAACTCCCCTCCACACAATCAACCATCCAAGTCATCCAAACCGATCTCTCCTCCGATGACTCTCTCGAAAAAGCAATCGAGACAATCTCCTCCACCACAGGACACCTCGACATCCTCATCAACAACGCAGGCGCCAGTTTCGACGGTCAAATCAAATCCAACAAGATGAGTATTCGAGAAGCTTGGAATGGCTCTTGGGACACCAATGTCAGCGGCACTCAAGTGTTGACCACACTTGCCATCCCCCTGTTGCTCAAATCCTCAAATCCACGTCTTTTGTTCATGACAAGCGGTACTTCATCTCTAATTGAAACGGACAAATTTGGTCATCCTGCTATGGCGAGGATAAACGCTAGTCCGGAAAAGGGGTGGCCGAAGGACAAGGGGTTGAATCCTATTGTGTCGTATAGGAGTACAAAGACTGGGTTGAATATGTTGATGAGGGATTGGTGTCGTGTGTTGAAGAATGATGGTGTCAAGGTGTGGGCTATTTCGCCTGGGTTCTTGGCTACTGGGCTTGGTGGTGTGGGACCGGAGATATTGAAGAAGGTATGTGTGATTGAGATTTGTCGTGCAGGAACCAAGCTGACATAATGCACAGATGGGCGCTCTCGATCCCTCGGTCGGCGGAGGCTTTACTGTCGATGTGGTAGAGGGCAAGTATGACGAGCATGTCGGCAAGGTGATCAGAAAAGACATGGTACAGCCTTGGTGATCGATGGAAAGAGGAAAGGAAGATAGTGTTTTGATCTGACTACTTCGAATCCCAACCCCAAGCTCTTTTGATGGCATCTCCAACAGTCTCTCTACCACGTTCTTTTCTACCTTCTCTTGTCTTCTTCTCTGCTTCAAAGTGATCATGAACGACAGCGGCGTACTCAGCATTGGCTCTTGCTTCACCAGCCATGAGTTGAATCTCAATCTCACGTTCAGCAGGAGTCTTGTCGGCCAGAGATTGTTCCAAAGCTTTGCGCTTCTCTCCTGCGTACATGTCTAGACCTTCTCTTTGTGTTTGTGTTGAAGCAGCTTGAGCGGCGGCGGCTGGTTGCTGAGTACCCAATGCCTCTGCAGTTGATGTACTTGTGATGAGTGGCTTGAAGTCCGGTTTGGGCAGCTGGTTCGCCTCTGCCTCTTTCATAGCCTTCTCGCGGTCCAGCATCTCGTGATACAATTTGTCGGCATGCATTTGAATGCGTTCTTCCTCATCAGCAGTACGCTGCATACTCAAGTATCCCAACGCCTTCAAGAAGCGACTCTGCATTGTGTAGCATCGATTGAACGAGCGCGTCTGCTCCTTGCAAAGCATGAATTTCGCTGCGATACCACCACTCTCGAAACATTCATGCTCAGCCCATTGTTCCAGTGCGCAATTCTCGAGTGCTGCTCTGCCAATACGTGCTTTGCGATCATTGTATGTGTCGATGACGTCGGCTAGTCGTTCGTTTTCGCTGCGACCGGCTTGTTCGATTTGTTCTTGCGGACGGTAATTCTTCCAGAGATGCGCATATCTGCCATCTTGATACAATGATTGCGATGGCACTTCGTTCTCATTCTTCGGTGCTTGTGCGGGTTCTTGCGGTTCGTCGGGGATGCCGACTTGCGAGCGATATGATGGTGTGTCTTGCGGTAAATGTGTGGGTTGTTGCTGCTGTTGCTGTTGTCGCGTCTTCGACTCGCTGTTCAGAAAGTCTCGTAGCGAGGGGTCCAAGCTGTCCACCGCGCCCTTGGTGTCGATATTGCTGTTGTTTCCCCAGAACCAGCCCATTTTTGTGTGATGATATTGATGATCGAGAATGTTCAATGCCTTGCGGAGGTTTACTGCGGCCTGCGTTCAAGCTGATTGGCCAACGGCTTTTGCCGCGTTTTTGCGGACTGCGCTTTCCCCACTCGAACGTCCGCCTGACCTCTTGTCTTCCTTATCAACACGCTCAACTGACGGAATGGGTTCACCAAGAATGAAAGAATGAAAGAATGCCCAAATCTCTCAAACGAAAGAGATTCACTTATCAACTTCTTGATTACTGTGGTATATCTGCATCCACATCTTGAGGAACAATCGGAACAAGCATCTTGGAAACACAAATGACATTCAAATGCTACATAAGCGACCCCCAACAAGCCTTCTGAACGAGTGACAGAATGCTAGTTGAAAGATCAAGAAGAAACTGTCTGAAAGAGTGACAAGAAAGTTACAAATGTCCAAAAACACAACATCTCAGAAACGAATGTAGGGGTTTTGCTGCCGTCTCTTCATAGTCGGGAGTTGAGAGCCCAACTTACTCGGTATCCAAGCAAAGGTTCCTGCCCTTTACGAAGCTTTGTAGGTGGAGTTAATGGCACCGAACTTGACGTTGCTGAAGGTAACGGCAGCGTTGGCTTGCTGGGACTCGACATCGCTAGGCTTGCCCGAGGTGGTGGCACAAGTACCGCGAGCAGCACCAACCTTGTTGGATCCAACGGGGTAGGTAGAGTCGAGCCAGAGCATGTTGGCAGTGTGGTCATCCCAGACAGAGAAGACAAGAGCCATACCAGCATCGAGGTCCTTACCGAAGGCAGCAAGACCACCCTTCTCAGAGAACTCGTCGGGGTCACCAGTAACCTTCTTCTGTTCCTTGCAGAACTTGTCGGTGATCTGGTTGGTCTTTGTGATTCCGGGGATGTTGGTGTCGGCTTGCTGGATGACCTTGCCGTTCTGAACGTAGATACGGCGGATGGCAGTGAGAGTACCAGTGGCAGTATTGTCAGAAGTCAAAAATTGCGTTACCACACTCATCTTAGACTTAGAGTCAACAGTCTTGCCAGGTCCGAAAAAGTTGGGTGCACCGAATCTGTAGGGGTTGAGATCGCATCCATCCTTGTCGCAGTAGCCGTCGTAGCGGGACTCGCCAGAACCGCAGGTAGTGTTGCCAGTGCAAGGGCCGTTGGTGGAGCAAGCATGAGGAGTAAGAGCAGTGGAGATGGAGTTCTATGGTGAGTGTCAGTAAGGATCGAAAAAAAGAAGAAAAAGGAAAAGATAAAAGGAGAGAAAAAAGAATTGAGAAATTGTAACTTACAGCCTCCCAGATATCCATCTCGGCACAGCAGGAGCCGGTGTTTCCTTCTCCGGAGTTGGCGTCACCGTTCGATGGCTTCCACCCTTCGACGTTGGCCTGTAAAGCGAGTTAGTAGTCTTTCTGGAAGCGACCAGTACGTATTGACACACCTTTCCGGCGATGAACTTGAGGTCTCTGGGGCACTGAGCATCACAGTAACCGGTACCAAGCTTGGCACCAGCCTTGTTGGTTGGGTACTTGGCAAGACCACCATCGGCGTCCATCTTGACAAAGTACAAGGCACCGTTGATACCGCAGCCTGAGAGATGATCAGTATGTACCAGCGAGACACTGACCAGAACAAGAGCTTACCAAGTCCAGACACATCAACATCGAAAGTGAACTCTTGGTTCTTCAGCTTGAACAACTCGTACTTGTCGCCGTTGATGAGGTAGACACGAGATCCGATGTTGCTGCCTTGCTTGAGCTTCAGGCTGACAGAGTTGCCGCTGGCTTGGATACCGTAGGTTCCAGTGTAGTCTGGAAGAGAACAATCAGTACGTGTTTCTCGAGCAAGAAGTTGACGGCCACTCACCTGCTCCATCCAAAGCACAGTTGGCAGCACATGCTACATTGTTGGGACACAGCGACGCGTCGAAAGTGTTGCCAGTGTAGCAGTTGGTGTATCCACTGGTAGAGTGGAGCCAGCGCCAGTTGGCATCGAGCACAATGTTGGTGTTGACAGTTGTGCAAGTTCCTCCGGTTGTGCAGCGTTGGTAGCTCATGGGAGGGTGGTTCTCAGCAGTCGAGGTGCCAGCCTGCTGACCCAGGACTCCATGGCCGAGAGCCAGGATGGTTGCCAAAGTAGAGGCAGAGATCATTTTGATCGGAATGAGAGAGTCTGATGGTGGAAGAAGAGAGTTGAGAAGCTGTCTGATCTGGTTGTTTCAGAGCGAAAGGTCTTCCATATTTATATTCGAATGCTGACACTCGACATGCATCGCGTCGCCTGCCTTCTCCCCGAAGAGGCCATTACCAGACGGTCTCTCTACCAATGCGCTGCTAACAGTGATCCAGTCGAAACAGAGATGGACATGGAGCCCAAGGTTCCCTTTGCGCAGACCTGCATACCTGCACGTTGCTCGCTTGCAACGTTCGAGAGGGCAGAAGATGGAACATGACAGCTGACTATGCTTTCCAAGGTGTCGTTTCGTATTCAATCTATTCGAGAATTTATCCGTGTCGGCTGTAAGAGGTAAAGAAGGATCAGAGAAGGTAGTAAAATTAAGGCCTTGCATAAGCTTCCCCTCGTTTTGCGTCCCGCCCCGCACCCATGCACCCCAGAGATCTTGGGCGCCAACATGGAGTTGAAGTGGGATTAATCTCCGGTTCAAAGTACATGGAGACATTGTCCGGTTGTCTCTTCCTCTCGCGGATTCTATACCGATTCAGACTATCGCCATTCGAGGCATATGGTCGAATATATTGGCGGGCCGAGGCTCCGATGGAAGGCCATCATATGGACAATCACCTTCTTAGCTTGCAGATTTCAAGCCATGATACATTACTTACGTCCTTAACATTTAGAGAAAGGCTCGCTTGACCCATGGTCCTTCGATGGCTGGCGAAGTGACGTTCTAGTCCATCTCGAGTGGGTGAGCGGGCCGGCTCGCCATTAGCATCACTATGGGGAAGGAAGCTATACTATTGCTCACAAGTCTAGACGATCATTCATGAGCCTCACTCGAGGTCAAGTTCTTCCGGCCGAGGCTTGCATAGGAATGCCCCTGCTTCTTACAACCGATCTGTTTCTCCGCCAATAATTTATGTGATAACACAGATTTCACGACACCAGCATACCGCCGTCGAACTTAGTAGCGAGCCCTAGGAACCGCAGACCATGTCATGTCCTGGTCAAGTATGAAACGTGGCTGCATATCACGTAACACTATGCCCATGCGGCCGTACCCGCAAACAAGTCATGCGAAGCCCTGCATTAATACCAAGAACTATGCTTAAATTGCTAGGGCGGGGTATGGGGTGTACCTGACAGGTTGTCGATCATCCAGACTTCTGCACTATAAGCCTCGCCTATTGTTCTTGCAAAGTCTTGGTCGAATCAGGGCTAGCCCCTGAGTGAGCAGGCTCGATCATTCGTGGTCATGATTTATGCATTCTAAAATTTTAGGAGGCAGTGCGGATCAGCACAGTAGAGATTTCCATCTGATCTCCGGATAAACACAGTACCAATCATGTTGACTATACGATATGACAGCACTACAGATCCGGCACTCCTACTCCTCTTCAACTTCGCGTCTGGTGACATGCGCTCGACCGAATGCACAATAATCTGAGAACAGTAGAGCCGTCATGGAAGCGACTGACCGAGGCAATCTCACTGGAAGTGGCTATGGTTCGTGAAGGACTGTGCATTTCTACTGCAAACTACTTGAAAGCCTCAAAAAGGCGAAAGCAAGGTAATGACTGCGGGGAGAAGAAAAGGTAGTGAATGATGGGCAATGATTGGCGGAAACGACAGACAGGCAAAACTCAATGCCAAGCGAATGTGTTGATGCACGAGGCTCTTGCCTTCGCCACCTCCTCGAGCTCTCTTCATTCATGCTCGAGATAAATTGTTTAGACATAGAGAGCGGGGTTTGCGTTTCTGAGTAGTTGCTCGAAGTAGGCCTGGAACCAAGTACCAGCTTCAGGGGCAGGCTTGAGAGCATCTGCATATCCACAGTGGGCGTCATATCTGGCAGCAGAAGTGTCCGAAGTTCCGTCTGATTCACCACCTGGCTTGACCCAGACAAAGGCATCCACAAGCGCATCTCCGGTGTTTGTAGTTGGGCGGACACCAAAGCCAGTGCCAATGACGTTGCACCAGTCACCTTGCTGCAATTGAGCAGTAGGCTGAACGCCTGAACGGCCTTGGTCGACAATGAAGTGTGCTGGGAAGCCTTGGGCGGTGAGAAGAGGAGCAATAGCGTTGATGTAGTGCTTCTCGTCGTAGTTGGGATTGCTCTCGGTGTAAACGGGCTTGCTGGCAAGATCGAAACCGTTGTAGTTGGAGACGTCAGTGACGAGACCACGAAGAGCCTTTGGCTTGCCTGCGCCTGCGTAGACACTTGCAAAGAGATCAGCGGCAGGTCCAATGTTGGCGGGCCATCCGAGCCATCCGCTGTGAGCACCGTCGATGTACATGGAGACATTGTCGAAGTTCAAGGTCTTGAGGGCATACTCAACACCACTGATGTAGGTATCGTGGGCTTCTTGACACTTGGCCACTCCCAGATTGGTAACGAGATTACCGAGACTGTCAGGCTCGATGAGGAGAACAATCTTGGTCTTGGAGTGTTTCTTGACAATGGCTGCGATTGAATCGACGTATGCCTTGTACTTGGTGAGACCATCGTTTGCGACAGTCAGTTCACCGTTGGAAGCCAGAGCAGCGCAATCACGGTTGGGAAGATCGTAGACGACGAAGCCACCAATGATTTCGGGACTGGCTCCAGCAGCGTTCTGCTTTTCGATGTCGGTCAGGTAGGTATCCATGGTGGGTACTTTGGCAGCAGTGTCACTTGATTGGATGTCAGTATCTGTCAATGTTGTTATCTTGACACAAAAACTTACAGCCAGACAAAGGTTCCAATCTTTGCAACTGCACTAGCTTTTGGCTTTAGACTGGCTGGAAGAGAAGGAATGGCGGCGGCAATCTCAGACGCGTAGAAAGGGTTTGCGTAGAGCTGTCTGCCAGCAAAGAAATTTCCAGCGGCATTGGTAGCACCAGCAGCTGAGGTGGTAGGTGATGTAGCAGTAGAGGTGCGAGACGTAATCAAGGTTGTGCCTGCACCAGAAGTAGTCGTGGTGGGTCGGGCAGAGGTTGTGACAGGCTTTGTCGAGGTCGAGGTCGATGTCGGTCCAGCTGCGCCAGAGACACACTGGAAGTAGTCTGGGGTATGTCAGTACTAAGACTTGAGTATCATCCATCAAATCCACGCACAAGGGTTGACACTTGAACAGGCCAATCCTGCATCACAAGAGCCGGAGCCTGACCAGTTGGTGCCGCCGCACTGTCCCCATTCGGAGATGGCAAGAGCAGAGGGAATCAGTGCAAGCAAGAGAGCGGGGATCATCTTTGCAAACTGTGAAGAAGATTATGGTTCCTTTGAGTTGACCTACCTGTGTTCCATGGGCTTTTATATCAATGCCGGCTATCGATCGAACACGTGGAATGGCGCGATGCTGTAGGGTGTGTATAATCCCAAGCGAGATAATCTAGACTTCGCCAACGTAGTCTCGGAAGGATACTCAATCCGCGTCCAGACTTGAACGTTGTGACTCCATGCACATGAGATGAATGTCAGGTTTGATTATCTTGGCTTCCAGTCCATTTAGCCGCTGGCGGGTGCTTGCAGATGTGTCAAGACATGCTTCCATGACCCCTGACAGAAAGCCACTTTCGTCCCTTGCAAGTTCCACAGGTGTGCATACTTGACTTGAGTATGGCACTAGGAAAATTTAATGCATGATCCACAGGGCGTGTCCTGGTGGATGAACGGTGGATGCGTGCAACAAGGTCGGTTAAGCATCGCAACTCTTGATTCGGACTTAGGCTGTAGACGATAACGAGGTTGATGAAGCTTAGATGTCGACATGCAGGAGGTCTATCATCCAGAGTTTATGAAGATGCGGGGTGTGAGGGAAGTGAGGTCGAAATTGGAAAGAGGGCATACCAGCGGGTAGACTTCGGGACGTGTGCCTGCCGGCTCAGAACGGGCAAGATTGATTGAGACACCTCTCCTCGATTATCTCCCACGAATTGCAGTATGCAAGTGTTGCTCTGCCATGCGCCAGCTGACCTCGTAGTATTCGGAGAGAATGGAACCTCGGCCTAAGCCAAGTATTTGCCAGCTGACAAGGCGCTGCGCCATCGCATTGACCGACGGCACCAGATCGACCATCAAGTCAGAATCATCGCCTCGCCTCTACTAGCATGACCTTCACGAATTGAGAAAACGTATAAGAGGTCAAGAGAGGGGTACGCAAGCCTGTATCGATGGGGACGACGTCGCGACGGGCCGTCATGCCGATGTATACCACGGCTAGACCGCTCGAGCAATATCTCGTAGCCTGAGATGAATGCGAGAGCATGCCACATTTCGTCACTCGAGAGGCGCAAACTACGACGCATACTGTCTTCAGGTTGATCGGATCTGAAGTCGTGACAAGAAGCGTCACGGTTCGTGGACTCTGGCAGGTATGAGCAAACAACTACTCTCCACCAAGCTCAATCTGTGCATCATTCATACGTTCGGATTATGAAGGCAAGTTTTCTGGGCCGATGAAGTTGCTTGAGGCAAACAATATTTCTGCTTCCTCAAGAATGGGTATGTAAACTCGGTACCAATGTTAAACCTCTGCCAGTTCCTTCTCTTCCTTCACAACTTTCGGGCCTTCAATCTTCTTGATCTTTCTTCCTTCCCACCAACACATCACTCCACTGAACATACTGACTCCACATCCAAGCCCAATGAACAAGCCAGCTCCCCAGGTCGGTCGCTCAATCCTGTTGTAATGCCACATCATGAATGCCATGCCGACTTGGAATAGCGTGTTCAACACCATCATCCATACCACAAAGTCCATCTTCCAAGATGCTGTAGGAGGCGCGCTTTCTCCTGAGAAAGTCTTGCGTCGGATCAATGCCGGGTTCACCCCCTCCTCTCCTTGATCCATCAGATCGTTCTCTTGCAGGCGAAACCAGCTCACATTTCTTGCTGCTAAGCGCCTGATCGCTCTTGTGCTTCTTTCAGTGTTACGCCCAAAACGCCATACACACAGCCACCAGAGGTCTCTGAATCTCCACGGCGCAAGCCCCCAAGCCGTCAAACAGAAGAGTGCATTCAAGATTTGTGAGTCAATCTCAATCCAGATCTTGCGAGGTGAGGAGTTTGCATCACCACCATCGGGATGGTTCATGGCGGGTGCGGCTTTGAGGATGAGGAAGAAGAGCATGGCACCCCAAGCCACGACGTTCAAACCGTACATGGTGATGAGGAGGCCAGTGGGTGTTTTGAAGAAGCGCCAGAAAGCAGCGAGTCCAGTGACGATCGTTTGCTTCCATGTTTTGGGTGTTTCCGGATCCGATGTAGAGTGGTCAGAGCTCTGTATCATTGGTTCCCAAGACTTTTTGTCGGTATTGCTCTCTGCAGTCAAGGACGGTATGGGTGAGATGTTGGGTAATGTCGTTGCTCGCTTGTAGTCGCCAGGTCTCGGTGATGCAAGCCTCGTCGCAAGATGACCATCCACGTCGAAATCGATGTTGTTCTTTCGCAAGTCGGTAAGATTGGGGGCGTGTGCGATGGCTGTTCCTGTCGCAGCCCACATGCCTGGCTGAGGATCATAGCTGAGAATCTTATTTGTAGTGCTGACCGACGCTGCACGTATCCGTTCAATCTGCAATGGCAGAGAAGGCCGTCGAGGTAATGCTCCAGGTTGTGGTGATGATTGTACCATGACAGCGATGTTGTTGTGGATATGTTGAAGAGAGAGGCTACTCCAAGAAAGAGCGAGACGCCTATCTATTTACACGCCGAAAACTGCAGGCACGACGTTGAAATGCTGAATAGCCAAGACAGGGCGCGCGTACGGAAAGATCAATCATCAGACATGATGGATGAGAACCTAGAACGAGCTGAGGGGAACTTAAGCTTAATCGCATGCGCCTCCAAACATTGGAAACGCGATACGCTGAATACGGAATACGGAATACGGTCTCGGGCCATTCTCAAGTGAATCATGTTTTCTGACAGCCCAAACTCACCCCGTAGAACGTCATACTGTATTCAAATCGTCACGAATGTGTATCTGCCTCGTTCTCGTGTTTGCAGGGACCCGAGGGCGAAAGAAAGGTTGTATAGAGCGTCTATGGACGATTGAACAGCCTGCGGTCATGACTATGGTCAGTATGGAGCCAATAGAGACGCGAAACTGCGTTACTTACTGCTCTCTGGCGGACACGGAGAAAGATCGCGCCTTTTGGGGGTTGTTGTAGAAAAGACGGAGGTGATCATCAAGTATCTCTGAGGGGCGAGTTTATCGACACGCGGGACTATTTCACGTGCCATGCTCGCTTGAAGGGCCAATTTAATTGTCCAGGTCGTCACAAATTGGTCTTCATCTTACACCTCGTCGAATTGAGGTAGCGAATGCATGGTCGCTTTGAAACAGTGTCGCTGGAGTAAACGCCTCGTGCCGTCAACACATGAGGATTCAGACCTGGACCGTGCGGGCTTGTCGATTCATGTGATAACTGGTATGACTTCTTACGCTTCTTCCATCGTACAAGTTGGATGATCCACTCATACGCGACTGAGTATGGCCTTGTCCGTGTGTGAGTATAGATGGTCGGTCTGGATCTCATCGTCAGTATGGACCGGTCCCAAGGGCCTTTGCTTCAACCACACCTCGATCACAACACGACTGTGCTCTTGCCGGTGAAGAGATGCTACTGTGGCCTTCAGGAGTATGAATAAGTCTCCACTCCTCGATGAGTGCCCTTGAAGGTCCAAGGAAAGTGGTCCGGAGCTGTCCTCGTGTATTCAGTACCGTCACCAACCACGGTCTTCTCGGCACCAGTTCATACTGTCCGATACCCAGTCTGGTCGATGGAGGCCTTGTGATGAGATTCAGAATGTCATGGGGTACTGCGTCGTGTTCATCAATATGACTTGCTTGTCGAGAATGCAAGCGAGTGAACGGCATGTCCAGGATTGAGCTGAGCCAGGTCCGAGGACGACAATTCAAGACCATACCGTCGAAGAGAACAAAGAAGTTATGTTCACCACTCTGTGAGCGGTATCTCTCCTTCAAGTCGTGCTGAAACTGGTACGAATTTCTGTCGTTCGACAAGGCACAGAAAGCTCTTGGAGAGATGTGCCTGGAAAGTCCTGTGACTGGCATGTCGACAGTCTGTCGATCACTTCTCCGGATTACACTTCTCCGGATTACAATCGGTATAGTCAAGTCTTGCTTAGTCGTCGACACGTCCAAACACGGGGTATCTAACATTCGTTCACTCGCACTTATCCAGCGCAGCAAAACACTCAAGGACAACAGATCATCTCAGGCCCCTAGGTCGCTCTCCTGATCCGACTGTCAAAATGCAAGATGTTTTTGTAGCCAATGCGTTTGTCCAGTGAGAGCAATATGGTAGTCTGACTCTCTTCGGACAATCACATCAATATCAAAAACATCTTGCCTTTTTACAAGGATGTCTGGTGACCCTGTCAGGAGGTGGGGATCAATACCTATATCGAATCTCAGCCTCCCAGTCGCTCTACCGATCCGGCTGTCGAAATGCAAGATGTTTTTGATATTGGTGTGGTTGTCCAAAGAGAGTAGGTGGCAGGGTAGCTCTCAGTGGACATGTATCTTGCCTTGAAAAGTATCTTGCATTTTGACAAGGATATTTATTGACACCCTCGAGAGCTGGAGCGTGAATTTGATCTGCAATTGTTCTGCAACGCTGTTCGTGCTGTGAGCAAATTTATTGTTATATTTTGAGAGACCAGTTTTTAGCAACAACGGTTGCGTGGCCCAATGGCAAGGCGCTTGACTACGAATCAAGAGATTCCAGGTTCGACCCCTGGCGTGATCACATCTTCTTTTGCTTTCTGTAGTATCATCACTTTTGCGCCGGGTTGAATCTTTTTTCGTGTAAATTGCGGCAGGATGCCAAGAATAAAAATCGTAGTAGGACGTAAGAAGGAGGGTAAATATTGTGCTATAAGAAGATCAAGAACGGCTTTATCCGCGCACGACACAGGATGTGAAATAACAACCCTTCACTTCCCTCAAAGTTGATACGCATCATTTTAGCGAGGATCAGGAATCGCTAGCGAGGCAGTACTGATACCAATTCTCAAGATGTGAATATTCCCAGTCCTTGAAGTTTGGGGTGTTCTCACACCAAGCTCCAGGCATCATTCGTTCCGCGTGTTCGATCATATCCCAGAAGTCTCCGCAGCACTCATAGGCGTACTCTTGCCGCATGTCCGAGAGGAACAGTTTCCAATCCTCTGGTCGAGGACTTTGCTGGAACAATAGAACCCGAAACCGGAACTTGCCCCTACCGTTACGAAGCCTTATCCCTTTCCAATCTGATCCAGCTTTGGGATTGTACTGCTTCAGATCCAGGCCAGCAACTTGAAGCTCTTTGGCCAAATTGACAAGTCCCCGCTGACAAGAATGCACATACTGTAAGCTGTCATCTTCTCCGCGCGTTCTCTCCAACGGCATGACAGAAATGTATCCAATGAGGAATTGTTGGATTGGCGCAATTGAACACCCGCGTAACAGGACCGGTTCGGTGAGACTGATTCCAGAGCATAAGATTTGCTGTAGGACAGTCCGCCACCCTCGGATGTCTTCAGCGTTCCCCAAACGGAAAGCAGCACCAATTTTGTGCATCACACGGGAAGTGAATCGACGTTCGGCTAGCTTGTCGATCTCCCAGACGACCGAGGTCAGCTTGGAACCAAGAATCAGCTCAAATTCTCGTCGAGTACAATACGTGGAACGCGATGAAGGACAGGATATGTCCCATGGTAACAGAGACATACGCTCTTCTAGTGGACGAGTCAACCAGGGCGGGGACATCATGGTCTGAATCATCTCCACAACAACAGGCATGTGTCTGAAGGTGTCGAATCCATATCGGATCGCCCAGTGCAGGCGAGTGTATTCGTCTTCTAAGCAACCGGAGTGTTTAAGGGCATTTGAGAGTTCACAGACGATGTCCTCAGAAATCAGTGATGGATGTTTCCGCCCGTAGGATGGTTCGAAGTTACAATTGGCCAGCAAAATTTGAAAGGGTGTTCTGCAGTTCATGACGTGATCAGCGTGACTGAGATGGTGACTCGGACAAAGCTGACATACAAGTCCGATCCCGAGTGTCGAGATATGTCAGCACCCCTTGATATGAGTAGCTTCACGATATCTGCAGAACTCAATTGAACACATCCAATGACTGCAACCTAGTCGGTCAGATCCAAGCAAAAGGACAATGTGAAAATACTACACTTACATGAAGAGCTGTCTGTCCATGTTCCTCTTGGTCGTACACATGGGCAGGTTCAACGTCGAGTATACTCTTGACTGTATTGTAGTCTCCTCTAAAGCACGCCCACATGAAGGGACTGAAAAACGATACGGTGTTGTACACCCGGAATTGAGTCGTCCAGACATTGGTCGAATACGAATATGCCATTTCGTAAACTTGACTGTGCAGCCAAGTCGGTAGTCGCAACCTGTAGTAGACAATATTATTGGAATCAATTCGAGGTTTTGTAACATGTCCCGGCTGCGGAAGCTTAGCGGTTGAATTGGTGACGAGCACACCAAGCTGAGGCCCCATGATGGAGACCTGGTTCGCTATCGCAGAGATGTGGTGGGTCACAGCCTGTGCCTCTTGTCGGCTTAGAGCGCTATGTGAATAATCAGTAGGTCTCCTTGAGAGTTGAACTCTGACCGAGGGTGACCTACCTGCAATACGCCGTGTATGAAAGCTGCAGCGTATTCTTCGTCCTCTCCACACGCTTCTGAAATCTAGTGAACGTCTCTTTCTTGAGCACCGCTCTGATGGAACCTCTGAACTGTCTTTTTTTGACCTCGGCTTCCATATCGACGAGTAAGGCCTGGAGGTCTTTGTGGTTTCGTCTGGACCGTTCCAAAAGTCGCTCGAGGACTATTCTGCTTGGAAGTGCTGTAGGATGTGACATTTGCTGATCTTCTATTTGTTGACCAACCTCTTTGTAGAGTTCGGCAAGATCGACCAATTCCGAGAGGGCATCCTGCAGATCGGCGGGCGCATCTCTGACTGCTTGGCAGAAATCGGCGAGTTTCTTGATACCATCGGCAATCTGAAAAGCGAATCCTGCAACACCGACAGCACTGCCGACGACACCAAAAACTTCGGTCATGAATGAAGTTGTACGAAGGTCAGACAGAGATGATGGGAGAAGACGGGGTTAAGTCAAATCGTGATGGGTGGGGGCCAGGCGCGACGAAAGGCTGCATGCAGGATAAGCGATTAGTGGCGGAGCGCATGAGTGAGGCTGTGACATCCTTCGATTCTGCTTGATTGGCCGAGTTGGACTTGAGGGATGAAAATGTTATGTTCAAAGCTATGCGGTATGGTATTAGTTCCATCAGTGAGGCGAATCCTCGTCTTGCGCAAAGTGCTCTCTTGCCCATGGAGACTTTAATCTCAATCTTTCACCGTAGTAGAACCAAAGCCAAGGAATTGGGATCATTAGGATACTCAAGAACGCGAGCAGACTCGAGGCCCATTCGTAACCGAGTTTAGTGTACATCTGAGAAGCGAATAACGGGAACCCAGCTCCGACGAGATTGCGAATCAGAATGACTCCGGCAAGCGCAGAAGCGCTGTAGGTCTGGTAACTGTCGACGACGTAATTGAGAATCGACAAGATGACAACGTAGATGCCCAGACCAAAGAAACCAGAAGCGATGATGGGAACAATCCAGTGGACGCTGCTGTAAGATGTCCAAGCGAACCTGTGACTGTTAGCATATTTTGCCATCAATTTTGGGGAACTTTGTCTTACCAGAAGAGACTGATAGGAAGTAGGAAGGCGCCGCCTCTAGCAAGAAAGAGTCGTGCCTCGGGAACACCCTTGCCCTCATTCTTTGCGACTTTTCGAAGATAGTATCGCTCTTGGATAGGATACAGAGCAACACCAACAACACTTCCCATGGCTAGACCGAGAAAACACAATCCTTGCTGGCCGGCATTGAAGCCATGATTGTTGCCAAAAACAAGAGGGAAAGCTTCGTTGAAAAGATAAACCAACCCGTAGATGAACCCGTTGTATGCAGCAGCACCAATGGTGATGGGCTCCGAGAACAAGAATCTGAATGGTCGAGTAAGGGTAATCGCAAATAGTGTATGCAAACTCTTTGATTCGTCGGCGTGTGCATCAAAGACTCTTGCGGCTGATTTCTCAAACCCTTCCTTTCTCAACTGCTTGCGGACACGAGCAGCCTTTCGCTCGAGGATGGTGCTGTGACGAGTCTCGGGAAGGGTTGTCTTGCAGGAGTTGTTAGTGCCGTCCCTACAAATAACACCAAGATTTACTTACGATCATAATCAACCAGACTCCGCCAAAGATAGCCATGTAGACCCAGAACAGCCAGCGCCAGCCTTTTTCAAGCGCGATATAACCAGAGATAACCAGCGCCATAGGGGGACCGAAGGTTGATGAGAGACCATAGATGGACATTGCAGGACCACTTGCGTTTCTCTCCCACACATCGGACACACTACCTCCAGTATTTGTGAGGGGGGCCGAACCACCAAATCCTTGAATGAGTCGACAGACGATGACAGTACCGATATTGGGCGCTAGTGCAAGCGGAAGCTGGAAAATGAACAGAACGAACCACGAGCAAAAGTAGACAGGGTTTCTGCCAAAGTATTCGGAAAGAGGTGCGAGTAACATAGGGCTATAGCTGCGTGTCAGCTGTGGTCATCAAGGTAGCACATAGTATCAACGTACCCAATTGCAAAACCCAAGATATACATTGAGAGTCCTACAGTTCCGACCTCTGCAGAGACTCCAAATTCATCGACAAGTTGCTCGACACCAGACGAATAGCCACCAGCGCAGAGACATGTCAAAACGTTGAGTGAACTTGCGAAACAAGTGATATACCACTTCTTCGCCTTGCTGTAGTTACGCGGATTGTCTTTATCATCATGCGAGAACGTGATGAAGATCTCGCGTGTCCCTTCTGGGTGTGTCTTTGCTTCTTGATATGCCTCATCTTCTGAGAGCCACAGTCGTGAGTTGACATCCTCGATTTCTGATGGAGAACGGCCAGAGGTTGACGATTTTTCCGAGTCGATCTTCTTTTCGACCTCTGCAGGGTCTTCGCGTTCGATAGCTTGCTCCATGGTCGGGATGGTGTGTAGGTACAGACCAGGGAGAAAGGATGGTATAAGGGAAGGAATACGAGGACAGAGAGGATGAAAAGAAATGCCAACTATGACCTACGAGGCTCTCAAGTGTTTTTTACATGGTCGTGTGCCGGATGCCGGTCTCGCAGAATGATAACGGAGTTAGTGGTGATGATGTAGCAGGGTTTCAGCTCTCCGTTCCACTCCGCGAGGACCGTCTCCAACATCTCCATCATTCTCCGCAACGCTTATGTCGGTGGAGGGCCATGATTGGCAGAGACGACACGGTTGTGCCGTTCTGGGAGATGGTTGATCTAGCGCCGCCGTCGTAACCGTGATGCTTGTTTCATCAATTTTGTACCCATTGAGCCCTGACAAGCCTTCGAGTGGCTTGCTTTTCTTTATGGGCGTATGCAATGGTGTTGACGCAACAGAACCTTCTTCAGACGACGACAACTCATTCACCGAACTGATGTTTTGAGATGCCTCCACGATAGAATTGGAGTCAGACACTGGGTATTCAGTAGATGCTTTGGGCAACGGTAGTTGAACACGGACACGGCAAGAAGAAGAGCAAGTGGATCTCGTCGTTCTTTCCGTTCGTTATCCGCGAATACGGCAAAGATTGGTGTCGACATCGGAAGGGGACGCAACATTTTTCGCGATCAGCAGCCGGCTACTTGTATATCCAAGTCTTGGCATACGTCACGAACACCGCGTCTCGATCTTCGAGTTTTGGAATTCGGGAGCTTCCAGGTTCTCAAGACTCGTAAGGAAATCACCAGCCCGAATTGCCTATTCCGTCAATTTGATAGACATCATTCCAACATGTCAGCAACAGCAGTCGACCACGCAGCCACCCAAGCGTCTTCCTCTACAAGCCTCGAAGCTGCAAAACGCAACCTCCAATTCCTCTACGATCCAAACTCACCCAACGCACCTACTCGCCGTCGCACTCGAGCTCTCCTCCGTACGCTCCGCTACATTGGCAAATTCCTCTTCTGGCGTCTGGTCAGATATGCAAAGTATGCCGCTGTTGGTGCCATAACCGCAGCGATCGCTGGCACGGCGATTGGGTCAGTGGCTTCTGGAGCTGCGTTTGTGATTGCGCCGACAGGTATCGTGGGTGGTGCTGGAGTGGGCTTGCTTTGGGGATTGGGCAAGTTTGGATGGAGGACGTTGGCGAGGAAGGTCAGGAGCGGAGAGGCGCATGATTCGGACGCGAGGGCGGATGAGAAGGCCGAGGAACAAAAGACCGAGACGATCAAACCTCCGAAGATGGACGAGCCTTGGTGAAGAAGAGTCGCCATACCTTGCAGCTGGTTATATCGGCTAGTTTCATGAACCTCTTCCATCAGGAGCTAGTCGTTTGGAAGTCGAGCCTCGCCCAGTCAACAGTCAAGAGCAAGTGTGACGACAATCACCAGATCCTCTTCGGTCACACATACACAAGCAATCCTATATTAGCCCGAGGTAGCGGAAGTGCAAGAGACCCAAGCTCGCAGTGCCAGTCAGCAGTCGAAGGGCGGGTATACAGGCGTCCTGCATGTACAGGGCAGGACCACTTAGAGAATCGATTGAGATGGCAAGAGACGGTGTTAGGAGATATACGATCATTGATATTAATGTTCCTCGCTTAGGACAAAGGCTCAGGGGTTAGACATCCTACAATCAGCCCAAGTATACCAACTGGCCGTCTTCGTTGCTAATCTTCTCGTCCAGCTCAATCGAGGCATGCTCGTTGTAGCCACCACGTCCATCGCCGAGTACGGCACATAGAGCTCTTCCTCCTTCAGCGATCCAAACCTTGCCTTCCTTGACGCTGCCCATGAAGTTTCCATTTCTTGACCAGACGAATCTACCGTCACGGTTACCGAGGATGTCGTTGAGGTGCAGATAGCTCTCATGCTCAGAGCCATCGGGGCGTCTGCATCTGGCCTTGAGTGCCATGGTGTTGTAGTCGATCGAAATATCTCTGGATGTCTCGGAGAAGTTGCCGCGTCTAGAGGACTGGAAGCCTCCACGGTCACGGGAGTGTGAACGCGAGCGCGAGCGTGAGTGCTGTAGCTTGTGTTAGTGAGTGTCGTTCTTGAAACAAGACCATTGTCTACTCACTCTCTTATGGCGCTTCTTGCTGTCGTCGCTATCGGAGCTGGAGCTACTATCTCTTCTGCCAGGTCTGCCGTAGTCACCGGAGCCTTGATGTTGTTGTGCGTATTTCTCCTCTTCCTTCTTCTTATGATGGTCCTTGCCAAAGTCTTCGAGCTTGGAGCCGGCAAAGGCACCGCCAATGGCACCGATGATACCATGGTTCATCTTGTGGCCTCCGTATGCACCAGCAGCACCACCTGCCAGGGCACCCATCATACCACGGTCACCTTCGACTCCAGGCTGGCCACCGTATGAGGGTTGAGCAGGGGCGTAAGGAGCAGACTCAGAACCTTGATATGAAGTGTCACCTCCATAGCCGCCGTGTGTCTGAGAGGGGTATTCGTCACGGGCAGTCAAGGGTTGCTGAGGCTGGCCGTAACCCTGCTGGTGGGATTGTTGTCCATATCCTTGGTCGTGCTGAGCTGGACCGCCGTAACGTGGCTCGTTGCCGTATTGGCTTTGCTGAGGGCCGCCATAACGCTGATCGCCGCCGTACTGGTTGTTTGGTGGAGCTCCAGAGCCATAGCCTTGTTGCTGCTGCTGCTGACCACCACCGTAGTAGCCTTGAGCCTCACCGCTGTGATTGTTGTAGTTGTTGTATGACATGTTTGCAGGTTATGTTGATGTTTGGGAGAAGAAGAGTGTAGAAGTGAAGCTTCAAAGAACCTGAGGTCGTGCTTTATATGTTTGGTGTGACGATGAATGAGGGGCAGTTTCAACTTCCTTCTTATGAGGTGATACGCGTTGCTCCGTATTAAACACCTCATAGCGCATCAGGAAGGGGCCATCTGCTAGTCATGGCGCAGCTATTTCCTGTTCCTGCTCATGGCGGCCACAGCTCCAACACCGCTTCCCTTTCACTACAGCAGGATTGCACCATAGCCTCATACAGATCATTGGTTTGAGTGGCTGAGTATCAGAAGCACCTTGAAGGAAGTACTGAGAGGCTGTGCAACAACTGTGGCTTCCCGTTTTCATAGGTCACATCGGTTCGGCTTCCAGAAGCTTGCCTCAACTGTCCAAGCTTCAAGCTTCTATTTCCGGACTTCCTTCTTGGCTTCGTCACATCCACCATCGTTCAGGTCGACATCATCACCAAGGCCATGAGAGCGATGATACAAAGCATTGCACTGGAGCTATAAGCGCTTCTGTCAAGTACTGATTTTCACCGAGGGCTGGTCGTACAAAGGATCGGGAACCTGGAGTAGTAATCCCTGTGTTGAACTTGTCACGCATGTAACTATACATTGCACGATTATCGAGAACGTGTCAGTCATCGGCTTTCTACAGACAATCATACTAATCTTGAGAAAACTATGCATTTTGACAGGTGGAGCTCCCTAATCGAATCATCTAGTACCAAAAGGGTGATCATTTGTAGAGACATAACAATTGATTGCCAGGGTCATACCGCTGTCGAGCATGTTTTGCCAAGCAAAACGCTGCGTCCGAGCTTCCCGCTTCGACACGCTCTAAGACTCGGTGCAAAAAATTGTCACCACCCTCGAAACATCGCCAGTTTCGACATGCAAAAAGCAAAAGAAGATGTGATCACGCCAGGGGTCGAACCTGGAATCTCTTGATTCGTAGTCAAGCGCCTTGCCATTGGGCCACGCAACCATTGCTGTAGGTTACGATATCTTGAGGCATCATCTCGATGTGCCGCAGTCTTCTACAGGTTCTGGATGTTCAGTTTGACGGCCTCCTCGAGACCCTTGAAGCCATCCTGACCAAAGTTCTTCTTCAGGATCTGCTCTGCACGAGGCTTGGGCAGAACCTTGCTCAAGTCCTTGCTATTGTCTTTGAGATCTTCCGGTACCTTTCCATCGGGGCGAACCTTGCGCATGATGGCGAGGATGGTGTTCCAGTTGTAGGGTTCGGCAAAGGCGAAGATACGTTCATCTTTGATTTCGGGATCGATCAAGGCGGCAATGTGTAGACGGGCAGTGTCGCGGACATCAACGAACCATTCTGTTCACGGTATTAGTTATGAATTTTGCAGTAGAGGCAAGATGACATACGTGGTGGGATCTGCTCAAGCTGAGGAGCAAAGCCCTTTGTGAATATGTCTCTGATCCATCCAGCTGTGCTTGCATCCTGATCCTTGTCGAGGATGGGACCGAAGTTGGCGTTGGGCAAGATGGTGTTGCATTCAAAGTGAGGCTTGCTCTCCTTGACATACTTCCAAACCTCTTGCTCTGCCTGAGTCTTGCTTGCACCGTAGACGTTCCATCCTCTGTCGGCCTCGGTGTATGGTGGGGGTGCCCAAGCCTTGTCGATGGCAATCTGGTTCCATGTGGAAGCATCGATGTTGAACTCCTTGTTGGGTACAGGATTGGTGGCGGCGGTCGAAGATGAGGTGAAAACAAAGCGCTTGACAGAAGGCTCGTTGTTGGCAGCTTCGAGAGTGTGGGTTACACCAGCAATGACTTCGGGAATGACATCGTTGGGATTTTTGGAGAAGGACAGGTTGGAAGCGACATGAGCAACGCCGGAGCAGCCTGGAAGTGATCAGTCTGGAAGAGCAGTGAGAGACCGAGGACCACAATTACCCTTGACGGCATCATCGAAAGCACCCTTCTTGCTCATGTCGGGGACAACAACGAGTTCGAGCTTGCCATGTCCGTACTTCTCATCGAAGTAATCTTGGACCCATTTACCCTTTGCTTCAGTTCTCACAGTGCCGCGAACCTTGTAGTCCAACTGAAGAAGCTGATCAATGATGTGAGATCCAATGAAGCCATTAGCGCCAGTGACCAAGACGGTCGAACCTTTTTCGATTGCAGGCATGGTGATGTGCTGTTGTTATGGGTATGTGTTTGGGAATGATAGAAGTAGAGCAATAAAGAGAAGGAGCATTTTGATTACTTAGCCGAGAGGGGTACAAAAGTGCATTGCTAATCAACTATCGATAAATCGAAGACGGCAGGAGCTCTCTGGGGAATGATGTCATGGGAAGTTTGATTCAACACGCTCGAACGCGAGATGCATCTCCAGCGTGAGGAAAGCTCGTGTGAGGAGACATGGATATCCGAGGATGAGGTCTACAAGACGATCGTTAGGCAGCCAAGGCCACCAAGTATGATGAAGGTCGTGTATTGTCGATGGAGGAAATGAAAGAGGGCCGAGTTGATGACATGTGGACGGTTGAGCAGGGGAATTGCCGAGTGTTTGATTTCCCCGCGATCAGCGACTCTCGGGCGGCCTCAATGGTGATCGTCAATATCATCGAAATTTGACTTCAACCAAGCGAGTTGTTTCTATGGCATAGACACAGGACGTGCGTGTACTCGTATCATGAACTCAACCAGATCATGTTGTTCTCGACAAACAAAGATTCAGTCGTAGACGCCGCAACCCCAGCAGCAGTACGATAACACGACAAAGACGACATCGCGACATGTCAGGAATGGCACCGGGCAGCGATCGAGCCTCGACAGGCAGTTCTGCTTATGCCGACTCTGGGAAATATGCATCTTGGGGCAGGAGTAGCGATGGCGGCAGCAGAAGGGGGAAGGAGAAGGAAAAGGACGATGGCAATCATCTGACCGTCTTCCGACGACGAGGTCGCAAGTCAGGAGGCTTCTTGATGGGAAATATGTTCCAGCCAAGGGACAGTGAAGACGACAAGACCGAGTCACCATCCAAGCCGTCACTACGGAAGCCGTCGCGACTGGGCCAGAATGTCGCGACTCCCGCCAACAACCTGGACGGCGCTCCTCCAATGCCTCAAGCCTCCCTCGACCCGACCCAACTGGTACAGATGGCTCTCAGTCTGAGCGAAGGTCGTCGTCGTCACGTCAGCGCCAATCTACAAGTCCCTGCTACCGCGAACGACAAGCGCCGAGTGCGTTCTAGTGGTGCCCCTGTCATACACGTCTCACCAGGCTCCCCCATGGGCAATGACTTTATGCGCCCAACCTCCCTCGATGACTCGGGATACCGTGCATCTACCGAAGACGAGGCTAGTTTTATGTCCGGCCAAGAAGTCGATTACGACTTCTCCCAGGCTACACTCCACCGTGCCGAAAGAGCTCGCAAGTTCTTCGAGCTATCGTCCGAGTACAGGCGTCTGCTGTCAGTCCTGCCACCACTGAAGCCTGTCGCGACAGCTTCGTCGCCACGATCAGATCATAGCCAGAAAGAGTTGGGAAGGGAGTACAATCCTCTGCAAATGTTGCGTAACCGCAAAGCTCGTCATCGCGAACAGCGCCCTCTTGATCCACCCATCGAAGCCTACGACAACATACCGAAGGTCAAAGCATACATCGAAGAGGTGGAGCACGAAGCCACCGATGCCACCTACCGCGCCTCGTTTGACACTTCCCTTCTTCCTACCTTCCGTCGTAATAGTCGAGGTCAGGACGAAGCTCCAAACCAGGTTACCCGCAGTCACAAACGGACCGATACAGCAATATCTAGAACTTCACGCTCCGACAACGACTGGACTTTTACACCTGCCGAATTACTGGCTGACGCTGTCTGGCTACTGCAACCCGCAAACCGAGCTTGTATAGAAAACAGACACGGCCACAGAGTGTTCCCTCAACAACCTCGTTCGAGTTTTGAGAGCGCAAGAAGCGGTAGAAGGAGTGGGGATAGCAGACCCTCAATCTCACGTACAAACACTTGGGGCAGTACCATCAAAAGCGATGACGAGACAGACCGAGGTCGTAAGAAGCCCAAGTTCCTCTCGTTGCGCCATGTCGACAACTCCGCACGTAAGCACTTGTTCCGAAATAGGTCTCGGTCAAGCAGTATTTCTAGTGCCACTTCGGCGCGTCCCTCAAATCGAAGAAAGAAATTACTGGGCCCTGGACAAGCGCCTGACCTTGACAACACCGGTCCTTTGGAGCGTCAAATGAAGAAGTTGATTGAGAAGGAGACTCTAGGCATTGAAGAGGATTCTCCCGAGTTTATTTCGCCAGACAAGTGGGACAGAGGGCAAGAGCAGTCGAACGAAAAGTCGAGCGTACCACCAAATCAAGCGGAGAGTCCGTCTCTCAACAGTCACAAACGGAACGCATCGTCCAAGACTGGCGAGCATGGTCCGCTGGATGATCGCCCCCGCTCTTCCTTCGACGACTCGACAGCTCCCAGCTCGCCTGTCGTTGCCAATCACATTCCCTCGTTTGGCATGAGCTTGTCTCCCCCTACAAGTCGTCAAAGCTCCCCCGAGAGGAAGTTCGGATTGTTTAGAGCCAACAAAAACGCTTCTGACGACAAGATTCATCGCACAGACTTTGCCGCTGCCAGTCAAGCCAGTCTGCCCAACTCGCGCCAGGTCAGCGATAACGTCGATCCACCTCGCTCCAGTCTCGATTCTCTACGACCCCCAGGTATCAAACGTCACAGAACCACGAATAGTATCACAAACACTCTGTTCAACCCTGGTCGCCGCATGTCTAAAGATGTTGGGGTTGGCCGTTTCTTCAAAGGAGGCCGCATCGGAGATTTGGTGCGCTCGGACAGTTCACGCCAGAGCGAAAAGTCTCGCAAGAAGGATCAAACCATCACCGATGTTTCTGACTCTGGCTCAGACATTGAAGAAGAAGATGAGAACTCGCCACGCAAGATGCCTCCTGTCAACAGGTCAAACTCCATCCTCATTGGAGCCACTCCCAAACAAAAGGAGAAGGAGCGCCAGAAGTTGCATAACCCGAATTTGCCATCTTTCAAGTCGACCAATCATATCCCTGAAAGCGACGCTGAACAAGACCACATCGCTCGACAAAGTAAGCTGCATAGAGAGGAGAGCAGGTCTTCCAGATTCGACAAACTGGCCCCTCCTCGGATCAATCTTCCTCATGAGGACTCGCCTTCTGTATCGCCAACTCGGATGCCAGCATACTCGCGCCACTCCAGCGACGGTGGTAACCGTAGCGACCAAGACATGCTAACTCCTCTGCGCAAAACCCGCCGGCCAGGTATCTTCGAAACAAATCTTCCAACCATCGAGACTCACTCTCCATCTCCATCAAGGCACTCCTCGCCTTCCAAGCGTCACTGGAGTATATCGGATCGTCACGGTGCCGATACACCAAAAGCAGAAGTGGCGACCGTGACCTCGCTTGACCTAGCACGAGTTCGCGCTCTCTACCTCAGCAGCGGCATCAAAGCTCATGAAATCATCCTCCGCGCAAACAGCACCGCCTCCCCACCTTCTGACTTTTTCGTCACCGCTGCAAAGACCGCAAACCAAGGTATTCATCCAGTCTGCGTAAAAGAAGAATTCACCGTCGCTGCTCGCATGCTTCATAGAACGATCAAGGACCAGACGACATCTCTGTCCAAACAGCTTTCCTCCTTTCGTCAAAACCAACTTCCAGGATTGCACGATAGATTGGCAGATCTGCGCATCAAGGTGGATGAAAAGTTTACGCCTCTTGTGCACTCTACAGCCGATGAAGCGGATGCCTTTACCGTGGCACTGACAACACAACACACGTTATCAATCAAACAAGTCAATGACGCCATCGACAATGTGTTGAGACGCAGAAGGAGAAAATTGATCTTCTTGCAAAAAGCAACCTTTACCGTGCTCGAGTGGATTGTGTTGGCACTCTTGTGGGGTGTGTGGTTTGTGGTTATTATCATACGTTTCTTCAGGGGAATTGTCTCTGGTGTTGTAGGTGGAGTTAGGTGGTTGGTATGGCTGTAGGAAGTCACCGAGACCTTTTCAGCACAGCTCGAGGTGCATGAAGTTCTTGAAGACGAGCTTTGTCCTTTTTGACCTTTATTCTCTATTTAATATTTCTCTTAATTCTTTTCTATAGCTTGACAGCACACTTCCGCTTAATAATACGATTGGACATACTCTTGCTTATCCATGATTCTGCTGTCGAACAATGGCAGAGAGAACTGGCGCCATTTCAGATAGTTTTAGACATGATGACGACAGCAAGCAGAGTGATCTGACATAACCAAGAGCCACAACACGAAGTAACGATCAATTCTGCGCACCGACGATGAAAAAGCCGTCCAAAAGTCGGGTCTTTGGTTTATAAAGACAAAAGCAGGTCAAAATAGACTGTGCTCATACAAGTGTCAGCCCCGTGAAGCAAGAAGTTTGCTCGTCAAGCACCTTCCTCTTATCACTTCCATCCATTCCACACCTCCAAATCGACCCACCAAGATCCGTGACATAGATGACATCGTTCTCGGCGTCGATCTTCAATCCAATGGCCTCGTTGTAATTCTGAGCCAGGATCTGAGGCTTCTCTGCCATGCGCCCTTGATCATTCAGTTGTGCTTTATAAAGACAGTTTCCGAATGGGACTTCTCCTCTGTCTGTCCAGTACAAAGTGTTACTTGCTTCGACGTAATCCAGATCGATACACTCGGGCAGCTTATCGGCAATCGTGCAGATGTCTTCACGATCCAGTGCTGTACAACTGGCGGGAAAGTTGATGTTCGCACTGAAAATGCGGCCCAGATTTCCCTTGGATGGACCTTTTTGTGTCCAGAAGAATTTTCCCAACCTGGGCGCCACAGTGACACCAACGCATTGACTCATGATGTCGCCGGGAGTAGTTCGTTCTGTAGGTAATGTGTTTGTATCGATGATGATCTCGAGATCTGAGCCATCTGTATTACTGCGCCATATCCTACAGCCTTCTCGGTCGGCGATGTAGAGCTTCTTTGCTATTTGGTCGATGCTGATCTGTTTGGGAGTGTAGATTGTGCCTGGAGGAACGATGGTGGTGCTGCCAGTGCCGTCAAGATTGACCGAGACAACACTGCCGTCGTTTTGACTTGGTACACCCATGTTGGTGTAGTAGAGCTTGTTATCGCAAGTATCAACACCATCGGGGAGTGGTAGATTCTTGCTGATGATACGCTGTGTTTTGCCGTCGAGAGAGACTTCCAGCAACCGTCCGCTATACACAATCTCTGCTGGTCCTTTTCTGGCTAGAGATTGTCCGAGGCCCATATCGAGAACGACTAATCCCTTTTCCGGCCCTGGCGCTGCGGTAGTCGGTACAGCTGGCACAACTTTGGGCTGTACTCTGGGGTAGAGACCTCCCTTGTCACTCTTCATGCCTAGTTTGCCGTGATCGAGGTACTGCTTTTGTAGATAATCCACGGTAAATTCGGAGCCGAGGCCACGCTCTTTAATGTAGTGTTTTTCAATGAGGGCGACAGTGTCGAGTCCAACACCTGCAATAGAGTCAGCGCTATTCATTCAAATTGAATTGGAATTCAGAAACTCACTATCCATCGACATGCAAGGACCAAAGCTGCAACCAAGGATCTCCATCCAAGCTTTATCAAGCTGTTCAGGGGTCGACACGCCCTCCGCCAACACCATCAAACACTCACGCTTGATGGCGGCCCATATACGATTGAAGATGAACCCGGTCGATTCTTTGACGGCGATGTAAGGACTAAGACCTGCTTCGGCATGTCTATCTGACAGCCACTGAATCAGCTCGGGGAAAGTGTGTCCATCAGTCATGAGCTCAACAACACGATTGACAGGAGGCATCACAATTGAGGATGCGAGTCTTGGTATCGTCTTTGACTTTTACGATCATCTCACTCGACTTGTAGGATGACGAATTGGACGCAAGGATGCAGTCCCTGGGAGCCAGCCTTTCGAGTTCGGCGAAAGTGTCGATCTTGAGTTCAAGGATCTCGGGGACGCACTCGAAAACAATCCAGGCCCCTTGGAGAGCATCTTCCAGATCCAGTGTTGCAGATATCGTACCAGGAGATCTACCAGTGGTGGCTTTGGTTGCAAAAGCGGCCACATTCTCACTGATGTATTGCAAAGCTTCATCGCATTGCTTTTGGGTGATGTCACGGATGACAACGTTGTAGCCTGTGGAGCACCAGCAAGTGGCTTTCAAGAGTGGTAAGTACCCTGCGTCATGTTCGATCATACTTCTTCTCATCTATGCGCCTTCCCAAAACTCCACCGCCAAGCACAACGACGTTCCTCGACTCGTAGTCGGCAGGTGCACTCCATTGCGGAGTCTCGATGATCGTAGGCATTTGATCGATCTGTGATATCTTGGTGAATGTGATCTCCAAAAGTCAAATGTCTCCTGCTGCTGGACAGCAGAATGCGTTTTTATATGCCAGACAAAGGCATGAGATAGCGAGCACAACATATAGCTAATGTTCCGGATAGCTATCGTCTGTAGACTCAAGGCGTGGTACTCTAGTCAGACATTGTATATGCACGGACTGGACTGGCTCTTTCATAAGAGCTCCACGCGGTACAGGACACTTCTCAAGTGATACTGACCTTTGATATTGGCTTGCCAATCATCTGAAGTGAATGCGTGGCCCAAGTCGTAAATAGTATACGGCACGAAGCGAACGCTCGGACATTTTGGAGACCAGCGCAAGAAACCCCAGGGTCCAGAACCAATATCAGAGTCACGCAATGCAGTATAAGCAAATTGGCCGAGCTGATTAAGCATTTGTTAACAGGAGTCAATGCTTGAGTATACGCGATGTCGGACAGAGTCGGACAGTTGTGAATTATCAGTATCTCTGATCGGATGCTCTTGTCTCGAACAACAAGAGTTAATTTCAAGACTTTGCATGTATGGCATCCAAGCTCGCCAGAATGTCTGCGAATGCCTTGATCTGTTCTTGAGCACGGTTTGAAGCCGCACTGCCCGGCAGAAAAGGATGGCCAAGCAGCGAAGCCGCGGTCTGACGAATCTTGTAGGACTGCAACGACATTAGCAGAGTTATCATGATCATCGAGCTCTTCAAACGTACCAGAGAGGTTCCGTGAAGCACTAGGACCTCTTGCGTCATTTGCTTCACAAACATCAGAAGCTCTGCGCAGACGTTTTGCAGCATATCCCACAAGTCTGCTCTGTCTTCAGATCCAATTCCCGATAAAGATATCAGACGTTCTATGAGGAGACTCTGCACCCATCGGTAGGTTATGTGTAGATTCAATCGCATGGTCTCATACTGTAAGCTTCGCGCCTGATCCAAAGATGGTCCCAGAGGTTTGTGTGGGCCCAACTCGAGTGGAAGATCTGCAACCACGCGATCCAAGGTCGAGAGCCGCGATCTGAGAAGTCCTGCTAGAGGGGACGGAACTATATGCCTTCCGCAAGTACAAGCACCAAGCGAATCGCGATCGCTGCCGCAGTCCGTCGTTGTACTGAATAAGGAAACCGCCGGGTCTCTCATGATTGATACCAGACAGTTGTTGATCAAAGCTAAGGCCATGAAGCCTACCATAAGTGAAGGTCTTGTATGAGGCTGTTCGAGTAGGGCGTCCCTGGTAATGTACTCGTCGTCCAGAATCAATGGGAAAAGTTCGGAAGCCTGATACTCCTCGAAAACCAGACGATCTCGTAGTGAGTCCCACCAAGGATCTTCAGGTCTCACATGCCTGTAACAATCAGTTGGAATTCGGCCTCTTCCATATATGATTGACATACGTGTAGGTGATGGCAGTTAACCAGAATGCCTTCTTCCTCAACTGTGCCTCGACATGATTTAGCCTGGCGTAAGTGCTAGCTCGATGACATCCCAAATCCTGCATGAGAGCGTGGCCCTCACTGAAATGATAGTAGATTGCCTTGCGATTACCAAGGTAGGCATACGCTCTGCCGAGACAGAGTGGTATCGCCCACTTCTCGACCGTGGAGTGGTCATAATAGTCAGGTGGTTTTGTCTTATTTATTATGGTCTGAACACGATCAATTGCCTGTAATCTTGTAGAGAAGGAGAAGTCAGGATCGATCGCCTTGAAATCGACAAATCTATCAGGTCTGACAGAGATGGTCACGGCACATAGTGCAAGTACAAAGCGGCCAAAGTCTTGGTCGATCCTGTGGCGATAGTTTCCTAGGTCAGACACAAAGGTCGGAAGATGAACAACGGGAAGAACGGGGTATAAAAGTCCAATGTAGTCCTGCATCAGGGCATTGAACAGTGGTTCTGAACAGAACTTGCTTATCAGCGAGGCCGATCCCGCATAGCACTGCTGCTCGTTATCGTCTTTTGGCAAAAGTGCAGGAACAACATCAGGAAACCTTGGCGAAATGGCTCCCGAAGTTGTTTCAGCCGCTTCGAGTTGTTCCGCATCTGATTTTGAGACACTGTGGAACGATGTTCGGCGCCTTATACAAGTAGAAAGATTTAGGCTGGTACTGTTGTATTGCGGACTGTACATACTGACTTCTTGGCAGGTGGGCCGCGTCGCTTCATGGGCATGTTAAAAGTGCATGGCAAATTCGCCAGTCTACACCTTCCACATATCCGATCAGATTCATCATCATGCGAGATGTCCACTTGGCATCTAATTCGTCTTTGTCGGCAGGCGTCACAAGCTTGACTGGCGCGTTGCTTGGTGGAAGACATCTGTTGTTGATCGCCTCTTCATCTAAGTGGGTATTTACGCCGTGTAGAAGCTGCAAAGAGTTCCCATAAAGGATAAACACATTTGCATGAGGCAGAACATGTTCCCGAGGATAGCGTGTGGTCGAGACCGGAGGCCGAGGTAAAACCCAAGGAGAAACTCGAACTCTGAACGACAACGGCGGTCTGTGCGCAAACCTATCGAGTGGAATGATGCTCAGCAAGAGAACACTGCCCGATCAAAGCTAACGCTGCATCCTTTCATCGAGGATCTTGTCTAGATGGGAGAATAAAAGACGATCATCACGTCTTGTGCGTAATATGTAATTCGTGCAAACCCTCAGAGAGTGCAACCTGGGTATCTCAACTGCTGGCCCATCTCCTGGTAAAAGAACAAAGACCTGAACTCCATAAACTCCGTGATGATAGAAGTCCTCCAGTAAACCGATGCAATGCGTGATGACGAGATCTAGAAGGCAATCTTTCTCTTTCTGCCAGTGTACTTGGAGTTTGCCTTGACGACCTTGCCCTGCTTCTCCATCTGATCCTTCTTGCGAATGATCCAGCCTTTGCTTCCCTTGACCCTTGACTTGTCCATGCGTGAGCGTTGATCCTTCTTGCGACGAGCGTCTTGAATGTCGACATCGGTCATGCCATTGACAACACCTGTAATGTCTCTGCTTGTGGCTGCCTCTTCTCTGCCCAAATCACCACCACCAACTGTGAGAACGAGATATAGCTTCTCGCTCTTGGTTCCCGGGTCGTCCTCGAGGATACCAGCACCGAAACCAGCCTTGACAGCAGCAGCACTGATCATGTTTCTTTGTAGCTTGTTCTTGGGGTAGAACTGGCAGACGGCGCGGCCACCACGACGGAGAGAAGCGTATAAGCCGTCAAAGAAGCGCTTCAGACGACCTTCAGGTGTGACGTCGGACGACTCGGCGTTGCAAAGCCATTGGATAGCGGAAATACTGATGGCGGCGTCGAAAGAACCAGGACGGAAAGGAACACCCTGACCGATATCCGCCAGCATCAAGTCACCATCGACATCGCGATCAAGCGCTTGACCCAGCATAGACGCCGAGATGTCCATACCGATCCATGTGTGAGGGCCGCCTTCTTCTGGTTCCACTTCCGACAAGATCTCGCCTGAGAGACCACTGCCACATCCAAGATCGAGAATAAGGGAAGGCGAACGGAGATCCAGAAGTTCGAGGGCGCGATTCGTCATGCTAGCTTGAATGTTCTTGATACGACTGTTGGTTGTGTATTTGCGACTTTCGACATCGTTGTAGAAGAGGTCTGGCGGTAACAAATCTTCGGGGCGCGACATGTTGGCGGTTGCGAGGGAGTTTCGACGATTCGTTCGGCGCTTTGATAGTTGTTGGAGAGGAAGACGGGTGGAGATATGACTTTTAATGCGCAGAAAGTGCTTGGTCAAATAATTTTTGAGGCAGGCTGCTTTTGCTGCATAAACTTGTTCGCCATGTATAATTTTGCGGGGATCTCGGCAGGGTCCAGCCGCTCCACTTTTTGACCGTGGACGACATGCCATCCTTTACTCGTACCTCTTCCAACATCACACCTTGAACACATGACAGCACCAAGCCATCACAATCCTAAGGATGGCCTCTAGAAGACTGTATCGGAACCATGTCTTGTGGAATCATCTCTACCCCTGCTAGCCTCGTGCATTCTGATGCTTAACTCATGGAACGCTCATCGTGTTAGAGGTTGGAAGAGAAGGAGGAGAGCATTGTCGGACTGCAGGTATTTGTATCTTACCAATTACATTCATGAAATTGCCCAGTAGAAAGAGCCAATGCCACAAACTCCCCTTTTAAGCTTATCTTCCACACTATGAGCTATGCACTCCTTGAGGACAGTAACATTACTGCTCTCTGGCATCTTTACTCATCACTGCAAGAGCGCTTGTACGTCACGTTTAATGAGGCGTAGGGTGTGCTCACTGTCTCAAGAGATATGCGCCGGGAAGCAAATGTCGCAAAAAGACATGACGCTCGAGGGAGTCGATCCAGTAGCCCACTTGCAGACATTTGCAAAGCTGCATTATCAAAAGTACACCTAGGAATCACTGCCATATCGCAACACCTACGAGTTGCTCATGATAGTACAATTACACCAGGCAAAAGGCCAAAAAATACCTGTGAGGATAACACTTTCCCTTCAAACGATAATAAGCATATCTCGGGCAGTGTTGATTCTACAAGAACCGCCAAACTTGGATCCAGGGTTTGGTTGCTAGGTCACTCATGGTGTTACCACTCGGCCACCGAGCTCAGTGCACTGATCTCGTCTTGGTGAAAGTTGCTCGATTATCGTGACCTATATACGCATCATTTCACTTCGGATAGCAGCTAGCATTTCTCTCCTTTTGATCTCCTTTCTTTTTCCTTTGACCTCTGTCTTCTCTCGGCGTCCACCTGCTTCCTTGCCTTTGTCCTGTCTCCTATCTCATGCCCCAAGCACCCTGTCATCAACATCAATCACGCGACACGCGTCGCCATCAAACAATGTTGTCCCAATCAAGCACCCTTTCCCTGAGCTCGAACCCGCTGGCGCTTGGACCTCGGTTAACTACTTGGCTCTCTCTATCTCTCGGGGTTGTTGTCTTGAATGCGCAAAGCACGATCTTACTTGCGCTTCTCACGCACAACTCAGTTACGCGACACACAGCATCATAATGGCCGACATTTACTCAGAAACCCCTGTGTTGCTCATCACAACAACCATCATCACGACCCATGACCTGGACACGTACGTATATTAACCCCCTTGTTTCCCTTTCTTGTCCACAATCACCCCATCTCCTCTTCCATTCGCTTGACGATGTACTGACACCGAACAGCGGCGTGATCCACAATGACACGACCGTCACCGGCACCTTCATGGGCCACCAACTCTTCGAAGATGCATACCACCAGGTCATCCGACCGGAGCCAGTGGTGGTGCGCGTTCCCGTAGTGGTTCGCGTGCCTGTCCCAGGCCATCTCGGTCCTTGGGATGCTCCTCACGAGCCCACTGCTCCTGCCCCTCGCGCACCATCCTCTCCTCGTTCGCCTATCCTCTTCATGCATGGCATGAACCGCCATCCTCTCTCTCTCGCCCCTGCCGTCAACCTCGCTCCCGTCACGAGCCCAAGCACAAGCAACAATGGCCCCGAGCGCCGCACCACCGCCGAGGAGGCCGGCACCAACTTCGCCTCTCCCCCGGGCGGTTGGGAGTTCGCACCTCCCATCGCCTACACTCACCGCCCCCTTCCTTCCTCGCGCCGCCAGCCAGGCAACGCTGAGGATGAGGAGAGGGTTCCCCGTTATCTCCCTCCTCTTCCCTCCTCGCTCGTCACCGCTCTCGCAGACCTCGCCGTCCGTCAGGAGGCTATGGTCGACGAGGGCGAGGGCGAGGATGCGGATGAGGACCAGGAGTAAGGCTCTCCAATCACCAAGTAGAGGGTCAACGACGTTATGAAAATGCAGAAAGTTTTTCCGGTGCCTCAACTTGTCCAAAGAAATGTGATGATTATGGTGCTTTCTGTGGTCATGTGTGATGTGTTGAATTGGTTTTTGCCTTTTGATGGATATATCACCGACCTTGCTCGGTGCTAGAGACAGGTATTGAAAATACGTCTCCCGTCTGTCCGATAGGGGCCAAGAAAGTATCACAAAAAGGCAGGAAGGTTTTGTAGTTCTCAAGGTTGTCCAAAGAGAGTCGCTACCCATCATACTCTCAGTGGACATCTACGTCACACTGGATACATTCTTGCCTTTTTACAACTATTTATGTAGGGTGCCTGCTGTTGGAGAGAAGGGTGTAAGGTAAAGGTCTCTTTTTGATATTCCATGTCTTCCAAAAAAAAAAACTGACTACTTTATGCCATGCCAAAAGCTCATTCTAGAGCGTAACAACTGTTTATCTACAAGCCATGAGAATCCCCAAATGAATTGAAACGTCGATGTGTGTGTACAGCGGTGGCCTCTTAGCCCCAGTTGAAAAGAACCTGCTTCTTGCCTTGCTTGCCCTTCCTGACAGTTCTCTGCTCGGGCGACTCTTCCACAGCAGGCGGGCTCTGGACGTTACTACTTGAGCCAGAACCCCATGCAACGTTTGAAGGACCGGGAGCATTGACGCGTCTCACACCGGCGCCAGTGTAGCCAGGGCTGAAGACAGTGGATGTAGGCTTTTGTGCCTTGGGTAGCGATGGGAAGATATCTCCACCGCGACCTGGAGGCTTGCTGTTGCTGGGTGTGCCAGAGCGCGACGGTTGCGGTGTCGGGCGTGCAGATGCAGGTGCCGAGTTGAGCCATGAAGCTTGGCTGGGGTTCACGCGAACAGGAGGAGCGGCAGGAGTTGATGACCTTGAAGATGCCGACAAGGGAGGGAAAGAAAGACCTCCAGCACTTGAAGGGTTTCCTCCTGAGTGTGGAGCGACAGCGGAACCATAAGAACGAGTGTTGTTAGAACGCGAGCTTTGTGCTGTGCTTGACTTGAGGTTGAGGATACGCTTTGAGCCAATGCCGTTGCCCAAGACAGAGGCAGCGCTTGTGCTGGGACCTGACTGGCCGCCAGCAGCGTGAGGAAGAGAGGGGTAGTCTTCGTTGATGGATCTCCAATTGTTCCAAGCCTTCAGTAGCTGGTCTCTCTTGGTCGCAATCTCGAAGATGTCGGCAAGCTCCTTGACCAGCTTGCCCAACTCAGTCGAAGAGGTGTCGAACAGAGAGAAGAAAGCATCGATGAGATGATCAGCAGTCATGGCGCCTTGACGGTAAAGTGAGACTTTGTTGCGGAACTCGGCCAGCTTAGTCTGGTCGTTGCGTAACAGGTTGGAAGCACGCTCGTTGACGGCATTGTGACGGAGGCGGCGAGCCTGTTCTTGGGGGGTGAGACCTGCCATCGAACGATCGGGCGAGGTAGAACGAGGAGTAGCTGATGTCGGCTGGAGGCTGAGGGAGCCAAGCGATGGGAAGAGGTCCTGTCGGGCAGGGCGGGTCGCAGTAACGGTAGCTGGCTCAGGAGCGTTCGCAGGAGCTCTTGCGGCGTACGTCTCGGTTGGCTGAGTGAGCTGACCGCCAAAAGAGCGAGTCGACACGGATTGAGCGCTTTGGATGGCCATTTGACGCTGGTAAGCCATCTCTGCCCTGCCCATAGGCTGGGCGGATGAGACTGGCAATGGATCGGCGTTGGGGTCGCGTCCACGGCCACCACCACGGCGCTCTCTGTTAGGATTACGCTGAGGACGATCTTGTTGGTGAGGTGCACGGTAGTCGAAGCCTGAGATGTCGACTCTGCGGGCATCACGACGAGCATCCTTGGTCAAGCCGTTAGGGTGAGCCTCGAGCTGATGAGCCTTCAGATCCATCTCGGAATCAAAGACGACGAACTTCTTCTCCAAACACTCCTGGTCAGGGCAGACGAAATGGTCCTTTCGGAAGTGAACCTCGAGAGCATTGTAGTCGACATAGTATTGAGGCTGTCTGCCACCATCGCGGCGGTCACACAAGTGGCAGCGCTCGTGGCGGTCACGACAATGGGAGAAGAGTTCATCGTCTCCGTAGAAGCGTTGACGACAGAAGCCACACTCAGGATGGCCCTTGAAGCCCGACTGGTTCTCGGCACCAGGGATATCATCACCGTGCTTTTCGTGTCTACGCAGCTCCTGAGGGGTAAACAGTTCGTGTTCATGAGTGAAGACCTTCTTGTTACGAGTACACAGATCACACATCTGTTTATGGTGGACACTCTTGACGTGACGATGCAGGTCGGGCCAGCCTAAGCATGCAGCATCGCATGACGGGTCGGGGCAGTTGTAGCGTAGGAGGAGGATAGTATCCTCAAAGATATCCTGGCTTTCGTAACGGATGCCGAGGTTGTCGTCACTGTGGGCAAACTGTTGTGTATTGTAGTCCTCGAATCGCTTGTTGGCATCGTCGGTGAAGATGACTTCTTCGGCACTTGTCTGAGGCATGGTCAGCGGTGTTGGTTGATGATGAGATGAGAGAGACATACTCGACAATGAGCACAAGTCTTTGTTTTGTAGAGAGCACGCAGTCTTAGCGAACAGATGTGGCAGGTGCGATGGTTGCAAGGAGCGACGCTCTGATGCACGACTGGCGAGGCACAAATGAAGCAGACTTCGGCCTCGACATCCTCGCCGTCCTCTCCTTGTGGCACCAGAGCCAGAGCCTTTCCTTTTGCTTGAATCTGTTGTTCCGTCGTTGGTTGATCTCTCGAGTCCGTGGATTGGTGTGCCCCTCCTGCCCCGCCTCTGCCACGTCCTCCACGGCCTCTACTTCTGCCAGCATTTCTGTTGCTGTTGTTTCCCTGCGTCTGTTCGCCATCCTGACCTTCGCGTGGCGCTCTGTTTCCAGCTCTACCTCCTCTACCGCGATTGTTCCTGCCGCGATTGGCCGACTGGTCGTTTTGTGATTGCGTGGGGGCTGATGCGTCGGCCATGGTGTCTGTCCTTCCAGTGGTGGGTGATGTGCGCGAAACCAAAGAATGCGTAACCAGAAAAAAGATCAGAAAGCAACAGCGACAGTTTTGATCGACGGCGACGGTATACAGTGGTGGGTTGGTGGGTTTACGAGAATATTGGACGAGATTCCAAGCATGACGGCATTCCGTGTCAAGCTCTGTGATTGGCCAGGGTCGAATTGTGTCCTACGAGGGAAATGGCAGTCGGACCCCCGTAATCTCTCTCCCGAACCACCAGCAATCATGAACTCCCTATCCAAATCACTTCCTCGCATACCTGCCTCGAGCCGCTCCTTCACTACATCTATCCGTCGTCTCGCTCAAGAACCTGCTCCTGTCGACCCTCAAGCTGCCAAGGAAACAAAAGTCAGCGCCAACTACAGCAACCCTCAGATCCGCAAGCCCCGCAGAGGTCCCTACGCAGACTCCCCCTTGCCAGTCTTCCCCCTCCTAGCCATCTTCTTCACCGGCTCCTTCCTCTTCTATCAATTGTCAAAGTCCAGACAAGGCCAAGGCAAATCTCACTACGTCCTGCCTCCTCGAGACAAGAAGCCGCCACCCGCCAAAGAGTTCAACTCCAACCTCCACTCCGAACATTAAACAATGGCTCCCGCAAACCTCCCCACCATCCCCGCCATGAACCGCGACAAGCCTCTGTTCCCCACCGGTGTCGCCGACGGTGAGGCTACTGTCATCTTCGTTCTCGGTGGTCCCGGTGCCGGCAAGGGCACTCAATGCAGCAACATCGTCCGCGACTACAAGTTCAAGCACCTTTCCGCTGGTGACCTTTTGCGTGAGGAGCAAGACCGTCAAGGTAGCGACTTCGGTGACTTGATCAAGGAATACATTCGCGATGGCAAGATTGTTCCTATGGAGGTTACTATCCAATTGCTCGAGAACGCCATGCAGGCCACTATCAAGAACGAGGGCATCAACAAGTTCCTCATCGACGGTTTCCCTCGCAAGATGGACCAGGCTGTTCAGTTCGAGAAGTCTGTCTGCAAGAGTGTCTTCACCCTCTTCTTCGAGTGCCCCGAGCACGTCATGGAGGAGCGTCTGATCAACCGCGGCAAGACCAGTGGCAGAGCCGATGACAACGAGGAGAGCATTCGCAAGCGTTTCAGAACTTTCGTCGAGACCAGCATGCCTGTTGTCGAGTACTTTGACAAGGACGGCCGTGTTGTCAAGGTCCAGGCTGTCCAGACTCCCGACGAGGTTTACGAGCACGTCAAGGTCGGCTTCACCCAGCGCGGCATCAAGCTCGTCTAGACTTTTTCCTAGCTTCATCATAGACTTCTAATAAGCATTTTCAAACCTACATTACCTATCCGCATAACGGGCAACGCCTCGCAGCTTAGTAGCTGGTTCTCATCAATGTGTGTACGCCCCCTCCTCAAATCGCCATCTACACGACATACCGAACAGGGGAGGATCTATGTACTTGACTGTTTTCGCGCACGCTCTTTGAACGGATCTAATTCGTAGGATCATCAATTGGGAAATTTCATCATATATTCAGATAATAAATACTGCCTTCTCTTTTTGTTGTGCAGAGTCTAGCGGTCACACTGTAGTTGACCGTACAGCCCGTTCACAGGAACATAACTTTGAGTGTGGATATCAACATCTCCAGACTACGTACATGCCGAAGTCCAAGTAGCGTCACCATCAGTAATATTCAACGCCTTCTGCACATTCTCAGAAGCCGTAAAATCGGCAAACTTGCAAGTTCCATAGTAATCCGAGGTGCAGCCAACAGGGCTGAGATCAAAGTTTGCGCCATTGAGCTCAAGCTGGATTCTGGTTTCGTTGCCAGAGCAGCTGAGTCTTTTGAATAGCATTTGTGCTCCGAATGGGACTTGGGTGCTTGTTCTCCAGTTGCGATTGGGACTGGGAGGGCCAGTGGCAGGGTATTCTTCGTCGTGGGCGAGACCCAGGGCGGTGAGTCCGAGGTCGATGGTTGTGTCGTGGGCGAAGTTCAGAGACAGATTTTGACCACCAGTACCCTGCAAGAAGGTGGTGACGTTGCTGATCAGCAGGCTTCCAAGAGTAGGGCCTTGGTTGGTGGGGAGTCCGTAGCCGAATGCGCCTCTCATCAGGAGGTCAAGTTCGTATTCGAAGTCGAGGATCTCTTGAGACTTGAAGACCTCACACCATGGGCTACGGCCTACGCCATATACAGCAGTACCGTAAGCGCATGCCCAAAGAGCTCCATGTGCATGCTGCGAAGTGAAATTGACACCTGGGTATGCGCTCGAAACAGCCTTGTTCATACGAATAGCGACTTTGGGCAGATAGACCTTGCCCCATTCGGTGACCAAATCGTTACCGGAGGCATATTCCCAGGTCTTGCAGGTGTCCATCGCAGTGATCCACGAGACGGTGAGATTGTTCTCTGCGATCTTGTCCAATACAGCTACGTCCCCAACGTAGCGGCCAAAGTAGCCATCCATGAACCATTGAGCACTCTCTACCACACGGTCTTGGTCGCCGGCTAGCACTGTATCAGTGTACAGGGAAGGATAATCGAGACGGAGTGCTACACCATGGTCAAACAATTGCTGACGGCCGGAAGCAGAGAGGTTGTTGAGGGTGAAACTGCTAGACCAGCCGTTGGTGAGGAAGGAGAACTCGGATGGAAGCTGGCCTTTGGGGCTTTTGAATAAAGCAGTGTTGTTGTTGATGTAGTAAGATAGATTCTGGATGGTTGGCAGCTCTGATGAGATGGGCTGACGAGAACCATGTCTATGAACCAAGAAGGCACGATCGACAGAGCAAGATTCTGGGATACCAGATAGTAATGAGGCAGGAGTGTTTGTAGGAGTAAAGTAAGGTGAAAGATTGCCTAGATGCTCGTATAGATTGAAAGCATGTGCGGCGGCTGGGGCCAGAGCCAGCAAGGCGAACGAGGAGAGGGAAGACATGGGAACTGCTGGTCAATGGCATGATTTGATCTGGTGCAAGTAGATTTTTATATGTATAATGCCGCGGCTGGAGTGCAGGCGATCGCCGGAGGGCTGCATGTGGGACCTGACTAGCGTTATCATTAGTGCTGATAAGCAGGTATATATCTCGCTAGCTGCCATATTGAGCCTTACTGCAAAGGCAATTGATGCTTTGCAGATATGGTATCTCGTTTTGCTGATGCTCAGCACAGAACTGTTACTCGCAAACATGTCGAATATGTCTTTGACAGGAAGCCCGAATGTCTATCGAGAAGCACAATCGGCTGCCTGCTGAAGACTTGCCATCGGGTCAATTGTAGATCAAGCCCATTCTCGAGCATGGGCAGTACTCTGCGAGTTGGCAGCCAGATGACGATGAATTGCATTCCCTGGAAGAGGCAGTGGATCGCGTGAGCAGGAGCTACGTCCAAGGTCTGCAAGCCATGATAAGTAGGACTGCCTCGCCAAACGCGGTACTGTTATGATGATTGCTGTCAAAATGCACAATTGAGATAGGAAAGGATACCGGCCATTTTCATGGTCTTTCAATCGAAATCATATCCAGATCGAAGTCATTTGTGCATCTTACGGGATAGTTTGGACTCTACGTGGAAGGGTGTGTCTTGGGCAAGGATGAGCGAGGTCGGGGAAAGCCAAAGCTTATCGATAGCACCTGCCATCTGCCATTTCCGAAACGCGCCAAATTGAAACGCGTACCCTGGCGCGTTCTCCAAAGCGAAGGCGAGTCGACCACTTTTCGGTCGTCAACCATTGTCTAGACATTCCAGATTCTACCAAGTTCACCATGGCCCGAGGCATTGAGGGTAACGAGATTGCTACGCCGCGTGTCCCCAAACTCCAGAAATCGACATCCTCGGCATCACAATCAGCAAAGCAGCAGAAGAGCATCTTGGGCTTCTTCCAGCGTAAGACGGCGCCTGCTTCATCACCTGCTGCTCCCAGTGACATTGTCGCTGCTTCGAGCCCTCCGCCTCAGTCTTCCCCTGCTCCTGCCAACTTCAACGGTAAAGAAAATGGTGCAATATCCCCCTATCCCACTACCTCATTCAAGTGCTGACTACCACCAGTACCGCTAGTGAAGCCATCCATCCCTTCTTCAAGTCCTGTCCGCAACGGCAAGAAGAAGATCAACTATGCCGAGTCTGATGACGAAGACGAGGAGCCCGTACTTCGCCAACGCTCCTCCAATGCCACAGGACGATCTATCAAGAGACGGAAGCTAGACGACGACTCTGACGATGAGTTCGAAATGGACGACGCTACCGAGGCCCTCATGGCTGCTGCAGACAATGTCGAGATGCAAGACTTTGTCGTCGATGATGCTTCCGAAGATGACGCTCCCATTAGACGTAAGAAGTCGAGTCAGCCGCGGAAGCCTTCCAAGCAACCTTCTCCAATCGCAGAAGACGAACCAAGCCAGAGTCCCGAAATTCCTTCCACATCAACCGCCCAACAATGGAACTTTGACCCTGACAATGTCGAGCCATATGCATCCAGAAAGACCCCTCAACGCAAGCCACAGTCAGGCCCTGCGAAGAAGCAAAAGGCCCACATGTCCGAACCCGATTCACGTTATCCTTGGCTGGCCGATATCATGGACGCAGACCGCAACAAGCCTAGTAGCCCAGACTACGACCCGCGTACCTTGTATATTCCTCCTTTGGCCTGGTCAAAGTTCTCGCCCTTCGAGAAGCAATATTGGGAGATCAAGTCAAAGTTCTGGGACACAATCGTCTTCTTCAAGAAAGGCAAGTTCTACGAACTGTACGAAAACGATGCCACTGTTGGTCATCAGTTGTTTGACCTGAAAATGACCGATCGTGTCAATATGCGCATGGTCGGTGTTCCCGAGGCCTCACTCGATCATTGGGCCAACCAATTCGTTGCCAAGGGCTTCAAAATCGCCAGAGTTGACCAGATGGAGACCGCTCTCGGCAAAGACATGCGTGAGAGAGATGAAAAGACTGGTAAAGGCGGTAAGCCCAAGAAGGAGGAGAAAGTCATTCGTCGCGAGCTGGCCTCGGTCTTGACTTCTGGAACTCTCACCGACGGTGGTATGCTGCAGGACGACATGTCAACTTACTGTGCTGCCATCACTGAACGCGAGGTCGATGGACTACCTGCCTTTGGTATTGCTTTCGTCGACACTGCAACGGCTCAATTTCAGTTGTGCGATTTTGTCGATGATGTTGACATGACCAAGTTTGAGACGTTCGTTGCTCAGACAAGACCGGGTGAACTGCTTCTTGAGAAGTCATACATCTCGTCCAAAGCCGTACGTATCCTGAAGAACAACACTAGCCCCACGTGTCTTTGGAACTACCTCAAGCCGGACAAGGAATTCTTGACTGCCGACAAAACCGCGCTCAAGATTACAGGAGAACACTATTTCGAGTCTGAAAAGGACAGTGGTGATGATGCCTGGCCTACCTTGCTCAGGGAAGCCAGAGAGAAGGAACTGTGTTTCTCTGCCCTTGGTGCTCTAATCTGGTACCTTCAGACACTCAAAATTGAGCGTGATCTGATCTCGCTTGGCAACTTCGATTGGTATGACCCGATAAGAAAGGCGACCAGTCTTGTGCTTGATGGACAGAGCTTGATCAACCTTGAGGTGAGCAGAACTGATTTGTGCGATAGTGAAATTTGACTGACCTTTCACAGATTTTCGCCAACAGTTACGACGGTGGTGTCGAGGGTACGCTTTTTGCTATGCTCAACCGCTGCATCACGCCGTTTGGCAAGCGTATGCTCCGTCAGTGGGTCTGCCATCCTTTGGCAGATACCGCCAAAATCAACGCTCGGCTCGACGCTGTGGAGGCACTGAACGCCGATCTCACCATCACAGACCGCTTCACCGCATCTCTATCCAAGATCCCTGATCTCGAGCGTCTCATCTCGCGCGTCCACGCAGGCAGATGCAAGGCCTCAGATTTTGTCAAGGTACTGGAAGGCTTTGAGCAGATAGAGTACACAATGAGCCTTTTGTCAGGCTTTGGTGAGGGCGAAGGTGTCCTTGGACAACTCATATCATCGATGCCCGACCTAGCTGGAACCCTGGCTCACTGGACTGATGCTTTTGATCGCGACCAGGCCAAAGAACAGAATCTTCTTGTACCTCAAGCAGGCGTCGAGGAAGACTTTGATGAAAGCCAAGGCACTATCGATGAAATCGAAGGCAAGCTGCAGTCTCTCCTCAAGCGTTGTCGCGACGAGCTGGGAACATCTGCTGCCAAGTATACCGATAACGGCAAGGAGATCTACCAGATTGAAGTCCCCATCAAGACAAAGAATGTGCCCAAGAATTGGAAGCAAATGTCCTCGACTGCCAAAGCAAAGCGCTATTACTTCCCCGAGCTGGAGAGTCTCATTCAAGACTTGAAGGAAGCACAGGAAACACACGGACAGATTGTCAAGCAAGTTGCTGGTAGATTCTACGCCCGCTTTGACGAAGACTATGCAATCTGGCTTGCTGCTGTCAAGATTGTTGCTCACCTTGATTGTCTGATTTCTCTGTCCAAGGCATCAGCCTCGCTTGGAGAGCCTAGTTGCAGACCAGAGTTTGTCGAGTCTGAACGCAGTGTCCTTGAGTTCTCCGACCTTCGTCACCCATGCATGCTCAATACGGTCTCGGACTTCATCCCTAACGATATTGCTCTTGGTGGTGATAACCCGAGCATTGATCTCTTGACAGGTGCCAATGCAGCTGGTAAGAGTACCGTCCTGCGTATGGCTTGCATTGCTGTTATCCTGGCCCAGGTTGGCTGCTTTGTGCCTTGCGTTGCAGCACGTATGACCCCCGTCGATCGCATCATGTCGCGTTTGGGAGCCCATGACAACATTCTGGCTGGCCAGAGTACATTCATGGTGGAGCTGAGCGAAACGAAGAAGATCTTGTCTGAAGCCACTCCTCGTTCGCTGGTCATTCTTGACGAACTGGGTCGTGGTACGAGCAGTCACGATGGTGTCGCTGTTGCACAGGCAGTTCTTCATCATGTCGCTACGCACACTGGCTGCCTCGGTTTCTTCGCTACTCATTACCACTCGCTCGCTGCAGAGTTCAGTTCGCACCCTGAGATCTCTCCCAAGCGTATGGCGATCATGGTCGACGACACTGAGCGTCGCATTACTTTCCTGTACAAACTCGAGGCCGGTGTGGCAGAGGGCAGTTTCGGTATGCATTGTGCAGCCATGTGCGGTATCCCAGATGCTGTTATTCAACGTGCGGAAGACGCAGCAAAGGAATGGGAGTACACTGGACGTCTTCAGGTACGTGCGGAAGAGCGCAAGGAGGGGGAACTGCCTCTTGGTTTGTTGAGTGATATTGCATGGATGCTCAAGACCGCCGATAACGAGGTCCCCGAGGGTGAGCAATGTATCGGTGAGCGTGGTCTTGAGGTGTTGAGGAGAACGATTGCTGCCTTGTAAATATGGGTGGGATGAATGATCATTGCTTGAGCGATTTGCTAGGTGCTTGGGAATGAGTTGAGCGTGTTTTTGCTAGATAGATTAATGATGAGATCACGAAACGATTGCTTTTCCTACAGATCACTTCTCGCTGCTTCCCTTCTCGTTGCCTTCCCTTTGCTTCCTCGTCTGAAAGCAAAGCAGACTGCAACGCTTTTTCCTTGTTGATATCATTGTTTAAAATCACATTGAAAGCAGAAACCACGTTGGTAAGAAAGTCATTGTCCTTTTTGCATCTAAAGGTAGTAGAAAAGATATCAAGAAAACAACAGAATCCATTTTTGTGACCTCATGATATAAAACAGACGCGAGATAGAGAACAACCGTTAGAAAGAGACACCCATTTCTTTTTGTCAACAGATGACACGCTTACTCGACCTCGACGGCGTTTCTGTACTGCTTGTTGGGTCTGTAACCATTGCCCGTCTGGCGGTTCTCGGCATCACGGAGCTCATTCTCACGGTCGCGGATGTAGTTTTCCTTTTCCTGGCGGACGACGCGGAGGACGCCCTGGAGGGAGGAACGCCACATGTCGAGGCGAGAAGCGACTTCGCGCCACTGGTTCTCGCCAAAGACGCGGTAGGTGGCACGGTGGACGAGGAAGGTCTTTTCCTGCTGGGAGAGCTTGCCCTCGACGAGGCCGACGCGGACGGCGTCGATGGCCCACATCTCGACGTCTTCAGCGGGGATCTGGAGGGCCTTTGTGATGGCGTCGTAAGGGAGGGTGCGGGATTGCGAGGCGGAAGCGGCGATGCTGGAGAGGGTGAGCAGACGCATCTTGCGCTCCAGGGCGGCGGTGTCGAGGTCGGCCTTGGACAGGAAATCGGGGTTGGCCTCGTTGAAGTCGCTGAAGTCGTCGAGTTGCTGGGCGTTGAAGATTTCGAGCAGCTCGAACCAGACAGGCTCGGATTGGCGCAGGGCCTGGATCGAGTCGAGTTGGGTCAGGTCGTGGAAGTCAAAGTGCGAGGGCGAGACGAGGGCTTGCTTGAGGGCGCGGACAGAGAGAGATCTTGCTTCTTCGGAGCTGGCGTCTTCTTGCGACTGGGCGGTGCGCAGGGCCTTGAGCAGGTACTGGTATGCTTGTTCATCCTCGCTGGCTTCGGTGGCCACGTCACTGACGGCCAAGTACAGCTTGCGCTGGTCTGCTGCGTCCATGTTCCAGGCGTCGAGCCATGATTCGAGCTGGGCGAGCTGGGGGGTCAACTGGTCGAAGGTGCTGTTGTTGCGCACAATCTTGAGGATGGCCAACAGAACGTGGTATCGGCTCTCTTGCTCGGGGGAGAGGGTGTTGAAGATTGTGCTGAGGACGTTGAGAGCGAGGCCAGTGGCGTTGTTCGGCGAAGAGGTAATGGGGGCAGAGACGTTCTGGCAGAGTTTGGGCAGGAAAATGTCGGGGCTTCCGGACTGGTGTACGAGGTGCACAAGGAGGTTGTATGCGGCGACGAATTCTGGAAGCAGGGTTAATGGCTGTATGTTTTCGGTCAGGAAAGAGCGACACACCTCTCTCGGGAGCGCTGTTCAGGGCGCTGCTGGCAGTGACAATCTTCTTGAGCGCATCCACCTTGTTGCCGTCCTTCAACAGCGGCGCAATCTCTGACTGGACCGACGACTGGCTGAGTCCATCGATGTAGACGGCGAGCTCCTCGCTCAACTCCTCAAAGGTTCCTTCGATCAAAAGTGTGTTGGCCATGGTTGTGTATGTGGTTGCGTCGAATGCGTCGCGCTCGTCTAGCAATTGCTCGCTGTCCAACAATTTCGATTCGACGCTTGTCCGCGATGCTGGTCTGTGCACCTTCGCACAACTGGGATTATCCACATTTATGCATTTCTCTCAACTTCGCAAGTCTGCTTTGGACGCTTTTTGATTCTTTCATCTATTGACAATGCTTCTACTTCAGACATGATCCATCTAATGCCATGTATGTGGTTTTCTCAATCTACTCCTTCTTGGGCTTGATATGCTTGCCCGGCTTCTCCATGACAAACGCGCGCTCCAGGAACTTGAGTCCCTCGTCAATGAGAATGATAGGGGCACTCCATGCAAGCACCAACTTCCACTCTTCCCAACCAAGGGGAACAATGCCGAAAATACCCTGCAAGAACGGTGTGTAAAGCAGTGCAAAGTGCAGTGCCATGCTCAAGCAGATTGCATATACGAGCATCATGTTCTTCCAGAGAGGAAGGGTCAACAAACTCTCCGACGAAGACAGAGCGTTCATGGCGTTGAGCATCTCAATCACAACCAAGATGGACAAGGAGACGGTCGATGCAGTCTTGGATCTGTAGTCAGTGAACATGAGGCAGTCGATAGGGTGCTCAAAAATGCTGCAAGAGTGGAAATGCGTCTGGTACATATTAGCATGAGGTCATCAACGTCAAGATAACCCTGGAGACTTACCAATGCGTGAGCGCTGACCTTGGGTCCGGCCTCGCTGAACATGAAGTACCATGCGTAACCTCCAACAGTGGCGATACCAACATAGGTACCAATCACCATGTATCTGAAGAAGAGCCAGCCACCAATAAGAGCTTCATCACGCTTGCGAGGAAGACGCTTCATGATATCATGGTCAGCGGGGTTGAAGGAGAGTGCAGTAGCCGGAAGACCATCGGTAACCAGGTTGACCCAGAGAAGCTGGACAGGAATCAGAGCCTCGGGCATACCCATGGCTGCAGTCAAGAAGATGGACACGACCTCGCCGATGTTGGACGAGATCAGGTAACGGATAAATTGTTGAGTGTTGTTGTAGATGCTTCTGCCCTCTTCGACAGCGGCCTCGATGGTTGCAAAGTTGTCGTCAGCAAGGACCATGTCTGCAGCAAGCTTGGCTACATCAGTACCGCTACCCATGGCGACACCAATGTCGGCCTTCTTCAAGGCGGGAGCGTCGTTGACACCGTCACCAGTCATGGCAACAACCTCACCAGCAGACTGGAGAAGGTCAACCAACTTGGACTTGTGAGTGGGTTCGGTACGGGAGAAGAGAGAAGCGTTCTTAGCAGCCTTGAGCTTGTCGGCATCACTGAGGTCATCGAATTGGCGGCCAGTGAAACTCTTGCCGGTCAGATCCTCATCGGTACCGAAGACGCCAATCTGGCGACAGATGGTCTCGGCGGTGTTCTGGTTGTCACCGGTGATGACGACGACACGGATACCTGCCTCACGGCACTTGCGGATGCTGTCAGCCACCTCGGGACGAGGAGGGTCGAGCATACCAACAAGGCCAATAAGAGTCATGTTTTGTTCGAGCTGAGCGTATTCAGGAGAGGTCTTGGCTTGCTTCAACAGAGGAGAAGTGACGTTGTCGACGCTGGCAAGAGCCATGATGCGGAGTCCACGGTTACCATAGTCAACAACTTCCTTGGAGAGAAGAGCAGAGACGTTGTCAGTGAGCGCCATTCTGGTGCCCTTGGATCCGAGCAGAACGTATCTACATCTAGCAATGATAGACTCAGGGGCACCCTTGACGAGAAGACGCTGAGATGAGCCATCTTGAACCAAGACAGACATACTCTTTCTGTCGCGAGCAAATTCGTAGGTGGCCAAACGAGGGGTGCTGGTTTCCCAGTGCTTGCTGGCGTGGTGGATTCTTTCTTCAGGTGCGAGGGTGGATCTTGCAGAGTTGACGGATGCGTCTCTGGTGCCAATCTTCTCGGCCAAGACTCTCAGAGCGCCTTCGGTTGCCTCACCGACGTTGTTGTAGACGCCCTTCTCGCTGTCATAAGCAAGACGTGCATCGTTACAAAGGGCGGCGACTTCGGCGATCTGAGCAATGGTGGACGAGGAAGTTGCGGCATTCTCAAGAGTTTGTCCGGTCGAAGTAGTAATGGCACCTTCAGGGGCAAAGCTAGATCCTTCAACGGTGAGTTCTTCGAGGCCAGAGCCCGACTCGTTGATGAAGACGACCTTGTTGACGCTCATCTGGTTGGTGGTAAGAGTTCCAGTCTTGTCTGAGCAGATGACACTGCAGCTTCCGAGAGTCTCGACCGAAGGAAGACTACGGACAACAGCGTTCTTGGCAGCCATCTTGCGGGTTCCCAGAGCCAGGCAGGTGGTGATAACAACGGCGAGACCTTCAGGGATAGCAGCGACACCAAGCGACACGGCAATCTAAAGTAATCGTCAGTCAAATCTCAAGAAACACGGCATGCAGCTGCATCTTACCTTCAAGTAGTAAATGGCACCCTTGGCGAAAGAGCCGTGGGCAGGGTCGTTGAAGTGGGGAATGTTGATGAGCCAGACAAGGATGCAGATGACAGTAATGACCTTGGCCAAAGTGTCACCGAAGTCGTTGAGTTTCTCCTTGAGAGGGGTGGGCTGCGAGATCTGGGAGGTGATGTTTTCGTGGATGTCGCCGATCGCAGTGTTGGAACCGGTCAGAACGACGACGGCCGTAGCGTTTCCAGTAACAACAGTAGTACCTGAGAAGAGCATGTTGACCTGGTCCTGCTTGACGGCGTTCGCATCCTTGATAGCATCTGTGTCCTTGCCAACACTCTCACTCTCTCCGGTCAAGATACTCTGGTCGATGCGGAAGCTGTTGCTGTGGATGGACAGGACTCTGCAGTCGGCAGGAATGCGGTCACCCACGGCCACCTTGATGATGTCTCCAGGAACCAATTCGTCTGCCTTGATGCGCTGAACCTTGCCATTGCGTACGACCTTGGCCTCGTTGGCCGAGTACTCTTGAAGTGCTGCGATTGCCTTTTCGGCGGACGATTCTTGCGATACTCCGACGACGGCGTTGAGAATGAGGATAGTGAGAATCTAGGGGGTACTGGTCAGAAACGAATCCAAAGTCGCAGGGCGCAATGCAGAACGTACTACGATGGGGTCGACAAAGACGGTCCAGTCGTCGCTATCCTCGAACAGGGCGAGGACGAAAGATACGGCGGCCGAGGCAAGCAGGATGATGACCAGCTGGTCCTTGAATTGTTCCAAGATGAGTTCCCATAGCGGTGTTGGCGGGTCTTCGGGAAGAGCTGGCAGGACGGTTAGCACTTGTTCAGAGTATGCGTGAGCAGAAAAACGAACCATTGCGACCATGCTTCAGCCTCGATTCCGTGACTGAAGTGTTGGAAAGACCCGAGCCTTCTTGTACATCAAAGTGCTTCAGCACTGCAGGTGCCGATTGCACGTACGCGTTGTCCATGTTGGCGAACTTGGAGCAGTACAAAGTCAGTCGAGGAGGAAGCTATTACTTCCACGTCCCTTCCTAGCCTTGTTGTACTTGAATCGAAAATCCAGAAGTTTCTTTGGTTTCAAGAAACCACCTGTACTTATCGTTAGTAAGTTATGCCACTCTAGCCTACAAATGCCGGTAGGGGCTGGCTTGCCAAGCATCATTGTCGCCGTTTTCGGAAAGCGGGTACCTAGGTATGCTTATCCAGCAGCACATGTCTCTTCTCCGTAAACACATGCCCATACTTGATGCAGTAGAATTTCAAGATCATGTCATGATCAGAGCACATTTTCACTAAGACAGCATGAACACGAAGCTTTTGGTAGATGTGTGCTAAGCCCTGGAATCCATCTTGTCTTTTGATGTCTAGCTAGACTCTGTACCTCAACATTGCGATTGGTGGTGCTTGGCTTACCACGCTGGATAACAACTGCCATGTGCTCGATAACTGCACTCCAGCTCCACGTTTCATGTCAGCTTTCGAGGCCTTGCTCCTATCTGTCCTTCCAGGACCATTTTTACAAAACTTGGCAGATACGAGAAACAGAATCTTGCAAGGAACCTCTCTAGTATGATATTCTTACAAATGCATTGCGCGTACAACGGACTGGCTGCCGTGTTTCCGTACTTTGCTGGGCGTGAATTGTCACAGAATCATGTTTCCATCAAGGTTGTTGCAACTTTGCTTATTAATTTCATGCATGTATGTAGTCCTGTCCCTGGCCCGGTTCGAATTGGCAACCGGCCAGAACAAGTCCAGAGGGGACTTTTCGATGAATATCGTACAATTGAAACGCTGAGAAAACCACATTCCATGCAAACCTGGCCTCCATTTTGTGTCCCTCCCTTTGCGCCAATTGATGCATGTTTTTCCTCGAGTACCTAATATACAACACACCATTTCCCAGAGGCATCCTTAGTTTAGGAATCCCTTACATCCCACGGAACCGCAAAGACATGGGATACGATCATCGCTGCCATATTCACGCTCGAACTTGTAGTCATAGGTGAGCTCTTCGTCTGCGAGCATCTGGTCAGTAACATGTTTCATGAAATGGTAGTGCACTTGCTAAACTCACTTTTGGCAATGTCCTTGAGAGCATAGATGACAATTCTTCGTGTGCCATCGACCTTGATGATCTTTGCGGTGCAGTTGGGTGTGCAACTGTGGTTGATAAAACGGGCAATGCCGCCCTTCTTTGTGGCGTCGACAATCTCATCGTCCACCATGCGGAACAGATAACTGCTTCCAATGCCTTGCTTGTCGTACTTGATTTCGCGAAGGTCGGCGACTTTTTGACGTACCTTTTCGCCAACGTACTCGATGATAAGGTCGTTGAAAGCGATGTTCTCCATGGCATATAAGCCCCAACCGTGGATGGCGGATCTGTCGAACTTGACGTGCTTCTTGCGTTTCTTAAGCGCGTTGAACTTGATGGCGTCCGTCTCGGCACCAGTAGTACCGAGGTTCTGCTTTTGCAAGTTGATATCATTCACCAAGCGTCGGTTGTTTGCACGATTGCTGCGGGACGAGGCGGTAGAAGCGAGTTTGGCAGCTGCGGCGGCCTTTGCGGCTTCCACAGCTGCAGTCGGATCCTCCTGAGCCTGCGCCTCACGTGCTTCGCGTTGCTTCTGAACACGAATGCGGTGGGGTAAGTACTTGGACTTTTCGGATTCGAAGATCTTCTTGACTCCTTCAGTACGTGCGCAGCCGGTAGGGTTGGGCACGTAGTATCCAAGAATTCTGGCCGCGGCGGAGACTGATCCAAGACCCTCGACGACGTTGAGCGCCTTGATCTCCTTTTGTTTGCGAGCCCAGAGGGTGATGTCTCCGATATCTGCGGCAGAGACGTCTTCCAAGGCTTGTTGTAGGAATCGCATATCTTCCTCGTCTTTGATCATGTGCTTCCAACCGTCGATATCCAAGAAAACATCGTCGTCGTCTTCCACAGTCTTGCGTCGCTGGTCAGTAGACACGCCCCACTCGACTTGGGGCCTTGCTTCGCCCTCCTCTTCCTCCTCCTCGATGACTGGTTCAGCATCTCCAAGCTCGATGTCTCTGTCTTCTGCTTGACTCTCATCTTCCATGGCTTGAGAGTCGTCGGCAGCAGCCATAGCAGCTCGTTCGGCTTCGCGTTCCTCGAAGATCTGTTTCTTCGATTTCGGTCGCTTCCTCCTAGGTTCCTTTCTGACAGGCTTGACAGCGAGGTTTTCTGATTGATCCATGTTTGTGTCGGTTGTGGACGCATGCGGCTTCGCTCTTGTGGTTTCTGTTGTTGGAGCTGGTGTCTCCTCGCCATCGTACTTGGCTCGCTGTCTGGTGTGGAGCTCGATTCGTGCACGTTCCTGGAACTTTGAGTCCCTAGGAAGCGTACTAACAACCAATTCCAGCTCTCTTGTTGCCATGCGTTCAGGGATTTTCTGGATAAGGTCGCCAAGGAGCTCTTTGTGATGCGGCGCGAAGGTCTCTTGCTCTTCGGGTGTTATTTCCCTCTCTTTGTGCACCAGCTTTCTCTTTTTATGGGGAGGCGTCGGTACGTCGATAGAATCAGATACGCTGACGGGTGTTGAGTTACGGCTGGCCCGACTGAGGGGTCTGCTCTCTTGGTCTTCCGTGTCTCGAGTCATCGTGGTCTTGCGATCGTCGTCAGAATCTTCCTCGTCTTCGTCGTCTCCTCTGTACATATTTTGTAGACGATAATGCAATGGACGGGCGTGAGCAGGACGGGCAGCTGGTCGGCGCTTCCGGCGCTCATCCATATACACAGTCGTGGTAACTTGACGTCCACGGTTAGGGTCGTGCGGGCGCAGAGGCTTGCTGTGAGATAAAGGACGGCCGTTTCGGGCTCGGGATGTTGTGGTGGGTGTGTCGCTGGCTTTGTTCAACAACAAATTCGGCACCTTGTTCTCATTTTCAGCAGGGTCTGGAAGATCCAGCTTCTGGCGTTTCGCGACATGTCTAGCGGGTTCTAGGCAATCGTGGATTGTTGGAGTGACGATGCGACTCTTGATGTCGTCCATGATCTTGTTGCGCAACTCGACTTGAAGAAGTTCAAGTGCGCCCTTGACAGGATCCAAATCAACAGCTCTTTCTTTCTTTTCTTCTTCCAGATCCTCTGCGGCCCATCGTTCCAGCCGATCCATCTCCTCCTTCTTTCGAGTTTGGACAGCCTGAGTCTCGGGGCTTGGACTGCGGACATAATCGGGGTTTCCGTACTGCTGGCATTCCATAGCCATCTTGTAAGTAAACATTGGACCGTTGTTGCACTCCTTGAAACACCTGACCGTCTCGTCTTCGCCGCGCTTAGAGTCGTCGAAAATGACAAAGTAACCTGTCTTGTCGACGCGAATCTCTCGCCAGTCATATGCCTTAAATCTCTTCTTAAGATGAGGAACAGTGGAGCCAAGCACAGGCACGCTATCACGCGAAATGAATATGTACGGCTTTCGTTTGATCTTGGCCAATATCGCCTCTGATTCAACGATTGATCGTCCAGTGTCGCGTTCCTTTGCAGTCGAGGGCTGTTCCGACTCGGCCGCTCGTTCTCGTTTTCCTTGTTCTCGTTTCGATGCTGGCCCCTTGGGAGCTTTCGGCGTGTTCGCTGGGACAGGCTTCGCCTCTTCGCGAGCACCTGGCGGTGGCGGAGGAGGTGGTGGCACTGGTGTCGAAGAAGCGGCTGACTCGGCGGCTATCGAAGGAGTAGGAAGAGCGTGTCGGGCGGCTTCCTTCTTGAGCTTGAACTCGATATATCTTCGGCATCTGCGTCCTTCGCGATCGCGCTCGACTTTGACCTGTGTCAAGCCGATGCGTCCATTATGCGCTTCCTTCTCGGCACGCTTTGCAGCATTGGCGGCAGACACCGACACGCCTTTGACCGGTTTGCTGTCTTTGTACTTGATCAGGCAAATTCCCAGAAGACTTCCAGTATTCGGATCTGTCTGATTGCGAAACTCGGCAATGTCTCCAAAGCTCGCGAAGAAGGATTTGAGTTGGGATTCGGGCGTGAAAGGATCAAAACTGTGTACGACAATTTGTTTCGGCGGGGCGGGTCCGATCGTCGAAGCCTTATCGTACGCATATGGTTTCAAGGCGTGTTGTGCGATGCGAAGTCTCCATTTCGAATGAACCTTGACTGGTACAGCCTTGCCTGACGTGTAGCCTACAATGGCTAGCCTGGGGTCTGGAGGCGGAGATTCTTGGTGTGACTATTTTTCAACCCATCAGCTTCAGGGTACAGAATGGTTTATTTTGTGGTAGGATATCAACAAGCTCAGCAATCATAAAAATGTCCAAACGTACCTCGGTCCCGAAAGACGCGATCTTGACTTTTAAGCCCTTCTTCTCTTTCTCGTTGAGCTTGTCGTATTTTTCCTTGTCCTTTTCGTCCAATACTAAAGGATCATAAACCACTCTGTACCCTTTTGCTTGGCCGATCGGAGGCATGATTTGGGGACGTTCTCTCGGAGAAGAAGGTCGAGGAGAGGCATTTTCGGAAGCGTCTTGAGGAGCATCTGCGACGGGGATACCAAGAGGTGATGGGTCTGGCTGAGTCGAGTTGTGGTAGGGTTTTGAGGAAGTCAGTGGAGAACGCGATATGCCTGGAGACGAAGCAGGATATGTGAGAGGAGTCAAGGCGGCCATGGCAGCCGAGGAATGGACATTTCTCTTGCGGGCCTGAGTATCAGCGCTGAAGATGGAAGAGACGGTGCTTGTGAGGGAGCTGGTTGAGCCGATGCCATTCAGCAGATCGCCCGAGTCGCGTGCTTCCGAGTCTGAAGAAGACATGTTGGCCGAAGTGTCGGCAGCCTGGACTTGGGGATACGCCATGCTAACTAGGCAGTTACAGGCAAAGGTAGCACCTCAATCAACAACCAGGCATCGGATACACAAAGCTGAGGCGAGGTCAGCGGTGGCACTTTGTATTGTCGGTGGTGGGCCAAGCTCCGGGGCTCTAAGATGGTCAGGCGTCGGACGGCGCAAGTGAAGCAGAGCTGGAGGCGCCGGCGATGAATGACAAGACGGTGAGTGTTAGTGGTGATGTCGTGAAGATGGACTGAAACAATGGCTTTTGGCGACGACAGGGGCCCTCGAGGAATGGGGACGGGGCGCCGACCTGGGGCGCAGGCCAGATATGAGCACTATGGCTGAGAGAGCAATAGCTGCCACAGTCAGATGATGTGTTCAAGGAGCAACAGGCGGGCAGGCTGAACAAATGAATGGTGGGATGGCTACAAAACCGTGTCTGTTGTCGATAATCAACTTGGACTTTGCGACGGCTGGCATGGTGCACGGATGCCGATGACGGGCCTTTCTTGGTGATGTGGTCCAAGCGCCGCTGCTGGCGTACATACAGCTGTGGCGTACATACAGCTGTGCATGCCGCTCTCATTGTCACTGCTTCAGAAGAGTACGCATGTGCAAATCGCAGTTGATCTTCTTGCCAGTGTATATCTCACGGGTCCAGCGCTGCCGCTCATCTAGATTGTCCTGGTTGGACAGCGGTGGCTGTGGCTGGACAAGATGCTGCCGTTTGATGAGCAAACAGCAGTACAGTCCCAGACAGTCGTCTTTCCACCTTGTCTTATCCTTGTACGACGGAATTGAACTTGTTTGAATTTTCTACCTCCCCAAGGAGCCTTGTCCCTTGCTCTTCTATTGGATGAATGTCTTCTCCTCCTGCCAGCCCCTTCTCTTGACGCCCAGCTCGACGGCGGCTGCACCCCAGTCTTCGCCATGGTTGTGGTATTTCGAGCCTGACACGAGGCCAGCACGCTCAAGTCCTTGCTCTTCCGTCAACAGAGTGAGCAGTCCAAAGACGACAGGAATGCCAATGTCCAATTGAAGCTTCATGAGGGCGTGGCTCACGGCGTCCGAGATGTATTCGAAGTGCATGGTCGAGCCCTTGATCAGAACGCCGATTGCAATGATGGCGTCAAAGGGCTTGTTTGCGGCTGTGCTTCCGCTGCCCTCCTTGTCCTTGAGTGAGAGGTCGGTCGTCGACGAAGAGAGGAGGTCGGTGGCAGAGCTCAGCAACGTCGAGTTGGCCGAGGATGCTTGGGCTTGCGAGCAGGCGTACATCTGCTGTACTGCGTAGGGGAGTTCGTAGCTGCCGGGCACTGTCTGGATCTCAATGTTGCTCTCTGCACTTTGTCAGCTTCACCATGCGTGTGATGGCTCGTGCCTAGATACCAGGAACGCCTGCTTCGGCGAGCTTCTTCTTTGCGCCCTCAAGAAGGGCATCAATGATCTTGGTATTCCATCGAGCGTGCACGATACCGACGCGGAGTTTCGAGCCTGTCAATTGTCAACAACCTCTGCGCATGCTTGGGATGCCGAAGAGGATGGCTGACCGTCGTACTGCTTGGTCTCGCCGATTCCTTTGATTCCTGACATGTTGTTGTGCTGATTGTGCGTTTGTTGTGTTGGTTGGAAAGAGTTCAGCTTCCACATTCAAGGGTTCACTGGCTTGGGCAGTGCCGCGCAACGTCAGAGTGGGGGTGGGGGGGGGATCGAAGCTCCCTCGAACACCATCTTTCAACACCATCTTTCGCCGAATTTAGTACAACATATGCCATGGGAAAACCAACCTTATATTTGATGATGGTCTGGTTCGAAATAAGGGACTACATATGAATGGTCACCCGTTCAAGTCATGAGCTCTGCGTCAAATTCTCATTAGCACGAAGACCACCTCTCATGCTGGCCTCGCATAGGCCTCATCGAGCTTGCGGTCACTCTCCCGTCCAAGAAAGCAGAGTATCACAACTTTAGAACCCTACATAGAGTCGAGGTAAGTGTTACTATCATGTTCATACTGGAGAGCAATGCTAGATGAGGAGAAACCTTGAGACGCATGTGCATCGGGAGGGCTCCTGAGTTTGACCACGATGTGACTTCAGTCTTCACTCGCGTCCTACCGCCAGATGAACAAGCTACTACTGGCAACCAACTACTATATATAATCGCCGTTGTTCACAATTTGCTTGGAATTAACCCAAACTCATTATTTTACAAATATGGTGCTTGGTTATCAAATTTTACTTCTCGACGTTGTTTTAGGGGTGACCCTGTTCATAGCGTGTAGGCTCCAGCAACGACCCTCGGACGCTCGAGTCGCTTCCCACCATATCAAGACGCAACACCGCTTTCACACATACACGTAATGATCTTATAACATTGACCCCTTCCATCGTCCTTCAAGCGCCAGTCACGAAGATATGGCGACCCCACTCTTAGCGATCGCAAAGATACAAAAGAAAGTCTGGGACGGCAGTCTGCCACTCGAGATTCGACTGGCAAATGCAGATTGCAGAACATACGACGAAACAGATCCGTATTTGGTATATTACATCCTCTCACTTTCTTTCTCACTCGAGGCCAATTAGAAAGAAACAGAGAACAATGAGAAAACCATTATCGTCTGACATTCTACTAGATCAACCTCCCCCGCCTATCATACCTCCCCTTCTTGCTCCCCCGTCTCCACGCCTTTTTTGCTCCCTCCTTGATAAATCCATCTACTCCACCTCATGAACTATGGTTGTCATTCCAAGGAGTGCCGTTGAAATATCACCATCCCGTTGGACTACTATACGACCTATTTTCTGGAGCCCCACCAGCAAATCCTGACGACGATGAGGTAGACGCAGAGGAAACACTACCTTGGAAACTAGAACTCAGAGTGCAAGAGTTTCCTCCAGAGCTGATGGGATTGGACGCAGAAGGTAAGGTGGTGAGAGACTGTTTCGTTAATGGAGTTAAAGAGGTGAGTTTTTTGCTCTGAAGCAGAATGAAGGGTTGAAGAGAAGTTATTTGCTGATGACGGAGGGGAAATAGGCAGATGTCATCCGCAACGGCAAAGGAAATGTGTACATGGGATTGAGTAAGAACGACTCCGATGTGCTATGGGAAGCTGTGAAGACGCGTAAGTTTGTTGCGTTCCTCTGCTCCTTCCTACCTCCTCATTAAACCTTCTCGTAGCCATCGAGAATGTAGAATTGACAGAGATGTGCAACCAAAACAGACAACCTTCAAAGATTCAACACCATAAACAACAAATTGCTCAATCCACCAGGAACACCCCTCCGCAATATCCCAATGAAAATCTACCTCCCCACCGCTCCGTCGATAATCAATCCGGAAGAAGGAGGAGATTCGACGATACAAGCTAGCATAAGAACTGTGCAGAGTCTCGTTGCTCCATTTTCTGGAACGCGTATGTTTGCACTCGTTTACTGTACTCGACTACTGTTGGGGAACATGAACTGATGCTTGGTGTTAGGGCAACCGAATACACTGGGGATGGCATTGAATCAGATATTGCCGACGGTGTTTCCGAGTAGGAGGAATCCGGTGTTGGCGACGCCTGTGTTGCATGGGGCTGTTGTGCCGATGGGTGCGCCTGTGGAGGAGCTTATGAGAGCTGCGGCGTTTGCGGATGGGTTCTTGCATATCGTTGTTGTCATGTTGTAGGCATGCGAGCGGGTCAACCCGTTCAAGATGAGCCACTGGAGACAAGAGAAAAGCAGATTCACAAGGAACCATAGCATTATAGAGGTTCGGTTGGCAGCGTTGCTCGAATTTAGACATTAAGTGTACGTTACTTGACGCTTGGTGAGGCCATTGACTATATCGTCGAGTTCATCTCTCTTGCGTTTTCTCTCCATGGCTTCTTCGCCTCCTTCTTCCACGCCATCCTCGTCTTCTTCGTCTAGCGAATCTTCCCATGTTTTCGGCTTCCAGCATCGAATGGTACCGTCGGAGTGGCCCGAATAGAGTTCGATATTATGGACTCGCCAGGCGAGACTTGTTGTTTTGTTCATGACATTCCGCGTGCCTGACCCTGCTGTGACTTGTATGCGTGATGAAGCGTATGAGGGTGTTCGTAGGCGGTTGATCAGCTTTCCAGTGTGCATCTCGTATACGAGTAATTCGCGTGGGTTTGGGTAAACAAGAATCTCCTTTGTTGGAGCCGTCAAGTGACTTGGACTGACAAGGGGTAGCAGTGTGGACGTGGTGGAGCTCTTTACAGCAGGACCAAAGTTGGTCAGGGTGTTTGCGCCTGTGTTTGCATTCCAGACTCGAATCTTGTCGTCTTGCCCACAGGTGACGATGTAGTCTCCTGCTTCGTCCCAGGTCACGCCATTCACGGCGCCCGAGTGCGCCCTTCCGCGCTCACGGCGGAGCGTGTTTCCATGTATGCCGACGCCCCTACTGTCTTCCATGTCAAGTACACCTAAGCTACTTGCGCTGCGGCGGATATCCCAGAGTCTGACCAGACCATCCGAGCCACCGCTAGCCAGTACATGCTCGCGTTTGGGATGCCAGGCGGTCGATAGCACGGCACCGCTGTGACCAGCAAGCGAATGGGTGCTGGCGCCAGAACGAAGATCGACGAGGCGCACGGCGGGGTTTTGCGTTGCACATGCTACCAGTAGATGCGACGCGATTGGCGAGAGGGCATGTGAGTAAACAACGGCTTCGAGGTCAAAGGAGGCAGAAGTTTCGAGCGTCTCAGATGAGTACAGCTTCAACGAGTGGTCGTAGCTGCTAGACAGGAATGCCAACGAATCAAAGGGATAGAAAGAGACATGTGTGATTCCGAAGTTTGCCGTCTTTGATGTCTTCGAGGCGTATCCGAGTGGTTGAATGATGCGTGTCTCGTCGGCTTGGTTCGTCGGTGTTTCGAGATCCCAGATGCCAATCGATGAGTCTGCGCCGCCAGATAAGAGATAGCGCCCCTCAAACTTGTCGACCGTGATGCTGTTTACGCCAGCTGGATGCGCTATACCATTCTGAAGCGCGTCTTCATCGTTCTCAGTGTCCGGAGGAGTAATGCTCAGCGAAACATGACTGGCGGGCTGGATCGAGTACACAAGGCGTGTGTTTTGCGATCGCGCAAGGGCGGCTGGGTTAACGCTACCTAGAGCACGATTGAGCAGGAAGGAGTTCATCCGGCAACATAATCATCTTCGAGTCTGGATACTGTCATAATCGATCCTCGGTCAAGAAGGAGCGAGCTTGAGAGATGAAAGTGACGTAGGAGTTCTCCATAGGGAAAGCGCGATTCAACCACCTTCCAACCCAATCTCCGCCAAGCCTGATGGACCGCTCCTACCAAATCTTGAACATCAACAAGGCAAACTTCAAACAGAACTCGCTACTTTAGAAACCAACACTTCAGGCATGGATATCAGGACAGATCGCCTGGAGCGTTACAAGCACCCTGAAGATGTCGTCGAGCCTGAAATTGCTGCTCGCAAACGCCGCAAAATCACCGTCTATGAAGCCGTCGCAGGCAAAGCTGGCTATGAAAGTCTCCTGCCAAGTGAGAAGAGAACTGCCACCAAATATCGAGACACCCAGACAAACTCACTCCAATCTGTCCCGCCCGATGAGGTTTTGTTCCGTCGACAAGGAGCACCAGAACGATATGAAGAAACCGACGTTTACAAGGCTCCCCACACAGACATTCCTCTACCAGATTCTGACCTGCTCAAATTTATCCATCGATATGCATCGGAACTCTACTCAAAAGCAACACCCGATAAAGGGCAGCTAGACCTTCAATCACTGGACGAGACAGCTCTGCTTGCTCTAGGTATACTGCTCGAAGAGACTGCTGCTCTCCATCTTGGAGAGACCGGCCATTCTGCTTTCATCGAAGATGAGAATGAGGACATCATGACGGGCAAGCGGGAATACTGGAATGGGGAGAAATGGGTTCGCAGTGTCATCGAAAAGAAGCCGGCTGGCACATGATGGACGTTGGTTTCAGCTCCGTCCTTCCCACGGTTAAGATTCACCTTCCCACACAATACATGTGACAAATACCTACCCGCTGCTGGCTATCACGACAACTCCAGTCTATCATATCATGACTCACACTCGTATCGAGATCACCAACATCAGGTTGTAGGATTCATCGCTCCTGCAAAATATTGTTGGTGTGAAAGGTCTCGAGACCAATCCATCGCCTTCCATTCCATCAGTCCACGACCGGCGACTCGGGCCTTCGCACCGTAAGACATGCATCCTCCGCGTTCGGTCATACCTCGCGGCCCGTATCCCCAGAGCCCCTTGCCGAGCGACCACAAAGTCCATGAACCACCCCAGAGCCCCAGAATGGACATGATCGCGACGCTACTGCGACCCGGCAGATCCTGAAGAGATTCAAAGTTCCAGCCCATGCCGGGGCCGCTCGTCTGCAGTGCAATGCGGTCTATTGCGATTCTGGGTATTGCTTTAGCCGCCAGACGCGTCAACAATAGCCTATCCCCGTCCAAGTGGCTCGCAGGGACTCGAAGCTGGCCATTCGCGCTGTCTGGTGGCGATAGGAAAGAATTCTGGGCCTTTACTCTCTAGGTGCGTTGGTTGACGATCACGATGGCAAGCCTCAAAATTTCGAGGTCTACTGAGATGCACAATTCACAGGACCCTGAGAGCAGCTTTGGCTTACTGTATGCAATCTGCACGGCGTCCTGTGCCTCATGCAGCCCTGATGAATTTAGACATTATTCCTCAAGCCCAATGTGAGCGCCAGCCTGTTCTGGCGGTATCGCCAATGCTAGAAGTATTGCAGTACAGTCTTGGGGAAAATCTCACCCAGTGTCGTCGCTCTGTGGTTGACCGAGAACATCACTCCAATCAAGTTGGCTTGGCTATCCAAGACGAGACGAGACCCAGACACCAACACAGCAAGACGTCTATTGGCTAAATTACACGCGATCATGATATTTCTTTTCTGCGGTTACTTCATCACGAAATACGTATTCTGTGCCCGGCGATTCCGTCTTCAATCTGCCTATACAAGTTCAAAAAGACCACCTACGTCTTTGACTCTCTATTGTTGTCACCGATTTGAATCTGACCTTCAATTCACAGTGTCGCAAGGCGTGCCACGAAGCTTGTTCAAGCCATGTGGGACATTAGGTGGTTTCGACCTTCAACAACCATGCTGTACAGGCAAAATCCACCGGCTAAATGCGAACGCTTGTGATCAGTGCAGCCTGTATGGCTATACCGCTTCGGGTCGCACCCCCCTTCTCCAGACGTTCTAACAGTACGGTATGTGGAGCTGCGGGGATGACCGATTGCGCTTGCCGGATCTTCGCCATCTCCAGACTCCTCCACATTTTCAAGTGATGATCCCTTTGACCATCTATCAGATCATACCTCGACTCCGATCAACCAACAACTTGCTAAGAACAATTAAATCTCTGTACAAGCTCATAGGCATCAACGTCCGCCGGCCTCCCAAGACGCCACTATCCGTTAGCCTGCTGACAACCTAATATCAACGACGTCGATCATTCGCGGCTAGTCCTAGTCCTGCACGCGAGAAATCATGGCTGCCAGACCACAAACCACGCGATCACCCTTTCCCATTCATGCGGAGCCCCGCCATGGCTAAACACAATGTCTGTGGGGTAAACGAGAATCAATAGTGGCCTAGCCATCCTTTCTGCATGTGCCACACGGCCGGGTCGACACAAGCGAGTCTGGGACGTCTTTGTCGCCTCATCTTGGATGTCCAAGGGTGCTCGTGCCTGGCGGCTAAATGAGGTGGCATGCTTTGTGCTGCAACAGTCATTTCAAGCCACCTGAGATATATATCTCCATTGTCCTCCCCATGAATTGATCGGCCAGGCATTCGACTCACTGTCACTCAGACATTACTCGCATTCGCTGATCTTCTCTCTTTCTATCCAACAATCGTTCTTCATATCTGAGTCGAGATGGAGGCCGCAACTAAGGGCCACTACCGCTTGGCGGGTCGCGAATTTCCCAAGGTCAACTGGCTTACTGATCCTGGATTGCGAAGAAACTACATCTGCTTGATGTTCGTTGTCATCACCAGTGCCACCAATGGTTACGATGGTTCGATGATGAACGGTCTCCAGGCCCTGAAGATCTGGCAAAGTGGTATGTTTGAAAACACATCTACAACAATGCATATGCTTACTATCAGCAGACTTCCACTACCCGTCCGCATCTTCCCTGGGTCTGCTGAACGCCATCATGTCTGTCGGTTCTCTTGTTGCTCTCCCAGTTGTCCCTTACATCGCCGACGGGCTCGGTCGCCGCGCCGGTATCCTTACTGGCTGTATCATCATGATCATCGGAGTCGTCGTCCAGTCTGCCGCCATGAAGCTGTCTATGTTTATTGGAGCTCGTTTCCTGATAGGTAAGAGTTGATTGAGTGGTCTCTTTGCCCATTTACTGACAGAACACACAGGCTTTGGAGTTGCCATCGCCCACGGCGCCTCGCCCCTGCTCCTCACTGAGCTTACTCACCCTCAGCACCGTGCTACCTTCACGACTATCTACAACACAACTTGGTACTTGGGCTCAATCGTAGCCGCCTGGTTGACATTCGGAACTTTCCACATCCAGAACCACTGGGCTTGGAGAATCCCCTCAATCGTTCAGGCATTCCCCTCCATTCTCCAGCTCATCTTCATCTGGTTCGTTCCTGAGTCACCTAGATTCCTGATCGCCAAGGGCAAGGTAGAGCAAGCACACAAGGTTCTGGCCGATGTTCACGCCAACGGAAACCTCGACGACGAAGTTGTGATGCTTGAGTTGAACGAGATCAGAGATACCCTGAAGTTGGAGCAAGAATTCGAGGGCAACAACTGGACTGAACTCTTCAAGACTCCCGGTAACCGCCACCGTCTGATTATTCTCTGCTCCGTCGGTTTCTTCTCGCAATGGAGCGGTAACGGTCTCGTCTCGTACTACCTTACTTTGGTCCTCGACCAGATTGGCATCACTGACACCAACACTCAACTTGTCATCAACGGTGTTCTGCAAATCATCAACTTCATCGTCGCTGTTGGTCAATGTTTCTTCGTTGATCGTATCGGCCGTCGTACTCTGTTCTTGATTTCCACTGCTGGTATGATGATGGCCTTCATCGTGCAAACCATCTGCTCTGCTCGCTTCGTTGTCGACGGAACTGATGCTGCCGCCAACTCGGTCGTCGCTTTCATCTTTATCTACTACGTCTTCTACAACATTGCCTTCTCCGGTCTCTTGGTCGGATACTCAGTCGAAATTCTGCCTTACAACATCCGTGCCAAGGGTATGACTCTCATGTTCTTGTGCGTTGATCTCGCTCTTTTCTTCAACCAGTACGTCAACCCTGTCGCTCTCAAGCACATCCACTGGAAGTACTACATCGTCTACTGTGTCTGGCTCGGCTTCGAACTCTTCATCGTCTGGAAGTTCTACATCGAGACCCGCAACACTCCCCTCGAGGAAATCGCCAAGTACTTCGATGGCGAGGACGCTGTTGTCGGTGGTGCTGTCGCTACCGAGAAGAGCAAGGCATTGGCAGCCGAGATGGGTGGTCTGGGCACGGTGAACATGACCGAGAAGGATGGCCTGGCTGTCGAGCACAGAGAGTTGTAGAGGAAGATACCAATACTCTCAGAGTGATTGGCCGGATTTATGTGAATAATGGGTTGTTACGATGCTGGAATGCCGAATATACATTCGCTTTGAATTCATGACTTTTATTTCGAAACGCTTTAAATGTGCTACCCCAAACTATCATGACGCTATTATCACTTTTTGTCGAACAGTTCATGGCATCAAACCATTTGCCATTTTAGAATGAGCTGAACATTCCGGCTGGGGTAAATCACAGAGTTCGCCGGTACAATCCCAATCCGGCAGGTGTTTGTCGCTCATGACCCACCTTCACGACATCTTAACTTCCACCACTCACCTCTTCTTTTTAACCAGACTTTTGGAAACCAACAACTCTTCAACAGCCATTTACGCACCTATCATCATCGAGAAATAAAGCACCATGCCTGAGACCAAACACTTTACTCATACCATCAAGCTATCTCCTGGCTCTTCCCATGCGGGACAAGACTTCGAGGGCAGATTAGCCTACTGGAGTCTGGGCGACGCTTCCAAGCCCACGGTATTGATGCCGACTTGTTTTGCCGGAAAGCTGGAAACCACAACTCCTTTCTTGTACGACCCTGACACTTCCGCACTGCCGTTGTCTAAATACCATGTTTTGGTGGTGGGGCAATTGGGTGGCGGGGAGAGCTCGTCGCCATCAAACCAACCTGCCCCATTCTCTGGCGTCGACTTCCCGAGAGTGACGTATGAGGATAACATACACTTGCAACATGCCCTTTGCCAGAGTCTGGGTGTCAAGCATTTGGAAGCATACATTGGTTTCTCAATGGGTGGACAGCAAGCATATCACATGGCCGTTCTCTACCCTGATTTCGTGTCCAACATTGTGATGCTAGCTACCTCGGCTAGAACGTCAGCACATAACTGGAACTTCCTCGAAGGACCAAAAGCTGCATTGGAATCATCAGTCGACTTCGAGGATGGTCGTTATAAGATCCAACCAACCAGAGGTTTGAGGGCTTTCGGCAGAGTGTACTCTACCTGGGCACTCAGTCAAGAATGGTACAGGCAAGAGTGCTGGAAGGCTACTGGCTATGACACGCTGGAACAATATCTCCAAAACAACTGGGACAAGAGGTCGAACGATGCTAACGACTTGCTCTCCATGCTATGGACATGGCAACACGGAGACATCACTTCTTGCTTCCCCGAAGATAAGGGTGATCTGCCGACAACTTTGGGCAGGATCGAGGCAAAATGCGCGATTATGCCTTCTAAAACAGACATGTACTTCCCACCAGAGGATAGCGAGGAAGAGGTCAAGCATGTCAAGAATGGAAAGCTGGCTGTGATCCCAAGCATATATGGTCATCTTGCTGGCGGTGGTGCGGGCACGGCCGAGGACAAGAAGTTTATCAACGAGCAGGTCGCAGAGTTGCTGAAATCGTGATGGATTTCGCTGTAAATGAACGTGGATTGAAGCTTATTAGCACTGCAATACGCCATAAAGCAAGGCTTTGTAGAAGTTGCGATGAAATTGCATTTTCGGCAGTCCAATACAGGAAAGCACGACTCGAACATCGCTGCGTTCTTCCACGTGTCAATTGTGATGTTATCGAGCCGTGACCTCTTGACATCGTGTCTGGCTCTTTCTGTTGACATTGCTCGTCTGGATTCAACAAAACATGATTTCGCACGGCGATTGTTCCAGACACCTGTATCCCTCTGCGGCTGCCCAAAAGGATATGATTGACATTACTCAGTTACAACGACCTCGGAGACAACAGACCTCCTTTCCCAGACTTGAAGCCAAGCTTGCCTTGCTCAATAAAGTTATCCTCTAGAAACTTGACAGTGTGTTCGTCAGACAACCCTCGTTCCCTGACGCAGTGTCTCTCAATATTGGCAATAGTATCAAGTCCGACATCTGTGTAAACCTGTTAGAACGGATCTTCTTTAAATTCTCTCCAAGTGACTTACGATCCATCATGAAACAAGGTCCATACCTAGTCCCCAAGACACTTTTGAATATCTCATCCACAACACCAGCATCTGAAACACCTTCGCTCAATATCATGAGTGTTTCTCTCTTAATTGCAGCCCATAGTCTATTGTAGATGAATCCCATACTTTCTTTCTGTACGAGAAAAGGCTGTAAATTAGCTTCCTTGCACTTCTGGACCAGGAAGTCAAGGATGGCTGGTGCAGTGAAGCCACAAGCCATAATTTCCACGACTTTGATTTGAGGCGGCATAATATAATGGACACTGCATATTCTTGTCTTGGTGTCTTCGTCAACAAGGCTCGATAGCATCTCGCTGGATTTGAAACTTGATGAGTTGGAGGTGAGGATGCAATCGGAAGGTGCCTGGGTTTCGAGCTCGGCGAAAATTGAAAGCTTGAGTTCCAAAACTTCTGGTATGGCTTCGAATACTATCCATGCGTTGTCGACTGCTGATGCCAATTCTGTGTAAAAGTTGACTTGGCCTGGGATGTTGTTCATGCTTGAGGTGAAAGTGGAGATGTTGGCTTCGATCCAATCGTTTGCATCAATTTGTTGGTCCAGATATGGTTCTCTGATATTGACATTGTATCCTGCAGCTGCCCAGCAACAAGCTACTAGACATTAGAGAATAAGGCAAGATAGCTGCTGATTGTATGAACTTGCCAATTCGACGGCCTAGTACGCCACCACCTAAGACAGCGATGGGTCTGGTTTGATAAGATTGTGGAGGTGACCACATTTTAATAATTATGTTGATATGATATCGCTCATCGAACTAGGGACGGCGAATGCGTGAGAAATCTTGTGATGCCTCGCAAACGAATATCTTGTATAGACATTGAAGATGGTGACTCATCCTTGCTGGCCCCACGGTCCAAGGCAAGCCAGTAGCGGGCTGCACTTCAATACTAGCGTCCTTCATTTGTCGAATTTGGTATTAGTCTTGAACAAGGTCGCTCATATAGTAAAATCTCTCGCCATGTGCTTGGGCGCCTAGGGGCTCAGGGTTGTCGAGAGCATGTCGAGTGACTCGTCTCTTTTGAATCCTTGTTTATCCAACAGCAGTACTGTACATTGGTGCAGCTAGGTCGTCTCGACGACTACCGTGGGAGAAAGTGAACGTGGCCGACTATCGAACTTGTTCAGCTCGTCCAGAGCTTTCTGGCTGGCATCCAAGAGTGTTATTCAGGCACTTTTGGCCAAGCAGGGTATGTGTAATTCTATTCGTGGAAGCGCTGCCGGTAATGACACAGACTTGATATTGAATGGGGCTGACCTGATTGAGTAGCCAATGGAGGTACCGGATTGAAGAGGTGTAAAAGCGCGATTCGAGCGTTCCCTCGCGAGTCGATCTACAGGTTGACATCATGAAATCTTAACGACTCCTTCGGCCGAAAAAGAGTAGCTCCCCAGTCGGCGTCAATCTATGAGTAGCTGGTCTTCAAAATCTGCGACTCACGAATTCAAACTTCCGGCGTGTCGGCCGAAGAGATGTGATTTGGACTCATATCGGAGATAGGAATCGAAGCTTCGTAAGACATGTATTATAAGATAAGTGCATAGGTTACATACAGAAAGGAATTCTTCCCAGTCATCGTATAACTTTGCCCAAAGCAATGAGACAGATCAAGCAATTTAGTGTTGGTCCTCATCATCGAGTGGTGCATACGGCCTGCGATTCCAGTCCCAGGGGTCGCCGCCAGGAACACAAAGGCCAAGACGCCAGAAGTAATCGCGATGAGAGAAGAACAACTGCCACAACTTATAGCGAGATGGCACAACCCATGAGCCGATGTCTCTCTTCTCCAGCTCGTGCTCCTCGGTGAGATCATCGACCGAGCGTTTGACCTGAGCTCTGAGGTCGTTACGTTTAGTGAGGATTGATTCTGTGGACAGACTACCATCCTGTCCGGCAATGCACTGGTGGTCTTCATCGCCCACACAGTGTTGGAGATCCTGTACGTCTGGTGTCAAGGCAGACTTGGAGATGTAGATCTCGCCAGCATGCATTCGGTAACCCCACTCTGTAAGGGGTAGTAGAGGCACCGGGTCGTCAACATGGGTTACACGACGATAGCGCAGTTGTCGTTCGTCGACAATGTCAGTCCAGACTTCGCGGGTCGAGTCAAGCAGATTGAATCGCTGGTCGAGATAGTGGTTCAGAGCTGTGTTTCCGAGCCTCGGTTCGCCGAAAGTGGTGACGGTAGGATTCCAGCCACGCGAAACAAACTCCAGACCTGCAAGTGCAGCGACTGCTCCTCCCAGTGAGTGACCTACAAGCGTCAAGGCATAGTCCGGGTAAGCTGCGATTGCTGCTTCCAAATCTGGCAGAACGGCAGATGAAGCCACTTTCCAAGAGCTGTAGAAGCCAGTGTGTACAGTGCAGTTGTTGCATCGTGGAGTTCCTGCCTCATCGTCGCCGGTGGTGTCTGAATCCGGGTCGCCAGGGTAAGGAGCATATTCTTGAGGCACTGTGGAAAGGTCGACAACTGTGTTTGCGATTGAGTAGGTACCGCGGAATGCGACGATGATGCGAGGGTTTGTCTGAGAATGAGAAAGGGCGATGTAGCCGCACGAATCGGACATCAACTGGCCGGTGTTCCATGTCTAGTGTAACATGTCGGCTCATAGACAAACGAAAACCATACAAACACACGTCTTACCTTGACAAGTTCGAACTCTGGGAACTCTGAGCATCGGCTGAGACATTTGAACGGTTTCGATATGCCTATACCGGTAAGGCCTACACAATAAGAGATGTCGACAACGCGAGCCAACTCTTCGAGATCAGAGAAGAGCTCGGGCGAAACTGTACGATTGTTTGCAGCATGTCGAAGGAGGGGGGCCTGTTGAGCCGGTAATGCGTGTGTGACGACAGATAGCGCGCTCAGGAGAGATATCAGAAGAAAGCGCATTCTGGCTTGATGGTCTATGTCATGATAAACACGAGAGGGGTGCGCAAGTGATGCGCACAAGGGAGGTGATATAATCACGATGCTTTTTTGATGACCGTGACAGGGCTTGGAAGAGTTGGTACCAAGCGCACAAGCTTTGTTATCCAACGCACGCCATGGCTCCTTGTTACTGACAACAAGCTATCGAAACATGAGAAGCCTTGGAAGTCAGAGAAGCGACATAATAAGATATCTACCAGTCTGTCCGTGGAAGACGCACGATCGAGTGCAATGTCGTGCGTTGCGCCAGCTACAATTATGGGACTACTCATGGTAGAAGAGAAGCATGCGCTACATAGACTTGATGACACGTTTGCTATCAACTTCCGATCATGGACAATTGAAACGAAAGCGCTTGGCACCAGCCTCATGACGGTGACGCCAATTTAAGAAGGCGCGGCTAACGTCATCGCTCCTTCCCAAGGGTCTCGATCTTGAGCCGCAAGGAAGGTGGATAACACGCAAGAACCATCGCTCGAACGAAGTCTTTGGTCTAAGTTTACATCGTCTGCAGCTGTTGAGCGTCAACTTTGCTCTGCTTTCCTACACAGCCCCGTCTTGTACCCATTCGCACTTCAGTCGTCAAAATCAGGCTTCTCTTTGTCCGGACACAATCTCCATCCGCTCTCCGGAACCAGAAAGCCAGTGGGAAAACGCTTCTCATGCTCAACCGCTTCCCACGCTACTAATACGTGCGTTCCTCATGCCTCAAACGTCAAGGCTGTCCTACTGACGACTGCCAGTATAATATTATCGCTCCGACATTCGATCAAACCCCGAAGTCGCCGTCATGTCAGCCTCACCAGCACTCGATGGTGCGCGTTCACCGCCAATGTCACCAATCGATGGCCCACGTCGTCCCTCTGTTGTACATTCACCCGTCGGCAGTGGTGTACGATCGCCCGTCGGTGGTGCTGTACGATCATCCACAGGAGGAGAACGTAGACCGTCAAATCCGTTCGGTCCTCGAAGGTCATTGGCTTTGCCCAGAACCAGTCTTGCAGCACCAGCCAGAGAACCAGGAGCCATCAACCCGTATGCACCGCCGTCGCTAGAATACGACTTGCGCCAGAGAAAGCGTAGTATCTTCATCTTCTGGTTCCTCATTCTCTTCGACTCCATCGTCATGCCCCTGGCCCTCTACTTCGGTCTCTGGTACGGCACAAATCTCTCTCCAAACACGGTCTTCTCCATCGTCACTGCTGCTCTTGGTGGTATCAGTATCTTTGAATACGTGCTACGCTTCTGGCATTTGTGGAAAAAGGGCAGTACTTGCCGTGTCATTGGTGGCCGCAGATCATACGTAAGATATCCCGTCCTCGCCTCTAAACTTACAATAATACTGACTTGCCCGCCAGCTCGATTGGTTCCATTGGAATTTCAGCTTTGCCTGGATTATCATCATTGTCGAGCTCATTGTGTAAGTTGAATTCACAAGGGTAACTTCTTGACCCCATACTGACCAAAATCAGCGGTACCATTCCTGAAAATCCACCAATTCGCTTGCTCGCAATGCCTTGCGCTTCTCTCATGTTTGCCTTTGGTTCGGAGTTGATCATCCAGGACGGTATGCGTCTTCTTGGGATTCCCTCCCCCTTCCGCATCTCGTCAATGCCTGCCGGCTCCCAACTGCGTCCTGGAATTTACTGGATCATCGAAGATATTGTCGCCGTTGACGGTGGCGGTAACATCGAGTTCCGCGAGAGACTCAACACCAGATATGAAGCCAGCCACTACTTCCGCCAAATGCTCCACAGATTGACTCTGTTCTGGGGTATTGGTGGTGAGCTTGCAGCCGCTGTTGTAACTGCTCTCATCTTTACTCTTCAGAAGGATGCTGCCTACGTGGTCGGCTGGACCGTACCTTTCATCTGGGCTGGAATCTGGACGCTCTGTACCTTCTGGTATGTCAAGCGCAGTCTCAGATTCGAAGAGGAGAATTGGGCCGAAACACATGGAAAGCCTGTGGTCTAGATGCACCACGGAGTCTCCACGAGTTCTTCTCTTTCCCACGACAAGATTGTATAATTATGACAGAATGACACTTTAGCGATGGGAATTGGGCATTGGAATGGGAGTTTGAATTTGTACAGTATGGGTATTGTTTTGCTAGAATAGGAAGATACGAGGTAACGAGACTATTCCTTGAACCCATTCCGAGTCCTTGACTCTTTCGAAAGTACTCGACGTCTCACAAAGCTCAGCGATCACTTGAACGAGTTCGCGAGTTGACGTCTTCTCTGGCGAGCGGCAGCGACGAATTTTGGACTCGAAGAACATGAACAGTGATCTCAAACCGAAATCACATGATTGGGCGTCTGGCGCAGTGGTAGCGCGTCTGCTTTGCATGCTGAAGGTCTAGGGTTCGATCCCCTAGTCGTCCATACCTTTTGCCTGTTGTGTCGAACCCAGGCTGTCTTTTTGTTCAGATTCCTGGCTCTTTGCCGGTGAGCGCTGGGTTTGAGGTCTCGTGGTGGTTTGTGAGCCCGCTGAACACATCAGACGACGGATGGTAGTGGTGAGCTTTTGAGGGACAGTTTGTTGACAGTAATTGCGGGTAGAATTGAAAAGGTATATGCACAAGATGGCTAGCAGAATTGAAAAATGAAAACATGGCCGGCCATGAAAGAATGGTATGCAAAGTATGGTGAAGCCTGACAGGTTGCGTCCAAATGCTCAGGTTCTGAAGAAGAAGAAAATCAACGACGATACTCTCGCGTCCTACCGCCAAAGCCATCTTCGACTACAATCTTCTCTCGCCTGTTGTAGCTTGAACGACTGGCACGAGGATCCTCGATCTGACTGCTCCTAGGATCGAGGTTGCCGCTGCCACGGGGACGGCTCGAATTGCCGGGAGGTTGTACGTAGCGATATGTTTCGTACTCGTCCTTGTGGTCGGGAGGACCGTGTGGGCTTCTACGTTCATGCAGGTATTCCTTTTCGCGCATGTGGTATTCGCTGCGTGCGCCAGTAGCTCTGGAGCGGGAAGTCGCTTTGGACCGACCGCCGTCGCTTGAGCTGCTGCTGCTACTGCTGCTGGAGCGCGAGGCTGGCGATACTTCGACGTATTGCGGACCGGCATGCGAAGTCCCCGCGTGTGAGTGTCCAGCGTGTGAGTGTCTTTCTGACGGTGGTGCTGGAGGCGGCGGCGGAGGATCGTAGTGGCTATGGTGATCATGGTGGTCGTGTTGCTCAAATGGTGGGGCATATGCTATGACCGGAGGTGGCTGCGGCGGTTGCTGTATAACATATGTAGGTCGCGGTTGTTCTTCATAATAGGCGCGCGAAACTCTGGTGGTGCGAGGAGGAGACCTTCGACGGTCGCGGCGTACGACACGGGCTGGGACTTCATAGTCGTCGTGGTCTTCTTTCACACTGACAAGACACATGACGGCTCTTGAAGGGGAAAGAGGAAATGGATTGGTATGGAGAATGAAGAAAGTCGAACAGACCTACCTCTGAAAGATACATCCTTGTCAGACCAGGGCGGTTTGGCTCTCGGCGACAAACCTGCTTGATGAGCGAGGCGTGGCTGGTTCGCGAGATTGCGATTGGGCTTGCATGAGCATTGCGGAGCAGCATGGATTGCGACACACTCGTAGCCGAGCTATGGACCAAACATTTGGGCCAAATAGACGAGCAGATGTTTGCAAAGATGGTTGTCCACTTCAGACCTACATTTGCGTATCGCTCAATGAAGAAGGAACGATGGAGGTGGGTCTGCTCGAATGCGTCCAGGCAGGAAGGAATGGATGGGGATCTCGATGGACATGGAGCGTGCGGAGCTTCTCCAGACTGACGCACCGCTCGAAGGTTGTTGATGCTGCCGCTACGTGTGAATGTTCATGACTAGACGATACGAGAGAGCGTTGTAGAAGCATGTCGTCAGTTGCTCCAAGTCTTCCTGTTCTACATCAAATAGCACAATCATGAGCGGCAAGCCGGCACCAAAGGCAGCCGCCGGGCCAAATGGTCTACCAAAACAAAGGGCCGGTCTGACAAGCATGGATGCGCCGCGCCGTCCAAATACACCAGGCAATGTGTTTGCCTCGCTCAAGGCCACTCAGATCTTGACTCTGAAGCCTGTTCTACCTGCAGGTCTTCACTCCTTACCAATCGTCAACACACTTTCAGCATCATGCTGACCAGCCTCAGAACTCATTGCGACTATCCTCGATTACCTGCCAGTATCAGACTTGACACGATGTGCTCGAGTATCTAAACGTCTGCAAGAGATGGTCTATGATGACACGCGATGGGTTGCCAGATTAAGAGGCATGGGCGTATGGAACGAGACCGAAGCACGACAACGATACGAGGAGTCAAAAAAGAAGAGACTCAGCGGACGCCCACACGCTGGAAGTGTGACCCTATTTGACGCCCACGATGAGGAAGAGAAAGTTCGGAAATCGCTAGAACAAGCCGCAACACCCAGACGACCGAGGCATAGCAGTGTGACTGATGGCTTCGACGACATGACCTTGTCACAAAACCCCTCCTTTGACGCAAAGGCTGCCACGACCGCCCTACGGAGAGTTCGTTCCATACGAGGCCAGGCCAGACAAGAGTACGGCAAGGTTCATGGTGCTCTGGGTCCCTTCTACTACAATCTGGTCCACGCTGAGAATTCGTCTGACCCAGCAATCTTCCGTCTTGTCCAAGACCCCGAACAACAAGCTCGTATTCTAGCAGACTTGAGAGTATTCGCCAGATCCGACGGTGCCCAGAAATGGCGCCAACGACACGAAAAGCTCGAATCTATGCTTGGTATCTTCGAGAACGCCATGATAGGCGACTTCGAACAGGCATACCAAGCCCAGGATATCGACCGCATGCGCCGCTACGCACACGTTCTGGTGTCCCTTAATGGTGGAGCTGCTGGCATCGACATCTTCATATCTAATCACCCTTACATGCGCCGCAAAGATCAGGTCGGAAGTCCGCTAGACTGCTTACAAGATGTTGCCCCTGGACATGTGGATCTGAACCCTTCACAACGATTCTTCGAGAAGCTGGCCTCCATGCTGTCAATGCAGTCTTCTGTCATCGATCAAGTCTTTCCGAGCTCCGTCAGCGTTCTGTTGCCCTTTGCGACTCGTGTTTGCGAAGACATAGTCTCAGACTACATTACCAATTTGTTCATCGAAGCCCATGAGAGCAATGTCGAAACTTACCTCAAGGCTGTTTCGGGTGTATTCGAGCAAGCCATGCGCTTTGCAGTTTCGATACAACCACCAAAAGCTTCTGGTACAGATTTCCATGACCAGATCAAGAAAGCTATCTCTCACATCTTTGAGCCCCATGTGGATCGATATCTCACCGAAGAGCTTGACTATTTCACTTCCAAGTGCGACGATGAGGTCGGTGTTTGGGAAAAGGAGTTATCAGAGCAAGAAGCAAAGACAGAATCCTTCTTCATGTCAGGTATCAGCAGACAAGCCGCGAAGCGCGATTTTTTATCTTCATTCAGGAAGGTAGTCATGATGCCTGTTAACGCTCTCCCAACCTTTCCATCTGCAAACAAAGCGGCCCCTGTAGTTGAACACCCTGCAGTTGAGGCTCCTTCCACAGAAGACTCCTCGAGGCCAGAAACACCCGGTACCCCTACACTAGCCAAACCAGCACCAACGACAGAACTCGCAGCCAAGACTGCCATCATGAATTCGCGACTCGAAGGCATCAAGTCTTTGTTCAGCATCGAGGTAGCCTTGAGCTTGATCCATCATGCAAAGGCATCGATCGAACGCGCTGCCATTTTCATCCGCATGGGCGACAAACACGCCACTCTTACGAGGGAGCAATGCGACCAGATCTTCGTCAGCCTCTTGAACATCCTCGGTCGCCGCCATATCCAGAATGGCTTTGATAAAGCAGTAGGCCATTTAAGCAGCTACAACCCTCGTGCGGTGAAAGAGTTCCGCTCCGGGCAATTAGAAAAGGAAGGCACAACCGCGGGTGTCGAACCACTAGTCACTTTCCTCGAACTTGTCAATGTCGGAGACTTGATCCAGCAGATGGTCGATGTGTTTTACATGCAAGAACTAGTCACACCCGGCCTCACCGATCGCGACGACTTCCTCAACCCAGCTGTTAAGGAGAAGAAACGCTTCGAACAAATGCTAGATGAGCGGGTCGCAGCAGGAATGGGCAAAGGTATCGATGTCCTAATCGACGAAGTCGAATACATGTGTGCCACTCTCCAGCTCACCGCCGACTTCAACACCGATGCCGTAGACGCCAAAAATCTCACCGTCCAAGACAAGAGAGCCAGTATGATGGGACTGGTTGACATCGGACCTACAGAAACTGCCAAACGTGTCGTGGATACAATTCAACAGCACACAGGCATGTTGGTCGGTAGCACCGACAAAAACATGCTGGATGTGTTCAACCAAGAAGTGGGACTGAGATTATTCGGTGTCCTGTGCAAGCATATAAAACGTCAACGAATCAGTGTAGATGGAGCGATAAAACTGATCAGGTTCGTTCCCCATCTTTACTTCGCCCTCCCTTCCTCTCCATCTATCCAGCTGACACATCCTTTTTACAGCGACATCAACCTCTACAGTTCTTTCATCACCACTCTCCGTCAAAAGTCATTGCTACCGTACTACTCTGCTCTCCGCGAACTATCACAAATCTACCTCGTCGACTGCGGTGGCGGTAATGGAATTTCCTCGTCCACACGCGCAGCGAGATGTAAAGAGTTGGCTACCATTATCGCGGATAATGATAGATATCATGGCATCTTCAGAGCTGAAGAGGTTGTTGAGTTTGCGGAGAGGAGAGCGGATTGGTATCAAGTTAGGAGGGATGTGGAGAGGGCTATGTATGGTATTGGGTGTAGTGTTATGTAAACGTAAGAGGAGAAGAGTTGGGGATGAGGACATGAATTTTGAGAATGGCATTTTGTAGGGATCCATGTTGGGTGGCTATCGCAATGCAGAGTGTACTGTAAGCTCCATCGAAAAGGCAAAGGTCATGGCATGCATGTATCGTTTCTCTCTCGTAGCAAATCATCAAATGTCCCACGTGTCTAAGGAACAAGCTCGCCTCGTGTATGAGCGTGTCGCTTCAGCAGTCTGCGTGCTCCCCACGTCTTGGTATGTCTGTATGTAGCGTGGTTGCTGTGCCTGAGAGAGTCATGTCTAGTCGTTGAATGTCCCAAAGCATGATACGCTCCATCGTCGTTTAGGCTTCTAGTCGTCTCCGATACGAGGTGGTGATTTCGACTTTGGCGAGTGAAGGGCAAAAGGGCTATGTTCGCCACTACGACGATGCGAACCACTGTTTGACAAACCCACAATCAGCAATTTTCCTTTCACGAAACAGTGGATGCAGAAGCAAACTCACGAGCGCCTCCTCTCCCCTTCCTTGCGGAACATTTCAATAACCCTCAACATCTCCTTTCTGCCACCCGTGGCGTCAACATTCTTCCCCTTCATACTCATACTGACCTTGTCATTCGCATGAGCCTGCAGCAACCTGCCCAACAATAAATGCTGCATCAGCAAACACACAAAAACGCCACAATCGCTTCCATTCTCCTGCTGCGGCGAATCATCCAGATTCACAAATTTCAAAGGCTTTTGGAGTAATTGTGAGATATGGTGGCTCAGAACTTTGGCTTCTTGCATGTTTGACGGGCATAGAGAGTCGTAGTGGAAAGCCACGCCGTCGACGACGCTGACGAGCAGTAACGACCAGTGGCTTCCTCCTTCTGCGGTTTCGACGTCGCGGCAATCGTTTACGGGGAGGAAGATGTGGGTGGTGTTTTCGAACGAAGGGAGGGCGGATTTCAGACTCATGGGGTCTTGGGTTTGGAGGAGCATAAAGGCCATGCTGGGTCGGAGGAGGATTATGCGGGCCTTTGGGAATTCGCGGAGTTTTTCGTGTTCGAGGTATTCTTCCCAAAAGGCGATTGCCTGCGTTGAGGAGAGTTGTGTCAGTGATGGTCCGGGGATAGAAGTGGGAGGAGGTATAATACGTTGTCGGTGAGCCAGTCATTTTTAATGCAGTCAACGTCCTCGACGGTCACTGAGACATTCGGTCAGTCTACTGTTTGCGGGAACTCGAGGTATTGGAGAGAAAGGCGGCGTACATCGGATGTCGTGGTCTATAAACGGTCAGCTCGTGGTGCTCTACAGCATTGGTAGGATGCACTCACAGCTGAGATAGGCATCGTCTGGTTGCAGGGACTGTTTGATCCTCTGTCAGCTTTTTGATCGCCCCTTCCGAATCGTTCGCTATTGGAACTGACGACGACTCGTAACTCACCTTATCGCCGAATCTTCTGCTCACTCGTCCTCCAAACGGGTGGAATCCGGATGACATTGTTTGTTGCCGAGGGAATGTTTCTTGATCGATGCGTTTTGTCTTTTGTGCGCACACAGCCTTGTTTTGTTTGTGAACGAACAAACGACGAGTCCAAGATAGAATCAGTGAATCTAGGAGAGGCTCAGAGTCATAGGATCTTGATAGGAAAAGAAAAGTCAATGGCTGCCCATTCATTCCAAGCCATGCTTGCGTATCACCGCCCACGCTATGACGACGTCCCGCGCCTCGGTTGCGCGCAATGTGGGGAACTTGGGCATAACCTTTTCATATCTTTGTGCAGCCACTATTGACTATCAAGCTATCAAGACTATCTAAAATACTTTTCTTCGGAAGCAACATATCAATATCAACTTTGCAAGACAGCGAATCCCTTCTTCTCCTTTTCCTTCACTCATCACGGGTGATAAGCCTGCATGATCTGCTCCAACCTTCCTCCTGCATCCACCTGCTTCTGCAACATCTTGCCGTATCTATCACTGCTCACCGTCATGTCCTTCATGTCCTTGTGAAGAATTCCTGACACTTGCTTGAATCCGAGGGCCAAAGCTCCTTTCATCTTGGATGCTCTGATACGATACTGCTCAAGTCTTTCTTCATTGTCTTTCTCTAAGCGATCAATGAGCTTTGCTCCATCTTGACGGTAATCTTTGCTAGTATCCTCGATAGCAGTCTCGTGGTCCTTCAGGTGCACTGTCAAACGATGCGCAATTCGGACCAACTGGTCGTAGACATGTCCCTGATGCGAGTCCAGTGCCTTTCTCCATAGCGACTGCGGATCGTACGCTTCACCACTGTCATCAGAATCGGAAGAGTCTCCAGACTCCGAATCATCACCATCCTCGTCATCTGAGATCTCGTTGACAAGCGTTTTGTCCGGGTCGTCCTCTTCCATAGCTTCATCGGCTTGCGAGGCCTCCTCTGATTTTTCTCTTTCCGCTTCGTCTTGGACATCAGCCTGTGGAATCACTTCTGATCGCAGTGTGCTCAACAGTCCGAGAGACCTCTGAGGGACATTTGCCGTTCGAACTAGGTCTTTCTGTTGTCCAGGCTGAGACCTCCTTTCAGGTTCGGACGCTTGGGCGAAGCTTGCAGATAACTGTGTCTCTCCTTCGAACCCAGCATGTGTGACGGCCTGTGATACCTGAACTGGCCAATCCTGATGCATGTTTGGCAATTCTTCCAAAGGATTCTCTTGTCTGACGTTCCCCCTTTGTTTTGAGGCAATGATTTGAGCAAAAGGATCCACAGTAGGTTGTTCAGCGAACACAACGGGTGGCAACAACGACGAGCCCCCGTGTCTTGTTCGGCGGACGTCTGTTTCTGGAGGTATTTCTTCTCCGAAAGGTATAGGTGATCCATTATCGGCGACTTGTGACAACTTGCGTATAAGCGGGTTGGCCGCCGTCGTGGGAAGGGCTGCCGGCTGACGAGAGCCCTGAGCGTTCGTTCTCTGTCTTTTAGCAGGCTCCTTCGTCATCGCAACAGGCGACCGCTTTTGGTGGAGTGCAGGTTTGTCTGCCTGGTTTGAGCGTGATGGCGGCCTACCCGTCTGATCCAAGCCCAAATCTACGGCAACTTTGCCAGCAACTGCCTCAGGTGTATGGTCGAAATCTGGTATGATCATCGCTACGCGTGTGTTCGAGACTGGCTCTGCATGAGCCTGATCGAGGCGATCCCGCTTTGGCTGTTTCTGGGCAGGTCTTGTGGCTTGAACTGGATCCCTCTGGGCCGTCACAATTTGGGGCTTTCGAACATCTGGACGTTTCGAGTTGAGCGCAACTTGCTCGTTGTGGCTCTGAGATCCGGTTGACGCCCTGCCTTTGAACAGCGCACCAGAAGGCTTCGTTGCGGTCTCTTCTCCTTGGGGCCTACGAGGTGGAGCATCAGATTTGTTGATCGAGGGCTGAGAAGGTGACTGAGCCAGACTCTTTGCGGCTTCAGATCTAGTCTGTGGTGTAGCTTCCTTTTGCCTTTTCTCCTCCAACCGCACATGAGTTCCTTCAACAGGTCCTCGTTCTGAACCAGTTACGACAGCCTTTTTTGGGACTGGTGGCGGTGCCATATCGTATGATCTGGACACTTCAACGCTCACTACGGTCTTGGTAGACGGAGGTTTTGACAAAGCAGAATCTCCGAGTTCCACGGAGGCGACCTCGCCAACAGTGCTGACGTGAATCGGAACCTTGGCGGCTCGATCAGACTCGAGTGGCTTCATCAGAGGGGTATCATCGTAGTAGGTTGTTGTATCGACAGGTGGTTCATGCGCGTTGTAATTGTCAGGAGAGGAAGTGTTTTCTTCGAAGGGTAGCGGCAGATTCGATCCAGTGTGCTTTTGGTGTGAAACGCCTTGATTCTTTGGTCCAGTGCTGTCGAAGCCTATGACGTTAGTCTTGCGGCTGTCGCGCTCCCCTACTAGATGTTTTGGTTGAGCCAGTGTGAACGGAGATTGTATGGAAGGCTCTTCTAATTTGGGCCTGTCTTGCTTTGCTGGTTCTTCCTGGCTCATCTCGTGAGTGACGAGCTCGTCGTAGTCGTCTTGATAAGCTGCGTTCACAGCATCGTCATCATCGCTATCATCTCCATCATCATCGACAGTTATAGGATGTCGCTGTGTGGTGCCTTGTTCGCCAATAGGCTTTTCCGCGGGAGTGGAAAATCGATGTTCTGCTGCGGGGGCCTTCTTCTTAGTCTTGGTGGCGACAGACGTTGCGGCACTGCGGATGTCAGTCAAAGAAGTGTACAAACCAGACTCATTCTTACGGGACAGTCTGACTGGGGCTAGAGATTGCATGCATCAACTTTGCTCCCTTGTCGGTCACAGGCCGGGGCTTCCTCTGTTCGGCAGGAGGTATGGCTGTTCGTGGTCGAACAGCAGGCTGTAGTTTAGCAACCCTGTCCGAGTTGACGTGAGTCACGCTGTCTTCGAAGTCCTCAAGCTCTTCTACTCTTTGAGCTTTTGCAACCCGTGATGTAGGAGGTTGCCGCGGCACCGGCTTTTCGGCCTTTTCGACCTTCTTCGCTGCCTCGTTGGTCGTGTTACGGGTAGGAACGTTCAATCGGGTATCCTTGGTGATTTTCCCGGTCTGAAGACGTGTACTCGATCGAGTCTCTCTCTTTTCAGGTCCTGCTTTACTTGTGTTTGTCTTCGGTGCCTTGTATACCTCGTCGTCATCGTCATCGTCCTCGTCTGTTTCTGGAGCATTGACTGTCTGTCTCTTCGACTGGCTCTTGCCTTTGCTGACAGGAGGTACAGTTGGAGCAGCTGGTTTTATCTTCTGAGGTGGCTTCGCGAATCTCTTCTGACCACTCTGTGGCACAGCGTACTCATCTAATGCATCATCAGACGGTTCTGTGTTGCGTGACTCTTGTCTCTTGGGGAGTTTCCGAGACCTATCCTGGCTCTTATCCTGGTTCTGTCGCGAAGTCTTGACCGAAGGCTTCTTGATAGTGGCCTGAGAAGGACGCGCTGAAGCCTTTTGTGAAGGCTTGGTTGGAGCTACAGACAAATGGGGAAGAGCTGGAATCAAGACTTGACGTCTGACATCGTTTTGACTGGTTGCGCCAGCTCTCATCTGTCGGAGAAGAACAGTGGCTGAAGTCTCGCCTCTGTTGGTGATTTCCGAATTGGGCGGCTGAGAGGAACGAGATTGACTCGCGCGTTTCTGTGATTGGTTTGCTGGCGTCTTGCTTTTAGAAGTGCCCTTGGAGATGGAAGCCTGGGGCGCCATGCTGGGAGTAGTAGGAGCAGTTGTAGCAGAGACCCCACGCTGCGAGGTTCCGGTTGGGTTGAGAGAAGTTTTACTGTCGATTTCCTCGTCCTGCCGAGATGCAGATATGTCTCCTGTCGAAGACTTGGTACTATCAATCTTTGGAGATGTGGGTATACGGACTTGGATACAATCCGCAATATCCTCGTCGTGCTCGTTGTCGTCTGACGGGATGTGCTCGACACGTTGCACTTTGAGCGACTCTCTTAGAGCGACGTCTTTCTGGGATTCGATAGACTCAAAAGTTTGGGGCTGCACTGTATCGTTCTGGATGACGTTTTCGGATGGAGAATGCGCAGAATGATTTGCTTCGATTGAATGGTCGACGAGGTTATTCTCAGAAAGGCCTTGATCGGATAGGTGTGCTTCGACGGAGCGTTGCTGACCAAGGCTAGGTTGGTTCTGAGACGGCGGATCCGAAGCGACAGACTTTGCTCCTTGAGAGTCTCGTACAGTCTGGTCGTTGTCGACGGCCGTGGTGGCCTCGAAGAGATTAGGCAAAGACTTTGGTTGATGCGCAGGCTTTGGAGAATGACGTTCAACGGAGTCCTGGACGATGTCCTCCTGCGAAGGCACGATGTATCGAGGCTTTCGAAGGATGACGGGCGACCTGGCTACTTGTGTGTAGGCTTCCTGAGAAGGTGTTTTGACAGGCGTCGGGTTGGAATTGGCGTTGATGGGGTACTTGAAGGTAGCCTCGATGAGTCTATGGCTTGTCGCCGGAGCCATGTCAGCAATAGAGATGGACGGCGTCGTTCATGATTGCGTATTCGCTTTGTCGATGATGCTTTGCGTAGAGAAGTTGCGAGCGACTCCGTCCCCATCGCATGCCTGCCCAAGGCGCACCTACCTGATCTAGCCCCTTCTTTGCTTGAGCGTAATTTCTCATCAACAATGTCCTTTCTACTTGCAACACGATTGAGCCCATCTCTGACCAGTTCTTCCCTTTGTCATCCTCTCCTACTGGTCTATCTCCATCTCTGAATCATGCATGGTGTAGTTTCAAATCACGATCAATCTTACGAACAGCATCTTCAATGCTAACAACAGTTCCCGAAACTGCACATCGGCTGGCCGTAAAGTGCTACACGCGACTACAGTACCACGGTGAACAGAGGACGGTGAATACAGCGAAGGAACGGAAGCGATTGTTTGTCCGAAGCCGAGAAAGTCGATGAAGCACAGACCACACGCGTCATCGGATTACCAATCTCGGAACGACAAGTTATTGAAACACCCAAGTGGTAAAGAACAAGTACCTGTTCTCGTCCACTCCCGAAGACCACAAGGTCACGATACCATTGATAGCCATGGAGGACTCCCCGGAAAACACCTGCCGACTGGCCACGGCCTTCAATTGCCTCCGCGACGTGGGAAGACAAGCAATGCGCCCGAAGAAGGTCGCGCTTCCCACATATTCGACCCTCTCGGAGACCAGCCTCGAGAGGAGAGAGCTGTCTCTATCTACCACTTCCGATAAGAAGGCCGAGACTTTCCTCTACCTCGCCTACGGATCCAATCTCTGCAATGAAACTTTTAGAGGCAAGCGTGGAATCAAGCCGATATCACAAATCAACGTTCAAATACCAGAGTTGCGCTTGACTTTCGATCTGCCCGGCATAGCCTACTCGGAGCCATGCTTTGCCAACACGGCTCGTCGAGACCCTGAAACAGACGTCCCTCGAAACAATGCCACCTCGGAGAAAAGGGATTCCTCTGGAGCGACCGACTACCACAAGAACAGATGGCACAAAGGCTTGATTGGTGTAGTCTACGAAGTCACCGCTGCTGACTATGCCCACATCATTGCTACCGAAGGAGGTGGCGCTTCGTACCAAGACATCTTGGTCGATTGCTATCCTTTCGAACATTCCGACCCGACTAAGCCCGTACCCGTGCATCCCATGACGAAGCCATTCAAGGCCCACACTTTGTTCGCTCCTGCTGTAACACCAGGCGCTCAACCTCCCAAAGAGGGTGGAAGGCTTCAGCGTCCGGACACCTCGTATGCCCAAGCTTCGGCCCGCTACCTGAAGCTCATCACTGATGGAGCTGCCGAGTGTCGTCTGCCTTACGAATACCAAGATTATCTGAACGACATTCGACCATACACCATTACCTCAAACAAGCAACAGCTTGGCCAATTCGTCTTCCTTACTCTGTGGTTGCCCTTCATCGTGTTAATCTTCAGCTTGAATGCCAAGTTTTGCGATGAAGGGGGCCGATCACCACCTTGGCTACGCATTCTGTCCGAGTCCATCTTCAGAGCCTGCTGGAGGACCTATGATGGCTTCTATAAACCTCTCTTCGGCGATGGAGAGCGGACGACGCCTGCAGATGACCAAGACGATGACTGCCAACCCACACCATTCCAGGATTTGCCCCAGCGACTTGAGAGTGGTCTACCAATAGATTGGGAAAAGACTCCTACAGTGGCATAGATATCACGGCTTATCGCCTTCATAGTCACTCTATCTATTCCATGTCAATCTCGACAAAGAAGTTTCATCGTTGAAGATCAAGTTCCTCATGAACAAAGCGCACAGGCGACGTTCATACAAAGAATAATTCGGCCCACAAAGAAAAGCCTCTTTGGTCACTTCAACAATTACGTCCGGTCTGGGCCACACAATGCCTGTATATAAGGTCCCATCCTCGCCGCGGGGCATCCCGCCATATTTCGCCCATAACACATCAGATCCCCAAAACTCAACATGCACCCCAAAGCTTTCATTCCCGCAATTCTCCTGGCTGGCCAGGCTGTCAACGCAGTCGCCCTCCCTGCCACCACTGTAACACTTCACAGTGTGATTACCCGCACAACAGTTGTGCCTGCCACGACCGAGGCTGCTGGATCTAATCCTTCTAATGCTGCTACCCCGGCCCGGTTCTCACCCAGTGCGGATGACACTACTGTCGTTGCACTTTCTAGTTTCAGCGATGCTTCTCCGTCTCGTATGACTCAGCTCACCGTTACTGTGACTGAGCGTGTACTTTTTCCGATTGTTGTCACTGTGACGAAATCCCTCTGCCCTACATCTACTTCTGAGATGGCACTCAGCACTTCTGCTGTACCTTCTACGACCAGCTCAGTCGTCCCCTCGAGCACCGTCACTCCATCTTCGAGTGCTCAGGTATCTTCCAAGCAAACCAAGTCTTCCACTGCACCTGCAAGCACAACTACTAAAGCATGCGTGTTTCCCATCCCAGGTGAGTGTGATATATAACCCCACAGATGGTGCTGTTTCGCTTTTCTTTTTTCTGCTTTACAAATTCCTAGCATTTTCTTGCAATACTCCTTAATTAAATTTTCGTTTTTATCTGCAAAGTTTCTCCTCCAGACTCAACAGCAACCTAATCAATCTGACTATTAACCCTCGTTACATTTCGATCAAGCCAAGGTGACAATACTAAGCAAAGTGTCAAATAGTGTTATGATGTTGGTTTCTTTCATCGTTTCGCTAAGCTTCAAGTTCAGTTTTACGAATCGAGACCGGATGGACTACAACGCCAATTACACTATCTCCCAACACAAAGCAGCATTATTCCAGCTCCAAGGACATGTTCCTGTGACTGCGAAGATCTGGATCATCGCCTCTGAGTTCGACTTGCCACATGTATTGTTACGTGGACATCGCGTGGGTGCCTTTGTCCGATTGAGAACAATATCAAGACGCCAGGCACAATACTTGGCTGATCAGAAACAGATTGCAAGACACTGAGACTTGTTCTTGCCCTATCGGTCGATCCGTAACAATGCTAGGCTGTAGAATATTGTCAAAGAGTTTCCACGTGGAAAGAGCGCTCCAGGCAGGAACGGACAGTGTACCTGGATCGAAATCATCCAATCAAGATACACTCACAGCTTGAGCAAGAACGTGCAAGGCAAAACATCATCTCAAATCACCACCACTTCAGCAAGAGTCATCTCAACTATAAAACACCTTCCCCCTTTACCCCAAACACCTTTCTCTCCCATCGATAAACTTCAAGTCAATCGCTACAGTAAGCTTCCCACCTCTCTCCCCTTCTTCTCAATCAACTATTCTAACATATTCTTTCCTCCATAGTCACACATCAAAAATGGCCGGTCATACATTCCAATCTTCTTGCGTCCTCCAGGCTGGTCACACGTTCCAGTCCTCCTGCACCCTCCAGGCTGGTCATACATTCCAGTCTTCGTGCATCCTCCAGGCTGGTCACACGTTCCAGTCTTCTTGCACTTTGCAAGCTGGACATACATTCCAGTCCTCGTGCACTCTTCAGTTCGCTTAAGAGTCATTCTTACCTGGATGAGGTGGAAGGCTTGATGTAGCCATTTTTCGGCTTCGGACTTTTATTCTCCTTTCTTTTCGGCTTTCTGATCTGGGAGCTGGAAATTTAAAACATGATCATGTGGCTTTGATGGGCTGCTGACTTGTATTCCGCGATTCTTGTACCTTGGTGGTTATCGGGGTATCGGGATGTTTTTTCTTACCTTTTTCTTTTTTCTTTCTCATTGCTACTATTTTATTCATGGTTGAGGGGTTTACATCTCTTCATGTCAGGACAATAAATCTCATCATCTTTTTTCACTCGAACGTTTCTTCCCGAGTCACCTGTTATCTCATCGTGCTGTAATGTGAAGTCTACCAGCCATCGAAATGCACAGTGCTTGTTTTGGACCCCATGTGCATGCATTCCCACAAAGCGTTTGCTTGAATATACAAAACCCTCCTGCTATTCCCTTCTTCCACCAGGAATGACTGGTAGATCTCCACCGACACCATGGCTCCACGTATTCTGACACGCCTTCCGCTCCAGTATGATCTATACGTCACATCAATGATAACGGAAGCATCGCACGAGGCGTTTAGGATATGTTTGACACAAGAGACGCTGATCTTCTTCTTGTTGTAGGGGAAGTAGAAGCAGAAGCAGAAGCAGAAGCAGAAGCGTTCGCATCGATGATCACGAATATAGCAGGGAAGATAGGGATCTGTACGACTTGGAACATGACAACCCTTGATGGATTTTGTTAACCTGCACACAACCATACCCACACCCCCAATTAACCCTCCCAACTCCGTTCCTCCACAGTATCAGAAAACGTAAAATTCTCAAAGTTGGGAGGCAGGCTTCCACCAGCAATATCAGCAGTCTCTGCAAACCGCCTAATCTGCGCAACATCCTCATCACTGAGCCCAACCCCCAAAGCTCCACAATTTTCTTCCAAATACTTGATCTGCTTGGTTCCAGGGATGACGAAAATGTCCTGTCCTTGCTTGAGTAACCATGCGAGTGCTAGCTGAGCAGATGTGCAGTTTTTGCTATCAGCCAGGTTTTTCCACCGTTTGGCGATGTCGACGTTTTTCTGTTTGTTGGCTGCTTGAAATCTGGGCATGAATTGCGGTCGCATGTCTTTCGGGTCTAGAGGTGTGTTGTTGGCGAAGGTGGAAGTCAAGATTCCTCTTCCGAGTGGCATGGCGGCTATGACGGCGATACCGAGGTGACGGCAGGTAGCGAGGAGATCCGTTCCTTTGGAGCTTTCGATGTCGAGTTCAAAGGGAGAATAGCCGACTTGGACAGCGGAGATTTTAGTGATCTTGGAGGCGCGGAGGAGGGTCTTGGATGAGATTGAGGAGAGACCGATGTGTTTGATCTTGCCTTGATCTTGGAGCTCTTTCAACCCTCTCATGGTGTCTTCAATCGGCGTTTTCGGGTCGGGATGGTGGAGATAGTCTAAACAGACAATCAGTCTTGTTGTACACCGAAGGTTTTAGTAGACATACACAGATCAATATACTCAACCCCCAAAATCCTCAGACTCTCCTCGCAAGCCTTCTTTGCATACTCGCCCGTACTGTTCAGTTCAGGAAACTTGCCCTTGACGAAGCCGAACTTGGTCGCCAGAAAAATCTCGTCTCGTTTGCCAGTCCGCTTGAACCACTTACCAACCGTTTCTTCGTTGTCATTGTATAGACTGTTGTATGTACAGTATCAGCAACATATCCTAGAATGGACAAATAGAAAGCGATAGGCAATACTCAGAAGAATCCCAATGTCTGGCTCCAAGCCCATAAGCTCTATCCAAGATGGCGAACTTATCTTCCTCGCTGGAAACACTGCCATAGACAGGTTGAGACAACCCCATCATACCATATCCCATAGAAGGTATCTCGGGGCCATCCTTGCCAAGCTTGCGAAGAGGTACGGATGAAAACATCAGAGTACTGCGTTAAGACAAGCCGCCTAGGGACTGTTGTTTCGGTGTGTTGGATGGCAGGAGAGGTCTGAAAAGAGCCGCTGATTTATATATGTCAAAGATACATGTTTGCGTAACAATCACTACACATTCGACTGTTGGCTGAAGTCGCGATTTGGTCTCGGCATGCAGAGTCGGTGGGTTGAATGGGGTGGTCAGCGGGGCTGCAGGAAGCCAACATTTTTGTTTGTGTGGTGGTGGTTGCTGCTTCGCGATTGTTGACAAGTGGGGTTTGTTCCTTCCGTCGGAGCCCTAGCATAAAGATGGTCATTTCCTTCTCTGGAAGGAAGACGGTCACCTTAATCGGACACCGTTTGCTCCAGCTGATTGGCTGATGCTTGGGCCGCGAGACCCCCTCGTTGTCCAATGTATGGATGAGCAATTGTTTATGAGGGACATTTTAGGGTGATTAGATGAATGCTTGAATTAGGAATACAGGCGAATAATGTAATGAAATGATCATGAACGCCATCTTTTGCTATGCGCATGCCGCTCTTTCCTTGAATCCTGGTCGTGGTAATGCACCCTGTAAGCAAAAACATGATTCTTTCTACTCCTTCAACACTGACAGACGTAACAGAAGTATAGGTGTATCTCAATGGAACGAAAATGCTCAAAACAATAAAATCGAAGGGGGGCGGAAGAAAACGAAGTGAAGGCCCCCATAACGTGCAGCCTGAGGCCGCGAAAAAGGGTCATCAAATCATCATCTCTTGGATGACATTCCTGTCATCGCCAATCCCTGAGGCAAAGGTTTCCCTTGTGTTGGGGTGGGGCTCTGGACTCTACTAGGTGCTGCAGAGGGAGCTGCAGAACGGTTGTGTGACATGTGGGCTTTGACAAGGTGACCGGCAGCCAGAGCTGCGCAGAGAGACAGCTCACCGGCAAGAACACCGGCAGCGACAATGCGCGCAAGTTGGCGTGCGTTGTTACCGGGGCTGGTAGGGTGAGCACCACGGACGCCAAGCAGGTCGAGCATAGCCGCCTGCGGTTCGAGAACAGTACCACCACCAATAGTGCCGACCTCAATACAAGGCATGGAGACCGAGATCTGAAGGTTACCACGGAGGCTGGAAAATTGTTAGCACAGGTATATGGTTTCGAAAGGGTGGGAAACTCACTTCTTCATCACAGTGATACAGTTACTGCTCTCAACATTCTGAGCGGGATCTTGGCCGGTGGCAAGGAAGATGGCAGTAACGATGTTGGCAGCGTGTGCGTTGAAACCACCAATGCTGCCTGCCATGGCACTACCGATCAGGTTCTTGGAGATGTTGAGCTCGACAAGTGCATCGACGTCACTCTTGAGGACGGAGCGAACGACATCACCGGGGATGATTGCCTCGGCGACAACACTCTTACCACGTCCGTCAATCCAGTTGATAGCGGCAGGCTTCTTGTCTGTACAGTAGTTGCCCGAAACGGAGATGATGGCCATGTCTTCGAAACCACTCTCCTTCATGACACTAAGTGCCTGTTCGACACCCTTGGAAATCATGTTCATTCCCATGGCATCGCCAGTAGTGGTCTTGAAGCGGATGTAAAGGTATGTACCGGCGAGGGCGGCCTTGAGGTGCTGCAGTCTGGCAAATCTGGAGGTCGAGTTGAAAGCGTCCTTCATGGTCTTCTCACCAGCTTCAGAGTCGAGCCAAACCTTAGCTTCAGCAGCGCGTGCAAGAGTCTCAAAACCAACACAAGGTCCACGAGTCATACCATCGCCAGTCAGAACGGTTACGGCACCACCACCAGCATTGATAGCCTTGGCACCTCTGCTAGTACTTGCGACAAGCACACCTTCAGTTGTAGCCATGGGAAGGTAGTAGCTGCGACCGTCGATGTCAATTGGGCCAGCAACACCAAGAGGAAGAGGCATGTAACCAACGACATTCTCACAGCAAGCGCCGAAGACACGGTCGTAATCGTAGCTCAAGTAAGGAAGCTTGGAACGTTCAAGGGCGCCGGTAACGTGCTTGGTAGCAGGAGTACGAGAGATTAGGGAGCGACGAATCTTGACGGCACGGGTCTTGTCGCCCAGGGTCTTCTCGAGGGCGTATCCAGGGATTTTTCCACGGAGAGTTAGTTCGGTAAGCTCCTCGTCGTTCAGTTCCGACGTCTTTTTCTCAGCAAGCAACAGCTCGCATTCTTCCTTGGAGCGTTTTTGGATTGCGCCGTTGACAGCATGTCCGTTTGCAGATTCGGGGCCGGAAGCATTGATGTTCATCTTGGGGTCATACTCGGCAAGAGGGGGCAAAGGAGCAGCTTTGATAGCGCCGTCGCGAGAAGCAGATTCACTGTTATCAGGTTCCTTGATGCTCCAGCGAGCAGCGTTGAAAAGGTAGCCATTCAAAACCAAGCTCATTGCGAGGGCGATGATAATCCACTTGCTCAGAACGGGGTCTTCAAAGCTTTTAAGAACGCCTTCAACGACTCTTCCTCCCATGCTGGAGAAGATGCCATTGGCATAGGGACCATCGAAAAGAGACCACTCGGGTCTATCGGAAGAGTAGTGGACAGAGGGGTATTGAAGCTCGTACTTGATAGGGGACAAGACAGTGACAGCGGTTGGCTGGTTGCGGATCTTGGCCTGGGCCAAAATGTGGTCGAGAGCGTTTCCGGCAACCTTGAAGGGGTCCATGGAGCTAGATAGCGAGGGAGAGTTGTTGGCAGCGCCAGTGCGGAAGGGGATGGTGCAGAAATTGAGCACGTTGATAATGATGAAGCCAGAAACCATGAGGACCTTGAATCTAGGGATGCTGCTGTCACGGATCTTTCGACCGAAGATGGAAGTTTCACCATTGACCGCGTCAGGCTTCAGACCATCGTTGCTTGAGGCGACGTTCTCAGCGACAGTACGGCTAACACCGTCCTCTTCGAGAGCCTTGCGGAGAGCGACATGACGCTTGATGCGGTTGACTTCGAGCTTGATGGTCAGGACAGCGGTGTAGAAGGTGAAGAGCAGAATGCAGTCGAAGAACAAAACCCATGCAGCCAAGAAACAAAATTGGCGAAGACCGCCCTGGATACCTGACATGGCACCTGCAATCAGAAGAGTGATTTCAACCATGTAATCGCGGACGATGCCCCAGCCGCGTTCATGAACTGCGGTTTGCACAGCATTCTGGATGGTCAAGGGGGCCTGGTCGCCGTTGTCGCGTCTAGGAGGGTTGAGAGCAGCGGAAAGGACAGCCTGGGTCAAAATGATAGGCTTCTCGAAGCCAACAGTGACAACCAAGAAAGGCAAGCCCTCGGAAAGCAGGACAACGTTTACAGGCACACCCAGCTTCATTGTGACAACAAGGCCGAAAAGGAGTGCAAAGGCCGACGAAAAGAGGACACTAGTTGCCAGCCAAGCGTTGGAGCCCATGCGACGCATCGACACAAAGAGCGAGGCAAAGGTCAGGTGCATAGAAAGGTATCCCAGGGCCATGATGATAATGTCGAGAGTCTCGGCGTTTCTGATCAAATCGGTAAAGGCAATCCACGAGTTGCGCACCCACTCACGCAGAGAGAAGCGGCGGGCGGAACCTCGTGCTGCTCTCATGATCCATCTCTTTTGCTCATCGTCGTCCTCAGCAGTCTCCTGGGCCGAGATTTCCTTGATTGAGGCCAAAAACGACGGAGTCTCATCCGAAGGAAGCGAGAAGGCAAGAGTCGAGTCTTGAGACAGGGACAGGCGGCTGGCAGAGGAAGGGAGTAGTTCGGCCGAGCTGTCGTTGGGAATGACAACTGAAGGCGCATCGGCGTAGGAGTCGGCAAAGGCGAGGGTGATCAGGGAAAGGTGCTGCTAAAGTCAGTACGTGTCAGGAGCAGGCAAATTGTGTTCCCACAAACCTCTGCTTGTGCATCGCTCGAGACAGATTCAGACTGCCACTCCCACGCCGTCTCGGGACCGACGTTCAGAGTACGGCTGCCTTGAGAAAGAGCAGAGAAGTCGACCTGGTTGTTGTTGTTGAACTTGGTCGACGGCTCAAACAAGCCGGTCTCGAGGAGGCCAATGTAAGTGGTGCTGGCGATGAGGGCGCAAAAGACGATTGAGTGAATGGGGTGAGTGCAGGTCCTGCGAGTGACACTCTGCAGGAGAGGCGTGACATGCTTGCTGTAGGGACCTGGTTGGGCCGGGTCCTGAGGGCTGTAGAAGCCTCTCCAGCGCGCCGGGATCAATGAAGCACCCAGCATTGTTGACCTTGAAGGTGTTGCGGGAAGGAATGAGTCGATGGTTGAGCAGTCGATCACAAGCGCATCCCCTCACAGAAAAAGAGACCAATTGACACGCTGCGAACGAGGACAAGAACAATAGGGACAGAGAGAGCAGACAGATCCAAGGTCGGGTGGATCCAAAAGTTGAGGACTGCTTTATCCAAGGCGGTCAAGCGCACGGTGTCCGTACAAGCGGGACGCTGCTGCCGTTGCAAGACACACGCGACAAGCTTCAAGAGATTACTTAAACCCTCAACTATCAACCCACCTTTTGCCAGCCTGTCTACTGCCAATGCTACTCGTACGAGTTGACACAACGCTACCATCTTCCTACCACAGAGACAAAGAAAGTCGTATCACAATTCACTCTTGCCTTGTCACACTTTCATCATGCACCATGCCGTCTCCTGCAGGCGCCTCTTTGTCGCTTGATTTCCTCTGCCGCATCTTCCAACTTTCCATCCCCAGATTTTCGTTTCATAAACCCCTGAGTGACCGAAAAGCATAATTCGCAAATCCACCGAAGGAAGCTTGAACTCGACCTTTCCCAAATCACTCATTTCCCTCAACCAAAATTCCAGACGCCTCTGTCGTTGCTAGCCTCGATCGAATCGCTTTGTGCTATTTGCCGTGTCTCTCCTTTGTTCATGAAGTCTCAGGTCTCACAATCCACATGTTTCTCTCTCAAACAGCACGTCGTGAACGCGCATCTTTTTTCTTCCAACATCTTGGACGCGCAGTGCCCTGGAAAGCTACCTGCAAGATGACGCCCAAAAGTTGAGATCTGCCATGCACGAATCGTACCACCTTGGCAAAGCTCCCAGCCCTTTTCCGGGACGCGTCTCTCGTACCATAGTGGCACCCTCGGCCCGCCTTGCATCTCATCAGATAAGATGGATAAGATGGTCTGGAGAAGATAATCTCCAATGCCTGCTCTACCACATGGCTTGACGACTGCGCCTCATGAGACTTCAACAACATAATTCATCAGAAGTGGAAATACGTGGATTCTTTCCACAAGGTGGATTGTAGAAGAAAAAGACTGGCTTGCGTGTCCAAAACCCAATGCCCTAATTTCGCCCCACTAGAAACTGGCCCAAGTATTCAACCAAGCCGTCGCTTAACCAAGCAGAATGAAGAGAAGGAAAAAACATTACTCAATACCATTGTTCGTTCGACCCATAATCCCAATGCTTCCGTGTTGTGGTGTGTTCGTGTTTCCAAGATATATCTTGGGTCTTCACACTTGCTCTCTAGCTGTAGTCATCGTAGTCATCGTCGTCACTGTGCTCGCTCTTTGTTCCCTTGAGCATGGAGAACCAGCCAGCATTGGCCTGTTGCTTTTGAGGTGGTACCGGTGTCTTGACGAGCACTGGCTTGTTGGAGGACATGGACAGTGGTGCAATTTCTTCGATCTCGATGTCCTCGCCATCGACCGAAGAATCATCGTCGTTCTCATCATGCGTATCACGCACGCCGACAACCTTGACAAATTCAACCACCGATGTGGTCAAGTTACTGGCTGCTGCATCGACGAGCGATACCGGTGCCAGGCCGTTAGCTGCTGCGTGGTTGCGGGTCACAGTGACAAGATTGTTGGCATCACGGGAAACGCGAATCTTGAGTGTCGCCGGAGTCGGCCCAGTCGTGCTTTGTGATAGATGAGATGTCGAAGAATGAGGTGATCCGAGGTTCGAGAAAGAGCCTTCAACACCAGACGTCATGTTTCGCACGCTCTGGACGACGTCTTTGGCCTTGTCAAGAGCCGAGTGAGGAGCAGATGAGGACTCGCGCGCTGCTTGCAGCAACTCATCTATCGAGATCTGGAAGTTCGTCACGTCCATGTCCTTGACCAGTCCATTAGGCTTGAGGTGCTCCTGCTTTGACGAAAGTGCACCAGGAGCCATATGCTCAACCGAAAGACCCATTGAAGATGCCTTGAGCGTCCTCAATTGACTTCTGGTTTTGGCATAGCGAATCTTCCATTGCTCGTTTTCGGCTTCCAGCAGGGCAATCTGTGACTGCATCCGTTCCTCCCTCTCGAGAGCCGTCTCGCTCTGTTCTGATAGGAGGCGCATCTCTTGCAGGTGTTGCTCGGCGTTGTGCTTCACCTCTTCCGTAATCTGCTGTTGTTGGGCGAGCTCTCGTTCAAGCTCTTCGTAACGCTGCTGCCAGCCGCTCTCCTGCTCTAGTGAGCGGTTGGAAGATGCGTGAGCACGAAGCTCCTCGTTCTCTCTTCTAATCTCGTCAAGTTCGATGTGCAAGTCCGAGACAGCCTGCTCTGTGCGGGCACGCAGATCAGACTCTGACTGACTTCGGTCTTCCCTCGAGTGCTCGAGTTCCGAGTGTAGTGTGTCCAGTGTTCGTTGTGACTCGGCTATCTTCATATCAAGCTCTTCCCTTGTTTGCGACCATTGGTCTTTGTCTTTGCTGTGGCCTTGTTTGTGCGTTTCGATTTCTGCATCCTTGTCGTGTAATGTTGCCTCCAGCTCTGCGATCCTAGATTCTAGGCCTGAAACTTGGATTTCGAAGGCTTTCATTGTTTCGGCATCCTTTTCGCTAGTGCTCGAGACTTGACCCAGGCCATATGAACCCTCCTCATCTTCGTCGGTCTCATCGTCTTCAACCATAGTGCTTTTGTTAGGTACCATGGTATTGCTCTGGAATGTCTGAGGAAGTGGTCTTCCAAAGCTGCTGTTGGGACTGATTGGCCCACCGCGTGAATCGGTGCGTGGGGGAGGCATGTTGTCGTCTGAGGGCGAGTATGGCGAATACGGACCATTGCTGGGTGGGCCCGGTCGGATCCCAGGAGGCGGCGGACCGCGCATACCATTCGGAGGACCTGATGGACGGCGCATGGCATTTGGAGGGCCCTGTCGGCTGGCTGTTCTGGCACTGCTTCTGCTTGCTACACTGCCTGTGGGACTGCCTGGTCTGTCACCGTCTGGGCTTACGAGTCCTGGCATTCTGCGTTCGAGTTCAAAGAAAACGTCGGTCGCGAGTTGACGGAAGCGCTCTGGTGGAAGAGTAGACAATTTCTGGCGTGCTTGGTTTCGTTTGGGGTGGAAAACATTTCTGGGCGGCAGAGACGGGGGTACAATGCCTCCTGGTCGTCGGCGATCGTCCTCGCGTCTTTGTAGCTCGTCGAAGACGTCGGTACTCAGCTCATTGAACTGTGTAGGCGACAGACGTAGCAGCTTGTCTCTTGCTCGTGTCGGACGTGTGTTTCCTTGCTCGTCTCTGAGATAGGGGGCCAGATATACCTTCAGAATGTTATAGTGATGCGTCAATGCGGCCTCCTGGTTGTTCGACTTGATAGACTGTCTGAACTCGCTGTTGGCGGGGGAGTAGAAACCCGCGCCGCCGCTAACGGAGCTTGAGGAAGAGAGGTGGCTGTTTGTTGCGCTGGGCGAGCGTCTCGAGTGAGCGCGACTGGAGAGGCTGTTGTCGGTCGAGTTATGTGACAATGGTGGAGAGCTCTGCTGAATAGGAACGGCGGTTCTGCTGGCGGCAGCAGCATAGGGATCAGAGCCTGGTGGAGCGCCCTGGTAGCCGCGACCAGACAAGGTCTCGTCGCGACTGCGGTTTGGGGCGTGCATCATGTTGGTGTTGTCGATGTTGGTGGAGCGGATACGAGGATCTAGGATGGCATGGACGTCGTTTATCTGTAGATTGTTTCTATTTTGTCATGGGCTTGACTCGGTGATGCTCGTCGGCCTGTAAGGACTGTTGTCGAAGATAGGTGACCCAACCAGCCGAAATGAAAAAGGGAAAAGAAAGAAAACAGGGTGACAGTAGGATACCAGGGCAAAACGGTAGAAGAGAGCGTGGTGGAATTGACAATTACACGCGCGAGTCCCGAGCCTCCCCCTGATACCGCAACTTAGACAATTAACGCCCGTTGCATCTTCGAACCGTGATTCGTCAAGGGTCTGAATGTGGCCCAAGCTCTTCCCTGGGCGCTCTCTTGGAAGCATTTCGACTTCTTCCACAACCAGCAGAACCAAATCTCGCGCGCCGTGCGGGCCACGCGGCACCATGTGAATACGCCGTGTATACGACCACACATCCTACCTGCTTCCTAGCTGTCACATCATCCACCAGTCTCAAGGGCATGTGCTCTCTCAACCTCGTAGGTCTTGTCTGTCACCACGTGAACCACATCACTTCTAGAAAAACGCGTATGGAAAGAACGTTTCGAACACAGGGGTGGTTCGGAGCGACGCCACTGCCCGACGTACATAGCCGACGGGTCGGCTGCCCAATTGTTGTCCATCATCTAACTTGGGCCAATGCCCGCCCATATAACTGCCATGGCGGGAGGATCCCTCCTTTCCTACCTGTGCTGCCAGCTTATAGGGGCGAGGCTTGAACAGCCTTTCTGCACTCGACTAATCCTGCTATCCAACTTGTCACTTCGTTCCAAAGTCTCATGTCGCGTGAGCAAGAAGCCTTGCCGTACTGGCTTGTCAACGTCCCGGCGAATCAGAGGCCTACCGAATGTCCAGATTTCTTAGCAGACGCCAACGAGAAGGATAAACAGATTCTCGCAACGCCGGATTCTGACTACCGCCGTCTCTCATGGCCGGAGGTCCAGGATCTGATACGGAAGAATCGGATTGACTTGTTCCAACGAGTGCCGAGTGATTTACGCCGATACAAGGGCTACACTGCGAAGCTGAAGAAAGAACATGGCTCAGTCGTGAGCTTTGTCTTGAGCGAAAGACTGAGATGGCAAGATTTAGTGCCTCGGGGAGAACCCTTCAGCAACCCAGGTGAGAAAATTACTATTGAAACGTGTTTCGCTGTTAACACCAGGTCTAGACGATACCAAAATCCTGTTCAACGACTGGCCTTATGGTATCGACACAAGAATCGTGCATCTCGTTGTTTGGGTCAAATTTCCGTTCGAAGAAGATCCTGTTACCGGCGATTTGACCGATTCGGCCAGAAAACAAGTCGACTCGTATGTTGAGAAGACTTTCAGAGCACGAGTTGGCTCTGAAAACTGCATCTGGTTCAAGAATTGGGCCAGTTTGAAGTCCATTCATGCAGTGGAGCATTTCCATGTTATGCTTTTCGATCCAGACATAGATTTCGTGGAGCACGTCACCAACAACGATGTGCCGCTGGTCGATAAGATTGGGATCAACGACTTTTGAGGTACCTGATTCTTACATAGCAGATTGTGGTCAACGACGACCCGCTTGACAGAGGCTCGTCAAACCGTTTGGGCTACTCGGAATTCGGGTCCGAACTGTGATGTACATGGGGTGACCCTGTCTGACATTGGATATTCACTACATCCCTACTTGAGCTACTTCCACGAAACAACCGTGGTCGGCAATGTTCGGATTGATCTTCATGTGTACCACTTTCTGTCATGTTGATCTCTTATCGTCACCTTCTTCCTTCTACATCGAGCTTTCATCATGCACTCGAAAATGAATCTTCCATCAGCTCACGCAAGCATGCCCTCCCAAACTCGCGCGTCAAGTCTCACACGACTGAAACAAAACATCTCGTATACGAATCTCAGCATGATCTTTGATCTACCGTATCAAACTTCCGGCTGGCCGAAGCCCCGCTTCTACCATGTGGGGTCTTCTGAAGTAGGGCGATCAGGTGAGGTCTGAGTATTGAGTAGAACCACCGTGGACAGACAACATCACTCCTTCCTTCCCTCTACACGACTAGTGATCAATGCAAAGAGCTCCGGACATAATGCCACTACAAACACATATCCACATCTCAAGCGAAAAGGGCTTGTCAAGTATCACCACCTTGATTGTCGGCAGCAAGAGCGCTGTTTTAATCGACGCTCCCTTCCTGATCCCCGATGCCAAATCTGTAGTTCAATGGATCAAAGACACGACATCCGTTCCGTTGAAAGCAGTCTTTGCAACTCATCATCACCCAGACCACTTCTTCTCCGCCAATCCGATTCTAGAAGCATTTCCCAAGGCGAGATTTCTAGCAGCACCATATGTTCGTGCGGCCATCGATCGCGAATATGAGGAAAAGGTCAAGTACTGGCCTGAGGTAATGGGCAAGGAGATGGTGCCTGAGAAGCCTAGGAAGCCGGATGTGTTTGAGCATAGCTTCTTTGTGCTTGATGGTGATGAGGGGTCGCCGATTTGCTTGCTTGGACCTGTCCAAGGTGATTCGGTGGATCAGACGTTGTTTTGGTTACCGTCAGAGAAGACGGTGGTCTGTGGCGATGTGATTTATGCTAGAAGCACGCATGTTTGGTGAGTTTCTCGGATCGATATTACGTATCAAGTCTGACATCGAATCAGGGCTGCCGAGATAGAAACGCCGCAGATCTTGTACGCCTGGCAAAAATCGCTCAATCTAATCGCATCGTTGAACGCCACCAAGATCATACCAGGTCATCTGGAAAGGGGCTGGGAGATGGATGGTCAGGCGGATCTGGAACACACTCGCAAGTATCTCCAGCTCTTCGACGACCTCATTCAGAATGCTTCGGAGAAGTACAAGGTCGAAGCGCTGTATCAGAAGTTCAAGGAGGCTTTCCCCAGAGCAGATAAGAACCTTGACTTCTTTCTCGGTCAACTGAGTAACGCCTTTGGAGAAGGAGGGCAGAAGTGGGAGGAGAACAGACATCATAATGTCGACCAGCGTACTCAGGAGCAGCTGGAAGGCTTCATTATCTGATGCAGTGATGCGCCACTGTATCACATGACGGTAGCATTCTGCCATGCGCCATCCCATCCAGACCAAGGCCAGCCTTCTGGAAGAGTAGAAAACGGAGGCAATGTATACTGCTCTCGGCAATGACCTTCATCCTTGCACTGCAAGTCGCAGAGTCCAAACACCTTGCAGTAGCAGATCTCTGCATTCGGACAAAAGACAGCTTCTTTACCAAATATGACTGTTCGTTCAAGTCAGTATATATCTCTATACTCGTAACATAGGCTTTCTCACTGTGCCATGAGTACTCCAGAACTCGCCCGCTATGGCCATCTTCCAAGTCAGTCTCGAGCAACCAACGTCTGTATCTCTCATATTCCTCTCTGGGTCGCTGCAAGATAGTCGCTTTTGAAACGGCGAATTGAGCACAGCAGCTCACACCAATGCTCTCCGGGATGGGTGCATCAGGGAATAGCTCTTTGAACGCAGCAGCATACACCTGGTCGGCATGAGTCTCACTAGTGATCTCATCGGCAGGGTGGTCCAAAGGATGTATCTCGTGAGGACATCCGAGTGTCCACGCGCAGCGAAGATTGACATAACCTTGCTCAAGGATGTAAGTTAGCTGCAGCCTTGACAATGTGCGTGCACCATCGTAGAGCGGATCATCGTTGTGCCATTGATAGCGCTCAGCGTGCAAGAAGATTGCGATATCTGGAAGGGACGAATAATTGTCAATGATGTAAGTCAGGTAGGTCATGCCTTCCCGGCCTTTGTTCTGCGGGACTGAGAGTGCGGCGTCGGGTTGATCAGCAACGAATATGTTATGATGCCAATCTGAAAAGAGCGATGGTAACCACGTTGTGTTGTCGCGGGTTTGCGAGGCAACTACAGTTCCGATGCTCGGCTCAGATATGCTTTTCTGCACATTTGATGCTTGGTCGTCCTCGTGGTTGATCGGCTCCTCGAGAAGCGGATGCGATAAACGGATGTGGTAGAGATAGTAAGTTACTGCTAGGAGAGAAATGCTGGCACCAAGCAATCGATACAGAGGCTTCATAGCGAACGACAAATCCAGAGAGATGATTAATGAACCGGGCAAGAGAGAGGAAGAGAGGGAGAACCAAGAAGTCACCGACTACTGAGAAGGAAGCCTTACCAACAAGAAGCCACAATTAAGAGGCACAGCTGCGGCCTCGTATAGCGATCCATCGCGTTCCAGCACCGCGGAAAGTGTCGGCCATGCCCTTTGTGAAACTCATGCGACTAGTCGGACCCGTCTACGCCTAGGATAAAGCGATGCATTCATGTGACATTTTACATCTGTCGAGTCAGGTTGCTGCGAGTTTGCCGCTGTGCGACGTGTTGTCGTTTGTATGTATGCAGCTAAGCGCTGGGGCGATTCTCCTGCCAGGATGCCCACCCTCTCTAGGCGCCGATGGTGCATCACGTAAACAGTTCTATGCGACATTTCGGTATTACAAACAAGACTTTGCTGCATCAAATCGCAATGATTGCTTTCAAATTTAGATATAACAATTTAACTTGCATATGTTGACATGTCGAAGGCCCTGTCCAGATGAAGTGCAGCATCAGCGCAGGGTTGATGCGTTCATACAGATGTTGGTCGGCATTTGCAAGCGCGTGCTGGCCTGGGCTCAAGCAGCCTATAACCTGCTCGACTGTCTAGGAAATATCCATCTCACTGTGATCACGATGGACATGTTTCGTGATACCTTCGTCGACTTAACAGGGTCTCTCCTTGACAGATTATTCGAAAAAGGATGTGCTGACAAGCAACACGCTCTGAGGACGGTAAATGCTGAACACATATTAAGGGAACCCAACATATTCCGACGAGATGTCTGTACAGATGCTTTCGGAACGGGATGGTCATCAAATACTTGCACACCTGGGAACACACTCTGCTGTAAGTTGTTCTGTCCAAAAGTGCTGGGAACCTGCCTGACCGATATGCAGGTGTCAAGGACAATGCATCGATGCCGACATGTTCTCAGCACCTGGGCATTGGCTGGTGTTGTACAGCAGAGTGAGATTCACTACGATGATATACCTTCCGAACCAAGCTGACAACTGTGTAGAGGAGGCTGCTACGCTGACTTGAGCTCTTCGTGTGGACAACCTGGAGCGGTAAGCTGCACCGAATTGGGAGAGGGAGTTGACGAGGCCTGCTGCCCAAGATACACCACCTGTGCGAAAGGCTACAACGCAACCGAGTCTTTCGTTCGTTGTGATATCCGATCCACATCACTAGCAGATATAGCTGCGTCTTCAACGGCCTTGAGTGGTGCTTCAACCCAGACGAGTACTTCAAGTGTCGCGAGCTCGACCAGCTCATCCTCAACGACATCAACCAGCATTTCAGTCAGTACATCGACAGATTCGTCCACTACTACATCAGCATCATCGTCGAGCGCGACACTTCCAAGCACATCTTCGGTAGTCATGACACCCACTCCCAACGCATTACCAAAAGCAGAGCCGTCACAGAACGTATCGTCCAGCTCTTCCACAACACCATCCTCACAACCCACCGGCATATTACTCTCCACCGGCGAGATCGCCGGAATCGTGGTTGCGTCAGCGGGTGGTGTTCTGCTCTTGGTGGCCTTGAGTTGGGTACTGCGTAGGCGTAGTCGCTCTAGGAGAAAGAAGTTTGCAATGCCGACAACACCGATGACCCCTTCATTCAGTAGAGATTCGAAACGTGCGAGTCCGATCATGCTTCAATCGCAACACGGATTCTCGGAGTTGTCCGCAAGTGCTGATCCTGTTGAGCTGCAGAGTACAAGATGGAGTCGTAAGCAGGTTCGACCTAATAAGCATGTTTCTGTTGCTGGAACATGGGAGTTGGGCAGTTGAGCAGAGAGCGACCAGACAGTCTTCATCTTACTAGTTTTTAGGCGTGAGCGTTGGCGGAGGCATGTATTCAAGCAGTAGTCGCAATGTCAAACAATATCATCCACAAGTCTTCAGGCTTTAGTAACGTTTAATGACGATGTCACCATTGTCTCGACGCGTTGGGGAGGTTGAGGAAGGAGGTTGGGCCTGGCGCGACGCGTGACGTGCGAACTCGCGACTTCTTCATCTTCATCAGCCACGTGACCAAGAACCTCCATCGACGACATCGATTTACTCTCATTTCATCGGTACTGAATAATCACACACCCAGAGTGTCTCTCTACAACAGACATGTCCAAGAAACGGAAAAGTCACAAGTGAACACGATCCGCGGGTGCAAGCCGAAGCGGGGCCTAGAGGGGAGATCAACTGCACCCGAGGTCGATACAAGAACCCATGATCCGTCATTACCACAACTGAGTGAAGTCACTAATCGTCAAATAGTGACAGAACTACCGCGAGTGAGGCCGTGAATGACTGAAACACTGTCCGTACGTGAAAACCGAAGTGAGGGACGCTGAGGAGTGAAGATTCGCCCGAGGTCAACTCACTGTCTCATCGAGCTAAGGGATGACAACCATTGAACGATAGCTCGATAAAACCGGCACACAACAGACAGCAATTGAGAGCGACTCATCATCCGACATCCCGTCCACAGCGTAATGTCGGTCTTACAATTCAATCTGAACGGCTTCGTGCCTGGCGACCCTCATGATCTCTACCGTGTCCACCAAGAAACCGCCGAGATCGCAAACAATGTCCCGCAAGAAGTCGACGTCCTCATCATTGGCTCTGGTCCAGCTGGTCTGGCTCTAGCAGCACAGCTATCTCTCTTTCCAAGCATCACCACAAGAATCATTGAACAAAAGGCTGAACGACTAATCCTAGGCCAAGCCGATGGCCTCCAAGTCCGAAGCATCGAAATGTTCGAAGCATATGGCTTCAGCGAAAGAGTCCTCAAGGAAGCGTACTACATCAACGAAACCACCTTCTGGAAGCCTGACGAGCAGCAACCGGACCGCATCGTGAGAAGTGGCAGGATTAAGGATACTGTAGACGATCTCTCCGAGTTCCCGCACGTCATCCTCAATCAGGCGAGAGTTCATGACTTCTTCCTTGATGTCATGCTCATGTCGCCGACAAGATTGCAACCGAGCTATTCACGCAAACTCAAGCAGCTCAGCCTTCAACCAGCACAGGGCAACTCCTCGCACGCTACGTCCTCCGTGCAAGTTCAACTCGAGAGAACAGACTCCAGCCACGAGGGCGAAGTCGAGGATGTACGTGCTCGCTACGTCGTAGGCTGTGATGGAGCCCGCAGTGCCGTCCGTCAAGCCCTCGGTCTCAAGCTGGAAGGCGACTCCGCAAACCAAGCTTGGGGTGTCATGGACGTACTTGCTGTAACCGACTTCCCAGACTGGAGGACCAAGGTTGCAATCCACTCCGCGACACAAGGCAGCATCTTGATCATCCCCAGAGAAGGAGGTTACCTTGTGCGCCTCTACATTGAACTCGACAAGCTCGACGCCAACGAACGTATCGCAAACAAGAAGATTACCGCCGACAAGCTCATCGAGACCGCACAGCGCATCTTCCATCCTTATGCTTTGGATGTCAAAGAAGTAGTCTGGCACTCTGTCTACGAGATTGGCCAGCGCCTGTGTACCAGATTCGACAACCTCACTCCGGAGACCGCTACAACAGAATCCCCAAACATCTTTATCGCAGGCGACGCATGCCACACCCACAGCCCTAAAGCAGGTCAAGGCATGAATGTCAGCATGCAAGATGGCTACAATCTAGGCTGGAAGCTCGCCTCCGTGCTCAATGGAATCTCTAACCCGGCCATCCTCCACACCTACTCCGCCGAACGTCAAAAAGTCGCTCAAGACCTCATCAACTTTGACCGAGAGATTGCTTCAATGTTTAGCGCCAGACCCAAGAGCCATGCCAAAGACACAGAGGGAGTCGACCCTGCTGAATTCCAAAAGTACTTTGTCAAGCAGGGCCTCTTCATGGCTGGACTGGGCACAGCTTACTCGACTTCTGCTATCACCGCTGGATCAGAGCATCAACACCTGGCCAAAGGTTTCCCCATCGGCATGAGATTGCACTCTTCTCCAGTCATAAGATTGGCAGATGCAAAGCCGATCCAACTAGGTCATGTGGTAAAAGCAGATGGAAGATGGAGAGTCTTCGTCTTCGCATCAGCCGAGGATCCCGCTTCGACCTCGTCAAGCTTCCACTTGGCCTGCGAATCCCTGACCGAGCTTGTCAACAAGGTCAACCCTACTGGTGCTGATATCGACTCCGTCATCGATGTCAGAGGTATTCTGCAGCAGGGCCATGCTTCACTGAACATCAACCACATGCCTGCTATCGTGTGGCCGCAAAAGGGAAAGTATGGACTCAGAGATTACGAAAAGGTCTTCTGTGCTGAAGATGTGGATGGACATAGGGATATCTTTAATGCTAGGGATATCGATCGCAGAGGCTGTATCGTGGTCGTACGACCTGACCAGTACGTCGCCAACGTTCTGCCGTTGTGCGATCATGATGGTTTGTCAAGGTTCTTCGGAGGTTTCATGTTTGCAAGGGATTGAGATTGTGTCGGACAATGCTACATAGCTAGCAAGATCAAACCATGTATTATAGCGCCCAAAAAGTCCATTGAGAGAAAACTCTTTATGACCCGAAAACACACATCTACCTCTTTTGTCTCTTAGCACTGCGGCCTTCCTCCTCTTCTTGCACAGGCTTGTACTTTTCCAATTGTGCAGGGATAAATGCCTTGGCTTCCTTCAACAGCTGCTTCTCTCCCAGACGAACAGATACGGCCATCCTGTGCCTTCCCTCCAGATCAGTGTTCTTCAACAGCTGCTCATCCTGCTCAACGGTGGTGCCGTATTGAGCCAGTCTAGCAGGAACAACCGCATCCATGATCTCGAAGAAAGTGTGCTTCAGCTGTCTACGCTGTACCTTGTTGGGTCCCTTGTCGAGGTTGATTCCCATTGCAGGAGCGATGACTTGGCAAACTTGCTCTTCCAGTTCTTCAGGGAAGCCGACGAATTTTGCTGGGTGGGTGTTGATGCCAGTGTCATCGGGCTCTCCCGAGTCGCGCTCGAGAACAAAGCCCTCTTCCATTTCATCCTCGTCCAGCGCACCCTTCTTGCCAGTAAATCTCTTGTCGATGGTGCTGGAGATGATCTCCCAAGGTACCTCGACAACATCGTATCTTGAGTGCTTTGCTGAGGTATAGCCGTAACGACGCAGGAGATCGCAGTTTGGTAGTGGGCCGTAGTAGTTGAGAACTTCCTCGCCAGCCTTGATCTCTCTCAGCGAAGTCATAGTCAATGTGTCTTCGCCGTGGTTCAGGTGGGCGTTGAACTCTGCGTCGGCGTTGAGCATGTCGGCCATGGGAACCATACCCATAGCTTGAGTGCCTTCCAAGTCTTGGACCCAACCTTCCTGCTCATCATCTTCGTCTTCCTCGTTGTTCTCCAAGTCGAAAGCGTAGGCCATGATGATACTGCCCATGCGGTGTGCAAGCTCGACAATCTGTTCATCAGACAACTTCTGAGCACCAGCAGAGTAGAAGACATCCTCATGGGCCTTGACGACGGGCAGGACCTTTGTCTTGAACATTTCATCGGCAGACTCTTTGCCGACTTTGTCCTTGACAGCACTAGCTTGCAGCTCGTTGAGTTCGCTTTGGCCCCAGAACATAAGAGTATCGAACGAGTTAGGCAAAACTTCGAAGTAAGTCTTCCAAGCAGAGTTGTCACCCTGCAGATACTCGTACACCATAACCATAATCAGATCCAACCAGGGATCAGGCATGCTCAAGCTCTCCTCTTCATCGTCTCCATCAGCCATACCATCATCACCATCAGCATCCAAGTTCTTCAGACCAGTAAAAATACTTGGCAACTTTTTCGAAAGCTCCGAGTTCTCGACACTGATGACACTCTTTCTCGGGATTGTGAAGAGGTCTGTTTCGGCGGGGATGTCTGAAGTGGCGATGATACCTCTTCCGGCACCTCTGTCCCGCAGGTCGGTGAGTTGAAGTCTAGAATCATATGTGGCTCCAGATTGAGATTTGAACCAATTCAGGAAGACATCGGATTTTGCTTGGAAGTCGGCCATTTTTGCGAATAAAGCTTTCTGGATTTGTGAAGTGGAAGTGGTTTCGTGATTCGGTCCCACGAGATAGTGCGTGATATAATGAGAGTATGTATTGAATATCCAGTAGGCTCGAACAGTTGGTACGTATTTCAAAGATGTGGGAATTGCACAAAGGTTGATGAAGAAACCAACTCGAGGTCGAGGCGCAAAATGTTTTTGCAGGCAAACAATGCTCAACGGAGAAAACGCCGCAAAGTCCGAGCGTGTTTGGCAGGCACGACCACGATGTAAAAATATATCATGATTCTTCACACTTGGTCGCACTTGATCGATGAGGTGAAACAATTGGTTTGATGAATAGATGTCATTTTTGTTCCACTTTTGCCTATACAAACGCCGGATATCTGATCACAATGAAGAACCTTCGCCAAAGAAGAAAGACAACCGATATAGTCCACACCAAAACACCTTGCTCATGCACAAAACTAGTTCTTGGCCTGTACCTTTTCGATCTTTCTTCTCTTTCCTCTCAGCTTCTCGGCCTCTGCGTCCTTCTTTGCATTCGAGTATTGCATCTTCTCGAAGATCTTGCGCTTGCGACGACTCATCATCATCTTTTGGCGGTCGGTCTCTTCCTGTGCCTCCTTGCGTTGGCGCGAGATGGCCTTTTGTGCCTTCTCGGCCTCCTTCTTGCGCAAAGCCTTGGCGGGCGTGGCACCAGCATCAGCTGTGAGCGAACGACCCTCAGCCTCGGCGGCAAGCTCGCGCTGGTGGCGAGTGGCCTCATCCTCGGACTCATCCTCCTCTTCGTCCTCGGTGAAACCACCGAACTCTTCGTCCTTTGTGGCCTCTTCCTCCTCATCCTCGTCATCGTCTGATCCTGCAAGCTCAACGTCCATACCTTCGCCGCTGACGACTTCCTTGCCGCCTTGTTGCAACAGTTTAGATTCCAGGTTGCGAGCCTCGTCATCTCCACGAACACCCTCAACCTCCTCGCCATCTGAGCCGGCATCCTCGTCGGCCATCTCCTCGTCTGACTCGGCCTCGGCAGCCAATGCCTCGCCTTCGTGCTCCTGCTCGGCCAATGACTTCGTAGGATCGTACTCGCCTTGCTTGGGCTTGACCCAAGGGGAAAGATGGGGAGGAAGCGTGGCTCCGGGGGCGTAAAGGTCGGATCTCAACAGCTTGCCTGCGTTAATGCAATCCCAGACCCACTGGGGCTGGATGTAGATACGTCCAGGGACACGCTCGCCAGGTCTCAAGCGCTTTGATGCGTTGGCGGCAGCGGTCTCCTCGTCCTCGACAGGCATAGCGGGAAGAGGCAGGTTAGGGCGGTCAACGATTTGGTGAGTGATGCGGCGGTCAGCTTCGTCGGAAGTGTAAGCACCCTCACCCAAAACAGTGTCCCATGCTACACGCTTGCAACCAAAGGCACGGAGAATGAATTCCAGAGGGTGACGGGGGGTCTCGCGAGAAAGGTAGATGGTGAAGGGCTCGAAAAGGTTGGCTGCTGTTGATGCGGAAACGGTAGGTTGGTGCAAAACATCCGACTCGGGGTCGAGAGGGGCAGGGAACGAGTCGAGTTCTCCATCTTGTCTGTCCTCCTCTTCTTGGTCCTGGGGGTTTGAGGAGGGGTTCTCCTGGGCTGTCATGTACGAGCTTGTAGGCTCCTCTCCAGAAGGCAGTTCCAAGAGCTTGTCAGCCTCGGCTTGAGCAGTGGCGGAAACCTGCTTGGGGGTAGCAGCGGGCTGCTCGACCTTGTTGTCCAGAGCACCAGCAACGTTGCGACCCTCAATGGCGAAGGCGGCCAACTCAGCACCGTGCTCATCGGCCTTGGCGTCGAACTTGGGAGGGTAGACCAGACCAAGGCTGGTGTAGAGCCTGTAGTTGACGAATCCGAGAAGAGTAGTGTAGAATTGGACAAAGGTGCCCATGATACGGAAGTCGACGTCGCCAGTAACGCGCTGGACGAACTTGTAGGGAACGAGCCACAAAATGTCCTGGCCCTGAATGGTGGCCTGGTAGTAGATACCCTTGATGGACAGGAAACTCTTGCGCAGGCTGTTGCTACGGATCAAGTAGTGCTCGAACTCGTGGGTGAGACGTTGGCAGAGCTGGATGGTCTTGGGCGGCACGGTTTCGGTCGAGGGGAGGTTGGCGAAGAGGAAGAGCATACTGAGACAGTCATCGAGATCACGGAGGGCGTCAACGAAGGTAGGGTAGCGCTCCTTGATGATGTGGTCGAGGGTCATCTTAGGAGTGAGGTTCTTCTCCATGCGGTTTGCGTCGGAGACCTCATTTCTGCCGAGGGCACGACCGATCTTCTTGGCCAGAGCCTTGTGGTCGCGGAACTTGTTGAGGAGGGGCTCATGGAGCAGGTATTGGATGTCGCGCGTGTAGTAGAAAGTGGTGGCTTGGTTCGCGCCTTGTGAGCCCTTTGCGGCCTTCTTCTTATTGCGCGGCTCGCGGGGGTAAATTCCTGCATTCGAGTTCAGATGATGGCAATTCTAGACAGTCGGAAGAGAGCATACCCTTGAAGATACACAAGCGACGGAAGTCAGGCAGTGAAATCTGCAGTTTGCGCACAGCCTGGGTACGAGTGATGTAGTTTTTGGCCGCGCCCTTCTGGCCTGGGCATAGTCAGTATTTCGAGTAAAAAGAGCAGCGACAGCATCTCTACGCACCTCTTCTCTGAATTTTGGCCATGATGAATGCGACAGAAAATACACAAATGGATGGTCAAACTGGAAGGCGCAACCATCAACTTTTTTCCCAGACACTTTCAGACGACGCCGTTCACCGCCCGGATTCTGCCGCTTTGTCCCCGATCAGCCAAGATTGCGGAGAGCGGCTGACCCCCGAGAGGCTCGAGGATTGGACATTGATCTCCTGCAAATCGATCCGCCATGTCGACGTCGACGTACGACCATGTGCTCTTTGCTTCGGCTGCCTCTGTACGGTTGTCGCTGGCATGGGCATTTCCAGGTCTGCCAGACCTCCTCAGCGGGCGTGTTGAGTTATCCACCCCCGTGACAGGCTTCAAGAGATGTATGCGCCGGCCAGTTCCTCCGGACCAGACATAAACAGAAGCTGAATTGTTATTCCGCTACAGTGCAAGAGGGCCTCTTCCTATACAACCATGGCTTGTCTCCATACGACGGTGGTGTCTTCCACCAGGCACCTCTACTCCTACCACTCTTCTCGCTCCTCCCCGACCCGGCACGCTATCCTCTGGTGACCGTCTTGCTGTACACATTGGTCGACCTCGCGAGCGCATACGCTTTGATGCAGATATTTGCTTCCGGCCAATCCTACGCTTCTCGCTTCTTCACATCATCCCGCGAGTCGCAACGCTGGTCGTCCTCTGCTGTCGCTGCCGCACACCTCTTCAACCCCTTTGTCGTCCTGACATGTCTGGCTCGCTCTACAAATGTCTTTGGAAACCTGTTCATACTTGTCTCTGTACTCAAGGCTTGTCGCGGCGCCGCCTTCGGTTCCGCCTTCGCTCTGGCCCTGGCGTCATACATGTCATTGCATCCCTTGCTGCTACTGCCCCCCCTAGCCGTTCTGTGCTACGATTCATCCATCATGCGCAATAAGAACGTTTCAAGAGATGGGAGGAGCTCGGCACTTGTTCCCTTTGCTGCCAAGTACACTGCCGTATTCGCAGTCGCCATTGCCATCTTGTTCGCATTATCCTATGCTTTGACTGGAAACTGGTCCTTCATTTCCTCCGTTTATGCTTCCCGACTTTTGCTGCCAGACTTGACACCCAATGTTGGCCTTTGGTGGTACTTCTTTATCGAAATCTTCGACTCCTTCCGTAACTTCTTCCTTGGCGTCTTCTGGCTACACATGGTCTCGTACTCGCCTGCTCTCACCATCCGTCTTCGCGATCAACCTCTAGCGGCTGTTGTACTTATGTGCGGTATCTTTGCCATCTTTCAACCATACGCCAATGTTGGCGATGCAGGATTTTGGCTTTCCTTGCTCTCCATGTATGGTCATGTTCACGAACGTGAGTACCACACAACATGTCTTTACCCCTGAATTTGGCTAATCTCTCAACACAAGTTTCACGATACGCCTTCCCTGCAATCAGTGCTCTGATCTATACCACTTTGTTAGGACCCGCATTCTACTACCTCTGGGTCTACGCCGGCAGTGGAAACGCCAACTTCTTCTACGCCATCACTCTCGTCTGGAGTCTGGCGCTGTCAGTGATCCTGGCCGATATGCTCTATGCCATCATCAGAGACGAATGGGAGAAAGAGCGACCTGAGATGAAGGGCAAAGAAGCCAGGCAAATATGATAGATCAAGGCACTGTCTATTTCAAGCACATGCTGAGATAGGAGCATCAGTATAGTAAAAAGCATTTTCTACACACTGGAAAGTCCACTAGTCGCTGTGCATCACCCAAGCCTCCCTTCGAAGATAGAGAGTGTAGAAATCATGCTCTTCGTGACCAAATCCACTTCAGCCCTGAGCGCAATCTCAAGACATCACGCGCAATGGAGAGTAAAAGGGAGGAAGATCAAGTGTGAAGAATAAAATGACAACTTTTGTTTCCATGTTTAAAATGGCCTGTTATATCCCTCTCATATCATATCATCATATTACGCATCTCAAAAAGACAAAGATTGAAGATGGCATGGCATTTAAGCGGAGCCGTTTGTGGCGGCGTGCTTTCTTCTCTTCTGGACGGCGTCGGCCAACTCGGCCAGGACGCTCTCGGTGTCTTCCCAGCCGATACATGCGTCGGTGATGGAGACGGCGTACTTGAGGCCGGACTTTCCTTCCTTGGGCATCTTCTGGCTGCCCTCGTTGATGTGTGATTCGATCATGACACTCATGATTGCGTCTTCGCCGGCAGCGATTTGGGTAGCGAGTTCGTGGGCAACCTTGGGCTGGTTCTTGTGGTTCTTCTCGGAGTTGCCGTGGCTGTGATGTTTGTGTCAGTATGGATGGTTTCCTTGATCTCCATCTGTGAAGGGTTATGTGAGACGTACCTGCAGTCGACCATGAGTCTGGGCTTGGTGTAGCCAATCTTCTGCAGCTTTTCCTTTGACTCTTGAATGTCCTTGGGGTGGTAGTTGGTACCCTTCTTTCCACCTCTGAGAATGACGAAGCAGTCGTCGTTACCAGCGGTACCGACAATGGCGACGTTGCCGGGCTTGGTAACCGACAAGAAGTGGTGAGGGTTCTTGACAGCGCCAATAGCGTCAATGGCGACATCCAGAGTACCGTCGGTGCCGTTCTTGAAACCAACGGGGAAGGACAAACCGGAGGCAAGCTCGCGATGGACCTGAGACTCGGTAGTGCGAGCGCCAATGGCGCCGAGAGACAGAAGGTCGGCGGTGTACTGAGGAGTAATAGTATCCAGCATCTCGCTGGCAATGGGCATGCCTCTCTCGGTCAGGTCGAGGTAGAGCTGTCTCGAAACACGAAGACCCCTGTTAATGTTGAAGCTGTCGTCAAGATCGGGGTCGTTGATCAAACCCTTCCAGCCAACAGTGGTACGAGGCTTCTCGAGGTAGGCGCGCATAATAATGACCAACTCATCCTCGTACTTCTCCTTCAAGGTGGAAAGCTTGTCGCAGTACTCGAGGGCAGCCTTGGGATCGTGAAGCGAGCAAGGGCCAATGACGACCAAGAGTCTGTTTCTCTCGTCCTTGCCCTGGACAACATCTGAAGCCTCGTTACGACCCTTGAGCACAGTGTCTTTTGACTTTTGCGATTGTCCAATTTCGTGCTGAAGAAGATCGGGAGCGGTAAGAGGGGTCATGCCACGAATGCGCCAGTTCTCACTGCTGCTGCGGTCGCCCACCGAGGCGTTCTCCATGAAGAACTGCATACCACGTCAATCATTGTTCCCACTCGCTTTGTCGCGACGCTTGCGAAGTCGCGGGGCAACATGTTGGGGAAGGCATGAAACACTTACTTTGGACATGATGTGTGTTTGTGAAGCAAATCAATGTGTGTACTCAAGCAAAATCAAAGGACAGCAAATTGGGGTATCAAGAGACGGAGGAGGTAAAACGATATGGTAGAGTATGCGAAAGGAAGAAGGAACAATAGCAAACATGTTCGTGAGTCAATTGTCACTCTGCGCCAGCTGTCGGGCCGAACAAGCCACAGCATAACCTTCACCAACCTCGTGATTCGCTCAGTCTAGATTTGATGACCACCGGTATCGCTGCGAGACAAATGCCTGCTTCCAAATGCCATCCTTTCGAAACTCCCATCTGTTTGCTACTTCGCGACTTGTCACTTGTGATTGAGCACAAATGCTGACATCTGGTTCGTCCAATTTTTACGAACGAAACAAAAAAGTCTGATCTACGTCATCAACCCTGATGTCACACCAATTGCGGGGAGTTGAGGTGGTGATATGGAGCACTTTCGATGCATATGTAATGATGAGAGCGTAACAGCGGGTCACACGCCCCGTCAAGTATATCAATTGTCACTTTGCCATCCTTCTTCCATCCATCAGAAATTCATCTCGTGAAACCCACCATGTCGCTCACAAATGCATCCCTCAGAAATCTGCCCGTCTGTTATGCCAGTGTCTCGATTGGCTGCAGAGAGGAACACACGCTTCCCAAGAAGCTGGAAGCCATCTCTCAAGCCGGTTTCACTGCTATTGAGCTCGGATTCCCGGATCTCCTCGCCTTTGCCTCGACTTACATGAAGAAAGAGGTTGGAGCATATGACTATGACGACTTAGTCATTTCCGCAAAGGTCGTGAAGGCCATGTGCGAGGCAAAGAAGTTGAAGGTCCTGATCCTTCAGCCTTTCGCCAACTTCGAGGGTTGGCAAGAAGGAAGCGAGGAGAGAAAGGATGCCTTTACTCGTGCAGAAGGCTGGATCAGGATCATGGAAGCTGTCGGAACAGATATGCTGCAGGTGAGAAGGCTTCAAATCGACATCTGAAGGACAGCATTTAACAACATTCTAGGTCGGTTCTTCAGATACCCCGGCTGAGAAGATTGGCACCGATCGCAGCCGCTTTGTCAAAGACCTCCAAGAACTCGCCGACATGCTCGCAAAGAAGAACTTCCGTATGGCATATGAGAACTGGTGCTGGTCAACACACGCCCCCACTTGGAAAGACGTTTGGGACATTGTACAAAAGGTCGATCGTCCCAACGTCGGACTCTGTCTTGATACTTTCCAGAGCGCCGGCTATGAATGGGCAGACCCCACTACCGAGTCTGGCTTGGTAGACAAGCCCAAAGACCAATTGGAAAAGGACTGGAAGGAGTCACTCGATGAGCTCGCACGCACAGTCCCCGGAGACAAGGTCTACTTCCTCCAGATCAGCGACGCCTACAAGCCCAAGCAGCCTTTCAGCAAAGACGTTGACGAGTCCGGTACTCGTCCTAGAGGTCGCTGGAGCCACGACTTCAGACCTGTCCCCTTCCAAGGATATCTGCCAGTCGTTGATTTCACCAAGGCCGTCCTGAAAACAGGCTTCCGCGGCTACTTCTCATACGAGGTCTTCGATGGCGGTCCGGACGGAAAGGGCAAGGACTACGAGCTGAACGATTTCGCCAACGAAGCAATGATTACGCAGTGGAAGCTTGTTCAGGCATGTGTTGAGGATGAAGAAGTGGTATAATGGAACATGATGAACATGATGAATGAATAGTATGTACAACCACCAGGAAAATGATTTTAATGTAAAGGCTCCGCCATACATGCTTTGTTCAGTCGAGTCGGATCAAATCAAACATCTCTTCAGTCAAGATGCAGAAAAGCGGCTTGGTATTGCTCTGCAGCTATTTGTACGATGAATCCAATCCCATTGCTCCGCAATGCCTGACCCGCTCCTACGCGAAAACGAGATCCCCTCACAACTCATCCTGGTTATTCCACTACTGTATGACGTTTGACATACCGCTCAAAATAGCAAGGTAGTCAGCAACATCCTTCTCCTGGCCCATTTGTCAAAATCAACACACCTCTCATGGGATCCTATTGCGCTTGAGCATGATGAACCTGTTATGACGTCTGAACACGAAGGGGAGCAGGGATGGTAAGTGTGCCTCCGCGTGGTTGTGGGATAACGTATGCCCAATTGGACACAGGGATCCAAGTGGATGGGATGCCATTCAAGATGGAAGGGGCAGGAGGGACCGAAGATAGGGGTTGACTGGGACGCTGGGCGTGAACAATAGGAGCGACAACAATCGGATGAATGATAGGGGTGGTTGCGGTAGGAATAAGAGAAGTCAGAGCCTGCTGGATGACAGGGGCGACCGCGGCCTGATTGACGATAGGCGGGTTGGCAGACTGACTGGAAGCAGCAAGAACGGAGGGAGTGGTGAAGTTGGAAACAGTGCCAGGTTGATCCAGAGCAGGAGCATTACCAGGTGGGTTGGCAACAGGAGCGCTGACCTGCTGATTGAAGACAGGAGCGGTGGTAGGCTGGTTCGAAACAGAAGGGATAGCAGGGCCGGCAACAACGATCGGATTGGCAGCAGCGGGAGCCACGGCAGGGGCAACACCGGCAGGAGCGCGTTGGGCATCTAAACAATCCCCCCTAGTCAGTAACCCTGCCACGATATCAAGAAACCTAAAGTCTGCTGTGACATTACAGTACAGAAACATACCACAAGGAGGTTTGTTGCCCCACCCGCAAGGAGCACATCTACATCTTGTAGACGTATCAGTAGGAACGAAGCAGATCTGGGGACCCCTCGGACTGTTGGCACAGCTGGTACAAGCAATAGAAGCTTGCACACCAGAAACCTCATGGATCTGGCCAGCCTTGTCGTGTTTGTTCAACTTCTTCAACGCCCATTTTGCCTTTGCGTGGCTGGGGGTTTGGGTGATACGGATGAGAGAATCCCATTCTTGCTGACTGCAAGAGTAGTATGCGTTGACAGCTACTGGACGTCTTAGGTTTGGGAGTTGCCTATTTACGTGTGTGAGACCGTGACCAATGTTCCAGGAAATATTTGATATCTTACAGTATCGGTTGAGGGCCGGGAGCAGCGACAGCCTGATGCTGCTGGGCAGTAGAGTTGTTGGCCATCGGTTGTTGTTGATAGCGAGACCGAGAGTGTTGTTCAGGAGAGAAAGAAAAGAAAGCAAGACAGAAGTCTGGTCTCTGGAATAGTGTGCAGATGCCGAGTACTCTCGGAGTCATGCCATACTGTTCTATTTGAGTCCTGTCCTCGACTTTCGAATAACATCCCCGAGTACGGTGAGTGTTGCCGCGTGCAACCTCAATTCGAGGTCAACAGCGAGACTTCTAATTTGCCTAGACATATTCTGTAGCGCGATCTCTCGAACAATGCCTTTTTGTATCGTAAAGTAAGCTATTAAAGAGACTTACTCGTGGCCTGTCCAAAGAAATAAATACAATCATCTTATGCTGCATATCAGAACAAGCATAAATGCCTACAGAACAACGAGGAACAATTGATCTTGACCAGCCTCTTACGTTCTGTGTCACAGCGATTGAGTAGGTAATTTCTGTCTCGTCAAACGGGAATCAATCCCATAGCATAACGAGATGTAGGCTCACAATCTGGAATGTGCATATCGTCGATAGGATGTTATCACGAATCCAGAGGACAGAGACTTGAAACTCGAGACTCGAATTGCGTATCTTCTTTCTAGAATTGAGACCAGAGAATGACATACAGAAGATTGAACGAGCAGAAGCATACATTTGGAGAGGCGATCAGCTTGTATAGGGCCTTGTATAAGGCTTTGGCTACTCATCCTGATGAACCCCTTTTCGTCTAGCCCAAGCAATTTAGCTTATCGACGCGAGTATGTGGTCAACCGCCAGTCTGATCATCAAGTTGGTCGTTAGACAGAAAGCCGAGGAGATATCATACTTCCTCCATTCCTAGACATTAGAACGTGTTGACACAAAAGCTGCATAAGGCGAGGGCACACCTTGAGGGGGAAAGCTTTCTTGACACTAACAGCGTGCCACTAAGCTGTGATCTGCTCTTCTGGCTCTGGTGTACAATTGATATCCCTCTCAGTCACATTCGCTCTGCCTTTCTTAACATTCGTGATGTGTTCGCGGAGCTCTGCTATGAATTGCTTAGCAAGACCGCTGTCGGTGAAAGTGTCTTCGGCTAGCACGATCAATGTCTTGGACCGAACGATACGGATTTGGACGGCGCCGTCAACTAGATCGTATCCGGTCATGGTGTCGCCATCAATAGGCTGCTCTATGAAGGCATCAAAGCGCGTTTGATCTGCAGCGGCGATAGTGTCTCTCATGTTGAGCATGGCGGCGATTGCTGTGAATTTTGCTGCTGTAGATGTGGGTTCGACTGTGACAGACCGGTTCGATACTGAGTGCCCACACGATTTGAACTGGAAAGAGCGATTCTTTAGTAGGCCCTGGATTGTCAAAAACATCCATTTCGTTGAGTCGCGAAGGATTGGGAATGGAGCACGTGAAGCAGTCATCTGACTTGCACATTTACATGTGTGCTTCACGGTTGAGTTGGAGACGGCCGTAACAAGGCTGCGGTCATTTCGCCTCCTGCATATCGATCAGATAGTATTTATCTCTGCCTATAGTAATTTCATGACTCTCTTTTCATGGCATGATGTCGCCAGAACATGAGGCTCGAAATAAGCCAGAGTCTGAATCGTTGGTTAAACTTCGGAAGGACTTCGTTTGATCCTTCAAACTGCGAGCCGGCGTCTCACATGCCGCTTCGCATCATCGTGCATCAAGATGCCGAACAATCGGAACAACAGTCTCTCCATTTGGAAGGTTGAGGTAGGTATTGTATGAACAGAGCTGTGAATAAAGATCAATAGAAGACCTTGACCTTCGTCGTGAATCGCCATCAAACAATTCAAAACTCAAATACAATCAGCCATGTCTAAAGGGATCCTCATCACCGGTGCGACGGGCAAACAAGGCGGCGCGACCATTGACGCCCTCATCAGCTCTCCGTCGCACAGCTCCGACTTCACCATTCTAGCTGTGACCCGTAACCCATCTTCAGCATCAGCAACGGCCTTGCAAAACAAATCACCAGCCATCAAGCTTGTCACTGGCGACCTCAACGACGTGCCTGGCATCTTCAATGCCGCCGAAGCAATCCACAAACCAATCCATGGAGTTTTCAGCGTTCAAACTTTCGCTGGCCAGGGTCAAAGTGTCGACACAGAAGAGAAGCAAGGTAAAGCTTTGATTGATGAGGCTTTGAAACGCGGTGTCAACCACTTCGTCTACACTTCTGTGGACCGTGGCGGCGACAAGTCCTTGGACAACCCAACCAACATCCCTCATTTCCGCAGCAAACACAACATCGAGCGTCACCTTGTCGATAGCGCAAAAGGCACAAACATGTCGTACACCATCCTACGGCCCACAGCCTTCATGGACAATTGGGTCCCCGGCTTCATGGGCAAGATGTTTGGAGCCATGTGGACGTCAGCCCTTGCACCGGATCGCAAACTCCAACTCATCAGCACCAAAGACATCGGCTTCTTCGCTGCTCAAGCTTTCCGCAACCCCGATCGTTTCAACAACCGCGCCGTCAGTCTTGCGGGTGACGAACTCACTTTCGCTGAGGCTAGCAAGGTTTGGCAGGACACTGTGGGCTATGGAGCACCTGCAACATATTCGTTCATGGGTGGTGGCTTGATGTGGGCTGTTAAGGAGTTGGGTACGATGTTCAGATGGTTCGAGACCGACGGATACCAAGTCGATATCCCGGCTCTCAAGAAGGAGCATCCTGGCTTGCAGACACTAGGCGATTGGATTGAGAAGGAAAGTGCTTTCAAGAAGCAGTAGGCGGGTTACGAGAGAGCCTCTAAATGAAACAGAATTGCAACGATTTATGGGTCGAAGCTTGTGTCTACTGATCAAAATATCGAGGCTGTTTACTCCGAGCAGGAGCGCCGCAACATCATCAAGCAAAATTAGGAAGATGTAAAAAACTCATTTTCAATCTCGAGGCTGATCTATGATCGTTACGACGTCTTGAAAGAGTCCTCAATCTGGCTGTATGGTGGAAGCTACTGCAAACAGGACAAGGAAACCGCCAGCATCTCTAGATAGCAATACGTATACTACTCGCACAGGCTAGCGTATCATGAAAGTCCTTGGTCGCATCCTATCTGTAGACCGTACGTGATACACAACATTCCGCGCTGACTCGCGCGCAAATGTAAGGGGGTTGTCCTTACTAATAGTATAGGGAGGAGAAATGGCTCTGTAGACTCCTGTCTCAAATCTAGTCGATATACATGTATTCATTTAGATTCACTTTTCAAGTCTCAAGATCTCGACCAAAAGCCTATCACGTTCCGCTTCAAGGAATTGAACATCCTTGCCTTTCAACTCTTCGCCAACACTTGTACTAAGAGCGTCCAAACTCTCCTTGTTGAATTCAAAGGCATGATCCTGCATGTCCTTGAGCCACACCTCAGTAGCGGGACCCAGATGTTCTAACAGATGCCTGAAACCATCAGTGCCACCGCCGCCTCCCATGGCGTTCGCGAGCAGGGGACCTGTCAGTGCCCACCGGGGGCCGAGGCTGTTGGTGACGCAAGCATCTGTACTATTGTTAGTACACTCTATAGCAGAAATGTTGCTTCCATTGCTCACCAAGATCTTCCGCTGAAATTATGCCTCTGCTTACCAAAGAGTAGGCTTCACTGCACAGTGCTGCCTGCAACCGATTGGCAGCAAAACCAGGCACTTCTTGATGCAAGACCACAGGTCTTTTGTTCAGAGACTTGTAGAATTGGACTGCTGTTTCAACGCTTGATTTCTCGGTCTTCGGATTTGGGACAATCTCGACCAAAGGCATCAGATGAGGTGGATTGAAGGGATGTCCGATAAGGATTCTACCAGGATTGTTTGTGCATTTCCCGATGAACTTTGAACTTGGGAGGCCGGAGGACGAAGAAGCGATTACGATGTCAGGACGTGTTGCTGCATCAATCTCGGCCAGCAGACTCGTTTTGATTTCAATCTTCTCTGGCGCATTCTATAGCACGATTCTAGTAAGCTTGAAGCACCGGCATATCGAGGAACCACGTTGATTACCTCTTGAATGAAGTCTACTTTGGAGTAATGGTCCTTGAGACTGGTGCCGACGAATTGGTAGTTATCAAGTGATGCGCCAGATTTCAGGCCGATCTTTTTCAAGTCTGGCCAGATATTCTGAAGATACTTGTTGAGCTTCTTCTCGGAGCCTGATGCCGGATCAGAGACAACAACGCGTAGACCATTAGCGAGAAAAAGTCCGGTCCACGAAGCTCCAATGACTCCAGTTCCGACGACACCAACAGTTCGAATAGCAGACATGGTATAGATGTGCTCAAAGCTGGGTTCAAGCGATACCACGAACTGATGCTTTTATACTCTGGTAGTCAATATTCAGCCTCGGCTGTTCGGTACAGCAACGGTCAAGCATGACGCAGGTCCTGTGCTTCTTGTTTGAGGATATAGTAGATCCGGCGTGGGATCAGTGTATTCCTGTGCGTCGAAAAGACCGAGCAGTGCGTTGAGCTCGTGAACAGTTGATGCTGTTGCTTGTCAACTACTCTATACCGTAGCGCTCTGCGTCGCTGCATCAGTGCCATGTTTCTAGCTTGTCCATGAGGGTCAAAAGACCGAAACACTGGAGATGAACTCGTGACTCCCACACGGTATGAGCCGCTTCGGCACAACGATTGAATTGTACGATGTTGTTCTCGAGAGCAGAGGGAAGAACCAAGCCGCAGGTGAAAGATGTTGATAAGTCTGGTTGATACCTAGGGAACGCTCGAATGTTCTCTAGCTTCATGGCACCTGTCCTCTAGAACACCCACCCCATCATTGACTTATGCTGTATTACAAAGTATCTCATTGAACCAGGTTCCTTCATCCTCTGTAATCTCGTTCTTCGCGAAGAAGAAGTTGCTCCGTCTCACAGGTTTGGAAGAAATCCATCCGCTTTGATTTCTTGGTTTGTCATTCGGCTTTCGTTTTCTGCATGCGTCGCGAGTAGAAGGTGCGAAGCGCGACCGTTCCTTCCTACACCTCAGGTCAGCAATGAGTGCTTGGAACGGGCTTGGTACAATGTTGAGCCGACGCTCCTGCTGTGTAGAGATGTCAGCAAGCACAACACATCAGAGCAGGGATAGCTATACTCCATGCATGTAAGATGAGACCACCAGGTGAGTAGGTGTATATAAGGACTGCAATGGAGAAGGGGAAGTTGTTTCTTTTCAACAATCAACTTCAGCAACAAACACTATCGTCAGCTCTTCAAGCAACTAAATCAATTTTCATCATATCAAGATGTCTAAGCTCATTACCGTTTTTGGCGCTACTGGCAACCAAGGTGGCTCTGTCATCAAGCACATCCTCGCCGACCCCCAACTCTCCTCTAAATTCAAGGTCAGAGGTATCACTCGTGATGTCAACAAGCCCGCTGCCAAAGCTCTCGCAGAGCAAGGAGTCGAGCTGGTCACTGTAAGTCTTCATCTTCTAAGCACCAAATACATCTGAAACTAACACATCCCACAGGCGGACCTCAACGACAAGTCCTCAGTCGCCAAAGCAATCAAAGGCTCCCACACAGTCTTCCTCGTGACAAACTACTGGGAAACCGCCAACCCAGACACCGAACGCACCCAAGGCATCAACGTCGCCTCGGCCGCCAAAGACGAACGAATCTCCCACCTCATCTTCTCCTCCCTCATCAACGTCACCGAAACAACCAATGGAAAACTCCCCCACGTCCCTCACTTCGACTGCAAAGCCGATGTCGAAAAGTACATCCGCGGTACGGGAGTCCCTTGCACTTTCATCCTTCCAGGCTACTTCATGTCCAATTTCAGCCAAATGTTCAACAGAGGCGAAGATGGCGTTTACAATTTCGCCCTCCCCATCAGCGAGAATGCGAAATTCCCTCTCTTCGATGTCGCGGAAGATACTGGAAAATTCACCAATGCCATTCTCAAGAACGCTGAAAAGTTGAATGGTAAACGAGTGTTGGCTGCCACTGCTTACTACACTCCCAGGCAAATTGTTGCGGACTTTGAACAAGCTAGTGGCAATAAGATGAGGTATATTCAGATTTCTGGAGAGCAGTTCAAATCGTATTTGCCCGAGTTTATGGCCGAGGAGATGTTGGAGAATCATGTTTTGCTTGATACTGAAGGGTATTATGGTGGTGAGGGTTTGGAGGAGAGTTTGGAATTGTTGGAGAGTAAGCCTGTTACTTGGAAGCAATTTGTAGAGAAGAGTGGTGTTTGGTAAAGAGTCTGAGGTGTTACACTTCTTCGGTCTGTCTTTTCTGAGGGAATTATCTAGGTAATGAGCAAAAAATAATAATCAAGTACTTGTGTCTTGCATTTTTGGTCATCACTTGTCCTCTTCAAACCAAATGGTCACGATCGTGGCACAGCGATGTCTTGCACAAGACTACGAAGAATCGATGATATGTACTGACGGCCTTTGGTAAGCCAGCGTATGGAAGCTCAACATCGTTGTTACATCCATATTATTATCGTCAAACATTGAAACAACAAGAAAAGTATTGTCGAAGAAACGGATTTCCTGAATGTATTTCATAACTGCTTCTTTCAAATTCCTTACTCCAACTCCAAGCAAGATGACAAGAACATAGTGGTGTGGGGGGAGGAAAAATGGTAAACTCAAGAAAATCGTGCAGACTCAAAGGAGGGTGGTAGTCCGATTCTCAAATCAGTTCTGTGTGGTGCTGATTGATGGCTGAAAGCTGCATGCTTCCTGAAGCATTGTCTAACAGGCTTTTCGCATCTCGGCAAGGTTGGCGTCCTACGGTCTAGTGAGTATCTCAGTCTGAGTGCAGTAATTGTGAAGGTTGTCAGCAGGTCCGGAATCAAAGAGTATGAACATCACCGTTGAAAGTATCCAAGTCATATCGGAGAGGCCAGCGCTCCGTGTTGTGTACTACAAGCGATGTTTAGCAATCCTCGTCGAATGGTGTACTTAGCTGAAAATTTCCAGAGAGCAAGAGAAGTTCCAGAGATCAACTCATCTTCTACGCTTCTTGTTCTTAATGTTGTTTCGCTTGTCGATCTCCTGCTGCTCTTGTCGCTCTTTCTCCTGCTCTTCGATAGCCCTTTGGGCTTTAGCCTTCAACTCTTTATCCTTTTTACAGCCTTTGCAGCGCCATCCTTCTCTGTCCCTATAGGCACAGGTGTGAAGCAGGCAAGGGATCAAGTGTGCCTTGCAGTGGTGGAACGGGTCATCGACGAATCGACAGTTACCAGACTTGCCATACCACTGGGGGCAATGATGATTAAAGCGTGCAAACTTTGGCTTCTTCTGGTTGTTTTTGGACATGGCGGTAGATGTCAGTGTGTGATGGGGAGAAGTTGTGGTACTGACCGAGTTCTGGATGTAGGTAGGTTTGGTGGAGAGCGAAGAACTGTAGATTGGATCAAGAAGAAATACGCAGCTTCTGAATGAGTAATAAGGAGTCGGCCTGGCTGGATAATGTCCGGTATCTGTGTTGTTCGAGAGCTTATTGATGATGAGAAGAGCACAAGTTAGGGGGCTCGAGGTCCATTAAATATCAAAAGTCGACACCTCGAGCACCTACCACTCACACAAGAGAGAACAAGGCCCATGTTGCGGAAACAAAGGCCTCCACGGTATACCACAAGGGCCTCAGACATTGGACAATGTCAATGTGTTCTGCCCCAATGAACTAAACTCACTTTCACACGCTCGAAAGGAGGACCGGGTATCGATGTTGGCACCTGCACTTGTTGCAACAAAGAAGTAGGATCTTGGAAGAATGAGGTATTGTTATTGAGCACAAGACGTGTTGGTTTCGAGGCCAAGGTTCGGGTATGATGTGTTGGATGAAAGTCTCGCCAAGTCCTTCAAGTCCAGAGGCATCTACGGCACCGAGAAGTTCTACAGATGGATTTGATCTTGTTGATTGTGAGCCATCGAGAACATTGGCACGTTTGGTGTGTGTGGGTCGAGCTAGAAAATAATTAGACACATCTCACTAGACCGAGACATACGGGATATCTGAGACTTTGAGGCTGGAATAGCTCAAGATATAAGTGCAGCAGAGATGACACGAGGTCAATGTAGCGCAAACATACTGAACTGTACTCGCAAGGCGAGAATGTCTGTCAAGGACAAGAAGCTTGAAGATTGATACGTCGAGTTGCGCAAATTCTACTAAATCTGTTCGTTCTAGAACCACCAAATTCGAAAACAAAAAGAAGAGAAGATCGGCGGTGACACGCTTCAAAAGAAAATCAAAAGGGGTATTTATACATTAAACTGGGGGGAAAGGGAAGAAGGCCAGTTTGTCGTGACTTTTGTGGATGAAGGGGTTTGGCGAGAAATCTATCTCCTGAGTTGCTCACCAAGGTATTCGAGCACCCGGGGGTTGATAATGCCTTGGTTGACGAGATGCTTGCTCAAACCTTTGACGACTTCCATCTGTTGTTCAGGGGTAAGGCCAGTAATGGCGGTCTCGATGACACTGCCAACGGAGGCCTTGTATACGGCGATGAAACTGGAAAGATGTTAGCTGTGCGTCCAGGTCCTCAGATAGAAAGATATACTTGCCTCTGGTAGTACATGTATGCAAAGAAACCCATGATGAACTGACAATCCATGCGGTCGGTCATACCGCCATGTCCGGGAATGGAGTCACCAAAGTCCTTGATGTTGAAAGTACGCTTGAGACCAGACGCGAAGAAGCCACCGAAGGGAGCAATCAACGAAGCAAAGGTAGCGAAGATCATGATGTGGAACTGAACAGGAGCGACAGTGATAGTGGTAGGCAGGTGAGACCAGTTAGGAGGAATAAAGGGAAGCTGGTAAGTGTGGGAGAGGAAGACGGGGTTGACGTCGCACTCAAGACCAGTAAAGATGTTGGCGCCGAGATTGTTGACAGGGCAAATGAAATACTTGGAGCGCATCAAGATGTTGGACAGGCCGAAAGCGAAGATGATAGTGAAAACCCAAGCACCAACGAAACCTTCGACGGTCTTTTTGGGACTGATCTTGATGAGTTGGGTGCGACCAAAGGTGATGCCACAGATGTAGGCGAAGATGTCGTTGGTAATGACAAGAGCGGCCGGGAGGAAGAACCAGATCATGCCCTCGAAGATGTTGTTCATGATGAAATGAGCCTGGACGACAATCAAGTAAAGAGCCATGTGAGTCCAGGCGAACTGCTGGAACTGGAACTTGTAGTGGCCCTTTTCAAGCGAGACGACGAAGAAGACAAAGCCCATAACGTAGAGCATGAAGCTGATGAAACGGTGGTGGGTAGCAAAAGGCAGCAGGACCTTGTCGACCAGAATGATGTGCTTGAAGTAGTAAATGACACTCTCGCCGTACAAGAAGTACATGGTGGATCCAAGGAAGTACCAGTTGAGAGTCTTTGTAAAGCGGAGCTTGCGCGCCCTGCTGGGGACGTTTGAAATGGCGATGACTTCCTTGAAAGAGATGATCTGGATGGCAGTGACGATGATGATGATGTAGATGTGACCGGAGAACATTGCGACGAAGAAGAAGATGATCATGATTAAGGTCCAGATGGTTCTGGTGATGAAGGTCTGCTTCTTCTTTTCATAATCGCTTTGGGGGACGGGCTCCTGAGGCTTCAGAGGATCAGTTAGCTTGGGGGACTTTATGGCAGAACGGCTTGAGCTCGCCTTGTCGTCGTCGGTCCAGGCACCGTCGTAGGACATGTTACGGCTTACTTCGGGCTTTGAGAGCTTTTCGTTCCGGGTAGGACTCGACAAGTCGCTTGCATCCTGGCTATCATTGGATGATCTACTGGGCCTTCTTGCTTCCTTGTGTTGGAACTTGACGTCCTTCTTAGGTTTCGTCATATTGGACAGGGTGTCGCGGTATAGCGATCGGGGAGCAGTCGGACGGGAGGCTGCGGCAGGGTGTACGAGATTTCTAGGGAGGTCGGCGGATCGACGTAAGTGCGACACAGAAGTTGCCGGAGAGATTGGGTCGCGTCGGTGTTATGAGGCGACAGGACAGAAGGGATGGCTAGACAAGCATCCAAGTAGAATGAAGTCGTGTTCGATTTGAAAGAGTTGGCAGCTTCCAGCTCTTGGGCGTGGCAGGGAAGCGGCTGCCAAAGACAAGCAAATGCGTCAGCATGCAGCCATGGCTTGGCGGCATGTGAATGCTCCAAACCTTCGCTCTATGGACTTGCGGCCTCCCATCTGTGACGATGAAACACCATGGCCATCCATGAACAACTCCCATATGGCTACCTTGGACGATGAGCTGGACTTTGACGAAAGCGGCCTTGAGCAATTGCCGCAATCCACTCTGCAAGACCTTGAGTTGAACGCGCTTTCCTCGACTCAACGCGAAGTTGCCGCGTGTAGGCAAGCGCAATACAGACAGACAATCCGCCCTCTCAAATTGACCAGGCCAAGTCTGCCGCCAGTCGCCACTCCTGCTGCAACTACTACCGATTACGATGCCCCAAACTCGCCTGAATCAGACTACGGCCTGGACGACACCATCGATGATGAGGAAGTCCTTGACCTGAACGCCGACACGACCACCTATCAGCCTCAGCTGCAACAGACCTATGCGCAATCCCGAGTTAACAATAGCCGCTACGAGCCATCTGTCAATGACCCCATCGTGCTAGACGATGCTCCAGACATCCATGACCATGTGAATCACGCCCACGACCATGTCCAGCCCACCGACACCACCGCCATCGATGCCCACATTAGAAAGGTATCACTTGCAACTATAACTTCTGTCATCGCACCACTGATCACGTCTTCTCTCTAGCTCGAGGCCGAATTGAATGCTGTCCGCTTGTCTCTGCAAAATGCAAAAGACCAAAATCAGAAACAGGCTGGGGAGTTGTCTACAATCCGCGCCAGGCGTGAGAAAGATGCCAAAGAGCACGAACAGCAATTACAGGCTCTGAACAAGACGCGTGCTGATGATGCTGCAAAGCAAAAGGCCGACTTGGAGGCAAAGAAGAAAGAGATCGAGGCCTACGAGACGAACAACCGTTTCCTAGAGCACGATCTAGCCCAAGCAAGAGACGAGCGCTCCAAGAGAATCAAGCCTACCAGAACTGCCACGGGTAAGCTTACTCGTCAGCCCTCTCAGTCATTACCCTATCGCGATGGCTTCGATGACAACGAGATCGTGACACTGTCTCCTTCAAAGCCGAAGGATAGATCCAAATCTTCTACCCCAAAGGTAGGTGAGAAGCGGAAGAGAAATGCTGCTGTCAGTCCTGCTCCTCAGCTGCAACTCAACCCCCAACCTTCTGTATCGTCCTCGCCTGCTGCCCTCCTGCCCGAGTCGACTCCTGTGATCGAAGATGTGCTTCGACCACAAGATGACTCGCAATTTCAGGTAGGTCTCATTCATGTTACAGCTTCAGCCTTCGGAGCTGACTGTTTATAGCTGATTCGACATTTAATGAATCACCGTCCTTCCAAGTCACGAGAAAGAGTCTTGGAGACGATGAGTCGTCTCTCTTTTCCTTCTTTACCCGGTCAATCCATATCTGGTCTCATAACCGAAGGTCTGTCCCAGTTTGTTGGTGTGGACGAAAACGATGACCTTTCCTGCTTTGCCTGCAGTCTCCTCTCAGACTTGTGGGAGACATGTTTGCGGGACAAGTTCTACACGCCGATATACCTGATACTAGATCTGTATGAGTTTATCCTTGCCAGATCGCTTGGACCTCCAAAGTTCTCGCTCGTCGAGCGCTTCCTTCCGCTTGCGACCAGAACGATAGATCTGGTTGCTGTTCCCCGCGTACGTCTAGTCTCGGGCGCCAAGGTTGATTCTCATCTTCTTGAATGCATAAACGTCGACCAGATCCTGGTCTTGATGCACGGCATGGCATTCGATGCAAGCCTCAACGTCGAGTCGTGTCAGGCATTTTGGAAGAAGATGGAGTTCGAATTCACCCTGATGATGCTGAACCAGAGTCAGCCACTTCCGCAGATTGTTCTAGTACTTCAAATGCTGGGCAGCTCGGTCATGGCCGAGTCGTTCAGCATCGTATTGGATGACCCGGAAAAGCAGTCTACCTTGGAAGGTCATACAATTGATCGCCTCACGACTTTGCTGTTTGAACGACCTGAGGCTCCACCCGGAGAGTCGCCATACGAAGATCATGAAGTTGCTACTCTGCAAATCGAGACGATTCGAGTTCTGAACGGACTAGCTACGACAAAGCATGGGAGTGAAGTGTTGGCTCAACACCGTACAGCCATTGGGCGACTGGTTCGTCTGTTGCACGTTTCGGTAACCAAGCTATATGACCTTCCCCCTACCAAGCATGGTGTTCTTGATGAGGCGGCCAAAGGACCCGAGTTCAGTACAATTCACGAACTCACGTCAAGTCTGATCAATCTGACAGTCAGGTTGATATATCATCTACTGACGAACTACGGCGATACGATCAATCTACGGGAGAAGCTCATGGTGATACCAGGCGGGCATCACAAGTTTTTGGTTTCCTTAACACGACTGGCTTTTTCAGAGCAGCTGGTGTATGAGGCTGGCCTCGACAACGAGGCTCTCGACGCTGCTCATGAAATTTTGGATGGTATCCTGAGTCCGGAGGAAGGCGAAGCTGTCGTGCAAGCGATCGAAACACCTCGTGGCACAACTGGGACAAGGGTGTCTACTTTTGGTTAGATAGCGAAGGCTTGAGGAATCTTGACATGCCGAGCTGTGGTCGAATTGGATGGACAGAATACCGGGCAGGCACCTGATGTTTGGATACAATCAGCTTGCGTATATGCGACTGCTGCAGCTGATAGTTTGCAAAGTCAGAAAAGCACGTCTATAGGAGCGCATGAGTCTGCGAAGAAAAGCAGCAGGACTGACGATTTACGAACAAATAGACAAGATTATGCTCACTGCTCTTCGCTATCACAAGATCAAGACGAATGCAAAGGGTGATGGTGTTGATGATAAAAAGATTGCAAAGCACGTGACTGTCGCGGGGCGGCCCTGACGTTTGTTTCTGGAAAATCGTACAGCGTCGGACGAGTGAATCACAAGCAAAAACGACCACCTCGTCGCCAAATCCCGCCCTCAGCACTACACAACCGTCTGCGCATATCCAAAGACCAGCAGAAGGACAACACCGCCATCATGTCGCTCACAAATTGCCGCTTCTACGAGGAGAAATACCCCGATGTCGACTCGCTCGTCATGGTCAACGTCAGACAGGTCGCCGAGATGGGCGCATAGTGAGTCAACCCTCACAGACAGCATGCGCTACGCCAAACGACTAACACCAAGACCCTCAGTGTCAAGTTGCTCGAGTACGACAACATCGACGGCATGATCTTGCTCAGCGAACTTTCCAGAAGACGTATTCGTTCCATCCAAAAACTTATCCGTGTCGGAAGGAATGAGGTCGTCGTCGTACTCAGAGTCGACAAGGAGAAGGGTTACATTGATTTGTCCAAGCGCAGAGTCTCGCCCGAAGATGTGCTCAAGTGCGAGGACCGCTACAACAAGGCCAAGATGGTCCACTCGATTATGCGCCACGTTGCCGAGAAGACCTCAACACCCATGGAGGACCTGTACAAGAGCATTGGCTGGCCGCTGGATAAGAAGTACGGCTCAAGTCTCGACGCCTTCAGAATCTCGATCTCAAAGTACGCAACCACCACACACCTCTATACATGAACTGTTGACTTACACAACACAGCAAGCAAGTCTGGGACGAGGTCGAGTTCGCCAACAACGTCATCAAGGAGGAGCTGATTTCCTACATCGGCAAGCGTCTGACGCCCCAGCCCACAAAGGTCCGTACCGATATCGAGGTTACCTGCTTCGGCTACGAAGGAATCGACGCCGTCAAGAACGCCCTGCGCCAGGCTGAGGCCCGCAACACCGAAGACACCATGGTCAAGGTCAAGCTCGTTTCTCCTCCCCTTTACGTTCTCACCTCGCAAACTCTCGACAAGACCATCGGTATCACTGTCCTCGAAGAGGCCATCCAGGAGGTCACCAAGAGCATCACCGCAGCCGGCGGTACCTGCTCCGTCAAGATGGCCCCCAAGGCTGTCACCGAGAACGACGATGCCGAGCTCCAAGCCCTCATGGACAAGCGCGAGCGCGAGAACCAGCAAGTCAGCGGAGACGAGGACTCGAGCGACGAGGATGGCATCGTTGCCGTCGACGAGTAGACTCTTCCACCGACCGCGTCTTGAACCTTTTCCCGTACGAGGATCTAGCCATCAATCTTCGCTTCCGGCGTCTGGAGTTTTCGATCGTTGTGCGCATCAAAGTGGAGGAGTACAGCGCAGCATGCACATCGAACATTCGGCTTGGCTTAGACATGGCGTCAATATTTGGGAGTGCCGCAGTGGGGAAAAAGAGACAAACACAGAGGCGGGAGGAGGCATTTATGCTGAACGCCCATTCCATACATGACGAAGGGACTGCCCATGAGAATCGTTGCGATATTAGCGTACGACCCCCAAAAGAATGAAATTTCCTTGCAATATCATGTCGCTTTCACTTTGCAAGAGATGGAAGGAGCGAGCTAGGTGATGCACGACCTGTTGTGCCTGTTTTCGTCCGCCGCATTGATACGAACTACAAAATCTAACAAACCCAGGCAACAAACAAAATGTACTGGTCGAGTTTTCTAAACTTAACCCCGACTTCGACTTCGACCTCGACCTTTGGTGAAGTCGAGTCTGTCAAATCGATCCACGTCGACAAAACATCTCATATAACATAGGATATACGATCTCCACATATTCCCTGGCAGAAACAGCCTTGTGCTATATCGAGAACCCTCGACTCCAAAATTTGAGATCCTCCCGTGTCTCGGGCAGTTGTCTCATCCCTGTTTTTCCCTTCGACTCGCCCACTTGGAAACGCAGCGGGGGGGTTTTTTTTCCCCCGGATCTCAAGTAGGTGCGATGAGGTCTATCTATAGGCTTTCTGGGTGGTGTGGATGCCTCTTTCTGGATATGGATGATTTGGCGACGGCTTTGGTTTTCACTCATGTTGCTGCGGCACCTTCCTGTGTCTAACATGTTCCATGCCCATCGACAGACTCGTCTTCAGCTCGGACTCATCCTCTTTGATGGATGGCGGACAATGCATACACTGACACTGATACTGTGTTCTTTGAATGCTGTGCGACCGGGTATGTGCCCTTGGTGTTGATAGATCCGGTCTTTGTAGGCCATGGTTTCCAAGTCCTCCTCGTGTACCATCCACCTTTCATCCTACATTTTCTTTGTTCCAGACATCTTATACTGTGCAAAACAATACTTAATCTCATGTCCTCCTCTCAAAAACCTCAATCATCAACAGCAAGCTTCTAGAGAAACACCAATACTCAAGCAGTCCCAACAGCTCCACCCTCCTTCCTTCTTTCATTATTCGCTTCTTAACCCAGCCTACTCCATTCTTTCGTTATCTGCTTCTGTGCCCACATCTATCCAGCTAAGTGCCCAAACTAGAGTCATGTCTCCTACTGCCAAAGCTGCTAATAATGGCCATCATTGCCCCAAGGCTCATGGTCGTGAAGGCAACTGTCGTCCCTGGCAAGGCGGCGGTTCGAAGCCTCAACATTGCGTTGCTCATCAGAAAGTCTGCCCTCTTCATCATGAGAAGCACCTCCAGACCGAGCCCTGTCCTACATGCGAGAAGGTCTTGAAGTTCACCGGCTCGCGTCCACCACCCGTTGAGCACCAGCCACGAGACTATAGACCCTCCAATCCTCCGAGCAATCAGCGTAGACCCTCTCAGCCTAGAAACAGAGGTGCTAGGCGTAGTGCTGGTAGTCGTCATGGTCGTGGCGGCAACAAAGGCGGCAATGGCCAGAGTAAAGATGGTAAGAAAAACAAATGAGGGGAGCTGGACTCTCTAGTCACCCACCTATACTACCAATACCTACTACACCACTGACGACCACTCCACACTAACTACCATCCACCACTACCCACTCCCCACCACAAAGAAATATGCCGGTTTGAACAAGCATTCTCGAAGACAACACAGCTGACAACCATCAAAGCCCAGAAACCCACTCGCTCCAAAGATACATCGCCCACAGATCCAAACACCATACGAGCTACCACAACACCAGATCTACAGACCTGGTCAGATCTCTTCTCGAGTCCACTATTCCTTGCTCTTGCCCTTGCCCTTTCTTTTGTTTTGGTCGTTACCGTTATTGGACTCATGAGCTGGACTCGGAGATGGTGATGCTTTTCGAGTGTATGCATGAACATGGATATCGTTGCGATTGTTGGGGGACATTTTTGCTTTTGTACTTCGTTTACGGGCATGGAAAATTGGAATTTGGTGATGTCGTTGGGGTTTTGAGGTGCTGTGGTTGTTGATGGGAGGAGTTTTTTATGTTTTTGGTTTACGGGAGAAAAAGGCACATCTAGCTTTGGATTTACGAATTGATACGGTCCTTGCTCGATGATTCTCGGTTTCCGTATAGTCCTTGCCCTGGTTGCTCATGACCTTACTGCGCAAGAAGATGCGCGGTTGAGCTCGTCAAAGTGTTCATGAAAATCATCTCTATGGTTCTCAAGCTTCCGCAATCTGTTCATCCAGCTCCTGAATATCTAGTGATTGCATCCTCACAATATCATCATCGCGGTCTTTATTCCCGCGGTCCCCACCATAAATCCCTTCCATCTTCCTCACATACCTCGCCATACTCTCACATAATCTGTCCAGCACGAATGCCGCCTCGCTTTGTTGAGCCATTAGTGGACTGTGCTCGCCTATCCAATCCCATTCTATCAGACCATCTTGATCGGCTTCATATCTATTTCCTCCTTCCTCTCTCTCACCTGCAGCGGTGAAACGGATTAGTTGGGTAAATTGCACCCATTCCTCGTATGTGTAGCGACGTGGTGGGTTGTCTTGAAGATCCTTGGCTGTACGCTGGATAGCATGTGCGAGTCTGCGAGCGAGTTCGCCATCACTAGGTGCTTTGCTTCCCTGTTCCTTGGCGAGGTTGTCGATAGTGGGTTCCTCTTCAGCGCCGCCGGTTTCAAAACCTCGTTGCAGGCGATGGCGAGCAGCTTTGCGCTCTTTGTGGGCTTGGATCCAAGGCGCTAGTTGTGGGATCAAGGTGCGCCAGATGCCCGCTTTGGGGAGGATGGTGAAATCGGCTAGGCGGAAAGCGCCTTGGTTGAAACTGTTGACTATTGTGGTCGACATGTCTGCTACCAAGAGTGTCATAGTCGGCACTGCGATCAGACTCCAGACGACGAAGAAGGGACGTCCGGCATTCGACTTTGGAGCTAGATCGCCGTAACCGACAGTCAAAAGAGACACCCAGCAGAGATACAGAGACTGGAAGTAGGTGATTCCCTGTACGCGTCTTTCAGCGATCCAAAAGATAAGAGCTCCAATACACCACAAGATTGCAAAGGCTGCAACTGAAACGCAGAGGCCAGACCATTTCTTCCATTTCAGGGTTGCGCTTTGTATCTTTCGCATGGCGTTGAATCTGTCTTTTTCTTCTCGCAGGAGTAAGAGACGTGGCTTGCGGGCTGGTCGAAGTGCGGTCAAGGGTATTGTTGCGGTACGTTTAAGAACGCTGAAGGCTCCTTGGCTCGGTTCGTCGTCTTTTGACTGTGAGGTATGTTCTGCGAACGCTATACTGCGATTCACCGGATCGAACGGCCTTGATATGGTTGGATGTAGTCCCAGTCCTAGTTGTTCGCGGTCTCTCAGTTCGATAGAGCTAGTGTAAGACCTTCCTATCGTTCGCGTCCGGCTCCTCTCGATGTGCTTCTGGACTATGTTGTCTTCTCCAAGCTCGGCCGCGAACGTCGTAAGACTGGTCACGATCAGACCGAGCATGATGATACCACCAACTGCATACGGCATGATTAGTCCACGACCGATATTGCTAGATGCGTAAAGATCGCCAAAGCCGATTGTCAAGACAGTGACCTGACAGAAGTACAGTGCGTTGACATACGACCAGTTGAAGAGATCCTCTCCATATTTGCTTTCGACCAGCGAGAACACACCAGCGCCTCCAGCAAGCCATACAAAGAACAGCATGGTTTGTAAAATGAGCGTCCGCTGTGAATTTGTGAGGTTAAAACGTTGCGGGTAATGACCGAGGAAGTAGCCAAGCATATTGACCATGAGCAGCATAGAGCATATCAGGTAAAGCACTGCGGCAATGACAGCGTACCAAAAGCCTTGTGTATAGCTCTGCTGTGGCTCTTGAGGGGGTACATATTGATTCATAGAAACCTCAATTCCAATCAACTATAAAAAAAAGTAGGACATCAGTACCTTGTCGAAGATAGTAATCGAAGAAGACTTACAATTCCGGTGGCAGCGTACCACAAAATTATTGTGAATGGAAGCGCGACAATGTATCGAATGCGATTTGTAAAGTTGAAAAGCAAGAATATGTTTCCAGTAAACCCTAGCGCAAGGGAGAATATGTTGAGTGCATAGCACCAATGGGGATCGGAGAAAGTATGTCCATCAAGATCCAGGAGTAGCTCACTTACCCCGTCCCATGGGCAACTAGCTGCGTCGACACCGTCGAGTAAACACATGCGCCATGGGGTGACCAGGGCAGCAATGGATAAAACATTGGCGAGAGGACCTTGAAGAGTCTTGAGTTAGCAGGTGCTATAAGCGACAATGATATCATTCGAATACACCAGTAAGCACATCCATCATGTGTGGCTCAAAAATGCTGCGCTATCCCTTACGACTCGCATACCCCCTTCAACACCATGATATGAAGCGGCCAAGACAAGGCTAGCGGTACATTGTCCAGAATCAACGCATTTACACATACCAATGGTAGCAGCGAGTAGCGGAATTGCTGTGCCGGCGAACCACCAGTCCTGCTCTTGGTCATCGTCCCAAGGCCTCAAGGTAAACTTCCACCATTGTTTGTGCTCTGGTGCTCGTACGAAAGATCTTGTTCTTGATGAGGACTGTCGTCGCAGAGCAGGGCTTTCTGATCCTCTTCCACGCCATGATGGTCTTCTCTCGGATTCCACGTGTTGATTTTTCGAGATGCCGGTACAGTCCGAAGATCTTTCGAAGGCACTAGAGCCACGCTGCTGCTCATTCATATTGAAGCCGGCTAAAGTAGGCCGGGTGTTAATAAGCACTATAAGTGACTGAAATTCGGCATGTTCTCAACAGCTTAGTCGAACCCGAGTAACAATATGGTGGGAATGGTAAATATAGTAGCGTATAACTTCAGATGATCCTGTGACGAGAGCCGAGTAAGATGTCTGCCAGAGAGCGTATTGTAAGACGGCCTTCCAGTGTCGCAAAAGTGTATATGAGTGACTCCAGTCGATAAGTATACCAACGCACAGCGTCGCTACCGATGAGCAGTAAGATAATATTCGCAGTAACCAATGATGAAGAAGGAAATGTAGGGCGCCCTCGGCTGAAGTACGTTTACCGTGTCGCGGCTCGTGGCTTGATTTCATGGAACTTTAACGGCATGTGTCATGAGCAAGTCGCGACTTCCTCTCTGTTACGCTCATGAAAAACAGTTGTACGGAGCGAACAAATACTTGTATCCATCAGACGACATTCTTTGAATCTTATCTTGTCCGAGACAAGCATCTTGATGCAAGTTTGGCGAGTTGAATGTTTATTGTGGCTTGAGGTTGATGGGAAGGATCATCCGACCTCGGCCACAAACGAACGACGGGCCGATGAACGAGTGAGATCACGAAGGGTCCAACCGCAAAGGGAAAAAATAATATATGATGTGACTCCGTTCCCACCAGTCGCTGCTTCCTCTCAACACCGCTTCCTTACATCGTCGTCTAACCTAGCTCTTGCAAAATTGTCACCATGTCCGCCCAACTGAAGCAGCGCGGCAGCGTTGCCGAGCCCAAGAATCCTCTGCAATCCGACTTCACCGAAACCTCGAGCATGGATTCTGACGAGCGCTATTTGGTATGATGAGATTAATCGGAATCTCGAATGGACGAATCAGATGAGTCAAATAAGAGCATCCTCCAAACGCGCATGATGGCCACAGGTGAGTTTGAGGCCAAGAAAGACAATCGGTTCCACAACGACAATTCAGCAACAAAAGTCACTGCACGCGGGCATCTGGTCCTCTCTTTGCTCTTGGGAGCATTGAGATGGTACCAGGTTGAGAAGAACCGCACGAACTTGATCGTCTTCACAGACGCGTAAGGAGATGCAGAGACTATCGAATCGGCCTTTCTTGATTCCCCTTTCCCTTGTCGGAGAACATTTGACCTAATACAGGGCAGAATGCGCTCGGCTACAAGCAAGTGAGTGCAACTGCCAGTAACCATCGTAGATTCGCGATCCTAACATGTTTCTAGTCTTTGCACCGCCAATGGAAGTTCGCAGAGAGTTTCTCCGCCAGCTTTGGTAATGCACACCAAACTCCGTACTATCACACCCTTCTAATGTGATTGTAGCCGCAATGTACGTTATCGGCGGTATTCGCGCAACGTTTTACATTGGTCTTGAAGCCGGAGGTCCCGCGGCCTACTGGTAAGCATCACCCGAGCACTCCTCAGACGTGGAGGTATTGATCGTTCTAGGTCTTCGTATCTGGTCACCATGGTCTTCACCATGATCACTGCCGCCGTCTTGGCCGAGATCTGCTCCGCCCTCCCCGCAGCCGGCTCGATTTACTTCTGGGCTGCTGAAGCTGGAGGTCCCAAGTATGCTCGACTTTTCGGATTTCTAGTCGCCTGGTGGTCCACTACAGCATGGTCAACCTTCGTAGCCTCTCTCTGCCAGAGTACTGCCAACTTTATCCTCTCAGAGCTCCCTGTCTTTGGCGTTACCTCTCTCATCACCGACGTAACCGACGTCAAGTTCCGCGCGGTCCAGTGGATTGTCTCCGAGGGCATTCTCTTCCTCGCAATTGGCATGAATTACCTCAACCCTAAGACGTACAAGTGGATCTTCAGAATTGCGACAGCTCTGATCGTCCTCGACTTCATCCTGAACATCATCTGGTTCCCTATCGCCGTGTCTCAGACCTACGGTTTCCAGTCTGCAAAGTTTGCCTTCACCTCCACGAACAATCTGACTGGTGCTCCTCCTGTTTGGAACTGGATGCTGTCTTACTATGTTACTGCTGGCATTCTTGTTGGATTTGAAGCCTCTGGACACATTTCTGAAGAGACACAAAACGCAAATGTCGTCGCTGCCAAAGGTATCTTCACGTCTGCTCTGGTCTCGGCATTGATGGGATTCCCCATGGTCATCCTCTTCTTGTTCTGCTGCCCCGATCTTAGCGAGTTCAACTTCAACTACCCTCAGCCATTTGTTGGCATCTACGCACAGGCTATGGGTAAAGGAGGTCATCTGGTTATGAACATTGTCTGCATCCTTGGACTTTTCTTCAATACCACTGTTAGCGGTGTTGCGTCATCTCGTTTGATTTGGGCTGTCGCTCGCGATGGCGTCTTGCCGTTCTCTGGATGGATCTCTGCGGTTTCTGCCAACAAAGAGCCGAGGAACGCAGTAACAGTCATGTTGGTGTTCGCCGCGATACTTCTCTGCACCATCCTGCCTTCTGCTACTGCGTTTGCGTCTTTGGTCTCTGCCGCCGGTGTTCCCACCATCACAGGTTATGCCTTGATTTGCTTTGGTCGCACTTTCTTGACTCCAGGAGAGTTCAAAAACGCACCATGGTCTCTGGGACGTTGGTCTCGCCCTCTGAACTTCATCGCTCTCATCTGGAACCTCTATTTGGCTGCAGTTCTGTTCTCCCCTCTTCAGTTCCCTGTCGTTGGCGAGAACTTCAATTACTCTCCTGTCATCTTCGGTGCTATCACCATCTTCGCCCTACTCTCTTGGTGGTTTATGCCCGAGGACCAGTGGCTCCCCGCTGCTCGCCTGGGCAAGGTTCGCATGCTCGAGGAAGAGTTGAACGCAAACAGAACTGGTCGTAGTTCTAGTATCTCGGGCCCCTCATCGTAAGAGATTCATTGCTAGCCCCAAATGACTGGCATGTGATTGGTGAGATCACTGGCAGTCTCAGTGGGGTGGAGAATATTCAGGGAGGCACTCGTTTGCCTCGATCTTTGTATGACAGAAGGCACAATGGAACCTCTCGATTGTGTGAATGGTGGGGAGGGTTGGTTGAGGAAACCAGTTTCCGACGAAGTTGTTGGTAGATGACCGTGTAGATGTACAAAATAATAAAACACTCGTTTTCAAGAAGCCGCTCTCCATCGTTCCTGCCTCAGGCCGAAGAGAGCTTGACGATCGATTCGGAAAGTGGGGTCCGAGTTCGCCGCAATGCTTTGCCGAGCGGGGTCATTGTTGTACACAAGACGGGCATCTACTTTGATTACTTCCCATTCATCTTCCTGAAGGTCCACTTTGTTTGGTATCGGTTGCTGTTTGGTTACCATTCGCGTGTTTGAGATCGCTCGTGTCACTGCACCTTTCAAATACGAACGGCATCATGTATGCAGCCAAGCGTCTTTCACATGCAGCTCGGCTCCATTAGCTGACAGCAGTAGGGTATATACCGCTTCGTTCGCCTTTTTCGAGGCTATCTACGAGGTATCTCTTGTTGATCCGTTCGACCATGCAAACCATGCTGACAGCAAACATAGGCCGGCGTCACACATTGCTTCGTCAACCTTGGCTCTGACCATCCTAGCATCATTGAAGCAATTGTCAAAGGACAAAATGAGAAGAATGGTAACTTCCCACGTATCATCACGTGTCCCAATGAGGTACGAACGCAATGTTGGGTTTGATCTCAAACCCCCGCTGACTATTTCTCAGATGGTCGCTTTGAGTCTGGCTGATGGATACGCAAGACTTACCAACAAACCTCAATGCGTCATTGTACACGTTGATGTTGGTACCCAAGGCCTTGGAGCCGCAGTTCACAATGCATCCTGTGGAAGAGCACCTGTTCTCATCTTCGCTGGGCTTTCCCCCTACACCATCGAGGGTGAATATCGAGGTTCAAGAACCGAATACATCCACTGGATCCAAGATATCCCGGACCAGAAGCAAATCGTTGCACAGTACTGCCGTTACACTGGTGAGATCAAGCGTGGAGCCAATGTCAAACAGCTGGTCAACAGAGCATTGGCTTTTGCTACAAGTGAGCCAAGAGGACCTGTATACTTGGCTGGTGCTCGAGAGGCCATGGAAGAGGACATCGAACCGTACAAGCTTGATCAACGTTATTGGACAGCAGTGGAGCCGAGTGCTTTGACCCCAAAGCAGGTCCAGAATGTCGCTCAACTTCTGGTCGAAGCCGAATCACCTCTGATCATCACCGGCTACAGTGGGCGTAATCACAATGCTGTCACAGCGCTTGTGGAGCTTGCCAATACCGTCAAAGGCCTCAAAGTCTTGGATACTGGTGGCAGCGATATGTGCTTCCCTGCTGACCATCCAGCATGGTTGGGTCTTAGATATGGCGTGGAGGACAACATCAAGACTGCAGATGTGATCATTGTGCTGGACTGTGATGTCCCCTGGATCCCTACTCAATGCAAGCCCAAAGACGACGTCAAGATCATTCACATCGACGTGGATCCTCTCAAGCAGCAGATGCCAGTGTTCTACATCAATGCTCTGGCAAGATACCGTGCCGATTCTGAGACCGCCGTATCGCAGATCACAGAGCATCTGAAGACGAAGTTTGAGGCCGAGATCACAAGCAGCAAGTTTGAGGAGAAGTGGGCCAAACTTCAGGACTCGCATAAGCAACGTCTGCAAACTATCTCAGACCAAGCAAAGCCTGGCGAAGATGGTACATTCGGCTGCTCATACTTGGTTCATGAGCTGCGCAAGTCATGTCCGCAAGACACCATCTGGGCTATTGAAGCGGTGACGAACACGGCGTTTGTCGCAGACCAGATCCAGGCCACATTCCCAGGCTCCTGGATCAACTGCGGCGGTGGAGGACTCGGATGGTCAGGAGGTGGTGCTTTGGGAATCAAACTCGCGACCGACTTTGAGAACGGTGGAAAGGGCAAATTCGTCGTACAGATTGTCGGCGACGGCACGTATTTGTTCAGCGTGCCAGGATCCGTCTATTGGATCGCCCAGCGCTACAACATCCCGATTCTCACCATCGTGCTGAACAACAAGGGTGAGAACACAAGATGACATTTGTTGGACATGTACTGACTCCAGACAGGATGGAACGCGCCACGCAAGTCGCTCCTGCTTGTTCACCCGGAAGGAGAAGGCAGCAAAGTATCGAATGAAGAACTCAACATCTCATTCGCACCTACACCCGACTACTCAGGCATCGCAAAGGCAGCATCCGGTGGCAAATGTTGGGCCGCTCACGCAGGCACTGTTGATGAATTGGCAAGACTGCTTCCCGAAGCCATTGAGGCGGTCAAAGGCGGTACCTGCGCTGTGCTGGACGCACATCTTGACGGACCACAGGGCAAATACGGTGGTGGAAAGGCTGCCTTGGTGGGCTGAGCCGCAACGCAGTCAAGACTGCAAGTATATATCTAGAACGTCTTCATTGACAACGAACTATAACGGCAAACAAGTGTATGAAAGCAATTACCAAAGGGGTATCATGAAAATCCAAAACGCACGAAATGTCTTCTCCTCGTCTCTTTTCACCTGGCAGATCCAGTGCTTCTTCTCCCTCTGTCTCGTTCTCTTTCCCTATCTTTCTTGCTACTCGCCGGTGACCCTGGGTTTTTGCCAGACCCAGAAACCACACGCGCGGTGCCTTTTGCAGCAGGGCTCTTCGCACTGATCTTATTCTCCTCACTCAGATCCATCGCATAGTCGAATTTCAACATGTCGTCTTTCAGTCCCGCAGCTCTCGCTTCGCAGTAAATCCGTGTTTGGAGTACCGACTGTAATTGCCATTTACACATCAGCATCTGGTCCATCTCATCTGGGTATAGGAGCAACGTACCTCATTCCTCTGTCTGCTCAGCCAAAGCAACATTTCATCATTAGCCAGCACGCGAGCGGCTTGATTCCTTATCTCGCGCTCTTCGTAGGGGAGGTCTTGTTCTTCTGCTCCTTGGTCTGATATGCTGGCTCGAGATGGGTGTTTGCCTGTTGTTGGTTTCGGGGCGGCGACTCGCGATTTGGGCACCGCGAGGGGACGATTGGTGGATGTGGACATTGCGGTGTATTGTCGAGGGTGTGTAGGAAGCGTAGTGGAGGAGGTATAGAAGGTCGCGATTGACGCGTTCTCCAAGGCTGGTGTTGAGAAGGCGACGTTGGGGTGGCTCAAGGGTGGGTGGTGGGGAACATGGTGAAGTGTGCCGCGTCTTTGTGGATTACGCGATACGGCTGCGATTGCCTGTTGCTGGGAGCTTGTCTGCTGGGGTTACTGCAGCTAGCCTTGGAGTACCGTGGTTGAGGGTTGTTTGCTACTGCTGTTTCTGTAACAGGTCGGTTTCGTGTTTGAATCCTACGGGGCTGATGTCATCTTTTGCGAGGCGGGTGACCCTGGACATGTCGTTCGCACTTTCTTGTCTCACGCCGCGAGCATTCTGAGGGTGGTGAACCCGCAAAAGCGCAGGTGAGGGGCTTTGATTCTGCAGATCATACATTTGCGTGTGAGGTGGAGGTTGAGGTTCGAAGAAACGAAGACGTCAAGATAAAATTGATATTTGACATTATGCTGACGCTTCTCTGAAGCGTCATTGTACATTGATGAAAATGATTGCGAGCTAGACGCCCTCCTCTGATTGGGAGATCCTCACTCTATTTCTGAGTACCGGTCTTGGAAGACGAAACGGCAACCTTGACACCCTTCTTGCTGACAGCACCACAAGCTCCCGAAGCACCACAGTAGTTGCTGAATCCACCATTGGCCTTGGTCAATGTGGTAGAAGCCAGAGTAGTAGTACATCCAGTGCCGTTGGGGTTGACACACTTCTTTCCAGTCTGTGTGTTGTACTGATGTTGCATATTAAGAGTAAAGTCGGTGATGCTCTTGTAGTTTGACACCTTGATGGAGAAGGAGTTGTCTTTGCAGGCTGTCCATGCAGTTGAGGGCTTCTTGGTCCAGTCCCAGTTTACGGTGCAGGTAGTGGTGGCTTTGGTCTTGGAGTCGGTGATGGGGAAGGAGATTACGTCGTAGGCGGGGACATTGATGCCGCTGGGGGTGTTGGAGTTGAGGCTGCCAATGGTGAGGTATTGGGGTGTGGTGGCTGCGTTGGCCAGAGAAGCGGCACCAGCACCGAGTACAATGAGTGTGTTTGCGAAGAGCATGTTGTAGGTCTTGTAGATTACTTTGCTTTATGCAGATGTGTTGAGAGAAAGACCGATGTTGATTAAAGGAATGCAGATGAAAAGTGGTATGATAGAAAGATAGTGATTGATAGAGAGATCTCAAACCTTGGGACCTGGGACTGGCTCGATATATACATCACCCACAATTGCCCATAGGGCGATCAAACTGGGCTCTAGAAACCATTCGGAGAACAATACCGTTGGCGGAGAAGGGTAGGCACGTTTGGTCTATCAATGTCTTGCGACCACTTTGCTGCAGACTTTCGCTGGTAAAAGATGACCTCGTCAATACGCCTTGTCGATAGCGCTGACTTAGAAATGGCTTTGTATGGAGAAAAACGGTATGGATATAGACGTTTGATGCTCCAGATGCGGCCATCTCAGCCGTTGAGAACCGTGTTCGGTGCCGGTAGTTCGCAAGAAGCTCGATTTGCACGCATTCTGGGGCACTCCTGTCGTTCATGAACCGAGAGAGTCTCGCTTCGAAGAGTTCTTGATTATAGGGCAGAGATTGATATCTGTGGTGTTCAGTAAAATGTGTTGTTGGGGACTGGATTTGTCTGCCAAGCCTTGCTCGTCTCTTTCTGCTCGCTGCGACCAAGGGCGCTTGATCACAAACGTGGGACACTCTGATCTTGACAGCATTTCGGATGGCTTGATATAAGGATAGACAATGAACTCTATCCTGAAAAATGCCCGCCGAGTGCGCGACTCATTACACGCCACCTGATCTTCTCAGGCCGATTTCTCTATCCACAAGCCCTTGCGTGCCGTCGAAGAAGACGTCCACCTCTCTACATCCCTCATTATCATATCAGCATCAATTCGCTAAACGATTCAAGTATTGGCTCGCAGTCCCCTTTTCAACTCGGTCACGAATTTGCACGAGGCAATCTATGCGATCTTTTGTCTGGAAACAGAGTCACTGCCCAGCCCTCCCAAGACGATTCCGCCGACGGCTGTGAGGAAGGCATTCACCCACACACCAATCCACATGGCCTTTGTGTAGTGACTGTCCAGCTTGTAATGTTGGTATGCTCCCATCATGGTGGTGATGTGGTGGAAGATGGAGACGGCGATGAAGGCTTTCGAGTAGCTTCTGTTGATACCACCGCGGGAGTAGGCGCGAGAGAGAACCAGCAGCGATGCGGCGAGGGAAATGAGGCACCAGCCGTCTGTGCGAACGTTGTACAACTCGAGATCTGCCATGTCTTAGCAGCCGTCTTCCTCTTGTGCCCGTCGCAGCATTATGGATCGTGCATCATCTTACCGCTTGCTTTGAGGTGTGTTTCTACAGGAGGACGGAACCCTGCCATTGTGTCAGTGGATTGGTTGAAGCTCTGGGTTCGGGTTGAGAGAAGACATACAGCCGATGACCATCAATGGGTCATAAACGCGACAGAGGCCTCTAGAGGCGTACCAGAAGGCATTGCCCCAGCAGTAGCCATGGAGGAGCTGTCAGGAGCTCAAGTCAGTATCTCAGTTCTTCCAGGATTGCCGGCAGATAGCTCGGGGAACTCCAATGGGTAGCTTGCCATCTCGGAGCTCCAGTGATTACATACAATCTTGTCCATTGTAAGTGCCATAATGATGGTTTGTATGGTTGTCTTGTCGAGGATTGGGAGACGGAGAGAATCACTTGAGCTTCAAACTGCCGGACAGCGTGCTTATCATGCTCCTGCTCTAATCATGACGTTCGATTTGCATATGCAGACATCTTGATTCAGCAGAGCTGGAGAGGAAGGTGCGGGGTGTTTTTCTGGTGATCGCGGAACACGTCATGCTTCCTCGGAGCTCCCCCCGCATAGCTCTTTTCCCTTCAACTTCGGGCATATCTGCCGTGCAACGGAACCTCTGATTTTCAGGAACGCTGAAGTTTGTGCAGAGCCTCTTGAAGGTAAAATGAGTAGGGGTACATCGGGTTCCTATCTGAGTACTACTTCTATGAACTTCGATACATCTAGCTTCTACTCGGCTGACAACACTGCCACGGACCAGCCAGGCAGGCTGATTGAGAATGTTCCATTCGAACCAGTCACCTCTGTCACTACAGGCTTCACGTTCTCCTGGCCGGGATAGTTTGACTCGTACTGCCCTCCGCTTAGGACTGCCAATGAGCCAGATGTCTTCCCGTCCAGGGTCAATGTAACGTTCTGCTCATCACCACCGTAATTGGCCAGCTTGACAAAGTTCGTGCTGCCTGCGCTGCTAGCAACCCAGTACACAGGACCAAAGCCGGTATCAGATTCTACAGACAAGATGGTGTCACCCTTGTTGGATGCAAACATCTGCTGCACGAAGTAGCTCGTTGAGCGAGTGACCCCAGTAGTTGCATCGAAGCCAATGAGGTCTGGCGACCACTCTGCGCGGTCGAAATGCTCGAGAAGAGGCGCATAGCAAGCCATCTTGACGACGTCAGAGTTGCGCTCCATACCGATCATGTAGACAGCTTCAGAGACAGAACCCATCATGTTGGTCCAGATGGTCGCACTGCCGTTGTCGAAGGTGGTCGATGCGTACTCACCCACCAACAAGGGCTGCGAGCGGTCCCAGTTGTCAAAGGTGTTGAACTTGGCGATGAAGTCCTTGGGAGGCAAGTACTGATGCAAATCCTGGTACGCGCCTTCTGGAACGTTAATGCCACTACCATTGCCGCCAGTTGATCCTGGAGCCACGGATGAAATGATGGTGATGTTGGGGTATGCAGCATGGACAGCAATACATGTCGAAGCGCGATTGATAGTTGTCAAGACCCTTGTTCAACATGTCTTCGTTTCCGATCTCAACATAGTTGATGTGGAAAGGACCAGGGTGACCGTGGGATGCACGAAGAGCGCCCCACTCAGTACTTGTATCGCCCGTCAAATACTCAAGCTCGTTCAGCGAGTCCTGCACGTATGGCTTCAATTCATCGCCAGAAATGGCTCCAGAATCGGCCAAGACCAGGCCATCCCAGACTGCAAGAACAGGTTCGAGACTCATGTCCTGACACCAGTAAAGGTACTCGATAAGACCCATGCCATCCGTGTTAGGGTAAGTCCAGTCACCTTGTCTTCCAGGACGGTCAATCAAAGGGCCAATGGTGTTGTTCCAGATCCATCGATCCGCAATCGAGGCTCCTTCCAAGTTGTTGCCGCCGGGCAGTCTCAAAAATCTGCCACCAATCTCATCAATGACGGTTGCAATCTCGTTGTTCATACCATTGAAGCGGCCCTTGTATGTCGTTGGGAATAGCTGAGGCAGACCGAGGTTCAGCTGGCCATCGGTAGCGAGCGAAGCATCAAAAGTGAATTGCCAGGTATTGTTTCCATCAGCAGCAGCCGTTCCAGCATACATGTCGTAGGTCTTGTAGTACCCGAAGGCCGACGAGTTGCTGTTGACTGACACGTGCGTCGAGGCAAGTATACCACCGTCTGAACCGACGAGGGAGAGAGTGACATTTCCATTGTAACTTCCCTTGACATAAAAGTAATTGGCGTAGTGATCAGGTAAGACTGTGGAATGGTTAGCATTCGGTGTTACGATACCACATCATTTCAATGATAGTCACCTCTGATGCCACCGTATCCTGAGTTCGATGCACCAACAGTACCACTCGTTCCGTTAGACTTGATCAGAAGTGACGAAGGCAAGGCGTCAGAAAGAGCTGAAGAGTTATCTTGTGAAATGGTGGATGAACCAATGGCTGTCCATGCAGTAAGGCCTGGATTGTCTCCTTGGAAACCATTGTTTTGTAGAATCTGGCCATAAAGACCACCGTCGATACTGTTGCTGATGTCCTCAATCATCAAGCCATAGAGCAGAGGACTCGAAGCATTGCCATCAGATGAGGATACCTTAAGATTGATAGCGGAGGCATATGGCACAGCGAGAGCGAGCAGAGCGGTTGCGGTAGTTGCCAGAGAGTCCATGATGGTGTCTTTATCCTTGGGCCAGGCGTGCTTGACTTGCTGCCAGAAGAGGACCGAATCCCTATTTATACGTCCACCTCGATCGCCTTCCTAACGATTGAATTCAGACATGACATGCCTACCTTCTTTGACCCGAGAAATTATCCGTGTAATTGTAGATGAGGCTCCACTTGAACAGCCGAAGATGAAGAATAGGGATCCGAGTCTTCCGTAGGTCGACAAAGAGTCGGACGTCGATCCCGAGTACTTCAGGTCAAGCACAACCCTTGTCCTTTGTAACAAGCAACACAAGCTTTATTATTAGCGTGTTGAGTCAAAAGGACAGTGGTGCACATATTGATGGTAGGCTTCCTGCTGTCCCACCGCGACGCCAGTAAGCAGCTCAATTCTTATGCATGAGACATAGCTTTCTCTCATTCGGACCTCGAGAAACACGCCTTGTCATCCTTGCTATTGGAATGGGCGATTCTTGTGAAAAGGGAGAAGAGGAAAAAAATGACGAACGCGGAGGCTTCTCATATCTCCACATCTTCATGTCCGTCTCCACAGTTGAAATACGACGGCAGCGGAGGCGGGAAGAACACAAGGGCCATCACGAGGGCAGAGCATGATCTTGTCAATCCTTTCCTTGAACAGCGCAAAGCAACAAGAACACTTTGTTGGCCGGTGAGTAGTTGCTGATCCATGTTAATTGTATTCTCGAAATCAGCCGATAGTCAAGTGTTCTGCCGTAGGGTGGATGTCTTCGAGTATCATCGACCAGAATGTTTTTCCGTGCAGATGATTGATTGATGTTGTTCAGTGTGCTCGGCAGGAAGTGGCTCAGAGAGAGAACGGTGTGGAAACTACTACTTAAACGCAAACCAAATAAGAAATTTGAGACTGTGCGGTGTACCATTCATTTTTTGTGGAATACAATTAGAGGAGTGCTAGAGAAGCAGAGTTGTCATGCTGTCGTAAGTTGGACTTTCTGTGGCGGACCAACGAAATAGAGGAGACTGCTACTGCCTGCCATAAAGATAAAAGACTATTAAGAAACATTACGATCTTGTGAAACATAGGGGGCTCCAAGGGTATAATGCCCAACCACGCAATCATAGAAACCAAAACAAAGTGAGTGCTACGCTTAAGCAGCGACTCTCTCCTCGTCGCGGCCACGGATGGAGCCGTTGACGACGCTAGCATCCTCCTCCTCATCATCGTCCTCGTAGGTGCCGGCGTTGTGGTGCTGGCTGGCGGGGATCCAGAGGTTGCTGTCACGGTTCTCCATGGGGGCGTCCTGGTGAGCAAGGTCGACGGCCTCACCCTGGTGACGGTTGCGACGGCGCTGAGAAAGAGTGCGGGTACGGGTGGAGAGGGAAGAGGTGACGGCGGCGTTCTGCTCGACCCAGTTGGTGAGAGAGTCCTCGCAGTCCTGGATGATGCTACGATGGTTGTTAGTATCATGAGATGTTTGAGTTACGTCATGGAAGAAACTTACGCCTTGCTAGCCTCGTAACCGTCGTATGCGTTTCTGGTCTCGCCAGGGGTGACGGGAGTGTCGTCGATGAGCTCCAACAGGTGCTTACCGAAGCCAGCGATGATGGCCATCTTCTCAGAGTGCTCACGGAGAGCATCGAACTGGTAGGTGAAGGCAGCCTTCAGCTTCTCACGGGTGATGTTGGAAAGCTGGGCCTCGGCGACCAATGACTCGGCCTCGGCTCTAACGAGCTCCTGCTCAAGGACAACAATCTTGGGGCTGTTGGGCTCCTTGTACTTGAGCTGGGCAATCTGATCAGTGATCTTCTGCTTGCCTGCGACGTGGGTTAGTATATCGTGTGAGAATCTTTGATGTTTTGTAAGTACTCACGGTCTCTGCTGGGCTGGACGGAAGCCTCAATGTTACGGATGCTCTTGATGGTAACACGGTATTGGTCGTACTTGTCGACGAACTGGTCCTCAAGCTCACCAATCTCGTAGATCAAGACACCGAGCTTGTCGGTGACATCAGAGACGTCGTCGTCACAAGCCTCACCCCAAATGCTAAGTTGTTGCTATCGATGTGTTAACTCATCGGTTCTTGGGCAATTGGTTTCCATGAATTCAACTTACTGCGACCTCCATTCTCTCTCTGCCGACGAGCTCCATAGAGCGCATAACGTTCTTCTCCATCTTCACAAGCTGCGACAGCTTCTTGGCAAGATCGGGACCGAAAGCACCAGCGGCATTTCTGCGGAAAGAGTGACCTTTATGATGTTAGTCGTGGGATTATGCGACAGTGATTGCTAAAGCATACCAATGTTGCTCTTGCCGAAGAATCTACCAGCCTTGGTGGAAGACGACGGGGGAGGAGGGGTTTGGATCTGCGATGCAGTGGGTGCGCGCGACTGGCGCATGGAGTATGTGCGGTGCATTTTGGCGGTAGTAAGAGGGTGTTAGTCGAAGGATGAATAGATTCAGACAACTGCGACGAGATGCGTAGATTTGTTGATGAGGAGTGGTGTAGAAAGGTGAAAAAGATGGATGATGCGAAGCGACTCTTGAAGAATGGAAATCAATGGCGGCGTATTATTGTATGCGGAAGCCGCGACGTCATGGTTGCCCAGGTTGCCCCGTGCATCCGGGATGATCTGGATCGTCTCTTTATCTCGACCAGGCCTCCACGCAAATCATTGACCCTCGATTTTGATGATCTGCCTCTTAAACGACTCGGTCGAGACTGATGGGCTCTCCTGAAGGGCTCGTCCAATTCGCAGCTTCATATTCATCTTCACACCTCTTTATATGCTCTCTTCAGTTCGAGTCCAGTCGTATGTACGACTCGAAAGGAAATGAAGCGTTTAAACTGACGTCACACCAGCTAGCGCCGAACCTTGTCAATGAAAACATGCAGAACTGGTCCTCCAAGCCACCGAACACCGCCAATCCACCCAAGCCTTGACTGATATCTCTCCCGGCACCCGCGTGAGGATCATCGCGCCTTATATTCTGATCTACCTACGGCTGTGGCTTGAGCACAGGGTGGAGGATCTCCATGACAATATCACATGCGGCATGCCTCCCTGTTCCAAGTAATATCTGCTGGCTTGCCAACGCTTTGGGTGCGTCCCTTGCCCGTTTGACTTTGACAGGTCCACACCACATGACAACCCAACTGCCAATTTTCAAATAGTCCAACAGCCACAAGAAGGGGCTTAAGTCCACTTCTCGACCATACGACAGTGTATACGCGAAGGGTCGAAAGCTTCATCCAACATCTTGGTCTCTGTAGGTTGGACAGAGTTTGCTCGAATCGATATTCAGTCCATCATTTGAGCTCCAAGCAGACTTCCAAGCAATTCGGTCGAACTCAAGACTACTTCAAAGTATCTTGCAGTTCTCTGACCCAGCTCAATCTACCTTCGCCGAAAATCTCTCCAGTAGCCGGCATCTGAGGGCCTCCGTCGAGTAGGAGTGTACGCACGATAATCTTATCAGGCATCACATCCTGATGGTGATAGATGTGAGAAGTACAGGTGCCGCAGAAGTAGCACCGTACTGACTTGCCTGCCAACTTATCAGCAAAGATCCTCTCACTCTCAAGTCCATTCTTGAAGAAGACCGCACGAACCTGATGCGCCAGTGTAGGTATACACATTCGGCGTCCCACTGACAATCTTGAGATCGTCTTTTGGAATGATCTGGTTGCAACTGTACGGACCACCACCCAACTTCTGGCAGGTCGAGCAATGGCATAGAACATGCTCTGCAGTACTCAATTTGGCCGTCCAGTTGATTCCACCGCAATGGCAAGATCCTTGGTATTCGCCTTCTCCGAGCGGGCGCTTCGCAGGAGGACCGAAGAGAACGCCGTCTTTGATGTCGATAACACAAGAATCCTCGCTGCAACATGTCAGGAAGAGCTATGCTTTGGAGAAGTCGAAACTGTTACATCAACGGACCAGCACTTTTCGAGAACGCGATATGAACTGGTTCTTTGGTGAGATAGTAGTCCAGGTCATCTTGGTTCTCAAACTCCAGGACAAAGCCATGGGTGAAACCTCTGTTGAATGGCTCCCAAGATCGATTCTTGCCTGTTTTGTCTCATAATCAGCGAACGCCGTTCCTCGGATTTTTCTCTTCATCTTTCTTCTCTCGTCTCCTCTTGGGAAGTGTTGTACATACCAGCTTTCAAACTCTTGATCAATGGTTTCCCAGTCTTCGGATTTAGCGATGTCGTCTTCAGAGCCATGAAAGACTCAAAGTGCTTCTCAAAATCCGACCATGTGATGTCGGAGCGGTACTTGAACAGCACAATATGCGTAATCATTTCGGCCATGGTGAAGGATAATCAACTGTTACTCTGATGCTGGGTAAGGAAAATGACGAAAGAAGCAGAGAAAGCAGAAACGAAACAAGACTACAATTCCCAAAGGCACAGAGTAGTCTTTATACATATTTGCACACTACAATCCTCTTCCAAGACAATTCCCAGCCTCTCCGGAAAGATTGAGTCGTCCTGATGATCAGATGGAACAGGACATATCGGGGGTCGAGTTCAGCGGTACTTCTTTCCCTGGTATCTGTAACGGGAAATAAACCCCGACTCGACAACTTCCGGGTCCGCAACAACTTCCGATATTTGTGCTTTGCTTCGTCGTTGCGCAATATCGATAATCGAAATCATCTTTCATTCAACTATCACTCAACTGTCACCCTCCATTGTGTTAGCCTTGTAGTAGACTACCTGGCATTCACAGCTGGACACGCGGTTGGAATCTTGCCATGGACAGATCCCAATGTTGATGGGATGACCCTGCTTGTAATTTTCCATCATCATTGTCACGCAATCACAGCTTTCTATATGATTGACAAAGCCCCAGAGTGCTGTCAGACATACCTCGCAGGTGTTTAGTACTTGAGAACCATCATAAGATCTCATAAGACCAGGATATCCCGACTTTATGGAAAGAAGCTGTCACTTAGAGAAACAGCCGTGGTCTTTGCTGACATACATCGAGACTTTTGGCATCAACATGAAGACACACGAAATGAGATTGCACCAGAGCTGAGTTATATGAACATGGATTGATCATCATATCACGTTTCAACAACCATGTACTTAACTTTGAGTCTTCACGAGCAAGATCTTCAGCAGGTCCAGAGTTGAACTTTGAGAAATTGCAGCGCTCATAAATCTATATCTTGAGGAACGTATCTTGAAGATCTGGCAGGTTAGAATGTTGCTGTGGCGGCTGACGGGAGTAGGCGAATCTGATTGAAAGTGATGAGATGAACATGATTATGTCAACGTTGAACAAAACCTTTGCTAGCGATGGTGTTCACCAAAGAACACACGAGAGATCACGAACAAGCGCACTTCACCTAAAGAGAAAGACATGTATATGTTTTCAAGGAGAGAAGGAAATTTATGTCAACTGATGAACACGATCAATTGAATTGTATGTAATACACAGACGCATGTTTATTCCCCAAACGCTTGCAATACCAGGAGTGGAGAAAACGAAACAGGCCAAGATGCTTAGGACGAATGAAACGTAGAAGAAAAACCATGCCTCAACCAACAGAGAAAACACACTGCATAGTTCAACTAAGCGGAAGTTGAAAGAAAATCATGTCGACCATATCATCATACAAGAGGGACAAGACGTGATGATGTTGTCGAGCAGCTGACAACTAAGACAGCTCCAGTACCATACGACTCTTTGACCCATTCAGAACTTGCTCGAGATGGAACTCATCTTGCGATAGTCGAATTGGCATCGAATGTGACACGCGAAGTCTCGAAATCAGTCGGGTGGTCTGAAAAGCGATCTTTCATGAATTGAAGCCACCTGGGTGCCGAAGCGGCGATGACTGCTGTGTGATTGAGTCCCGAGTATTCGAGCAAACCGATCGTGTTCAGTCGAGTCGCGGATTCGTACGCACGTATAGTGCATTCGGGAAGGACAGCTGTGTCTTCGAGTCCTTGGATGAGCAGCATTGGCATGGATGCTGGGTCTCCTTGAGCAGCTGCGTGCTGTTGAGTCCATTGCTTCAGAATATCGTCATTCATGGGGGTTGCAGCACCGGGTGCGATGATTTGCTCTATTCTGAGGTTTGTAGCAAGGGTTGTGATCGCAACAGCACAAGATTGTGTGATGTTTGTAAAGTGCAACATATTTTGCAGTGCGTCAGCAGCCCAAGGCATCTGATACTCGGGGTACGCCGCCTTGATGCCTGTGAGGAGTAATGCACTCAAGCCTGTAACGGAGTAGTCCTGATAATTGGGCAGAGGAAGGATCTTCTCGTAAGTAGTGGTTGCAAGGTCAGACATGTTGACAGCGGGAGCAATTGAGACGGTGCCGACATAGCCAGACCGAGGATCTTGAACAAGTGGATGCTCAGCCAGCTTCCATACCGCACCACCTTTTGAGATTCGTTAGTAACGAGTCTCGAAAGACGCTGCGGAGGAGTAGCTTACCTCCCTGCGAATGGCCAATGCTCATCCATTTGTCATTGAAGACAATGGGAAACATCTTGCGCGCAGCTACTACCGAGTAATAGATATCATTCGCGTGAGCGGCAAAACTGAGATACTTGTGGGAGGTGTAGTTGTTCCCAAGACCGGCGTAATCGGTAGCAACCACAGTATATCCTTCGGCCAGTAATGGTTCCAGGTTCTCCTGCTCGAAGAAATGCATGGCAGAAGACGGGGCGCAACCGTAGTGTTGGCCAATCGTGCCGTGGGCGTAAGCAACCAGAGGCAACACATTGCGTTGGTCACCAAGTGGGATGTCGGGCATGGATGTTCTTGGGAACATGATGATCCCGGACGATGGCACAAGGCTATCATTCGCATCTAGAGAAGTGTATTGGAAGCGCCAAACTGAACGCGAGATACTGTGAAGACGCCCGAGTCCACGATGAACAAGTTCTTTCTTCAAAACGTCTCCAGGGGTCGATGAGGCGAAATCGGGGGATGTAGCGTAGAACTTCGCATCGTAATATGCCCCCACATTCTCTCGATCCACAGGGTCGGCCTCTGAGAGTAAGGATTGGCAATGTGATCTGCATCCATAAATGCGGGCTTGCTCCGGTTCAAGTTGAAGGTTGGACACTCGACTCTCGTCGACAGCCGCTGACGATGACTGAACAGCCAAGAAGATGATGGCAAAGGCCGAATAGAGATGCATGTTGAAAGATGCAAAGAAGAACAAGAATCGGGTGATGATGCTTGTGTTGTGTCGGAGAGATGGATGGTGTTCAAAGCCGAAATGGTTTGTTCGGTGTCCCTGGATTTGGTCAAGAAGCTACAGGTCAGTTCGCTCTTGCCTTGTGTCGGTTGCAGACAACTGTGCCACGCGATTTGGCGTCTGGCACGATCATGCATTGACGGCTTCGTTCGAGGCTTCGGTCCTAGATCGCACCTTTTCATTAGATTTCGACTTCATTCTGCAAAAGTCATTTGACACAATTCGCGGCGCATAAAAGTTTCAAAAACATGCATTAGGTTAAAGAGCTATGAGCCAAAAACCGTGGGTATCAAAACTAAAAAGGAAAATTGCAATGCCAGAAATGCAAACTCGCAATGGATATGTAGCATCGTCTTTGCACTCGCCGAAAGAAAGCAACACCATCAACATTTGAAGAAACCTCACCATCTACCACCATTGGCAGCAGCATCGGCGGGAATCTGGAATGCGTCCGCACCGTCTCCAAAGAAGCTGGTGTACAGATCGCCGGAGAAGTCCAAGCCGGATAAGGCAACATCGATAGCCTGCTCAAAGTCCAAGCCCTGAGTCCACTCGGGACCGCCCGACTGCTTAGCGAAGCTAGGGTCAAGCATGTTGGCATACGCAGTGGCATCGTTGGCAGACAGGCCCTGCTGGTTGGTGGATCCCGGAGTTGACATGACAGTAGAAGCATAGTTCCCAGCATTGCTGTAAGCAGCATCGCTCTGAGAACGAGCAGCCTGATTGGGGAGATCATGCGATGGGTACTGGGACGAGGGTGCATATGGAGAGTCAAAGCTCCAGTTAGTACGATCAGGCTCAGCACCTGCGGTCGCGGCCTCACTCAAGACGCGAAGACTGTCATTGTCACGCGAGGGAAGACGCTGGGGGGCAGCGCCACGAGTGTTTGCTTCTTTTGTGCTATCGACACCGTTGGGATGTGAAGCAATCCACTCCCGGAGAAGACTGAGGATCTGGTGAGCCTTGTGGAAGGCTTTTTGAGAGCGGCCCTGCGACAGTGCAACGAAACAGTGGTAGACGCGTTCCAAGAATTCAGGAGCCTTGATGTCCTCAGGTTTGATGACCTTACCTAGCTCTGAGCCTGGATAGGTGGCAGCGACATGCATCTTGATAAGAACAACAAGAGCATAAACGATGCGCACAAAATACAAGAGGGCAGGAAGTGTAGACACTGTCTCGGGACCAAAGTCGCAAAAGGTTCCGATGACGTTGTGGCATGCTGTGAGGCAGGCCTCGATTGAGGCCATCTGCTTTTGGCTGAGCGTCTCGGAGAAGTGACTGCCAGACTTGAGGGTTCCTTCTGTTACGATTGTCAGTTTACTTGGCAAGTATGCAGATAAAAGGAGAACAAACCGCTGAATGGCACCTTGAAGTCGTCGGTGTTGTGATTGACATGCAGGCCAATTTCATGAAGATACAGAGATGTGACATGTCTGTAGAACATCAAGGTCGGGAGTTTCAAATGGGATGGCAAGTTTTGCTCCCATTCGGTGAGCTTCTGCTCAAGTACGGTCAGAGTATAAGCAACCTTTGGATCCAGAATGGAGATGGAAGCAGTTGGATCTTCCATGGCAAAAGAAATGGAGATCTCATCGCAGATACGCTGAATCTTGATGTGCTGGGCAAACAAGGGGTCGGTAGAAGCGGCTTCAGATGAGCTCTCCAGAATGTCAACACACTCCTGCATGTAATTTGACCAGCGCAAGAGATTGGGGCGACGTAAGACCTGCGAGACACTTGCTGAAGTGTAGTAGCATGTCAACCACGCTCTGCGAGACTCAATCGCATCCGAGTCGACGAGTTGACTGCCAGGACCAGGAGGTAGATCGGCGCCTACCCCACCGAAGCCACGCTTCACCTTGTTGGGGTTGAAACGCTTTCCTAGACCAACGTCAAGGGACATGACGACGGCCATATGGATGAGCATGTAGAAGTTTGCCTGGGCAGGGCGGTCCGGCGGCTTGTGCCAGAGGAAAGCGACCTGTAGCCCCTGGATGATCTCGAGACTCTTGAGACCTTTACGGATGACGGCCGTAGCAAGCACGTCGAAGACTTCCTCAGTCAAGGCATCCTGCACCTCAGTAGCCACGAATCTGAAGCATGCGGCAGCCGAGATGCACAAGAACAAGATGGGCTTATTTTCGAGCATCCACTCAGGAGTTGCGTCGGCAGGTAGCACGATGGCGGGGAACTCAGGAATCAGACGGTCTTTGAAATGGGCGAAGATGGTGCAGGCTGAATCCCAGTCGATAATCTGACGGACGCGCTGCTTGACGTACTCACCATACTCGGTGTAGATGGTGTGGTACAGAGGCTTGGAAGGGTCGTCGAGGCGTCTGCGCTTGCGACGGTCTTCGGCGTCGTAGTCGATGTCGGCGAGGGGCGCCTCGTGCTTGACGGGCTCGAAGGTGGGCTGAGGATAGGCATCGGGCTGGAGGGGCGACTGATGCGGCAGGTGCTGTTGCTGCTGGTGGAGGACCTGGGTGAGGGCGTCGATCTTCTTCTCGAGCTCGGCGACGCGTGTGTCTGCCTTCTTCTGACGGCGTCGGCTGGGCTGGGTGACGATGCATTGGCGACCAGCCTTTGCACAGCGCTTGCACGGGTTCCCGCTGTTGTCCATATCACATCGCACCTTGAGGCCGCGACAGGCTTCACAGGCTCTTGAGCGTTTCGCGTCGGCAGCGAGCATAGCAGCACCGCCAGGGCTCATGTCTATCATGTCGGCGCCGACAGCGCTTTCGCGTCGGTCTCGGTCCTCGTCGCTGGGCGAATGGCCCGTTGGTAGAGCGGCGGCATATCCATAGTAGGGCTGTGAGATTTCCTGGGCCTGTTGGGCAGTCTGCGCAGCCTCTCTGTACAGCTTGATCTGAGAGTCGGAGCGCGCGAGCGCCGGCGCGGGATACGGAGCAGGTTGATGCCGCGTTGGTGCTTGAGCCACTTGTGCCTGCGCTGCTTGCGCTTGCGCTTGAGCTTGTGCTTGGTACGCTGCCTGGACGGCGTCACTGGCCTCCAGACGCGGATCGATGGGTTGCGCACTCATGGTTGCCGATGGTATTTCTGTTCATTTACCCACCGGAAACAAGACGCGTTTCTAGCAAAAGCCCAAAAGCTGCTGACTGGAGGGAACCGCGCACGGTCCACCAAAACTTAGCTCTTCGCGCCTTCTCTTTGCTTTCCATCGACTTCTCGGCTAATCACGTTTGATTACAGCTGCTCACTGTGCTCTTCCAGATTCACCTCTTCTTCTGGAAGAGCACGGGGGAGCCATAGTAGGAGCTCGATTGATCGTACGAACGAACAGAGATGCCGATGATATTATACGACGGCTGTAGAATTGCTTCCCTTGTTCATTATACCGAAATCCCCAAATCGTCACCTCTTAATCAGTCATGCAGTTGGTGAGTCGGACATGTGCCCCTGCCTCGTGTCTGCCACCACTCCTTGATACACGCCCGATGGAACTTGCATAAACACTCCAATCTACCCATCTCGGCTCCCTCCTCGAACTCTTCGAAGCATATCACGCACTCCTGTGCCTGTCCATCTTCGTCGAAACAGTCCTTCTCCGTCGCATGATAAACCAGCATGCGTTGCCTAGCCGTGGACGCTCCTAGCATTGACGAGACCCGCTGTGGTATGCTACCCACAGGTACGGTTTCGCTACTTCCAGTTCCTGTCTGATTTGACGTTTCTACCGGTGTTGCTCCGTGACTAGGTCCTGCCAGGTGACTCGAGATGCAGAACTCAACATGCTGTTCGCGCTCTTCGCTCGTGCCACTCGTTCCGAAGGGATGGTTTCTCGTACCGCAGACAGGGCATTCGTCTTCTTCGCTTAAAGCTTCTCGACCTTGTGGTTGTTGCATCTGAGTCTGTGCAACCTGAGCGGCTGCGATGCTTGATGGCGTATGTGATGCAGATCGGTATCGGGATCTTGATAGATGTACTGTGTCATTGTCTGATCTGGTACGAAGCCCCTGAGTTGATGACCTTGGGCGCTGTGGTACACTGTTCAGAGCCTGGTATCTTGCGGTATGCAGCTGAGGTCGATATGACCCCCGCCTTTCAGTTGGTTGAGGAGGCGTGGCACCAAAATCACTCAATGTTCGAGCATTATGAGGTACAGATTGGCACGTGGCCTGACCCAGATCTGACACATTCAACGACCCAAACATCCTGGCGAAACTTATGCTTGATGTTGTGCCTTCATTTGCGGCAAAAGTCTGAGCACGTGATCGGCTTGATGGAGTTGATGGAGGCGGTGATCTCTGTTCCTCCTGCTGCTGAGGTGGCGGCCCATAGTTTGGATCAGGCACGCATGGGTTGCAGACACGAACTGTCTCGCCACCACCCAAGGCCGGATTCTCATGGCCGTCGGAAGATCCGGTGTTGCTTCGACTTCTGGTGTTACCATCTGGGTTCAAGGGTTCTTCCTCTGGAGGATGTACGATATACTGGCGGGGTATAGTGATCCGATGTGGCGAACAAGGTCCGCACACAAGTCTTCCACACCGTCTACAGTGATGTCTTCGAGTGAGGAAGGTAAAAGCATTCCCGCAGATTGAGCATGCTGAGAGCTCATAGTCCGGCTGCCATCGAGGAACGACGACCTCGTCAGTCATATTCGCGTCGGTATTAGTAACTTCAAGCACAGAAGACGCAAATGACTACAAATAAGAAAACATTGAGGGAGTTGTTGGATTTGAGGAGTAAGATGGAACACTAGCGGTCGGTGAATGGTCGCTGATATGGGCGCCAAGACCTGTCTCATGACTCGGAGCTTATCGGCTGTCGTCTACCTTTGGCTGGCACGAGCACATCTAGGCAATTGGTTTGCAAGGATAATTGGTCTATAACATTCGAAAAAGCAATACCAAATCAGCGCCGCGCTAGCTAGACGTATGTACAATAATATGCGACCATTTGTTCTGTCGCCCTCGACTTTTTTGCAGGCCTTAAAACGCCACCGCTGTACCAGACCATCCCTCCAAATCGAGATCTTGGAAAAAGCGAGAAACATGTTGCAAAACTACAAGGTAAGAATAAAATCAGAATTACTAGAAGAGTTACAAGAGTCATCGAGGTGCGTGTCGTGATTCCATGCTCAGGGTACGATCGTTGGTCACGATCTCCGCTATGCTGCCTTCACCAACTCCGGCACTTTGGAACACACTGTCGCCTGTCATACGCTGTTGTACTGTACCCATACTGGTGGGTCTTCCACTATTACCGACATGGAACGGATGTCGCGGAGGTGGTGATGTAGGGAAATACTCCTTGTCGGCAGCGCTTGAAGGAGCCCTTACGGGCTTGTCTTCTTGGTCGAAATTGATGCTGCCTGTTCGGGAGATAGGCCGGAGGTATGGCGGCGACGAAGGTCTTGTGTCTGAGATATCACTCTCGGAATCCGATTCTTCAACATCCATGTTATTCCATGTTCCGCCCAGACGGCTCCCCATGTCACCATAGCCCTCTGGGCTGTACGATCTTCGAGCGCCAGTTGCTGATTGCGGGTCTGGAGAATCTTTGTAGGGCAGATAATTCATGGGTGGTGAAGTCTGTAATTCCTGCCCCTCTTCGTCTTCCAATGGCTCACGCGTCATGTTGGCAGGTACACGAGAGCTGCGGACTACTTCAAATCCCTTGCCCTTGTCCTTTCGTTTACCCCCAACTAGACGCTGGAACCACGTGGTGGCAGAAGAAACAGGACCTACAGGATCAGCCGGTCCTGTCTTGAGTTTTCTGGCAGGAGCGTTTGACAAGGCCGGACCTCTGACGCCATAGTAGAAGTCAACTTCTCGCACAGCATAGTCGGTTCTTTCCCGAGGTGTCAAATCTGCTAGATCCGGATCCGAAGCACCTCTGTGTTGAGTTCGAAGATATGGAGGTGCAATCGAGCCGCCTTCGCCAAGGTCGTCAACACCGATGGCATGTTCTGGCGAATCTTGATACGGTAGTCTGTTCCAATCACCACTGGTCGAGTGTCGGCTTCTGGCCCCTGGTGTATAGGGATCGTTGGTATTCCTGCGTGGTCGAGGAGCCCGATAGTATGGATCGGAAAGAGGTTGCTCAGTCTTGATGCCCAGAACTGGGCGCTTGCCAGGATTAACAGCTCCTGCGACAGAACTACTAGACTGTGGGACAGCGCTGTATGGAGTAGTTGGAGTTTCGGCTGTTGGGGTATATCCGTACTCAGATTGAGCGAACTGATCGAAGCCGCCACTAACACGATTGTCAGGCAAGTGCTGGCTGAGCATCATTTGGGAGCTAGCAGACATGCTTCTCGACCGTCCTCCCATCAGGTTGAGTGATTTGGCGTCCGAGTCGTTGGCTAGGATAGCGGCATCAGACATCATGCTACCAGGTCTGTTTGCTTGCCTACCTGGTTGCCGCTTGCGAAGCTGACGCCAACCGAACGATATCAGGCCTCCTCTCTGAGCGCCGTGCTGAGGATCACCTCCAGCACCTGCCATGCGGGCAAAGACTTCTAGAAGGGTTTGAAGGGCGTTCATGAAAAATCCAAAGATAAGGACTATGCCATGAATTAAGAGAATGGCATAGCCGATCCATCCCTTCGGCGCCTCGGTGACGCCCAAGGATGGCACAAATGCTACCATTAGAAGGACGGTAGCAAGCCTAGCCGAGGCGAAGAAGGTGTGATAGGCATTCATATGTGTAGGCGAATGGAAAGGACGGAAAGCATGGAGTGTTAGTATGAGGATCACCTCGCAAATGGCCATAATGACCAGTTGTGCAATGCCTGAAGGTTGTACCGCTCCGATAGCAATGCCTCGAATGAAGGTGAGAATGGCGGGAATGAGGGCGAAGGGGGCTGCTTCGTCGGAGTACGTATTGTAGAGCGGGCCGTAGAGTAAGACTGTAGGGAGGTCATCAAAGAGATAGGCACGTGGCTTGGTGCGGAAAATGAGATTGAGGATCCAGAGGGCAAGCGCGATGATGGCCAGTAGTAGAATGACTGCCATGGCGACCACAGAAGGAGGCGAACGAGGAGCCACTATCAGCTGGAACATGGAGATGGCAACAACAGGTAAGAGGAAGTAGTTAAAGAGAATGCGCACGACCATACCACCGCTCAGGGGCCAGTTTTTCTGGCGAAGGTCTTCTTCTTGTGTGTTGGAGAGGAGTCGAATCAACCAACGGACAAGGAAGGCTAGCTGACAGAGTACGACAACGGCAACAGCGACTACTAGCAGCCAGACAGCCATACAGGCCCAGATGTCGCGGACTGCTGTCATACCCACCAGCTGGCTCATACGCGTCATACCGTAGGTGCCGTTTGTGATGTAGATGCCGTCCTGGAGGGATTGCGTGCCGTCTCCTTGCGAGACATAACTCGAGTTGAAAAGCAGAGCAGACCAGCTCGCTTGCTTGGTAACGGGTGCATAATAGCCGGGGTAGTTCAGGCTGAGGGCGCCCGTCAAGAAGATAAATTGAATGTATTGCAAGCAGTCGCCGAAGCCAGGTGTCACAAGACGCAGTAGATCCTGATCACGGCCATAATTTGTAGTCCATTTGAATGGATCCGTAGAGCCCCAAGGAGAGTATATGCCAGCGGCGGCGGTGGCGATGGCGACGAGTATGAGGATGGCGACAGGGAGATAGGTCAACAGGCCAGACAGGGTATGGCCAAGGGCAGGTGTGATGTTGGCAGAGATGCAGGCGATGTCGGGGGCTCCAGCATCGCCAGATTTGGCCGAGATAGTTGTCGCGAACGTGGCGAAGGCATACGAGCTGTAAAAGTCGTGGCTGACACTAAAGGCCGAGAGGCTGTCGGGATCGGAGGCATTGGCGAAGAAGGAAGGAATCAACGGGCACGAGTCGTTAAGGGTGGAATTGCAGAAGCGGCTGGGTTCGGCCTCGTAGGCATCAAAGGTGAGGACTTGGTAGCGCTGGAAGAGGGTCGAATATCTGTTGTTCGAGGGCGAGACGTCGACTATCTTGCCAAACGTGTCGTTGGGATTGGACCATAGCGGATCGCCGGGCGGCGGGTAGTCGCCTTGGGTGGCCTGGCCACTGACATTGCCGTAGATGGTCAGATTGAGATTGTGACTTTTTGCCGACGTGTTGAAGCGCGCATCGACGAAGAGCGGAATGAACTGCAGGTGCAGCGGGTTCGAGTTGCGAATATTCTGGTCCAGGCAGTTGTCGAAATTGATGAAAGCGGCCGAAACTTGCGACGGTCGGGCGAGCAGAGCGACGAGGGCGGCGACCGGCGCAGACTGCAGAGGCGGAAATCGCATCTTCGAGTCTCAGGTCTGATCCACGAGCATGTGTGAACGAAGAGCGCCCGTCTCACGGCGGCATGGGTGGTCGAGTAGGTTTGTAGGCGGCGCAGAAGGATGAAATGAACGTTTGACAGGCGGGAGAAACGTTGTCGCCTTGTGAGAGAAGGCTGGCGTCCGTCGAGATGTGCGCCGTGTTTTTGTTGAAGCGACACTTGATCACAGATTGCGCACGAACGTCGACACTTTCTTGGACAACGATACTCGTAGAGCCCCTGTCCTTGCTGACAAGCAACAGCCTGTTACCTCTAGCCAAATGGCGAAGAGTCCGAGTATGATCGCCCTACCCTAGGCCAAGAGTGCCGCTCCCGAGAGCGACTTCTCGAAATAGATGGCCAAGTGCCCCACACATCAACAACAATGACGCGAAGAGGCCGTCTCAAGCCGTTTCGTCAAAACTTTCGACCCGCATTCCGAGGAAGAGGAAATCAAGCACTCGATCAGATCAGATCAGATCACTGAAGACACAGCGTCAATGTCATGGTAGAGCTTTCCATTGAGCCGAATCAAAGTCGACCAGCTGCAGTGCTTGTGTCCTCACTCCCGTGTCACGTTAGATAACATAACGCCGTTCCCGCCAGTCACTAGTATTTTGCTCCACGAGCGCTTCAACACTGACTCGAGAAATGTTGACGTGTCCAACGCCGAGCCTCTTACTACACGGCAAGAGACATCAGACTAAGCACATGTGTTCTCGAGTAACGCTTGCTCGACACTCTAAGGCATTCTTTCAATAAAAGGTTTCGAGTCTTTGTTTGCACCAAGCTCTTTAACCGGAGCTTACAGGTGGGATGATGGCCACCTCGTCACCCTCGTTAATAAGCATACCGGAATCAGCATCCATGTCTATGTATTCCAGATTCACAGTCAGGGCACAGCTGTGCAATATTTTTGTATTGATATCGGGATACATGTTCTCGAGTTGATCGAATAGAGTCGAAAGCTTCAATGGAGCAGCAAAGTCATCTGACGACTTGTTGGTAAAAGAGGCAGCAGATGCGAAGTAAAGAACGCTAAAGTGACCAGTCGGCGGTTTTGACGTAGACATAGTGGCTAAGCTTTCAACAAATCAGTAATGGCTCGTTGAAACTGCGTGCAGAAGGAAGGTACAAATTTGAAGAATTGGGAGGGTGTCAGTCACGAAGAGTTTCTCATCGTTCACGGCCCGAAGGACGCTAAGATAATACATGCTATTTTTTCTTGACTCATCATTCGGGATGAAGGGGTGTTTGTACGACAGAAAGAAAAGTACTAACCTTTTGCAATTGCTTGGAGGAAGAAGAAGAAGAAGAAGAAGAGGAAGAGAAGAGAGAGAGGATTGAAGATTCAAGATTTCCACCACAGACAGCTTGGGCGCAGATTGGCTTTGACCACGTCGGTGACGCGAAACACCGACAGATGCCCGTGCTTCCATCTTTTGATCCCGAATTAAGCATGTGAAGATTCAAGATTCGACATTGAAGATCGCCACGGATTTCCTACGCACGACTTCCCATAGTCGCCAGCCGAGTGCAAGTTGACCGACGTACTGCTGGAAGGAACGCGACTTCCACTAGAAGCACAAGCACAAGCAGCATGCTCAGCCTTCGCAGCGACACGGCGCGACGCCGTCCGGATCTTGCCAAAATGTGCTGGAGCTGCGCTCTGAAACAGCAGAGATGGTCTTCGGTCGCTCGCCCTACCACCCAACCTAACACAACCCGCATAACCTCCCGCCGCATACCGTCATCCTCACGGCCGCCTCGCAACGCTTTCTTCTCATATTCCCGCTCGCAACAGCGCTTCACGCTCGACTCTACCTCGGACTCGCCCGTATACAACCCTGCAATAGAATCCCTCGATCGACTAGAACCTCTCGATACTCCTCGAAGCGGAGGTATAAGAGATCAACTGCGGAAGTGGCACGAAGAGCATGGTCACGACAAAAGCAACGTCGTACACGATCATGATGTCAATGCCTTGGGCGAAACCACAAACAACTTCACCCGCTTGTCTGACGTAGACAACCTCCGTCGTCCCCACGAAAGTCTCGAGAACGATCGCGACGATACCTCCCAGTTAATACAGGCCCATCCTGCTGATCTCGAGCACTGGGATCCAAACCATCGTTTTTTGCGGAGGGGAGACATGGTTGTGCTTGACTTTCCCCGTAGCGAAAGAGAGCCTTTGCTTGCCATATTCGTGCGAAGAGTCGGCCGTCCTCTGCAGTCTCAATTCTACACCATCCAAGGAAAATGGCTTCATGCCACCGAAAGGAATGTCCAACACGCTGTCTTGTCCTTCGTGGATTCAAGCCTTGTCGACCCCATCATTCCACATCTTCCTGACGAGGGAATCACTGAGGATCTGCTGGACAGAGCCCAAATGTTTGATTTGAGTGTGCCGAGACACGTCTCTGCGCCTTTAGTCACCCGCATGCTCGACTTTCAAAGAAAGAGCGACGAAATCTATCGCCAAAATGCAACGACTCTTGACAATGCCCATCACTTACTAGCTCACCCTACTGACCTGAAATTTGGCACTCTCGACCTCATCGCCTCCAGACTTTTGGGAAAGGAGAAGAACGATTCCTTGACCCAGGAAAAGATCTACGCTGTGCGCAATGCTCTCACGCGGGGAGGCTTTGCCTTTGGCCATGACCGTAGAAGCCATCGTCTGACAGGCTTCATCCAAATTAGATCCAAAGAGCAGGTGGCGAATGTCGAAAAGATTCGAAATTGGCTTAGATCGTGGCAGGACGATCTGGCCATTTTTGCGGCGGGCAAAGATGCAACTCATCAGTTCTCACGATCTGGTCAACACGTTGTCAACTTTATTCACAAAGCACAATCACTAATCAGAAAGAGCCGTCAATTGCGCGACGTCACTCCGTATGGTCGGGTGGGACCTAGCAAGAAACGCTTTGATATCAACAAACAAGATGTTGTTCAATACGAATACACAGAAGCATTTGACGATTCTGACCGCGAGCTGATCAAATTCATGGAGGCATGGACGTGCTCTGGCTTGTTCCTCGGTCTTCCTCGTGTAGAGGCTCTACCCCCTCTTATCCTTCAGGCAACTGGCATGTACGAAGAACACAACATGGACCCCAAGACTGGTTTCACCTTTTTGCAAGAGATTGGTGTCTTGACTCCTCACGAAAACCGGGTCCGTTTTGATTCCCACCTGCTTCTGCCTTCTTCACAACATTCCAAACCACTAGAGCAGCTTATGACCAAGATTATGGAGATGAACAACAACCATGGATTCGTAGACTCAATGGCGCATTTGCGTAAGGACTGGGGCGACCTTCCCGTTTTTTGTATCGATGGAGAAGGTGCACATGAGATTGATGATGGCGTATCTGTGGAAGATGCTGGAGAGGGTGAACATTGGGTTCACGTCCACATTGCCAATCCCACCGCTTTCTTCGAACACGACAATCCTCTCGCTAAGATGGCGCGACACATGACCGAGACCATCTACATGCCGGAGCGTGCTTTCGTCATGCTGCCCAGATGGTCAACGAAGAAGCACTTCAGTCTGCAAGCAAACCGCCCTTGTTTGACCTTCAGTGCTAGGATGAATTTGCAAGGCGAGACGTTGGAGCACAAAATCCAACCTGGCTTCATCCGGAACGTCAAATTCATAACCCCTGCGGAGGCGTCTCGACTTGTTGGTGTCGACGCTGGTGTACGTCCCGACGTCACGCTTAGAGTTGGTGGAGACCCTCCCCATCGTACACCAAAAAAGACCGGCAACAATCTACTCACACATGAGATAGACATGCTGAAGAAAATGCAGATGCTTGCAGAAAGACGTCAAGCAAACCGTCGTTCGGCTGGAGGTCTCTTCTTAGCTTCGAATCAGCCCGACTTTACCATCTGGCAACAGAAAAATAACCCAGGACTCGGATGGGAACATCCGTCTAGAACAAGAGCACGTTACGTGCAAGGCGATCCTATCATTGAGTACCGTACCAAAGAATTAACCTCGTGGTTCTCTACAGGTGAGGATGTCTCTGATATCCTTGTCCGTGAACTCATGCTTCTAGCATGCGAGATCGGTGCGACATGGTGCGCGGAGAGAAACATACCCCTCATCTATCGCGGAACTGTGGACAGTCCTGACATCAAGGATGCGAAGGTATACTACAACGAGGTTCTAGCACCAGCCACAGAGAAGAACAACGGCGAAGCTCCTATGCATCTGGCCATTGAATATCTTCGAAACTCTGGTTCTACTATTCTCACAACCAAGCCATTGCACCACCGTGTCTTGGGTCTTCAGTCCTACAGCAAAGCCACATCACCGCTTCGTAGATATGGTGATATGGTCCTTCATTGGCAGGTTGAAGCAGCCTTGCGTGAAGAAGCCAAAGCGGGCCAAAAACTCGACTTCGGAGGCAAGAATCAGTCCATGTTGCCCTTCTCCAATGGCGCTATCAGCACAATGGCAACTGGACTTCAACCTCGTGAATCCATGATCCGTCGTGCGACTATTTACGCAGAGCAGCACTGGCTGTGCTCGCTTTTCTTCCGCGCTCATTACTACAATGAGTGTGAGCTGCCGTCCAAGCTCCATGCTTATATTCATATGATGCCTGTGTCCCAAAGAACAGATTTGCCCATTCTTATCAAGGAGTACAGCGCTTCTGGTAACATGCTGATGCCAGAAGCGTACGGTCTTGGGCAGGCCAAAGCAGGCGATACTTGGGAATGCGTGATTGAACAGGTCATGTGTTTTGAGCGAAACATTCAGCTTAGACCTGTGCGTCTGGTCGACCGCTGGCAAGGATAGATTGGTGAGACATATTCACGTGCAAGTATGAAGGAAATGCTACATGTAACCGAATACGTGAATGATAGTTTGGATGCTTGGATAGTCACCTGACAAAATGTCTATATCCCTCCTTTTTGAAACAATGACGTTACGCCTCTTTAATCCTTTAAGAAAGGGTCCAACTTTGCGTGGTTTTGATTGGCTGTTGCGAATGTCTATGCGCGGGACCCTATGGAATAGTGTCCCCTCCGACGCCGGTTCCGCACTGTTGAAGACCCTGTATCAATCCGTAGGCATGGCTCATTACTGCCTTGCGCTCTTCCCCTGGAGCACCAGTGTGATAATCTTCTCTTCAAGCGTCTTTGCTCTTTCCGCTCAGAGATGGAGGAAGACTCTTGGTGAAAGGACGAGGGGAAGCGACGAACGAGATACCTCCACGCAGGTATTCCGCGGTGCCCCACCCCCAGGACCTGGGTCCGTTGTGATGGTAATCCACCTCATGAGTCGTCAGCATTTTGCATCGGTGGATGCAGCGGGATCAGAGAAGGCGTAACCTAGTTTTTGAAACCTCCAGCTATCACCATGTGCCCTTCTACTGATCTCTCAAACTGTATCTAACCCTACCGAAGGAGCTCCAATCGTCACGTCAACGTTGGAGACAATATTATTGACGACAAGATCCGGATTTCGAATCGATCTAAGACGACCCGCATTCTCATCTCAGGACTCAAGCCTCAATCGCTTATTCCGAGCATCTCCATGATGACTGGACGTGCGAACGACGCCCGTTGATGCAGCCTACCAGAACGGGTACCCGCCAGACTGTTCCTGGACTACAGCTGCCGGGAAAGACGCCGACTATTGGATACCCAAGTGGTTCCTGGATAATTAGTCACGAAATCGTCCCCCAGACGAAAGCGAGCGACTTTGGTTGATTCATCAACCTTGGCGTGCTGTACGAGTACAGCCACGACCACCCTATCTCCTGCAGACCGGGTCCTTACACGGAAATGATTCAAGTGACTTTGACGGCAGACCCGGAACATCTTTACTGTAAGCCATTCCGCACATGGCAGTGCCACACCCGCGATTGTGACGCCGCCCGTGTGGCCAAGGGGACTGACAAATCACTCGCGCTGCCATCTGCTCAGTGAATTGTCGCCATCTACAATTATTACCCACTAGTTATCCTTCAGCTGTCGAAAACCCTATGTAGTATTGGGTCTCAAGCCATGATATTGCACGAGTTGGACTCGCTTCATCCTGCGAGCGTAAGAAGGCACAGACTATGCCAGTAAGGGCTGGCCGTCGTTGGAGGCTATTATCATCGTCGTGGTTCTGGCGAACTAGGGCACGTTGTTGCGCCAGTCCGCGCTCTCCGAGCGATCCTGTCACCTTAATCTTTACTGCTTTAACCTTCGGCCAAAGCCGAAAGTGTATTACTGTCAACCTCATTGAGCAACATTCTACAGCCTGACCGAACAGCTTGAACAAAGATGGTCTCTCTACCAAATGCCGATTGGAGTTTTCGATCACGAGGGTCAACGTGTCTACCGTCATGTTGCGACCGTGGCTCCGGGTCCGATCTCGTCATCTGCCTCACCGATGTCCCATTCCTAGGAACATGGCGCTATTGTGCATGATCCTAACGGGTCTAGGCCTCTCGGTCACGTTGTACACCCGATCTCTTCTGCAAAACCTCGCAGACATACGCTGCGTATACGTTGAAGTCATGTTCAATCTTGGAGGGCAGCTTATCGTGCACATGACATTGAATAGAGGCACAAGCTGAGTGGAAGCCAACTGCGTCTTGCTTGCTGCTTTGTTATGCATCTACACTACATGTCATATTTCCCCGGAGTCTCAGGTGTCTGGGACGGTTGACAGGTGTGGCTTGAGCTCTGTGAGTCCTCAGCCTAGAGGTTCCGGCACCACGGCCGAGTGTCTGCGTTTTCCAAGATAGGGATGTGGGCCCTGTCGCGGAAGTCATTGGCTCACCACTTCTTAGCATCTTTAGCTCCGCCACCTGAAAGCATAAGTTGAACTTTCTGTTGCATCGTTTCACGCTGACCTGCCGCTACAGCGTCCGTGTTTCCTAGCATGTGCTTTAATACACCGCAATGACTTTGACTATGTTAATGATTCAAGACCCTCAACCAGAGTCATGCTCAGCTTGACAGTCTTTTGATGAAGAACATGAATTCTTGGCCAATGCAAGGGTTGCCGGAAACTACACAGTCTCAGCAGACATTGCCGTCTTCTTCACTGCGAATCGAGAGTCCCTTGACCGCCTCAGAGAAGAAGCTCAAAAAGCAGCAACCACGCCAACTCCTGAGTTGCACGAAGTGCAGAGAACGGAAAGTAAAAGTAAGCCTTTCAGTCCAGCGATTTTTATACCTGTCAATACTAAGCTTGACAACACAGTGTGATCGTACGAAGCCATGCTCGGCGTGTTGTGCTCGAGGGCTCCCAAAGGAGTGCCATTTCGTTTTGGGTGAGGGGGCAGATTTTGGTCCAATACAACAGTCTCTAGAGCTCCGAAGATTACGAGCAGAGAATCAACGACTCAAGGAGCGTCTTTTGGCCGACAGGACGTCCCTTTCTGAGGACAGTGAGACCGAGGACGGATCATCAGGCGTCCGTACGGTGTCCACGGGACGACGACCAAGTCGACAGCGAAGGTTTCGCGCGAACGATCAAACAGACAGTATATACTTCGGATCTCCAGGACTGGCAAATGTCATCGCGGATGTGAGTAAGGTTCGTGTACTCTGCATTTGTCTGTTCTGACCGACCATTCAATCAGTTTGCAAATTTAAACACGGAGCCAAAGTCTCTCTCACACGCTATGCCTAGAGCAGCAGATATGTACACAACTCAAGATGCGATGTACCCTTTTCCGACACTGTGGCCTGCCATGTCGCGCACTGAGGGGTTGTTGCAATGCCTACCTCCGAGCGAGCAGCTCTTCAACTATCTCGACTCGTTCAGCCAGAAAGCCAAAGGTTTCGCTTTCCCCTACGTACCCGAAGAGTTGACTCGAAAGGAGGTCGAACACTTTCTCAACAACGTACAAGAAAACGCGGAGAAAGTACCAGATCTGCTCGCGCTCATTTTCGCGGCACTGGCATTAGGCGTACAGCTGGATACGTTCGAAGGTCCTGAAGAGGCTCAAACCAGTGCCTCCAACACCCAAAGCCGCAAGGGTGAGATATTCTGTAAGTGACACAGAGGTATCAGTGGCTGTCGTCTTATTGCTGACTCAGGTAGCTGTCGCCGCAATGCAGGCTCTCCGTCTGGCATCCTTCACTAGTCGCCCTACTCTGAGAGGCATCCAGACTATGACAATGCTTGCCCCCTATCTTACGAATAGCGGAAGGTTTCTTGACGCCTGGTCGTTGTCGGGTATGACAACCCGCCTGGCCCATTCTATTGGTCTACATCGCGACCCTCGCTTCTTGGATCCAGCTCCATCGTTGCGAGAGTGCACCGTACGCAAAAATCTATGGTGGTGGTTACTGCACATGGACCAAGAATATTCCATGACTCTGGGTCGACCTTTGGGCATCTCTGGAATTGGGGATTGCCCCCCTCCTGACCCACTCACAACAGATCCAGTAGCTCTGCGGTTGAGCGAGTTCTTCGATCAACTCACCATTCTAGGTCGACAGATACTGAGCAGTAACCAGCTCACAGACTCGAAGATTGATATGTACACAGATCGCTTGATTGCTCTATGGGATACGATGCCAGACTCATTACAGTTCAACAAGTCTTGGATCAAGGAAGAAACAGAAATCCCAGAATGGCCGATGGAGACAAAGGCAACGAGTAAGACGAAACAACCATCAATGTTATATGTCACTGACACCTTGCCTCACAGTATCTTACTGCAACATACACAACTACATCATCCTTCTGAACCGTCAGCGCATCGAAAACAATCGGAACAGTCCTGACTACCGACCATCGTCACCCAGACCCCGACAATTCAGCACCATGCCTGAATTCTTTTTCCAACCAGCATCGCACCCATCCTCGCCGATACCTCTTATACCCAGAGGTAGACCACTGGTGATAGACTCTTCTCTAGCACTTTTAGACGCATTCCGGTTCTTCCACAAACGTGTACCATCGGCGCTCGTCGACTGGAAGATAGGGCAACAAGCCTTCAACGCTTGCATGATCCTGTTGCTGGACGCCATCGACTGCGAGAGTCTTGAACATATTGAAAGAGTAGAAGCGGCACACATGATATTTGTCGAGATGGACAAAGCGGAGATGCATCAACTTACGGGACTAGCAATGTCTCGGATAGCTGAAGGCCTGACACATGTGCGAGAAGCGTATGAGGCGCGTAAGATGTCGATGAATTCCGAGGCAATATCTCCTATGAGTGTGCGGAACCCACCAAATGGGCATGATGCACACACTACGAATCCATTCGACTGGAGCATGGGCCAGAAGCTGCGTTCGCACGACTTTTTGCACGAGTCCGTGATGGGAGCAACTGGTATGTTCCTGCTCGAGGACCATGGCCTCCAGACCAGCACGTCTCGACCTAAAGCCTCGGCACCAATGAATGTTGTCCCGACGCCGACAATCACAGTCGTTCCTTCCTCAGACCAAGCGAATCACAAGACACACTTGTTTCCACATGCCACACGAGTGGAACCACGACGAGACTCGGCACATCCAGTGATGTTTTTGCCTCCCAGCAGTCATACACAGCAGCCACTATTGCCTACATATCAACATGCTCATCCTACTCAATACCCTCCAGGGATGCAGCCGCCGCCATCCTGGAATAACACCGGAGTCTGGCAGAATATCGGACAACATCCTCACCATCAGATTTATACGCAGCCGATAGCAAGAGGAGGACACCATGCAATACCGAACCAGCCAAAGCAGCAGCAGCATCAATGATGGATCGAGAGGGATTTGTCCAGCATAATGGGATCGCCGATCATCTTCCCAGAGAAACTCACGAATATTTAGGTCAGATGCGAGATCATTGCCAAGTCACAAGTCCACGAAGTGTAGTCTAGATAGACATGATGAATAAACTTCTGTCATCAATTGCCCGTTAACTTACCCAACACCTTAATTCTAGTCCCAAACTCTGCCCTTAGTCACGGATCTTCTTTGACACTTTCCCACTCTATCCCATCTGGCGACCCTTGCCAATAGCCACCATTCCATATACGAGTGACAGGCATGAGAAATACACTAACCTGAGGCTCTTCGTTTCCAGGACCCTTGTTTGGTCTAGTCGGAACGGCTAGAAGTCGAGATCTCCTCGGATGCAACACTACCCCGACTCCGTTAGAAGAAACTCGATGCCCAGGTCGCTCTTCCTTCTCGAAGAACTCACACGACCCTACTCACACGCATTTGATCCAAGGTGGGATCAATTCCTGCGCATTGTAGCCTCCAGTCAACTACTCATTCCCCTCTTTCCCTCCGCAAATCTCACAAGTAAACAGAGAACAAAGCCCCCATCAATATCCCCAAACCCCGGAGCAAATGCCCGACTCCGAACGAAACCACACAGCCTCACTCGGACACACCGAAGGCGCGATCTTCATCTCCCAAACACTTTGACGTCTGCGCTGCCTGATTGTTTCGCTTTTTGAGCCTCATTGTGGTATAGGGCTTGGGTAGCGGGAAACTGTTTTAGAGTTTACCAGGGTGTTGTAGGGTTATGATCGAAAATGCAACTGCCGAATTGGGTAATTTTTTACGAAGGGGGGTTAGGTTGGTGACATTCTGCTAAGCACTTACTTGTTGGTGATGTGTGTGTCTTGTCGGTGACATGTGTCTTGTCGGTGACATTCTTACCTGACTCGTTTGTCTGATTTGCCTGTTTCTCGTTCTCGTTCTCGTTCACATGCTCGATCTTATTCAACATGCTCGGTCTTTAGGTTTCTCGTTTGCTGAAGAAGTATGGTTTACGGATTGGCGCACGTTGGCTCGGACTCGATCCCGAGACAGATGGATTGTTGGATTTGTGAAAGTGTGGCAGTTTGACAACCCTCTCTTCGGATACGTCCCAGAAGCATCGGATGCGGGCAGTTGAGTCCCAAGACGCTTGTTTCTGTTTCTTGCGTAATGTGAGGATTCGCTGGGAGTGGTGTTGGAGCCAAGCACGCGAGGGTATTAGTCGGGTGAACTACAACAGGGTTTATTAAATGATCATCATGCTCCGTTGATCCTCCTACATCAAAGTCGACTCAATTGTGGATTTCATGTACAGCCTCCAACTCTCACTATCTCCCTTATCCGACGTTCTACACAATTCATTCGTAGAATCCTAGGATACTTTTCACCAGTCAAGAAGGCGACAGGAACCACCGAGCAAATCAGGAAAGGGCGACCGAGCATGGAAACAAAAGTCAAGCAGATAGGAAACAGCAGTGAATTGCGATCGTAAAGAACGACCGAACGACAAACGCTTATGGGAAGGGACAGTTCAGCATCAAGGAAGGATCGATCAGTCGAAACAAGGAGCATCAATCCTGCCGAACGGGAGCAAGAGCATCTGAGACAACAGGAAATGCAGACGCGACTTCAACGCACAAACATAGCAACCGAAACCACGACCTAGGCTCAACTCTGCGCATTCGAAATAGCAAGTACTGGGTGTGATGAACATTGCTGTAGGCTATCTGAAAAGACACTCGCATATACTATTCCGCTGCTTTCGCTTCGCTACTCTTTTCGCTAAAAACACGCCTGTGATATCAAAACCCGAAAGAAAACAAGAAACCGGAAAACAAACACAAAATAAGAAAACTGGTCATGGTTAACATAGAGGCGTAATTCAACCTTTCAACGCCAGCTCCTAAAAACAAATGTAGACACAAGGAGGCGAGTACTAAAGGAAAGGGTAAAGCAGGCTTAGCCACTTCCGTTTTCACCACTGGTCTTGTGTCTGAAAACCATACGTCTCGTGCCACCTACTTTGCCCATGTCTGACCAAGCAGTCTCGCTCTTCTTTCTCTCGACACTGCTGGCTTGCTTGGCTCGAGTCATCATTTCTTCGACCCAGCGAGCCTTTTGCTCATCAAGCTCACGGTTGCCGCGGGAGTGTTTGACAGAAGGACCTGCGAGACCAATGTCCTGGCCCGACCATGAGGAGGGAGAGGCGTTCAGGAAGGTATCGGCGGTGGATGGGCGCGAGGAGCTTTTGACGGAGCCCGTAGGAGTGTGATAAGCGCCATTGCGTGTGGTCGTAGGTGTAAGATCGATAGGCTGAGTGGTGGCCGAAGGACTACTGTGCATCATATCCACAGGCATCGGAGTACCTGCAGCGCCAAAGGAAGAACGACTTCTGAAGCTCATACTGCTATCAGGACGATCGAGTACACTTCCAGGTCTGCTAAGAGGTGTTCTAGCCTTCGTACCGCCACCTAAACGCATGCTGCCCACTTCCAGCTTACCGTCACTAAAAGTACGATGGCCGTGGTGCTCGGCGTATTGACGCAAATACTCGCCTAGGTCGGCCCAACCGCCGCCTACGCGTACCATACAGCGTTCGCCCTCGCCTACCAGGCGGACAAACAGTTTGATTGGTTGTTCCTTGCCCTCTTGCGTCAAGTAGTACATCTTGCCGTCCGCATCGTTTGCAGTTGACTTCCTTGATGTCAATTCCGACTGCACAGCGGACAGAGTGAGCCCTGTACGAGGAGGCTTACTCGACAACGCAGGGCGTGGTCGGGGTGGACCAGCAGCGGTGGCCGGCGCAGGGGATGGCTCACGAGATGGCTCACGAGATGGAATCGAGAGAGAGGGCTTGAATGCAATTCGGGAAGGCAGTGTGTTCAAAACCCGGCTGACGTGTCTATCCAACTGCTCAGCGTTCGAGATGTTACGCTTGTGTCCCTTCTTAGTGGTCTCGGGCTGCGAGATGCTGCGGTTGGATTCTGATGCTCGGGGTGTTGCTTCCGGTTCTACAACATAGCGACGTTTATGTACTTCAAGATTCAAGGGAGGCGGCTTGATCGCTCCTACTGTGTTACCAGTAATGCGTGGTTCCAGATCAGAACTCAATGTAGGTGGCGGCAATCCGAAAGCAGGGGGTTCACCACCAATATCGTCGTGAGATAACATCTCGCTGTTCATCTGTTCGAAGGATTGCTCTTTGACAAGTTTGGCTGTGGTAGGGGGCGAGAGACTATGCCGCCTCGGCATATCAGGTATTTCGATGGTATTCAGCTCTGACCTTGGATGGTTCTCAATAGAGGTGACAGAAGCTCTCTTGATCATTGGGCGTCTCTCCGCGAAGCTGTACTGGTCCTCACGGTCGTCGGAACCCTCATTGACATCATCGTGTCCGGCACCAATCGCGCTGAAGTTACTCCACGAAGTATTGCTTCTAGCAGCTGGTGAGAGCCTACTACCTGGCGAAGTCTGCACTTGCTTAGCTCTGAAATACCCCGCCGCAGAGGCATCCTGCACCTCAGGAGTTGCATCGAACGATCCCGGCGTTGGCAACTCTGTGATTGGCTCGAATGTCAAGCTTGTGGTGCTAGGCCTTGACATGTGTCTTGGTCTAGGACCTCCAGGCGAAGATGAACCGCTACGAGGTCTATGTTGAGCCATGCCGCCGAGCATGGTGTCATCCATGAGTGGCTCTTTTGACTTTGACCTTTTCGATCTGAACATGTTCTCGAACGGATTGCTCTCCTGTGATGGTGGCCGAGATTTGGTTTGTGGTGTTCCCGGTAGACTATCAACAAACATTTTCTCGAACACATCGGAATCCATTGGCTCCCTCGGGGTGGATATCTCTTCGTCATATATCTTGACAGGCAGAGGCAGGGGCCAGTTTTCGGGGAACTCAACTGGCGCGGGAGAGTTCCAAGCCGTGTCGATGGTTGATTTACTATTCTCGGTCGAGGGGAAATAATCTTGATCAAGCTCGGGAGTAAGATAAGCTTCCATGGGTCGTTCGTGCTCCCGAGCAAAGTTGATTTGTGCTGCTGGTTGAGAGACTGCACGAGAACCCGTATTCCGATCTGGGCTGAAACTCTGTCGTGTAGGCGGCGAAGACGCATGGACAATTTGCTGAGATTCGGTCGCTAGGTTTCTCTTGTCTTTATCAGGCTGAGATTGATTTGTCAGAGATGTAGAGCGATGAAAATGGCGAAAGCCTTCGTGGGTTTTGATGCCCAAACCAAGACCCTTTCGGGCACTTGACTTGCTAGAAGTGGAACTCGTCCTCGAATGATTTGTGGTGCCATTGGCAGCATTGTTTGTCTTGTTGAAAAGCTTTGTGAAGGCCATGGAAGCATGTTCGAATGATCGAACAGGACTGTTGACAGACTTTTGAAGCGACTGGGTACGCTCAATGCCTCCATTGAGGAAGGCTGCTCTAGCGCGAACGTTACTCACGGCTGGAGAGGCCTGCTCGACAGTCGGGGACGAAGAGTTGTTGGCAGAGACCGAGGGTGATACGAGGTCGGGAGTCGGAGCACTCGAAGGCGGAGATGCTGTGCGACTTCCATTGTAATCGACAACGATGGGCACATGGCGAGACCTTGAGAGGCTCGGTGACAAAGATTTCAGACTTCCGGCTCGATGTAAAGAGCCAGTGGAGGAAGGAACAGGTTGAGAAGCTTCCGTCGGTAAGGTAGGTATCCTCTTCAGGTCTTGCGAGACACTATCGCTCTCCACGTCGGAGGATTCGTCCAAGTCAGGCAAGAAAGCGGGACTCGTTCCCAGGATAGGGCTTTCTACCTGCTGAACAAGAGCGTCTTGTCGACCTCGGCCGGTGGCTTCGGTCGGAACACTTTCGTTGGGCAAGGTGGGCTCTGGGGCAGGGCTGGAAGATGACAGCAGTTCTGGGGCAGCATGGACAGGGACAGGCTCTTCCTGGTCTGAGGAGTCTGTGGTGGAGGAGGACATCTCACGGGTTGTGACATCAGCAGGAGTCGACTTCTTGACAGCAGGCACATGCAGAGGCATATTCTGAGCAACGATGTGACGTTCAGTCTGGGTAAGCCAGTCACTGTAGCTCGTTTCGAGCGACTCGAACGTGTCGATCCAAGCGTCTGGGAGAGTCTCTTCCCTTCCTTCAAGATCGTCTAACAAAGAGTCTAGTCGTCCGCCAACCTTTCCCATTCGTGATTCGAGTTGTTCTTGGAGCGATTGGAAAGCATTGCGCGTAACAGTGGTATCCCGAGAGTCTCTGAGACAGGTCGTCATGTCAGACCATGCCTTGTCTAGATCAGCCTTGGCTTGGTCGAGGCCTCTGAGATAGCCTGGGACCTTGCGCAGCAGCGTAACACGCATGGACCAAGTATTCAACAAACGATCCAGTCGCGAAAGGTCTGGCAATGCACGCAGAATGGTGGCAGTAATGAGGGCAGTAAAATCGTCGAGATGTTCGTAGTGTTCGTATTCGGAAGTCTTTGGCTGTATGTGGTGCGAGAGGACATAGTCTTTGAGCTCATCAACATCTCCATCAAACAAGGCTTCCCGGATGTCCTGGATGCGCTGTTCGTAGGCAATGACCTGGTTCTCACGCAGACTGCCCCAGTATGGCCCCTCGACGGCGTCGGCGGCATGGGCGGGAGGCTCGAACGAGTCGGCCCATGGCCATTGCTGCAGTTCATTGTGCCACGCTTTGATGTCCTTGCACGTCTGGGCTATCCTGATTCCAAAAGCTCTTTCTGAAGTCGATGCCTTCTCAATCAAGCGCACCAGGGCTACCTGGCCCCTGCTTTCATCACTGCCTGGCGCCGACGTGAAGGCTTTCAATGTGCGCGTCGGGGACAGATCTCGGCCCAGGGGATCGTACGACTGCGAGTAGTTGCGGCCATGCCGAGATGGAGAAGAGGATGGGGATGTCGAGGGTGACGGGGAAGTGCTCGAGTAGACCCTCGCGGGTGGTGCAAAGCGCGGGGGATCAATTGCTGGATTGCGCGCCATGTCGGGTTTGCGGCCTTGGATGGAATGATTTACAAGGTCCGATCGATCATGTCGACTTTGTCCGCATGACAGATGGGCCTTGTAGCAGTGGTCCGGCTCTGCGCAGACGACGTACCAGATCAGTATGAAACAGAGACAAACGACAATTGAGACATGAACCAAGACCCAATTCTCCTACGACCAATCAATTCATGGCCAACGTGAACAAGACGAGACGGAGGCAGAAAGAGAGAGGACTGAAGGACAGAATGTACAAGGGTCGGAGTACCTAGACCAAGTCACTCTCGGCATCTAGAGATCGTCTTCGGAGAAGGCATTTCGAGATGCTGGCGGGCCTTGGCGCCTTCGTTAATCTATTATCTACTCTATCGCACCAAGTACAATCTACTCCCGTTGACCTGCACGTTGCTATCCAGCCTTCCGGAATCCCGTTGTCAACAGTGACACGCGCTTCGTCGCGTTCAAGTCTGGTGCAACTCACGGCGCAACTGCTGGGAGTCGAAAACTTCCTGCCACCCCTCACAAAGACAATCGACTTCGACTCCGCGTTTGGGCTTGAGCATGGCATGAGCGTGGAATTTCATTTTAGTGCTTCTGCTTGTCTTTTTCAGCTCTCTTCTTCTTGATCATCTTGTCAAATCTGTGATCGACTCGATTAGACAAAAATTCAATATTCGATAGCGGCGGAAAGAATACTGACCTGTTGTACGCGCCAACACCCTCGATAAATGTGGTACCCATCCACAACCACCAGATTCGACTGCGTACATTGACGTTGTGCTTCCTCAGACGCCCGCTAGCCATGTGCCATGTTTCTGCGCTATGTATGACCAGCATGCCGTAGAAGATGAATGGCTGGATCGTCCAGCAGAACCGAGCAAACCAGTCGGGCACTACGGCGGATATAAGACTCCCTGCCTCGAAATTGCTTCTTAAGCTGAATGCCACGAGAGTTGTCGACACAATCACAAACCCTGCCAGATACAGCCCAGTGGGTGAGATGTACTCTTTGACAGTGATATCGCTCCGGCCGAGTGCCTGGAGACATTCCTTGTCCATTTGCACCAAGCGCTCTCGTGCCTCCCGGAATGAGGACATTGGTGGATCCAGAGCCGTTCTGTACTTCAGCCCGGCACATTCAAACGCGATGTGTTCGAGTGAAGCGTCAGAGATCCTACCGTTGTATGCTTGGTAGCCTGGAAGATGATGGTAGTTCTCGAGATATCGGACGACCTATGGCATTATCATGAGCAGATGAGACAAGGTCCTGAACATAGCTGTACTTACCGAGTCGTGGTGGTCTGCATTCATGTGAGTAATGATGCGAGCCTTTGCCGCTGCATCTTTTGAGGCCTGATCACTCATCTTTGCCTGTAGCTTGAATTTGTTCCTTGACAGTCTCGAATAGAAAAAACGATGGCGATGTACTCAGTTATGATTGTCTACTAGTACACCAAAGATCCCGAGGATCAGATAACGTAGCCGACGTAGAGCTAGGTCGGCTCTATAGATGGCCGGAGCTCCCCTATGTGTTTCCCGACGGTCAGAAGTCTTGGCTGCTACTGACAGCACATAGAGGCCACTTGCACTTCCTGGCAATCATTATTGTATGGCTTTGCTCTAACGATCTGACGATGGACCCGAAGTTCAAAGGACTTCTTACCAAGTCACAAGCTAGTGTACTACGTGCATGCCAATCAAGCATCTTATCGAAGATGCAGTGCCCTGCCACAGACGCGGTAATCGAATGAGTGTGAGAGAGGTATACCTACTTGGTCGCATGACTACCATCCAACATTGAGAGGAGATCTAGGAACAGTGTGCACTGGAATTTTACACCAAAAAAAACGAAAAGCAAATGTTCAGTAAACTGACACATGACGCTCATGCTTCATTCGTGCGAGCCACGTTTTCCAAAATACAACGACATGCGCATTTGAGACATCCCGCAGAGTCTTGTCATCCGATCTCGATGCGATTGATCACGAAAAGCATTTTTGATCTTCGGTCCCAACAGCAACAGCCTGAGGCCGTCGCGTCCCGTCAGAGACAACCATCATCATCATCATCGTCGCCCAGCTCCCGCGCTCCTTCCAAGCAGGCGAGCACGTCGGAAGGTTGAATGCCGTCTTCCGCACAGACACGGTTTGCGATCGCGACGCCTCTCTGTGGCAGGTGTGATCAAGCCCCAGTGGCCGATTCTGATACTTTCGGCAAATTGCAACTCGTAGCGAACTTCATGCATTGGCTCACACGCGATCAGCACGCCTGCATGCTCAAGTGCCCACTTCGGTCCTCGAGAAATGTGGCTGGTGAGCCAATGTTACGTCAAAGGACCGCCCATTGACATTCATGCGGGTTTGGAAACCTGTTCGGGTGTCAAGGGTGCTTCCAGTTTTCTAAGTATCAGCCGGTCGTTTTCTGTCCTTCTATTTTCTTCCTCCTCGCAGTCACCTCAAGTCCCCATACCACACCTACCACTACATCCACTACACATCCATTGATTCATTACCATGTCGGACAAGCAAGCTTCTGCCGGAGCCGAGGGTGGTGCCAGTGCCCCCGAGAGAAAGAAGCCCCAGAAGCTCGGTGGTGGAAAGAAGCAGCAGCAACAACAACAACCCACCCCCGACCAGTCGGAAGGAGACGGCGGTGCTGACGCAGAAGCAAATGGTGACGCCGAAGCCGAAGCCAATGCCGACGGAGAAGAAGAAGCCGAACCGGAACCTCAACAACAAAAGTCTCGTCAAGCATCTCAATCTCGCCGACGTCAAAGCCGTGGTCGCGGCCGCCGTGGAGGTGACAGCGACACCGAATCAGTTGCCCGCAGCGATGCCTCCGCGAACGGTGGACGTCGTCAACGTCAACGCCAGAAGAAGCAAGGAGGAGGTGGTGGTGGTGGTCCCTTGGACGACATCACTGAGAACGTCCCCGGAGGTGACGCTGTTGGCGGAGCCGGTGAGATGGTTCAGAACACTGCTGGACAGGCCGTCAACCAAGTCGGAAACACTGCCGGCAACGCACTTGGCGGCCTGACAGGTGGTCAAAAGCAAGGCGGCGGTGAGGAAGAGGAAGATGGCGGTAAGGGCGAGCAACTTCGTCTGAGACTGGAGCTTAACCTGGACATTGAGATTCAACTCAAGGCTAAGATTCACGGTGATTTGACTCTTGGATTGCTGTACGTTTTTATGGATATCTTCTTACCGAGCAACACTAACATTTTACCAGTAACTAGAACCATTGTCACTATACATGCGCCTGAGTTGCGTACGATCAATGTTGAGATGACACTTATAATGGGATATCATGGAGTTTTGGCACTTGTTGGATTACCATATGTTCATTATCTTTCCTTTCTTGTATCTTGTAAAGTACGTTTAGATCAAAAACGACGAGACGACTTTCCATCCATTCGAGCAGATTCCCTCTCATGCACGCGAGACTGTTGTGAAACCGGACCTCTGAGTTACTCCTCCCTTGCTCATGCGTCTACCATTACTGCCCGACCTTGTGATATCAGTCTACATGATGACCTGCACATGGCGGTCAGATTGTCCTCGTACTCATGCAATTTTATCAAGCTTGATACACCACACAACCTCGCTACACCTTCAGAACCCTCCAGACAGCCTGACGTCGACGATGTGAGCTAGTGAGGCGCAGCACCTCGATCATGCAATAGTGTTTGAGCGGTCTCGTGAAATTTCCTTCTGATAAATCACTTCTCCACATTCAAGACTTGATTCTCAAGCCACACCCTAGCCACGGCTCGCTAGGGCTTGCAACTTTAGACTCTGCCCCGCTCATACCCCTGCCGCTTTGTCTGAAAAGGGTTGAACAGCGAAAACGCGTGGTCTTCAACGAGGCATCAAATTGCGTGCAGGAGTGTGCTATGACGTGTGGCTGGTGTGCGGATCCCTTGGAAATCAGGTTTGTGTGGCACATGGATTTGATCATGGCGCAGGCGTCGCTCGGTATGCTGTGAGCCACGCTGGTCTCGAGATCGAGAGACTGGCGAGCCGAAAGATGTTCCCTGCCTCGAGAAGCATGCCCGCGGACGTCACTGCTTTTTCCTTGCACTGTCTTGCTGCCCCGACCACTAGCACTGTGCTTTCCTACTCTCCATAGTATCCAAGCCAAATAATTGTCCTAACCTACCATCAACGACCAACAACCCCCGATATACCCAATCATGCCGCCCGTCACCGACGAGCAACGAGTCGAAGCGCGTCAGAACTGGGAGCCCGAGTACCCCTCTGGAGACGAGAAACGTTTCCCCGGAAGTCAAGCCGAGCAGTCGCAGAACCAAAGGACCGTCACACAACAGAAGAAGCATAATGAGTACTACAACAAGGAAAAGCGCGAGACTGGTATGCCAATTGTTTCACCCACTCCTGTGCTGGAGACTGATTAAGTTCAGGTCTGCAAACCGAACGTTCGAGGTCCTCATCACGCCGTGCCCGAAGAAAGCGAGTGAAGAACGACCAGAGAGATGGCAAATACATGCACACCAATTCTCTCGAAGCCCTGGAGGAAGCCGACGCCAATGGCGAGCTACACGAGATGCAACCCTTCGAGCGTATCGGCCCTGATTCAACATCCATGGACGGTCCCGTCACCAAGGCTCGCGCAGACAGAGGAGAGATCCCCATGCGAGGCAGCAACCCCGACCAGCCCTACTACAAGAAGCCGCCAAAGCAGGAAGCTTCCCTCCTCGACGAGACCGATGGTCTGAAACTCAAACTGGATGCCAACCTCGACGTCGAAATTGAACTCAAGGCCAGTATTCGTGGTGACTTGACGCTATCTTTGTTGTAAGTACCCCATCCGCACGTTGTCAGACACTGACTCCTACCTTTGCTGTCCCCGCATTGGATCGAGTCTAAGTATTATCGCAGAGAATAACAGCGTATAGTGCATGATCGGCTGGCTCCACGGAGTCGGACACCGTCTCGCCCAGCCAAATCACCACTACGCGCTTTTGGCATGATCATGTAATTTTATCATGTGTACGAAACTGGACAATCATGATGGGAACGGCGTTTGTTTTTACCCCGGGAAGCGTTTCTTTCTTCCATATCTTGATACTCCTACTTAAATTTTTGGCTAGATACATGCTGGCAATATCATTGTTGAAGATATGTTCGCTTTACGCCGATATTATCACTGATCTCATGAGTTCACATCAATCTCTTGACGTACGTAAGGTATCATACCCGACCTGGTCTGCTTCGAACATGAAGTTCAGACCAAGAGGATGCAGACAGAACGACGGCGTGACGGCCTGACATCGTTTCCTTTCAATCTTTTTGATTGATATGTCATGCGTGTCCAACGCCGCGAACGGTGTTTTGAAAGCAACGAGAGGTTGGCATTTGTTGGCAACAAGACCAGGACCCGAAGATGCCGAGGCCCGATTCTTGGCCAACGGCGCTGGATGACCTTATTTGATACAGCACGCAAACGAGAAACCCCCAAGAACAGGCCGATGGTAACTGTGCGACGTGAGATACAGCATCATGCATCCAGAGGCCCCGAGGTCTGGCCAGAACCCATGTGATACACGTGGTTAATCTTGAGCGCTGCTCATGAGCGCTGCGTGCAGCCACGAGAAAGTACAATCTACACTTGCGCCTTCCTATTGTTCAACTTCTCGGTCACTACAGCAGATTCTCGACGGACCCATCGTAGATTCACGCCGGAAAATAGTCAAGCTTCCATACCTGGTTATGAATGAACCAGCGCTGGTCGAAGACCTTGTTGTATACGACAAAACAACGAATGAGGCCAACATGTGAGACCGAGGTCGCAAAGCATACTCGGGATGGTTTCCCTATGCGGTAACCTGGCCGAGCTCGATAGGCACGTCGATGTGCTCATTGGAAGCTGATTGCAGGCAGGTAACATTGTAGTCCAACTCTATTACTCCCATCAATCTTCAAATAGCTGGCGATTCCCTGCCGTCGACAAAAATCATCACATTTGTTCAGCTATGACTACAATGGAGCCAATTCCACAACCAGCAGGCTTGCCCTTTCTTGGGAACGTATTGAGTATCGATGCCGCACACCCTCAGGAAAGCTTGGCCAACATAGCCCAGCTGTACGGTATGATACTTGATCTCGCTAGATCAATCTTGTTCAAAGCTGATTGTACAGGACCTATCTTCAAGCTCAAGATAGGAGCGGAACGTATTTTTGTCGCCTCCCACGAGCTAGCGAAAGATCTGTTCGATGAAGAGAAGTTCGAGAAAGCAGTTGCTGGTCCTCTAAAGGAGATCCGCCATGGAGTCAAAGATGGTTTGTTCACTGCCCAGCCGGGTGAGCACAATTGGGAGATCGCCCACCGCATCCTTATGCCAGCATTTGGGCCGCTGTCAATTGAGTCCATGTTCAACGAGATGGCAGATGTCGCATCTCAACTTGTACTGAAGTGGGCCAGATTTGGTCCCCACAGTGCGATTGATGTTACGGACGACTTTACTCGACTGACTCTTGATTCTATCGCTCTGTAAGATGCTGTATAACAGGTAGCCTAGTGTGTTCAGCAACACTGACGAGCTTTTAGGTGCGCCATGGGCGATCGCTTCAATTCTTTCTACCACGATGACATGCACCCATTCGTCAAAGCCATGCTGGGCTTACTCACAGGCGCTGGCGCTCGAGCTCGACGACCAGGCTTTGCTCCGGAAATGCTCTATAGCAAGAGCAACCAACAATTCCACGATGACATCGATGAACTCCAGACAGTTGCCAAACAACTTTTGGATGAGCGTCGCAAGCACCCGTCCGACAAGAAGGATCTATTGAACGCAATGATCAACGGCAGAGACAGCAAAACTGGCGAACAGCTTCCGGAAGAAGTAATCATCCGAAACATGATTACCTTCCTCATAGTGAGTGTGCTCCACACATCTCCGAGCGGCACAAGTGCTTACTCGTCTTGATACGTAGGCAGGTCACGAAACCACATCTGGACTGCTGTCATTCCTTTTCTACGAGTTACTTTCCAACCCCGAAGCCTACAGCGCAGCGCAGAAGGAGGTCGATGATATTATAGGAAAGCAGAAGATCACTTTGGACCTTCTGTCGAAGCTGCCATACATTAATGCTTGTCTGCGCGAAACTTTGCGCCTCCACCCGACAGCGCCCGGGTTTGCGCTGACGGCCAAAGAAGACCAAGTGCTGGGTGGAAGGTACAGAGTCAAGAAAGGAGACGTCTGCGTCGCCGTACTCCCGCTTATACATCGTGATGCAGCTGTCTACGGTGAGGACGCGGAAGCCTTCAAGCCGGAACGCATGCTCGATGAACCTTTTGGCAAATTGCCACCCCACTCATGGAAGGTAAGACAAGCGACAGAAAGCTTAGTGCTCCTCCTCAGATTTACTGACTGTGTTCTAGCCCTTCGGTAATGGTATGAGAGCCTGCATTGGCCGGCCTTTCGCTTGGCAAGAAGCTCTTCTTTGCGTGGCTACCTTGCTCCAGACCTTCCGTTTCCGCTTAGCCGATCCTTCATACACGCTTCAGATCAAGACCACATTGACAATTAAGCCCGATAGCTTCCGCATGAAAGCAGAGTTGAGGGATCCTGACATGATCGAGGAATTGGTGGGGAGCATAGGTGCATCTTCCAATGCTGGACACAAGAAACAGCACAAGCAACATGACACTGCCGAGGCCGATCCTAACGCCGCTCCCCTGTTGGTTCTGTACGGATCAAACACTGGAACCTGCGAGGCACTCGCTCAATCCCTCAGTTCTAGTGCGGCAAGGCACGGTTACAAAGCGAAGGTGGCTACCATGGATTCACTCGCATCTGGCATGCCCAAAGACATCCCTGCAGTCATCATCACAGCCAGTTACGAAGGTCAGCCTCCCGATAACGCTTCCCACTTCTGTAACTGGCTTGAGAAGGCCGACAGAAAAGAGCTCAAAGGTGTCAGATATTCGGTGTTTGGCGTGGGTAATAGTACGTTCTCTGCCGCTTTTGCCTCCTTTCCATCCATGCTAATTCCAATCTACAGAGGAATGGGCGAGCACTTACCAACGCATACCTACCGTCGTCGACTCTACTTTAGCGGAGAAAGGCGCCGAGCGTCTAGCCGATCGATTTGCAGCCGATGTCACTGATGGCAGCGTCTTTGACAAGTTCGATAAATGGCAGGATGAGCAATTTTGGCCTGCCATGTCCAAAGCGTTCGGCGAGAAAGGCAGCTCCGTAGAGCAGTCACAAAGCGACGCAAGCGAGCTGAAAGTAGAGATTGATCTTCAATCTCGTTCGAACCTCTTGAGGCAGAACATGCAGGTCGCCGAAGTTCGTGATACACGTCTACTCACCAAACCTGGAGCTCCGCGCAAGCGTCATATCGCTTTGAACCTTCCAACAGGTCTTACGTACAAGACTGGCGACTACCTAGCCGTGCTGCCACATAACCCAATCGAGAATGTTCGTCGTGTAATGAGGAGATTGCGTATGCCATGGGACGCTACACTGAAGATCGAAGAAGGCTCTGCAACCTCATTGCCTACCGGTATTGCGATCCCCGTGTACGATATCCTGTCAGGTATGGTAGAGCTTGCACAGCCCGCCACTTCTCGCGCTGTTCAGATGATCGCCAAGACGATCCCAGAGGAAGCTGCGTCCAAAGAGCTTGCAAATCGAGCTGGTGACGAAAGCTTCCAGAAGAACAACATCAGCGTCTTAGACATCCTGGAGGAGTACCCAACAGCCGAGTTTTCTATTGGACAATTCCTCGGAGCCGTTCCTCCCATGAGAGTCCGTCAGTACAGTATCTCCTCCTCGCCCCTTGAGAAGGAGAATGTCGCCAGCCTTACATGGTCTGTTATCGACGCTCCCGCTAAAGGCAGAGGTGAAGGTCGTCATTTCGAAGGTGTGTCCAGCAACTTTCTTGAGAGACTTTCGCCCGGAGATCGCGTCCAGATAAGTCACCGAGCAAGTCGTACCGGCTTCGGTCTACCAAAGGACGACGAGTCACCCATCATCATGGCATGTGCAGGTACAGGTCTTGCTCCCTTCCGTGCCTTTGTGGCCGAGCGCGCTCTCAAGAAGGCGGCTGGTAAGAAGGTCGGTGCTGCGCTGCTATTCTATGGTCTCAATGCCCCAGATGAAGACGACATGTACCGTGAGGAATTTGGTGCATGGGAGAAGGCTGGCGTAGTCGACGTTCGCAGAGCATTCACTCACGCGTCCGAAAAATCCTGTGGCGCGCGTTTTGTGCAGGATCGTATCTGGCACGATCGCAAAGATGCCATCGAGATGTTCAAGCAGAATGCGTCTCTCTACCTTTGTGGTGCGGGTGTAGTGGGAACCGGTATCGCCGAGGTCATGAAGAAGATCAGAATGGAGTACCATGGAGGCAGCGAGGAAGAAGCCGCTGAGTGGGTTTCAAAGCTAAATGGTGAGCGCTACTGGGCAGATGTGTTTGCGTAGTGATACCAAGATATTGTATTGCTTTCTAGAGAACTGTTTCGTAATGAACTTTCCCTCAACAACACCGTGAGCTTGGGGAAATGTCGTGCATTGCCATGGTGACGGACTGCATAAATTGGTACTGATGCGGTTGTGCGCCCTCATTTGTGACTGCTAAATCTACAATTTGGCCTACAATAAAAGCCATTCCGATGATACGATGAAGAAATTCGAATAACCGATGACGCCCAAGTCATCGTTAGTCACGATGAATTTGCCCGAAGTGACAACAACTACAACATTGCATTCGCAAGCCTAGGCCTCTGAGGAAGGAGTCACCGATACTCATGCTCGCAAGCTTCTCTACTAGAGGAAAGAAATTAAGCTTATCCACATCAACGGTCTTTCTAGCCTCGGAAGATTCGCCTGTCATGTGAAAGAAGCTCCCAATATTCTTTTCAACACAGAATTGTCTGCCAATCTTCCTCTTCTGACCCATCAACTTTGCTGTACATCCACAATGGATGTCGATACGAGCAAATATGTCACGGAAGAGAGTGCAATCTCTTCTCTAGGATTTCCGCTATACACTAAGTCATGGAAGGTGCGATAATCCTGGAAGCTCTCGGCACAAACGATTATTATCATCTCATCATCAAGCCTGACTCGCTTTCTTACAACCAGTAGCCCACAGGAATCGTCAAAGCCAGACTCGTGTTTGTGCATGGATTCAGTGATCATTGTGAGTTTTCAAGATGGCATTGAATTATTCTGTCTTCCCACTGACAGATACACATAGGTAACAATCCCGGTGTTTTTCTCTTCCCCTATCTGGCCAGTCATGGAATTGAAGTGTACGCATATGATCAAAGGTATCACCTCCCCTCCCGCAACAAGCAACAAATACAGACCGATCTAACACCAGACTCCAGAGGCTTCGGTCGTAGCGCCAACCTACCATCCCAGCGCGGCGCCTCAGGACCTACCAAAACAGTCCTCCTCGACATGACAGAACTCCTCATGACAGTTCTTCCCTCCCCATATCCAGTTTTTCTCATGGGCCACTCAATGGGGGGCCAACAAGTGCTATACTACGGTACCCAAGGCCCAGTATCAATTCTCCAACAACTCAGCGGCTTCATCGTTGAAGCCCCAGCTATTCATCTTCCAGACGCGCCTACAGGTTTTCTGCGTCTACTTTTGCGGTATATGGCGAAGATGTTGCCAAAATTCCAGATGCATGCGGCGCCCAAGCCTGCGAGGTTGACCAGAGATCCGGTGAGGAATGCTGAGATTGAGGCGGATGTGCTGTTTCATGGTTACTGCACTTTGGAAGGGATGAATGGGGCTTTGGAAAGGGTTGACTATAACATCAGTGCTGGGTGTAAGCAGTTGGGCGAAGCCACACCGATGCATGAACCTAGTCTGCTTATGTTGCAGGGGACTGCGGATGACGTTTGTTTGCCGTCTGGTGCTGAGGAGTATTTCGAGAAATGCCCATTGAAGGATAAAGAGCTCAAGCTCTATGAGGGCTGGCTACATGAGCGTAAGTCATTATTGTCATTCCAATTGGGTTTCCTCGAGCTAACTTGATTGATCCAGTACACGGTGAAGTTGGCGAGGACAAGCTCACCTTCGCACGAGATGTGACTTATTGGATACTGTCTCACTCCAAATAAGTCGTGAGCACAGCGCGACCATTTCTGAAGTTCCCATATACATCAATAGAGCCAGTCTCATCGACGAGCTGTCCCTGCCTTTCTCAAAAACTATCAATGGAATCATCATGTTGCTGCTGGGTTCTTTTTCGACCGCTTTTTGCTACGGCTTCCATCATTGGGGGTATCAGCCTTTCTCTTTCCACCCTTTTTGCTCAAGCTACTTTTGTCGTCACGAGCTTTCGAATTCTCTTTTGCTTTCTTCTTCCAGCTTGCCCAACCAGGTCTGGCGAATAGCTGCTGGGGTTTGTGGATGAATGCAACTCGTCCCATGCCTTGCGCTTCCTCGGGTGATACTGGTATCGGTTGAGCGCTCTGGATGATCTCGCGAATGGCTTGGTCATCGTCCAGTTCTTTGGCGTTCTTGTGTTCTATCCGATTCATCATTCGTGCTCGCTCGAAGATGCGTTCTTCAATAGTGCCCTTGAGAATCAATGTCTCAGCATGGACTTCACGAGTCTGTCCAATACGATGCGCTCTTTTGAGTGCTTGCGCCTCTATCTGCGGGCGGTTCACAGGATTGATAAAGAACACTCTTGACGCACAAGAGAAGTTCAAACCATAAGCCGCTTGGCCGATATCCATCAACAGCACGCGGTGCTCGGGCTTTTGGTTGAAACGTACGACGTATTCTGACTTGAGAGCTGGTGTGAGTGACTTCGCATAAATGAGATAGTCGATGTGAAGTACTTCGAGGGCTTGCGCAATGTAGTATGCTGTGTTATCATTGTCGTAAAAGACCAGAATTTTCTCCTCACGATAAAAGTCCTCGATGCGAGAGAGAAGATAGCTGAGCTTGGCGCTTGTCGTACCAACGATGCTGGTCTGGCGGAGGACAGAGTCGAGGGGTAATTGGATGTCTTCTTCCTCGTCGGGGGCTTCGGAAGCTTCTGAATCCTTTTTGGATGTAGGCGAGCTGATCGTAGGCTTTGATGGGTGTGACCTTAGGGCATTTGCGCTGGTAGAGCGCTTTTCTCTGTTCTGATTGGCCGCAAAAGTGGACGAAGGTATACCTGCCTTTGCAAGTACGGGTGTGCTTGCAGAAACAGTCGGCTGTGGATGCAAGACGGACAGCGCGCGTATACCGACTCCTGCAAGGCCTTCTGCTGGATCCAAGTTGCTTTGACGGTTGACGTAATCTTGAGCTTGCACAAGTTGAGTTGCTCCGCACAAAAGAAACGAGGTTGAAGATTCTGTCAATTGTCAGTAAGCATGTACTCAAGAGTAAAGTCATCAAACGAGTTTACCGTTCGCTTTATCAAATGACCAGAATGCGGCAGATTCAGCAGGCCATTCTTTCACAAAAAGACCAACTTCGTGGCTTGTAGTCAACGCTGACCAACCTTCCGAGCTGACCATGATTCCGGCTTGCCCGATACAGCGCTTGAGTAGATCCTCGTCCGCTCTTGAGCACAGTTTGGTTTGCTTCTCGATATATGCTTCACTTTGCTCAATAGCAGCTTGCATATCGGCGGTGCTGAATCCAGTCCAATAGAAGGCACTTGCACGTAGGTTGTTCCTATCACGGAGATTCGGCATTAGCTTGAAATTTGGACAACAAGCAAAAAGTCCAACAGGGCGTTACTTACAGTAGTTGAGTACGTTCCTTTCCGCTCTTCTTGTGAAAAATATAGTCCACGTCAGTCCTCTCACTGGTTACAGCATTGGCATTCAAGACGAAAACGAACGCATTCACTGTGAGTTTGTCATAGAATGATGGTTCCAGGCGGATGATCTTGTGGGTCAGTGGCGGTAGCTCAATGTCTCTTTGAACATCTGCAAATTGCGTCCTGATCACGATTGACTCCAAGGTGCGACGAAGGCATTTTGAGAAACCAGAGAAGGTTCGCATACGTGGTCGAGTCATTTCGTGGCGGAAAAAGTGGTCGACCCAATCGGCGCCTCTCTCTTCATCGCCAGCGCTCCAGGGCCTGATTCTCAAAAAGTTGCTTACCAAAGAACCAATACTTCGAACGGCTCCGTCCTTCTCGTCTTTACTTATGAATGTTTTTCTTTGACTGAGCAGAGTGTCGCGTCTGAGAAGTTCATCATCGTCGATAGCAGAGTCAGAGCCTGTGCCAGGTCCAGGTCCAGGTCCAGAGCCATTTTGAGAATCGGCACCACCAGGCTCGACTGGAGCTGGAGAACCATAATGAGACATTGGACCAACCAGATCCATTTCTATGCCGATGAGATCTTTGGCAGGAGTACCACTGACAACCCAGTGGTGAGAGGCTTCGACGAGTTTGTTTGCAACTGTCGCAATTCTGGTATTTTCAGCCGCCATACCATGGCCCTCGTCGATGATCACGCGTAAGAAATGTAAAGCTTTGAGCGGTGATACATAAAGATCCTAAAATGTACGAGATCAGCTCAGTTTTCTACTCGTCTGTTGCAAAGGAAGGTTGACCCACATCAGGTTGTACACAGACACAATCCCGCGTACGTGTTGCGCCAATGTAAGGACAACTGCAGGAGACTGGGTATCTCGACATGCGCCGTCCAATTGGGTCGGCACCATCTCTGTCCTCACATTCAAAGCGTGGTCTGCTGAATAAAATGAGGTCGAACTTGGCCAGCTCTCCTGGAGGAGGCAGGGGAACTTTGTTGTCATCCATTACCAAAGTGCGCAAACTGTCTTTCGTCGTATGCTTTTCCAACTCGGATTGCCACTGCGACAAGAGATTTCTCGACACAACAACCAGAGTTGTGGCAGCCAGTGTCATCGTTCTCGGGGCTGGCGTTGTAGTTCCTCGATTGCGGCGGAGTGGCTCAGCAGGAATTTCGTAAGAAGGGGCGTTCTGGCTCAAGAGTGCAATACATTGACCCATGTGCTCACCCGTGAGCTCTTCATGCTTTTCAAAATATGAGCGCCACGGCGCTGAATGTCGGTTGATGGCTGAGATGGCTGTCTCCACAAGACTCGCGGTCTTTGGTCGAACCGGGACCCGATCATATTGGGCAGGGGTTTGAGGAAGATAACCTCGAGTCGCTAAAATCAACGCGATACAGATGACTGTTTTACCTAAGCCCATAGTCTCCGCAAGGACTAAGTGAAAACAAAGTCAGCACTTCTCTGTAAAGGCATAGAACGGCAGAGCCTCGACAACACAGTGGAAAGTACTCACTTCCTCCCCTGCAAGAATCATACAACCGAGGACTCCGAAGAAAAGAAACTTCCCAGGGCGCATAGAAGTACCTGGTTCCATCGGTCGCGATACGTTGTTCAAGCCGAGGATCAAGCTCGGTCTTGTCCTCGTACTCCCTTTGAAGCATTTGGCCGGCCGATTTTCGTTGATACGGATAGAGAGAGCTTCTGAGTCCAGGTAGTTGATACTGGTCATCGAGAAGCTCTGACAGGGCCTCTCGGTGAAAATGACTTGTCACGTTCTCGAATGATGGATTCGGAGACGGCACGTTGTTGAACAGCCAATACAGTGAGCCTGATTCTCCAGCTGCGAACATTTCAAACGGCTCTCGTTGGATTGGTGGCCGAGCGTGCCATGTTTCGGTCGACGTGTCGATGCTTTGTAGCAAAGAGAACAAGTCAGTATCTATGCCACGATTGATGCGTGGCAAGAAACGTTGTCCGACGTCTAATGGAAGAACATAGACTCTGAAGACTGCCTTGGAAGGAACACTCATGAACAGGCGAAGGCGCTGTCGAGTGAGAAGCTTTTCAATGTGGTCGACATCGTTGACGGATAAATCTAGACGTGGTAATGTGACAAGGTCAACTTCCTCCCATTCGCAAGGAGTACCATCTGGTGTGCGCAAGGCGATGGTGCCGATAGGTAAATAGTTGTTGAGGTCTTTGAGGAATCGAGTTTTCTCTAGCGAACTGGCAGAAGGCGCTTTACTGGCATGAAGTGTCGGGAAGTGAGGTGAACCTTGATCGCTGCTGTCGTCGTCGTCATCGTCCATCAAATCAACAACCACCCGACCACGTTGGATGGCCATGGCTTCTTTACTACCACTGGATGCCGGCCTAATGTATTGAATAAAAGGTAGCGATGTGAAAGTGAAGCATCGTGTTGCAGTAAAGACAAGTGATGCCATAAGGAAGGCGCTTTGGCCGGCTGTCGGAGGGAGGCGTCTCGGCCAAGCTGCCACCAGTGTTTGTCACGCTGTAGAAGTATACGATTGTCTTCAAATCAGAGTTGGTTCTAGTAAGATCAAGTCAAGAAACCTGTCTCCTTGGACAACTGCTTTGATCTGGGAAATACTGTGCATTGCTGCAGCGCAATGCGCGCCAATCTCCAGCAATGAGGCGGCGCTTCTGTTTTGCGGATGATGCTCAACGCCATGGCAACCCTGTCCAGACCGAAATGAAGTAACAAGTACCTGCAACTGAGAGCATGTGGAATTGATTCAAGCTGAACATGCTGCTGAGTGCGATATCAGACATTGCTTTAGGTCTCAGGCTTAACTTTGGAGATTTACTGGCATTTCTTCACTCTCCGTCTGATCGTCTCATGGTGCAGGATTTCAACTGGCTGGAAGCACTTCGCTGGACCATGTCAAGATTTTTAAGACAGTTACACTGATGGGTAAACCCTTCTCTCAATTGATATCCCGCTATTCTACCGATCATCATTCACATAGGCATACGGATACATACTTAACGATGTGATAGCAAGAAAACACAGGCAGTTGTATAGATACGACGGATACGAGCACACGCAAGCCGGTCAAGCCACAAACGGTCGGTGGGAATACAAGGCCACCAAGCTTTTCTGCCAAGGCGATACGATGATTGGGTCCACTGGCCTCGTCATCTTTTGAACTGAGAACCTCTCGACTCGTTCGCTATCACAAACCGATCAACTCTTCTCCCAAAATCGTCAGACATGTTGTCCAAAAGAAGTGCTCAAAAGCTGTCGTCTAGGACCATTGAGGCGCTTGGAGAGTTTGAACCGCCCGTTGGTGGCTAAGGTCTACACGCCGGCTATCACGGAGTAGGCCTACCTATTACGCGTCCCTTGAAGTTTCGGGTATCATATATTATTGCTGGGCCTCTGGGCAGCCTGGCAGGTAAGCAGCTGATTCGGGATCAATGATTGACTCGTAATGGATTGTTGTCTTGTTTTCAACAGTCCACTCCTTTACCTTCAGTGCTTCGCCCGGATATATGTTTGTATGAAAGTCGCTGCCACTAAAAACAGAATCGATTTGATTGCTTTTGAAACAAGATACAAAGCCACGACCAACCGCATCCCGGTATAAACAGACTCGACCCAGGCAACTGCCTCAAGGTAGAACAGAAGATAGACGCAAACGAAAAGATGAAGCTTTTTGCTCGTCTGAATGTGGTTGTGCTGCTTGCAATCTCGGCCCTGCTATACTTGGGCTGGACGCTGCGCTCGTATCATCCGATCACGCGAGCAAAGAAAGTCTGGAGTCGTAAGACGACTGAGATCGTAGTGTTTGGAGACTCATGGAGCACCAATCACCTCGAACTGTCGCTGTCTGCGGAGCGACCAGCGACGCCGGTTGATAAGAAACTTTGGGTGGATACGCTGTGCTTGGAGGTGTGTAAAATTGGACGCGCTTTGTCTCGACTCATTTCTGACCCGGATAGCTGGTTTGCGACCGCATCTACGACCTCGCCCAATCACTGCCCTCCTATCCCTCGCACCTGCGAGGGCCTGTCATCGACAACGACATCTACGCCAATCATACCCGATCGTTGAACCTAACTACAGGTCTTGGAAAGATCCCAGACTTTGGCCATCAAGTTGATGACTATCTCGCACAAGACGATGCTCGATGGAAAGATGATGGAGAACAAAACGGACAAACCACGATTATCCTCACCGTCTTCTTTGGTTTACAAGAGATTTGGGACTTTGTGGGTCTGCAGCAAGACGCTGTCTTGCCCGCTGTCATGGAGTGCATATCGTCCATGTTTGCGCAGCTGGACCGCCTCGTCCAGGCGGAGTCGGTGAAAGTGATTCGTCCCACTGTCATCATACCCAAGCTGCCGGATCCGACCTTCTTCCCTCGTTGGATCACCCAGCGTACGTCTGCAAACGGGACAGACAAGTATGGTCAGCTCCAGCGTCAAGCCGTAGTCCTGACCGATCTCTGGAACCATGTTCTGGAGAAGCAAGCCGAGGCCTGGAACAAGGCTCACATCGTCATGCCCGACTTCCATACGTGGATGCTTGAACAGATGCGAGAACCTGAAATCGATGAGACAGGTCTTGTAGCAATCTCGAAAATCAGAGCTGATTCCAGATTCACCGAGTTGACCCAGCCCTGTGTCAACTACACCGCTTCCTTTGACAGAGACGGAATCGAAACCCGTCCATTCACCGTGTGCGAGGACCCGTCGCAATTCTTGTTCTGGTATGTCAAAGCTCGAGCTGACTTCTTTGTTTGAACCCACAAATTGATGCGCTTTCCAGGGATGATACGCGTTTGAGCGGCACCGCACATGAAATGTTAGGCAAACACGTTGCTGCGATTCTGAAGAATAACACAGCTTCCAATCAGACGCTGTATGTCGAAAACGCAAAAACCAAAGACGCAAATCGCCCGGTTTCCTTGAGCGAATAGGTCGGCTCGAGCGACAAGGCAGAGAAGGAGAAGCTTTTAATTGATCAAGCTGGCCAAAGGGCGAACGATTGCTTTCAATAATCGGTTTGTTCGCATTGTACATGTGGTGCGTTCCTCGGCCAATCTCCTTGCGTTTGGTCGGAATGTCTCACCTTGGCCCGACTTTCCCGCATGCGGAAATTTACCCACCATCAGAACAAAGAAGTGCCAGCTCGGGTTGTCTGTCGCAACCCTTCTCGTTTCGCCGGATCTGGTCAGGACAATCGGACCTGAAGTGCAGTCGTTCGTCATGATACAAAGAACAGCAGGACCAATCGCCGGCTCTGGCGAGAAGAAAGGCGAGGCGTAGGCGTTGTTGAATAATGGCCGCGAGCCCCCGTCTTTGGACCTTTGTTCGCGTTTTGACATGAGAAGGTCAAAGACGGCATTCTGACAACAAAAGAGTGCATTCCTGGCCATCCCCTTTCCAATGTCTGTCATACGAGTACCCCTATCCGAACCAAGGTTTTCAACATCGTCGCCGACTACATCATCGACTACTGAGCCTTCCCATGCCCAACCCCAGATCGTCTTTACCAGGCAGTTGTGGGAGAGAACGATGCCATCTGCAGAACACGACGACTTGAGCACAAGTTCCCAAGGTATCGCAAGCGACGGAGGTGTCAGTTCTCGCAGAGCGTCGACCAACGTACCGATTGCTCCGCAGTTGCAACCTTCGCCCAAATCCCGACTCTCGGACACACCGCTGACGCCTGAAGAGTCACCGCCCTTTCGCGACCATCGAAAGAGGAGCGCCGAAGCTCTTGACCAGGACGAAGTCAACGACGTGAGCCCTTCACACACCAGAGACGGCAGCACTGAATCCTTGGCCAACTTTTGTCTGTGTCAGCCCGAGCCGAAGGTACCCAGACCTCGAAACGGTTAGTCAACGACCTCTTGTTTCTGTCATAGTGATCGCGTGTGCTGATGTTCCACAGCTTTCATCCTCTACCGCCAGAACCGCCAAGCAGCTGTAGTCGCCCAGAATCCAGGACTTGCCAATCCGGAGATCTCAAAGATCATCGGCGAACAGTGGCGCAACGAGCCCGAAGGAGAGAAGAATCGGTGGAAGGCGTACGCAGAGGTCAGTCAGATCAATCTCCTCAATTGGTGAAGGTTGCTGACGATATCACAGGAAGAGAAGTTACAGCATCAGCAAAGATACCCCTCGTATCGTTACCAGCCTAAGCGATCAGGACGCCGAGGCAGTGTCTCCTCTGAATCAGGCTTCTCGCAATCAGATCAGCGCAAGTGTCAGAAGTGCGGCGGTCGAACCATCATCCATCCTACACCAAGCACGCCTTCTTCGGCTCGAGAAAAACCACACAGTCTGGACACGAGTCCTTCCTCAGCATATCATCAACCTTCACGTCTGAACGCATTTCAACTGCCGCCTCCCACACCTTCATCTACCACCACTCCTTCTACTCGCTATCTGCCTATGCTCAACAACCTTTCTCTGTCGTCTCCACACCCTCGCAACATGTCAAATGGACGTCCTCCGCAGCCTTTCATGGGCCAGCGTGGCCAGGATGAACACTCATCTATTCTGTCTCCCGACTCAAAGCGACGCAGATTCGAATCTCCACAAGGAACATACGTCATGTCGACACGAACCATGCCACCACGACACAACGCTGGACCCGGTACACCGTTCCCCTTCGGCCCCCAAGGACAGCCTGCTATGCAGCAAGGCCAGCAGATGGGCCCACCTCATCAATTCCAACCTCCGCCTGGCGCGCAACATCTTCGTAGGGAGAGTCTACCACGTCCTGCCGATCTCTTACGAGGACCTGTACCGCCAAACATGAACATGATGGGACCACCACCTCGTCCTGGACCCGGCTATTCGCAACACAGAGCCAGCCAAGGCCAGCGTCCAGGTGGGCCTGAGCTCAGCCTGACACTACCTCCCTTGCAAGCTGGCAATATGTCCGGTCCTCCGACATCCACCAGAAGTGGACCCAGTCAACCACCCAGCGGCAACAGAGGCAGCGACTCCAAGGAGCCTGACCGACGCAGCGTGGGTGAAATCATCATGTCTATGTCTTTCATGGCCAAGGTACAGATTCTAGGCCGGGTCGCACCACCATTTCCTGCAAACGACAACAAGTCGCGAGGAACCATAATCGCTATCGAAGGTGATGATCCAGAGGCAGCACGCAATGTGACAGACTGGCTTGAGGAGTTTCTCGGTCGCGAAGGCGATATGGTGGTCAAGGTTGTTGACGGCCCCAAGTTACCAGAGGGCAATGATGGACAAGAAGTGCAGTTTCAGGAACTACTACGCACAGTCGGCGAATGGCATGAAAAGAGCAAGAAGATTGAGGAGCTTGTCCGTGGTGATACGGAGAGAAAAGACAGTGACACGAGCTTGCTGTCGTCGTCTGGACCTGATAGCGAAGCCATGGAGGTCGACTCATCTCATGCAAGTGGTGGAAAGCTGGTGATACTCCTGCGTACGTACACAGTGACAGCGTCTAACGTGTTTGCGTCACGAGTGGCCATTAGGGACGCGTACAAAGCAGCAGATCACTGGCAGTGGACAGCGACGTTATGGCGCGGAATCGTCGGACCGGACATGACGGTTTATGTCAAGGAGGCCGATAAGGCAGAAGATGGAGGAAAAGGTGGAGTGGAGATCAAGGAGGAAAACCGGATCATGGCGGTCCGACGTTTCAAGGGCTCTGAAGAGAACGGCGGAGTTGAAGGTATCGAAGCAGGTACCCTTCGACGTCTTGGCTTCGAGGTGGGTGAATGGGTCCGAAGTGGTGGAGGGAAAAAGGAGTAGAGGAGAGTTGAAGCACATTAGCGTATCATCTATACAGCGTATCATAGCATTCTGGAAATGCTTCTATCATCCCATGCACATCGACATGAGTATGATGAGATTAACATGTGATTGGGCAAGGCCAAACAAGCAAGTTTGATTGGGGCTTGGCGAGGGGTTGATGTGGGGGAAGGCCCGTAGGGCTGGCGGGCGTATCGTCCGTGTCAACAAACGAACAATCAACATTGGACCGTCATCTCCATCAACCTTCAACCATCAACGTGCATCTTACAGGAACAATTGAGCGACATATCCCGGCCAAGCTTGAACGCAGCAGTGACGCAGCAGTCGTATCGCTGATAAGATCGGGTGAGTGTGCCTGCAACGACAACGTCTTCATTCCTCGTTAGCGGCTGACGGAATGAGGAGAGACAGAGAGCAGCTGAACAAGGGATAAGACATAATAGACATCGTCGTCTACCACCACCATGGCGACGTTCATGCAGACAATGTTGGTGCAATCCTCCCCTCCCCGTCCACACTTCCCTGTCCAGGCCCGACCGCTGCCCGCCCTGCACTCGAACGTGCTGGCTGCCAGCGAGTCGTGGTCACAGCTGTCGCTATGCTTTCCAGACAGCCCTAACACGGCGCCGTCGTCATCACCGCTCCAAAACCGCATCCGCAATGCGCTGGGAAGAGGTCTTCACACAGATGCTGACATGTTCTCGACGTGCAGCAACGCCAATCGTGGCACGCGGTCGTCCTTCAGACCTGCGCGCGCCGCTAAGGGCACAAACAGTTGGCAGCTTAAGCAGTTCGCCGAGGCGACACTGGGAAGCGGCAGCTTGAGAAAGGTTGTGCGCCTGCCCGAGGGTGAAGACAAGGACGAATGGCTGGCCGTCAATGTTGTCGACTTCTACAACCAGATCAACTTGCTGTACGGCGCCATTACAGAATTCTGCAGCCCGCAATCGTGTCCCGAGATGAAGGCAACCGATGAGTACGACCATCTCCTCCGCTCTAGCCTCCTCTCCACGGCCGCTGACTTCCTACTCCTCCCAGGTTCGAATACCTTTGGCACCATCCCCCAGAGTTCCCTCGTCCCGTCCGTCTCCCCGCTCCCAGCTACATCTCGAACCTCCTCTCCTGGACCTCGAACCTCCTCTCGGACGCTGCCATCTTCCCCACCCACCCAGGCGTACCATTCCCAGCAACCTTCCAATCCACCATCAAGCAGATCTTCAAGCGCCTGTACCGTATCTACGCACACATCTACTGCCACCACTACGGCGTCATCAGAGGTCTTGGCCTCGAAGCCCATCTCAATACTGGCTTCAAGCACTACGTCTTGTTTGTGGAAGAGTTTGGACTTGCTGATGAGGGCGGCAGAAGGGATGCCAAGGCTGAGTGGTACGGCCCGTTGGGCGAGTTGGTCGAGAGTATGTTGCGCAGCGACTAAGTGCTGATTTTCCCTCTTCCCTCTTCTCCTTCATCTTCAATTGGCTTGGTCAGGAACAATCGGCGTTGTGGTTATGGATGGACTTGGCAGATGGATATGGGATTACACGGTATGCGCTTTTTCTCTTATCTCCACTGCTGTCATGCACGGTGTTTTCCGTTTGGCTTCACTTCATGTCGAGACGGACGAGTTTGAACGAGCGACCTAGACTTGTGGACTCCTATTTTCGAACTTTACATTCTTCTTCCCTGCGTTGCGCCCAATCTGCGACATGTTTACTCTCACAGTGCACTACCACCAAGCTTCCAAGGACGTATCGGCAGATCATCGTTTCGTGCCTGCCCGTGTGCAAAACTCTGTCACCTTTGTCGTCCTCCAGCAGACGCTCTTCAAGAACCCGACGCTTGTGGATATGCACAATGTTCTTGATTTGTTATATTAGTCCACAGAGATGAGCTGTTTGATACACTCACTGGACACGACTCTTGTTCGAAAACTATCGTGCCTTTCGATGACTGTATGCGTGACGGAGTTCAGCACACGGGGAGGTATGACCAGCCATGACTAGTTGCTTGACTCCTCAAAAGGGGTCTCGTAAGGAGGCTCAGCCTGAGGTGTTAAGCGAGCGAGGTGACGGCGTTGACCGTCTTGCCAATCGAGAATGGCGGCTAAGAGACTTGGTTAGCAAACACAGGTATCAAGGATCGCGACTTTTACTTACTGTGAGCAGTAACACGGTTGTCCCAAACGATGACTGTTCCAGGGGCCCACTTGACTCTGGCCTGGATGTCTTGTGAGTACGCGATGTGGTCATACAGGAACTTGAGCAAATAGTCGCTCTCTTCCTTCTTGTAGCCCGCAATGCGTCTTACGAACTGCTGGTTTACGAAGAGAGCTTTCTCTCCAGTGGCAGGATGGGTTCTGACAACGGGATGAGTGTTCGCGACCGGATCGCGGCGAACGATGCTTCCTCGCGACAGAGCATTGTTGGCCTGTTCATGACCTGAATGAACAGCCTTGAGTCCGTGCAATCGCTTTTGGAACTCTGGAGATAATCTACGGTATGCTTCTGCCTGGTTGACAAAACAGGTGTCACCTCCTGCAGCAGGGCCATCCAAGATGTACAAGAAGGTAGTGCCTGGAGGCTGCTTCTCATATGTTACATCGCTGTGCCAGGTAATACTGTTGGTACGCTCCTCGAAGTAGTCTTTGGCGGTGGTATCGGCTGCGGATCTGTGCACGAGATGGACCTTGGGGAAGCCCTTGGGTGCGCCAGAGGCAGGATGAATGTGCGAGGGTCCGAAGTACTCGGCGAAGTCCTGGGCTTCTTGAATTGGTAGATTTGCGAAGTCTTGATCGCGGAAAGCTGTGCCGTGTTAGTCTCTGCTGCACGAGAGATATACTAATCACAAGTACTTACCGACGACTTTCTTTTGTGCGACAAAGAGTGCGAGCTCATCCTTTCCGGCCTTGTCGAGCTGGCTCAGTTGCACGCCCTTGACCTCGGCACCGATATTGGCAGTGACATCTTCGACCGAAGTGACACCTTTCAAGAGGTTCTTGAATGATGGGTCGGCGTCCTTTCCATGCTCATACGCCTCGAATGGCTCCAGAGGTGGGTACTTTCCGCCAATGTCCTTCTCGTTGTCCCACACTGGGAGGTAAAGTGGGTAGCTTGCGGGAGGATGCTTGCCAACGCCTTTTAACTCATTGTCATAGTTTGTTGTCTTGGGGCCTTGAGCAAAGGCCTCTTTGTAGCCATCCTGGCGCTGGTCTTTGACATAGATCTTCTCTGCCGTCGAGTCTTGGGGAGTTTCAATCAATGCAGGAGCCATGGTCTTGTTTTTGGATATGAATTTATATTTGTTATAAGGTAAGAGCAGAGGGGAATGGGAACAGTGACTAAACAGAAGGAGCAACCGTGCTACTTTTGAAGTCGCCTCGGATGCCGGCACTTTGTTTGAGGGATCGACTGCTGATACAAAGAAGAGATACAACCTGCGGACCTTCCCAATGTAACAGCATCAGCCAAATCACAGATCAGACCAACACAGTTCATGATATCTCCACGGCATTGCGTGCGATGGCCGAATGTGGTTCCGCAATATGCCAAGCGTATCACTGACCTCTAGGCTCCACGGCAGTTCGACCATCCACTCAAAACACCCACCCTCCATATTGTACATGACTTTGTACGTTGAATCACCACATTATCAACCTATAGTATGCCAGTATATAATCAGACGAATATCAGGCTAATGCGTGGTCAACAGATGTCGCCATCCTTGCCAATGTACTCCGCAAAGCACGCCATAGCACACTCACTTCCCGACTAGGAAATTCTCAACCTCTGAGCCCTGCTTGCATCAAAAACGCACCCCATCACACAACACGAAGTTGCAGATAGACTACGAAGATTGGAGGTTGCGTGCTCCTCTTGCCTTTCTATTTAGCCATCGGTGAGAACGGCGATATCGCGGATCGATCCTACCCTTGCCCGCACCAGTGTAGGACAGTCGTATCCACTCGGTGCAAGTCATGGTACTGAGTACGCGGTCCACTATCAGGTCTCAACAGACCTGCTCTATCCACTCATGCAATCACGTTTGCTACGATGTTTGAACGGACTTTTTTCTTGCGCGGAAAGATGCATTACGTCGAGTCTTTAGATCTCTGAGATATTAGTACTGGGTTATCTGCACCTACCTGACTTCTTGTTTTTTTTGTCTCTCTCTCTCTCTCCCAAACCAGCAGCCATTTTTACCGCTCCATATTCTCCGACCATGGGCGCGATGGACAAGGTGGAAAGCGACACGAGTTCGAACAACTCTAACCATGTCTCGGATAGCAAGGCATTTCCAGTGGCTCTGGTTGATGAGCCAGTGATCTTTGACACTGCAGGCAAGACTCGGGAATCTGCTTTCGACACAGATTCTTTCGAGCACCACTACAAACCTATTGAGGAATATGAAGGCTACCATCGCTGGGACCCATCCTTCCAATGGGAAGCCAAAGAGGAGAAGAAGCTCGTTCGAAAGGTTTGTCATTCTACCACCAATAGGAGTAGGGATGTTTTCTGACATCTTTTTGCAACACAGATTGACCTTCGAATCTGTTCATGGGTCTGCTTTATGTTTTTCGCATTGCAGCTGGATCGCGGCAACATCTCACAAGCGCTCTCCGACAATATGCTCACTGACATCGGGATAAACACAAACGACTACAACACTGGTCAAACGATTTTCTACCTCTGCTTCTTGTTTGCCGAATTGCCAAGTCAAATGTTGGGCAAGAAGATTGGTCCTGACAACTGGGTCCCCATCCAAATGGTTTTATGGTCGTTGGTAGCTGCTTGCCAGGCTTTCATCCACGGCCGTTCTGGGTTTTGGGCATGCAGAGCATTGCTTGGCCTCATTGAAGGAGGCTTCGTAAGTCATCGGAACACAACATTCTCGACACAAAACTGACACGATTGAAGATCCCTGACAACATTCTCTACCTATCGTACTGGTACACGACTCACGAGCTTCCTATTCGACTGTGCTATTTTTGGTTCTCGTACCAGTTCACCAGTATTGTGTCAGCTTTCCTCGCCTTCGGCTTCTTGCACATGCGCGGCATCAATGATATTGCTGGTTGGCGTTGGCTCTTCGCCCTCGAGGGCTGTCTCACCGGCATCATTGGTGTAATCTCATGGTTCTACATCCCTCCCTCACCCACACAGACTGCATCTAAATTCCGCGGCAAGGATGGCTGGTTCAACGAAAGAGAAGAGAAAATAATGGTCAACAGAGTTTTGAGAGATGATCCTAGCAAAGGAGACATGCACAACAGACAAGCTCTTTCTCTAGGCATGTTCTGGAAGTGCCTCAAGGATTACCACATGTGGCCCATTTACCTCCTTGGATTGACTTGGATGATGCCCGCGAACCCCATGACGTCTTATCTCACTCTCAACCTCAAGAGTGCTGGCTTCACCACCTTCCAGGTCAACCTCTTATGTATCCCTGCTTATTGCTTTTTCATCATCAACTTGCTATGGCTGTCATATCTCTCGGAGAAGGTCAACGACCGCTTCCTTATCGGCACGATCTCTCAGATTTTCGTCCTGCCTTGCCTCATTGCACTTGAAGTGCTACCGACGGGAAGAAGCCACTGGGCTACTTGGATTTTGAGTTGCTTGGTCTACGCACAACCTTACATCCATCCCGTAATCGTCGCTGTGACGTCCAGAAACGGTGGCAGTGTTCGTACTCGAGCAGTGGCTACTGCTTTGTACAACATGTTTGTGCAAGCTTCGTCAATCATCTCTTCCAACATCTACCGCGAGCAGGATAAGTGCGTTGTCTCCTCCTATCTCTTGTGCGAAAAAGCTAATGATCTATAGACCATACTACTTCTTCGGCAACAAGGTACTTATCGGCATCGTCTGCTGGAACATCTGTATGTTTATCGGATGCAAAGTCTTTTATGTCACTGTCAACAAGTAAGTTTGATCACATCCCACGCTTAATGTTTGAACATTGTGCTGATACTTTGATAGACGCCGTGATCAGAAATGGAATGCCATGTCCAAAGAGCAGAAAGAGCACTACCTTGCCACCACGACTGATGAGGGAAACAAGCGTTTGGATTTTAGATTTACTCATTAGAGTTGTGATGGATATCTTGGTCACTATGCTAAATTCTGTCACTTCTAGTAATCTCCCACAGCCATGCGTGGGTTCGTTTGGTCTGTAGAAATGCATGATATTTTTTGAGATCGCTCTGGTCGTCCGTAGAGAGGCACTAACCATCACGCTTTGAATTGGAGGTTATCTCTGCAAATGCTAAAATCGTGCAATTCTACAGCTATACGCCTGGACAAGTTTAGCACACGGGGAGGTTTCGTGCTTCATTTGGTTTCTTCACAGTCCGCCATTTAGGACGAGAGATGGTCATGTGAGAAGAGTTTGATTCGTATTATCTAAGTGATTTCGTTGGATCATGTACAGCATCGAGTGTCCAGAAAACACTGCAGCCCTCTAGGAAGGAGCCTTGTAGCCATCGACATCAGTGCTAGTACTCAACTTCTCGAACTTCTTGACATTCTCCCTGTACTGGTCCAACTTTTCGTTGATGCCGGCATACGCATCAGTGCCGATGACACATCTCAACGGTGGCTCATCCATGACAGCCAACTCGTACATGCACCTAGCACCCTTCTTAGGATCACCAGCTTGCGTGCCATTTCTCTCTTCCATACTCTTCTTCGCATCCAAATGATCGTAGGCCGTCTGCTTCGTGCCGAACTCCATCGATCTTCCAGCCCAATCTGTGCGGAAACCGCCGGGCTCGATGCAGGTGAGCTTGATGCCCCATTCGGGTTTCAGTTCCTTGGACAGGGCTTCGGTGTAGCCTTCTACTGCCCATTTGGAGGCGCAGTAGATGGAGAAGAAGGGAACGCCGCGTTGGCCGCCGATGGAGGTTACTTGTTGGATCACACCGCCTTGGGGAGATTGTTCGCGCATGCTTTCGAGGGCTTTGCGGGTTACGTCGATGAGGCCGAAGAAATTGACTTCCATCTGTGGAGAATGTTAGTGAGTTGTGAGAATGGTTGAGTGATGAGACAGGCTTGCTTACCTGCTTGCGGATCTGGTCGTCGCTCAAGCTCTCGAATTCACCGGCGAGACCATAACCGGCACTATGCAAACCATCAGTATTGGCTCGTCAAGGACCATCAAGGTGGAAACTCACTTGTTGACGACAACATCAAGACGACCAAACTTCTCAATGGCCTTCTTGAACGCAGCATCGATGGAGTCCTTCTTGGTAACATCAAGATCAACGGCAAGGTAGTTCTTGTCTGTCGCGCCCTCAGGTTTCTCAAGCTTGGAGGAGTTACGGGCAGTAGCGATTGCGTGGTCGCCCTCTGCGATGATCTTCTTGACGTACTCGGCACCGAAGCCGGTGGATGTTCCTGTGACGAAAAAGACCTTTGGCGACATGTTTGGGTGGTTTTAATTGATTCAATTGATCTTTGCGAACAGAGATGGGCAGTGGTTTGTGTTGATATATGGTTGCTGTTTGGGTTTCTGATCAACGTCACCTGTCGTCATCGCCGTTAACCCCTAAATCCGAGATACCTTTGTGGTCACCGAACGCTTCCTCGGAGCATCACTCCCATCACATTCCAAATTCTTCAAAAGCCAATGGGAAAGACGAAAACCATGGTGATGACACAAAGCATGCAATAATTGTATCTCTTCTCGATTGTAGGTTTCAAGCCTGGCCCATCCATTTGAGAACCTCAGTACCCAACGACTCTTCCCGCTCGATTCCGGTGCCCAAAGCGATGACGGTGCTAAAGTGATTGTGGCCCTCCAATAGCACCTCTGTCAGCTTGTCCTGTCCGAATCTCTCTTTCCACTTCTTGACAAAGTCGTTGCTGGGCTCGATAATCTCGTCTTCTGGGTCCAAGGTTCCGAGTACAGCCAACACTCTCGTGATGGGTGTTTCGGCCCTTGAAACAAGTCCAAGAGCACAGTCCTGTTCAACTTTGTCTTTGTAGTATGCAGTAAGCACTTCGGAGCGGTCCTCACCCGCTTGTTGGAAGTGTGCGGGTATAGACACCAACACGACGCCCTGGATGACCACAGAGCCACTCTGGACCGACTTTCTTGATTCGGCGAGTGAGGGCTCGAGTAGCCAGGTTGCGGAGTGAACCGCACCAGCAGAGTTGCCCATGATCCATAGCTTATGGTTGCCCGTACTGAAGCGGTTCTTGACCCATTCGAGGGCACCTGCTACATCTTGACCGCCGGACGGGAAGACGCCGCCGTCGCCTGTACGTCTGTAGTCGGGAATTACAGTGATGAAGCCTCTGGACTGGACATTGTCAGCTGTTCTGTTTTGCCGCTGGAGTTAGCTCTGTACTCACTGAGAAGTAGTGTCCGATGTTTGCATAGACCAATCCTTCGGCTGTTGGTGGACTAGGCATACGCTTATCACCTCTAGACAGGCCACCTCCATAGACAAAGACCAGGATGGGCGTATCGTCTGAAACTTGCTTTGGTGTGTAAAAGTCAAGCTTCTGACGCGGGTCAGATCCATACTTGAACTCTTCTCGCGGTGTCGACTCGATATTGCTTCTGTTCTTTTCGTGGAGAACAGAATATGCCTTCATCGTCGGCATCAATGCCGGGAAGATGGAGCGTCCGAATGCTGGTAGTTGATCCATGATGTGTGGTGTTCAAAGTCACGTTTGGCCTGTTGGAGCGATGTGATGAAATCAAAGGTGTAAAGCAGGAAAATTGCAAGGCTTCAAGCTACAAGGTCCCGTGTGATAATGCCGCTGCTCTTTGCTAAGCGACCGGAGCTCTACTTATCCATGGCCCGGACAGTGTGACAGATGATTCTGAGCCCTAATGGACTTCGGCACATGGAAACATACAGCGAGATTCGTGTCAGACAAATCGCAAGCCAAAAACGGCTGGATGTTTTCGACACGTAAGAGGGGCAGGTGCAAACACAAGGAGGGGTCTAGGGCTAAGTTAGGGCACTGCCCCACAACCGGACGACGACGGCCGAGATAAAGCATGATCAGCATGCTTAAACACGACCTTTGTAGAGTGGAAACACCAACCAGACTTCAGGAACAGCTCTTTCCTCGTGCCAATAACTGCAAAGCGACGCACATCAAACTGCAACTGAGCAGAAGTAGCGACTCTTGACTTCCTGCAACACAACAATTTAATATTAAGCGGCTTCCTTCTCCACAATCCCCACAATCGAGACGTGAACGGTCCAAGCAGTTCGCGTCGAACTCAAAACCATGCCCTCGGAAACGATGGCAACCCTGGGGCCCCACAGCAAATGGTTCGAGAAGGGCAGGTAAATCTGGTGGCTTGTCTGGATGTACGGGAGAAGTAGTCCCGAATGGTGAGCAGGAGTAGGGCAAGAGTGTCATATGCAGTCGGCAGTATCATCAAGAGAAGCCACCATCACATAAAGTCTGAAGCCTGCCCTGAGCTGCCCAGATCCCTCCATCATCTTTCCTCTGCTCTATATATCTCTCTCCTCTTTTCTGCCATCTTTTACCCACAACTTGACAAACTCACCTTCATCGACAACCTCATAGCTTTGATTCTCACGCAGCAACACCGCAACCATGCCCGTCCCCATCCTTAGCGAACCTCCCGGCAAGCCCGACTCCAGCTATGTCATCCCCGTCTTCGGCGGTGAACTCTGGACAATCCCCACCTCCAACAGCGTAATGCGCATGCTCGTCACCGAAAAAGAATCAAAAGGCGACTTCGCCGTCGTCTCCACCGGCGGTCAACAAGACAACCCAATCGGCTTCCACTACCACCGCGAAGCCCACGATGTCTTCCTCTGCTTGAAGGGCAGCATGAACGTCTGGGCCAACGATGCCGCTCGCACTTTGCTCCCTGGCGATTTCGCTTCCGTGCCTCCGAATGTGGTGCATCAGTATCAGATCCTGGGTTCGCATACCGAGTTTGCCGGTCTCATCGTTCCTGGAGGTTGGGAGGAGTTCTTCAGATTCATCGGAGAGCCTTTTGCTACTTCGCCTATGGGTCCGCTGTTCCCTACCCGCGATCACAGAAACCCGATGGAGGTATTGGTGCCCAAACTCATGGCTGCAACTGAGAAATTCGACATGGTCCCTAAGCGTGACCACAAGGGTGCCGAGCCCAGCTTATGCACAAAGGAAGACGACAAACTCTCCGGAGAAGCAACAACACCCTACTTCCTCAAAGCCGATGCTGGACCCAGATATGCCGCAGGCGGTCTGCTGGTAAAACCTCTGTGCCAAAAGGCAGACTCGAATGGCAAATTCAGCATTGCAAGAATCGAGGGCTCAGAGACAATCAAGGCACAGTACTTGGCTTACAACACCCTCAACTTCAAGACATCGCACCACTGCTTCTTGGTCGACATGGGATCGTTCCGCTTGACTGTGAACAACCAGACTTCCACAATCAGTGCTGGCGAGACCATTTTCGTGCCTGCTGGTCAGGAGTTCACTCTGGAGGTCGCAAGCAGATACTCTGCACTCTACGTCTTCACCAACGGAGGTGGTCTGGTTGAGTTCTTGGTTGGTATGGGCAAGGAGTACCAGAGCCAGATCATTGCCGAAGAATTCCCCACCGATGTTGCAGAGGTGGACGGCCTGGCCGAGAAGGTCGGTGTAAAGATTGGAGAGACTCTTTGAAGAACAAATATTCGGTTACGATCAAATAGCAAATATACGATACCACATAGAAGCATCCGTTATACTCAGCAAAACTGCATCATGAAATACATGGAGAGAATCAATACAAGTGACTCAAAGAAAACTTCATAAATTCCGGGCATCATCAAAATATTTAATTGCTATGAATTTTGTGAGGAAACGCTGAAATGACAACAAGAGGGGATATCAAATCTATCGGCCACCAACACGGATAACGCCAGCAGCCATGAGCTTCTGGACCTTTGTACGGACGTCAGGGTTCTTCATGTGCTCTTGGAGAGCAGCCGGGTCACCCTTGGCCTGTTGCAGAATTGACTGCATGATGGGGTCTTGCAAGATAGAAAGGATCTCAGGGTCACGCTGGATGCGCTCCATGGTCTCTTCTTCGGTCTCACCCTCACGAGCGCTGTACTGTGCCTGAACGGCCTTCTGCATCTGCTGCTCAATCTCGCGGGTGTTCTTGCCGTCCTTGTCGTGGGCCATGGCCTCGTTGCAGACATCGATGACCTTGTTGTACTCGCGCATGGCGAAGAGGGCCTGGGCCTTGCGGAGGTAGGCGCGAATGAAGCCCTCGTCCTTTTGGATGGCCATGTTGCAGTCGTCGACGGCGGCGGGGAAGGTGAGCAGCTTGATCAAGCAAGCGGCGCGGTTTGAGTAACCGCGGGGGTCCTCGGGTGCGCGCTTGGTCATCTCGGTGTAAGCCTCGACGGCAGCGGGCCAGTCGGCCTCCTTGAACTTCTGATTGCCGAGCTCGCGAGCTTCCTCGGCCTTTGCAGGATCCAGGTATGCGTCCTTCTCGGCCTTGATCTTGGCCTTCTCAGCGGCGCGCAGCTTAGTAAGGACGTCAGGGGTACGGTGCTCGGTGAGCGATCTCTGGTAGTTGTCGATGGCGTTGGGGAGATCGCCCAGCTTCTCGTACGAGGTACCGATGCGACCGAAAGCCTTTGCAATGAGCTTGAAGTCGGCAAAGACCTCACGACCGTGCTCAACAGCCTTCTTGCAGGCCTCAATTGCACCCTCGTAGTCACCCTTCTCGAACTTGGCAGCACCAAGGTTGGTGAGGTAGGTGATGTCCTTGTAGAGGTCCCAGGCCTTCGAGTAGTGCTCAATGGCAGCGTCAAACTGTCTCTTCTTGTAGTTCTCAGTACCAAGAGCCTTCTCCTTGTCTGCCTCCTCCTTTGCCTTCTTTTGTGCAGCTGCCTCCTCGTCCTCGGGTTCCGGTTCCGGCTCGGGTGCCTTTGCGGGCTCGGGTTGGCTGGGCTTAGCGTCGGGCATGGGGACGTCCTCTTCGGCCTCTCCTCTCTGCTGACCACCCTGTTGTTGTTGTTGCGACGAAGGGTCGGCGAAAGACATGTCGATACCGAGCAGGACGCTCATGACCTGCAGGAAGCGAGGGTCTTGCATGGCCTCACCCATCATGTTGGGGTTGGACTTCATCTGGTTGAGCTTCTGCATGAAGGCGGAGTCTCCGAGCAATGCGGCAGTCTTGGGGTTGGCGGCGAGCTTCTGAATCATCTGAGGGTCATTGAACATGTTGCCCAGGCCGCCGGTCGAGTCGGCACCGTCAGCATCGGCCTCTGCCTGGATGGCGCGTCTAACTGCCTCGAGGCCGGACTTTGCTTGAGCGTTGTTGGGGTCGAGCTCTACGGCCTTTTCGAAGGCATCTGTGGCGTCAACTGCGACTTTGTCAGTCTTTTACTGTTGTGTGTGATGGCGAGAGTGAAGGGCACTCACCAAGGTTGCCCATGCCGTGCAGGGCGGCACCCTTTCTGCCCCAGCCCTTGGCCCAGTCAGGCTTGATCTCGGTCGTCTTGGTGGCATCGTCGAGGGCCTTCTCCCAGTCTCTCAATGAAGCGTATGCGCCGGAACGGTTGGAGTACAGGACGTGGTTGCTGGGGTCGAGTTCGATGGCCTCGCCGAACTTCTGTCTGTTTGCCCGTCAGTAAAGCGCTTGTGCAATGCGGTGAGGATGCTTCGGTGAGGATGCTTCAACTTACGCAGCGCCCTGGAAGTCCTTTGCGGCAAACAGCTTGTTGCCTTCAGCCTTGAGTGCGTCGGCCATGATTATAGTAGTGTGATGAGTAAAAGCAAAGGGGTATCAAAGAAACGAAACAATCAATTGATGAGATGTGAAAATGCAAGTTGCTATGATGGCTTGGTACGAAAGCGTGTCGTGTGAATATAATATCTCAGCTTCCTTCCCTTCTAGACGCTTCGAAGGTCGAGCTCGTGTCTTGGCGGCAACCGAGGAGCCTCTCATCAATCATCAAACAATCCCACACCTCGCGAACGGCAACTGCACCCGACCTCTGACCACCAGTACTCAAGTACCAAATATATCTTCTGAAAATGTACGGCCAACCATGGTGTCGTGATGGCATCCGAGTCGAGGACTTGGCTCTCCAATACGCCCCCAAAAGTGGCGTCGATGCTTGGGCTCGCGAAAAGCAACAACCAGTTCTCCTCTCCGTCTCCCTTTCCTTCCATCGAGGCTTTGATTCTGCCGCAAGTCAAGATGCACTTGACGAAAGCACCATGCACTATGGTATCTTGTCAAAGAATCTTCGCTCCATGAAGCCAGTTCAGGACTGGGAGACTTTAGATCACCTTGCCGATCGCATACACCAAACCATACTCGAAACTCCTCCTGGTGCTTCCTTGATTCAATCATGTCAAATTGAGATCAAGTTGCCCAAGGCCAGTTTGTTGGGTGACTATGTCAACTACGTTTACTTTGTCGAGGGTGAAGACCATGTTGGCAGAGTCCTCCATCTCTCTCGCGTCTTCATCCCTACTCTGATCGGTGTCAACGACAATGAGAGGACGGCCAAACAAAAGCTCTTCGTCAGCGTATGGATAGACAGAATACAGGGCGACGACTCGCAATCATATCCCGAGCTTGAAAGAATCATCACTCAGGTAAGAGATGCCTCAAGCACCCATTGACTTTCTGGTTACTCATCGTGCTGACATGTCGTTTAGGCAATTGAACCGACAGAATTCGAAACTCTGGAGTCACTGGCCATCTATGTTCTCAAGGTCCTGAAGATGAACTACACCCCTCTACAATCACAAGAGACCAGTGTCCGCTTGAGATTGGAGAAGCCTCAGGCAGTTCCCCACGCATCTGCTCCCATCATCGAGATTGTCAGAACATCGGATGAGCTGGCAGCCATGGTCAGATGAAAGTGAGAAGCTTAGTTACCAACCATGATGCATGGTAGCAATGTTTGGATCGGGAAAGGCTGGTGCATAGGCATGGTTATCATGGAGTCTGGAAAAATGTATATCGTTCTTTGATTCGAAGTCACTCGCCTCGAGGAGAACCCTCAAGAGGAATATCATATAACGCCTCGTATGATTACTTAGGAATGTCTCCCCATTGCCCAACAAGCACTGGAGACTCTTTATTCGTTTCCTCCAAAGGTATACAAAGGTGCACTGGTAGCACTGTTCACACTCTTCACCCTGACGACTGCACATTCAAACATCGCCCCTTGTTCCCGTCCATCTGTCTGTGACGACTCTTGCCCGCGCCTGTCCTTGTCAATTCTCACGGCACCCACTGTAGCCGCTTTCAAGTCAGATAGACTTTTCACACCTCTCAGTGAGCGAGCACGACTCAAGAGAGACTTCCTCCGACCAATTCTCGCCGACGTGGCCTGCTCCTCAGCTGTGTCGTTGCCGCAGTCCCTCCCTTGCACCTCTTCCATAGCGAGTACAGGAGTCGAGAACCTACGACGACGCATTGCCGTCGGCACACTCGTGTTCGCAGCTTTGGCGAGGAATCTGGAAGCTGCACGATGTAGGCGTCCATGAGTTTGTTCTTGACTTTTGGGTCGCTCCTTGAGTTTTATGCGTCCAGGTACCTCGTGCCAGAATTCATGTTGAGACACATCGACGCGGACCCTGATATTAGTGGTGTTAGATGCAGCTGTCGTGACAGGATCCTGATCCTCGTCCAGACGGGTGTTTGGCTTCGAGAAAAGCAACAGCGGCACGGATTGATTGCGTTTCCTGCAAAAGAAAGAAAGAAAAGATAAGTATTGGACGAAAAGAAAGGGTAGAAAGCCATTGGCAATATCGATTTTGTGAAGGTGGAAAGTGCAAAAGTTTCGCGTCTCTTGCGACTCTTATAATAGTGAAGAAGATGATAAGTAGCAGACTCCACTTGTAGAGAGGGTCTTCGAAAGGAAATAGAAAAGAAAACAAAACACAATCCCAAATCCTGCCAGCGATTTTTCCTACTCATCAAAACATAAAGTGGTCCTATGTAACACACAGAAAGAAAAGGAAAAAGGGCGGATGAAGAAGTGAAGAGACTGAAGGAAAGAAAGAGCAAAGGAGATATTTTCATGGTCACCTTCTTCCCAGACTTCCGTCTCTACTCGACACCGCACTCCGAGATCCCGTACTCTGTCTCTTGACTAATCGACTGTCGCGATCGTTGGGACTGTGCTTTTCACTCGGCAATGCCGACAACACATCACCAGCGGAGTCCTTAACACCTAGTCCTAAGTGCCGCCCAGTCTTCTGGTCGATCTTGAACTCGATGTATTGTTGTGCAGCTCGCGACAGAGGTATCGGTGCGGGTTGTGTTGGGATCTCGGCTCCATTTTGAAGCAAAAGTTCGGCGATAGGGAAGGGCTTCCTTGAGGGAGTAGGGGTTGTGGGGCGTGTTGGCAGCCCTGTTGGGCTCAAACTTGGTGAAGATAGAGTCGACGAGCCACCGCGTTGTTGCGCGAACGAGCTAGAGGGAGATGCGGGGTCTGCGGCTGCGAGGGCAAGGAATACAGCGTGTGTGCCGCGAGAGCGGTCTGCAGCATTCGGGTTCGCACGCAGTGCCAGAGCATACAGCACTTGTTGGATGTTGTTTTGTTTGATGCTGACGAGCAAAGTGTCGTCTGGGCTCTTGAAATGCGCCATGGCATCGGTTGAGCCTTGTACATACAATCGATCACTGTACTTGCCTGTGATAAAATGCAAACGTTGCTCCCTGGTCACATTGGGTCCTGGCTTTAGGAAAGCATCGAGCTTGGCCTCCCAAACCATGTTGCTAACACGGTTTCCAACCAACAAGAGCAGCTCAATGATGTCTGGTGTGAAAGCTGAAGTGTCGAGAGTCAAAGAGCGCACTTTGGAGATGTGAGTTCCCAACGATCGATGGATGCCACTACACTCAATACACAATATGATGCCGAGATTGATGGACACCCATTCGACCTTCTGGTCAGAGTTGCAATCGGCGCAGTACTTGTTGCCGGCATCCGCTTCACGAATTTGATTTAGGAGTGCTGACGGTGTCTCGTTGTCAGGCTTCAGATAGGTGGGCTTATCGCCTGTTGTCGCATGGCGCGAAACAACCTTATTCGACGAACTGATATATGATGAGGTGGCGTTGGTCGATGCTCTTTGGGACGAGAACGGGGTTTTACCAGTCAATACTGCAGCAATGGTGTTCCGGGTAGAGCCAATCTTTTCGGCACTTGGGGCGCTGGTTGACGGTCTGGCCTCGAAAGCGCTTTGAAGAGCGTTATTGATCGAAGCGATCCATGCCTTCATGTCTTCTTCTGAAGGGGCTTGGTAGACACGAGTGTATTGCGGTGTGATGACCTCAAAGCAGAATCGTCTGTCGGCATTTCGTGCTTCTCTCACAGATGCGACTCGCAAGTCAATTGGGTCCATGTGAAGATCCAGCCTGTCTTTCCAGTTTGCGTATTCCGATAGCTTTCCCTGGTCAAGCACAATCCAGAATCTGTTTTGTTAGTACATGTTTGTAGTTTCATCGGAGAAAAAATGAAAAGACTTACTTGTGCCATCCGGCCTTGTTCATGATCGGATCAACATGACTACCAGGTCGACTCAGAGACCATAAGAGACCTTCTTTCTTGATTTGGCCGGCGCCTGCAGTGGTGGCGGCAGAAAGGTCCTTTTCTTCAAGGTCACGAATACCTTTGAACTTGTTACTGGTATTCCGCACCGGTAGTGGGCCGTTAGAGCTCGAGCCAATCGAAGAAGTGATGCTAGACGGGAAGCCATTAGATGCAGACGGGGAGGTCGACATGATGGAGTTGCGAGGCGCTGAGATGATGCTGCTCGAGCGATCAATTTGAGTTGTAATCGAGCCATTGAACACTGATGGCGGATGCTCCAGTTCAGGCGATTTTGCGTTGTTCGTCTCCAACGCTCGTCTCTTTTCTTCGCGCTCTGTGCGTTGCATTTGGAACTCCAGGTCGGCATGCGAAACTTCACGAGTCAAGGCTTCCAGCTGTGGCAACATTTCTTCAACCTTCTTTGCTGTCGTGAGATAGCCTCTTGCCTGTGCAGATGCGTATTTTGTGAGCTGAGAGAGCACTTCTTGCTCCTTTCTGCCGCCATTCAAGTCGTGCATAAAAGAAGAGTAGTCGAACCGCTTGAGCTCGAAGGTGCGTCTCTTGGCTTGATATTTAGCGTCGCTCTCAACGCGCTTCTTTTCCTTCAGTGACTCTGAGCGCTGGCCAAGGTATTTGCTAACATAGGCATAGTAGTCCTTGCTCTCCTCGTCAAAGTCGCGCCTCTTGGACTCGGCTTGCTTGATATCGAGACTGTAGAGCTTGTTGATGGGTTCAATGATGAGTTTTTGCAAGTTTGCGTTGTTTTGGCGTTCGTAAAGCAGAATCTCTCTAGCGATTGAGTCGAAATAATGCTCAAGGGCTGGACGAACGGCATTTGCGTTAGAGTTCGAAGCCTCCCTAAGGGCATCCATGAAAGCAGAGTGGGCGTCGTTGCATGCAGTTTGTGCAGCTTGGGCGGCTTCGGCAGCTCGCAAGACTCTCTTCATACGAGATCTCATTGTACCGGTCTTTTGTTCCAAGGCTCGCATAGTTGCTCTGAAAACGGGGCCGTCCTCGCTGGTACTGCCATCTTCACCTGGGCGACCGACACAGCTAATGTCGACCTTTGGTGTAGTGGGGACTCCTCCGTTGGTCATTGTAGGGATGAGTCCAAGACCGCATTCCGGAATTGCTTCGATCATAGGCGAGGAAGGCTCACGGAAATCGCGGAAGTCTCGGAAGTCTTTGGGATCGTAGCCATCTGAATCACTGATGGCACTAACTCTGGATTCGATGGATTGTGCGGACGGTACCCGAAGACGAGGAGGGGAGAGGGTGGGCGAATTCAACCAGCGCTGCGTATCTGGAGTGTCGCATTAGTCTGAATAGTGCTTGAAGCAGAGGAAGCAGAGGACATACTCGTGACCCAGAAAGAGAAGCTGGCTAGCGTTTCAAGACGATGGGCGCGTGAGTTGTACTCGAGAAACTGTCGAGTCTTGTCAGCAATTGGCAACTCAGAGCAGTTCGACAGGTTTCATACACTGCAGGTATTGCGCCAGCCTCCACCGTGATCTTCAGATTGCTTTGGAGGCTTCCACTTCCATGACCATTGGAATTGTACGAAAGGCACACCGCCTGTGTTATAACTGCCCACGAGTTCAACGTTCGGGTTCTTGTGCAGGTTGGGATCGGCATGGAACTCTCGTGTAACAAGCTGGTCGATTTCTCTTGGATTTGAACCAAAGACGAAGGTCAAGCCGCCCAAATTTGTGTCCGAGGATGGGATGCCGGTAGGAGCGACGAGGTGGTCGCCAATCGTGTTTGTGGGACCAGAATTTGATTGGCGGACAACACAAGTAAAGGTGAAAGTGAGCTCTTCATCGTTGGCTAAGCGTAGGAGGAAAGCGGGAGAGATTATAGAAGGGGGTTCGGGGTCCTTTGCTTTGTCAGCGTATATTATAGTAGCTAGATAAGGATCAAGTACCTGAACATAGTCGACGGGAGTGTTGTCACCAGCCTCGCGTTTTGCTTGGTAGCGCGTAGCAGGAAAAGAGTTGGGACTGAGCGAGACAAGAGTACGGCCGCGCGAGTTTGTGATGTTTACGTTTGCGATCGAGACTGTTGGCGGTGAAAAGGATTAGCGAGAGTGATATGGCATGGGATATCGGGAGTATGCACATCTCGTCTGGTCCCTGAGATAGACGGGAGCGCCATCGTCTGGTCGGCTTCCCACGTTGCCCATGCCAGTCGTAGGCCTGGCGCGCCCCCTGCGCCGTTCAAGAAGATGTCGAGGATTGAAATATTGACGTCTGAGCTAGCGGTAGGAATCGAATGCGAAGAGCGAAAAATGGGTATGCGCTGGCGTGCTTGTTGTGGGAATACTGCTAAGATGATGGTTGCGAAAGAGAGACGGCGGTAGGATTGAGAGGTGGGCGACGACCGAGAATTGGAGCGATGCGGCGCGCAGGCAGGACTGGTCGGGTAGGAGCGACGAGTTGAAACAACAGTGCAGATGGCACTTCTGTATGATGCGAAAAGGATATGAGGAAGGGAGATTGGTGCCTGTGTTTATTTCGTATGCGCCGTCTAAGTTGCAGCTTACTCCACAGCAGCCCGCAAGAGTGGGAACGACTGCCTCATCGTCAACAAATCCGCGAACTCCTTTTTGCCCGTTGGAAACTCTATAAATATGCTTCTGATGCCATCTATTCATAACTTCATCCACCTGGCACCATCTATCTTTTAGCTCATCCAAGATCTTTCCTGACTGCTGCAGCCTGAATCCTTCGTTCGTGACCACATCGCTTCCAAAGTCGCAGTCACGCAAAGAAGCGATCAAGTCGAGCCATGACCATCCCTTCATCAGGGCAGTGCTCTCAATCCCGCCATGCTTTGACCGCCAATCATCTGGTCAACTCCAGGATCTCTCTACTTTGTGCTCGTCCCTCGAAAATCGGCCTGTCATTCGCCCTCTCTTCCATGATGAAATCTCTCTGCCTCGACTGCATGCTGGCTGTGTTGCCAGACCTGTGTTTCAGATTGCTGAGCGGGACCCTTGCCGCGCTTCCGCTACCCGCGTCTGACATTATCCGTCTGCGCATCACGACTTGCTCTCGTGCCTCCATCCCTCTTCTTGGGTTTCTCTCATATTCTTGATCATCGTGTCGTCTCTCCACGAACTGTCGCTGGTATTTATTAACAGGGAACGAGTTTCTAGACTGGACTGTAGATCAACAATTCTCTTGACCACAAGCCGAGGTATCATTTCGGGTGAAGCATGGTGGGGAACGCCGTATCAACCAGCCGACGGCCGTAACACCACCTTCTCATCAACATTGATATTTCTACCTCCATTCACGTAATTTTCAACCAGCATTGATCATTGAACATCATGTATCCATTCTCCGACGCCACCACCGTCACCTCGACAGGCTCACACACGTACACCGCAAACTTCCCAAAGGACTACTGCATTGGCTCAGGTATGCGCTCAACCTCGCTGAACCAACTCTATACTTTCCAGTTTTCTTATATCATCATTTTATAGTTCCTCATGGCGGGTACATCACTTCCTGCTTCATGCGTGTGGCCCAGATGCACTTTGAAACGACATTGAGGGAGCAGAAGCAACCGCACACGATGACGATGCATCTGGAGTTCCTTAGACGTACCAGTATTGGACCTGCTCTCTTCAACGTCAGAGATGTAAAGATAGGCAGGGGCACCTCCGTCATCCATGTGACGCTTTTCCAAGAAGGCGGTGATCGTGAAGAAGTCGCCGCATACATTACCAACAGCAACCTTGTCACAGAGGAAGGCACATCGTTTCCTACAGGCTGGAAACTGGAGCCGGCGCCTCCTTCCGCAAACGTTGCCGCGTTAAAGGCTGGCACCGACGATACCTGGAAAGAGCAAAAATCTATGCCCTTTGCCATCTTCCGTCGTGCTAGTCAACACGTCAACTTCTACTTCCCAAAGCAAGGTCAGCGCATGCGTAGTCTGGCAGATCAATGGATGTGCTTCAGCAACGGTGAGCGTTTCACAAACACCAGTTTGGGCTACGTTTCTGACATGTTCCCTCAAATCCTTGAGAGCTATCGCACAGGCAGTGATCCTTACGCCGTTGAGCCCCTGCGTGACGCTAAGGAGATCAACGAGTTGGCTGCACAGCAGAAGGGGTTCTCGTCTGCCTGGTATCCGACACTGCTGTTGAACCTGGACGTCAAGAAAGTCCTACCCGAGGAAGGTGTCGAATTCCTGTTCTTGAGAGTCCGTGCCAAGCAGATCAAGAACGGTAGATATGATCTGGAAGTCATCATCATGGACGACACTGGCGATGTTGTTGCGCTAAGTCACCACGTCTGCATGGTCATGTCGGCGCAGAGAAACTTACAAGCCAGGTCTACATCAGCAGACAAGCCAAGCAAGCTGTAGTCGGCATCGACCAGTACTCAGTGTATAAATCAAACTATAACCTGTATCAGAACGTCTGAAGTTGTCTGAAAAGACTCGTGTGAAACTTCATCTGATTCCATGGTGATCGTCCCCTACTTGTGCTTTCTGAAACCGAAAAGCCTCGATTATGTCAACAGCGTCTATGATGATTGTTTTACCTCGACATGAGAACATTCATAGTATCTAGAGTATCTTCAGCGTTCATAATGTATTGAAGAGATGTCTAAATCGATATACATCGGCTTTGAAGGTAGTGCGTGAGAGAAGGGACGCAAGAGCAGGGTCACAAAATTGGCAAAAAACGGCAGAATCTCACCGCCCAAGGCCGCGGAAGAAAGCTCTGGTGTCGAGTACATGCTTCATCGGTCGACCAACTTCTTGGAAACGATGCACAGAGACTCGGTATGCGAAGACCTTGTCCAATGTCGGCTGCAGTTGAATTCGCCGATTGTGGCATTTTCCATTACCGATAGACCAATTGCGCTGACTTACCATGCCAATTCTGTATCGCCGACGTCCTCCACGTCTCCCGCTACGGCTCCACGACGATCCCTCCCCGTCGGCAGTTCCGTGATTGCTGATGAGCCCTTCCCCCTGTGTACTAAACTTTGTCACATCGACTCCCAAGCCGCAGCGATGCAGACGGATCCACTACTCATCAAAATGCACGATGATATTGACCAACATCGTGTCGTCCACAGAGAGCGATGCTTGGAGACCTTCTCTTTGGACCTACCTCTACTTCCGAAAAACATCGTGCATTTCTACAGTGGCGTTAGCGACAAAGTCTGGACACCGGGAGGAGTGATGGACTGCTTCCTGCAATATGTAAGCTTGGCAGAGCTCATGCACACGCACGGCAAGACTTCCCCCTCGTGTGACCGGAATCGATAATTGTAGCAGGAGCGTTTGGTTCGAGGTGCAAGTTCCTCCAATCACACCTGACGTCTCCTAGTGGTTCCGTAGAGTCCGATTGGAGGAAGTTGCTGATTCCATGGCTAGGCTCTCGATACCCTTGTATAGTTCATCAGGTCTTTATGTGTCTTCCAACAGGTTGAAGCTGTATGGGTCGAGCTTGCGTACTTCTTAGGCCATTACGAGCTGTGGGAAAACGATCGCCAGATACCTCCTGCAACAAGCACCGCCGTGCTTTCCTGGGCATATCTTGACGAAGGTTGGCTCGTGCCCAGGGAAGCCACGTTAACGCCACCGATGCGGGATGTCAACGACACAGCATACCTCGAAACAATTGGACCAATTAACGTTTGATCGCCGCACCCATTCGGACACGATAGCGAAAGTACTCCGCACGTGTCATGAGCATTCCTTTGCATCGCGTTTTATCCGGAATAGGCTGCGGAAAGATGAATTTCCGTAAGAGCAGACGTTGGATAGGTATAAACCTCCCCCAGAGTCCTCCCCACAACCCCAGTCGTGACCCCAGACCCGCCTCTCCACATCTTTATCTCTACTCCACACGCCAGCATGGACCCGACGGTCGAGAAGGGCAACGCCCAACACCTCGAACACGCATCCGACACATCTGAGGACCACAACAACGCAAAGGGCCTCGCTGTTGCTTTCGAAGAGGGCAAGGACTCTGGTCTGAGCGATGCTCACCTCTGTAGCGATGCAGATAACAAGCGTATCCTTAAAAAGACTGATATATGGATGCTCTCCCTACTCTGTATGGTCTACTTCCTTCAATCGGCAGATAAGGGTATCATCGGTTTGACTGCCGTTTATGGCCTGAAGAAAGACGCACACCTTGTCGGCAATGACTACTCGAACATTGGCAACATCGGTTACTACGCACAACTTGCTGTCCAGCCCCTAGCCGCTTGGGTCCTCGTCAAGTTGCGATACCGTCAGGTGTTACCCGTCATCATTACCTGCTGGGGTATCTCTGTCGCAGGTGGTCTTGGCGGTTCGCGAAACTACGCTGGTCTTCTTGCATCCCGTTTCTTCCTCGGAGCCTTTGAAGCTGCCGTCGTCCCCCTGTTCTCGATGATCACTATTGCCTTCTACAGACGCTCTGAACAACCGTTCCGCGTTGCTTGCTGGTACAGCTGTTATGGTTTGAGTACGTATACCCGCGTGCAGATACTATGAGCTCGACAATCACCTGGTGATGTTTCAATTCCAAAGGCTCGCACTATGCATTGCAATATGTGCAGGCTTAAGTCTCATTGTTGAGCTCATGGTGCTGTGCCAAGCATTCATAAGAACAAAAATGCTAATCGTAATTTTTTTTGCAGGTACTTTGATCAGCGCCCCAATCGTTTATGGCTTCGGTCGCATACACTCATCCACGCTCTACCGATATCAAGTGGTCTATATCTTCTTTGGCTTATTGACCGCGAGTGATTACGTTCCTTTTTAACTGAGCTTTACTGACCGTTTCAAGATAATCATCGGTCTGGGTACCTACTGGTGGGCCCATGACAGCCCGGGCGAAGCCCGATACCTCTCTCCCGAAGATCGCCTCAAGGCCGTCGATCGTCTGAAGGCCAATCAGCAGGGAATCGTCTCTCACAAGTTCAACTGGAAGCAAGTTGCAGAGGCCTTTACTGAGCTGAAGTACTGGTTTTACATGATCATGGTTATCGCTGTCAACGCAGGTGCCTCCGTCTCGTCGGTCTTCGGCTCGATCATCCTGCAAAACCTGGCCGGCTTTACCCCTGACCAGGCTGTCCTCCTCAACATGCCATTTGGTGCCCTTCAATTCGTCTCCATCCTTGGTGCATCCTATCTCGCCTACCGGTTCAAGCGCAAGTCGCCGTTCCTCCTGGGTCTAGTGACCATCGTCATTGTGGGAGTCTCCCTGATGGTCGCCCTTCCTAAGACCAAGAACAACAAGGGCGGTCTCCTAGCTGGATACTACCTCATTGCCTTTGTATACGCCATTAACCCTCTCCTCATCTCATGGATGGGTGGAAACTGTGCTGGACAGACGAAGAAGGCTATCTACTACACCAGCTTCAACGCCGGAAATGCTCTCGGAAACATCATCACCCCTTACATCTTCGACTCCAAGTTCGCACCTCAATACGTAAGTCATGCTCTCACCGACCTTACAACCATGAATTCAAAACTGACAATTTTATTTTCAGGTCAATGCCCTTAAAGGTATTCTTATCATCTGGTGCATCCTTTGGGCCGTCGTCGTCCTCCAGATCATCAATATCACCTGGATGCAGAAGAAGAAGGGCGATCAGCGTGAAGCAGCTGGACTCCCCAGAGTCATCGAGGATCTGTCTATGAGCGACAAGTTCCACGAAGCTGGTGCCGAGATCCACGGCGAAAATGGTCTGCAGGACATGACTGACAGACAGAACATCTACTTCTCGTACTTGTTGTAATTGTCCCCATGGGTGTGTGTTTTGCTATCTATTTACTACCAATGTAGATTTCTCTTATGATTATAATGATCTGCCATCAAAGGCCACTACTGTCATGCCATCTCTTCCAACCGTCGAGTGTGTGGTGTAAGCTTTGTAAAAATGCATGATTGTTTTCAAATCAGGGGCGTGTCCAGTGAGAGCGCGTGGAACATATAATCTCAATGGACGCTTGCTGGGTTTCAAAAACAATTGTGCATTTTTACATGTACGAGCGTATCGTATCCGGCCGCAGAGATCCAGCGTTTGCTCGAAGCATGCACAGTCAATCGCACTGGCCCTTATTGTCGTTGTAAATTTTGCTATTCATGTCCCTTTACTCAAAATGATTACTCATTCTAACATTCAGCCTCAGCATGAGCAACCCTCTGTCCAACAATAGCTCCTGAGAATCCAGACTGCTGGCAGAAGCTGCCCTTGACCGTAATAGCATAAGAAGTCTCGTCATCCACAACAGTAGTAGTCGTTCCATCGCAGGTAACGCTTGCAGATACCTGGCTAACGCTTGCCTGACTGCCAGAAGAACTACTTCCACTACCTGCTGTCGAAGGTGCTACTACACCTGCTGAACAGGCTGCATAAGCTACACTGTCGATCTTGGTGCCGTTGGCGGTTGTGAATGTGACAGTGGTGATTTCGTCGGCGGAGGCAGATGCACCGTCATTATCGGCGGCACAAGAGGTTGCTGCTGCCGCTTCCCTTTCGTTTTGTACTGATTGGGCATTCGAGGCGTCTGCTACTGTGGCGTTTGTCAGGATGGTGACTTGGCCTACTGCATTGGCGATAGCAGTCGAGTTTCCGTTGCCAGAAGATGAAGTCGAAGTGCTGCTTGAAGTATCTTGTGCACCGACAGCGGCACTGTGATGGGTCAGTCATGCCCTTTCTATTGAGGTATAAGCTTCTTACCTGGATGCATTGCCGCTTGAGAATGTGGTCGTGACGATTGTCGTTCCATTTGCAAATCCAGTGGCGCTGCTCGAGGAGTCTCCACCCTCGACAGTGGTAGAATTGGAGACGGTAGTGATTTGAGAAGAAGTGGTCTGGTTGTTCTGAAAGTTGCCGAAGAATGAGACCAGTGTTCCTCTCACAGCAGCCTTAGGAATCTTCCACATGTAGCCGCCATAGTTGATCAGAGGTAGTTCGGTCGAGCCATGAGGAACGTTGAGTTGGAAAGTGGTATCAAGAGGGTAGCACTTTTCTGCAGTGGCCTTTTTTGTTGCTGGTACAGCCAAGACTTGCGAGGCGGACGCCAGAGCAGTTATGATGGTGAGAGTGAGCTTCATGATGATTGATACTTGCAGTTTTTAGAAAGAACATATGGTCAACCATCTCTTACTTATAGCTCTCGGGGCCAGCGGAGCCGGGTTAATCCAGCATAGCCACATATTGTCTTACAATTCCTTAGCGGTCTTGTTGTCACCGCCGAGCGAATTGCACTAGGTAGGCTTCAGAGACGGTAAACACTGCAGGTGAGGTTCCTTGTCGTGCCGCCTCCGTGGAGCACTTCCATCGATGGGAGTATTTGTCGAGCCATGAATAGTGCCATGCTCAGGATTCAGGAACCAACAGTACATCGACGGGCATACTGACCTGTGCAGTCACTCTGGTGCTTCAAGGCATCAGAATAGAGCAGCAATTGTACTGTGCCTTTGCTATATTTGAGTGAAGTATACTAGGGCATGTGCGATTAAGCTCTCATGTGGGGCGTATAAAGGTTTGGCTTGAGAGCTAAAATATTCAAAGCTCAGTGTTGTTTCCGGTGATATGCTGCGCCATATGGAGAGATCCCCAAAATTCTCCGAGGCAAGAACGATCAAGCCTCTCTTGTGCAGCTGGGGGTCGCGACTCGCTGTCACGCACATGAGTTGTGATGCGTAGACATAGGGCACGCGGTGTTTCGACGACACTCCACTGTCCGAACGCTGATACGTTGGTCATTTGTCGTAGGAATGCCTTCTGATGGCGGCAGACGGCCTCATAGAGCCTCATTCAAAGCCATAACGGTCAACGCTTCCGGGGATAGCGAACCTTGACAAATGTCACTGCCTCCCGCCACATGATGACCTGCAAAGCCGAGAGCCGCGGAACACACTCTGTGATAATTCACGATGAATTTCCAATCTATGGACGATGTCGGAGACGATTGCTGTGCTGAGGAAGATGACCTTCGTTTCGACGATACTTTATGGTGATTACAATGCCGGTGTTTAACCGATCCTTGTAGACTTTTGCTGCCAAAAAGGCGACCATCAACTCTTATCATCTATGCTTTCCCTGACGACATGCAGATATCCATTTGTTCCTCGGTGGCTTGCTGTACCTCAGTCATACCTTCCTCAAGCAACTTTGTAAGCGACAGCTTCGATGCGTTCGATTCCAGGTGTTTTTGGAAGCTCTCCAGTGTCAATTTGTTGACGTTGATCTTGGACACACCAGCGGCGATGCATTGTCGCATCAGGTCTTTCGTGAATCCATTCGTGCCGTGTAGCACAACCCTCACATCTCTCTCATTGGCAAACCCTCGAATACTTTGTAAGCGTTCAAAGTCCAGCTGTGGTCCTCTCGCGCCGTATTCGCCGTGCACATTGCCAAATGCAGGAGCAAGAAAGTCGACGCCTGTCTGGATAAACTCTTCTACTTCTTCCGGAGTTGTCAACATGCTTTCCAGGTCTTCTGTATCTGCAACACCATCTTCGCCACCTTCGATTCGACCCGGTTCGGCTTCAGTAGCGATACCCCTAACATGGCAGTATTCAACTAATGCGGCTGTCTTGGAGAGGTTCTCTGCCTTTTCGTAGTGTGACATGTCGACCATAATCGAATCGAAGGGTAGTGTATCGGCGGCATGACGTATCAGCTCCTCGTCCTGAGCGTGATCGAGGTGGATAGCTATAGGCACACTGGCTCGACTGGCAGCATCCGCAGCAGCGCGTATGAGCAGTCCATCGCTGGCTGTGATAGCCCACGGGAACACCTGAATGATCAAAGGTGATCGTTTGCGCTCTGCAGCGCGTACCTTGGCGACGATGTGCTCAACAGTATAGCTATCGCAAGAGTGAGTCAGTCAAACACATCTAACGAACAGATAGGGATCAATTACACGATAGCTGCAAGCACTCCATATCCTCCACGCTCAGCGTCTCTGAGGATACTAACGGTCTTGTTGTTTTGCAAGTTACTTGAGGGCATTGCGTCGTTGAACGAGATGACGACTCACAAGGTGAGGAGCAAAGAGGCAAGTCTTAAGGACCTCTATCTTTCATAATAAGATGACACATCCTAACAGTACAACACATTCGTAGTTCTCGCCGGAACCAGACACAGTAACCACGGCCGGCATCCGGGAGAGAGCGCGCGAGATTAGCGATCTCGCGTGTCATGCTCGTCTCGAGACTACCCCGCAGATCGTCGCTGTTCGTAACGAGCTCTCGGAAACTGCATCAACGGCGACTGCCAAAATGGGAACGACCGCTGCGGACCTGCATCAAACGGACTTCATACCGAGCACTTAAGAAGATCGACAAGCAATTACAAGGATGAAGGACGGCCCGAACAATAGCATCACCAGGCAATAACTTCGCTCCATGTAGGCAATAACTTCGCTCCATGTTTCGATCCAGTGGAGTCGATATATTCTTGGCGAGCTGCAGTACTGATTAAGTCATCTTCCGAAGCACTCTTGTCCCCACAGCTATCCTTCGGACTCCTTCGGACCCATCGTCACAAGACGCCTCAATGATCTCGTCTCGAGCTTTGAATAGGCATTCACCCCAAGAAGACCCCGCTTATGGCTCATCCGATCACCCCATGGGGTGAAACTGATGGCTGCTTCTGAGTCATGAGGAGTTGACACTATGCTTTGCAGGACGTACTCGTGGTTCTTCATCCACCAGTGTATGCATTTATATGTCCTTGCCATCCCAGAAATTTCCCACTCGAAGAACCATTCCGTATCCTTGTCCCCTCGTCGTCGACTTCCAATCATCAACTTTCTGAAATCGACACGCATCTCTGAAGAAGACTATTCAGGCGATTCAAGCGTCACTGTCGTCCCTATACTATGGATTTCAAGGATACAAAATTCGAGAAACCCGACCACGTCGAAGATGTCCACGAAAATCCGGACTTTGATTTCGATCCAGATGAGGAAAAGAAGCTCGTCAGGAAGATAGATTGTTGGCTTCTCCCTACAATCTTCTTGATGTACCTGCTTAGTTACATGGACCGAACAAACATCGGAAACGCGAAGATTGCGGGTATGAACGAGGATCTTGGCCTTAGCAGCAGCCAATACTCGATGGCACTCGTTGTGTTCTTTATCAGCTACGTCTTCTTCGAGGTACCGAGCAACCTCATCTTATCTAAGACAAAACCTTCAACTTTCTTGCCTACAATCATGCTGCTCTGGGGTGTCGTTACTTGCTGTATGGCGGTCATTCATGACTACAAGCACCTCGTAGCGTTGAGATTTGTTGTCGGTGTTCTGGAAGCCGGTTTTGCCCCTGGAATCCTGCTCATTATCTCTTCGTGGTACAAGAGAGAAGAACAATCTAAACGCTTCGCTGTGTACATTTCGGGTGCGGTTCTATCTGGAGCCTTCGGTGGTCTACTCGCTGGCAGTATCACTAGCAACCTTGATGGCACACACGGTCTAGAAGGATGGAGGTAAGCTACGTTGATTGACGAACACAAATAGAGTATCACTAATCTAAGCAGGTGGCTGTTCATTGTCGAAGGTGCCGCAACAATCGGTTGGGCCATTTGCTCGCACTTCCTCCTACTCGACTTCCCCGCTCAACCGTGCAGAAGAAAGTTCACTGAACGCGAACAATTGTTGGCGATCAAGAGATTAGTATTGGACAATGTCTCAACCACTGAGGGCGATACCCCAAGAATTTCCAGCGTCAAAGCTCTCGTCAAAGCTGTCTCGGACTGGCGTACCTGGATCATGGTGTTTGGCTACATGGTCATTGTCGGATCGTCCACATTGAGCTACTTCTACCCTACCCTTGTCCAGGGTCTCGGATACGAAAGTACCATGGCTCAGTACATGGTCATTCCTATCTACGCCGTCTCTTTCGTCGCCGTCGTCGCTTCCGGCATCATCTTCGACAGATTGCACCAATATCGTGGCCTAGCTATCGCTGGATGGCTAACCCTCTCCACTGTCTGTAGCATTATTGTCTGCGTGGTGTACAACTTCACCGCTCGCTACGTTCTTCTCATCTTCATGGCTAGTGGATTATGGGCGGCGAACGCTCTTGGTCTATCTTATGCTAGCAGCGCTTTCGGCGATATGGAGCAAGAGACTAAGGGTGTTGCTCTAGCACTTGTTAACGCTCTTGGTAACCTTGCTTCGATCTATGGGTCGTTCTTGTTTCCCAGCGACGATTCCCCAAAATACTTGCTAGGCTTTGGAGTCATCTCAGGGATGTGTGGTGTTGGTGTAATGATCTATATCGGGGCGCATATCTTACTTCGTAGATGAACAAGGGGGGCTATATCTGGGACTGCCAAATCAGAGAATATTTTTGCTTTTAGTGCATGTATATTATGTTGTTCGTCTACTCCACAAAGGCTTTAAAAAAAAACTTCCCTTCGCTCAGTTGTAGTCGCAAGAGAATGGCAGAAACAGACTCTCCATCCGGTACAATCCTGACGCAGTGGCGTCGATATTTTCTTAAAGAGCTACAGTGTTGATTGAGTTACTTTCCGAGGCATGAGCTCCTCCGATCTTTATGATTGTCCTTCTGACTTGGACCTCCTTCCCCTCATCCCCCCAAGCCTGGAAATGAATCGCCGTTTCGTTTCCCCTCTCGCCGTACCATTGCACTTTTTACTTGACCACACAAGCGGTAATTTACATTTTGAGAATACTTCGACTGCCTCAATTAAGTACCGCAAGCCCCGAAACGTAGGAATGGCTAGCAAGCCTTCGGGTTGTATCACCGCCAAAAGTGCTGTTCAAAAGAGTGTTTTTGTATTTTTTCTTCCGCCCCCCTTATACAGCGGTGAAACGTCAAGACGATTTTCAAGGTCAAGTAGGTGTCTAGAGAGAGAGAGAGAGAGAGAGAGTCGAGAAGAGCCCCTAAAACAAGGTTAAGTTTTGGTCTAGTCAGCACTCTCCATGAACAGTCAGCCCCTCTAACAGAGCGGTAAAACGGCAAGATGCTTTTTGGAAACAGAGATGCGTCCAGTGAGAGTTGTAGTCTGTGTCTGAATGTCGGTCCTCCATGGCCTTGTTGTTCTTGGTCACTGGTGAAACGTCGGCAGTGTCATCATCGTCTGCTATCCTCTACGTCCGAACATCCATTCTTGCCAGCAGCGGTCTTCTCCGGCGATTTGATTTGTCCGGTTTTGTTAGAATGCACAATGCTTTTCAGACGGTGCATCACTCCACTAGGAAGTGCTGACTTTCACACTCTCAGTGGAGGGCTGCACTGATCTCAAAAACATTGTGCATTTCTGCAGCATGCGCGTGACAAATTTCTGTATACGGGGAGTCGATAGATGACCGAAAGAGACTGAAGAGAGGAGAAAAAAAGGAGAAAAAAAGATATATTCCCTGAGCCTTCACTCTATGATGAACTTCTGTTATCTCTGACTTCGCCATCCATCGTTGTTGAGTTGTCTTCGTCGATGTGGATCTTGAACATCTTTGAAGCCATGCCGTAGCTCTTTCCTACAGCCTCACTGCCATAGACTCTCATCTCCTTCTCGTAGTCCGCTGTTGCACCTTCGTAGTACCCACCCTTCAGCAGTCTACCCAGCAGGGCCGAGTCACGTACGGCTGTGTTGGCGCCCAAACCGCCAGCAGGAGTCATTGAGTGCGCTGCATCACCTATAACAGTGACGCGGGGTTGATTTGGCCATACCGGTACACCTGAAGGGGTCGAAATGGTGATTTTCCAAAACGCACCCTCGGATGTGGTAGATTCGGTAAACAGAGGTTTCAGAGAATGATGCCAGTTCTTTGTGAGCTCTCTTGCAATGTTGGATGCGGTTTCGCCGACAATGGTGTAGTCGTCATTTGGTGCCTTGATAACACCAGGTTCTCCGACCATCGTCCATCCGAATTGAGTATTAGGGTCATCCATATCGCCAGCACGGACGTTGGTGATGACGGCAAATGAGCCATTAGGTCGACTGTTGTCTACAATGCGGAAGACACCTTCGCCGAGACCTTTGAATGCAGTTGTGGGTGCTTGTCCATGGATACCACGAGCTCCAGTGTCGTAAACTTTCAGCTTGCCATTAGACAGCTGTTTGGCGACATAGGAATTTATGCCCTCGCCTCCGATGAGCATAGAACCCTCTTCTGATTTCGTGCCGTCGCTGAAGATAGCTCGAACACCCTCGGTCGTTAATTCATAGCCCTTGACGTGCTTGTTGAATTGAACGAACTGTTCACAGCCCTCCATGAACAGACTTCGCATGTCTCCTCTTGCAATACCCACAACCTTTCCCTCTCGCGAACTCAAGCTCTCTTTGTTATCACTGCCGCCACTTTCACCACTGCTACTGTTTCCAGCAGGTGCAGCCGGAGGCTGTTCAATGGCTTCACCAGTAGTTGCGTCAATAGTCTTCATGCCACCACCACCTGTCTTTCCACATCTATCGTAGAATTTCTGCCATGCTGCTGGTTCCAAAGCCGATTCGATGGCGTCCAGGCCTTCCGAGGAGAGCCGAAGCCGGTATCCTTGGCCTCGTGAAGAGAGTGATGCATCGCGTTCGAATACACGGAATGGGATTTTGTAGCGCAACAGAGAGCGAGCAAGCAACAACGAGGCGAGGCCGGCGCCAGAAATCAAAATGGGCTTTTGGGTCATGGTTTATTGTGATTTCAACGTTGTTGGTGGAACAGAGATGGAGTGGCCGGTAGAGGCGGCGGGAAGGCACGTCACGTCATCAGAGCTGCCGAGCCTTTGGACTTCGTGCTTGCTCTCCCTCGCTCGCATTCTGCCCCAACTTCTTGGGCCTTTCCTCGGTCTACAAAAATGGGAACAGTCTGATTACTTGTTCAGTGTTCAAATTTCAAGGAACTTTTAGGTAACTTACAATGCCATGAAGCCCGAAGTCACCGACCATATGTTGAGGCGCAGCTAATGAGGTCATGCTGGAGGTGTGACACAACTTGCGACACATGTTACGCACATGAAAATAAACGTGGCACTATCCAACGAGACGCTTGCTCTTTCTGAAAGCAGAAGGTTGACTATGGTTAGAGGAGGTAAGGCTGACTAAAAGCTCTAGCCCATAGCACAGAAAGGGCGATGACTCCGCAAGAACTCCACACAACCCAGCAAGTATTCCACAGCACAACAGCTGCATGAACCACGCACTCCGAGAGCGAGCGATTCAGGAATGATGTCCAATTCGGCACTCATTGCTCTGATACAATCTCACACTCGCTCAGCCTTTCTATCCCCAAAGCTCTGCCTATTGGACCAATATTGTCGACGACTCCGATCAAACAAGTAGAAGGCCTGCTGGGCAGCAGTGCTCAGAATTAGGACAGCAATAGCAACCCATGATGCTATATCAAGAACCGTGGTCTGTAAGTCGTACCCTAAACCAATTCCTGTGATAATACTGCCGATGAGCATTGTAGATAATACGCAGCCCTGCCAGTGGTTACCGTGATGCCTCTGCGCGTATACCACTGTTGAGATCGAGTATGCAACCAACGCTAGCATGAACTCGGCGATTCCTGGTTCTGTCATTATAGAGAAAGGCTTATACAATGTGTCAGTTGCGGTCAATTCGCGGAAAGAGCGAGACATACGCTCCTTGTGGCATCTAGGTTGCTTGCTGAATGCGTTGGTCTGTTGCGAGCATCGTTGTTCAAGTCATTCCAGGAAGATATAACGACCACTGAGATTGGAGTGACTAGCATGAATGTTGTTAAGTCTCGGAGAAAATGCTTTCTCTCCTTCCTCGCGTTGCCAGATGTTCTAAGCACCCGGTCGTTGTAGGTGGTATAGGCCTGCTTCAGATCGACCAAGGATTCGTTTCTATGAAACGACGATTGCTCGATCACCGCGTTGCTGACTTTATTGGTAGTGCCAGAATGAGTCCATTCGCTTAGCATGTTCCGGGAGAAACGCCTTTCCCCTACGTCTGGCGGGCCTGAGATCGAGATCACACAGTGGTTATTTGAAGCATTCCCCGACCGCGTGTGTTCAGACGACATCAACCAACCTCGTTGTCGGTCCTTTGCTGATATCCTCGGACCGCTGTCTCTGCACTCTCGAACCTCTGAACAGCGAGTTGATGGGCAGCGATCCATGACTTGGGGCTCAGTCTGTATCTTCTGCATCAGGTTATCGAGACTGGTTCTTTCTGTGGTTTGTGTAATTGCGACAGGAACATCCAGAATTGTGCCGCCATTGGTAGCAGCTTGTTCGAGCGGGTCTGAGCAATTGAATTAGTCGATGCTTGTTCAGGAACAATCGCGGCTTCTAAGAAGGTACAATATTCACCTATCACGACTTCCTTGAGCATTCGGGTGCCCTCGTCCCCGGTGTTCATGAGTGATCTGTCCATGCTTTTCCTCTGGTCTCCTTCAATGGGAATACGCGGTTCAATCTAGACCTCTCTGATTGGTACAGCAGATGGAAAGTCGATCTCGAGTTTGCGGGCAAATGGGCGCGTAATATGTAAGTAAGTGAGCTTGAGGTCAGACGGCTCGATCTTTTTTGGTCTAAACGAGAGAGTGATGGTAGTGATATCTGGGCTTCGAAATCACGGACAACGCGCGAAGAGCGAAAAGAAGAGCGTAAAAAGACGCACTTCAGCTGGACTTGTAGCGTCTTTCCTGAGCCTTTACGACACGCCACAATCGTTCTTCGACATGCAGAGAACCAGCCGCGGTTCGTCCGCATGAATCCGTCCAATCGCTTCGCTTTGACAAGTGCGCCTCCATATGCAGCTTACGTCTAGCCCCTGTATTGAGGTTGTGAGAGAGTACGTACCCTTGTCCGAACGGCTAGAGTCTGGCGATCCCCTCCATCGAACTCATGCGGTTGACATCACTGCCTGCGCCTCATTTGCACCAACAACCGGGTTGGAATGGTCTGATTTTTTTCTCTCGAGTAAAGGCTTGTACCTTTCACCAGCACGTGAGAGCGGGGGGACTCCATTGAGCGTGAAGATGCAGGAACAAGTTCCGATCACTCGCTGTTTATCTTCCACTCCCCATTCGTCTTTCTCATCAGTCATCTGTATACACTTCGTTCCCTTTGAGAGCTCGCGGACAACCAAACGCTTACATCGATAAGACACAAGTTTGACAACAATCACTCTAGAATCGAGTCGAACCGCTCAGACCCCTCCCTATTTACAGCCTGTGATACAGCATGTGCCAACCAGCCGGCCTAGGTCATGCACATCAGAGGCGTATCGCCGGATATCACACGAACCTCCTGGACGGTTACAACAACCTACCAGCTTCTGGTCAAACGGCAGTCCCCGAGTGCCATTCGACTGACTCGAAGCCCAAGGGGGAGTTCTCTGCCGCTGGAGACCCCAAGCCAACAATATACAATGGTTTCTCCCTGAGATACTTGCTCGTTGTTTCGAGGGCATATCTTGGCCGCATCTTGGCTTATTCAAAGATTGAACAGAACGCTGACGCCGACCTCGCTGCTCAAATTGACGCCCAGACATCTCTCAAGAGAGTTCTGGATCTCGATGCCATAGTCAGCCAGGGCACAGCCACTAGCCAGGATGATATCACCAAGCCTTCGCTCAATCTCGATGGGCTCGGCAACAAAGGACAAGGTGCTGCACTCAAGATGTACGAATGCTCGGAGTCAAGACGCCACAAGGCTTTGCTTCTGATTGGTACGTGGTCAAATACCGTGCAACCCAAGGTACTAACCAGAAACTACAGCTCTTCCTAAGATTCGACCATGCTTGGGTATGATTACTTTGTTCTTCTACTCGCATGGATGCCGACCTGTCTTTGCGGCACCGGTCGGACATCTTGATGTCGGCGTCGCCATAGAACAGCCCCAGGTCTACTCCTGGATGGTGATTGGACTGTTCGCGATCAATTTGCTCTTCGCCGTCGCCGTCGCCACCAGTTGGATTAGGTCGGGATCAGAGATAACAGGAGGAAAGGCGTTATTGCTGGCTACATTCAGCATAGTCTTGTCGATCCTTACTATGATCGTACTATCTGACACGAAGCAGTATCCCACACTTAGGTACGTACTGGTCCTATTCTTGACCATGATATTGGCATCCCAGGCTTACCTGACAACACAATATAGTGTTTTCCTCATGGTGCCAAGCTCTTTTGCACAATACGCTGCAATGGTATACAACTTTCACAGGAAGCTTGGATACAGGTACGCTTCCTTTTTGATCACCGTGGATCAGGCTAACACTCAATAAGTCGACGATACATCCGTGTCTGCCTTTTCGTCACATTGTTGCTTCTGGGCATAGTTGTTACTGCCTTGACCATACAGGGGACTCAGTTCTTGGATTCGATGGCTGCAGTCCCGATTGTCCTGCCATCATGTGCTTGGATGGTCTACGCATTTTGGTCACTATAACAACGCTACCCATCGAACCACACCTCCCGCTCGACTCATGGACTGGTCCCTCTGACTGATATACAACTTACGCCACCCGCTGGCTAAGAAGCTACTGTAGATCAATCTCTTCCGCGACCACCGTCCTGTTTCGAGGTTACGCCCATCACGACGCGACTACTTGTGTACATTCATCATCGTTTCTTTTCTTTCCTTATACACTACTTGTGTACATTCACCATTTTTGCTCTTCTTGCTTGTACACTACTTGTGTACATGCACCCTTTCATCAGAACTAGAGCCAGGGCATTTTCTCCAAGTTGGGCATTGTTCTTTTTGCATGGACGTTATTATGGAGCAGAGCGGGCGTTTGATAAGACCTCTTGTCTATTTCGAGCCACTATACAATTTTCCTGGCTCCAGCCTTGTCCGTTGACAGTCGATGTGACTGGCGTGCTTTGTTGTTTCGCTGGACATGTTCTGGCGGGACTCTTTGATACCTGTGCTGTTATAATCCTGCTCGCAGCCACACTCCGATTCGACAAGTCAAATTGATTGAAGTCAGACATTCCAGCTGACGTTCGCGGCTGACTTTATGCTTGTCTATGAGTCTATGAATCGGAAGTGTGATGCATGCAGAAAGTAGATGGTGACTGCCTATTCTGCATCCTCGCGGAAAACAGGTCGCTTCCCCGCCATAGCCCGCTCAACACTGAATGCAAGAGCCTTGCAGATTGGCGAATACTTCTCATGTGCCAGCAGCATGTCGCGAAGCACCGTCAACAATCGAAGGCTGCTTCTTGGTCCTAACAATATGCCCACACCAGTAAGATGCATTGAACAGTTGTCCCCAGCTATCCATTCTCGAATCGCGATCTTTTCGGTGAGCTGATCGATTCTTTCTGGAGTTCGCTCTTCGTCGGGGCTGTCTTGTTGACTTGTGGCAGATGCAAGCATACAATATGCTCGAATGACCAAGACAGATATCAGAAGAAGAAAAGGCCCGTATAGGATCAGTCGATCCTTGCTCCGGAGAATCCTAAAGGTGGATGCAGCGTGCCAGATACACGTTCTCAGAACCGCCTTATCCTGTTGCATCCAGGTCCTGATACTATCCTCGGCTTCTTTGATCTCGTGCTCATCGGCTTGCCATCCATGGTAGTGGTGCAGACTTCGCAGGCGGACGCTTCTCAAGATAGCCATCACATGCAAGATTGCTTTGCTGGATTCAGTCACGGTAGGCTCAAAAAGAAGACGACCAGTGGGCGAGAGGAGACTATCCAGTTTAGAAGTGAGGAGAGAAGGGCCGAATGCGGTGCCTGTCTCATTCTGGGAGACTGGGCTTGGTAAAGCATCAACATCCTCTGCATCCCCTATGTGAGAACCAAAGCTGAAACTCAGCCGTGAAGCTGACACCATGGATGATGCCATTTTGGATCTGATCGACCGTTCATCGGCTATAGACAGCATCACCTGCGTAGTCGTTGCAAACGTGCAACCAACAGAGGTGTCTTGGTACGTCTGACGTATGGATGACCATTCATCTGGACTTCGACACTTCCAGAGATGATCTGACAAGGGTCGCTGAGGGATCTCGCCGTGCTGCGAGATTGATGCATGGCCGATAAGATAGAGCTGTAAACATTCCAAGCCTGAGTATATCAACATATTAGCGATTGGCTGCAAAGATATCTCTGTACCCTATGCGTGTGCTGCATCCTGTCACTCCGTTCTCACGCTGAATCTTATATGCCCAAGACATCGAAGCTGAAAATTCACACGATGTTCCAGGGACCAATGTAGTCGCTCAAGTAAACAGGCTGCTCGATAAGCTCTCTTGCAGATACGACATTGATATGGAAAGGCTCGTGCATCTCTAAAGCGATACGCATGACAGACTCTAATAACAAGGTATGGCATTCAGACTTACGGTGTATACAACAGTCGAGTCGAACATGAGCTTGAGCATCCAATGAGGTATACCAGCTTCCCGGTTGCGCTTTCCGAGTTCTATCCAGACGTCTCCGTTTGGATGACAATGCTGCTTGTAGAGTGAACATAAGGTTTCTTTCGTATCTGAGCTTCGTTGGTCCGATTTTACTATTGCTGAATGTTCGATTGATCTCTCGTAGAAGTAGAGCCTGCAAGAACTCGAGTGTCGTATCCTCGGGATGTTGAGGTACATTTTCTTGGATGGCTCGCTCTAGCAATTCTTGCAAGCTAGAAGTATATTCTTCAGCAACCGATATAGCTGAACAAGTTGCGCCTATGCTAGCCACTGCAAGAAGCAAGATCCAGTATGCCTCATCTTTCTCGATAAAGCTCGGATGGACGAATGGAAAAAGAGGATCAATGTGTTCAAAGTAGAGGTCGCAAAAAGTGTGAAGAGCTTGAATGGGCGGAAACAGTGATTGCTGCTGCTCCTGTTGACTGTGAGAGAACCGTTCGATTGCCTCATAAGCGCTGTAACTAATGCGCCGAACATGGCGCACATTCTCACTTAGAAGAATGTCATGGTCTTCTGGCAATAGGGTTGGGAAATGAACCACGTCATAGATCTGTGTCGATTGCACATTACCACAGTCAAGACTGAGACCTGTTCGCTGTACGTTTGTTGTGGGTGCTAGTCCAGTACCACTCCATGAACTATTGTCGAAGACGTCTCCGTGACTCGTCCAGAAGAGCGGAGACTCTGTCAAGTCTAAAGCCGGATCCCATTGGTAGTGAAAGTTAGGGTCCACAACATGATTGAACCCATTTGTTCCTTGTTCAGGAGCTGCACCAAAGGCCGTGGACAAAAGCGAATCAGCTGGAGGCAACTCAATATTATTGAATGCTCCTAAAGTAGGCAGAGTCTCAGAGATAGCTCCAAACAAAGCCGGTTCTGGAGGTATGTTCGCCTCATTGGTCTCCAGAGATCCAGAATCCGACGATGTAGATTGTTCGCTGTGGTTAAGATCATACGCGTAATTTGCAAAACTCCTTTTCCCATTACGGTTGAAGCAACAAGGAATTTGCTTCTGCTGACACCTTTCGCAAGGAAAAGAGCCTTGACATCGTTGTTTAGCTTTTGAACATGCCTGGCAGGCTTGTGAGCTTCGAGTTGATTGCTTTGCCAGGTGCTCTTTGAGTTCATAGGCCTTCTCTCCATGGACGGAGCTGTGTCTTATCAGAGTATCCCTATGACCGAACGTCAACATAGAGCATCTATGCGGCGACTTATCAACTTACTTCCTACTGAAGGCCGCTAAGCAGAGGGTACATTTGTAAGGTCTATCGGCCAGATGGCTCTCCAGATGGCGGCTTAGGTTATCTTGCCGCGCAAAGCTTGCACCACATCCTGTGTGTTGGCAAGTAAATTCATTCTGCTGCTGCATGGAGATGACATCAAGTGCTCACCAGAGTCTTGGTGAACACGGTTGTGGTTTTGGTGGAGGAAGGAGCGGCTGAGGTTGCGCGATGTGGGTTTGCAACAAAAGCCATGCGTTGACAACGAGCCCATGGACGCGGGGCAGTGGAGACCCCGAGGAGCGGCACGGCACCTCCGCAACCTCCTGCATCACCTCGATCATCGGATCTGTTGACGCTTCTGACACCGCCGTGTATCGAACTCTATCACTTTGCACTCTTGCCCTCGAATGTGTAGAAATTCGAGCTGTAAAGGTGTACATGTCCTCCAACCCATCCAGCTAGACCGACAGACCGGTCGATAAGCTCTCGCTGGAGAGGGCCTTGATCCAAAAAGAACGTGCATCTTTGCAGGCCCATACACGACGAGACTTCCTTCTAGCACACGATGAGAAATGGAGAGAAGTTTCCGTGTCGATCATCAGTCGAGTGTTCCCGAGCGTTGACCTTGATGACCACACCGTCGGGCTAGACATGGGTATATAACTCGAGGCAGTCCCGTTCAAGCTGCCCACAAATCTTCAACAGTTACCAGTCTCATCCTGAGTAACTGAAGCTATGGCTCTAACCGCTTTGTTTTCCGAGACAAACAAATTGAGTTTGGTTCTGTACTCGTTCATCATCTACGTCTTGATATCTTTACTGCGATACTCAGTCACCCCATTGAAGAGTGTCCCCGGCCCTTTCTTTGCACGCTTCACCCGTCTTTGGGAACTCCACGCTGTCAGAAGAGGTGGCTTCGAAAAGACTCATATTGCATTGCATGAGCAACACGGCCCGATAGTACGACTGGCACCAAACCGCTATAGCATCAGCGACGCGAAAGAGGCAGACCAGATCTACCGTCACGGCTCGAAGTTCGTCAAAGCTGACTTCTATCATGCTTTCGGTAACCCAAACCCTGTTGATGCAGACACATTTTCCGAACGCGATAACGAGCGACATGCATTCAAGCGACGTAAAATTGCGTCGCTTTACTCGATGTCAACCCTGGTGTCATACGAGCAATTTGTCGATCGATGCAACACTGTTTTGTGCGAGAAGATGTGTGAGTTTGCCGATGCAGGTACCACTTTCGAGGTCCCAGCCTGGATGCAGTTCTATGCTTTTGATGTTATTGGGGAGATATCAGTAAGTCTCCAAGCCGGAAGGCAGATCTGTTATATAAGTTGCTGACATGATGCAAGGTCGGCCGCTCCTTTGGCTTCATGGAAAGGGGATACGACTTCAATGGCATACTTCAAGCAATTCATGCCTCAATGACTTACGGGTCTCGCGTCGGTTTATTGCCAGAGTTTCATCCATTCTTTGCTTGGATGGCAAGAACCACTAAGCAGCCAATCCCATTTGACACCGTGCAAGATTTCATAGATGGCAGCGTGGAGATACGAAAGCAAGGAGGCTTTCCTACCGACCGCGAAGACTTCCTGACGAAACTTCTCAGCCTCAGGAAGAGCGAAAAGATCAACGACTTGGACGTAGCGACATCTCTGGGCGCAAATATCGCAGCTGGGTCTGACACCACAGCAATCAGCCTATCGACAGTGATTTATCATATGGCAAAAAATCCTGCAAAGGCCGGGAAGTTGCGACAAGAGATCCGTGAACATGAAGAGTCGAAGACCATCTCGGATCCCGTCACGTTCAAGGAGGCTCAGGATATGCCATACCTGCAGGCTGTCATCAAAGAAGCTTTGCGTATACATCCTGTCACTGGCCAGATACTTAGTAGACTTGTGCCGTCAGGCGGTGCTACCATTTGCGGACGTTACTTTCCAGAGGGTGTACGTGTTCCTCTTTCCAAATCAGAATATATAGCTGACATGGCATAGACTGAAGTGGGCACCAGTCCATGGTTAACGCACTTCGACGAAGACATATTCGGCGCAAATACCCATAGCTTTATTCCGGAGAGATGGCTTGAAGACAAGGACAGAGCTTCCGTCATGAACCAACACATGTTAGCTGTAAGTCTGACGCTTCTTCATCAATTGGCCAAGATCTGATTTTTCGATAGTTTGGTGCCGGAGCCCGTACGTGTTTAGGCAAAAACATTAGCATGTTGGAGATGACAAAGGTGATCCCACAATTGTACCGCAAGTTCGATTTCGAGCTTGTGAAGGTGGATGAAGACTGGAAGTTGGACATGGTGTGGTTTGTGAAACAAAGCTTCAAATGTCGGGTCAATCGGATTTGATACCTGAACGTACCTGCAGATAGGTAGTCATTTATCATCGTCATGATCACAAGTCTCGTCATTTTCGTCATTTTGTGCCAAGATGGTCGGATCAGGTAAACGGACGGAAGAAGTCTATCCGATGAGGCTTCTCAAGCGACGGCTCTGCCCTGCTTCGCGGCTCCGGAGATTGGGAAAGAGGATGAAAAAGGTGCCAACGCGTGGTTGCTCACATTCAGTGATATTAAGAAACTGTTCATTCCGTAAGATTGAGTGGTCGAAGATTGTACAGGAAGGCGCAAGCAGACGGGAGTAAAGGGGGACCGAGGATGTCAACGGACGTGGGGTCGAACTTTGGCAGACATGTGGCAGAGGGGGCGATCGGCGGTGGACGGAGCAAGGCGCCGGAATCCTAAACATGGAATTTACATTTGTTTCTCGTTTCCCCAGGGTCCTTTTCTCGACTCTCGAGTCACGACCTCGGTGATCGACCTAACTCGGGCACCTACTGATCTCCATGGCGTCTCAATCGAGTGCAGACAAGACGAAGTCTCGCCGGCAGGCGAAGCAGCAACACCGGGAGGAGAGGGCTTTGACCCTGCAGGAGAGGGAAATGCACCGCTACTACCAGCCATGGTTGGATGCTCAAGGCTCGTCGGTCAATGTCGCCGACCACGTTCAAGACCTCGCTCAAGTCGACGATTTCGCCATAAACACCCTCTCAGACAAGGGCTTCCGCGCCCTCTCTTCGCGCGACAAGACCCTCACTGCCTTTGCTCAACTCGCCGCCCTCCGTCTCAATGTCCGCCGTGCCATGGTCTCGCTGCTGGACTCGTCGCATCAGTACATCCTGGCCGAAGCCACTCGCACCCTCTCGCTAGTCGACGATACACGGCATGCCCAACACGATGAGCTTTGGCTGGGAAACGCCGTTGTTGCACGCGACGACGCTGTGTGTCAATGTGCCTTCACCAGGCAGTATACAGTCAACGACGACAATGGCCACCCCGTCACTGCTACTGCCGCTGTCATGCCGGACTGTCGCTTGGACAAAGACTACAAAGATAAGCCCTATGTTGTTCAAGAGCCGGGTGTTCGCTTCTACGCTGGCGTTCCTATCAGATCCCGATCTGGTCACAATATTGGCGTTTATGCCGTATCTCATGACGCTCCTCGTGAGCCTCTGACCTACGATGAGCTACGATTCATGCAAGATATCGCCGTTGCTGTTATGGACCATCTGGAATGGGCAAGAGATCGCGTCGATCGGTACAAGGGAGAACGTATAGTTCGTGGAATGGCCGACTTCATCGAAGGTGCCCCTGCCATGCGCCCCACCAAGAAGGAGGACATTTCTACATCCTCCCTTGTATCGCCTGATGCAGTGATCGATCCGCCGTCCCGCACAAAGAAGGATTCTCCAAAACAATCTCAACCAAAGCGAACCGACAGTACAAAGTCGGCTACCCGTCCTGGCTTGAATTCCCGTGCGCAGTCTTACTTTAAGCCTAATGCAGCCAAGCCGGACAGTATGTCGCGTCTATTCGACCGTGCCTCTCGCATCTTGCGTGAATCTACTCTTGCTGAAGGTACGTGTGCGAGTATATATATATCCCGAGCCAAACACAACTTCTGTCTACTAGATTGCAGAGTGTTATTTAATCCGTTGCAAGCCTCCACAGAGAGCCTACGTTCTTGGCTCTCTGCTGGTATCTGCTCGACTCTGGATACCACTCTGCATCTCGATAGCTATAATCTTGGTGTCTCACTGTCTCGTGATTTAAGTGGATGTAGGGATAGAGAGATGGTACCCTATCGAAATCCATCGCTCTTGCGAGGTTCCCGATATGGCTGTCAAAGTGCAAGATGATTTCGATGCTGCCTGGGTTGTTTGAAGAGAGCACGTAGAAGTACCTGCCCTCATCGGACGCGCTTCTGAATATGCACAATATCTTGCCTTTTGACAGTGCTCGGGGATGTTCGATTTGTCTCCCCCCTATATCCATGTTATTGTAGCATCATACACACACAAGAAACATGCTAACACATCTTGCTAGGTGTCGTTTTCTTTGGTCCAACTGGCAATAGTCCTGCCAAGCCGAATTTGAGGTCCGCCATGGCTGCACGTAACAAGTCGTCCAGTACTGATGACGAGTCGCCCAAGCACCTTTCAGCCTCGGATGCCGATGTCAATGACATTGAGAATTCTACTGACTCGGATGCCACATCCCAACTGCGCGTCGCCAAGATCTTAGGGCTGTCTTTGGCCAACAAGAACGATACCTCCCTCTTCCATAACACCGCCCTGGGTGTTTCGACCTTGGAGAATTATTTCAAGCTGTATCCTAGTGGCAAGAGTTTGCACTTCTCAGAGGCCGGTTCAGGACTTTCCTCTGACGATAGTTCCAGTGAAAGTCCACTGTCTGCCAACGAAGAATCTAAATCTGGTCCTGAGACTGCTCATTCGCGGATCATCGGTCGTAAGAAGCGAGTTCGTATGAGCCACTCAGAGCTTCTAAAGCACCTACCCGCCGTGAAGAGCGTCATATTCCTTCCGCTGTGGGACTACGTTGAGGAGAAAATTATCGCTGGTTGCTTCCTCTGGACTTCGTCTACTGGCCGTATGATGAACTTGGATGATGACTTGTCGTACCTAAGGGCTTTTGGCAACACCATCCTGAGTGAGGTCACGCGCATGAACGCTCTCAAGGATGACCGGGCGAAGACAACATTTATCGCATCCATGAGCCACGAGTTACGCTCCCCACTTCACGGCATACTTGGCTCAGTTGAGTTTTTACAGGACACAGCTGCTGATGCATATCAGGCTGGACTTGTAAGTACCCTAGAGTACGATTACCACGAGCGAAACCCAATAGCCAGTGCCACCAACAAAATCATCGCCCTGCAAAGTTCTGCTGGCTACTCGCATATCTCCATCAAGAGCTCATCTTTTCGCAAAAAAGAGTAGACTCTTGATAGATTTTCTGCGACTTCGATTAGTGCTACGCATCGCGATAGGTTTAGATGCTGGTTTTCCTGAAAAGCTCGTGGTAACGTCGCTGCCTACCCAGGAAATTTGCTAACTTTTTTATTTTTCATTCTTAGATCACTAGTATTGCTACCTGTGGCAAGACACTTCTTGATACGCTCGATCACGTGCTGGATCATTCCAAGATCAATAGGCTTTCGAAAACACGCATGAAGAAGAATGCTAGATCGAGTCGTCTCGCGACAGCTTCAGACTCTCCTACCGAAAGTCTAAACATTTCCGCAGATTTCGATCTTGGAATCGTGATAGAAGAAGTCGTCGAGGCCGTCTGTGCTGGGCATGCCTTCAAGAAGATGCATACTGGAGATCTCAAGTCTAACGACGGTCCTGTCATCACTTTGTCTCGACATTCATCTTCGGGGGTGATTCCCACTGCCGAAGGTGGCAACCTTCAAGCTGGGGAAGTCGCTGTGCTACTCGACGTTAGCCCTCGCGCTAGTTGGAGAGTACGCACTCAGCCAGGTGCTCTACGAAGAATCATCATGAACCTACTCGGTAAGTCTGATTCACCACTTCAAATATGCATAGAGGAAAGAGAAGTCTTAGGAAGCTGACCATACACCAGGCAACGCTCTCAAATACACTTCAAAGGGGTGGGTTGCGGTTTCTCTCCGAGCCCAAGAGAGTTCGCATCCCAACAAGATGGATGTGGTCTTCCGAGTCGTCGATTCTGGCAAGGGTATGTCAGAAGACTTCCAAAAGCATCGCTTGTTCGTGCCGTTCAGCCAGGAAGATACGTTCCAGCCGGGAACAGGTCTGGGTTTGAGCATCGTCCGCCAAATTGTCGATTCACTGGGTGGCTCTATCGACATCAAGAGCAAGCAGAATGTCGGTACCGAAATCGACGTTCGCCTAAGTCTCCCTACAGCAGAGCCAGCTCTTGACGTTCCAGATGAGGAAATCACTTCGATTGCTGCCAAGACCCGTGGTTTGAGACTTTGTCTGTTGGATCCAAACGGTGAGAAGCAGAGGGACCAAAACGATCATATTAGTCGACTTGACACAACTTTGTCAGAAGTCTGCTGGGGCTGGTTCGAGATGGAGGTCACTAGAGCCAGCAGCCTTAAAGATGCCGATGCAGACATATTCATGTACACGGAGCCCCCCTCGGTTGAGTATCTACTGGAGCACCACGGCGTAAATCCCAAAACTGGCAGTAACGGAGCAAGAGGAAAGGAAGTGCCCCTGATCATTGTCTGTCTCAATGCTTCGGAGGCCATTTCAATTACTGCAAATCACATCAAGGTATGTCAACCACGAATGGCCAACAAACCCGTACTGACTGTGGGTGTAGACACTATCGGACCTCGGTCGCATAGTTGAAGTGATTCCACAGCCATGTGGGCCTCGCAAGCTGGCAAAGGTGCTCAGCCACTGTGTCAAGCGCATGGAAGAGACGTTCAACAAACCCATGACGGCCGACAGGCAGCCGCAATCACTGCCTCATAGATCAAGACTGGAAGACATGGGCGCCGCATCCGTCCTCGGGCTGCCAAGCATGACCCTGCCACGTCTCAATTCTATGGAGGAGAAGAAGGAATCTGCTCGCACTCGTGAGTACCTCCGCGACGTAACATCCGAAGTCCCGCCAAGTACAGCGGTCGCATTCCCGGACGAGAGTCGCAATGCGAATAGCGCCAGAACACTCAACGAGGATCCACCCGCAGATGCAGCGCCACATCTACTGCTCGTGGATGACAACCACATCAATTTGCAACTGCTGGTAATGTTCATGAAGAAGCACAAATTCCCTTACCAAGAAGCCATGAATGGCCAAGAGGCATTGGACAAGTACATCGAACACAGCAGTGGAGATCCCGATAAGCCGCCCTTCGACTACATCTTGATGGACATCAGCATGCCCATCATGGACGGATTCGAAGCCACACGCCGCATTCGCGAATTTGAGGCTAAGCAGAGCTTGTCGCACAAGGCAACCATTATCGCTCTGACCGGCCTGGCCAGCGCCGAAGCGCAAGCGGACGCCGCATCTTCGGGCGTAGACATCTACATGCCCAAGCCCGTCAAGTTCCAGAAACTGAGACCTCTGCTTGAGAGAAAGAAGCCTGGAACCGATTCAGGAAGGAGCACCCCCAGCACGCAAGATGGAGCTGAAGCCAAGGGCAAGAGTTCAGAGAACCAAAGCTCTTGATTGATCATGGATGTGTTTTCTCCTTCTGCCTTTGTGTCTTCTTGCCTGTTCATCTTGTCATTCTAACTTCTCTTTCTCTTCTCACAAGCAACCCCCCTTCTCGATCTATTCTGTACAGCCCCTTTCTCGACATATGTCTTCTATACCTGCTCTTTTCTCTCAGACCTACCCTTCTTACATGCATCCTGGCGTTCTTGAGTTATTCATTGGGTTGAGTTGTGCATCACATCATCACCAAACACACATACATGTACATGAAATGGCGTTCTGATTCTTCACCAAGAGCGATGCAATGCATATACAGTACACACTCTAGTATTCGTCGGCTCCTTTCTTTGCCTTCCCATGTTTTTGACATCTCACAATACAAGAACCGGCTTCAGTGCATCATCGTTGCACTTCTTGATGTGTCCCTGTTTTTGTCGTTTGCTCTTGAAAACTTTGTCTCTTCATGAGTGTATTATATCGTGTGAATGAATATACGCGCTTTTGACAAGGTAAGAAACAAAAAAGACTGCTTTGCTGCGCCTTTCCCACCCGTGAAAAGCCCCAAGTCCGCTATAGCAAGATTGAAAAAAAGTGTTTATGCAATGGAAAGCGAAAAAGTGTGTCTCATCATCTCATTATCCCGTCGTTTCACCATCCCTTTGAATGCCCTTTTGTTACGGCGACGACTCCAACTTGGGCTCTGGCGAAGATGACGGAGCGGCAGTTGCAGGTGCGGAAGCAGTTTCGGCTGCAGGAGCAGGGGTAGGACCAACGACATCCTCCGCAGCGTACAGGTTCTGATTTAGAATCTTGTTCATGGTGAACATGTGGACGCGATCGACTTTGAAGACAGCACGCATTGCGTCGTCGCAAACGATCTGGCGTTTGTCGGCTGGGTCTTGGAGTTCGTTTGACTTTACGTATTCCCAGATCTTCTTCACTGTTTGAGGGCGAGAGAGTTGGGTTTCGTTGAGGAGGGCTGCGAGGGGTTCGGAGAGGTTCATGGGTTTCTGTTTGGATCGTGTTAGTTCGTGAAGAGAAAGCAGTATCCAGGAGAAGGAGCAAGACTCACGTGGAAGCCACCTGTACGTTTTACGGGCTCGCCATTGGTATCGACGTCACTACCGTCTTTGACCTTGGCTGCCGACTTCTTCTTTCGCTTTACGGGTGCTGCTTTTCTGGTTGCGCCTGCTCTGGTCGGTCTGGCTCTGGTGTTTTCCTCACGTTGCAAACGTGCTGCGTAGGCTGCATCGTCTTCCTCGGCATCCTGCTTGCGTGCCTTCTTTTTTGCCGGCCTGTCGTCTACTACATCGGACATGTCTGATTCATCAGAGGGTTCTTTGCGCTTTTGGGGGGATGGTGAAGGGGAAGGAGAAGCGCCATTGGTACCATTCGCGTTCTCTGACGTGACTCTATCGAAACATGATTCAATCAGACGACTGATTTCTTTCTGTGTGACACAGTGTTAGTGACTGGACATGGCCTAGGCTGCTTGAGGAGGGAGAGTTGACTGACCTTGTGTTCGCTGACATCGTAACCAAGTCTTTCTGACAGAGCATTACGAATCTTCTTTGCCGAGACGGTGTCGAGATCGCTTTGGCGTAAGATGTCGTATATCAGGTCAGAGTAGCGTTTCTCGTCGTAGGACATGGTTGCGACAGATGACGTCGGCCGTGTTGATGGAAGACAGTCAAAAGAGGTCGTGGAAATGAGTTGATCCAAAATTCAACAAGGACGATCGCCTAGCACGGGTTTATGTACTGATGGTTGGACGACGGAAGAGTCAATTGCGAGATGTTTGCGAGTGAAGATGGATTTCTTTGTAGACGACGCGCATGAACGCGATGGACCATAGAAGGCACTTTCGGTATGGAGAAGCAACCACTAAACCGCTAGGTAGGCTTGGCGTCAACAACGATTGTATGCAGCACACAATGCCTTGGCTAGATAGAGGACATGATCGAATGCCAGACAAGTACAAAGTTGCATATACAGCCCTTTGACATATTGTTTGTTCGAATATCGGAGTCAGAGATTGGGAAAGAGCGAACTTTGGTGACTGCAGGAAGTCGTCAATCCCAGGCCAGTCACGTGATCCCGAAATTCCGCCCGCGCCTGCACTTTTTGCACACGAAATCGAATAGCGGCAGCCGCATTCACCACCTCACATACAACCGCCAACATGGCTCCAAGCTTTGATAATCTCGACAATGACGAGAACTTTGACGATGTCGAAATCGACTACTCTGGTACGCCATCCCTGAAGATAAGAGAAAGAGATGGACTGCGCGCGCGCCGGGAAAGAACAAGGATAGAAATTCACAGACAGTAATGCTGACTGTTGACCTACAGATCTGCGCGAGCAGTTCGATGTGCGCATGGAGGAGGGTCTCGACTCATTCGTAGTCGTCGACGGTCTCCCCAAGGTGCCCGAGGAGAGCAAGGGAAAGCTTATTAAGTTCATCCTGCGCAAGCTCGTCAGCGCTGGTAAGACCAGTGAAGACTTGGTCCTCATGCCCGTCAGCGACGAGACCAACATGACCGAGGGCTACGCCTTTGTCGAGTACGAGTCGCCCGCACAGGCCCAGGCCGCCGTCAAGGCCCTTAACGGCACCCCTCTGGACAAGAAACACACCATGGCCGTCAACAAGCTCACCGATATTGAGCGCTTCGGTCGCGAAGGCCGCATTGAGGAGGATTACAGAGCCCCGGAACTCGAGCCCTTCCAAGAGAAGGAGCATTTGCGCTGGTGGTTGGGTGACAACGACGGCCGTGACCAGTTTGTCATGTACCGCGGCGACAGCGTCGGTGTCTTCTGGAACGAGAGAGACGAGCAGCCCGACTCGATTGTCGACCGTGCCCACTGGACCGAGTCGTTCGTGCAGTGGTCGCCCAAGGGAACCTACCTCACATCCATGCACGCTCAGGGTGTCCAACTCTGGGGAGGCAAGTCCTGGAGCAGACAGAAGCGTTTCGCACACCCCGGAGTCAACCTCGTCGACTTCTCGCCCGACGAGAGATACCTCACCACCTGGTCTCACCGCCCCATGCAGATCGAAGAGGGCCACCCCGTTCTCTCGCTCGACGAGGACGGCAAGAACTACATCATCTGGGACCTCGAAACCGGCCTTCCTCTGCGTTCCTTCGTCACTCTCGACCAGGCCGGTCCCAATGTCGACGAGGCTGGCAACCCCATGAAGAAGAAGCTGCAATGGCCCGCCTTCAAGTGGTCCGCTGACTCCAAGTACGTCGCCCGCATGAACCCCGAACAAGGCATTTCCGTCTACGAGCTCCCCCGCATGAACCTCCTCGACAAGGTGTCGATCAAGATCGAGAAGATCCAGGACTTCGAGTGGTGCCCTGCCACCCCCAACCGTGAGGGTATCAAGACCTACGAGCAGTTGTTCTGCTACTGGACCCCCGAAGTTGGCAGCAACCCCGCCAAGGTCGGTCTTATGAGCGTTCCTTCCAAGGAGGTCGTCCGTACCCGTAACCTGTTCAACGTTTCCGACGCCAAGTTGCACTGGCAGAGCGACAGCTCTTTCCTCTGTGTCAAGGTCGACCGTCACAGCAAGAGCAAGAAGTCCATGGCCACTAACCTCGAGATCTTCCGCGTCAAGGAGAAGGGCGTGCCAGTCGAGGTTGTCGATGCCATCAAGGACACCGTCATCAACTTCGCCTGGGAGCCCAAGGGTGACCGCTTCGTCCTCATCACCGCTGGTGAGGTCCCCGTTGGTGCTGCCGTTCCTCCCAAGACTTCCGTCTCCTTCTTCTGCCCGGAAAAGGCAAAGGGCAATCAGATTGGTAACTTCAAGCTGATCCGAACCGTCGACAAGAAGAACAACAACGCCATCCACTGGTCTCCCAACGGTCGCTTCGTCGTCGTCGCCACTGTCCTGTCACAACAGAGCTTCGACCTCGACTTCTACGACTTCGACTACGAGGGCGAGAAGGATGAGAAGGACAAGGACTTGACCGCCAACCTTGCACTGATGAACACAGCCGAGCACTACGGTGTTACTGACATCGATTGGGACCCCTCAGGCCGCTTCGTCGCTACCAGCGCGAGTGTCTGGAAGCACCGCGTAAGTTTTGCTGACCTCCTCCCATATAAGCAGAAAGCTAACAGCAATAGATGGAAAACGGTTACCACCTTTACGATTTCCGCGGTCAACTCCTCCGCGAGGACCCCATTGACCAGTTCAAGCAATTCGCCTGGCGCCCACGCCCCGAGCGTCTCCTGTCCAAGGAGGAACAAAAGACTGTCCGCAAGAACCTCCGCGAATGGAGCAAGCAATTCGAGGAGGAGGATGTTGCCCGCAAGAACACCGCCAACCGCGCTGTTATCGAGCAACGCCGTCGTCTTCTCGACGAGTGGCTCGCATGGCGCGAACGCACCGCCGCCGAGCTGCGCGACGAGCGCGAGGAGGAGGGTCTTCCCGAGGTCAGCCCCGAAGAGGCCGCTGCCAAGGACGAGGCCGCCGACGAGGGCGAGGGCCAGTTCGTCGAGGAGATCACCGAGGAGATTCTGGAGGAGACCGAGGAGATCATCGAGTAAACCGCTTGACGATCCTGACGAGAGAAACGCTTTTACATTTCTGCCTTCCTTTTCTTGTGTACAGCACATTGTGGGAAGCGGGAAATCAAAAATTTGCACGTTGTTTTGTTCCATGTTATCACCCCTTTCCGCCTTTCTTTCAAATCTTGCCAATAGAGTGCTCACCTTCATCGTGCTATGATCATTGAAAATAGCCAGGTTCATGCCCTTCTCTTGCGAGGGGTAATTTGCCTGTACTTCGTCGTGATTTCTTCTGACGACCGGTCGTCCTTTTCACATCGCTAAACAGAGCACCCTGCCCTTCGATTCCTGACATCCATCAACCCTCCTAAAGTAGCAACACACAGGAATACAACCACCAAAACACACGATAACAATCCCGAAAACCATTGTACAGATGTGCGGAACCATCAGAACGGTTTTACAACTCATGTACGCAGATTCACAACGGATTCATAGAGGCTTCGATTCGTCGAGGCCGTGGACAAAGATCAATCGTGTAATCATGCAAGTAACAAATGGTGGTCAAATCGTAGGTGCAGATGGACAGCACAACATTCTCTGACCTTGATGTACAAAACTTGTGTTGTCGACATGCACCGCAATGGATCGAAACGAGGATGTTCCTGAAAGATGGCGAAAGACCAAATCAACAAGTCACGAATCTGTCAGGGTGAAGTTGCACCGTATGGTTGTCGATTTTGTTTGATTTCTGCTGCATAAACAGTAAACTCCATCTCGTCAGAATCTGTAATTTCTAGTTCTGTCGCTATGCTCAGAGTGAATGATTTGCATCTGTCAAAGCAGTGCTTGGCCCAGTCACATTACATCCTTGAATCGGATGGACGACACCTTTGGCGATGGTCCTTTGTTTACATATCCTGCCCGTAGGTTTGCATACTCTAGACGCCCCCATTCCAGTCCTTCATTCGCATCCAACGCCATTGCAAAGATTGTTTTATTGTTCTTTGCTGAAGTGTTTTTGGAAGAAAGGAATAACAAAAGATCCCGCAGCGGACAAAGAGATACAAGAAGCAGAAGAGGGGCGGTCGTGACGGGCAGGTCGTGGTGGATGACTACACGGCATCATGAGTTGACACCAAGCGTCTCATTTTTCAGATGGCGAATGATGATGGCATGAGAATGTGCATTTGGATCCGTCATGAGCCACCAGGGATGGGATGGTAGATGATAGACGGCAGCGAATGTCAGAAATACAGACATTTGTTGCCTAATGGTTTGTTCGTAGCGGTGTCGTAAACGTCGTTTCGAAAGGTGATATCATGTATGGTGCATTTCTTCGTGAAATGAGCGATTTAGTCAAGATAAAAATCGCCCTTGAGGATCCTCTCCTGGAACTGGTCGGGGACCTTGACCGGCTTGGGGTTGTCCCTGACGGGGGTATCCATGACGGCAATGCTCTTGGAACGGGAGTGAGTCCAGCCACCGGTAGGAGGAGAAGCGGAGAGGCCAGAGATGGAGCCTCGCTCAGCACGGGAACGCATGTTGTCGGCCCAATTGAAGCCCTCTGCAAAAACCAAAAACAGTCAGCATGATGATCAAAAGACGTTAGGTGAAAGCACGCCGGCGGCACCAGAAGAAGACACAAACCTCGACGACCCAGTGAGGAGGAGGTCGGGGCCAAAGTCTTCTTCTCCCCGTCTACGTCTTCTTCTGGTATAGTAATGGTGGCGGTGGGCCTACCTGCTGGCACCGAACCCGAACCACCCTTCATATCCTTGAGGGCACGAGCACCAAAGCTGACTCTGCGAGCAAAGGGACCGCTGTTGCCAGCTGTGGCCGAAGAAGGTTCGTCGTCGATTGCCGACTCGTCGAAAGAGCCGACGTTGGAGCTGGAAACACTCTCACCTCGCATTCTAGCCGACATGGGCGAGCCCTGGTTGGGGGAAGCACCCATATTGAGGGTGCTGACAGAAAGACGACGACGGCTGGCTTCGGCAGCTGCTGTTGTGATGGGTCCTTGAGCGGGAGGGCTGGTGCCAGACGACTCGGACGGGCGGCTGCTGCGGCTAAACATGTCGGTGAATGCTTGACCGACGAAGGATGAGCGACGACGTTGGTTGTAGGTGTTGTTGTTGGAGGATTGATCGTTCTGGTCTGCCATTGTGATGGGTAAAGTGACAGTGTCGGGTTTTAAGGGGCGAGGAAAGGGAAATGTTAGGTAATCTTAGAGAGTGTTGATAGGGTTGAAAGCGAGGTAACCACGTGCTTGGGCGTGACTTCTTTGTGCTCTAGAATGGCGTGATGATGTCAGCTCCCTCCGGCTTCGGGGCTGCTTTGGCCGTTGTTCAAGGTTCGACCGCTTGTTAGATCGTCTGCTGCGCTTTGTTGTTGGAGAATTGAAGTGCAAGAGACGAGTCAGGGAGAAAGAGGAGAGGGAAAGAGCAAGGAGGGGCAGGGAGAAAGGAAGAGGTAAACATATAACTTGCACAAATCATGGTGCGAGGACCCTAGCCATCCCCAGAGTACTCCACATCACGCTTCCTTGTCCCGCTAAGAAATGCGGGGTAAAACAAGCCACAATCTGCCCCCTGCCCATCCAATCACGGCTACATTTTCCCACGACGATCCCATACCTTAGCACAAGCCGTCTCATCGAGATGCATCATGCAAGCCCTTGTCAAACTCAATGCCCGTAACTCCAAACGCTCCGGTCCGATTTGTCTCCGTCTCTCAAGAGCCACGTCTAAGGTCACCACATCTCACGCGGCTGTTACGCCATCTGCTGCGGCCAGCGCTCCGACCGCATCCAGTCGCTCTATCCATGTTTATAGAGTGCTTATCTGGGAGCTGTGTCACATGCCTCCTTCTTTGTGTACTTTTTGGTCCCAAAGCTTCTAATCTCCCAATCAGCATGGGGTGATTGCCATCTTCTGATACGCCCGGGTATGAAGATCACCTCTTGTCCGTCTCACGGCGTTGGAGCTTAGCTTTGTCTTGTGTCATGGCACCACCTTTGCTTCCTTATGCGTCCAACATGCATATGCAACGTTGATGCACAACTGTTCAGGTATCCAGTCACCGACCTTGATGGACAATTAGTTTGAAGAGTGTAGTAAATATGCTGTGATTATGTACATGGGTATTCATTTATTTCAATGGTTCATCAATCTGCCTCATCCAACTCGTCGAGACTAAATTTCAGACCGAGTCTTTTGTATCAGACTCTTGTATCTCCAGTGCGCTACTGGAGGTATCACGTCAAGAGCTTCTTGCAACCTCGGGGAATCGTAAGGGAGACTTTCCGACTTTACGACCTCAAGAACGTACGAGGACACAGTCGTCAATGCGAGAGGTGGTTGCCTCATTGCTTCGGCCACTTGCTGAAGCGGAAGACCCTGGACATGCCATAGAGCGTACGCACGTATGTTGGTCGGCGTGTTCTTGCCCTTCCTTTCGAGCGATAGATTGCTCTCCCATTGGCCAAGCCATTGATCCGCAGCTTCGTATTTGACGATTTCGACTTGGCCGGGTTCAAGGTTCTCTGGCTCTTCTTCAGCACTGAAGTACTCAGTGTCATCAGCGCCGGCTTCAGCTTGGGCTTCTTCCTCTTCATCGTCGAGCGCTTGCTCTTCTTCTGGGCTGAGAACTGGCGTCTGGCTTTCGACCTCTGTGGCCTTTTTGATGCCAGTCTTGCGCTTCAGGCGATTCTCACCGGCCCGCTCACCATTACCGAGAATTATAGGTTGGTCCGCCTCCCAGAGAGCCGGTCTCGGGGGTGTAGGAACCATGGCAGATCTCGCCCTGTCAAGCTCCCGAAAGAGCCTGAATCCCGCATAAGCATCTGTTGCGGCATACTCAACCTGCTCCATCGACAGTCTTCTCGACCAGGCACTCGTTCGAACGTTGCCCTTGTGAAGGGGGAGAAACAGAACTTCCTGTACCTGCTCAGCCAGCTTTAGCGGCGACTTGTTGACTTTGGCTGGCTCCTTCTCCGAAAACTTGACGAGCTTGTAGAGATGACTAAGCTCGAAGATGCCCTGTCCCTCGATACCCAAGCACTTGCGCAGGCGAGTGAAGTCGCCTGCAATGTTGACACCGGCCTTGAGGATGTCTGGCGATTCGAGGATTGTTTTGAGTGATGGAGGCATGAGGTCTTCCTTGGTCTCCCCAGCAAAGAGTGCAATCTGGAAGAGAGCAATTCGATTCTCACAAGCAATCTGAATCAAGGACACGTTGTCTTTAATGCCCCCTTTTGCAACACTGCTGCCCATTTCCCATTCGATGTCAAAACCTATGATTTTCTCCTGGGAAAAGTGCTTCGCAACTTGTTCCGCCTGCTCGAATTTGGTGCAATAGTGTAGAAGCGGTTTCTCTCCGCTTGGTGACTTGTACAGAGCGTATCTCCAAAAAGCTGCCTGGCTCGTCTTAGAGGCCATTAGAGCATTTCGTAAGTCCTGGGCAGGTATCTGGTAGAGTAGTGGCGATAACGTGGTAGCCTGACTCAATTCTTCCCTGTCAAGCAAGTCTGTGGAGCTCATACCTGCCTCCTGACTCCGACGCCTTGTTTCCTTAAACATAGGTCTTGGAGGCTTGAAGCCGAGTCTGCTACGAGCTCTGGAGTAGATTGTGGTGGCCTTCGGAGCAAGTCTCGGGATCGGAGAAGGTACTTCCCTAATTTTAAAGGTAGGACCACCTGACTTGGCTTCTGTTTCGAGGGGAGGAGTTTCTGTCTCCGGTTGAGATGAAGCTTCCGTTTCCGGTTGTTGAACACTTGTCTCCTGCTTTTCAGTGTTTGTGGTGGGTTTTGGTTGAGTTGCCTCGACTTTCTCGGGAGCTGCTGTGCTTTCTGGACTCGTGTCTTTTGACGTCATTTCTGCGCTTGCCGCCGATCCTGAAGTGTCGGTTGTCGTGCTGACTGCTGCTGCGGGTTCAACAGGCGAGTCTTCTTCCTCTATAAACTCTTCCTCGACGTGTTTTGTCTTCGCAAGAGCAGCTTTCCTCAAGGTATCTCTACGTCGGGTTCTGGCAGGTACCAAAAGACGTTTACCCAGAGTTTCACTCATTTGATCAGCCACAACCTCGTTGCAGATCCTCATAAATGGCTCCAATTGTCGCGTCCTGCGCTTTGTCTCCTGCGCGTTATCAATGCAGTACATATCGAGCACTTCGCCGATCTCTGCTTCCTCGTTCTTCGTAAAGGCGTTTCTCTCTTTCTTAACGAATGCATGTGCAAAGGCAGCGCGTTCATGGGTCTTGGTGTGGTGAACAGTGCTTAACACATGTTCCGTTGACATGATTTTGTGGCGCTTCATACCATCACCTCGCAGTTGTTTCACAACACTCTTGATGTTAGTCATGAGTGAGGTTTGTCGTCTCGAGACACGGATCGAGTCTTGCCAGTACGATTGCTGGTATGTCGGCTGCTCTGAAATCCAGGTTGCTTCGCCCGCTTCCATCTGTAAGGTAGAGAACATGCGGACCACTCGGAGAAGAGTGGCACAGATACCGAGAGCCCTGACCTGGTTTCGGTAGAAGTTGATCTTAAGCTCTGTTGTTCTTGTTCTGTTCGGCTCCGCCTGGAGCACCTTTATTTTCCCTTTCCAAAAGTCCAGACGAGAGTTGACTTCCTTTACCATGCTAGCAATTGGACGATCCAGCGTAAGAACGTCAGCTGTAGAGGCTCTTTGATAGGCTGTTCTCTCTGGAGATTCTTTGTGAGGGTCCACACCAAAGCGGGTGTCTCTGAGAATTCGTCGGTGATCATGTTGAAGGCTGAGAATGGATTCGTATCTTCCTCGCAATTCTTTAAGTTCAGCGACATATTGTAAACGTGCTGTGTCGGCTTTCTGGCTGGAGCTCTGCAGGTATGCTTTGACTTGACTGAAGATGCTATCGCGATGTTGCAATCTTTGTTCAAGGCGACGAATGACTTTTTGACGCAGAGCTTCCTGTGCCTGAAGATTTTGAGTTTTTGTCTGTACCTCCTTTCTAGCCTCCCAGAGTTGCATCTCGTCACCACCCTTGGACGTTACCTCAAAAGATCGGGCGTCTCGAAGAGCTCTACCCCAGTACGCGATTTCGCGGTTGTACCAATTGGCTCTAGACGCAAGAAGATCCGGCTCTGTCAGCAGCGCCTTGGTGTACTGAACGGGTTTATAGGAAAATTCTCTGAAAGACTCATAATTCCTGCGAATCAGTTTCCGGACAGATTTTTCTTTTTCCTCTCGCTCGCGAGATACCATGGTAGCTTCATGTTGACGCTCGGCGGCGCGGCGTTTGACCTGCCTACCTATGGTGTCTCTCTCTACCTCCAGCTGCTTTCGTAGATCATGAATCTCGACGAGGCGCTCGCTAAGCAAGGCTGCCTGCTTGTCACGAGTGGAGTGGAGCGAAGCTATAATCCGGTTGTGCTTCTCTGCTCTCGCCTCCAGGGCCTCTCGCGATCCGGTTTTGATATTCTGGATGGTTTGAGCGGACGACTTTACCAAGTGATCGTGAGTTTTCTGCAAATTTCGGAATCCTTCTTTCTGCTCTGCCAGAGCCGACTCCAGTTGAGTGTTCTTTAGCTTTAGACGCAAAATTTCATCCATAGCTAAGGCACGGGTTTCGGTAGTATGTAATGGCTGATTTTGTGACCTGTTGGATGACGGTGCCGTAGATGTCTCAGCTGCCGTGATACCTTCGGGGACAGTCACATCATCTACTGCATAGGCAAGCTCTTGGCCAGGTGTTTCATAGACAGGGCTCTGGGGCGGCGAAATCGGCGGCGTAGGAGTCGGAGGAACCGAAGAAGCGGGAGAGGCGGCTGTCTCAGCAGGCGCAGGAGTCTCGGTAGGCACAGGTATTTCAACAGGCGCAGGAGTTGCGAGAGTTGCAGGACTTGTCGGAGCATGAGGAGCAGGAGTCGCGGGTATCGCAGATTTGGGATCTTCCTGTATAAGCGGTGCCGGTGGTGGTGGTCTTGCCACAATAAGTGGTCTGCGTATTTGAGGATCGAAGATGGCATTGGGAGTGCCAGGAGGAGACAGGGTACCAGGTGGGCTGGCCGGTCTTCCACGCTGGTATGGATTGAAACTCAGAGCCTGAGCATAGTTGAACTTATTGGGAGGCTCCCTGCCCTTGTAGACCATAGGCTTCGAGGGCTTTGACTTTGGATCGATCGGTTTCGGACGAATTGGAGGGGCGGGGGGTCTGGACTTGGACGAGGAACAGCGCTTCTGAGCGGCGGGCTGGGAGAAGATGATGGTCGAGGCATTGCGCCAGGTGAAGTCGCAGCGCACACTCGGCGCGGCAAAGACTATCGACGAGGCGGCATTCCAGGTGTGATCGCAAGTCGGCGAGGGCACGTTCGCCTTTGTGTTCGCATTCGCGTTTCTGAGGGCACCTTCGGCGGCGTAGCGGGCAGGCCTCGAGAGAGCATGACGTGACGATGTATAGAGCGAGGGCTGGCGAGAAGAAGTTACGGCCCGTCCTGCGGATTGCATTTCACCCCCATGTCCAAACAGCCAATTGCTGAGATATCACACACTCGGAGTTGTCCTTTCGACTTTTGTGTTCGCCGCCGTGACTTTCCAATGGCCGAAGCTCAAAATGTCCCTCCGCGAAACCGTCCGAGCTTTGTCGAAAGCGTCACTCCGGCCGACACATGTGAAGCCCAGCGACAAGAGTCGATCCGCGAGATACTCTACGTACAGCACATCTCACATCACAAAACATGGCTTCTCAATTACTGCCGCTAGAGCTCATCGACAAGTGTGTCGGCTCCAGAATCTGGGTCATCATGAAGGGCGACAAGGGTGCGTCTGATCTTGCGCCTGAATATCTCAACATCACTTATTGATAATGCCTGCGCAGAGTTTAGTGGAACCTTGCTCGGCTTCGATGACTTCGTCAGTATGTTGATTCTATATTCTCTTTGTTCTGGAGAGTTATTGACCACACGATAGACATGGTTCTTGAGGACGTCACTGAATAGTAGGCCATCACAAGCATCCGACGCTCGCACATCATCAGAAACTGACCATGTTCAAGCGACTACACCGGCACTTCGACCAAGATGTCCAAGATTCTGCTGAACGGAAACAACATTTGCATGGTAATTCCATTTTCCCATCGTCACTCCATCTCGGATGGTCCTAATCTATCCTTCCAGCTCATTCCTGGAGGCATGCCCGAGCAATGAACTATATGACGACGTACGACAAGTCGCGAACTATCAGGCTACAAGAGGAGCTGAATTGTGAGAGCCAATATCTGACCTTTGCAATCTCCGATCCGAAGACATGCATTTCTTCCGATCGGAAGGGAAACTGGACACGATGGTGTATTGAAGCAAAGCGCTCAAATTCACATCTAAATTTGAAAGGCTCTACTATTTACAGAGCGATGCGAAGCACACGCATCCAAAGATGGACCGGAATTATCAAAGTGGTGTCTTTCCACAGTATGCAGCGCAACTAGTATACATTTCTTCTTCCGTCACTGTGCTTTCCTTCATGTCTTCACAGCATCTATTGCTTCTTCTTCTCCTTTTGGTGGGCCTTCTTCTCGTCGTGCTTCTTGTCCATCTCCATAATCTCGTCGGCTTCCTTCTTGTTGGCATACCACTGGCCAGCCTGTAAGATCAAGACACCGACGAGCAAAAGAGCCAATATGGTATCACTGGCAGCGAGAACCTTGAGCGAATCCTCTCTTCCAAGATAGTCGCCGGAATCATCAACCTGGCCCTCTGCGAGAGTAGGGTTGCCGTAGATGCCCGAGGTGATGACGCGCATGCCCTTGACAATGTTGGCAATGTAAACGGTGACACCGCACATGTACAGTACAAGACTGGCGCCGTCGAAGAGGAGGTTGGCCTCAGAAGGCTTGTACAGCTTGGTGATGAAGCCCAAGAGACCGGTAGCGATGACAATGTGGAGAATGCGCGAGATGAGAGGCGGGGATGCGTGGATGAACTTGAGGTGGTCCTCGAGCATCTGGTAGTAGGGCAGACGAGGGTCTACTCCTGGGACAAGAGTCGGGGGTGTCGTCCACAGAACATTGTAGTCGTAAGGGAAGGATGCGAAAAGGACTCCCAGGAAGAAACACGTAGCTGTGGTATGCTGTCAGTCGCGATCGTCTGGCTGGTATAGCTCCTTGCGGAGAGCGCGAATCTTCTTACGTCCGATGATGAGGAAAGTCGCGAAAGGCGACGACATGGTAGGCATCTTGAACAGTCGCGCTTGATGCGTGTATGAGACAGACGTGTGCGACAGGGAACAGTGTAGGTGGGACAAGGGCAAGTAATAATATGGAGGAGCTATCTGAAATCATCTCCACGATCCACTCCAATCATCCGCCAAGCTCCGCGATAGGCCAAAGCCTAGACCAAATGTTTTCATGTGATCTGACTAATGCTTTTCATCCTTTGAACAACAGATCAATCTAGGAGTACACTGTGGTCCAACATCGACTCGACTCGCCTGATGACCTCAAATCTTGATGTAGATGGTCTTGGTCTGTGTCCAAATGTCAAGAGCCGCCTTGCTGAGATCAACTCCATCACCCGAGGCCTTCCAACCACTAAAAGGCATGTCAAGAGCAGTCGACATGGGTGAAGTCGTATTGACGCCCACCATACCACTCTCAAACTTCTTCGCGACACGCAAAGCTCTGGATATGTCTTGAGTATACACGCTAGCGAATAGACCATATTCGCTATCATTGGCCTTCTGCATGACTTCGTCCTCGTCTTCAAAGGTATTGAAGCAGAGTACTGGACCGAAGATTTCTTCCTTGGAGATGCGGCTGTCGTGGTCCGGGTCGCGGATGACCGTTGGCTCGATGAAATAGCCCTTGTCCGTTTGCTTCTTACCTCCCAGGACGATCTTGCCGCCGCTCTCTTTGGCCAGCTCGAGGTACTTCAGGATGTTGTTGAATTGCGCCTTGTCGACCTGAGGAGCGTGCTTGGCTTCGGGAGAGAGAGGATCGATGCCTTCAGGTGAGTTGGCAGACATGGCTTTGATGGTCTCGACAAGCTTCTCTTGAAAAGCATCTGCAATCGACGCATGGACGTAGAGTCTTGACGATGCAATGCAGACCTGTCCGGCCATGTACAGGATACTCAGTGCAGCAGCAGGGATCGCCTTGTCCAGATCAGCGTCGTCAAAGATGACAAGAGGTGACTTGCCACCCAGCTCCAGAGACACTCTTTTGAGATTGGACTTGGCAGCAGCCTCTTTGATCAACCGACCAGTGCGACCAGATCCAGTAAACCCAATCTTGCGGATCTTCATATGCGAGGCCATGGCTGCTCCACAAGGATTTCCAAATCCGCTTAGAACATTGAAGACACCGGGTGGGAAGCCAGCCTCTTTGACCAATCTAGCCAGCACGAGAGCGGTAAGCGGTGACTTCTCAGACGACTTGACCACAAGTGTATTTCCAGTAACCAGTGCCGGACACATCTTCATGACCACAGCGAGAACAGGGATATTCCATGGCACAATTGCACCACAGACACCATACGGCTGGCGGATGACCATATTGACGTGCCCAGGAGTGGCCAAAGAAGTACCACCTTGTACGTCCAAAGCAAGGCCAGCAAATTGTCTCAGAGCCAAAGCACCCATAACATGCTCCACTGCCCATAGTCAGCACCACATCACTATCTAAAGTTAAAAAGAGGTGAGACTTACTATACATCGACGCAACCTTCCCAGTCTCCTTTGTCTCCAACTCTGCCAACTCGGGACCTGCGGCCTCCAACAAATCTGCCAATTTGTAGTAATAAGCCGATCGGGCAAATGCTCCCAATTCTGACCAAGCAGGCAAAGCAGCTTCTGCAGCGTCGACCGCCTTGTCGACGTCTCCAGAGAGTGCTTCGTATACACTGGCTACCTTCTCCTCATTATAAGGGTTGAAAACGTCGAACTTTTCGCCTTCTATGGATTCGACGAATTCATTGTTGATAAAGAGGCGAGTTTCTATCTTGTTGCTCTGGGTGTTTTCGGTGGTGGGCATGGCGGTGGGAGACATGGTGGGAAATAGTTTACAGGTTGGGACTTGGTTTAGTTAGGAACTCAAGTTTTAGAAGCTGAGGCATGCTGCGATATCTTTTATAGCACGAGATCTGGCGGCATAATACTATGATGCCCTCACCCTTGTATTGATGACCCCTCACTCTTCTAAGCACATGGGTAGCAGGAGCCGCCGTGGGTCTTGGAAGCGCTTCGATACGATCGATCCTCCGGAATCCCATCAGCACTACTGTATCACCCCACCTGTCTTACATCAGATATTCAAAAATCGTTCGACGCATCAGTGTAGGAAGATATTGCGTGAGTTGTGATTACACGCCGACAAGTTCAAATAGTAGTTTGGCATCGAGATATAATCTTTACGACGTATAGAGCCCATGGCATGTCCACTTCCAAATTCCGACCAAGTCTTTGCAAAAATATGCATGTTTTACCCAAATGTACACCGTGCTAATGCTTCTCATTCAATACGGAGCCTACCCATGTGACTGCTTCTATGATGTAGTAGGGAGACCGTTTGCTGTACCGGGCCAAGAGACGGCGCCGCCGGGTGAGTCAGGCAGACGAGCGGTCAAGACTTCAACACCAGTCTCGGTAACCAGAAGAGTGTGTTCGAACTGAGCAGAGCGCTTGCCGTCCACGGTGACACTGGTCCAGTTATCGGGCCATGTTCTGTCCTTGTGGGTTCCGAGACAGATCATGGGCTCGATGGTAAAGCACATGCCAGGCTTGGCCATACCGATGGCCTTGTTCTTTGCGTAATGAGGGACGTTGGGAGCACAGTGGAACAGGGTGTTGATTCCGTGACCACAGTAAGTCTTGACGGTGCTGCATCCTCTGTCCTCGGCGTGCTTTGCGATGACAGGACCATATTCTCTGAAAAGCGTGTTAGGCTTTGCGATTTTGATGGCCTCGTCCAAACATTCGCGAGCGGTCTCGACAACGCGGACTGAGTCAGGGTCGGCCAAGGCCTTGTCGCCAACGTAGTAGGTCTCGTTGATGTCGCCGTGGAAACCGCCGTGGTAAAGGGTAACATCGATGTTGATGATGTCTCCGTCCTTGAGGACACGCTGATCGGGAATACCGTGACAGATGGATTCGTTGACTGATGTGCAGACTGACTTGGGGAAGTGGCAGTAGTTCAGAGGAGAGGGGTATGACTATAAATGGTCAGCTCAGATCGGGTCAAAGTGGCGGATGTCAAGGCGGGTCTCACGTCTCTTTCAACACAAGCATTGTGGACGACCTCGTCGATGTAGTCGGTGGTCACGCCAGGCTTCGCAGCGCGAGCGGCAATGTCCAGAACCTCACGTGCTAGCCTGCAGACCTTGCGCATGCCTTCTTGCTGGGCCTTGTCCAGGATGGTAATCTTGTTGCGGCCAACAAAGACCTGCTCGGAACGGGGGATACCATCTTTGGCGTAGTCGGGGCGCGGGATGTGTTCAGGCACCTTGCGCTTTGGTGACAGAGGGTAGACGGGCCTGAGATCGCCAGTGTATTGGAAGGCAGGGAAGGGGTTGTGGGTGCCGGTTGCTGGGTCAGGTTCAGAAATGACTTTGGGAGCAAATATGGTGCGGAGAGGGTTACTCGTTGACTTGTGAATCTTCTTGTGTTCACTCTGTGATGGGGTTAGTTGCTATGCTCTTGGCTGTTCTGGAAGCGCGACACTTACATACCCAGTTGCGCTTGAAGCAGTCGTTGCTGCAGAAGAAGCTGGCCATTCCCTGCTTCTGGCATGTCGGGCACTGCAACGTGCCTGCCTCCTTGTCGCAGTCTGCGCCCTCGCACACACGCTTGTCCTCGCTTGCCATGGTGATTTGCGCCCTGTCGCTTTGCCGTGACTTGAGGGTATGAGAGAAAATGTGATGGTCTGACAAATGTCTCGACCTGGAAGTATCACGATGCTGTTTCCGAGGTGCGTCGAGTCGAAGCAGGTGTTGTATGCAGATCCGTCAGAGTGCCCCTCCACTTTTTCGCGGTTTGACAAACATCAGACCTGGAACCACTCCACCGGCGCCTTTCCGCCCGGCTGCCGGCCCGTGCACGGTCCCCGGGCCCGCCTGCTTCCAAGGCTTCGATGATGCTGTCAACCAAGAGGGTGCGTCTCGAATCTGAAGCTGTTCAATGAATTTATCCTATTGATTCTCATACTTTTTCTTGATTCTCTAGATTTGCTACGTGAACATGTCAAAGCAGAAGACTGTCATTGTAGGTGCTGGGCCAGTCGGCGCTCTTGCTGCACTTTATGCTGCTGGCCGCGGCCATGAAGTCGAGGTCTATGAATTGAGAGGAGGTATGTTTTGATCCATTTGTTGCCACTATCTGTTCTTCTCATTCTGTCCATTTCCTGTTGTTGTCAAATTCTCATGGTCGAGAGAGAAGTACTAGAAAGTGGTGAACCAGGTCAACATATCTGACATAAGTGTGTTAGACCTTAGAGATCCATCCACTGTACCACTCAACTTCACAAAGTCGATCAATTTGGCCCTTTCCGAGCGAGGTGTCAACTCGCTCAGAAAAGCCAATGTTCCTGGCTTGATCGAAGCTGTACTCGAAGAGACTATTCCCATGCATGGTCGTATGATCCATGGAGAAAAGCAGGGAGAGCTGTACGAGGAATCTCAAAACTATGATATTCACGGAAGGGTAATTCCAGCCTAATCCTGTGGTGTTAAACATCGCTGACCTCCCACGTAGGCTATTCGTGCAGTCGACAGAGCAGGCCTCAATAAGCGCTTGCTTGATGAGCTAGACAAGATGCCAAACGTCAAGCTATTGTTCAACCACAAACTGGTAGGCGCTGATTTCAAGAAGAACAAGGCCTGGTTCGAGAGACGAGACGAGGGTGTTCGACAGGATCATGCTCAGAACCCTACTCAAGGAAAAGAGGCCCCTCATGCTTCTTCTGAGATTGAGGTAGCATTCGACTTCATGGTCGGTGCAGATGGCGCCCACTCAGCAGTCCGCTACCATTTGATGAAGTTCACACGCATGTCATACCAGCAAGAGTACATCGACACGCTATGGTGTGAATTCCACATGGACCCATCAGCAACCAAGGATTTCCAGATCTCCCCCAACCATCTACACATTTGGCCTGGTGGCGAGTTCATGTTCATCGCCATTCCTTCCCTGGACAAATCCTTCACTTCGACCCTCTTCCTTCCTGCCAAGATCTTCGCTGAGCTGGACAAGGATCCTTCATCTTTGGTGGACTTCTTCAACAAGAACTTCCCTGGTATCGCTGGCAAACTCATTCCCGAAGCTGAGCTGCAGAAGCAATACAAGGAGAACCCGCATCTCCCGCTTATCAGTATCAAGTGTGCACCATACCACTATGGCTCATCTGCCGTTATCCTTGGCGACTCAGCACACGCCATGGTACCATTCTATGGCCAAGGCATGAACGCCGGTCTCGAAGATGTACGCACGCTCTTCGAACACCTGGACGCAAACAGCGATGATGCATCCGGCCGTGCTGCTGCACTGGACAGCTACTCAGAACAACGCGCACCCGACGCAGCAGCCATCAACGACCTCGCACTCCGCAACTACCAGGAGATGCGCTCAGATGTCACATCACCCGTCTACCGCCTCCGCAAATGGATAGAAGAGAAGATGAACGTCTACCTACCATCCGCCGGATTCGCAACCCAATACTCCCGCGTCAGTTTCGGTAATATGCGATACTCGGAAGTGGAGAAGCTGGCACAAAAGCAAGGCAACATCCTTCTCGCCGGCATGGGCGGATTCGTCGCTATGCTTATTCCCGCCATGGCATATGGTAGCTGGGCCATCTGGAGGTGGAATCGCGCATCCCATGCTTCAAAGATATCTGTAAAGGGTATTGCCGGTCTCGGTGGTATCACTGAGAGAATCGGTAGAGTCTTCACTTAAAAAGCGAGCAAAAAATATGACGAATGTACGATAGCGAATCAGAAGATAGCATCCTTTGTATGATTAACAGAGATATGACTGTACGGATCTCCTCTTCTCAGTGTACAGGACTATAATAGCAACGAGACCGGTGTAGATAAAAGATGGTGTGGCAAATGTGATTTGATTTCAGTGCCAATGATGCTTTCCTGATTAGCCACGAAACACAAAATACTTGTGACGAGTGGGACAAGTTCCTTCGAGAGCGACAGGGCAGCGTGCTCTCTCTGGACACCATGTCATCTGAAAACCATGATGCCTCTTGACAGTCGTATCGCCGGCACTTCTCAAAGAAGGCAAGCGTTCATACGGAACGCGATATCTTTACTTGCTCAACGCCTTCTCCCGAATAAACCACGCACTCACAGCCGCACCAGCCACCAAACCGATTTCCAATCCAAAAGCAGCACGTGTGCTCTGTGCATAGCATTCTCTAACCAGTGCACGCACGCCAGGTTCTAATGTGTTGATATACGCCAAGCTCTCTCTCACGCGCTCGGCAATTTCAGCGGCTGCGTTACCATTGCTGAGAGCGGAAGCCAGATTATCACGTAGAGACTGGTTGGCGAGGGTGGCGGAGATGGAGACACCGAAGACGGAACCTAAGCTGCGGAAGAGGTAGGAGCAGGCTGTTGCTACTGCTTGGTCTTCGCGGGAGGCGTTGGCGATGAGGCCGATCAAAGTGCTGTTGATGAGTTAGCGACAGAGAAGAAGAGGAAGGGAAGGGGGAAAGAAACCTAGTAACTCCAACTCCATTTCCGCTCCCACAGATACACATGCCGATGATGATTCCAATGGTGCTGTTGACCACGAAGCCGGTGAACAGGAAGACAGTGGTCATCCCGACCACCAAGCAAGTGTATGCGATGACCGTCAGCCAATAGAATTTGCCAGTACGCTGCATGTAGAAGCCACCGAATAGACTGCCACTGACACCTGCAATGATACCAGGGATCAAGCGAACACCAGCTTGAGTAGCAGTAAGACCATCAACCGCTTGGAAGTACAAAGGGATGTAGAACAGGGCAGCAAGCCATCCAGAGAAGGAAAAGAAGTTACACAGGTAGCATGCGAAGAGAGAACGGTTGAAGATGATGTGTCCAGGTGCAAAAGGTTCCGAAGCAACTTTCATCTCAACGAAAACGAAGAGGATGAAGAGCGGGATGCTGAGACTGATGGAGATGATGGTGATATTCGCCTTCCAGGAAACATTGCTACCTCTGTCAAGAGCAAGCAAGAGTGTAAATACTGCACAGATGAGAATGGCAGCACCCAAGAAATCAATGCGTCGAAGTTTCTGTTTCCAGTCGGTTTGCTCCCGCTTGGGAAGCTTCAAAACGGAACCCACGACGACAAAGGCAAGAACGCACAACGGGACTTGACCGAGGAAGGCCCAGCGCCAGCCAATGGAGTCCGCGAGGATGCCACCCAATGGTGCTCCAGTACCAGCTCCAGTTGCATAGATAATGTTGACGTAGCCCTGCCACTTACCGCGTTCGCGAAGAGGCACGGCATCAGACATCAGGATTGAGACGACGGTCGTCATACCACCACCTCCAATACCTGCAAAAGCTCTTGCAGCGATGAGTTGGTTCATGTTTTGAGCCAAACCACAGGCCAGACAGCCTAGGCCAAAGACCAGGTATGCGAACAACAAGCAGCTCTTTCTTCCAAAGATGTCGGACATCTTGCCATACAGCGGTTGGAAACTCGTCAAGGTCAAGAAGTATGCGGTTGCGATCCAAGAAACATTGTTGAGAGCCTTCAGCTCACTGCCAATCTTGCCGTAGCTGGAGACGATGATGGTCTGGTCGGCAGCCGAAAGGAGCACGCCGATTGTCAAGGCCGGGAAGATGACCTTCATCTTCTTTCTCATCTCCGGCTGACCCTCATATTGCTTCTGTCTTTCTTCCAGGCTTGTCTGGCGTTCGAGGTCTCCGCCGTCTTCTCCTTCTGGTATGACTCCATTGGTGACGGCGCTATCGGGTACGATGCCGTCGCTAGGGTCAATGGGCTTTGGTCCTTGCTTTCCCAGCAATGGTGAGGTCTCTGTCGCCTGTCTGCGGTCGTTTTCGTCTTCGGTCGTCATGTTGCTTGAACGTGTTGGACTCGGTAAAAACACCCCGGGTTTAATGGAGATAAGATTGGAAGTGGAGAAACAAGTTGGAGAAGAACAAAGGTTACTGTCGCGTGCTCACTGGCCTCAAGGTAAGAACGAACGGCACATATCACTCTTCTGAGAGGACAAAGAAGGAAACAGACAAAGTAGATATACCTCTGTCGAAGGAATGAGAGAGACACCGCCCCAAAACTTTGTCGACATTGATTGCACCATTGGGATGACTCGGCTTGAAAGTGGATCTTATCCGGCTATCATCCGCCTATCAACTTCCTTCTTTGTTCACTTTCGGCCATGCCCGCTTGGCCGCAACATGACTCCTATACTCGGCCACGAGGGCTCGCAAGAAACAATATCAGAGGTGGGTATGTACTATAACGCGCGCAAGGGGGTATTGAGACATAGGAGGAGTTGAGACAGCCTTACAAGATAAATTAAATTAATCACGTGCTGCCATGCATCTGTCTCAACTCCTCCTTTGTCTCAATACCCCCTTGCAAGCGTTACTGCATTCTCTATACACATGGCGCAGCGTTAGGGCTCAAGAGCCGGCGTCCTTCGACATGGCCTGCTCAGCTTGCAAGAGGGATGTCGTCAAACTCTTTTCGCATGAACAACCTCGCCTGTTCCAATCCTTCCTTGATGATCTCTGTCCTGTTCACATATCCAATTCTGACATATCCCTTGAACTCCTCGCCGAAACAGTCGCCAGGAAGGAACATGACACCTACCTTCTCTTGCAACTGCTTGCACAGTTCTCTGGCATCGACGGGTTGGCCATCTCGACTAAACTTGATGAAAGCGGTTGTTCCTGCTACCGGCTTGACCCATGTGCAGTACTCGTCATGCTTGATGACGAACCGCTCTAGCAGCTCCAAGTTGGTACGTGCAAGCGCAATGTTCCTGCCTAGCAAACTGTGTATGCAGTTTTGGTCCAGAGCAAAAGCAGCAACTTGTTGATCCAGGATGCTTACACTGATTGTTGTGTAATCGCGAGCCTCCGCGCACTTCTCGATGATGTCTCGGCTGCGTGATGCGATCCAGCCAGTCCTGATACCAGCCAAGGAGTAGGCTTTTGAGAGCGAGCCGGTACAAATGGTATTCTCATAACCCATGGATAAAATGGAAGGAGGGAACTCGTTTTCTGCGGGAGTGATGCCATGGAACAAGGGACGGTAGACTTCGTCGGAGAGGATGATAATATTCATCTCCTGGGCCAATTCGACGATGTTCTGTAGCAATGTCTTCTTCAACACTGCGCCGCTAGGGTTGTTTGGGTTGCTGTAGAGGTCAGCATACACATAGAAATTCGGCCGAGCTCCCAACTTACTTCAAGATGATCATCTTGGTGTTAGACTTGATCATGCTCTTGAGCTCTTCAAAGTCTGGTTCCCATTGCTTCTCCGGTGTGGCCTTCCATAGTTCAACTTCTGCACCCAAAGATGCTGGGTAATCGTATAGCTGTTGGTAGGTAGGGTAATGGCAAATAACATGGTCTCCAGGACCAATCAGAGAGTAGAGTACCAAGGCGTTGGACGAAATGGCTCCAGGTTGGATCAAGATGTTGTCTTTGGGTAGCGGATTGCTTGATCTAGAAGAGTATAGCCTGGCAAGGTTCTCTCGCAGTTTCTCGTTGCCTCGAATATCTCCGTAGTTCATCACAGTAGACAGATCGATGATGTCCGCATTCTTGTCCTCGGATAGCTCGCGTAGTTCATTGATCGATACTGATGCAGCACATGTCTCTGCGATGTTGTACTTTGCAGTTGTTTCGTACTTGTCCATCCACTGGTAGAGTTAGCCACTATATCTCTTTACTTCGAGGATAGGAATCGTCGTTCTGACTAACCTGCTCGACAGCAAAAGGCTTGATTTGTACCATGATGGGCGTCCGTGAGGTGAGGAAGAAGGACCAAAGAAGATGGATATAGCTACAGTACACCAACGTATTATACAGAACCAATGGACTTGCAGAAGACTCTACAGTATCTTGAGCTTCTAACAATGATAACCACTCAAGTCAGTACGCCCTTTGGTTGACAAGGACAGACAGCGAGATGTTGATCAACCGAGGCGGAGACTAGAGGCGGAGAGGGTCCCAAAGCCGTCGGCAAGTGCAGCCGAGCGCTGGCAGAAATTCGGCAACTTTTCATGATGCCGTCGTCGTCGACATAGAACAGCGATAGAGACATTGAAAGGGCCTCGTCAAGCATCTCTCCAGCAAACACACCGACCATGTTCTCACAAGCAACTCGCTCGCTGCTGCGCGCAGCCCCCATCGCCCGCAGCCCTCTCACCACATGCGCGCGCACCGCCTTCAGCACCTCCACCGCCAACTCGCTCATCTCGAGAATGTCGCAAATGTCGCTCGCCAGACCCGTCGCATCGCCCACAAAGAGCCTGGTCGCTTTCCAACAAACAAGAGGAATGAAGGTCCGAAGTTCCGTCAAGAAGTTGTGCGATGGTTGCAAGGTACGGACACTGCGGCAGAAATGCTGGAATCAAGAGGAAGAGGATTGGATACAGAGAACAGTGCTGATGGTCAATCACAGAGTGTGCGCAGAAAGGGCGGCAAATACGTCTACATCATCTGCAGCAAGAACCCCAAGCACAAGCAGAGGTATGGCTACCACACATTTGGAGAGGCGAGGACGGCAGCTAACATCTAGCAGACAAGGTTGATTGAGAGAAGAGAAGAAAGACTATACTGTACAACAACTGGCATACCCTTTTCTGCATATCTGGTGGTGGCGTTTCAAATGGATCATTACGACTTTTTTTCTCCTCATCTCGATCTCTATACCGTGCCATGCTATGCCGTGACAACTGAGAATACTCACGATAATGCGTCCGATATTGTGCATCAGTGCAGTAGGTCTGTGGTGTATTTGTCTCTGCTGTAGCGATCAGAAAGATCATCTCACAATTCTCATCTCAATCCTTCACTCAACTCCAACCATCATAAACCCTCCAAACCACCACATCTACAGCCCAATCCCCTTTAGCACAATGGCTACCTCCCCCCTCTCGAGCTACCGAGTAACCCCCGTTCAATCCCCTTCGTCGCCGCTAACATTACTCTTTCAGAAACCACATTCGCCCTTCTCCCCCACAAGAAGAGTAAGTGACGTCCCTACAGCGAATAAGAGATGCATCTCAATCCAAAGTGAACCGAGGCCCATGATCCTGGGGCGGGGGGAAGGGAATCGGAGTTCTTCACTCATTCAACTGACCTGATCGAAGTGAATGTAGCAGTGTCCTTGCCAACACAAGCGCCGCTCGACTATGGAGTGATGGTTGGTTGGAGAAAAGACTGCTGGATCGCTGGACATGTCGGACCCGATCTCGCAAGGATTCGACCGATGTGGAAGGTGTGATGGTAGCAACCCTGTTTCAGAGTGGCCAATGGAACAGGTAGGGTTTACATTCGCAGAATTGTAAGTACAAAACAACTCCCCCTCGGTAGCTCGAGATTCTTTTTTTGCTCAGTCTATCTAAAGATTCTTCAGCCAAGGTCACTTGAAGTAATTCACGATTTGAATATGCATGCCATTGGGTATCTCTGGAAAACAACGCCGTCCTAAACTAAATTAATAAACCGTCAAGGCGCTGACAGCACCGTTATGCATGACCTCAAACATCAGCCCAGGGAACTTGTAGAGCTTTGTGTTCTGCAACCACTGCTCATCTCCATTCTCTTCCTTCTTCTCTCGCTCCCAACCCTCGTTGCCATTGACAAACTCAATGTCTTCGTCCATGTCCATCTCACCGTTGATGAGAATGGCAGAACCTGTCGTACTGTCGGTATCACCACCCCAGCTTCGTACAATGACCATGCCTTCCGACATATCCTTAGCCGGCCAGATATGGGAGAACCCCTTGACGAGTGTCTGGTGAAATGAGGGGAAGAGCGACTCGGAGGTGATGGGCTTCTCGCAGTAAGGTATGTAGTTAAGCGACCATCTGCTTCTGCGATGACGATTGAACGGATAAGAGCCTGGAATGTTGCCATGGAAGATGATCTGGGTGACTGTGAGATGTCCATCGATGGGTGTCAGATTCGACTGAGGAGCCTCTCGTGTCTCATCAGAGCCTCTAGGTAGGGGAGATATGTCGGTAGGCGGGCCGAGGAGTATGTCGAAACCATGCTCAAAGTAGCAATAGTATTGCTGCTCGTTGGCCCGGCTAGCCTCTGCGCCATTCGTCTCTTCGTCTTCATCAAAGTCAGTCTCGTAGGTATCGGTGTTGGTAGACGAGTAGCTGGAGGGAGTTGAACCATATGATCCACGCTGTGCCTGCGGACGACCACGGTTGTTGTTGATGTTCTTCTGTGGCAGATCATCGCTCAGACGGGAACGTGGCATGATAGCATCCGGTGGGCCCAATTCAGTAATCAGATCTTGGGGAGTGGTCTGGCTCAGCAAGATGAGAGTCTTTGAACTTGAACGGCGCAATAGCTCGACCCTTCCAGCACCGTAGACGTTGACATGCTCGACCTCATCTGCGGGGCCTTCCTTAGGGCGTCCAATCAACGAGGAGCTTCTCGGGGTCATTGGAGAATATGTAAAGAGGTCTTTGCGAATCTCTGGCCAGAATCTTCCCTCATAGATGGCCATGGCAGTGGCAGGGTATGCCGAAGCGGTGAGCATGGCAGCATAGTCCTTGTTCGGGGTGAAAGCAGCGACTGGTATGGGAAAGGTGACAGATACACCAGGCCAGGATAGAACATAGAGGCCTGTATTTGAGCCATCTTTTAGAGGGATGAACTCGCCAGGATATGTGGGACCGAACAGCTGATAGACTTTCTTATAAGTCAGGTAGCTTTGGCCATTTGGCAAGGCCTGAGCAGGCACGAGATCTCCACCCTTGAAGGTGAAAGGCATACGGGTGAAGTCAACGATCTCGATTAGGCGCAGGCGCTGGTCTGGAGCGTCGAAGCGGAGTCTAAAGCCATTTCTGGGAAGGTTGACGATGATTGTTGTCTTGAGAGGCGTTTCGGACGAGAAGGTAAGGTCGACTTTGGGGAAAGTTCGTGTATCGTTTTTGAGCTTGGTCAAGACGTCGAAGAGGGAAGCACCGATGACTACAGAGGCAAGTCAGGAAGGAACTATGGAGCGTTGAAACAGCAGTCGCGTACCCATGAAGCCCAGCGAGTGGCCAGCTCGGAAGGGCAGCGATGTAGGCTCTGCCATGATTGTGGACTTTGACGAGGAGTGTTTTACTGCTATGTTGTTTCTTTGGAGGAAGATGAAATCGTTGCGGGGATGCTGAGTGTTGACGACTCCTCAGGCTGTCATGTGGCAGAGGGGTTGGTCATGCGGTGTAGCGTGGCAGTAAACAGCGGGTTGTGGACATGCTATGTTTTTCTCGTCAAGGGCTTCTGTTTGTGCTTGTCTCAGGCGACAAGTTCGGGACTATAGAGAGGTTGGTACAAGTCATAAAGTCATGGACGCATCCGATTGCGATGGCTTCACAGGGAGGGGCTGGCAGTGGCATGTGATAGACGGCGTTAAGGGCGCTAGCTCCACCCCATATGTCGTGCGCCAAGGCTGGGACCAGCATTCCGCTGTTGACGCTTTTTGTTTACTTCTGTATTTACACCGGCCGACAAGGTCTTGACTTTCTACGACTCTGTCCGCTATTCCTTAATCCACCAAATCATGTCGGCTCCCAACAGACCGGGAATGCCCGTCAAGAGGCCAACAATGCGTCCGCCAACCTCAATGCGACCGCCGCCGTCGCGCACTCCCTCGCGCGCCCAAACCGCTACTCCCAGCCTGACCGGAAGGCCCTCGGAGATGCCACCATCGCCAGCACAATCAGTCCAGGGCGGAAAGAGAAAAGAGCGCGATTTTGACCATCAAGACCAGGATCATGAGACGAACATCAACGTAGTTGTGCGCTGTAGAGGCCGCAATGACCGTGAGCTGCGCGAAAACAGTGGTGTTGTTGTCTCCACAGAAGGTGTCAAGGGCAAGAAGGTTGAACTTTCCATGGGTCCCAGCGCTCTCAGCAACAAGACATATCAGTTCGACAAGGTCTTCTCACCAGCTGCTGATCAGGCCATGCTCTTTGACGACGTCGTCGAGCCCATTCTAGACGAGGTGAGAATTCGCCCGCCCTCGAACTCCCCCAGTTCTTATATCTTTCTGACTTTGTTCGCAGGTCCTCGGTGGCTTCAACTGCACCATCTTCGCATATGGCCAAACAGGTACTGGAAAAACGTACACCATGTCCGGCGACATTACCGATATGCAGCCTCTACCAGACTCTGCTGGTATCATCCCCAGAGTCCTGTACTCTCTATTCAACAAGCTTGGAGAGGACAACGAGAGCTCTGTCAAGTGCTCATTCATCGAACTTTACAACGAGGAGCTGCGCGACCTACTATCCACTGAGGACCACGCCAAGTTGAAGATTTACGACGACAACAGCAAGAAGGGCCAAACAACCACTTTGGTCCAGGGTATGGAGGAATCACACATCAAGACTGCGTCAAAAGGCCTCGAGCTTCTTAGGAGTGGCAGTCATAAGCGCCAGGTTGCCGCGACAAAATGCAACGACCTCAGTTCCCGCAGTCATACCGTCTTCACAATTACCGTATACATGAAGCGTACAACAGAAACTGGCGAGGATTTTGTCAGCGCTGGAAAGCTCAATTTGGTCGATCTGGCTGGAAGTGAGAACATCCAACGCAGTGGTGCCGAGAACAAGCGCGCTGCTGAGGCTGGTCTCATCAACAAGAGTTTACTCACCCTCGGTCGCGTTATCAACGCCCTCGTTGAGAAGAGCTCTCACATTCCCTACAGAGAGTCCAAGCTTACTCGTCTTTTGCAAGACTCCCTTGGAGGCCGTACCAAAACTTGCATCATCGCTACTCTGTCTCCGGCGAAGAGCAACTTGGAGGAGACAATTTCGACTCTCGACTACGCTTTCCGTGCAAAGAACATCCGCAACAAGCCCCAGATCAACCAGATGGTTACCAAGAAGACTCTGCTCAAAGAATTCACAATGGAGATCGAGAAGTTGAAGAGCGAACTCATTGCAACCCGCCAGCGCAACGGTGTCTATCTTACTCAGGAGGCTTACGAGGAAATCACCGTCGAGAGTGAGTCGAGGCGTATTCTCTGTGATGAGCAAAAAGACAAGATCGAGACCATGGAGACAAACTTGCGTAATAAAGTTCAAGAACTGTTCAGTCTGACCACGAATTTCAATGGCTTGCGAAAGGAGAACGAGCAGGCGAAACTGATGCTGGACGGAACTAAAAGCCTTCTCGAGAAGACCGAAGTTGTGCTTACTCACACAAGACGCAGTTTGACCGAGGAGACATTTATCAGAAAGGCCCATCAAAAGACAGAATCCAAACTTGCAGGTATTGGAGAAGACTTGTTAGCAACCCTTTCTTCCACAACGTCAGATATCTCTGGCCTCCACTCAAAAATACAACGCAAGGCAGATCTGCACTCACTCAACCGCAACAACTGGACTTCGACAAAAACTAGAGTGACAGGTGCGACGAGCACCGTCGAGGACAGAGTCGAAACTCTCAGACAACGCCAGGAACAGCTCCTTACGTCCATGTCAACGAGAATGCAAGGCTTCGTTTCGGATGAGCTGCAAGAGCTGCAACAATCTCAGAGATTCTTGCAAGAGAAGGCCGAGGCATTCCAGAGGTCCGAGAAAGAAGTCAACATTCAAACCGCAAAAGCTAGAGACGATGTCAATGAGGTACTCGAGGAGATCAAGACCCTCCGCGAGGACGTGAAGCAGAATGTCGGAAACGGATTGAACGACCTTTCCGCAGCTGCCCAGCGGATTACTGCTGGTATCTCTACTGAGCTAGAGAACTTCCACACCCAGCTCCATGCATCCTATGTTTCGCTGGGACGAGAGTTCAAGTCCATTTTCGACGATGTTGTTAAGCAACTGAGCGAGCAGCAGGCAGAGTCTGAAAGATTGCGACAGCAGATTCTGACCGCTAACTCGACATTCATGGAAGCAGGCCAGGAGTCTCGCCAAACTTTCGAGGAAGCCATGGAAGAAGAGCGTCGTCGTGCTGCCTCCGATCGTGAGAAGATGCTGTCCCAAATCAGCTCTCTCATCACCTCCTCCGCCGAAGCCCAGGAGCGTAGAATCACCGAGCACATTGCGCACGCATCCAAGCGTGTTAAGACTTCCGAGGATGACTACAGTGTGGCTCGCGAGACTTACAATGAGAGCTCTGATGCACTGGTCGCCAAGTCCAAGTCATTGATTGACTCTTGTGTTCGTTCGCGTGAGAACGTGAAGTCAAAGATCAAGGGAGACTGGACCGCAGCCAACGACCAAACCGAGAAGATCAAGGCCACCACGGAGGTTGTCCATGGCGAGACCGTCCGCATCGTCGACACACAAATGTCCAATATGGATACTCAACTCATATCTCTCGACGAAATTGTATCTCGCATTCGTGCACAAAACGATACTCATCACACCGCACATACGGCCTCTCTGGCTCAACTTTCAAGCGACGCCCAGCAATCGTACTCGAACATCGGGACACACATGGAGACATCATACACACGCACGCAAGGACTCGATGCCGATATGCAAACTCGCACCGCAGACCTTGCCTCCACGCTTCCTGAGCTTAGCTCTTCTGGTGAGATTGTCCAGACGTTGCATACTCTCCGTGACGAGACAAATGCTTCCGAGCTTACCGAATACGTTCCCACTGGTCAAACTCCTGCAAAGACTGCTTACAGCTATCCCACCGCCTTGCCACGAACCGCCAACCATGAATCTTTGCTTGATCGCCTACGAAACGGCAGTTCCATGATCGAAGAGAGTCCGATCAAAGAGTCTCAAATCCGCAGCAGCCCCAAAAAGCGAGACGGACATTCACCTTCGAAGGCAGTCATCTATACCGACAGTCCTGTCACCAATGGCAATCTTGATCAATCGAGCGATGCTGTAGTCAACGGTGATGCCGCTCGCAACCGTCCTCACAGCCTGCCTGGACAGGGTGGATTACGCGAGATTGATGTCAACGTCAACGCAGCTTCACTGCCCGAGCAACCAGAATCCAGGATTGGCATGCTCAAAAGAAACAACACCATGCCTCAACTCGACGCCAATGCCAAAATCGATAGCAAGTTGCCTATGAAGCGACCCACTCGTATGACGGCTGGTTTGGTGGCCGAAGGGAGGGAGAATGTCGGTGCTGCTGGCGGTCCAGGCAGAAGACTGAGACCTCGTGGTAGTGACTGAGGTCCTGTCTGAAGGCCTCTTTGTCAATGTTGATTGTACACTTCTTTCTACTGTACACACTTTTTCGTACTGGTTTTCTTTTTGTGCTTTTGGCGAAATCCTTGATTACTGGAAGACGGGCATAGGTTGGAGTTTGGGCACTGGTGGCATTAGGGGTGTCGGGGATAATTTGTTCTTCTTGCCCGACGGCATTGTCAATAAGAATCTCATTTGTTGCATCAAGAAGGTGTTCGTCCATCTTGTGAACTTGACGACTGCCGATATCGATTCGCAAGCTGCCTTCATCCGCTAGGCTTCATGAACCAAGGTACTGACTTATGACAGCGGTATATCTCTAGAGGACGAGCTCGAGAGATGTTGTAGCGTCTAGATTCGAAGGGTCCATGAACACCGGATAATTACTCTTACAGCTCCGAGATTTCATTCTTTATTCGACGAATGAGACTTGGAGTTTTACATGGTGAAGATATTCGATCGTAGTTGTATATTCCCAGTGAGAATATCATGTTATAGATCAAAGTTGTGACAATTGTTTGTGTTTCACAGTGAGGTGTGGATAAAGGCAGAATTAAGTTGAGATGAACGGGGAAGGTGCGGAGATTTGCCAATTGGCCCCGGCCCAGGGAGGTTGCATTCTGCAGGTAGCCTGCAACTGCCCTTTTCTTTTCCCAAACGCCGCAATCGTTCGACTACTCGTGCGACTTTTCGAAGGATTCCTTGTGCAGCGCCATTCCGAGACTTGTCGCCAGGCAATCTACCGTCGCATACGCAGTGACCTCCAACTCGAACACTCCTCAACACTCCCCTGAACGCGACACGACCGCAAGTCCCTCTCTCGAATCACCATGCCCAGCATCGGCAGCATTGTCTACTACGGCACCCACCTTGGGGAGCTGAGAAACATCATCCAATGGAAACTCTGGCACGATGCCGTCCACGAGCGCGACGAGTCCAAGGAGAGCGCTGAGCTAAAGGAGTGCTTCAAGTACCTCAAGATGACCAGCCGCAGTTTCGCTGCCGTTATCCAGGAACTTCACCCCGAGCTGCTCGTCCCCGTCTGCCTCTTCTACCTCATCCTCCGCGGCCTCGACACAATTGAGGACGACATGACCATCCCCTTCGAGACAAAAGAGCCCCTGCTTCGCGACTTCCACAACATCCTCGAGCAAGACGGTTGGAACTACACTGGCAACGGCCCCAATGAGAAGGACCGCGAGCTCTGCGTTCACTTCGATGTAGTCGTGGCCGAGTTCAAGAAGATCAAGCCTGAATACAAGGTCATCATCAAGGACATTACGGATCGCATGGGTAATGGCATGGCCGACTACGCAAAGATGGCCGACGAGGGTGGCGCTCAAAAGGTCGAGACTATCAAGGAGTACTACAAGTACTGCCACTACGTTGCCGGTCTGGTCGGCGAGGGCCTGACCCGTCTGTTTGTCGAGGCCAAGCTGGCCAACCCTGCCCTTTTGGAGCGCGAGGATCTACACGAGTCAATGGGACAATTCCTGCAACAAACAAACATCATTCGTGACATCCGCGAGGACCACGAGGACAAGCGCTACTTCTGGCCCCGTGAGGTGTGGTCCAAGCACGTGGACCAGTTTGAGGACCTTTTCCTACCCGAGAACAAGGAGAAGGCTTTGGCTTGTAGTTCCGAGATGGTTCTGCTTGCTTTGCGACGTGCCGATGACTGTCTGTTCTACCTGGCCGGACTCAAGGAGCAGAGTGTCTTCAACTTCTGCGCAATTCCGCAAACAATGGCCATCGCAACACTCGAGCTTTGCTTCCAGAACCCAACCATCTTCGAGAAGAACGTCAAGATCACAAAGGGCTCGGCATGCAGACTCATGGTCGACAGCACGCAAAACCTCCAGGTGGCATACGACGTGTTCAAGCGTTATGCCCGTATTATTCACAAGCGCAACAACCCGCAAGACCCCAACTTCCTCGAGATCAGTCTTGCATGTGGAAAGGTAAGCTTCAATCCCCCTTGATCTCCATATCCGAACTCTGTTTCGAGCTCGTGTTTTGGCCGACACAAGAAACATGGGCACGGGCCACTCTGAGAACACAGCGCTGACGCAACAAACTCTGCAGATTGAGCAATTCATCGAATCCATCTTCCCTTCGCAAACTGCTGCCACCTACCGCCAGGGCGCTGTTGCTGCCCCTGCAGTCAATGACAAAGGCACAACCCTTACACCTGAGGAGCAGGAGAGGAAAAAGACGCAAGAGGCTCAAGACAAGGAGGAGTTCTTCTACATCATGCTGGCTGTCGGAGCCACGCTGTTTGTCATTACCTCTATTATGGTATGTACATCTGGTCTGTCGCTATTCACACTTCATGTACTAACAACTGGCTTTAGTTCTTCACCGCTTGGATGATGGGCGCACGCTTTGACATTGCCTGGCAACAGCTTCGCAGCGGTAACATCTGGGCTCCCAAGACCACAGATGAGGCTCTTGACGCTCGTGATGCCTTCGATGCTGTAAAGTCGACTGTTACAGCAACTGTCAAGGCCGTCACATCAAGTGTCGTCTCTCACGGCGAACTTTAATGACGTGCAGCCTAAAGCCTGCTTTTGCTTTGCCATTTTCTCCAGTACGACAGCGATCACAGATGAGACAAGAACTGACCATACGAACGAACAATTCCCGTAATTACTTTTAGACCACCGAGTGTGCATTTGGGTTCGCACACTCGGACAAGCGGTTCTGTAGACATACTGACCACCCAATTTTCTCCAGCTTTTCTTCTTTACTTATGGATACCTCAAAATAGTTTCTTCTTCTTTTCTCTCTTGGTTCTCTTCCCTTTCCCATCTTTCTCATCCTACCCAACCCAAGCACTCATGTCAAATTGCAGCCTATGCCTATTTCAGTGGCGACAGACTGTGCCGAAGATGTGCTGATATTGATGCCTGCGCTGGCGAGTCCGAAAGGAGACTGTTCATATCACCTCGGTGTTTTTATATCACCGTGGTCGGCTTTGGGCAGGGGTGCATACATATACCAAAGAATACTCGATATTTATGATATGTTTCAATTGAATGATTCGTTCACAACATGTCTCAATCGACCTCTCCTGTGCTATCGTTACCAGGCTTACGTTGTTCCAGCACGCTGTTATTGACGCAATGCACAGACTCGAAGGTTTTTGATGTCGTCGCTAAATTGGTGGTTCACTAATGTGAAAGCCTTTGAGCTTACCGACACTACTTGTTGTCCATTAGTTAAGACAACAAGCTCCTTGAGTGCCATAACAATAACTGTAGTTCTATTATGAGGTCCAATGAACGTCGAGTCTGTCAATGATGCGACATGGACTTTTGGCATGCTGATAGCTTGGGTTGAATCGACGGACAGGGTCATAGCAGCAGCACCATCTGTGAGCAACACATACCATTCAAAAGTCAAGAGTAGTCTCCTAGGCCCATTGACATGTATGAATATGATCGCAGATACTGGCGTAGGTGGGCATTTGACGAGGTGGACGTCCTGCCGAAGAGTCTTGATGGAACCTGGTATGGTTCGATCAGCTGTGCAAATGCAAAGAGTGTTAGGAATACATCGAGTGGGCAGTAGAGATGCATTCGTACCCAGTGAAGAACGATAGGCACTTCACGTAAGCTATGACTCGCCGACGTAGCTTATGGTTGGAATAAAGTGACCAACTACCTTAACAGACTGATGTTCCAGATGTTTCACTGCCCCTCAGGGTTCACTGTCCAGGGTCTGTCAAAAGTGACGCGGGAAAGCGCCAAACGCGTCACCCAGTGTTTACTTCTAAACACTTAAGCTTTCGACTTTACTGTTAGCTAGCACAACAAAGCCGTCTCCATAATCACATCAACAATAGGCCGCATCAATGCCTCCAAAGGGAAGCAAACAATCGGCGCCTGCATTGGCGCCCTCGCCTGCCGCCGACTCGCCCGTACCCCCCACCGTCACAACACCCCGGGGCAAGACGTACGACACGACGGCCGCTGCAGGTCGCCCTAAGCGCAACATTGCTACGACCATGCCCCCACCCGATCCACCTAGCGCAAAGAGAGCTAAGCGTGTCAGCACCTCGTCGGCTTCGGAAGTCACCCCTAAAAGACGCGGTCGTCCACCTAAGGCCCTTGCTACCACTACACCAAAGTCGGCCCCTACGGCCACTCCCAAGACCACACCCAAGGCCTTTAGGGTTGGTGAAAGGCAGAGTGCTAGATTGGCTTCCACTCCTGCCAGTGAGACGTCCTTGCCCACAGTCACAAGACGTAGAGGTCCTGCCACTACAAAGTCCACCAAGAGTCGTGTTACCAAGTCTGCTCTGCCACCCATCAAGCGCGGTAGAGGCAGACCACCAAAGGCTAAGAAGCCGGTCCCCACCGCCTTGGATGACAACGAAGCCGAAGACGCTAATGACGACGCAAGCGATGGCATTGAATACGACGACCCAACCCATGATGCCAACATCACAGAGGCCACGACTATCATCCAGGCCGATCGCAACTATTGGCTCATGAAGGCCGAGCCTGAGTCTCGCATCGAGAAGAATGCCAACGGCGACGATGTCGATGTCAAATTCTCCATTGACGACCTACGCGCTCGCACCGAGCCTGAACCATGGGAGGGCATCCGTAACGCGCAGGCCCAGAACAACATGAAGGCCATGAGAGTCGGCGATCTTGCTTTCTTCTACGAGTCGAACTGTAAGAAGCCCGGCATTGTCGGTGTCATGGAAATCGTCAACGAGGCTACCCCTGACACCCACGCCTTCGACAAGCACAGTGCCTACTACGACCCCAAGTCTAATCCTGCAAAGCCCAAGTGGATCCTTGTCCACGTCGAATTCCGTCGCAAGTTCGACGAGAAGTATACGCTCAAGGACCTTCAGAAGTTTTCTCGGCCCGGAGGCGCACTTGCCGGCATGGAGCTTTTTAAGCAATCGCGCCTTTCCGTCACCAAGGTCGCCAAGCAACAATGGGACTTCATCATGAACCAGATCGGTGAAGACGAACAGGACTCGTTCGGCGCAGAGCTCGACGAAGCCGACATGGGTGACGAGGATATGGAAGACCTCGAGGCCTCGACAAACTCAGACCGCATCGACGAAGACATGGGAAATGACTTCGCCGCTGCCTTCGAAGCTCCCGCTAACCTCGGCACCACTCCTGAAACCGATGAGTCCGCACCCGACCCTGCCGCCAAGGAGATCCCTGATGTTGTCGACCAGCTGTCCGCTCATGCCCTGGGTACTCCTGCTCCTACACCCGCCGATAGAAGCGTCTCTCGTGGTCGTTCCAGAAGACAAGCTTCTATGCCCGCTGGAAAGGCTCCTCCTGTGCACTCTGCTGCTCTGCCGGCCAAGCACAGCAACGACGCTCCCGCTAAGTAGGACTGAGTTGCGTGCTTCGATCAAGATGCAGATGCTCCCCTAGTCGGGAGAACAATGCTGCTCTTTTCCCTGCTTGCTTTTACAGATACCCCTTTTTGTTCTTTTCTGCCTTTACTTTCCCTTTTTTGCCTTTACATACCACGAGCGAGGCGTTGGGGGTTTACATGGGATGGGAACTCTTTTGCATGCTGCTTCTGCTGCCGATGGTAGCTCGATGTCTATACTGCGTTTCTTTGCCATCTGCTTTTTCCCGACAAGGTTTGAGAGAATTCCATGCAGGATGAAGATGATGCAGAAGATGGACAAGTACATACGTAGATAATCAAACGTTCATGGCTATTGAAAAAGGAGGGTTAATCAGACCTTCTCATATCCATTACAAAATGATTCAAGAACGATTCTATCCAGATATTGAGTTCAAGAGTGACTATTTTTGGAGAATGTAGTGATTGTTTGAGGAGCGTACTTCACTGTTTGAGGAGCATATCCGATAGATGCTTCCGTATTTACACTTGACATTTGACATCTCGCAAGAGTGGAATTGGAAGCTCGTCCTTGATGACGGGAGGAGTGATAGGTTACTAACATCGCCCTTTACTCCTATACCAGCAGCACACACTGAAGGAGCGAAAAAGCATCTACGAAATGAGAAGGTGGAATGTTCCGCTGACAACATAACTCCAACACCAAGTCCAGCGAGCAAAGAACGAACAGTGAGCGGCCAATACCTCTCGTTAAACACTCAGAGGGGTAGAGTAAAGCATTACCGATGTTGACGTGAGATGAGATCTACTCGACATTTCTGGCCAAGGGTATATAATCCGATATCGGTATATCGACCAACATCGCCCTCCCCCATGAGCTAAACTCTGTCATGCGTATAGCTGTAGGAATGCACGATTTTTTAGCCTTGTCAGAGGTGGCCTGCACAGAGAGCGTGACAATTAGCACCTCTCTACAAGACGACTGGACCGATGTTGAAGATGTTGTGCATTTCTACAGTCTGAACGGCCATGGGAGATACCTAGACGTAACGGATTATAGCACATGGGGAGGGCATTAGAACATGGTTTGGGGAAGAATGTGTTGATGGTTGTGAGTGCTGATGATTCTCGGAATTGGATGACGAGGTTTGACACGGTTGGTTAATTCGATTCAAGGGTACTAAGTGTAGGTGTCGATAAGGAGAAGCAGGCAGATGGGTTAGAACGGCGATGGCCTCCTGGGTTGAGAGATGCTACAAGTGATTATTACATTCGAGCGTACTCTGGCAAATGTCAGTTTGGTATCTGACGACAGTCGATGCTGGAAGGTGCGAATGAACGGGTTGCTGTTTCTAGATTGATATTGCGGATAGGTCCAAAAGGGCCGGGACTTGAGAAACATGATCATACAGAAAATAGCACGCATAGTTTGAGAAGGGACGAGGCACAACGCGCAGAGTTAACATGGTATCATTGGAAGGTCTTGCATGAATGAAGAAAGGAACAGTCATCTCTTTTGGAAAAACTTTTGTCTCTCTCATTTCAACCTATTTTGTGTGGTATAATCGGAGAAAACAACATTGGAATGTGCCCACAGCTTTTTTCACCATAAAGCACCCAACATTTTGTTTTTGAAAGACGACACCGTACGGCTAGAAACGGTGAAGAATCTAGTAGCGCTTGCCCTGGCGGAGGACATCGGCGTACTCGTCGAGAGGGCTGCGGATGAGCTTGGTCTCCTTCCACAGGTTGGGGGTGAGGAAACCGTAGGTGTTGGTAATGGCGACGAAGGTGGCCTTGAGGGTGTTCTCAAGGGTCTTGGTGGAACCGGACGAGGCCGAGTAGGCGTCGCTGACACCAGCAAGCTGCAACAGACGCTTGACAGCGGGGGAGGCAACGAGACCGGTACCGCGGGGAGCGGGAATAAGCTAGAGAGAGCAAAGTCAGATGCTTGCGCTTGTAGATTGAGGATGTGGAATCGATTGCTTACTCTGACGGTGACGGAACCGCACTTGCCGCTCTCCTTGACGGGGATGGAGTGAGGCTCACCGAGGTTGGAGCCCCAGTAACCGCGACGGATGGGGACAACAGCGAGCTTGGCAATGATGATAGCAGCGCGGATGGCGGTGGCAACCTCCTTGCTGGTCTTGATACCGAGACCAACGTGACCGGCGGAGTCACCGATGACAACGACGGCCTTGAAGCGGGTACGCTGACCGGCACGGGTCTGCTTCTGGACGGGCTTGATCTGTAGAGGAAAGGTGTGTCAGAATGTGTTTCTCTGGCTCTTTCTTTTCAATGCGCAGAGAGGAGCTGCTGCTGTCGCTGTCGCTGTTGCTGGGTGTCTTGTCGTTGCGAAGTGCGGATGCTCCTCTCGTAGCATGTCGTGTGTGTGCGCACCTTCATGACCTCATCCTTGAGGGTGGGGAGGAAGAAGTCGACAATCTGGTACTCCTTGATGGGCAGAGAGTGGAGGTAGATCTCCTCCATGGACTTGATCTTGCCGGCCTTGACGAGACGACCGAGCTTGGTGACGGGCTGCCACTCCTTCTCCTCGTTCTTGGGTCCACGGCGACCACGGCCACGGCCGCGACCACCACGGCCACGGTCACCACCACGGTCTCCTCCACGAGATGCGAATCCGCCACGAGTTGCTCCACGGTCAGCCATTGTGTCGATGTGTTGGTGTTTGTCGTCGGTCGAGGAAGCGCGAAAAAGACCAGAAATCCAGCGTCGCAAGGAGCAGCAAATTCTGTCCGTGGGCTGGCGGCTTGGCTAGTGCGATTCGGCTAAACCCCGCGTTTCACTATCTTATCACCCATCTCTAGCTCCAGCAACATCGATAGCAACATCAACAACCACTCTGATGGCAGCATACAATTCACTCGAGACTTCATTCACTTCATCAGCTCAATCATCGAATTCGTGACTCTGCAACTAAGTTCTGAATTGACTATACCACAACGCCTGTCCTGCCCTCGCCCAAGCCTTGACTTCCCGACCTCTATTGCTGCAAGACCGACCAGTCTGACACAGGCCACCAGTGACTGCCATGCATTCGTCCTTGAGATGAGTTTCCACCATCTCCGTATCCTGTCCGTTGGTGTTTCCTTCCATCTTGTTCCCCTACCGCCTGACGCCGTGACAAGTTGCAAACGCCTTTGGTAGTTTTTGTTCGACTCATACGTCTTCACGTATGCGTGCTTCCAATATATTGTCTACTCTGTCTTCGAGTATGCTTCTCTGCGTCAGACGCAGACTCGACATCTATTTTTGGAGTCTGCCCAATAGCTACTCGTGCTTCGCATTGATTGGCTCGGATCTGCTCCTTGGAGACACGCTTGCCCACCTAGCTCGTTACAGCATGTGCCTATGACAGAGCCCACACTATGCCATAGCATGGTTTGCATCTGCACTTCATCGTGTGTGCATATGGGTTCATTGTTTTCACTCAACCAAGCTAATAACTCTGAGGGTACTGACTCGCGGGCTGCTCCATATCAGCTTTGGTCTTTGTACACTTCTATTCACAAGTTGACTTACCGGACTGTTGAGCATGTTCTGGCGTTCATTTCGGCCCTTCTTGATGTGCCGCTTGAGAGCGCTGGAGTCCAAAGGCTTCAGCAACTCAAAGCTACACAACAGCTCGCCAGAAACAGACATGACGGCTCCCCAATTGTCGAACTCTCCACAGTACTGATCTGGTTGTTAGTCACTGACGAAGCGAATTGAAGCAGATTGACTCACGTTAGGTGCTGAGAAGACGGTCACCAAAACACGGTCGGTAAAGAACTCGTATCCATCCTCGACCACCATGTGGGCTCTGCACACAAGGTCGAAGTCGTGTTTTGCGAGGAACTCCATGATAACCTTTTTGCCAAAGCAATAACTGACTCCACGTTCATTGGCTTCCCAATCATTTTCCATGTCTGCTGGATCACTCCAGAGAAGATCGTTGAGTAGGCCATAGTCGGGAACATCAGTTGGTCTGGCAATGTTGCGAATATCGTCCATGTGTGAAAGACTAGGCGATAGACCTCCGTGTACACAGAAAATCTTTCCGGCGACAACAGATGCGATAGGCAAGCAGTTGAAAGTGTCGACGAATGACTTCCAAACCTTGATGTTGCAACGACGCTTGCATTCATCGTAGAAGCCGTAGACACGAGTGACATTGGCACATTCATGGTTGCCACGCAGAAGGAAGAAGTTCTCGGGGTAGCGGAGCTTATAACAGAGCAACAGGAGAATGGTTTCCAAGCTTTGCTTTCCACGGTCCACGTAGTCGCCTAGGAAGAGGTAGTTTGAGTTTGGAGGGAATCCGCACATCTCAAACATACGGAGCAGATCGGTGTACTGGCCATGAACGTCGCCAACAATCTTGACGGCGGGAGCAAGCTCTAGCAAAGCGGGCTGTGAGAGGAAAACCTCGCGTGCGGCCTGACAGATAGCAAAGATTTCGGCATTCTTCAGGCATACGGTCTTTGTGACCTTTCCGGCATATCCGGCATCAATCAGGCGCTTGATCATTTCGTCCAGATCCGAGGTCTTGAGTGCTCCGATGTCCATATCCTTGGACGAAGCGGAACCTTCTGACAGGGCGAGTGCTGCTGCAGCGGCGCTAGGCTTGTGATCGGCCTTCTTCATCAAGATGGATTCTTTAGGTTCGGTGAGGTTGTTGTGTTGAAGAGTGCCGGTAGGGGGAGCGTCAGAGACGTGTTCGACCTCACCAGATCGCTGAGCCTGGGTGATGTCGGAATGGCCATGGCCGATAGAAGAAGACAAGGTGGGGGAGGGAGGGCCCTGAACGCTGTCTTGATCCTGAGCATCGTTGCTGCCTCCACTACCCCTGCGCGACGTCTCGGAAAGCGAGGGAGCAGATGGAGAGCGTTTGTGCCTGCTTGAGGCGGGTATGGACTGGACAGCGGCGGCATCTAGCCCGGGTTCTGACTGTCTCTTAGGCGAGGCCAGTGAAGACGAAGAGCCGCGCAGGTTGTCGGTGGATATCTTGGAGGGGATCTTTGAACGAATGGAGCCGCGGAAGGAACGCGTGGAGCCCTGGGTGTCGGACTTTGAGAAGGAGGGATAGGAGCTGAGATCGGGGCCGTCTTGCGAGCCCTTGTCGCCCTTGGACGGCTGATTACCCATGGCGGCTGGGGTTGAGTCGGAACGGGGAATGCGGGTGTGTAACGAGTGGAGTGGGATGGAGACGGGCCTCTACACGATGCTGTCACGGCCACGAGCACATGTGGAGCACACAGGTATGTCGCACAACGCAGAGGGGTCCGGCGAGTGGCACCAGGTCAAATGAGGAGCAAAGGGTTGGTTCGGAGAGTATGGGCTTGGATGGCGATGGTGTAGTGTAGAATGGTGCGTGGAAGGTCGATGGTTTGCTTTGTTTCGTGCAGCTTGACCCCAAAGTGAGAGACGAGAGTCCGGGAGACCATGTCATGGCCTTGGCGTTTCCATATCGTGCGCCTAGACCCACGTGCCTAAGCCCTGCTGAGCCTGCTCGACTCCCTGTCGTCCGTCCAGTCCAGTCCAACTCGTTGTTATTCTTCTCCACCGGCACCGTGAGAGATTTTCAAATCACGCACAAAGCACCGTCGTCTCTGTGTTCTCTTGCCTCATGGCGGTAGCTTTCTGCTTGCGATCCCTTGTGTTCACGCCTGCCTGATTGTCGCCATACCTGTCGCTGACCCTGCATCGCGCGGCTTCCTCCAATGGCCAAGTCATCCTTCGCACCCCCGCCTCACACGTCCTTATCTCTGTGCTTCCTGCTGCACCTCACAAACATCCCCTTTCCTTTTGACTTTTACTTCTGACCTCTTGTCTACTGTCGAACATGCGCCATTTTCCAACTTTACCGTTTGCTTTTTGCGTGGCTGTTCAATCGCTAGCCTTGACCTCAGCCTCGTTCTCACCCTGGTCTTTGCTTTCGTCACAGTCGCGACTTGGCGACCATGGACCGCACGTAGAGCATCACTCTCCACTTCACCCCTCCTTCGACTCGTTTGTCGACCGTCTGATGCAAGACTGGCACATACCCGGTCTTGCCATTGCCGTTGTCCATGAGAATCAGACGTGGTTCAAGGTAACTCTATTTCTCATACTAGATCGCTCGTGATACAACTTCAGATCTCTTGCACTCGTTTCCCATCTCTTGATTCCCGGCCATGATTAATTGTGACGGCTACGATCTACCACTGTGATCGACTTCTTTACTGACGCAGCAGGAAGGGCTATGGTTACGCGACTTTGCCAGACGTACCGTTTACCCCGTATACCCTTTTCCAGGCTGCTTCAACAACAAAGTCGTTCACCGCTTCGCTTGCCGCTATCTTGATTGAAAGTGCGGAAGATCTCGCCTGGGACACCCCTTTGCATGACATTGTCGGCAACGACTTTGTTCTTAAGGACGACTATCTTACCACCCACTTGACTTTCCTTGATGCCATGTCTCATCGGACTGGAATGCCCAGACATGATGCATTGTGGTATGATCGAGGATTAGACGTCGAGAGTCAGACTTATCTTATGCGCCATCTCGATACCAGTGCAAGCTTCAGAACAGTCTTTCAATACTGCAACCTCATGTTCACAGCAGTCTCACATGTTCTTCAGTCCATTACGGGAAGACCCCATGCAGATCTGCTGCGCCAATGGATCTTTAAGCCCCTGGGGATGAACTATTCCTACTACTCCTTGGAAGACGCTGCAACCTGCCAGAATTCTGATTCTCGGTGTACGTTAGCAGATAGCTATGCCTGGAACAAGAAAACAGGCTGCTTCAAGAAATGGTCACTGGACCTATCCAATCCTCCAAACGGAGCCGGAGGCATCATCTCTAATGTTGTTGACTACAGCAAGTGGATACGGGCCTTGATGTACGAGTCTGGTCCGGTTTCCAAAGAAGGACAAGCCATAATGAAGTACCCCTTGTCATTCCTGGGAGCAGAAACATCACCATATGCAGGACCTGGTTGGTATGGATTAGGCATCGAAGGGGGAATATATCGCAACGAAAAGGTATTCTCGCACAACGGTGGCATCAGTGCCTATGCATCCACGTTCAAATTCTTGCCCGACCGCAAGTTCGGCGTGGTGGTTTTCCAGAACGCTCAGAACAATGCTATGGAGGCCATCGCATGGCGATTGATCGACGAGTTTCTGGGTGTTCCAGAAGACGAGTTTTATGACATGAACAAGACGTGAGTACCCGCCAGATGGATATCCCACAACCTTGGCTGATCGGAGCTAGGCAACACGAGGTCGCAAAGAAATATGAAGAACAGCTCGAGTCACTCCCGTCCAAGCTCTACCCGAGTGTTCCTTCCATCCCCGTGAAACCTCAACTGCCTTTGCAGAACTACACGGGAGTCTACGTGAATGCGGCGTATGAAAATTTCAGTGTTACTCTCGAAGCGCCTGCAGCCTTGCTAGACAAGTCAGAAATCGAAGAGTCAGGCTCTGCCGGGTTGCCTCTCTATGCGACATCAAGAGGTGGGACAGTTTTGTTCACATTTAGACATGTTTCTTCAGAGCACTGGCTTCTGGAGATGCGCATGGTGATTTATGGCTCGAAAGGAGCAGATGACTACAAGAAAGCAAAGTTCGAGATTGGACCGGATGGCGTAGTTCAAAGACTCGGGGTGGTTATGGAGGCAGCCATTTCTGGAGACAAGGCATGGGCTTGGTTTGACAGATCCAAGTGACAGCTGCCTTGGTAATCGAGTGTCTGTCCGAGTGCTATGATTCAGATTGGGCGCAGGTATGGAAGAATACAAAGAATACAAGAGCAAAGTCGAGTTTGAAACAAGCGCGCCTTTCACATGTCTGGCCTGATACGTCACATTGAGATTCGGTGGAGGGGCGCCAAGACAGCCTTTGCGTGGCCTGGCAATAATTTACCAAGTGAACTTGATGGAAACAAGAACCTTTGGTCAACAACCAGGCTCAACATATTGTTTGGAGATAGCCCAGTCTGCCATCTTTGCCCTCTCGCCAAATCTCCCTAGTCGCCTATCACAAATCACCTAGATTCACTACAAGCGACTTGCTGCCCGACAACAACAACAAAGGCACGAGCGACGGCCAAGATGGTCAAGGACACAGCATACTATGACGCGCTAGAAGTGCCGCCCACTGCCACCGACGTCGAGATCAAAAAGGCATACCGCAAGCTGGCCATCCGCCTGCATCCCGATAAGAACCCCGGTGATGAGACTGCGAGTGCGAAGTTCCAGGAAGTCCGTTGCCCGCTCGAATCCACCACACGACTCGACTGTTTACTGACCGCTTGGTCATCTAGATTGGCGAGGCATATCAAGTTCTCAGCGACGAGAAGCTTCGCAAGCAATATGACGACTACGGCAAGGAGGGCGCCATGCCCAACACAGGCTTTGGTATGAGACAAGACATGGACCACAGGCTACGACACGAGTTGACAAGAATACAGAGGATCCGTCCGAGATGTTCAACGAAATCTTTGGTGGTCACGCCTTTGCAGACTGGTAAGCAGGTCCAATATGGCCATGCACGTGCGAACTTCGACTAAGACCATGACAGGATTGGCGAGATCTCCATGGTCCGCGACATGGAGAAATCTATGGAAATCACCATGCGACACGAGGAAGAGAACGCTGCCGCCGAGGCCGAAGCCGAGGCCGCTGCCGCTACTGTCGACGAGAAGAAAGCAAGCATGGAGAAGGTCACTCACGAATCCGCTGCCCAGTCCCACGCCGGTGCTGCTGCCGATCTGAAGGAGGGTATGGATAAGATGAATCTTTCTGAGGAGGCGCCAGCACCACCCGCCTACTCGCAGGATAGACCAAAGGGCGTCCCTACACGTCTCGCCCTCACTGATCGTGCCGAAGAGGAGGCCCGCATGGAGGCTGCTGGTGTGACCGAGGCAGAGAAGAGTCTACGCGCAAAAGAGAAGAAGAAGGGCGGTCTCACCAAGGAGCAAAAGGAGGAACTCGCTGCCTTCGAGGCAGAGCGTGACCGTGCTCGTGAAGAGCGTATCGAGGAACTCTCCAAGAAGCTCATCAACCGCGTTAGCGTGTGGACCGAGACCGACAAGGGCAAGGACGTCACTTCCTCCTTCCGCAAGAAGATGGAACAAGAAGTCGAGAACCTTAAGATGGAATCCTTCGGTCTGGAGATTCTACACGCCATCGGCCAGACATATACCCAGAAAGCCGCTACCTTCATTAAGAGTCAGAAGCCCATTATTGGCGGCGTCTCTGGCTTCTTCTCACGACTGAAGGACAAGGGCTCGCTCGTCAAGGAGACTTGGGGCACAGTTAGTACCGCCATCAGTGCGCAGATGGAGATTGAAGAGATGGCTCGCGCAGAAGAACGTGGAGGCGAAGACTGGACAGACGAGAAGAAGGCCGACTTCGAGCGTCGCGTGACAGGTAAGATCTTGGCCGCCGCATGGCGAGGTTCCAAGTTCGAGATTCAGAGCGTCCTCCGCGACGTCTGCGACAAGGTACTCTACGACAAAACAGTCAAGGTCGACAAGCGTGTTGAGCGCGCCCACGCCCTCCTCGTTATCGGAGAAGTCTTTGCCAAAGCCGCACGCAGCGCCGATGAAGAAGGCGACCACCTTGCCTTTGAACAACTCATGGCCGAAGCCGCCCAGAAGAAGGAGAAAAAGAAGAAGGACAAGGACCAACCCAAGGCTTAGAATCCTCGTCAAGGTCGTCGTCCTCCTCGTCATACTTGTCCTCCCCCTGCCCACATCACCTTTTATTCCCCCACATGTGCTCAAGGTCGGACTCTCCAAATCTGTTCTGCAGTTCATTGTTATGTGCTTCAACCACTTCTCGTACTTCCACGGGCTGCTTGTCCTCGGGTTGCTTGAAAGTTTCCGTTGCGTTGTGGCATATGCAACGTGTTGGTCGGGCTCCTGCTTTTATACTACAGCGTTTGTTTATAGCATCATTTCTCGTCCTAAGATACACCGGCGTTGTGGAATATACCTGATCCCTAATTCACTTTACAAATCCCGTCTCTTGATGTTTCTCGGTGTGAAGTTGCCATATCATATACGTCCAGTTCCTGTTTCAATTCTCCCTCTGTTCACTGTGAGGTTCATTTGTGATAGTAAAATCACAACGGATATTGATAAGCAAGCATATTCAAGGATATCATGAGTTGTGGTTTTTCAGCGGCTGAGTTGATTCATGATCAGGGTCATCCCCCATGGGTCGAAGCTTTACTAATGCTTGACCAACACCTTGCATGTCACTCGGTCGAAACATCCAGCAATGGGTACCAGGGGCCTCAAGTAAGCAAAGCACCTTGCTGACAATCGTTGCAGATGGCGTGTTCATGTCTTTCTTACCTTGAGGTGCCTGGCGTGGACCAGGAGGAGTTACCTTGACTTGAGTCTCTACGCACGCCCAACGTGCAGGAGATCCAGGCCACCCCAACAAGCCATTACCGGTTTCGTTATCGGACAAATACCTGCGAACTCTCGTACCAGTTGGCGGGAGCCGGCGTGAAAGACTTACCTTCGAGACTCTTCATCCATCGCGTGAGCAGTCGTGCAGAGAAACCGCATGTACTTGGTCAAGCCAATCACTCAGCAGGGAAGCAGACTTGACTTTGAGACTTTGTGACCTCTACACACTCCTGCACGACCATGTCTCGGTACCTCGCAGTCCAGATTTTGCGAGAGTCGTTAAGTTCAAAGGTCACGTTCAGCGCGCGGTTGAATTTTGAGCTGAAAGTCGACGCCTCAGGCAGGTACAGTACTCCGTTATGTATGTATCCGCCACAACAAATGTCATGGGCCGTCCCGTCGGCTGGCTGAGCGACGATGCAAGCCCAAGGTGATGCGCATGAAATCGAACGTTTTGCTGTCTCTTCGGCAGACACATGCGGAGTGTTTTGAGTCGTACATTTGCATAACTTGTTGCTGCATGAAGGGGAGGAAGGGATCCATGATGGCCTAGCCGGACGCCGAGAACCTTGAAAGCCATGTACACATGTATCGTCTGCCAAGTAGCTGTCCCGGGACAGCGCACCATGGTAACGCAACAAGAAAGCTGAAGTTGAATGTCCTCGAGAAAGTGGGTCGATAAGAGCAGGCGTGGGTGGTGTGAGTAGTGAGATGGACCAGGATGTCCTGCGCTGTTTTTCGCTTTGTCTGCCATGCGTGGTTTTCGCTTGATCAGACAAGGTTGAAGATTGTACTCGACCAATGTACTCAAATTGTAGCTGGCATGTGACTTCCTTTCCGCAATATTTCCTTGGTTGTCGTCCTCATGCTCATGCATGTGCTGTGCTCAAGAAAGTCTGCTGAGTAATTTACACACAGGAAATGCAGGGCTGTGTGGTGTCTCGTCATCAATTGGATTCAAATTGACGCTTATCGTATCTTTAATATCGGTGGTGCTGCAAGTCTGCTCGATAGATGAAGTGTTTAATGAGAGGTCTCGAGGCACGTGGTCCTGATTTGCGGTGCATATGCGGCTTGTGAATTTGGAGTGAGGTCGGTGTCTTGGGATGGAAAGGGAAATGGATGCGAACTCTAATTGCGAAGCACACCGCGCCTGGCGCCGTCGTCATCAAGTGCACTTGTCCGTCGTCGCGATTGCATCAACACTACTGCATATGCTGTCTCTCCTGCATGAACTCGCGCGTTTTATGAATAGTCTGCACACGGACTGCTTTGCCGGAGACCATGCAGAGACGTTGTGTATGTGCTGTCAAGCAAGAGCAAGGAGGCATGGAAAAGCGACAAGGATGCGAAAAGGGAAGGATTCATCCAAAGCCTCTTTGGCTCTTGTCGTTGCCTAGTCAGGACGTTGATGGAGGCTCAAAATGATAGCCCCCCACGAAAAACGCAAGCCACGAACTGCAAGAGAAGTGGGGATATCGTGCACACCCGCTGTCCTCCGAGAGGTTATTCATAGCCAGTCCCGAATGCCAATTATTGATGCATCATTGTCTGTTGCCGCAAGTGGAAGTTGCTCGGCCTTGCGTGGTTTTCGTCCTCAGGAACTCTACATCGACAGATATTTGAAATCGTTCGCACGTGCTGGTTTGCGTTCGCGATTGGGGCCGAAGGATGCTTGGCTGGCAGAGAGAGGATTCTTGGGATCAAGTCAGGTCAGTGCTTGCGGTTATTCACGATGACGACCATCCCACCCCTTTCCGTGCCTGCCACGTTGCGAGCGCGGAACAAGGTACAGGGTTGAGTAAGTGGTGTTGTGATATGGTGGAGAGACTTTTTGGATCTTGGAGTGTTCAGTCGATCATGGCGTGAATCCTCGATAGGGGACGGGATATGATCGCTTTTAACGCTTCACTCTGAAACGTTTGCGGCTCTGCAGACTGTCATGTCCAACCTTTTTCTCATGGTACGAATGCATCATCGTTTGTGCTAGCGATGTCACAGGAGAGAGAATGATGTAGTTATACCAGCTTTGTGGTGATGAGGGCTCGCTTTGGAACTATCCTCACGATTAATGCAACATGCGTTTGGGGCAGTTACATGCCGTGCCTGGCGATCTCAATCGTGTAGAGACCCATCATCGCGCACCCCGGAGAATGTTGATGGACGAGTCATTGACCTGCAGCAGAGCAGGAAAGACTATTGGAGTGGACAAGACAGGTGTTCCTGTACTGAGGTTTAACATCCGCGGCGAAGTGGGGTATGTAAAGGCAAATCGAAATTGCGAGCGTATGGCGTGGAGAGGGAACACACTGCGATCGGGGTATGTTTGCAGAGGAACAAGAATGACAAAATTGGAAGGAGACACTGATTGGAGTGAAAAGAGTTTGCTCAATTGTGTAAAGACTAAAGCTGATGAGGCGCGAATTTGTCTGCTGCCAGTGGGTATATTGATGCAAGTAAAGTAATCCCATGATCCCAAACACCCAATAAAAACACTCCTCAATACAGGAGAAAAACACCAATGACCGAAAAAAGTAACAGCAAGATCCGTGAGAACGTGTCGAGAATAAGATATCATCGATGAGAAGGTGTTGAGAGGTGATACAAGGCGACCGGCCGGCCGGACTGTAACGCTCAAAGGTGGTGGCATGTGAGGCCAAGAAGTGTTGCCTCGAAGGTGCATGCTGATGAGCAAGAGGGCATCATCATGAGCATGTGCCCGGCGAACCGCTGATATGCACTGGCGGTGGGGGTGGATCCATGTAGACTGCGGATCATGCTTCGAATTGAAGAGCGGGGATCCAATGAGAACAGGTGCTGGAACATGGCCACTTCCAAGACGCAATCAAGTCTATGCAGGTGCAATGCTGGAAGTGGCAGCTGATGGGTGGGTAGATGAATATGCACGACTGGCGTGCAGGCGATATCTCCTCGTGAAACGTTGGTGTAGTGGTTGTTCAAGTATCATCCGAAGTGATTGGTGGTTCACTTGGGAAGAGGAGGAAGAGGCCTGTTTGGGGGAGGGCCAGGGCAGGGAGGGAATTCGACCATGGCAGGCATTATGATGAACTTGGTTGTTGGTTGGTAGAGTAGTCGTGGATTGGAGTGGTCGAGGTAGAGATTGATGCTTTTGGTTGGAGATTGAAGCTTGTAGTGGATTGAGTGTGGAATGGGAAGAGCGGAATTGATGGGAGTAGGCAGGCATCTATATATCCAGCTGCCTTGATAGATGCCTCGAGTAATTGGGCATGATGCAACTTGAAGCGTAGGGTGGGTGACTAACGGCCAAGCATGAAGCCCGGTTGGTCCGTGGGTCTAACAAGGACTGCGCAAAAAGGAGACACCGGCGGGCTTTCGTATCCGTCCGGCAGGAAGGCTGACAAGACTAATCTTGGAACACATGGATTGTGACGTTTCTATTCGGATCATCAAGAGGCAGCAATCAATCAATTCACATCATATCCTTGTTTCATCGTGTCTTGCAGCCTTCGAATTCCATATCCCCTGCTGGCTGTGCCGCACAGGAGCAGCGGTGAAGTCTTCGACTTGCCATTGTCCATCATTGCTGCCCAGGCCCTAGGTACCTGCTTCAACTTCAAACTTACTGTGCGTGTCAGCAACGAATAGCTGGCGGGGTGCCTGCTCAGCTAAGCAGCACGGCGGTTACCCTAGGCATGCAAGCGATCCAGGTCAAGGTTTGGTCCGTTTGAGACAAAGCCAAAAGCACCGAACCGATCAACGGTCGACCGCCGTCCGACAGACATGTGTCTCAAGGTGAAGATGCGGGTGCCGGGATTCGTGGCAAATTGCGCTGTCGTCGTTACAAACGCTCATCAAACGATTTCTAGCCATGACTCGTCCGACCGCGTCTTTGACCTGACGTCGCACCAAGCCCAATTTCTTCAGCTAAAGCATTTTCAATCTAACCTGAGGTCTAAGCGAATGATTGCCCGACCGAAGGCCTTTAGAATTTTCATGGAAGCAATTTTTTTGTCGACGATCTCGGACCGCCTGCTATGACCGGTTCAGTAAAAGCGCGGCCAGTTGTGCTGTGTTATGTGCTCTGGCTCGAGCCCAGTAGAGCAGAAACAAGAAGAAGCAGACGAGTCGTGCGCTCGATGCCAGATCCCGGAACATCTTTACTGATCGGCCCCTTGTGGATGATGGATCATGGGAGTGATGGAGTTCCCGCACGCGTACACGTGGCTTGCTCTTGTGCCTGTCAAGAAAAATCGTCGATTGGGAGGATAACCCACCTTATGCCGTCTCTCGTCATAATCATCGCAAGATCGTATGGAGCGCCAACAAGTTTCCGAGTTCCTGGTACTCCTTCCCAATTCCATGAGAACAGATCCCCGGATCAACAGGGGTGCATTTATGAGCCGCGCGATGTCTGCTTTTTCCACGATGCTGCTGTAAATTTCTATTAGACATCGTTCCATGGCTTTTCCATCTTGATTCTCTCAGCTTCTCAAGAATTAATCAACATGACTACTCTCGACCGCATCGCTCAGGTCCGGTCATGCCTTGCTGAGTTTCGTTCAGCCCTTACTATTGTTCACGTCCCGGCAGCCCCGAAACTCGGGTCGGACACCCGTGGACACGCAGCTCGCACAGCCTTGCTGGCAGATACGTCGTATTATGCATACCGTTGCTATCCCGCTACGCGATCGTGAAAGAATAGATCCCTTCAGAGCCGCATGTTACTTAGCCGATCTCAGCATGCTAGCAGCTTGCAGCACTATCTTTTCTGCATGCTCGTTGGCGCTATTGAACACGCCATGATGCAGCTTTGCACTGTTTGCCTTGCTGGCTTTGATGGTGCACCGTCTCGGCCCTCGGGCACGACGCGGGAGCCCACGGATTTTGACTGCTATGCATCTCCTTAATTTCACCGCTCTTTCTGGATTCCGCCGACAGTTCCCCCCAACTTCGGCACACTGGACCTTCTACAAGATTCTTGCCTTCCAGATGAACCTTCAACGTACCTAGTCACAGATCCAGGAGGCGTCCATTCTCCTCACCTTGACTCGGTTTCGAGAAGAAAATCTTCCTTCTAGTTTCTTCCAATCAATGCTGGTAAAACCTCGCGTTTCATGCTCGCTTGGACCGTCAATCATTTCCCCCAGGAAGACCCTGACATGGCCCGTACCGCATGACACCTGGCTGCCCAAGGTCTTTCATACACACCCTGTTCATCTTAGCCATGGCACGTGTAGGTTCACAGACCCTTTGAGGATATTTCAGGGAAGACCCTTGTTCCTGGTGTCAGCAAGTTATTTCCGATCTAGCTGAACAGTGTGCATCCTCGGAGACATGACAGTCATGAAAGCACTGGTCCGAAATGCAATGCGTTTCTCGAAGGACTGGGAAACTCGCCTCTGTTCGGTTCATGCGCTGCACAGCACGGCCACGTTGTACTCCCCAGATCCAGGTTTGGATCTCATGCGCCTGTACCAGGTACCTGGCTACAGGCGTCGAGCTCGATAAATTGCTTATTTCGATGGGCCACTGAGGCGTTTGGTCACTTTGCTCTGTTGGATGTATACGACGTAGAAGTACTATGTGATTTGAGATCTACAATGCGGACTTTCTGTCTCGTGCAGATACTGTTCAGGACAGTACAACCCAAGGAGTCTAGATACACGCATATCTGCGGCTTGCAGCTTCGCGCCATTTCGTGACCAGTTCTCGTAGACCGTTAAACGTGAATTTAACGTCCTCTATCGTTTCAGTCGCTTCAATGCTGTCCGGGCACTGTGCGCGAGTTCTTCGATACCTACTGTTCGCAGAAAAGCATCCAGGGAAAAACATTCTATCGATGGCACTGACCATATCCTGGTTGAATCTCGGAGGCTCTAAGGGGTCCAATCGGTCTGGACCCTGGTTCGGGTCACAACCTCTCCAGACGCGAAACGAGTTTGAAGAAGACACTTCTTATCGTTCTGATCGTTTAGCAGTCACGAGAGAAACGTGGCAGCGGTGTTAACGATGGCATCGGGGCTGAGTGATGGTGAACGGACTCTTCTTGCTACTCATACCTACTACATAGTGCTTGTGTTCGTTTCACATTGCTTTCGCCTCGAAACACGATGCCCTAACTCTTATATTCGGGTCATGGCATCCGCTCAAAGGAGCCATTGATTCGAATAGCCAAGTACTCGTCACCTTCTACCGACGAGTCCTACAAGAGATGGAACTCAACTTGTTCCCTTGGCGTTGTTGTCCATCGTCTCTCAAAGCCGCGAAGCATCGACCATGCGATTACATCAAATCCAACCCCCATCGTGCCTTCCAAGTCTCTGACTATCTCTCATTTTCGTTTTCCTAACCACCTGGAGCAACTAATACTGACTTCATGACTAGCTGACACTGTGTCGATCGGCTATCTATTGGTTGATAAGATCCTCCGCATTCCCCAACGCCTTTCCAACGGTTATACTGATTGTCCATCTCCACCATGACCTGATCCTCCCAGTATGCTTGAATACTAGTGGGAATACCAACGAGGTAGGGATCGTCTTTGCCCTGTCTGCGTCCAGAGCACCTTTTTCTAGTTGCAGACGACACTCGAATAGCATCGAGTACTCCTCTACAGTCACGAATTAATCTTGGCAAACAGACTATCATTGGTTTTCACTACATCACGTTACTCTGGACTCAAACAGAAGGCGAGATACATGTTAACCGCAGAACCTTTACACACCCTGATCTTCGAGACTGTCGCACGCGAAAAGTCGCATCTCGGAGATTCGTTGGATCGTTCATGGATACTTCCATCGAAGCATTACCTCGTGGAACGGGTCAGTATAGCTATCGTAACGCCCATCATGAATCACTTCGATGTCTCACTACGGCCCTGTCGCTTGGGTTTTGGGATCACAAGGTCACCATCATGCAAAGGCTCTCCGTCTACGCGTGTATCAAGCATTGGCGATCAAACAAGCTCAGCGTCCAGATCCTACGACCATCTCGAACGGCACCGTCTCAGCACAAGAAAATGCGGAGAAATAGGGAACAACGGCGACACTATCTGTCGCTGGGATCAGAAACGCAACGGCAACGGCAATGACCCACTTCACCTATCTGTCTATGTTTCGCACGTCAGCTAGAGTTTGGCTGATCGATCAACGTCTGTGGAGACGCAACTGCCTCTACAGGTTGCGTGTCTTGGAAGCCCCGTCTATAGTGAGCAGTGTCTCGCTATAACGCCTATAGTGCGCGAAGATCTCCGACGAGACCTTAGGGCAATCTTCCGCAAAGCCCTGAGACCAGTTGCGTGATCGTCCAACTATCGTTTTACATTCCAAGGCCAGCTTCAAACCCTAGACATGGTCTTAAGTGCACGAGTAGCTGCGCTGCTTCTCCGGCGACGAAGCCATGTAGGTGAGGAACGATTCCTGGTGCAGGTGGCGATGGAGCCTAGCGCCTCATATTGACAGCGCAACCTCACTAACACCCTTGGATTGGCTGCCTATGGGCTAGAGTTGATCCAGGTATCTAGCCATGGACGAGCTTGGACCTCCGACGAGACATTTTGCACTGACTACCTGCTACGAGGTGTAAGCGATGCACTCTTTTCAGTCGACACTTTTACGACAAATGGACTGCACGAAGTGTGCCGCCAACAAGCAGAGCGTCACAAAGCTCAAGAAGCCATTCTGAGAGATCTTGTCGAACCTATTTCAATCCTACGTGATCAAGAAATACTCATCAAACAGTTGGCGCCTTCCTATCGATTGTTAACGTATGCGCAGAGAGATTGACCCAGCATCGAACTCCTGTTCCTCTACAAGGACTATAACCTGGCTGCAAAAAGGCAGTATGCTTTTGATGATCTGGTGCATGTCCATAGAGAGCGGCATCTCCTCTTGATCTCTCTGGACAATCACATCAAACCCAAAAACACTGTGTCTTCTTATGGATGTTTTGTACGGCGCCTCGCTGGGCTGAGACCTTGGTTCTGGTACGATTCGCATGCCCCTATATCCATGTCACTTCATGCTTTGTTACTGGCTTGAGGTTGAAACGACATTGTGAGTTGTTCGAAGCTTCTTGTATAGTCTTAAGGTCTCCTAGACTACTACTGCCCAGGCTTATCTGCAGTGATCTCCCTCGAGCCTAGCGCCTAGCGCCTAATATTCATCCTCGAGTTCTGAACGACGTCCGTAAGCAGCCATGCATGTTCTTAGTGCTGCATATGCTTCACACAGGCCTTCTCTTCGGCCTTCAACCATGGCCCTTCCCATATTCCCCATGAAAGCCTTACCTTCTGTCGTACTGAGGACTTCCATTCCATGATCGAGAACGGCGCTCGAGACCATCTCTTCGTACTCTTCATCCAGGACATCGGCAGCGGCAGAATTTCCTGATCTGAGAAGAATTGTCTGCAGTCTTCCAAAAGCCTGGCACAACGCAAGTCTGTTGTCTTGTCGGGCGGCTTCACCCAGAAGCCCGACATAGGCGCTGACATGAGGAGCGGTCAATATCCTGACGCCATACGTGTAGGTGATTTGCACAATGATTGCCTCGTACTCATCCCTGGTGGAGCCAGGGGCAAAGACGTCAAAAGATTGCACCTCTTCATCTGCTTCCGTGTTGCCTGTGTCGGGCATACTGGCTTCGAGCATGTCGACATCGTGGGTTGTCGATGCATCAGGAGATTGTAACTCTTCCTCTGCTTCTACCTCGCCTGTGTCGTCTGTGGAGGGCATGCTTCCTTCAAGCATGTCCACATCGTGGGTGGTTGATGCGGCAGGGGATGCTTCAGCAGGCCCCTCTCCAGCGCCGTATTGGGAGCCAGCCACCGGGCCCTCGTCCATGTGCGAGCGAGAAGCCTGGAGTCTACGTGACTGTCGACGAGACTATACAAAGTCAGATAGTGTAGCCAAGTAATTGAGTTCGACATACCTTATTCTCATGCGAGGCTGTAGCCACAGGGTTGAGAGACTTGGCCTTGGTATGTCTGCTTCTGATTGTTAGCTATGCTTCAAGTGATCTTAATCATGCGTATAGGCAGAGGATACATACTTTTCATCGGCAGCCGTGCCGAGAGCCATGTCGGGCGACACGATTCCATCTTGCCTTTGGAAGCGGTACAGGGCAAGGTGGTAATTGCGGCAAATTACGATCATCTCCTGACCTCGAAGATTAAAGACGAATCCAGCGATCTGCTTAGTGTCAGATTATATCATCGATTGGCAAGTGCTGTCTGACTCACGAAGCCCTGTGTGCTTTGCGTGGCCTCTGGAGCCCTGTATGTGATGGACAACCACTCCATCTGCAAAGGCTCGGAAACTTTCTTACACGCTGCATGCTGACAGTGTGCTTTCTCGAATACGCGCTCGCCAAGCTGCAGCTGTTCGACAATGTCTTGTTTGACCTTTGTTGTTACTCCAGGAAATTCTTCGAGCCATTCGGCTCTCTCACTGCCCGACTTTGCTTGATGGGCCTTGATTAGATTTTGTTCTGCCTGAGCCAGGACCTCGCGGAACGTCATGGCTTCCTTGTAGCTTTCATCCGGGCTGTTGCGAAATCCAATCCAGATTCCGGCATCATTCTGGAACGGTTCATTAACACAATCGTTGTGCGATTCGCCGGTTGACGCAAAGCAGAGCCAAGCAAGTGGTTTCCTTTTATTGGTGCGAGCCATCTTTGCTAGTGTCTGTGCCGTCACAGTCGAGCAATTTGGCGATAGTTATGATGAGATCTTCGGATTTGTTGGAAGAAAAGAAGTGATCATGAAAGGAAGTGATCGTGAAAGAAGGTGATCATGAAAGGAAGTGATCATGAAAAGAAGTGATCATGAAATAGTGATTGTGTTGCGGGAGAGAAGAGAGTTGTGAGGCTGGGAAGAAAGCGCTGGTGTTGCTGATTGGCACGATGTTAGTGAAACTGAACTGGCCGCGACGTGATGATGAATTTCGTGTTGCTCTTTCCCGAAGGACCAAAGAAGTCGAGAAAACACGCGATCGGCCCATGTGAGCAAGCACGCTCTTCGAACGTCCGACGTTACGATGAGTAAAGTGAGGAAGAATAGAATGCAGAAGTCACAATCCAGCTGGGAAGTTATCGACGCTACAAATCGGATTCTCATCTAGTGACACAAAGGACTCGCGGAGAGTGAGGTTTCGAACTGATTCACTGTTCGGCAAGTTATCGAGAAGCAAAAAACATCGACCGAAGGTGCGTGGATCAGCCACTCTTGGTGAACGCCTCTATGAGTCCCTGAAGTGTCATGCCTTCCGGTGTATACAAACTGCACATCGATCAGCCTCCTCTGCTAGGCATATGGTATGAGGCCTACTGCTCCAAGACTGATCTCCCATAGTCTATCCTCAGCTGCTTCATCATAAGCATAGGAAGCATAACCACATCTTCCAATACCCTCGTCCTCTGCAAGAGCAGGGGCCTCGCCCACCTCGGCTAGATATACACCACCATGAGTCTCAAAACGAGGGCTTAGAGCAGCCCATACAGTTGTGGCAGCCCCTTGTTCCGCGTTGCACTCGATCTTCTGGAAGTATTCAGGGTCGCCAATGCTCAGAAGATCTTCAACCTTCTGGTGTCGCATAAGCTCTGTTGATAGAATGACACCAGGGTGGACCGAAATAGCACGAATTCCTTGGTTTCCATAAGCCCTGTCGATATAATTGGCCATGTAGATGTTTGCTGTCTTGCTTTGTCCGTAAGCAGCATAAGGGTTGTAGCTCCCTTCTTTCGCGAAGTCCATGTCGTCGAAGCGGACAGGGCTGATCAAATGACCGCTGCTTGACAAGTTGATGACTCGAGATTTTCGCTGTGGCGAGGCCGATGCCAACAAAACGGGCTTCAGGAGCTCAAACAGCAGGAAATGGCCAAAGTGGTTGCTTCCCATGTGCGTCTCGAAGCCACTAATCGTCTTTCCTTGCGGCGCTGCCATAACACCTTGATCATGCTGTTAGCATCCGACACCATTAGGTCGTGTAACTAAGAAACTGACCTGCATTGTTGATCAAAACATTGAGCTTGTTGCTTCTGGACCTGAACTCAGCAGCCGCCGACCGTACACTCTCTAGATCGCCTAGATCCATGCTCAGAAGCTCGATGGGTTGCCCATCTGGTGCATCCTTTGTGATAGCCTTGATGGCTGCTTCTCCTTTCTCGACATTTCGGACAGTCAGATACAGCTTAGCACCAGTCAGGTACAGTGCTTTGGCAGTTTGAACTCCGAGGCCAGCAGAACATCCAGTGATAAGAATGACAACGTCATTAAGTTTTCCCTCAGCGCCCAGGTCTTTTACAATCTCTAGAGCAGTTGGTCTGTCGTCGCCAATGCCCCTAAGATTTGCGTGTCTCGCAAGGTATGGTCGGAATAGTTCGGTGGCTGGAGGCATCTTGTTTACGTTACCTTGAAGTCAAAGGTGCGATCCACTCCTTATGAAGGAGAATATTTAGGCAGGCCATGCTTTATGTTGTTTCAGGTAGAGCAGAATATTGGAGACTGACTCGTCACAGCTTGTCAGGCCGAAGTCGAAATAGAATTGGCCCATGTATTACAAGTTGCTCAATGGACAGTAAAAGGCAGAGAAATTCATTCGAATGGTCGTCAGATATACTCAAGCATATTCCTCCGGAGGTTGCATGCCGAGAACAAAAGAGGAAGTCATCGATGGACAAAACATACAGCAGCAGGGATTCCCACGTGGTCACCCACCGTAGTACTAATCTGCCGTTCAACTGCTTATGTATGGCAGAGCGGACGGGATGCCCAGTTTTCAGCTGACTGTGGCCGTATGTGCTTGTTTCACTGTTCATTTTCAATACAAGGATAAGTTTTTCTCCATAGCGTACCTGGCTACTGACAAACTGCCCTGCCCTCTTCCGGCCTTTCTCGAAATCGATCTGAGCTTCGAGAAAGCCGTCAAAAGCCACGGTCCTTGTGCGCCTTGTAGTCTCGACCATTGAGAGCAACCATCTCGCATACTCACCAGAGACAAGGCCAGTTAGCGACGCTATCCTGCCCTGGGACAGGCACTCACGAGAGCTCTCTGCAAAGCTGAGATCTTCGATCTGGTGAGGTCGGTCTATTGCTGCATCCCCCATGAGCTCCTGACTCTTTTTCAGATGTGCGGTGATGCCTTCTAGACCGGACATAGCCTGCCTGAGGCATCTCTATTTTTTCGCCTTCTTGAAGGCAGATTCGAGTGTGCTTTGGCCACTCTCGTTGCCACGCTTTCTAGTTGATCGTCGCTTATCAACATGTTCGTGATCCTCAGTGCTTTTCACATCTTTATCGCCTAGAGATCCAGCAGGTCCGCCTTTTTGACCTTCAGTAGGGCCCTCGGCATTGTCTTCGAACATCTGCTTCCATGTGCCGTCTAACACCTGCGGTGAGTTTCCGTATAGTCCAACGCTGTACGCGCCCTTCAGACCCTTTATGCAAATTTCTCTTTGCTTTGCAAAATCAAAGATGGGCTTTGGGTACAGGTTGACCTCACCCTCTTTTTCTTGTTCGCCGTCACCTTTAATCAGTACACCGGCCTTCTTTTGGTCCTGGATTGGTGCCTTCCAAGGCTCATAGATGTACTTGGTAGGCATGTCTTTGAGCTCAGGCACGTACTTCCTAACGAAAGCACCTTCCTTGTCCCACTTCTGGGGAAAAGCGATCGGAGAGTAACAACGATAGTACTGGGAATAAAACGCGACACATGCCAGCCATTGCCAGTTACCGACATTGCAAGCCGTCTCATGGTCGATAAGAAGCTCCTCAAACACCTCTGCACCTCGCTCCCAGTGGATGTAGCAGCCACCGCGAGTCAAGAAACAGGCTACGGCATGGCGACCAAGGTGATGTATCCAACCTTCAAGAGCCAGCTGTCTCATCAAAGCATCAATCCATGGAAATCCGGTCTTGCCTTGTCGCCAGCGGCTGAACCATTCCTCCTTCTGAGGGTCATCAATCTCGTACTCTCCAGTGATCAAGCCTGTCTTTTCATCGTGCTTAGAGGGCAAATGCCAAGGTATAAATCGACAATGGTCGTTCTTCGCTGTCTGAGCGAATGGATAGCCTATTGCCGCTTGAGCCCCGAAATACATGTCTCTGAAAAGCAACTGTCCATGTAATGAGGTTGGCGGTTCTGAAGCTTTGCCTTTGTAACTATCAAGCACTTCTTGTACTTTGTACCAGAACAATCGACATGATAGCGAGCCAAAGTGCAAGTGGGGTGAGGTAAGGCAAGTGGATTGTGGCTCAAAAGCGGTAGGTGCTGTGGAGGGCTTGCTGAATGTTGCCGTAAATTCCTTGTTAGCAATGACATCCTCGAGCACCTTCAAAGCCAGAGTCTCTCCACCTCGATGCGGCGTGGTAGCTTCCTGAAGGCCAAGCTCTTTTAGAGTCGGTACAGAAAAGTCGCCATTGGGTCCTGCGATGCCCACTTCGTACGAGCCCTCATCGTCCGTTCGATGTGTCTTGTTGAAGTCCGGCTCTGATTTTGGCTTTTCTTGTTCAAATTCCAGCGTCAAATCTCCCGGATCAGGTAAGCTCGTTGGAGCTGGCAAAGGCTCAGCAACTTTGCCCAATTTCGCTGCCGCCGCCTGGACTTGAGTGATGGTCATTGTTGGCTTTCCGTGATTCGTCTTGACCAATAGATCACTGTCGTACAGCGTTCGTCCAGTCTTCGTAATAACTCTAATGCCCATTTCATTCGCGATCTCGCAAATCTTCTCATCGCGCTCTCGCGCATACGCATCCGTATCCTTCTCGAATACCAAATGCGTAATCTTCCATGCTTTGAACAACTTTGGAAAAAGAGTCTGAGGAGCTTCGCGCAACACGAAAAGTTTCGACTTCTTGTTGATTTTGGTGATTCCTTGAGAGACGTCGTTTTGGCAGTCGATGAGAAACTGCCAGCGATTAACGCCTACGCGTGCGCGATATACGTAGTGGGGGTCCCAAGTCCAGATTGGATACAAACATTCTGGTTTCAAGTCAAGCGCTGCAGCAAGCGCTGGGGAATCATGTAGGCGCAAGTCCGTACGAAACCAGTATATCACGCGTGGTGTTTGCGACATCCTTCGGGCGTTTGGCAGCGAGCGATGCTGGAGATGACTTTGTTTGACGGTGAATCGCGCACACCACAACCAGAGAAGATACAAAGGATACTTCTACTACAAAGGAGTGCGGAAGATCGATATGATATTACATATCCACTATTGTTTATCTTCAGTACGATCTTGCGCCAACGAAACCGTTCTTGGTTTTGATGATGACATTGATTGAAAGTCAGATCGCGTCGATCGAAGGTCTCAAATTGCTGGAGGAACGAACAGGGACCAAGAGCAAACGCCCACCCACCTCTCACACGCTTCGAAGTACTTGTCAAAATGCACAGTGTTTTTGAATATCAGATTCGATGTCCATTAAGATCGACACTTTTGCGCACTTTCTCTGAACCACCATATTGGCACGGAACACATCGTGTGCTTTGATAGCAGCAACACGAGACTTTGTCAAAGGGAGGGATAGGCAGTATCAGGAGATGTTATCATGAGAAAGCGCAAGAAAATAAAATTACGAGAACTAGTAAAGGAACATACAGACAGCGACGGGGTATGGAATGCCTGCTGTCTGAAGACCTGCAACTAATAATAAAAGAACAAGAAAATCCCAAAACAGCCATATAGGCAGTGCTGTACGCACTATGATCCACCCTCGAACGCCCATTTCAAGCTCATCTGTTACAGAAACAAGCGAGTCTAACGCCATCCCGTGATCCGTTCCGTTTACTCGTGATCCGCCATAAGAGAAGCAAAGCATGTCGTACACGTCAAAAGAATAGAGAAGTTATCTTCTTACTCTTCGACCTTCAGCACAGGGTAAGCAACACTGGCGTCATGTTCGGGCGCGGTCTGCTGCTGCTCGTGTACTTGCTCGTGTTGCTCGTGCTGCTCATGCTGAATGTGCTCGGGGTGGTGAACCTGCTCGTACTGAGGTTCAAGGACCTTGTCTTCAGAAGGTTGGTGGTCCATGTGCATGTCGTGATCGACGTGATGTTGAGTCTCGGGGTACTCAGCTTCGCCTTCAAACTCTTGGTTGTTGATTCTTTCGCTGACCCATCTGCGAAGAGCCTCAATAACTCTAACGTTCTCGACCCAAGTGGCCTGCTTCTCATCGGAGTCGCTGCCTGCACCAGTACTGGGGCTCTGGACGGCAGTCGAAGTCTGAGAGGCAGCACGGAGGGCAGGGTCAAGAGAAGATGAATCCTCAGGCTGTCTGGTGCTAGCACGGGGGGTCTTGGCACCTTCGGACTCGGTCTCCATGGCATCAGAGTCAAGATCATGAGGACGAGGAGCAGGAGCCTCGCGCTGGAGACGACCACCGCTGTAGCGACGGCCCTCGAAGCCCTCGAAGCCGGAAGCAAGGCCGGATGCGGGGGCAGAGGTCGTGGCAGGGTAGCCAGCACCCATGTCAGAGATAGCTGTAACGGATGGGAGGTTGGGGTACATGGAACTACCGTGAACACTGCTCATGCTAGAGCGAGAGTGAGTAGACATGGGAGACTGTCCAGCCGAGGTGTAAGACGAGACAGAGGCAGGTGTGAGAGCAGGAGTATCCATAGCGCTGCTAGAAGGCATGTTGGAGAGCGAGCCGACTCCCGGAGTGGAGACTGAGCCAGAGTGCTGCATGCTGGGAGGGCTATCACTGTTGCGGTACTGGCTGCCAAAGCCAGGGTAGTTGGTGTATTGAGCGTGGGAACCAGGCTGCTGGACACCAGCGGCGGCAGCACTGTTGCTGCTCTCGTAGACGGTGGCTTGTAGCTGCTCGAGGAATTTATCAATCTCGACCAAGTCTTGCTTTGTGCGAGCGTTTGAAGGCAAAGGCAGCGAGTATGACTGGGTAAGCGGACCCTGAGACATGCTACCGCCACTGCCGCCAGTCATCTGCATGTTGCCAGAGTTGTTGAAGCTGTCAAGCAACGAGCTGGCTGCACTGTATGACGAGTTGTTGTTGCTGGCGTAGTTGTTGCCAGTGGAGTAGCCGTAGCCGGTGCTGATAGGGAGCGGCAGGTTGGCCGACTGAAGGCGCTGACCAACATCGTAGTAGTTGCCAGGGTCAATAGCACGGCGCTTGATATCGCCAAGGAAGTCGTTCAAGGCCTCAATGGCACGTCTGCGGGTGTCCATGCTTTGGATGTCGGCAAGGCTGTTGCTAGCGGGGTAGTTGACTTGGCCGTAACCAGCGTACTGAGGCTGCTGCTGAGGCTGCTGGAAGAAGTTGTTGCTGTTCAGGCCGTGGTTGGGGTGAGGGTAACCGTTGGTGGCTCCAAGATCATGGCCATAGTAGCCGTTGTTGGCTAGAACCGATGTCAGTTTGGAGTCAAACGAGGTTGAGTGAACCGCGAGGAACGTACCGGGTTGGCCTTGTTGGTAGTTGTTACCAGGAGGTCTGTTCTGGCCCATGTTCGGGTCGGGAGAGCGAAGGAGTACAGAGTCATCGGCATGAGTCTTGACGTGCTTCTTCAGATCCTGGGGTCTCTTGAAGGCCTTGCCACAGAAGTCGCACTTATGAGGCTTGAGGGGGACGTGGACGCGAATGTGAGATGTTATGTGGTCACGCTTGACGGTAGTGACGCGGCATGAACCCCAGTGGCATGTCAAGTTGAGGTTGTTTGTGCTCTTGCGACCGACGTGGCGCTCACAGACGTGCTCCTGATGCATATGTCAGTATGTGTGCATGCCTGTTCGAGTCAAGGATAGCTTACGTAGAGTGCTTCGGCGGTCTGGTGGCGCTCACCACAGTTCAGCCACTGGCAGGTGAGCGAGTCGACGGTACTGCTCTGTCCAAGAGAAGGGGTGCCGATGTGTTGCTGTACGGGTTGAGGCGATGTATGCTGCTGCATGGGTGACTGGAGCGCATGTTGGATGGTAGGAGATTGTTGGAGAGACTGCTGGGCGAGCGACTGTTGTTGCAGAGGCTGGTGCTGGAGTTGATGTGCTTGCAACTGCTGATGTTGCTGAGTAGGCGATGCCTGTTGCAATTGTTGAGCTGCAGCTGCGGCGGCGGCAGCGGCAGCGGGATCAGGGTGGTTTTGCGGTGCCATGGGCGCGCCAACCGTAGTGTCGCTCATCTTGGTGGAGGGAGTCTTGGGAGATGCCAAGCAGGCGATGCTCAGATATAAAGAAAGACGCGTCGATGATTTGCGCGAAGCAACACAGGAATCAACCGCGTAGATATGTGATTCTACACGTGAGATAGTGGATAGAAGCCTGACACGTGAACTGGCAAGGCTTGAATGTGAAAGTAGTGTTGGGTAAGAGTGAACAAAAAGTGAAGGAGGGCTTGGCCCATGAACTGGGGGCAGGCGCCAGTTAAGAGCGGAGTGCCTCCTTCCTTGGACCGGAAATCTTCGCCTTGGCGCGTGCGCTACTGGGGCGCTGCCGAGACCGCGGACGCGCCTTCCCTACCGCAACTGTTGAACCCAGGTAATGATGCCCACTACCGAATTTCAGCATATTCCATCCGAAGCAGTTTCCAGCGAGGTATCTCATTAGCTGAGATTGGTAGTTGAACTTCAAGATTCAGCTCTGTCTCTGCAAAGCCTGCTCCAACTGGGTATCCGCTGCAGTCGGTCGACTTTCGCCTTGCGACAGCATGCTATCTTGCGCCATGGGTCTTCTGAACTGCCAAGTCGCCAAGTAAAGGCTGTGCATCCTGCATTGTATGATTGGCCTGCTAACGTTACTGGATGTTCCTCAAGCTAGACTCGTTTATCGCTACGTCCAGATTGAGGTGCTTTTGACGACAAGAGCTTTTCAGGTTGATTTCGAGCAGCGAACGCCGCTCCTTGACGAAGCATGCCATGTCACAGGTTTGTGTTCTAGGAGATTCGCGAAGCTTGAGCGATTCCGAGTGCAGAACAAGGTCGATCCTCTTGTCAGCATCCGCCGCGACGAGAGCATGCTGATTACGGATGAACTTGGGTAATAACTGGGCATCCTTGGGACACACTTGCTTTCGCTTCGTCCTCCGTATCGTCTCTGCGATGAGCATATAGAACCATCGCCAAGGTCAAAAAGAGATTCCGCTCACCAAGGGGGGCCAAGTTTCTTGGACGCCAACGAGAGAAGGTCCGAATCATGGCGAAAGGTCCCCCGTGTTCCGGGATGTCTGGAGAGGGGTAGCTTGTTGGTGGCGGCCAAGTCGCTCCAACGGGCCAAGCATGCAGCTGACGAGTAGCAAGCGGAATGTGCCCCATGTGCTGGGCGAAGGGGAGACCGTCTGGCAAGGCAGTGTTATGGAGAGTGGGTGTGCTTGGCCTGGTCGTATCGTCGTAATCATCTGCTAGGATGTGAGCTCTGGCAGTTCAAACCTTGGGCGCCGGAATGACGCGTGTGTCTGCATCCGGAGAGTTTGTCTCAGCCTGCCAACATACCAAGGACTCGCTGCGTCGCCAGACTTATCGGAAATTGTAAGCAACGACTTACATGATGTGTGGTATGGTTTTGGGGCTGACAGCGCTGATGTGATTCATTAGAAACTCTGCTGAAAGTGCGATGATTATGCCAAGAGAGATGCTGCCAAGTGCAACCAACAACCACAGAGCCAAGCATTAGGAGACGCTGGACTTGATGCTCCAGTTCAAGCAGGTCGAGGACAACGAGGTAGCACGCATCCATGATCAAGAGTCATTGTACTACTTGAACTGTCGTATCTCACTGAGTCTGATCTGATGTTGCAGTTCAGCTCGAGAGAAAGGATATCAGACTCACAGATGAAGGTCAGCTAAACAGAAAGACGATAGGCATCGTGGATGCAGCCAGCAAGGTGAGCCTGTGGTATTCGAGACAAATCGAGTAAAGGTGCTGCTTGAGTTGACTGTCATAGTGACATACCAGAGCGTTGTCTCCCATATGATACCGAGCCTACTCAAGAGCAGCTTCTCTTGTCTTCTTTGACTATGCTAAACCACGAGCAGAGACAACTTTACAACATACATTGTCTCCATTGTCGGGATCATCTCAAACATCATCAGCCTAACGCAAGAGAAACGCAAGTTCGAACAACACACTCAGCCTGGCTCCTACATGCTACCACTCTTCCATAAGTCTCTTTGTCAGATACCGGTAGGACTCTAAATCAAGCTTCTCTTCAACTGGATTTACCATATCCCTATCGGACCTTGTTTGATCGTTCGTTCCTTCCCACTTGTTTAGTTGCCGCTTTCTTCTTCGTTTTTTCCGTCAACAAGTCCTTTTATAAAAGCAGACAAGAACGTGTGACCAAGGATTCAACATTCGCAAGCCGCAGACGCCATTTCTCCAAAACCAGAGCAGTGGTAAGCATACACATCACTACCGTTTAAGCTCATGATATCGCGATTGGATCGAGTGGTTGAGGAATATACATGCTGAAGGCTTTGAGGACAGGGTATCTCTCTCCTGCCAGGACTGGTCCAAAATGGCATCAAAAAAATTTGGCCTTGATAATGCTTCAATGCTAGGGTTGTTCTTTTGGACAGTTCCTATTCCAAGTCGATGCGCGTGTCTGATATAAGTGTAACTGCAGCTGAAGTTGTAGTGAGATCGAGTTCTTCCTCATAGTGGTTATCGAAAGACAATGCTAGCAAGGAAGGGCCCATCAAGAGTTGCTGAATTGAGTGACGTGGCAAGGAGAAATTGCACCGTAGCCATGGTGTCGAACGCAGACAGAACATCAATTTCGTGTACCTGTTGGAAGGCAAGAAAGATGGTTTCGTTGATTGTGTGCGTGTTTGAGAAAATGGGGTATCATCTCTCGTGCTCTTCTCTGGGCGGTGTCCCTGTACGAGAAACTACCTTGCATCTTGATGGTGTTTTACAGGCATCTCGGCAGGCTGAAAGCTCAGTCGGACTGCGAGTCCTATTCTCATCGCATCGATGCCACTAGCACTCTGCTATTGAAGGGTCAGTTTGTTGCTTTGAGTTCAGATAGTATCGAATTCGAACATGTCACAATTTTTACAAAGAGGGAGCAAAAGTGGTTGCGATCAAAGATTTTGGTATTCGTGAAGAGACTACATGTTTCCATCCAATCCGATCCAGATATCCAAACATTTCATTCCTGAAAATGTTTCCCTGATCCAATATTTCTCATAAAATTCGTGATCCATTCGTATGATCTTGAAAAGGGGGGTGTTCCTCCAACTTGGTCAAATCAATCAACCGTCAAACCCGGGTGATTATAGGTGTGGTATAAAAGAAGCTTCCAGGGTAAGAAGATCCGGTGGCTGTCAAGCCGCCAAAGGTGAAACCGAAGAGGGTATTATGCTTGTGTCCGAGCATTGAGGCGATGATAGTGGCAGGTTGTGAGGAAGTTGAGAAGTCATCTTAGCGAAGGGAAGATACGCTTAGATGGACTCCTTGTTGGCCTTGGCCTGGGCCTCGTGGGAGTGCTGGTCGAGCTTGTCGGAGGCAGCGCCCATGGCACCGGAGACACGGCCGGAGATGGAGTCATCGGCGGTGTTGCCCTTGGCCTGCTGCTTGTTGGCCTCCTTGGAAGCCTCGGCGGCGTTGCCAGAGATGGTCTCGGAGACGTAGTTGGCGGCGTTGGCGATGGAGTTGCCGATCTGACCAACAATGCCCTGGTTAGGCTCGTCGACGTTGGGGGCAGGCATTTTGATTGAGGTGGTGGGGGTTGGTTTTGTTTTGGGAAAGTAGAAGATTGGTTTGAGAGTGTGATGATGAGAAAGAAGCAAAAGGAGATGGTGGCTTGAGGGGTTCTACTTATACTTGTGTCCTCATCCTGGGTTCGTTGTCCTTGTAGCACGTGCAAACAGAGGGCATTCCACAAATGATCGAATGTGTATCCACTCAAGCCTCATTCACTCGCCAACTGACATCAAGGCGTTGTCCCTTGCTAACGACATCGAGCCATGGTCTGACGCTATAGCAACTCAATAGCCAATCCAGACTCTGGAATGGACGGACGGCCCCGCCAATTGTTGCTCCCGCACGAAAGTCCCTCTTGCGATTTTGATCACGCACCCCTCATCGAGCTACGTCATAGCTTCTATAATGAAACGGTTCTCAGCAGCAACACAAAGGGAAATTGCAATTACTTCGGACAGAACATCAGCTTTTGACCAGGTAGCATCACACTGAGCGACTGTACAGTCCCCTGAGCAAAGTGCCTACAGCTGAGAGCATGGTTCCTTTTGTTCTTTACTTTTCAACGACAGCGGGGTCCTTGAGAAGCAGGGGTTGGATCCAGACCCTAAGAAGCGGGGGAAGCTTGAAAGCTGCGGTTGCCCTGAACATCTTTCCCGTTTGCGGTAGCTACTAGCCACCTACATCATAAGCGTGCCCTTTGCTTTCTTTCTCGTTCGATGCAGATGTTATCTCGATCCAAAAGCTTCGATTGGCATGTGAAATAATACGGTTGCGCCGAGGTGACAGCGCAAGCCATACGATATTCTCGTAACTGTGTACGCTTCGCATAGCAATAGAGAGAAACAAAGTTCAAGGGAAAAGGACACGTTTGAGATTAGGACTGAAGCCACACCCCCAGATGGTGGTATTTTGCTGCAGGGGAAGCAGTTCCTTCCCGACCCGGTTTCTTGCGTGACGAGGCTCCTCAAAAGCTTCGTGTCGATCTAGCTGCGAATCCCCCTCAGGAGGGGCTGTGTCGCCCATGGAAACAAGGAGGGCGAGTGAGATTACATCAGAATAAACACACGGATGCGGTGTCCGTGCCAGTTTGCTGCCAACATACGTATTGCTATCCATGTGAGGACAGGTCGCACAACAGTAGACGTCTCTTGAGCCTCACCGGCAAGCAAAGATACCGGATCCGAAATGAGTACATAGCAGCAATACGAACTCGAAACTATGAAGATGCGTACGAGAGACAAGCTGTCTCGCAGCTCTCGGCTTGGTGTATTAACATAATAGACAACTTAACATCGGACAAATACACAAAAGAGAAGGACATAAACCACAACACCGCCCCTTGAAACAGCGAACAAGAACGACGGAACTCAGAGCAGCTCAGAAAGGCTCACCACCAGGCAAACGAGCCTTCTCAGGACGAGACAGCATACCATCAACACCCTTCTCAATCTGCTGCTTCAACTCATCCTGCTTTCTCGCCTCATCCTCCTGCTTCTTCCTCAACTTGTTCGCCATCTCCTCGTCCACGCCGAAGAAATTGCCCATTCCTCCTCTACCATATCGCACAACAGTCGGCTCCTCCTTTTCCTTTTCTCCCTTGGGAGCAGGTGTGCCGTCTCCTAGAACATGACTTGTGTCTACACCCTCGAATTTGCCAGTCGCAATGAGTTCGCGAGGGGAGTAGTAGTTTCCTGCTCCGCCTCTGCCTGTGTGGGCGTATTCTTGATTGTGTAGGGCTGGGTGTGCTGTGCCGGCGTAGTCTTCGGCGTCTTGTTGGTTGCGTTCGAGGTCTGCGGACACTTTTTCGTTGGTCGCATTGGATGCTTTTGTTGCTTTCGTCGCTTGCAGGGCTTCAATGTTGCCCGCTCCGCCGCGTCCAAAGGCCGGCATATTGTAGGTATCTGTAAACTTGAAGTTGGTAGGTAGGTTGGCAGATGGCAGGGAGGGTCTTTGAAGTGGATCTGAAGCCTGTCGCGTGCTCGATGGACTCGAAACAAATATATTCTGGATGCGATCAAATCTTCAAGGATTCGACTGGTCGCGATGATGCTTCTCGGTACCGAGTAGATAAGATAACAAGGATGTGCTAGAACTGTAATAGAGGAATCATTGATCGTTATCAGCAAACTTGTCGCATGACAACTGCCATGACGTATTGAAATCACGAAGACCCCGCGACTCCATCTTTTCTCCATGTGGAGTTGGTCAACGGTATGACCCTGGCATCAATCACCGACCATCTATACCAATCGATGTCGACACTGTATAGCTCTGAACTGAGCCATGTTGATAGATGTATCCTTGCACCCCTTTTTGAGTATCTGAGTGCTATAGTAAGTGCATGGAAGCGGCGAATATAACAACTTGATTAGTGTAGTCAATTTCTTCGATCGCTCCCGACGAATTCCAACCAAACCACACTGCAACACAACCACATAAGAGGTAACCAGTAACAGCAACATCGACGATGATGCGAAAAAATACAGTGAGAACCAACCATTCACAATTGCGAAACACTGATTGATGCCGAACTATCACATCGTGGTGCTGATGGGACACGGCGGCGAGAGAGGATACAATGCGGCACACGCCTGAACAAGAACCGGCCGAAACACACAGCAAGAACGTGATCAATATCTTGACATTCGAGGTCTACTATTGATCTGCTATTAGTCTGTATCCCAATGTCTTGCTACGCTTTTTAGAAAAAAGTCAGGCGCTATGCTCAAGGAACGCGCTACGAATATCGACAAAAAAAAGGGTCCCTCCTTCTCGACGTTGGCAATGTGTGTAAGAATCAGGTCTCAAACGCTTCTGTTTCTTCTTCTCTGCTTGGTTCGCGGACGACGCGACTAGAATTGACGCGAACCATGCTCGGTAGGGCTCAGGACATCCTCTGCCTTGGAGTTTGAGCTGGAGTTGGAGAAACCGGGGTTGTTGAACTGAGGTGTGGTACTAGGGGCGGAGGGCGAAGACGAAGGACCGGCTTGGGTGTTGCTGCCCTGGGTGCTGGAAGTGGCGGTAGTCTTCTCATAGAAAGCGGGTGCGGTCGACGGCATTGCTCGGCTAGGGATCTTCTTCTCAGGCATCTTCAGATCAAGCGGCATGGTAACGGAGCCGCGTCTCAGCTCCTCGAGCTTCTCAGTTGGATCCTGGAGAATTGTTAGCGAGATGCGAGAATGAGGAAGAATAAACAAGGAAAAGGAGACATACCCAGTCAGCCTGTTCGGGCACACCCTCAGCCGAGGGGAGCTGTCCGTTGTTGTTTCTTTCATTTGCCCAGAAGTTAGTTCTGCGGATGGGGGCTGGAGTGACAGGCAGACTTGGACGTTCCAGCTCGGTGGGGAAGTCAGTCAGTATCAGGCTTTCTCTGCGCTCGAATTGAGTGTTTGTCGAAGGAGACTGTATCTGAGTCGAGTTGGTACGAGACTTGAATTGCTGGTCATTGAACTTCCGGATGTATGCGTCAATGCCGGCGATGTCATCCCATGCGTTCTTAGCGTTCGAGGTGTAGTCTTGCCATGGGTCATCGGTTGTGATTTTGATGATAGGGGTAGCCGGGCTGTTGTTGAGGCTAGACGTGTAGTCGGCAGATGGAATGGTGACTCCGGGCTGGGGCACCGAGTCGGGAGAGTCGACATCCTCGACAAACTTTCTGGTGGGTCTCGTATCCTGTCGCTCTTCCCAGGGGAAGATGGGCTTGGGTCTGGCAGCCGGATCAGGCTTTGTCTTGGGTACCTCATACCACATGTCCTTGGGGGGCTCAGGATAGGCCTTGGGAGGGCGGAAGAAATCCTTGTCTTGGTTAAAGGCATAAGTCGTGGTGGGGAAGTTTGCTGCTTCTGGCTTTGAGTCGGTAGGCGGCTCCATACTGCAGGGTGGTTAGAAATGACCTTCTGCATGACGACAGCCTTCGCTTACCGAGTAGCATCCCACTCTGCCTGCGGTGCCGTGAATCTTCTTTGCTCCGCAGTTGGGGTCGGCTCTGCGCGACCTTGGCCGAACTCTTCTCCGAGCTCTCTCTGCTCAGCAGGATCACCTTCTACAGCAAGCACGGAAGCCTCGGGGGCAGCGATGGGGGAGGATGCAGGCGAATAGCGGCCCGATGTGTACTCAGCAACCTGCAACTTGTCAGCGATGTTCCCGCATAGCCCCCTCAAGTAGCATTACTCACTGGCTCTTTGAAGTGTCTGTCGTAGACAGCCCACCAGCGATACAGAAGCTCGTTGTAGGCTCCGGGTGCTGCACCCTGCGATCTGGCTACCGTCCAAGGCTTGTTCTTTCCAATGAAATGGACCATGGCAATTCTCGACTTGTGGTAACGGTATGCGGGTTCATACTGGTAGTTTGCGCTGGGTGTGCAATTGTAGATGAAGCTCAGGCGGTGCCAGTTCTTGTGCTCAAAGTACTGGTTCAGCAGACCTTGATCAGCACCGTCAAAGCTGTCGCCCGTAGCAGCCAGGGTCTTCAATGCCCAGTAATCTCCCATGTGTGGCTTGAGAACCATGACTCCGGTGTTGAAAGCATCGGGCCAGCCGACATCTGGTGCGCCGGCAAAGGATGCCTCAATGTCGAAGAGTTCGTCAGGCGCGCGTAGAGCGACTGTGTCGGCGTCAAGGTAGACGATCTTACGGAATTGCGTTTGGCGCCAAAGGTTGATCTTGGTGAAAGCATCGCGCAGGTCACCGCGGTTCATGAGGTGGAGGTTTGCGAGATTGGGGCTGCTGATGCGCTCCACGGGGATAGCATAGTCGTACAAGGACTGAGAAGGGGTTAGTCATGGAGCGTTAAGCATTGAGTGTGCTCTTGCTGAAGGATACCTTGAGTTCGGTGAGAGTGCTTGCTCGTAGTGAATCGGGTGTGACGAGTACGGCCAGCTTCTTCTTGGTACCGTTGTCTCTAAGGGAATGCGCAAGTACTGCTGCGCCTGTTCTTTGGTTAGATCGTTGCGCCGGGGTGGTCGTACATGTTTGCTAGAATAACATACCTGCCAGATAAGAATCTGTGATTACCATCTAGAAGCCGGAGATCGTTAGCATCGCTCGGAACCGGAGAGATCGTAACAAAAAAGCGGAGCGATCGTGACACTAACCGTGCAGTAAACATCTTCTGTACCACCGACCATCTTGACTGATGGTGAAAGAGTTGTATCAAAGTAATGTAAAAATCGATTGAGGTTTCGAAGGTTTGTTGGGTTGAAGGGGGAGTAGGAAGACGGCGACGCTCAGCAAAACAACGCTTTATACAGCTCGCTATTATCGCACCCACACAGAAATTCGTCACTTGCAAGTGAAAAGGTATGAAAGTGGAAAAACCATGTGCGGTATGGGCTAGGAATATAACCTTCAGAGATCAAGGAAATTGCAAGAGGTGCTATGATGCTGAAGCGGAAAGGGTCGCTTGCATTTGACAAAGCCCCGGTTCGCTCTCCGTCACCCTCCTCCGCATCTCCACTCCACTTACGACATCAAGTAACGATCTTCCATGCTCGCATGCATTGCGGAACAAGCAACCTATCCAGACCACCGCTTGCTCCTGTCAATTGAGTTACAACCCTTTCTCCGCACCCTTCTTCTGTATCTGAGCCGCATTGCTATCTGTTGCAGTACCACGTGAGGCGACTGCATATCTCTTCTCCGCACCTTCACGGCCGAGTCCGATACACAACCTGGGGATTAGATACGAGGTGAACCACGTTCAGACCCTCGACAACAGAAAACGCCTCCTCAATCCTTTGGCTGGGTACCGTTGAGCTAGTAAAGCTCCCCGATGCATACATGCAGACATACGTAGTTTGATCACCGCAGCATCAAGAATGAGAAATGATGGAGCAAGAGTTTGGGGGACATACTTCATGAAACGCTTGATGAAGTTGGAAGAAATTTACTTTGTTTTTGGACGACGAGCTTTTGACTCCCTGGCGATAGCGCCGACTCCTGTACGTGCCGCCATAACAAGTGCATTGAAAAACACCCTAACCGTGGCTATCATTTGCTCCAATCATGCATCACCGCATTTATTGCTGCTCCTGCTGCTCGGCAGCGGGCTGCTCAGTCTGCTGCTCACCCTGCTCAGCAGCGCGCTGAGCCTCGGCGGCCTGCTGGGCAGCGGCGGCCTTGGCACCGTAGTCCTGGGACATGGGCTGGACGACGCTCTGCTCCTCCTTGGGCTCAATGATGGTGACTGAGTCGGGGAGAGCCTTCTGGGGACCAGCCTTGCCCTCGGGGTCGGCACCACGCATGATCTTGACCTTGATACCAAGGACACCCTGGCGGAGGAGGACGTGGCGAGTGGCAGAGTCGATGAAGTCCTTGGCGGGCTGACCGGAGTGGATCATGAAACCGTCCTGAAGTGATGTGTTAGAATCTAGAAGTGCAGTACTGCTCTCAGGAACAACGTACAGTGAACTTCATGGACTTGGCACGGGCAGCGCGCAGCTTGCCGGAGACGACAACTTCGCAACCCTTGGCACCAGACTCCATGATGAAACGGAGGACACCGTAGCATGCTCTGCGGACGGCGAGACCGTTGAGGAGCTTGTATCTGAGGGACTCGCACTGGGCGACAGCGGAGAGACCGCGGTTCTGGACCTTGGCGGCGTAGAGCGAGACAGAGTTCTCGGGGAACTTGAAGCGCTTCTGGATCAGCGAGGTGAGCTCGCGGATGCGGCGGCCCTGCTCGCCGAGGACATCCTGGGTGTGGGTGGCGCGGATGATGATGTCGGTGACGGTAGGGGTAACGCGGACCTCGACACCGGAGTAACCCTCCTCAGCAAGCTCGCGTTGGAAGAACTCGTTGAGCTCGGCGTAGAAGACACCGTCTGCGCATATGTTTTAGTGATTGTCCCAATATATCTGTGTTTGTGCGCATTCTGGAAAGTGAAGTAGGCGGATGAAGAGAGCGATCGGGAGCGAGTTGTAGAGTCGGTTGAGGCATAGAAATTGCGAAAACATCGAATTTAACAGAGGGGAGGCATACCGGCGACGAACTTTCTTCTCTTGGAGCTGCGAGAGTATTAGCATTTGTTCGAGGGCGCAATTTGACGATAGCAACAGTACTTACATAGCACCTGCTTGCTGAACGGCGGCCATGTTTGCGATCTGTGTTAATTGATCGAATTCGCTGGGTGTGTCAAGTCAGAAGTCGCGTCGTCTCGCACAGTGAATTCGAACAGGCCGGCTGGAAGTGTGCGCTGGAGTGCGGGCTTGGCAGTCTAGCTTTTTTAGTCCCCGCCTCTTTTCCATCAACCGAGTGTCACGTGCTGGATACTTCTTCTCGGGCCGAGGGCTCCTAACGCCGGGCACCGACCATGACGGAGCTGCCCCTCGCCATGCGGTCGAGTCTCGTCAAGGGTCGCAAACATTCACATAACAGAAACGACGCAACACCAAGTTCCGAGCAGACCGTGCCCGGATGCTCATGCCGTAGCGTGTCATGGATGAAATCAAAGTCACAAAGGCACGTTTCGAGAACAGAACAACAACACGAGCTTGCCGCCAACACAAGATGGGGACTGACGGTTTGGCGCATACAGGTCGACAACGTGACACTTCACAAAAAGAACAACAGTATCACAGGAACCCTCCATGTCGCCACCCACCACTTGATCTTCGCGCACTACCCACCCGCATCTGCCGACTCGCCAGCTCCGGCCAAAGGGCGCGCAAAAGAGATATGGATCACATACCCTATGATCGCATACTGTGTCTACAGACCCATGCCCGCCATCCTCCGACAAGACCATGCCATTCGTATCCGCTGTAGAGACTTTACCTTTATGGCCTTTCACTTTTCCGATGAGGCACAGGCTCGCGGCGTCTACGACAGCATCAAGGCTCTGACCTGTGGCCTCGGCTCCTTCAACAAGCTATACGCCTTCAACTACAAATCCCCTGAGATCGAGAAGGCTGTCAATGGCTGGCAAATCTACGATGCACGCAAGGAATACAAGCGCATGGGCATCTCTCCCAAAGGCGCTGACCGAGGCTGGCGCTTGTCCAATATCAACAGCGACTACACTGTACGCTGCCGACTCCGCCATTCTTTCGCTGAGACTTCCCACTGACTCTATGCAGTACTCACCCACATATCCCGCTCTCTTGGTTGTACCGTCCTCGGTGTCCGACAACGTCCTCAAGCATGGAAAAGAATACCGCTCCCGCTACCGCATCCCCGCCCTGACTTACTTGCATCCCGTCAACAATTGCTCCATCACCCGAAGCTCTCAGCCGAAGTGTGGCATGTTCCAAGACAAGAGAAATCCTCAAGATGAACGCTTGGTCGCAGCCATCTTCTCTACATCCAGACCAGTATCTGGCGCCGGAATGCCCCTCCTTGATGCCGATGGCCAACTGTTTGATCCGGACATGCAACAAGGCACAGGTTCTGCAGAATCCACTCCTCCGACTAGCACAGAGAGTACTTCTTGTCAGTCTTCTGACAAGATCTATGGAGCTCAACAGAGAAACTTCATCGTTGACGCCCGCCCACAAGTCAATGCTGTCGCCAACCAGGCCTCGGGAATGGGCTCTGAGAACATGGAGTTCTACAAAGATGCGACCAAGGAATACCTTGGTATTGCAAACATCCATAGCATGAGGGAGTCGCTCAACAAAGTCTTCGAGGCATTCGCTCATACTGACTACACCGACATTGGCCCGAACCAAGATCTTCTCACAAAGAGCAAGTGGCTCGAATACATCTCTTTGGTCTTGCGCGGCTCAAGTCTGGTCGCTCGTCAAGTCGGCATCAACCACTCTCATGTTCTCATACACTGCTCGGATGGTTGGGATCGTACCAGTCAAATTAGCGCCTTGAGTCAGCTTTGCCTGGATCCATACTACCGCACCCTCGAGGGCTTTATCGTACTGGTGGAGAAGGACTGGGTGTCGTTTGGCCACATGTTCCGTCATCGTTCGGGATACCTAAGTAGCGACAAATGGTTCGAGATCGAGAATGAGCGTGTTGGAGGTAATCGCAAGGCTGATAATTCAGCCGCATTCGGATCAAAAAGTGGTAGTGGAAACGCTTTTGAGAATGTCCTGTCCTCGGCTCGAGGTTTCTTCTCCAAGAAGAATGACAGCAAGGAGTCTGTTGATGTTAACGATGTGGGTGATGGCGCTCCTGCTATTCCAGCTCCCACCTCGAAAAGCGCAAAGCACACAGTTACTAACGTCAAGGAGACGAGCCCCATCTTCCATCAGTTTCTAGACGCTACTTATCAGATGCTTCGACAACACCCAAACAGATTCGAGTTCAACGAGCGATTCCTCCGCCGTCTGTTCTACCACCTCTACTCATGTCAGTATGGCACTTTCCTCTGGGACAGCGAACGGGACAGAGTGCAAGAACATGCCTACGACAGAACGAAGAGTGTTTGGGACTACTTCCTCTCTCGTCGAGAGATGTGGTTGAACGAACAGTACGACCCAACCGTTGATGACAAGGTTCCTGGCAAGGAGCGTATCATCCTTCCTGACACCACTAAAGTCAAGTGGTGGCATGAGCTGTTTGGCCGTACTGATCTCGAGATGAATGGAACTGCTCATGCACCTACTGCCAGCTTGCCTAAGGAACCCAGAGATCCAATCGTTACTGGCATAGAGACCTCTGAGGTCTCCATTGGGCCTGCTGCCAATGGCAGCAGTTTCGCTGGTCAAGGCGCAAGCGCTTTCACCAACGGTGCAGCACGTCTTACCGCTGGACTGGGCAGCTTAAGCTTGGGAAAGACGAGTTCCAGTGCGCCTGCCAGTCGAGCTCAGTCACCACAGACCAAAGAGTCTTTACCCCCACGCACTATTGACGAGAAGATGGTGTCGGCGGCAACCAACAATGAGCCAGACGCAACCAATGGTCGACTCTCGTTCTCAGCTTTCGCACGAGACAATGCATTCCGGGATACTTAGATGTGGATTTGTTCATAGCGCGGCGTTATGGGGTCACGACTTGATGACACGGTACCATGGCATAGGAGGAAATTGTGGATAAACTGGCTTTTCGTGCTCGAAAGGGTCTAACGTGGAGGATTGAGGTATCAATCATGGCATTATGCAACGAGCAGGACACACGGTTAAGGCCACAAATGAATAATATCGAAACACATGCACTTTCGAATCCTTTATCAAAATCATGTGCCATCTTTTGTTGGTTGGTATAGGGCAGCCAAGACATGCGCACGTCATCAAACGTTTTAGTCTGGTCATGTCTAATCAACTTCCCAGACAGAATGACTCTGTTCCCTGTTCGTTGTGGCATCTTGCATGCTGCTCCAAAAGAAGGCGAGGATCCACAGTTGACAACCCGTGAACAGTCCGGACCCCGTGGACATCTCCGGTTATTTATCTACTTGACCAACCCTTCTTGCATGCTCTCCACAACTCATCAATTCCAGAATCACACAAACGTAAACATCAAAATTATACAGTATGGGATTCCTAAAGAAGTTCAAGAGTGAGATGAAGTCGGCCTTTGGCGATGACGCGCCCTCATACCCAGCCGCGCAGCAACAGCAGTCACAGATGCCCATGACGGATCAACCAGCCAGCCTCCAAGAACCATCTCCACTTGATGTCCTTCGCTATCGTTACCAACATGGCACCAATTTCGGCTCTATCTTTGTGCTCGAGAAATGGCTCACTCCTAGCATGTATCAAGAAAAGGCCGACTCCGCCGAACTCGCGGCTGTGACTGGCAACATCAAAGCAATGGGATTTGATGCAGCGAAACAAAAGTTCGAGAACCACTGGGAGACGTACATCAGCGATTCGGATTTGGATTGGCTCGCAAACGAAGCCCATTGTATGTTGTCCCTTCTATGGATCTCAATTGACTATATTCTGATGATTGAGCAGGTACCTCGGTCCGTCTGCCCATCGGATACTTCACACTGGGACCGGCTTATTGCGAAAACACACCTTTCGAACCTTCTGCCGCAGTATACCAGAATGCATGGCCAGCTGTAAAGCGTCTCGTCAGCCGTCTTACTGCCAAGGGCATTGGTACTCTTCTCGACTTGCACTCTCTGCCTGGTGGTGCAAACGGAGGCGACCACTCAGGAACCAACAGTGGAAAAGCCGAGCTTTGGAAGTCAAAGAAGAACCTGGATCTTGCTACCCGCTGCCTGCTGTTCATTGCTCACGAAGCTCGGTCAATGGATGGCGTGGTTGGTCTCCAGCTGGTCAACGAAGCTGAGTGGGACGCTCACGGCATGTACGGCTGGTACGACTCTGTCATTGGTCAAATCGGCGGCATCGACAATACCATTCCTCTCTACATCTCGGATGCTTGGGCTCTTGGTCCCGCAGTTGGTTATGTCAATGGAAAGAACAGTCTTCATGCTGGTCGGGTAAATCCTATTGTCATCGACACCCACTTGTACTGGGCATTTTCAGACGATGACAAGAAGAAGCACCCTGGTGAGATCGCAAATGAGGCAAGATCAAAGTTGAGCGAGCTCGATGGTCACGATGGCAATGTCATAGATCATGGTGCCGCACAAGTTGTCATTGGCGAATACAGCTGTGTCTTGACTGAAGATTCCTGGGGCAAAGCTGCTGCTCACGAGAAGGAAAACCTTGTACGCGAGTTTGGCCAAGCCCAAACACAAAGATACCAACAGAGGGCTGGTGGAAGCTTCTTCTGGACATACCGCATGGTTCGTCATCTCCTCACCTTTACAAACATCGTCACTGACTTCGAAAATAGGACTGGATGGACGGCGGAGAGTGGGGTTTCAGGCAGCAGACCAACAACGGCGCGATTACAGCTCCTCACAACCTTGCTCTCTCGAACGACGATGTTCAGTCTCGTATCTCACACGCACAGTCTCAGTCCGATGGAAAGTTCGGACAGACCTTCGGCAGTCATTGCCAGTACTGGGACAGCAACCACCCGGGCGAGTACGAGCATTGGCGTTTCGAGAGTGGATGGAAGCTTGGTTTCAACGATGCAATGACTTTCTTTGGTGCAAGAGCCAACGGACGCATTCCTGGCACTGGAGGTGACAAGATTGGTATGCTGGACATCTGGACCAAGAAGAGAATTGTCGAGAGTGGCCAGGCAGGTAAACTGTTGTGGGAGTTTGAGCAGGGTTTCAGACAAGGCATCCGTGACTTCTACGAGCTTGCTGGTGTCTAGATCCTAAGTACTGCCTCAACCTTGGATTTTCTTGTCGATACGCTGGTGTATATCAACCGACATGCGGCTGGCCCTTTGATGAACAGATAGATGCACATAATGAATCACGTTCTGACGGACATGTTGTGCTCATACTGCGGTGCGCACAGAGTGGTCAACTTTGCTGAAACTTGATGGTATTGTTCATGGGGAGTTGAGTGGTACAAATACCAAGGCTTTCCAGAGTAACCCTGCCCCTCGATGACATCACGCCCAGCCTCCTCACCCAACTTGGTTCGTCCCTTGAACCTCGACCAACACCTTTTACAATTCGAAAGTCCATTCGGTTCTTCCATTGGAACATCAGAAGATTCAGTTAACAATGTTCTTCACTCAAATCCTCCACACTGGCCAAATCGCGCTGTGCGCCTACGGGGCATACGTGTCCTACATCGCCATCCGCAACCTCCAGCAATACGAAGAGACGAGCAAGAAAGCAGCAAAGTACTCTGGCGAAGCAGAGCATCAACTCCACAAGACACGAACCACTCAAGCCAGCGGCGCTGTTTGCGTAAGTCCAAATCTCTGACTTCAGGCGCTGGCCATGCCATACTGATTGCTCATCTCAGATCTTGGCTTCCCTCGTCGCAGCCGTCACGCTGACCGTGGCACCCAACTCCCTGCCTACTTTCGTCAAGTTTGGCATCTCACCTGCTGCTCTGGTGATCACTTTGTTTGTTCGTGCTCACGTGTCCAACTTCTGGAAGGGCAAGGCCAAGGTGCCTTTTGTTGATGGCTATGTAAGAAGAGACTCCTTCCCCTCCTCGAAGAATCAAAACACTGACGCTCTCAAAGAATGAGGCAATCCAGAAGACTGGAGAGCTCCTGCAGATTCTTGAGTACCTCGAGTACACTTGGGCCGGAACCGCGCTTGCTAGCGGACTGGTCGGATACTGAGCAGAATCCTTTCGTGGAAGTAGTCGGACCGGCCACGGGAGTTTTCAGTGCCATCTTATTACCGTCTGCTGAACAGAGAGCTCAACAAGATATCGCAACTATTTTGAGACCGAAATTAAAATCCTCATTTTCCATCAAGGTGGTGTTGTATACAGTAGGGTCCAATCTCGGACCGTACGTCCATTGTACCAATTGAGGTATCACCACACACTTTAGAATGTCTTTCAAGGGTCTTCCAATGGTGGCATCACTAGATAGTCAAAGTTGGTGATAGCAGTTGCATGTGAGGTCGCAAGACCGCCGATCAGTACAGCTATCCAACCTTGCTCAGTACTATTAGGTTTGGTGTGACAGACAACCAGGAGCGTGGATCTGTTTTGACAGTCGACCCTGCATCCAAACCTTTCGTCGGCATGTGTTCTGATTTCGTGCTGCTCGGCAATAGCACCCGAAAATCCTCTCGGTAAGACGATACGAATCTGAGCTGGGTAATCTGAGATAGAGTGCTCCAGATCTTCCTGTCATATCCCCAAGTCCGCACAAGCAGTGAACAAGACGCCAGCATTCCATCATCCGTACAAATCTAGTGCTCACGCAATCAAAAAACTACCTTTGCTTAAGTTGAGCAGCGCAATGGAGCCTGTGCAAATAGTGACGAGACAAGTCAAAAGATGCCTTACGACTCAGGACACAAGCCGTTGGTCAGCCTATGCGATGGGATCGACGTTCGAACTTTGCGACCTGAAAGCGAAGCCAAATGGCGCTCAACAAAAGTTCTTGGATATGAGCTTGTCAATCCTTCGCAATCCTTGTGAGTCTTACAATGCCTTGTTGGTGGTTAAGCAATTTCACAAGTACATTTGCCGAGTACCGAGTATGCTGACTTCCCACATCTTCACCTTGATGATCGCGACCAGTTGGCCGGCATTGGAGCAATTGAGTTTCGGAAAGCTGCATGTGGGTTTCAACACCTTGGCCTTTTACTTTAACGGCTCGTACGTCGAGACACGAAGGATTTCCAATTTATTCTTTCATCAAATCCTTTGATCAGAGTGGTATGTTGGGGACCACCAAGGTGTTTTCACATACGAAACAGACAAAGAAGGATGTCATCACAGGTCAATGAAATGCACCGGAAAAACTTGGTCGATTAGGGCCGGGCGATTGTGGGTTTCGCTTTCTCTAACGACCGCACGCCTGGAGGCTTATCGCACGCGAGCGGGCCACAACAGCCAATCAAAGCGTCCAGATTTGAGTGTTCCGCCGGCTAAAGTTCATTAGGCCCAGCAGCAAAAACTCGGTCTATAATGACCATCAAGGTGTTTTTGGCACATGGCCGCGGGCGCCCTCGCCGCTCCTCTCTTATTCCTATGATATCGTTTAAGAATCCTCTCCTTGCCATCTCCTGTCCTTGCTCGTCATCTCTACATCCGCTCGTCCGCATTGACAATTTGTCTGCCTCTTTGGACGCAGGTTCGCGCTCCGTCTATACAGAAACACACGACAAAAGCAGGCCTCAACGCTTTTTTCTCAATTCACCCGAGTCGCCATGTCTACCTGTCAAGCTGATAATGACTACGATGGTCGCATGGGCGTCCGCATTTCAGCCATTTTCGTCATCGGTGTTTCTTCACTGTTCGGTAAGTCGCGTGCGAACGAAAAATAAACTCTTGCAGTATTGTATACTAACATGCATGATCAGCAACGTGGTTCCCCGTCTTCGCTGCTAGGCACAGAGGCGTCGGCGTCCCTGAATGGGCCTTTTTCATCGCCAAATACTTCGGCTCTGGAGTTATTATAGCGACCGCCTTTATTCATGTAAGCTTCATCTCACTTCACTCGTACATGATGTACACAAGTACTGATGTTCACAGCTACTCGCACCTGCCCATGAAGCATTGGACGATGAGTGTCTCACTGGACCCATCAAGGACTACAGTTGGGTCGAGGGTATTGTCTTGATGACAATATTCGTGTTGTTCTTTGTCGAGCTTATGACAATGCGATATGCCAAGTTTGGCCACAGCCACAGTCACGGACACGATGACGAGCTTGAGAACCACGATGACTTGGGTATCAAGCCTGACCCTTTTACTGATGGCAAGAAGCCCGAGACTGTCGACGAGTCCGAGCCTGCGTTCGAGTTGCCTCCTCGTGTCAGCACGAGTACTGCCAACTGCCCCACGACTCCCCATGCCCGTGGTGACGACCACCTTGGCCATGCTCGCTCTCACATCGACAACGAGATGACTGCTGGATGGACCGAAGTGCAAAAGCAGGCTGCCGGTGTCTTCGGCGAGGATTACGCCGCTCAGATGACCGCTCTCTTCATCCTCGAGTTCGGTGTCATCTTCCACTCTATTTTCATCGGTTTGACACTGGCCGTCTCCGGCGATGAGTTTACTACCCTCTACGTCGTGTTGGTCTTCCATCAGTCATTCGAAGGTCTCGGTCTGGGTACCCGTCTCGCAGCTGTCCAGTGGCCCAAATCCAAGCGCTGGTCGCCTTATCTCCTCGGCGCCGGCTACGCCATTAGCACTCCCATTGCCATTGCCATTGGTCTCGGTGTTCGTCAATCCTTCGCCCCCGGAAGCCAGACCACCCTCATCGCCAATGGTGTCTTCGACAGCATCAGTGCAGGCATCCTGATCTACACCGGTCTCGTCGAGCTCATGGCTCACGAGTTCATGTTCTCCACATACATGCAGCGTGCCAACATTAAGACTGTTCTCACCGCTTTCTTTGTCATGTGCCTTGGTGCTGGTTTGATGGCTCTTCTGGGCAAATGGGCTTAGATATGGGTCAGACGGGGCTTTCCTATATCGACCACAACTCAACGATTTGTTTTTATTCATGATTGTACAAGACTTCAACGACTAGATCAAAAAGCATGGTTTCATTGCCAAGGGATGCAGTAGGACCTAATCCCTACTGCTAGTATTCAACAAATTGTTGCATCTACACTATAGTTTCGTGTGTGTCTTTCAAACGTGATGTTATATCTGCTCTCGAACTCGATTTCTTGCAAGTAAAATGTATGGCTCTATTGCTCACGGCCGTAAGGAAGGTGGAGGTTTCTTGCAGTAAAAACAAGCCTGTCAGGTGTAACATGGTACAAAGTGAAGCACTATAGCAGGAATCGAGTCAGAATCGTGGCATCAGCGAAGCAATCACAGATACATAAACAGCAGACCATATTGTTCATCGGTCGCATCGACGATTAGACTAAAAGACAACGAGGCAGTTGCATACACATCACATCAAAACAAGTCACATTCCTCACCAAACTTCAAGACCCACAGCAAAAGGCCCCCATCAACTCCGGCCTCCAAAAATGTGTCAATGGCGCACACTCTACTACATCGACTGCAAACATTACGACGAACACCCCATACCTTGCACCAAGGCTAAGGAACTTGAAGCACTTTGCCAGGGTTGGAGGAGGCCTGGAAATAAGTGCGATAGTGTGACTGGTAATGGAGCAACATACACGCCAGCTATGAAGAGCTTATGTCCAGATTGTCGGCATTTGGCCAAGGAGGATGTTCAGCGTGGGAAGGATGGGGCGATCAGACGGATCTTGCATCTGAAAGTTGTCGCCATGCATAAAGGTGAACCAAATGAAGACATTGACAAGGACATCCATCCAAAAACCCAAGAAGCTCCAAAGCCAGTTCACATACCATACCCATTCAGAGTATCAATCACTCACAATGTGTTTCTGGCGCAATGTCTACTACGTAGACTGCAAACACTACAGCAGAGATCCCGTCGCATGCATCGAAGCCAACCACACAGATACACATTGCGAAGGATGGGACGACGATGACAAGGAGATGCAGAGTCAGACTAGAGATGGAACGCCATACACCAAGGCCCTACCAGGCGACTGCATGGATTGCAAGTATCGCGCACGTCTCAAGAAGATCAAGGATTCGAAGTCTGGAGGAGGGCCGGGAGGAAGAGGCTCAAGCGGCAGAGTCAAGGCTTGAACGATGCGGTCGAGATTGAAAGCTTGGAAATTCAATGCGAATGTGCATGCGAGCAAGCAGTGATGAGATTTGAGCAGAGCCGAGATACCACAGCAATGATACCACATGGATTGATGATCAAGTTGAGTGTCAAAAATTGTGAGAGGTTACAAGTTGGAAGTTGCAGCCAGGGTGTCTGTCGTCAGCGTGTGATTTTCGTGCCAGCCTCCGCAGATCGCCGATCAGCCCAACGCGTCACCTCTTGTCTTGCAGCAGAATGCTTTCTCTCTTCTTTATTCATAACCAGAAGGAGTCAAAGCGACAAATATGGCGACGGCAGCGTCGGCTCCAGCAGTAACTGATGTGGCCAGGGAGCGTGATGTTTATGGTCTCAGTGGTGATGTCAAGAAGGATCTCTTGGATTATCTTGACAACATCGCGAGCTCCGGAGATTTCGCGACCATGAAGTCAATGCCAAACCTCTCAGTTGATCCAGACGTTCGACTTTTGGGCAAGGGCGACCAAGAGGACTGTAAGATCGAAGCCCCGTTGGGGTTGCAGGACGCCCAGAAACTCATCAACGCTGCCCGTCAAGCACCATTTGGCAAGGGAGAGAGAACAATAGTTGATACGACTTTCCGCAATACTTGGGAACTTGATCCAAGTCAATTCTCGCTCAGCAAAAATTGGCAGTCGTACGTCGACTCTCTGATGAGAAGCGCTTGCGATGGGCTGGGTGTCAAGACAAATGATGTTAGAGCGGAGTTGTACAAGATGCTTCTATATGAGAAGGGAGCAATGTTTAAACCTCATGCGGACTCCGAGAAGACGAGAGGTATTTTTGGTACACTTGTGATCAGTTTGCCTTCGGCACATTTTGGTGGCTCTGTGGTCTTGTCGCACAATGGAAAGCAGCATGAGTTCAAGACCTCTTATCATGAGTATCTAGCTTGGTAAGCAGCGACTGCGTGACAACTGTATGAAGGTGCTAATTTCAGAAGGTATTCGAACGTCACTCACGAGGTAGGCGCCACAGAGAAGCGATTTGTCATCTGAATACTAATTTGAGTAGGTCAAGCAAGTCACGTCCGGTTGTCGGTGGGTCTTGACCTACAACCTTGTCCGTGAGCACATGGGACAACCAGAATCAGAAGTAGCTGGTAGGAAGCTGCACGTAATTCTCGCCGACTGGAAACAGCAACGAGCCGAAGCAGCAACTGCGACTGTCACTCCGGTCAGCCAAACAACGAAAACAATCGAGATCAGTAGCGCAACCTCGACCTCCACTGACGATTTACCACTTTCAAATTCCGACGTCAAGCAGGCCATATACATGTTGGAGCACAGGTATACAAATGCTAACCTCAGCATCGAGTCTCTGAAGCATGCAGACCGTCTCCGAGCCAAGGAGATCCAATCCATCTGCGATGATTACGGCTACACCCTCTACCTCGCCAGTCTGGAACGCGAAGTCATGGGCCAAGCTGACGAAGATGATTACGGTGGTCGTGGTTTCAACGAGTACGATGAGGACGAAGACGAAGACGAGGATGAAGAAGATTCGGATGGCAACAGCAGTCAATACTCAGGGGGAAGCTACCACCGAATTTGGGACATCTGCAGCGACTCAATAAACCTGACTCATGTTGTTGATGCTGAAGGACAGGAAGTGTTCCATATCGATATCTCCATCGACGAAAAAGACATTGTACAAACACACCCTTTCAAGCGGAAACCAAACAAGAGCGAATACGAAGGATACACTGGCAACGCAGGCGCGAGCGCTACGCATTGGTACAAGGATACTGTGAGTCTGTTGGCTCCTACTATTGACCTGATGCTGACAGTGTTTCAGGTCATTGTCCTCGTGCCCAACGACAAGATCGCAGACGTTCTGATGCACAGAAGACAATACACCTCAGAAGTCGTTCCTGCCGAGAGAATCGCCGTAATGCTCGCATACCTCCAGAAGCGCGTACAGAACACACCAGAGCAGAAGTCGGAAGAACTCAAACGAAGTGTATATCGTGCTTGTGAATTGGTTGCAGCGAGGAACAACAATCCTGGACACTATGCATATGGCGGTGAGAAGCCAACCTATACGGATGAGATGGTGTTGGAGGCTTTCAAAACTTGCATGGCGCTTGGGTTGAGAGTGCCACTACCGGCTTTAGCCACTGCTTTCAAGAAGGACCTTCCTGAGTTCGCACTGCAGTCGCTGCGGAGACTAACAACCGAGGTTGGTTTCGAGGAGATCAAGCCTATGTAAGTTTGACTCTCCTATTCCGTTCTGAGGAGTGTGGCCTGTCTCAAGGCACGAAGATTTTCTCAAGCCGTGACTGTCCACTGAGAGCACGGAGAGATCATCTGGACATGCTCCTTTGCAAGCCCTAATAATTGTCGGCGTACAGCTAATATAAGTAATAGTTATGACAACCTTGTGCGCAAGCAGCAACGCGTGTCTGCTCGTTTCAAAACACTATCATTCTTGGCTGGTGCAGACCCCCTAACCTTAGATACTCAATCTGACATCGTCCCGGAAATCAGGACATGGGCTCAAGAAAGCCTCGAAAATGTCTTCTCTGACTTCGGGTCATTGTCTGATGACGATGCCCGCGAACTAGCCAGGTTTGTAGCAGCTGACTCCAGCGGATTACTCCTAAAAGATCGGTATGAGAACCACCATGTCTGAGTATGGACATCAGCTGAAGAGGGCAGAATTATACCAAGACTTCACGAGATTCTCGACACACCGACCCCGGAAAAGACGGCATTCATCACGAGCTTCCTGTCAAGAATCTATGAACACTTTCGGTCGACTGGCTCTGCCAGAACCGACATTCCGGACATGTACGAGGTCTTGTTGAGAGCTGCGATTCCGGGCTTCGCGCTCAGGAAGCCTGAATAACACCCACGATACTACAGATACAGCCCCGAGGAAGAGATCCGTGAGCCTGCACTCAATGGTCACGACTTGGCGTTGATCTTCCAACATTGCAGGGAATTGGGCCTTGAAGAATGTATCAACCAGATGATCGGCAGAATTCTGGAAGAGATTGACACGATGGACATGAAAGACTTTCCAACCTCGATCCTGCCTTTGCTGGAAGATTTACTCTCGGACATCAAAAAGGGCGAAGTGAATGCAGAAAGATTCAAGCGCTTGTTCCAGACAGGCCTAGCGAAATACATCGTGACTTACGTCAGTGATGAGCCCAAGCAACTCAACTGGTCACGAGAGCCGACTAAATGTAATGGCGACTATCGCGGCTACTTTCCTGGCCATGGGGTTACAAAGCCAAAAGCAGGCACCTGCCAGGATTGCCAGCAGATGAACGTCTTCCTCCAGAGCCCTACCGAGACAGTCTGGCGTTTCCCTGCTGCAGAGGCACGCCGAAAGCACCTCATTAACAAACTCAGCGACAAGCACGAGTGCTTCACCACTATCGAGAAGCCTCGTACACCGTTCAGTCTTGTAGTGACCAAGCACAAGAGAAGTATGGACGAGAAGCATCGAAAATGGAAGGCGCGAGTTTCCGAGGTCAAAGGACACTTACAGAGCCTCGAAGGTCGCCATCGTATCCTGGACAATGTCCTCCACGAGAGGTATGCCGATATCATGGCTGTACGTGTGAAGAATTTGAGGGGTGAAGCGGGTCAGGCTGTAGAAGGGTCTAATGATAGAAGCGACCATACTCAAGCTGGTCCTTCGCAGGTAGCAGGTCAAAAGAGGAAAGCAGCCGTGGTTGATCTGACGGATGACTAAGAACCTACGCAATATTGGAACAACCTCCACCTATGTTGAAAAATTTGTCACTTTTAGCCATCTCCCACGGCCATGCCAGGGGTTATTTGGTCCGTAGGAATGCACAACATTGTCGAGGTATCTCTAGTTGTTCGTAGGGAGGTGCTAACTATCACGCTCTCAATGGAGGCTATCTCTGAAAACGTTAAAATCGTGCAATGCTACAGCTATACGCGTGACACATATTATCACATGGGGAGGGTATAGCTGCGTCCAATACAATGCTTCTAACCCATTCGAACATGCTCTCACTGGACATTGGTCTGACTGAGAAGACATTCCTGCATCTTTACAGCTTGCATAGCCCCAAGTAAGATGGCTAGGGAAGTGACACTCCTCATCACAGCTTCCACTGTACCTGACCATACAAAAGTGATTGTACACCCCAGAGGTTCTTTGGCACAAGCAATCGAATTTGCATTAAATCGATTTACTACAGTGAAGATCATCAAGACCTTCGCGTGACTTGTCCAGCGCCATGGTGTCATTAATCTCATGATGCAGGTGTCGTGTCCTAACGGTCTTCAATTCAAGATCTACGTAGAGCCGTACTACAAGAATCAGCCACCATCAACGGCAATGGCCTGTCCGTTTTATGGCTTGGCGCAACCCTAGGACCACAGTTCAAATCGGAGCTGAGCCGTATCATTATGACATTTATTTCATCCTCCTTTTAACTCAGATGTAGGGTATCTATGCAGAGCCATGCTGCAACACGTAGCCCCCATCTATAACGACGGCTTGGCCGTTTAAATAGAAAAGATGAGAAGAGAAGAAGGTGGTTATTCCTGGGTAGCAGGGACCCAATACTATATAGTTCTATTAGTGCCCCAAGCTCCATACAAACGAGTAGTTCTAGCAGCTATACGCGTAGCGGGGTAGTTTGTGCCGAGACGCAGGGTTCAGCCGTGATCAGCTATTCGCGCTCTGGACCCCCATGTACGAATGCTAGCTTTGCTACTCCCCCAAGACCCCCTGGCCGCCCTCGGCCATTCCTACTCACGCAGTCGGCACCTGGAGTGCAGGATCCTTCTTCGCCAAATCCCTCAGTCTCTTGTCAATGGCTCCACTCGTGCGACCTGGAAGCTGAGCCTTCGCCTTCTCACACACCTCATCCCTTGTAGTGCTCTCGCCGATGATCTGCTTGAGCACCTTGTCATCCTCCTCCCATGTCTCTCCAAAAGACTGCGTGGCCAATTTCATTTCGGGGTTTTTCTTGATCAGCTTGTTGTAGAGGTTCTTGACTGTTGCCTTCTCCCTTGCGGGGAATTTCTCTTCAGCATTCTTCAAGGCTTCGACCCTCGTGGCTGACTGTCGAATGATGTCCGTGAATTCGCTCATCTCCTCATCCGTCCACTTGCCGCCGTGCGTCTTCGGTCCAATTTGGGCCGGTCTTCTGTTCGCCTTGTATGTATCCTCATATTCTCTTGTGAAGTCGAACTCTGAACCTACTGTCCTCTCCAATTGCTTCAGCCGTTCAATGATCCTCCCTGGGGCTGCTTGGGGGAAGTGAGCTTCGAAAGCTTCCACGCCCTCTTGGTAACTGGTGATTCCTTCGAGCAAGGATTGGAGTATCGCATCGTCCTGGAACCCAGCTTGATCGGTCTCTTCATCCATGGTCTCCTGGAGGGTCTTCAGATAGCGTGCCATCTTTCCTTCTTTTATGCTGATGGCCAACCCCAGGGCCTTCTTCGACGTGTGGATGCTCTTTCCGAGGAGGAACTTGCGGGCTTCACCCTCTTCCTCATCTGTGTATTGAGTTTTGTGGTTCCTACGGCGTGTGACCCGTCCATCCTTTGTGAGTTTGTCGAGGAGAACATTGAGGTGGCTCATAGAATGGCCCGGAACCTTTTCGAGGACCTCGACGAGAGGGAGTCCTTCATGATAGAACCGGATGACCAACTCCCTCTCTGTGTCCGTCCAATTTTCACTTGCATCCTTCCTTCTGGGCATGTCTTCCAGAGTACGATCCTGTTCGAGTGCAGATCTCAAGGTCTGCAGCCTGCTTCTCACGGCGAGCATGGTACGCCTTTGTAAATGGTCGTCTACCATTTGACTGATGGTGAGGCCCTTTTCGGACAGCTCCAGGATGAGTTTGTCTTCTTCCATGGTCCAACCAGAGCTTGTGCCCGTCAGCTCCAGCTCCTTCCGAACAAGCTTGTTCCTCTCAAAGTCGCGCTTTGATTTCGCCCTTTGCCTGTCCTCTTTTACTTGTTCAACTTCTTGCCGTGATTTGGCCCTCCTAGTCTCCACTCGTTGTCTTCGTGCTTCGAGCTCCGGCCCTATATGCGGGCGGAGCGTGGACGGCTTTGGAAGGACCACATCCTCTCGAGATGCTAGGTATTCCGTCCTAGGAATAAACTTCCTCAACTCATCGCCATGGTGGGTCAGAGTCAGGCGTTTCCCTTGCAGGTTGGACAGCCTGAATGACTTCCCGTGGTCCCCTGCTGTAGACGTGATCTTGAAGGGTCCCCTCCATCTTCCATCGACGCTCTTGGTCGCCTGATTGGGTTGTCTCAGGTATACGAGGTCTCCGACATGAAACTGTATCAGCTTGATTCCCTTGTCGAACTTGTTCTTACGATCCTTTTGAAGCCGCTCACTCTCCTGACGGACTTCCATGCGAAAAACGTCTCGACGCATGATGTGGCTTAGCGCGGCTTCCTGAAGTGCGCCTTCGACTTCGTTCCAGTCTTCGATGCTCTCCACCAATTGGACCGCCTGATCTCGCTCTGAGATGGAGAATTCCAGTTCCTTGTCGAGAAGCTCCCCCGGTCTAAAGCCGAACATGACCTCGACTGGAGTCCATCCTACCTCGTCAATGTGACGGGTGTTCATGGCCAGGACTTGTGCGGAGAGTCTGTCATCCCACTCCCCCAGTTCGTAGACGGGCTCTCCCTCAGTGTCCAGGGTGAAGGTGCCCGACTTCTCCAGGCAACGTCGGAGTGTCCGATTGTTGTTTTCGATTGACCCAGAGCTACGCTTCGATTTGCTGGGTGCAAGCATTGAGGTCGTCCCCTTAGAACTCAAGAATTTGTCGACTTCTTCTGCAGCAAATTCTTGACCAGGATCTGAGTAGAGAATGAGTGGGTATGTGAGGACGTCAAATATCTTGGGAAAAGCCTTCATCATGGTTGTGGCTGATCGATCCGGAATTTCCACGGCTGCTGTGAATTTGGACATGACGCATTTTAAGTTGAGTATGTATCTGCTTCCCCTGCTAGTGATGGGGAGAGGTCCGATGAGATCGGCCGTCACTATGGCCCATGGTCTCAATGACACTATGGGAGACAGTGGTTGATTGGGCTGGGCATGCGCCCACGTCGCGCATGGGATGCACCCGGCAATGTACGCTGATATGTCTGTCCACATACACGGCCAATACGCTCGATATCGAAGCTTATCTATGATGATCTTGGTATTGAAGTGGCCCTGAAGGTCGTGGGTCCTCTTGAGTAGAGGTAGCACTTCCTCAGGGTTGATGCACCTCACCCAGTGGTCTCCGACTTTGTGAATAAGCCTATCGAAGTCAGAGTACCAGCGGAAATCCTTTGCCATCTTCTTGAATGCTCGTTGGCGAGCTAATGACCAGGTAGACGGTATCTGTTGATGTTTGTAGTATCTTTCCAGGTGACCGTACCACTCCTCTCGGATGGATTCACACTCCTCGGACGTCAAGGTGGTAGTGATCTCCAACTTGTTCAATGGGTCCTCTGCTACCTCTGCGTCGGTCGCGTCTTCCATCATGAGATCTTCTGATTCTTCGGGAGGGGACATGTGTCTAGAGATATCCATATCTTCCACTTCATTGAGTCGCTTGTCCTTCGGGTCTTGATAATCATCGTCAGATAGATCATCTACCTCCTCGAATCGTCGAGGCCCATCCAAGTCTAACTCTTCATCCTCAACCGTAGGGGCGAATCGAACGATCTTCGGACGTCCTCGCTTTGGCCGAGTTGAAGTTGACGGCCCGGCTACGTCTTGGTTGATGGGAGTAGGGTTCTGAGCCGATGTCGGTTTCTTGCGCGCAATGGTAGGTCTCGGGGGGGTGTCCATGGGTGGATCTTCCGCCCTGCGCTTTCCTTTGCTCACCTCACTTGCGAAAACTGACGCTTCCAGCCCGTGGAAAGGGTCGCCCTCTTCCTCTTGAGGTAGACCAAAAGAGATCCACCCCACAGATGTCTCAATGGGCTCATCAGTTGCATTGACCAGGTTTGTGCGCTCCTGCTCGCTCAGAGACTTGAGTAGTTCCTCGTAGCCGCCTTTGCCGGTCTTCCAGAACCATTCGTGATTTCCTTCGATGTCTTGCTTGTCGGCCTCCTTCAACAGCTTCTGGGCGAGTGCCGTGGCAGAGCATCCCTTGTCAAACAGGGTTCTTGAAAGGGAGTCGGCTACTGTGTTCTGCACTCCCGGGATGTGTGAAATCTTGAGGTTCAAAGGACGTAGCTTCTCGAGCCATCTGGCGTAGATATCCTCGTGAGTGTCACTGTTCATGAAACCAGTAAGGGGTTTGTGATCCGTAAAGATGGTGGACGTCTTTGGACCCATGAACATGTGAGAATGTTTATCACAGAAGTAGACCATGGCTCTCAATTCTCGCTTGTAGGTGCCGTAATTTTGTTCGGCCCCTGAGAAGGTGAAAGAGTCATACATAATGGGAACGACTCCTCCATCCTCTCGGCGTTGACGGACGTAAAATCCTGCGGCAAATTTTGAGGCGTCCACGAAGGCCTCCACTTCGAATGCGGGATCCCACCCATGAAGTGCTAGGGCTGTGGCATACTTGTTCTTGAGGAGGAGAAATGCTAGTCTTTCGGCCTCCTCCCATCTCTACGGAACGTTCCCGGTGAGTCGAGCTAGGGGCCTAGCAATATTAGCATACCCCTTGATCCATCTTCGAGCTGTAAGGTACGTTCCAAGGAAGGAGCGAATGTCGGATGGAGTACTATGGTGGCCTGGTTTAGGCCAATTTAGGATCAATTGGACTCGCTCTGGCTTTATGGTGCTCTTGCCTCCCGCTTCGTGCATCTCTCCGAGAGCTATCATTTTATTAAAACCGATGCGTATCTTGGAGAAGGATAGCTTTAGGTGAGCCCATTCTACTCGAGGTAGCAAGTGATGCTTAATAAAAGCCTAATGATTTGTCTATGATGAGTGTGCTGGAAACATGTCATCGACGTAGAATGTCATGTCAGGGGGTTTGCTTAAATTATTATTGTGCAAGAAAGACTTTTCCGGCTTTAGACTCGGTATATGTCCAAAAGCGATGTTTCCTAACTCGTTCATGGTAAAGGATGAAGACCTAGCACCCTAAGCCATGCGCGTGGGTTAGAGTTGCCCAATGCCAGGAACGACGAAAGCGAGATAATGTCTGTCGTCCGGATGGATTTGGGCGGTCTAATATGCGTTCTTTAGATCAAACGCGGAGAAGACCTTATGGCTCGGTAGTCCTAGAAAAGCGTGGGCTCTTGATGATAGCTCCATTTGATTTCCTGGTAGTTCTTCGTAGACGTAATGGTAATTGAAGGTAAGGCGTGGTTCGTCTTTGCCCTCCTTCTTTACTAGCACTGCATCAGCTCCCCAGTTCGAGAGCTTTCTATTGGCCACTGTTGTGCGTTCGTACATCCCTGCTTCTATGCCTTGAAGCACGATCTTCCGTAACCACCACTCCTTGTCATGAGCAAGGCGTTTTGCCTTTGCCTTATATGGTGGTGTGCCGGCCTTGACACTTGTTCTGTGAAGGATGAGATCCGTAGGTGGCCCCATGTCGTCTACACTAGTGGATTCTAGGTCGCGGTATGTCCACAATACCTGTAGGACTTCCAAGCGATCGCAATCAGGAATCATGTTTCCTAGCTGGATCTTACGCTCTGCTGCCCACAGTTCGAGCTCGGCCTGGCATCGGGACGTGTCCGTGACCCGACGGTGTACTCTTCTTGAGGTGGGAAACTTCTGAACGTGAGCTACCTCCGGGCTTGCTTCGTCAACCTGAGCGCTCAACACGTGCATAAAGTTCTCCTTATCGAACGGAACTGGAATTGACATGTCTGAATGAGCCAGGCAAGCATGTTCCGTGTGGCAACGGCAGGGGAATTTCATCTTGACTCGTGGTTTTGACAGTTTAAAGTCTTGTTCAGGACTTACTGAAAATCCTCTGTTGATGAGGCGTCATCTGATGATTCAGAGTCAGCTACGGAAGCGTCGGAGTCGGACTCTTCATCTGACGTGTCGTCAACCCCCTCAGATGAGTCGTCGCCCTCGACGGCATTGGCTTCGACTGCCTCCAAGAATGGAGCAACTGAGTTGCGTGTGGGGGCGGCAATGGAGGTGACGCTCTCTCCCTTGCTCTTGTCTCCTATCTCTATAACGCTCTCGCGTACGCGGATGTGGGCGTCCACGCTCTCCAGGTATGGGATGCCTAGGAGCAATGAGATGGATCGGCCTTCTTCAGGACATACGAACGCCCATACTCTTCTGGTGATGTTCTCAACTTGGACATTGAAATGAGTCCAGTACTTAAGCTCGCAACGAGCACCGTTCGGCATGGTCATGCGAATGTTGGGTAAGTTCAACTGAGAAATGGGCAGATACTCGAGCTTGAGTGCCTTCATCAGGGTAGGATAGATGAGGTTGATGTCAGATCCTTGATCGGCGGCTGTGTGATCTCTCGGTATCACGATGGCCTTGTCTTGACCGTCGATCCACACCTTAGCCGGGAGACCAAAAGCCCTGTGAGTGCGGTCCCTCTGGTTCCATTTCTGGATACTCTCTTGGACTTCTGAGTGAATGTTTGAGACGTTGATGACTTCGGTCGGAGTGGCCGGTTGACCTGTCTTCTTCACGCGACGGTTACGAGGCATGCCAAAGAGTCTCTTTGTCTCATCACGGAAGTATGGAGACAGCTGAGCCAAGTGAGTGATGGGTAGCACCACGTTGGAGTTCTTCAAGATGGTCAACACATCGACGGGGGCCTCGGTCAACATGGCCGTGATGCGATTGAGGGGCTTCTTCTGGCGGCCGACCACTCTCTTCTTGGGTGATTTGACGGGACGATTGTCGGGCGTCTTGGGAGGTTCGGCGGGAGGCTGTTCCTCCTCCTCCTCCTCCTCAGGCTGATTGCGGCGGGTACGCTTGCGACCCGTCTCCTGGCCATTGATCAAGACGTCGACTTCCTCGGTGATGTTCAAGACCTTGACTGAGGTGGGGGAGTCACTCCGAACGTCCTCCCAGATGTACTCGGGATCCTCCTCACTGGAGGTCACATCAACCAGCAACACGCCAGCCTCCCGGGCAGGTCTCTTGTCCTTGGCTTCCTTGTAGAGTTGTGCATCCTTGGTACAGAATTCGTAAAGGAACTTGATCTCCGGAGGCGACAACTGGTCACGATCACAGACAGTCTTGATGTGACCCGGTGTGCCGCACCCGCAACAGAGAGGGTTTCCATTCGAGTGCTGATGGCGACGCTGTCCGGTGACATAAGGACATGCCGACGTGAAGGGGTCAAAGGTGGGGAACATGGCGGTGCACACCTCCCGAGCGTGCTGCCACGCCAGGTCATCCGGTCCAGATGATGCCTTGCTTGACGAATGGGGTGTCGCGCTGCGAGGACCAGGTTGTGCCACCACGCTCTGGACTGCAGCTGACGAGGATTCAGCAGGCTTCCATTGCTGGCCTTGCGAGGCCTGGGGCTGAGCAGGGCGATGAGGGATGGTTGCCGTCTTCGCACCTTCGACTGAGATGCCATGGGCCTTGAACATCTCGATGACGTCGTTGGAACACTTTCCTCCTCTCATCATGTTGGTGGCGAATTCATGTAGGACGAGTCTTTGGGACTCGCGCTCGCTCTCCTCTTGCCACTTCTTCTCGACATTCATCTGTCTGATGCAGGCCTCTGCGTCCGCCAGGACTCCCCCCAGTGTCTGAGAGGCCGTCTGGGATGGTAAGCGTATGAGGCGAAGACGAAGATCATGATTGACAAGGCCTGCCAAGAAGCGCTCCTTTGTGAGTTGTACCAGGGACCTGACTGACACGGAGGCATGATTGGGGTCGTCCTCTCCTCCTGCCATGCACAGCAGGGTGAAAGCTCGCTGGTAATACTGGCGAAGGGTTTCACCAGGGCCTTGTTTCAGTTCCTGAATGTCAGGGATGGGGTTGCGCTGTTCCGATGCGACCCTCTTGAAACGCTCGAGGAATGCGTTGCGGACCATAGTAGCATAGTGGGCGGCATTGTGCTCATCGATGGCATCATTAGACAAGATGGATGACACTTGGTAATCGGTATCGGCCCATTCGGCAGCCTCTCCCTCCAAGGAATAATTGAATTCCTGAAGCCAGATCAGAGGAGTGTTTGTGCCCGTGCGATGGAGCTCTCTCTCGAAGCGTCCGAGCCAGCGCTTGGCGTCTTGCTTGTCCGATCCTGAGAAGCTCTCAATGATGGCATGAGATGCCGAAGGTACCTGCAGCTGCATGGCGCCTTGCTGAGTTCGGTATGGGGTGTAGCTCGTAGTGTTGGTGTTCGGCGATGGGTATGAGTTCATGGTAGGAGGAGGGGGTCTCAAACCGGGAACAGAGAAGTAGTTGTCGGAGAAGACATTCTCGTCCTCAGCCTCAGGGGCCAGCGTCGTCTTCTTGCTTCCCTTGGCACTTCTCAAATTGAAGGGATTGTCGTTGTTTGCGGGAACCGATTGAGAGTGGTGACGAGGAGGGATAGGAGAATGGTCTTGTGTAAGAGGACGCTGATTGCCATAAATGGGAATCGGCGCCAGCGAACCAGCACCTCCGGGCCCAGGGTTGTGATTGTTGTTTGCCATGAGGATGGTCTTTCCAAATGTCCAAGCGGGATNATACGCGTAGCGGGGTAGTTTGTGCCGAGACGCAGGGTTCAGCCGTGATCAGCTATTCGCGCTCTGGACCCCCATGTACGAATGCTAGCTTTGCTTAAATACTGGTTAGAAGCCACGAATAACATTGCGTTGCCCATGTCTCTGTCATTACCAGGGCGTTGGGCGAAGACCTTACCCTCGAAGTCCTCTTTAGGAAGCTCTGACTTTTGATTCTCACCACTCTCACCCTGAGTCATCTCCGAAGGGAAGACACCGGGAGCGATGGAGTTGACACGAACCTTAAGGCCGTTGTTGCCGATCTCGAAGCCGAGCATCTTAGTAAGGTGAATAACGGCTGCCTTAGAGGCATTGTAGGCAAAGTGGTGCTGAGCAGTCTTGACGATTCCGCTGATAGAGCAGACATTAATGACACAGCCAGAGAAGCCGTGTTGGTGTTCGGAAGCCTTTTGGAGCAGAGGCAGGAAGCCCATGGTCATGAAGAAGCATTGAGGGACATTGGTCTTGTAGGTATCGGTCCAGTCCTCAATGTTGGAGTCGGGGTTGTCGAAAAGGTTAGCCTTCATCTCCTCGGCAGTCTTGGCCTCGGTCTGCATGGTGTTGGACGAAACGCCAGCGCTGGGGGACACGTTAGAAGACCTACACTGACAAACGTATGGTGAGATGCTTACTTGTTGACCAGGATGCAGACACACTTCTCCTTACTTTCAATCTCCTTGACCATGGCAGTGATCGACTCCTTCTTTGAGATGTCACCCTGGATGGGGATGATTTGTCCAGGAATGTCCTTGCCGTAGATCTCAGCGACCTTGTCGAGCTTCTCCTTTGTGCGGCCGATAATGTAGACCTTAGCACCGTTCACAGCGAATGCCTGTGTCGCCATGAGGCCGATGCCCGAGCCACCACCTGTATTGAGTAGTCAGAACTGAGTTCGTGTCTACCTTTGTGAGATTTCATGACGAACCGGAGACGACGACAACCTTGTCCTTGACATTGAACAGCTCAGAGAGCTTAAAAGCATCGTTATTGTTGGGCGATGACATGTTGGATGTGGTTGTGAAAGTACGTTGGGTGACAGGCGTATAGATTGCTTGAGGTTGGATGTGTCGAGAAAATGTCTGAAGACGGGAAGTAGCCATCAATGTTCGGGGTGCTGCTCTACTTGTACTTGAGGGGAGAGCTCTAAGTGTCATTCTTGTGAGTGTCGTCATGATGAATGCGATGGGTCGGCAGCAGAGCGAGATGCGTAGCCTAAAAAAGTAGATGTAATAGGAATCTGCTGATGCTTTGAATTCTCCGATCGATGGCCTGCTACTCCTATTAAATCTGCCAAATCCCCAATGCGAAAGTCCTGTCGTCAGAAGTGCCCGCATTTTGGCATGGGAAACCATCAATGTCATCAGGCGAGCGTCATCGAGCAGTTCCTCGGAACGTGTGCTCTGATCTCGTCAGGCAAACAGCGTATCCAATTGTCATTGTGATTGTATATAATGCAGACTATTGATTGGAAAGATTCAAGAAACAATCCAAAATAGAGGTTGGTTTGAGAGGCAGCAAGAGTTCCAAGCCTTGTGGGAAAGGAAATGCCTTCTGAAGCTTGGGCCTTGACGGACTTCAGCTCCGAAACATGCATGTTCAATGTGCTAAACTCTCTGTCGAAACGCACGATTTTGATATTGGTAGAGACAGCCCCTGTCAACACTTCTCTGCGGACGACTTTACCAATCTCAAGAATATTGTGCATTTCTGCAGTGCGGACAGTTCCAAGTGTGGGTGTGGGAGATAGCTAGAAGTAACGGCTCCAAGTACACGAGAAGGTAGGAAGGTTGATGAAGAGAACAGAAAACACAATAATCATCTATCAGATGAGCGACCAAAGCGCGAGGGTTAAAAAAAGGGTTGCATTAGGCAAAAAAAAAACAGTGCCAGGACAGGAGAAACCCAAAAATGAAGCTGCTACGCTGGGTCGAACAACGGACCTTAGGATAATTGCAGAAACTGCAATCCCACGCTCTACCACTGAGCTACAGCAGCATCACGTGATAGACATGCCGTGCTCAAGGTCAATTATAAAACACTGTATTTGGCTGTTCCAGAATCATAAGGGCGTCCCGTCTGCAAAAAGATAGGATGCTTCTAGTCGTTAAACATGCCGGTCGAGAGTAGCATCAAGTCGCCTCGCTGTCCCTCCGGAACAAATCGTGTTGTGCAAGGCAGACATGGCCGCATCTAGACTGACTCTCTGCACGAAAGCTTGGGCTGTCTTGTGGCCGCCGAAAAGCAAAACCTTCTTCGAGGACAGAGTTGTGCTCGGTAAGGAGCTGAGAAGGAGCAACTTGCAATGGATAATGCCGACAATTCCAAGCGTATCATGTCTTTTGGTAACTTCGCTACGGGACTCACACGGTTCGTGGGTTTCCCATTTCCGTGCCCTACGTTCGCCTTACTGGAGCGGCAGAGACTGCTCAACGAGCCGGAGCTACGTACTTTTGATACACGCCATCACCATGCGGGATGGTTCTCTTACAACCAGCGGCAGCAAAGACTGGATTCCAGTAGGCAAGTAGGCCAAAAATAAACCAATCGAAAGCGTGGCATCCACAAGCAGCGTCTCCAGACCGTGGTGCGACACTTGGCGCCTTCCTCCAAAGCACTGGGGTCAGGGTCCGTCTCTCTCTCCACACCCGCATGGTCAATTATATCCAACTGGTTCCTTTACTTTTCAATGGCTCCTGCCTCGTATTCTCTGTTTTTGCTTCGTCGTTGCATTGTTCTCTTGTGTCCCCGGCTGGACTAAGATTTTCTTTCTACTTTCACTAAATCGCTTTCTATTCACCTATGATCATCTTGGTTCTTTCCATCGACTGCGCCAGCACATAAACCAACCCTTCTTACCAACCAGTCGATCTCTGCGGAGTTGAACTTTCTGAATGCATGTTCCGCGCTCGCATCTGCACGACCAAGCCTCTTTTCTCCTCTCTCAATCAAATTGACTAATTTTCAACACCTGCATATGCAGTGTGACCTTGGCCAATCCCAAAAGACGCACATACTACCCCTCTCACCCGACGAACAAAAAACTTGATCTAATACGTGATCACGAAACTGCACGAATTCAAACCACTGGGCAAAAAGGAAAGAAGGTTGACTTCTGGAAAGTCACCTGGTTCTAATTTGGTACTTGACCGCTCTTCTTCTACCTGGAACATCGCCCTTGCACTCCTGTTTACAAACACATCTCCTTCAGAACATTTCTACTCCCCTTCGTTATTCCTGGCTACGCTCGTTTTCTTGCCAGGATCTAATCATATACAATATGTGGACCGAAATGTTTGCCCGTGCAGTCAATGAGAATGGTGTCCCATCTATTCATGATCATTGGGCAACAAAGGATGTGAGTCCAATACTGTTGCGAAAATGCCACTCCTTGTGCTAATGTCGATAGATTGCATATACCGCCATTGTGGGCTCGGTTATGCTTGCTGCCCTTCTCGAATGGTTCCTTTGGGTAGCTGCTTTTCTATACTGTCTTGTCAAGGTCTATCAGAAGGCCGAGACTGTCAGCATCAAGATCCTTGCGATAGTGATGATGTTTGCTTTCACTGGCCTCAGGTGCGTTGCTATGAGTAGATCTTCGAGCCTCCAGTTGCTGACACCAAACCCAGATGCATATTCTTACCCATAATGGTTGTAACGCTTCCCCTTCCAAGCCAAGTCGTGCGATACTTCCCTCAAGAAATGGTCAGCTTCTTGCAATGGTTCGCCTTCTGGTCTTTCTCTGGACTGCTCATCATTCCATGGCTCATCTGTGTATATCAACTGGTCACGCACTCTGTCGGACGAACGAAGCGCATCAAACACGTCCTGGACGAGGATTCAGCCCCCAAGGTCGTTATCATCATGCCTTGTTACAAAGAGATTCCTGAGATTCTGCTTCGAACAGTGGATTCTTTGGCCGACTGTGACTACCCTCCATCTTGTTTGCACATCTTCCTTTCCTTCGACGGAGACCAGGAAGACGAACTTTACCTCAAGACTATTGAGCAACTCGGTGTTCCCTTGACGCTGGACACATACCCTAAGAGTATCGACGTCACTTATAGAAGCACTCGCGTCACCATTTCTCGTTTTCCGCACGGTGGTAAGCGTCACTGCCAAAAGAGGACTTTCAAGCTTATCGACAAAGTGTATGCCGAGTACTTGAAACGCAACGATAATCTCTTTGTTCTCTTCATCGACTCCGACTGCATTCTTGACAGAGTGTGCATCCAGAACTTCATGTATGAGATGGAATTGAAGCCTGGAAGCAAGAGAAACATGTTGGCCATGACCGGCGTCATCACCTCAACAACAGAGAAGAACAGTTTGATCACTGTTCTGCAAGACATGGAATACATCCACGGCCAGTTGTTTGAAAGATCTGTCGAATCTGGTTGCGGCGCTGTAACATGCTTGCCGGGAGCTTTGACAGTCTTGCGGTTCTCTGCTTTCAGAGCTATGGCTAAATACTACTTCGCGGACAAAGCAGAACAGTGCGATGACTTGTTCGATTACGGCAAATGCCATCTGGGAGAAGACAGATGGCTGACCCATCTCTTCATGATTGGAGCCAAAGAGAAGTATCAGATCCAGATGAACACCGGAGCCTTTTGCAAGACCGAAGCCGTACAGACATATCAAAGTTTACTCAAACAACGTCGCAGATGGTTCCTTGGATTTATCACTAACGAGGTTTGCATGCTCACGGATGTCCGTCTCTGGAGACGCTACCCTATCCTCTGTCTGGTCCGCTTTGCTCAAAACACCATCAGAACCACCGCACTTCTCTTCTTCATCATGGTCATCTCCATCATCACGACATCTCAAAAGATTGCAAACTTGCCTGTTGGATTCATCGCTGTGTCTCTCGGCCTCAACTGGGTATTGATGTTGTACTTTGGTGCCAAGCTCGGACGATACAAGATCATGATGTATCCCCTGATGTTCGTCATCAACCCCTTCTTCAACTGGGCGTACATGGTGTATGGAATTTTCACAGCTGGTCAGAGGACCTGGGGAGGACCACGTGCCGATGCTGGTGCAGCCAACTCGACCACCACACCACAAGCTGCCATCGAACACGCAGAGGCAACAGGTGACGATCTGAACGTCGTACCAGAAACCTTCAAACCCGCAGTCGAAGCGATCACTCGCAAAAAGTCTGTCAAGAACAGAAACGTGCTTCCGGATCAGCGGCTCGAGGGCAAGTTTGCGGCACCAGAGCTTATGCCTGGTGGGTGGTACAAGCAAGCGGCCGATTCTACAAACACACTACCGGACATTTCAAACCATCCAGCTATGCGCAGATTGAGTTTCGAATCGATCGGTACGGCAACTTCAGGCAATAACTCGGTCTATCTTCCTCGACGAATCGAATCGATCTTCGGACCAGAAGATCGTAATCTGTACCACAACGCACAAGCCCATCAGAGACCAGCTGGTGGATTGCACTACGAGCAAGAGGAGTACGAGATGAGCAGACCCGACACAGGCACAACCCTTAAGGGAGGTTACTCCGTCTCGGTGCAGTCGGCCAGCGACGACGAATCAAACTACGGCCATGGAAGAATGAACTCTGACAACAGCGACATGAGCGTAGCACAAGGTAAAGCACCTGCCGGCTCTGAGAAAGTTCTAGCAGTACCCGGGAGGACCAGACAGGCGTATGATCACGGCAGCAACCGCAGCAGAACAGGCAAGAGTCCGTTGGCGCGAAGAAGCTTTGTCAGATCGGCTTCGGATCTAATGCCAGAATTGGATGAGGCGCAAAGAGGTCAATCGATGGAGATGAGGGAAAGACAAGCCGCCGAACAAGGAGTCGGTCTCATGGACCCTCGGGCCAGAAGTGTGAGCCCTCTTGGTCCTCAGACAGTGCCTGCACCTGCACCTGCACCTGCACCAACTGCTGCCCCTGCTCCCGAAACTCGACCTGCACCAACGGAAGTCGTGGAGGAAAAGAGCAAGAAGGAGCGGAAGAAGTTGAGTAAGCCGAGACCTGGCAGCAGTGGAAGTGGAAGATAAGGCAACAACAGGACAGAGATATTGTACAACAAAAAGGGGGTTGGGTAGTAATAATATATGACGAGTTCTTCTTTTTCCTGCCTATTATTCTTGTCACCAGCATGAAAGTCAACAGGTGTGATTGCTGGGTCAAGCTGAAGACGAAGACGACCAAGGTAGACCTTTCCAGGTCAAAGCTACTTCAGACTCGCCACCAACCAGATACCTCAAAGTGACACCCACGCCTTCCAAGCCACACTCTACAGCGGCTTGGTTCCAGACAAACTGTCTCACTCTACCCTCAGTCGTGATATTGAGATAGGCCATAGGTAGACCACTCCTCCCAACAGCATCTCTGACCCCCTTCGTCGCCTCTTTGGCCGCAGCCAAAATAGCAATTGTGCCTTCACCTCTATACCTTACAGGCGCACCTACAACCGCCCCTTCCAATTCCCTGATCATACTCGGCTTTGGGGCTTCCGCTTTACATTGTACCAAAATACTCAACGGTGCAGGACGGGAAGGTAATGCCCAAGAACCCAATAGATCGATACCGAGGTCGCTAGCTCGGCCAACGCGTGTCAAGGAGAAGCCGAGGCCAGAGAGGGCGTTTGCAACGGTGTATTCGTAGTGGGTGCCGCGGTAGACTGTGCTGGTTGGAGAGAGAGTTGTGGTAGAGGCGTAGGTGAGGAACTCAGAGAGGGAAGAGTGGTGGGCGCTGCCGTGGGCGATTGCATGTTGGTCTTTTGAGGGCTTGGGTTTACGGATACGTTTCTTTGGTGCTGCTTCGGCAGCGTCTGCAATTGTGGTGTCCGCTATGGTGGTGTCGAGGACCTTTGGCGGACGACCACGTCTCTTGGTTGTTGACGCATTGACAGCAAGATCTGGTATAGATGGGTTTGTATCCTCATGGAGATTTTCTGGTTTCAATTTCCGAGAGCGCTTCTTCTTCAATGGCGGAGTGTCATCCGGAGGTGATGGGATGGGCGAGGCATCGGAGGAGTCGACTGCCTCGGTGGTCGAGGGCTTCACATGCTGAGAGGCGTAACGTCTAAATGACGGAAGAAATGGCGACGACTTGTTCAGGCGACTGCAAGCGGTTATGGCATGGCGGTGCATGTGGTAGGAAATAGAGAGTGATTGAAGGTCGCGACTTGTCGAAGCATCGCCAACAAGTTTGCGGAGGGAAGCGCGACTTGCAAGCTGCAAGGCCCGTCATCGCAACCAACAACTTCGCACCTTCGCACCTTCCACTTTTTGCTTCACTCCGATCTATACCACAAACACGCACTATGGCAGATCGATTAACCCAACTCCAGGATTGCCTGGATGATGTAAGCGACTCCCGGAGTCTGCAGCAGAAATGCGACAACTAACGCGACTCGCAGCTGGCAACCCAAATGTTCGCATCAATCCGCTACATCCAAACACGCCATCAATACGGCGACATCCCAGGCCAACCGGACATGTCCGACCCAACCCCCAACGCCCCAGCACCTCTCCAACCAAACGCCGCCCCCGACACCCTCACAGCCACTGCCGCCGAACAAAACCCTGCCCTCGCCAACAACCCCGAAGCCTCTGCTCTGGAAGGTCAAGACCCTGCGCAAATCGGCCCTGATGATCCTGCTACTTTCCAAGCTGCTTTGAAGGAACTGGCTAGGGATTTAGTGCTCAAAGAACAGCAGATTGAATATCTGATCTCTGTGCTGCCGGGTATTGGCGAGAGTGAAGCGAATCAAAGCCAAAGGATACAAGTCTTGGAGAAAGAGCTGAGAGAGGCCGACGAGGAGAGGAAGAAGGCCTTGGAAGAAAGAGAGACCATGCTTGACAAGCTGGGTGCTCTGGCTGGAGAGTGCAAAAGGGTCTATTGATCTGATTGCTGAAGAAATAGTTTGACGATTTTTATGATACCCCTGGTCTACTGTGATAGACCAATGCGAGAAGCGAAGGAAGAGAGAAGAACAGCCGACATCTGTTGATCCCAACTGGGTATCGAACTAGCTATCAAAAGCAAAATGGTTTGGGTGATTGTCCACTGAGAATGCTTGTTCGTTCGTGCCCGCTTCGGACAGCGTATCTACTTACAACACCATCTTACGTTCCCCCGGACTGGTACAGAGATAGCTCGATAGACCGAGAGAGGTCGGTCCCGGTACCGCTATTATACTTTAGAAGAAAGCTTTCTAAAGATACAAGACCTCGCTGTAAACCTCCAAGGACAATCTGGCACTTTCTGTGTCGCTGTATAAAGCTCACAAGCTTTGTAGTTTCTCAGTCCCACCTTCTTCGGCCAACAGCCCAAACATTGGCCCAACACGCACCAAAGTTGCTGCCGCTAGTCGCCATTCCTCTGCCGTACACACCTCGCGAGGCAGAGCCAGTCCAACAACGAGGCGGCCATGGAAAAGCAGATCACTCCTTGGTAGACATGTCGAACCTCACAGTCTTTTCGCCACGGGACTCGCCGCTACTCATACGCCTCATCCTCTCAACTCGAAGGGCCTCTTGTCGAAGCTTGTCCATCGTTGTTGCCGACATCGTCTTCTCCCAGTGGATACCCATGCCGCCGCGCAGTTTCAGCAATTCGATCGTTATGGGCGGCTCATTCGAGGTCTTCTCCTCTGCAGTAAAGTCCTCTAGTCGACTTTTCATGTCTTGGGTCGTAGGAAGCTTGGGGTTCTTACTGGAGCGACTGGTGTTGGCAGGGGTGATCTTCAACTGAGGGGTAGCTTTGAGAGTTGACACGCTTGATTGTTGGTCGAGGCGATTGCTTTCGATGGGGTCTTTTGTTCCTCGACCACTACCTTTGGTCAGTCGAGTGACAACCATACGATACAATGACGGGTACCATTCTGCCATCTTGAACACCTCAGCAATTCTTTGGGAGAGCTCTTCTTCATTCTGGATTTCATGATGGACCTTTCGGACTTCTTGGTCGACGAGAGTGGGTGTGAGGACAGGTGCATCGTGGAGTGGCTGATGAATGGCGGCGAGTATCTCCAAAGCCGACATACCTGATGATTGATCCATGATCAAGGCATGATAATGGATTGCACGTATCGCGGAAGGAATGTTGATAGTTGATCTACTATGAGGCAATCATTACTCGGCGTCGCCGTTGCCTCGAGTAGAGAGTACCAAGCGATATTTTGATTCAAGCAAGAGCGATGAAGTTGATTGCGTTGCAACTTCTGGAAGCAATGGCAAGGCACGTTCTTCTTTGTGATTAAGAACATCGAGGGGGAGCGAACGTGGGGTCCGACGACTCATTGATCTTCGATTAACATCTTTGGTTGAGCATGAGGAAATCTGTTTCACAGCATCTCTCTCCTGACAGGAAACCATGTCGCCTTGGCGTGCATGAGGGTGAACAATTCACCCGGCAGTCCTTCGCACCTGGCGTCACAGGCCATTCATAAGTCAACAAATGCAATCACTGAGATGTATGCAAGCATCTTCATCAAGCGTGTTGAAGGAATTGGGCAGACCGAACAATCAAGCTGAAACGCAAAGAGGGACATGTCGGGGGTCAGGGTGACTTCCCAGTTGTGAGCCACCTGACATCATGCGATGCATGTGCATACTAGCAGGCGGGGACATGGAGCTTCGGAAAGCTCTCAAAACAAAGGCATCTCCCCAAACAATCGCTTGCCCTATCTACTATTTCCTTTGCTGGATTTCAGAGACTAAGTAAACATATCTCGTCAAAATACCTAGTATGTCGGCATCAGCACTCCTGAAAAGTCGTGTCAGACGACCCAGCTATCTTAACAAGATTGCTAAAGCCGAGGATTTGATGCACCATTTCCCCAATGGTAGTTACGTCGGCTGGTCTGGGTTTACTGGTGTCGGTTATCCGAAGTACGTTTTGGAAGTCAGGCCTGAGGACCCGATAGTCTGACTTGATGCAGAAAGGTACCCACAGCCATGGCTGATCATGTCGAAAAGAACGGCCTCCAAGGCCAACTCAAGTACAACCTTTTTGTTGGCGCCTCCTCTGGTGCTGAAACAGAAAATCGATGGGCTAAACTCAACATGATTGAGCGACGTGCTCCTCACCAGGTCGGCAAGGAGATTGCGAAAGGCATCAACAATGGCAACATCAAGTTCTTCGACAAGCACTTGAGCATGTTCCCTGTGGACTTGATGTACGGATTTTACACGAGGGAAAAGGCCAACAACCGCCTGGATGTTGCTATTGTGGAAGCCAGTGCCATAACCGAAGACGGCGGAATTATTCCTGGTGCTTCGGTCGGTGCCTCTCCCGAGATCATACAGATGGCAGATAAGATCATCATCGAGGTCAATACTGCGGCTCCCTCATTCGAAGGTCTTCACGATATCACCATGACAGATCTTCCGCCTCGTCGAAAGCCATATTTGATCATGGCTCCTGAGGACCGCATTGGCACTCCTCACATCCCTATCGACCCTGAGCGTGTTGTTGCAATTATCGAATCAGACTATCCTGATCAGACCCAGCCTAACGCGCCCGAAGACGATACCAGCAGAGCCATTGCCAGCAATCTCATTGAGTTCCTAAAGTACGAAGTTAGCAAGGGACGCTTGCCCGAGAACCTTCTACCTCTTCAGTCGGGTATCGGTAACATCGCCAACGCCGTTATTGGCGGACTCGCCTCTGGAGGTGCCAACTTCAAGAACCTCAAGGTCTGGACCGAAGTCCTTCAAGACTCTTTCCTTGACCTTTTTGACTCGGGCAATCTTGACTTTGCCACAGCGACATCCATTCGCTTCTCGCCCGACGGTTTCAAGCGCTTCTACGATAATTGGGAGAATTACTATCCCAAACTTCTTCTCCGTAGCCAGGCAGTTTCCAACTCACCTGAAGTTATTCGTCGTCTTGGTGTCATCGGAATGAACACTCCTGTGGAGGTCGACATCTATGCCCACGCCAACAGCACATGTGTCTTGGGCTCGCGCATGCTCAACGGTCTTGGTGGAAGTGCCGACTTCTTGAGATCAGCAAAATACTCGATCATGCACACCCCTTCCACCCGTCCAAGCAAGACTGATCCTACTGGTGTTTCTTGCATTGTTCCCATGTGTACCCATGTCGACCAGACCGAACATGATCTCGATGTTGTCGTCACCGAGCAAGGTTTCGCCGATGTTCGTGGCCTGTCTCCTCGCGAGCGAGCTCGTGTCATCATCAAGAAATGTGCTCACCCAGACTACGTGCCTATACTTGAGGATTACTTTAACAAAGCCGAGTTCGAGTGTTTGCGTAAGGGTATGGGCCATGAGCCACACATGCTCTTCAACTCATTCGACATGCACAAGCATCTTGTAGATCACGGGACCATGAAACTTGACAAGTGGGACTGGTATGGTTAAATGTGTAACTGGATGTAGTCGTTCTCTGTTGTAGACTTCTGTTCAAACCATTAACATGATGTATGAGCATGACGCGTTATCAGATCAGATCTGTGACTTACGAACATTAGAGATACCAAATGTGCTTACATTCCAAACTTTTTACAAGTCTAAAACTTTTTTGCTCATCAAGATTGTTCAATTGCTCTTTCCAGTTGTTGCTTGATTCTGTGGTATGCCGCACAGACAGCGCCACGCCCGTCTGGAGAAGTGGGACTCCCTCCACGAAACCTGGGGTCAACCAGCATGCAGCAGCAAACATTCAGGCAAGAACGAGTACGGCCACGAATGCTTCGTCTTCCAAGAAAAACACCGACTAGAAGGACACGGTAAGCAAGATCATGGCTGTAGACATGCAGTATCGAATCAGCCCATCGAGACCTTAGGCGCGTTCAGATGAGCACTCTTCCTGGGGATGAGGCTGACTGACAAGCATCTCGGAGCCCACCACGCTACCTACTCGAGAGTTTGGACACATGAGTGAAATGACGTCTTACTGGCCTTTGAGTGCAGGTACAGCACACTTGACGACCTTCCTTGGGGGTGAGTGATGGCAAAGTCTCAACCGACACTCGCGCTTTCGAGGAATCGAGCCTTCGTTGCGTCTGTGGTCTCCATGCAACTTGCAAAAAATACCATCTGGATACGAGTGGGTTTGGCAAATTTTGATGGTCGGTCTGTTGGCAATTGAAGCATCACGTCGTGGTCTAATGTTGTGTCTGACCAGATGGCATCGTATGGTTATCAGAAACGGAGTATGGATGCACTTGAAGAGCGGCTGCTTTTACCTGTTTGCTCTGGCACAGCAACAAAATCAAGCCCATAGAGTGTCTGGATGTTCCACGAAGTGAGACTGAAGCGAGCTGTGCCTCCACGACGTTGTTGAGAGGTGTGTCCAGGCAATTCACGAGCCATTTTGCTGACCGACAATCGCACAAAGGTAAGCATGAGTGAGAGTGGCCCTTGGTTGGGAGATACCGCTTGTGAGGCTACGAGCTTATTGGCGACACCAACAAAAAAAGAGATTGCTGGATGAAGTTCGAAAATTGTTCGGATAGACTTCGAATCGAAGCGTTCCAGAAAGACGCTCGGCGAACCCCTGCGTGGTGAGAGAAATCCTTGGGATCGCCGACCCCGAAACTTGTGCTTTTGCTTGGGTGAAAGGTGGCAAAGTGAGTGAGGCAAAGCCGGTTGCCGGGCAGCAGACTGACTGGCCAATCAGAGGAGTAAGAATCGGAAGGAGGTGCAATGGCCTCCGATTGAGCGTCGAGGTCTTGGCGGGGTTTGGTGTTGGGAAAAATTAGCGTGAAAAATCGGTGTCTGTTCCAATATTAAGCTGTGGTCGCCGGGACACATCTCTCTTTTTTTCCTCATCTCCCACCAAAATGGCATCAAAGCAAGCATCTAAGGAGAACCAAACCTCCCTGAAGGTGCTCGAGGAGCTCCTGGCCAAGTTGAACGTCTCCAAGGCCCAGGATGAGATCAACGGTGTCTCTCAGGAGATTGCCATCTTCATCAACGGTGACATCGAGGAGGAGGATGCTCCCACCAAGTGAGTCGCCTCGTGCTGTATACCACACCTGACCAATTTCTAACCCGCAATTTCAGGGCTGTCGCTACCTTGAAGAAGGCCCTTGCCAACAAGAAGGACGCTGTCGCCCGTGAGCGTGCCTGCGATGCCATCAAAGCCATCGCCTCGCACTCCGAGGTCAGCCCCGCTGTTGAGCCTTACCTTGTCGACCTTCTCCCCGCCGTCCTCGGTGCCGTCGGTGACAAGATGGTTCCCGTCAAGAACGCCGCCCAGGCCGCCGCCCTTGCCATCACCCGTATGGCCAACGCCAACGCCGTCAAGGCCCTCATCCCCCACTTCATCGAGTCCATCCACAACGCCCAGAAGTGGCAAGAGAAGATGACCGACTTGGACTGCATCGTCGCTCTCTCCGAGTCCTCCCCCGTCCAGACCGCTCTCCGTGTTCCTGAGCTGATCCCCATCGTCTCCGAGGCCATGTGGGACACCAAGAACGAGGTCAAGAAGGCTGCCTACTCCGTCATGGAGAAGATCTGCTCTTTGATCGTCAACAAGGATATCGAGCGTTTCATTCCCGAGCTCATCAAGTGTATCGCTAAGCCCGAGAACGTCCCCGAGACCATTCACTTGCTCGGTGCCACCACTTTCGTCACCGATGTCCACGAGCCCACCCTCGCCATTATGGTTCCCCTTCTCGAGCGTGGTCTTAACGAGCGTGAGACCGCCATCAAGAGAAAGGCTGCCGTCATTGTCGACAACATGTGCAAGCTTGTCGAGGACCCCCAGATTGTCGCCGCTTTCTTGCCCAAGCTGATGCCCGCCCTCCACCGCAACCACGACAACCTTGCCGACCCCGAGGCTCGTGAGAAGACCAAGCAGGCTCTTGACACTCTCGTCCGTGTTGGTCACGTCGAGAACGGCAAGATCCCCGAGATCTCCAAGGACGGTGACATGGCCACCGTTGCCTCCCACCTCAAGTCCGTCCTTTCTGAGAAGAAGGGTGTCGCTGACAAGTTCGAGTCCATTGTCAACTACGTTGGTGCCATCGGTGGCCAGCTCGTTGACGAGAAGGACGACGAGCCCATGACCTGGGCCCAGAACACCGTTCCTTTCCTTACCGTCATTGTTGGTGACGACGAGGCCAAGAACGTCTCCGAGGCTCTCCGCAAGCGTGCCTCCCCCACCGCCGCTGCCGGCCGTGATGTCGAGCCCGATGAGGAGGAGGGTGAGGATCTCTGCAACTGCACCTTCAACTTGGCCTACGGTGCCAAGATTCTGCTCAACCAGACTCACCTTCGCTTGAAGCGTGGTCAGCGTTACGGTCTTCTCGGTCCCAACGGTTCCGGCAAGACTACCCTCATGCGTGCCATCAACAACGAGCAGGTTGAGGGTTTCCCCAAGCAGGATGAGGTCAAGACCGTCTACGTCGAGCACGATCTCGACTCCGACGACACTGAGCAGACCGTCATTGGCTGGACCATGAAGAAGCTTGCCTCCGTCGGTGTCGAGACCCCCGACGAGGAGGTTCGCAAGACCCTCATCGAGTTCGGTTTCCTCGAGGAGCAGCTCGACGGCCCCATTGGTGGTCTTTCCGGTGGTTGGAAGATGAAGCTGGCTCTTGCCCGTGCCGTCTTCGAGAAGCCCGATATTCTCCTCCTCGACGAGCCCACCAACCACTTGGACGTCAAGAACGTTGCTTGGCTCGAGAACTACCTCACCACCTCCCCCTGCACATCCATCATCATCTCTCACGACTCCAAGTTCCTCGACAACGTCATCCAGCACGTTATCCACTACGAGCGCTTCAAGCTGAAGAGATACCGTGGCAAGCTTAGCGAGTTCGTCAAGCGCGTTCCTTCCGCCAAGTCCTACTACGAGCTTGGTGCCTCCGAGATGGAGTTCAAGTTCCCTGAGCCCGGTTTCCTTGAGGGTGTCAAGACCAAGGCTAAGGCCATCGTCCGTGTTAGCAACGTCTCCTTCCAGTACCCCGGTACCTCCAAGCCCCAGATTGAGGAGTGCTCCTTCCAGTGCTCTCTCGGCTCCCGTATTGCCGTCATTGGTCCCAACGGTGCCGGAAAATCTACCCTCATCAACGTCCTTACTGGTGAGCTGATCCCTACCAAGGGTGAAATCTACCACCACGAGAACATCCGTATTGCCTACATTAAGCAGCACGCTTTCGCTCACATCGATCACCACCTCGACTCTACTCCTTCGGAGTACATCCAGTGGCGTTTCCAAACTGGTGAGGATCGTGAGACCATGGATCGTGCCAACAAGATCGTCACCGACGAGGACGAGAAGGCCATGGACAAGATCTACAAGGTTGAGGGTACCTACCGTCGTGTTATCGGTATCCACTCGCGTAGAAAGTTCAAGAACTCCTACGAGTACGAGTGTTCGTTCGCCATCGGTGACAACATCGGCATGAAGAACGAGAAGTGGACTCCCATGATGACCGCTGACAACGCCTGGATCCCCCGTACCGAGATCATGCAGTCCCATCAGAAGATGGTTGCTGAGGTTGACCAGAAGGAGGCTCTTGCCTCTGGTCAGTTCCGTCCTCTCGTCCGTAAGGAGATTGAGGCTCACTGCGCCAACTTCGGTCTTGACGCTGAGCTTGTTTCTCACTCGCGTATGCGTGGTCTGTCTGGTGGTCAGCGTGTCAAGGTCGTCCTTGCCGCCTGCTCATGGCAACGTCCTCACTTGATCGTCCTCGACGAGCCCACCAACTACCTCGACCGTGACTCTCTCGGTGCCCTTTCCAAGGCCATCAAGTCCTTCGAGGGTGGTGTCATCATCATTACTCACTCTGCCGAGTTCACCAAGGACTTGACTGAGGAAGTCTGGGCTGTCCAGAACGGTCGTATGACTCCTTCCGGTCACAACTGGGTTCAGGGCCAAGGTGCTGGGCCTAGACTTGAGGCCAAGGGTGGTGATGAAGAAGAAAAATTTGATGCCATGCTTGTCATCCCCGATCCTTTTCTTGGAGAAACATCTTTGCTAACTATTTCCACAGGGGTAACAAGATCGAGACCGTTGAGAAGAAGAAGAAGCTCACATCCGCCGAGCTCCGCAAGAAGAAGAAGGACCGCATGGCCCGCCGCAAGCGTGGTGAGGAGGTCTTCTCTGACGAGGATGACTTCTAGAGCACTCGCTGACCTGCTCTTTTGTTTACGCTTCGTGAATGATACAGAGGGTTGGTGGTGTGTTTTTGCTGTTGCACTCGAGGCATTTGGCCAGGCGTCCCGGATTAAAAAGGGCTATGTTTATGACGTTTCTTTAACTATTCCCCGTTGTGAATCGCTTGCATTAGAGATAGATTCATCTACAATAAAAGATCTTTCTCGCTTTCAACCATCGGTATACAGCTTCAGACCACGTGAGACCCCTGCCAAGCCTTTCCACTTCGTCTCGTTTGAGTTCCATGCGCGCTTCGCTTGCATTTCTCAGTTGCTCCGTGTTAATGTTCTTGTCATGACACTGGTCCTCGATGTCAGACTGTAGCTTGTCTTATCAAACGTCTTGATCATTCGTCCCTCGAGGACTCGCTTGCTCGGCTAACGCCTCACCGCTCGCTTTTCGAGGGCCTCATTCTCTCGACGTTCTCAAGATTCAACACGCTGACATCAACGACAAAACATTCTGTATCCATCCGTGACTTTCATACGTCTCTCCGCTTGTCTGAGAAAATTGACAAGGCCCAAAAATGTCCGAATCTCTACGAACACTGTCGCGACACGCGCATCTAACAGGATCGCAGGCCATCCTTTCTCGTCAACCTCGGCCTAACCGCCAACGACACAATGGCTCCTCTTCCTAATTACGGCCCTCATTTTCTACTTGCAAATTTTCTGCTGTCTTACATTTGTACATCGACTCGCATCCAAAAGCTCGGCCTCCGCATCGACAATAACATGAACCCTCGCTATGATCTCGTGTCTCCCCGCGCAGAAAAGCTGGTCTCGACGGGTAGAATCACTCAAGAGCAACTCGATCAGATGCGCCGCGTTCAATCCGCCCACAGCAATTCTATGGAACACTATACCGTGTTTGTGGCGGCTGTCTTGTCGGCCATCGTGGCTAAACTGGATAATGGAATGGTCAACAGATATGCGGTTTTGTATACCATTGCGAGGGCTGCTTATTTCTGGGTCTATAGGCAGAATACTACTAGGTCGGCTGCTGGGGTCAGGAGTGTGTTGTGGTGGGTTAGCAACATTCTTTGTATCCGTCTGTTTTGGTTCGCTGGAAAGGCTTTAAATGCGGATGTGGTTTAGAGCCATTTCTGACGGGAATCAAGATCGTGTTCGATATGGACTTGCTGTTCGATGAGCTACGATCCAGAAAGATGTACACATCAGTACCTTGGCCACCTAGAAGGCAGTCGGTCCCATCCATGGCCTCAAATTTGACACTGCAGCGGTTCAACACTATTTGCTCGCAAAACTGGCGAGTCCTTCTCCCTGACTTTGAGTCACTGTTCGACAGTAATCTTCTGCAAAGACATTACTCGCTTTAGAGTTCTGACGTAGGTTCTACTGGTACGTTTGGAAATCCCTCATGTACTTGCTTCAAATGGAGTTTGGAGCAGCAAGCATGCCCGGTCAGTGATTGTCGAGAAAACATTTGCTTCTCTCCACCTTCCACATCAATCAAACACACGATGCTGACACAGGACTACCAGAACGGCTATTTAAACACAAGCTGTCAAGCTGTCAAGTGATAAGATGACTTTGATGTCGGTTTAATCGTCCTTTGATCATAATATCGTTATTGATTATTGATTATATACATGCAACCCATTCCTTTCTTTCATCATGTCACAACCAGCCTGACAGAGTCTGTGGATGATGCGCGAGCTCTTCTTGGAGTGAGCGGCGACAGCAAGTCATTCGTGTGATACTTCAAGAGAGAAGTATCTGAGTACGAGGGCTCATCATGGAACTGGTAGACGACGCCCGAGTCCTTGTCGGGGTACCTGGACACAGCAGATCGGGTTGTTTGAGCGTCGGACGACCTGAGGGAGAAATATTGGAGCTTCCTGAACTCATACTTCTGACTTTCTGCAGTGCTTTCGACCATCGGGCTCTGGCTCGCCATTTCGACACAATTTTGGAGACGATTTCGGCATTGCTTGCTGTAGTCTTTGGATCTTCGAAGACGAATACTCCTGAATCGACTTCGGTGGTTTCTGAAGATGGCTTTGGAGTACAGATCTCAAAGTCTTCCTTGCGACGTTGGTCCTCGAATTGTCGAATTCGTAGTCGTGCATCTTTCTTCGCCAGCTTCATTCTTGCTTGTTCTGCGTCCGCGCGACGCCTTTGTTTCGCCCTTTCGAACATGTCTCTTTCCCGTGATGCGGCATCTGGTCCTATAAGTTGTGTCAGTAGTGTTTTCTAATCTGATCAACACGCGACTTTGCTGACCTTTGCTAGTTGGTATAGACAAACTGGCAGGACTACAGCTGCTGTAGCCACGCAACTTGAATGCACTTGCGATATGCGATAAATCGACTTTGTCCAAGATCATGATGGTCTGTCTGGGTTTGTAGGGCTTCGTGTTCTGTGAATTCCCACTCAAAAATTAGGTCGTGTTTTGATATCTTATAGAGAATGTAAGCAGAAGTTACTGACCGGGCCTGCTTTATGAATCCTACAGCCGGAAATAGTTTCATGTTTGCGCCTCCCTCGCGTGGCTGCAGTTCCAGCCGGAATGACAAAGCCTGCATGCTGCGCCTGCACGCGCTTATGGCTATGCAGCCCGACCAATCAATTCTTTGGAAGGCACAGCCTTGTTTAGCACTGGTCTAATCACAGCGGTTATAATTGATTACACCAGCTACACAGCCCTATAACGGCAAGTACCCTCCCCGTGTGCTAAACTTTGTCACGCGCACCCTGTAGAAATGCACGATGTTTTCAAGATCTCTCTAGTCGTCCGCAGAGAGGCGCTGAGTTTCACACTCTCAGTGGAGGGCTGCACTGATCTTAAAAACATTGTGCATTTCTACAGACTAAATGTCCCCGGGCATGGCCGTGGGAGATGGCTAGAAGTGACAGAATTTAGCACACGGGGAGGACGCACTGCGCCTATATGCGAAGCAATATCGTCGTTGGTAAGGAAGGATCGATAAACCTGGTAACAAATCATCACCGAAACGAAGCCATCACCCATTTTCTGGAGTGAGTCGTCGCGCAATGAGCTGCGAATTCTGTTGCGACTACGGAAGAAAATGTAGTATGACCATCGCGATCACAGATACAAATGCTCTCCAGCAGCTATCGAGCATATGTCCGACCCATCGTCATACGGCATGAACACAAACACCCTCGGATCATCTGCTCGTGATAGTAACACAGGTCACCGTATTCGATTTGCGTGATGCTGCAACCGCGCCTTTGGCCATATGACCCTGCAGGTCGACTGCAATGGGGGCACTAACCACAGCCTTCTGTATGCACAAGGATGATGGATATTGTATGGCTGCATTATTACCAGGCTCAATTTCTATATCATGCAGCCTGGAGAACATGAGGGGGCTGCCTCATTTCGCGCCTGAGTTCTCTGTACTCATACACCGACCCTACTCGAGCCTTCCTCGGATCAATCGTTCAGTCGACAAGTCAGGCTCTCCGTGGTCAATCGTCAACTATTGAAGACTACTCTGCCTTTTTACACGGGTAACAACATGACGTCCACGACGGAACTCCGCCCAATGTCTCCTAATTCTGCGGTGGACTCGCATGCCGGACCGGCTATTAGCTCTGGAACACAAACGCCTGTCGGTCGACGAACGCTACCAGCTATGGAAGCAGATGGCTATCGATTGTTCTCCGACTTCATATCTTCAGACCCGCTACGGTCCACCACTATATTCCGCCGCTTTGATCGCCTGGCTATTCGCAACCTACTATATCTGGAGAGTGAGTTGGCAGCTTTAGAGAGCGAGGTGGAAAGATTGGACTTGGATATGATCCCCGAGACAATGATCAACCACCTTGGCGACTGGACTATACTCAAAGCCGAGGCTGAGTACGCGGAAGAGGATACTAGCGAGAATATACCCGAGGAAGAGGCCAAAAAGCAGGAATTGATGATAGCACGCATGCGGTTGGTCAAGAAGATTAGAGTAAAGGTGAAGGAGTATCGTAAGCCAGCTAGCGTGACCGCTCAAGCTTAGCCCTACTGACCAATATATACAGATGAAGCACTAAAGCTAATGTGTGAGATATTCGCCCTCGAAAGACCCGAACGCGACGATATCGAGACAAATGGTCGTATCTTCGTACAACCGGATGAGGATGACTACGATCACGATCACTGGGAAGCCAAAGCAGATTCGCACGCCATCATCCAAGGTGCCATGGCTCTGCATCTCTGCAAGAAAAATCGGAAAGACCTTTGCACGCTGGCACCACAAGTAGAGCGGGACCCTCTTACCCGGCTCGTGGAGAGCAAGCACCAACTCCGCAGCATGATAAAAGATAAGACCACGGGTATGATCAGCCTATCCAAGTGGAAACGCATGAATAAAGTCATCACATGGATCAGCGTATGCTTGGTGGTAGTTTGGCTCGTTGGTGCCATTGTCGGTCTGTACTGCTGGAGATCCGACACGGGACGCTTAATCTTGCTCAGTGTCCTCACGCTAGGCTTCGCCTTCTCAATCCTCTGGGTGACTACAGCACGACGACACGACATCTTTGCATCTACGGCTGCGTATGCTGCTGTGCTTGTCGTATTCATCGGAAGCACACTTGACACTGCTGGGTCGAAGGGTACGACCAGCGCCAAATCGAGTAAAACACGGTTGTCAAGGAGCCTGGAGCCCACACGGACATATCTTGCTTCTGGCTTTGATATTGGACAGGCTTCAGATAGGACATATGCTATCACTATGATGGGCGGCATGTTTATGGTGGCGGGTGTATTACTCTGTGCTATATTGTTGCTGCAAGTGAGAAGGAGAGGCCATATCAGGCTATAGCCATCTATATAAACCTAATACTTTCACATAAACACAGCGATTAAAAATATACCAGGAGCGAACTCCCCTCTTCTGTAAGGCTTCTGGTAAGATTGTCAAGATGCAAGATGAGATTGACGATCTCGTACTTGTCCAGAGAGAGCACGTTCAAGTGTCGACTCTCTGCGGAACTGCACTCATCTGTTGACAAGACATTGCCTTTTGATAGCTAATATACTACCTGGGAAGGTGAGAAAGCCAGACACATAAATGGGGATAAGAAATAACTAATTATAGTGAGACAGGAGAACAATTTCATTTCCACAAATTTCAACAAGTATAACTAAAAAATAGTAAACATCAGATACCTGCAATACACCCCATCTGAAACCCGAAACACCAGATTTGAATCATGATTCAAAGCTTGCCAACACAAACGCCACATCCCAGAGCCTCAGCCAGAGGCATGATCATCAAGATCTACTGTACCATCAACCAGACATCCCACCTCCTCATCCAAAGAACTTGCCCGTGAATCTTCTACTAACCTCTTTCAGATCGCTCTTGAACATATCAGCAGCAGTAACAGATCTAGTCTGTAGTTCACCACTGCTCGAACGACGAATTGTACGGTGACGAGATGACTCCTCTTGTTCCCGATTAGCACGGTGCTTCAATGGCATAATCGCACGTAAAGTACGATCAGTTGACCGAGAAGTGTGTTGGGTCTTCTGAGAAGTGTGGTTGCGGTGATGAGAGACTGAACTAGAAGGCCTGGTCTTGTGGCTACTGCTGGGGAGTGGAGGAAGAGGCTTGTTGGTCTTAGGACGACTGGTGTGGGCTCTGGAGATACCAGTCGATTTGACGGGAAGGGTACGATCAAGGTTAGAAGCAGAGGTGAAATCAGTAGTTGCTGGTCTTGCGGAGCGTCGAGGAACAGGACTGATGATTTCAGCATCGGTGTTGGAGCGAGCACTGGCCCGAGGTAAATCCATTTTCGATGAGCCAGGGGGAGGATACTGTGATGGAGTGAATGGTCTCACACCAGGAGGTAAAGGCTTACGAGCGATTTTGAACGGTTTCAAGGGTGAACCTGGAGGCGTATAGGAGATCGATTTTGAGTCATGAGTCCTTGTAGCAACTACTCGACCAGCAGGTCTCATGGCGGTGAACGACGGGATGACAGGAGAAGAAGTGGTGGAAAGACTGCGGTTCTCATCGAAGAAGGCGGGCGTGACTGGCATTGGCAGACCAGAAGGTGCAGCGATTGTTACACGTCTCTTGTCCTTGTACTTGTAGGCGATGTACTCTCCAGCAGGATGGGCGACATACTTTTCCTCGTAGGGGTCGAATGGAGGGTACTTAGGGATGAAACAATTCAGGAAGTTGGTCGGTGGCTCAGGTGTTGGCAGTGGAGTCGACATTGAAGAGTCAACGGGCTCAACAGGGCTCACCGGCGACGGAAGCGGCTCATCAAAGGGGTTGAACGGAGTCGACTCAATCTCAGGCAATGTAAGCAAGCTACAGTCGTGAATCTCGTCGGCTTCCAATTCATAGATCTCGTGAGTCGGAAGAGTAGTCATGTCGGGCTTTGCACACGATTTCCTGGAGAGGGTGTTGTTGTTAACGGTGTCAAAGTTTTGCTTAGCAACAGCCTCAGCCTCAGCTCTCATAACTGAATAGCGGCGTGGGCTGATAGCTGGGGGAAAGCGATTAGCCTCGATGAATATAGAGAGTGTTTCGGCCTTCATATTGTTGAATCTGCTTACTATGGCGATGAGTTGAGTTTAGAGAGAGTGATGGGACAAGTATTATTTTGAAATGTGTTGTAAACTGTTGTGTTAAAAGCAGGTGTTATTCGAGTGTTGACTCCTTCCTGTTTGCGAATGATCGGAGTAGAGATCAAGCAGTACTTATTGCTATAGGATGGCGTACAATGGGACAAAGGACAAAGAGATATGCTCAGGATTGCTTTCAAGTCCAGTTTGCAAGGAACAATGAATTTCTTTGACCGAGGACAAAGAGATTGATCTAGAAGAGCTGTCGCCATGCCGCATACTCGAACTCGACGAAACGCGGTAGGAACATTGCAAGACTTGCCATGTTTAGCTAAGTCGAGCTATGGTCGATACGTTTCATCCTCCCCCCCCCCCTGTGCCTGACTTTGTCACGTCAACTCTCTTGCTGCAGTGATGCACATCTATACATCTGTCCGAATGCACGACGATTTTGAATAGGACCACTCACTTCAGATATATTCGCAGGTTCAAACATCGGTGTGCATCTCTACAGCTTCTTACATGATAAATCTCAATGCTCGAGCTGGATATAGAGCATCCCCGTGTGCTAAAAACTGTCACTGACACTGCTGCCAAATTGCACGATAATCCTCAAAAGTAGAGCGGCGTCCAAGGAGAGGCCATCAGATAGCCGCTCTCTGTGGACGATATCCTCTTACTCAAAATCATTGTGCATTTTGCTAATCTGGGATGCTGCGGGAAAAGGATTATCAAATTACGTTTTGTTGCGAGCACACAGAAAAGCAGTAGATACTTGATTCGGTTATGAAAGCACTGTATTGCTTCGAGGAGAGATAAGAGCCTGGAGGCATACTAGAGAATCAATGACCGGTCCAAATCCATCTCAACACCTACGCAAAGCTGAGGAATCTGCAGAGACGGTCAGCAACGATGATGCATAGAAAGAACTGTGAAGTGGTTACTTGTGTATATGCGGATGCCTTCAACAAGGCACGGGTAGCATGCAAAGCCTGGAACGTGTCAGTGGCAAGCATGCACTTTTGCAATGAATCAATGGTCTTCACTCACCGAAGTATATGTGGGAAATGGGTTTGTTTTCAAGGACTCAAGGAACGCCTAGCTCATCGCTCCTTCGCTCACGCCGCAAATCTGGGCATCGGCACTGGTTTGTTCGTCTCTGCATCCAGAGAACATTGTGATCATCTTCTTCTCGTGTGCCCAACTTTGAGTGAATTCGTCTGCCTCTAGACCTGTCGCTTGTCGACGATGCTTCAGGCTGCGGAACAAGGATGTTGCTCCAGCATACAGATCTCGAGTTTGGGCTTCTTTGTTAAAGCTGAAGCCGCCAGTGATGAGATGTTTTGCATCCTTCATGAGATGTTTGCCGATCCCTTCGGCGTCGACTTGTTGGACGTTGCCGCCATCGTCACTTCGATAAATGAATGGCAACTGCAGGGTCGATCCTGAGTGGCAGCAGTCGAGGATGAGGAATAGGGAGCTGCTTGGGTGGAGTCTGCTCACGAGATGTTGGTGAAGCGTGTCTGAGTCGATCTGGCCATTTTCCTCGAAGTCGACGGGTACAATTGTATCGAGCAGACCTGACGGGTGCCTGCCTTGAGGGTCATCGATCTGACCACCGTGTCCAGAGTAGTGAAAGAAGCATATTGTATTCTCCTCGCTAACCAACCAGTCTATGGCTGCCAGCAGGTTGTGACCCGTCGGGTAGTAATCGTCCTCGAGATCGTCTCTGAGAACGAGTTGGTCATGCGGGCCGTCCTCGTAGCCTCGATACTTGATGAATTCGGCTACATTGTCGACGTCCTCATGGCATCCTTTCAACGCATTGTCGCTGCCGGTGTAATTGATCCCGATTAAAAGAGACTTGCGACGTTGCATGTAATTGTTCGTTGTATGGGCTTGCTGATGTTCTGATAGTAGGGATGCGTGTGAGTATTCTTAGGTTGTTGATGCGTCTTCACATTGTTGTTGGAATGATGGGTGGCTTCTCCAAGAACTGGAAACATCAGCATCAACGCTGCGCAACCTTGCGTCATCTCTGTCGCTCCTTCTCTGATAACATATAAGGCGACCACACCGGACATCGGCGTTCTGAGCCTCAATCAATTCAGATCGAACGAGTGCCGAGTTGACCACGTCATGAATGCCTTGTATCCCAACACGGCTACCCTTTGGTATTGATACTTAAATTGAGGTGACGGCGAGCACCACTGTTAGATAGAAATATGTTTTCCGTCAATTTGATTCGACGAGCAAGCATGTCGCAACGTACAATAGCATTCACGTTGATAGGCCTGTCTTTGAAGACTTTCGAAAGCAGCTTCTTTTTGGACCCGAGTCTGCAATCCAAACCTCCCTAGGTATTTTCCGTCTCCTGCATTGGAACAGCTATGGTAATGTAGACGCAGGGGCACAGGGATTGCACCAGAACCGAGCTCTCAGCCTAGCAAAGGCTCCCTACAACATAGCAGTCAAAAGGCACAATGATTTTTGGTATCCGATGTAGGTCCAAAGAGATCAAGGGGCAGTATCGCTCTCAATAGACATTTACTTGATCATCAAAAGGATCCTGCCTTTTTGCAGCTATGGTTGCAATCATGTTTCTTCGATATTCTCGTCTCCACCAATCACTTATGGTTCTTTCATTCGCATTTTTATTCATTGTCCTCATAAACAAGCATTCTTTGTCTCATAGATTGCCTTCGTTGTTGTTGCTCTATGAGTGCTGCGTTCATTGTCCATTGTCTCACAGCAACAAAGCACCACAAGGAAATGTCTTCTCTGGGCGGACAATGACCTTGTAAGACTAGTGGTTTGATGAGCTGTACATAAGGCAGTCTTGCTTCCACCACTGAACAACTCGCCAACCCACTAACCTTTCTATCATCTAGAGTCCAGTTAACATTACCATGCAGACATACACCCCCCCTGGTAGCCCCGCTCGCCCTTTGGCTGCTGGTATTGCTCACTGGACTACCGCAAACACTATACCCGCTGGCCCTCAGAACGCCCCTCCATCCCCTCCCAGGACACGCCCTGTCAAGAAGAGTAGGTTTACTAAAGTCCGCAACTTCTTGCGTCGTGACTCAACTCCTAGTGCTCCCATGCCAACTTCAGCTATCCGCCACCAGATTACCGAGCACCCCAATATCACACCCAGAAGGCCCACACCTCTAAGGCCCACGGTCAGACGTCCCCAGACTGCTGCTCACACTGACAGCCACACAACCTCAACAACGTCCAACCAGCCTTTCAAGATTTCTAGAAAGCCTCTGCCTCCTGGTGCTCTCAGTCGTTCACAGTGGGTGGCTCTTGCCAACTCTGCCTCAACTCAGGCCCCTAGCCAGCCTCACATGGCCCCAATGTCCTCTGCTCCTGTCTCTCCAATCTCGACCTCTGCAATGGGTGCTCAGTATGACAGTAGACCTGTCAGCCCTATGTTCCCTACCAGCCCGGCTTCTAGTACTGCTTCAGAGCCCGACTTCAACCAGGCCAGAATTAACCGTATGAGCACCTACTCGTATCTGGAAGGCCAGAATATTGACTTGTCTTCTTATGCTTTTAGTCCTTGTGCTGACAAGTTTGCCATTAGTAGAAGCGCTTCTCCAGTCGCCCTAACCAGAGCCTCCTCTTCAGCCGTCAACACTTCTGCTAGAGGTCCATATGTGCTTCGAACTGCTACCCCTGTCGCCTTCCAGAAAGCTAGAGCTGTCAATGTTCCTGGTCCTGTGAGAAACCCCTCCGCTGCCTCGTCTCCCCGTTCTCGTTTGCGTTTAGCACTGACTTCTGAGATTACTCCTAGATCCGTTTATCCAGGTGTTCTACGTGAAACCAGACACCAGCCTACGATCGTCCAGCCCTCCAGAGTCCAGTCTGCCTCTGCTTCCCTGTATTTCGGCATCACCCCTGAGACCTTCTTACTCAGTGACAGTAGTAGCAGTGGCTCTGATACAGCCTCACTGCACTATGTCATTGGTTGTAAAAGCTCCAGTAGTGGCCCCTCAACTGACTCTGACAGCTCCTCTGACAACGGCTCCATCGGTTCTCATGCAAAGATCCTGAAAAAAGCCTTGACTAAGTCCCTTGACAAAAACTCACTTATCAAGAGACCGTTCGTCAAGAAGTAAGACAGGTAAGCCCCCTTCCCTACCTCCCCTATTTTCACCCCCATCCCTCTCCTGAGGCCATTCCCCTCCCACTCTCACCATCCTCATCCTCCCTTTTGCTTTTGTTCAGCTTTGATGTTCAGTACTCGCATTTGTTTTGATAGCAAGATACGGTTACCGGAGTTATGGACACAAGAAGATAGAAGAGTTGGTCAACTCGATAATAAAATTGTAAAGGTTCAAAAAACAAACAAAATGTGCCCCTAATTGCATTGTGAAATATGACCCCTCCTCCCCGTGTGTCTAAGTTTGTCACTGTCGCTGCTGTAGAAATGCACGATAGTTTCCAGGAGTGCAGCTAGGTCCAAAGAGAAGACCTCCAAGTATCGCTCTCTGTGGACGACGTGCTATTGCTCAATATCATCGTGCATTTTGATGCGTTGTTTAATGCGCACCGCTGCGACTTGGGAGTCGATGTGACAAAGTTTAGCACACGGAGAGGCTATGAATATGATTGCTGTGAATGTCCAAGTGGGAATTATGTAGTAACAAGAACATCACCTCGCGTCGCTCCACTTGGGCGGCCTCTCAGGTCTTGTGAATTGATCCTGGAAGTGCTCCTCCCACCAAGTAACAGGTGTAAACAGGTAGCTTCCAATGACACAGAAGATTGTAGCCAGAAACTGCCAGATGGGTACAATGATGGAGATCCAGGGCAAGATGAACTTGATAAACTGATCCGTCTGGTACAGATCATTTTGGCTGGAAATGTAGTATTTGAGTTTACCATCGTCCTCCGAATCTTTCTGTCGTGTCAAGTGCAAGACTGTGACGAGCGAGACTTCGGAGCGGTGGGTAGGGATGGCCCAAATGGCAAAGACTTGGGTGAGGCCGACGTAGAGGACGAGGTTCTTCTCGTCGTAGGAGACGCTGTGAACTTTTGCGCTGATGCGTGGTGACATGATCTTGTACCAGCGGTATATGCGTTCGACTAGGTAGCGGGAGTTGGCCGAGGAGCCGGTGCGGCAGAAAGGGTGGGTGAAGCTCGCATTGGGTGTGAAGTATTTGTTGACGGTTGAGAGTTGTAATGATGGAGGGGTCTCGGTCAATAGAGCGATCACGTAGGGAATCTCTGCCACAGGGTCGTCCATGTTGATAGGTTGGTTTGTAGGAGACTGCTCAGTCGGCGACAAGTTGTTGACCTTGACTTTCACATGCTCAACGTCATGGCAGGCGGACCCTGACTGTTGGCCCTCCCCGTGTGCTAAAATCTGTTACTCTGGCCATCTCCTGCCGCTACGCCTAGAGTCGTCTAGCCTGTAAAAATGCACAATGTTTTTCAGATCGGCATAGGCGTCCGCAGAGAGGCTCTGACTATCACGCTCTTAGTGGAAGCTACCCCTGACAATGCTGAAACTGTGCTGTTCTATAGTTGTACGCGTGACAAAGTTTAGCACACGGGGAGGGCCCAAGCGGGCGGCCAAGGTTCTTATCGCCGCTTATCGCGATCTCTTGGCGAATTTTTGAGCCATACCGACTTTTTTAATACCATTGCCGCCCAATCAAGAAGGAATCAAGGAATACAGCCGCGTCCTTCGTACTGGACGTCTCATATATTTCTTCAACATGGTCGACCATCACCATCGGAGCACCACGAAGCAGGCGCACAAGCCCTACAAATCAAAGCACATGAGCAAGGGCGCAATCAAGGACAAGAACAAGGGTAGGTTACTCGACTATATACCATGAGATTTCAGTCGCCAACACAATACAGGCAAGGTCGAGTCAGTAGGCTTCGAACGCGGAACGAGAAAGACACCACACCAGCAGATGATGTCCAAGTTGGACCGCCGCAACCAGGCCAAGCAGAAGCGTCTAGTCAAGGATGCCGAACACGATCGCCAGACCAACGTATTCCACGGAAAGAACGCCGCTCCTCGCATTTGCGCCGTCATTCCTCTCTGCGAAGACATTTCCAGCGCAACCGCCGTCCAGAACCTCGTCCGCAGCGTCGACATTGAAGACGAAGCCCCGAACAGCAACCTCTGGAAAGTCGACGTTGGCCGCTTCAAGCAAAAGCTGCAGTTTATCACTCTCGGACGTCGCGATGTCCTCGACGCTCTGGATGCCTGCCGTGTCGCCGACTTTGTCATCTTCGTTCTGAGTGCCGATCAAGAGGTGGATCCGGTGGGAGAGCAGATGCTGCGTACAATTGAGAGTCAGGGTGTGTCGAACGTCATTACTCTGGTTCAAGGACTCGACCAAATTGAGCCCGCAAAGAGACGCCCGCAAGTTCTGGGCTCGCTCAAGTCCTTCATCACCCATTTCTTCGCTACTCAGGAGCGCGTACATTCCCTGGATGCCCGCCAGGACTGCGCCAACGTTGTTCGTTCGCTCTGCACAACCACACCCAAGGGAATCCACTGGAGAGAAGCCAGAAGTTGGATGTTGGTCGACGACATGGCCTGGCCCGAGGATGCTTCAAACACTGTTGTTTTCACCGGCACTGTTCGTGGAAGAGGCTTGAAGGCCGACAGACTGCTGCAAGTTGGAGATTGGGGTGACTTCCAGATCGAGAAGATCATGGCTGCCGAGCCTCTGGAGAGTAAGAAGAAGCACGGTACCGACGACATGGCCATGGACGACGTTCCTCAGCAGGACAACGTCCTCGAGCTGCCTTCCGAGGACCAGGACGATATTGCCGACCTTGCACCTGAGGAAACAGCTATGACAGACTTTGCTCCTTCAGTTGCCGCCACTGAACGTAAGGGTGTTTTGCTGGACGACCACCACTACTTCGACGAGGATGAGGACCCGGAGGCCGCAAAGCCAAAGAAGCTGCCCAGAGGTACCTCGAAATACCAGTCTGCCTGGTACGTAGGAGATGTTTCAGACTCTGGCTCCGATCTGGAAGACGCCGACGAGGAGATGGACGATGCAATGGAGGACGCTGTTCCTGCTGACGGCACCGAGGGTCTCGCTCCTCGTGAGCCCACCGAATACGCACCTTCAGAATACCCGCAATCAGAGATGTTCTTGGACCGATCACCTGAAGACGAAGCCGAGCAATTGGCCGCTTACCGCGAGTCACGAAAGGCAGAAGCTGAAGAGGATCTCGAGTTCCCTGACGAAATCGAATTGCACCCCAACGTGTCTGCTCGCGAGAGACTTGCCCGCTACAGAGGTCTCAAGAGCTTGCGTACCAGCGCATGGGAGCAGGACGAGGACAAGCCGCATGAGCCCGCAGAGTGGTCGCGTCTGCTCGAGATTGCCAACTACAAGGCAGCACAACACCGTATGGTCAGCGAAGCCCTGGTCGGAGGTGTTGCCCCCGGAACTCGTGTCCACGTATACGTCCGCCTTGGTGATTCGTCCCCTGAGACACTCAAGACTCTCCCCACACCAACAGGTATCTTCTCGTTGTTGCGCCACGAGCACAAGCGCACTTCGGTCAACCACAGCATCACTCTCAGCAGCGACTACCCTGCACCGCTCAAGTCAAAGGACGAGCTGATTATGCAATGCGGCCCTCGTCGCTTGATCATCAACCCCCTGTTCTCGCAAGCAGGCAACACACCCAACAACGTGCACAAGTTCGACCGCTACTTGCACCCCGGTCAAACAGGCATGGCCTCATTCATCGGTCCCCTGACCTGGGGCAACGTTCCTTGCTTGTACCTCAAGCGCACATCCACCATTCCTCCACCTCCCGCCGACTCAGATGACGAGGACAACGACAAGATGGAAGACGACACAGACGCCAACAAGCCTCTATACACCCTCATCGCCACCGGTACCTCAGTCGCCCCCAGCACCAATCGCATCATCGCCAAGCGCGCCATCCTCACCGGTCACCCTTACAAGATCCACAAGAAGCTCGTCACCATCCGCTACATGTTCTTCAACGAGGAAGATGTCGCCTGGTTCAAGGCCATCCAACTCTGGACCAAGCGTGGCCGCAGCGGTTACATCAAGGAGTCTCTTGGTACGCACGGTTACTTCAAAGCCACCTTCGATGGCAAGATCAACCCCATGGACGCTGTGGGTATGTCCTTGTACAAGCGCATGTGGCCTAGATGGGCAAGAGAGTGGAGACCTGGTATGGAAACCGCCACTCTGGAGAACGAGAAGGGTGATATGATTGCTTAGATGGTTTTATGCCTTTTTGCATATATGCATACAAAACATGATGGAATTGTTGATATTCAAATGGTGTTTTTTTGAGGGTCATGGAAATGAATAAAAGCTCTTTTTTGATTTATAGGTTATGCATGTAGATTTGTTCTATGACCATGCTAGTTTCTGACGACACACCAATGCCTCTTCTTCTGAGGATTACTCTTGCTCTCTTCGAATGACTTCTCCATCCGCTTTGTCTCTCAGATCGCGAGCCATTGCGAAAGATTCGATTTGACCAGAGCGTGTAGTTTAGCTTTGGCTCTCGCGTTTGCTGAACCGGAGGGACGTCTTTTTGAGGACGGCAGGGGCGAAGTATGATCCGCGGTTGGTTCCGCGGTGGCCTTGACGGTATCAGTCGATCATTCGCCTTCTTTCCGTGCGGATATTCGTAGCGCCTCCTTCGAAGGTAATTCCGAGGAAGGCCGAGTGTCCTGATCGAGCCTTGATGCTCGAGAGTGTCTTGCGTCTCTTGAAGTCTGGCTCTCCTTGCGCAGCCAGCCAGCGTGTCTGTCTTCTTCCTGTGTTCCTCGCATCCTCTTCCACATGCCATGACTGACGCTTCCTGGGTATATCCATGCTCTTCTTGCTCTTCTTCCCAAAATCTCCACTCTGCGGGTACATCCATGCTTTTCTTCCACTCTCCGTGACCCCATGCCATGACACTCAACTCCAATCCAACTCCAATCCATACTCTTATCATTCTGTCCCAGACCTCCTCAAGCAACCACACCCACCGCCTGCACTCCACCAGCATCCCCATCTTTCTCCAAGTCCTCAAGGTCGAAAATAACTCTGATCATCAGCGAACAAGACGGACACACGGCGATATCCTCGCCGTCCCTCAAGTCGTCAATGTTGATTTCGAATTTATCGCCGCAGGGGCATGGGTAGGTGTATAATTGTGTTATCGGGTCGTAGGTCATGTCCTGTGTTCGGATATGTTAATGAAAAAGTGAGGTAGAAGTGGGAGGGAGGGGAAAGGGCGCACTTCGATTTCTATCTCGTCGTAGATGTTGTCGGCCATTTTTGGAGGTGGGTGAGAGTGGTCGTGGAGGTGTGTTGGAGAGGTGTGTTGTAGATGGCTTTGAGTCGCGGATGGGCTGAGTGTGTGACAGCGAGAGTGAGGTTCAGGTCAAGCGTTTGGAGAGTCGAGTGTGTTGTTTGCGACACAGAGGGTGGAAAAAGATTGTATGGTCATCAAGGTTTTGGTGGCGTGGGGGAAGGCAGCGAAAAGTTCTGGACCCCCGGAAGCTCCGTGACTCGGAACAGCACCATGTCGATCCGTGGTGACCCTGGCTGTATCGTCCTCATCTTTCACATTTCACATATTCTACTTGTTCTCATTGACATCATTGAACACCCGTGCTAAAAACATATCGGATCAAGATTAGATGGAACGTGAGAAGGTATGTAGATCGTTCCACGAGTCCGGGTCTCGTCGTTGCGTTTCTGGTTTTTGTCGATACTGTAATTGTTTCTCATCTCATGTCGAGTGCAAGCATAGCTCCAGCCGCAACCTCGTTCTCAAACCCCCAACGACGCAAAGCTCTCATCATAACACACGTCATCAGGTCCTGCCATCCTCACCTCGCCACACACCCTGATCGGATAGCAGTTTGCTAGGATGGTCTCTTGAGCTTTCCACCTCCAATGCAAGTCTGGATTCATTGTTCAAACCATCAATCTCGCGACGTGCGTCTTCATCACCTCCTTCGGGATCATCAGTGTAGCGCTGGGAGGGGTACTCGATAACCCTGTTTGCTGCGTCGGACTCGTCCTGAAGCATACGTTGAGGGTGACGCATGCTTTGCTGTGCCCACGTCGGGTGCAAGGCAGGAGTCACAATAATTATGGCCTATTACGGTTGTTAGTCGGGAAGTCGTAAGCTCAAATAGGGATACGCACCACCCAGACAAAGACGCCCACAGCAACTCCAATCATAAGACCAGCCACAGTTCTCTCCTTGTCTCTCCAAGCTCCCTCACAGCCAACATGATATCCGTATTGCATCTCGCACGTATCGACAGCGATTCCATGGCCAGGGAACGGGAATGGCATGTCTCGCACGTTTCTGAAGCCGCAACACTTTAGTGCCTCCTGAATTGTACGAATTTTGCTGCCGCTTTTGTGTTGGAACATGGTCTGCCATTTCTCCCTCAAGGCACATCCAAGGCCACCTACAGGCGAGATGTGGGTGCCGCTGAGTGTTGCCACGACGGTGATGTAAACCAGCAATCCGAGAATGGTCAGGGTTGAAGGCAGCAGAACGGCAGGGAAATTGCGTGCGTGACGGTGTCGCAACTTCGGGTGCTGAGCTAGTGAGGATGCAAGTGCGGTGCTCGTTTCAATGCAGAGTCCTGCGAAGGGTGCTAGTGCCAATGTGAGAGTCGTGAGCGTTGACGGAATAGGTAGAGACAGCGTCGAGGTTTGATGTACAGCATAACTGTGTTTGAGTTATTAGTTGACGGAACCATGTCTATTGAGCAAGCAGGTTCGACGTACGCTGCCATTGCTGTCAAGGCTCCAAGATACTATCAAAATCAGCAAAGAACATGACAAGCGATCCGACACAGCTTACAAGAACACTCAGAATGACCGACACCTGGCGTCTGTTGAGCGACACCATCTTCGCTGTAGTTGTTGGGTTTTTCTTGTAAATTTGAAGGCTGATAAGACCAGGCAGCTCTGATTGCAGCGTGCTTTAATCTGGTTGATTGTCTGCAGCAAAGCAAGCAATGCGAGACGAGAAAGTGAGAGAGAGAGAGAGCAGGAGAAAGTGGATGGATCAAGATGAAAAGATTTCAAGAAAACACCTTCTTTCTCCGTTTGTCCCTATCATGAACATGAAACAAGGAAGTAGCCATCAATGATCAAGAGGATCAATGGCGTGAGTGTGTTGATGCATCCAATCGTCACTTCTCCGCATTTGTAGATCGCTCGGCAGCGCCAGCAAGGGTCCAACGGAGGCAGGAGGAACACCTTCCACCTTATCACATTTAACGCATTTCGCTTTAATTCACGCAGAAAGGCTGATGATTTGTTGGCTGAATGGAGGTGGTGTGTAGTATCTCGGTCTTTAAATTGATCGCGCACACTACAGATGGGCAGGTACTTTGGCATGTGAAAGGCCGTCACGCGCCCGGCGTGCATATCGTGTATCACGGCGCGATTTCTATCAAATGCCTCTGAGCTCTGAAGTATACATCTTTACACTACCAGAATACTGATCAGCATAACGAACACCACCCAACATGCCTGATAACAAGTCCACCTCAGCACTAGTCTCTGCGACTCTACGAGAACACACTACGCCATTGACCGAGCGGACTGATGCCATTATCGCCGCCTCAAAGTCGATAGCCGCACAGAAACAGACTTTGGTTCAGGATACTCGGAAGCTAGCTCGACAGGCCGAAGAACTTGAGAAGACGATAGGTCAGAGCGTCGACCAGCTCAAGGAGATGGGTGATCTTCAGAACTGGGCCGAGGTGGTGTTCCGAGACATATCTGTGATTGAGGAGACGTTGAGGATGGTAGAAGAGCAGGAAGCAGAGGGCGACCAGGGAGGTGATGGTACAGACAGCAGGACAACTTAGCCCTTGAAGTTGATGGAGCGGAGATTCTTGTATGATGCTTGCTTGTTAGATGCTCGATCTTGGGCAAAACAAGAGTGTGAATGGCAAGGAGAAGCTGATTCCCGAGTGACCCTCAGCCTTCTCTTTGAGCTTCTCTGCCACGTTGGCTGTGCTTCAGACTCTTCATGCTTAGTCTGGGTCTGCTCTTTCTAGCATTTGCTGTGGGGCTTTTCTTGCCGCCCAATAGCCAAGCGCTCATAGGGGGTCTGACACCGATGAATTTACCTTTGGGTGAGAACACTTCGACTGTGGGATGAGTGTCCTCTACGATGTGCTCCTCGGGTGTACCCAAAGGCTTCCAGGTTGTGGTATCAGAGTCTGAGAATGCAGACGATGTATCGTTGTCTAGAATCTTGTCCAGCGAGGGCGTGCAAGTGGGCTTCACCTTCTGCTTCCTGCGTACCTGAGCAACAAGTTCAACCCAACCAACACCTTCAACCAGGATGTCCGCTGAATATACAATGAAAGGCAGTTGATCGGCCTTGAGTTTGGCAGCGGATTTGGAGGTCAGTGGGCCTGCACGTTGCTTGGTGACATCCCATTCCAGCTTGAAAGTACCTGCAGATGCCATGTTCTCGCGAGCTTCCTTGGTCATGATTGTTTGCAATCCGGTCATTCTCTCGCCGCTCCCGATAGCCACAGCTTTATCGGTAGAAGTGATGTGTGAACTCAAGGGCAGGAAGGTATAAGAAAGGAAGACCAGATCCGAAGTAGTAGGAGTAATGCGAATAAGACCACCTCCCAGAACTAATGACTGGCCAGGCTTGATAGACATCTGCTCGGGGGTCACACGAGAACGCATGACAAGATCCTGTTGGTGCTCAGGTATGACAAACTCGTCCAGATTAGATCGAGCAACGCCAGGAAGATCGATAAGCTCACCCTTGCCACTACCGAAGGGCACGCGAATAGGTGAAGCAGTGGTTCCAGGCAAGGAGGAGATGACAGGCATCACAGGGTAGGGTACCTCGATCTGAGCTGGAGGTAGCAGCGAGCCTTCTTCTACATCAAAGACATCAGGCTCGTCCTGGGCAATAGTCTCTGGCTGGGTCCCGACCGCAGCATCACTCGAAGCAGTGGCCGTAGTGTCGACGGCGGTAGTAGCACCCATATACTGGAGATCAGGCAAATCCGAGAGAGACTCGCTTGATTTCGCAGGAGCGGACGGCGTGTCCGATTTCAAGTTTATGTCCATCCGTTGGGGTTTCGGAGGCTTCTCTTGTCCCCTGCCTTTGGGAAAGGCGACCTCAAACAAATTGCTCTTGCCCACGTTGACCTTGCCAACCATCCAAGCAGCGCCACCTCTTTCCCATATGTCTTCTTTAACCTGTTTGGTCCACCAGCCACGCTTGGAACTTACGCATCGCAAGCCTCCAAGTCTGACATTTCTTCCAGTGCGACCGAGAGCATCACGGAGGGTTTCGCGCAGATACGGCATCAAGCTGTCGACTTGTTCCTTGTTTGGGGCTAGGAGATCGGAGCGAGTGATGATGAACGAGACATCGGCGATACGGTCGCGCACGTATTTGCGATGCTTGGAGCGACGGTTTTGTGTACGCAGGGCTGGGAGATCGAGGCGGTTTAGGAGGTTGGGAATGAGCGACATGGGAAAGTCTGCGGCGTCGAGAATGTGATAGATGTGGTTGTTTTTGTGAGGCGAGTCCTCGATTATGCTACGGATGCTGTCGATCGAAGGGTGGAAGATGGGTACTCCGACGTGATGGTGCAGGAGATTGTGGCAGCGGTCGCAGATGGGAGTCTGCTTCTGTGGCTGTTCTTGAGCATCGAGGGCCTTGTTGTCCAGGCCTAGCTCTTGCAAGACGTTGCTGTCGACCTTGTCCAGAGTTGCCTGAAAGACGAGATCCTCCTGTTTGGCATCATCTTGAACGAACTTCTTGACAGCAGACCTACCCAAGCTGTAGAAGCCTGCTTCTTCGGGAGCTACTGTCTGACTGGGAGCACCGCATCCTGGACATGACAAGGGTAACTTTCTTGTCTTTTGTTTGATCTCGGACTGGAGGCGTTCGGTCAAGTCATGTTGGTCTTGTGCAGGGGCAGCCGCCTCGGTTGAAGAGAGGCGTTTCGCAGCGATGCTCAATGACAACAGCGACGAGCGCAGGTAGTATGGCGGAGCGTGTATAGAAGTCCGAGCTAACGGCTTCTTTAGCAGCGAATTGCGCGAGCGAATGACCACTCTGCTTAACATTTGGATGTTTTGGCAACTCTCGAAAAAGTTTCGACATCGAAACACGATTTGACATCATCGAGCGGCCAAAATGGTCGGCCCGAGCACTCCGTCCCTTGGTCTCAGTCATGCATGATGCGCCACCATTCCATACCACTCAATTGCTTTGTACCTACTCTGCAAGACTACTCATGTTGTCTACTTTGAAACACTACAACACCTCCAACATGTCGTCTCTCAACCTCGCGCGTCTTGCCGTTCGCTCCTGCTACTCCCCAGCTGCCCGCCGCGCCATCAGCACATCGCCCGCTTTCAGATCATCATGGTCGCCAGGCCCTTCGCCGCCACGCCTTCCCAAGGAGGAGCAAGAGGTCTTCGATAAGCTGATGAAGCAATCTACCGGCGCTTTCAGTACTCCTCAGCAAGCTCCTGAAGAGACCGTTGCCGAAGCCTCTACCTCCAAGCCCCAAGTCAACCAATCGCCCCAGATCAATCAGTCGCCTGCTCTCAAGGCCGACGGCAAGGGCGAAGAACTACACCCGAATGTCCGCCGCGGTGCTCCTCCAGAGTTCGAGGGCGATGTCAACCCTCAGACTGGCGAGGTCGGCGGTCCCAAGAACAACCCTTTGCGATGGGGTCACCAGAGCGATTGGAGTTATAACGGCCGTGTCACCGACTTCTAAGTCAATCCCTATCCACCTCTCTCCAACCGACCAACTTCCTCTTTGACCCTGGAAATCTCGTCCTTCATCCTTTCCATCTCCTCGACCGCCTCTTTGAGTCCTGCGACTCCTTCGAGCCTCTCCAGCCATTGCTCGCGATCCCTGAGTCGTCTGCGTAGTCCAGCACTTCGAGCTTCCAACTCTCCTTTCTTGCCCCTGAGCTGCTCCTCGGCTCGTTCGTCATAGACTTGTCCGGCTACCGTCTTCCTCGCAACCAGCAGGCGCTTCTCCAATCCTCGCGCGACTGTCGCGAGATGCTCTGCTCGTGCTCGGGTGTGTCGTCCTACGCTTCCGTGTACCACTTGCTCCAGTATCCGGATGGCCGTTTGTATCAGCTGAGCATTTGTCTTAAGAAGTTGCGTCAATGTTCCTGCCAACTCAATCCGTTTGGCACCGAGCTGCCACTTCGCCTCATCGACATCTGTCTGAAGAGCTTGAATTTGAGCTGGAAGTGTCGACGGGTCCGCCTGCTGCTGCGTTGGATCTGTATTTGTACATGAAATTAGCATCTCCATACTTTTCAATGATACCCTCTCCGTTCTTTTCATCCTCAAACGAACCTAATATCTGACAAAGCAACACCACATTTCGCTCCATATGACTCTCCACCGCCGTCCTGATGGTATCGATATTCTTCATGAACTCCTTCACTTCCACAGCAACAACGTCTTTGTCTTGGGGATCCAATTTCCCATCCAATTGCGCAGATACGATTTGAGCAGTTTCTCTCAACTATACCTCTCTGTCAGCAATCCAGTCCTCACCAATGTTCCCTCCCCATGTGCTAAGCTTTGTCCACGCATGAAGCTGTAGGAATGGACAATGTTTTTTGACATCAGCGCAGCCCTCTACGGAGAGCGTGAAAAGCCAGCGCTTCTCAGTAAGGCTGCAGCTGATATCATAAGGATCATGCATTCCCCCAACTCCATGCGTGACAAATAAGTTCAGCACACGGGGATGCTCTTATCTCAATCATCACTCACCTCCCCACTCAACCCTTCCTCCCCAAATGCAACATGCCTGACCGCATCCTCGAGCACTTCCCTCTCCGCAATTTCCACCCGTTTCTGCTTCAGCAATTCTCTGGTTTTCACTGTTCCTGCATCCAGAGCTACCGGTTTTGAAACACCGTTTCTTTGTATTTTTGTGGTCGTGAGATCTTTCCAGAGGGCTGCGAAGTGTGGGTTTGAAGATAGGGTTTGGGGGTCTGGTTGGGGTAGCATTGTTGTTGTTGTGTTTTTGTAAGAGTTTGCTTTTTTTGGGTTTCTGCAGTTTTGTTGGTGAGGTGGGTTTGTGTGCGATTGATGTTTTGTCTTTCGTGTTGCGTTGGGTTTGGTTTGGTTAATTGAGGAAGTCGGTATGTTTTTGTGTTTATGGATGGAGATGCAGATGGAGGATGGACGTGGATGACAACGGAGAGGTTGTGGAGCAGTGACCACCCAGCCCAATTTACTTGTTGCCAACATGGTCCATCGCGCTCCATGAGCTGAAGTTTGTCACGCTTCACTTGTGCTCTCTCTCCTCCCCATGTGCTAAACTTTGTAGGATTGCACGATTGTAACATTTTCAGAGGTAGCCTCCGTTGAGAGCGTAATAGTTAGCGCCTCTCTGGGGACGACTACCCCAATTCAAAAAAATTGTGTTTTGACAGACCGAATAACCCCAGGCATGGCAGCGGGAGATGGCTAGAAGTGACAGATTTTAGCACACGGGGAGGCTGGAAGGCGTGCTGCTACTCGATTATATCGTGCATTCTGACAGGTGAATCACTGAATCTAGAGCTGATGTGGTAAAGAGTGAATGCGATAAATCGTTCTTGTCTCAGAATCTGTTGTCATCAATTTGGAAGAAAGACGACTACGGATAGTATAAGCTGAGACAAGAGACAAAAAGTGCTATGGTACAAAGAATTTAAAAGGGGCGGCCTCCGTCTGCCGATTATCTTCACACCTCCTCATCCTTCAAGCAAAACTGCCCATCCTCCTGCACTCCTTCCTCTGGGTATCTCTTTTTGTGGGGGGGTGGTGGGGCAATGCGATCCTTGAGTAAGCATGTTTTTGGTGAAAGGACGACTGAGGTAGGTTGGTTGTGCGCACCACTACAAAGTGTTGCAGAGGTACGTCTTGTTCTTGTCATTCATCATCATCAATTTCGCCAGCTGCTTTGCTCGCTTCCTTGCATTCCGGGCTTTGGTCTCGTTATCATCCAACGCAATTAATGCAGAGTATTAGATATCACTTCTGCAACTGAGCAATTCGAGCTCAATCTGAGCAAATGATACGGTTCGAGGGGCGAGTTTATTCCTCCTCACTGCTCTCACTGTCGTCATCGTCGCTGCTGTCAGTACGGCGCGCAGCTGAAGGAGCTGCACCACCGCCATCGAGTGCGTCGGCCTTATCGCCCATAGCAGCCATCTGCTCCTTGAGTTGTCTGATGCGATCCTCCTGCTCGTGCTTCTTCATGGGCTTGTGCTTCTTCTTTGCAGCTCCTCCAGAACGGGCTGATGGCTTCTCGGGTTCGTAGTCATCGTCGATAGCGTTGGCATCCATCTCGACCGGCTCGGCCTTGGGGAAGATGCTGCGCACGTAGCGAAGCAGCTTATGCTGCACTTCGTTGGGCAGATCGTCAATCTCCAGCTCGACATCGTCACCGGCCATGTCCTTGTACTTAGCAACGTTTTCCGTGATGATGCTGGTAAGTCTCTCAACCTGCTCGGCACTCATATGTTCCGTGGCACTGCTGATTTCCTGCTTCTCATCATAGGTGACAAGACGTTGCTTCTTAGGCTTCGAAGTTGACTTGATGGTGGGACGAGAAGTGTTGGATACACCGCCGGACTTCTTGCTGGGCTTGCTCATGACACCGCTGCCACTCTTGCTCTTTTTCTTGCTACCAGAGGCCTTGGGGGATGCACGCTTGTTGCCAGAAATTGATGCGACCATATTCTGCATAGCGGCCAGCTGCTCCCTGAGAAGGGAGATTGTAGCCTCGTTGCTATCATGCTCGTCATCTTCATCGTGGGCATCATCGGAGTCATCACCATCGGATACGTCCGACACAGGACTAGCGCGTTGGGACTGAGGTGTGTGTCTCTTGATCCAGCTATCCTTCTTGGTCCATTCTCTCTCGAACTCGGTTTGGAAGTCTTTGCCCATCTGGTGGACAATGTTGTCAGAAGGATTGAATTTGAAGCAGTTCTGGAACATCAGGTCGAAATCATGCTTAAACTCGGCTGCGGTGGCATACTGTCCTCCCTTGAGTCTCTGAGTAATTGTAGAGATGTCCATGGGTTCCTTGATGACGCTGAAGTAGTTGGGGATGTTGAGGGCGACGGGGTCGACGGGAATGCGGAAAGGTGCAGCAAAGCGGTCCCACTTTGACTTGCGGAATTCCTCCAGGATGTGCTCGCAGAATTTCAGGCCGGTCTGAGCTTCCTTTCTCTTCGGCTTTGATGTCGAGTAGGGAAGATCGCGTGGAGCGGGAGGAATGACTGCACGCTTGGGTCTGCCAGCGGTCGAATCCCTGCGGATCATAGGGGTACCATCAGGTAGCAAAGCGAATGTTTCGTTGGCGGGAGACTTGGCAGGTGCAGCAGGCTTTGCTGGCTCAGGGCGTGGGATAGCAGCGGGCTTAGGCGATGCCTTTTTTGCGACAGGCTTGGACTTCGGCATAGCGGCTTCTCCGGTAGGGCACATTTGCATCTGCTTCATGAAATAGGCTCGGAGGTTCTGTGCCGATATAGAAGCAGCGTGGTTGATGCCATTGAAGGTGAAACAGTTGGTGACCATGAGCTCGAAATCAGAAACCAGATCGTCTACTGAGGAGTATTGATCGCTCTTCAATTTGTGCTCGATTGTGGTAAGATCCATAGGCTGTTTGACGACGGTGGGGTAGTGAGGAATGTTCAGTGCAACATAGTCGACGGGCTTGGTGAACCAGAAGGCTGACTTGACTTTCTTTGTGTTTTTCATCTTCTCGATCAAGAAAGCCTTTTGGTTCTTGGTGATAGGACCAGAGCTGATCTTGGGCGTGTGGTGTGGGCGTACAACACTGACAGCAATACCATTGGTGTTACCGGGGGTAGGAACTGGTGCAGATTGAGGTGCGATTGACGGGGTCTTGAATTCAACCTGAGCTTCTCCATCGAGATCGTCTCCAGTCTTTGTACGCTTTGCGGAAGGCTCACCAGTCGCATCGTCTTCTTCGCGCGCGCGCACAGTTCCAGCCGAGGGGGCATCTGACATTTCCTGGTCGTTGTCGACTGGGAGTGTCACGGATGCTTGCGCAGGAGGGGCGACCATGACGGGCTCACTGTTGCCGTTGGGTAGATCTGACTTGACCGTGATTTTCTCCGAGGCAGGCTCTGTGTTCTCTGAATTTGACACGTTGGCAACACCGTTGGTAAGATCTGTGGCGGGTTGATTTGCGTTGGGGCTGGTGGCAACAACACTGTCAGTGCCGACAGGCTTTAGATCTTCAGATGTCGGAGGCTCTGACACAGGGAGTGCGGGTTCACTTTCAGTTGCGAGTGAAGGCGCGTCAGTAAGCTCAATGTCCTCAGTAATGCGCGCTTCACCGTCACCAAGCGGCTCCGATGGTGAGACGAGAGGTCGTTCGAGGTTTGCGTCAGAGGGAAGGTATTTTGCGACACCTTCAATGCCAGAAGAATTTTCCGTCACTTGAGCAGCATCTGACGTGGGCTGCTCGACGGATTGTGAGTCGGCAGGGGTCGGCGGTCCATTTTCTGAGAGCTCCGTGACAGCAGGCACCGGCTTCGACGCCGCGACATCATCAACAACATCTTTGACGGGCTCTCCGGCGACATCGTTGGTAGGCTCCTTAACGACTGCATCGACAGACTCTCCTTGGACCTCTTCGCCAAATAAATCATCACTCTGACTTTGCTCAGTCGCGATAGGCAGGTCATTGGGTCTGTAATGGATTCTCAATATTTACATTCAATAATAGATGACGGGAGGGACGAGTGTAGGAAATGTATGAGAAGTGGAGGGAGCATGAAAGATGAGATGCGACAACGACAATGACGACAGTGACAACAATAAGGAACATCAGGGAAGAATAAAGAGTAAGACTCACCGGTCGACGTTTGCCATCTCCGGTTGTAGTCCTGATTCTGCTGACATCTGAGATGGTGATGAGTTGTGCAGTGTTGTAAAAAGAATAAAGATGGCACGTGAACGGCCGAACAGAGAACGGGAAACGACAATCAAGCGACAATTTAGAGAAATGGCCCGACGCGACGAAACTACAGTTGTATTGGAAAGAACAGGTCCAAGTTATTATGCGCGTCGTACAGATGAAAAATCCTGGAGCCGAGATGGACTTTGGTGTGGGATGGTGAAATAGCTGGCGAAGTTTTTGGAGACGTGTCGCGCGAATCGGAAAGCCGGACGGACGTGGAGCGTGTTTCGACGCGATTGGGACTCGCAAGATTATTTAACAAGTTCTGAAAGTCCGAAGATTTAAATCGGGGAAGGCAGGTGCGTTAGCGCCGCACGTGACCGATTTCTAGGCTACGCGCTGCGCCGAATCTGCCAGCATCAAACGCAGGGGTTGAGCAAGATTTCTGAGAGCACATGGTGCAAATTCGAGCAGGGAGCTACTACAACCCTCTCTCTTCAGATCTAGATCTACCTTGGAGATGTTCGTGCATTTTGATAGCTAAAGATGATGGTCCTGGTGGGCAGGAAGATGCTTCAACTCAACTGACGGAGTGTCGTACTTGCCATATTACTCAGCCAAAATGACTGAAGTCTTGGTTTGACAGTCGCCTCCAAACCGGTACGGATGCGAACGGGATGCGTGAGGCAACAGCATAGCAAAGAGGAGAACTTTGCAGAGGGCTGGAGGTATGGATACAGTTGTCGCATTCCGGATTGTAGAGTTAGCGGTTTTCATGTGGTCGAGCAAAGTCTTTGCAAAAAAGAGAGGAGATGCACAGGCATGTCCAAATTGCTCGACTGGTCCTTCTCAGCGAGCGGCGGATAATCGGGGCAGGTACACGGACCTCCGCTAGCAACTTTGGCAAGTGCTAGGACTTGGCGTTCCTAACTTTTTTCTCAAGAAAAGTGACGCCCTGGAAGGAACGAAGCAGCACACGACGAATTAGATTATATAATATCTCACAATGAGCACGGCAAAGCGAACACGAGCAAGACAGGCAGAGGCAGGAGCAGCACCATCGTTGCCTCCGTCAAAAAAGGCAAAGACTTCACAACAGGCAAGCTCTGGACTTGGCTTCTTGACCGATGAGAACCAGCGAGCTGGAAAGAAGTTGCGCGCAAACTACACCAATGGCATCAAGGACTCACGGGCAGACCGCGTCGACGAGTCCAAGGCCCAAGTCGAGCGACACGAGGCCGATGCACCCGAGGTAGTCGAGATCTCGAGTGGAGAGGAGTCGAGCGCATACAGCGGATCCGACGATGAGGAGGAACAAGACACAAAGCCCACAACCAACGGCACCCACGACGCTGATGCCGTCATGGCCGATGCCGACGAGGACATGGAGGAGGGCGCAGAAGGGCAGTCGTTTGGCGACATGCTGCAGGCAGCGCATCCCGAGACGATCGATGTCCAGTCCGCCTTCGCCGACCGCGAGCAAGGCACCCAAGCTCTGGTGCCCATGAACCAAGACCGCTCGCTCGCTGTACCTACCGCCACCTCTCTCGGCACCGTCCTCACCCAGGCCCTGCGCACCAACGATCGCGACCTCCTCGAGACTTGTTTCCAAATGACCGACATCCCCAGTATCCGCTCCACCATCCAAAGACTGCAATCACCACTCGTTGCTTCCCTTCTCCAGCGTCTGGCTGAGAGACTACACAAACGCCCCGGCCGTGCTGGAAACCTCATGGTCTGGGTTCAGTGGTCGCTCGTCTCACATGGTGGTTATCTTGCCAGCCAGCCTGATGTTCTCAAGAAGCTCAAGACCTTGTCGCGCGTTATCAAGGAGCGTGCCAATGGCCTCCAATCTCTCGTCACACTCAAGGGCAAGCTTGACATGCTTAGCGCTCAAATCGACCTCCGCAAGAGTATCCAAGAAACAAGAGACGGAAGATTCGACGATGCCGATAACGTAGACCAGGATGTCATCTATGTCGAAGGTGAGGACGACCAGTCTTCAGACAATGACGACGACCTCATCAGCAACGCTGTCGGAAGCGATCTCGGTGACCTCTCCATGGTCAATGGCGCCGACCAAGATTCATCTGACGTCGAGGAGGAAGAGGCTGGAGAGGGCATGTTCGACGAAGAAGCCGAAGAGACCTCTGATGATGAGGGTGAAGAGCTATCCGACGATGACGAGGAGAGTGATGAGGCCGAAGAGGAAGACGACGACGACGAGTCAAGCGACGACGAGGCACCGGCACCTGTTGTCAAGCCCTCAAGGACACAGCAACGCGCTGCTGGAAAGAGAAGATGAACGGCTGGTCAACGGCCGGTTCTCTTGTAGATACTACCCTCGAGACGAATAACCATCAGCAACGACCGCTACAGCGAAGAGGCTCGGTGCTTAGGCTGTTTGGTCCTCTCGAATCATCTGGTGGTTGCCGTGCGCATGAAGAGATGAGTGTACATGCATGCAAAGCCGCGACGGAGTCTGAATCAGGGGTTTATTGAATGTGGAGCAGGAGGCGTTCAAATAAGTGTTTTTTTCCATCTCTTTTCAATTGTTGGATCTTTGTTCCTTTTTCTGCATGGCGCGTACACTCAGGTCTTCTAGACAAATATGGCAATGGCATCACCTCATGATCCAAGACAACTTCTCGCTCTTCAGCTTCTGTGGTTCTCATACTTTTGACAAATTCGAAGCTTCGTTGCGCGGGGTCACCCTGCTCTTTCACTATGTCTCGCTCCAACGCAGCAACGATTCCTTCCTGTGTCTCGAAGTACACTCTGTATGTTCAGTAGTACCATGAGGACATCGCTATATTCGTATAATCTATTGTGAATGCCTGAATCTGTTTTGGGCCTCTGTGAAAGCCCCTCAAAGGTTTCGCACAAGAATCATACATCCTCATTCAAGCCTTCACAAAATGTAAGCAACATTTACTGAAAATGCAGGTGGACGCCGCAATGTCCTTCAAAAGCATACCAAACTCTCACACACTTACTAAAATTATACTAACAAGGGGTTAAAGGTAGAAACGACTCAGGGGTGTCAATATACGTCGTCGCATCACGATCTGACTCTAGAAATGCATTGCTACAGGTGTCACCCTGTCATGATGATCACGATTCCAAACGCGAGAAAATATCGCCAAGTCAATTGTCTTGTATTAGTTCGTAAGCAGACTCGTGACAACCAGATCAACAGAGCCTGACTGGATCTCAGAAAGTATCATGTACAGGAGTCAAGGCAGGATAGCGTCATCCACCCTCTGAACTGGCGAGGAAACGATATGGAACCAGCGCCATGAGAAGACAGTTTTCTAATCGACAGTTGTACATTTTTTGAGCAGAGAAGCTAGAGACCCACGACTCCGGAACTATGGAAGAACGTATAAGGAAAAAAAACAAAAAGCCTGAGCCCATATATGCAGTACTGTATCCACAAGCGCTGTCTGTTACAGTGCCAAAAGCTTTACCACCATCTATCCACAGCAGCCGCAGCTTCTGCAATCAGTGCATCTACCTCTCTCTTTTGTGCCTCGAGGTTATCACGCATCCAAATGGAGATCGGGTCGTTGGCTTGGGTGGCCTCGAGTTCCATAATGGAGGTGAGGAGTTCCGCACCATCTTGCTCCAACAAACGTACCAGGAAATCGCCGTCGACATGCATATCACTAGGTCTATGTTTCTTTGACCTTTTTACCAATTCTCCGTTTGCGCCAGCTTCAGAAGTGGTCGAATTGTCGAACCCAGCAGGCGGAAGCATCACTGGTAGCTCTTTGGTCATTCCGTTTTGAGTCACGGTTGGCGGATTGCTGTAGGTGAACGGACAAATATCAGGATTGCGCTGGCAGAGTCTCTGGACCCATCGGAGACGATTCGTGGTACGTTCGTCGAGAATGGCGAAACCGTAGACTGTACCGTCTACGGTGATGCCTACTAGATCATCCTTGAGCACGCCAGGAGCAGTCGCAGGCTTCCAGGGTGGTCTTATCTTGGCTTCGACGATGCGCATGACAGAGCGGGGGAGTTCCGCAGTGAAGAGCGTATCGTGAGTCGCGATCATGGGCGGCTGACTAGGATCTGGAATCCTCAGGCCAACTAGTTCACGTTCCAGGGTACTGGTGAGGTTGAGACTCATCGCAGTGTCCTGGTCGTGTGAGACGTCAATGGTCGTATGGCTGGCAGATTGTCGTGCTCCATCGCCTCTACCGACATTGTGCAGTCTTCTTGTGCCAGCATCGGCTGGACCGCCCATCAGCTGAAGTGTAAGAGTCGAGTCCCGCTCGGTCGTGATATGGACATGTGGAGGTGAAGTGGTTACACGAATGCCAGGGCTGTGCATGACGAAGTGACACACTTCATTGAATCTGTAGATTTGATCAGTCGATGGCCCTGTAATCGTACCAAATAGAGATGCAAATTGCGTACCTGGATGTCTGCGTATCATACTCGAGGAAATATGCCTTTGTTCCGGAGCACACCACAAGATCGGTTTCACCATAGGTCGAAATGGCGGTAACTGGAGATTCGAAAGGTTTCTTGTACGAAACCTCAACCTCAACCTCAAAACTCGTAGCTTTGTCCTTGTTATTGCGCACAAGTCGAAGCAGATATATCCATCCTGCGTGTGATCCGGCCGGTGTAAATCCATCCAATCGAACAGGTCGTCCAACGGCAACAGCGATGAAGACATGGGGCGCTGATTCGGGTGTTCTCCTGAAAGACCACTCGGTCATTGCATAAACCTTGAGACCGACATCCAAATCGTAAGTAGATCTCGCGTCAGGCAAGATGAACTGGATAACGTCATGTACGGTTCTGCTCGTTGCTGAACGCAGCCGTCCGTACGAAGATGCGCTGACGAAGCAGTTGAGTGGCTTGGATTCGATTAGGATGTGAGGCGAGCCTCGAACCTTGTTTTTCTTTGGTACGATGCCACGTTTCTCGGATATCGCCGTGATGTAACAGGAATCGTTTGAGAAGACGATGAGTGCTTCCGACAAGGGGGATGTCTCAGCATACGGAACCATTGACATGGCTGTCACTGATTCTTGCTGGAAGGCGCGTCCATCAGCACCTACCTCCGTCAGGTACACATCTGAGATGTTAAGAGCGCTAAGCTTAGGGCCAGTCAACTTCAGGCCGAAGAAGCCATCGCCGCAAGCCGCAAACGCAGACCAAGGGGTCTTTCCAGGCCTCAGCTTAGCCGTTGTCAAGCCCATGCTGAAGTGTTGATGCATCTTGATCTGAAGCGAAACTATATCAAGGTTAGTTGTCCGACTAGGAAATAACAACTAAACATATCAAACTTACAATCTTGCTTGACTTGAAGCTCAAGTGCATAGACAGATCCACCACGTAGACCACAAAGTACCACAAGGTCAACAGGGCCCTCTGGTCGCACTTGCTCACCAAGGATGAGAATGTCTTCGCATGCGTTCAAAGCCTCGAGATTGTTAGGATCCTGCGAAATATCATGCTCGAGATATAGTTCCAGACCGTTTTGTGGCGACACTCTGAATATGTGCAGTGTGCCGTCAGAAGTACCAGCAATAACAAAGACCAAAAATGAAGTGCGATAGATGGCCACAGATATGATCTCGGCATCAATCTGTACAGGCTTCCCGATTGGTGAAGAGGACACTGTTCCATCGTCTTCATCTTCATCAATCTTCAGCAGTTCGATTGCTGAATGCTCGTTCTTTCGTGATGCGATGACTGCACAGGGGATGGTGTCCTCGATGGCTGCTGCGGTGGCTCTAGACTCACTGGGCCACTTTGTGACCAGCAGACTGTCTTGAGGGCTGCGATAAGCGAATAAACCAGACTCTGTGATTTGGAGAATATAATGATCGTTGATCATGGTCGCTGCGAGGGTCGAGTGTTTTAGGTCGAGACCGACGGGTTCTATGACCTGGATGTGACTGGAATCACCGTCAGGCGATTGGGGTACTGACAAAACATGCGTCTGACCCGGGCTGGAAAGCAGGAAGAAGAACAAATCCTCTTGCTCGATCTGCAGGACCCACGCGTGTGATATATTCCCGAAAGGCAAGTGTTCTGAGAATTGGTGGCCGATCTGCGCTTCGAGGCCCATACGCAACTCTGTGACGTGACCGTAAGGTTGTCGACCGCTAGGCACGAACAGAGTGTCTCTTGAGTTCGGCAAGAGTCTCTTGCGCGAGGTTGGTTTTGCTACCAAATCCAAATTCTCGGACCAATTAGGTAATGCAGAAACGACAAATCCGTGCATGCCACCATTTGGCTCCGAATCAGAGGCAGGGGCTTGGCGACATTCGCTCTACAATCAGATATCAGTATCGTACAAGAAAAATGCAGTCGATGCCAGGGAACACTCACCATCCAGACACAACCTTCACTTGACGCACCCTGGACTATCAGGATGTCACCTTGGTCGGATCTTCCAAAAGGAGCACATGCCGAGTCCACGTGGCAGTTCACACTTCCTACATGGTTTATCAAAACACCTTCCGCAGGCAGATCCTGCTCGAAGACCATATAGTAGACATTGCCGTCCTCTGTTACCAGGTAAATGTAATCCTCTATCTGGTAATCACCATCTCTTCTTGGTCTTACCCAGCAAGCCCAGAGTGGTTTATGTGAGGAAGGTGGATAGTCTTTCGGTGGGTCTGCCCGATCAACACCTTGACGAGTCGACAAAATTGAGGTGGTTAAGATATGTTCAAAGATGGTTATGCCTCGTCTAGTGGTAAGTACAAATGCTGCATTGCCTTTGAGAGGTATCAAGAGATTCGGTAGTTCACCAGCTAACCTGATTAGTGATGTGAATTGGCTCAAAGTAAAGCGATGCTTACGTGAAAGGATTCGATGACATTGCTTGATGTCCGCAGACCTGACTTCATCACAATATGACCATTCGACCCAGGCTGGTCGCACGCTTCCTTGATGCAGCACTATCATGAGCAATATGACACGGTCTGGATCGTGTTTCGGCGGGAAGAGAAAGTCCAGGAGCAGAATTGTACCTGGCACACGGACAATACGGGAGCTAGAGACGGGAATGAACCCATCGTCCCATTTCTGGTTCCCTGAGCTCAAATACTCTGCTTGGTTCGCATAGCATATAAAAATCTCGCGCTCACCGGCAGCCACAGCTAGAGCTCGGGAGCGTGAATCAACTGCGATAGCGTTTCCGAGCAATCTGGATGGTCTAGTAAATTTTGGCATGGGTATGCAAGACACTCTGAACGTGATCTCACCGTCCTCAGTTTCCAAGGTCGTTAGAAAGAACAGCTGATCTGTGCCCTTGAGTGTGAACGTCAACATCTGTGGTCCCATGGGTTTCTCAGAAGATTCGCTGAGGTTGTCCCAATCGTCAGGATACTCCCTGAATTCACTCTCGTACGGATCGAAGTAGCCAATAGCATTGGCTGCACCGATCTCGCCATCAAAGTCGTTCTTTGTCGCGATGTGAGTGATGCGAACCTCGGACTCGATTTCGAAAAGCTGGATATAATCTTTGCCGACACAGACATAATCGTCTTTTGTCGATGATCGCATCCGTACTGGTATGATCTGTCGAAGGGTAGGAGTCGAAGCTAACGTCTTCGAAAGCAGACCGACTCGCTTCTGGAGCTCTTGCTGGCGAGCATCTGGACTGACTTGTTGTGGACCCATGGTAGGGTAGTAGTCTCAAGGTTGCGGTGTAGAAGAGAAGACAAGAGGAGGTGAGAGAAGTGGTGCAGGTGCTGGACGAAGGGATTCCGAGTTGTAATATATGTCGAGAGCCAACACGGGCAAGCTGGAAGAGCGCGATGTGCACACTTACTGTCCGCAATGCAAGGACGTAATACGACCTGTCGCCGTAGACATCAAGATAGGGGAGTTGTCTGAAGCTGATCCTGCATCGGGTGCTTACTGCATGCAATCACCACGAGCGTGCGCAGATGGCCTACATGTTGAATCAAATGAGTAAATGACGTGTGACAGGTCACGAACTAGCCAACTAGTTTCGTAGCGGGAAGAAGACTGACAAGGTAGAGAGGTCAAGGTTGATGGCAGTGAGGTCGATGGCACTGCCGGGCCGGCAAAAAGTGCTCGGCTCGGCAGCAGCGATCCCTGCGCTCGGTGTGCGCTGCATGCCACGATTGGCCGACCATGTTACCAACACAACATTGCTGTGGCACAATCACAACTAACGAAAACCCATGGCTAATTTCCAACCAACTTATAATTCCGAGCACTTTTACATCGCAGTATAACTGCAACAATAAGGGGACCTGTTGCACAGAAATTCACCGACAGCGCTGCCGCGGGAGCGTCCAGCACAGCACTACTACTGCACGGCGCTTGATGAGCCAACAAGCTGGAACCCAGACCGACATTCAGCGACCACTCTCCCTGACCGCGATATAGACATGTTGGAAGACAAGCCGCAACATGATGGCGAGGATTCTGGCCATGTGTCGCCAAACCACGACGCGTCTGAGAAATCAAGCTCTGGCCAACCGTTCTCCAATTCATGGCGAGACGAGCCTTTGACACCCACCGAATCAGCAAAGGTCACGCAAATTCTCAGAGCATGCGAGAACAAAGACACTCAACAGATTGTTGCTCTTGCCACAACCTCGGGTGGTCTCATCGAAGACCACGTTAGACGTGTCGCATGCACGTAATGACTCTGTCCTCATGCGACCTTACATCGCTAACACTGACCACAGGGCCCGTACTTTTAGGCGCATCTGAACAGAAGCCTGATCAGACGGTTAATTGGCAAGCATTGCCTGTGCATAGAGATGAGGAGCAAGTCAAACTGGACGTTCACCGTGCTTTTGTATACTACCCAACAGGCATGCAGCATATGGGATTGAGACACATGCATTGTGCTAACATTGGACAGGCGAATCTGAAAACCAGATTGAAGGCCGGAAACATGAATTGTCAAATCTCATCACTGGTCTGTTGCGTCAGCATCCGTGCCTGCATTACTTCCAGGGCTTCCACGACATTGCGCAAGTGCTGTTGCTCGTGTTGGGCGCCAACCAGGCTGCACCTCTTCTGGCCCGCTTGTCTCTTCTTCGGATCAGGGATTACATGCTTCCTACCTTCTCGGCCAGTGAATCACATGTACAGCTATTGCCTGCAATAGTGTATGCTACTGACCCGAAACTATGCCAGCATCTATCGGGGTTGCAGCCCTATTTTGCCATCGCTGCTACCCTGACGTTGTACGCACACGACATCGAGGAATACGGTGGAATATCTCGGTTGTTCGACTTTCTCCTGGCACATGAAGCTGTGGTGTCGGTGTACATGTATGCAACAGTAAGTCATGACGCCCAATAAGTCGGCGGAAACCGGGGCGACCCTCCCGGACGATCATATTGTTAACCAGGTTACAGATCATCATGCTGCGAAAAGACGAGCTCTTGGAGCTCGGCTCCGATGAAGAAGACATGATGTACGCAATCTTGTCTAAACTACCCAAGCCACTGGATATTGAGTCCCTCATCACGAGGACGACCTTGCTCTACTCTCAGCACCCGCCAGAGACACTGCCCTTCAGGGCATGGCGCCAGGTGTCAGGTTACAGCGTGCTCAAAACCACGCGTGATCCCAACGAACTCGCAAAGCAAACGCTTGAAGATGGAGAACAACTTTATGCAAAGCATGCGGCCCAGATTGAGCGCCAGCAAGCCCTCCAAAAAGCGATCGCTCAGTCGCGTTTATTGGCATACAGATACCGCAAGCCAGCAGGAGCATTGACTCTTGCAGTGGCCGTGGGGGTCCTCTCCTTGTATATCGGCAAAAGCGGGAACGGATCTTCCGTATCATCATCAGCCATCCTGCTTGACGCTAGACACAAGCTACTGTGGGTCATCAACAGGGCTTGGGCAGCTCTACGCCTGTGAGTGGTTGGAGTATTCTGGACAGTAATTCAACGAAATAGGTCTAGGCCGCACGAAATGCATGAGATTTATGATTTAGTTATGTGCACATTCACAAGTGACGACTTGTCGTTGTAGGAATGTGGATCATTCACTTCTCCTTGTAATACAACGTGTGATACAAGCATATAGAGATAGCACCAAACACAAAACTCACAACCTCCTTTGGGTCGGACCGGCCGCTGAACTAGCTATAGAAAGGCAAATTCTTGATGTTGGTGCAGTTCTCTAGGAAAGCACAAAAGAACACTCACCCGCTCTCAGTCGACTCAAATTCAATGGGAAATGTCATGCCTTTCGATACCTAGCTAGTCCTAGGAACACCCAGGAGGCTGTTATGGTTACTTCCGTCGAACAGATTCTCTGTTCAATATAACTGACATAGACAGGCAAGATGCTTTTGGACTTGGCACAGCAGTCCGATGAGAGTGTGAATTTTGACGCCCCCCTACACAGTCAAATTCAATCGAGAAGCATGGAGCGAAGTTGACCGTATCTCCCACAGGACAGGAGGAACCCGAGTACGGTACAATCTTTCTACAGCTACGTTCATATTAGTGATGCATAAGCTTCTTCGTGTTCAGCCTTCGAGAAAATTCCTCGAGTCAGGGCTGAAAGGGTGCTACTGCATAGGTTGTCAAAAACATTTGCATCACGCGAAGGACTAGAAGCTACAGAGAAGAACCCAAATTATGACCGATTCTCGTATCACGAAGAGAAATTTATCTTTTCACCCTTTGCACAGCTCTTGAGTTGTTGATTGTGTAATACGGAAAGGCCCGTCCGTCATTAGCTGCCTTCTCCCCGACCAACTGTCCATGATGCCGAAGTTTTTGTGGAGAAGAGCTTTGTCACTCTAACAGCCCTTTTCAACTTGGTGTGGAACTCGATTTCTGGCCGGACACGCTACATGTGACCCGTCTGATGCATGACAAGGATGCATCCTCTACTCAGAAGCCTCCCCCTTGCTAACCCTCTCGCAAACATCTTTCAAAATGTTACCCGCCCATTCCCAATCCTCCATGGTCAGGTAAACCTGCGCGCTGAGTCTGACCCACCAAGCACCCGCATGGAAAATGATGGCGATAAATGTGCTGTACTCATCGACCAACTTGTTCGCAATCCATTGGGCGATCTTCACGGCCTTTCCGGTTTCACCACCGGCAAGCATAGTGGAGTCTAGGGGTAGCTTGACGTTGGCGAAGTTGCAGTTGCCCAAAGTGCCTTCTGCGTTTTCCAGGACCTCGGTGTTCAGGATTTTAGCCACCAGCTTGCCTGCCTTCCGCGCCTGATCCTGCGTGTAGCTCATGATTGCGTCTTCACCGCTTTTACCCTGCCATGTTATGGCCTTCCTGAACTCGACGGCAGCAGGCAGGCTAGTGTACGGTGCATTGTCGACTGTTCCTACGAACTCGAAATTGACAACAAAAGCACTTTTTGTGCTGGGAGGCAAGGGGTTGTTGATCGGAGCCCCACCAGTAGGGAGGGGAACGAACCCATGGCTGGTTGGCAGAGTCGACCTGATGAGACCCTGGTTCCTTTCAGGCACATAGAGCAAGGCACAGCCCCTTGGCGTGTAGAGCCACTTATGGCAGTTCGAAACGAGAAAGTCAGGATCCAGCTGTGTCAGATCAAAGGGTATATGCCCGATGCCGTGAGCCGCGTCGACTAGCGACAAAATACCATGCTGACGGCAGGCAGAGATCAAGCGCTCGAAAGGAACGCGCACGCCAGGGAGCGAGACGATGGTATCGAATATGGCGATCCGAGGGTTCTGGCCGGCGGCTTTGACCTGAGAGACTGCCTTTTCAAAAGCTTCGCAAAGAGCGTCATCTGACACGGGATAGGTATAGTCGATTTTCAATGACTCAGCAGCAGTTGTCTCACAGATATGTGTAACGGTCTTTTCACATGCGCCATAGATCGTGGCAAAATACAAGATAATATCTCCCTTGGCGAAGGTGATATTTCGCAAGACGGTATTAATTCCAGTCGTGGCGTTAGGGACGAATACCACAGTCTGGACAGGGGCATTGACCAAACTTGCAACAGCCTCTCTGGCCACGTCTAACGCTTTTGGATAGGCGTAGCGAATGTAGGCATCAGGTCTTGCCTCGCATTCGTCTTGCGACTGTCGTAGAGCATCTCGCACCGAGCGAGGATACGTGCCAAAGCTGCCTAAAGAAAGTTGTCGGTCAGTACCGAGAATGAAATTGTCCTTCAAACGTTCTTCTAAAGAAGGTTGTGTGTGTGGAGATCCCGAGTATGATCATGATTGGTGTTCGTTTGATGTTCGAGAAGCACTGATGCTCTGGGAAGGGCTTGGTCACATACCGTGGTTCAAGTTGCGATAGGCAGGGTCGAAGAGAAACTGGTTTTTGAGCAGCTCACTCCCACATTCCATGCCAGTGGTCTTGTCGTAGGTCTCCAGCATGTTGATGGTAACAAAAAGACAAATCTTTGAACCGAATATGGATGCTATGAAGTCGAACTCGCGGCAGTTATATGGACTTCGGCATCGGTAATGGAAACGAGTATGCGCGCGCTTATGACTCAAATTGTGTCCGTGAGGATGACTCTTTCAAATCTTTATGACTCCAGGACGTTGGACGCCATGTGGTACTGGGTGGCTTGAGTCATCGGCACTGTTAGTAACGCAGGTTTCGCCGGGGCGTCAGCAACGCTTACTGATTGTGTTGCGTACAGCTGGGACTTCGGATGTCAACAGGTTCCAATGTTCCATGGTGGAATTGTTATCTACTCTCAGAGACGATAGATTCCGAGGGAAGTCCAGAAGTTGCACAGGAATGTTTGTAGGTTTGTAGACTCCAATCCTGGCTGGAAGCTAGGATGGCTGCTAAAGGATGTATTCGCGCTTGATCGACTTGCTGCAGCATGGAGAGATTGGGCATGTTGCAATCGGTGGAGATGGCCAGATCCGTGTATGCCATGAGAGAGGTCCATTAGGCACGTCTGAGTTCGGCTTCCGGGGAGTCACAAGATATCTGACAAGAAGGGAGATGGTATGGCGAGAGGTAAGAGACGCCGCAAGTTTCAGAAAGTACGAGTTGGAATCGGGTCTTGCTTGTACCGGGGGTCCGCCTACCTGCCCCCTTACCGTACGTACTATTGAGCAACTCCTGACATTTCGACGCACAATTTATTGAGAGTGCTCTATCTGGAGATATATGATCCTAACCGAACTACTCAAGTTCCAGAAATGCCAAGTGCCCTCAAAATCTCAGAGGTCCTGCTTGCAAGGCTCTCCCTGGAAACCAGAGTCCTCCAGTCCAAAAGAGTCGTGCATCTGTACAGAGAATGCGTGCGAAGGCTTCAGAGTGTTCCGTAACGCGGAGGTCTTCAATCTGGATTACCGTTCGAGAAGTATCCTTGTGAGTTGTGACCGTGTAGATGAAGCCGCAGACGTGTTGGAGAAACTACGAAGTACGCCCGCCCCAGGGGCCTCCGCCCTCGATGCCATGTTTCGTCTAACAAGTTCTCTGGTGACACGCGTAAAGTGTTGCTCGTGTGCCGCCTGCGTCATATCTGTTTCTCATGCGGAAGTGCTCGCCGTTTGACGGATGAGCTTATTCTCGTCCCACGAGCTTGCCCTCGACTTACTGCCCTTGGACAAAGCTTGGATGGTATCTATCGAATTTGGGAGGCGTGGAAGGGGATTTACGACTTTTCTTGACGCTTCACTACCTGCCATTCAGTAAGTGCTTACAATATGGCTAAAGGCAAGGCTCATTTGTAGAGGCGATTGCCTTGCCGTCATCGTATTCACCTCCGGCGAAGGACCGAATTCTCAGGCTCGTGCCATTGTGCGGGGGAAGGCACTAACTCCAACTTGTGTCTCCAGATCGACAGCCTTAGCTCCAATCCCATGCGATCACTGTTCGGGGACACTCTTGATACTGCATGAGTACGAAGAAGAGTATCTCCTTGAGTCGTTCTCTATGCTGCCATTGTGAGTAGGAAGGACGCGCTCTTGCCTGTTCTCAGTGTCAAGAGCTCTGTCCGGACTGAAAACATCTCCGGGCATTTAAACAACTCCTACATCTAGTTACGTGCGACTAGACCGTTGTTCTCGAAGACAGCCACGCGCGACGTCATGCATGGAAGGTGCGTCTGTGCCTTTGCTCCAAGCACCCGACTCATGGCAGGATCGAGCATTCTTTGGTCTGTATGAGACCGGAGGAACTGCTAGCGACCTCGTATATAAACATCTGACTTTCCCCTCGTCAAGATGCGTCTCCTCCAGATCTCCACACTCTTCCTCCACACCAATATCCTTCTGACAGCAAGATGTCTGAAAAGGCCATGACAAAACCAAAGTACTTTGGTATGACCGGTACTTGGTTGACAGTATGGGTCACTGTTGCCTGTGCCACTGATATGACCCTATTTGGTTACGACCAGGTGAGCAGAAACTGCCAGTCTAAGTGATGGGATACAACTAAGAGTTCAAACAGGGTGTTTTTGGTGGCGTTGTGGTTACCCAAGATTATATCAACCAGCTTAACCTTGCCGACAATGCAAGTCTGCTCTCAACCATCACCGCCATCTACGATATCGGATGTTTCTTCGGAGCCATTGCAGCAGTCATGATCGGCGACCCTCTTGGACGCAAGAACTCAATTCTACTAGGAACCACGATTATGTCTGTCGGAGCTCTTCTCCAATGTACAGCATTCGGAGTACCTCAAATGATCGTTGGCCGTATTGTCGCTGGTATTGGCAACGGTATCAACACATCAACTGCACCCGTATGGCAAGGAGAAACATCTAAGGCCTCGTGGCGTGGTAAATTGGTCATCATCGAGAGTGAGTTTCATTGGGTCCACCCTATTTTACCTCGCTGACAGCCTTATCGTGATTTTGAACATATTCGGTTTCATGTTAAGCAATTGGGTGACGTTTGGCTTCTCTTACCTTGACGGAGGCGTCTCATGGCGTGTTCCTCTTGCCTTCCAGTTCATCTTCATCGTCATCCTCTATGCAACTGTGCCATGGTTGCCCGAATCTCCTCGTTGGCTCATCAGCAAGGGCCGCGTCGAAGAAGCTAACCATATCCTGGCCGCCCTGGAGTCAGCTACCCACGATGATCCCTATATCATCACTGCAAGCAACGAGATTCAGTACGCGGTCGACTATGAACGCGAGAACTCACCTTCCTGGGGTGAGCTTCTTAGGGGCAAGACTGGCAAGGAGGGAGGCACCTGCACCATGCGTCGTCTCTTCTTGGGAATGGGTGCCCAAGCAATGCAGCAGCTGGGTGGTATCAACGTGACAAGTTACTACTTGCCTACTGTGTTGATCCAGTCTGTCGGTCTCACTGAGAAGCTGGCCCGTCTTCTCGCAGCTTGCAACTCGGTTTCCTACCTTCTTTTCTCATTCATATCGATCCCTAACGTGGAAAAGTGGGGTCGCCGCAATATGATGATTTATGCTTCGCTCGGTCAAGGGTGTTGTTATCTGTTGATTACCATCTTGCTGCGCTTCAACGAGATGGATGGCTATGCTCACAAGAACGAGGTCGCGTCTGCATCAATTGCCTTCTTCTTCCTCTACTACGTAAGTCCCCTGTTTCATATGTACTCACTTGGATCTCCGTGTTAATCGTAGTACAGGTCTTCTTCGGTATCGGATGGCAGGGAGTCCCTTGGCTGTATCCCACTGAGATTAACTCACTCTCAATGCGTACCAAAGGAGCTGCTCTTGGTACTGCCACTAATTGGATCATGAACTTGTGAGTCCTACCTCCTCTAGACTGATACGAGTTGTACTAACCATAAGCTTAGCATGGTTGTTGAAATCACCCCTATCGGAATCAACAGTATCCACTGGAAGTTCTACATCATCTGGACAGTTTTCAACTTCAGCTTTATCCCTGTCGTGTACCTGTGGTATCCGGAGACAGCTGATAGAACGCTTGAAGACATGGACCGCTTCTTCCGTGAGAACCACGATGTGTTCGTTTTCCGTCACAAGGACGCTATCAGCACTAAGCGTCCTTTGGCCTACATCGAGCGTGAGCAAGACGAGGTTAGACGTACTTCCTCTGTTCATGCTGGCATGGCCATGGACGCCGCTCGCAACAAGAGCAACGCTACTGAGTTTAACGAGAAGAGGGAAGGTACTGGCCGCAATGCTACTCTTAGCACTGATGGTAGCCACGATGAATTCAAGGAGGACGTCTAGATTGAACGTCTCCTCAAATGTCTATTCTAAGGGGGTTTGATATGGTATGCCGTTCTGACAGGCTTTGGTAGATAGGCTGTTAGTTCCGCACCGAGCCTTTACCCTGTTTTACATATATATACGATTTCATGATACCACACAATCTTTCAAGCACACCTAGTAGCTCAGACTACCTTCAAGCTGTTTTTCGTACTCGTCCAACCGTCCACTCTCCTTGTTGTTCGAAAGGCATGAACAGAAATTACACAGATACGTGGCTCTCCTCTTGACTGAGGCTCCCATCACTGTCGAAAGGCAAGAAGTTTTTAATGTTATCATGCCTGTCCAAAGAGAGCGCGTAAATTGCCTCTTTCGACAGATCCCTGTGGGAAGATCATGATCATCTTGATTGGTATCGGGCTGATGATAGACAGGGTCGCGGCCCATCTCTTGGCGGATATCGCGCGGAGTTGGAGACAGCAAGCTGGAGAAGCTCCACCACAACTCAGCAAGCAACCTGTACATTACAGCTCAACTCACACAACAAGATGATTGATCAATTGCTAGCACCTCCGACCCAAATCTCACACACCGAGTCGCTGCGACTCTCACAACTGGCGCCAAAATGGCTCCGTAGCCAAGCACCCAGCAGTCTCCCTTACCCGCTCTCTCTCCTCACGACTTCCGAATCGGCCGAGCAATGGCAAGCAAACGAGAACCTGCTTGTCGCCTGTCTACGCACCGGCGACGATGAAACCGCATACATCTGCCTTGAACAACTGTCCCAACGTTTTGGACCCGACAACGAGCGCGTCCAAGCATTACGTGGACTCTACGAGGAAGCAACCGCAGCAGACGACAAGGCACTGTTGAACGTGTTGAAGAGCTATGACGAGTTGCTTGAGGAGAAGCCTGCGAACATCCCGGTCTTGAAGAGAAAGGTTGCGCTGTTGAGAGGGTTGGGCAAGGTGGCCGATGCGACAAAGGCGTTGACCGAGTTGTTGGATAGCTCGCCTATTGATGCTGAGGCATGGGCTGAGTTGGCTGAGCTTTACTTCTTGCAGGGTGCGCATGCTCAGGCTGTCTTTTGCTTGGAAGAGGTGTTGCTCATCACGCCGAATGCTTGGAACGTTCGTACAACCTCCTCGAACATACGTGGATGTTCGGCCTGCTAACATATGCTAGATTCATGCTCGTCTGGGTGAACTCCTCTTCGTCTCTGCCAACGCAGCAGAGGATGCTGGAAGCAAGCTCAAGCTACTCGCAGATGCTCAACGCAGCTTCTGCCGTAGCATCGAACTGTGCGACGACTACCTCCGTGGCTACTACGGTCTCAAACTCGTACGTTTCACCCTTGGATCCTGCTCGCGTTAGTCAGTACTAATCCACAACAGACATCACAACGCCTCCTTGAAGCCTTGTCTCAAACGAGCAACAAGCCCCAAAAAGCACAATCATCAGACGCAACAGTCGGCGACCTGCCACCACCATCCGTCGCTTCGGTGGAGAAGCTGCGCGAGCTCTCGACCAAGAAGCTTTCGGAAATTGTCAGACGTAGCATGAGTGGTGAGAAAGGCTGGGATGGATACGACCAGGCCGAGCTCATCGCCGTGAAAGAGCTTCTCAATAGAGACACTCAGTCAGTCCAACGATGAGGCATGTCATCCTCTAATCCAACCCACCAGAAGCCATGTATAAAAGCAAGCGAGATACCCAATACAAATTCAGCAAATGCACAGTAGTGGTGGGAAATGTTCATTGATAGGGGTATTGCATGCGTCGTGACCGTCCTCTCCAAAAACCACGTGAGACCAAGCCAATTAACCAGTCATAAACTTCATGATATTACAGCCGCTCAGCTAATGGCGTGAGCGAAAACCTTGGTTGCCAGCTCGCTAAGCAGGCGCATCTTTGCTGGCTGGTCCAGTTCTTGGTAGACAGAGTATACACTCTTGCCTCTGTTGTCTCTGACAGCACCGAGTCTATTGCCGGCTACTGCGCCTGCAATGGCACCTGGAGCGTTGGCGATGATGAAACCCATTGCGCCTCCGCTGACTGCACCGATCATGGACCAGAATCTGCCAGTGGGTGAGTTGTTTTCGCCCTCAGCCATACCTTGCTCCCTGTGAAACTATTAGTATCAAGATACGAGCGAACTCAACAAACCGAAGAAGACGTACCTGAGCATCTCCTCAAAGACGTTGCCGAACTGTTCGCTGCTAAACTTGTTCGCATCTTCTTCCGTCTTTGCCTGGCCACCGAAACCAAAGGCGCTCCATGGGAAGCTGAAACCAGCTCCTTGCTGGCTACCAGGCTCTGGTCTAGGGATCTCCTCCTCTGGATCTCCGTATCCGCCTGGAGGAGCTGTGTTGGAGCTTGAGCCGCCACCGAAGCCCGAGCCAAATCCGGAACCGAATCCGTGGTAGCGTCTTGTGGCATCGTAGTCTCTTCGTCTTGTTGGGTCTGAGAGGGTGTAGTAGGCGTCGTTGATCTGTTGGAACTTTCTGGTGCGGGTTGTGCGCTCGGGAGAGTCGGCAGGGACACGATCGGGGTGGTGCTTCAGTGCTTGTCTGGAGGAGTGTCGTTAGTCGCATATTCTTGATTTAGAGGCAAGATAACGTACTTCTTGTAGGCGGTGCGGATTTGCTCCTGTGTTGCCTTGGGGTCAACCTCGAGGGCGGCATAGTAATCTACTGGCGGTGCTGGTCTTTTGTTAGAATGACACCTTCTTAGTCTGCCACATGTTCACTTACCGGACATGGTTGCGATTAGGTGCTATAACGTGTGAGTTTAGGACGAATGATCGATGTGTCCTGTCAAAGTGCTTTCTCCAGGTTCTCACAGATCCAAGGGTGTGGATGCTTTGGCTGGCTACGTCACAACGCGTTGGTGGTTGCGCACGAATCAGGGATCGATCTTGGTCCGGTAACCCACGCGACAGCTGCTCAAACCATCAATCAAACCTTCTCAACTCTGCGTGACTTCAGCCTCTCTACACAGAGCTCAGACGACCTCATCGCATCGCGTCAGGTGAAGACCTTCACTTTCTGTTGCTGCCATGGACCTGCCGCAGTGGTTTCTCATCGGATGTTCCCCTGAGCTCGACCCTCTGCTCATGTATCTTGCTGCAAGGCGTACTGCGGCTTTATATACCATCGACTGTTGACGTGTCATCCATTCTCTTGAATGCACTTTTAGGGATGCTCCTCTCAAGCCCCATCGCTAGCACTATTGTCTTACTGCATGCACCAGTATCTTCCACATGCTGCCGCCTTAGACTCGGAGATTGCATCTCGTAAAAATTTCTCAACCTTCTATGGGTCTCCAGCCTTCTGGCTTGAGGTTTGAGTAATGAGATTTGATTGTTGAAATCTCTGTATAACAATGCACTCTCGTACGCACGTAAGAGATGTGTTGACTCGAGCCTGAAAAACGCCAGTTATCACTATTGGGCCAGGAAGCTTCTGCTAGGTCACCGTCTGGACCTCCTCCGTTTGAAAGGAGGCATCAGCAGACTATTCGTTACGCAGCATTTGTTGAGTATTGAATAATGATGATAGACAGAAAGGTACTATACATGTACTGTAAATTGGACGGCATGAAATTGTATATATATTCCGAGAATATGTCTTGACGGGTTAATGAAGAGCGCGCGCTACTGCAATGCCGGCATGGCAGTCGGTGGAAACTGAAGGGTCGGTGGATGGTTTCCTCTCCCAACGGCAGCCCTCTGACAAGCCATTGCCGTCGCGGTACCGTGATGGTAGCGAAGTATCCAGGGCAAGAATCGACCCAGAAGTCCAGATGACAAACCGTCGTGGCTGTCATCGGGAAGAGTTGCGCCATTGCACTGGGCGCGAGTGATGGAGTGAGATTGTCTCAGATTGGAGAGGGCCTGCAGGCAACCTGGTTTCAGTCGAGATGCAGCAATCAGGTCAGCCACGGCGGACTTCGCTTGCGCGATGAGGCAGTTGAGGTTCAAACAGAGGGTTTGCGAACAGTTCCTCGTTCATTGATTGATGGCAATAATCGAGAATTGAGGTGGTTAGGATCCCCTGGAGATCAAGGCACGAGGATAAAGATGGCGCAACAACGGTCTGGAGGCATCCGATTCGTTCCCGGGCGGCCAAAAAGGTTTTCGGTACGCTCATTCGGTACAGGCTAACAGGCCCGAACCCAGCCTAGTGGCGGTTCTCTATCTTCTGACGACGAACCAAAAGATGATGGCGGGCGATCCAGGTCGAGTTCATCAAGGCTTGGACGCGCTGCTCCAGTATTCCTTCCTGTTCTTTTCTCCACTCTGCTTGAACAAGTGTCGCGATTGATCCTGTGCCTGCCTCGTGAGCCCCCGAGTTTGCTCTGTCCTCCCTGTTCGGCGTCTCAGAAAACACCCTCTCAAGTCACTCGCTCCCCGCGCTCCCGCCGCTATACATTCCTGTCCTCGATCGAGTCCGAGGCTAGACGCATCACTCGCAATCCGTGTATATCGGGTCCAAAGGCAACTTCCCTCTACAGCTTCTACTCGATATCTACACGCCCGTGTTCGCTTTCTCAAGGGCGCACATCCTGAAACGCACGGCCGCTGCAACGTGGGCGCTTTCTCTCCGGTTGGTGTAACGCGCGCGACTGCCATCTAGTCGATGCGCTCGTCTTGACACAGGCCCAAGACAAAGTCCTCCACACCGCAGCTCTCACTGCAATCTTCTACACCCCAATCTTCTGTGTTCCATCTCTCGGATCGACCCAGCCCTCTTCTTCAGGTCTCTTAGCCCTCTCCAAGCTCTAGTGCCCGCACTCCTGAGCTCCAATTGGTAGCCCATCTTGCACCGCAGGACGTCTCGAGATCAAATCACCGTTTGGCTACCACCACCATGGCTCAGACACAAAACCTCCCGCCCGCCTATGGCGGCCACCCAGGTTACCCCGGACCCCCTCATCCTCAGTACGATCACAGACAACAACTGTCAATGCAAGCAAACGGACAAGCAATGCAAGCAGCTCCACCGGTGACCCAGACTGCTCACATCATTTCTCAAACCAAGGACAATTTGAAATATTCTTTGGTTGTCGTGCAGCAGCCCATCCGAGCGCGCATGTGTGGCTTCGGAGACAAGGTAAGCAACCACACGCGTGGCACAGAATTTGGCCCATCTGAGACATTTGCAGGACCGAAGACCTATCACTCCTCCGCCATGTGTGCGCCTTGTCGTTACCGATACGCGGACACAGCAGGAGGTGCCAGCAGAGTATGTGCTTTCCAATCTTGTGTGCAGCAAGCTCGACTGAACTGACGCCTGCTACAGCCAGCTAGACCCCAGTTTTTTTATTCTCCAGGTCGACCTCTGGGACGAACATGGCCATGCCGAAAAGAACATTGTCAAAGCATCGACCAACTCTCCTGCCACGTCCATCTCGACAGCCACAACCACCTCGTACCCTCCGCCAGCCGAGCGCCCGACCTTGTATGCACCTCCTCAAGTCGCTTACCACGATCCTCGAACCGGCCAGATCACTGGCTATGGGCCCCCACCAGGTTACCCTCCGCAGTGGTATGGCCCACAACCTCACATGCCCATGTACATGTCTGCTCCTGCTCCTGCTCCTAGCCATTACGCACAGCCTCCGATGGGCCCCGCCTACGGTCAATACCCCGGTGCTCAGCCACAAATGTACCCTCCGCAACAATACCAGCCTCCCGTGCCGCAGCAACAGACAAATGGTGGCATGTTCACCCGCAATCTGATCGGCAGTCTTACTGTGAACGCCAACACGCTGCGTGATCCCCAAGGAAAAGAAGGCCACTGGTTTGTCTTGCAAGATTTATCCGTGCGCACCGAGGCGGTTTTCCGCCTTAAGATGAGCTTTTTCGACATTTCCGCCGGAAGAGACCAGACCAACAAGCTTGCCAATGGCTCGAAACCCGTTCTGGCCACCGTCTTCTCCGAGCCTTTCCAGGTCTTTTCAGCCAAGAAGTTCCCTGGTGTGATTGAGAGCACCGAACTCAGCAAATGCTTTGCCGGTCAAGGCATCAAGATTCCTATCAGAAAGGACGGCGGAAAGCACGAAGGCAAGGACGAAGACGAAGAGTAGAGTTGGGGATCTGAGTATATTGCTTCTGGTCAGCAAAGACTGGCTCAAAGTGCTATGACAAACGAGCTCGAGGACGAGGAACCAGAACCTCCGCTCGAACCCGAGGTATACAAACCGTTTTTCCTTTCTGTCACAGACTGGCAGCTAACAACGATCCTTTTGTAGAGCCGTCGGATATTTTCACGAACGCGAACCCTTCGCTCGCAGACACACTCGCCGGGACGTCCAATAATCAATTGTCGCAATCCACCGCCGGGATTCAAATACACACGTCGTCGTGGACCATCGGTCAATCCCAAACAAAGTCCAGGTCAAAAGGCTTTGACGAAGGATGTGGTTCGACGTGTCTTGGATCCCAAACAAGGAAGCCAGGCAGGAGGATCACACGACTCTATTGACGAAGCTCACTCGCACCAACCTTCTTGTTACACCCTTACACTCTTGCGCCCTTTTCTGTATCCTTCCGGCCTCCTTTTCCGTTTTATTTGTATCTTTCGATTTCTATCCCTTTTACAAATTCCCTTCTTTTTACACCATTAGGGGGGAAGTTGCTTTTGCAAAAGAACAAAAAGCAGTTACATGGGTTCAAACGTCAACGATACACATGAGTTATATACCCCTTTGACAAACACCGAAATGAGAGATAATTTTAATCCTTTGAATTTTCCTTCGAGGTGTCTACCATCATCAATATGTGAAATCAAATATTTACGTGTGGACACAAATGCATATTATGGGCAATGAACTAAATGTGAAGATCGATTCACGAGGACGATCGATTTCTCGAGAGATCTGCAAATAAGATGTGTCAAATATCATGTATTTGAAGCACTGTGAGTGTCCAAGCCCGGCAAACGCGCCTCTTTTTATACATGTTGAGCTGCAGGTAGGTTGAGCTGCAGGTCTCAAAATGGTGTCTGAAGGTATTTATTGCATTGCGTTTCGGGCCTTTGTATGTGGTCACAAAACAAGCTCATTAACCAATGCATCGGGCAAGATCGTCTTTCTACTTTTGCTTGAAGCAAGACAACATATGGCAGCAGGATATTGATCCAGATCCATGGCTTTCGGGTGCTAACACGTTGTGGAAACGATGTGCAAAGAGCTAGTCATGAGCTACTCAAGTCTTCACAAAACGCTTGCAAAGAGGATGATTGCAGAGGTAGAGGCGGCTGGATATTTCGTCAACGAGGAGGTGAGATGTAAGAGCGTGAAGTGGAACCAGGAGTGATGCACGACGTTGCGATAGAGAGGTGAGATTGTAGGAAGTCACGATTTATATTTCAGAGGCCGACTCAGGCCGCGGGAGCGTCCCCTTGCTCATCAAAGTTGATCTGCCTCTTCTTCTTCCGCTTCGTTTTGACAGTCGCGGCTTCTACCTCTGCACCTGCATCACCAGCTGCTTCTTCCACATTCTCCTCCTTGGCCTTCTTCTTTTTCTTCTTTTTGGCCGCTGTCGTACCTTCTGCATCGTCACCCGCCTTTTCACACTCTACAGGCTTTTCCTCTTCAGGGGCCTTTGGTTTCGTCTTCTTCTTTTTGCGCTTGACCAATGTGCCTTCTTCGGGGATATGTGTTGCTTCCACTCTTTCTTGTGCCCTTTGCATTTCCAGACGCGCGCGTTCGACTTCTTTGATTGCCTTTGCCATTTCTTCTTCCTCTTGTTGGCGGCGTTCAAAGTCTAGTTGTGTTTCGCGAGCAGTTGCATTCTCTGATAGCGAGAGGGACGAGAGACCACTGCTGTCGACATGCAGAAGAGACTTCTTGGGTCTGCTGAGTAGGGAGGCTTTGGTGGGAACTGCCGCCGCGGCAGGGGCGTCATCGTCTCCTATAGTCTCATCTTGAGCAATCTCAACACGTTTGTTACGAGACTTTTTGGATGCCTTGGACTTTCGTAGACGATCTGCTTCAGCTGCTGTGTTGTTGCTGTCGAGTTGCAGATCCATGATGGGAATCGAGTCGATGTCCAGTTCTTCGCCATTACTGCTCTTGAGAATATTATGCAGTGGTGTTGAGGTTCCTGATACTCGCTCCGAGTCGATGTAGAACGGATCATCTCTATAACGCTCGCGCCTTTCAGCCTTCTTCTTAGCAATGTCCTTTGGATCAATGTTGCGATCCTCGGATTGGTAAGATCCGGTCTGCGTGGCTTCCTTGGGTTCTAGATAATCAGCCGCAGTCGCTGGCTGGATTGCCACTGCTGATGGCTTCTCGAAGTAGAACTTGGAAACGTTATCCTCGTCTGGGAACGACATGTCGTCATAGTCCGCTTGTGATAGGAGTATTTGCAAGTTGTCGTTGATAGGCGTGTCAAGATCCAAGCCGTCAGTGAGTGGCACTTTGCTAAGAGCACCACTAGCAACAGGATTCAGCTCCTGGCCCATGAACAAGGAAGGTATAGCTTGGGTAAGTAGTAGCGGCGGGTCGACAAACCCGTCGTCTTCGCCCTCAACAGCATGAGCTTGAATCGCTTCGGATGTGACGCGCATCAACTCAAGATACTCGACGGCTCGCTCCTGGACTTCAAGATGTGGATGTTGTACAAGTGGCTCCAAGAAGTGGATGATTCTGGCCATGAGCAGATCGGATTGTGATTTCCTGGATGCAGTCCATGATCTTTCTTGGTTAGATGTCAGGCGTGCGAAAACTTTGGGAATAGCTTGGATGTAGATGGCAAGGATACTCGCAGGAAGTTGAGCGCTAGAGGTGTGAAGTAGCGAACTCAAGACCGCTTGCGGGTCGGGAAGCAGGTCAGGGTATTCACCAACCATCCAGGCTACGGAAGCCAGTACAGCCTGTGCTCCGTTTCCAGAAGCAGGGAACAGGTCTCTTCTGCGCTCTACAATGATCAATGACTGTGCTGCAGCAACTGCCTCTGGTCGTACACTCTTCACGCGAACGGCAACGTTCTGAAGTTCGAGACCAATGCTTTGGGCAACATTTGTTGTCGACTTGGTAGAAGAGCTGTCTGATGCTTGAGCGCCCACCGTCGGGCAGTGGCCAACAAGGTCAACCAAAATTCCAATGTACCATTCAAAGTCTGAAATGTTGGCGTACGTGTCTCTTGAACACATATCGAGTATGTTCTCAATGACACTCTGACGGTAGTCTTCAGGAAGAGGAAGGGCTTTTGACGAGCGCGCTTCTCTTCTTCGCAATGATTCGGCAGCCTCTTCATCGTCCGAGTCTCCTGAGGGAACAACACCGCCATGCATGCCTCTGTCGTTGATCGGATCGTCAGAAGCCGAAGCGGGAGTGGCCTCTCTAAGCTGTCGGAGAAGACGCTCGACGATTGGCATAAGGTTGCTTCCATCTACCATGCCAGAAACCAGTTCAAGAGCTCTTGTTCGAATCGAGATATCTGGATCATCGATACATTCAACAACAACATCTGAATGTAGAGCGACAAGCTGAGGATGGGAAGCTACAATCTTGGTGAAAGCGAGCAGAGCGACGTATTTCAGGTTCGGATCGCCTTCGACCACGAGCATCCCACGCAGTTTGCTAACACAGAGACGAGCAATCTCATCACCCTCAACAGTGCCTTCTGCTCCGTCCAGGATGCCACCTTGAATGATACCGTTGATACACTCGTATAACAAACTCATAGCCGGGGTTGTCTTAATCAAAGTGGTTAGTGGAGGCAGTAGCTTCTTGATTAACCTAGGCTCCAGGGGTACGAGAGTAGCGAAAAGCTTGATGATCTTGATAGCCATCCAGTTGTTGGAGCCCTGAACTAGTAGTTCAAACAGACGAGGAGCCAGAGGCAGGAAATCATGTGGTCTTCTCCAGCCAAGTTCACAAACGACGTTGATGATAGCAGCCGTGACACTCGAGTCTTCGTTCTCGTCGAGGAGACGTTCTTTGATCTTCGGCCATGCTGGACGGAGAGTTTCAGGATACACGAGGGCTAGACGGTAGAGGGTGACGATTGTCTTCTTGCGGATAGCGGGCGAGGAGTGGGTAAGGCGTGGCAGGAGATCGGTCAAGAGCGAGTTTGCCATGGAAGGGTTGACGACATGAGGGATGGTGACAAGCGGAAGGCCGATAGTAGGCAGTTGCGGCGAGTTCAAGTCCTTCTTGAGCAGGTTCTCGGCCAGCATGAGGACCTCGGTATCGGGACGGAAAGTCTGGACGGCAGCGAGGTAGCCGACACGCTTCTGCAGGTACTTCTGGCTGGACATGACCTCGAGGACGTTGAACGAGGCCCATGACATGTCGTGGCCGAACATCTCGAGGTAGACCAGCTTGAGCAGGGCGGTGGCCTTGTTGTCCATGTCGGGGCTCCGTACTTCGCGGCGGCATTCCTTCAGGCTGTTCTGGATGTATTCCTTCTCATTGCCCTTGTGGTTCCTCATGCCCCGAATAAGGGCATAGAGGTCTTTCTCGAACCTGGACCTGGTAAGCAGCCATCGCTATACCCATAGTCGCATCCTCTGAGGGGCATACATGATTGCGCTGCGGGCCTATGAGGCGCGAGGAGTGACGGGGTTGGGTCGCGGAGAATTCGTATGGTCGTATACCAATATCAACATTATATTTGCAGCATAGCGGATAGGTGCCGACGAGCGAGCTTGAAGATGGTGAAATGTGTTTGCTGATCAACACGCCCGGCCACCATTCGAACTGCGGGCGGGAGAGTCAACCACGAACCATCGACGAGAGCGTCATCGTGCATAACTAAGCAGCGAAGCTTGCAGTTATGCCGACCTTGTGCATGTAATCCACCATCAACTGTCGCAAGCCAATTCATTCATTAACCTTCTCTCTTCTATACCACGCCTCGCAATAATGTCGGTCGAATCGCTTCGCTCTCTCGAGCAGGTGCGCCAGCGCCTAAACACCCTCGCCAATAGCATAGGCAAACTCCTCCACGATCTAGACACCAACGATCCCCTCCCCTCGTGGTATGCGACAAAGCCAAACCGTAGCTTAGCAACTGCTCACTAATGCGCCAGCCCTTGAAAATAGGCCTTCACTGCAGAACTCGGCCACACTACTCTCACACAACATCGCCTCACTCCATCACACCCTCATCAATGCTCAGCCCCTCCTAGCAAACGCCCACGTCTACCCTCTGCCAGCATACCCCGGCCGCACCCAGGAAGACTTGCTCACTCAACTGCTGCGCAAGAAGTTACAGCCACAAGTTGAAGATTGGATCGCGAATGGAGAGCGACATGCTGCTGCCAGCACTGCCGATCCTAGTCAATCAAACGGCGCGGACGTGGACGGCCCTCAGCCCGCTTCACAGCCTCTCCAGGCCATGACCACTGCACAGTTGACCGACCTCTGGAATTGGGCCGGTCCAGAAGGTAACAGAGTCGCTCGCGATATGGGTAGCGATGCCTTCGACGACGTCTTCACCCTCGAAGAACACGAACTCGGCATCGAGAACGTCGTCACCGGTCTGCGCCGCAAGCTATGGGATAGCGATGACGAGGACGAAGACGACGAAGAAGGGGAAGGCGGCAAAAAGGCAGAAGCGAAACAGGAGAAGATGGATGTCGATATGGTAGACGTCGTGCCCGACCATGTCAGGAGACTACAAAGGCACAACCTCGACCCGTCAAAGCCGCCAATGAGCATCGAACACATATTGAGGTTCTCGCTCACGGCCAGGGAACCCCCGAACGTCGTGCAATGACCGCTCCACTCTGCTGCTCTGCTCTCTACCAGGCCAAGATCAAACTAGTCTTATGCTATTTGGAAGCAAGTCGAGTATCAGAAGGGGTGTCGGGAAAATCAAGGAACAAGACATCTGATGATGCGGACAGATCCTTAGATACGAAACGAAATCAAGCTTTGGTTTCAGCATCATGACACAAGAAGGTGGTTTAAAATAAAATAAAGTGACTTGACTGCCGGGTACCGCGCGTGCTATCGCCTAAAAAGAACCAAACTACCTAGCTACCCATTATTTCAAATGATCCAGGAACCCGTCGTACAGGATTGACTCGCATGTAGTTCATGTCCCTACCCGCCATTCCTGTTCCTGTCTTTCTTGTGTTCTCCGTATCTGCCCGTCTTCACCGCACATGTCCATTGACAAATAATTCCATCTTGCGCGAAAGGGGGAAAACGTGCGTTGGACGGGGAAAACATCCTCCAATCAAAAAAGGTCGCGGGAATCAAAAATCCAGATGTTCAGACGCGTGATCAAAGGGTTGGACAATTCCATTGTTGCAGAGCATGACTCTCGAAAGTTGACCCAAAAATATGGGCTATGATCGATCTTTGGAGGAGGCTCAAATGTTGGGTTACTTGAGATCTTTGAGCCACTGTTGATCGTAGATGCGTGTGTGACACACTGGAGTCTGATGTCGGTCGTTGATGCTCTATCCAGCAGGAAACATGCAGAGGGTTGGATGGTTACGATTGCTCAGTTTCGTTGTAGTTGTTGATATTGGTGCTGAGTGCCGGCTCATCGCCATTTGCGAGCATTAAGAGCGTCACGGGACGACGGCTCAGCGGGTCCGCGTTTCACGCCAGGACCGTAGTTATGAACCGTGGGCTTAGAGCTGGAAACTGGCGGCTTTCCACCAGAGGTGTTGGAGGAAGGCGTCTTGCCGCTGCCAGAGGACTTGGATGAAGATGTGTTGGAAGGCATCTTGAGTATGACTTGGATCGTTGGGTTGACTGAATAAGCTTGTACTGTCGTTGGACGCCGATGTTGATGTGGTTGGCTGTTGGTAGTTGGTATGCAGATGGTTGATTGTGAATTGGAGAGGGGAGGAAAGGTCAATATCTTGCGGCCCAAGTTGGTCTTTTATATTCAGAGAGGAAGCAACAAAGGAAGAAATCAAAGGGCCGGGGCTATGCCGCCAAGGCACTTCCACTGTCTCTGCGACGAGGTGTGCCACGAGGACGAAACAGAAAAGTAGAATCTACTACACAAGCAAACCTTCGGCTGCGCCCGATGCGTCCGCACAGTGGTGATGGAAGGGAGCCGGCTAACCCAAGGCAGAGACATCGTGACCATGCTCGGCCACCGACCTACCAGACACAGCCCCCCAACAGCGAAGAGTCATACTCGCAAGGCACCAGGCCAGTAAAAGCAAGGCCGAAAAGAATGCTGGCATGATTCCAAAGGCAGCGATTGAAGACTAGAGCGTTGAAGACTCAATGTTTCGACCGCGTCACACGGTCTAATAGGGTACCTGCAGTACTCCAGGCACAAGTCAATTGTCAACAATGACGATGCAAGGAACATTGGACCATGAAGAGAACCTATGGTTTAGGCTGCCGCCAACCCGCCCTCAGGTTAGTGGCTGCCTGTAATAGTGTCTCTTTCGTTGTACATTGCTTTGAGATACAACGGCGAGATGCGATGGCAGCATCATCACCATCATCACCGCCAGCACTGCGGTGATGTAGATTTCTCTTGGAGGCGGTGCTACACAATGGTAGAGGCGCAGTTGGATTAAAGGCCCAAGATGGGAAGTCCAAAGGATCTTGCAACCAGACGCCAAGTCACGTTGGTGTCCGTGCATGAGTGAGCACGCGGCCAACACGAAACCCTGTCAAGCCTGTTTCAACAAACCTCTCTGACAGAAGAATTTGATCAGAATAGACACGGGTCGACGTTCCTCTCCACTCGGAATCTGAGAACGCGTTGCACCTGAACGGCCATGCGTACCTGCATGCGTGTCTGGCATCTCATGTCCTCATTTTGCAAACACCTCGTCAGTACTTGTATAGTGCTTTCACATGTATGTAAGTGGACGCGAGCCTGACACGCGCAAGCAGAGACCGACACCGCTATCCAAAGTGCTACATGGGCTCTGGTCATTGAAGAGTGTTTTTAACAGACCTCCAGTTTGCGATACGCAAGTACTCTGCAACGGACAATATTAGACATGCTTGCTCATGTGCCTACTATCTTGTAACAGCTTTGCCATATCACGTATGTGTAGCGCTCCCACAGAGAGCTACTCCTGCCCTTCCAGCTCGCCTAGACATGTCTTCGCACACCCGCATCACCTTGATTTCATTGTTTTGTTTAGCTTCACGCCTGCTGATAGCCGGCCCACAAGAATATCGCAAGGGCGTACGAGGTTTATCAAATATTCAGTTTCGATCCTCATGATCGCAAGATCTGTAGATCCGGCTAGCTAACGTTGTACAAGCAAAACATGGTAGAAAGTACTTCAACTAGATCTTGAGCGCCGCCATGGCCTCCTCTGGATCGTGGTGTAGCTCTTCTCTCAGAATCTTGACCTGTTTCTTGAGCTGCTGCCACAACGGAAGCTTGTCAAGATCAGCATCATGGTGACCTTCCTCCTTGTCGCTAAGCGCAAGAGCTAGCAAAGATGCCACAAAGGCTTCTTGCATGTATGCGAAGGAGAAGCCATCAGTAATTGATGATACTGCCTCACAGAGCTTGTCCGGAAATTCAATGTCTTTATTTTCCTTTAGTTTACCCTGCCAAAACTGTGCGTACTTGACACGCTGCTCGTGATTCGGGTTGGGGAAATAGTATTTGCGGTCGAAGCGAGAGGGACGCTTGGAGATACCTGGGTCTAGGCGATCAAGGTGGTTGGTGGATCCGACCATGAAGATACCATCGTTTGAACGCACTCCGTCGACCTCATTCAGGAAGTAACTACGTGTTGAATCGGTAATTATCGAGTCAAGATCCTCGAAGATGAGGTAGCAAGGGGCATAACGGCGGGCTTCTTTGAAGATGGTACTGAGTGAGAACTCAGGGCCACCATAACTGTAGGTTGTCAGCTTTGTAACTTTGACATGGTAGGATAACATGACTTGCCCCGCCAGCGATTTTACGTAGAGTGTAGGAACGGGGTCCTTTCGCTTATAGAGTGTATGCATCAGAGCCTTGATGCTGATGGTTTTGCCGTTGCCGGGAGGTCCTAAAGCGAGGGTACGATTAGCATGATTCGCGGCAGGCACGAATGGTTGCTACAATGTACCATAGTAGATGACGCCGCGCTTCCATGGCACCTTCAGCTTCTGGTAAGTTTCTCTGCCGTCAAAGAAGTTGTCCACGTCCTTGATGAGAGCTGACTTCATATCCTCGTCAAGGATGACATTTTTCCATTCGGCCGACTGGATACTTTCCCACAGTTCATGGTTCTTCTGCCAGTAACCTTGGTCGTAGACAAGCACCACTCCTTCTAAGCTGCCTGTAAATCTTCCAGCCTCCAGTAGAAGTTTTTCAGTTGCCTGTACTGAGGACGACAAGATGTACTGATTGCGAACTTGTGGATAAGACATTACACCATCGCGACCCTCGGCAATGTAGACGACGTACTCTTTGCCGTCCCAGTCAATCAAGAACTTGCCAAACTTGACATCGTCCACAATGCGGCCGTTGCCTCCGTCAAGGCGTCTGGCAGGCGCCAAAAAGTGTCGGACATACAGCCGATCATTTTCCTTGTCGATAGGGGCAGCAGCAGCTTTTCCAGCGGCAGCGAATTGAAGAAGGTCACATGCGTATGTCGGTGTCACGGTAAGGTGAAGCTGAGGGTACTCTCGTCGGATTGCCTCGATCAGAACGGCATTGGTGTCCACACGAACGCCCGAAGAATGCTCGAAGTAGACGTTGGAAGTCTCGTTGGCGAAGCTCGGATTAGACACGAAGTCGCCGGTCATGTTGAGAAGATTGATCGTGATGTTGTTGATGGGAATGCGAGTTACAGTTGATGCCGGTCTTCGCAAGACACAGAGATAATGGTCAAGCGAAAGTGAATGATCCCAGTGAAGAAGCGATGTCACAACCTGATAGAAGCGTCTTGTCTTTTGAAGTGGATGGGAAGTAGGAAGATAAGAGGTGATAGCTAGGCAGACGCGGGGTATTTGAGGAAGGAGCTGTCGAAGGATGCAGCTTCACCTTCCTCCTTACGTCGATTGTGCAGGAAGATCTCCGTATCTTGATCCAGATCCTGCGATCTTTCTATTTTTACGCTTTTTGCCAGGCACCATATTTCGCGAGCCTCCTTCTTCCAGCCTCCGCGAACGTCAACGACGTCGTTGGTGGAGATGCAGGGTGGTGAACGCGTTGCATGGCTCGACCACAACGATAACCCACTTGACACAAGGTGCCTGTCCCCTGTACACACTCCTGGCTGAGAATTATCATACGTCAAGATTCACACGCGAAGGAACCCGAAACTCGAAGAAGAGCGACATTCACGCTCATGATCGAGCTTCAACTCTAGTATACGTAATTATGGCCAGGGTTGCCCTGTTGGCCAGGCAATGGGTCATGACGTAATGCTTCGGCCATGCCTCCACAGTGCACCGAGTCACAGCATTCAGGACCAGCAATGCACACCTTCCAGGTAGTAGCCAACACGTCGGGGCCCATACATTGAAGGTATATCATCAACGGCCGAGCGAGCAACGTCAAAATAGCTATTTTATTGGCTGGTTGGAAGAGAATCATGAATAAACTTGCGTGCTCGCGATTGTGAATGGCGAACAACGCATCGTCCCCCGCAATCGGGGGGCGTTCCATGCCTTTCTACGGTGCCGTAAGCAGACGAGGCCATGAAGTCCATTACACCACCACAGTGATTCTACGCCTCAATTCAAGAAACACATCATATTTCTCTCCACCAGCTACAAACCCCGGACGCCCAACACAATAACACGAGTACATTCAGCGCGAAACTTATTAACGAATAAACCATGTCGCCAGTCTTGTCGCTCGAAGGAAAGACCGCAATCGTCACTGGCGGTGCAGGTGGCCTAGGTCTCTCAATTACAGATCTCTTCCTGGAAGCAGGCGCAAACGTGGTCGCCATTGACATCAACACCGATCTGGTTCAGAAGTTCGAGTCTTCTCACGACTCGTCAAGGGCAATTGCCGTCGAGGCGAATGTAACCCTTGAGGAAGACCTAGAGGACCTGTTCAAAACGACGATCAAGAAATTTGGCAAGATCGATATTATCGTCAACAATGCTGGAGTCACTGATCGCCTAGGTATGTTTACAGAAGGCATTGGCATCGAATGAAGAATACCGTGGTGCCTAGCTCAAAGAGCTTGTCGGCGGCATGGCAGATGTCATGTATACTTGTACGAGAGAATTTTCGCTGACGATGTTTATCATCCAGATCCGGTCGGCACACTGGAAAAAGATCTCTGGGATCGCATCATTGCGGTCAACCTGACAGCTCCGATGATGGTCACTAAGCTCGGTGTTAATCACATGATGGAGAAGCAGATCAAGGGCTCGATAATCAACATCGGATCCGTTGCTGCTCTTCGTGGCTTTGCTGCCGGTAAGTAAAACCTGTTCTTGGAAATTTGTCGAGATGGTACTGATTGGCATTCCTATAGGTGCTGCGTATACCGCTTCCAAGCATGGTCTTGTAGGCTTGACGAAGAACACGGCAGCGTTCTACACAGACAAGGGAATTCGATGCAACGCTGTTCTTCCATCAGGAATGGAGACCAACATTTCGAAGACTCTTACCAAGGGTATTAACGACGAGGGATACTGCCATATGATGAAGGGACCTGTAACAATGGTCGACCCCAAGCAAGTGGCGCAAACCGTGTTGTTCCTGGCCTCCGACGCCTCGAACACCGTCAGTGGTTCCTGCATCGCCACTGATCTTGGTTATGCAGCTTCTTAATTAGTTCGTTCTCGAACGTAATGACAAACGAACAAAAGTTACTCAGCAATAACCTGTGCAGTGGTCGTAACTCAACGGCAAACTAATGGTGTGACCAAATCTAGCAGTATGGTACTGGCAGCCTCCTTGTTGCACAGCCTCAGCTTTCCCTGGTGCCCATATGGACGCGTTCGGTCAAGATCATTGGACCTCTCAACTATCAAGCCTGTGGTTGGAGAACGTGCGGCAAAAGAACTCGATCCATGGAACTGAAAACACCCCCGTGCCAGTGGCCAGTATCAAATCAGCGAGACAAGGGGGATGTGTCCCACTCGAGGCGTGGTCTGAATGTGAGCGTGCCTTACACGCCCATGATTTGAAAGTTGTTGCCAACTCTGTAGAAACCCCTGCCGTTAGACTCGCGATCTGGACTCGACACGGGTGTAGTTGAGCGCGTCTGTACGAGAGCACAATTTTAGGCAGGACACCCCAAGGGAAGCTGCAGTTGAAGACCTACACTGTTCTAGGTAGAATCCCCCTCGTACCTGAAACGGACTGCGATTCTGATTGTCTTCCTCAAAAAGGAGGAAACACTGGCTCGTTTGAGCTTGCTTAATGACCCGTGACATTGGATCCGGACGCGTGAGCACCCTGAAGATTGAGCTCGCGTAGATATCGTCCGTCTACCTCGCGCATGCATATGATGTGCGCTATATGTTGTTTCATAAGTGGTGAGAGGGATGCGGTAGGATTCAGGCATACAGGGATAGAGATGAGGACGCGGCACAGTGAGCAGCATCAAACCAGTTTGCGATGAAGAAAAATGTCTACTCGTCTTAGGTATGACAGTCATTTCCAGAAGAATGTTTACAAAGCCATAGCATCTGCGTTGACCGGTGACACAGGACTAAGTTCCAAGGCGGTTAACGGGCGTCTGCTGTCGGGTCCATATCCACACGGCTTCTCGGACAGACTGATGGGCGAGAACTCGTTGATCTGTCACCGTGCACGTTATCCACTGGTCTTCCGCTCCGCCGGCCCATTGTCGATCCATGCTGCCGAAAATTACTGAATTGGAAACACCAGCAAGACCCGAGGGCTTCAGACTACACGCGGCTCTCGAGTCCTCGCGGTTGAGACGTGTTCAAAAGAATAGCCGAGAGCCAGAGACGCGCGCAGACAACAAGCCTCTGGAGTCTGGACACAAGCCTACAAGGAGGTCTCGCGGCTCCGCAGTTGCCCTTTCTGTAACCGGCTCACGGCTATTGATCGACGGATAATGGTTCACAGACGGAGAAGATCAGTCGGACTAAGATGCTTGAGTGATTAGCCGAGAGCGAACCCCAGAGAGGAAACTGGATGTTCAGCAAATTGAGCACTTTACGAGCCGGCGCGATGTCGTGAACAATTTCTAGCTGACCGGCCTAAACAGAGGAAAGCTTCAGTTGGTTGAGATGAAGCCTTTGCACGCACAGATGGCGTTGCTTGGCCATCGAGAAGCAAGCAAATTGTCCACGTTTGGTGGCGTCCCGTTGATGCTTTGCTAAGCCAGAAAAGCCACCTGAGCAGACATCTGTCATTGATCTGTGAAGGCAGCGGAAAAGAGGAGATCGAAGACAAGCTCTCGCGATGGCGCACATCATTGACTGGATTCGAGGCGCAAAGGAGCAAAAAAGCATCACGCGGGGAATAGGGATGCCGCGGCTATACAGATCGTCGCCTGGGCTGACATCGTTGGCAACGTCCCAGCATATATGCAATCGTCGGAGAGCCATCTCGTTTCCATACAGCGAACGGACACCATGAGTCCGCGACACCCAAGGACATGGCTCATGCAGGGTATCGCGAGCGCCTAGCGGAGACGGCGGCTTGTCGGACTCATCTTCGAATCCTTCTGTCTACTGACAAGAAGAATGCGGCCAAAGTAGAGTAGGTACTTTTTCGATGTCATACCAAGGACGCCCAAGGACAAGTTTCAAGGGCTGATCGCGAATCGAACCATTTGATCTCAAAGTGACAAAGCAATTGTGCTGGGAAACGAGACAACGGTTCTGTTTTCAAATCAGCACAAGGGCCTCTCACACTAGCATGGAGCTAAACAAACTCCACGCGGAGCACGGCTCTTTCCCCCACACTCCCCATAAACATCGTGTCATCGTCATGAAGCTAGTGCCGAATATATTATGAGCATCCCCCTTGCCGTTCGAGTTTTTTCTATTTCTCCACATTGTCCGCTACCCTCTTGCCTTTCACCAATCTTAGGGAGGCAGTCTCTATCAATTCGCATCCTTACACCTTCGACTGAATCCATATCAACATGTCTACTGCTCAGGATCAGAACGCTATCAATGCCGATGGCTACGCCGGCATGAAGGAGACCAACGGTGTCAATGGTTACGACCACGCGCCGATCAACAATGGAGTCCCTCTCAAGCAGCGCAAGCCCTACGACTATGGCGGCAATCCTCTTGCTCACATCAACACTGGCGAGTCTGTCCGCCTTCCTGCCTTCGGTGGTGAATTCCAACCCGGTCTTTACAAGCCCATCAACGACCGCAAGTTTGCCAACCCTGCTCCCCTCGGTCTCAGCGCCTTCGCCTTGACCACCTTTGTCCTTTCTCTCATCAACCTTGGTACCCGCGGTATCGCTGAGCCCAACATCGTTGTTGGTGCTGCTTTCGCATACGGTGGTCTCGTCCAGCTCCTTGCCGGCATGTGGTACGTAGTATATGTTTCTCTGAACACGAAAGCATGGTCACTAACTGCGCTACAGGGAAATGGCTGTTGGAAACACTTTCGGTGCTACTGCTCTCTCTTCGTATGGTGGATTCTGGATTGGAACTGCCATTATTCTGACTCCTGGTGGCTTCGAAATCGCAAGCGCATATGAGGGTACTCAGTTCGACGACGTCTTTGGCTTCTATCTGATGGTAAGCGCATGATTCAAAATCAGCACTATTGCGGTCTGTTTACTGACTCACTTCTTAGGGCTGGTTTATCTTCACCTTCATCCTGCTCATCTGCACGCTCCGTTCGACTGTCGCCTTCTTCTTCCTCTTCTTCACACTCGATCTCGCATTCCTCATGCTTGGTATCTCATACCTCCAGCATGGCAACATCGCCTGTCTTAGAGCTGGTGGTGCCTTCGGTATTCTCGCCGCCTTCGCCGCTTGGTACAACGCTCTTGCCGGTATTGCCGACAGCAGCAACTCGTTCTTCATCATTCCTGTCGCCCACTTCCCCTGGTCTGACAAGGGTCGCGAGAGACGCGAGAAGGTCGACAACTCTGAGGCTCGTGCTGCTCAGGAGGTTTAAATGACAACTTTGACGAATCTTGTTATGGGTAGTTCGAGCTCACATCACTGAGAGTGATACCATGATCTCGGAATCAGGATGACTACTTTTCGTATGTTTTTGTTATTACTTGCAGGATACCCAGGCTTCACGAAGGATTGAGGGAGCCTCTCAATAGGATGATCCCAGACGGGTCTTTTCATTACCATCATCTCAATTACACTTTTTAATAATTCATTTCAACGTCCACTACAACACTTGAGTTTCATGTATCGTAGCTTTCGCTCACGAACCAACACAGAACGCATGCAAGATCTTGCCACAAGACCCCGATGCGAAGTTGATGTACGTTCATGCACACTTGCATGCAAGTCCAGATTAACATTCCTAGTCACGCCACGAGACCTCCACAATTGCAACCCCGCAGGCAAAGTTCCTTGGCCATGTCTTGTATTCCAGCCTTGTCAACCTCTCCCTCCGCGCCCTTCCATATTGCTCTTTTATTCACTTGGCGATATTCCAATGGAATGGTGTTGCTGTGACACCAGAAATTCGCTTCACAACTGTTCATCTTGTTGTTTTGGTTCGGACGTCCGGACCATGCACGGTTTGTCAAAATCACTAGCGCAATACTGATAAGAATAGCCATCTATCAACCGCGAATGGGAAACAGGCTAATTGTGAGCGAGCCCTAAGCAAAATCCTCCATCGTCGAGAATAGGCGCCTGCTGGTGAGAGAATTGCTTTCTGCAAACATCAATCTATGCTTTTCAGGAGGTTGTCCGGTGGGGGATCGCTACACCACTCCATTGCTTGTGGTTCCCCTTTGGCGGATAAACTTGACGGAAATTCTTCTCCTAAATTGATCGTGCCGCATGTGCTTATTGCCAACAATTTTGGATGCACGAATGGTGTTACTCAACAAGGATTATACGAAAGTGCATGTAGAAGGATCAAGCAATTTGGACGAACATGAGGACGCAGTAGGCCAACCACATCGCTTAAGGTGGTTGGACACATGTTGTTGACGATTTCAACATGTACATCGAAATCACACCAGCTTTATTGTGAACGGCACATGATACTCATTGATCCATTTACAATCTACTGAGAATAACGATGTCTACGGATGAGTCTTCGAGTGGTTGTGGCTCCTGTTTCCGTATGGCAACCTCTAACTAAACATTCTATTCTTTCCTCAGTCTGTCTCTGACTTTCATCTGCGCATTACCGAGCAAATTGGTGCCCCATTCGTTCTCTTTGCCCGCAGCCTCATCTCCCCGGAATCCAATACCCCAGTTCCGATCCGCAGGATTGGACTCTGCCAATATTCTGTCTCCAGTTGCCAACAGGGCTTCTCGACATTCAGCGACTTGGGAGAACTTCAACCAGTTTCCGGTCTCTGCCACCTCAGGTACGGTTCCACGCCACTTTTTCCCATCAAAGTTCTTGACCTGACGGCCAAGTTTCTGGGCTTCGCTGGGCGTGGATGCCACGAGTATCTTTTTGGCTGTTTCCTGGTCGTCGAAGCAGATGGCTTTGCGCCACATTATGTAATGCTCCATGGTCTGAAAGCGAGTGTTTGTGTCCTTGGGATCTGTGAAAGATGATGGATACCAGTTCTGGAGGCGAGCTTCTGGTAGTTGAAGTTCGTGTCCGTAGGTAAAGAGATGCTTGTCGGTGTACCAGACTGATGGACCGTACGCAACCTTTTCGTTTGTGCCGTCGTTTGACGTAAGTGTTTTTGTGACCTTGAATGACATCTTCCTGGATTGAACTGCTGTGACAGATTTCGAGATGGGTGTTGTTCTGGTGATTCGAGTGCAAAGGATCCGGCTCATGAGCTGAATGCGGTGAATAGGCTGCTGAAACGACGGAATCGATGCAGTAAGTTGGAGACGCTCTTAGGAACTCTTCGGACTGTTATTGGGACGACGAAGCATCGATCGAAAGTACTCCTATGTTGTCAAGTATGGAAACAGATTTTGATAGCTCTGTCTTCAATGCGAGTGGTGTGACGACTTGACTTTTGACACCTGAATACCGCATAGACAAGCGACATGGCTACGTCACCAAAAGTGGTCCGAATCTCACGAGGTCTCAGGTACGATCGAGCAAATCGTTACGATATCGTCCCCTCACCGCCCTGCCTACCTTCAAAGATTTTCTTGTAGTTTACAAGGTCAGGCTCGTTGGTCTTCTTATGGTTTCATGTTCATTGAGAATATAGAATCGATGGCTTCGGAATAGAAGGAGGCCTCCTTCTCGAAGCTGTGCGGTTGATGACCATTATAAGACACAGATCTGTTCGAAACAAATATCTGTCTACTCACTGAGAGCGACTTTACAGCTCTCGCTGATATTGTTATTCTGACCACGAAGCTGTGGTGACCTGCGATGAATACATGGCTGTTTCTACACCATTTCACACAGCTGAAATCTCGTTCCCAACCCGTGTCTTACACTGTTGCCAACATGCGCTGAAGATCCTTAGCCTTCAAAAGAGCTGCCCGTGGTTCTAGTGAGCAATTTTTCTCATATCGCGAGTTTTAAGAGTTATTATAGTCTTCGAGCCCCGCGTTTGAGTCATATGAGATAAGTTCGCGCTCTATAATGCTGTATGAAGGGCCATCGCTAGGATATATGTCTAGCTTTTCTACAGACGCGTAAAACACGTCAACCTGACACTCAGAAACCAACCATTTATCCTCAAAAATTGCGAAATGGCTGCCACAGCATCAAACCCCCCGGCTATGCCAGTCGCCGGAGACGACTATCTTGCCAAAGAAATCGAGATGCTTTCTACTGATTTACGAGAAGAATTTCGAACGTACCTCGACGAAATCACCGCCGCTGGCCAATTCGCGACCATGAGAAAGCTGGAAACCATAGTAAAACCAGAAGTCAAGCTGCTGGGAATGGAAGGTGCTCCTGATCAGGAAATCGCGACTCCGTTAGGCTAGAGAGACGCTTCCAAACTTATTGAAGCCGCACATCAAGCCCCATTCGGGAGGGGTGAAGAGACCATTGTGGATACATCCGTTCGAAAGTACGTATAATAAGGGATTGTGTTATCATACCATAGCATACAAGATTCTTTCGTAAGCTAGAACTTTTGCTAATATGACTGCTTACTTCAGCACCTGGGAGCTAAGTCCCGATCGCTTCTCATTGAGTGAGCACTGGCAGCCGTACGTGGACTCCTTAATGGCGCTGGTATGCGAGGAGCTAGGCGTCCGCGGAGATGGAATCCGTGCAGAGCTATACAAGATGCTTCTTTACGAAAAGGGAGCAATGTTCAAGCGTCACGCGGACTCGGAGAAAGTGCCTGGCATGTTTGGAACTTTGGTCATCAGTCTACCCTCAGCGCATTGGGGCGGTGCTGTTGTGGTTACTCATAATGGAAAAAAGTATTCTCTACAGACATACAACCACGAGTATCTTGCTTGGTAAGTGAGCAGTGTTTGTCGCTCGGATGGCGGACTGATATGTAGTAGGTACTCAGATGTGATTCATGAGGTATGAGTACAATTTGGCTGTCACAGCTCGGGGCACTATTGACAACACGCAGGTTCAAGAAGTTACTTCAGGCTATCGGTGGGTCTTGACGTACAACCTCGTTCAGACCGACTGTGAGCAATTCAACTCTGCTGCCAGCGCCGATCGGAAGCTGCGTGCCATACTCACCGAATGGAACAACACAATCGAAGAGGAAGGAGGTGAAAGTGACAAGATGATATACCAGCTAGATCACAAGTACACAGATGCCAGCATTCGTCTCAACTCGTTGAAAGGGGCAGACCTACTGAGAGCACAGCGGTTGTTCTCAGTCTGTGATCAAGTTGGATTCACTCTCTATCTGGCAAGCCTGGAGAAGCAAGTGCATGGATCTGCCGAGTCAAACAACAACGGATACTACGATCGTTATGACGACGATGAAGAGGGAAGTGACGGTGAATTCCACGCTATTGAAGACGTCATTGATGAAACACTCAAGTTGACTCGGGTGGTCGATACTGACGGCAATGTCATCGCGACTGATCTCGATATCGAAGAAGACGACATCGTTCAACCAGACCCTTACGAGGATCGTGACCCGGATGAAGATTCGTACGAAGGCTGGACAGGCAATGCTGGAGCAACTTCTACTCATTGGTACAAAGACTCGGTCCTGGTTTTAGTGCCTAATGACATGATTGCAAACGTCTTCTTAGGATCATATCGTGACTTCGGATACGGCGACGGCGGAGATGCGAAGGTCCTGGCAATCCTCAGGCATCTCGTAAAACGAGCTCAAGGTTTCCCGGGAGCTCAAGCTGACTCGCTCAGACAGAGTGTCGGACAGGTGGGCATCATGATCTCGGACAATCGGATCGATGCGAAACATGCAGGGATGAGAAGCTACAAATACACGGATACTACGGTCTCTGAAGCCATTGTGGCTTGCGCAGATTGCGGTCAGGTCGATGTGTTACGAAACTTGTCATCTGCGTTCAGAGACAACCTCTCCGAAGGTGCCCTCAAATCTTTGAGCGATCTAAGAGGTCGGACGGATTTGAGCATCGCAGAAGACCGCACGAGGCTTGAATATATGTGAGTACGATGAGTTCCGTAAAAGCAAAGTATGCTGATGTAGGTTAGATTCGGCCAGGTCGTGCTGAATTACAAGACCGTCTCGAAAAAGTATGAAACACTTTCTTTCCTTATAGGCGTTGAGGCTTTGACCGTAGCCAACCATGAAGACTGTATGCCCGAAATAAAAAATTGGGTGGTCCAAATGCTGGCCAAGATATTCTCGGACTTGGATGTGCTATCCAACGAGGACGGCGACGTGATTGCTAAAATTGCAACACTGGATACCAGCGAAGCTCTTCTGAGGGATCGGTATGTTTGCATTGACTCTGTGGAACCTATGCTCTAGCTAATCGCAAACTTACAGCATCATGCCCAGCATCCAACGTCAAATGCAAGGCGCAAGCCCGGAGAAGACCACGTTCATGATGAAGTTACTCTCGCAAGCCCTAGATTCTTCAAAGCCACTTACCGCAGAGTTGGTGTCCATCTATGAGCCACTTATGGAATCTGTGGTCCGTAATTTGTCTTTTCGCAAGGCTCAAGCTCCTCCCCCAGCACGCACTGCATCTATCTATGACAGGTCTGGAGCGAACACAGTTCAGCAAGATCCACGCAAGCCTGCATTGGACGGTCGGGTTTTATTGAGCATCCTGGAACACTGCCGAAACCTTGACTTGCATCAAAACGCTCTATTGCTGGAGACCAATATTGCGGCGCAAACTCTCACCATGGACCCTCAGGACTTTGCTAAAACATTGATGCCGTTCTTGAAAGGTATCATGGAACATCTGCGCGATGGGAAGGATGATATCAGCAGGCATCAGGTGCTTTTCCGTACGGGCCTCTCGCAATATATCCTGCGCTTCGTCGGGCAGGAACCCGTCCAAATAAATTGGTCTAGAAACCCGGTCAGGTGCAACTGTGCTGACTGCAAGACCCTCAACAACTTCCTACGCAGTCCAGTCGATCGCGTGAGTCGGATGAGTGTCGGCAAACAACGTCGACACCACTTGCACATACAGCTGGATGCACATACCGACTGCACTCATCTGACCGATCGCGGATACATGGAAACCCTTGTCATCACCAAACAAGGCAAAAGTTTCGAAGACAAGTTTAATGCTTGGAAGTTAAAGGCAGACTTGGCGACGGCTGCACTTCGATCTCTTGAGGACCTTGAAGGTCCAGCAAACCCAGAGAGCCATCTCGCTGCACTTCGATCTCTTGAGGACCTTGAAGGTCCAGCAAACCCAGAGAGCCATCTCAAAAAGCTTCTGGGAGACCAATATGAGGAAATCATGACATTGAAGAGAGTGAGAATTATGACTGCTGCTCAACAGCCATCTGCCAGGCAACCACAAACTAATGTCGCATCATCGGGTACTTCGGGTGCAACCACAGCTGGGGTATCGACCTTGGGCGCAAGACAGCCTCACCCGTCTCAGGTCATTGGGCAGAAGAGAAAGGCAGTCGTGATTGATCTGACTGATGATTGAGTTGCGGTTGGGAGTGGGCCGCTGCAACATGCTACCAAAGCTACCCTGTATATCTCATGCATAGTCAAACTAATGTCTCAATATCAAGACCTAACAGGTAACATGCGACAAAGATTGTATGATATGCCGCATAGCGTGCGTTGTCAAGACCCAGCAACAGAGACCGACATCGAGGGCAGATGCAGCTGTCTGATGCAGTAAGCATACTTTAGCATCAGAGTTGGAGTGGCTGCAGACAACTGAGTTGGAAGCAAACTCCCTTTTCCTGAAAAAAGAATTGAGTCGTGTCAAAATGCACGATGTGCTGTGAGACTAAAGCCGTGTCCAGCGAGAACGGCGTTTTCTCAATGGCCGAGTACATCAACATTATTATGCCTTCTGGAAGTCCTGTCTACTGGAATTGGTGCCGCGAGAGTGTTTGTGCCTTGTTGGCCAACGATACCATTGGGTTCCTTTAGCAGCTAAGAACAAATGAAGTGCTTCTTTGCAAAAGGTATCCGTCTTGGACGTCTACATACCTCTCAGTTTCGGATTGATATATACTCCACAGTTCATGCATTCATGCATGTTGGTGTGAGCATACCGAATTCCCGGGCCTACAGGGCTTCCCCGGCGGTCCGGTGCGTGAAGACCATTCATGGAACATTGCGACGGCGTTCTGGATGCGATAGACTGCGCGTCAGGGCAAGTATATCAGAGGAATGGCCAGGCGAATCACACCATGCCAGCGTGATGAGACCGGAGAATGGAAATGGTCTGTGTTGGCACGTCGGAGATGGTATACATATTCCGAAGTCTCTCTCTCCCAGATGATCAATAGCAATCAGAAAATCGACCAAACTTTCAATCCTCATAACAATAACTTGCAGCAATCAGAGAAAATGTGCACATTCGAATTGGTCAAATCTCTAAAGTGCGGCCATCTCGTCAAGCGTTGTTATCTCGAATGCCATGCGGCCAAGATATCTGGACAGAGATGCGAAGTATGGCCCGCTCAGAAAGAAAGGCCCTTGACAATCAAGGAACGAGGGCCAATGGCAGTACCGGATTATTGCGATCACTGTAAATCCGATGGCTTTCTGGCATGGTTCTGATCGAACTCATCCACGGCACAAGACCTCAAGATACACTGATCGAGCTTGAGAACGGGCTTTGATTTTTGACGCCGCTATTGGAAGATGGACGGAGCAACATGATGGCCGACTGCAGGTGCAAGCCTCGCCAAGATGGCCTCCGGAGTTATCGACCGAGGTACGGAGACCCGTCCACATTGACACACAAAACTATCTGGCATCATTGTTGAGACTGGGCGATCAAAGTAATAACATTGGCTTAAGATCAGAATCTTCCAAGCTGGCGATACCCTCAGAGTCCGTATTGCCTTCAGCTTAGAGCGAGGGTCACGAAGCATGGTAAATAGCTCCATCCTAGAGGGGTCGCGTTACCCCGGAGCAATTGAGCCTTTATGTCCGCCCTTGCTACAGCTCTGAGTCGCGCAAGCAATCCACAAAGCAACGGTCGAACCATACATCCGCGTCTCCTCTCAAAGTCGAGAAGCTATATCAGTGCTGACCGCCCTGCTCATCTTGGTCTTCATCACAACCATAACTTATCAAAATCTAACACGACATCAACTGTTCAAAGCCAAGACCATCTACCAACAGCATAGCTATGGACTACTCATCAATCCTCACCTTCCTCTACTCGCAGTTCTTCATTGTACCCGAGTATCCGGAGAAGTCATGTAAAGGACAAGTCTTCATCGTCACTGGAGCCAATGTCGGCCTTGGTCTCGAAGCATCTCGCCACTTGGTACGCCTAGGTGCAGACAAGGTCATTCTTGCATGCCGAAACCTGGAGAAAGGTGAAGCTGCCGTCAAGGACATCGAGCAAAGCACCAAGAGAACCGGAGTCGCAGAAGTATGGTCATTGGACCTGTCTTCCTTTGAAAGCGTCAAGGAGTTTGCCAAGAAGGTCGATACGCTTCCTCGAATTGACAGTATCGTTGAGAACGCAGGTACGTCCGATTGACAATCCATCAAGGAAGTACCAAGGAAATCTGACCATCATATAGGCATCTCCACCACAAAGTTCCAAGTGTTTGAGGGTAACGAGTCTACAATTACAGTGAATGTGATCTCAACATTGCTCCTCGCCCTTCTTGTCTTGCCCGCTCTGAAGCGTTCTGCTCAGAGACACAACATCCAACCTCGACTCACAATCGTCGCCTCCGAAGTCCACCACTGGACAAACATTCCAGAGCGCAACAAGAGGGACTCCATTTTCGAAGCTCTGGCTTCACCCGAAGACTCGGAAATGGGTATCAGATACCCCGTCAGCAAATTGCTCGATGTCTTCGGTACTCGCGCCCTTGTCGAACGCACACCTTCATCCTACCCCGTCACCATCAACACCATGAACCCTGGCTTCTGCTACAGTGAACTCTCCAGAGAATCTAGCGGCATCGGCTTCTGGCTCATGTACAAACTGCTGGCCAGAACTACCGAAGTCGGCGGCAGAACCCTTGTCGCCGCAGCTCTGGGCTCACCCGAAACCCACGGACAGTACATGAGCAACAGCAAAGTCGAGGAACCATCAAAATTCGTCAGGAGCGAAGAGGGCAAGAAGACGCAAGAGAGAGTTTGGGCAGAGCTCAGCGCAAAGCTCGAGCAGATCCAACCTGGTATTCTGCAGAACATCTGAGCTTGAGTGGGTTTGATCAGTTTCACAGTCTGATGTTTTTGCAAGAGTGTTGTGGCAGATGTTCATGTCAAGATGAATGTGGAGTCGGCCCGTTGCGTCAATTTTCTTATTACCAGGTTTTCGTTTTTTCAGCATCCATTAGGTTGTATAGTGTAATGGTTAGCACATCGGATTCTGATTCCGGTAATCCCAGTTCGATCCCGGGTACGACCTCTTCTTTTGCTCTATCCTGTGCATTGTTTCTGACCAGTGGTATGCAATGATTGTCTTTCACGAATTTGCGACTCGCACTTTTTTCTTTCGTGCGAGGGAAAGATCGGAGGACAGCCGGGACTTGGCAGTGATCGCCGTAATGGTGGAATTACACAACAATTTCCAAATTTAGGGCTTGATTGAAAGAGGAAACATGATGTAGCCGCTCTATCTGGATGACAAGCTGCTGCTTGGGGTTTTTGTACAATTCGGCGGATGATTGACCATGTTTCGCTGTGGTGAGAGCAGACTGCGGTGGTTTTGTGCTGAGCTCCACCGAGGCAAGAGAGATGAGACAATTATGCCGATATTGGCGAGGACTGCTAATTAGAGTGGGTGTCAGATACATGTCACATAGAGGCTGGTTGTCGACAATCTCTTAGGTCGAGTGAAAACTTATAGACCTGTCTATGTAGTCGACAGCGATTCACGAGCTCAGAGCAGGGTGTCCCTAATACCAAATAAGATTGAACGATTTTTTGAATGAGCTTCGTAACAACAGCGATGAGTTGGATATCAGGAGTAAGCCATGGAAAGCTTTGCGGTAATTAAGCTAACGTGCAGTAATAGATCATTTCAACAAGATCTGTCTGACGGTCTGCTGCATGTCCTTGGTAACACCACAACGAAGCAGATAGTCCTCGATAGAACCATACTTCTCACCGATGTGAGCCGACACGCTTTCTACCCATTGAGGATCACAGTCCGCAAAAGAGTCAGGCATACCGATGCTTCTGATCTCGACAATTCTGGCCTCGCGTTCAGAGACAAGCTCTTTTTGTGTTCGCATGTAATCGGAGTTGATGGCTTCTGTCTCGACATGCAGCAGCAAGAGAACAAGCAGGATAGTTAGGCCAGTGCGATCCTTGCCTTGTGTACAATGAACCACGACAGGATAGTTCTTCTTGTCTGTCAGAACGCGAAACACTGCGAGGACTTCAGAGGTACAATGAGCGAGCGAGTCGAAAGCTAGACCAACAAGTCCTCGCTCGGACATTACTTCTGTGCCTAGGATGCTGATGGCTTGAGTACGGTATCCTGCAGCCATAAGAGCGATGAGCTTGGCGGCAGACCAGTATCGCAATTGACGGATGAGCGCAAACGAGTACGAAGAGCCGTTGAAGTTGATTTCAGAATAGTTCAGCCCTGGAATCTTGACGGGTTCGGCGGCCTGATTGTTGGACGGAGCAACAGGTTCGGCTGAAGCTAGAGGGACGGATCGTTTCTGAGCTTGAACAATGTGTTCGGACTTTGTGCGTAGGTCGATGATGGTGTGTATCTTGTAGTCATCCTTCAGTCGTCTGCGGTCTTCGGTTGAGGCTTCATCAGGTCTAGCACTTCGAAACAGCAATCCGGACTTCAGCTTCCTGATAAAAGTGTTATGAGGCGTGACTATCAAGTATCTGCAAGAAGCTCACTTTGAGCCAGTCAGCTCGTTGACAAATGCACCGACATCACGAAAGTTCAGCAAGCGGTCAAACTTGTCAACATGTGCCATGCTGCTTCGTGTCGCTTAATTAAGCACTTTGCGTACGGTGCAGAAGAAGTTGAAACGGTCCGGTTGCGAGGTGCGAGGGGCTTTGATGAATTCGGATGATCAGAAGTTGTACACAAGGTGTTGATTGTATGTCTGATGTTGAGAGAGCAATCAATGAAGAGGATCGAAAGAGCTTGTCACGAAGCAAGTCACTGGAAACAAGGACGGACTGGGCTTGGGCCAAATCAGGTTCTGGACAAAGCTTGGGCTGCGAACCCCGGCGTCGATCAACTGGGGATCAAGAGTACCACAATTCATCAATCTTTGCTCATCAAGAAGCAGGGTCCTGGAGAGTGGAACATGGCAATGCTATGGTTCGACTCGAGAGAGGACATTCTGGTGGAGTTGACAAGATGTTCGCCGAGGCCAAAGGGTCGCACCGTTCCTTCCAAGTCATGGCGGTTGACGTAGTGTGGCAGGCTCGGCATGCAACGGCGGTGACGTAGGGGATATTGCTTCGAGGCAGAGGTTCACTGGTTCAGCATTCTTTGGGCGCATTATTGGCTGTCTTTGCATCATCTTACCGTCGCAAACCCTCTTCATTCCTAGCACCTGATGGAATCTGCTGAAGTCAAAAGCACTGGCGACACGACCTTCCTGCTCGAACAACATACCCCTGATCCGACCCCGATCGAAGAGAAGCAGGCGCCCATGAATGCGAGCAATCCCATTGAGAAAGCAAAATCCCAGATAACCGCTCCTTCGTCCACGCCAGACCCCACGCCATCGCGACCAACCGCGACAACCGACACGACGAGCATGACCGCCACACCTGGTCCTATCAAGACAACAACCAACGTCTACCCAGCCGAGTCTGACAGTCAGCCTTCTACTCAGTCGAGCGATAGGACAGCAACCGCTTCCGCTCCGATCAAGACGACAACTAACGTCTACCCGAGCGAGTCCATCAGCCAGCCTCCTACTTCTCAATCGACTCAGTCGACTCAACCGACCCAGTCAAGGACTGCAACCAGCGGCAAGCGCGATACCAGGAACTCAAACGCCGCCTCATCCGCGACCGCCGGAAACACAAAGTCCAACATGCAGAGCTCCAGCACTGCCCCACTGCCCTTGGCCGACTCCTCCGAGTATGCTCCGTCGACAACCACTAGCTTCATCGACAAGCACGACATTGTATGCCCGGACCCAACTGCCCACCGCGACACCAGACTCCAAGAGCAAGCCTCGACCGCTGCTTTGTACGTTACCAAGACTGGCAAGAACTCGAAGCAGAGAGACGACGTTCTTGATTCTAACAACAAGCTCTCATCACGCAGTAAGTACTGACATTATTGTAATCTAATTCCGCCAGTACTGACAAGCACCAGGTGCCGCAGCTTCGCTCAAGTATGCCAGCCCTCGCGATCTGCCCAGCTACCCCGTCGTCGGAATCGACACGACTAATTCTGCTCATTCCGCCGCCAACCTGGCAAATTCTGGCCACAAGCAATTCGAGCACTGGAAGCCAGACCCCTCCAAGAATGCTGGCATCGCAGCAATGGCAGCAAAGGATTACAAGATGGCTCCAATGTGGAAGCCCGAGCTGAGCGCTGCCGGTTCCAAGGCTGCTTTGCTTGCTCACAAGGACGGACCCAAGCTGAATCTCTGGCAGCCCGAGGCTTCAGCAGAGGGCAACTCTGCAGCAGGCATCGCAATGCGTAACAAGAACCTCGGTGTCAACCTCGATTATGGATACACTGAAGATGGCCATAAGAAGGCTCTCATGGCTGCTACTGGTGCTTTGGGCAAGTCGAGATCGACCAAACTCCCACCCGTCGAGCACCCTAGATATCCCGACTCTGCCAATTCGGCACACAATGCTCTCAATGCTGCTACCATGGCCCACAGACCAGCCACCAAGTCAGTTCCCCAAGACTCGAACAGCATCAGCTCCGACGCCATGCGCGCTGCTCGTGTACAAAACATGGGTAAAAACGTATCTCGTGATATGTTTGGTTCCGCACCTCCAGTCGACTTGGAGGTCGAAGAGAAGAAGAAGCAAGCCGCACTCCGCGCTTCAGCAATTTCCATGGCCAAGCAAATGTACACTCAGACCGAAAAGAGAAGGCGCGATGACGAGGCCGCCGAGGTTCAAGCACGCCTTGGAACCAGCGCCGCTACCGTCTCGCACAACCGCGTTCCTTCGGCCGCCTTGACCCAGCCCGACCTGCGTCAACAGGCTGTGCAGTACATCCATCTGCAAGAGGCTGCTCAGAAGCTTGCCAACGAGCGCCTTGCAAAGATGGACCCTGATGGCGCTGCTCGTTACCGTGCACACTACGGTTACGAACAACAATCACCACGTTCCCGCTTGTCTCTGCGTAATCGCCCTGGCAGAAACCGTGCCGAGAGCAACCCTAAGCCTGTTCAGAACGATGATGATTCATCTGACGACGAGTTCAGATCGCGAAGAATCCGTCATCAGATGTCTTCTCTGAACAACTCAGTCGCTCAGCAGGACGAGAAGCGAACTCAGGACCGCGCCGCTCTACTTGCTGCCGCTGAGAAAAAGGTGCAGGCTCAGATGCACACCATGGATGAGCAAGTCTTCCAGCAAACTGGCCAAGTCACACCTGCAATGATGGAGGAGTGGGAGGCCAAGGCTCGCGCTCGCGCTACAGTCGATAGTGAGAATAGGCAACGCAACTTCGGCAAGGTCAACATTGGCGGTGGCAAGTACATGGACCAGTCTGAGCTTGATGCCATTGCTCAAAGCAGACTCCAACCCACTCTCAATGAGATCAACGACAATGCGGAGAAGAAACGCGCCAGGGACGAAGAGATCCGTCTCGACCAAGAGGAAAGAAGACGCATTCAGATGAGCGAGAAAGAACGTGAAAAGGAAGTCAAAGCCGAATCGAAGCGCCTTAAAAGTAAGTGATTCCAAGCCGAGCTAGGTATACCTTTATACTGACAAAACGCAGATCAAGAAAAGGCCGAAGCAAAGGCCGCTAGACAGGCCGAGAGGGAACTCGAGAAGAGTCGCAAAGCCGAGGAGAAGCAAGCTCGCAAGGACGACAAACGCAGATCCAAGGAGGTCAAGAGAGAGACCGAGGAGGCTACCCAGACCTCTGTTGCTGCCCACGCCGCCGACAGACCCTCAACTTCTGGCGCTGTTGCGACCACTACTACGACTGATGCCCACTCCAGCATTAAGGATGAGGACAGAGATGTCGATGTTGATCGTACTCCTGCTGTCGATAACGAGACTGTTGCCGCTACCGATGGCGCACCTCTCGAGAAGAGCGATTCTCCTGACATGATGACTAGAATCGCTACCGGCGGTACAGTACACAGCACTAAGAGCGGCCTTCGTCCTGAGCTCGATCGTCACGTTTCCACTGTTGTTAGCTCCAGCTCTTCAAGCGCACGCAGCAGTCTCAGCCTTTCGAGCATTGACGAGGACGAGAACACCCACCCCGTGGCTGCTGCGACCGAGCCTGCACCCGTTGCTGAGACCACTGCTGTCACTCTACCTGAGTCAGAGCCCGTCGGTCTCACTTCTCCCGCAACCGCCAGCTCCGTGCCCTTCCAGCGCCGCAAGTCCAGTCGTATGAGTGGCTTCTTCTCACGCTTCAACCGCAAGTCGAAGCCCGCTGAGAAGACCCAGGAGCAGCCCAAAACTACCGCTGTGACCCTGCCACCCACTGAGGCCAAGAAGTCTCTCTCGACTTCTGAGCCCTCTACTACCGAGCCCACCAGTGTCACTGCTGTCGCACCTGTAACCAGCGATGTAGCCTCGGATTCCTCTTTCCGTCGCCACGACACCGACCTTCACAGCATCTCGTCGCTCTCGAGTGACGAGCAGCTCCCTACCACTCGTCCCTCAGCCCGTCGCGGACGCAGCAGCATCAGCGCCATCAGCGGCGAAGAGGATGAGTTCGAGGAGGCCCGCGACCACTTCGACGAGACCCTCGCTCCCCCACCCACTTTCGGCGGACAGCAAAAGAACCAGAGTCCCGCTCGCGAGACCAAATTCCAAGAGGAGTTTTAGCTTGACTGACTCGGAGTGATAAGTCTAGCTATATCAAGAGATAGCGTTGAGCAAGAGAAGGGGAAGGAGAATGAGAAAAGGAAGATCACGAGGACGATGATGCGTGTTGTTGTTTGGTTTCTTGACATACGTTGATGTTGACTGATGCTTAATGTCCTGGGAGTGTTTTCTCACCCCTACGTAATTAATACCTAGTACTTGTTTTGGAATTCTTCGTAGCTAGTCTTTCTGCTTTTATATGATATCCTCGAGTTTGCCATTTTTGCATTGTCTCTCTTCCTCCATATTTGCTTGAGCTCGGCAAGACGTGTGCTTGGTATCCCAACAACTGCAGGGCTTGTTTTTTTATCCAAGACACAAAATGCGGCTATGCTGTCTCATAGCCGGAGGCTGCTTTCTTTCCAGGTAGAACCGTGAAGGCTTTCTCCCGAGCATTTATGCAGTCACGCATCGCCCGGACACGGCACAGGAAGCAGGGCGAATCATGGCAGCGCTGGCCGTCAAGATTGTCGTGAAGACATCGATAGACATTGGACAACGCTAAACCAAATGTCGTTACAGACATTGGCAGCGTCGTTGATCGAAGGATACCTGTGCTGCGGAATGCCTGCGCATTGCTGTGAAAGTCTTGCTGGTCGAGTTCGTAATGTTGATGGGGACGACAAAAGTTTGGCTCAGCCTATCATAGAGCCAAAGTCGATCTTTCGAGCCACCTTGTCACCTCTGGTGTTGGGCAGCTCACCGCCACGTCTCTTTAGGTCTTCGCCCATGGTATCGAGACCACCTCCCTGACGGGGCAAATCCTCGAGGCGAGAAGGACGTGGATCGGAGGTCCAGTAGTGGTGCTCGAGGATCTGTGCTGCAGTTGGACGCTTACGAGGGTCAAGGGCAAACATGTTCATCAACAGATCTGCGCCAGCAGGACCAACAGTGCTGAAGTTGGTCTCCCAGTCGACACGCTTCTTTACAGGGTTGATGTCTTGCTTTGCGACAGGCACGTAGCCACGTAGCTTGCTGACGCCGGGCCAATTGTCTTCTGTAGGAGTACCCACCTGCTCACAGATTTTGGCAATCATTGCAAGATCTCCATCGGGATTTGAGTACAGAAAGGGCCAACGTTGGACGAGTTCGGCGAAAACGCAACCAACGGACCAGATATCGACAGCACCAGAGTAGAAGTTTGCCTGGTAGTAAAGCTCCGGGGGACGGTACCATTTAGTGATAGTGTTGTAGGTCATTGGGGCGTGAGGGTCGGCGAAACTGCGAGCGAGACCAAAATCAGCAAGCTTGACTTCACCATTGGCGGCGATCAACAAGTTGTTGGGTTTGATATCGCGATGGAGGACGAAGTTCTGGTGGCAGAACCAGATGGCGCGGCACAGCATGCCCATCCAAGCTTTGATGTCACTGGCGTTGTAGTTGATGTTGTTGGTATCCTGGATCAGCTTCAACAGATCTCCTTGGGGCAGTTGTTCGAGGACGAGATTGAGATTCTGGTTCTTTGTAGAAAAGACCGAGTATAGGCGGATGATATTAGGATGTGACAGCTCCTGGAGAAACTTGATTTCGCGTAGAGAATCGTGGGAGATGCCCCATTCTTGAACCTCGGGGCCGACCTTGATCTTCTTGATGGCGACGAGTTGTGTAGGGTCGGATACGAGGTGGGCGGAGAAGACATCGGCGTACTGACCAGAGCCAAGTTTCTTACCTATTGGAGGTGAGTGAGTGCAAGGATGGAATCGAGTCAAGGTCACATACCCTTAACGTATTTGCGACGCTCTTGATCATCCAGTTGTTCGGCAATGTTTGTGGCAGAAGCGGCTGGAGCTGCTTGCGCAGGGTGGAGGACTTGAGCAGCCATGCGGTTTGCTGCCTTGGAGTTGGCGCCATTTTCACCCTTGAACATGGCGGGCGATGCGGGTGAAAGACCCATGCCCATCTTGTTTGTGTTCCGCAATGTGCGAGTCGTTCTTGTTCCAAAGTGAAAGTGCAAGGAAGGAGCTTGAGAGGCATGATTGAATCATGGCGATGCGGAGCGGCTCTGCGGCACGGACCACGCGCAACAAGCAGCAGCAGCGACAGCGACTTTTTGGCAGGCGCGCTTCTCGCAATTCGACAACCAGAGAGGCTCTACGCCCACAACTTGACCTTCGCTCCTTCTCAACTCATCGCCGCCCTCACTCATCAACCACTTCAAGCCCTGCAATCCGGGCAACCACATCCCTCGGAGTCAACATGTTCGCCAGGCGGTCCCTCTCCGTCAAGGCTCTGCCTACCACAACCTCGTTTGTCCAGACTCAGCTACGATGCTTGCACGCCAAAGTCGACGCAAAGGACATACCGAAACCCACTCCCTTCGTCCCGGACTCCCAGACTTTCCTCACACTCATTGGCCGCAAAATGTCACAGCACGCCCAAAAGATCCCCGACTGGAACGCTCTCTTCTCCCTCTCATCACCACAACTACGCGAACTCGGCGTCGAACCCGCTCGTAGCCGCCGTTATCTACTCCATTGGCGCAACAAGTTCCGTCAAGGCTCCTTCGGAATTGGTGGTGATTTGACAGACGTCCAGGACGGCGTTGGCGAATTGAAGATTGTCGAGGTGCCCGCCGCTTCTGGTACTGCCACCCTCACCAGCTCTCCCGGCATGCGCAAGATCGTTGTCAACGTCCCTGCCGGTCAGGACAAGCCTTCGCTACCACTTGACAAGGTCAGACCCGTCCAAGGCACAAAAGTCATCAGATCAAACTTGATCAGTGGCCCCTACGTTGAGGCTATCAAGGAGAGGCCAGGTACTGCTAAGATTGTTGCAAAGGATGGTCTCTGGGAGATCAAGAGAGGTCACAAGATTGATGGTGGTGAGAGAAGAAAGGCTGAAGTGAGGTACAAGAGACGTGTAGAGGAGAGAAAGACCACCAGAGGTTAGATGTCATGTTGAGCTTCCTTGTAAAAATACCAATGTACCTTCTATCATGCCCTTTTCTGTATATATTCTTGTGGTCTATGCCTCCTCCTGTTCAATTTCTTAGCCATAGAGAGCGCAGAGCTTAGAAGGGAAATGATCGGCAAAAGCCCACTCTAGCATCATCATCGAATCTTTCCATCTCAACTTCAATCGCTGGTCGAGAAATTACCACTTCGAACGGCAAAGCCAGAAAACATGGATCTGGATGCTCCCACGAATTACCCGGGAGCCTTGATCTTCTGGGCATATATCGTGGCCGCTTTAGGCTTTACTGGAATCGTCTTGAACACAATCAGGCAATCCCATCAACAGAATAATGGCAGATCGAAGATACCTCTGGCCTTGATCATTTTGGCCGGGTCTAGTTTTTCTACACTATCCTACCACATGCTCAATGTTTTGATTCTTTCCTACAAACAATGGTCAACGAATCACAGCATCCCTCTAGGAGCCCTGATAGGTTCGAACAGAACGCCTCTGCACTTGTGGCAATGGTCAACAACCTCTTCGCTCTTCCAGGACTTCGGTGAAGCTATCGTAGCCACCAAACCTCGATATCTTCTGTCTTCATCTGGCTTGTGGTCTACCGTTGCGGTGGCGATCTACATGGGCATTGAAGGCCGAAGACGCAACGTCCCTAATCTCTGGGCCTTCTTTGGACTCCTCGAGATCCTGCCTACTTCTTTTGCCCAGTCGCTGTTCTACATCATGCTTTGCACAAAACCTCAGTCCGCAAACTCGAACCAAAAGCTACTGTCCTACTGGCCAGCCTGGTTCTCTATCCCACTCTTATATCTCTACTCCCTCAACTCAGCGCTCGAGTATGCCGGAGAGGGAGAAAAGCTCATCTATACTATTCTCGCTGCCCGCATTTTGCTCATACTTCCACTCATTCTACCTTTGAGTAGTGTGAGCACTCAACCCTCAGGCTCAACGCCTCAGATGTTCCAGCATGCGTCTACACTACGCCTGTTCACTTTCACGTTGGCGACCCAATTCTTGACCCAGAAAAGCATCGGGGGTTTGGGGTCGTGGGAAGAAATGCCTGTGGTTCTCTTGGAAGCTCTGAACAGTCATCCAGCGGTCCAAGCATTAAGCTATGACTTGATGCATAGTGTCGTTGCTTTTGGATATTGGATGTTGAGGGGCGAAAAGGCCGAGATGGTGGCAGACAAACAGGCACAAGAGTTGCCTGTGAAAGACCAATCTTCATCTTCACAAAAGCGGTCAAGAGGGAAGGCACGATGAACTCAAAGTACTGGAAGGCAGTCATGATGAAGCGAGGCGCAGTTCGTTCTTTCCCAACCTGCAAACTCGATCGACCGCTCTCTGCACAGAGGGGGGAACAGTCAAGAACGAAAGAACGATCTGGTCAATATCAACACAGTACACAATCAAATCTAGCCAAGACCAAAGTCAATAACAGACATATAAATACCAAAAGCCATCTCACTTTCCAGAGTTCGGTGATGTAGCCCAATTGGGTGACCATCACAAAACGCCTCGATTAAACCTCTCCCAAACTCGGAAGTGTAAATAGAATCCAGAGGTTCAGGGTTCAATCCTGACCTTGGTTGGTCGCTAGATGATGAGTTTGGTCATAGAAGATGTTTTCCCAAGAATTCACTTGGTTTTTTTGCTTCATTGCTGTAGTGAGAAAGGCGAGCTGCTTTTTGCTGAGGAGTGAGGGATAGTGGTGATCATGGCTGCACAGTGAAGGTGATGCTTGATGGGGGTGCTTGTTTTGGTGACGGATTGTTTTGTTCAAGAGTCGACCTTTACAGCTGTGTTGTTTTTGTTGTCGCCGTTACTTGGGTGCTCAACGTACATTTTCACCACGACACGAGCTTCCTGATTACCATCTCTTCCTTGAGTACTTTCCACCTCCAAGTCTTCTTGTTTACACCTTCACAATGGCTGTCACCAACCAGCCCCTGATCATCACCCCTCCTGAACAGAGCCGATCTAAACCATCAACACAAGACGTAAAATAACTTCTTCCAAACACATACATACACTCTCACAGTATACTGATCGGTGTTACCACAGTCTCCAGTCATGGCGTCAAAGACAGAGCCCCTGGTGGACTCTATCACAGACGATCTCTCCAACATCGCGCTCGCCACCAGTAATTCCGACAATTTCACAGAGAACCAGTCCAACGATCTCACCACTGAGGAGGTCTGTGTCATTGACCTCGACGATCTATGCGGCAGTTATCTTTCGACTGGAGAATCGAACTATGTCGCCGATAACAAGATCTCCGCTGCCAACAACGAAGATGTCTCCGAGACTAAGGCTTTCACTAACCAGTCTGACGACATCCTGGACACCAAAGTCACCTGGGCTAAGTCTGACAAGAAGAAGTGCACTAACTGCGGTGGCACGGCTCCGAAGTCACACTGCGCAGGCTGTCACCAAGCCCCCAACATTGACGGCACTCTTCACATCAGTGTCCAGTACTGCGGCAGAGAATGTCAGAAAGCCCACTGGTCCGTCCATCGCAAAGAGTGCAAAAACCTACAGGCCAGGAAGGCGTTGTTCAGAGCTGGTTCACTCTTACAGGAGATGTGGTACGCTGTTCGCAGAGAGTCCTTTGACAATGCAGTCGTCAGAGTCGAGGAGCTTGACGGTGCCCTCCTTGTGTATGAAGGTGACTACGATGTTGAGCCTGCCATGAGAGACGGTGGCTTTTATCGCAAATTCCCCGAGGCCATCTTTGAGAACAAAGAGGACGCAGAGTCATGCTTGAGTCTCTTGTTCTGCAACGATTCCTTGAATCACATGCATCAAGTCGTCGAGTGGCTCCTCAAAGGCAAGTGGGCTGCAAATCATTCCTCGAGTCCCATCTAATTTTTCATGATAGACATCTGCAAGAAGATCACAGATTGTCTGGTGAAGGTGATCACGCCTGTGCGCCCGACCCGTTACGCACGCGACGAATGGGACCTGGACTGGTTTCATCACATTTTCAAGGCTGTTCTGCCTTCAGGAGAAACTTACGCCATCGATCTGACTGGAGCACAATATGGCTGGTACGAGCCCATCATTCACTGGGCCAAGTACATGGAGAGGTGTAAGCAGGTCATCACCCCCACAAAGGAAGGAGCCCCACTCGGCAACATGGCTCATACTATGTTGTCTGCGACTTTCTCTGACGCAAGAGATGACCGTACCGACATGCAGCGCGCAATTCCTATGTGCGGTGAATGTCTCAAGCTCCAATTCAACCAGGCTTTTGCAGACGTCAGAGAACGTTACATTCCCGGTTACAATCTGCTTCGACTTCCTCAACCAGCCTTCAAAGAGACGGAGGAGGAGATCCTCTCGATGGCAAAGCGCATCACCAGAGATAGTGCTGAGAAAGTTGATGAGCTGTTCCCTGTGATTCTCGGCAATACACAGAACGCAAATCAGATGATGATTGAGCATCCTGAAATGCCCAAAGGCCAGTTACTTGCATACCACTTGATCCAGCTGGCTGCCGCATTCAATGGTGACTGGGAGAGGGATGCCATCACGGGTCGCCTGGTTCCGGTCACTATGAAGCGAATGGCGGAGGATAACGAGTATATCGACAAACTGAAGAGCGGAAAATTGCCTGAGCAAAAGGCTTGGAGTGACATGACTCTGTTGTATGAGTGAGAGTCACTCATCGACTGACCTACGTCTAAGTATTGGCTGGTGGTTCTCTGGGTTGAAGCGATCTATTGTTGATCAATCCGCGGCGATGGAGCAGCATCAACAGAATGTCAGACATGGGTGAGTCCTTGAAATGGCCTACAGAAAACGCGTTATGTGCTCGGCAGGAACATGGCTCGATGGAGCAGGAAGAGTTCAGGAAGAGCAGACGTGACGGGGTTGAATGCCAAGGGAGACCCCCGAGCCCACGAAGCGCAGCGCCACAAGTTTAGATTAGCTGCGCCACAAGAATTAAAGGCTGCGTAAGCGCTCAATACAAGAACATCTCAGACCCTGAATCTACCAGTATGCATCTGTAATTCTTAATTTCCACGTGAGAGATATGGCATCCAAAGAGGGACCCGCGACTCCCAGCCGCGAGCGACCCGCAGTCATAACAACACCAAGTGCGCCGACAAGCAACGGCAATGGACACCTCGAACTCGATGACATGCCGTCTTCGCCTATACACCCCATCCAGGAGGACTTGATGGCTTTGGCGAGACTGGGAGAGCTACGATCAATACAGAAACTCTTCGACAGCGGGAAAGCGTCAGCAACATCGGCAGATCCCCAAGGAATCACAGCACTACATGTAATACTCTCGGACTGAATGCGCCAGACGATGGGAGCGCTGACATTACACTGCAGTGGGCTGCTATCAACGGTCACTACGCTCTCTGCCATTACCTCCTTGAAGCCGGCGCAAACGTCAACGCAAAAGGCGGTGACGCCGAAGCAACCCCTGTGCTATGGGCCTCTAAGCGCTGCCATCTGGACGTCGTGAATCTGCTCCTCCAACACGGAGCCGATCCTCTCCTCACAGACGATCAAGGATACAATCTATTACACTCGGCTACTCTGGACGGCAATGTCTTCCAGCTTATCCTCCTCCTGCACCAAGCAGACGTACCGGTGGACATCGCCGATTCTCAAGGACACACCAGCCTCATGTGGGCTGCATACAAGGGGTTCCCGGCCTGTCTGGATGTTCTACTCAAATGGGGTGCCGATGTGCACGCAAGAGATGACCTGGGCTTCACCGCATTACATTGGGCTTTGGTTAAGGGCAGCTACAATTGCATTCAAAAACTCGTCGAATACGGTGCCGACCGCTTTGTTGCGAACAACGAAGGCAAAACTCCTGCTGTCACTGCAAAAGACATGAATTCAACACGCCAATGGCATCGTGCACTTGAAGACAGCGGATTTGATTCTTCTGGAAATCCACGAAATTTCCCCCTGACTTTTGTCAAGGACTCGAAAAAGTTCATTGAGCGATTCTTCTTCTGTTGGCCATTTGTTGTCATTGGAGTGACGTTGTACATTCTCTCGATTATGCCGGTATATTTCGGCCTACCGATATCCATGATCACCTCGTATTCTTTGCAACGGGCATCTCAGTTTTTGCTCAAATGGGCACCGAGCGACATGAAACATATGCACAATACTGTACGTATGGATCGACTGTTGTTGCCATTTCATCACTGACAACATGTCTCGAATAGCCATTCTTAGCTGGAGTCTTCGCATCAACTCTCACATGGGTGGGCGTCAGATACATCACCCACATTCTTCCAAGTAAGGCAGCCACGACCTCTACACTTCTACCGGTTGCTAACTTCCACAAGCCACATTCGCGAGCCATTTTTTCCTTAACTTTTTCTTCGTCGTCTCATATGGCCTTTGTGCATATTACTACATTACAGCCATGCGTATGGACCCGGGCTTCATCCCTCGCTCAGCATCCCGAGGACAACAAAAAGCAACCATTGAAGAACTCATCGACGCCAGAGCATTCGACGAACAACATTTCTGCACCATATGCATGATCAGAAAACCCCTCCGTAGCAAACACTGCAGACGCTGCAAACGCTGCGTCGCCCGCCACGATCACGACTGCCCATGGCTTAGAAACTGCGTGGGCGTAAACAACCACCGCGCCTTCGTCCTCTACATAATCTTCCTCCTCATCGGCATAATCTTCCTCATCCAACTCACCCTAGCCTATCTAACCCTTCTCCCCACACCACCGGCCTCGGCCATCCACTGCGAAGTCCTCAAACCAGAATTCTGCGCCCAATGGTCCAAAGATCCGTTTACGCTGCTCGTCAATGGCTGGGGAAGTGTTCAATTGACTTGGACCACCATGTTACTTTTCGTGCAACTCACGCAAATCGCCCGTGCGGTCACTACTTGGGAGGCTATGCGTAATAATCATCCCGGCCCGCTTACCACTGCCATAACCACTGGTTCCACTTCTGCGAATATGCAGACTTCGGGTGGTGGACCTGCTACTGGGACGTCCCCTCGTACAACACCTGAAGGTTGTTTTTCGCAATGGAAGCGTTTGTTGGGTGTGGACACTTTTGTCGCTACTGCTCTGCATGGCTCTCGCGCTCAGGAAGTGCTTGCCCAACGGAGGGAAAATCCCTTCACAAAGGGCATCGTGAGAAATTGCATGGACTTTTGGACTGATGGTGAGGGTTCGGGTGTGAAGTCCATGTTTGGCGGTAAGGAGCCTGGAATGGGGTTGTTGGGTGGTGTGAAGGTTGACTACAGGAAGTTGTTTGATTTGCCGAGGAATGAGGAGGTGTAGAGAGATGGAGGAGGGAATTTGTGTATATAGATGGATGGATGACATGGCTGTCTTGGGGGCAGACCAAGAGGTCTTTTGTGTATAGCATGGACGGATGGATGTATAATGATCAATAAATCTGGACTGTAGAACAGTTCTGTCCATCACTTGTCGACTGTCATTTTTGACTGTCAGAATGCATGGCACGTTCGGAAGTCAGATCCACATTCATTGAGATCGTCATTTCAAGACAGAGCACATGAAATGAATAGCAACTCGGGATGATCAGGCAGGAAAAATACTCTTTTATGCAACTACAAAGTCTGAGCCCAAGAATACTACTCCCTGACGACCAACCCTCTAGCCTCGGACTCGGAGAAGAAAACGACCATGCGCCATACTTTTCTCGCAAGACCTTCAGCTTCCTCATCAAGGGTGTCACTAAGCTCTTCCACAATCTCCTCAGGACGACCATGTCTGCGGACGACACCTTCGATGACCTCGACCAGCATGTCTTCCTGCACACCCAGCGATTCGAAAATCTTCTTTTGGACGTAAGGGCGCAGTTGCTCGCGGATGACCGAGTCGGGGAGGTGTGCCCATTTGACAGGCCAGCCGAAGAGATCGGTGAGGGATGTAGGGATGGATGCGGCGAGTGCGCGAGTGGCGGCTTGACGTTCGTCGTCGTTCATCTTTTCGCCGGCGGCAAGTGGTTTGAAATCGACTGCGCGCAGCAGTGCCTTCTTGCGATCTCCGCTTCCAAGAGTGTTGTCTTCTTCGTCGTCGAGCAGACCTTCCATCTCGGCCATGGTCTGCTGCTTCGCGACGCCCTTCTTCTGTTGCTCTTCCGGTTCCTCTGATTCCTCGCGAGCAGCATTGTTGGCACCGAGACTGCCCAGGTTGAGGGTGAAGGCTCTCGGTTGAGGTTTCGTGGCATTGCGCGACAGCTCTTGTCCAGTTTCGGCCAGGAAGTCGTCGGCCAAACCGCGAGCACCGTCCATCTTGCGCTGCTCGCGTGCACGTTCTTTTCTCTCATCATCGCGGTCCTTCTCGTCTCTTGAACGCTCGGCGTGCTTGAAGTCTCTGCGTGCGCGAATCCATGCCTTGCGATCGCGATAGAAGAGTTCGGTAGGTCTGCGCAACTCCTCCTCGTCATCAAATTCCCGGTATTTTTGTGCCAGAGATTCGCGACGCTGTTGGCGAGCGCTTTGTTCTGCCTCCTCTTCGGCATCAGCACGTGCGAGCGCCTGGATATGTCTTCTTTCCACGTTGAGCCAGCGTCTTTCTTGATCCAAGTAAACCTTCTCCAGTTCTGCATTCTTCTTTTCTTCGCGACGACGTTCGAGTTCCGAGTCAGAAGCCGGGTCATCGTCATCTTCTTGCTTTCCGTTGACAAAGTTGACGCCATCGACATAGTCCTTGGGCATCTGAGCTCCTCTGTAACCTTTGGGACCCGAAGGAGCTCCAGCAACGGTGCGATCGCGAGGACCAACGGGCACACCGTTGACACCTCCAGGACCTGAGGGGGCAGATGGAGGCGGGGAGGCAAGACGACTGGGTCTAGGGGCGGATCTGTTGCGTTCGGCGGCTTCCAGCTCTTCCTCCTTGCGCAAGCGCTCAAGATCACGCTGGATGCTGCGATCCCTGAAAGACTTGATCTCGGCAGCGACCGTCTCGCGCATCTCGGCAGGAATGTCGGATAACTCGTCTTCGGCAGAAACGGGAATAGTGATGACTTCAGCGCCATCTGGTTTGTGACCATCTTCCATGACAATATCTCCGTTCTTGTCTGCGCCATTAGTCAAAGAATCCTTGGAGGACAATTGAGCCAGAACACGATTTAGATCATCCTTTGCCGTGTCCAGGCGGAATTGCAACTCTTCAGCAGAAGGCTTGGACCACTTCTCGATGTATTCGAGCGAATTCTGATCGACAACAACCATGAGTGTAGCCTTCTTGACGTTTCCCTCTTCATCTTTCAGAAGTTTGCCCTTTTCGCGCAGAGGAACCTCGACGTCCTTGAAAATTTCCGTGGCGAGTTGTAGAGCACCAGCGTCCTCGTACTCGGCGAAACCAAAGCGGCAAGGCTTGCCGTCAGCATCTGTCACACGGGTCCAGCGGCGCAGCTTCACAGGACCTTGACCACCAGCACCCAAGATATCCTCAAGCTGGGCATCATCGGGGACACCTTCAACCAAGCCTCCGATGAAAATGGTTCTGCTAACTTCTTCCAAGGTAGGGGGGACGAGTTGAACGGTTTCGCGAGGCAATCTCTGGTCGGCGCCTAGACCTTGACGGGAGCGGTTACCGGAAGCATTATCGGGGGCGCGCGAATCATAGCCGTAGGGAGAGGGCTTGGAGTTGGACTGGCTGACACCGAGACGAATGACAGGAGCGTTGAAATTGATGTCGGGCAAGTTTTGCGGCGGAGCGAAGGGCGCAGCGACTGAGGAAGGACGGCCAGGAAGAGGGGTGGCAGCGGGGCTCATGCCTGGAGGAGGCGACATACCAGGTGCGGCACCTGAGGATACATAGTCAGCCCATGCAAACATGCAATTGAGTGAGGATTGAGGCGCACCCATGGCTGGCGGAGGGCCCATGTTAGGTGGGAAACCTCCATACGGCGGCCTGCCATACGATCCCGGCGCTGTGAATAATTAGCGTGTGCTAGACGGAGAACATGATTAGTTTGGAAGGACCATACGGGCATAGTTATTGTAAGCCATGGCGCACAAAGGACAAGTTGATGAAAAAGGAAGGAGCTTCCAAGGTTCTCTTGTTCGAGAGTCGAGACTGCCAAAGCGGTTTGTCAATGTCTCCCGCAACGCTTGGCATTCAGAAAAGTCGCGGGTCATGAGCAGCAGCGACACGGTGCTGTCCCTCGGTCCCTCTCAAATCACGCACCATGGAATTGTCACAGGCCGCCGCCCGGGCGCTGATGCGCTGCAGGCCACTATCATTATACTCGTCGCCGCTATACCGCTCGCAATCCGCTCCATTCGTCACCCGCTCCTTCACCACCAGCCGCCTGCTGCGTCAAGATCAGCCCGAGGCCTTCATACGCCAGCTCAGACAGGAAGAGAAAGAGACACGGTCCCACGACACTTCTGCTGCCGCTGGAGAAGACGCTGCCGCATCAGACGCCCCTGCTCCGGCTCCCGCACCTGCTCAACAACGCAATGAGACACCGTCCATGATCGATCTGATGGACAGTGTGCTCGATGGCTCAAAAGGCGTCCCCAATGTCGCTGAACAACGTACCTCCCGCTTCGCCACGCCCTCTGCTCAGGACAAAAATCGCGTCTCCCCTGCCAGAGAAAACAAGACCTCTATGGATGACTTTATCCTTGGTTTGAAAAACAGACCAAACGTAAACGACATGCTTTACAGACCCGAGATCAAGCCTGTCAGAGACCTTGACTTCACCCCTAGTCCTACTCTCGGCAAGACCGTCCTGGTCAAGAACGGCGGTGACGTTGGCCGCGCTTTCCGTCAGGTCGAAGCTTTGTGCGGCAGAAACAAGGTCCGCTCCGACTTCAACAAGCAACGTTTCCACGAGCGTCCGGGTCTCAAGAGGAAGCGTCTGCACTCTGAGCGCTGGCGTAGACGCTTCAAGGAGTCCTTCCGTGGCACTGTCAAGATGGTCAACAAGATGAGGAAGCAGGGCTGGTAATCGTCAGCAGCTCTTTGTTCATACCTTACCAATTTTCTCATTGTACAAACACCTTGGCTTTCTTTCATTCTCTCTACGGTACATGTCGATTTGGGTCTACAGTTGTCAACAATGGCGGAATTTGACACACAAAGAATGTCCATAACACCGCCGCATCGGGATCTGAGGTTCATCAGATCAAGCATATGTAAGAGTAAGGGGGCGCTTTTCATACCCATTAACGAAAATACTTTTCCAACTTTATCCCTGTCGGTCTGAACTTCTCCGTTGTCTACCCGCAGAGTTCACCTCCCTTTAGCATCTTGAGAACAGCAAATCACCATGCCGACTTCACGCAAAGTTCGATTCGTCAGCAGCAAAGACGACGACAGAAGACATCTTCAGAGACCCTTGCCGCTGGCAAATCATAAACCAGAACGTCGAGCAAGCAGAAGAAGAGGGCATAGTGATGAGGTACTTTGGTGGTTAGATGCTCGGGGTCAACCACAACATGCACCCTGGAATGAACGTGGTCGCAGATCCGAACAAACCACTCCCATTACCAAACGATTAGCTAGCAGAACCAAAACTAGGGTCAAGTCCAAGAAATCGGAGAGCAAAGAGTAGAAATCGCGTCCGATCATTTCCTTGCACGGATCGACGAAATCGCCTACCTCAAGAAGAGGACGACGAGAGCTTTTATGTGCCCATCCTTTTCTCTGGGCCGGCTCATCAGAGCAGCTAAACAATGTCACGCCCCAGGTTAGCAGAATCTATTCGGTGATCAATCACGTTCGGCTTCAACCATTGCTTTGTATGCGGGGTGACCCTGTTTTCTATTTATGATCAACAAACAGTAAGGGTCAAATCGTGCCGTGCGGCCCCGCTATATGACCACGATACGACGATATTACCATGTTTTGCCCAATATTCAGTCTTGTACTCTAGTCCCAATGCTCTGCAGCGCTTTATGGTGGACGTGGTTGATGCTCCTCGACTCATGTAAATTTGCAAGCCGGAGACGGCCACATTCGGATAGCATTCGGACCGAGCACAACGAATCAGACTGCCCGGTAACTTTACTTCCGTTCTCCAACGAGCAGTGTCATGTCATCAGGCACCGTGGCATGGAGCGAGAAAGATCTGAAAAGCTGCGTAGAACTAGTATAAAGCAATAGGAATCGCACTCAATGTACATCTCTACATCACAACCAAAGCTTCATTCTTACTAGATCTTGGAGAGATCCCATTTTGCCATCATGAAAGGAGCGATCACTTTCAAAGGACCAACCGTGAAGGTTATCGATGCACCAATTCCACGACCCCAGGCCGGTCAGGTTACTATCAAGGTTGCATACAGTGGGTGCAACCCGAAGGATTGGTAAGTGACATTTGAACCGAGTCAAACTCCTCGTGGTGTGTACTGACTGCTTGGTAGGAAACTTGCCGAGGGGATGGAAAGTACTACAACCGAGATCAATCAAGGAGATGATATTGCTGGTACCATCCATGAGGTCGGCGAAGGTGTCACTGATTTCAAAGCCGGCGATCGAGTCATTGCTTTCCACCAAATGATGACGACCGGAGGCTCTTATGCCGAGTATGCCATTGCGTGGGCTCACACCACTGCACGTATTTCCGAGAAGGTTAGCTTCCAGGAAGGCGCTGCTGTTCCTCTACCAGCTCTTACCTCGGTCGTGGGCCTGTATGCGCGACTGAACTTACCCCAGCCATGGCTGCCTCGACAAAATACCGAAAAACCTATGCCGCTCCTGATCTATGGCGCCTCCAGTACTGTCGGATACTATGCTCTGCAGCTCGCCATTCGATCCAATGTTCACCCGATCATCTGCATCGCCGGCCGTTCCTCATCACACGTCGAGAAGCTTCTTGACCGCAGCAAGGGCGACACTGTCATCGACTACCGCGGCGATGCAGTCGACAAGGACATTGAAACCGCACTCGGAGACAACAAGCTGTGCCATGCATATGATTGCATTGCCAACGAGACGTCCTACAACACCATTGGCAAAGTGATGCCGCCCGGTGGCCATATCGCGCTCGTCATGCAAGATATGAATGGGTTCAAGAATATTCCGGCTCATGTCGAGCATAGCACTGTCATGGTTGGGGATGTCCATGACCAGCTGAAGGATCTTGGGTGTGTTAGTCTTCGGTACATTGCCAAAGGACTGGAAGATGGATGGTTCCGGGCTCAGCCACAAGTGGTGGTTCGTGATGGGTTGAACGGTGTCCAACAGGCGTTAGTCGACTTGAAGGAAGGGAAGGCCAGTGCGGTGAGGTATGTCGTCAACATCGCCGACACACCTGGCTTGTAAAGGTACTCTGCCTCTGCTTTTAGCCCTGTAAAAGCAGTTCTCATGATGATGTCCCCATGTCGTGGAAGATTGGAAGTGAATCGATCTTTTGAGTGCCGCGACGTGTTTATCTTAGCCTCGGATCTAAGCGGCGTTAACCCTAAAGCGCCGTGAACATGTGCGAGTTGACACCTTTTCCAAATACTCACCGTACGACATAGTTTTCTCAACCTTTGTCCAGGGGCAGGTCACGTCAATGGATTCGAGCAACTGAGCCTGGAATCACCATCAATATGACTGGACAACTCAGCAACACCGAGGCGTGGTCATTACTGGCCTGCTCTGCAGCAAGCCTTGGCGTACTTTCTAACACCTGGAGCAGCGATGGAGCCCCTGTATTTGCATCGCTTGCATTGAGTGGTCTGGCTTTTTCTTCGTCGTATGCGATCATAAGATGGACTGGAGATGCTTTCATCCGAGCGGGGCGGAAAGGGAAGGACATGTCGAAGAAGCAGCCAATTGAGCTGTCAGTACCCTTCTCTTTCGATGATAATGATACCAACACTGATTCATGATACACAGTCCAGAGATGATGGGTTTGGTTAGTGCACTTGTATATTTGTTGTGCATCATTACCTTCCTACCTTTTGCTTTCAAGCACGATATCGTAGCAGCAACGTCAGGAGGCGGCAACAAGGAGATCGTACTTGAGGCTCAGATTGTCGAGACAGGTCGATTTTTGCATCGCTTCCCTCTCGAAAAGGTGAGAACAACAAGCCGTAATGTTTTCGACACAGACTGACCAAAATAGCTTGCATCATACGGCTTTGCTTATGGAACCCTTGCGACTGTTATCATCCTCGGCATTATCGATGACTTTTTCGACATCAGATGGAGACACAAGTTCTTCATTCCAGCTTTTGCGTCACTGCCTATCCTGGGATTGTACTTTGTTGACTTTGGTGTCACTCAAGTTGTGGTTCCCATTCCACTCAGGCCTTACCTTGGAGAGCTCGTGGACCTTGGCTCGTTGTATTACCTGTACATGTCTGCCATTTCCATCTTCTGTCCCAACAGCATCAACATCCTTGCCGGTATCAACGGCATTGAGGTCGCTCAGTCCATCGTTATCGCCATGCTCATTCTCTTGAATGACGCGTTTTATCTGGTTCCTTCAACTCCTACTCTACACCCTGCGACAGACTCTCACCTTTTCTCGGTCTACCTCTTGTTGCCATTCCTCGGAGTGTCCTTTGCGCTTCTCAAGCATAACTGGTTCCCTGCAAAGGTCTTTGTTGGTGATACATACTGCTACTTTGCTGGCATGGTCTTCGCTGTGGTCGGCATTATGGGTCACTTCAGCAAGACGTTGATCCTTTTGTTCATCCCTCAGGTTTTCAACTTCATCTACTCGGCCCCGCAACTCTTCCACATTGTACCCTGTCCTCGCCATCGATTGCCGCGATTCAACACTCGCACTGGTCTTCTGGAGCCATCAAAGGCCACGTTCACTGCCGAAAAGCCGTTGAACAAGTATGTCGGTGAAGTGTTGAAGATCTTGGATACTCTGAAGCTGTTGCGTGTCGAGACAGACGAGAAAGGAACTGTGGTGTCTACCACGAACTTGACCATTCTCAATCTTTGGCTTGTGTGGAGAGGGCCGAAGAGAGAGGATCGCCTCGCCGTCGAAATTTTGGCCATGCAGACCTTTGTAGGCCTCATTGGTCTAGCAGTCAGACATCGTCTTGCATTGGTCATTTTCTCACAGGACAACCTGTAGTCCTTGCCATATAATCCTTGTGCATACATTGAATACATACATGCAATTCACACGCGTGAACCTTTTTTTGTTTGAGTCATGGATCAGGAGTATCTCATTGTCTTGTTCGTAGTATCGCTGCATTCTTGCATGTGTAGAGCTCACGGCCAGACGCGCATTGCAGCGGCACTTCAAAAACACGCCCTAGGGCGGGGAGCTCGTAGGAGGAAATACTTGGAGTCCGTTTCGATGAGGTAAACTCTACACGACCATACGTAATCGCAGAAACCGGCAGTGAGATATTTTGCACCTTGTGCATTGCTCGAAAATCGATAGGCTTGCGAGATAGGCGAACGAGTGGTCAAGTCTCCAACAATAATTCTGGATACGAGTGTCCAGCTCCTGGATTCGGCAGGTGCGGAGTGACTCTCCTGATAATCTGTGAGTCAAGTTGGTGGTAAACAGATAACCATCACGACAATGTGAAGGTGGAGGGAGGGACGTGTGCGGTATCGGAGATGTGTGGTAGCTTTGCTGACCTTTGGTCCAGAATCGATGGCGAACGCAGAGCAGATTGTAGATAGCGCTGGTGTATTCTTCGGCAGAAACCGTCGTGGGGACGCTGATTAGAAGATGCAGAGCGTTCGATATTCATTCTTGACGCAAGGTTCAAGAAGGTGACGCTGCAGCCCGATCTCGGCAGCAGATCTCCGCAGGACGAAAGTGGCACAGTGGGGGACCGATGGGCCAATAGAGTGTGGCAATTTTGTCAGAGAGCTCTCCAGAGGCCGAAGATCGGAGGCTGGGTCATAGAGCGATCGCAGGAAACTAAGTACAAGTAACTAGAGCTGGAAGCGTTTGGAAGCATCTCCTCTGCCCCATTGCCCCTTCTTCTTCACCTTGATACCCCCATTTCTACGATCATTCAGTATTGACTCTATACGCTATACCTTCCATCCAACCAATTGATCTTAAAAAGCACTCCACAGCCAAAATGCCCGGCGTCGTGAAAGGACCCAGAACCTTGTACGACAAGGTCTTCCAAGATCACATCGTCAACGAGAGAGACGATGGCACAATCTTGCTCTACATCGACAGACATCTCGTCCACGAAGTCACATCGCCTCAGGCCTTCGAAGGCCTCAGAAACGCTAGCAGACAAGTGAGAAGACCCGACTGCACTCTTGTCACCACCGACCACAACGTCCCTACGTCATCAAGGAAAAACTTCAAGAATGCTGCAACATTCATCGAGGAGGACGACTCGAGGTTACAATGTACCACTCTCGAGGACAATGTGAAGGAGTTCAACCTCACATACTTCGGTATGGGAGACAAGAGACAGGGAATTGTTCATATCATCGGCCCCGAGCAGGGCTTCACCCTCCCTGGCACCACAGTCGTCTGCGGTGACAGTCATACCTCCACCCACGGTGCCTTTGGCTCCCTCGCTTTCGGTATTGGTACCAGTGAGGTTGAGCACGTGCTCGCTACCCAGACCCTCATCACCCAGCGCAGCAAGAACATGCGCGTCCAGGTCGATGGCCAGCTCGCACCCGGTGTCAGCAGTAAGGATATCGTCCTTTACGTTATTGGACAAATCGGTACTGCAGGCGGTACTGGCTGTGTCATTGAGTTCTGCGGTTCCGCCATCCGCAGTCTCTCCATGGAGGCCAGAATGTCCATTTGCAACATGTCCATTGAGGGAGGTGCCAGAGCTGGAATGATCGCACCCGATCAGATCACTTTCGACTACCTCAAGGGTAAGCCCCTTGCTCCCAAGGTTGACAGCCCCGAGTGGAAGAAGGCTGTCGCTTACTGGTCCTCGTTGAAGACCGACGAGGGTGCCAAGTTCGACTACGACATCTTCATCGATGCCAAGGACATCGCACCCACCGTCTCTTGGGGCACTTCTCCTCAGGACGTCATTCCCATCGACGGTGTTGTTCCCGGCCCCGATGACTTCCAGGATGAGAACAGAAAGAAGGCCTGCATCAGAGCTCTTGAGTACATGGGACTCACTGCCGGCACCCCCATGGAGGAGGTTGTTTTGGACAAGGTCTTCATCGGATCTTGCACCAACGCCCGTATTGAAGATCTTCGCACTGCCGCTGGTATTGTCAAGGGCAAGAAGGTCGCTTCCAACATCAAGCGCGCCATGGTTGTCCCTGGCTCCGGTCTGGTCAAGCAGCGTGCCGAGTCCGAGGGTCTCGATCAAATCTTCATCGATGCTGGATTCGAGTGGAGAGAGGCTGGCTGCTCCATGTGTCTCGGTATGAACCCTGATATTCTTTCTCCCAAGGAGCGTTGCGCCTCCACCTCCAACCGTAACTTCGAGGGTAGACAGGGTGCTCAGGGTCGTACTCACTTGATGTCTCCCGCCATGGCTGCCGCCTGTGCTCTTGTTGGCAAGCTCGCCGATGTTCGCAAGCTTGATGGCTACGAACAGGTCACTGGCAAGGCCCCTCGCGAGGTTTCTGCCGAGCCTGAGGTCGCAGCACCTGAGAGCGATGCCGACCTCGAGGAAATCATGGACCTCGACGAGACCTCTCAAGGCAACACTGTCTCTAGCGGTGCTCCTACCACATCAACTGGCATGCCCAAGTTCACCCAGCTCAAGGGTCTTGCTGCACCCCTCGACCGCTCCAACGTCGACACCGATGCTATCATCCCCAAGCAGTTCCTGAAGACAATCAAGCGTTCCGGTCTTGGCTCAGCTCTTTTCAACGACTGGCGCTATAACGAGGACAAGAGCGAGAACAAGGACTTCGTCCTCAACCAGGAGCCTTTCCGCAATGCAAAGATTCTTGTTGTACAGGGTCCCAACTTCGGTTGTGGTTCCAGCAGAGAGCACGCTCCCTGGGCCCTCCTCGACTTTGGAATCCTCTGCATTATCGCCCCTTCATTTGGTGACATCTTCTTCAACAACTGCTTCAAGAACGGCATGCTTCCCATCCGCATTGGTGACGAAGCAGTCCTCAAGAAGATCTTCGACGAAGCCAGCACAGGTTCCGACATTGAGGTCGACCTTGAGAACCAGCAGATCAAGAAGGCCGACGGTACTGTACTCTCTTCCTTCGACGTTGAGGAGTTCCGCAAGCACTGCCTTGTCAACGGTCTTGACGACATCGGTCTTACCATGCAAATGGACGACAAGATTGTCAAGTTCGAGCGCAGACGTACCGAGGAGACCCCTTGGCTCGACGGTTCTGGATTCCTTAAGCGCGACCGCAAGGGTCCCGTCAAGATTGAGGCAGCCCCGGTACCAAAGACCAACCGTGGTGAGGAGAAGAGCGAGCCTCTTGAGTGGTAGAGCTCTACGTCAATGCAACGAACATCTGCTTCATCGGAGTTTTACGTGATGCCATGGGGAAAAAGCGAAAGGGGGTTCTTTACCAGATAAGACCATCTGGATTTTGCTGTTGTTTTGATATCACCAGTGGCTATGCCACCTAGTTTTCAGTTCATGTATATCCATATCCTATTAGAGGAAAATCTACCAATGTATCTAAATTCTACGACATCTTCATCTATCTAAGTTCTATGAACGCGACAGTGAGTGTGATGTTTGGGTAGTTGGTGTCACTTGATCAGTGGCTGGAAGTTCTTGAGCCCGCTTAAATCCGAAGCTAAAACGAGCGCGAATCGCAGCACTTCGATGGTCACTTCCCATTACACTCTCAAAGACATGCAAACATCTTCGAACTTCTTCAGATCCAAGCTGTTGTAATTGCATCCAATCATATCAACGAACACCCGATCAAATCTGGATACGTGTTGTTGACGCGTCCACACTCTGGTGTCAACGAAGCGGGCCTGTGACAGTGTTTAGCATGGCTAATAACAGTTCTTTCCACCACTTCAGCCACGGACATCATGACCTTGTTCTGGCTGTAGATTACAACTTCTATGGTACTCGTATGGTGACTGCGTCTTCCGATCATCGCTTGAAGGTCTGGGACAGAAAAGACGATGGCTGGACAGTGACCGACGTTTGGAAAGCTCACGATGCGGAGGTGACAGATGTGAGTTTGCCCGCCGGATGCTGATCGTCAAGTCTATATCTGACTTCTAGGTAGGTAAAATGGAACGGTCCGTTTGTGGGCGAAATCATAGGAAGCATTGGAGAAGATGGCTTATTACGGATATGGCAAGAGGATGTGCTTGAAGCACCCCTCTCAGGCCGTCGCTTCAAGCGCATCTACCAACAACCTTCGGCGACAAGAGTGCCGTACATGTCTCTGGACTTCAAAAACATCGGCACTGAAACTTATCTGGCCATGATCTCTCGCGATGGACAGTTGACAGTTTGTGAGCCCGTGGATCATGACAACCTGTCTGAATGGCAGATCCTATGGCAAGACTACCTATGCAAAACACCACAGAGGACAGAAGAGACTGGTTTCCGATTGAGCTGGCATCACGAAAAACTGCCAGCCTGGCCTGCTATCATGGCTGGACTGGATCGCAAGAGTCTGTCATTGGCTGTCTCGGTAATGGATACCGTCAAGATATTCCGCACCGACAAAGACCGCAAGTTCTACACAGCTGCAGAGGTACGCGGATCAGACGCATTGATACGAGATGTCGCTTGGGCAAATGGCTCAATGCGTGGCTTCGACGTGATTGCGACTGCCAGCAAAGATGGAATCGTTCGCGTGTACGAATTGCACACTCCAGGCATATCAGAGACGTCGGCATCCGAGCCCAAGCGCACCAATGACCCCCATTCTGGTCTGAAGTCACCGACTTTTCCTAAGCCTCATCAATCAGGCATAGGCGCTGGACTAGCTGGAGGACCACGCGGCGGCAGAAATGAAGAACAGGATCGTCCTGGAAGGGTCAATCAGGAAGCAAAACTTGTAGCAGAGCTCTCTGCCCATAGTGGTGCAGTCTGGCGAGTTGGGTTCTCACAGATGGGTAAGTGTTCCTGAAAGAACCGTCGGGGGTGCATAAGCTGATTGCAATGAACAGGCGATCTACTAGTATCTACTGGCGACGATGGTCTTGTCCAGGTTTGGAAGAAAGCCAACAACGACCAATGGATGCAGTACGCGGAAGTCGATGCGATTGGGGACATATGAGGATCCGACAAGGCCGAAATTGCGACTCACAGAATTGCGACGCCTTCTCTAACGGTCCTCAAATTTAGAACTGTCACGTCACAAGTTCAAGTTTTGGAAGCTGCGATAGAAGATAGCAACGCGTCGGAAGGAGCTCCCCCACAGTCAGCTTGGGAATCCAGACCGTTGGCGGTTGCGATGTCAACCAAACCACATTCCTCCCATCCATGGAAGTTAGAAATACGGACATCGTCAGCCAGCGACTTCATCATTTGCTTGCTCGATTATCTGCTCAGAATTCCAATTCACTATCTTTGCAGAACCAAACTTCATCGACCAACACTTCCAAATCCCCAAACTCACACCTTCATACAGAAAGAAGAGCGTGGACAAGAAATACACTCCGCACTTCATCTAGAGTATCGCCTTTACACATTGCAGTTTCGGGCATGGGCATCAAGGGTACCGACGACTATCTCACAGCACGAGCGGCAAATCCTAGGACTGGCCTGTAAGTCAAGCAAGTGTACAAAGACTACAGTGGTCCAGCCTTGCCCATTCGACGAGTCGTGCCTTTGCATCGATTCACAATACTGATTGCACCTTCGCTTTAGAATCAGCCCAAGCGTCGTCACGAACTTGACTCCTCGAACACCCATATCCCCTGCCGAAGCGCTATCACTCTTCGGAGATGGACAAGCATACTCATCCGAGATCCCTACGAGAGTGAAGTCTCCAGGGCGCCGAAGCCCGGTAGTGAGCAGACCGAAACCTGCAGGACCAAGAGGCAGATGGCGTCAAGACTCGACAGGATGGAACATGGAACCAGACACAGAAGCGGGATCTCCGAATCTCAACACAGCCAACTCGTCGGCCACAAGAGCAGATTTTCACGCAAGCGAGGATAGCTTTGTGATACCTATGCCAACCGCCAAAGACCCACAACCATACCGTCAAGAAGATCAGGACAGAGCAGTACAATACTACAAAGACAAAGCACAGCGTCTTTCGCAGAAAGAAGGATTGAATGGAAGAATGCACAGTATCGGTGCCGGTCCTCGTAAGTTTGCTCAAGCGACAAAGGCACTTCGAGACTTTAGCAACCCTCGGTCTTCATCACCCGCTGAGCAACACACCACCGTAGGGCAAGACAAATCAGTTACATCTTCACCAACTCTATCCGAGTTTCCAGCATTCGAAAAGCCACACTCACCACAACTGTCTCGCAGACCTGTATGCTCGACTGCTCCTGGGTATGAGCGCAGAGATTCTGGTGTGGATGTGACGACACCAACATCTTCACACGAGAAGGAAGCTCATAGTCCGACCATGGGTGGCGCCGAACGCGGACGGGCCAACTCAAACACATCACGCTTCCAGGATCTGCGACAATTGCCTAGAGTTCGCGTCGTTCATCCTGATGGCTCGGTCAAGAAAGGACATCACTCGTCTGAGAAGACCGCACATAGCTCTCGCGAGTATACCGCTACACCGCCGCCTCCTTACCCGAGTGACCAGAGCACTCCCTCAATCTCTGGTACATCAGTAGCCGAATCGCTTTCCCCTCTCGAAACACAAGTCGTCGGCTTCCTAGCGTGGGCTATCAACCAAATCTTTTGCAGATCTGCACCTAGGCCTGATGGATCCTCAAAAAGCCATAGCATCGGTATCACACAGGCCATACACATACTCTCCGATTCGGCAACCAAACCTATCGAGCGCTGGCAAGCTATCAAGGCATTGGCGTTCACAGCATTGAGGGTAATCATGATATTATGCTGTATTGCCATTGTGGTTCGCATAGGTACGGCTGTGGGCAGAGTGTTGGCGATAATGCTTTGGCCTGTGAGCGTGGTGTGGACGATTGTGAAATGGATATTAGGGTTAGGGTAGGAGGGTGACGGTACAGTAGAGCATCTTAGGGCAGGGTGTGTGTTTTGGTATTACTAGCCTAGGTAGTGGTCTTGGTAGACATGTGTTATTCCCTCTCCACTTTCATATGATCCTTTCCTAGAGACGAATGAACTTAAGAGTCCCTGTGAACAGTAGATCGATGTTTTTTGTTGTCATCGATTAAGGTCGTTCGTAGATGGACACTTCGAGAGCTTAATGCCACGTCTTCCTCCAAACCATAATCGATGACCTAGTCCTCGATCCCTAGCTATACCACATCGTAGTTACCACTTGTTCGTTCTTGATCAATATGAAACCTTTCTATCCCCATCACTTTGGCATCCATCGTCCGAAAATAGCCATGATACCATGATCACCCACCGCAACACACCATTTTCCATCCGGACTCCACTCGACAGCTCTGCAGGCGAAATCGACCGGACACTGGACCACCGTCGTCTTATGAGCGGCGTGTCGGATGTAATTCTTCATGGCGTGGGTGCGAGGCGCGGTCGGGTCTGTAGCTTTGCCTTTGCCTTTTGCTGGATTTCTGGGAGCTGGGCCGGGCATGGCTGCGGAAGTGGGAGGCGGTGGTTTTGTAGGGGGAGGATTGGTGGAAGTTCTTGTGGAGGGTCTTGTTGAGTTGCGCAGGGAGAGGTCTGTGGAGTTGCGGAGGGCGAGTTCTGCTGAGTTGCGCATTGCCACGAACGCTAGAGATGGATGTTTAGGGGCCGAACGAGGGGCAGGCACTCGGATCGGGACTTGAGCTGGAGAGTCATGTCATTAGTATATCGTTCGAGGCGGATGTGAGGTGGGAGCGCAACTTACCTTTTGAATCACTGCTCCCTTGATCCCTTTCATTGATTGATAGAGTGGCGTTACCACGGGCTCGTATCCGTTTAATCAAGATCCTTTTAGCGAGAGATGTTTTCTTCTTCTCGTCCTTGGTGGCAGTAGCGGATTCTTTGCCAGCAGTCGCACGTTCCTCGAAGCGTTGAAGATCCCAAAAGGAATACCGGGCTCGGATGTTACCCATAACGAGCATAGGACGTTGACCTGGTCGTTTGAAGAGCCCGAATCGCATGTAGAATGGTTCTATGGCCACCATATCAAAGGTCAACAGACGTAAGAAGGTTCCACCAAAAGCCGAGCGCGTCAGATGGCCTTGTCCCGGCATAGGTGGATCTGGTGGGTGGTCGTCGGCAGATGAAAAGCCTTCAATCTTCCAGAGGATTATCTCTCCTCTCTTGACTTTGATGTTGTTTCCCGTGGAGGCTTTGGACATGACCAGATCGCCCCAGAACCTGACACTGTATGCTTGTTAGCCGACTTTAGCCACCGAGTCTTTAGAGTCTTGGTTCGCGATACCAGTCTACGTAGTCGGAATGCATTCCACTGCTAGCGAAATGGGGGTAGACCACAACCGTCGGGTTGTCTGTTCCGGCATTCTCGTCAGATATCTCTGGAACGGACCACTGCATGGGTAAGTAAAACTGCTGCACGTCCACAGTCAGGAAGTACTCACTAAACAAACCAGGGTATCTTGTCCGCCGCTCAAAAGCCATCTACCGTTTTCGTGGAAATCCTGCATTACCTGTCAGGTTTGTATAGAGTGCATGGGTAGGACCACATACGATAGAGAGAATGGCCTGTCTATGACCTTCCCCTGACAAGATGGCCGCGCAGGGCTGCTTGTGATATCTGGGATCCAAGTTCCATACTCTAATCGAGTAATCTGCCGAGCAAGAGGCTAACACATGTGGTGATGCTGGTGAGATGACCAAGTCATTGACATCCTTTTCCATGTCAGCTCAATCCGAGTCTCTATCTTTCGAGGTCACACTTACGCCGCCGTGTCCGTGAAGGTGCTGTTGTGAATACTCAGCATGTTAAATCCTCGCAAGCCATACAATGAGCTTACCCGAACCAGGTCCCCTGTGACCACGTTCCAGATGCTGATTCTCTTTGATCCAGACCCAGCGACGCAGACGAGAGATTCGTCAGTGTCGGTATCAAGCGACCATGCAACACTGTTCAGTGAGACGTTTTCCTGGATGTGTTCATAAGCATCGAACAAGACATGGACTATGCTGGCACTGCAAGTGTGTTGGAGACGTACATCAGGGTCTTCGATGACTCTCAGGGCTTCCAAATCGTATGTCTTCGAGGTGCTCGACTTGCAGACAGGCTTGCAGATGTAGATCTATTACGAGTCACTTGAGAGGTCCTATGCCGGAGTATATGGTTAGGGCTTACTTTTCTTCCTGCCACCGCGGCGAAAACGGGATCCTCATCCGGCTTCAAGTAGGGGCAGAACTTCACGTCGTAGATTGAGACTAGGATATCATCAGGTGAGACCGTCTACGTGAAGAGAGGAATGTTTGCCGACAGGGTTTGTGCGTACGTACGATTATTCTCCTCATCCTGTTAATATGTTTAGCGAATGCTTGAATTTTGTGCAGGATGTACACGAGATATAGGGAGAATAGACACGTACAGGAAGACGCAGCCATGCTTTCACTTGAGGAAACTCCATAGCTAAGGGCGATAACCAGGGCAGTGTGCTGGATTGAAGAGTTGGACAGGCTCGTTGGAAGTATCAATTAGAATAGAAGCTGCATCATGTCGGTCGGGTAGAGGCCGGATTGGGACAATGCACGTGTTACGCAAAAGATTGTTTGTGCCTCAGGGAGTGAAAGTGATTGATCAGTAATTCATCGATTATCGGCTGTCTGTGAGAAGGCAATTATGACTGGGATGCGGAGAGACGGGGCAGAGCGAGCGACTTCGCGTTTGCTGGTGGCAGGTGGCAGGTGTGAGTGGAAAGTGATTTTACGGAAGGCGCGCGGAGGGAGAGATCGCCAAATTGACAATCAACAAAGCGAATTCTCGCTTGTGTTTACTCTTTACAATCATGCGCATGCTGCATACCACGGACGCAGATAGGAAAGCAATTGTTTGATTTGTACGGATACAGAGACGCAGTGCGTAAGCAAGTAGTTGAGTAAGCCACCATTAAACAAGAAGCACAAGAATCAGCGATTCTAACACATTGGAATCGTCGATGAGAGGTCGTCCCAGCAGGGATGCCCAGCGCAGCTACCCAGTACTTAAGTATCCCTGGACCTTATTGGGCAACGGAGCCGAAAGCCGTGTCAAACTAGGGCAGCTGAAAGCGACTGCCGGGCTCTGATTGCTTGCACCACAGCACAAGTACAGCAGGCCTTTTTGGGTGCAGACGCACTTGGCCTTGACGCTGCGACTTAAATGCACATACAGTGAGTAGAGTAGGTTTTCATTCGACCGTTCCATCCATGCAATCTCCCCTACTCGGCATGCGAAGAGAGTTGGGCTCCAGTCGAGGATTGCAAGAAATCGAGACGCCAAGTACGTGGTAGTGTTCGTGTGACGTCGACGACAGTTGTGGAAAGGCAAGCCGCAAAGCGTGATCAGGCCGTGCAAGTGCCTTCTGCCTCTTCTCGGCCGCAATTTTCCCATTGTCTTGTACCATCGCATCGCAAGTCGTCCTCCAGCACTCGATTGTCATCGCTAGTACAGACAGCCGAGTATATCGTTGCGCAACTACGACCACATCCTGTCAGCACCGACACACTACCGCCGAGCCGGTCTCGCTATTGCTCGCATCTCGACTAGTCAGGCCAATATATAAGCCCGAGACCCATGCCTCTCTCAATCAAAGACGACTCTTGCCGCCTCGACAACTACTAGACTTCAACCTCTCCCGTTTCTTCTTCGCGAGGACACACCCTCTTATTTCTCCCGGTATCCACTCAGATTGTGCCGGAGCTTCCTCCAGGACCCTACTTTTGCATTGCAGAGCAGCCCCCCGGACGCTACCCAATACGTGCAGCAGCAGTATCATAGTGGCAACTTGCATATTCTGCTGCCGACGCTCTTAATCCACACGCCTGGTCGAAGCCGACACTTCAATCTCTTATCATCTTGTCCGCCGCCTCCTACCCCGCCAAAAACCGCCACCATGGACTTGACTTTCATCTCCATCCACGGTACCATTGCAAGACGCACAGCCTCAAAACGCAATCGCTAACACCTCTGACAGACCTTACTCCTGACGCTCGCGTCCTCTACTCCTCGGATTCCATTGTCGATGTCCTGGGCTGGACTCCAGATGAAGTCGTCAATCGCTCGTGCTGGGAGTTCTTCTCCGAAGACGAACTGCCATTCGCCCAAGCATTCCACAAGAAGGGTGTACAGATGGACAAGGCCGCTGTGCTATCATACTGCCGGGTGAAAAACAAGGAGGGCCAATGGACTGGTGTCGAATGTTGCTTCACCATTGTCTATGATGTTATGATCGTTTGCACCTCCATCTACCGAAGGGGGTCTCCAAGTCAAAGTAAGGCACGCTGGCCACCACGACGCCACCAATCAGCTAACCCTATTCTGTAGAACGAGCCGAAGAGGCACCCATCATTCGCCGTCTATTCTCGTCTTCACCACGAGACCCACGTTACCACATGTTGTCACACATCTCGGACAAGTTCAGAAGACCTGTCCAGAAGGAGAGGCACGAACCTCGAGCCGCCTTGTTTCTGAATCGTTTCACTCGCACCTTGACCATCATGTATGCGACAGCTGGCCTTGAGGAAATTCTAGGCATTCCTGCCGAATCCATGAGAGGTCGTAGTTTCTACTATTGCATCTCCGAAAACTGTCTCCAAGATGCTATTAAGTGTCTCGAGAACGCAAAGGCGAACGACTCGATAGCCTACCTCCGCTTCTGGTTCCGGGATCCTCGTATAGATGATGACGCCACGACGCCGATGGACGAGGAAAGTGATGATGAGATGACCGCCAGCAGTGTGGACCAGGAAGTTGGCGGTGGTGTTCACATCAACGGCTCCCATTCAGCCTCTGAAAGTATGGATGTTGATCCATCAGACTACATATCTAATTCCAGGACCACATCAGGGAACAGCACGGACGCACACGACACCCACTCGGCCATCTTTGGAGATTCTATGGCCGAGGAATCATCAGCCGCATCATCCGTCAGTTCACCGGATGGCAGCACTAGGCCTCAGATTAACCGCGAGCCGATCGAGCTCGAAGCCGTCATCTCATGTACATCCGATGGTCTCGTAGTGTGTCTACGACGGGCGCGTCCAATGCTTCCTACCTTGTCACGTACGAGACACAACAACGGCCTTTTTGCTGCTCCTTGGGCAACAGAGCCAATTCTTCCTCCAATGGAAGCACGCCCACAGCAAGCCTTTGCTACAAACTTTGCACCGTCTTTGGGACCATTCAGCGCTCATACAGACCATGTCAGAGCTGGTGGCCCTGCCCAGGACGACTTCATGAACTCAATCCGCGAGCAGGCTATTTTCGCATGGGCGCTCACTGGAATCAACGGTGCGCTTCACCAATATGGTGTCAACAAACCCCACGGAGAGTCTTTGCCACTTGAAGGTCTTGAAGTCTGGGAGTCTGATCCATATGCTCAGTCTGAGATATTTAGAAGTGACTCTGGCTCCGGGCTTGACGGCATGACAAAGAGTCATAGTCCGGCACACATGTTCGGCGATCCTGGCCTTGATGGCTACAGGAAGAAGTAGGAGAGCCGAATGCCTGCGCTGGAACATTCTTTTCTCTCTTCTTCTCTTAGGAATTTGGCGTTGCATGATTGGATTTGCTATTAGCGGGTGTTCTGGGTTGGAGAACGATGAAGCACATACGGGTGACGATTACGATGAGAGGGTCTGCATTATTTTCTTCAAACACTTGAGCGACACATTGCTGTAGTCGTAACTTTTCACAAATAGCAGATAATCAGTCGATCTGGCTTCTTGCTTCCTGTGCAATCTGATGTTGAACGCTCGATCACAATTTGTGACAGTGCTGTAGTGCTAATGCTCGCTCGCGAAGAGAAATAATGGTATAGTGAAAGAACCGCCTATTCTTCACGTACGGCCACAGTCAGCTGAAAACTGGGCATCCCGTCCGCTCTGCCATACATAAGCAGTTGAACGGCAGATTAGTACTACGGTGGGTGACCACGTGGGAATCCCTGCTGCTGTACGTTTTGTTCTTTTTGCTCACTGGCATCCATCAACGTGGTATTTTAGCAGTCCTTGTTCTAGCTCGATTGTGCGTTATCCCCTCCTCGATAGGCCTACACTCCATTTTAACCCCGAGGGTCTAGGACATATTTATATGGTTTATAGTCGAAGTCTACATTTATGCGACTCGCTGCAGGCATTCAAACGCGCCCGCTGCTTCGTCAGACCATGGATAACTTGTAGTCTTTTTAGACACTCTACGATTTTCTAGTGTTCGGAGTGAAAGCGGCTGGCGATAGAGCAATTACCCCGTCGATACGCGACAGAGAATCGATTTTCTCGGAAGCAATCAAGATGAAGCTCAACACTGGACTTTGATGCAGCTAGTACGCAGTACTGCTGTCTAGATGCACCAAAAGGGTCGAAAGAAGACACGAACTCTCTCAACACACGCCAAGGCGTCTAGATGCATGCCCATTTGCAGATCACTTCCCATGCCACTATTTTTCCACCCATTTTACAAGTAGAAGAGGATGCCCACCATGCATTGTTTCAAATAGTCTGCTCTACATTCTCTATTTCTCAAAAACCAATTTACGAAAGAAGATATCATCTTTGGCTTTTTTTCAACTGTTATGGCGACACGAATCAATTCTTTGGAATCGTGTGCTTTGTCTCCGGCAACTTCTCCATCTGATCAATCCCGCCGATCATCAACACCAGAACCTGCCATACCGACTTATAGAGGTCTCTCACCAAAGACCAAATCGCTCGCCAAACAAGTTTTTAACTCTGAGAACGACTTTCAAACCGATAGCTCTAGCACTTACGACGGCGGTCTGGACTGGCTCATGAATATGATTTCTCACACTGAAAAATTGGATACGACGGAATTGCGTAGAGGCAGCTTTGCCGAGAGTGTAAAGGCTGCTCATGCTATGTATGATGATATTGAAAGAAGCGCGAGCGAGAGCAGCAACAGCGGTAAAAACAAGAATAGCAGCGGCAGGAGATCGTGAGAGGTATTGGGACACAAAGGCTGTAGCCTTCGCCAGTCGCTAGGGGCTACTCAATTCGATGCCTCCTTCACCTTGGGCAAGTGGATGCACGACACCTCACAACTGCCCTCGAGACACTACGATAGAGGTAACACCTGGATGCTACAAAGTCCACTACAACATTGCGGCGTTCTCTGAGGCCCAGGAGAACGTAGCAGATCCACCAGCGGACGTTCGATCCAACATCACTTCGAAAGCACATTCCAATCTCAAGAAAGAAGAGGCAGTTCTGGTTCTTCATAAACAGTTTCCTCGCGTTGTCAAGGTCGACTATGGCAATGACAAGATTGCGTATGAGACGCTCGCGATCGGCTATAACGACAAGCCGATGCAGTCGGAAACTGGAGATGGTGGAATGTTTTACTGGTTGAATGTGGAAGGCATGACAGTTGGCTACTGCCTGACGGTTGAACTCATCCGAGATTCTCCAAAACATTGGCCTGCCCACAAGACTCCGCCTGTCGCAGAACTCTTCGAGCACTGGAAGGAGCAATTTCGATCAATGAGTTGGGTAGCACTTGCCTACCAAGGCGATGGCGGAGGGGTACTTCAACGCTGTTCGCAGTATTCACAGACATTGGCTCAATGCGCATCGCTGTCAGAGATGCCAGCAGACTTTGTTTCAATGGGACGAAGGGGCATCCTTTCGTACGGTCGTTGAAAATTATAACAGCGTCCTCCTTTTGACCAAGAGATAGTTGTCCTTGATGGCCTTTTTAGGCCCAAGAGGCTGAAGACAGACGCCGATGATCTGACTTTGCCTGAAGGAACGTGGACAAGACATAATTTCGATTGTAGTAGACATGGTTGGCTTGATTGCGGCGCTCTAGCAAGAGCATGGAAGGCGCGCAAATAATTGCAGCAAGATTCATGCAAGACGCGGCCTCGTGGGCAGGGCTTCGTAGAGACGATGAATATGCCATGGATGTCAACGGCACAGCCCAACTCTAAACAGCCACAATTCTTTTCAAGCTAGGAAAAAAATGCATTGCGCACTGAACAATCTGCTTCGGAAAGCATACTGCGAATTCAATTCCATATCTTTGTGTCGTTTGTGACTCCAAATCAATTTCGAGATTCCAGAGCCTTGCAGGGATCGACCGGGAAGGCGAGTCCTAGGCAACAGCGGAGTTGAGTCCGTCTCGCAAACATTACCTAAACAGGCAGAGCAACAAACCCAGTGCGTGCCTAATGCTGGCGTATCAACTGACCGCAAACTCATCTCTTGACAGTTTCCTCGATTTCTACCGACAGGGAGACGAACGCCGAGAGCAAGACGTCCGTTCTGTTGGGTTCGAAACCGCATACTTCCTTCGCAGCGCGGACTCGGACACTTGACCTGTTGATTGCATCCCAACCATTTTCGACCGACCCAATGGCTACCTAATCTTTCAAGGCAGTCGTTTGGAAGAAAGATTGCTCACTTAGCTTTTGCCTGGGATAATACCAGTGTCTGGATCCGTCCGCTGCTTTCTTGGATTGTCACAGCATCAAGTCTGACCACAATGGGGCCCTCAACTTCCGAATACATCTTCATTCGAGCCTGTATTACATTTCTTCACTGGATAGCTCCATTGAGCATCGCCCTCTCAGTCGCCACATTCTGCTACAGACCCAGCAGGTCAGAAGGATTCTCTCTGCAAGCCATCCTCATCATCTGGGCCCTTCTGGAAACCGCTTTCTACGTTGTCGTTTTCCTTCCACTCAGACGGCATCTCCAAAAACCTGCGTCGCATCCTAAGCTCGTGCCTTATGAACAACGGAGGCAAGAGTTCATACGTTGCATGGGAACCGTGCCTGACCTAGATCAATTCTTGTCGAAATGGTTCAGGGACAGTCCGCTCTCAGAAATCAAGAGGGAGAATGTCAAGGAGTTTCTGCGATGGGCGTTCCTAGACATAGATGATATTGACGAGACATACGAGGAAGAAGTCGAGGAATATGTCCAGATGATAGAGAAAACCCACCAAAGAAAGTTTGAACCAGGGCGTGGCAACGCAATGTGCATTCGATTGACCTTCGATGAAGTCAACTTGTTGCATCGGAGTCTTTTCTGGTACTTGGTAAGATATAAATTCTCTTCCAGATAGATTGCAGGAGATAAGATAGACTGACAATGCCATGCAGTGTGTGTTTGTCGTTGACTGTTCGACCTCGGTGCGATTGTTTTATCACGGATTTGACTACCATCGCACGCCTCTTCGTCGCTTCTTCTCGGTGTTTCCTCTCAGACCGCATAACGCTATTGCACTGAGAAACTCGACCTCTGACATCCTTACCTACTGGCATCGGCCGCACAACTCCAAGACTAGGCTGCCCATTGTCTTTGTCCATGGTATAGGGATTGGTTTATATCCTTACATGGACCTCCTCGGAGAGATCAACAAAGACCTCAAGGGCACAGATAGTGATGACGAAAGTGTGGGGATCATCGCCATTGAGATCATGCCCATCAGCTTTAGATTGACCGGACAAGCTTTGCTCAAGCAGGAAATGTGCGCCGAAATTGACAAAATTCTGAAGCTGCATGAGTGGGACAAATTCGTGCTAATATCTCATTCGTAAGTGGCCTCACATCTAGCATTTACACCCACCATGCTGATCAAACTTCCCTCTAGATATGGATCCGTGGTATCCACCCATCTCCTACACACCCCGCATATCGCCGCAAAGATTGGACCCATCATCCTCATCGACCCGGTGACCTTTCTACTACATCTCCCCGATGTAGCGTTCAATTTCGTAAGCCTTCACGCACCCTGATCTTAAGTGATGATACTTATTTTAAAACCTCACAGCTGCACCGCAAACCTAGAGACTCCAACGAACATCGCCTGCAATATTTCGCCTCCAACGACATCGGTGTAGCTCACACTTTGTCGCGCCGTTTCTTTTGGAAGGAGAATATTGTGTGGAAGGAAGATTTTGGTGATCGACCGGTCACTGTCGTGTTGTGCGGAAAGGATATGATCGTCAACACTGAGCATATTGGTGGTTATCTCGCCGGATCTGACGACGAACATTACGAGAAAGGAGCGTGGAAGTCTCAAGCATGGAAGGGAAAGGGATTGGATATTCTATGGTTTGAGAAACTCAATCATGCTGAGGTGTTTGATCAGAGGACGACTAGAGTCAAGATACTGAGAGTCATCCGGGAGTATTGTGTGAACCAATAGATTAGAAATGCCACAATGAATCATATTCAAGGAACCTAGAATCTTGTTCCTGCTCTTTACTACCTCCTCGTGTGCTAAACTTTGTCACGCGTACAACTATAGAACAGCACAGTTTCAGCATTGTCAAGGGTAGCATCCACTAAGAGCGTGATAGTTGGAGCCTCGCTGCGGACGCCTACATCGATCTGAAAAACATTGTACATTTTTACAGGCCAGACGACTCTAGGCGGGGCAGCAGGAGATGGCTAGAGTGACAAATTTTAGCACAAGGGGAGGTAAGAAATCATGCTTTTTGGATTCACGCAGTCTTTCAACAAACCAACTCAGCATGTCGGAGCACTGCTCATGTGCCTGTATCGATCGACTATCTGTGCGACCATTGTACCAATGGTTCTAGAAGCAGGAAACCTCTCACCCAGAACCGTGAACAGTTCGGTCGCGAGCTCCAGATCCTCCACTGCACGCAGACGCTCCAGTGAGGCAGCAAGGTTCTCTGGCTGTACTGTGACTGAGTACACCAAGGCTATGACAGCATTATAGATAGTAAGAAGTGTCAGCCAGTTGAAGGCTAAACGCTGTTGCAACCGCATACTGTTTGCATGTCGTATCGCCATGGCCGCAGCTTCAGTGAGGATGTTGACTCGGTCGACATCTAGTGTTGGGAATAGCGGTGATGGGCGATAAAGTGCCGTGAGGTGGGTATAGAAGTTCAGATCGTACCAGCTAGTGCACCCATGAGGCACCTTGGAGTGCAAATTTGGCAATGGAAAGGGTACGCTCTGCCGCCAGCTCACCAGATCTTGATGAAGTGCCGCTAGAATCTGCTGGCGTTCTGTCGTGGAGTAGCGTGAGACTATACGTTTGCAATACACTTTTGTAGCAATGTCATTGGCGATCTTTCGAAGACGTAGAATCTGTTCAGTGACTGCCATTGGCGGGTGACATAGAGTGCTCTGAGGTGCACCGGGATCGCGATCCAACTCGTCGCATGCTTCGATACTGAATGACTAGCCCTGGTCAGCATCTGCAAGTATCGCGAGAACGGGCGATTGTCGAGATAGACCCACGAAAATGTCAATGTCGTCTTCATGAATGGCGAACGGTCTTCCTAGCGTAATGGATACCAGCCTAGAGGTTCTCACGTTAGACTTGAATAAAAGACGAGTTTAGTATGTATAGCCTCACCGATCCATCATGTACACCGAGAAGAACAGTCTCTTGCGTCTTATAGCTTGAACTCTCGAAAGTGCTTGAGATGTCGAGTCACAATGGAGACCCATACCGAGTGCTAAACGTGCAGCAGTACCTACGAGAAACCACGTGTCTGGGTGATGGTCTGTCAGAGAAAACCTTATGCATGAGCCATCGAGATAAGTGTCGTACTTGGACCGAATTGGTTGAAGAAGGAATATGATACTTGCAGCATGATAGCTTCCAAGGCAACCTTTTACGTATTAGTGCCAAATAGAACTCGGCCAGTATATCTGGAGAACTTACGATATCACCATAGTCCATTGAGGCATCGAAATATGTCATGGCCTTCTCGTAGTATAATCTAGACGCGAACTCCTCGGTCAAAGTAATCGAAGCATGTGCAGTTGAACCAATAGCCAGTACCATCCATATGCGAAACATGCACGGCGGAGATCGTGTCAGGCGGCCATCCGGATCCAGCATGATTGAATGAATGTCCGACATGACTTCTTGTTGGTGGAGGATAGGATACAAAGTGTGTGAATGGTCGAAATAAAAGTTTGTAAGACGTAGCATCTCGGTCCGGTCTGGGAGCTGGATCGTCGTGTCCTGTGTTGGAGCATCTAATGTAGGCAGTCCTTCTGCGAGGAAAGAAAAGTCGATTGCTTGATCGGAATCGAAGTACACATTGTCCATTAGATCCAGATGAAGGATTGTGGCACCTTCGATGGGAACCGCATTTCCATCCACATGTTGGTTGAATACGAAGTCTCGACCATCTGGTGATAGCCTCCGTAGCACTGCTTGTGTTAATTTGGCGAATGTCAGACCAGAGATGGTGCCCAGATAAGGCTCTGCGACGGCCGCGAGTGACACATCCCTGAGATTCTGTGCAAGAGAATCTTGTCTTCGATGGTGGGGGCTCTGATTATCTTGAACTGATTGGGAAGCTGCCGCGGTGGGTGGTCTTTCAATGTTCGCATCGCCATTGCTTCTATGGCCCGATGTGTGCTGATCGGAGAAGCTTGAGGGAACATCTTCCAACAGGATCTCATCGGGCGTCTCGTTGAAGTTCAAGGTTGTATTCACAGCAAGCTGGGAAGCTCCTTCTTCAATCTGGGTCACTTGATGCGTCTCTGTGAATGACGCCAAGACATCTTGGTGTACTTCCAACTCGCGTACACGCCTCTCGAGGTTCTGAACAAATCTGTGCGTGGTCAGCCACAGCTAACATGTTGTACATATTTCTACTGGTGAAACCCTACGCAACCGGATACGTCGCAGTGTCGTGTGCTTCTTCCGCGAGACTGCATGAGTGATGCACAGATGCACAGTTTCCGCATGTGGGAAGGACGCGATCACATTTCTTCTTGCGCCGATGACACCGCGAGCAGGAGATTCGTGCCAACGCCGATATGCGCGACATACGAGGTGCACAAGGCATGTTGATGCTGAGGAAATATCGTAATAATCAATCGCAGACCACACTCGCAGTGAATCCATCGTTGCTTTGAACAGACTCGCATCAATCAGTCCCCGCAGTCATCCATACCCCGCACCTGATAGGCGTACGAAGATAGATAAGACCCAATCACACGGATTTGACATCCTCCTTGTAATGCTCCTCAGTCCGCTTGTACGCCGTTTGCATGCACTCTTCCATCGTCGCCTTGTCTCGTGGAATAAGTCTGACCTTGAAGTCGCGTGGAATCGCGACCAAAGCTGTCTTGAACTGGTTGTAGTCCACATAGTCTGTGTTGGGGGGCTCAGACTCAGACGCAACTATCTTGTAAGAAGACAGGACACGTATAAGAGCTGCGTAGAGCAAGCGTGTAGCAATCAATTGACCACTGCATGCTCTAGTGCCAGCGCCGAATGACAAGTGAGCTTGAGATGTCAGAACTCGTTCTCGGAAAGGACCCATGTCATTCTCTTTTGTTACGGGCTCAAGCCAGCGTTCAGGATTGAAGGTCCCTGCATCTGGTCCGAAGTGATCGATATCGTGGTTGCCGGCTTGCGCGTTCACGAGAATCATAGTCTTGGGTGGGATTATAGCACCGTTCCAATTGACTTCGGTCACTGTTCGACGTGGCAGACTCATAGAGCTCACAGTGTAGTATCGACCGGCTTCTTGGATGATCGCCTTGAGGTAAGGCACCTTTTCTTCTTGGTAACTGTTCTGCCATGCATCGCGGATGTCTGGATAGTAACGCTTGATGTCGGCGAAGGCGCGTTCCTGGAAAATCTGCCCTTCCGGCGTGCATAACGAACCAAGACACGAGGTCAAAGTTCCAGGAATGGTCTCGAACCCACCACTGACCAGAGACAGACAGATTGATGATACTTCGACGCCAGACAGTTTAGTTTCTTCATCCTTCAGAATAGCAGCACTGATGCATGGCTTGTCGACTCCTTTCTTGATCATCTCGCGGACTTTATCGAGCAATAGATTGAGATATGCATCTCGACGAGACCGGAGATCCTTGGAGCGAGCATCCTTCTTATTGTTGGGAAGATAGCGGAGTGCTGGAACATAATCCTGCAAGTTCTCTGAAGCACTACGCAAAAGAGATATAGCAGAGCCTACGTGCAGAATCTCACGAAGAAGCTCGTCGTAAGTATCGTCCATGCGTATCCCGTAACACAGTGTCAGAGTCGTGTTGAGAGCAAATCGTTGGATGTATGGTCTGATACTGATCTCCATGTTCGGATCAGAAAAGTTGGTGTCCTTGTGCATATCCCGAATGATGCAGAAACTCTCCAAATCGAACATAGGATGGTATTTACGCATGGCTGGCCTGGAGAGGGCGGTGCCAGCTGCTTTACGCTTGTTCTTACAGCTGGAGTCCCAAGGACTACTTCCAATCGTGAAACCCTGAGTGCTGCTGATCACTCCATGGAAAGTGTAAAGCTTGGGACGATCAATCACTGCGTTGTGGTGCTTGACCAGGATGTCGCGGCAAGCATCGAATGAGTTGAACACTACAGCTCGAGTATTTCCCAGCTTGATCTGGAAGACCGAATGATTGAGCTGCCGTGACCACTTTTCACAAGAGGAAGCGTGGTCGTCTCCAAGTTTCAGCAGATGACCGAAGACAGGAATCGCTCCCGGTACTTCGGGTATGCCTTTGATATGCTTGATATCGGTATCATATGCCCACTGTAACAAAATCAGTCGTCGCCGTGAGTTTGAATCGTTTAGCACACTGACCAAGATGAGCAGTAACACTATACCGACGATAATTCCCCCGATCAGATAGACTTGATTAGCGTGAAGAATCTCCGAGTACGGAAAGTAAAATAGCGACATGTTGTTCGACTTTGGGTAGTGAGGCAAGTTGTGATCATCTTACAGAAGGGAGCGTTTCCCAATATATGACAGTGACCTACAGAGCACAGATGAACCGATTGGTGAGAGTCCGCTTACAGTCTGCGACAACTCGGTGGACAGGCGGGATGTCCGACAACCGACTACTTGATTGAGCATTGTAAGGTAAGCTGTAGAGCCATGGACGGCCAACAGAGAGAGCTAGAGCTTGCGCTATCTTTCTTGCGTCGGACGTGCCGACAATGTGATTAGAAGCATCATGATAAGCAATGCGCAATGCCAGTTACTTGTACGGCAGCAACCACATGGAACCTGTCGATCATTTGCTGTTGAGTCGTTCGTGAGCGAGCATCGAATCCGCGAACATCTGATGGCTTCAATGCTTGCAGATGGTTAGCAAACAAAAGATAGTGTCGGGACTTGGGTAGGATCACGTGAGAATCAAATCAGCACGAGAAGCTCCGATATCGGTGTCACTGATGTCCTCCCGGTGTACGGAGCTTTGTCACGCGTATAGCTGTAGAAATGCACAATGTTTGTTTTTAAGATCAGTACAGCCCTCCACTAAGAGTGTGATAGTCAGCGGCTCTCTGCGGACGACTAAAGCGATTTGTGCATCTCTACAGACTAAACAACCCTAGGCATGGCCGTGGAAAATGGCTAGAAGTGACAGAATTTAGCACACGGGGAGGGTGAAGGCAACAAATTCATCCCACGTCCGCATGTGTCAATTCATGACAAGCTCTCTCCTCCAGCCGTGACTATGCAACTTCCTATTCCCCCAGTTCTATATAACCGTCGTTTGACTTCTTCATAGGCCTCTTGGGCATGGAACCATTGATCTTGTAAAGCAAGATCATTCAAAAACCTTGTTAAGCACTCTTCCGACTCGGCCAGGATCCCGTCGAACGAACGTAGTCTCATAGGCATCAATCTCCTCTCTCAGACCGCCTAGACTCAGATCCGCTAAGCCCGGTCTGATGTAGGTGCTATTGAAGACCAGCTTCCAGAAAAGAAACATGATGATGAAGAATCCGATCATCGCGTAGGTCAAGAAAAACCACATAACACTCCATCCGCCTTTGAGGAAGACATCATATCCTGCTGCGAGAAGCATGAAAAGAGTGCCTCCCATGGCCAAATAAGATGTGTATGGTTGAAAACGCCCCTTGTACGGAAGTGTGTCTCTGGAGATCCCTTGTTTCTTTAGCGCCGCAAAAAAGTGACGATAGGTCAATGCTGTGAATCCATAGTTGAGCATCTGACAGCAGGTAATGAGATCTACAAGATAGGTCATGACTACTGCAGATGAGCTTTTGACTTGTAGGAAGGCCAGTAAGCAGAAGCATAGTGAGAAGCAGAGAGCCCGTATTGGTACGCCCTTCTTAGTGCAATGAGCGAATATCCTCGGGGCATGGCCTTCGAGTGACATTCCGTGTAGTGTACGCGCAGCTGAGTACAGAAGACCATTGCCAGCACTGAAAATAGATGTCATGATAAGGGCATTGACCAGATGAGGCAGACCGGAGATCTTCAGCCTTTGCATTGCGATGACATAGGGGCTAATCTCACAGTCAGAAAACTTTCTCAAGATTGGGTATGCAGACTCACGATGCAGCGCCTGTGCCGCTTCCACCCATATCACCGCCGAGTATCGCCAGGAGCGTGGGATCGTTATAGGGGATGACAATTCCTATACAAAGTGCAGAACCCACGAAGAATACAAGTAGTCGCCAAACGAAAGACCTAAATGCGGGAGGTAGCACTTTCCGAGGATTCTCGGTCTCGGCTGCTACTATCGCTATATACTCGGGTCCGGTGATACTATAGATCATCAGTATTTGGACTGAAGAGAAGTGGAAAGAACGTGGTGAACGCTTACGAGAAACTTGCTTGATAAAGACAAGAAAGGACGCCTAGGAATTTTCCCGTTCCGCCAGGCGCCAAGTGCTCGACGAATGGGGTTTTCCAGTATCGGAAGCCGTACGCATCATGGAGAGGGTTTCCGCCGACCATAGTGACAAAGGTGAAGAGGAACAACCCGATCATCAGGAGCACTTTGAAGATGGACATGTAAAACTCCGAGATGCCGAAATATCGAACTGTTATCGTGTTCAGGAAGGCGTAAAGAACAATCATGGCCACGATGATCGCCTCGACAGGTACCTTGTCCGTCCAGAATGTGATCATGATGTTCATGGCTACAATTTCGAAAGGCACCAGGATCGCCATGTTGAGAAAAAAGTTCCATGCCATGGCGAATCCAAGCGCGCCGTCTACCCATTCGCTGCCAAATCGGATGAAGGGTGATGGTACCGGAAGGTAGGATACCATCTCGGCGAAGCACTCGTTCACGGCCCACATTACTCCTGCCCAGATTACAAAAGCGATGAAGAGTCCCGCAGGTCCACCTTTGGGTAGAGCAGAGCCCATCTGTACGTACAGTGCTTCAATGATGAAGATCAGCCATCTTTATATCAGATCCAGGTCGATTTGTGATTTTGAACACATACAGGTACCAATGGCTCCACCGATAGCAAAGAGTTGAACTTCTTTACCACGAAGACCTCTGTGCAACGATTGGGATCCTGAGGTGATGTCCGTGACTGAGCCCCTTACAAGGTCTTCGTCGCCCTGTAATACTGGACTAGCTTCCGTCGAGGGTTCTTGCTTGTCTTTCTCCATGTTTGTTCTGATTGTGTTGGTCCCGTTTTCGACGGCGAAGAAAGAGTTGAACTTCTACCGCATGGAGAATTGGTCTCTTCAAATAGACTTCGATTCGCAAGGCTACCCAAGCACGTACAAGCCTCTCGCACTACTGTCTACTGGCAGCTCGACGAATTGCGTCAACCCATGACAGGCTATGCAAGATAAGATGGCCCGTTGCATATACAAGAAGCAGTAGCAGATAGGCATATCGGTTGATAGAAGACGCCGGGCCTGGTCTAGTAGCGGGGAAGGATCGCCCCGTCGGAGATTCCGACGTTCTGTTTGATGAATACTCACGCAGCCATCTTGCGTAACTTCTCGCTCTTCCTCTACGATCAACGGCGAGAACACGGTCGGAGAGCGTCTTCCAGTCTACATCGACTGATTGATTCACCTGGTCATGTCAGCGCTCAGCATCGAAAGGCTTTTTGGAGTGAAAGGCTATGTAGCCGTAGTCACTGGAGGCAGTAGTGGACTGGGTTTCATGATAAGTAAGGTATGATTCTATTCCGACCCATCATGTCCCATCGCTTCCAAAGGAATGCTGTGACAAGAAGGGTTAAAAGTTGCTAATACGCAGATAATAGGGACTGGTCGCAAACGGCGTGAAGGTCTATGTCGTGGCTTTGCCGACTGAACCAATAAAAGAGAAAGTAGCTGAGCTTAATGACATTGGACGTTCTGTAGGCGGCTCGGCGCATGGGTAAGCAGGTTTATGGCTAATTCAGTCCGTGTCTGATGTGAACTTCACAGATTGTCTTGCGACGTTAGCAATAAAGACCAGATTGCAGAGCTAGCAGCAGCGATTAGCAGTCTGGAAGACCACATCGATGTCTTGGTTTCCAACGCTGGTGTAAGACGTGATCCTCCAATCCCTTGCGACGTCCTTTCAGCTCCATTGTCCGAGCTGCAAGCATCGATGTGGTCGTCGCGACATTCCGATTGGGCCGAAACATTCTGTGTGAATACCACCGCTCATTACTTCTTGTCCGTGGCAATGTTGCCTCTCCTGTCTGCAGCTTCGGAAGTCAAGTCGGAAGATGGACGGCTGGGCAGAGACGATGGTCGTGGAGCGATTGTGATGACAAGTTCTTGCGCAAGCATGCACAATGCGACAAACGTGGACCTGACTAGCTACGCTACAAGCAAAGCTGCAACCGACCATCTCGTCAGATTGCTAGCCGCTAAGTTCAGTCGATTCTACGTCCGAGTGGTGGGTATCAATCCTGGCTGTGAGTTGTGTATCCAATCTCTTGAAGGTATCATCAGGCTGATCAAGGCGGTAGTCGTTCCAAGTAACATGAACCCAGTGGGCAAAGCAGGAAACATGTTCAGCTCTCTGTTCGCTCGAGTCCCAGCCAAACGGGCTGGTCGGGACGAGGATATCGCTGGGGCCGTCATCTATCTTATCAGCAGAGCCGGGGTAGGTTTCCTTCTTTGCGGGAGTGTCTGCCTCCTATTGGGTCAATTTGTGCTAATCACCAAGCAGGCTTACATTGATGGAGTATCTATCTCTATTGATGGAGGTCGTGTTCTTGTTGCCAACGGACAAGAGTGAACCATCCATACTCCACGATATGTTGGAAGGAAGTCCACTAGACGGTCGATGAACATTGTTATCTGCTGCCAAGGCTTTGCCAAGACTCGCAATTGTGAATAAAATCGCATCTTGCTACAAGTGTTTCAATGCCTTCCATATATAGCCATCGAAATACAAGTTGTCGACGAGAGCATGAGATCCTCGCTAAGAACCCGAATTCTTTGGTCTCCCAGTGGAGCACTGTAGGATTTCAGCTCCCCCATCACTCTGTAACCTCGGCAATCGTGGGTCTTTTCCAAACCTTGTCGCACTGTCCGATAGTTGGAAACAGATATGCATTCCGCGAGCGATGATAGGCCAAGACTACCTGTATAAGACGGTCTTTACTAAACTCATCAGACACATGTATCGGAGCCATCAGTAAATCAACAGCTTCTTTACACGAACAACCTGTAGCTGCTTGTACCAGCTGTTGAAAGATGCTGATTCTCCTGGTTTTCTCAGCTATCCTGCTAGCAACAGCATATCATTTAGTCATCGAGCCCCTGTATCTGAACCCAAAGAGCAAGATTCCCGGACCAAAATCGTATGCTCTGACCAAATGGCGCTTGGCTCTGGAGGACTTCCAAGGAACCAGGACAGGAACCATCCATGCGCTCCATCAGAAATATGGCCCTATCGTACGCGTTGGTCCTAACGAGATTCATTTCAACAGTTTGAACGCTCTACGCACAATCTACGGAGCTGGCAGTGGTTTTGAAAGAACATGGTTCTACCGCATGTTTGACGCGTATGGCAGGCAAAACCTATTCACCTTCCATTCTGTGAAAGAGCATAGTGACCGCAAGAAGCTCGTCGCAAATGCTTACTCCAAGTCACTGATGCTTAAAGGACCAGCTGCTGCTATGGTCCAGGAAAAGGTCTCGCAGTACCTGGCATTGATTAAGGAGCAAGGAGACCAACCACACGAGATATTCAGCAGTCTTCATTATTTCTCTATCGACGCCATCACGCAGTTTCTCTATGGGAGTCAGGGCGGTACTTCTGCGTTGAAAGGCGATATTCAAGATCGGGCTCTGCTCAACGACATAATCGATCCGACTCGTCGCTATCTGAGCTGGTTCGCGGTACACCTTCCCACCTTGACTAAATGGCTGTACACTCGCCAAGGCCTGACAGAACGTCTCATCAGGCCGTTCTTGCCCATGCAGAAACCTACCACCTATACCGGAATTCGTAAGCACGCCTTAGAGGCCTCCCAACGCTTTCAAACAGCGGTAGAGGCCAAGTCCGATTTACGAACAGCAGAAACTATTATATCACGATTATGGGCTTCGCATGAGAGCGTCAAAGGCTCTGGCCGTCAAGCACTCGATTCCCTGGACATCGCATCTGAGTGTGCGGATCACTTATTGGCCGGCATCGACACAACAGCAGACACACTGCTGTTCCTTATTTGGGCACTCTCGCAGCCGCAGAACTTGTACATACAGAAGAGACTGATTGAGGAAGTGCGTACTATACCCCGGGATGCACTTGATAGTGGCACGCCTAGGCTTGACGCCATCGACAAATTACCGTATCTGCATGCTGTCATTCGAGAAACACTGCGACTCTACGCACCACTACCAGCTTCGGAGCCACGCTCACTAGGAGCTGACTGCGTCATCGACGGATACAAAATTCCTGCACGCACTGTAGTGAACATGTCGCCTTACTCTCTGCATCGCAACGCTGAAGTATTCGAAGATCCACTGAGATTCGACCCCGATCGATGGTTGGGTCAGACAGACAAGGTGGCACTGATGAACAGATGGTTCTGGGCCTTTTCAAGTGGTGGCAGAATGTGTATAGGATTGCAGTAAGCCTGGCATTACAGTAGCATTCCATGCCTCACCATGCTAACCTTTGACGCAGTTTGGCCATGGCAGAAATGACCGCATTGGTAGTTGCCGTCTATCGAGATTACAGCACATCCATTGCTCCGGGCTTCGAGGACAAGTCTCCCGCTATCACCTCACGATTCGAGCTGTTCTACGACGAAACCGTTCCAGAAATAGCAGTAAGTCCACATATGTAGCGTGAACAAATTTGGTATAAGAGGCTAACGGTTGCTAAGGAACACACATGCATGATTAAATTTACGAAAGCATGATTGTGGTGATGGTTAGCGACAGGTAGTCGTGGAACAACAGTCACTTCTATGGACCATACCATGCGCGCGAGGGGTATCGAGACAGAAGATGAGTTGAGACACACTTACAAGATGGACCAAATCAATCACGTGCTGCCATGCATCTGTCTCAACTCCTCTTTTGTCTCTATAACGCCTATATGCCTTGGCTGTGTCATCAAGAACAAGACTTTTCATACAAATACATTGTCGGCCAATCACACTATGTTGTTCTATAACCAGATCTCAAATTTGAGCACGTGGAAGTGAAAATAGCCGATTCTACTCAATGAGTTAGTTTCGGTAGCAGCCTCTTATCAGAGCATGAGATTCTCTTCGCCGACCTTCTGCTAGTCTCGCAACCTTGAAAGAATCATCAACTATCGGCGAGATGTCATCCTTTTTCTCGTCGCTCCCACTGGAGTTGAAACTGAATATCGCCGAACACGCATCACCAGGAGGCGCGGCTCTTCTCGCCCTCACGACCACAGACCTGTACTACAGTCCTAAGTTCAGTCGAGTATGGAGACCATATCAAGATACAAAAGCCTTCCACAGAGAACTGCTGAGTGTTTTGGCAAAGGACGTTCCAAGTCTTACTTATTGCGACTACTGCTGTCGATTCCATCCGCGAAGGAGTACACACAAGATCTGCATGGACCCATTCAGACATTCTTCTTGTCCCGGTAAGACCAGTGGAATGTGGCTGCACTATTTCCCCTGGCATTTCCATATCCAGTTCGAGGATGTGTATAAAGTCATGAGTCGACATCGCTGGGGGCCACAGCATGGAGAAGCTTTGGACTCGTTGACTGTACATACGGGTTGGCGGCCACTGCACATGCGCGTCGGGATTGGTTTGCAAAAACTTGATGTCACGCCTCTGATCATCGACGACTCGCTCGTACTCGAAACGACACAAAGGATATGGCACGATGGTCAACAAAAGCACATGCTTCGAACCAACCTTGCACGCCATCCATTCAGATGCTGTCAACATTGGAATGATGGTTGTCACTCGCCAACACAGGTTCCCTCCAACGCTTTCAGTGACTTCGTCGAGACCGAGATAATGCAGAAAAACCCACATCCATCTGCTCGTCGTACTCGATATCCGCAAAGATGTACCCGCTGTTTGACCGAATACACATTCAGTGCGTGGAACCACGGCGAGCGTGGTATCGAGATAGCAATGCAAACATGGTCCAACTTGGGACCTTGCGAAGAAAGAACCAGCATAGAATGGTCGATTGCAGCAAGCAATAGCAGCAACAACAACAACAACAACGATAGAGACAGGCGCCTGATTTTCGTCGCGCAAAGGCCCAGATACGTTAGTACTCTGACCAAGAACTATCTTACCAAAGAATGCGACACCGAGATGTATCAGCCGATACTGGGAGATGCTAGCAGGGAGTATGAGGCTTTGGTAACAAAGGGATGGGATCCTGTACAGCTCCAGAAACTACTGCCATTGTCTTGGCCATCCGTCGCAAAGATTAGACAACAAGTTCTGAGATCAATGAGTGGGCAATGGGCGGCGACTTGATGGTATGGTCTGTAACGTTTCGAATCCAAGACACACCCCAACTTGTGGATGAGCTCAGGTACTCGTGAGTACCAAAATCGTATGAGCGCAGTACCGGATAATTTATTCATAACTTTTCCTTATGCTTTGAGCTTTCCACTAGGACAACTGCCGAGAGCTGTAGATTCGATAAGACAGAACATAGCTCAAGCAGAGGGAATTATTTGAGATACGTTCACGATACTTAATAGTGAAATTCTGTAGACATCTTCCAAAGCACGACTGCACTGCCAACCCGTCTAGTCTTGAGGCGGCTGGAAAAGCCTATGTTCAGCATGGCGCGGGCGATCATTGCCTGCCAAAAGGTATGCCTCATTCATGTGAGGACAGAGACAAGTCTTCCATCGAGCACCACAGATATAGCAGAATTGTGCGCCACATCGACACCTAGACGATTGTCAGTTTTGTCACTCAGAGTCAAAGGGTGTGTGATACTTACGTGATATGATTACATCCAATCGTGAGGGCGACCACACGGTGGCACTTCGTGTTGTAGCAGCGCTGCCAGCCCTCCTTCTCGGCCATATCGAGTAAACTCTGCGTGTCTTCGTCTTTGGGACAATCACCACGGTGAGCTTTTTCTTTGCAGATTGTGCATGTACGCTTGCCGCAGTCAGAGCATGTTGCAACGTCGTTCTCGATGCTGCTTTCGGGTATGAACGTGTTGCACTTCAAGCCATGGCAATACGTTCTCTTCGTGGGCTCAGTGTCGTACTCGATCTTCTTCTTTTCGTATCTAGCAACGAGCTTGTCGTCGAGCAGTTTCCTCACGTTGTCCAGCGAGATCTCTATATCGCAGCATTTGGGTGGATAGAGCGATTCGTCTCCGATCGTGTACTCGAAGAAGTTTGCCAAGCATTCGAAACAGAAGAAGTGGCGGTCGCAAGGTGCTTTGAAGCTTTGGTGTCTGGTGAACCTGGAGTCGCAACCCGTACAGGTCAGAAGTGCTGCGTCGGCTTCGTGATGGAGGTTAGAGAGAGCCAGGGCGAGTTTGTAGTCACAGTCGAGTTGCCACAGCCACTTGATCGCAAATTGGTGGTCAGCGATGTCGGTTTCAACGATACTCAGCTCTTGGAGTTGGAGCTCAAGCGCGAAGCTAAGTGCCTCATCGTCCCTTGCAACCTCCCCGATATCCTCGCGTTGCAAGCGAATGATGAGGCCGGTTAGACCCACGTTTTCTGACTTGTAGAAAGAGTTCATATTGGTGCGTGGGATGAGAGAATGGTATGGAGAAGAAAGAATACGCTCATCGACCAGGGCACGGGTAGACATCTTATATCGCGTCCACATTAGCAAACGTCCTGCACACAAAGACAATGAGAACCGACCTTGAATCAACACTCGATCTGAGACTTCGAACAAAGGTCGTGTCTAAGACGACATGGTTGTTGCCCAGCCTCGAATTGAAACATATCTCAAAGGGATCGCGAATGTCCGGTGTCTATTTAGAAGCAAACGAGTAGCCGCACAGTATGCCGAGACGGCAGACGCAACGAGCGTGCTTGGTCGTGCCTTCCCTACCTTGACCGGAGATTACATTCATATTCCTGCTTTAATGTCGAAGGAAGAAACGCTTGTCGCATGCGGTACAACCAGCCTTGTGCCAATGTTTTGTGTCGAGCGTACCTTGTCGTAAGGTGGAGTCTTGAAGTCATACGGTGAGATCTGTGGCTACTGACTGGCTGACGCGAAACACGACTGAGGTGATAGGCAGTGGAACTATACGTGCACCAAATCAATACAGGTCTTTCTCTTTGCCTGTTGCTTGGTGTAAGGTTGAGAAGCTTCTGGCTCTGAAGCCTCATGACCACCAACCTCTCGCATCCCGGACAGGAGGAACTTCACGCTCCTCTGCTTGCTTCACCAAGGCGCGACAATGACTCTCACGCGAACTCACCCACACAAGCACCGGTATACGACCGCTGAATCTCCACGTCCCTTGCGCCCTGCGCGCCTTCCGAAGCTCCAACAGGCCCGATCACGGTATGGGTCGTAGTCCAGCAAAATGGAAAGCATGGGTCGCCCCTAAGTCCAAACTCGAGCTGTTTGGTGAGAGAGCGTTCCTTAGCGGGATGATGACGGCCGACCCCGCTGCTCGACTTCCTTGCCCCGCCAAAGACCGAGCCTCGGGAGCGTGAGTATAAAGGTAGAGCTGCTCTCTCTTTGACAAAGTCTAGAGATCATTGAGAGGACTGAGTGAACAATACCAAAATGTCGCAAACTATGAAAGCGGTCGTGTTCAAGGGACCTCACAAAGTGGTGATTGAAGATCGTATGCCTTGTGCTCCAAGAATCTCTTTGTTAAAGCTCACTAACGTTGCAAAGGTCCGGTTCCTAAGATCCAGGAAGATGGAGATATCATTGTCAAGGTGGAATACACAGCTCTTTGCGGCAGGTGAGTGACTGCTGATCATTACTATTGAATCTACTCAACTAACCACTCCTCAGTGAATTGCACGTCTTCCGTGGCCACCAGGCTTCAGAGACCGACTTCATCATGGGCCACGAATTCACCGGCAGAATCACAGAAGTTGGCAAGTCCGTAACCACATTCAAGAAGGGCGACTTGGTAGTCTCCCCCTTCACCACATCCTGCGGCGAATGCTTCTACTGCAAACACGGTTTCTCTTCCCGCTGCGAGAAATCATTGCTCTTCGGTTGCCCTAAACTGGATGGCGGTCAAGCCGAATACGTCCGCATTCCCACCGCAGAAGGCACCATTATGAAAGCACCCGAAGGCGTCGAAGAACAAGCCCTCGTCCTCATGGCCGACATCTTCCCCACCGGCATGTTCGCCGCCAAAAACGGATTCAAGGAATTGAGCAAAGAGGAAGCCGAGGAAAGTACCGTTGTGCTGCTCGGTCTGGGTCCCGTTGGTCTATGTGCTCTGGTCAACATTCTGGACTACAAGCCCAAGAATCTTCTCGCCGTTGACAGTGTGGACAGCAGATTGAAGCAAGCCAAAGACCTCGGAGCAGAGACTTGGAATTTCATGTCCGATAGAGAGGGTTTGGAGAAGAGAGTCAAGGTACTTACTAATGGCAGAGGTGCCGATGTCGTTATCGAAGTCGTGGGTCTGTCGCCTGCACTCAAACTCGGTTACGACCTTCTCAGACCTTGGGGTATTATTTCCAGTGTCGGTGTACACAATGCAGAGGTAAGCAGTTGAGTTGAGGCTTTGACTTTTGATGGCTTTACTGACATATTCTTAGATCCCATGGACGGGCAACCAGGCTTACAACAAGAACCTTCGTGTACAGATGGGTCGTTGCCCCGTCCGTTCGATCTTCGCAGAGGCACTGGAGAAGCTCAAGCAAAAGCAGCACTTGCTTGGATTCATGTTTGAGAAGGTCATGCCGCTCTCAGAGGCTCTCGAAGGCTATGATCTCTTCGACAAGATGAAGGTGCAGAAGGTTGTGTTTGAGCCTAGCAAGTAAGCAAGGGTAGTGGCCGGTGTTTGGGAGATACTTCTTGGATGAATTGGAAGGCTCGATAGCTTTGGCAATTGGCTGCCTGTGTGTATAGTTAGTTTTGGCGGATCATCAGCGAAGTGGCAGGGTGACAACTAATCGTGTGTTCCATTTGTTTTGTTAAATTGTTAAATTGTTATTCGAGCCGAGCAATAACAAGTACTGGCAGCAAAGAGCTCCTATCGTTTTGAGCAGCAAGCAAATTCCACCCAATCCCTAACACCGTACCAGACAAGCAAGCAAAACAGCAATCCATAACAGCTCCTAGCTTTGACACCGCAACTCCTTGCATTGTTCTCATAAATCCCATCCATAGTAAAACGCCTCGTTGACCTTCGTAAAGTGACGAAGTGCCATGCTCAGTTGACGTTGCAGAGCAGTTCTGCTTCCAGAATGTATTTGCCCTCCTTGTACTTTTCAGCAGGCTCGTACGCCTTGTCGTACTTCCACCCGACCGTCTCTTTGCATTGTCTGCAGCTGATGTCTCGTACGACATGTCTTCCAGTAGTCATGTTGCGCTCGCCAGCCTCGCCTTGGTTGATGTTTACGACGTTGTTAAAGAGGAAAGCCTTTCCATGCTGGCCACGGAAGTTCTGCAAACGTAAGCTTGGTGGAACCCAAAACGTATTGCACTCGCGAGGACGTACTCTGCTCACTATGTCATCGTGGTCGGCAAGATGAGTCTTGCATGACTTGCAGCCGTAGATGCGCTTGCAGTTGAGGTAAACGTTGTATGCCAGGCCCATGTTGCTATCAGCTGGGCGGCTGCGTGATTTGAACCGTATCTTGGGCGAACGGGAAGAGGCTTCTCGGGGTGGGTTTAGGTCTCGAGCGGACAGGCAGATTCGTCGTTCAAGATGTGGGAATACGGTGGAACGACGGTATTGAAGATGAGAATGGCACGTATATATGCACAAGTAAGCCCTTCGGGTAAAGGTACAAGTCGTGATTCCTCAGTGGTTTTGCTGGGCGAGCAGAGTGCTACGATGGGTGGGAAGAGTCTGGCCAGGACCCTTGGTTGTGGAGAGCGGCGGTAGACGGAGTTTAGAAAGTGGCAACAAACGGACGAGACGGGCGGTGAGGAGGGGTATGGCAGTGTTTTGACGTTTGACGGTGGTCCTGAATAGCTCGCTGAGATGTGGTAGGAAACACAGTACGAGCTTCAGATGAGACGAAGGCTATCAAGGCCAGTCGTTGCAGAAGGCGGGGCAGCGAGACAAGGTCGGAGCAGTCGTGATCAAATCACGTGTAGACGTCAGAAACACCCTCGTGGGTGGAAACCAGGTTGCCCAAAGAGGCAGGCACAGGACAGACTTGATTCTCAAATGCGATGTGAATCAATCATGTGTCTCTGAAAAGGCAACAGCAAATGTGTGATGGACAGGAGGCTCTCTACCCTGCATGCTTTCGTTAACGATATCGGGAGAAGGAGCGACCCCCGGCGGGCGGCGGCTTGATCAGCCCTGCGCGGCCGAGACACAGCCGTCTCATTCCCGCCCTGACGTCCACGTTGGTGACGCTTTCTCTTTGTTGTACACTTCGCAAGACTGCTCTTGCTGTCGCAACACTTGTCTACAGCCATCGCCACCGTCTCATCTTGCACACCTACAAGTCTCTGGAAATTCTACTCGCTCTGCGACCGCTGTCAAAGTCGCTTTCTCGATCCCATTCTTCCAGGCGCATCCAACGTGACCAATCTCTCTTTCCATCATGGCCTCGGAAACGATCAACTTTGGCCAGATATTCGCTGTTGCCGTCGTTGGCTTCCTCCTATATCGCTGGTTCTCCGGTCCTGCCTTACCTTCGTCAACATCCTCGGGCCGGAATGGTGGACGTCAAGTCAACCCTGAGCACGTCGAAGCGGTAGCACAGATGTACCCTCAACTGGACAGACGAGCAATCATATGGGATTTGCACCGAAACGGAGGCAGTGTCCAAGCGACTGTCGAGAGACTGCTTGGCGGAAGAAGCCTAGAGACAGTAAGTTCAAGTCCCTCGCTTGCTTGGACCGTCAAAGCTGACAGTAGAATTAGCCTCCTCCCTCTTTCCAGCCTCCGATACCTCGTGCTGCTGCCCCGCCAACTCCCAGCAGACCTGTCGTTGTAAACAAGCCCGCCCCTAATCTCATTGCCCGCTACAATCTATCTTCCCGCCTGGCTCCTCAAGAAAGTACTCAAGAGTCTGAAGCATCTGGCGCAAGCACTGGCACCAAGGGATGGTCCCAGAACAAGACAGAGCGATCTGAGATCCTCAAGCGAAGAAGAGAGGAGATGGTACTTGCTGCGAGGAGAAAGATGCAAGAAAAGGACCAAACCAAGGCTGCATAAAGCACATGGTTTTGGCGCGTCGTGTACATATATACCCGATCTCTTTTTATGAATCAGCTACTACTCCTTCACGACATGGAAAGCTTGCCTTTGACTCTTGTGAGTTGAAATGTTGTGAATTGTTGCTGGAAGGTCGTACTCTGAGTCTTTGATGTGAGGAGCAATCTGATTTCTTGTCATGTACTTGGATTTGATTGTGATGTCCTGGATGCCTACCTGGTCGCGTGAGATAGTTGATCGACGGTTATGTGGCTCAATATAGCTAGCGTCGGATCGGCCCTTCGGCACGACCTGTCCTTCGGAGACGAGGCCAACGCCAGCGATTGTAGACCTTCACAGAGCTGTACTCTAACAAACGCACATCTGTCATTGAACATCAACCTTTGACCCACGCCTTTCTATACCGCCGAAATGAATCGCTCAGGTATGCTGAACCGCCCAGTGCTGGATGCGACGAGCCGCATCTCCTTGTCGCCGAGTATGGGCATATTCTACAATGACTATGCGCGTCTCAGGCCAGACAATCGGAGCGGTTGCGCATGCAGACACAGCCAAAGCAGTACCCATGTATAGTATGAGACTGATGAACTGTTACAGCAAGTGGACAGCAACCACTGCGTCAAATGACGGGCAACGTTTTCCAGACACAACCGAGCGCGACTCGCACCACGCCGCTCGCATCGCAAAGAGGGGGACAGACGGCAAAGCTAGGTGCAGGGAACTCCAGTTGGGCTTTCGGTATGCCCATGGGAACGGCAGGAGCACCTGGACTCAGCAACAGCAGCACGACGCGCACACCTCTTGCCGGTTTTGCTCAAGCCATAGGTGGCTCGGCTTCGCAAGCTCCTCTTGATCTCTCGTACGTCAACCATCCTTTTCTAGCACCCGTATCGTTGCACAATTATATTCGTATCGAGCATGAATCCAGGGAGAGGTATCGAAAGAGGCAGAGGAAGAGGCAGGGGAAGGAAGAGATATATGAGTCTCAACCTCGAAAACGACCATGTCTACAACTCGAACGTGCTCGGCATCAGACCCGATCGCCGCACCACATCGGGCCACTATCTCGGGCAATCTCAGGCTGACAACGACGACAACAGAGACTTCCCCTCGCTCGGCCCGCAACCGCACCAGGCCAACAACGTTGCACAAGCGTGGAACAGCACCGCTCTGCGCACTCCTCAGCAGGCTCCCGCTCAGCAGCGTGCCGTATCTCAGCAACAACAGCAACCACCGCCGCAGCAACAGCAACAGCAGCAGCAGTCGCAGCAACCCACCCAGCCTCAGGTGCAGCAACAGCAACAGCAACAACAGTCGCGTTCTGTGTCTGCACAAACCCACGAGTCGCAACAGCAGGAGGCATCAAGTCTCGAGAGTCAGTACGACGGTCAATCGCCCACATCTGGTCGCGCTGGCAGCGAACAGCCTCAAGACGAATTCCCTCCTCTAAATAACCAGCCTCAGATGCAAATGAATGCCCGTGTCAACGGCTACGGCCACGAGGACGCCGCTTTTGGCTCAGAATCATCACGCCCCACAAGGCCCGCCGCTCCACCAGGCATCGAACACCAATTTGGCTTGCAACAGCCACCCATCGGCCAGTCCAGTACGCCGCAACAGCCGTCTCAGCACTCCAACTTCGCTCCTCAGATGGTCGACGCCCCCATTACCAACCAAGCAGCACCACAGCAGCTGAAGCCTTATGATGAGATGAGTGAAGCCGAGAAGTGGGGTCTGCCAGGCCTTCTGGCCAAGATTCGCAGTAATGATGCTGGTTCCGCCTTCACTATGGGTGTTGACATCAACTCGCTCGGTCTTGATCTTGACAGGTGAGGGTTCCTGTGCATCTAAATAAATGCTTGTGCCATGCTAATCCATGTCATCACAGCCCGGAGCCATTGTTCGCTACCTTCTCGACACCCTTTGCCGACAACAGATCGCGGCCCGTCATCCCTGAGTTCACGTTGCCCGGCGGCTACACAGTCACCAACGTTCCATCACTAGCTTCCCGCATGCCCGCCTTTTCGGACGAAACACTTTTCTTCGTCTTTTACCAAAACCCTAGAGATGTTGTTCAGGAACTGGCAGCCGGCGAGCTGTACAGCCGCGACTGGCGCTGGCACAAGGAGTTGCAGCAGTGGATGATGAAGGATGCACAGATGGCGGCACCGCTCCGTGTCAGTGAACGCAGCGAACGCGGTGTCTACATCTTCTTCGACGCTAACAACTGGAGACGCGAACGCAGAGAGTTTGTACTCAACTACGATCATCTGGACCAGAGACATGGCGCCACCCAGCCCCAGGCTGCACTTTAGGGAAGTGTTCTGGCCGCCGCCTCAACTTCCGAAGCTCGTTCTTCTGACATCAATGCTCGCGCCTCCTCCAACTCTTACATCCTTCGCCTTGAGAACACTCCTGCCTCGACTCAGCCTCATTCAGCCGTGTCTTCTATGCCTCGTCCTCCTCCAGCCTTGTTGTCCTCACCGTCTATCAACTATGCTCCGTCAAGCACATCGTCAGTCACCGATCTTTACACCTCTTCATCCTACTCGACCCCTACGCATCGTCCTGGCCCTCTTCCTATGTACCCTCCTGGTCTCCGTGCCAGCACCCCAGTTCCTCGCACTCGTGCCCCTAGAACTCCTCATGCTGTAACCAATCCTCCGCGCCCTGCATTACCTACTCCATCGCCTAGGACTTACAAAGGCTATGCGTTTGGCCACCTCGCCATCCCTTACATGCTGGACGAGATGAAGAGAAAGGATGCTGCAAGAAACAGCGATAATGGTCCCACCTACTGATCGTTGTCTCCTCTCACATCGGGCGGAATGGTTTGCTTTTCGCGATTACAGCGGTTCACCGAAAGACTCTTTCGCTAGTCATCACAAATACAGCTCAGCTTCGTAGCTTCAACTTTCATCATGGAGGGAACATCACATGAAATAACAGCCAGACAATCGCTTTTGCACGAGAAACATAGGACGGAAAAGAATACTGGCTAGAGGAGGCATATAACGTTTTCATCAATGATCACCCTAAGTTCACTTCATATTGTTGTTCCCACTCTGGTTGTGGAGTCCCTGATTTTCCATCGGAAGGCACTAGTTTTTGACATGAAGCGACTACGATCAATGGGGTTGTATTGAACAGCTAGCTTCTCTGTAGACATTGCTGGTGTCGTTTTACAGTACTTCTTTCTTGCATTGCGACAAATTTACTCTGATACTTGCTATCATGTAAACCTCACGACAAGGAAGAAGAGCTAGATCTGCTGTATAGGAGGAGATGGTCTGCTGCTCATTCAAGAAAGGTCATCAAAAGCACATTTTCTCCATCTGATCACACAAGTGCAGCCAACGCAGCCATGCAATGTAGTGTAGTATCATTCAGAACTGGATTTCAAAATTGTGGTTGTATTATCAGAGGATTGTTGAATGGGGTTTGTGATAACCTCTCCTGCTACTGTACCACTTTTCTTGTCTTGTTGAATACTTTGATCAAGTTCAAATAGCAGAATTTGTGCTTTTGGGTAAAATGAATGTGTGAGGTGGGTGTTAGAAACTGTGGAGGATCTACGACAGAGCTAGAGGATGCGGACTCGATGTAGTGGATGTCAAATATCGGATGTCTGGGTTGCGTCTCGAGGGATGGGCCGGTCTTACTTCAATGTGGTGGGAGCAATGAGTGCACTTTATAGAAACGTCCCTGACATGCTGATGTTGCAAGGGCTCTCGGCCAAGTCTTCTTTGCTCCAGCAGAAACAGACTAGACTCCATATATGCATGCATCCTCGGGTGACGTTCGAGTGGACAGCTCGTCTGCGTGTGGAAGTCTTGCGGATTGGAAGCAACATCTTCGATCATCGCAGTGGCGCTTCTAGCTCTACCGGTAGGTGTCCGGCCACTTCGTGCATTTTGACGGGAGTGGGAAGCTCATGTCTGCCAGAACTTCCATCATTGACTTCGAGCTCTGGCTTGTAGCCGTGCCATCCATCGGCTTCTTGCACAGCTGTATCTCCATGGTCGAGCTCCGAGATGCCTTGAGCAGCGGTGTTGTCCTTTTCGTCAGTGTCGTGACGTGTTTGCTCCGTAGAGATCTTGACCTTTCGGGTTGATCGCCGCTTGAACCAGATGGTGGCTGCGATGATTGAAACAAGTACCACGACGGCTGCACCGACTATACCGGCAATAGAACCGCCACTGAGGCCGTCGGGCCGATCATCTCCTGCTTTGTAATTGGGTGTATGGATGGCGACGATGTTTTGTTCAACATTGGTCTGAGGAAACAAAGCTTGCGAGACAGAAAAGTTGCGGTGGCCGTAGTCCGCGACAACGTAGGCCTCTTGCAGGAACACTCTACCGAGGGCGAACTGGCTCGAGTTTTGGGCCTGCTTGAGAGGAAAGTATCGCGTTTCGGTATTCACATACGGTTGCGTAATATTGAGATCGAATGCCGAGTATGGAAGCACGATGTCGACAGTACCGTCTGCACTGTTGCTGCCGTTGGCTATTGTGAATGTGAAAATCGGGTTGCGTGAGAGCAACGCGCTATGCGTGTCCTCGTCGAGAAGGTACAGTTCGGCAGTAGCGTTCCAGGTCAGGTTGAAGGCCTTCTCGAATTGCTGACAGACATTGACGGGAAGCCACATCTGTGTGACGGCAGAGTCTAGGAAAATGTCAATCTCAGATGTCAGCAGCGGTGGGCTCCCAAAAGTGTCATAACTGATGGATCGAAGCTTGACAAGAAGATCTCGTGAGAAGTCTGCTCCAAATGGGAAAGAGACATTGTTCGGCGTGAAGCGAGTTGTGTCGTATCCTCCAAGAGTTAGACTGCCCAACACCGGTGGGTTTTTGTACTGCGCGCCAGCTGTGTACGCCCAGGATAGACTGGGTATCAGACTCTGATTTCGAAGTGTACTCAGCAGGCTTGGTTGAGGATCGTCAAGATCCGTGAAGTTGAAAGGATACGGGCTGAGACCGAGAGTTCCAAGCCAAAAGTCATTGGTGCCAAAGCCAGCTATCACTTGTCCTTGTACAGTCGGTAGACCAGAACCTGTCAAGCCTAGATTTATTGTGTCGAAGCCATAGTATGCATTACCCGTGAGGCCGAGATAGCCTTCCACAAAGATGTTCAAGGAGTAAAGCCCTTCACCAAATAGACGTCGAGTGGACCAAGAAGATGATTCGTTCCGATGAAACAGATATCCACGTTCGTTGTTGCAATTTGTCAAGTTCGGATTGGCGACAGTGCAGCCTTCGTCGATGACGACCCAGGTGCTGCTTCCTGCGCTTGCCGAAGTCGAAGGAAGAAGCCGAACTGTTTGTCCTCCGACTTCAACGTGGAAAGTCGACCATCTTCCGTCAGGTCCATCCATCCCTGCAGAGTCGTCAGTCACGCCGCGAAAGGTTCTGAGATATACTTACCAGTAAGTGCTAGGTGGTATACTCAGCGGGGCGACTGAGTCGTTTCTAGCCTGCGATCGCACAACTACGCTGAAAGTCGTGATGGCGAAAAGCACGAGTGTGCGCATCCTCGAAGCAAAAAGCATGATGAACGTATTAGCAGCAGACGACCCGTTATTGAGTGCCTGAACGAACAGCGATAACCTGTTTACATTTAACTTGTGTGTTCAGAACATGCAGTCAAGCCGGGCGAAACGACTGGCCAAGATCGCATGGAATCTACAAAATATGCCTGCGGCCGCCCGTCTTGAGCGACATGAGGCTTGCAGACTGCTTACTCCAAACTCAGCATCTTCCTCGACTGACTGTATTCAGAGGCATCAGACGCGCGTAGCGATTATACCCTTTAGATGAGGCTGTGCCTGCTAGGTTTGTATCCAGCCTTGTCGGGTCAGCTGTGAATGCAGGCAGGAGGGTTGTTGGTTGTAGACAACCTTTGTACAGTAAGTCTATTGGTCTGTGTCTGCAACTTCTTGTGAAACCACACAAAGGACTGGCCAGCGCGTAATAGGAACGATGGGTCTCAGTCAGTGCGCTCGGACTACCCACAATCACCTATTACCGACATAGCATAAGCTCTCCATCGTATGAACCTTGCCAATGTTTCCGGTTCTATAAGGCCTCTGGCAGCTGCATCCGCCAACTTTGCTCAGATCTACCGTTGATTCCCGTTACCGACAATGAAGCAACAACTGTCACTCGTTACTGCCATTCTGAACTTGTTCTGGGTAGGCGCGTCAGCTGCAGTTTTCGAAAGCTACTGTATGTATCGCTGTCTTCAAACAGGAGGTCATAGACTGAGCGTCATTAGATCCAAACGCGACTACAAGCTTCTTCTCCTCTACAACAGGCCCATGGCTCGGTGTCAATAGCTACACATGGAGTCGATACATCTGGCCCACAACAGTCGGAACGATCGAGGTTATCATAAACACGGATACCAACAAGACGTTTACCACGACCAGAATGAATACCGGGTATTCTGCCAATGGCAGCCTTGCGATCCTCACACGAACGGATACAAATCTTGCTGGAACAGTCACGGGTATTGGGCAGGATCCTTATGGAGCCAAGATCACAGCGTATGCATGCCGCATAACTTCGGACCACTCACAATGATCATGACTAACCCAGACGACAGAGCATACCCAACACCGGTCTTAGCTCCAGCAACAGACTTCACTTGGGCTGCGATGCTTCCATCGGTATATCGCGGCTCTTCCTGCTGCTTTTTGCAAAGCACAAAATCCCTCACACCTTCTCACACACCTTTCGCATCGCCTACCGGTGCTACAGATACTGCCGATCCTTCAGGCTGGCTCTATACTCTGGTTGGTGTTTTGTTCAGCGATCCCGAGACCACTCTTCCATCAAATAACTTCTCGGCCATGTGGACCGGACAGTCGTTTGGATTCCCTTATTCCGGCTGTCCGTACACAATGTGTGATGATTTCACTCCAAGTGCCGCGGGTGCAACCGCTGTACAGAGTCAGGCTTATTTGTTCGCGGTTAGGATCATCACGACTTCTGGCGTCGACCTTTTGTCTCTAGCTAGTGGCATTCCTACATCATCTCCTTCTGTAACCTCTGGTGTTGAAGCCGATCCGACCAGTGCGGCCCCTACCAGCAACCCCGAAACCTCCTCGCTTCCAAGCTTTTCTTTGTTCATGCAGACTAGCTTGCCTCAATCCAGCACTGCAAATGCTCATCAGACTGTGTCGATGGCAGTAGAAACAGCCACGCTTATAACAAAGTCTACGGTGGACATGTCGTTGCCTCCGGGGATATTTGGGAGCCAAGTCGAGACAAAGCCATCAACATACGTGATCACCGAATCTGCTACCGGTGCAGCAACTACTGTTTCCGGGTCCGTGATCAGTCTTGGGAACGGAGCGACAGAGAATGTTTTTGGCACGAGTACAGAGAGTGAAGCTTCTCCGTCCGAACTGGGTGGTTACACCTTGAGCAAGGTGGGCGGCAGCAGTACGGTTCCGTCCAATCCTGACAGCGGCATCTTCCCGAACTCTAGTGCATCGTCTGTCTCTGCATCCGAAGTTGTTGCATTCTCGACCCCTGAGCCCTCCCGCCGGAGTGTCACGCCGATCACCAGTGATGGTGAAACTGCTACAGAGTTGGCGAGTTCCTCAGCTGAGACATTTAGTAGTTCCGATGCTGCGCAGCTAAGGAGTCAGTCTATGGGTTTGGCTGGTCTTAGCATCCTTGCTCTTAGTTTGTTTCTAATGTGATGGGCTCTGCATCATAGCTAGGAAGCTGTGGTGTAGTGTTGGCTTATGGAAATTTCCGAGGGACCTTAAGTAGGATGTCCAAAGGAGAAAAGAGCCACGCACGATATATGCGGAGTACCGGACACATGTAGAAATTGTGAGGCTTAGGTAGCCTTAACCAAAAAAACTGCTTCATCTAGGTCAGATTAGCAAGACCGTCGAATGCTTGACCTGATTCTCATTGAGCACCTTTTGAGCACAGGAATACTAATTTATACGTTCAAACGCGTCCACGGTCTTTAGTGCGCGTGAATCGCGTATGGTTGCTACGCCCGACTTAAGGAAACAGATACGCACAAGCAGCGAGACGTAGTCCTAGATCGTGTTGGTAAATGCCGTATCGTACTCAAGTATGTGGAAGTTTCTGTCGGGCAACAAGAATGTGCGACCTCTACTAGTAGAGGGAGTACAAGCTGACACCGTTCAGCGGAACATAATTTAGGGCCTTTAGGCTCTATCGGGAGCTGGCTCCGCTATGTATACAGTATGGCTGCTTTTTTCTATCATATTTTCTAACAGGCAAGTCTCGTGTTGTTTCTCATGTTGATACTCTACTTGCCCTTACACGAAGCGGGGCACAGACAGAGGTTACAAACAAGTGCTCTACTTCGCAGTCGTAACGGGTCACAAAACTGTTGCTGTTGAATCGAGTTTTTAGATCGAACGATATGCAGGCACGGTGCCACAGCCGAGGGGCCAATCTTCAAGGATCGAAGCTTGGCACAGTATGCTGAAACCGACGAGCGCCCAATAGCCCCTTCAATACCTGTTCATTACCTACACTCGCAGAACGAGATCAACATGACTAGCAGGTAACAGAAGATCAAGCTAATGAATTCTCTATTGCCAGAAACGCTGGCCGACTCTGGCTAAGAAGATGGTCATGGCAGTGTTGGAATAGGGATGGTGGTGGCATGGAATTTGCGGGGTGGCAGTTTTACGAGCGATGCACCGATGGCTCGATTTGCATCGAGATGGAAGACATGGATAGTTCGCGCCAGACGTCCGGTTCGCCAGTCCCATCGAGATGAAGTGAAAAGACGGCTTCACGGTCGCACCTGACTCCCTCCTTGTCCGAATCGACCGATAGCAAAATGGCGTCCTTCCATTGCCTCTTCTCCGAAGCCTGCTCGCTTTCGTCAAGCCACGCTCTCAAAATATCACAACTTCTACTGCTCGAATGTCGTTGACACAAAGTCGCGTTTTCCCTGTCAGCTCTCTGGTTCATATCAACTCGATTCCAATCTCCATCTGGCGTCGGCGCTCCGACGACACTACCCCCGCCCCCCTCTCTCCAACCGAAGCCCACAAGCAGCCCTCGATCTCGCAGAGAGACGACTCCAGCCGAACAAATGCTATCCAGAGCTATGGCGCTGCCATCGGCCTCCAGAAAACTCCAGATGGCAGTCTGTTGGTCTCGATGGCCAGTGACAACTCGAAGGCCATCCTTGGCTACTCCCCATCGCATCTGTTTGCTCTAAAAGACTTCTCGCATCTTCTCGAGAATTCAGAGTCGGATGCATTGCTCGACCATATGAGCGAGGCCCACGACCGCGCCGGCTACTCCAATACTCTCAACGTCTTCAACATGTCCCTCAAGGATTCAGCTGGTGCGACGAATTGTTTTTCATGTGTAATCCATGCCGATACCAATAGACCTTGTCTTTTCGTCTGCGAGTTCATTCCTCAACCCATCTTGCCTACTGCTCGTCCTTACCATTCTCAATCCCGGAGATTGAAGTCTCAAGGACAGAAGAACACACCGCGCCCTTCCATCTCTACAAGAAGCAGTGCTGCCGACACGCTCAACACAATGTCAAAAGCACAAGAGAAAATATCTTACGCTCCAACAATAGAGACCCTAATACAAGCTCTTGTCGTGTCTATCAGAATCGCCACAGAACATGAGGATATATCCGTCCATCGCTTCCATGGCCAACGGAAAGGTCGCCTCGTTGCGAAGAGCGATGATGAACATAATTACAGATATCTTGCCCATTCCTCAGGCCCGGAGTCTTTGACCCTGTCTCCTGAGTGCAAAAAGACATTTGAGACTCTGGAGGTGCAAGTGCACGCCAGTCATCAAGCTTGTACTGCCAGTCTGCTGCATCGACCCGGTGAGACATTCGAACATCATTTAGATGGCGCATGCTACCTGCGAGTCTTGCCTGAATTTTCCTTGCACGACGTTGATGAGAGGGGACTTCAGTCTCGTGTTCTGATCCCATTAATGATTTCTGGAAAACTCTGGGGCGTTGTTGATGCCCGCAGCTTTCAAAACCAAGCACCGATAACATTTCTCGACCGAGGTCTCTGTAGGCTGATAGCCGATTCGGTCTCGACTAAGATGGAGAACATTGTCGCCTCCGACATCTTGGACGCGCGAGGCCCTTTCTCGGCTAGTCAAGGTTCTAACAACGAATCTGGACTTGCCTTCTCGGCTCCGCGAGACCTACTAAATACTCTCAAGGCCGACTATGCTATTTCATATATCAATGACACAAAGGTTCTCATGGGATCTGCAAAAGAACCACAGGAGGGTCTGGCTCTGGTAGAATATTTACACTTTCGCAGACCGGATGAGAATATGATGTCTGTTGACATTGCAGCTGACTTCCCCGATCTACGATATTCGCCAGGGTTTCACTCCGTGAAGGGATTCTTATTCATCCCACTTTCTCCGGACGGCGAAGATTTTGTCGTCTACTTCCAGGAACAGAAAGCTGACCATCTTGGCCTTGGTATCAGCGGTTGGAGTGAAGCCGATCTTCGCAACGCAGCTATGATGCGTGTAGTTTACTGCAAATTTAGCTCGATATGGAGAGAGAGGGAAGATGCCTTGCAAAAAAGCCGCCTTTCCAGGCTCCTATTGTCCAACTCGAGCCATGAGTTCAGAACCCTACTCAACGCCATCACAAACTACATGGAGTTTGCAGGAGAAGGCAAACTCGATGCCAAAGGAACCGGACTATTGGATTTGGCCAGGAACACCTCGCAACAGCTGTTGCTTGCTGTCACAAAGCTGCTTGACTGTATTGAAAAGGGTCTTGCTCCTACCGCAGTGGTTGAGTGAAGAGCTCGTTTTCTTGGTCTCATCTAAATAACGGCGGAAGCCGGAGAATGACACGATCACATGTGCCTGTCAAAAGAGAATTGATGAATTGCTCAGTCTGCCTCGGAAAACCCGATGCCACGCCGCTGGTTGACTGTTCTTGAACTTCAGACCACTGGCTAGAGTACTGGAGATGTACCATGTCGAACGGCGATATCTTTATGGCGTACAGCGTCAAGTTCAACGCCGGGCACACCGTAATCATTTCCGAGCCCTCAGCATTTGGCAAGAAATATCCCGACAGGAGACGACCCGACATTGCGCTGTTGAATTCATGAATCTCTGAGCTCGCAGGGGATGCTCGGATCACCGCTCCTCTTGTTGCGACATCCGAGCATCAACAGCCCCCCTTGCGTTAGAACTTCTGTTTATATTGGCTTTGTCGTAGTCACTCTCTAACTCAAATTGCGCCCGCCCAAAGGCCTCGGAAGTTGCTATGAGCCAGTCTCGCGCGTTTGGTGATACGCGATGGATGAGGTTCTAGTACCACGTCTCTACGTTGTTTAAGCAGCCGCCGGATGTCCCTCGAGTGAAGAAGCTCGGTTGCTGGAATTGGGTGCTGTTTACAGAAACCAACATTTATGTGGCAATTGCGTTGGTGAGTCCTCCTCTGTGGGTCGAGATAAATTGGCATCTCCGTCACATGTGTTGGGAGGCCAAACGTGTAACTATGTTGGCGTGATGTGGTGGAACTCTGGCATAAAAAGGATGTGTGTTACTTAGTCTTGTAAGCGAAGGGGAAAGGAAAGCATGTTCACGTTCTCTTGTAGCTCAAATCACACCTCGCATCATTCGCCGATGACAGCTATATACCAGTGCATCTGCGGTTTTGATGATATCTTTCATCGATGAGTGGCAGACGGATTGATTGACAAGTTGCTTTGTTACGGAGTTTGAAACTTGTCTATCCTATCTCAGTAGAGAAGGTGCGATACATAATGCTAGAAATGTACGATGTAAGATGGAGGGACAGACCGGTGGACATTATCCTGATCTGGATTTCTCGCGCGCCACACGTTCGTCAGGTACGACTTGGTACATGCCTTCTTGTGCTTAGGATATTCGTGTATCGAACTTGCTAGCCAGATGGACTTAGGCCATATTTGCATAGTCCACACCGTACAGGCGCTTTGATACTGCAGACCGACTATTGATTCTAGTCTATTCGGGGAGCGCGGGATGGACATCCACTTCTGTTGTAGCAAACAAGTCGCCAAATCAGATGACCATGCTTCCTTGTCTGTCTGGATTGGTGAGGAATTGGTGAGGAATTGGTGCTTGTGTCTGGTATCTCGCGAGGTAGGAGAAGTGAGGCATGGCCTCGTGCTTCAATTCTTGAGTGAGATGAGAATACGCATATGTGGTAGACCATGCGCACTTTCTGGCCAATCTCGTCGGCCACTTCATATGCGGGATTCTTGAGGCCGATGGCTCAGCTTCCTCGACTCGATATGAGTGCTTGTTTGTATAGATTTCAGGCGAGGTCGTTGACATGCTTAACTGAAGGATCCGTTGCCGGACTTGCTGATCACAAGACTCGGGTATGATCATGGGCGGGCTCTTGTTCGGTGGTACACCTATAACCATGGTGCCGGAAAAGACATGATGGATCGGAAAGTCGAGGTGCCGTCGATCGAAGAGCTGCCGACCTGGGAAGCGTGAAAGACTCCTTAATGAAGCGCTGGTTGTAAGGCTTCACTACATTGAGGGGCATCTTCAAATGGCAGTCTTCCTCATTTGTGGTAGTGCCCAGATGTCAACGACTTCTTCCGCCATGGTATGTGTGTCCGGACCGTGTCCATCGCTCTTCTTTTCAGGGCTCGTCCCCTCGGATCCATCGTGTTTGTCGCATGCCGATTTCACGCTCTCGACAAGGCGCTCCCGGTCTGTTGCGAGCGGCTTTGGGTCTTCGCATTCAGTGACCGCACTCAATAGCCAGTCCATGCTGCGGCTGAATGGGTGGGAGGTATTGTTGGGCTCGAGGTTCTGGTCAGCATGAAGCACTTGTCTGGCGAGCAATTTCGTCTCTAGTGAGAGGCCTCTGGGGACTGTGGGGTCGATGTCTGGTGCTGATGCCGTCGATGTGCCAGTCGTGTGACTTGGCTGTTGTAACAGGTTGGGTCGAGCGGAAATCAGAGATGCGCCCAGCTTCGAAGCACTGCTTTGCGCTGCCATGGTGGATCGATGGAGGTTCGCTGTGATGGACCGAAAGAAACGAGTTCGCTGCCTACCTGGGGATGATTGAGACACATGATATTCTTATAATTCAAGTTGGCTACGGCCATATATTCGGTCTTCTTGAGAAATCGGCGATGGCATGTCGTCGATATTGACAGAAACCTGCGTCTAGACTTTGGGGTTTGCGTCCACCTCCGCGAATCAGAATTTCCCATATCAATCGTCGATTTTGTGCAGGTCTCGGCAAGCTTTCGGATCAGAAATTGTTCTTGACATCGACGTCTTCGCTTTGTCCGGCAAACCGATCTCAATTGTACCTGCAGCCCCCTGACTACCTACAGTCCAACCTCGCTATTGCGGTCCTCTCAATAACGGTATCCTCGCGATAACGGTCAACCCCGACCTCTGGAGCTTTTTTCTCATGTATGAACCGGTATTTCTCCCTACTCCGGTCACCGGCTCGAATCGGTCAGATTAGCGGTTGTTCGAGGGCACCAAAATCAGTATTTCCGCTTATATCCGGCTCCAAATTAGGAAATTTTACCGAGCTAAGATGTGGTTAAGACTATGACCCTGTCCGATTTGGTCGGGCTTGGCGCGAAGATACCGCACGTGACGCCTCAATACACCGATAATTCGATTGACCGGTCAGCCCGAGGGCCAACTCGTTCCTCCGTTGTATCGAGGTTGGACTGTAGATGATATTGCTGTGGAAGGTTGAAGCCTGGACGGTGTTCTTTCCTTCTGGATTCCTGCACTCAACATTCAAATCGGTGACTACTGCCAATTTGAGCCCCTTTCTTCAACAACAAATATCGAGTGAGGTCTAGCTCTATTGGCAAGAGCATCGTCTCAAATCGAAATGTGCTCTCTCCGAGTCGACAGCTCTCAAATCTCGATATCGAAACGACTCGAGAGTTACACCTTCGGAGCCAGGCCCTCCGCCGATGTAGCTGCTGCACGTCCGTCTTACGTCAACAATTCAAACGTCACACCAAACAGACCATCCAGTGCCTTGCAAAATCGCGATTGCATACGAAAATAGAACTCTCAATCGCTGACTTGAACAGGCTTGAAATTCGGAAAGCAAATTGATTGGTTTTGTGTGCTCTGAAGACTCACAGAGGTAATTCGTTTGAATGCTCTGCAAGGGACCAGCACTCCCGGCAGCCCAGACCGTCAGCATCGGCGATGCATCCACCGATATCAGGGTCTGCGTTGTGGTTCACCTCACCATCGATACATTCGCGTTGAATCGGTCCCAATCACATCGAGGTGGGCATATCGAGACCTCGTAGTCCGAGCCTGGAGAGAGCCAATCCTGTGCTCGGAGTAGCTGCCGAGTTGGAAAAGCTCAAACAAAGACCGTGACTGCTCCTTCCTTTGTGACCGAGTCTGCTCACTCAAAGACCTTGCGCATACTTCCACCAGATTTCTTGGCCTTGCATCTCAGAATTGCATCTATCCCGGCGAGAGCGGTCACAATTATCAGAGAAATACTGCTCACTGGATCCTCGAGCTGGTAGCGTGACCTTTTCGGTTTCTCCAGTCGTAGTCTTCAATCACAATTCCTAGACCATGTCTACTTCGGCCAATATCGTGGATGAGTTCAGACAACTTGCGTCACCCGAGGGATCTGAGCGCATGTCGTATATTCTCTCAGAGTTCCAGGAACGGATATCCAAGACTAATCGACTTGTGCTTGATCGTGTATTGGATATGATCGAAGCTACCGACGGCGATGAAAGCCTGCACCTGGACATGCTATCCAGCCACATGAGCAGATGCGACCCTACACACATGGAGTATTTCCCTTGGAAAAATGGATATGCTCTGTTCGACGGAACCTATATCAACTCGATGGACGACTACAGATATTGGTACAGCACGCAAGACGGTCTCTGGTCACACCCCAACACTCCCGATGGCCTGTTAGACAGAGAACACGAAAAGGCGCTTCAGCAATTCCTCGAAAGGCTACAGCTCGCTGTGGAAGACAATGCAGACGAAACTTGGTTCGGAGACACGTCCACTTTCTGGGAGCTACCTGCAGAATATTGCGAGCTTCTCAGACACGTCCGCGCTATCGGCTACGAAAACTGGGACAAGCAGATGTTCGTTCCCGACATCAATGGAGTCGACCTGAACAATGTCGAGAACTTGGCTCTTACGCCAGAGGAACTGTCCGACCTTACATGTACAGATGGCTTCGACGTCGTCGCTGGATGGACAGTCGGGGACAATGAGAATGGCTCGTGTATTTTCTACATACTATCACGACACAGCGACCAAGAAGAGCCATGGCGATGGAGGATTTTCGTCGAAGCAAACTTTCCCACCAACAAAATCTTCGACACTCTTGAAGAGTTTCTGTCTTGGTTATCAAGTGCTGATGACTGGATCGATTGGGAAGGTGTGGAAACTTCCATTGCGGAATTGCACATATTGTGTAGTAGTCATGGAGCACAGCAACAACAAGCATCCGATCAATTAATAAATCAACCAGGAGGCTTAGGACCCATGGACAGTCCGCAGGCTTATATGTCTCCAGGTTCAAGTATTTTGGCGAATTAACAATACTTTCTAGTGCGAACATTCTTTAGCACTACACAAATTACTCAAATTCACAAGGACTATCTTTCTTCTGCTTAACATCATAAACTGGGTAGCAAACGTTGTTTGAATATTACAAAATCTTTGCACAAAGATTAAGGTGGCGAGAGAAGAAGAAAAGAAATGACCAGAGGAAAGAAAGGTACGAGTGAATTTCTAGCCAATTAGGAGAAAAAAAAAAGAGACAATTCTATGATGATAGAGCCTCCCCCGTGCGCTAAACTTTGTCATTGCGTATAGCTACAGAATTACACGATTGTAACATTTTCGAAGGGAGCCTCTGTTAAGAGAGCGTGATAGTTAGCGCCTCTCTAAGGACTACTAGAGCGATCCTGAAAATATTGTGCATTTCTACAAACCAAACAGCCTTAGGCATGGCCCGTAGGAGATGGCTAGAAGTGACAGAATTTAGCACATGAGGGAGGAGAGAAAGAAGGGAAAGCAAAAAAAAAAAAAAGGTCAAAGGCCTAAATTGAGAAACCGCACTGCATGGGTATCAAGAAAACAAAAAATAGGAACGGCGACGAGGGAAGCAGCTACTGACAAAACAAGACAGAACAGTGAAACGAGAGAGAAGATGCCGCTTTTCATCAATTGATCATACATGCTCACCACTCAATTTTAATAAACCATAACCCCTGATAATGTCAAGACAACACAGCGGAGGAACAAGAACATTCTCTTAACAATACAATAAACACGAATGAATTTTGGTTTCGTTTGTCTCGGAAGCTACACAAAAAAAAACGACAGATTTCAAACCCTTTTCAAAAACCGACTTTTCACATCTCCTCTTTTGCTTACACGACATCGAAGAGGCCCTTGAGGTGCTTGGCGATCAGGTTCCACTCCTCCTTGGTGACCTCGTCACGGTAGAATTCCTTCAATGTGTCGATGGAAGCTCTGCTGATGTGTGAGTACAGGACCATCTTGTCTTCGAGTTGACGACCGTAGGTAGGTTGGTTGGAGCCTTCAATCTTGACGGCAACAGAGGGTTGTCCCTTTTTGCAAAGAGGGATTTGCTTGTGCTCGCGCTCGATGGAGGTGACTCTGCCCATGGGGATGACTTCCTTTGCGCCGGTGACGGGGTTGGTCTTGACGGCAGCGATGGGTGTGTTTACGCGGAGAGCGCCATCAATGACATCGACACCGACGACGATGGGGTTGGTCTTGTTGAAGACTTGGATGGGGTTGAGGATACAGGGGAAGACGGCCAACATCTTGGACTCCTCCTTCTTCTGTGCGGCGATCTCGGCCATGTGCTTGGTGAAGGCATCGAAGAGATGGTAAATGATGTCTGCGGTGAAGATCTTGACGCCAACCTCGTCGGCGTAAGCTTGGGCTTCCTTGTCGACCTTGACGTCGAAACAGAGCATTACGGCGTATTGCTTGTGCTTTTCCAACATGGTGGATGCTGTGATGACATCTCTTCTGTGTACGTTACCGATGGAGATGGATCCGACGGGAATCTTCATCTGCTTCAAGAACTCAAGCAGAGCCTCGAGGGAACCAAGGGTGGATGCTTGGACGGTGACACCACGACCAGATGTGGAAATCTTGCTGAGAAGGTTCTCGAGATCTGACATGACATCGTCCATGAGCTCTTCCTCATCGTCGTCTTCCTTAACCAACAGCAGACGAGAACCAGCGATGGCATTCTCGAGACCGTTGGCAGTAATCTTGACACCCAAAGCTGCCTTGACCTCCTTGTTGTGGACGTAGGCAGACTTGACACGCAATTCCTTCATCTCAGCCGGTGTAAGCAGGGCTCTGATGTTGGTTGCGATAGGTCCTTCTGTACCGCACAATACAATACGATCACCCTCCTTCAGACGACCGTTGGTGATGACAACGTCGATGGTGGTACCGAGACCCTCGATGACCTTGACTTCCAGAACAGTACACTCAACCTCGGTGATGTACATGAGCTGACCAGCCATTCTCTCCTGGGTAAGCTGAGTGATGAGCTTAAGCATATCAGGGATACCCTCTCCGGTGTGAGCGGAAGTGGGAACAAGGGAGACATTGCGGGCCATCGACTTGTTCTCGTAGAAGACCTCGGAGTTGAAACCTTGCTCAGCGAATGCGATCTTGGTCTTCTCAAGTCTGTCGGCAAACTCATTTTGAACACCCTTGTTCTGCATGGCAAGGGACTCGCGGAAACCGTTGTTAGCGATTTGCTTCCAGCCGTACAAACGATCAATCTTGTTGAGTGCGACAATGAAAGGAGTCTTGCGATCTCTCAACAATCTCATGGACTCGAGAGTTTGAGGCTCGAGACCGTGCATAATATCAACGACCAGGATGGCAATGTTACAGAGCGAAGAACCACGAGAGCGGAGGTTGGTGAAAGACTCGTGACCAGGGGTATCGATGACCAAGAGACCGGGAATCTTGAACTTGAAGGCGCCATCAGTGTTCACAACAGCGGTCTTCTTCTCCAGGGCTTCGACAGGGAAGTAGGTGGCACCAATTTGCTGGGTAATACCACCAGCTTCACCCTCCTGAACGTTGGTTTGACGAATCTTGTCCAAAAGCTTGGTCTTTCCGGTATCGACGTGACCAAGAATACAGCAAATAGGCGAACGCAGGTTGTCCTTGGAAGCGGCAGCTCTGGCGTCTGCAATGGTCTTTTGACGTCTCTCAGCGGCCTCCTTCTTACGCTGCGCAATGGCGCGAGCGTTTGCACTCTCCTCTGCGTCGGAAGATGAGTCCGAGTCGGAATCGGAATCAGAGTCGGAACCGGAATCGGAATCAGAGTCAGACTCTTCCTTGATGTCAGCCTTCTTGCCAGCGGCACCTTTCTGAACAGGCTTGCCGTTGACGACAGGCTTGACGATCTCGGTATCCTCATCGCCAGATTCGGCGTCCCAGCTGTCCTTGACGCCCTCGTTCTCCATCTTCTCAGCCTCGGCCTCCCAATCGTCAAGCTCATCATCGTCCTCGGCCTTCTTCTCAAGAGCATCGGCCTTGGCCTTCTCAGCGGCCTCCTCAGCGGCCTTCTTCTGCTCCTCGGCGATACGCAACTCCTCGAGCTTCTTCTGAGCCTCCTCCTCAGCCTTTGCAGCCTCGGCAGCAGCACGCTCTTCAGCAGCCTTGCGAGGGTTCTTCTTTCTGCGGTCTTTCTCCTTCTGTGCCTTCTTAGCGTCATCGCCTTCGCCAGAAATACCAGCGACAATGGCACCACCCTCAAGCATTTGCTGGAGACGGGCTTGTTGACGAGCCTCGGCCTCCTTTTGGGCCTTTGTCTTGTACTTGCCCTCCTTCTTGAGCTGCTCGATCTTCTCCTTTTCCTTTTGCTTCTTGAGGGCCTTGGCTTCTTCTCTAGCCTTTGCTTCCTCGGCAGCGTTCTTCTCATCTTCCTCGGCTCTGGCACGCTCCTCAGCCTCGAGGCGAGCGGCTTCCTCCTCTCTTGCCTTCAGCTCGGCTTGTTGTCTCTGGAGGGCGGCGAGAGCAGGGTTGAGCTTCTTCTTCTTACCACCAGCTGCAGGTTCGGGTGCTGCAGCGACGGGCTCAGCGACGGTCGGCGAAGGGGTGTCTCTGATGGGCTGGGGCTTGGGTGCAGCGGGTACGGCACCGCCTGCCTTCTTCTTGGCTGCGGCCTGTTTGGTGAAAGAGTGATTAGCTCCTATTCTTCCTAGCATGGTGTAATGCAGCTCACCTGTTCCTTCTTTCTCTGCTTCTCACGCTCCTTCTTCAGCTTTTCCTTCTCCTTCTTGGTCAAGACACGGCCACTGGCATCCATTTCGTCGTCGTCGTCGCCGTTCTGCTCGGGCTGGGCTTGCTGCTGCTGCTTGCCACCTTTGCCACCTTTTCCTTTCTTAGCGGGCTCGGGGTAAAGGTCCTCGTCGTCCATGGTGCCTTCTTCGGGTGCCTTGGCGGCGAGGTCGACGGGAGGGGTGGAGGTTCCATCTGCGTCGGCGGTGGGATCCTCACCAAGCTCGGCTTCCCAGCCGTTGTCCTGCTGCTTGCCCTTCTTGCCCTTCTTGTCCTTTCTGCGCTTGAGGGCAGCCATCAAACCGCCAGCGGCGCCGGATGATTCTTCCTCTTGAGCATCCTGGGCAGCGTCCTGAGCCTTTGCCTCCTCCTCGGCCTGGGCTATGGGGTCGACAGTCTCGCCGAGCTCGGCCTCCCAGTCGTCCTGCTGGGCCTTCTTGTTTCCCTTCTTCTTGGGCGCCATTTTGTCGGTTCGATGCGGGGACTCGAAAAGTGGTGTGGCGGGGTTTTGAGAAATGGGCGGTCGCACGGTCAGTAAAGTCGTGTAACCTCAAGTAGCATCTGACAGCGGATGGTCAGGTATGTTGGCGCACGTCGACAACAGGTGTGAGGGTGTGATGCGAAAGCGAGGCAAAGTCTAAATCCGAGCGGCGGCGTGTGAAGTGGCATGCGGAGTTCGACTGACGCAGCTTTCTTTTTTTTTCTTTTGCGCACAATCAATCAATCAATCAATCCAGCCCACCAAATCCACAAAGACAAAGCCATCACATGGACATTCTGGTGTCGAGTATATTAACTTAGATCTCATTGTCTCATCATCTAGACATCTGGGGATACACTATTCTACGTGCTTTTATAATATATAAACTGCTCATCGTCCGAATCCGAACCAACCCTTTTTCTTCTCTTCCTTTGGCTTCTCATCTGCTATCACATTGCTCACAGCAGCCTTTGCTTCTACCGCTTGCTTGCCACTTGTCGGATAGTCGATGTAATTCCATGCAACGTCGAAGAACAATGGCTTGACCGGGATAGGCTCTAGCTTGGGAGGATATGAGACCAGGTTTTTGAGATCGACATTAACACCGGGTGTGGGGAAGTCGCTAAGCCGTTGAACAAGAGGAGCTGCAGTAGACATATGCTTTGCTGCGGCGATGGATGCATTGTCGTGGAATTTGTGCACATCTACCAGAGCTTGGTGTCTGTAGACAAGCTGCTGAAGTTGCGTTTGGAGAGTGTCGGCCTGAGATTTGTGGATATCGAGCGTGGGTGCAGAGCTCGAGTCGGATGAGGTCGAGGGTATTGAGCTCGAGCATTGCTTTGCGAGTTCCAATGCGCGGGCCAGAAGAGCAAGAGCATTCACATGCTCGGACAAGAGGGCATGCGAGATTGCGATGTTGAGACATCTAAGCGCTTGGAAGTATGCACGTTTGCCATCAACCTCGCGCACGAAAGACTCGTCTCTCATGGCACCTCTGAGCTCCTTGATCGAGTCGATGCTCTGGATGGTTGAATCGTAAAGTACAACCCTCTCGCGAAGACGAGCAAGTTGACTGCCTCTGGGTTCCGATTTGTGCTGATCACGAGCACGTTTGCCTGACTTGGGCTTCTTCTCTTCAAACAGCCTACCGTCTTCAGATCCGATGAGAACACGATTTCTGCCTACGCGCCAGCTGACAAGGGCGTAGTTGACAGAAAGACTGGTAACACGCAGATCTTGCATTCTGTTGTCGCCCTCGTCCACCTTCTCCTTTTCCAACTCCTCGATGGCCCTTCGTGTGGCATCTGCGGCATCTTGACTAGCGATCAGTACCTCGTCATATGCGCTGGCACGATCTCTAGCGGGGGCAGAGGGGTTGGACTTGAGGTATGAGTTCAACTGAGGCTCAGCAGATGCGACAGCTGCAAGAGCCTGCCCGATCGATGCGTCTACAATGTTGGCATTCATGGATCGCCAAGCGACCGTGTTAGGGATGTTGGTTGTGCCGAGGTTCTGGGGAGCTAATAGATGGTGTCAGCATTCGGGTGTGCAGCTAGCAGCTGGTTTAGTACGCACTGGTCTCGGTGGTAATCTCGCTCAGAGCATTAGGGTCGAGTTGTTGCAGTAGATTAACCAGGGTAGAGTTGTCTTTGGAGAAGTAGCGCAGTGCGACCGTAGAGACGGGAATAGAGCGAGGAAGGCGAGCTTGGTAGGCGGCATAGCGAATAGCGGGATCAACGGCGCTGGCCAGGATCTCGCGAAAGAGGTCCTTGTTTCCTTGGGCGAAGAGAGTAGCGTAAATGATGCGAGCAGTAGAGTACTCGCGCAAGCATACGTCCCATCTTGAAGGGTTCTCGGTGTTTACGCGACCCTCGGCCTGTTTCTCAAAGTGCTCGGCGCCAGAGAGGGAGGCTCGGTAGGCTTCAGCTTCAAGCAAATCCTGGTGGGTGGTTTTGGAGGTGGATGGGTCCTTGAGGATATCGGTAAGATTCTGAGCGATGCGAGCGGCCTTGTGGAAGCGTGAGATGATGTGAGAGCGAGTGGTTCCAGTAATGCCATTTCCTTGGTTGTCCTCGGAGTGGATCGACTTGATGTGCATAGCATGGGCCCATGCGCGTTCGCAGCTGAGAAGCAGGAGATGAGCGGTTCTTTGAAGGGTCAGCTACATGGCACATGGTATGGGAGGTCGAAGAGCAGTACTGAGGGTTCTGAGCGACGTCTTCGGCAGTGACAGTCGACTTGTTGGAGTACTTCTGGCCCTTGTTGGTGGAGCGGCCTAGACGCTTGCGCAGGGCCAGCAATTGTCGCGAGAGCTGCTTGCGGTATGCATTGTAGTCGGCGATCAGCAGGGCGGCATCGCGATTGCCCACGGCGAAGGCGGTGATGTCCATGGTGGAAACTCTTGCGAGAGCGGTGTATTCTGTATTGAGTATTCTGCACAAGGGTGTCGAAGTGTCCAATTGGCGGCGGGGCAGCTGCTCTAGCCTCTCCCGAACAGCGCCAAGCCGATCTCCAGGTGATGTCTACGATTCTACGAATTGCTAGAGAAAGATTGCTAGAGCAAGAGCAGACTCGCCTTCATTCGCCGCCTCTGCTTCTGCTCCTTCCCTCCTCTCGCCCTCGCACTTTCCCCAGTCGTCTACTTCTTGAGTCGCCGTCCTACCGTCTCATTGGCCTTTCCTGATCAACTTTGTCGCCATCACGCCACACCATCTTCTCGCTTTCGTCTCGGGACCTGGCATGAACCATATTTCCCTCCGCTGCATGTGGTAGCGCCGTCGCTTGTGGCACCTATACAAGAGTCGTGGCATGCTAGAGCGCACGTCGGCATGTCTCGACACTGGAGTTCGCCTCTCATTGCGCCAGAAGAGTCTGTTCCCCAAGAGTCGGCGACTGCTGCATTCGTCCTTTTGGTCAACAACCGCTCCTGATGTCGATCACCTCTGCCTCCCGATAGCCTCTCCCTCCCCGTCTCCCTCGACTTTCTCCTCCTCCGCCGTCCCCGCCTCCTCCTACTCCGCCGATACCCACGATGCTCCCTTCCTCGACTTTCTCTACCCTGTCCCGACACAGGCCTTTATGACCCGTCTGTCTCAATGGGAAAGATGGTCCCGCAAGAACAACCGCCCCTCTGTCTTGAGGGGCTACTCGTCTTTGACCACTCCAAAAGATTCATCCTTCTCCTCCTCTTCTCGTCCTCACCAAGAGCTTCGCAATCTGCTCGAATCCTCCGACTCCGAAGAGTCCCTTGCATCTTTCCTCGACGTTGAACGTGTTTGGAATCTTTGTTCCCAAATCGCTCAATCGGAATCCGACCTGCTTCCACAGGCCATCATCTGGTTCTCCAAAAAAGATGACAAGGCCGCACACACCCACGCTGTCCATCTGTTCGCTGATCTGCCTGACAAGTTGAAATCCACTGCCACCTACAATGCTGCCATCTCCTCGAACCTATACCTCAATCGAGAGACGGATGCCATTGCCCTTCACCAAGCAGCCTCTTTACTTCCACTTGATGGCCCCATCGCTTCCAGCCTCATCATGGCTCGCGCCGTCTCTCAGATGGATTGGCCTTTGGCCATCTCTGTGTTACAAGAGTGGGAAACATACACTTCTACGTCAACTTCTCGAGCAGACAAGCCTAGGCTCTGGGATCATGCCACTCGCGATCTGGGTGATCTTCGCAGAAAGCTGGACACTCTTCGTAAACTGTGCCATGTGAAAATTGATCACCGTAGCTCGGATTCTGGCTTAGATGAACCCTCCAAACAGTTGCGTCGTCTTTACGGCATTATGTTGCAAGAGTTCGTCGCGCCTCAGTCGAGAAAGCCTGGTTACGTCAGGCCAGGATTTGTAGGCGATGAATTCCGTGGTCATGTCAAGCGCCAGATTGAGCTGGCATCTCGAAGCGACTTAATTTCCACCAAAGACTACGATTCGTTACTCACCATTCTGCTCACCTTACCCAGAGGCGCTACAAACTACAACTGCAGTGCTGTTGTTGCATTTGTGTATGATCTGTACCGCCGATCGAAACATTTCTCGCCATCAAGAGCGGTACTTATGCTGCTTACTAAACACTGGAGGGACCACAATCTTGCTTTCGCCGGGAAAGGTTCCAGTCGAACATTCATCGGTAAAGACCTGTTATTGCAGGATTGGACTGCTTGTCATGGGAAGCCAGATGATCTAGCCATTGTCGTCATCATGGACACCTTTGCTAGGCGCGGCCTGCATGGTGCTGTCAAAGAACATGCAGATCTATACAAGTCTCTACACCCCGAAGGCTTGACTACTTCCAATTATCTCTGGCCCCTTATATACGTTCATGCGATAAACATGAGACCAACGCAAGCTGCCGAACAACTCGACCGGTTTGAAGAAGAATATGGTGTCTCACCCGGACTTCGTCTTTGGAACATTGCTTTACATGCTTATGAACAGGCCGATGACCTAGTTGGAGCCGACAGTTTATTTCGCAAGATGCTGGAAGCGGATATTCAGCCCGATCGATACACTTACGGCTCATTGTTGAACCTGTATGCCAAGCGTGGAGACATCGATGGAGTGATCGACCTGTTGGATTTCGCAAAGTCGAATGGCGTGCCAAAACCGACTACCCACATGTTGAATAGCATGATTGTCTCCCTGACCAACAACCACGACAACGACAGTGCCCTGCGAGCGCTGAATCAGACCGTCCGAGCAGTGAAAGATGGCGAAGCAGAGGGCCCCCTGACGCTGTGTTTCAATACCTTGCTTGTCGCAAATGCGCACAAACGCGACCTTCAGGCTACTATGGCAACCTACCGTCGCATGAAAGAGGATGAGGTCCCACTTGACGAGCGGTCTTATGGAGCGCTCATGCAAGCTCTCTGCAGCTTTCGTCAATCGCCATCAGCACACAAAATTCTCAAGTCTGTCATGCCTGCCAGCAACATTCGCCCAATGGCCTTTCATTACAGTATCCTCATGGCTGGCTACATTAATCAAGAGATGTTCTCCGAGGCTATCGGGGTTGAGGCAGAGATGATAGAAGCGAGAGTGCGGCCGACGCCGAGCAGTCGTGCCATCGCGTTGAAAGCACGAGCTTTATATGAGCAGCACAAGAAACGAGGAGAAGTAGATGACTCTGGCAAGCAATTGCCTCTGGAACTTGCCATCGAGGACTACAAGAAGTTGCTTGGAGACAATCGCACCTACCGTCACGGAAAACAGCCCTCGCCTGGTTTCCGACATGAGTCGAGTGGAATCGATGTTCTGGACGCTGGCTATCTTATGTACATCCATGGCCAGCAAAGATCTTACGAAGCCGTGCAGCACTTGTTCCAGCTGTATCAGGACAAGCTCGCGCAACCTTCAGTTGATGCCAGCAGAGCTCCGATCATGCGTCTCCTCACGACCCTCATGTCTGCACACTGTCAGGCTGGCGAATTTGCCGAAGTCGACAAATACTGGGATCTTGTAAAGTCTCGAGTTGATGAAATACGTGTTTCGCATATTCCGGCAAGCGAGCTGGTGGCATCTGAGCGACCTGGTCCTAGTGGGAAGACGACACGAGATCCAGAGACTGCCCAGATACCCAAATCCTACCGCTTTATGCTATCGCGACCACTCGGGTACTATATCGAGTCTCAATTTGCGCAATCGTCACCAAGCAAGCTCCAAACCTTGATCATGAAGCTGCTATCACAGGGGTATGAGTTCGACAACAAGACCTGGAACAAATACATTGTGCATCTGTGTCAGACTAGTCCTCCACGCGCATTGCTCGCCTATAGCTTGGTTGAGAAGTTCATGATGAAAGACTGGCCAGGTTGGCTCCCACAACGGCACGGTCTGATAAGTGCCAGGGAGAATGTCTTCCTCAAGAAACAGGCCCGCAAAGAAGGACTCGAGTACATCAAGACGCGGTATCTCTCCCCGGGCCAACTCATTCCGCACTATCGCACTATGGTGTATCTGGCTAGCGCACTGCTGGAAGTTCGAGGCCTGGCAAGTAGCGGTTTGAGTGAGGATCAAGAACCGGGCGTCAGCATGCGCGACATGCGGAAGCAGGTGGGCACTATCCCAGACATTCGGGAAGAGGCGCCTTTGACATTACATGCTGTTCAGAGTATGCCAAGGATCGTGGACAAACTTCAAGCAAACCTGCTCGGAGCACAATAAGAAGCTCGATGTGGACAAGTATTGGGATGATATACGAATGATAGAGTTGGGATTGGAGTTTTCCTTTTTTTGTTCTTGATAGACGATAGCCAGCGCCTTGATGCTGCGCCCTGTGATATTATGTGTAAATATAGCTGTACATATAGGCATGTATGCGTGCGAGCGCCGTATGGGCGAGAATCGAACTGTACGTTTAGGAAGACCAACGTTTGTCTCGGTTCCACAATCCTTTTTGCACGTCAATGTGCATAAATGGTCTATTGTATCTCGGTCATGTCCGATGTCATCGCAAGGACGCCACAACGATCTGGAGAACCCAAGACGATTCACCGAGTGTTTGGTTCAACCACCAAGCTCACCGCCGATCACTGCTGCATACTGCACGACACATTCTGAGGCTCAAATTTCGACATATTTTTTCCTCTATCATTGGACCTGCAAGATATCTGTGTTATATTTTCCGGATACTCTCAGCACGACGCATCGTAGAAGCTCAGAAAAATGTCACTCTCCAACCGCACTAACCTGTTTTCTACAACCCACGCGGTGCTGGTAAGCTATGGAACCTAAATTCGGAGCTGGCCCTCGTCCTCTTTGTAAGTCTCCGAGCGACGAGAAACCCAGGACCGAACCATCGATTTTCCTCTCACCTCACTCGCTTTCTGATCCCGCACGATTGACCTCTGGCAGGAACGTAGATCGCGAGATTCACATTGGAAAAGAGCACGACGCTGCTGAGACGGATAGCGCGAACACTCCTTGGACCCCGCTAACACTCGGTCGCACCTCTCTACACACACGCGCGGAGGCGTGGGAATATGTTCATCTTCGCCAGAATCATTTAGCGAGACTCGGAATACTGCAATCTTGACAGCGGAGATCTCGGATCATGGAATCAACACCCGATATTGATGGCGTATTCTATCGTCGACTGAATCCCCAATGGAATCCCATCCTGATCGTGGCATCGATTGCCATTTCATTCTTGGGGGCGTTCACTTCGACACAACTCATGTGCCATGCCAGAATGTCACTCCGATTCCACAGCGTCTTCCTGTGGTGTTTGTTTGGGTCATTCGTGTTTGGAGGATGTTCTGTGTGGTGTCTCCATGAGGTGGCTATGCTGGCTTGCGAGTTCGATGTCAAGATGGGAGTCAACACGCCACTCACTGTGTTAAGTGCCTTTCTTCCAGTCTTCTTCACATTTCTGGCATTGGGATCTGAACTACTTTGGGATCGCTGGCACAATGGTCGAGGAAGGAAAAAGCGCAAGTCCAAGAAATCACGACAGAAAACTACTACCCTCAGTCCTATGGGTAAACACAGGATGACTATGCAGCCTACTTTGCCACTTCATCCGGTAGCGGAGGAGGACGAGGAGGAAGAGCTTCAGAGAGAAGATTACCAGGATGAGGAGATTGCGCCTGACCAACCACTACTACCACGGTCTTACCAATCGCCAGCTCGCCACTCCGACACTGCAAGCTGGGGCGGAAGACGAATGGACTTCAGCAGACCATCACAGGATGGAAGTGTAGCATCTTTTGACCAAAGTCTACTACCGCCGTCTCCAGGAGTTGGCATGTCACCAAAAGTCATGCCCCGAGATAGTGTTCGTCCTGTCGTCGTCAGGAGCGCTTCTGGAAGGAGTCTTCATAGTCTGAGGCTGGTCACGACGCAAAGTCTTCGTGATGACGCATCGACCGGGTTTCGCGACGATGCGTCTACGATCAGCTCTGGATCCGCCGGTCAATCATCTAGTGATGTGTCTGTCCTTCGTCGAGAGTCGTCTGCTGGATCGAGCACAAGTCTCGGTCTCAGCAGTGCTATGGGTCTTGCGTATCGAAGAGCCCCTGCCTCGACTGTAAATGCGTTTGTGGCGACGGCAAAAATTCTATACCATGGCATGACTCCAAGAAACATCATCAAAGGATTCCTATGGTCGATTGCGATAACCAGTATGCATTACTCAGGAATATACGGACTGGTAATCCCTCAAGGGAAGATCATTCTCAACCCTTGGATCGTTCTAGCTTCAGCCCTTATATCCTGGGTAGTGTGCATAGTTGGTTGTATATGCATGGCTGAGATGGAAGCTAGGCTTTCCCAACAACTACTCTTCTCGGTTGTGGCAACTACTGGAGTTGCTGCTATGCATTTCACCGGCATGCGAGCAGCTACTTTCTGGTCTGCAGCTCCTCCATCGGACGTAAGAGGATACCCGCCTGTGATAGCTGCAGCAGTAGTCTTAATCGCTTTCACTACTTGCATCGCTGCCAACGGATTGCTAGCTCATTCTGCGACAGTATCACGCAACAAGCTAGCCGAGATCATCTGGACACGAAGAGAGTTGTGGCGGACAATTGCTCAGAAGGAAAATGCAGAAGCAGCTGCTCTGGCAAGGAGTGAATTTATTGCAGCCGCATCGCATGAGATCAGAACACCACTTCACCATTTGCAAGGATATAGCGATCTTCTGTCACAGACACCATTGACGGAGGAAGGCCGAGCTCATTTGGCTGCTATACAAAGAGCCACCAAAACCTTGTCACTGATCACAAATAACGTGCTGGACTGGTCAAAGCTGGAGAAGGATGCCAAAGCGGTTTGCAAGCCCGTGTCATTGGATATCCGAACAGTCTGTGAGTCGATCATCATCCTGCTTCCGAACAAGGATGATGAAGCAGATGTCGAACTCTGCGTTGTGGTCTCTCCAGATGTTCCGACGTCTGTCTTTCTGGATGAGACATACATCCACCGTATCTTGATGAACTTGCTGTCGAACGCCTGCAAATTCACTCGATCAGGATACATCATCCTCTCTATCGAGGTCAATGGAGACCAACTAGTGGCTAGTGTCAAGGATACAGGCATTGGTCTCGACCCGACCTTCATCCCTGAAATGTTCGAGCCTTACAAACAAGGCGAGCAGAAAGGAAATCAACGAGGCACAGGTTTAGGCCTCAGCATCATAAAACAACTCATCCAAGCCATGAGTGGCACCATAACCGTCGACTCCAAATTCGCCTACTCGCAAGACGTGGGGCCAGACCAAAGCGGTAGCACATTTACAGTAACAGTACCACTTCAACCATCTTCTCTACCACCACAGTCTTCGGAAGGTCCAGCAGACAGACACGTAGCCATTCTGTCCGAGACGGACAACAGAGCACTCCAAGGCATCAAAGCCTCGTGGGAGAAGTTCAATCACGAAGTCACCATCGCGACAAATATTTCCGAACTCCCTGAGCGCGAGTGGAAGTACGTTTGGGCGGATATGCCTTACCTGCTAGCCAACAAGGACCAATTCCGCCGGCTCTTAAAGCAGCAGAATTGGTTAGTGCTAGTCCCCTACGATACACAGCGCTCCCTCGACAATCTCCCCGGCATCGTATCAGCGCCCAACTTCGTCCTGCTCCCCAAGCCATTGATCTGGCACTCCTTCGCCACAAGAGTAGACGCAGCAAACCGCCGCAGCCGTAGCGCCGCCGTATCACGCACCCTCCGCTTCGCCCCAGTAGTAGAAGTAATGACCGACATCGCACCCGCGGAACTCCAACAAATCACCGAGCAACAAGATCGTCAAGACCAGCAAAATCAAGTCTCTTCCTCCCCCGAACACACAGGCGTATCATCCCCACCGCTGGCAAAACCACAACCGCAAACTGTGTTGTTGGTGGAAGATAACCCCATCAATGCGAAATTGTTCCAGAAAATGCTGGTGAGCTTGAAACACACTGTCATTCTCGCTCCCGATGGTGTTGCTGCTGTGGAGAAAACACTTTTGCATGATGCGGAGATTGATATTATATTCATGGTGAGATTGCATTCCACTTGTCTCATATCTCTTCAACTTTTTCATTCTAACATGCGTTATAGGATCAATCCATGCCCCGTAAAGATGGCATAACAGCCACCACTGAAATCCGCGCCCTCGAAGCCTCCAACAAGCTCAAACGTAAACACATCATTGTTGCATTAACAGCGGTCGTGAATACAGAGTCCAGAGCTAGATTCAAAGAAGCCGGCGCCGATGATTTCTTGGCCAAGCCTTTGAGTCTAGGAGGACTAAGGGATGCTCTTGCTGTACATTGTGGATGTTAAGAATAGGAAATATCAAGGATATAAGGGAGAAAGGGGGATGTTTGTATGAAGGAATTAGGGCGAGGAGAGCATTTGCATGAGGGTAGGTGAAAGGAGGATGGGAGGAATTGTATCAATCATGTATGAATATCTGTTTGTGTGTTTCTGCTCGACACTGGACAGATATATATCTGTATATACGTGCTTCGAGCACTGTAATCATGGGTGTTGTTCAGACGACTGACTTTTGGATTGATGTATTCTCGTTTGTCAATATTACTGTAGCTAGTCTCACCATCTCGGCACATTTTGTCTTCCACAGCGTCAACCATGGCTTCTTCCTAACCACTGCTCTTCTGAGTCTTCAAAGCCATACAAAAGTGATTGATATCTGATCTCTCTAACTCGAAAACTTCGCAAACATCAAGATCATTCTCATCCCAGATGCAAAGCCAGGGTGACACTCTCACCCAATAATAGTTTGGTCAGAATCAACCATCACACTTATTATGATCACAAGACAGGTTCACAAGCATGTCTCCGCTATCCTATGGAATCAAAATGAGCTTGTCGCAAGACTTGATTGGCTTTGAGACCCAAATTCATGTCTAATAAGACGATCATCACCATCTTTCTTCCACAGCATCATCACCATCACCATTCCCTGACACTACTCAAAACCTCACGCGCTACAGGCCACAATGCTGTCGATACCTAAATCGCATCCGATGAAGATCAGCACTCTAAAAACCTACATAATTCTCCAAACATCCCATCCCAGAACATCAATATTCATATCTCATATCTCCCATTTGGGAGTAGGGAAGTGCAAGTAAAACAGCATCTCCCAGCCACAAGAATCAAGAGCGCAAAGATGCTTGTTTCAAAAACAGAGTGAATTCGAAAAGAAGGAGAAGGACCAGTGAGAATTGAACAAGATGCGCCACTGTTTGCGGATCAAGCTCCCGCTCTGAAAGATACGGTGTCATGCTGCAGCTCTATTCCAGACGGGGTTTGTTGATGGAAGAGCAATGTGAAAGTATGCATAGGAGAAATGAATGGTTTGATTGGTTACGAAATGACTGAAGACTATCTGAAAAGAATGTGTCAAATCCGCGAACGTCTGTGGTTGAAGATTCCTCGATCACGCCCTTGTGAACACATCAATCAATTCCTGAAGACCGGCCTTGAGTTCTTCACTTGATGTCCATTCGTAAAAGGTCTGAGGAAACTGTTTGGCCGTCGGGCGCCATTGACTAGTGGGATCATCCGTCCAGTCGATATAGCATATCTGGACTGGACATCGTCAAAGAGCAGCCATACAAGCTTCCAGTTATCCTGCTGCAGGTACTTCAGGAACTCAACCAGCTGCGAATAGTCATCCATATCCGCAACAATGAGCTTGACATTCCGAAATGCCAGTAAACGTGCCCGGAAGTTGGAGAGCTCACGCGGAGCAAATCATCGTGCAGATTTGACAATCCTCTATCAGCACATCTGCCACCCTTGTATATGGGAACCGGCCATGTAGGTCGACGCACCATCCCAAGAAGTTCGTCGTAGGAAACCAAAGCTTTGTGAAAGGGGCCTTCGTCACCATGCGTATGCGGAGATACAGATAGCTCGAGGACTCATCCGTACGTGCGACAGAGATCTCGCTGCAAGTTTGTTCAGAACACTTTCGCACACGAAAAGTGATCGGTATGCGTTGGTAGATATCAAACATCGTTTCCAAAGAGGACAATTGAGTCTCCCGGCTGGTACGGTCTGCCCACTTTTGAAAAATGCCGACAGCGTTTTTTTTTTGTAGAATCACCTGGCGGGTCGGGTCGATTGTGCAAAGGGAAACGACATGGACGGGAAGGCGTAGATGAGCAGGTGTACGTTTGGGAATGGAGATTTGGTCGAGTGCCCCCAACTGGGCATTTTCACATCACGACCCGGAGTCTCGGTCACTAGTTCGCATCACTCAATTCAGCGTGGAAGGGTGCAGTGTGAACAATGACAGCTTCGCTGAGCTCCTCAAGGCAGATCCTTTGCTCGACTTCCTCAATGTACACAAAAGTCGCACTGTCAGAGAAAAGAGCTTACGGAAAGCAAGAAGGCCCGGAAACATTTGAAATTGCGGGAGCTTGTCGACTTCTTTAAGCCGACGTATCTGCTTCCGAAGCAAAGAGCATAGCCAGAGCAAGCACCCAGGTCACTGTGAGCGGTGCTGTGGTATGTTATCTCCGTATCGGACTACAGCATTGAGGTGTGCGAATTGAAGTTACGCAGAGAGGTCCCCAGGCAAAGATGTACTTGTGAGAGCGCCTCCCCTTTTTGATCTCGCATCCGTGTCTGCAGTCATGAGCACCTAACACGTAACACAACAAAGGTTAGTAAAGTGAACAACACATTTCGACCCAATATCTTCCACTTAAGGAGTCCGACCTTCGAACGCTCCTCTACAAATCCTCATCACTTGCCATACTTCACCTAAAATATATGTCACGACAAAGAAACTCATGAGAGAAAGAAGCCTTACGGAACAGCACAAAGGCGCGAAAACACATAAAATCGCAAGATGGCTTGTCGATCTCTTCCGGCTGCATTCAACATTCTTCAGCTCTCACTGTGCCTAGGCACTGAGGGTGGTTGCATCTCTATAGTGGACTTGTGTGTTGAGATTTGGACATTGGAGTTATGCAGAAGGGGGGTGTTGAGCGAGTTGCATGGGTTTCGTTTCGGAGCACTGAAGTACTTTTTTTTTGGCTCTGGTGTGTTTGCGGGTATGAGCATGTGTTGCGAGGGACCCAACAAGAGTTCATAGACGGTGATTGCAGAGCAGTCTATCTCCTGAAGTTGAACGTTGATGTACGTGACTTGAAGTGATGCAGGATTAGATGGGATGACGAATTTGATCGTTGATATATGGTAGTTGAAGTGATGCAGAAATCTTTTCAAGGGACTGAGCGTGATCTTGGAAAGCGGCCATTTTATATGTTCTTTTACTGACCTGAAATGACATCTTCACCGCACTACACGATGTCATAGCATAATGACCAGATGTGCGGTGATCTTTTTTCGTAGGCCCTTCAATCGGGTTGAATAAGGGTTCATCACAATATACGGAGCTGAATTCGAAGAATGACCGCTTCTGCAGGACTGGGTTTAAAGTATTCGGCGCCACCTGATATCGCAACATCATCGATAACGACGACTACGTCCCCAACATTGTCATCCGCTCATACTGCTGGTGCGGCCCGGCCGACTGCTTAATTCAGTGGTACCGCAGTGCCAGGCTGTCGGCTTCAAAGAACCAGGCAAGGCGTTTCTTTACCTGCGACAGACAGCAGTGCATGGATTGAGACCGTTAGGTGAGTCTTCTTCAGCAAGGCTCGACTTCGAAGCCCGACACAAAGTCGACAACCGATAGTTCGAGTTCAAGTTCAAACGACTCCAGCTCGAGCAGCGACAGAGGAGAAGTTTGCAGCCTCTGGGTTGTGAACAAGGACAGCGAGACAGATCTGGCTGGATGTCGAGTGGTCGGGTCACTGTACTCGGTCAATATAGTGGCTCATCTCCGTATCAGACTTGAGCATCGAGCATGACATTGAAGCAATGCAGAATGGTGAGCATGACCCCGTAGAGCGTCTGCCTGGAGGCAAAGAAAGGGGTTGATGGACATCGAGGCTGTACGAAGGCTCCGACAGTACGCGTCTTCCAGGCAGCTGACGAATGTTGAAGGGATGCACATGGCACAGATCAATTGATTCGTGTTGTTGTAGTCATCGCCACTGGTTGGATTGAGCAACAAGGCGAAGCAGTGGAAACGGGCATGTTGTTCAACACAGACCATGAGAAATATACAGAGCCATAGTTAAGAAATGACAACTACAACAGAGGTGGAAAGAGGTCAGTAAGTCGGCATGAACAAATTCACTCACGGAGAGAACAGCGCCCGGACGATTCGGATAGGTGTACTCGTACAGGTACGATAGCAAGTGGTGTAACTTCACCTTCCTTCTTTGACAAGTAACATGTGCCTCTGTTGTGGGGAATAGGCGATTGGGGCTGAGCCGACTACCTCTACTGGAGCATGTCTGGGCAGCGGAAAGGTCACGATAGGGCGAGCAGAGGGGGCTGTGTAGAGCTGAAGTAGTTGAGCAGTTTCTCTTCCAAGCAAAAGCCCAGAGAATGGTCTGTGAGAAGCAAAAGCCGCGCTCGTGTGAATGATGTCGACGGGCAGGGATACCGTGGGGGGCGAACAGCGAGGCTTAGAGGGTTCAAAGGTCCATGCAGCAAGCAGTGCAAAAGAAGTCCATACAGCGGGTTAAGCGATTGTGCAAATGCTGGCCGAGTTCATTCCAGGCGTGCAGTCTTGACTCGGCGGATTTGGAAGGAGAGAGACCGGATAGGAACGAATTGCTGCGGCCGGTGTAAAAGATAAGACAGGCGCAACGGGAAGACAGGCGTGCACAGGCAAGACAGGCTCGAAGCTTCGGCGGCTGAGCGGTATATGCCCGACCACGTCCGTGCACAGTGATGGTGGTGAGGAGGCAGTGCAAAGGTCGCCAATGACCTTGATAAATACCTAGAGGCAGGCGCCTATCGCTGGCTATTAAGCACACAGACTCACCTATCAGTACCTACCGGCTACAGCACAAGTCCCTACAAGACAAAGGCTTTTGGAAGAAAGACGAATTGCTCGGTCATCCAATCTCAACCCCACACTTTCCACCGTCTATCTCCAAGAAAGTCCCGCCGCCGCCTCAGACACAATGGCCGCCATCACATCTCTACACACACCACCAATGTCTCCTCACAGCTCTACCGCTTCGTCGCCAGCAAAGCGCAGACACTCATCGCTCTCCCTCGACCTGAGCAACCTGCCGCAACTATCCGAACCCACTCCTCCTTCCAACACCTTGATCATCACCAACCTCAACGACGTCGCCATCTTCTCCGCCACAAACCTCGCAAGCATAAAGCAAGCACTCGACAGCCATGCCACAACCTACTCCTTTTCACCGCTGAAATCCTTCCGTCGCATTATCGCATCTTTCTACTCGGTCGAAGCCGCCATCGACATTCGCAGTAAACTCGACGGCGAGAATGTGCTCGGTCAACGCATCCGTGTCTACTTCGGCACAGAGACAAAGATTGCTTCGGCAGAGGACCAACACCTGAAGGCTCCCTCTACCGGAAAGCTGTTCTTCATCTCTCCTCCTCCTTCGCCACCTCACGGCTGGGAGTCCCGCCATGAGGACCCTCCTAACAAGGAGGTTCACGCTGAGGACTTGGCCGATGCTTTGCACAGATTGTCTTCTGTACCTGAGGATGAACAAGTACATGCCCAGCATGTCGAACAGATTGAGGAAAAGACCGCACCTGTCTCCGCAGCCGTCACAAGAAGCAGAGCCGACTCAATAACCATCGTCTACTCTCCTATCGAGCAAGGCCACTCGCCTCACTTGCCCGCTATCTCTGTCGAGGATACTAGCTGCGAGGCATCACCCACGGAAGAGAACTTTGGCGAAGATGCTCAGAAGCCAATCACACACACCGCCCGTCCCCCTGTTGAGCTCATGGAAGAGTAAGCCGCTTCACACATACATTATTATATTCTGTTCAAGGCGTTTCAGTTGGGCTAGGTCAGCGGTTCATTATGGTAAATCGGGGGGCAAGGGTACAAGCATTGGGTCAGGCGTATTCGAAACAGCGACAAATTTGTTCATCTCATCATCAGTATTCAGAAAGCAACAATCAGCAATGAAAAAAATCATAAACTTATCAATCACTCAATCGTGAAATCGTGATATCGTTCAACCGTGAAATCGTGAGATCGTGAAATCGTGAAATCGTGAAATCGTTGAATCATGTGCTTTTAACAATACAACCTCACCATGTGATTTCACCAACATCAGCGCCATCGCACTCACTTACCCTGCCGCACCCCGTTCGTCGAAGTATATATTCGACGCACCCTCGCCTCCTCCATTCCTCTCTTTCAACATCGACGACGGGTTCGAATCTCATTTGTGGGTTCGAAGCTCAAGACTTCAGCGAGTGCTTTGATTAGGTCTCCTGTTCGTTTCTTGATGTGTATCGGGGCGACATCAGGTCAGTGTATGTCTCTATGCATGTCGACTCTCTCGAGCGGATCACGTAGTTTCATTGACGAACATGAGGGAACGCATGATATGCTTTTGTCTCTGCATCCACAGAAGGTGGGGATCAGTTCTATCTTGTGCAGTCTCACCTTGTTTAGGAGTTCAGGAGTTCATCGCAGTGTTTGAGAAAAGATAGTTACGGGGTGGTTCCACTATAAACAAATAAACATGGTGTCTTGAGAAAGAAAAAGAGGCGCTGGGGGGGTGTACGCAAAAAAAGAGGCATGTCCTTCCTTCTCCAATAAAATCACAGCTTATTACACTTTTCTGCTCTCTTCCTTCCGTCTTGAACTCGTGGGTTCTCTGTTGTCCGCATTCTCTTGATGTACTTGTGATCCCTGCTGGCGGGGAAATGTTGAATGTCTGGTCCAAATTGATCGCTTACTGAGTGCGACCGGCGGGGGCAGCAGGTCTGGCGGCAGCACCACCCTGGGGACCCATTCTCTTGCTCCTGTTGTTGCGGTTAGTACAATGTTGTCAGAAGGTTCGGATCAGAAAACATACATGAAAGTTCTGGAGAAGAATGAAATGCCAATCATCAAAGCCCAGCTAGGCATGACAGAGAAACCGTAGACGACCCAACCGAAAGGAATGGCAAGACCGGTCTTGGCAAGAATGCCATCGAAGGGGTGGAAGAAGCCCTCGTAGGGAGTGCGCTCCTTGAAGAAGGCCTTCTCGGTAGCGATGGAAACAAAGTCCTGGGCGGAAACGGTGGTGCGGTTCAAGGGGAGGAAGTAGACGGTAGTGGCAGGGGTGGTTTGGTCGGGAAGAGGCTGGGGAAGCTGAATGTAGATGACACTGGGAGCACCGGCACCCCAAGCGTTGCACAATTGAGGCTCCTTCTCACAGTCCAGACGGGCGAGTTGAGGAGCGCTGGGGACGGCGGAGAGGAGAGGAACAGCCTTGATCCACTCTTCGTCGGCGCGGTTGCACATGCCGAAGCAAGTACGGTTGCCGCCAGTGGTGTAGACCATCCAATCCTCAATACCGGGGCTGGCGGTAGCGGCGCCAGGCTTCATGACCTGGAGGTAGTTCTCCTTGGTCAAGTCGGTGACGGTGAGCTGCTGAACCTTGCCGGCGGCGGCATAGGCGGGGTTGGGGACACCAGATGCAGCTGAAGCAGCTGCTGAGCTGGCAGAGTTGACGTTCGAGGTAGCGGCGCCGATGAAGTTGTTGAGCCAGCCCTTGGCCTGCTCGAGAAGAGGGACTTGCTGCTGGGCAGCTGCCATGGCAGGCAGTGCCAGAACGACGGGAGCGAAACGCATCGTGTATGTGTTTGTGAAGTGGACGGCTAGTTGGAAGGTAGGCAGAAGTCAGGGGCTGAGAGAGAATGTATTATTCCTGCTGCAACACGTCTATGTTAGCGATTTCGAAGCTTGGACGTCTTTTCTACCGATTTTCACTGACCTGCGACACTTGGATGTGGAATTTCTGAGCTCAAGTCTCGATGATTGATAGCCGTTGCGATGGACTCGGGCGCGGAGTCGCGATGATGCCAGAGTGCATGCTCAGTGCTTGGCACATCTTCGCGTCCAACTTCTTACACTATCGAGACTCGACCATTTTCATTTCTATCAAATCAGACAAGGTTTACCTTCTACTAATTGACGAACTCGGGCTCGAACTACTCCATCGATGCCTAACGACCCTCAAACTACAGCATACGACGTTTCACATATTCAGTATTTTGCTTCCAGCTGCCTACATCACGGCTCAAAATCTGGCATCGACACATAAGGCCAGATGTCCGTCGTGTCGAAAGGAAACAGAGCTTCCAAGTCAGTATTATCGTATGACAAGAAGTCCTGCACATTTGGCTGGAAGATGGCCATTTCGGTCGTCATCTCATCCATCCGCAGTGGATCCATGTTTGAGAGTTCTTGCGGTGTGACCCCAAGCAATTGCTCGGACTTCTCAGCTTCGAACCTGGATATGCATTCAAGCACAGCATCTAGATGCTGGCAGAACTCTCTTGCGGCGATGTTACCCAGACGATCGAGCTGCTTCATGAGGTGGTGTGCCGATTGAAATGTCTCCTTGTCGGCCATTGCATTAGATCCAACGCAGAGGTTGGCCACTGCAAGAATAGTTGCGGCAGCATAAAGATACTGAGCCGAGGAGTAATCCAGGGCTGGAAGTGCCGTCCAAGCTTGAGTGAGGAGGCGACAGGTATGTCTTGCTGTATGTACGCAAGTCTCGGCCAGCATGAATGTAGCTTGGGGGATCTCATCTCTTCGATTTGTACGATTCGTGACATGGAAGACTTGCAGTAAGGTTGGTCGAGTCGCAAGGATGACACACTGACAGCAATATTAGCCACGTTGATACTCCAGGTAACGTGGTTTGCATTCACGTTGTCTCGAGATACTGATTCAACATACCTGATTGAAAGAGAGATGCAAAGCAACAATATGCCAGCTCGCAGGTTTATCTGGCTGCATCCTCACATTCTCCGGTAGTGTTGCCGACCAATCTCGAAGACTTTTGAAAATGGCCTGTACTTTCTGAATGAATGGTCGATCGCTCTTCTTCCGGCTGTACAGTGTTGAAATTGTTTCGCCAGCAATACTTGCTAACCTCATACTTGCGCAGAGGTAGTCAGCACTGACCACATCACCCTTCTGTGCATCAGTGAGCCCGACATCAGAAGGTGGACTGACTTCTATGTCATCATCCAGAATGAAAGCAGAATGTCCGATCTTACTTGCGATGAAGCGATCTAGAGCGTAGACTGTCCACCATAGACGTGCTCTCATCTGTCTTGCTGCAAGGTCTGGTAATTGGGATTCTGCAATGTTGTGGTGTAGTCCCAAGGTCATAGCGAGTCGCATTGCAGACCCGATGTACCAATATGCCGAGTGTCGTCTGTTCATCGCTAAACAGTAAATTGTCTGGCTCTGTCAGCAATTGGATTGCACCGCACCTGCCTCGACTTTGACTTACGAAACATATCAGAATCTCTACATGATCGGCAGTAGCACGCTCCGGCAAAACAGGAAGTAGCGCTCTAGCTTTCGCAAAATACGGTAATCCTGGAAAGTGCGAGTCCTGCGACTCGGCTAGTCTAGGAGAGTAGACTTGGGCAAGTGCGAACAAGGCGAAAAGTTTGCATTGCTTCATCTGGCTTAGAGAAGCTCGGTCGGTATATGCTTTTTCGAGTATGGCTCGCACACTTGACAGAGAAGAAATGTGGTAGCATTGTCCGACAGTTGCGATCACAGACTCGACAAGCAGGTATGCTTGAGGTCGACTTGGCCATGATGCATTCTCATCTGCTGCTTGCACGATTTGGCTATCTTGGACGTAGTGTGTCCTGGCGATATGGATTTCTGCCTGCGTATGCAGTAGAAGTTGTCTTAGTCGCGACGAGAAAGCAGTGCATGCTGCCTCTCCGATGAAGATTGGGCTTTCATCAAGTGGAACAAACCAGGCATCGTTTCGTACTAACGGGTTGCCGGAATCCGTGTTACCGGAGGGATCCGGCGTATTGCTTTGGCTCTGTAATTGATGGTCGCTTTGTGGTGTGGAACCTTGTTGCTTTAAACGATCAATCTCCTTGAGTAGGTCATTGATATAGCTTCAAACGTGTTAGCTGTGTTATAGCTTGCTTTTCCTGTCAACAGCACACCTTTCTCTGACTGTCGTCTTCCTATCTTTGACAGGATAATCGCACTTCGAGTTATCAGCCACCTTGCAATTCTTACAAGGCTTTTGACCATCGCATTTGATTTTGTGTGAATGGCATCGCTGACAACTGTGTTCGGACATTTGATCAGTTTAACCGAGGCTCTATTGAAGGCGTCCAACGACATACGCGACACTCTTCCTCGGCTTCTTCGCTACCCTGTGCTCAGAAGACCTCGTAGCTCTTGCTGTTTCCATTGTGATCACTTGCAGTTTTTGATTGTTTTGCCGGAAAGAGAGTTGGAAAGGTTAGGAGAGGAATGGCAAGGTCGCGTGTCGTGTGTGACTCCGCCTCGGTGAAATGCTTCGTTTTGCCGAAGCAATTGGCAACGGGAATGAGGTACTATTCGCCTCCATTCTTTCGACATTACCAAAAATCACAGATGTGTCTCGGATCTGTGTAAGAACATTCTAACTCCCTGTGTAATGATACGGATATCTATGTCTAAATTGCAAGCTGCTGCCCATATATATATATATATATCAGGATCTATGCTCTTCTATGACTAGATGCAACTCCTATTGCTTCTGACGATCCAAAAATACTGCGATACGACACCACATCTCCAATGGGTTCGCATACATCGGCCAGTGTCCGCTGTGAGGTATCTCGGCCAGCTCCACTCCGTTGGCCTCGAGATGACCAAGATATGATAGAGAAGCATTCTGCTCTCCATACATGAACATGCGAGGAAAAGGCAAAGACAAAAACTTCGTCATGATATCCGCGTTGTCAGATAAATCGACCATTGATTCGAATATGCCGCGTACAGCACCGACTCGAACCTTGTGACGCAAGCTTGCAGAATACAATGAACTCGAGAATTCTTTTGAGCTGCGAACCCTCTGTACAAAGGCTTCGAAGAACACTTCCGGGTCGTCTGAGTGATATGTGATGACTTGTCGGCTGAGGAAGCAATCCTCAGGGGCGATATTTCCTTCAATGTCGATGAAGCTCACAACTCTTGACGGATCCTGATGCGCTAGCATCAATGCTGTCAGGCCGCCCATGGAATGGCCGCAAAGGTGGAATCTCTGAATGCCTGCCAGTTGGAGTACGGCCTTTGCTGTTTCCATCAAGAACGGTATCGACATCTTTGAGAGGTCGTTGCAAACAGTTTCTCCGCATCCAGGCGCATCATATGCGAGAAACGGTCTTCCAGAGAAAGACGGATGATGGACAATGTCGATGTAGTCTTCTTTTGTTGATCCAAAGCCATGCAGGAATACAATAGGGGCAAGGTCTGTAGTTGCTTCTCGCCGAGTGGCGGCGATTACGATGTCCACTCCATCAATTGTGAGGTCGTACTTTTCGTGAATGAGCTTGGTATCCATGTCTCTATTGGTCTCGGAAGTCGTAGCCATGATTTTGTGAGGAAGTCCCGATGACCCTTGATTCGAGAAATTTAAGACACAGTAGCAAATGAGAAAATGGAAATTTGGCGCTGGAGGAGCAAGAAGAAGAAGAAGACAGGAAGTGAGAGTTAAAGAAACGCTTTACCTTCAGCACAGTCACCACCTCTTGAACATACCAATTTCTTCTACCACCACGGGTGTCGGTCAAAATTGTCACCTTACCGACATATAACGACGTGCTTCTAGAGTGATGTGGACATGTTGGCTGTCTTTGCTGCAGTCATCCATGTTTTATGTTTTCGGCAAGAAGATCACTTTACCGAAAGCCCAGCCGAAATCAGCCATCGGCTTTGTCAACGTCACCTGTGCTGCTCGTTTGTATCGATATCAGGAGACCAGCCTGTTGATGCTGTTCTGTTTTATTTCAAACATCTTTGATCCACGCGCATGCTGCTTTTTTATATGAAGATATGGGGAATCCCATTTCAGAGGCCTACAACCTGACTGCGATTAGCTTCTCCTGGGCTTATATCTCTCAAACAATTCTCCGTAACACGAAACAGTATCCTAGACGACTCTCCTGGTGTTCAGTGGCTATGTACGCTTCTCCATCGCAGCATGACACAAAAGAAACGGTCCCTTTCAGCGTCCAGCAAGCCCCACATAAAAATTTGTACCTCAACCTCCTTTTTGTTTCTCCATCATCCACCCACCCTTCCTCCATCCTCTTCCTGCCCTCTACGAAGCAAAATGATGGTCAGTACGGAGGTCGAACCCGCGACCTTTTTACTTCTAGGAGGTTCGACATGGAAGAACGGAACCAAAAAGACAAGCCTTGAGTTTCGCTGTCGCTCATCTTAAAGCTTTTCTTTTTTTCGTTCCAGGAGGAAGCCCTGGGGTCGACCAACTACAAAACGACATCAAACCAAAAAAGATATTTAAGAATGGTCAGTACGGGCTGGAACATTGTTAGTTGATAGTCGGAAGTTTGAAAGTTCAAGTGTACTTACGGTCGAACCCGCGACCTTGGCGTGCCGTGTATCGAATGATATTAGCACCACGCTCTAACCAACTGAGCTAACCGACCTGTCAGAGGTAATTGCTTACCACGTGATGTGGCGATTTTCGTCAATCCAATCCATCATGCGCGGGACTGCAGTTAGGCTCGAGCACATGAGTTCATAGTAGAACCCTAAGACACGACCTATAATCGTGAAGAGGAGTTGCTAGAAGGAATTCAGCTGTTGATATTAGATAACCAGTCGCACGGCACTAACTAAATGTACCCTCATTTGGTACAATAGGCAGGTTATACTGCTTTAGATTTGCAGTAGATAAATGCAAAGGCCATTAAGACCGAAGCGGTACTTAGTCTATAAGGATACGTACGTCTTGTAATCTCAAAATACAAGCTAATACAACCTTTTGTATCATTGTAGCTCTGTCTTTCGAAACTTCTTAGTCAAACAGATTGAAATTAAGGTTCACTTGCTAAGTAAGAGTGTTGATTGTGCTTAACAGTTTTGGAAAATGAGTTGGTGGTACGGAGTCACATTCCGGGTCGTAAAGCCTGAAGCCTGAAGCCTCGAGGCTCGGATCTCGCCTATATTTGCCACAGACCCCCACCACCCTCGGACTCGAGGATACTCGACCAGAAAACTTTGAGGGATGAGGTTCTTTGATGTCGGAAAAATCTTGTGGTTGGCAGACTTCGCAAATCTCGACTCTGGCGGACACGAATCATCGTCGGGAGATTTCTGAAAACCCAGGCTTCACCCACTTTCTCTCGTGGTATCTTGCTCTTTCCTTCACGTATGATGAAACTAGTTACACTGATGGAAAGCTGCACCTTTCGGGCGTCCAGGAGACGTCTCGTCCTAAGGTCCTCCAGAATGCAACATTCAGGCCAAAATTTTGGTGATATATAATTTTGTTGCAAACCCTTCAACTTATCGGAGTAGGGATAGTAGTTTAGGGGCATAACATCTTTTTCGCATGTCTTCATGGTCTAGAGAAGGTCCTGGGTTCGATTCCCAGCTATTCCATCTTTTTGCTTGTCTAGGGGTCGTTGCTAGGGTCCAGGAAGCTCTAGGGAACTTTTGGTGGTCACCCGAAAACGTTGAAAATTTCCGGGTGACCCCGATTTTTGCTCGAGTCATCGTTGCTACTCAGCATCGAAGAGTACTAGACACGTACACTGTGCAAATTTCAGGACTATTGGTCCAGTGTTGGTTGAGATATCTCGAGTCCAAGTGGGAGGCTTCAAATCGCTCGCTACAGCTGTATCTGACGACAACAATGTCTCAACAATTCTCGCCATCAGAAATATCTGTTGGGACCATGCAAGAGTTATCTGTGAGCCGAATATCCATGAGCACTTGTCAGCATGCATCTTACTTGGGTGTCAAAGCAGAAGGGGCGGTATAGGCCAGGGCTTTTCGCAGACACTGACCTCAATGTTAAAGTACAATCCAAGAAAAGAAAACAGCTTCTGCCAGACGGTCTGTTTCATTTTCTTTGCAGATGACATTAACACTACCTTCTAAAACAATCGAGAAGCTCAGTGTCGGTCGTAAAAACATGACCATCCAATCACCATCCTCCAGAGCATTGAAGGACGAAGCCCGAACTGTAAACGCTCATGTGAGAGACCAAGAGGCTATGGTCAAAGCTTTATTGCAGTCTCTACTGGTGGAATGAGAATGTTTGTAATGCCTACTCAACCTTCTTCATACCGCATGGTCTAACAAAAGCATTCATGCAGTAGAGACAATACGAATCACACACCACTCCCGGGAGCAAGATGGTCACTAAGATTAGCTGCTTCATTGCATAATTTTTGAGTGACACGTCTATAGCCGTTGAGAGCTTGCAGAAGCTCAGTACATGAGGTGCTCTCAATGGAAAGGGTCTCTGATTGTGAAAGCATTGTGCATTGGGACCATAATGAACATGAGTTGGAATGACAACGGGCAGTGTAACGAAGTTGTATTTTCTGATCTAGTTCAAAAAGGTGCTACGTAATGGAAGGAAAAAAGAGCGTAGCAAGTTAACGCCTCTTGAGCTTGGACTTCTTGGGGGCCGATTTTCCACCTTCAGCATCCTCTGGGGTTTGCTCTGCCTTGCGCTTGCTGGGTTGACGTGGAGCGGTCGGTGCAGACGCAGCCGGTACAGCTGGTGCAGCTGGCGTAGCTGGCGTAGCATGTCCTGAAAAGAAAAAGTCTGCGGGAAAATCAGAGGGCGGCTGGTAAACGGAGTCGGCGTAAGAGGAAGTAGTCGGCTGAGTTGGAGGAGATTGAGCTAAGCTAGAAGCTGGGGGTTGCTTGGGTGAAGCTCTAGCATCATCCTCTGTCTTTCGCTTTGAAGACGTCTGGTATTGCCCCGGATGTGAGAGTGCGGTGTACGGAGCTCGAGTGGTAGTCTTCGATTGAGTCGTGCTGGTGGCAGTGCCTTTGAGTCCAGCCTTGGGTGTGGATTCCTTGCCTTTAGCTTTATTCGTAGTACCATGGTCTGCCGGTTCGGTGGCACCGTCGCTCTTCGGTTGTTTACCGGCTTTGGCGGCCTTGAATGTCTTCCCGGCAACTCCTCTTCCGCTTGCGCCAGGAAGGCATGACTGTCCATAGTCTTGGTCGAAAGGTTCATCCAATGCGGAACCTGGAGCACCAAGCTCCCAGAAGATCGGTCTCGAACCACCACCAAATGTCTTAAGTGTGGTGTGTCGAAGAATAGGAAGGTTCTTACTAAAGAGCGCAACGTTAGCTATCTTCTTGCCTTGCAGCTCGCCCTTCCAGAAATCACGGTAAGGGTGCTTGGCCCATTCCGGTGTGTCAAGCATCTCGAGGAACTGTTTCATGTTCTCAGTAGTCACTATTGCCTTGGATTTTGCATTAAGTCTTCGCTTGTCTTTGACTACTTCCTTGTCCGGCGTGTGATAGTAAAAGGTGCCCCCTTGAGGAAAGTAGATCTTGAGGTATTGGTCGAGTGGGTAGAGAGCGTCATTCTCTTCAGGAGGGCGATTTTGTGGCGGTTTCTCGGAAGTTGCAGAGTGGACGAGAGCAGCAACACCTTGCTTCTTGCCCCAATGTTTGGCTAGTGACTCGTCGAATTGAGTACCAAATGGTGGGACATTGTGACCATGTGCCAATCTGACTGCCGACCATAGGGGATAGAGCTTAGGATTGTGAAGCAGTTGATCCAAGGGGATTGTGGCTTGGCTTTGTTGGTCAAACCTGGTTCGGAATTCATCGCCGGTGCCGGAAACAACGTTGATGCCGTGCTCTGTGAAAAGCAAGGTTCTTGTTTCGAAGTCTGACTTGGAAATTGCAGAGACAACGTCGAGGATCGTGGTCTCAGTGATGCCGTCGGATCTAATCCACCGAATACGAGCCTTTCCATTGCTTTCGACAAACCCAACTTGATGACCATGAAGGTTCTTGGCGCTCACTGCGGCATCCGGAAACTGGACGGTGTATTTGCGATCCTCGTCCTTTCTGCGTGAGATCCAAAGTCCTCCTTGGACTTTCGCAATAGCAGAATCTCTCACCTCTTTTTTGTGTACCCAGGAATCGTTTGTCGCCCAAGTAGGGCGGACCGTGTCCAAGAGCTCAACGAGGTATCTGTCAGGGGGCAGTTGGGCAAGAACTGCCAGATAGAAGTACTGATCTTGGTGGAGTGGAAGAAAAATTGCCTTCCAATCATTCTTAAGGCTGTCTTCATGGCCAATGATTGTGTGCAGCTCTGGGAGGTTGAGTTCCCATATTGAATCGAGTTGTTTGTGCCGCTCGGTTGATTGAGGGTCTCCTTTGGCCACGCCCAAACTCTGAATGATTTGGCGACCAGCATGATCAAGGACTGGACGAACATCTTCAGAAGCGGTCTGGCTGAAGTTGATCCTGATGTAGGCGGCACAGTTATCTCGAGCAGATTTCAAAGCGGCCATGAAGGCACGATGAATGGGGTCGGTTTCTGACAACCTTTCCATACGAGCAATGATTGCTTTACACATGTCCAGACGATTGAGAGGCATGTTCGAGTTTTGCTCTGACAAAACTGCGCCAGCGGTATCGACCAAAAGGAAGACGTAGCGCATGCTCAGGTCGATAAGTCTTCTGATCTCAGGGCTATTGCTGCCGTACTTGTCGCGGCCCGGATCATAGAGTGGAACATTGATGAAGGCACTGTTGGCGTCATGCTTCTTAGCGTTGTCGTAATACTGAATACTTGGCTCGCAGACGACTGAAGTGTATGAGTTCATCTTGATACCATTGAGGCTGTCGAAATTTGCTCTTGTGACATTGTTGGTCACAAGGCCGAATGCGACGGCGATCAATGGACGAACAGTTGCAAGATAGCGCTGGAGGAATCGAGCGGCCGCCTCCAAGTCCTTATGAGCTAACCACTGCCACAGATCATAGAACACCCAAAAGCTGCGGTCCATACGGAACGAGTTAGGCACAACATCTCGCCCATTGGCAACAGTCTCGTCATCAACCAACCGATGGATGACGTCTCGTAGGAACTGACCAGCTTGGCCGATAGATCGCGGATTCAGATATGGTGTTGCGTTAATGTATGCACTTTCGGAGATATCCTTGCCGATAAACACGACGGGAGTCACGTTTTGGAAACAATGAGGCGTGGCTTGTCCCAAACTCATGTCTCGCAAATTGTCTGAAAACTCATACTTCCAAGTTCCGGTGAGGTCCGCGTTCTCGTTTGCATAGGATTGAATGTCATCAAATAGTGCTGTGAGGTTTGCAAGAGTTTCGTCTGGGCAGTTCAATCTGTTGTTCTTGTAACTACCCCATGCGTCGGTCCGAAGGTCCTTGAAGAGTTCGACATCTTCATAGAAGGGAACGTAAGATGTGAAGTAACCACCTCTCTGGCGATTAAGAAGAGATTGATGACCGAGAAGTTCGATCAACATGCGTTCTCTGTCCTCGGGGTCGGACATTGTCATGAGCACGTCGTGTTCGGCCACAGATGCGTTGCGAACAAGGAATATCTGAGCGGCTTGGCCGATGTGCGGAACGACTGTATCAACTGCGCGTGTGAATTCTGCAAGAATGCCTGAGGTACGGACGCCCAAGTCTTCCACATAACGATCGTAGGGCCTTCCGGGCCCTAAGACAGTGCCTGCATAACGAATAGTGAAGACGTCCGTTTTCTGACGGTAAAGTTTGGCCACATCAAGCCAGTTGGACACTTCAGGAAGGCGGGCACCGTCTGCACTCATGTGACTGCACAGCGCTGCTAGCTCACTATAAGTGAACGTCCAGGACCGGATGTAGAAGTGATGAAAGTTGTCTTCTGTAGCAGGAGAAGTCTCAGTAGAGAGTTCGAGGTCAAAGATTCGTCCAAGTTCGGCATTAGTGACGGTGATCGGCGTGGCGCGAAGAGCTTCGAAGATTGTGAGCTGATACTTTGTCGATGATCTGCCGGGGAGAAGGAATTCGAAATTCGATTGAATCATGCGTGATGTGTTGAGATTCAAAGACTTGAGGTTGGCTTTCATCTGATTGAACAACTGTTCGGCGTAGATCACGGGATCCTTGTTGGAGACGGTGCGCCGAGGCCCGTCACTTAGACCACGCTTGATGGTTTTTACAACCAGACTGGTGGTGACCGGGTCGACCGGATCAGATCTAGAAAAGACGGTTAGCTTGCTACAAGGGGAAGTGTCGACGATGTGACGCACCGTTGTCTGGAGACAGAGCTCTTCGAGATCGACAACGATGCCATGTTGCACTGATTGATGGTTGATCTATATGTTGCAAGGCTTGTCGAGTCGATGAACTTTCCGCCCAGTCGCGTTGCGCAATGAATCGGCAGCCAGGCTCTTTCCGAGGGAAGTTGCTTGTTGGACTTTGTCACGCGCACGCTTCAAAGATTCACAATGCTTTTGAGATCAGTGCAGCCCTTCACTGAGAGCTCTAAATTTCACACTCTCAATGGAAGGCTGCACTGATCTCAAAAACATCGTGCATTTCTTCAGCCCGGATGAGCTTATCACGAAGATCTCGGGACGTGGCTAAGAGTGACAAAATTCAGCATAGGGAGGTAGGAAAGAGCATTTCGTTCCTTCCCAACGAAGCAGCAACGATTTTGACACTTACCCACCCATATGTTGCTTCATATCGCACTCAGTCCTTCATCATCCAACATCTCCATGAAGTGCTGGTTTTCCGGTTTGGACCTGCAATCAACCCCCAGCTTCCGACTAGCCTTGATCAACTTGTAACGATACGGAGCATCATCAACTACTAACAGTATGAAAACCTTGTTTCCGAACAAAGCAACAGGGAAGGTACTCGAGTAGTGAAGATAGGACACCCCAGCATTCCGGAAGCTTAACGAGCGACACATGGTTTCTTACATGGCGCATGCCAAGTATGGCTCCCTCCGAGACCAGTGCACTCAATGGCACTGTCCATCAAAATGCACAATACTATTGAGAGCTCAGAGGGTGTCCAGTGAGAGGGCACATAACTTGAGCTCTCGAAGAAATCTCTCAAATTTCTCAATAACAATTTGCATTTGAACGGCTAAATTTTCCAAGAGTGTTTGGTGCCCGGAGTAGCACGCGCCGGATAAGCAAACTCCTTGCGCTTTATATCATCTCCTGGTGATCCGGGCTGGCGGCAACTCCCGTCTGCGACAAGGATCAGTCGCAGACGCTCGATTACACGAACCATTTTGCTTGAGATCAACATTGTGCTGAACAATGCCTCTATCTTCACACCAAAGCAAAATTGTGTTGTCATATTGCAAAGTCTTTACATGTCACCGCAGTATTCATTGGACGAGGTAACTTGAGTGGTGAATAATATGCATTAAAAAGGGTATTATTGTATATACAAAAACATGAAACTCGTAACAAGACAATCAAAACATCAAAACTTTCTAATCCGTGCAAGCAGGTGCGTTCTTAGCAGTCTTTGTAACAGTTGAAAAGACGGTGGAAGTGCTCTTCACAGTCGTCGTCTTGGTGGCAGGAGCAGGAGTGACAGTGACCTTAATTGTGCTTCCCTTGAGCGAGCTGGTCTTGTAGACAGTTGCTGTGGATGCAGGAAGTGTGGTCAGGATAGTAGTCGTCGAGTCTGCAGCGTTTGTGATGGTCACAGTTGATTGAGCAGCAGTAACGACAGTGGTGCTGGAAACGAGCTTGAGGCTGGTCACGGTGGCGGCATCAGCGGAAACTGTCTGTGTGGATTTCACAGTTGCGACGCTGTAGTAAGTGCTTGCAGGCAGAGAAACAGTGCTGTAAACGGTAGTGTACGCAAGATTTGTCACTGTCGAGCCAGCAGCAGTCACAGTAGTCGCCGAAGAAGACAGAATGACCGATGTGGTAGTTGCGGCGGCGGCACTCTCAGTGATGAGATCAGTCGAGGTTGCGTATGAAGTGCTCAAGATCGTAGAAGTAGCAGCCTTAAGAGTGCTGGTTCCACCGATAGTGCTGGTGCTCGTTACACTGGTGTAGATGGTTGATCCTGCGCTGGTGACCACCGAAGTCTTGATGTAGGAGGTCAGAGTAGTGCTAACAAATATGGTGGTTGTTCCAGCAGCACGAGCCTCGAGACCTCTTCTGAAGAGTCTAGCAGCAGCTGCAGTGGGGACACATGAAGCAGTGATAGTAGTTCCCTTGGTGGTTGTCTTGACCGAGTAGCTTGAAATAGTAACAGTTGAGGCCTTAAGAGTCGTCGAGCTGGTGACATCTGCGCCTTGAACTGTAGTCACACTGCTGACTGTTGCACCCTTCAATGTCGAAGTCTGGTAGACAGTTACGACAGAGCCAAGGTTCTCAGTGATTGTGACCGGCTTGGGAGAAGAAGTCGAAGTTGCAATGACAGTGCTAGTAGCCTTGACGCTCGAGGTCTTTCCAGCGACAGAAACAGTGAAATAGTCGGTTTCAGTGCTCTTGATAGTCGTATCCTTGCCAGAAACGGTGGTTTCACCCGAGACGGTCGAGATTTGCTGAACAGTGACATCCTTAGCAGAGGCAGTAACGGTGGCAATGACAACAGAAGTGGATTTCACAGTTGCGGTCTTGGCTGCCTTTGTAGTAGTCGAAGTCAGAACGCTGGTTGCCTTGATGATTGAAGTCTTCAAAACAGCCGGAGGAGTGACGGTGAGGCCATCATTCTCTGTGACATGAGTTACAGAAGTCGAAGTAATGTCTCCTTGAGTGAGTGTGGTGAATGTAGTTGCCTTCTGGATGATAGTGGTGGTGACCTGTGTGGTAACGAGGGGCAGAGTAACAGAGCTGCTGCTGGTGGAAGAGACCGTTGAGAGCATGGAGGAAGACGAGGAAGAAGAGCTGACACATGCAGCAGGAGCAGAACCAAACCCAGCAGTGAAAGGCTGGACATCAACAACGGAAAAGTCAATCCAGGATGTGGTAGGGAAGAAGTTGGCCAACTGGAACTGAGCAGCATCAGAATCAGACAACTGCTCTGAGAAACTGGCACGCTTGCAAGTACTGCTTCCAGGTCCGTAATTGTGGTACTCAGCAAAGGTCACACCATCAGTCTGAGGTGATGACTTGCTCCATTGAGTCCATCCAGCAGATCCAACTGATCCATCAAGGTAGCAGCCAGCATACAGAACACGGGCGAAATTGTTCCATGGACGTCCTAGCGAGACATTCTTGAACCCAGAAGATCCAGCAGCAGGTACGATTGTGCACTGATCGAAGACGAATCCTGCCGCTGTAGTGTTGGTTGCACGCTTAGCAGCGGTGATAGAATCACCGTCTTCATTGGGCGAGATGGTCGAGTTGAGGAAGTAGCCAGAGCCGGCACCGAAGATGAAATCGACGTTACCTTCGATGTAAGTCTTGAAGGTGAACATGTTTCCAGAGATGTACAAGGTATCCTGATTACCGTAGATCTGACAACCGTGCATGAAGGCATACTTGCTACTCTTGACTGCGAAACCCAAAGAAGCAATGTTCTGTTGTGTGCCGTTATTGTTTCTGAAGTTCACGTTGTACGCATAGAAGTAGTTTCCAGTGGCGTAGACCGTAGCAGCATCCACATCACTTCCAGTTCCTTGAGTGTCCTCACCGTAGGATTGCTGAATTGTGACCTGGTTCTTGCTGTAATCATCGGTCGAGTCAGAGTAGCCCATGAAGATGGTTGTGCCGCTCTTGTTGACAATCAACTGCTCGTTGTATGTACCGGGGTAGATGAAGATGGTAGCATTTGTCTTGCTCGAGGTGGGTGCAGCGTTGAGAGCAGCTTGGATTGTATCGTAGGTGGTCATACCATCAATGGCGTTCTTGGAAACGATGATAGCACCGGTAGGGGGAACGGTACCGTTGTAAGAGCTTGATCCTGAAACAGTGACATTGTTGGGAGCAGTAGTGTTGACGACAGCAGGCTCAGGAGTAACAATCGAGTTCCAGTAGGTAGAATCAATCCAAGCTGTGTTATCCATAACAGATGCAAGGGAGTAAGTGTCAGATGTCAAAAGAGTGGCATTACCAAAGGCTTGACGGGCTGCAACGTTGTTTTGCCAAGCGCCAGGACCAACATTGGCGAATTCAGCGAATGTAGTGTGGTCAGTACGAGGGTCAGTGGCTGACCAAACCTTCCAACCTGATGGGTTGATAATGTCATCAAGATAAGAGTTCTTGACAACAACCAGTGCGTAAGCAGAATAAGGACGACCCAGGTAGACAGTGCCTGTGAGATCGACTGTTGCATCTGTAGCAGAAGTGAAAAGTGTCTGATCAAAGATGTAGCCGCCAATAGCAGAAGCAGAAGCACGACTCTGAGCAGTCATGGCAGATTTGGCCTTCTTGGCACCAATAGTGCATCCCTTGAAGTAGGACTTGCTGTAACCCCAAATGAAGTCAATGGCACCTGAGATGTAGCAAGACTCGTAGTACTGATAGCCTGCAGTTGCGCCAGTCAGGAGAGTGTCCTGCCAACCCTCGAAGGCGCATCCGTAGAAACCAATATCATTGCCATAGATAGAGGCAGCCAATGTGACGTAACTTGCCTCCAGACCATCAAGGTTATCAGAGTTGATGAAGTTGATGTTGTAGAAGGAGATTCTGTTCGAGGCAGTTGCGAGGGTCGCAGTTTCTGCATCGCTGTGACCACTGGGTAGAGGAGAAACAGAGAGACCACGAGCAAAAGTGACAGTGACAGAGTTGTCTTTGTAGCTTTGTCCAGGATTGCCAGAGGTGTAACCAATAACACGAACAGCACCAGGGCGGTTGATTGAAGGGATCTGCTCGTTGTATGTACCAGCGTACAAGAAGATGGTCTGATTGGTGTTGTCATTGGGCAGGGCAGCAAGAGCGGCGGTCAAATTGGTGAACGAAGCATTGTGCTGACCATCTGCTGAGACAATGACTGCATACTGAGGAGGAACGGTGCCGCTGTCGGGGTGAGCATTGATAGAAGCAGTGCTGGTAGGACCAGAGACACCAGAAGAAGTGCTGCTGGTACCGCTAGTAGTAGTTGATGCAGGGAATTTCCAAGACGTCTCATAGTTCCAAGCAGCCTGATCAATGAAGCTAGTGTCTCCAACCCAGCTTGCAAGGCTGTAAGCTGCAACCTGATCATCGGTCATGTTGGTCGCAAATGAAGCACGAGCGGTTCCTGAGACCCATGCTCCTGGTCCAGTATTGTTATATTCTCCGAGGAAAACGTTCGACGTTTGAGGGTTACCTGTCGACCAAACTTGCCAACCAGCAGCGTTGATGTGCTTGTCGAGATAGCTGTTCTTGTACACAACGGTGGAGTAGTTGCTGTAAGGACGACCAAGGTAACTGGCTCCAAACGTGCTGCCATAGGTGGAGGTGTAGGTAATGTAAGACGAGTCGAAGATATATGCAGAATTCACTCCGACGGTACGGCCTTGAGCAGCAATACATGCACCCTTGGTGTTGGTGGCGATCACACACTTGTAGAAATAAGCTGTCGAGAAGCCCCACACGAAGTCAATAGATCCCTCGACGTACGAGTTCGAGAAAACTTGAACACCTTTATTGGCCAGAAGAGTATCCTGGAAGCCAATGAAAGAACATCCATAAGCAGCCATGTTGTTACCATAGAAATCAGCAGCAAGAGCAGCGGTATTGGCAGTTTGAGGGTACGAGTTGATGAAGTCAATGTTGTACATTGCCAGACCAGAGTTGTCATTGGTCTTCTTGGAGTTGATGACGGGAGTCTGCTCGTTCTGGCTCAATGAGGTGAGACGACCGCTCGAGAATTGAACTTTGACCTGGTTTTGACTGTAGTCGTTCTTGAAGTTGGTCTCACCAATAAGAGTGACTTTGCCGTTTCTGGTGATGCTGATCTGCTCATTATAGGTACCAGGCATGATGTAAATGGTGTAAGGCTTGCTATCGTTGGGAAGAGCAGCGATGGCAGCAGAGATGTTGCCGTACTGGCAAGCCGTGGCATTCTGAGAGACAATCAAAGTAGCCGAAGGAGTAGGTGTGGCACAAGTGCTCGAGCTGGAAACCGACAGGGTGCTGCTGGCAGAGACAAGGCCGCTGCTAGATACACTGCTGCTGGACGCGATGCTACTGCTGCCAGAGACGCTGATACTGCCAGAGACGACACTGCTGGTCGACAAGGATGATGCGGATGATACAGTTGATGAGACTGAAGAGGTGACAACAGAGCTCGAGACTGCTGCAACTTGAGCGGAGTCGGACTTCTGAATCACGCTCAGTACATCCGAGTCAACCCAGGTTGTGTCAAAGGAGTTGTAGCCTGCAAAAGTATACCCAAATACTTGATCAATAGTAAAGGCATTGGCCTGGTCGACAGTCATCTGAATGTCGCAAACCTTGGATCTGCTGATGGCGTTGGCCGAGTAAGAACTAGGTCCAACGTTGGAGAATTCACCGAAGAAATTGATGTATTTGCAAGAGGTGGGGTGGAAACCACTAGAAGCGACCAAGTTTCCAAGGTTGGTGTTACGGTAAACAACTTGTGTGAAGTTACCATTGGCTGCTGCAAGGAAGACGTTGGTGTTGACCAACCCAGCTTTCTGAGCCACTGAACTGGAATCGATAACCACAGTGGAGTTGCCAGCGTTCATCATACCGGCAGCCACACCCTTAGCATACACAATCAGAGCGCTGCTGTTGGTAGGCACAATGGTTGACCCATAGACGTAGACAGTGGGGAAGTTGGTAAAGAGCTTATCCACACCCTCGATGTAGGAGTTGGCAATGAGAGCAGTTCCATAGGAGGAGAAATAGACGCCAGTACTGCCGGAAATGAGGGCGCAGTTGTAGAATCCATGCTTGCTTCCTCTAATATAGACGGCAGGGGCGGTTCCATCGGTGGCAGCATTGGTCAAGTTCAAGTTCTTGAAAGTGACACCCTTGGTGCTAGATGTAGCGATGTTGACGACACCATTGCTGCCGCTGGCAATGACGTTGACCTGATTTTGGGCAACTGAGCTAGCGGAAGGTCCGACGACAGTCACCGTCTGGGTACCGCTGACGGCGATGGCCTCGGAATATGTACCCGCCTTTACGACAACAGTAGGGATGCCAGAGTTTTGAGCAGCAGAGATAGCAGCGTTGATAGCCGTGTACTGACCCGAAGCATCAGTAGCGACGGTCAAAGCAGTGACTGAAGAGGATGCGGAAGAAACGACTGTCGACGAGCTCGAGGAAACGAGAGAAGAGCTCGATGAACGTGACGTAACAAGAGAAGAGCTCGAGGAACTTGTTGCAACGAGGGAAGAGCTCGATGAATCTGATGTAGCGAGGGAAGAGCTCGATGAACTTGATGTGGCGAGAGAAGAACTCGATGAACTTGTTGCAACAAGCGAGCTGCTGGATGAAACATATGCTGAAGATGAGGTTGAGGAACCATCTGTTGAGCTTTGGCAGACTGCAAGAGCTGCAAGACCAGCAATGCTGGACAAGAATGAAGTCCTCATAACGAATGTGATCACCTCGAAAGAGGCAAGATCAAATGAGCGAATGTAAGATGAAGAGGAACTGCTTGATTGAGGTCCTTCTCACACATGGGCAGCATGCTTAATATATCATGTTTGGAAGAGCATATATCAAGGTGTACCGATATCACGGCATCCGGGATGGCCGAACCATGCGGCCCTACACTTGCCAGGCTGAACAATCGGCTAGCCTGATGGACCATGGACCGAGTCTAGTCACCTCGAGTACCAAGAAAGTGTAGAGGGTTGTTCCTGCTGCGGGAAGCGGCTGAGTGCACGTACGTACATTCTCCGGGGTGGAGGCAATCCAATGCAAGCCTCGCACACTAACCAAAAAATATAGTGATACAATCAGGCGCACAGAGATCCACTGTGACTGAGATTCGCACAACTTTGGACGACTGTTTCCTGCTCATCAATTGTCTATCTAAGCGATTAGAAGAAGTTGCTCACGAAGATTGATTTCATGAACAACAAGGCCAGCATGCGTCTCTGCAGTAGAAGTTTAGGTGGCGTATACCGGAGAGAATTCCAGAGAGGGTTCAGGCTGTTGGTTCATTTCTCGATATTTGCCGGCACTTTGCAGAAAGTATAAGCCTTTCCCAACTGGTTTAAGGGCGGCATTAAGGTTCTAGAGCTTTTACATGTTTAGCGAGCATGCGGCATCCTATCTGCAGGACGATTTGGTAAGGACCGTAAGGTGCAGAGGTGCTGCGCCGCGAAGTAGATCCACCTACAATGCATCTCCGAACAGAGACTCAGCTCTGGGGAGCCTGGCACTTCTGCTGTAGATCCATGCAAGAAGATCAATTTGCACCTGTCTCGACCTTGTGCTATGCCTAACACGGGAGGCCTAGCGGACTCGGTCCTTGAGTGACAGCAGAACACATGGTAGCCTTCGGTGGCTTCGACGGCTTTCGAATCTTCATCTGGTTCATTTGCGGAAGGATGCCCACAGCCGAAACTATGGATCGTGAAACCCACCACTGACGTGGAGATGAGAGTTGTGGAAAACGCGAACGCGAAGTGCGAACAAGAGGCGGAGAAATCTCCCGCTTGCGACTCTCGGCTGCGGTTGAAATTTTTGGTGGGCGAGAACATCTCTAGACCCACAATTCCCCAAATAGTCGTTAAGATCTCGAAAAGCATGGTCCACCAGAATGGAGAGCAGCTGAAAACAAGGAAGAACCTCTGATACGAACGGTGAAAAATGGGACGCATTGGTGATTTTTGAAGTCATCCGATGGTTGGAAGATGAGGCTGCTCTCGAGTAGGACGCAAAGCGTATCTGACGAGAATTGATTCAAGCTCTCACAGGGTCTCAAGACATGGAAGAGTACTTCTGACTCAAAGTCCCAAGTCTGACAGCTGCCAAAAAGTGAATCTGTCCAGCAGCTCGGGACATGCAGACAATCCTCCGCAATGCGCCGATCTTCTTGGGGATTGGTATTTCATATTCTGGAAGCACCTGCATGGGTCATGACCGCACACCGCAGTAGTGCCTAGTCACCTTGCGATGTGCGAAAGCGGTATCTTCACCAAAGCAGTCAGGAACGAAAGCATACCAAAACGGGCACGCATGCTCGCTTCCAAACAAGGGCTTTGTACATTGTACAGCTGACGGAAAAATTCCACGAGTCAGAGACGCGATATGGTCAAGGGTGGTGAATGTACCGCGGGTCAACCCGCCAAATCAATCATCCTTCCATGCAAGTCTACCAACAAGCTCAGGACCAAGGTCAAAAACAAGCATTTCTTTATCCATGCCTCTGGATAGGGCGGCAATTCTGGAAGGCGAAGCGAGTTTGCTGGAAAAGCAGAGCTGAATACTCGTAGTCCACCACATCTTCCTCGTCATTCTCTTGAAGACCAGATGTCAGAACAAGATGAATCGGCAGCTCCGGCTCATCGCCGTTGTACTTCCGAAAGATCTAAACGCTTTCCCCGGCTGCCGCTGGTCGCCGTTGTAAGGTGGAGGTCTCACTTTGGCACAGCTTCTGATACGGCAAGTTGATTTGGGGATTCAAAGCATTCGTATGAAGCAAAGGCCACTAAGCTTGACCTGTTGAGTGAAGCAAAGTACGCACCTGTCTCGGGACGCCGTGTCTCGGGAAACAGATGGCGCTATTACCGATCATGTTATGTACAGAGGTTGAACGGCTGGGCTACAAGCAGAGAGAAATCGATCACTGTTACATGCAACCACCTGGTGTTCCTCCGAATGCGTACGCGGTAAGTACGCGGAACGTAAACGAGCCTTCTTGTGGTTGTCACTGATCACCGGTCCTCAGTGGCGAGAGCAATTGTTCCGTCAAGCTGAACGAAATTAGGGCAGAGCCGCAACAGAGTGATCTGGCTGCGGTCGTCATTCATTCCCAGAACATTTCTACCGCTTGTGCTTGTGCTTGTCAGCACCGATCTCGCACCAAAAGGCTGGCGGCTCGGCATTTTCGCTTGATGTGTTGAAGGCTCATCGTCATGCGAGAGAACAAGATGAAATTGAAGAGTTGATTATTATTCAGAACATCTACTATCCGTAGCTAATCTACCAAACGGCCGTCCTGTATGCATAAGTGCGATATGAAATGACATAATCAAGCTAATTAGAATTTAGCAAATGCAAGTTCGAAGGCCAGACCAAGGGTCAGCTTTGCGTGCTGTAGCATATGATCAAAGTTGAGATATTCGATCTTATCCTCGGTGGTGTGAATCTTGTTGTCACTGTACTTGAAATCACTCTCGATCACCTGAAATTTGTCAGTCGTGTCTCGAGACCGTATAAGAAACCATGACTTACGAAAGCACTTGGGTACCCAGCCTTGCTAGCACTGGCATGATCAGAGCATGCGTAACCACACTTGGTAAGGACATAAGGAATGTCGCAGTAGGTGGTGACGACCTTCTTGATGAACTCGGTAAGGCCGGGATCAACGAAATCGGTAATGACGCCAACACTCTCGGGCTCTCCAGCGTCAAGAGTCTTCTGGACGTAACCGGTCATGTCTTGTTGCAGCATAGCCTTGACATCACGGCCAGTCTTCTCGTAGGTCTGGAAGATGGCTTGAGATCCAAGAAGACCACCCTCCTCAGCGCTGTACCAGTGGAATTCGACAGTGTTCTCTTGCTTGCCCTCGATGATATCCTGGTCAAGAAGCAGAACACGCAATGCCTCGAGAATAGTGACGGTACCGCTGCCATCGTCGTCGGCTCCAGGTCTGCAATAGGAAATATAATTAGCATGTTTCTCGAGTAGATAGTGGAGCGCCACATAGTCCCCACTAGTGGGAAGTGATCATTGGCTCGTCATGTTTTGAATGTACTTACGCTGCAAGGAGCGAAGGGAAGAAGAGGTTGATGCTGTCCTGGTGGGCACCGATAACAACCGTCTTGTTGGTCTTGCCGGGGAGTGTGGCAATGATCGAGTTCTGACCCCAAGCATGCTCGAAATGTTTGACACTTGCTCCATGCTTCAGAGCTCCTGCGTGTGCGAGGGTGTCATTGACCTGGCCCAACAGCCAGAATGATGACTTGGCGCCGTATTCACTCTTGTAGTAGCGTGTGTGGAAGGCGGTGAAGGTCTCGAGGTGATCGTGCATGTTCAATTTGGTCAAATTACGGGCAAGGCTCTTCACGGTCGAGTTGTAGTGGGTATGTTCCGGGAACTTGACTGCGGCATTGGACTTGAGCACGGAACCAAGGTCAGGCGTGTCGGTGATATCGAAGAATGAGATGCCTTCCTGTAGTCTGGTCAGCGTAGCCTTGGAGAGTGATTCTACTGTGGCATACTCTTCTCAGAGCCCACTTCTCGGCGTCTGTCACCCATTTGGTCTCGCCTGGGGCAAGTTCGATCAGGTACTGCTCAGGCGACATGAAGCCTTGGACTTGCTGGGCGGCATTTTGGGCGATTCTCGGGACACTGAATGCCTGTACGGCAAGGCCAGAAGCACAAGCTGCGAGAATGGCTGATGTCTTCATGATTGATGGTATAGATTGGAAGTAAGATGGCAGAGAGCAGATGGTCAGAGATGACTGCCTATCGCGGGGAGTTGACCGAACAACGCTTGTATCGAAGGCGCCAGGCACGTCATCACAAGCTTCGCATCGTGCATGTGATCATTGGGTTTCACTTGGTTTCGCAACTAATTCGAGTTCTGCAATTTTGAGCACGGGAAAAGTTTGCAGCATATCAAACGACAAACAGCAAGCTCGAACTGCCGGCTCGCATCACAAGGTTGTGAGGATTGGCTGTCGGCATCGATGCGCTGGGCTTCAAATTGTGCAGAGGATATGTGTGTTGTAGATCGACTTTCTTTCATAACCCGCCTCGATAGTATAACGGCTAGTACGAAGGTCTCATATCGGTCATCGAAATGACCAAGCATGGCTTGGGTAATCCTTAGATGGGAGTTCGATTCTCCCTCGAGGCAGTTCTTTTTGCTCTTTTTCTCATCCACCAAAACTTCGCGGCTGCCTCGCAGTCAAGAGCGCGTCGACAGCTTTCGACTACCTTTTGTTTGTCGCATGCGTACCTCACACATACCTGATAAGTACGTCTCCCTTGTGACTTGCGAAAGTCCAGACATTTTGCTCAATTTCGTCAAAGACACGTGAATTCGCGCCGCGCTGGAGTCGCCTCCTTCCAGAACGCGTCTTCCCAAATTCCAGCGAGCTTGATGCAACAAACTCCATGGATAAACTGCTCGATGGGCTGAATCGAGCCCAGAGGCTGGCAGTGACCTCGCCTTCACTTGCTTTGCAGGTTCTGGCACCGCCCGGATCTGGCAAAACCAAAACGCTCACTGCTCGTGTCTCTTACCTCATCACCGAACGGGGACTTCAACCATGGAATATCATTGTCTGCACTTTTACCGTCAAGGCGGCGAAAGAAATGAAGGAACGAATCAAGGGTCTTGTCGGAGATGGTCTGGAAAAGAAACTCATCCTAGGAACATTCCACTCGGTTGCTCGACGCTTTCTCGTCTCTTATGGCAATTTGATCGGGATTGAGAAGAATTTCGGTATTGCCGACATGTCCGACAGCAAGGCTATCATCACCCGTATCATCAAGCGTCAAGGCTTCTCTATCGAACCAGGAGCCGCAGGAGCCAGGATATCCAGTCTCAAAGCCAAGAGTATGAGCGCTGAACAGTACGCAATCACTCGCAAGGCCGCCGAGCAAGAATTCAGTGCTGTCTATTCTGAATACGAGGAAGCACTACGAACCTCCAACTTGCTGGACTATGACGACCTACTCCTTCGTTGTGCTCAGCTTCTTCGGGAACATCCTCAGTGTGTCTCGAACATCGAGGCTGTTCTCATTGACGAGTTTCAAGACACGAACAGCGTACAGTTTGAACTCATGTGCTTGTTTTCTCGATTCAAAAAGAATGTCACTATCGTTGGCGACCCCGATCAGAGTATCTATGGTTGGCGAAATGCTGAAATCAAGAACCTCGAACGCATGGAGAAACGATTCCCAGGAACGGACGTGATTCATTTGGAGGAAAATTACAGATCAGCAGGAGCAATTCTTCAATCGGCTCAAAAGGTCATTGAGCAAGATGAGAGCAGACCATCCAAGGCTCTCAAACCCACTTTCGGTATTGGAGACCGTCCGGTCCTTCGCAAACTTCCTACTGCAGATGCGGAAGCGAAATGGCTGGTTTCGGAGATCAGGAGAACGCAAGCTTTAAGTGCAGACTTGTTGAAGTTCAACGATTTTGCAGTCTTACTCCGTTCGGCAGCTGTCTCCAGACATATCGAATCAGCGCTCGGTAACTCTGGCATACCATATCGCATGGTTGGTGGAACTAAATTCTTTGATCGTATTGAGGTCAAGATGATATTGGACTACCTCCGCATCATCAATCAGCCAGATCATAACGATGCACTGCTGCGTGTCATCAACGTACCAACTCGCGGTGTTGGCGATGTCACAGTCAAAGGCTTGATGGACGAAGCAGAAAGGAAGCGCAGCAGTTTGTGGAAGATAGTCCTCGACAGCGTCCAAGGAAAAACACGATCAGATACTAAACTCTCCGCTCAGGCATCGAAGGGTCTGACAGATCTGGTCAACCTTGTTCTGACTGGCCAGAAAAAGCTCACTGGCAAGGATGATCAGCAAGCATCTCCGTTCGACTTGGTCGAATATCTCATCAAGAAGCTGGAACTCTCAAAATACCTGCAAAAAAGGTACCCAGACGATTACGAAACTCGATGGGCCAATATTGAAGAGCTCAAAGCACAAACGGCGGATTTGACGGCTGCCATGGCACAAGGCGAGGAGTTTGTTGAAGAGGAAGTTCTTCCAGAGATTGACGGCTTGGAACAGCGTCTTATCAACGCTAACGAGGATGCATTGACTCTCTTCCTTGCAAATATTGCGCTCTCAAGCGAAGTCCAACGCAAGCAAGATGAGAACCCTGATGAGACTCAACAACATGTTACTATCTCAACTATCCATGCAGCAAAGGGCCTTGAATGGCCTGTTGTATTCATCCCCGCCTGCTACGAAGGCTCAATACCTCACTCAAGAGCTGATGATATTGATGAGGAACGACGACTTCTATATGTCGGTATGACCAGAGCCCAAGCCCTGTTGTATCTGAGTTGTCCCAACAAGAACAGTCAGTCAGGAGAAACAACCATGTCTCACTTCCTCACACAAAGAGGAATAGAGGCTTTTTTCGAGACACAAGGACCTAAGCTCTATGACGATGCAGTCAACGAACTCGCCAGGACATTGAGAAGAGAAAAGCCTGACTTGAAACAGCTCATCGAGGCACGCAGTGGTTACGAAACACCCGAAGACACTCACTATCCATTGGACGGCACTTTCCCTAAGAGTGAAAATGCAAGATGGGACCAAGGAAAGAATATCGATTTCAAGGAAGGATTATACGCAAACAAACGACGCAGGACAGATGATCAGTCAGGCGGTCCTATGGTACCTGTAGCTGGATTTATGCCAGCCTCGAAAGTAACAATGCAGAACCCAGCAGGCTTCTCAACAGCCTCGATGTCAATACCACCGAAGATCACCACAGCTGCTTCACGAATGGAGGAATTGGAAGCAGCACAATCAGAAGCCAGACTCCGCGACATCGACGCACGAAAAGCGGCACCAGCACCGATCAAGAGGACCAAAGCCGCCCAAGGATCAGCTAACATAATGTCCTTCTTCGGCAAACCAAAGGTCGCGACGGATGCAGCACCACACCCAGCAACTCTGACCCGCACATCCAGCGTGCCAGAAACACAAATAGCGCCCAAACCACCAGCATCCATGCCCCGTTACGTTTCTAACCCATTAAACGACATCTCAAACGTGTCTTCACGAGACCCACAACGAAACGCAATACCACCAACAAAACCAATCCAACTCCCAAATTTCAAATTGCGCACCACACCTTTAACGACAAAACCCACAACTACAAAACGAGTTGAGCAAGACGTAACAACAGCACCTTCGTTTTCAAAACCGTATACGTTTCTCTCGAGCCCTCCACCACCGGAACCGCCATCTTCACCACCAGACCAAGAGGTGATACGTCCAGGAGGAGGAGGAGAACGAATAGAAACATTCAGACCGGCTACTACATTCCATGCGACCAGTGTTACGCAGGTGGGCAATAAGATTGGCACTGGACGTAGATTGGGTATGGGGAGGAGTTTCAAACCTTGGAGCGCTAGAGGCGGTCGAGGTGGATGATTGTGATGTGAAGGAAAGGTGTTTTGTTGCTTTGTGGCGTTGAAGAAGGCTTGTCTTGATGTTCGGATATGGGGCATGGGTATGCGTACAGGAGGGTGCCTAGGAAAGGTTGCATGCATTGCTTTGGGTATGGGTGGCTTGGTCACTCACGAATATGGTGGATAAGACTGCATTGTTTTGGGAAGGGGTTTGGTATTCTTTTTGATCAACGGCAATAGAATGTGCTTCATGCTGCTGCTTCTCTTTCGACCCCTGTGTCTTGTACTGATAACGTGATCAGGACCTTCTGAGATGAATGCTTCGTGTATGCACATGTATAGTGTTTGAGACCCATCTCAGACGTTCCAAGGCAACGTAGTTCGCTTCGTCTCGTCGCGCGTGCGGATAGCAGTAAGAATGGCTCTCGGTCGCCTAGGCGTGTCCTTCTCGCGATCGAGTCTTTTTCACTCATGATGCTCGTGCTGTCAGTTCTCTTCCTCCTCAATGGCGTGTATCTCGACCTCTTCAAGCCTCGGGCTGAGCAGCATATATCCTCACGGGATACAAGTCCTTAGGGAACCCCCTCTGCAACTCGGTAGACACAATCTTCAATCCCGCCTCCTTGAACAAGGCCCTAAACTTCTCATCCGTCCTCGTAACACTCGAATCCGTCTCATCATAAACATCCTCACCCAAGTGATTGTTGGACAGATTCTCCTTCAAGACAATCCAACCTCCAGGAGACAGATGTTTTTGCAATCTCGTAAAGAGGGCGTTGACTTGAGAATCCGTGCATTGGCCTAGACACCATTGTATCCAAATGACATCGTACGTATGCTCCGGCTCCCAAGCCTCCAATCCCACATTATAAATCTCGCCAATTTTGCCAGCCTCCCTCAACTCTTTAAATTCATGCCCTTCTGAAATCTGGTTTGTGAATTTTTGGACGGGTTCGACGATATCGGTGATGGAGGAGACTTTTGAGAGGAGGCCGAGGGTGATGCGACCGATTCCGGCGCCGCAGTCGACGATGCGGGAGAGTGGTGTTGAGGTGGGGTGGGATTTGGAGGTGCGGCGGAGTTTGGCGAGGAAGGTGGTGGATTGTTGGAGGTCGATGCGGGAGACTTGAGGGAAACCGCCGAGCATGCCTGTTACAGAGGGGTCGCAGGAGTTCCAGTAGCTGATTGCGGCGGTGGTGTCGATGTGCGAGTCTGGGGCCGCTTGGGCGCTTGTGTTGGAGGACATTGTTGCGGTTGTGACGTCTGTGTGAGACTGTGTTGGATGATTGAAAGGTGTAATCGAGGTCGAGAAACGGTTATGGCGCACGGTGGATTAATGCTTGATGTCGATGTCGATGTCGAAGTCGAGTTGGATCAGACGTGTCTCGAAGGCTGGCTGCGCGAAGAAGTTGCGGGAGACGCGTCGATCAACACATCACGTCAGAGGTTGCTTCACCGAGGGGAGGCGCGCATCTGATCATGACAGGAGACAGCGCAAACAGCATGGACAGAGGCGCTTCAACGATAGACACATTTGGTGGATGAGTGAAGTGATCTATTGCTACAGCTCACATGGCGTGCCTGCTACCAGCTCTCGTAGCCTCTCCATCCATCATTGACCGATATCAAAATGTCCCTCCATAGTCTGAACGCGCTCGAGCAGTCATGTCCTCTTCACTCACCACCAACCACCTCGATTCTTCTTCAACCTCCAGCCAACCAGCCAGAGCATCAATGAAAAAAGAGTAATAACAAATATGTTGTTGTTGTTGTGTTCCAAAAATTCCCATTCGACTTGCGCCAAATGGAGCAGTCAGTTGATAGTTTTCAACTAGCAAAAACACGATCTCGGACGAATCCTCACTGATGCGCGTAAAGCCCTTGCACTGAGAGAGAGTTAGCATTGGAAAATGGTATGGGTGATTTTGGGGGTACGAACCTTGGATGGTAGGTGAAGAGGGCGCGGGGGAGGGGAGATATTTATACTTGAAGCTTTCGGAGCGGCTGCTTACGTAAGCAGGCTTCTGGTCACTTCCGGTCAGGGTGTAATACTCAACCACGATTTCACTTCTCCGTCTCAATATTGTGCGGCAACCACGAGTTCTGTTCACTTTTTGCCTTGGTAGGAAGACATTCATTCTCCATAAGATTCGATATAAGCAATATAGATTTGGCTAAGTACGGCGGGTGGGCTGTAAAATGAATATATGCTTGACACAGACCAGCTTGTCTTGGAACCACCATATATCAGCAAGGAACCCGGCATGCTCTCTGTTCTTCATAAACAATGATCACATGGTTTACACATTTGTCACCAATAACTAGATGATGACAAGATGAGTTCAAGTTATACGTGATGGACATGCTCCAGAAGATTGTAGGGGTAGGAGAGCTCGCTATCATGATATTGAGCAGGTGTTTGACGTTTGGGTGGTCGAAGTTGTGGACCGGCTTGGCACGTCATGCACAAGACCTTGATCATCATGATTGCGACAAAAGTTTCCAAGATGAAGTTGCACATTCTAGGACCGGCATTTGGACTGCCCTCGATAGACGCAGAATGCATTGCGGCCGTAGCTCTGGTAGAGCGGTATACTCAGGGCAGTGGACAAGCATGGGCTCTGGTCGCAAGCCATGAAGCCGCGACGGGCACTCAACTGCCTTTTCTTCAGGTCGGCGACAAGACATACTCTGGCTTTGACAGGATAGCTCAGCACCTCATTGAGGTGTCCGGCGGTATAGTTCCTGGTCTGGCCACAAATCTCACAGCCGAACAACAAGCAGATGCGACAGCGTAAGCAAAGAGCGCAACCAGGCCAACCAAGCAGACACTGACGCGCAAACACAGCCTCTCCACATTCATCAAGTCCGAAGGTCAACTACTGCTCGATATCTCGCTATATGTCTCGTTCGAAAACTACCGCAACCGCACGCGCTCGGCCTTCACAAAGATCCTCCCATGGTACGCCAACTTTGTCATTCCTCCCCAACGCCGCGACGAAGCCAGACAACGCACACAGAATCTAGGAGTATCCAGCGTAGATGTTGATGATATTCACGAAGATGTTATCGATAAGCCATCGAGCATGCAGTCCGAGCAACAGAAAAAGCCTTTCGAGCACGAGACGGAGAAACACGCCAGGAGACTGCTGGGCCGCAGAGACACGGTCCGCACATTACTACAACAGCCAGAGCACGCTGCTGCTTTCAGGTTGAATGCTCTAGCCGACAACTTCTTTGAGCCGCTACAAGACTTGCTCAAGAAACAGTCAACCCTTCTGGGTACAGAGGATCCCGCCATTGTCGACTGTCTGGCATTCGGCTACCTGAGCTTGATGTTCTACCCCAAGATGCCCCAGAACTGGCTCGCTTCTACCATGCGACTCAAGTACCAGAAGCTTGTTGTCTACATTGGCTCCCTCAGAGATACCCTCCGAATCGACGCGCACCCCGACGAAGCCTTGAGTGCTGTTTCACAATCAGAAAAGGGCGCTGCCGAACTCCCCTGGGTGACCCCACAATGTTTCAGCCCCTTCGCTGTCATCAGCTATATTGGCCAAAGTCTCTTTAACCATCTTCCTCTGCCGAAGAGCAACGCTGGCTTGGAACAATTGCCAACCAACCGTCAGCCTAGTCTTCTTCAACAGTACCTTCCAGCAGTGCTCGGGTTGACTTCCACTTCTCTCGCCCTGCTAGGCTTCTGGGCATATAACAACCTTACATGGCCGCACGGCGAAGCCGTCCACTTCTTTGGCAGAAGAAAGTTTGTTGACTACGGTGCTGCTGGTGCCACCCTCTCCGCCCTTGGAAGCTTGGGCATGCACATGCAACAGCAACATCAACAAAGCCAATCTCCTGTACAGGTTGATGTAACTGTGGACGAACAGGTTTTGCCGTAGGGAAAGCGTGCTTGACACACTCCACTCAAAGTACACGTTCGTCAAAATGAAAACACTCACCTCGCAATTGGTCTCAGACAAATATGTGACCACTCTAGTATGTGTTCACTCCTCATGACAATTGACGTTATATTCGTGAGGAAGTAAGAAAGATGGTCTTCGATCGACTTCCAACAAAGAATTGAGCTCATGGAAAGAGCATACCTGTTTGTGAAGCGCCCCTCCTTCCATTCATGATCTTTCACATCGGCGACTTGCTAGTCCCCTTCTCACTTTAATTTTACTTGAACACTCCCAATTATTCAGTTCCCACACGCATTAATTACTTCCAAACGGACTTGCTCTTTCACTCTCACCTGCTTCGCGCATACCAATCTCCACAGCCTTCGCGCACAGCAACATTCGATCACAACAACCTTCACCACAGACCTCGTTATTATGGCACCAGGTAGAAAGGACTGTCCCGACTGCGCCATTCTGGAGGGAAAGTGTGCAAGGCACAAAAATGCGTATAGCAGGAGGAACTGCCTTGATTGCGCCGCAATGCCAGGAAGATGTGAAGCCCACAGAAGGTTAGGGAGAAATGCGCGTAAGAGAGAGGGGCATCTGAAAAATCAACGCAACCTCGATAAACAAGCTGCAGATGTTGATGACGAGGATGCCATGGATGTCGACGGTACGGTCCAACCCAACGTCAAGCTCAAGCTCGGTGTCGGTATACCTCTTCGCTATCCCTTGCCCCCGAAGCCGCCGACTCCTTTCAGTCATACAATCCACAAGCGAGCATGTGCAGTTCAAAAGCCCGTCGCTCGTGCCTCGACAACAGAGGCATTTCAGCGGTACGATTTAGTCATACACAACAAGGCGGTTCATAAACCGACATCGGCAGCTGCTCATAGCGACACTGCGACAACCACCATACCCAAGCAGGAAGAAGAAGAGATGCAAGAAAAGTTACCGTGGAAGCAGATAAATAAATTGCCCTTCCGAGGCCGTCAGACATGATTTCTTCCTCAAGTCGACAGACGTACAGCTCCTACAGAACCATCAGTCAACGTAATAGGGACCAGACATCCACACCATTACTTCCACCCGAGCCAGCAACCAAGTAGTCTCCATAGCTACAAGAAATTTCACAAATGGAATTGCGGATTGGATGCTTTAGGCACTATAATTCTCATGTGTGCCATACAATCATACGCTCATGGTTTTCGAGCGGTCAGGCGCGACTGTATATTCGTGCCGCCATTTGACAAGTGATTAGACGGCGTATCTCAATCGCATTGGCTGTCAAAACCAAAAACCCAATAACACTCAAACTTTTTATCTTTCCGTACTTTCGCAATGACGGCAGAAATCGACTCCTCCTCCTCTGCTGCTTTAAGCACGATAATCGTGACGGCTGTAGTAACGGCACCGACACCGATATCAACGGAATTGGTGACGTCGATTATTACCGCGACAACTATAGCTATAGCACCTGCTCTCACTACTACCACGGATCTGGAAACCTCTACACTTATGGCGACATCAATACCACCTACATCAAACTCTACAGCAGACTCCACACCATCACCCATCCGCACAGATCCCTCTGATATATCAGACAACTATGCTTCTCCTCCATGGCGCCCTGGCGCTGGTATAGGAGTGGTGATAGGATTCGTCGCTATTTTCGCCATCGCCGGAGTTGGGTTTTGGTTTTGGAGGAGGGGGAGATTAAGAAAGAGGAGAGAGAAGGGGGAGGGGAGTAGGAAGAAGAGAAAGGGGTGAGGGAGATGAGGGTGGGTGTATAGATGAGGTGGGTTGAGGTTTTAGTTTAGTGCAGGAGAAATAGCGGAGCGAGATGAAGGAACGAGCGAGGTTTGGTGTAATATCAACGGGCGTCCTCTATCTCCATGATCTGACAGTGGCTTGCGGTGCTCTTGTCCAAATGCACAAAAGTTTCCAGATCGGACGATAAAGGTCGAAGAAGGAGAGAAGAGCAAAGGGACAAGACGAGGTCAGTGTATGGCTGATTACATAAATTCTAAAACATCTCGAACTCGTGACTGGCAAAAATCATGAGGCCATGATCCTCCAAACAAGATGTGTGCTCTCAAGTGGGTCGATAAAATCTGTGAACCGCAGCAGGTTGGCCTCTAACGTCACCTGCAACAGACGGATGAGTATATTGAGGACACGTGCAAGTTCTCCAACGAGAACCACAAATATAGCAGAATTGTGCACCACAAACACATCTAAGAGAAAGAAAGTCAGTCAAAGTTCAGTACAAGGGTGGGAGGAACTTGATCATGCTTACGTTATATGGTTGCAACCAGATGAGAGCTCGACCACGCGATGACATTTTGCATTGTAGCAGCGTTGCCAGCCCCTGTTTTCGGCTAGCTCGAGCAACCTTTGTGTACCCTCATCGCTAGGACAGTCACCGTAGTGTGTTGCTCTTTTGCACATTGTGCAGGTGGTTCTACCACAATCGAGACAAAGTCCTGCCTCGTCCTCGATGAGATCTGCGTAGATGAAACTTCCACACGTAGTGTTATGGCAGTAGGTTCTGTTGTTAGGCTCGGTGTCGTATTCCATCTTCTTCTCTCTGTACCTTATTTGGAGCCTGTCGTTAAGAAGTCCTTGCACGCTCTCGAAGGGTATCTCCTGTCCACAACATCTAGGTGGGTAAAGTGCTTCATCGTCAATCGTCGCCTCGAAAAAGTCAGCTAGACAGTCAAAACAGAAGTCATGAGTGCATGGGGCCTTGAAACTTTGTTGATGAGGAATCTCATCTGTACAACGTAGACAAGTGCAGTTTGCAGGGGGCGCAGCTTGCTCATCCTTTGCCGGACCAGATACGCAGGTATGGTCTGCATTAGACTTCTCCTGCGAGTCCCCGTCAGACTCAATTTCCGCACCTTCGTCAAGCTTCAACTGCAAGGCTACCGCAAGATCATGGTCATCGTGCGAATGCTCAGCGATAGCCAATTCCCTAAATTGTAGGTCAAGCACAAGATCAATGCTGCGGGTTGTTCGCCCACTCCCGACGATCGATATCAGAACTTCGCTTTCTGTACGGATGTTGAACCTGGCCCTGTCCAAGTAGAGTAAGAAAGTCAAGATGTTTGGAATCAAGAGAAGTGAGAAAAAGAAAACGGGGAAGAGAATGAGGATGAATTGGACGACCTCGGACAAGTCCATTTTGTTGGGTAATATGATTGTTGTATGGTTAGAGAACACACAATCCGGAAACCGTGGTTGATATATCATAGCCAGAAGAGGTGATTCTCGTGTCAAAGTTCGTTGCGAGACCTTGTAACAAAGACGTGTCTAAGACAACTTCTGATAATAGCTTTTTGATCCAGTTTCAGCACCAGATACATCTAGGAGTCGAGACGAAACGGACTTCTTAAAGCAGCATGTTGTGTACTGTTGTTTGGGTGTACCGAGTTGATCGGTACTACTTTCTTCTGCCGTACGCGCTGCTTGTAAACCCATCTTTCAGACAAGTTAGTGGTTCTCTCTCCTTATCGCACAAAGTTTATTTGATCCACGCTTAAAGCGTGCTAGGTTGAAGTAAAGTTAATGTAACTCTCGAATTTACTTTAAAAGACTCTGAATCTTGAGAACTTCGAAGTAGAGCTCGACGTACTACAGGATGCGAAGTCTGAAGATGTGCGGCGAAGTCCAAATAAGAAGGTAGGTGCATGCAAATTTTCAAGAAATGGCGTACCGTGCTCGTCATCTGGTACCTATTTGGGACTGATCGTTAATCTTCCATGATTCTTGGCGCTTCATAATCTTAACATCGTGTCCCAAGCTATCACGTCCACAGCTCCACTTCATAAAGCTCCGATAACACTTCCGTGGTATATTCTTCTCAAGCCCTTCGCAAATTAGTCTCCCTGAAGTATGTCTCGTCTCTCATGAATATCTATCAGAATACGCGCCGGCTTGGAGATCAGGCTTGTGATCTATTGCGAGCGGTCGCTTCACGCTTCTGCCGCAAACGACTCTCGTAGTCAAAAAAAAAGAACAATAAAGACATGAGCGGGGTACATTGCATTTTCGAAATGTCAATCGACCTCCCTACTCCCGGCAGGGGCGACCGATGTGTGCTTGTCAAAATGCAAGATGATTTTGATATTAGGCAAATTGTCCACTGAGAGTCGTTACTTCCCATGCTCTCACTGGACATGCCTCTTTAACTGAAAACAATCGTGCAGTTTGACAGAGACATTCTCAACGGATGCGGCGAGCGTGGGATGTTTATGCAAAGCAAGAAGGCAGGGTAAGTGTACGATCGATCTGTCATACTATCTCACATTTCCTCGCAGGATCGATGGTTTATACATCAAAATGCACAGCGATTTCGAGATGCGTCGAATGGTCCATTGAGAGCCGCGATTTCTCGTGCTCTCACTGGACATGGCACTTGTTCTCAAAATCATCGTGCATTTTGACAGCCCCTTTTAACCTGGCACCGTGGTGACGGGAGTGCTACATCGCCGATTTGTAGTTCGATATGGAAGTCTCACTAAATGGCAAGAAAGAAGGAACGATCAGTCGAGTTTGGCATGTGAGACGATGAAAGGAGGACAAGAACGATGTCGATAAGGAGAGCTATATTTCTATCTGCTAACGAACATAAAGCCAGGATGCTTCGCGCCGAGTCCAGTGGCAATATCTTGAGCCTCTACGAGGAGTCGCGCAGTGACCATGTTAGCCAATCGTTCATGTCCACGATTCGACCACCGGCGGAGGTGACAGATCCGCGCCAGGCGGCAAAGGAAGGTATAACGGTGGAAAGAACGCCGGGCTGAAGGAACTTTACACCAGGGTCACCTTCGAGCCCAGGCGTCAGGAAATGTACCAGCAGATCGATCATGTTGTCAGACAGCCAAGCTGACATGTCTTCGTCTTTCAAGACCGGTTGGTGAGCAAAGATCTCCCTCAAGGTAATGTTCCTAAGGAGTACATCGCCATACATCTCAACCTGGGACACGTACTGCTTGGTAAGTCGCTTTTGTCGGTGTTCAAGTCGAAAGCGGCACTGAATTGTAGGAGGATGGCGGCGAAAGCACCCATTGGACTCTTTGTTCCTAGAGCACTCTCCAAAGTCCTCTGTGTACTGGTGATATCGCCCATGGCTCTTGTGATGGTGGTTTGTAGTCTCAAGTTGGCTGCTGTCTGCTCCTCTGCCGTTAACGGTGTCAACATCTCCACCTCGATGGAGTTGTCTTCACTGAGCATGTCGTTGTGGGTATCAGGAAATGACAGTGTATATTCTCCGAAGTCCTCAGAGCCGGAGTAGTCGAACTCTAAGTACTCATCCTCATCTTCTTCGTCATCTTCTTATTTGTCTTTAACAGATGTGTGGTCGTCTTGATCGCCAGAACCGGAGTCGTCGTCGTCGTCGTCCTCGTCGTCCGGCGGTCCGAGGTCAGAGGCAGAGGCAGCACCGGCGGAGGCATAGGAAGCTCCAGCAGAAGCATAGGCAGCACCAGCGGAGGCATAAGCGGCTCCAGCAGAGGAATAGGCAGCCCCTGCAGAGGCATAGGCAGAGGCAGAGACAGCTCCAGTGGATGTAGGGATAGCTCTAGCGGAGCTAGGGATGCGGGTCATTGGGTCTGCGTCGTCGAACGTCGGCTCCGTTCCGAGACCAGAAGCAGAGGCAGAGGCAGAGACATCGCCAGAGGGTGTAGAGATAGCTCTAGCGGAGCCAGGGCTGCGGGCTACCGGGTCTGCGTCGTCGAACGTCGGCTTCGTGTTTCCAATTGCTGTCGGCTTCACTCCGATAGATGAGGAGAACGAAAACTTGGACTGCGTTGTCGGGATCGAAGGAACAACCACAGAGGACGTAGCTTGTTGCCATGCAGGAGGCGGCGGCTTGGGTGGTAGAGGATAACGGGGTTTTACCACAGCAGACATGCTAGCATCGGCATTCTGTTTCTTCTCGGCTGCAAGCCTCTTGCGCTTGTTACGTCCTGGTTTACTGCCAGATGGCTTTCTCGGAGCCATGATGATGCAAGCAGAGAGGCGAAGGCCAGTGAGCAGTTGGGTGCAGAGAGGCGACGCGCAGAGAGGCGAAATGATCAGTCAGAAACTCTGGCGGATGGTGCGTGGTGAAAACAAAGCTTTGGTGAGAGCGAAGACGAAGCTCTCAAGAAAACTGAGTGAAAGCAATCTGTCGCTAGTCCGGTCGAGCAAGTGAAGCGAAAAGCAAGCGACGAAAGAGCGCTCAGCATTCAGCGTGTGATATGAAGAGCCACAGCGAAAAAATCAGCGGCAACAACAACAACAACAAAACAAAACAAATTCAAAGAGTAGTGGATGGTAATGGAACAGGTACGAAGTTGTTGTTTTAAATTAAATCCTCCACACACTCGTCTTCACAAGTGATTACCAAAACGCATGTGGAATCAGCAGCGATGAAGGTCGTCGTCCCTCACCGTCCGTCATACTGATATGCTCAATTCACTGTACCAGGAATTATCCTTCACTCAGGCCCCCACACCCACCAGATGCCTTGACGGCTTCATAATGCTAAGTGATGGATATTGCACAATCAGCCTGTCTTGTGTCTGTCCTTAGGGAGCCGAGGTCGTCGTGCTGTGTTCTACGACATTCATCTCTATTTTCAATCATCTCTTGCATCTCTGTTTATCTTTTGTTCAAAGTTCTCCTGATCGTAACTGGAAACCTGGACGATAGTCCGCACTGAAGCCATCACATTTTCACAGTCTGGCGATCTCACCTCTGACCTCTGACCTCTCAGCTCTCAGCTCTCACCTCTCACCTCTCACCTCTCACCCCTCACCTCTTGCCTCTCAGCTCTCAGCTCTCAGCTCTCACCTCTCACCTCTCGCCTCCCAGCTCTCAGCTCTCAAAGATAAACCCTCAAACAAGAGAGATCAAAAGCTGCGGACCTCAGGAGCAACAGACATGAAGTACATGCGTGATAGGCTGCTCGTAAACCGACGTCGGGTTGAGCACGGTCTCCCACCCAAGCACATCAACCAGTCCGACGTGGTCATTGAACGGCTACCTCGAATAGACAAGGAGCGAGACCAGGCTAGTGAAAACCATAGCAAAGAAGGAGAACTCGCCAAGCAGGCTGAGTGATTTCGACACCGGTAGAAATGCACAATGATTTTGACGGTGAGCTCTGTGCCCAGTGAGAGACTATCAAATCACTCCTCTCACTGGAAATCTTACAGGACTCGAATGAGATCTTGCATCTCGATAATGTTTTTTGCAAGGTATAATAGGCAGTCCGAGATATCACCTTGCGGCCTACCTTTTTGTGACCCCCTGTTGACCCTCCCTATACTTCTCACATCTCTGCTCTCAAGACTTCTGTTAGTTATGCATGATTCTGCCTTCCCTCAGGTAAATCAAAGCCATAGTCGTGCTATTTCAGTCCATGTCTGGCGTTCAGCCCATCATCTTCTCCGATAGATCGGTTGCTTTTAGATGTCGCCTTTCGCGAAGTCGACAAACCTCCCTACAACCAGTCTGGAATCACTCAGGAGACAAACAGTCTGCTTTAGAATGTCCTGACGATTCTTTGAATGAACAGATACAAGATTGAGAAATATGTATGGATCCCGACAGAGATACCTTAATCTTGACATAGCACTCCAAACCCGACAACAACATCTCGAACCCGACAACAACATCTCGAACCCGACAACAACATTTCGAACCCGACAACAACACTTACAACCCGACAACAGCATCTTAAACCCGACAGATACACCGTTAAATTTTTTGAAGCCGACAGACATATATATCTCTCTTTAGAACAGAAGATCCGCCTCCAATCCGACGGACAGATGTTAAAGCCGACAGATACACCTCTCTTCAAAGCGACCAAACGCAAATCCAATACCAAAGCCGACAAGACACATTAACGAAAGTCGACAGGCATTGACAGCACAATCGCTATTCTGTTCAAAAGCTTGTTCGTCGCAAGAAAGGTATTTCTGTTGCTTCATTAAGCAGGTTGACTAGTTTTTATAAGCTATCAAAATGCAAGAAGTTATTCAATTCATGTGAAATGTGCATTGAGGGTGATGGCATTACGCTCTTTCTCTGGCCAGGGCTCCATGTGTGAAAAGTATCTTGCATTTTGACAGGATCATCCAAAGGTAGGCTGGCTCTCTGAGAGATACTTGTTACTATGTGAGCCCCTGTGTAAACCCTGCTTATACCCACCTATGCTTCCCAGTTTCAAAGACCGAGCAGGTTTCATCAAGCCTGTCAGAATGCAAGATGAGATTGAAACTGTTTCGACTGTCTAGTGAGAGTGCCAATCTGATTTCATCACTCTGAACACTGCTATATTTGTGAAAAGCATCTTGCATTTTCATATATACTGACCCCATACTGACTCGGGAACAGTAGAGATTGGGCTTTTGTGCCTCTGTACTGCTGCCCCTAGTCGCACCTGTCCTTCTCTTCCAGTATCGAGCCCGAGAAACTTTCAGATCTGTCAGAACGCAAGATGTAATTCAATATCCAGAAGTCGCCCAGTGACGTTAGCAAACCCATATTATCTCTCTGGTCAGGAAACGAAAGAAAAAGTAGAAAAGTAGAAAAGAAAAAAAGAAAAAACCAAAGAAGAAATGCGTCATCACAACTTGATCTCCCAATTCGCCCTCCCCTCGACAAAACTTCCAGCATCCAATTCATACCTCGCCGGTGTAGGAAATTTGATCCTCAGCATCTCTTCCAACCCAACCATCTCTTCCAACTTTTGCTCCTCAGTCATTGCCAGCCCTCTCTCTTGATCTCCTTGCTGGTCACTCTTCTCTGATGCGGGTGAATTGTGATGAGTGGTTGATGAAGTGGTGGTGGTGGTGGTGGTGGTGGTAGTATTGGCAGAATGTCGACGTAATGCAATGTCTAGGCATGATCTCCTTCGGCGGATGAGTGGGATGAAGATGCAGCCGAGGGGGAAGAGAAGGGCAACGGTGCCACCGATTGCGCCGCCGATGATTGCTGCGGTAGAGTGGGAGCCTCTGGCGCCCGAGGAGGGTGTTGTTTCCAGAGGTGTCGGTGTTGCTGACATGGCTATTATGGTGGATGAAGCAGTTGGAGAGATGGAGAGGAGGGTGCTCATGGTTGTTGATGTTGAAGCTGAATCTAAGATTGTGTTGGCGATCGTCATGGTGTAGAGGTTGAAAGCCATGAGTATTGGTGAAAGACGACGGAAATTCATTCTGATGTATGACAGTGGACGAGAGAAGCGGAAGGCAGGAACGTTTTGAGTACATGCCAATACTTGAACTCTCGAGTCTACTCATCTACCCCTCCTGTTTGTAGCACAGGACGCCGAAAGCGACATATATTGGAAGGAACGACTCCAGTTCAGGCTTTCCTACGGCAAATAGCATGGATACCAACATATTCTAGTGTCGACCAAGATGATGGTATCGAAGAGACTCTTGTCGCAATAGCTCGAGCAGCGCATTTACCCACTTTTTTTGTGTTGTCAGAAACTTGTCGCGGAGATTATGCATGTGATGTGTTCGAAATATGTTGTGTTATGTGTGGAAGAATTGTTCCGCTGTTCGAATGTGCTGCTGACTGGAGAAGGTGTCTGTAAGCTTCTGTTGAGTCGATACCAAGGAGATGATCAAAGCTGCAATGCACCTACCCGTCTGCAAAAGAATCCCGCCCAAACTTCGCGATATGCAGGCAATTGATTATCCTTCGGGCCCGGCGAAATTGGCAAGCGCGTGCTCTTTGGTGACACATCTGATCGTTGTTAGTGCTTTTGGACAGGTGAGCCGAGCTCAAAATTACAGATGGGATAGACTGATGGAAATGTCTTATTGGGAATGTGGTCTAGCGCCTTCCTCATTCTATTGGGTGCTTACAGAATCATATTGACCATTACACAAACTGCTCTCTGATAAACTTCTGGGCCTTGATATCGCAAACAACCATGTAAAGTAATGGAGAGTATGATATAGCCAATGGTGGCAGGAAATGCGCAAGTGCGATTTGGTAAATTGCCAAAGGTCTTGACGAGTGGGCTTCCTGCCTATACAAGATAATCAGATCTTTTCCTGCACCCATGGATCTTCTGCTGCCACCTGAGTGGCAATGTCCTCTTGCTGTGTCTTCTGTGTATCCTCCTCTTCCTCGTCTTCGTCTTTGTTTGCTTTGTTGGCAGTCTCGACTTTGTCTCGAGGGAGTGGCGCGGGTTGAGCTTGACCTGTCCTGCCAAGCTCAGAGACGGTCGTGACAGCAGGCCTAGAATCCTCTGCCTCCCAGATCTGGGTAGGAGGCAGGGTTGCGGTTGTTGGCACGGCGGCATTGTTCTCGGGCTTCTGCCAGTTCTTGCGCTTTTCGGAAGCCCATGCTCCCCATGATGATAGATAGGCACCTGCGCGTGAAGATGCTGCTTGCACTGATGCCTGGGCTTGGACCACTGATATGGGTATTAGCAAGTGACTGACAGAGGACGGGCGATAGAAACTCACCCTTGGGAGCACTTTTCTCATCAGGTGCGGGAGGGTTGTTGGCAGCAGCAACAGCGGCAGCTGCCTTCTGCTCCTCGACGCGTTTGCGCTGGGCTTCGCGCATTACTTCGATGTCGGCCCAAAGCGTGTTGATAGCACCAGCGACGCGCTCGCGACCAGTAGATATATGTTTGCCCACAGCCTCCTTACTACCCCTCCAACGCTCATCCAAATGTAGTTCAGAGACCTGAGCAGCAAGTCTGCGTTGTACGTCCTCGATAGTCAGGCCACCAGCACAAGGGTGGCGCGGCTCAACAACATCGAACAGGTGCGAGTCTGTCGTCCGCTCGAAAAGAGCATAGTTCTCAGTCAAGGACCATTGATTCATGAACTCACTACCGAACTCCATAGCTGGATCACCTTCGACCTCTGAGAGTAGAGCCTTGGGGTCGCCTTTGTGGCTCGAGACGAACCGGCTGTATTTGGAGGCCGATAGCAAGGAAAGCAAATACTCCTCGAACTGGAGACGGATAAATTCCTCGCTACCAGCATAGCCCATATCCTTAGGCCTGCTGGGAATATTTTCGTCCCATGTGTCATGTACGGACTGGGTCAGGAAATCGATCCATCGCCTATCGGCTGTTGACAAAGCTAAGGCGTTACGCAGGGAAGGTGAGTGTATGTTGATAGTGTTATCATCAAGATTGACCAAAATATCTGCGTAGCGGTCCTTCTGCTGCAAGAGCAGCTGATTAGTAGAGCCAACAACATACGATTTGGTGTGTTGGTCAGCCAAAGTGTCTAGTTGTTGTAGTGGTGTGTACGGTCCGAATAGACTACCTTTGCCAAAGATCTGGAGAGGCACTCCCATGTAAGCCAGGAGTGAAGCTCGTTCACTTGTCTTTAGCGAAGTAGGCTTCTCTACGTGTGTAGCATAGTAGTCCATGCGAGGATCTGCACAATCGCGAAGATGACGCATGAGAGTGGGGATCAAGGATATGAGAGAGAACTGGACCAGGCACATCTTTTCACAGTTGGAGCCAAAGAAGAGCATCTAGGTCTTGGTTAGTACGTCACTCATCACAAACGCGTAGCAAACTTACCTTTGGCTGTAGCAGCAGACATTTGAACAGCACAAGTGTTTGCCATTTGAACTGGTGTATCAGCTCGCGCATCGACAAGCCTGTCAAAGAGATGTAAGCGGGCCATCACTTCAAACATTCTTCGAGGAGAGTCTCACCAAAGTAGAGGTCTCTATCGTCTTCCTGACTGCCGAAGCCTTTGTTGAGACTCTCTTGGAACCGCTAGCGCAAGGTGTCAGCAACCCTCCTGATGAAGACGGGAGTAAAGCCGAGCATACCTCTAGGATTTCGATATCGCCAAAGTCTCTGGACGAGCATCAGCCCCTGCATGTTTGTATTGCACTTTTTCGACACTCTTTCGGGGAAGCATACTTCTGTGCAAACCAAGCCTTTGTCACGACACTGAGCTTCTCTCTTATGGCGGTGAATGTTTGTGGATTCTCGGTAATGACGACGACTGCCTTCTGTACGGTGCTGCGAGTGACATCGGCGGGTCGGTTGAGCAGTTCTCTTGAGTCGAGTTGGCGAGTGCAGCTTATGCCGAATAGCGAGCGCTCCGGTGTGCTCTTCAAGACGAGCGTGAAATACGAAAAGTCCTCGGTCGCGCTGCAGGGTCGCTTGTTAGCCCGGTCTTGCTTCGAGTTGGTCGCAACCAGGGGGTGCTTGATTTACGCATGAGCTCCATCGGACAGGGCGAGGAAGGGCAGCAGCTGCCAGTCGTTGTCGATGGCGGGATCGTATCCTTCTTCTACTCCTACCCAGCGCTCCACTTCGGGTCCACTACACAAGGCGTGAGCTGACGTCTGACCGAGCTGGCTGTGGGAAGTACTACCGCTGGTGGTGGAAATCTACCACTGCTACTACGGGGCTATATGAGTCGGCCATGATATTATGTTATCGCCGAACTGTCATCTTGCGCCTCACAAATAAAACACTGTTTAGCCAATGCCCAGTGTCATGTGTCGGTCTGGGCCAATTGTCACTGGTCCACCTGTATGACATCTTCACGCGCTTCCACTCAATCGGCTTGGCAGATTACGAGCCTCTTGATTGCACCGGAAATTGATTTTCAACATGATGTCTGTTTTCGATTACGCTGATGGATGCTCCTCTGTGTTACCTCATTCTTTCTATGGTGACTCCTAGCTCCTCCAGCCATGCTTCTTCATGTCCCCCATGCTAACGCGCCGCCTTGTGCATGTGCATCCACCCTAGTCTCATCACTGCAGTCCAGATGTATAGCTAATAGCTGGAGCTTGAGTGAGCCAGTGTGAATGAAACATTGCGCTTTCGTCTTGTATAATCCATAAGTTGAAGGGTAATGCCGGTGCTCTCAAATCAAAACAATAAACCATTTCCATCGTTGCGGCCCAAGCTTGCGTGTCCTCGGGGTTTGTGCTGTATGCGCCTGCTCTTTCTGTATCATTGCAGAATGCCGGATCACGGGCGTCTGCCTCTTTCCTATGAAGTCACCGCGGCGACCTCTTCCTCGTTTTGTGAGTCCACGTTGTGGTAGTCCAAGATTTCAGAGTACCTAGACATTAGATTAGTCGAAATTCTCGTTACCGCTCGTACTTTTCACACGTACATCATGATCTTCCAGGTGTCAACAGGCAGGTCGGCGTCGTTGAACGACCAGTCAAACTTCTCCTCAGCTCCAGGCTCATCGGTAGGGTCGTGGTAAGGGGCGAGGTAAGGATCGGCCAGCGCGTCGGCGGCCTTGACACGGGTACGAGGGTCGAAGACAAGCATGCGTTCGAGCAGTTCAATGGCTGTTGAGAGTGTTAGTCCATATCACTCATCCATTTGTCCGTTCCACATACCTTGAGGGTCGGCGTTCTTGAACTTCTTGCTCAGAGGTTGGCGCTCGCGCTTGGGCAGAGATTGGACGAATCTAAGGGTCTGCAGAGTACAGGTCAGCGCAAGTCCTGCCATCCACTCGAACAGAGATGTCTTACGTTCTCGCTGCAGATGGTCTGAATAACATCATCCGGAGGAGTGCCAAGCAATTCAGTGATGATGGAGAACTGGTTGACGTGGTCCTTGCCAGGGAACAAAGGCTTGCCCTCGAGCATCTCGGCAAAGATACAGCCAACACTCCAGATATCGACCTCAACATCGTACTTTTGCCAGGTGAGCATGATCTCGGGGGCTCTGTAATATCTTGTCGAGACGTAACCGGTCATTTGAGGGTCTTGGATACGGGCCAGACCGAAGTCGCAAATCTTCAAATCGCAGTTCTCGTTGACCAGGATGTTGCTAGGCTTCAAATCGCGGTGGACGACACCAGCCGAGTGGACGTATTTCAATCCTCGCTAGAAACCTGATCAGTCGTGTTTTTATATGTCGAGCAGTTGGGAAGGACCCACCAGGATTTGGTAGAGGAAGTATTGGATGAACTGCTTCTCGAGCGGTCTCGAGGTCAGGAGGCGGTGGAGATCGGTGCCCAAAAGCTCGGTGACGAAATAGCTAAATTTGGAATCAGAGGCCGGGATTGATGTAAGGTAGAGGGGAGAGCACGAACATATCCTCGAGGGGGGAGATGAAGATGTCGCTGAGACTGATGACCTGCAGGATAAAGTTAGGTCAAGTCCTCGAGGCTTCTTTGGTACATATACATACGTTCTCATGCCTCAAATGCTTCAACAGCTTCAGCTCACGGTAGGTACGCTTGGAGAGCACCGGAGTACTGAAGGGCTTCATGATCTTCTTGACAGCAACAGCCTGGCTTGTCAACTGGTCCTTGGCCGAGCATACGAGACCAAACGCTCCCTAATCCTTTATTAGTAACTCTAGAAGACCACAAGGAGCCGTAGCACTCGCCATCCCAACTGGCTGTAGATCAGTGTATCTAGGGAGGGTGTCAGTAATGTTGTTGTAGGTATAGGAGGTGTAGAGGGGGCATGGGGGGAGAAAAAAAGAAAAAAAGGAGAAAAATTGGCGGCGACGACATTCGAGTCATCGCACAAACTGCGCTTACCGTGAGGTGATCTCAAACGTAGTACCGAAGATCTGAGCTCTTACGAATTCGGCCATGATGGATATGTGTGTGGTGTGTAGTTTGGTGAGGTTGAAGTTCGACGGTCTTGGAGGAAGTCGTGCGTGGAGCGCGGAGACTGTTTCTGAGTGGCCTGTGCGCCGTGACGTATGGTTGGCTAGGGGCTGTCAAGCGCAAAGCAGTTGGCGAATAATCAGAATAGAGTGAATGGGTGGCGACTCTGGATGGGAATGTATTTGTCGGTGTTGAGGCCTTGGGATTGTGAGGGTGATCGTCGCTGCGGATGGTGAAGGAGAAGAGAAAACACACAGGAAAGAAGAAAGGAGAATCGCCGGACAACAAATCACAACTTCCAAGTTGTTGCTCGGATCAGGATGGATCGAGCGATCGCTGTGTAAATGTGGCTGACGATGGTGATCCAAAACTTTTGCTAGACCGATGGGAGTCGATAGAAAACGCCGAGGCTTCACTAACCAACGCACGTGTCACTCCAACACTGCCAAAGTAAACTCACTTTGCCATACAATTGCACGAGGAAAAGAATATGTAGATGACATTCGATGATAGATATCATCTATTGAGTTCCTACAGGAAGCTGAGTATCCTGCGAAATCTTTATACTGATTCGGCGACCTGAATCGTAGCAACAACTGCGTTGAGGATAGCCCGCATTTGCTGTGTAACAAGTCTGATACGTTTGGTATCATAATACTCCCGATCCAATGATTTGGCACACAATCGGCGAACAGCTCCGTGTGTTGCCAGGCACGAAAGGATCCGAAACTGACCCCATACGCGTGGGAACAGTTCTGCAGACACATGCTGCGAATAATCATGCATGTACAATAAGTATGTCAATGCTCCTCAGGAAGAGAATGCAGTCGTTTCTTTCAAAATCTTTCACCTTGACCGCTCGTGTCCCCCAGATCCGGGAAGAGCAGATCCACCGGAACCGCCTGCCAAGCACGGAGTGGTCTCTCGATCAATAATCAGCCTCACAAAATACGGGCAAGCGAGTGCGGCTCTTGTGGGGGACCTGGCAGGCTGACTGGCTGCTTGCCTATCTCTCACCAAACGACAGTCGCATGTAACCAGTTCCAAGACATTCTCCATGTACCTGATTGTAGGCACGTGGGGGTGAGGTCGTTGTGTGCGTACGGAGACCTCATATATAAACCGTGAGAAAGTCCAGGTTTGGTACGTTGGACTATCAAAAGGCAAAGGGATTTTTGAATTGGTGGAGATCGTGGAGTTGTCGAATTGAAGCGGTTGTTCTTGCACTTTGCTGAACGTGTCTCTGACTTTCCAAGTGCCGTGAGTTTTGATGGCAACACTGATCAGGCAATGGGTCATGACTGCAGTTCAATCGCCATGCGGCTGTATACATGGCAGACTGCAGTTCAATCGCCATGCGGCTGTATACATGGCAGACTGCAGTTCAATTGCCATGCGGCTGCACCCATGGCAGACTGTAAAATCCGGACCACAAGCACTGTATATACTTTGTCGAGCGTTATGAACATGAGCTTTCAGATTGTTGTTGAAGCATCTTGTTAACAGACAAGGCCTGACCTGCGATTCGAGAGAAAGACAAGGCACATGAACAAAGTGATTCTCGGCAAGTTGTGATTCGACAAGAAGGATTGTACCGCGTGTTCCGCCGATATAATCTTTCGGCCGAGAGGTGGCTCTATCAAAGAAATACAGGTAGTCAAGCCGGTGAAGCTCCACTGCGTGATGGGATCGTAAGAGAGGAATCCCGGTTAGAGATGCTGTAGCTCAGCGGCGATTGCTGAATCTGTTATTCGGAGCTGGGTACGAAAAGAGAAGCAGGGCTATCCTACTGGCTAGAGCAGTCCATATTTGACAGCAATGATTAGGCGTCGGTGTTATTATTGATTCCTCATAGCTAGACGAACCACGCACCCTAGATCTCGATGGCAACGTTTCCACGAGGAAGCAAGTAGGAAGTGGTATGCGAATCGCTAACGTTAATTGACAGAAGACGGCCGAGACTAACCCTTGGGATCCGGATTGGGACAATTGTTGTAGACTGATATAGAACGGTTGTGTTAGCTCTCAGGGCAAAACGGTTGGTGCTCGGGTTTGACGGTGAGTGTGTACAGTTGGCGTTTCACAACGACAGGATATGCAGAGCAGGCCAGAGTTGTGCAGACGGTGGATGGCAACGGGCAGTCGACTGGCACAACGGGGACCATTGTGTGGCGCTTCGCGCAGCGGTTTAACAATTCCAATAGGAACGGGTCGTGATGGTGAGCGGATGGGCATGACATGACACCTACCTACCTGCTGTAGCTGCTTCCTTTCTGCCAATTTTCTTTTGATCTGCCTTTGCTCTCTCCTCGTGCTCACACTGCAAAGCAATCGAGCTCGCGGCGTGTTTCAGCAGACCTCTCAGGCATTGCAAGCGCCTGGAAAGATTAAAGGAAGGAAGTGTCATTTACCCAGTTTGTGGGGAGCGGCAAGCGTCGTCCCAAGGCAGCCCGCCCATCGACTCTTTGTCTCCACCTCGACAAGTCGCGCTTTCGAAGACGCCCGAGATCATCAATCAACATCATCAGCCCGCCCTAATCGTCCGCATTCCACGCACCCCATCGCCATCGCCATCCCCATCTCCAGCTCGGCTCCTGCAGCTCCATCTCTGAAGCTCGAATCCTCGCCCTCTCGCAGCTGAAACCGCAGCACAGCACTGCCCTTGTCCTTGGCCTTGTTGTGTTTGGCGTCGCTCTCGGATCCGGCATCAAAGCGAAGCCTTCTCCACCTTCCAGCCACAGCCCTCCATCCACCGACCTCGCCATTGTCCCGCCTTGTCGTTTGCAGCCAAACGCGCGCCCATTCTGTCCATCCCGAGCTGGACCAGCACCCGCTCTTTCTGTCCTGATATCTTGATCGAGCTTGCGACATCCGGCCGAGGCCGGTCCAAGCACTCGGAACTGTCACCATGGGTAACTGCATGAGTTCAAGAGGAGGTGACGATGAAGGCCAAAAGAAGAAGAGTCAGGCCATTGATCGCGGACTCGAGGAAGACTCGAAGAAGCTACGGCGCGAGTGCAAGATCCTGCTGCTCGGTATGTCAATCACTCCTCGAAGCTTGATGTTTCCACAACCTACTAACACGCCCTGCGCAAAGGTTCCGGTGAGAGCGGCAAGTCGACCATTGTAAAGCAGATGAAGATCATCCACCAGAATGGCTACAGTGTCGACGAATTGCGCCTGTACAGGCATACCATCTACAAGAACGTCATCGACTGCGCAAAAGCACTAATCGGCGCCATGCAACAATTCGACATCTCTCCAGAGGTCTCCGAGAATGTCCAACACTGCGAATTCATCATGCAGTTCACCGTGGATCCCGATCCGAACGCTCACCTCGACGCGAGATGCGCTACAGCCATCACTTCGATTTGGAAAGATCCGTGTATACCTAGAGTCCTCGACCACTCGAGCGAGTTCTACATGATGGATTCAGCATCATAGTGAGCACTGCGTACTCCTGATTCGGGGCAACTAGCGCTGACCTATAGCAGTTTCTTCGATGAAGTCCACCGAATAACCCAAGATGATTATTGTCCGACAGAGGCAGATGTTTTAAGAGCGAGAACAAAGACTACGGGTATCTACGAGACGAGATTCCAGATGGGGCAACTCAGCATACAGTAAGTGTCATGGCCAACGTCGACGTAGAACTTGTTTCTGACCAGCTTGCAGCATGTTCGATGTTGGTGGACAGCGAAGTGAGCGTAAGAAATGGATTCATTGTTTCGAGAATGTCACGTCCATCATCTTCTGCGTTGCTCTCAGCGAATACGATCAGGTGCTTTTAGAAGCCAGTGATCAGGTATGCATCACAACTCTCACTCGCGTGCTTCACATTTACTGACAATCCTTTGATAGAATCGCATGATGGAAAGTTTGGTCCTCTTCGACTCTGTCGTCAACTCGCGATGGTTCATGAGAACAAGTATCATCCTCTTCCTCAACAAGGTCGATTTGTTCAGGCAGAAGCTGGGCAAGTCACCACTCTCAAACTACTTCCCCGACTACTCGGGCGGCAACGACGTGAATCGTGCCGCAAAGTATCTGCTCTGGCGATTCAACCAGGTCAACAGGGCCCATCTCAACCTATACCCTCAGTAAGCCGAGCTCCATCTTTCTGTTTAGCCTTGCCGTACTGACCCGTTCACAGCCTCACCCAAGCGACTGATACATCAAACATTCGTCTAGTCTTCGCCGCAGTGAAAGAGACGATTTTGCAGAACGCGTTGAAGGATTCAGGAATCCTCTAAGACATGGCGAAGGTGCTTTCTGTCTGTCAGAAGCCCGCTAATATGCAACGCATCATGACGACCTTTCTACGTTTCTCGCATCGACACGCATCGTCCACAATCTCCTCCTTACACTGGCACATACGCCGTCACTAATACAATCGCGCAACATGTCGCGCGTATTATGAATTTGATTTCCAGCATAGGCGTTGTGGTGTAAGACTTTTGGCTATCAGGGGAGCGCTGGAAGCGACTCCCGCGTGGTTGGCAATGACCATGTGTGGTCACGAGGTTATTATTGTTTCCTTTCTCTCTGTCTTACTTTTCTTTTCAACAGCGGTGGTGCGCAGGATGCCAGCTATTCCGGCCGTCTCGTACGGAAGTTTCGACGAGCTCGTCTACGAGCAATTGTTCTTCTCGAGCAGAGGTGTGGTTGAAGTGAGCAATAAAAAGCAATGAACCGGCTTGGGGGTTTTTCTATGAGCAGCGAATCGACCTATTCTCGAGGCCGAGAAGGAGGAAAGAATCATATGTATTAATCTGTTTAACTTTATTTAATCCATTCGCGATTTCGCTGGATCGCCAGACCAACACCAAAGATATCGTGTTTTTTGACAGCGGAACGATGGGCGCCTCACCAAGCTAAGAATTATAATCACTCGTGTTTTTCTGTCTTCCTCCAGACCCTGTTTCACATACCAAAGTACCAATAATAGCCATATAGCCACATAGGCAAAGGGTGTCACGATAGAAGAAAGAGTCGAATCGGCTATCCAACATGACCAGGGTGCAACAGTCGCTTACGGTGCATTATGCTCAAAAAGCATTAGACGCATCATGTTGCAAGTTATATCCTGCATCCGAGTCGCCCGAATATGACCCGCAGCAGTAACAACGCAGAATGCTTTTGGTAGTCACATAAATGTCGGCTGAGAGCAGAATTTCTCTACAATTCCTTTTCGACCATTAGATCAATGCCACATTGTATCCGCGTGTCGTCTGTCAGCAGTCGAACAAGGCGCTTGGTCAGGCTGATCCCTAACCACTCATGCTTTGCCCCAGAATCTATACCACATATCAAAGTACCAATAATAACCGTAAATAGCCACATAGGCAAAGGGTGCCACGATAGAAGAAAGAGTCGAATCGGCTATCCAACATAACCAGGGTGCAACAGTCGCTTGCGGTGCATTATGCTCGAAAAGCATTAGACGCATCATGTTGTAAGTCATGTCCTGCATGCGAGTTGCTCGAACAAACATGTCCTCTTCGAAAGCCTTGACGTGAGACGAAAGTGTATGACTGGGTGAAGACGAGGCCGCATATTTAGTGATAGCTTTTGCAAGGTACAATGCATCAGCCATTCCAAGGTTTACCCCTTCTCCTATAATCAGACTGTCAGTTTCGTGTGTCTATTTGTTGGTATATTGCGAATGCCATTGCACCAGGGTTTGATATAGGAACACGTACCTGCAAACGGCGTTGCGAGATGTGCAGAGTCTCCAATCAAAGTGAATCCAGGTCGGTGTGTCCACTTATGACCAACAGGAAGCATGTCAAGATTGGCAATCCAAGGTGAGATGTCGCACGCCTCAATCCACTCCTTGTACAGCGGGTCCCAATCATCGAACTCAGACAACAGATGCGATTTTATCGATGGTACATCGGTACCGTTCCAAGGGTATTGCTTGATCCAATCCGTCGAGGACTCGGTGATCATCGCAGTAATGCTTATGCTGCCGTCGCCCATTTGCTGTGCAATTAGTCCCTTGCGATCACTGAATCCAAAGAAGGTGCCACGGTTTACGCGAGCATAGATTTCGGGAACAGCTTTCTCGGCATTATCGATGCTCAGACGTATACAGCCAACACCAGAAAAGAACGGCTTTTCGTCAGACAGAAGAGACCTCATGCGCGAAGAGGCGCCATCAGCCCCAACGATCAGATCAAAGCCGTTCAGAGAAGTGTGCTCAAACTCGAGGGCCGACTCCTTGGGATTGTCAGGGAAGTTGGTTGTGTTGATCCTCTCCAGTTTATGGCCCCATTTGACAGTCCCTTGTGGTAACCCGCTAAGAAGAATCTCGCGTAAGTTCTTGCGATCAATCTCAGGACGTCCTCTCGATTGTTTTGGGTCGCCTCCAGACAAGTTGATGTATCGTTTCATGTGCTTGTCAGCGAGGACGACAGCTTCGCCATCGAATCGGGCGTGCTTGAGGAATTCGTCATACAGACCGGCTTCTTTCAGGGCGAGAAGTCCCGTATTGGTGTGCAGATCTAGGGTACCACCCTGACCACGTGCGTCCAAAGAAACCTCGCGTTCGAAGACGGAGACTGAGATATCATGTTCGGATTTGAGAAGCAGGTGCGCAAGAGTGGTACCTGCAGGGCCTGCCCCAATGATGGCAATATTGAGAGAAGGCATATAGGGTGTTGTGATGAGCTGAGAAGTGAGAGATGGCAGATAGCGCGACTATATATATGGAAATGTATGATGTGATGCAAACACTACTGGCCGGCGAGGCTTTCACTATCAAAAGCCGTGAGGCTCGGAAACCGAGTACTTTCGCGAGTCGGACGGCTGTCGGCGCCGACACGTCCTGATCCGCTGTGCAAAGATGCGTAATGAGGTGGGCGCCTGTGCTTGTGTGATGATGAACTGAAAGAATACCGGCGTCTTATGCGAGGACTTGATTAGCTGCTGTCGTTGTCGAGCACCCTCCAATTAGACAAGGTAGCATGCTTTTGACTACAGATCTGCATGCAAAACTCATGTATGCTAAGCTGCCGTGCGTTCAACTATGAAAACACTGCTCTATCACGACGTTGTTGAGTGCTGCTCTATCATGGGGAGAAGGAGCAAATTTGCAGCTTTCACTGAGAGCGAGGCAAGGTAAAAGTAGGTAAGGTAGAGTAGGCAACAAGGTGTATGGAAGGAAAGAGCGGCTTGACGAGGACCGTCGTTTAGCCGGATAGCGGAGAGGGAGCGTGCGGCTTTGAACTGACGGACCTTTGAACTCGGGCAGTTCGAATGAAGTCGAAGCTGACTGCCGCAAGACTGCAATCATCTCTCCTCGCCATCCCTCTTTTTCTTTCTTCCCAGCGGTCATAATGCTTCGCACTCCGTTGATTCGGAGTCGGGCTCGCCTGTGCGCCTCGCGCGCCTCGCCCATTGTTTCGCGATCGCTGTTCAGCCGTTCCGTACGTCTTGTCCTCTGAAGCCTATCACATAGCCCAATTGACTGTCGCGTGCTGATTCTTCAACTCAGACTGCTTTTGCCGACATCCGTAGACCAGATGAGGCCGTACTGCCCGGCACACGCAGCGAGAATGCCCACGGTGACGTTCCTGAGCCGCCGAAGCTCGGCGCTGAGACTCCCGCTTCGCCAATTGATGCCGCTCCCATCGGCATTCCCAGAGTCCCTCCCACCCCCGAGGCTGTCGGCGCCACTCCTCCTCCTCCTACTCCTGTCGCTCCTACTGGCCCCAAGCTCGCTGCAGCTCCCCCGTCCAAGCCTAGACGCCGTGGCCGTTTCCGACGCTTCTTGACCACTCTCTTCCTCCTGTCTTCTCTCGGTTTCGCTGGCGGTGTCTACTACTCGCTTCTCTCGGACAACTTCCACGACTTCTTCACCGAGTACGTACCGTTTGGCGAGGACGCCGTCGCATACTTCGAGGAGCGCGAGTTCCGCAAGCGTTTCCCTAGTCGCAAGCTCGAGGACCGCCATTACCCTCAGGTCCGCGGCGAGAACAAGGTCAGCATTGGAAAGAGTAGTGGCTTGACAGCACAGGTCAGCGACGTCAAGTCCGACGATCGCCGCCATGTTAGCGCCCTCGAGCCTACCCGCCCTCTGCAACAGCCCTCAGAGGCCACCCCCGCCGAGCGCACTGCAGCTGTCGAGACAGCTGCTCAAAAAGATGGTAAGCCCCGCCACGATCTGGAGTCCAAGTCGCACCATCTCCTGCCAAAGGAAAATGCCAGTTCTGAACGCAATTCGCAAACAACAGCCTCCAAGCCCGCCCCTGCCGTCCAGGTCGTCCAAGCACCCACCTCCGCTGCCGCCCCTCTCGACCTGATGAGCATGCCCAATGCCGCCGAACCCGTTGTCCAGGATGTCGTCAAGATGCTCAACAACATCATCACTGTCATCAACGCCGACCCTTCTGCCGACAAGTACACATCAACCATGGCTGCCGCTAAGGGCCAGGTCGAGAAAATCGTCTCAGACATCTCCACTCTCAAGGCCCAAGCGGAGAAGCAGACCGCAGACGAGATCTCCAACGCCCACACCCTGTTCGACCATGCCGCCAAAGAGCTTGTCAGCCGTCTTCAATCGGAAATGCAAGAGCAGGAAGCCAAATGGCGCGAGGAGTACGAGAGTGAGCGCGAGAAGCTGTCTCAGTCATACCAGAACAAGCTCTCAACCGAGCTCGACGTTGTGCGCAAGGTTTCTGAGCAGCGCGCACGCAATGCCCTGGTCGAGCAAGAGATCGAGCTGCAGCGTCGCTTCGCAAAGAGTGTGCGTGACCGCGTCGAGGAGGAGCGCAATGGCCGTTTGGCCCGTCTCGATGAGCTTTCCAGCTCGGTCTCCGAGCTCGAGAAGCTCACTGGCGAGTGGAACAAGGTCGTCGACAGCAACCTGGCCACTCAGCACTTGCACGTCGCTCTGGAATCTGTCCGCCACGCCATCGCCAAGCACGACCACCCTACCCCCTTCATCAACGAGCTTGCCGCCCTCAAAGAGATTAGCAACAACAACGAGCTCGTTTCTGCTGCTATTGCCAGCATCCCTCCCACTGCCTACCAGCGCGGTGTCCCTAGCTCTGCTCACCTGATTGACCGTTTCCGCCGTGTCGCCTCTGAGGTCCGCAAGGCTGCCCTCCTCCCCGAGGATGCCGGTATTGCTTCCCACGCCGCCTCTGCCGTCCTTTCTCGTTTCATGTTCAACAAGCAAGGTGCCGGCATGCCTGAGGGTGATGATGTTGAGGCTATCTTGAGCCGTACCCAGGTCTTCCTCGAGGAGGGTGACATTGATGGTGCTGCCAGAGAGATGAACTCGCTCGGAGGTTGGGCTGGTGTCCTGAGCAAAGACTGGGTCGCTGAGTGCAGAAGAGTTCTGGAGACTAAGCAGGCTGTCGACGTGAGTTTTCTTGATTCCATCCCTTCTTTGGTGCCGTATACTGATTTATCCTACAGGTCATTGCTACCGAAGCCAGACTCCAGAGCCTTCTCGTCGACTAGATTATCAAAAAAGCTTCTTGGTGAATTTGTACATTTTTCTAGACTAGTTTTCTTTTCCCGCCAAGCTCAAAGCTGTACGATATCCATATCATTTCCTAGCATATCTTCACGAGCGAGTTGTGACTTGTGTTGTGGTAGTGAGAGGTGAGATGAGGTTAAACGGCTCCGCTCGGAACTTTGAGCGTAGCGCGAACAAAGCGCGGCTCTTCGCGGATATGGCTCGTCATAGTGGTGAGCGGTTTCGAAAAAACAGCAATCGATGAATCGTTAAGAGTGCTTTGAATCCTGTGCCAAACTCGTCCATACCCTGTTACAATCAAAGGCGAGGTCTTGCACAAAACACCGAGTCGAGTGGGCGCGTTGTTGTCTCGGTGATCAGGGAAGCTCCAACAAAAGCTTTCAAGGCTTCGATGCAACTACAACCACCCATCAACATGTCCGACGCGCTTTCTGTCAAGAGCTCGAGCAAGAGCGCCCGAAGTCTCAAAGACAGACTTCGTTCCGCCTTTGGTAGGAGGTCAGTCGATGACACGAATTCTCCTCGAAGAATCAGCAACGGCGAGAATGTCCTTCCAGGCCGCAAAAGCCTACAGAGATCTTCACTCGATTCAAGACAAGATTCTATCCAAGCCACCGCCTTCAAAACTCAAGCAGACCGAATCAGAGAAGCGAGAGAAAATGGACCCAAGATCGACAAGCAAACCGGAGAACGTCTCGACGACACGCTGGTGCTTCACAGTCTTGCTCACGACTCTTTCGACACAGTCACGGAAATCTTGAACAAGTATGAATTGGATCCCAACCGCCCACCTGGAGAAGCTCAGGTTGCGAGCTTGTCGCCTCAACTATGGAGCCGGATCGCAGAACATCTAAGCTTGGTTGATCGTGCTTGCCTTGCACTCGCATCCAAGACTTTGCTCGACCGCATGGGCTCTTCATATTCACAAATCATCAACCACCCCGACAACGCAGAATACAGATTCTCGCTCTTGCACAGGCTTGAGGATCAAATGCCGAATCACCTATTTTGTTTTGTATGCAATAAATATCATGTCCGGACTATGAAGGGCCAGGAGAAGCTCAAGCCCGCCAGCGTACTAAATCCTCTCTTCGATTGTCCGAACGCCACGAATAATCTCATGCCTCAACCGAGGCTTCGCATTGCTACGGGCCGAACACTTCCTTTCAACTTCGTTCAACTGGCACTAAAAGGCAAGAAGTACGGCTTGGATTATGGAATTGACGCAACAACGATGGCACGCCTTTGGAGAGAACAATACGAGCCCAGATGGATCCACAGCTCCCGTTACTTTATATTCAAGGGCCATCTTCTCATGCGCGTTCAGAGCACATGTTATACAAAGCCTGGATTAACGCCGGCCGCCGAGCGTATGCTGCTCTATAGCCGCGAGGATTACCAGCCTTACTTCTCAGTATGCGCTCATTGGCGAGATGGACTGTTGATGAACATCTGTAAATGTGCCTTGGGCCATCTGCCAGTTCCCGCAGAAAAGTCTCTCCATGAAGGTCTTGCAAAGGTGGCTGGCAGAAGAACATCGCACGGTGCAATCATCACACTCTGCTCGAACTGCCGTCCTATGCGTCGCTGCCCTCAGTGCCCTACTGAATACCTGGTCGAAGTCAAGTTGGCCGAAGATAGATCCGAGAAAGACCCAATGAAGCTGTTCAAGCATGCCATCGTGGTAACGCGTTGGAGCGACCTCGGTGATGGTTCCTCTCCGATGAGCCCAGAGTGGGCGGCTGTCACAGGCGCAATCGACACTTACGATTCCATCGCCACCATTGGCACACGAGCCGTTTCGGGCATTTTTGAAAGTCAGTCCGCTGATACTGGTCCTGGACAGAGGATCTTGAATCTCAACCCTAAGGATGAACACAAGGGAGAGGAAGGCAACGACTGGTACTAGAGCTAAAATCCGACAAGCTTATTTGCACTTTCTTACGAGGTCAAGCGTATCGGGAATACGCAAACGAACTCATTCTCGACTTGATATGTTAATACTACACAATTTAATAATTTCGACCTCAGATCTGAATGAATGTCTCTCAAACCTTTCGACCTGGTCTCACAATCACCATGGTGACAGGTGACTCGTATGCGTAGGACCTCACGCTTATTCCAGCCGTTCTATTCGTGTGGGTGTTTTGATTCTTCTTCTTGTTGTTAATCGAAGCGTACGATGTGTATACAGCCTCCAAGAAATTCGGATGGCCAACAGAGGGATTTTTGAACTTATGATTGCACATTCTCTCCAGTGATGAACGGAGCAACGTTGGACTTGAAAGTAATCTCTCTCTGGACGACGAGCCAACATCATCGTGCATTTTTGACAATCTATCATAGACCCTGCCGGTCAAAGATAGAGAAAACTAAAACCTAACCTAACCCGATCGACATGTATCCCAGACTCAACAATTCCCCAGCAACTACAAATCTGCATTGGAAACCCAGTGACCGCCACCCGCACAACGGTATCCATGCGACTGCTTAGTCCAGCGAAACCCCTGTGAGCACCTTCCAAGGTCCCGCAATTTTCTCTGCACAGCTTCCTCCTTTTGGTTTTCCTCGTTCCTTTCCTCACACTCCTTTCTGAGCCGCTCGAGCTTTTCTCGTTCCTTTTGTGCCAGACGTGATTTCTGTTTTTCTAGTCGAGCCAACTCGGCTAGGTTGGCTTGATGGGCTTTTTCTGCGAGAGCGGCTTGTGTTTTACTGTGGCTGAGATTGGCCCAAGTGTAGTCACTCACACCTAGGTCACGGGTGTCATGTCTAGGTGGTGATTTTGACAACTCATTTGATGGCGGTGGTGGTGGCAATTTCTCGGTTTGTGGGATGACAGGTTTGATTGCCTTGGGATTGTTCGTAGATATGGTGTTGCAGTTGAAGATGATTGGCGGGTCACCTGAATCCATTGCTTCTTGCGATTCGTCAGAAATCTTTTTGTCCTGCTTTGACGTGTTTGTCATTCGGCCGACACGCTCGGCAAGCATGTTGTCGACCACATGTGATATAAGTGGCATTGTCAAAGATAGCTGGCCGGATGACGAGTCTTCGCCTTGCATGAGTTGACGGAATACCGAATTGGCGAGAAACTTGACGTCGCGGGCATTGGCCCAGTTCACAGTGCCAGAGAGTTGCTCCAACCTTTTCAAGAGCCGTGCGGAATCACGAGATGACACGGAAGGAACTTCGATGTTAACCCGCTGTAGGAGATCTTGAATTTCATTGCCGAAGAGCTCGAGGCACTCGCTTGGGGTAAAATCTATGAGTGTTAGAGTTAGTGTGGTTCTTATAGAAATGAAAACAGAGTTTACTACCTCTAAAGTTCAGAGTATCAGGGAACCGGCTGGTCAGACCCGGATTCTGTAACATGAGTCGGTTGATGTCTTTGTCGTAGCCAGCCAGTATGACGATCAGACGTCGTTCAAACTGGGGTTTTGTCAAGCAATCAACCAGCTCGTCCAGTGCCTCTTGAGCGAATCTGCCCTCTCCCAGTCGATACGCCTCGTCAATCAAGAGTACCCTGCCCAAAGCTCTCTCAAGCAGCTTTTTGGTCTTCGGTCCAGTTTGTCCGATATACTCGCCGACCATGTCGGTCGCGGAAGCTTCGATAACCTCGGCTTTGGCAAGGAACCCCATGTCATAGTAAATCTGACCCATCTTCCTGGCAGTCGTTGTCTTTCCTGTGCCAGGTGGCCCACGAAATAGCATGTTGAAAGGGATGTAATCGCGAGGATCTAAACCGCGAGCCTTGACGTTGGCAGTTATTCTTTGATAGCCTGCAAACTTGGCGGCGGATTCGTCGCAGCCGACCAAGCCCTCGAACAACTGCCGCGTGTTGGTTGTGGCTTGTTGACCGCGGTCGAACTCAGGGTCCATATCAACGGCTTCCAACAGGGAGCCTTTAGTCGTCTTATTCTTGCTCATTCGCTGCTGATGCCGAAGTTTGGCACTGTTGAGAAGAATATCTACCTCGCCAGCATTGCCGAAGTTGGGACGATTACGTGTGCGATCAAGTACTCCCAAAGCAACCTTGATCGCCTGGTCTGTTGCATTGTAACCTTGCTGTACGAGCTTAGCTAGCAATATCTCCTCAAGCTGCTGAATGGTGAAATCCTCAAAGTCGAATGCATCTCCCAAAGGAAATCGTCGGCTTAAACCAGGATTGACGCATTGCAGCATATCTTCCATCTGATCCTTGTAGCCTATCAGAATAACACAGCGATCATCGCCAGGCATGCTCTGAACTTCAGCCACGATGGTGTCTATCACAGCGGTCTTGAAGCTGCCGGTGTTCGAGCCCGATGCTTTGGGATTCAAGGCATACGCCTCATCTATGACAAGCACCTTGCCAACGGTCGAGGCGATGATGCCTTTTGTCAACTTCTCAGACGCTCCTATAACATCGCCAATAAAGTCTGATGGGTTCTTGACCACGACTTCTCCATCCGAAAGGAAGCCAATGTCTACCAAAATCTGGCCGTAAAGTTTCGCTACCGTGGTCTTTCCGGTTCCAGGTGAGCCTAAGAAGACTTTGTTAAGGTTGAACTCCAGAATCGGCTTTTCTTCGAGCTCTCGGTGATAGTTGTATTGAGTCGTCTCGAGGAATGCCTTGACGGATTGCTTCACAGCATCCAGCCCAGTCATGCTGTCCAACTTCTTCCAGGCTGCGCTGTCTGCGAGAGCTCCGATCAGTTCAGGTCCGAGGAGATCAGATTGGGTGAGCATCATATCATCTGGCTGACCACCCTGGCGTCTGAGTAGCATCAACCTTTGGGCTTGTCGATCACGGATTCTGGAGAGAGCTATCTCAACAGCGCGTGCATTGCCGAAGCCTTCACGTCCACGACCGTAACCAATGTGACGTGCAACAACACGGCAGTAAAGTCCGTTAGGACCGCCCTCTACATTCATCCGACCACCAAAGAGCGTCCTAAGCTGCAACTTGAAGATATGCAGAAGTTCGGCATTTTCATAGTCCTGGAACTGAAATTGATGAGGAAAACGACTTTGAAAACCAGGGTTGTAAGCCATTAGCGTTTCCATCTGCTTCCGGTATCCGGCAAGGATAAAAACGACTTCCCCTCGTCGATTCACTACTTCCGGCAGAAGAAAGTCGAGTAATTTTTCACCTGAAGTGTTGCCGCTAGAAACTAGCTGATAAGCTTCGTCGATGAAGATTACCCCTCCGCCTTTGCGGCAGACTTTTTCGATGAGCGTCTCGAACCATTTGACACCTTCGGTGGCAAGGCGAGCGGCGGTGACCTCTTCAAATCTCGATCCGGGAAGTATCCTCAAAGATATCAAAAACTGGGCGTATAGTCGAGCAGCAGTTGTTTTTCCAGTTCCAGGGTTCCCGAGGAATACTGCCCCGAAGCTTTCATTCCGAAGGTTGACTCCCTGCCGAACACTCGTTTCTACTTTGGCCTTGATCCTCAAAAAATGTTTTTTGACCGCCTCGAGGCCAGCAGCTTCCATCATGTTGTCTAGGTGCACGTTGCTACCACCTTCATAAGCTTTCTGATACTGCCACTCTTCCCATGACGGCGATGTGATAATCCATGAGTTTTGTAATCTTTGCGTTGGTTGTGACATTGGAACGGACAGCGGCTGGGGCAAGGTATGTGGTTGTTCAATGCGAAAGTGTTTGCCTGTCGTTGTATACTCCGTAGAGGCATGCAGCGCCCACCAAAGGCTATGTCTAGACAGCGCAAGCCACAGATTTGTGCATTATTCCCTTGTCTAGCAATCAAAGCTTGCAGCGGGACAAGGGATATTTTGGGGCGTAGAATGGGGAACAGGGTAGTTGGGATGGGTCGGCGTGTAGGACTGATGGCTGGCCCAGAACATGACTTTTCCAAGCCTTCGGCTTTCACTGAGTCATCGTTTTGAGTGAAATAGTGTTAGATGAGAGTTGGTGCTTGAGGATTGTCTGTGCTGAGCTGAGACCTCCTCAGACAGCCCGCTCGAAGGACAAAGAAGATATGGATACTTTGAGTCGACACAACACATTATAGATCGTTCCAATATGATCCTCACGCTTGCCGCTGATGATTCGTAGATTCAATCGTGTCTTTCCGCAGGGGGGAACATACTCAGGGATGATCGGCCATTGTGAGACTCGCAATGGCTACCACGTGGCAAACCACCTCGACCGCGCTTTCCCAGAGTTGGAGCTCAAGGCTTGTCATCTACAGAAACTCGAAGCAATCACATGCGCAGCACTTGTTATGCTTTTTCATGGCCGCACGAACATTTTTAGTCGCGCGCCCCTTCCACCATAGTGTGTGCTTCGAAGAGCACTCTTGCCCAAGTATCAGAGATTCGAAATCGCATGCACAAGACCTTGCAAATTTCAAATGAGACGCCAGACTGGCAGCAGCGTTTTTGCAATGCTTCCTGGCCTGTCTCCGACCTCCGTCCGTGGTGAATGTCTGCTTACAGGTTGTGATGCAGTCCGGCTCAGCGCTTGGGTCGGAGTTGCTGTTAACGCCGTATTGCATCCATAACCTTCCATCATCGAAATTGACCTCACGACTCCAGTAAGGCTTTGATTTGCGATGGCGTTTCCAACCACTGTACGATGGCATGTCGGCGGAAGATGGCTGCCTGGTTGGAAAGTTGAAGCAGCCGCATGAGCAGAGCCGGTCGTGTCGATTCATTGCCAACCAGACGACTTCGGCACTTGCTCTCTTGCACCATTCAGAGCAGCACACGCCAGCCTGGCCCCGCGAATTGTTTCTGATGAATTCAAAGTCGCAAGTACATGATGGACTTTGCCACCTACTGCTGTACCGCTCATCGGCTCGATGGACTTTCAATTCTTCAACTACCCGCTCGCAGCAGGCTTGTATGCTGGCCAAATTTGTGTGCGTCTCTTCTGCTCTTGGAATCAACTTGCATATAAAAGAACAGTCGGGGCCATCGGTATTGGGGCCGCTACTGACGCCGTATTGCAGCCAGTAGAACCCTCTGGGGTGTTTGATGCGGCGGGCCCAATATGATTTGCATCCGTATCCTGGGTGATATTTCCAATTTGGTATAACTCTTGGTTGCATGGATGATTCAATAGTCAAAACAGCCGCATTGACATAGTTGATCGTGTTGTTGCATGCCTTTCCAGACCAACTTCGAGAAATATCTGCTTCCAGTGTGACAGGTGCCTGGCTTTCCTTGTGTATAAGTCCGGATGTGTTCAAAGTCGCACCGACAGAAATGATGATCGGACTCGCTTCGATGAGAATTGAGATCCTCAGTAATTCGCCAACAGCATTGTTCGATGTTGGACAGTGCATGCTCGTCTGAAACCTGGTTGGCGGTTGGCATCATTTTGCAGACGAATGAGCATTCTGGCCCTTGTGAGCTAAAGCTTCCACCAACACCACACTCCAGCCAGTAACTATCGTCGTGTTGAAGAACCCTACGGACTCGAGAGGACTTGGCGCCCTCAGAGGTGTTGCGCCTAGTAATAGGTCTTATCTCGGTTTGATCAGACGACACTACTGTCGGCGGCTTGTTCCAGTTGTTGTGGCCATTGCTATATTCATGGGGATTGACGGTCACACTGTCATTACGCTTCTCCGAGGTTTGTCGTTCAAACATGTCTACGGAGACGAGTGACGATGAGGAAATGCGAGTTTTGGCAACAGCTATTCGCATAGGCTGATCCTACAGACCACGGAAACGCGACGTGAGCGGCCATCTTATATGAGAGGTTCATCTTCAAGGTTATCGACCATTGACAATTGCGTGGGTTGGTGCCAAACTTTGTGTGAGCTCGTTCGCTCGGCGAGCAAGATTGACGCCATATTACTGGCTGAGGTTCAGCTAAGGTCATACGACGTCTTTCATAAACTTCTAGTGTCAGATTGTTTTACTGCTTTTAGGTCATCGATAGGCATTGCACAGGAGCGATGTAACGAGGAAGACGTGTTTGTTGTTCTTCGCGAAGAAGTGCGCCGAGGCATCGGCAGATGTTCGGAAAACGAATCGCGAAACGAGTCCCCATGGAGGGGTCTTCTGTGCTCTGCCACTCTTAATCTATCTTCGCTTTGCTTAATTGGATCATCATAAAACCGTTCGTCCCTCGCCTTCTGTGCGATCATTCTCGGATATCGAGTATGATACCTGAGGTGATGCACAATGTTGAAAATGACTCGCTAGAGTGGCCACTGCACAGACAAGGAAGGACAAGGACGCCTGACCGCGCACCGTCAAAAGCTTCGATACAAACAACAACAAGATGCCATTTTCTATGGGAGGTAGGAAGCTATAACAGATATGGGGCTTAGCTTCTATATCTCAAACACCGAGGGTTATCACCGAAACCGGACGTGACTCGGAGTAGAGTACCAGACTATATTACGCAGCTTAGCTCCAGACATTGAGATTCTTCGAGACTTCTTCACCCCAGCCAATCTGACCTCTTCTGAACGTCACACCTAGACCACACACACAATGTCTCTCCAGGATAAGATCGCGGTTGTCACCGGCGCTTCGCGTGGCATTGGCGCTGCCATTGCCAAAGCCTACGCCAAGGAAGGTGCTCATATCGCAATTGTCTATGCATCGCCCTCGAGCACGGAATCAGCAGAGGCTGTCAAGAAGGAAATCGAGCAGTTGGGTCGTAAGGCCATCTTGATTCAGACAGACCTGGTCAAGGCAGACTGCGGCGAAGTTGTTTTGCGCGAGACACTGAAAGGCTTCAACACTGAGAAGATTGACATTCTGGTCTCTAATGCTGGTATCTTCAAAGAGAACCACACACTAGAATTCGACGCAGATCTTTTCGACAGGTAAGTCGATTTTCGACGCTTGGCAGCTTTCGTGTGCTGACTTGAGATGGAAAGAACGATGGCGATCAATGTTCGCGCTCCGGCAGCGCTGGTCAAGTCGATTGCTCCGCACATGCCTCGAGGCGGTCGTGTTGTGGTCATCTCGTCCATGGCTTCCACATGGTTCAGTCCTAACATGGACATCTACTGCGCGAGCAAGGCAGCCGTTAACGCAATGATGAAGTGCTGGGCTGTTTCACTGGGCAAGTCCCACGGTATCACTGCCAACGCCATCAACCCTGGCTTCTTCCCTACCGACATCAACTCTCACTTCTCGGACGAGCTCCTGGAAATGTTCAAGAACAAGCAAGCTATTGACCACCGTCTGGCTCACACGGATGACTTGACTGGTCTGGCAGTGTTCTTGGCCAGCGAGCAGTCTAGATGGATAACCGGAGAGACGGTCGAGTGCTCTGGGGGTTCTTCTCTGGGATGAATATTTGCTTGTATCTCGAGCGAGTAATGCGGATGTAGAGGCATTAAACATCACAATAGAACCAGGATCCTCAAACGCAGACTGCTGGCATCGAATCAGCTATAAAAAGGCACAATGTTTTTGGTCGTGATCTAACTTTCCGCAGAGATCGCAAAGAAGTCTCGCTCTCAGTGGTCGTCCCAACCCTAAAAAGCAACTTGCCTTCTGACAGCTAATGGACAAGCAGTCTACATACGGAAGCCATAATTCCGGCGCGAATCCTATTACCTTGCATGATTTTTTTCAGCTGTCTAGATGGCAACCGCCAAGCAATTACCAACACCCGATAATGTCTTTCGAGCTCATCGCAACTGCCCTTTGACAATCTGGACAACGCCAATCTTACGAGACCAAGAATGAAGTGGAGAGGAATATGTACTTCTCAGAGCCAACGCCCATTGATCTCGACAAAGCATCACTGCGGTCTTCCAAGTCTATCTTATCCATCTGGGTGGTTTACAACTGAACTGTCTATTGTCACAAAGTACCTTCCAGAAGCACCCCCTTGTTGAATTCCTGCTTTCCCATTCATTGACGTGTTGTGAATGGAACCTTCTTGCTCCAAGATATCCATTCATACATAGTGCGGTTATCCTCTCGATACGATCTTGGATTTCCCCCAACACGCAGGCTTACATTCACAACCTCCTCAGTATGGGTAGTGGCAGAAAGAGCGGTCGCGTACCCACCCTGTTCAGACCAGATGCGCCCAGGAACTCAAAGACAAACGGCTCTGACAAATCGGATCCGGATGGAAACGACCATAATCAACGTAACAGGGATAGCTCTGTTAGGACGCCCGGAAGAAGTATCACAGGTGCCGACAAAGATGAGACTGACGACGAAGTCCGACTATTGTACAACTCGCCTACTGCACAGGAAGTCTGGCTGCTTGTCAGTGAGGTTCCTCCCAAAGCCGTCAAGGAGTGGATGCAGGGGCATCGTGATTCACAAAGTCAGTTGGTGACAAGGTGCCACCGTTCATCCACGACCTCGTCAGAGGCGACGACAACGAGATTTGGACGACATTCAGAAAAGGTGGCAAAGAAAGGAATGGTGAACTTCGGTCCTTTGTTGTGGTCCAAGCCACTACAGTGCCCTTTGATCTTCTTGAAGAATATGCCAAAAGGCAGAGAGTTGTTCTCGGAACGGCTCGAGGCCCTGGAGGCAAGGACATCATCACTCTCTCGCCTGTAGGCTGGGAAATCGTTCTTGCCAGGCAGGATGGTGATGGAAGTATACCTCCAGTCCGACCGGATTGCGAAAGCGTCTCTAACACACCATCATCTGAAGCCAAAGGTCATGCTTACATGCTCGCCCATAAGAACAATGTCGTGCCGCATTATCCCATCCCCACTACCATCAAAGGCAGATGCGACGATGCAACAAAGTCATTTGAGAACATCACCCACAACGACGATGTCGCTCGCTGTCAATCAGGCAAACACAAAGCCTCGAACCCTCATTACGTCTGCACAGACTGTCACCATGAAGACCCCGCCTACAACCTCACCAAACACGAAAGAAACCACATGATCCGCGACAAAGGTTTGTTCCCCCTCTGCACCAAATGTGTCGAACACATATCCGAACACTGGAATATCGAGATCGAAGAAGATCAAGAGTTGGATAATTGCACATGCTTGATCGGCCTTCCACAATGGCTTTGCGTAGATTGTTGGGTCGAATTGGCAAGACTGAGAAGTAACAAGCGTGGAGAAGGTGATAGATGCAGGTGTAATGGACGGACAGGGGGGAAGAGTAATAAGTGGGACTATGAGATCAGTGATACTGTACGTCAATGCTCTGGTTGTGATGAACTTGTCATCAGGAAATGGTGAATGCGGAGTTGGATACATTGCATATTGGCTCACCACATGAACGAAGGATTGACAAGCAGAAGCAAAATACAATGGAGTTCTTCGCACAGCTAGCCAAACAGGAAATGGGTCGCATCGGTAGAACGAATATGTATTGGAATTGAAATGAACTGTCTTTACTTATGATCAATGAGTGTAACAGAATGATGTTAGTGTTCAAAACTCTGCCCACTCGAGCCAGCCCTCAACAACACCCTTCAACAGACCCTTCTTATCACTACGAATGATCTTTTCAAACTCTTGCAGGTTCAACCTCCCACCACCGCCACGCAAGACAATTTCCTTTTTCTCTTCATCGAGTCGAGCAAGCTCTTTTAGTCTCTCTCTGGAGGGTATTCCGGACTGCCCCATCTTCTCAGACTGTCTATGGGCGAATGGAGGGAACACTGCTGACGTCAAGTCTGTGTTTGGAGTCGAGAATGGAGCTTGCAAGTGATTTGTCGAAGGAGAGAGACTGTCAGAATTCGTCGAGGACGCAGCATTCGGCGAATTGTTGCTCTCGCTGGAGGGCATGTCTTCCAACTCTGGCATGTCCGAGAACATATCGTCCAACCGGGCGTCATTCTCAATTTCCCTTGATAGGCGAGGTTCCTCTGCGAGTGACGTTGATGGCGAGTCTGGCCTAGGGCTGTCAAGTTGTGTTGTGGACGACGGATCGACGTCGCTTGAGGAGTCGATGATATATCCTGACTGTGCCAACAGATCATCCAGAGATTGCTCTCGAATATTTGTTTCCAGGTCTTCCAGATCATCGTTGAGTGTTTCGCTCTGTTGTGCAATGTGTTCCTGAAGGTCCATGGCAATCTCTCTTGGCGTGGGTAATCCCTCAATTTCATCAGTAGATTCCACATGCAGCAACGTATTGCCGAGGTCAACTTCATCATGCTCTTCCTCGATGTCAAAGTGCGCTTGGTCGTTCGCAGCATTCGCAATAGCCATAAGAGGGTCCACTTCAGAGCCGACGCTTAATTCTTTTCGATGCGCGTTCGCTTCTTGAACATACTCGTCAATTTCTTTTCGGAAGCGACGGCGCTCCTCTCGAGTTTTTCGTACACGCTCTGCCAATTTTTCTTTCTTCGCAAAGATAGGATCAATCAGCTCGTTGAGTCCTTCTTGGACGACCTGGAAGATTACTTCTGTACCGAAGTCTTTCTCTGCCACAGGGACGTCGTAGGCACGGCCTCTCTCGAGTATACCTTCAGATAGGTCGGGTATTAGATCTCCCTCAACCGTACATGCTCCTTGATCCGAATTTTGCGCTGCTGGAATCATTCCTTGAGCCATATCCATGAGATCTTGATGCCACCTTTTTTCTGGGTCCTCTAACGTAGTTTGGCCACGTGTTCGTCGAGAGTCGGTCTCAACCATGTATCGGTGTACTCCTTCAGTTTCTACACCGTCGACCGCCACACTATCGGATCGGTTGAGATTGTTGGTGAATTCTGTGAGGTACTCCAGGGGCAATGTATCGGTATGAGCTAAGCTTGGTGGCAGAGTACCAACACCATAACGATGAGCCACAGTGCTGACAAGACTTGAGTCTGGCAGTTCCAGCCCATCTGGCAACACTGCCGAATTAAATGGTCCCGCGTCTGGTCGTACTTGGTTCTCCCCAAAGCGATCAAGTATCTTCATGGTGGGCGCTCTCGTCTGTCCAGGGGGAACATCTTCCTGTGCGAAAGCTGCACTGATCGGTTGACTGGAATGAACGACTTTGGCGCCGTAGCTGACCATGTCGTACTCTGCAGCTCTGATCATGTCACCTACAATGTTTTTCTGAACAGCGTATTTCGCACTAAGCATACGCAAAAAATCTCGACGACTGATGTATCCGTCACCATCGACATCATAACCGAGGAATATTCGATCCATCGAGGTCCGCTTACTAGTGCGACGAAGGTAAGCCATGCCTAGTATGTATTCTTTGAAGCCGATGAGCCCATTGTTGTCAGTGTCGTAGAAGTTGAACATGCGGTCGTAGAGAAAACTAGGTTCGACAGGACGTTCCCAGGTCGGAGATGTCATGACCTTGTTAAAAGCATGTCGGTCGACAGCAAGGCCAATCTGCATTGGATCCTAAAGACAGTTAGAGAAAGGCAACTAGATTAGTGCGAACTGCACTGAGCAGAAGGCATCTCCTCTTAGCGTCTGGAGGTAGGAACGATTACATACCTCTGGATAGTGAACGTTGGCTTTGCATTCGAACTGATCATAGAATACTTGGATAGTCAAATCATCAAAGCCTGATTCAGTAGCCAATTCCCTCTTGAGCGAACTCTTCAAAGCTGGCCATTCTGTCATCGAGTCGCCAGGATACCAGGGTTCAGAGACCTGGTGGTTCTGGCCCAGATAAGAAAGAGGGACCTTAATTTTAGTGAAGAGATGAGTTTTGGGGTGCATCGGATGGGATTCGCATGTCGAGCAAAGGTCGAAGTCAGGACAGTTATTGCAGTGCCAGCGGACACCGAGTATAGGATACTGACCACATTGTTCACACCTGATACCAGTGTGGACATAAAGACGACGCATCGCCTCTTCCTGAGCTATGTTGTACACCAAGCTCTTGACTCTATTGCACAGTCAGCCTTTAGCACTTGGATGTGCTTTGATAATAGATACCCTTGAGCAGGCTCCCTGTCGTCCTGATGATCCGAATCAGCAGAGGTCTCACTAAGACCCCGTTCTGTATCGTCGGGGATCATTGGCAGACTTTCAAGGCCACAGATGTCAGCGAAGGCTCTGGCAACAGCCGCTTGATGGAATTTCCATGATCCTGAGCAGAGCATGTGGATCTTAGCAAGCAGCTCATCAATGTTAGGTTGCCGCAAAAGAGGGACCAGCTCCCGGAGATCCCTCGAGGCTTCCAACTGCTCAGTAGACAGACTCTCATCAGGCTGAATCAATATCGCAAAGATGGCCTTGAGAGCAGCCTCTTGAATTTTGATGGTCAGATCGAAAGCGCTTGAGTTTGGGATGTTCAAGGCTTCTTGAATCTCGACTACGGTAGGTGGCGCGGGCCCATTTGGAAATCTGACGAGAACTAGAGAGGTCAGTTATCAATTGTGAGTAATCGAATGAAGATACTTACGGCCTTCAAAATCAACATTCAACAGTCCGAAGGGAAGGGATGGTTCAGACGGGGATGAGGCCCATATCCTTGTGCGATCGCGTGTGTGATTACGAGCCCTAACAGCGCCACGTCGTCGTAGGTTGGCGGAGGTGTCTTCTAAAGGCCAATTTGACCAGATAATATAAGAGCTGTATGCCGCGATGAAGCCTGTAGTGACCAATACCCATGGGCGCGAAAATAACGATGGAGCATTAGAAGGCATGCTTGGAATGAGAAACGGACAATTAACAGAGCAAATCAGTGACCCTCCAACGATCAATCATATTTGATGTTTGTTGCCGAGCTGAGAAGAATGAAGAGGTGTCTGCAGTCGGGAAGGATGATGTGTTGCCTGCGATGTACGAAATCTCCAGCCGCGGTAGTCGCCGAGGAGCAATCAAGACGGCAGGTACTGAGGGAAAAGGCAGTCACAGCAACTCCGAACGCTATTGAACACACTTTCCCATCTTGTCGATGCTGAGTCTGGTATTGAAGAGCATTCGCCTGACCGAGGCCTCGCGCATCGGATGCTTGGCGGGCTTCGAGTCGACAAAATCACCATCACGCATGCGACAGACATTACAGAAAGTTTACAGATGATATAATACAGAGTGGTATATGTACAATTTTGTAGAATAGACAAGCCCAGATGGGACTCAAAGCCAGCCAACGCTCAAGCTCCAAACGCCGTAAGATGGTATGAGAAAAGATGATTATGACCTGGATTGCCACAGCTTCCTGGCAGCGTTCATGAGAGGGGAATCATATCTGCTTTCGCCAGCCTCCAAGACGCTGCGGACAATTCCTGATGTGTCGGACTGAATCTTGGCCTCAACAGCTCTGGCCTTCTCTTCGGACAGGCGCTTCTCTTCTGCGCCTCTGGCCTGGGCCAAACGCTTCTTCATAGCAGCAATCTCCTTCTCCTCATCGTCTCTAGCCTCGAGCTCCTTGATCCAAGCATCACGCTTGTCCTTCTTCTTCTTTTCATCAACCAAATCGTTGTACTCCTTGCGCTTGTTGCGATCTTTCTCCCAGTAAGCGGAACCAGCAACCATGGCGAGCAGAGTGAAACCCTGGGCGTAGATACGACGGCGGAACATGCGGTTCGTCTTTGCGTGGTCACCAGACTTCATTGACTTGGTAGCTTCGTAGAGAGCCCAGACGGTCAGACCGCAACCGAGCGGGATGAGAGGCTCTTCTACAATTCTGCGGCGCAGCTTCTGCCATCTACTCTCCTCGTAGAAGTCGCTGGTACTGGTCAGATACCAATGACGCACAGAAGCAGGCCATCTCTGGTGACTTACGCATCATTGTCAAAGGACGAAGGCGGCGGCGCACTGTTCATGATGGGCGGCGAGATTTCGGACGACTACAGTGGGCTGATACAAGATTCGGAGGGGTATATATGTACGCTTCTCCGTGGCCGGGCAGAGACAAGATGGAAGAGAGTGCTGGTCGATTGACGGTTAACTGTGTGTCGAGCTCGGCGTGATTGGCCAAAAGCTACAACCAAAAGTCGATGATGATGTTGACGGCCCGAGCGTTGCGGGACCTCCGACACCGCCTTCAGCCCTGTGGACTATCTGGAGCTGCTGCTGCCGTTTCCCAAAGAGTCATCCGAGCGACTTCCGCAGCTCATCTCTCACGCCATTCAATCGCTCCTTCCTCGTCGCAATTCCTCCTCCTCAATCCCGTAGCTTCCGTCTCGACAGACATGGCACAAAACGGAACGTCAGGCCAGGAGGCGCAGGAGCCTGTCACGCCCAAGCTCAACTCGCTCTCGTTGACCGAATACGCAACAAACCCATCTCCACCGTCGCAGGACCCCCGACAAAAGGCAATTGACGCTGGAGTGCCCGAGTCCTTCCTCTTGCCCAATGGCTATCCAGACTACCTCCGTCTCATCCTCACCTCGCGCGTCTACGATGTCATTGAGCAGACTCCCCTCACACATGCTGTCAACCTTAGCAATCGTCTCGAAAGCCAGGTCTTCCTCAAACGCGAGGACCTACTTCCCGTCTTCAGTTTCAAGCTGCGCGGAGCATACAACAAGATGGCTCATCTGAGTCCGCAAGAGAAGTGGAAGGGTGTCGTCGCTTGCTCGGCTGGCAACCACGCCCAGGGTGTCGCATATTCGGCGCGCAAGCTCAAGATGCCCGCAACCATCACCATGCCGCTTGGAACACCCGCTATCAAACACACAAATGTCTCGCGACTTGGTGGTGCCGTCGTTCTGCATGGAAACGATTTTGACGAGGCCAAGGCCGAATGCGCCCGTCTTGCTGAGGCCCACGGTCTGACCAACATCCCCCCCTTCGACGACCCTTATGTCATCGCTGGTCAAGGTACCATTGGTATGGAGATTGTACGTCAAGCCGATCTGACCAAACTTGAGGCTGTGTTTTGTTGTGTGGGTGGAGGAGGTCTGATCGCCGGTATCGGAGTCTACATCAAGAGAATTGCGCCTCACGTCAAGATCATCGGTGTCGAAACATACGATGCAAACGCCATGGTCCAGTCTCTGAAGCTGGGCAAGCGTGTCACTTTGAAGGAAGTCGGTCTGTTTGCCGACGGCGCTGCCGTCAAGACGGTCGGAGAGGAGACTTTCCGTCTGGCTAGCGAAGTTGTCGACGATGTCATCATGGTCACAACCGATGAGACATGCGCTGCCATCAAGGATGTCTTCAACGATACTCGGTCCATTCTTGAGCCTGCTGGTGCTCTTGCTCTTGCTGGTTTGAAGAAGTACGTTGCTCAGAACCCCAGCTCGGACGCCAAACGCCAGTTGGTTGCTACTGCTTCTGGTGCCAACATGGACTTTGATCGTCTGCGCTTTGTCGCCGAACGTGCTGCTATTGGTGAGAAGAAGGAGGCTTTGCTCATGGTCGCCATTCCGGAAAGGCCTGGTGCCTTTGCTGCTTTGGTCAAGGCTGTCCATCCCATGTCTGTCACTGAATTCTGCTACCGCTATGCTTCGCCAACCGAGGCCAACGTCCTCATCGGTATCAGTTTGAACGCCAACACTCGCGAGCACGATCTCGCCGATCTCATCCACCGTCTTTCCAAAGAAGGCAAGACTGCTGTTGATATCTCAGAGAACGAGACTGCCAAGTCTCACATCCGTTACCTCGTCGGTGGCCGTAGCAAGGCCTTGAACGAGCGCGTCTTCGCCTTCGAGTTCCCTGAGCGTCAAGGTGCTTTGTTCAAGTTCTTGACAACCTTGCAGCCAGGATTCAACATCTCTCTCTTCCATTACAGAAACCATGGTGGAGACATCGGCAAGGTCTTGGCCGGCATCCAATGCCCACAGGGCCAAGAGGAGAATCTGAACTCTTTCTTGACTGAGCTGGGCTACGGTTATGTCGAGGAGACCAACAACCCAGTCTTCAAGATGTTCATGACCGAGCCTTGATCAATCCGTCTTCCATCGACCGCTTGGCTTCTACTCAAAGCACCGGTCCAGCATACTTTGTGATTAATATGCGATTTGCTGCAGTGCACCACACACTTCTTCCGATACCCAGTCACGTTCACAACTTGTTCTGTTCATTTTCCTTGCTTTGTAAACTACACGATATGATTTCCTACTTCTCTCGCAAACACTATAGACTTGGCTTGCTTCTACCAGCGCACAGAGTTGGACCGGTATTGGGTGTACAAAGGTTTCGAGACCATCGGGTGTATGTTCCTTTCTCCTCATAAAATTTCGCGGATCACGCGCAATTAGAGTATGATTGTATGCATTGATTGATTGAACGAGTTACTCCATTGTCCTACTGTAAGGTGTGTCACCGCCAATTCAGTGCTGCTCAAAGTCCTCACCGCCGGTCTCTATTTCTGTGGAATGCCACGAAACCTTGGCACAATCACCACCTATAAATCATATCGTTCAGGTCTTAGAATAACAAGAGAGACGGATCTGTCAACAAGGTAACCATGAGATGAATGTAGGCAACACTGGAGCTATGAATAGCTGAACTTCTTGGCATCTCTAAGTCACACTTTATGTTCCTGCATGGAGGCGGGGAAGGACATGTGGGTCATCTCGTAACGAGGAGGTTCCTGACCGCATTCGGCTTCTCACCACTTGTCTATCGAGGCAATATGCTCTTCAAGCTCGCCGAGTTCAGCATCACACGTCGCAAGACATACAAGCCAAGACAGACGTACGACGACAGAATCTGTTCGCGGCAAAGCTGGCAGTAACATCGTTTGTTCATCGCGGCTGCCTCTCCTGCTTGTCTGACGCCGATCAGAGGGCAAGATCGTAGAAACGAAAAAAGGCGGGTGTCGACTTGAAGCTCCGTGATCAACATGTGGTCATGTTGCATGCATCCGGCGGTCAGGCCAGGCAGATTGTGACGATGTAATGTTTGCAGACCATCACCATACTTTTCGCTTGCAAGGTTGGTCCAGGATGCTGCAGACATAAAGAGCAATTCTCCAGACGCTTTCCATCGAACCTTCCACTTTGAACGGAGCAACAATTCCTCTCACATCTACAGGTTCGTTCAGAGACTTGTTGATCTTCAACATCATTTTGCTTCTTGTTTCGACGTCCCGACAAACTTATCAATCTGCAATCAACTCCTCCCGACACAGCCACCATGCAACTCCCTCTAGCTCTCGTGGCCGCTGCCGCGACTCTCCTGACTAGTGTCACGGCTCTCCCTCACCAGAAACGTCTGGCCGAAAGCGAGCCCTGGCATCTTTCAAGACTGGCCGTCTTTACAGGATTCAATGGTGCCAAGAACAGTTCCATTGCTTTCAATCTTGTCGACAACAATGCTGGTCTGCAGATGAACACAACCTGTTCGCGCTCTGTGCTTGGTTCGGTCGAAGATCCGAACAACTTCTTTCCTTGTGCCAATAGAGATCTCAACTTCAGATGGGATGGTACCACTCTGCGTCTCCAGAGATACTACAAAGATACGGCGTAGGAGATCACCCCTGGATATAACGAATGTGGATTACTGACGTAGTATAACAGCGTCGGACCATGCCCTCTGTATTGTACCGTCACCGCTTATGGCAACGGAACACCTAACCTCGTCCTCAATTATCTTGCTGAAGAGGGCAAAGGTGAGACATGATCTGCCTTACTCCACTCCTGCTACAGACGGTGCTAACGCTCTTCTGACAGGTACCCATCAAGATACTCTTGACATTCCCGTTACCGAAATGGTTGCCTAAATTCTCGGATTCCAATACGACTTTGTAATGACAAGCCAATGAGCAAAAGCGATAGTGACAGTGTACGGAGTAATGATGTATGTTATTGATTCGGTGGAGAAGGAAGCTATTACGGCCATGGGGTCTTTTCAACTACAGCAACGTAACATTGCGATACTTTTCTACTCGTCCAGTCGACCTGTATTCCCATGAATTTGCCTCGATACAAGACATACATATCCATTGGCTATCTGTCAATATCGCATATATCTCAAGCACAGAGCCATGTGGAGATATATTAGTCGTTTATTTTTAGCCCTTGAAGGATTCGCACAAGTGATCGTGGTCGTGGCAGAATCAACACACAGCTTGGCTCTCAAGGCACCAGGATAATATGCTATGGTATAAACAAGTCAACAGCAATCATGTGAGTAAGTATTATCGCACAGAATCAATTCACAACCGCAACACCCAGTCAATCCTACAGCATGAAGTTTACCACAGTCACCGCCGGTCTTTTGACCTTCTCTACTCTCGGTCAAGCAGCCATCAACTTAACTTGGACACCTGATGAGGTCGGCCGCATCCGTATTGGCGATGAAATCAGAGTCTCATGGGAAACCGATCGAACTTATGTGCGTCCCAATACCTCGCATCACTCTCCTGATATCAAACAAGATACTGACTATTCGATCCTCAGGATCTCGAGTTCAAATTCGTAAAATGGCAAAAAGACGGTTGGAAACCAATCACGACCTCCTTCCAGAATCTCAGACAGCCTGCCGGTGAAGGTGGATATGTATTCAATGTTCCAAAGGTGCCGCACAACAAGTAAGTTTATTTCCCGCTCTTGCAGTGAAAGAAGCATAGAAGACTGACTGGTTGTTGGAATAGGTTGTATGGGTTCTGGCTGGAAGGATCAGAGATTGATAAGAATGCCGGTCATGCTAATTTGACTTCTTGGTTCATGGTCAATAAGAAGGGGTATGGTGAACCTAGGGATCTTAAAGCATAGATGTAGGATCCTTGTCTCCTCAAACGGCCTTGGGATTCAGAAATGTACTGCCATGATTATGCAAACAAGCTGCTCTTCCTTCCTTCCTCATGCGCTTACCGATCTTGTATGGATTTGGGATGTCGTTTAGGAGTGAATGACCCCTCCCCCAAACTCCTACAAACGCGCGTTTCGATCCCCAACCTCGGCAATCGCACTCGATGTAGACGGATGAATTGGAAGCGGGCTTCAACCGTCTTTTCAAAAAGGTAGGAGGTATTGTTTATTGTCAAGGTTGAACTGCTCCAATTGGCCAGTCGGTTTACAACCTAGAATTTGCACGAGTCAAGATCCACAGATCTACAATGGAGATGGGTCCATAAATAGCTACATACCCCTCGAAGGATTCAACCGTCGTCATCACAACTTGTGCTACTGCTAGTTAAGACTATACAAGCCTCCTGAAGAGTGGTTACGACTACTTTGCTTGGCACCGGAATCAAGACGCAAGATAAAAAGCTACCAAACACCTTCAAGAATAGTCCAAGGATACCAATCTTTACCAATCATATACTCAAGAACATCATGAAGAACGCTGCGGTTTATGCAGGCCTCGTGGCCAGTGCCTTCTTCAACCTCGGTCAGGCAACGGTCAACCTTACTCTCGTTCCTGCTGTGAACACTGTACGCATCGGTGAACAGGTCAATCTCGAATGGACCACCGACCAAGACTACGTGCGTTTGACAAACTCAATCATCAGCAGCCGAATAAGCCATACTAACGCCTCACGCACAGAAACTCGAGTTGGAGTTCGTCCAGAAGTTCGACGGTGGCTGGTCCCCTGCCAAATACGTCTTCAAGAACCGTCGTTTCAAGGCTGGAGATGGCAACTACACTTTTACTATCCCCAAGGTCGAGCCTAACCGGTGAGTTGGCTCTACTGCTTTGTTATTGTTTGCGTTGTTGCTAGTTCGGAAGCTGACGCGGGTTTATAACAGCGAGTATGCTTTGTGGCTTTCTGGAGAGAACGTTAGTGGTTCTGGAGGTTATGCCAACCTTACCAACTGGTTTGTGGTCGAGAGCCAGTATGAGGATCTGAAGTAAAGTCATATGTTTGACCTCCGTCTCAGACGGAACTCACGCTCGTTTCGTGCTCCGGATTTCTGCATTGAATTGTTATCAGTGGCTCAGATAGATCGATTTTGACCACTCTTCTTGTCAAGTTGTAGTCGAAAGACTTTGAAATGTTGGCTAGTTTTGATACTGGCCTAAGCAAAAGTGCGAGAGCTCTTCTCAACGAGAAGCTAGCGTAGATGCGTGTAAAAGAAACCTGTACCAGAGTCGCTGGCCCCAAACGCAGACCGGATAACAAACCATGGCAGGAGGCAGTTTACTCAGAGCGGGTAATCCTTTGTGCTCTGTCTGTTGATGGCTTCTTGCAGAGACACCACAGCAGGCTGAGAGGTCGGCTTAGGTTACATTCCTAACCGCGGCGCTTAATCGTCAAGCAGTAAGCATGGTGTATGAACGAAATAGTTGAAGGGAGATTGGCCAGCGGATGCCACCGGTGGTGAGAGGATTGGCAGCTGCACAGACCATGCTGCGTTGGTTCCTCCCGCAAGCGCCCATCTGCAAATCAACCATTCTGCTTACCATAACGTTAACTTGCTGGTCTATGGATATGTTACCATTCGCTGACAGCCTGTTATTGATAAACTCGCAGGTCTCACGCATGGAGACACAGTATATGAACTCCTATTGACGAACAGTCGCGACCAGACCTCCGCATGTCCTTCAGCTGAGCGCAACGACCCGGCTAATTTGGTCAGCAGTAATCCATTGCTATACGACGAAATGATTCTCTGCATCTTGAGATATGCCTTGATTACAGCTGGAATTCTTAGTGCTCTATATTGTACACTTCTAGGTCTTCTCACGACATCACGGTTTCAAGCACATGTGGTATACTTGCACGCCATACAAATGACTTGGGGAAAGGACCTCGATGTCCCAGAAGTTTTTGGCTTCCTTCACAACCAGGTCACTCCGTTTGAGATCGAGTCTGCAAGCGGCAAGGCATTGTACGCCTGGCACGTCCTGCCTGTAGAACTGTACAGGCAACACGAGCAGAAACTTCGGACACAACCAACTGGGCTTTCACCAAACATCACATCTCAACTTGCGTTCCAATTGCTTCGCGATGACCCTGACGCTCTGCTGGTCATCCACTTTCACGGAGCTGGCGGTACCGTGGGATCAGGATATCGCTGCCCGAACTATCGAGCACTTTCAGCTGGTCGACCTGACAAGCTTCATGTTTTGACATTCGATTACCGTGGCTTCGGGCGAAGCGCTGGCATACCCACTGAAAGCGGGCTTATCGTTGATGCCTTGTCTGTCGTCGAATGGGCCATGAATGTAGCAAGAATTCCACCAGCACGCATACTCATATACAGCCAATCTATGGGTACAGCTGTCAATATGGCTGTCGCTGAACGTTTTGCCTTGCAAGAGCCACCGGTCGTATTTGCTGGGCACATTCTGACTGCTCCATTCGTCGACGTAATCACTCTCGTTTCTACCTATAGCGTAGCTGGAACCATCCCCATTCTCGGACCCATAGCCAAGGTTCCGGTACTCTTCAACTATCTCCGCAGATACATCTACGACAAATGGTCAACCAAAGACCGAATTGCCTCATATATCAAGGCCAACGAGGTCAACAGACGCAAATATTGTATCACCCTTATTCATGCCGAGGATGATTATGATATTCCTTGGACATACACTCCTCAACTATTCTGGCATGCTATCAGCGCGACCAGACCGACAGGCATCGGCTTTGGAGAGCTTGAGCTGCTCAAATCCAAAGCTCGGATTGACAATGGTCCCGCAGGCAGTGTTGTTGAATGGAAAACTGAATGTGGCATCATCAGAGAGGAGATATTGAAATATGGTCTGCATGATGTGATTATGGGTAACCCGATCATATCTTTGGCTGTCATGCGAATCTTCAACCCATAGAATCCGTAGATAGACATTTAACATAGACACGGTTAGGAAAAGACAATATGGTTTTTGGCAATCAGACACTAGCCACTGAGGGCAGCACCTTTTGTTCTTCCTCCACATTGATCAGAAAAACTTCTGTTCATATTGTCATTGAATACGGAAACAAACACATACGGCCACAGTCAGCTGAAAACTGGGCATCCCGTCCGCTCTGCCATACATAAGCAGTTGAACGGCAGATTAGTACTACGGTGGGTGACCACGTGGGAATCCCTGCTGCTGTATGTTTTCCATTTTGTTTTGCGGTTTCGCACCTTCCTCCTTCTCCATGGCCTTGTAGGGGAAGTCGATACATCCTCGATACATATCGACCCAGTTGTTATTTTGATCAGTCTTACCATAACTTGGTGAGCATTACATAAATCGACGTCGGACTATCTTGCTTAGCACACTTCAATGCTCATGTATGACAACGAGCTCTTGTTTTCTAATACTGATCAAAGCCTATAATAGCAGCCAATGTGTTTTAGTCATAGGTGCAAGATATTGTGCTGAGTATCAATGTCCGTGGACGGCATCGTGTCTTCCGTCGAAGCGATCCGCTCGGCTTTTGAATAAGCCGTCCGCCGCCTGAGGCACGCACTTCATCATCACGCCAGAAACAACGTGTTTTTGTCGCATCCCTCGATACTTTGTGCGGATTCTGATTTGATGATACCACTATACCGGAAGGCAGGTCTTTCTCACTTCTCTACGTGAATGTCTAGATTATATAAAGTCAGGTAACGATTGTGTTGTTGGTCCGTTGCATTCTACAGAGCTTCCTTCCATCCATACAACAATAACATCAACTCAACGGCAACAACCATGAGCACTATCCACACTGTCGCTAAGCTGATTGGCTTGACATCTGCTGCTTGGTTATCTGGTATGAATACACATTCCGTCCGCGCAGACACGCTATCATTCTAATCAGACCTAGGCAACATCTCAGCACTTTCCTTAATATCTGTTCCTGCTGTTGCCACTGTCAAAGCAGAGTCTAAACTCTCCAATGGTCTAGCCGTCAGGATTTGGGAGCAGAACTACGAACTCGGAAAATCGCAAAACCCTCTCATCGCACTCACATCAGCGACCTCTCTTGGCTTTTTGGCATGGTCGCTTCGCGGGCTTCGCTCAGTGAGCGTGGTTGGTCTGAGACCTACTCCCTTGTTTGCAATTGCGGCGCTTTCGACTTTTGGCTTGATGCCGTTCACTGTTGCCTTTATGATGGCGACGAATAATAAGCTGTTGAAATATGCTGAGAAGGCGAAGAAGGACGATCTTGCGGTGACCGAAACTGAAGACGTGGATGGATTGCTAAAGCGATGGACATTCCTCAACGGTATCAGGGGTCTGTTCCCTCTTGCTGGAGCGGTGGCCGCTGGCATTGCTATCGTTGCTTGACCTGGGATCTGAGTACAACCCGAAAATGACGACATCTGATCTCGGGTTTTGATTAAAAGCCTTGGATGTATTTACATAAGAACAGCATACCTTTATATTCTACCTTTCTGCTTACTTTTACTATCAACTCTCTTGACCTCACAAGTCACACAGGACTCGGTCAGTGCACTCATCCCAAGATGCCTTCCCGGATTGCTCTTCTCGGCGCCACAGGACAAACAGGTCGAGGAGTACTGCAAAATCTTCTCGAGCAAGATGTAGACATCAACATCTACGTCCGTTCAGAGAGCAGATTGATTGACATGTTCCCATCAATATCGTCCAACGCCAGAGCCACCATCTTCGAAGGCGTTATTTCAGACCAATCTCTGATCGTCAAACTCCTGACTGGTGTCGACACCATAATCTTCACCCTAGGCTGGAACGAAAACAGACTTGGCACTCATATCATCGAAGAAGGCGCCAGAGCCATCCTCACTGCTCTGCAAGGAATATCAAAGCAAAGCGAGCAAATATCAGCACCGCCCAGACTTATTTTCCTCTCCTCTGTCTCGTGGAATGAGAGATTGAATCCGATCGACAATCCACCGCTCATGACAAGAGTAATCAGACAAGCCTTTTACTACCCCTACCAAGACCTCCTCGCCGGCCAGAAAATACTCTGCTCACAGCCTCAGCTCGTCAATGTAACCTTGATACAACCAGGCGCTTTGATAGAGGAAGCAGCATCTGGTTACGACATCAGTATCGATAAAGTGGGTGTGGGCATCAGTTATACCGATCTATCAGCTGCAATGGTGGAAATCGCGATGGAAGGGAGATTTGCAGATATTCCTGCTGTTGTGGTGACGAGTAAAGCTGGATACGATTTTGGAAGGTATGCAGGAGTGATATTGCCGAAAGTTGTCAAGGGATTGGCTGCGTCATTTTTGCCTGGATTTTGGATGGTGAATGATTTGACGGCTAGATTTTGGTCGTAGATGCGCGGCGGAAAGAGCGATTCGGCTTTTGATGTGTAATTGTTGATGCAGTATTTTTCTACGTAGATTTTTTCATTTGCTTGCACAAAGACATGATAGCTCCTCATAGACATTGTACATAGCCACGTCGTGCTGCTGCCATCAGTATCGTCGAAGATATGGAAAACGATTCACCGAACAATTCTCTTCGGCTTTAGGAGATGCGCCAGAGTCCGAGGAACGATTGTTATCAACATCCGTCACCAAACCATGATACAGTCGTTAGAATGACGATTGATTCAAACTTTCCATACATCATATTGTCCCGAAATCCATACGATTATAAGTGCTATACTCGAGTAGAGTACACATAATCCGCTCCATCAAAAAAGGGAGAAAACAAGGACAACGCTTACACCAAATTCGCTACAATGAGCTCTCGACCATCTTCCATCAACAATTTAACCACAAACGATACTCTCATCACCTTGCTCTATGCAGCAAACATCCTCCTCCCAATCTTCATAGCCGGTACATCAACAGCCCTATCAACATGGGTGATCCCCATGATCCTCACCAACCCATCTTCCAAATCCGCCATCTACCAATTTAACACCACCGTAGCAAGAGGAGGCAGATTTCTCCAACCGCTGAGTCGCTTTCTCGCCGCTTCTTTCGCTGCTTCAAGATTGCTTGTCTCTCAACATCCAGATCAGTCGGTCGCTGCGCATTGGAAATATTGGGCTTTCGGGACCGTGGTGTTGGTGTCTAATGCCCCTTATGAGATTATTGCGGTGTTTCCTGTGAACGATCGAGTGGAGGCGTTGGGAAAGAGGAATAGGGATGGGGATGGGGATTTATCTGAAATTGAGAGGAAAGAGTTGGTCGCTTTGTTGAGGAGTTGGCAGAAGTGGAATATGGGAAGGGTGGCTCTTGTGTTTTTGGCCGGTGTGATTGCCCTTTGGACTACGTTTGATACGTTAGCGAGTAAGTGATGCGACAAACATGACCGAGGGGCTAGGTTTCCTCAGCAGTCGGTTTGACAAGAGTTGTCAAGGAGGTCGCCGGTTTCTTACTTGGATCCTTCTACAATACACAGTTTGAATTGAATGGTAGTCACATTGATTCCAAGGATGATGGGACACAAGGTACTGAAGATAAAGGAAGTGAATGACTTTCTGTATAGAGATCTATAGGTCGTAAATAAAAGAAAAGCTATGTACAGAGCATAGGCGTATGTAAATTAAGGTCCCGTACACATTAGGGATATGAATTAGAGATCATGAAAAATAAAAATGGAGCATCAGCTTAACGACGGCTGGGCATGGTGCCGTTGTTGATGTAAACCAGGATCTTGTTGGATCCACCACAGGCCTCGGTCTTGTTGCCAGTGCAAGGGTAGTTGCAGCCGGAGGTCAGGGGGTCAGAACCGGCGATCAGGCTGGCGCTAGGAGCAACTGAGCCACCGTAACACTCTTGGTAGTACTCGGCACCACAGACGCGAAGGCCGCTCTTGGCACAGGCGTCAAGGCAGTTGGCAATGGTGGCGTTGTTGGAGCCGCCAGTCATGCTCATGGTCTGAGGCAGAATACGACCGTTGCTGCCATCGGTGTAACAAGCCATCAGGTTCCAAGAACCATAGCTAGGACGAGCGCTGAACTTCTGGGTCCAGGTGTTGTCAACGTAGACGGAGAGACGGTTTCCGGCGCCGCAGGTCTGGGTCTTGTCACCGCTGCAGGCCATGTTGCAGTCAGTGGCCTTTGTGCTCGAAGTGGGGGCAGCGTTGGCACACCAACACTCGCTGCCGTATTCGGTTCCTGCGTACTTGTAGCCTAAGCTTTGGCAGGTAGAGGCACACTTGTAGGGAGTGTTGTCGCTCTTGGAGCCAGCAGAGTAGGCCAGGGCGCGAGGATTGCCATCAATGAAGCATCCGTACGAGGAGAAGCCGGTAGGAAGCGACAGAGCAGATGAAGTGGACGAGGTCGAAGACGATGTGAGCGTAGAGAGAGTTGTGGCCGAGGAGCTGCTTGTCTGGCTTGCTGAAGTTGAAGAAACGATCGAACTGCTTGAGCTGATTGTTTGGCTCGAAGAGGTCGACGAGACTATGCTTGAGCTGCTCGACTGGGTAGCCAAAATCGAGGTGGAGGAGGCCACGCTCGAACTGCTTGTCTGGCTTGCCGAGCTGGAGGAGATAACGCTCGAGCTGCTCGTCTGACTTGCTGAACTGCTTGATTGGCTAGCTGAGCTGGAAGAATCGCTGCTGGAGCTGCTCGACTGGCTTGCTGAGCTTGAGGAAGCGATGCTTGAGCTGGTTGTCTGGCTTGCCGAAGTGCTCGACTGGCTGGAAGAGCTGGAAGGAGCAGTGCTTGAGCTGCTGGTTTGGCTTGCTGAGCTTGAAGCAATGGTGCTTGAACTGCTAGACTGACTAGCGGAGCTTGAGAGATCAGTGCTCGAACTGCTGGACTGGCTAGCCGAGCTACTTGACTGGCTTGCTGAGCTGCTTGACGACGAGACCGAGCTGCTTGAAACCGAGCTGCTTGAAGCTGAGCTGCTTGAAGCTGAACTGCTTGGGACTGAAGACAAGACGTTTGACTTGGCAACCTTGACAGCAGAAATGACATTGTTGCTCGAGGCGGGGTAGTCAGCCATGCTCTGTTTGAGCCAACATGTGCCTGAGTTGAGGCCGTTGGCACCACCAACATAGGTGAATCCTTGACAGCCGGAGGAGGCAGCTGCGTCACAGGCTGCCATACAGTCAAGGTATGAAGTAGATGCCTGAGCGTTGGTGTACGAGCCCACTGAGTTATCAGCAGAGCAGGTGACATTGTAAAGATTGCCGTTCGAATCAGTAATGGTCTGGCCATTTGCTTGGGGGCAAAGGCTAGCGGAAGGAACTCCGGTAGAGGAGGAGACCGTGCTTGATGAAACTGAGCTCGATGAGACCGAGCTTGAAGATGCTGAGTTCGACGATGCCGAGCTCGAAAGAGCAGAAGTGACGGTACTTGACGAGCTTGTAACAGTCTGCTTCAAGAATCCAGAAATGTAGTTGTTACCACCTGCAGGGCTGGCGCTACCTAGGGCATTCTTGAGATAACAGGCTCCACTGCCCTGGCCGTTGGCACCTCCAACGTATGTGAAGGCCACGCATCCTGTGGTAGAGTCGCAAGCGGTCATGCAGTCAGCGTATGTGTTTACAGCCTGGGCATTTGCAAAGGATCCGATGGTGGTGTCTGAGCTGCACTTGATCGTGTAGATTTTTCCGTTCGAATCGGTAACATCCTGCGAGTCTACAGTTGGGCAAAGGTTGCTGGATGCTGAAGCGGTTGCTGCTGACGAGGTCGTCGAAGATACCGAGCTTGAAGATACAGCCACCGAAGAAGAAGCCGATCCACTCTGAGTCGAGCTGAGCGAAGACGATGATGAGGAAGAAGGCTGAGATGCAGCCATTCCAGCCACGTAATTAGAGCCAGTAGGGGTGAAGCTTCCCTTGCTGTTCTTCAAATAACAGGCACCGCTACCAAGACCATTTGTACCTCCAACATATGTCCATGCTTGACATCCAGTAGAAGCTGCGGCGTCACAAGCAGACATGCACTCGAGATAGGAGTTGGCGGCCTGAGCGTTTGCATAAGATCCGATGTTGGTATCCGAAGAGCAGCTGACAACGTAGCCCTTGACAGTTTGACCATTGGTGCTGGGGCAGAGACTGGCGGAAGGGATTCCTGTGCTGCTCGATGAAGTTGAAGTGGCAGTCGATCGGGACTTGACAGTGGCAAATGTCGTTCCAGGAGCAGATGACTTTGTGCTGGTGTCAATCGAACCGTAGAGTGTACAAGCAGAGCCATCGAATGCAGTTCCGACACAAGCGCTGTTTTGAGCGCAGGCGTTCAGGCAGTCACCAACAACAACAGCGGCTCGCTTCTGCGGCAACGATGAAGATACAAGTGTGCCTTGGTAGGTGACGTCGACCTCAATACCGTAGGTAACACCACCCACCGAAGGAGTCGAACCGTTTGCGTAGGTGGTCGCAGCAGGAGCGGCTGACGATGTTGTCGATGTAATAGTGTTCACAGAACCAGACGAGCTCTTGAAGCCCGAAACAAGGTTCGATGCTCCAGCGCTGAATGAGCCCTGGCTGTTCTTGAGGTAACAAGTTCCCGATCCCTGACCGTTGGTTCCTCCGACATATGTGAATGCAACGCAGTTGGTTGAAGCAGCATTATCACAAGCAACCATGCAGTCAAAGTAAGAGTTGACTGCCTGGGAGCTAGCATATGAGCCGATCGATGTGTCCGACGAGCATCCGACCAAGTAGGTAGCGTTGTTCGAGTCAGCAACGGTCTGTCCATTAGTGGCAGGGCAAAGACTGGCAGAGGGAAGACCAGATGCCGAGACGCCAGTGTTTGATGCAACAGGGGCAGCAGTAGTCGAGCCTTGAACAATGGTGGAAACAGGAGCATCAGAGTTGAGCTGGTAAACAGAAAGAGCGCCGGATCCACCACAAAGCTCGAGCGAGTTGCCCGTGCACAGCATAGAGCAAGTGCTATCAGCAACGATCGCACTGCCCGCACCGAAGTACGAACCACAGTAACATTCTCCGGCATACTCGATACCAAAGTACTTGTATCCATTGCAGAATGCTGCACAGCTCTCTAGGGTCATGTTCTTGCCATCAGAGTATGAAGGACCAGAGAGAGCACGGCCTGAAGAGGCTTCGCTGTGGCAACCAGAGAAGTAGTAGTTGCCCACGACTTCAGGGTTGGAAGGAGCCTGACGCTGGCTGGGAGCGCCGTTGGAGTAGAGTGACAGTCGGTTGGACTGACCACAAGTCTGGCTGGAATTGCCAGCGCAAGCCTGGCTACAACCAAGATCCAGGACTTTCTGGGCATCAGGACCGATCTGATTGTCACACCAGCACTGGGTGCCATATTCCATGCCTGCAACAGAGTACCCAGCATTGACACAAGCAGCAGTGCACATGTCGATCGTGTTCGAGGATGACTCGTAGATCATGGTGTTCAGCGTACGAGTACCAGAATCGGTGTAGCAGCCTGCAAAGGTCATGTTACCGGTGTAGACGGAGGTCTGAGAGTTTGTAGTTTCGTTGTAGGCCGGGTTAGGGAACGGATCGTCAACATTGGCTTGAATGCGAGGGTAACCAAAATCGTAAGATCTTGCACCGTCGCCATAGAAGTTATCGGTAAAGAGACGAGCCTGGCCAGCAGCGGAAGCCATCATACCACCACCATCGTGGCCCATAACAACCAAATCAATGGTGTCACAATGACCCGAAGCTGATGTTGGGGCCTCACAAGTAGGAGTCCACCAGTTGATGAAGTAGTAGAAGCGCTCATGACGGTTGCCGCCAGTGGTAAAAGGAGCGCAGCCAGATGAGTCGTCGCCCATGTCGAGTGTGCCACGAGCATAAGCCTTGTTCTTGGACTGGTAGTTGGCAAGCACGGCCGAGGTGCCAGAGGCGACTAGGCCGGTATTGTAGATGCTGGGGTAATCGGCATAAGCATTGAGACCATCACGCCAGTCATCGTAGCCTGCACAGCTAGCACTGGAAAGAGGACGAGATGAGTTCAACCAGACAAGACTGTTGGGGTTAGCAATCCAGTATGTGACAGGAACAGAGACCCCCATAGAACTGAGAGGCTTGCCAACAGTAGCATAGCGCTGGACTGTCTGAGCACCAAGAGAGTGACCAGCAATGACAACTTGGTTGACGTTGGGAAAGATCGACTTGTCGGAATAGTACTGAATCAGCTGATCAAGGACGTCGTAAGAAGAGACATTGGTGTTCTTGACAGGGTATTGGTTAGTACCACCGCCAGCCCACTGCGAACCCTTCCAGACCAGAGCGTTGGACCAAGATTGCGCGCCACCGCTAGCCTTCTTCTTAGCACCAGGAGGATAATCCCAGTATGGGTATGAAGCATTCTTGTCGTCGCCGTTGGGGAAACTGGGTGCATTGATGACAACGGAGTCTTGGTTGATGTTGCTATCGCTCGTGACCTGTGAGAGTGCACTGAGCATCTGGATTGTGGATCAGTCATTGCTCTCTCATGAACAATATGATGTCGACTCACATTACTCATATAAGTTGCAGCGTCACGATTGAGACCATGCACGATGATAACAGCACGCTTGATCTTTGAAGGCACAATACGCTTGCCGTTCGATCCAAGAGACTGGTAATTAACGAGAGTGAGGTTGTTGTTCTTTCCAGCAGGGTCTTTGACTCTGAAGTAGACGAGTTCTGAGCCAGGCACACCGGGGTATGTGACATTAGTGATAACATCTCCGAGGTACTGCTGGGCTGAGGCGTCCTGGAGAAGGAGTGCTGCCAGGAGGGCGATGGTCTTCCAGAAGGAGGCCAACATTATTAACGAGGGAAGCGGGTACGAAACCCTGGTGAACAAGAGGGTGAGAAAAACGAGTGACTAATTTGATAGCAACGGTAACGGCAGGAAGATGGCATATCTTATATATTCTACTCCTTCAGCTTTTGCATATTAACAGGATCCAAGCGGGGGTCGCCTTGGAGAATTCGGTTCCCAAACAAACCACAAGCGGCTGAACATTAGGGGCCGTCGCGATGGAGAAGCCAAAAAGCGTGTTTAAGCGTGCTAAATTCGAGCGCTTGGGATAGGACCAAAAGTGTAAAGCGACCTAAAGAGGAATTCGTGGCCGTGCACGCGAGCTCGGCATGCAGCTCAGCTAGCCATATGCACCTTAGACGAGCTAGTGATATGCGGACACCTGCATTAGTCAACGCCTCGAACGCCCCGGGCAGTCGCATGTGAGCGTCGAAGCATTCTTACCTTTTGTTCCTGCATGGAAGAAATCTCCGTTCAGACGCTCACCTGCCGGTTGTCCGATGACAGATGTTCATGGACATCTGGGCACACCTGCGCCGTCTTGGTGATTCATGCCGTTGAGAGTTGCCGGCACTGAACATAACGTGTGACGTTTGCCGGAAACGGTCAAGCGGAAAACGTTGAGCGCGCGACAGTGAAACCTGGCGAAGCGATCGAAGACATGGAGAGCCTTCGAGAAAACGATACGAATGTCTTGCTTGAAAACCAACATGTACCTTTTGTAAGCATGGCATCGGAGTAGAGATGCGCTCCATTACTGTTGCGCTAGAGACGGGGACACCGGTGGACCGCCGGGGACTACGCAAATTGTAAGCGACTGTGGCAGAGACAAGACGTGAAGGCTTGAAGGCAGAACGACGGGGCCCCCGACCATGTGGCTCGTGTCGGGTGCGCCTCTGACCATCAGGCTGCTATCAAGCCTTTCATGTGGCACGATGAGGAGATGCTCGTATCCTAACGAGATTGGCTGGGTCTGGATAAGGAAGATCACTCAGGCACAGCGCTGAAAGTAATCTCGAACAGCAGCTGAAGGCCACGAATTCGAGCAAGGCAGCTGAAGGGAATTAAGCGTCGACCTTGTTTTCCGCTCTTACCTTTTACGCCTTTGACTCTGATCGAAGCCGGCATTACGTCGATCTTCCGGCGCTAAGAGTCTTCTTCGTTGAGGGCAGTATCCATACCAGAAGCTGGTTCGGAAGCTTTTACTTAAGTTATGATGTTGAGTGGAAGGCGTACACGCTATCCACGCAGAGCTCAGGGGGTGGTGATTGGGCACCAGAGCATGACGTACTCCTGCAAGCACCTAATCGATATATTGATTGAGAAACATGTTATATGAATATAAGGATATAAAGCAAAATATAGATCAAGATGCTTGCAACTAGAGTGGACACGTGAGACAAAATCGAAGCAAGGAAGGGAAGGGAAGCTGTCTCCACACGATGTGAGTACAAGCTACGATTGAGCTCTGGGGTGTGGTGGTCATGGATGAGTTTGATCAGATTGTCGAGAAAAGCAGAGTCGGCAATTTTCAAAGTAACACATGAGTTTAGATGGATGGTCGATGGCTCTGAAGTCTCTTTGCTCGATGGTACTCGAGTACGGAGTACTTTGAAGAAAGACTTTGGACTTCGAAGAGCCGCCCGCAAGTGAACGGCCAAGAGTTGGAAATGTCAGTACTCGATGGGTTCTGTTGCCGGAAGCGTCCTAGTTGGTCAGACGACTGGACAGAAGTCGTTGTTGCACATGTTGACGACAGAAGTGTTGAGCATGTGAGAGTGCAAGAGCGATTCAGACCGAAAAGGTGTTTGGTGGATTGCAAGGTCTGTTCACAAGTGCATGCAGTGTCTTTGGCTGAAGCAGAAAGTCGAGGCAAGATGCAAATGACAACCGCGGGCTGTGCTCAATGAGTCAAGTCCAAGATGGCTCCAGTCTCCAGTCTCCAGAAATCCCAGCCGGGAGAAGCTTCAGATTTGGACAGCTTTCTGCCATCCGCTTGCATCATATTCATCAACAAATGCTCAAATAATCCTCCATCGCTTGCGCATCTGGCCATCCTGACTCTTCATGTGTGATTAGAGGCTTAATCGTGTATGAGTAGTAGCGACGTTGGTATAGAGGCCGCTATACCAAGCCAAGGCAGGGGCCCACACGACACGACCGTCGACCAATTCTAGCAGCCATCGCAAAGCATCGCAAAGCATCGCATCGCATCCTAGACAAGCGCCATCATGGATCTTCAAGCACTGATGAACGATGATGCCGGCCCGAAGCGCTCGTCGAGTCAGCAAGAGGGCAGCCAGCGAGGCAGCTTCCCTCCCCCAGCACTACAACAGCAGAGATCCTCGTCAGGCACGTACGGTTCCATCTCGCACCAACATCAGGGACAGCAGCAGCAGCAGTATATACAGCAGCACCATCAACAGCAGCAGGGCCAGCAGCATCCACAACAACCTCCTCCGCCGCAAGCATACTACCACCAACAACGACCACAGCCGCCATACCAGCACGAAGCCCGCCCTTCGAATCCCTCGCTGCCGTCGACTCCTATGGCTCTACAAACTCCGCAACAGCAATATCCCGCCAGCCAGTACCCTTTTCCTCCGCAGGCTCATCAACAACAGCAACAGCAGCAGCAACACAGCCCATCGCAGCCCTATCCGCACCTCACCCCCCGCCAGCAGAGCCAGCAGAGCCATCCACAATACCACCATTCCATGTCACCCACGCCTCCGAGCCATCAGCGCAGCTCTCATCCCTATCCAACTCAGCACTCGCAGCCTAGCACTCCCCTCGGTCCACCTATGCAGCCATACACGCGACAGCCCTCGCTCGTCCAAGTCCAGCATCATCGCACCACCTCCGGCGCATCTTATGCTCTACAACACCAGGTCAACCTGCCTTCACAATCTCCTGCCGCATCTGTGCACCCGCAATCTGCATATCCCTCCGAGTCGCCGCAAACTTATGCGAAGAGGCCGTCGATCGATTATCCTACCAACCTTTCGGAACGCGACCGGAGCCTTAGTGTCAGCCCAAAAACAAGAGTCGTGCTTCCGACGCGCCAGAATAGCACAGATTCGTCGTGGACCGCCAGAGAGAGATATCCTTCACACGAACCTCGCCCCGTCCATCGTAGCTCAATCGACCAGGCCATCTCTCCCATGACCACCACCAAGCAGTCAGCCAAGATTAGTCCTTCCCAGCCGCGCATTGGTAGTCAGACTCCCGGGGGCTTGCGCAATATCCTGAACGACGATCTCACTCACCAGTCACCCTTGCTGGTCTCTTCACCTGCTGCTGCAAGAGGTCAATCCATCCCCCCACAATTCGCTCAGCAGCCTCACTTGCACCACTCGCATTCGTCCTTGTCTAACGGTAGTCCCGTCCAGACCTTTGAGCCACGACCTGCCGCCAAGCAAGAGCCGTCTGCCACTCTCACTTCCGAGTCGCTACTGCAACAGCCCATCGCCCCGACTCAGGCCATGTCGCAATCCCCGACTATATCTTCACAGTCTCAGAGTGTCTCACAGTCTACCCTCAAACGCCCTGCAGAGTCTGAGCCCGATGCACCTCTCCCTATCAAAAAGACAAAGAAGCGATATGCAGAGCCTCCGGTCTGGGCCCGTTATGCGCCTTCCAATCCCCGCTACAACGCAGAAGTCGAAAGAGCACTTGGCCCACCGCCAGATCCCACTCAAGCAAGGCGCCCATCTCCTCGTCCGGCGTTACAGGTAGTCACACCACAGCAAAACTCGCAATTCACTCCTCAGCCACAACAACAGCCTCCTGCCCTGGCCCAGCCAAACGGTCATGGACCACCACCCACAGTGAACGGTCACGGCCCAGCCACTGCGGCCATGCATCCTTATCTAGGGCCGTGGGAATCTTGTATCAGAGGCAATATACACCAACCTGATGCATTCTTGACACAGATCGAGAAATATCTCTTCGACGAAATGCTCATTAGGCCTGATGTTGGCGTAGGAGATGCCACTAGCGGCGCATTGGAGATTGAAGCAAAGCTGGGCACTCTTATCGACAGAAATACCGAACAACGTGTCCAACTACCTGTCCTCACTCCGGTAGTACTCGATCGTAATATGTCCACTAGACTACGATTCGAGAGTATGATGACCGAGTTCCAGCACAAGCGCTTGAACGAGTATTTGAACCAAGCAGTTCAGGAGTCCGCATCGACAGCCGGGCGGCAAAGGCTCGATTACAAGCACCGATACGAGGTGGATTCGTTTGCACAACTCAGTGCAAGCGGATTCAATGCCCTGCCCCCAGCGGCCGCGAATTATATTGATCACACACGACAGCGTAACACGCGGCTCCGCACGACCATTGATGAACGGGCGCCGGCTGGCACGAATCCCGTCATTGCGCGCATAGTCAAGATTCGACTCGCCGATCTCGACATCTACGTCCCTGCTTCACCATTCGACTGCCGTATCAGCATTAACATCGAAGTGGACATGCTCAACAGACCTGACTTTGATGCAAGCTGGGTCATGCAGGGCGGAGATGTGGACGGCGGCGAGCGCAAGAAAGATAGACTCAGCTACAAGCACTTGGCGTACAGTGTCGACTTGACTCAGGTCAAGGATGCGGACGGGAAAAAGAGACACGAGCTTGAGATTGAGGTCGATGCCGTCAAGCTGCGTGAACAGGCCGAAAGGCAGTCTACGGGTCAGCCCAACGGATTCAGCGATATGGTTCAGGGGTTGATCAACAATGTCTTTACGATCATGAAGGTGTTGCCGAAGAACTAGAGAATGCGCGAGACCGATCACAGCAAGGTCGAGAGGGTCGAAAGACGAGATGAAGCGATGAGGATTTGGACTCTGACTTGGAAGGTGAAAGAGAGAAACCATCTATATTTCTTGCTTCTTTAGCGTAATGCCACCAACGTTTTAATTCTTCCTTCAACAGCACTGGACTATGCAGAGCGCCTGATATGCAACTACCAATGTATGATTATATATGATGATGTGGTTGATGGCGGGATGGGCGTCTTGGCGGAGGGCGGATGGTAGAAGTTCCGATGACGGGAGAGACAGACAAATTATTATCTTATCCATCACTTTGCTACGACCCTGGACCGAATATAGCAATAGCGGGCGCATTGAAATCTGGATTGGTACTAAATGGACTGAAAGAAGGCTCGACAATCTCAAGGACGGCTAGCTTGATTATTGATCGCGGCAGCACAGAACTACCTTAGCTACCGGGCTACTATGACACGGCTACGGTTACTCGGGTGGCCGCTGCTCACACCAGGACTGAGCGAGCAGTCATCGATATGCACACGCTGCGTCAGGAAGCTGGGAGAGAAGCAGACATTCACACAACGATTGGCGACATCGGCGACGGCGAGACGACACATTTCGGGCTCACGGACAGTCAGGCAGACGGCGCAAGAGTTGGACGGACGATACTTCCTGGCCAATGGCTTTGAATCGAGGATTGCTGGCATCCGCACGAATTGGACAGAGGCCAGGAAGGTGCAGACAGATAAGACGGCAGCGCCGGCAGAGAGCGTTTCAATAGAGACCAAGACGACGACGACGACGACGACAGATCAAACTCTCGACACGCCGTCACCACGTCCCAGGCGGCGACGACAATCAGGCACTGATGGCGTCGTCCCAGAGCTGCCGCAAGATGCATCAAGTGCCTTGTCGAGCATTGCTGCTTCGGCCGCACCCTTGTCTTTCCGCCGTCGCATGGCCACATACCTCGCCCTTACCAAGCCACGATTGGCCTTCCTCGTCGTCCTCACCACCACCGCCTCATACTCGCTTTACCCCGTGCCTTCCCTGCTCTCCACCGCAGCCACACATACCCCCTCGTTAAGCAGCTTGACCCTGTTGTTCCTCACGACTGGAACTTTCAGCACAATCGCATGCGCCAACACGTTGAACATGCTGTTCGAAAGCAATCACGATGCAAAAATGACGCGCACACGCAATAGACCGCTGGTCAGAGGACTGGTGAGCTCTCGTGCTGCTGCAGTGTTTGCACTGGCTGCCGGCGCTGTAGGTACTGGCATCTTGTGGTACGGTGTCAATCCGACCACGGCCATGTTGGGCGCTGCCAATGCCGTCCTGTACGCCTGCATATACACCCCACTCAAGCGCATACATCCCGTAAACACCTGGATAGGTGCCATAGTCGGCGGCATCCCACCATTAATGGGTTGGTGCGCAGCTGGTGGCCACTACATAACCTCTTCATCACCACAATCTCTGGCCGACGAAGCCTCGGCCCTCTTATTCAGTCCAGCATCAGCAGGAGGATGGCTACTAGCCGCTCTGCTCTTCGCCTGGCAATTCCCCCATTTCAACGCCCTCGCTCACCCTATCCGCCACGAGTACTTTGCCGCTGGTTACCGCATGTTGGTTTCTCTGAACCCGCGCATGAACACACGTGTCGCACTCCGCTACTCTCTCCTCATGTTCCCCATCTGCATCGGCCTCAGCTACGTCAATGTCACCGACCGCTATTTCGTCGTCACTTCATCCGCGATCAACGGCTGGATGGCCTACGAAGCTTTCCGCTTCTGGCGCAGTGGAGGTGGAGAAACAAAGACTGCGGTATTGACCGCGCGAGGTTTATTCTGGGCTTCGGTGTGGCATTTACCGCTGGTTCTTGTCTTGGCCATGGCGCACAAGAAGGGTCTTTGGGATGGCGTTTATAGGAGCGTCAAAGGCTTGTTGGGCTATCCCGATGATGAAGAAGATGAGTGGGAGTGGGTTGATGAGGATGAGAATTGAAAGCATCGCCTCTTTGTATTGTATGCTGTATTTTACGTAGCGGAATTTCTATGCGCTCCTGAAACATTCAGACTTTAGCAGGAATATCTCGTCTCATCTCATGCAACTCTTGACCATCATCAGACCTAGGTGGCTGCTTGTGAATCCGATTCGCATTCTTATCTTGGCAGGGACGATTTATGTCTGTACATGTGTTTGAGAAGACATTTATTTTTTCCAACCCCATTGATTTGACAGCACTTCATGAAACCTTGGTTATTGCTGTCATTTTGTACCAGCTTCTTCAAACACGCTTAATGATAACTCTTGAAAAATCGACATTGGCGTTCTTGTCTGATAGCACGAGTATGATTGATCCGCCCGGAGTCATGGTCATTTTCTCAATGTCAAGACATGGGAAATCTAGATATTGCGACATCTGCCGCCAACCTTGATAGAAAATTCCAAGACTTGGTTTACCGGCGGAACAAAACTCGTACGTCGGACGGAGATGATGATCATAATAATAGATTAGTATGTGCAGAAGATATATTATGATTTGTGTTGACAGTGCTTGTATGGGGTACGACCCTGTCTTTGAACCGGTTTATATCAAGATGTCATCAGATACGCATCAGGTCACCTATCAGGTGTTGACATCTCACAGCCTACACGAGGAGGTTCAATCTCGGAGCGATCTGATTGTGAATTGTATTTCCATTTGCGCCAGCGCTTGAAAAGTGTCCTCCAAACTCCAAATGTCACACGACTTAACTCGTGCTTCCGTGATATCTCCCGCTCATGACATGTTTTCTCGGCGGTATTGTTTCGACGCATGTCGAGGATGGATATCCTCAGATCGGTGTAACATGATATCGCATCTGACCATCTCTTTCGCCGTCCCCATGTGCTCCTAGACCTATCCTCAGTTCTTTCCGTTGCCCTCGGTATACTCGGGTTGTGTCGCATGATCGGGTTGATGGTCGTCTATCGCTTACGCTCGAACCAACCGCTCGAGCTCATGACGGCGACACTTTGATCCATGACGATTTCTCCAATGGCCAGGTAACGCACAATCCACGATTTTGCCGTCTCGTTGTCGGTGATTTTGTCTTCGCGGACACTGGGGCTGGGTTGTGATCAGTTTCAAGATTCTCTTTCTTGCTTGGATGTCTGGGGTGGATAGTGATGGTGGTGGGGGTGTTCCGGAAGGTAAAAGGAAGAGGCAAGAGCTCACGTAAGGCCTGTTGATCGCTTTACACCAGCGAGGAAGGCGGAGAGGAGGACGGCGTCAAAGGCGTAGTGGGTGAGACGACCGAGCTGGGATGGGTATGAGCTTGTGTCCTTGACATGGTGGATATTCGTTCACGTACAACCATGATGAAAGTCGCGTGCGAGGAGGGGAGAGTGTATGGCTTTCAGTTGCAAGATGCTATTATTGCTATCGTAGGGGCGAGTGAGACGGCTCTTAGGTGAAGCTCGGGATATTCGTAAGTTGTGGTTATTGCTATGTTGACTGTCTGGTGGTTGCCTTGGTGTCTGCTCTGTCTACTACGCAGGAGCTCGGACAGCGGCGAACCAGTCTCGGTCGCCAGGGTCTTCTGGGTCTTCTGACCGGAAAGCCGTGTGATTGGCCCGGGCATCTGAGCATCATCTTCGGCCCGGTCTGTCGCTCTTCGGCATCGCAATTACCTGACTCGGCGCGCTCCGACACGGCTATCATTCCGTCTTCTTCATGAGCATGAAGACAGCTGTTTAACGAGGCACTTTGCAAGAAGACAGTGCAAAGAGGGGGTTCTCCTCCAGCGCCGGTCTCGCCCAAGGAGAATGTCTGGGCGAAACACATCTACTCTGGCGTCCTCACACGTTTGCCCAATACTTGACCGCTGACCGTCTCTGAGTGGTACGATGAGAACCATTGTTCGCAGAAGTCATCGAGAAGCATCCCACTCCAAGCCTCCAACGTCTACCCCAAGGGTCCAGGTGTGGTATTTATGGCTGTTCTCAGACGCCGAGAAATACGATGCAAGCTAGCCGAGCGGTGGTTGAGGATGGTCATTTGGATGAGAAGACGGAACCGGTGAGATAAACCGGCCATTACGGTCGTGAGTTTCAGCTTCTGCCTCTTCTCACGATTGGAGCAAGTAAGAGAGAAGGCGAGAGGACACGAGAGATTATGTAGGTCCGACTTCCCATCTGGTGAGGATGGCAATGGTCTGATTTTGCAAGGCGAGGCTGGATATCAGACGGAGATGGCACAATTTTAGTAATTGGTGATGGATGCTTATCACGGAATTCACGGACCGAATGGTTGAGTGAGGGGCCGGTGGTTTACTGGACAGCTGTTTTGCATGTCCATGGCCGGTCTCTGGATGCTGACCAGACTGGTTTATATACGTGTTAGAGTAGCAGCAGGAGAGAAGATTCAGCTCTTGTCATGTCTTCCAATCAAACCATCACGTTCAGCAATCGCATGATGGTCTTGTCGCAAGAACAAAAAACAAAAGAAAGCTGATACACGGTGGTTTGTGCTCGCGGGCCAGGATTACCCCGCGCTAGCTAAAATATTCACAGCTTCTCTCAACAAGCGCCGCGTCTTCTCAGATTGTGGACTCCCTTGCCTTTCTCTCCTTCTCTCTCCCACCACCTCACATCTCTCTACTAGACATACAAGATGGCCGACGCAATCGCACACCTCCAGGCTGGCCGCACCAGAATTGAGTGGCTCTCGCAGCTCAACACTGAGTATGCTCCCAAGCGCCAGTTCCGCCGCAGTTCCATCATCTGCACCATTGGTCAGTCGAGCTGGACGACCTCGGACTGTGAAAGGAGCACGCGCTGACAAGATGCAGGTCCCAAGACCAACTCCCCCCAGGCCATCAACATGCTCAGAACTGGTGAGCTCAAGTCTTTCCCTCTTGACGTAATGCAAAACAAGTTAACAGCAACAAAGCCGGTCTGAACGTTGTCCGCATGAACTTCTCCCACGGTTCATACGAGTACCACCAGTCTGTCATTGACAACGCCCGTGAGGCCGAGAAGACCCAGGCTGGCCGTCCCGTTGCCATTGCTCTTGACACCGTAGGCTTCACCAGACAAGCAGCTCAAGACACCAAATGCTAACAACAGCGCAGAAAGGTCCTGAGATCAGAACCGGTAACACCGTCAACGACCAGGACTTCCCCATCAGCGCCGGTGCCGAGATCAACATCACCACCGACGAGAAGTATGCCACCGCCTGCGACGAGAAGAACATGTAAGACTCCAGCCTGGAACCCACTCCAAACCACCCAACTAATCCTTCTGAAGGTACCTCGACTACAAGAACATCACCAAGGTGATCGAGAAGGGCCGTATCATCTACGTCGACGACGGTGTCCTCGCTTTCGAGGTTCTCGAGGTTGTTGACGAGAAGAACATCCGCGCCAGAGCTGTCAACAACGGCAAGATCTCTTCCAAGAAGGGTGTCAACCTCCCCAAGACCGACGTCGACCTTCCTGCTCTTTCCGAGAAGGACAAGGCCGATCTCCGTTTCGGTGTCAAGAACAAGGTCGACATGGTCTTTGCTTCCTTCATCCGCTCCGGTGACGACGTCAAAGCCATCCGTGAGGTCCTCGGCGAGGACGGCAAGGACATCCAGATCATCTCCAAGGTCGAGAACCAGCAGGGTGTCAACAACTTCGACGACATTCTCAGAGAGACCGACGGTGTCATGGTCGCCCGTGGTGACTTGGGTATCGAGATCCCCCCTGCCCAGGTCTTCATCGCCCAGAAGATGATGATCACCAAGTGCAACATTGCCGGCAAGCCCGTCATTTGCGCCACCCAGATGCTCGAGTCCATGACTTACAACCCTCGCCCCACCCGTGCTGAGGTTTCCGACGTCGGTAACGCCATCCTTGACGGTGCCGACTGTGTCATGCTTTCAGGCGAGACCGCCAAGGGTAACTACCCCAAGGAGGCCGTCACTATCATGCACGAGACCTGCCTCCTCGCCGAGGTCGCCATCCCCTACGTCAACGCCTTCGACGAGCTCCGCAGACTCGCTCCCATCCCCGTCCCCACCACCGAGTCCTGCGCCATGGCCGCCGTCTCTACCTCGCTCGAGCAGAACGCCGGTGCCATCCTTGTCCTCTCCACCAGCGGTAACACCGCCCGTCTCATCTCCAAGTACAGACCCGTCTGCCCCATCATCATGGTCTCGCGTAACTCGCGTGCCACCCGCTACTCTCACCTCTACCGTGGTGTCTGGCCCTTCCACTACCCCGAGGAGAAGCCCGACTTCAAGGAGGTCTCATGGCAAGAGGATGTTGACAAGCGCCTGAAGTGGGGTATCAAGCACGCCATCGAGCTTGGTATCCTCACCAAGGGTGACCCCGTCGTCACTGTCCAAGGCTGGAGAGGCGGCATGGGTCACACCAACACCCTCCGCATTGTCCCCGCCGAGCCCGAAGACCTTGGCCTTGACCCCGAGGCTTAGAGCGCTAACGGTCAGTGTTGTTGATTTCTTTTACCTTGTTCGACTTTTTTTTTTTTTGGTTCGGGTTTTCTTTTTACGATTGTCAAATGGTGGAGGTTGTGTAGTGGACGAAAACTAGATATCCAGAGGGAATAAACTTCTCATCCAAACTTCAAAAATCATTCTCTTCGCATGTCCATTTTGACTGTCAATTGATCTTTGGCGGTGTTCCGTAGTTGTCAATCGATGTGTCTGTATTTTGCAGTCGTCAATCGAAGGTGTCTCTGTATTCTGCAGTGTGCAGTGTGTCAGTGTCAAAACTTGAGAAAGCAGGCAGCTTCGTGGTTCGATGGTTGTGGAAGGACAAGAGTTTGATTGTTGGAGTATATGAGAAGGTCTTAATCTGAAAAAAGGACTATGGCTCTCTCATTGCAATTGTATGGTCGTTTTATTTTATGTTAGGGAGGGTACGATGTGCTAAGATATATGAGCAGATTGTTGTTGTTCGACGTAGCTGTATAGATGCGACCTGCGGGTTGGAAAACAGTATCGCGTCTTTGTAAAGTGTGATTATGGTTATATATTCCAAAGAGATGATTCTGATCAATGTAAAAACGTGATCGTGCACCTTTGTCGGTCAACCATCAGTGTCTGTTATGGTAAAGCTGTTCTGTAATTACACCAGTGATCGCTGCAAGACAAAGCCACGAAGAGGCACAATCTCGTTTACGAAAGAGATCTCACGGGCGGGTGAGGAAGTTGTCGCTGATAGATAGCTCCTGCATATCCCAAGGGCAGCCGTCTATCGTGGTTGGTCAAGATATGAGGGTAGCATAATGTCGTTCTCTTCGCCGCATAAACTCCCTCATCCCAGCGATGCCGTATCGGAGGCTGTAGGAAGAAGTGTTGTTTCCAGAGGCGAGCTAAGTTTCGGGCTGTCTGCTGAACATATCTTTCAATTTTCCAATCCAGGGCTCAAATGAAAAGAGGGACTCTGCATCCAAGTTGACCGAAGTTTGGCATAGAAGAGCAAGATCGTGGTTGCAGGCGTTTCCTCGAGGTCTCATCGCAAGATGCGCTCGAAATATCCGAAGCCTAAGGATTCAAAAGCTAGCAGATCAGAGGCACAGGTAGTATGCAACAGCGGCGGAACGTGAGGACCGATCACTTTAGCATCTAGCCCCCCTTTCACCTCAAGCCGGCCACCCGAAGCGCCATACAGGTATCCAATAGATTGTCGAGGACCAGCGGTTGCTAGGATCATGTGGAACTCGATCGCATAACCAGCAAATGGTGCTCGGGTTAAATGATTCGCATGCATACGGGAGATACTTCCAGATTGCTTTTGTTGGGCAAACAGTCCACGACGGCGTAGTTGGCCCGAAGTCGGAAGGTTGCAGTTGCATACTCCGTGCGTTGTTGTGATCCTTCGATTTTTCCGATGCTTTGCTTTGATTCCGACGGCTTGGCCTCGAACAGCTATGGGAGCAATAAGTTGACGACGAGGGCTGCATTTGATGGCTAATGGCCAGGCTCGGAGGCTTTTGAAGGCCCATGTGTAGACTTATAGTGTCCCAGGACTTGTATTGTCGTGGTCTAGACCATCTGCAGATGGCATGCGCTCAATGTGCTCTGCAAAGTCTTGGATCAGCTGACTGACCATGAGTCAACATGTCGAAAGCCAAGTGAACGCGTGGTGCAATACTAGTCGTGAACCGTGTGGGATACGGCCTTACCATAAGCGAGATGTTTCCAATCGAGTTGTGCTGTCCAATGCATGGTTGGGGTTTTGTCTGGCTACGCGATGATCTGCTAGCAGACTATAAGAGCTGGCCCGAGCAAACCTGGAAGAATCCAAACAAGGCTCTTCGTCGAACATAATGTTGGAAAAGGCATGAGGTTTGTCTGTCTACCCGAGTCGCGTGGCAGGTCGATGACGAGGACACGGCGCTCTGCTCTTTGAAGATCATGTTTTGCGAAGCTGGTCCAGGCAATTGGTTAGCGAGGAAGAGCTTATGGATCCTTCTCCTTGTCGGATGATTCCAAGTGTCCTTCGCCGAGTGAACTGTACAATTTCTCCGGGAAAGTGATGAACCACTACTCGCCTATTTTCTTACAGTCAATGAGACTGATGACGAACGTGCATTAACTTATCCTGGCCCAGCAGACCGATGTGCATGATTCTGCACATAAATGACTGCTCGAGCCCGATTTTCGTGTTGCTAGGGTACCAACAGACTGGATGGAAATCAAACGCTGCAGCGGTTCTCTGCAGTGCGCCGCGTAGTAGTAATTTTGGGTGCAACCTCGACCCCGTACTGTCATTTACTTTCAGAGAGTTGATAGCTTTAGCGTGGTTCATTGAAACTTGTCGATGGTGTTGATGTTGCTGCAGGTGTGGAGCGAGAGGTGAAGAACTGAAGTTGTTCAACCGGAAAGTGCGAAGTGGATTTGTCCCCACATGACTCCATTTCAAAAGCAATTTATCCTTGAGATCGATCCAACTCGTCACTCGGCAATCGGACCCGGATGTTTGACATTATATTACACCTAACCATGGATTCCCACAAAATTCACTACCCATCGTCCCAGTGGAACAGAAGTTGAAGTGAGAAAACAATTGGCGGATAAATCAGATTGATACCACCAGATATTAGATTATCTTGTCTATGAGAATAGACATTCCTCAGAATATGTATATGGATGAATCGAAAGAGCGAGAGTGTTGGTTTCATGCAGGGCCATTGCAAGCATCACCCGTGCGATCCCTGTCGAAGAGGAGATTGCCGGCTGGAAACAAGCCCTGTTGGTTTGAATGATCGCTCTTGTCCAGTCGTTTGAGCCAAGTTGAAGTCAATGGCGAGCAACATTCTCTCAAGTAGACCGTTCAATCCCAATGCCGAAAGTCCGCCACGCATCTCAACAAACTGCCGTAAGCCACTCATGTGTGTCGTGAATGCATCAGCATCTCTCCAAAAGGCCTCGTATTGTGCCATGGTAGCCATGGTTGCTATCATGGAATCCTTGGTCGAAAGGCATTCGTTCATAGCCTGAATAGCCATGTCCTTCAGCTGGAAAAGATCAACAACCTGCGCGTGTGCAGCCATAGAGGATCGAAAGAGCGACGCAGCGAAGAGCAGAACAGCATGAAGCAATGCTAGATCGGTCATGACAAAGGGCATCCACACAGATCTCAAGAGGGTCATCGTGGATGCATCGTCTGATTGCAGTACTTCTTTGGCAGTGAACACTAGGTCTGTATTGCGAGCATGTCAGTATATAATGAACAAGAAAGAGAAAGATTGAGGACTAACAGTTCTCTAGTATCTGGTTGAGATACGGGAGCCAATGGGCCGGATAGATCTGAGACACGTCGATCATCGGATGTTGGGCCGTTGATGAGGACGCGGAGATTCCAACATCAGAACTGCTAGCCGGCGACACAGAGTTCTGTTGATCGGATGTAGCAGGTCTTGATAGCGGAAACGACGCGGCATGCGCACGACCTTGTTGAATCTGTGTCGATGAAGTGCCCAAGAGTTGCGGGTCACTGTTCGATCTTCGGGCCGCTGCGAGCTGCTCCGCCTTTTGGTGCTGTTGCTTTGTAACATGACTTCGAATGGCTCTTCGCACTTTCTGGTCCTTGGTATCGCTGGGATCCGTGAGGTTGACAAACTGAAAAGACATTGCTGGCTCGGAAGATCCTGGCGAAACAGGCGACGATGTTCCCGGCATTCTGTCGTAGACTTGAGTCGAGATATTAAGCAGAATGGAAAGATTGTAAGAGGCGGGCGGAACTAGAACGACAGGCTAAACGAGTGAGGCCGGCCGAGATGTATATACCGAATAGCTGGTAGATTAGATGCTGGTGCAGTCTGCAAGATTAGGTACGGCAGATTACTCGGATTGGCCACCAGGATATATAGATGTTGGGTTACTGGATCCAAGGTGCATAGTCACAAGCAATGGCCACCGTCATCCCGACGGCTATTCATGGCACTGCAGCAATGCAGATTTGGCTGCAGGTGTTCGTTGGCAGAACGTCTGGGCGTGACTCTAAAAGGGGTAATTATGTGCCCGTCGCAGTGGAAGCAGCGTAGAGGTTGCGCTCACAAGGTCTCGAAGACATTTGAGCAGTGGCTAAGACCATTGGCAAAGACCAGAAAACCAATACGGAATTCCATGCTTTCGGATGCACGTACGTTGTTGCATGCAAAGCCGAGAGTCGAAGTAGGTATTACATCCAGATGGAGCGGGGACAAGATCAAGCAGCCGCCTTGTCTGTCATGATCAACCACCTAGCTGAACGCCTGTCTTTGAACCCGCATGGGGCGTACTCATGATGGCGCCATCCAAGACCGCATTGGGCAGATAGAACCAGATTCGCACAGGCCACTCGGTCCATACCATGCTGTTTTGGATGTCCGCCACTTTCGCGAACAGGTTCCATGCAGGATGTAGTTGTCAAGTCCACACGGTTCTGGCCCAGAGACCGACAGAGATAGGTGGAAGCTTTGATGGGTTACCGGTACCTGGGTAGGTTGTGTTTGACAGATCTCACTGGAGAAAGCCACACCCGGTGGCCATCTATTCTTGCTCGACGGCGAGACACGGTCTCGGTCCAGAAGGGCAGCTGCATGAAGCCGTATCGATCAACGCGGGACCATGTGGGAGCAGTGCATCAGAAAGGAGCGAGCGGCCACTGGCATCTTGGTATTTTAAATTGTCTTCGACATGTGCCGAAGAAAGCAATGAATGGCATGCAGCTCTTGCTAGAGATAAAGGCGTTGGAAAAGTCGGACACGCCATGCACCAAGATGCTGCATGCACATGGCACAGGAAAGTCATAGCGAGCACATGGGACTTTTCATCCGACGCAACCCAAGCACTTGGTCAATCTCTGTCTGTGTCTACGTTGCAGCCAATGTTGGAATATAGCTTATCGATGGGATAAGAGTTAGCCATGACGAGGCATCTACAGGTAGGTCCTCAAGGGTTTGGCATTTGTTCACGTGTTCTTGATCAAGCAGCCATATGTCGAGAGGGCGTACTGTGCTGCTGTATAAAAAAGCCCCTGCGTTTGGAATCAGCTCTCTCAGCCGCACGCATACTCCGTAAACCGGGGGTCGGACCACGACAGACCCGAACTGAGATCAAGGTTCACCGAGACTTTGTTTCTGGGTTGACGTTCCTGGTGACAGGGTAGGCAAGACGGACTGTACAGCGAAGAGGTGGTGAGTAATCCGAGACGGTCAAGGGCGCTGAAGAAGCCGAACCCGAGCGGGCGGGTTACAGGAGATCCCGTGGTGCTTGGGAACTGCAAGCATACCGGGCGGATGGTCGTGGGGCCTACGTCACAGGTCCAAATACATACGAGAAACGGTTGTCAGAAAAGAACAAGCTGCAGCTTCTGTTCCCTCCATCTGACAGAGACTATTGAAAGAACACAGCACACTCGGACAAAACGACCATGCATTAGCAGCGCCACACAAATCTGCCCACGCTCTCCCCGGAACCTCGTCAGCCTCACGCACAAGGGCACCACCCTCCGCACAACCATGGAGACGCCGCAGAGGTCGAGCAGGCACAGGAAGAGAGATTCAGATCTGCTCGCAGAAGTGCCCGACCATGCCGTCCAGTTCGACCTCGAGCAACCATCTACCAAGGGCTCTGACAGTCTACTTTCACAGGTATGCTGACTTGGCGCGTCGCACATCTCATCAGCACGCGACTTACATCGCTATCTAGATCGTCCTAGGTCCTCTAACAATGATCTCGTTCCTCTTTTCTCTTTTGGTCGTGGACCGTCAACAACGTGCGTGGCGCGTTTCGCAGCACCAGCACGACAGCGGGCCATGGTGGAAGAAGCTATCGCCCTGGACGTGGTGGAACGCAGAACCCTATCAATCTCCCCAAGATTCTACATGGCAACATGTTGTACCCGCTACCACCACCTTGGACGGCGCAGATGGGACCGTTCCCGCTTCGGCGGTGAATACCGACCATTGGCACACTCGTAAAAAGCACAGGAAGATGGCTCGACTCACCCTCTCCGACGCAATCGACATGAGGGAAGGAATGGCCATCATGCTTGTCACGGCAGCCTTGCTGGGTCTAGTCGTCATGCTATGGCTCGCGAGACGTATATTCTCATCCATCGTGTGAGGTCGTACACCCACTGTGTTTCCTCAACACGTGCACACCTTGATGTCATGCCTTAGTGGCTAGTGATTTGAATCCACCACAGAGCAAGACCAGACCGGACGACAGTTCTGAAGCCCATATTGTCTTGAGAGAGCACATGGCATACGAGTAATGATGAAGTACAATCACTCAACATCTCACACTGGATTCTGGTCTGAGCTTTAATCATCAGTGGAGCCCTCTCACATTGGTTTCTCGGGTATTTCGATCCTGCGATTTTCCCTTGGATCAAGTAGCTTGGCTACCAACCGGACGTCCAGCTATCTCAGATGTCGTCTTCCGCCTCAACACACCAGGAAAATCCGACCACACGATTTTCCTCAAGAAAGAGCAGTTAGTGATCAGTTCAGACCGACTTCCAGCAGATGGAGGTTGTCAGGTCATCACACAGGATTTCCGGCCCCCAAACCACGAGATCAGGAGGTTCAAACTCCAGCACAAATCCCCGTGACCAAAAGTATCTCAGCGAGCAGTCCTGTGTGGTTTCATCGTGCTACTGGACCCCATTCAATCCGCCGCTGTCCAAAAACAAGCCATACAAGCTTTGAAACGATCCACGATCTCTCTATCAAGCTCAAATAGCAAGGTGCCGAACAAAGCACACATTGCATGACGAACAAGGGGGGAGTCAAGGTACCATAGTCGCCGAACATGCTACACATAAGCAAATAGCTCCATCAATACACGACATACAAAACAAATCATGACCAACCAATTTCGAAAAAATAATTCTCCCATCCTCACAGGTGTTTTATAAGTGACGGGCAGCCAAAGTGGTGCGAGACGGTCCACGCACTACAATCACCCTCTTGCACTGGTGGTTTGACGAGAGTCGTGAAGTCAGAAGCGATTATTGTCATACGATGAACGATAATACTAGCCATGACAACAGTTAATGGTGGTATAACGCCCAGCCAGAGCATCAGAGCATCAGAGAGCGGGATTGCCATGTCATATCATCAGCATCGATGGCGTGGGTCGACATTCCCCATGAAAAATTGCAGAGATCGATTTCGACCAAAGTCCCTTACACTGATGATCATGTACAGGATGTTAGGTAAGTATTTCGCAGTCCTCACGATCATGGTTGATAGGACTGACCAGATTCCGGAATAGTTTGGCAATATCCAATATTGCTCCGAGTACTGTACGGCTGCTACTAGAGAGGCGGCTCGGAAAACTCCTCACACGATTCAGTCCCAAGTTCACAAGGCTTACATTTGTTCCTAAGACGGGTGGGCGTGATGAGGGCATTCCCTGGACTCTTTGCCTCAAGAGCCCAATGGTTCGATGATTTAATGGATTTGGCAGATTTGTCGATAATGATGGATTTAGTTGGCAGATCAGGAATGATAGCAACTATGTAAACTAGTTGGTTGCTTGAGTGCAACTTGTCCGTCAGGCGGTGGGGCGTGGGTGAAACCACAAATTGTGGTCGAATTCCTGAGACTTTCCCCCAGTGCACGTCTTCCTGTACGACACTTCCTCATCTAGCAATGCTCTCCCTCAGAATGAACATGATAGCAGCATTTGTCATGACTGACAGGGATTTTAGAGCCCTTACGTGACGTAGGGGTTCTATCCGAGAATGCCATAGCGAGATCGACCAATGCCTCCTGCGGCCACTTCGCAAGATGATCCTTGTTGCAGGCTGCTCTGTGGACCTGCGAATCAATCACAAGTCTTCGGAGCGGGCTACCATCAATCGTCAGAGCGTAGATGTGAGTCATGATGCTGAAAGGCGACTTGTCGTACTCTGCCATTCTTTCCATCAAAGCATCGGCAGCCGCATTCTGGAGAGCGGGCACAAGGTGCTGCTCGCCAAATAACCAGAGACGAACCAACATGAAAGTCGAGAGGTCCTTGCCGATCACGCCATTCTTGTCGCGGAGTTGATTGGTGTAGACGAAGGCGTTAAAGATATCGAAAACATCCACATCCTCGTGAACGAGACACAGCTTTCTCACGACTGACTCTTTGAACGATCCATTGAACACGGCACGGAAGTAGTCGGAATAGTAACTGAGTAAATCCTTGTGAATGACGAAAGCTTTCTTTTCAGCGCCGACTTCGATGGTCACAACACCACCGAAACACGCACTGCACAAAGACAGTCAGTAGAGTTCGCCCCACGATTGATGGTATGCTGTCTCTTACTTGGACGGCTTCTTGGACAGAACGGAGACTGCTTTGGAGGGTATACGCGGGAGGGTTGGAGTAGATGTGTCAGATGCTAGAAGTGACATGTTGACGATCGTATCTGCCTAGAAAGAAAGGCGAGCTGAGAATTGTTGATGACGATGAAAACGAAGAGAAAGGTTCAATGCAATTCAGCGAGAGGAGAAGGGCCGGAAAAGAAGGCCTGTGAAAGTGAGACTTGGAAGAGATGAGTGATGGGTCAAAGTGGAAGTAAAAGCAAACGAGAGAGTAATCGATGGACTGAGTTGCGACTGCCGGATGAAGACTTTACTCATAGCCCGATGAGAGACATAGGCTATCAGCAAGATTAAGAAGTATCGAGGATGTTTGTGTGTTTTGTGAACGTATAGGTCAGTGATTGCCTCCCAGGTGAAGGGTGTCAAGATGCCATACGAACAAGAAAGTCAAGACTTGAGTGAATCAGCAGGTGGATATGAGGACAACGAAGAGCTTTTGCAGCATGTGTGATGATAGTACAGTAACGAAAGCTCCATAGCCAGCTCCCTCCTCAAGCAAAAATATGCGATACACACCTTCATGCAATGCCAACTAGTCCTCATCCATGTTGTCTTCATCCTCTTCTTCATCTTCAGTATCTGCCTCGCCAAGCAATTCTCTCTCATCGTCGTCCAACTCTGCACTCGGACCAATAGTGACATTGCCCTCGTCATGCATATCTTCATCATCAGCCTCGTTGTCTGCTCGTGCAGCAGAGAGTCTTGAATCGACTGGGGTTCCATCCTTGGTCTCTCCTGCCATCTTGCTTGCGCCGCCTTTTGACTTTCTGCTCGCACCTCCGCCTCCACCGCGACTCTTCCTGCCTTGTCTGGGTTTGACTATTGTAGCAGCAATCTCATCCATGGCTTGCAGCTCTCGCTCGTCTTCCATGTCGTCGACGGGTTTGAGAGGCGGTGAAGGAAGTAACAGGTGGCTGTCCTCATCATCATTCTCTTCGCGGTCGAGTTGGACCATTCCAAGCGAGAATGCTCGAGAGAAGTACAGAGCTTCTTCGCCAACATCATCCCTCGAAACGTTTGCAATGCTGTTCAATGGACGCTGCTTCTCTTGCTCAAGTTCCTTGTCCGTCAGTGGCAAGGCGAAACCACCAAGAATGCGAACACCACCCGCAGCACGACGGAGGGCTGCAGCAGCCTTTTCTTCCTCTTTTGACCTTCCCTTGGATGCACCACCATCATCCTTGTCCTTGTCTTTGGAGTCATCTTTACCTTTCTCGGCGGGGCCTTCATCCTCGCTGTCCCAGCCTGAGGGCAGCATGCGGATCCTCTTCCAGGCGCGCAACAATATGCCTTCTTCTTGTCGTTCGCGTTTAGCTGCGATATGGCGCCTTCTAATACCAGTATCGAGGATTTGGTTGATTCGCACACGGCGGTAATCGCTGACTGCTTTTTGGTGTGATGTCAGCGGACGGTTCCGTGTCTGGAGTAGGTACGGAGATGTCGGGAGGTGGTCCCGTTGGGAGTGCAGATAGACGCTATCCGGCATGGCATCAGGGGCAGGAGGGGAGGTGTGAACAGGATGGGGTAGCAGAAAAGGGTGGTGTATGTTGGTGGTCCAGTTACCTCGTCCGGCGCCTTTCTTTGGCAATGTTGCGGCTTGTGGCGTGCCAACCGAGGGCGAAGCCAGGTGGCGTAGCTCAGGATCCTTCTCATCGACCTCGGCCGGGAACGATCTTGATGTCGGAGGTTTAGAGATGGTATTGACAGCTTGGAAAGAGCTTGTGGGCGGCGACGGGGAACGTGTGTAGTCACTACCGGCATACGTCCTGCGCATTGAATCTGCATCGACATCAGCTACCAATATATATGGCATCCAAGCAAGAACATACCCTGAGGTGCTGGAGAGTCAAAGTCGCGGCTGGGGGTCTTGGTTCCAGCGTCCGAGTTCGCATCGTTACCGAGACCCGCCGCAAACAGACTGCGTTCTTTTTGTTCTCCCAAGTTAGCTTTTAGTCTCTCAGACATGGAAGCATAACATACCCTTTCTGGCTCGCTTAAGAGCCGTCATGGCAGGACTCGGCTCGCTGGCGACAATTGCGATTCTCTCCTTGCGCTTCTGTTCTCCATACTCCTTCTCTTCTTGGCTGTCAACGTTCTCCAAAGCAGCCTGTTCCTCGGTCAAGCTCTCGAGTGGAGGCACCTTGATGGGTCGACCGCCACCTTCAGGCTCACAGCCAGCCCCGAAGGGATTCCTGAGAGCGGATTCATCAGAGAAGTCGCTCTCGAGGTACCACCACATGAGCCAGAGGAAGGCGGTAGCTCTGCTCTTACTACTCAAGCTGGAGCGCATGACGAGATCGAAAAAGTCGCGAGGATGGTTGAAGTGTAATTCTGATATCTTAGGAGCATACTGTGACAAGACAAAGATCAGATTGACTGGGTTCGTTCGTGGTATCGAGGCGTGACGGATGTCTTCGATGGTGCCTGGCTGAGGTGTGTCTTCAGTAGCGCCCTTGAGGATGGATTTGAGACGAGGCGCATCTTGTAGCTGCTTGTATGCGTTCGGGTCTTGGTGAGCCTGCAGAGCAGGGATCGAGTGGTAGGTTCGTAGCTGGGCGCGCATCTCTGGGAAGAAGTTGAGAGTTGTATTCATGCGTCCAACGTTGACAAGGAGACAGACCATGGCCATGGTGATGGCCGAGTCGAGGTCTTCCTTGAGCTTCTCCTTGAGGATCTTGCTGCACTTGCTGCTCTTGGCCATGGCATCGACGTAGATCTCGGCAAACGTATGACCCTTCTCATTGTCCGAGTATCGCGTAAAGACGCGCTGTTCGTCCTTGAAGACAATGTCGAGGAAATCATACTGAATGTCCTTGCGCCACAGCGGTACACCGTCCTCCTTCTTCAAATGACGGATCTTGTTTCCTGAGTAGACTGATGATACGCTGCCGTTGGCATTGCGCCTGGTTGTTTGCGTCGTCGATGTGTATAGCGGAGTTTCGGCTTCATTTTCGTCGTCCTTGTCGCCTTTGAGGCCTGGTGATGACTCGTGATCGCCTGTCGCAGCTGCTGATGTGGCTCGCACTGCTGGTGCCGATGCTGGTGTCGCCGGTGGTGCTGGTCTTGGGCTCTGTTCGACGGGCTCGTCGGCGAGGATGTGTCGCAGACTACTGCGCGAATCCTGCTCCACCATGGCGCACTTCTATGAGATGCCGTTCGCGGGTGTATTGGTGATGTGATGGGAAAGAAGGTGACACTACTCGTCCTCTACTCCATCTCATACCAATCGCGGGTGGACCCGTCCGCTTTCCCTGTGACGTTCCGCTCTCCGGGGAAGCCATACAACCACCAAATCTCTCCAAGCATGCCCATACCGCTGACCGAAACACTCGAAGACCCAGAAGAACGCATTTGCAGCACAATCTTCCTAGATTCGACAATTGGGTTCAAACTGCCCATCATCACATTGCACAACACACAGAGGTAGGGAAGCTCAAAGAAAATGCCTTAATTTGCGCATCTAGATCGAAACTCGAAACATAAGAGGTAAGAGTAAGAAGTAACTTTTTTTTGGGATTGATCCTGCCGAACGACCAGCATATCCCTTGCAGGCAGCCATTTTGCCATGCCTGTTCCTTTCTGCCTCCAGATGAAAAAAGTCTATAAAGTTTGGGGTATCCATCCGAAAGCGAAAAAAGAGAAAGCTGCCCATGCCATATGCGACAGCCGTAACATCATCCATAGCCCAGCCTGGCCAAGCGTCCCATGAGAACGCCCATCCAGATGCCCAGAGCCTCGTGATGCAACATGAAATGCCAGGATCATTATTTGAAAAGGAAAAGAGTAAAACGTAGAAAAGCACAACTGGTATCGAAAAATGTCCGAATCCTCTGGAGCCTCATCTGCCCAGACCGGATACCACGCTCGTCGAGTGCATCGAGCGTTTCATATAAGAACGCTCAAGGCCGTGAAGAAAGTCGTAAACCGTGATGAGCGCCGTCTCCGTGCTGAGAATGAAGAAAAATCAACGCTGTCTATCATGCTGACTGGGGGTATGAGCAAGGACCGCGTCCATCGATCCGTGAGTGTTTCGACGTCCAGGGAAGGACCGCGGAACGAGAAAAAGCCGGGGAAATCAAAGATTGAAAGGAAAAGTTGTGACCAGAAGGTCGAGTGACCGAGAAATGCAGGTCGGTCGATCATTGGCGAGCTTTGGGAGTCTACCACCAAGAGTTGGCGCCAGGGCCCGAAGGACCGGAGGGGTTGCCGTAGCTACCGCCACCACCCATACCACCGCCGTAGCCAGCACCACCGCCCATGCCGCCACCGTAGCCACCAGCACCGCCAGAAGCGCCGCCGAAGCCACCACCGCCGCTGCCACCCCACTGGGATCCAGCGTATGCGGGACGAGAACCGCCGCCGAAGCTACGGACATCGCGAGTGGCAGTAGCACCACGGCCACGACCACCGCCTCCGCGGCCGCCACGGCCGCCGCCAAAGCCAGTGCCCTCACGAGCGACAGTCTCGAGGAAAGCGGGAACCTCCTGGTTGGCTTCCTTGAGAAGCTCGAGAAGGTCACGAACGACACCTCTATTGCCGCGGTTGAAGAAAGCAGTGGCGACACCAGTGTTTCCGGCACGACCAGTACGACCGATACGGTGGACGTAGTCGTCAATGTCGGTGGGAAGATCGTAGTTGACGACGTGCTTGACGTTGGGGATATCGAGACCACGGGCTGCGACAGCGGTGGCGACGAGAATGGGGCAACGAGCAGAGCGGAACATCTCGAGAGCACGCTCGCGCTCGCGCTGGGTACGATCACCGTGAATCGAGGTGGCAGGGAAGCCCTGGTTGATGAGGAAGTCGGAGAGCGAATCGGCCATACGCTTGGTCTCGACGAAGATCAAGGTAAGACCAGCGCCGTGGGTGTGGAGAATGTCGAGCAGAACGGAGCGCTTGTCAACGTCCTCGACGTACTCAATCTTCTGGGTGATGTTCTCGGAGGTGGAACCGACACGACCGACAGAGAGGAAGATATACTCCTTGAGGAAGTCACGGGCCAGCAACTGAATGTCACGGGGGAAGGTGGCCGAGAACATGAGAGTCTGGCGGCCAGTGGTAGGAGGCATGTCCTCACCCTCAACGATACGGCGGATCTGGGGCTCGAAACCCATGTCCAACATGCGGTCAGCCTCGTCGAGAACAAGGTACTTGATGTTCTGGAGCGAGATGCGACCACGTTCTATGAGGTCAACAAGACGACCGGGAGTAGCGACAAGGAGATCGCAGCCGCGTTCGATCTGACGGAGTTGCTGTCCAATATCGGCACCACCGTAAACGACGCAGGGGCGGACCCATGAACGGTAGGCGAACTTGCGGGCCTCATCGTAGATCTGGGAAACAAGCTCACGAGTGGGGGCGAGAATGAGCGAGGTAGGGTAGGCCTTGCGCTGGCGGGCCATGCCGGTTTGCATGGGAGCAGCGGTGGGACCGTTCTGGAATGCCTGCGAGAGGATGGGGAAGAGGAAACCACCGGTCTTTCCGGAACCAGTCTGGGCACAAGCCATCAAATCACGGCCACCCATGACGATGGGGATAGAGTACTTCTGGACGGGGGTAGGGACCTTGTAGCCAGAGAGCTCGATGTTGGTGATGAGGTGGTCATCGAGAGGAGGGTTGGCAAAGGTGGTAACAGGGTCGGGGACACCTTGACCGCTAGCCTCGACGGGGATGTCGTCGTACTTCTCGAAGTTGATACCGCTGTGCTGGACGTTGGGGTCGTTGGGGACACCGAACAGCTCGCGCTCGACACGAGGGTTGGCGGGTCCGGGAATGTGCTTGCCGTCTCTCCACTGACCGTCGCCGGAGCCACGGGCTTGTTGAGAACCGCCGCCGCCTGAGGCGGGGTTTCCGTAGGCGTTTCTGTCGAAGCCGCTGCTGCCGCCTCTGGGAGTGAAGGTGGGAGCACCACCCCAGCCGCCGCCGGCACCACCACCGCCGCGACCAGCGCCGTAGCCAGGTCTGCAGAACTTGTTAGTGAACTGGGCGTTTGCAGCCAGATTACGAAAGGACTCACCTAGGGCCATCGAAGTGACCGTTCATGGGAGGAGCGCCATCGAGAGGCACAGGTCCAGGGCCGGGGGCAGGACCTCTAGTGCTGCCTCTGGCGTGAGGAGGGATGTAGGCGGAGCGAACGAAGCCACCGTTGCCGTTCTGTCTGGGAGCGTGCTGAGACTCGCCCAGCGAGAGGTTGTTCATGTTGAGTTGATCGGCCATAATTGCAGTGGTGTTTCAAAGGTTGAAAGTGTCCGGATTATGGTATGTCGAGTGTTGGGATAAGGCGTGTAAAGACAGAAAAAGTCCTGATTACGTATGAAAGGTCTGACTCAAAAGAAGCAGAAGTCGTTGATCGGATGCGCAGATGAATAACTGCACAGACGAATAAAGCAAAGGAAAACACAAGTACTTTTGAGATGAAGTTGTTGTTTGTGAGGAGAGGAGAGTGATTGCGGCGAGCAAAGGCCTTGGGATCTCGCAGATGGGTTTTTCTGATCGCCGCCAGCCAGCCTTGGCGCTCACCTATCTGACTTTTGACCCTGGCTCGTCACCGACGCCCGAAACGATTAGCGTCCGCCCGCCTCCAATCATCTTCCATCCACTTCTTCTGTTGTCTGTCAAGCCAAGGGGGCGAAGTCATCTCAATCTTCCGTGTTTGTGCACTTGTCCATGTGCTGAAGTTTGTCACTTGCAATCCCGATTCTTCTAACGCAACAGCACTCTGTCACGTACCCATTGGAATACAGCACATCTTTCTGTACTGTATCTCGTCCATTGAGAGCGAGACTTTATTACCGTATTCCTTTGAACATGATAGGCACATTCGGCATGAAGTGGAAAGCGCTGGGAACCACATTAAGAGGCGCTGCATGAATTGCAAACACTTTCGTGCATTGTCATAGCTATAATTTCTCGTGTCGCGTGCCCGAAGACCTGCTGTACGAGGAACCTCATGCGCTTAGTATCACGTCACGTTCAGGGGCTAAGAAAATCTGAAGAGGAAATTTAGATATTCATAGGTCGTCGTATATACACCAATAACAACCTGAAAAGAAACCGAAATGCTTTTCGCCTAGAACGCCCTTTCATGTATGCATCTATGCAGTGCATGCTGTCCAAGAACCAAAATCAACAAATCAACATGCTAGAGCTATCATCACTCGGTGAAAGTGGCCTCGGCGCTGGTGAAGAAGTCCTCCCTGCGAATGCCACTGCGGTCGCACATACTGCGGAAGATACCTCCCTGGTCGTAAAGAGTGATGGGACGATCTAGCTCGGCAATCTGACCCTTGTCCATGACACAGATACGGTCGTAACCAATGATGGTCTTCAGACGATGGGCAATACACAAGAGAGTCTTGCCCTTGAAACCCTTTACAATGGTACGCTGAATCTTCTGATCGGTATCAAAGTCGACCGACGAAGTTGCCTCGTCACAAACAATGATGCGGCTACCACGTACGAGAGCACGTGCGAGAGCCATAAGTTGACGCTGGCCAAGAGAGAAGTTCAGGCCTTCTTCCTCAACAGGAGCGTCGAGGTGAATGCGTGAAGAAGAGTCAGCAATATCTTGCTGCTCGCCGACAAGATCAGCCTGGCGAAGTGCACCCCACAGCTCCATATCTGTGTGCTCGTTGAAAGGATCAAGGTTGCTGCGAATGGTACCCTTGAACAATGTGGGGTCCTGTGGAATGATCGAAAGACGGGATCTCAGATCCTTGAGACCAATCTTGGCGATATCGAGACCATCAACAGTAATGCTTCCGCCGCTAAGCTCCACAAGACGGAACAAGGTGGACATGATCGTCGACTTTCCTGCACCGGTACGGCCAACGACACCAATGCGCTCACCTGCATTGACATGCATGTTGAGTCCCTTGAGGACCAGAGGAAGACCCTCACGGTAGCGCATCTGGACGTTGTCGAAGACAATCTCACCCTTCTCGGGCCATGAAGGACGAACCTCAACGGTGTGGAGAGGTGCTTCTTCTTCGAGGTTATTGCCGTAGTAGTAGATACGTTCGGTCGAGTTCATGTTGTTCTCAACTTCAGCAAGCTGGCGCACAGTGAACTGAATCATCTGCACGACCGAGAGAATGTACGACAGAACCAGACCACCACTACTTGGGTTGACGGAGAAACTGGCAGTTACAACCAAGATACCGGTAACGAAAACCAAAAGAGTACCAATGGCGTCAAGACGAACGGACAACCAACGCTGGTTCGAGAATGTAAGGTAGTAGGCGCCGTTCATATTGTCGATTGCATCGCGAACAGATCTCGAAAACTGGTCCTGCAGGCCATAAGCACGAATAGTAGCGACACCAGACACTGCTTCACTGAAGCGAGAGAAGACGCTGCTACGAAGGACAGCCTCGTGTCGTTTGATCTCGCGAGCCGATGAGCGGTAGTAGCTTGCGGCGAACAAGAACATAATGAACAACGGACCCAAAGCGGCAGCAAAGTAGTAGTAATAGGCGATGATCAAAATGAACACGGCGATGATTTGGGCAAGTGTCATGAAGAACATACGGAAGGCATCGGTGAGAGCGTTGTCCATAGTGTCAACATCCTTGGAAAAACGGTTGGTGATTCTTCCTAGAGGAGTTGTGTCAAAGAAGGACATGGGTGCGCGGAGGACCCGGGTAACTGCGTTGTGTAGCAGAGTTGCACTGGCCCGGGTACCGCAGATGGTCAAGATACTGGAGAAGATGAACATGAGGACAGCTTGCGAAACACCAAGTCCGGCGTAGACTCCAATATATGCGCCTCTGCTGTAGCCGAACTTGTCCGAGGTCCACCACGACAGCCATAGACTGGTCGCAATGTTGGCACCTTGTGACAGAATAAGAGTCAGGAGAATCAGTGGTGCAACTGCGAGTGAGCCAGAAGCCTTGACGTAAGCCTTGTAGATGCCGAAAGAGACACTCTTGACGGCACGCTCTTCAGCCTGCATGAGTGCAGCAGCTGGTTTCTTTCCACCAGTTGTCTTCTTTACGTCCTTCTTCTCCTCTTCGACTTCATCTTCGTCAACAGGTTCTTCTTGCTCTTCCTTCTTCTCTTCGGAGGCAGTAGTAGCCATGAGTTTCTGGAAGTCAGCGTCGGTTGCCATGAGGTTGTCGAAAGTATCAATCTTGTATGCGGTGCCGTCTTGGACCCAGATAATTCTGTCGCAGCGATGAAGAACATGGAGTTGATGAGTTGCAAGAACACGAGCCTTGTTTCTCAGAAGTCCACAGATAGCATTGTCCATGATGTGTCTTCCAACGTGAGCATCAACAGCCGATAGCGGATCGTCCATGAGAACAATGTCGGCATTGAAGTAAATTGCTCTTGCAATGTTTAGACGTTGCTTCTGACCACCAGAGACAGTAATACCTCGCTCTCCGATTTCGGTAAGATCGCCGTTGGGGAGCATGTCGAGATCAGGTCGCAGTGCACATGCATCCACAACCGCATCATACCACTCTTGATCGAAAGGCTTTCCGAAAGTAATGTTCTCTTTGACAGTTGCGTTCTGAATCCAGGCATATTGAGGACAGTATGATCGAGAAGCGCCAAAGGTGACTTCACCTGAAGTCCTGCGCATCTCTCCACCGAGAGCAGCCAAGATAGAAGTCTTTCCAGAGCCAACACTTCCGATGACAGCAACAAGCTCGTCGCGGCCAATAGCGATGTTGAGTCCCTTGATTTGGAATGGCTGCTCACTTTCGTCGGCCAAAGTGGTGCTGCTGTCAGAAGTGTTCAGACCATCGCCGCCCTTTTCAGCGTTCTTCAGCGCATCCTTAGTAGCCTTCTTTGCATCTTTCTTAGCTTGCTTGTCGGCCTTCTTGTCGGCCTTCTTATCCGCTTTTCGAGCTGCCTTGGCTTGCTTGGATCCAGCAGGACCAACTGGTGCCTTCTCCGCGTCCTGAGTAGGCGTTCTTTCCCAGGTGAAGTCGGCGTCCTTCATAACAATGGCACTCTTGCCCTCGTAATCCCAGGTGGCCTCGTCCAGTGCTTCTTCGGCAAGCAAAAAGTCTTCGATTCTGCGGATTGATGCGGAGGCATCGACGGTCTGTCCGATGACCAGAGGCAAAAGGTTGAGAGGCAGTCTGAGACCGTTGAACAGAGCGAGAGATGAAAAGATCTTTCCGGCTTGGAGCCCATGGTCTGTCAGACTGTACGTGATGAAGGCCAGCATAGAGGCAAACACGGGCATGGACATCGAAACAGCCATGATACCGTTACGGATGTTCAACAAAAACTGAATTTTGCCAATTTCTCTGCGACGGATCTCCTTGAGGCGGTCGAGGAAACTGCTCTCCCACCCGAAATACTTGACGAATCTGACACCGGCAAGAATCTCCTGGGTAAGACCAACTCTTTGATCGGTGACTTTGTTGATGGCCTTTCTGCGGACGAACAAGCTCTTGATCGACCTTCCAAGTAGAGGCATAGCCAACATTAGCAGACCGAAACCGGCCAACGCACTGTATGTGATGTTTACAAGAAGCAAGACAAGCGTCAGGACGATTGATATTGGAGAGGCCCAGATCATGTGGAACATTCCTGATGCCTGGTCGATACGATAGGTGTCGGTCGACATCAGATTGACAATTCTGCCATTCGACCAGCCCTCTCCACTACCGGAAACACCCTTTTTGTCCTGGGCGTTGGCCTTTTCTTTCTTGAGCTTGGCCTTGAGCCACTTCTTCTCTTCTTTGCTGCCAGGCGTGATGCCGGGAGGAAGGCCGACAGGCTCGGTATTTGACTTACCACCAGCTCTAGCTCTTCCAGAAAGTCTCATGGCCTTTTCGAAGATGACGGCGATGGTGACTGCTCTTGCTTGTCCACCAACAGTCATACCGCGATACAGGAAATGATTTGTGCAAACACTTTGAATAACCTGCAGGATAGTCACCGCAAAGACAAGGCCAATACCATGGCCAATATCCGGCTTAGGCGATCCAGTTCTTTGTGAGACCCATGTCTCGGTGGAAAAGTTGATCAGGTAACGCAGAACGAAAGGAGCCAGAACCTGGACAACAGCTGCGATAAGTTCGCAGAAACCTCCTAGTAGAAACTCGTTCCGAAAAGTGTCGTAAAGCGCCCATTTGAGAGGATTCTCAGTTCCATTGTCGACTCTCTTTTTGAATGCTGCCTTCAATCTTGCAGACAAAACATCTACACTGCGGTCGGGATTGACTTTCCATAAATCGTTTAACTCAAGTGGTCGTTGATATCCAACCTAGTCGTTATTGTCAGAACTACGAAAGACGCGACAAGATACATAGCAGACTCACGCTCATGATAGGTGCCATCCATTGGAAGGTGAGATGACTGAAGAAGTTGGCTTTGTATTCCCTCGACTCTCCTTGCTCTGTCGGTATCGGAGGCTTGTGCTTGCTCTTTAATGGATTGATCTTTTCACTCCATGTCTGCTTCTCCTCCTTCTCTATGCTTCTTTGGCTCTTATCATCTGGCGTCTCATTGCTTGAAGACGTCCAATCACTTTGGTGGCGGTCCAGTGGTGATCGACCATGTTTCTCGGCTTGCTGCTCGGCTTCCTTTTGTTGCACATAATCCCGGTCTAGCACTTTCTCCTCATTCAGTTCCCTCTCTGTTCCGACTCTTTCCAATGGCTCGGTGGCTACAGAAGCATGTTGTGCAGTGTCGGCGGCCGGGGGAGGATTAGCGGCGTCGCCCGAAGTCCATACTGTATCTGGCACTGGGGCTGACATGTTCTGTCGGCGCTGGTAGGGTCGCTGGCTCAAACAAAAAGAGGAGAGAAATTAGGAACGAGCGACATCGATAACATATGAAGCGGCAGGCAGCAGGTTCATGACGCCTCCATATCGGTTGTCCGAGTCGGTGATAATATCTCCGTCCCGCTGGGTTCTTTGATGCATCATCTCGATTAGACGTTGCACTAAGAACCAACAGCCTTTTTGATACAGAGCATCGCTACAACCACGCATCGCCACGCCGCTGATGCACACCACTACATAGACATGGCATGGGAACACGTTCTGACTTTCATATCCATTCGAGGCACCAGATCAATCACTATACTTCGATCGAACAATTCATACCTCTAAAGTTCAAGCCAACAACATCATATAATGTGGCAGGTTTTCTTCTACTCGAGTCGGATGCAGCTATTGGTAAGCAAGCAACGTTCGCTAGGATGATTCCTTTGCGTCGGTTGGTCCTCCTCCACATTCCCGCTTTGGGTACGGCAAATCCGATCTGCAATTTTTCACCTAATCTCAGATCAGAGTTCAGCCTCTCAAGCTTATGTTTGCTGCTTGTCTTTGTCCGTCGGTGTCTACTTTGCCCGAAAGCCGTCAAACCAACCACGTTTGTTTCTACATTACCAACCAGACATAGCACAGCGTCGCAGCGTTGTCACGTCTGCTAAGAGATATCGATGACTCAAATTCGAGCTGCCTGATTCTGACTAGGTCCTAGGGAGTTGCCAATCATCCGTATCTGATTGCTGTTGACTCCTTGCGGTGGCTTGAAGGAAGCATGCCAACTGGTGCCGAGTTCCGTAGAGCGAAGCAGTCAACTCACCCGTCAACAACATGCAAGAAGTCGTCGATCGATATGGCAACAGTGAGCGAGGAGTCATCGTGTCGACTCGCTGATGCTGGCTGACACCATGGCCCTACAAGGCACGAGATTCTAACATTCCAAGTCAGAGAGTCAGCAGATAAAGATGGAAGGTGAGTTGGTGATGGAGCAGATCGGCTGTTCCAAAGTCCGACGTGCCTCGGCCAGCGTATCGCCGTATCCCGCATGACAGCAGTAGCATCCTCCGCTTCAACCATCATGATTGATCTTGTATACATGGGCAGTCACAATGTCAGAGTTCGTACATGACGACCAGACGACCTCCAGCACCAATGTCGCATTCCAATACCCGTTCGCGTCGGCCCCAGACATTATCCGATCACACCAGAAGGACGCCTATTTCCAGGGCGTGCTGCTAGAGCGCCTCTCGTCAGTGCTGCGTAACCTCTATGGCGCACGCTTTGCCCAAACACACATGACAGGCACGCGGACCTTTGCCGACCTACTCTACCTATCTTTGACCACACTGGTTGGCAATCGCACCCTGGGAGAAGAATACTGCGACATTGTTCAGGTAGAAGACGATACCTTACGCCTACCAAACAGCTTCAGAAGAGGAGGATACATACTGGCCAGCGTTCTGCTGCCATACGGCCTTACCAGATTGCTACCAGCCTTCCGGAGGAAGTTGCGCGCAAAGTTGGAGGCTTCTCTGCGGCGGCGGAACAGCAAGCCTGACAAGTCGTCCTCGTGGCTCACCACCCTGCAGTCATACGTCCTGCGTAATCTTGATACCATAACCTCGCCCTCGCCGATACACGCCCTCAGCCTGACAGCCTTCTACTTCACTGGCGCCTACTATCATCTAGCAAAGCGCCTCAGCGGCCTCCGATACATCTTCACTAGACGTCTAGACCCCAGCGAGCAGCGCATCGGCTACGAGGTCTTGGGTGTTCTTCTGGTCCTGCAATTGGGCGTTCAGGCCTACCTTCACGCCCACGAAACATACTCCTCTGTCCCCGCCATCAGTAACCCTGCAAGCTTGGGCGGAGGCAGCGCAGTCCTGGACAACGGTGTCGAAGTCTCTCTAGACCCAAACTCATACAGCTCAAACAATGCCTTGTTGTTTGAGGAGGGTGCTGCACAGCGTGATACGCCAGGCTTACACAGCAAGATCTCGAGGATGACGCATACGCCTCTGGCTCCAGCCGATTCAGAGGCCGCAATTTTGAACCTCGAAGATGAAGACAAGTTGAAGTGGATTGAAAGCAGTCAGCAGAGAAAGTGCACACTGTGTTTGGAACCGATGCGCGACCCGAGTGCCACAACTTGCGGTCATGTCTTTTGCTGGACTTGCATCTCCGATTGGGTCAGGGAGAAACCCGAGTGTCCGTTGTGTAGACAAGCTGTTTTGGGCCAGCATATCCTACCGCTTAGAGGTTGATATGGCGCTTATACAACAAACCATAATGAGAAACGACCACAAGAAAAAGAAGTATGCATGGTCACGCTCTGCTATGATAGACCAAGCAACCGGTATTCAATCAGCTTTGACGCCATTGTCATTGACCATCTTCTCCCTTTCAGCCAGAATGCATTTGTAGTCCTGTCAACACACATCCGTCAGCTCTCCCATATACACTCAACACAATAAAAACTCAACACTCACATCACAAGCCAACCTCACCGCATCCACAAAATCAACTCGTGGATAATATCCCAACACCCGTCTAGCTTTCTCATTGCTCGCGTATCTCGTTCCCACCGCATCCCTCACACTCCCTCTACTCAACGTACTCGCCTTTGCCCCAGTAACCCACGTCTTGATCTCCGCAGCCAACCCGGCAACCCAAGCCAAGGGCGTCGGCACCACGAGCTGGAAAGGCGGAACATGATCGAATTCTTTCCATATCGCCAACATGAAGTCGCGGAAATAGACCGGTTGTTGGTTTGACACGAATATTGCTTCTCCTGCTGCTGATGCAGGGATTGGGGTCGTCGAGAGCAGGTTATCGAGAGCGAGGAGATGGGCGTCGGCGATGTTTGTTATGTAGGCGAAATCGTACATGTTGTCGCCTGTGCCTATTATCCATGGTGTCTCACCTTTGGCGATGCAGGCGTGTATTGTTGCGATAACGCCGTAGGTGTCGCCAGGGCCGATGATGGTTGCTGGACGTAACGCACAGGTTTTGAAGGCGGGAGTGTTGGCGGCTAGGACGGCTAGTTCGGCGGGTGCTTTGCTGGCTCCGTAGGCTAGAGTGGCATGTCCGATTGGTATGTCCTCGGTCATGTTTGGGTATTCACGGTCCAGGTCGTCTGATACTACCGTGCAGCTGGATGTTTGTACAAAGGCCTTGCATTTCGTCTTCTGGGCCGCTGATAACACGTTCAAGGTTCCCTGATGGTTGATAGCAAACACCTTGTCTCGCAGTGCTTTCGAATTGCTGTATCGTAGACTGCCGTTTGGCACCCAGCCGGCTACATTGATAATGGCATCCGGATTGGCTTTACGTATAGCGAGATCTACTTCTGATTGCTGTGTTATATCTGCTTGGACATATGCGACTCCAGGTTGAGAAACCGGAGGCGGTCTTAGATCCAGATTCGTCAATGTCCAATCCGGATGTGCTTTTTGTATCGCTGTGAGAACTGCTCCGCCTAGAAATCCGGAAGCACCGGTAACGAGGATATGAGGCATTGTGGACGGAATATCTAAGCTGCTCAATATGTGACCTTGCATTCAATAAGAGAGGCACAGAAGTTGAGCAATTGAAAGGTGGATGTGGATATATCTGAAAAAGCAGCAATTCGAATGAACAGAATGACGCCACCAGATCTGATCATGATCGAAGGGGGTGTGCGATGCGTTAATCCAAGACCTACTAGCACAGACTACTGGGTCAATTTATACGCGTATAAGCTGGGCATTATACCTATCACTTTAAGAACACCAGCATGTGTGCAAGAAGGATAGGTTTAGATGAGGCACTCGAGGCCCTGTCAATGGTGAACCTTGAACGACTTGTCTTGGCAAAACGCGAGAGAAATTCAGCAAGCACACTTCTCCAACACTGATCGTCGCAAACACAAACCAAAAATGTTGCTTAACGAGCATACAGGTAAGAAGCTATCAATCGTCGGTATGTCTTTCATAATCTGAACGTATGGGCTTGCAGCTTTGGTGACATCGCAGATCTTGCTGTGTCCATACAGCGAGCATCATGTACCAACATATCATGAATGGATGAAAGACGAGGTAAGCGCAACATCATTCCATCGCATTTCTATTTCCTAGTCTTCCTTTCCATTCTTCCGCCTTCCTAATCATCATCCCCATCTCCATTTTCAAGACAGTATACAAACATGCGAGAAAAAAAAGGAACTCCAAGCCCTCACGGCCTCTGAACCCCTAAGCCTACCCGAAGAATACGACATGCAACGATCCTGGCGCCAGGACCCCGACAAACTAACCTTCATCGCCTGCCTCCCACCCACCTCCCCTGCAACCGCTTCCACAACAATTACACCAAAACAAGACGACGCACCTTCCCGCATGATTGGCGATATAAATCTCTTTCTCTTCGACGACGACGAAGACGACGAGGAAGAATCCTCCACCTCCACAACTTCAAAACAAATCATCGGCGAAATCGAACTCATGATAGCGCTAAAATCACATCACCGCAAAGGCCACGGTCGCGCCTCTCTTCTCGCTTTCCTCTCCTACATTCTCACAAACAGTGGCGCTATTCTATCCGAATACACTCAAGGCACTTCAGGAATCTTGAACTTCTTGCGTGTAAAGATCAACAAGGATAATGTCAAGAGTATTGCGCTGTTTGAGAGTGTAGGGTTTGAGAGGACGAGTGCGGAGGCTAATTATTTCGGAGAGGTGGAGTTGAGAATACAGGTGAAGGGGGAAGAGGAGGTTGCATTGAAGGAATTGGAGGGGGCGAAGGGATGGAACGGACGACCATTTGTTATTGGATATGGTGAGGTGTAATTCGCCGCTACCTATCATCTACTCTTGATCTTCCTAGCCACTTGGCCAGCCTGAGGCTCTGAAATCTTGACACCTTACAATCTTAGTCATAAACTCTCTCAATCCTCCTTAACCCTCCTCTCCTCCCGCCATCTCCCGCTTCGTCGACCTATCTGTACCTACCCTTTATATACGAAATTCTCAAGGTCCCTTTTAATAAGCGAAATCAGCCGTGGTAGTGTAGTGGTTCAACACACCCGTGGTCTTAACACGTGCGCAGTCATTCGTTGTTACTCAACGCCGTGTCAGTCTAGATCCGAGGAGGTCGGGGGTTCGATTCCTTCCCATGGTGCTTATTTCTTTTTTTTTTTCTTTTTGCCCAAGCTTTGGTATTAGTGTCGTCGTCGTCATCATCGTCGTCGCAGGTTCGGGCTTTATCCATCTTCTTTGCATACTACTCGAGTCAACAGCAGTACTTTTGGACGAGCCCCATTCATTGTGACAAATCTGCTCGTGTAGATGGTCACTTGCGCAGATAAATGGCCCTCGAACCTGGACTTGAAAATTGTTCTGCATTATGGTGAGCAAACATCCACAAATATCAAGGCAGCTGAGATTTATATTCCTCTGTTATCAAGATTATCTGCCTTTAGAAAAATCGAAGTCAAATAGTGTGTTTCTTGTGCTACATGGTCACCTGTTCTTGCTCCTTGATGCGTTGCTCACCAGCTGCAACCATATCTACCATATATCAGCGTCCGATCGTACACACCGAACTCGGGAATAAGAAGGACTCACCCATCCACCTGTTCTGGCCAGGATACCTGTCCCTTCTCACTCTGTCCACACTATCAAGCACCTCGCCGGCGTTTTCATTCATAACATCCTCGGCCCCTTCAAATGCCAAACTGGCGATCACGACTGCAAGCGTGGAACCCTGGGCAAACACTCTAGCCTGCACGAGCTTCTGAGCTCGACTGAGGAAAGGTTTGCGGTTGATCAAGGCCAGAGCGACTGCCATAGATACAACCCATGAGCTCAGCACAATGCGATAGCGGTTTTGCAGACCCCATTCTGAGACACGTTGAGATAGTGGTTTTGCAGTTTGCAATTGTTTCTTGAGGAGGATTTGAGAGGAAGTGTATGCACTGTCGGGGTTGTGTGTTGCTTCGTAGTTGCGCGAGTAGCGGTCTGCGTAGATGATTGCTGTTGGAGATCAGTGATGAGGTTAATGCTTGGGATGGATGGGGATGCTTGATACCTGCGAAACCTCCGGTGCCGGTTACCAGAAAGGCGTGGAAGGAAGGGTTGAGATGGCGAATGGCTGGGAATCTTCGTCCTAGGGTCCAGAGAATGCCTGTGCTGAGTGCTGTTCCGCCGATTAGACCTCCCCAGCCGCCTTTGAGGACGTTGCTAGATTGGGTCAGCATTGTCTACGCATTGAAGGATTGGGTTTGTTGTACGAGTAGTGCTCTCTTTCCTGTTCTGGAGTTAAGAGCTTCATGTTGGACTTTGCTTGATGGATTCTTGTCGAATAGGTGGTGGTTCGATGGTTCGGTGATAGCAAAAGGCAGAGAGAAGATGTTGAACGGTTCTTCCCACCCTCGACATCTTCAGCATATATACCTCTTCCCTCAGAGCACTCACCTCATTATAGTCCGGAGACCACCGATAGACTATCAAGTATATCATCATATCAAGGGGTAGATGTACACAGCAACTCATGCCACTTCACGAGATAACTGCGAGCAGACGTGACAGAGGCGTGTCGCGAAAGGAACACAAAGCGTCAATAAGCATATGATAGGCAAGACAAATGCTGCAGCCTCCCTCAACGTATGATTCTGGTGTTTGACGCAGACGTCCGTCCCTCGGTTTCATTCCGGTACCTCTTGAGATAGTTGTGCGACGTTGATCGTATGTCTTTCCTCGCAAGCTTCTGTGCATTTATCGTCATTGTTGCTGCTGGTTGAGTTGCAGATGCTAGCTTTGTCAGTAGAGAAGGCATATTCCTCGAAGACCCAGATTGTTTCGAAGCCCTTGGGTCGCTGCACGTATCCGCTCAAGCTGACTTGCATCGAACGCAACCACCTTCGGTTGCAGGAAATGCATGTAACCGTGTTTCCAAGCAGTTGAATGGGCTCAATTTGCGTTTCACAGGAGGCGTGTTTCGCGACACAGAAGCTCTGTTGTGTGAGCTTCGATATCGTGACATATCATGCCACTTTTCCAGCGCTTGCGTATCAGAAGCTTTGTGACGTGCATTTGTTGCAGTTCGATAGTTATGCATGTGGAGACTCTCATGAATCAGTTTCAGATAGCATTACTTTCCACATAGCTCGTAAATGTTCGTCAATTGTGGACTGATCTTTGAACACTACTCCACTTGTGTGATTTTGGTGTTCCGTCTCGTTGTAGAAATCATGCGATACCATGAAGTGCTTTGTGGATCCTTAGTGTTCGCATGAAGCATATGTAAGACGCGGTGGATTGCACAATGTCTCGAGGTTGGTTTCTCCTTCTTCGCAGACCCTGCCTAATCTTCGGGCAGTATGCAATGCGACGATTTACTTGCTTCCTCCATGGACAAAGCTTTCGTGGCCATCGAAGGCAAGAAGCAATTGCGGATTCGAGTCGATGCTCGCGGAACATCTGTATTACCCATCGTTAGTCACCTAGGTAGCAAATCATACAAGGAGGCCAGCGGAGAGTGGAAAATGAAGTTGCAGAGATGTTCAATGTTCTTGACATCAAACACCATATAGGTAGATGTGATTCTTTACTGTACAGAAAAATATAAATGCGGTCCTTCACAGAAAAGGAGGATGTATAACCTGAAGCGAGAACCTGATGCATCATTTGCCGTTCCTCATTATTCGACCAACCAGTTGTCGTCATCATCAGCTACATCGTAGTCCATCTCGGCTGCCGGTCTTGGAGGTGCGAAATCTTGTTGGGGCTCGTCCATGTTGACGTCCTTCGAAGTCTCGGTTCCTGACTGTGCAACCGCGACGGGTGTGCTAGGCGCTGGGTTTGCCATCCATGAAAGCTCAACCTTGCCGATATGCGGGATGTCGGTGCCATGGTTAAGGAACTTCTCGGCTTGGTAGCGTTCGTTAAAGGCCAACATGGCAGCATCTGAGCGTGAAGGATGTTGGCTGATCTGGGTAGCCTCCATGAGATCGCTCTGTGAATAATTAGTATGCTGCCTTGAAACATCCAGTCGGCTGTCATGACTTACAAATAGCAGATATTGCCTCAGGGCCTCGTCTTTTTGCGGGCTCATTTCTTCGTTATTTGCGAAAACGACAGCAACAGTTCTGGGTCTGTTGTCTAGTCGTCTCACAGCACCTCCACGGGGAGCGAAGGCACCTCTTCCACCTCGCCATGCGCCTCGTGGTTGAAATGCTCCACGTCCTCTGTAGCCACCACGACCACGAGGAGCGAAGCCTTGCCATTGCTGATCCTCATTCGGGTTTATGCCCATGCTCTCAGCTTCTTTCTCCAACTCGGCAAGCTTGGCTTTCAAAGCGTCGGTCTGCGAGGGTGTACTGTTGCCGTCGGCTCCATTGGCAGCAGCGCCGTTCTGGCCAGCAGCAGCAGCTTGATCTGGGGTACCAGACTTTCCTCTCTCTTTAGCGGCGAGTTTGGCAAGCAATCTACTGCGCTCCTCGGCCTGGGCCTTCATCTTCTGCTCCAGCTCCTGTCGTTGTGCCTCGGCCTCCTTGATCTTTTTCGTCTTCTCTTCATGTGCGCGCTGGGCTTCTTCTTGTCTCTTTGCGAATTCAACAGGGTCGATCTTATCCTCCTCCTGCATCTCCACATCACCATCGCCCTTGCCAAAACCGTTCTGATGGCGTTCTCGTGGCATCCTGTCGGGCTTGTACCAGTAAACCTTGACGAATCGGTTGTCGAAAATGACCTTGGGACTGTCGTATGCCTTCTTCGCGGTGTCGTAGTCCTCAAACTTGATGATAGCTAGACGCTTGTAATCTTGCAACTCGACAGACTCGATGGTACCAAATTCGGAGAAAAAGTCGCGGACGGATTGCTCGTTGAAGTTCTCCTCAGGAATTTGTTCAACAACAACCTGTGTTATAGAGCGATCATGGTTTGGTCCAGCAGATGAGAAATCGGCACGTCCACCGCGACCACCACGGAAGGCGCCTCTATCACCTCTACCGCGACCGCGACCACGTCCTCTGTCACCAAATGAACGACCCTGTGAGAGGGAAGCGTTCGAGGGATCGTATTCGTCTCCTTGTTGCTGGGGTACGACTACAGGGTCGTTGCCGTGCTCATGGGGGCATGAAGCGCCGAGCGCACAGAAGCCTTTGGTGTCATAATCGTGGCACCTCTGACCCGAGCGCGGTTGTTGCGCAGTGTTGCCAAAGCCACCAGGTGAAGCAGGGAAGGGCATTTGAGGCATTCCGGGCATACCTGACATACCAGGTAATTGGCCCATTGCTTGCTGCATTGCCATCAGAGCGGCCATGGGGTTGTTCGGATCGAATTGGGGCATGCCCTGAGGTGCGCCGGGCATTTGACCCATGAAGCCTCCTCTTTGACCGCCGCGTCCACCTCTTCGCATCTGCTTCATAGGGCGGTCTTGTTGGCGACCTTGAGCGTAGCTATCGAAGGCGTTGCTCTCGTTGAATTCGCGCTTCTTTGAGGCAGGACCTGAGGGAGGATTGAAGGCAGGATCGCTGGGTTGGAAGGCGGGCGCATTAGGCTGGAAAGCAGAGGCGGTGGGCTGTAGCGGCTTTGGAGGGGCGGCCGAGGCGTTTGAGAGATGGGCGAAAACATCGTTGACAAAGGTAGCGGTGCTGTCGTGCAAAAAGTCCTGTAGGTTGTCGAGGCAGTTCTGCTTGACGGCGTCGTCTGACTCCTCTGACTTGATCAGGGCGATGACATAGTCGGCGAGGACGTCCGAGTCGGCATCCGAGATGTCCTCTAGCCTCTTGACCACCCAGCCCTTCAGTTCGTCTGACGCGCTATCGTCGAGATGCATTGTTGTACAATTGCAAAGTAAAGTGAGAGACAGCTTCTTCGAGAACTTCGCTCTCGGCCTGAGAGAGCTTGGAATCCACCCTTCGCTACCCCAGCCTTGGCTGAAGTCATTTCATACTTTCACTCTTTCACAACTCCTGCTCTTTCACAACTCTTGCTCTTTCACAACTCCTGCAGCTTTCACAAGTCCATCTCACACGGGAACAGTGCTCAACCAACTCTGCAGTATTACTGTTTTGATGAGACACTCTTTGGCTACGCCATTGAACATCAAAACCATCTTGCAATTAGACAGTCCTTTTCAGCAACATCAAGCTCCAACGGGATCTCCTTCTCTGCATATACCACTGTCACATGCAACATTCGTTTGCAGAGCTGTAGGTATAAAAAAACCTGCCCACCCACTTACTGCTTCTCTCTCATCAACTACCAACAGGGTCGTACAGGAGCAGCTCCGGACCACAACGCCCTCTCCACTGCGTCCTATTCTCATCGTAGAGCCAGAGGTGGACGGTCAAGTCGAAACACGGGTTCCGAACGCGTCCAACTTACTCAAGGATCCCACATTCAGTCGTGAGTAATAGCGATACTTACGGAGGTGTTGCATGAGCAAGTACAACCTTTCTCGAGCTGGTTAACAAGAATATCTGCCCCAAAGTCTCCGTACACAAGGGGCTAGACGTACTTGGAACCTCTTATTTAGTTGTTTCGAGCACTTTAAAGTCCGGATGCATTGCACGAGGAGGCACGAATTCTCCCGAGCGCGTAGATGGGACCATCTGCTTACAATAAACTCTCCGTAAACAGGGACCAAGCTCACTCGGAACCTCGTAGCTAGTCAATTCCAGCGCTTAAGGCCCGGATGCATTGCATAGTAAGTATAACCTTCCTCTAGCGGGCAGGGAAGACGTTTTACTAAAACACAACGTGTATATGTTGCAGGTACGTAACCCTTGCTCGGAAGGTCGTAGTCAGTCGTCTCTAGAACCCAGAAGTACGGAAGTGTTGCACGAGTGTGCACAATCTCTTCTCGAGTGGATGGAGGGGGAAGGAAAAAAGGAAGTGTACGGCGGTGCCTGATGCAATCACTTAACAGGGTCACAAAGCGCTCTGTAAGTGTGGCTAACCTATTAAGTAGTAATGTACAAACCTGTTACTTTGAAGAGCTTCAGAATGACAAGAGGGTACTTAAGAGAGGTAGAAGTGATGGGAGAAGTTCTTCTTCAGTCCGAGCAGTCATCATTCATATGCAACATCCGAACCAAGCACAGTGATTGTACAAAGTAATCCTAGAACCGTGAGGATTGTTCGAAAGATCTAAGCATCTTGATGGGATAGACGACAATTGTGGTTGAAGCTTGGAAGTCGCGAGCAAGAGTAGATGGCGTAGCGCACAGACCACCCAAGGAGACGGCCTGATTGACGTAGGAGTCCAAGCCAACGACTGGCGGTCTTGTCAATCGGAGAGTTCAACAACCAGCTCGACAAGTTCTGCTGTACAGCAGCTAATCCCGACCTCTTTCGACACTCCTCCCCTCTACCTACTCCACAACCACCGCAAAGATGGCCGGAGAGGATTTCGCCGCCGACCCCAGGATGATGTCCATCCAGCCTCGCATCCGCTACAACACCATTGGTGGCATCAACGGTCCTCTGGTCATTCTGGACAATGTCAAGTTCCCTAGATTCAACGAGATTGTCTCCTTGACTCTGCCCGATGGAACCGAGAGATCTGGTCAGGTCCTCGAAGCTCGCGGTACGTTCAAGCCACGCTCAACATAATCTGGTAGCCACACACTGACCACTTTGTGTGCAGGCAACCGCGCCGTCGTCCAGGTACGTCGTATTCCGATCGCCACATGACTGCGACAACCGAACAACACGTCAAGAGCATGGAGCTTACACACGAAAATAGGTCTTCGAGGGAACTTCTGGTATCGATGTCAAGAAGGTGCGCGAAACAAGCTTGACACTAGCATGGAAGCATATGTGCTGATACATAACAGACTAAAGTCGAGTTCAGCGGTCACTCGCTCAAGCTCGGTGTGTCCGAGGACATGCTTGGTCGTGTCTTTGACGGTTCCGGTCGTGCTATCGACAAGGGCCCCAAGGTCTTGGCCGAGGACTACCTCGACATCAACGGTCAACCCATCAACCCTTACTCAAGAGTCAGTCGCCCTGGAATCCTCTCCTTGAATGCCCTGTATTGATATTTGCAGGAATACCCCGAGGAGATGATCTCCACCGGTATCTCGACCATCGACACCATGAACTCCATTGCCCGTGGTCAGAAGATTCCCATCTTCTCTGCCGCTGGTCTTCCTCACAACGAAATTGCCGCCCAGATCTGTAGACAGGCCAGTTTGGTTAAGCCTACCAAGGGTATTCACGATGACCACGAGGACAACTTCTCCATCGTCTTCGGTGCCATGGGTGTCAACTTGGAAACCAGCAGATTCTTCACTCGTGACTTCGAGGAGAACGGCAGTATGGAGAGAGTTACTCTGTTCTTGAACTTGGCCAACGACCCTACGTACGTCTTGTTCACGTCTTCTTTGCGCAGATCCAGGTTGCTGACATTCAACCAGTATCGAGCGTATCATTACTCCCCGTCTTGCTCTGACAACCGCCGAATACTACGCCTACCAGCTCGAGAAGCACGTCTTGGTCATTCTTACTGACCTTTCGTCCTACTGTGACGCTCTTCGTGAGGTTTCGGCCGCTAGAGAAGAAGTTCCCGGTCGTCGTGGTTACCCAGGTTACATGTACACTGATTTGTCCACCATTTACGAGCGTGCTGGTCGTGTTGCCGGCAGAAACGGATCTATTACTCAGATTCCTATTCTGACCATGCCTAACGATGGTATGTTCAAGTCCCTCAACCTATTGACAGGAACAGCATTAACTTAATCAACAGATATCACCCACCCTATCCCCGATTTGACTGGTTACATTACCGAGGGCCAGATCTTCATTGACCGTCAACTCTACAACAAGGGTATCTACCCCCCGATCAACGTTCTTCCCTCGCTCTCGCGTCTCATGAAGTCGGCCATCGGTGAGGGCATGACCCGTAAGGATCACTCCGATGTCTCGAACCAGCTGTACGCCAAGTACGCTATTGGTCGTGATGCAGCAGCCATGAAGGCAGTCGTTGGTGAGGAGGCTTTGTCAAGCGAAGACAAGCTTTCGCTCGAGTTCTTGGACAAGTTCGAAAAGACTTTCATCAACCAGGGTGCATACGAGAAGCGCAGCATTTTCGAGTCGCTCGACACTGCATGGGAGTTGCTCCGCATTTACCCCAAAGAGCTTCTCAACCGTATCCCCAAGAAGACCCTGGACGAGTGGTACACCCGCCGCCCATCAGACAAGAGCGCCAACAAGGACACCCGCGACAACCAGGACAAGCCCCAGGAGAGCGAGAACCTGATTGACGCATAATCGAGCGGATGTTTTTGACTGATATTTCCTTTTTCTTTTCCTTGTTGTAGATAGCGCCTGTGCTTATACCATACCGCAGTATATCAGATCCGAGTTTGTCACTGATTGGAGCATTGTCACTGAATCTTCACAATTGCCTCGCGTTTGAATAGTGTTGATGAAATAGAGAAAGTGAGGGTAAAAAGAACAAAAAGTCAAATCACGTGTTTTGTTGGGGCGTGCTTTCCGCGGTCGGAACGTCTGTTCGTGGCCCGGCGTTGGATGCAAGAGCTGCTGTGTGCTAATTGAAACCCCATCTCCGCTCATTGCATCTCGCCATAGCCTGCAAAATGTTGTCTGGTCGCATCGCCTCTCGCGCCGCCCGCGTGGCCGCCCCTCGCGCTCCCATTGCCGTCAGAACCTACGCCGCCGCTGCCTCGCCCGCTGCTTCCAAGCCTCCGGTCGCTCTCTTCGGTCTCGATGGCACCTACGCCAGCGCCCTCTACACTGCCGCCGTCAAGTCCGACTCTCTGGATTCCACCGCCAAGGGTCTCGAGACCCTCGCTGCCACCTTCAAGAGAGACGTCCAGCTCAAGACCATCCTTGAGGCCCCCTCCCTCAACACCGGCGACAAGGCACAGATCATTGCTGAGATCCAGAAGTCGCTCGGTGGCCAGGACAAGAACAACACCATCAAGCACTTCCTCGAGACTTTGGCCGAGAACAACAGACTCAACCAGCTTGAGGGTGTTGCCGAGAAGTTCGGCACCCTCATGAGCGCCTCTCGCGGTGAGGTTGAGTTGACCGTTGTCAGCGCTGCTGTACGTGAACGATGAAAGAGAAGATATACACAACAGCATCAGTTGCTGACATGTCGCATAATAGCCCCTCGACGCCAAGGTCCTCCGTCAGCTCGAGGCCTCCGTCTCCAAGTCCTCATACGTCGGCCAGGGCAAGAAGCTCAAGGTTGTCTCCAAGGTGCGTTATGATGCTCATATACATGTTTCCTACGTTCCTGACGGTTGTTCTAGGTCAACCCCGACATCCGTGGTGGACTTATCGTCGAGGTCGGTGACCGCACCATTGACCTCAGCGTTTCCTCCAAGATCGCCAAGATGAACAAGCTCCTCAGAGACACTCTGTAAATATTTGACTACGATTTCCCCCTCCTCGCCTTGTAGCAACAGAAGAAAAGAATTTATGGCGGTGTTGACTTAAGATATCGTCCTTTTCGAAAGACCCGAAATGAGCAAAATGCAGTGAACATAACATCTGATATCCTTATGGCTCCCTTTGCGGCATTCTGATCGGTAACACTTTTCACACAGAACGGGTCTTGCAATGGCTTGCCAATTTCTCACGCATTGTTTTGAATTGCGGCTTATTAACGATCGTGATTATTTAAAGGTCACACCCAGCAGCATCCAGAATCTTTACTCATCGAAATCCGACAATACCCCTCCTCAAACCATTCTCCGCGGCATACTTCATCTGGATTGTTGTTCCTTATTTGTGTACTTGACACCAACTTCGCAAGTGACTCAAGCCTCCAGAGATGCTCCTTCCCTGCACCTCAAGTCAACTCACCATCTATGCTGCTTCTCATTACACACCTCCTTCACACACCCGTCCGACCTCAAAGTCGCAAATCAAAGTCGCGAACAACCCAATTTCGAACAAGAATTGTTCCTTCCATCACAAATGACAAGCGATCATCAACCCTGCATTTCTTTCGCGAACCCCCCAGCATCAGACTCCATATCAACACACCAGACCAACCCCTCACCATGGAATCTCTACTCGCCAAACGCTTCGGCCTCTCCATCATGTCATACGCAATGACATTTATCAAACAGCACCTTCTCGATAATGCTACGCAACAATGGTCGCCGTTTAGACAATACGTTTTTGCGGCTTCAGTCGCTGTACATTTATTTTTTATTTTTTGTGCAATATTGTGTTGTGTGTGCTTGGCTTGTTTTTTCTTTGCACGTTTGTTTGGATGGTGCGGGTGCGTGATGTGGTTGCTGGTTTGCTTTTGGGGGTTATGGGTGTGGTTGGATGGGAGTGGTGTAGATTGTTGGGGGGTATTGGTGGTTGGTTGGGAGGGGGATTTGGAGTGTTCGAGACGAAGGCTTGTGGAGCAAACTTGGGAGAAGGACCTTTCGCTGACATTCATCAGAATTGACATGTCCGAGAGACACACAGCAACAGAAACAGAAAGTATCGAAGTAAAGGCGACATGAAGCGAAGAAGACAAAGGCAAACAAGCTATCATTAACATCATCACAACTCCTCAACTTCTCTACTGCGACCACGCCCTAATCTTAAACTCCCCATTATCCTCCGGCAACGGTGACACCGGCACCTGCTGAAACTGCGGCATCAGATAGAAAGCCAAATCCCTTCCTTCCAACTGATTAGTACTCCACCCATTCCCCAACCAAGCCATCTGATTGACCTCCTCAGCATATCCATACTCGAAATCCTCCCACCTCGGACTCCTCAACGCTTCTATACAATGTAACGTGCTACCAGGCCATAACCCAGTGACAATATCGCCCTTTCTGTACCAACTCTTGCATTCATCCATGAATACTGTGTTTTTGAAGTACGCGTCTGAGTAGGCTAGGAAGTCTGCTACGCGTGAGGATTTGACGACCATGGAGGATATGTTTTCTTTTTGGATTTTGCGGATGCATTTGATGACATAGTCGCCCACGCTTTCGATCATCATCGTCAGGGATCCGCTGCCGATGGCGGAATTCGGTCCCAGCATCATGAAGAGATTTGGGAAGCCGTCAGTGGCGAGGGAGAGGTAGGAAGTCGCGCGTTGGTCCCAATGTTGCGTCAATTCCACTCCATCGATTCCAGTCACAGGGAAGGGTGGGGGAGCTCCAGTGTGGAAACCAGTTGCGCAGACTAGCACGTCTATTGAGTGGAGTTTGCCATCTTCGGTCACTATGCCTTCATCGTCGATTCTGGCGATGCGATCGCGGATGAATGAGACGTTGTCTTCAACCAATGCTTCCAAGAAGCCAGGACCAGGGGTAAGGCGTCTGCACCCAGGAGCGAAATCCGGTTTTATCCATTCGTAAATCTCTGGTTTTTTGGCTAGTCGTTGCTTCATGTTTTCTTCAAAGTGTTTCTGGGCCCCCTTTTGCATTTCCGTGCCTTTTATCGTCAAGGCGTGGATTTCGTTTCCGCCTTCTTCTAACTTCATGCGGAAGGCGTGGAAATGGTCGGGGTCGGATTGGAACTTTTTGCGCTGTTCTTCGCTGAAGGTGAAGCCATCCATGCCTAGTTCGTCTTGGATGGCTTGGCCGAAGGGAGGGGATATCCAGGTGCGACTGCGGATGAAGCAGGATAATTGCGTCTTTGGCAGTCGTTGGAGGGAAGGGATTATTTGAATGGCTGAGGAGCCGCTGCCTATTACGCCGATGCGTTTGTCCGTGAAGTCGTAACTGTGGCGTTGAGGGTCAGTATCGCTCATTCCATCGAAAAACAGAAATGGCAGAAAGGGGAATATCTTACTCTTGATTCCAAGCCGCCGAATGCATAATCTCGCCTTTGAAACTCCTTAGTCCATCAATCTGTGGCCAGGCGATGTGGTTCAAGCCTCCTCTTGCCATGATAAGCACATCACTGGTATCCTCAAATTCCTCATCGGTGTCCAGCTTTTTGACCTTGACTTTCCATTTTGAAGTGTTGGCGTCCCAGTTGCAGCTTTTGATCTCGTGTTGCAGTTTTATGAAGCGGTCGACTGAGTACTTCTTCACGGTTGATGCGAGGTAGGCTTGGATTTCGGGGGCTGGGGAGTACATGCTGCTCCAGTTTGGATTCGGGTTGAAGGAGTATTGGTACGAGTGTGCTATAGATCCTTTTTGTCAGTCTTTTATTCACTACCTCTGTGATCTGGGCTGTGTAGGTCTATACTTACAAGGAATATCGCAAGCGCAACCTGGATATCTATTTTCAAACCAAGTTCCTCCCACTCCAGCATTCTTGTCGTAGATGGTCAAGTCGACATTGCGTAGACGTTCCGGGATGCGGATACCGTGGTAGATGCCGGAGTATCCTGCTCCCACTACGATCACTTTGAGGGGTCGTTGATTCTCAATCACTGTGTCGTGAAGTTTGAAGCCTGTGCTTGAGGCATTGTTTGAAGAGGCAGTGCTGAAGCCTGCTTGAGTAGGCGAATCTATGCGCTTTGTTTTCGGGAGGGCCTGATCAAGTACTGCATCGAGGTCGTGTTCGAGGGTGCCATTCTGGTGGATCGGCTCGGGGAGGTTAGGAACGGCGGACATGATGTTCGTGGCCAGGAGCGGTAGATCTCTCGAGTCTCGAACAGAGGATGGAGAAGGAAGGTTGGGCAAAGAGAAAGAATGCAAGTTACAGGAAACCTACGTGCCGACTCAAGCAAGACGCTTACCGCGGGCAAAAAACAGCAGGCGATGATCCCTCTTTATATACGTGCGAAAGGGTCTCTGCGGCGGAATTGAGGAGAGTGGGCAATGGTACCTTTTCCTTGTACCCGAAGCCCCAAATTCCGCACCATAACAGAAGTGGATCCTCTCCAACCCTGAGGGCGACCTAAGGAGCAAACCAACTGCCGTGGGCTTCATGTTTTCCGTGGGCACAAAAGGAACGAAGAGAGGCGGTCGCCCTGTGTTTCGATCAAGGTTGCGGCAAGAGTGGATACCTCGCAAGAGTGGATCCCTCGAACGGTGCGGGGTGCAAATGTGGGGCACGCGTATGGGGAATGGTCATGTTTTGGGAGGGTCCACTACTCGAGTGTTGCGGAGCCTCGGGAGTTTGTGCCTGGTGATGGATGAATCATTCAACTTGGATGGGTCATGGCAAATATTCGCGGCATGGAGAGTGGGTCGCGTAAATGTGGTGGGGTGATACAAGAACGTGACTGGTATATCATGGAGTGTGGACCGTATTTACGACGGACAGAGGATGTTGATTCATCTTCGTCGCTGCTCAATGAGGTAAGTGTTCCCCTGAAAGCGCTACGTCTTCGACGACTTCCATAGAATAGTGAGACGAAGACGGCATACTGTACATTGTATTGTGTTTTCCAGAGGTCGTTCTCTGAGGTCTCTCGGCAGACTAAGAGGAGCTGGATCCTGAGCAAGTCTGATATTCAATCCTGATATCCATGTTGCCTCTCTCCTGTTAAGAGCTGCTGCTCTTTGCTAGTCATCAAAAGACAAAATATTTTGGCGATCAGCTATATGCCCACTGAGAGCGGATCTTCTTTCGTGGGTGATTCGGACAATCAAGCAAAGATCAAAAACATCGTGCCTTGATGGTCAGGAGCCTTGGAGTGTAGGGTGAGTCCAATCTTGATACAATCAATTTCGTCTTTGTTGACGCCCATCTGATCGAGAAAGCGCGTTCACTTTGGTTGCTCCTTCACTTTTCGCTTCCAGTCCCACTTTCAATTTCACTGTCACTGTCACTTTCACTCTCTCATACTCTCTTCACTACATCACTTGTCATATCCGCTCTTCCGACTTTAGCTTTTTTGACTCCTTATTCCTCTCCTTCACAACATCTCCCTTCAACTCGATACTTGCGCAACACACCACCTCCACGAGTATGGCAGAAACCGCCGACAGGTAAGATCAACACTGCAACCCAATGGCGCCCTATTGACCGTCTTTCGTCTAGTGCACTGTTCCGCCTAATGGACCTGCCCAACGAACTTATCAAGCTAGTTTGCTCCAATGCAGACCTCAGTGTTTACGATCTGATGGCCCTTCGCCGCACATGCAAGCTCATCCGCGAATTCTCTTCGGACGAGTTCGCCGGAAGATGCTTCTTTAGCATTACCGTGTTGATGGCACGTTCTTCTCTCCGAGCCTTCATCGAGCTATCTCAGCATCCGCGCTTCGGTCCCTTTGTTAAAAGGATCAACATTTCTCCAACATCTGCATCCGCTGAAGGTTTGAGAGTCCTCCCCTCAGCAACAATACCTCTTGCGCATGAAACCCATCCAGGATTTGAGGACGTCGTCGACGCCTTCGTCCTTGGTGCACAGTCTCTGGACTTCATGAGGACCTACCTGAACAGATACCGAGAGGAAACTCAGCTGAAGACAGATGGAAGCGCAGAACAGATGCTGAACGTCGCCTTCAAAGCATTCGCAGAGCGTAAGCAAAAGATCTGTCTCACGTTTAACGATGAGGAGTTGAATATCGTTGGTGCCCAACATCTGCTACCCAACCTTCACTTTGCACAGCGCACAGTCTGGTATCTCGAATGGAAGGAGACGATTGCAAGAACCATCAGGGCGGCTTTCAAACAGGGTTGTACAATCGACAGAATTGAATTGTGCGAGACAGCTCGACAGGATGCTCGTAACATTTCAGCCTGCTGCACAGACGGCATTGAGCAAGAATTGACTTCTTTATGCTTCCAGCTGGACGCTCTCGACATCGAATTCAACCATCAGGACACTGAGACTACTGTAAGATCAGCTAAACGTATGGTTTTCGCAAGCCCTAGCTTGGAGAGCCTGTACGTATATTCAATTGGCGACTACAACAACGCAAACCAAGTCCACATCCCCGGCATCTTGAAATGTGTGGCATCAAAGTCCTTGAGAACGATTCACCTGGGAAATTTTCACATCTCTACATCAGATTTGACCAGCTTCCTGGCAAGGTACAGACACCTCTTGTATGACTTACAATTATCTTACGTATGTCTTGTCGATGGGGACTGCATGAGTCTGATCGCTTGGATCAAGGACAATCTCCCTCGTCTCAAAGAACTCTGTCTGGAAGGCATTTGCGACCACGTTGAAGATACGCTTTGCCAAAAATATTCTTCCTGCACGATTTGGGTGAATGGAGATGTGCAGACTGAGCTTGCCAAGATCCTCAAGGATGGGTTCCCGAAGAGAGTCGAAGAGGTTCAGGACCAGATTGATGGACCAGTCGAGACACAAGTTGATGGACAGGTAGAGACACAGGTTGATGGACAGGCCGAGACACAGGTTGATGGACAGGCCGAGACACAGGTGAATGAAGAGGTTGAGGATCAGTCAATGGTGATCGACGGCACTGAAGGTCATCAAACCAACAGTGGCGAGTGAAAAACAACCTCGGGGGAGATAAGCTCTGCGGAAGAATCGCAGAATGGTCGCAAATTCATTTCTCGAGTAATTAGCAAAGAATAGTGGGTCTCAGAGAGGACACATGTAATGCAACGAAGAATTCTCAATGATCTCTGTTATTCAACACATGAGTGATGAGAAAATCAATGCTCCTTCTGGCTGGCAAAGATTTCCAGATTTGGACTTGAGATGCACCCCTGAAGGCAATTATCATTCTTTCAATCGTATCACTCGACGATCAGACATCAAGGCCATTTGCTTGTCTTCTTCCATTTGTGAGAAATATCGTCTCCCCTCTTCTCCAACCATCATCCCCCCCCACTCGTCAATCTCCCACTTTATTCTTTCCCCTATCAATCTCCCCCAAACATCTCAGCCATCCCCTCCAACTGTGGACTCTGCTCCCTCTTGCCCCCTCCACTCTTCTCCTCAACCTGCATATACTGCATCATCAACGCCGACTTCTTACCCTTCCCATCCCTCCTATCAATCTTTCCCATTTCATGAATACTCACACCTCTAACCCCCTCCAGCAGTTCCAACACCAACACCCTTTGCGTGCGCTCACTGGCACTAGCCACGATTCTTTCGATCGCAGAATCCACTTTTTGGGAACTCATGTCTGGCAAAGAAAGCAAGATGTCGCGGGCGGTGGGGGTGAGAGGGGAGTACAGGGCTAGGATATTGGCGATCAGGTTTGCGAGGTCGCGTTGTATGTCTGCGAAGTAGGGTTCGTTGAGGGAGGTTATGCAAGCTTTGAGCACTTCCGTACTGATGAATTCGCGGACCTGAGGGGCTGGGGGTTCGTCTGCGGTGAAGGAAGGGAGGATGGAGCGGAGGATGCGGCAGATGAGTGTGCAGCAGCGAGAATCGCGCATGCGGAGGGCGTGGGTGCAGAAAAGGATTAGAGGTTCGAGGACAGAGGGTTCGGAGAGGATGAGTGTGCGCATTAGGAGGGCGGCTTGGGGGTGGGTGGAGGGTGTGGCGTCGGTGGGTCGTTGATCGAGGAGGGTGGAGGCGAAGGAGACGACGGCGTAGGTGGTGGCTCTTAGTACGCTTTCGGCTTTCATTTCGTCGCTGAGTTGATCTTCGCCTTCGACGGATTGGGTGCTTGATCTTTCGATGACTTCCCATTCTGCACTGATCTTCTTGTCTGTCTGGGAGAAGAAGAGGGATAGTATCGGAGGCATGAAATGTCTTCTGTGGTGGGGTGGACATCGCTGGACAAGTCGTTCGACTAGTGCAATGAGTCTTTGCAAGTGATGGGTTGACAGAGATGAAGCGTCCGTGAGCAAAGCCTCAGCCAGCGGTACGGGCAACTCCTTGAGGCCGAAAAACTCTTCCTCGAATCTTGTCATGCCGTAAATGATATGATAGCACCAATCACGGATTTGACGAGGGATACCGCGGATGGCGGATGCAAAGCCTTCATAAGTGTCTCCACTCTCGGCAATGCGAGCGTAAAACTCATCTCTGCTTTCGTTCGAAATTCCGGCCTGCCAGAATCTGTCGACCAGCATCTTTTGCATCACCATCTGCAATTCAGGGGGGAAGTTTGACCAGTTCTCGCGGTTAGGGAAGGACGTGGCATGTCTTGTCATCTGAAGGACATTGGAGAGCATGGCTTGCATTGCTTGACCCCAAACCTGGCTGCCGATCTGATACTCGCGAGACGACTCTTTCAGCTTCTCTGTGGTAGCCGCAAGGAGATTCTTGGTCGCGTTGAGGGGTAGGCGCATAACCTTCATCTGTACATCTGTCTGGCGTGCCTTACCTTCCTGATCCAGGGGTTGATTGGACCAATCTTGGACCGAGGCGTATCTCTGTGCGGTAAGGTACTCTGGTAGACCACCAAGTCCGACAACATTGCAGAAGCCAGAAAATGTCGATAATGCTTCGGTCAACTGAGGATCCTGCCATGTCTCAACAACAGGCTGAATGATCTGTTCGAGACGAGCGAGTCGAGCCTGTGAGTCTACTGCAGATGCTCGGTGCACAATGATGAATAGGAAGGATTGGAGGCCCCACTTGGTGCGTTCGTCGGAACCTTCGGCGGACATTAGAGTATTGACCCGCGCTTCCAAATCGGAGTAGACGTCCAAAAGATAATCCGGGAACGACATTGCAATACGCTGCATTTCACCCAAACGTGCTCCTTGAAAGTTCTTTACAGCGGCCGAGTAGTCTTTGTTGGAGCCATCATCGGGGTACTGCAAGCTCAAGCAGTAGTCAAGAATCTTAACAACCAATTCAGGCTGGCCTTGCAATGTCTTAACGAGGACATTAACCGCGATGTGCGTTGTAAGGCGGGCGATCTCAGGATGTTGTGGTCTCATGGTCATCAGCTTGTAGCAGAAGTCGCGCAGGCTTGTGAGGGTGACTCCATAAACGTTGTTCGTGGTGTGCTGGTCCGATTTCGAATCTGGTCGTGAAGCTTTGCCGTACCACTGGATGAAGCCATTCATGGTACTCCTAAGAACAGAGGCCTGCGATTCCAGTTGCAGCACGGGGATTGGTGTCTTTGCTGGTCCAGTGGAGGGGAAAGGTGGCCTGAACTCTTGACAAATTGTGTCAATCATCTGCACAGTTTGATCAAGAATATGGCCAACAGCTTCTTGTGGCATGTAGAAAGCGATACTCTCAATGACTGCAATGCAGTATCTTCGGTAGTTTCCGAGGAACGAATGCAGCTCAGGAGGATTCTCAAAGTCTTCGTTCAAGTATAAGATCACCGGAAGCTCTTCGTGCGATAGCGACTCGTACTTGATGAGACGTTGACTGCATGTTCCCAACAAAACGGCCACTCTCTGACCCATGGCACTCGAGATGGTCGGGTTTTTAGCGACCAGCAATTTTGTGAAGCTGTGCAGGACTGGGATGGAGACGAGGAGACTGTCGTGTTGGAAAGCGAGCATCATCACGTCAACCAATGCAGTGCAAGTCTCAGGTGTGGCCAATATCTCAGGATTGGATGCAGCCGCATCTCCCAAGATGGAAAGAACCTGCAAAAGTCAGCACACATGTATGAATCTCGGTCAACGTGGTCGCAAACCTCGGAAAGTTTCTTCTGCAATGTGTACTTGGGCTCGTCAATGTCGTCCGCAGAAGTGTTGCAACTGAGGTGAATGTTTCTCAGAAGCTCAATATGGTCAGGTTGCAAAACGGTATGCATGATTTCGGACCACGGTTCGTGGAAATGGGAGTTGTATGGGCGACTTAGAATGGCCTGTAGAACCTCGATTGTGGCCTGAAGACGACTTAGTCCTGATTGCGCATGTAAGGGGCAGCTACTATTCTTACCGTTTGGACAGCAGCATCACCGGCGGCGAGCATCTTGTATAGCGATTGAACACATTGCGATTCGGTCAAAGCTCTCAAGCTGAGCCATGTCACAGTTGGCCTCATTGCTTCGAGAGTCTTTGTGGCAGAAGTGACGACTCTTTGGTCGCCTTGGGAAATGACAGTCGAGCACTGGAACAGAAAGGCGCACATGTTCGCAAGCCAGCCGTCTTGGGTATGGCGCACGTTCTGCGAGCTGCCACGCGATTCGAGGTGGTCTTGGTACAACTGACTAGGGATGAAAATCTCATTCAAGGATTGGCCAAGTACTTCTTGACGCAGACCAGCGACGGGGTCTTCTCTGTTGCAAATGTCTTCGGACAGACACTCGAGTATATAGAGCACCATCTGTCTGTATACCAGCTGCTTGCTGTTGTCTGACGTGTCCCACAGGGCCATCAGAAGGGCGTCCATGTCCAACCAATCTGCGGCCCAGCATCTTTTGGCAACTTCAACCCACAGTGAAGCTACTTTGTTGCGGAAGTATTGAGGATCGGATTCGGATACGTTCTGGGCGAGGTTGAGGATCCAGCTGCGGAGGGTTTCGGCCTCGCTTTGACCGTATTCGTCCCATTTGTAGCGAAGGGCGAACTCAAGCAGGGATAGACCGAAGTGACGGATGGCAGGCTGCTGGGAAGCATCGCTAGCTAACGTGTAGCCATGCTGGGGCGCGTCTGGTTGCTTCTTGGCGCCATCGAGGAATTCAAGGGCCGCTCTTCGTGTGTCGTTGGTTGATCGTGCATCGTAAGTCGCTTCGAGAGCTTGAGTTATTTGAGATAGCCTGTCGCCATCAATCTGGGACGTCATGATTCCATATAGGGAATTTGTGTGGTTGGATGACGAACAGAGCTCAGGTTCGGAAGTTTTGTTTGTGTGGAGGAGATTGTTGACTGCCTACCTGCTGCTCTCACCACCCACCTTTGTTGAAATGTCACATGCTACCAAACGATCGTGTGAAAGTGATAGCGATACATTTTACTCAGTCGCAGTGACGACCTGACTGCTGTCACTACCGCGTTCGGCGACATGATCTATCGTGAAATTTACTGTCAGGGTCGCAACTGCTCCATCACCATATCACATGACTCTAATCTGTTCCTGATTAGGAAATTAGAGATTGCATTTTGATCGCTGCACGCTCGCTCAAAGCACTATGCCTACTACATAACAGTGCATGACTTGCCAGTCTCCTTGCACTGATCCAGGTATCCCGCTTCAGCTTCAGACCCAATCGCCGTGCCCTGTCGTCTCTTCAGACCCTTGACCGTCAACTTTTGCTCGCCTGCTGCATGCCACCATCTCAGCACTTGCTGCGACGCGCCTTGCGTCTCGTCTACACTGATCTTCCACTTTCCTCCTAGGACCTCTATCTCGGTCTTGCCTTGTGGGAAGTGATACTCTGGCAGGAAGATCTCGGTCGGTGCGTCCTCTGCCGTTGAACTTGGCGCAGATAGTGTCAGGTGGAAGACGCAGTTCTTTAGGTCGAAGCCGTGAGACACAACACGTCCATGTGTCGCTGTCTGAGTGGGTCGCACATAAGCCTCGGCTGCACGCATGCCAACACCCTCAGAGTTGACCGACGGTGTTCGTGAGGCGCTCATTCGATCTACAGACAATGTTCTCTTCAGTATTGATGGGCTGACTGATGCGTCTCCGGATGTTCTACCTTCAGAGTATGACGGCGATTCTGGGTTGTACGTTGCGCTGTCTACCTCGGGGGAGGTTGGTAGTTGTTTGTCGTCGGCCGAATAGATGGAGAGATCCTCGCCATTCCAGTTGTCACCCCAGTAGTGGGTGTTTGATGGCACGTAGGTCCATAAAGTAAATCCTGCCACTCCCGATCCCTCAAGCGCATAGTGGTTTGCATCCATTGCGAGCGTTTGGCTCGTGTAGTTGCCGGTCTTGTATGCATATTTATCGTCCATGTCGTAAGGGATACCAATCTCAGTAAAGACGGTGGGGCGAGCGCCCATCTTCTCCTCTCCTTCTTCGCGCAGGTATTTGAGCTGATCACGGAAACAGTTCCTGATAGCACTCTCTCCGATCTTGACCGCAAATGCAGGACTTAGGTACTTGCCACGCATAATGCCAACCACGTCGACGTTCCAGAATCGGTTCCTAAGATACACATCAGCTTAAGGCGGTTTGAAGATACTGTAGCGAACTTACCATTTCTTTGTTATAAGGGTGATACCATCATAGAAATGAGGAGCGAAAACCATCTGCGGATCGTCATCTTTGGTACCTTTGATTGAAGGTGGCACCTCAAATGGTGAGGACTGGCAGAACATGATCGTGTCAGGGAAGATGCTTCTGATCGTGTCTCTGTATGCTCGGTAATGACTCAACCAGAAGTTGTTGGTGTAGTACTCGTGTGTGATTGTCTCACCAGAGACTGGTACCTTGGAGAAGTAATCCTTTTTCAGAAGCTTGTCGTTCTTGGGATCCCAAACTCCATGCTGAGCCCATAGACACTGACCAAGCTTCCAATCAGGGTCTCTCTTCCAGCCGTAACGGGAATCGTCGTAGTCCACTGGTAGCCATGCGATTTCTCCCTTAGGATCAACAAGCTCACTGCCAGACTTGTAAGGACCAAAGTTGCCAAAGTCGAAAGTGTCTTGCTCCACAGCTCTACCAAGACCAGTCAGCATGGACTGGAAGGCTGTCGGTGCCGGACCCTTCTTCAAGTTCTGATCTGCTGGCCACTTGGAAAGATCCTCCCAACCAATGTAACCTCTGTTCGGTTCATTCATGCTTTCCCACCCAATAACAACGTCGTGTTCGAGGTCGCCAGCTTCTTTGATGCGCTGGGCCAGGATCTTATTGGCACCCATGAAATGGCCTTGGAGATAATCCTGAATGTTAACTCCGTCCAGAATAGCTTTGGGGGCGAATTCTTTGCCAGCAAAGAATAGTGTGAGAATAGTTTGACAGGCCAGACGTTGGTAATTGGTAGCCCAGACCATCTTAGGGAAATCGGCAGGGTTTGGCCATGTGTTTTGAACAAAGGCAGCCTGTGTTTGATGGAAAGCCTTAGGATTCAGACCACATGCGTAGATGGTCCACATGGGAGCACCGGAGCCGCCAGTATATCTCGACCAGACATCTTGGTGGGGGTCCATGAAGACGTAAAAACCGTACTCCTTGGCCAAGCGCAAAACCTTGATGGTGTGCTGGATCCACTCTTCATCGTACTTTCCCGGACCGGCATGTTCAATGGCTTCCCAGGTGTATATGTAACGAATTGTGTTGTATCCCCATCTCTTTAAGCGGTCGAAATGCGTATGGGCTTCTTCGAGGCTGAAAGGCCGGCCGACGAAAGAGACATCATCACCGTCGAAAAACTTCTCTTTGACGTGCGAGCATTGATCCGGATTCAGGGGGTATTTGGCATCGCCAGCTACGTTGATTCCGTGTAGCGTGACCTCGCGATTGTGGCCATCGCGAAAGACGGTTCCGTCGACTCGAAGACGGAGTGGCATGATGGGTGTAATTGTTCCTGGTCGATCGGTGTTGCGTTACTGTTTCCACGCAGCGTGAGTGTCGAGGACAGACGTATATATAACACGAATCACCGTATTCGAAGGATAGCAGGGGAGAAAATATGAGACGACTAGGTAGATCACGAACCATGTGCAGAGTGCCCAAGCCACGAAGGCGGTCGTACGCGGCTGGACAATGACGTACTTGTCTTCTTATCGCCGGCCGCCGCGGGTCATGCTATACGAGAATACGCAGGAGAGTCTGGAGTCCAGCCGGTAGAGAACGTTTGCTAGCGAACGCAGACGAGCCTGAACATCTGCGACAAGCTCGACTTTAGCAGCGAAGGGATGAATTGACATGGACTACATGTTGAAGCAGAATCGCAAACAAGCCCATACACTCGGGCGTAGGATTGATCTGACAGCCTCTTGTTTTCTAACTAGATCTGTGTTCGGGAGTGACCACGGTGGCCGGAACCACCTGGCTTTAGGAAACGTGGCATCTGTTCTCTATCAACAGTCCAACTGGCACTTTCACATGCTACACTTGTACTTTCCTATCAGCGGACAGTTGTTGATGTTTTGTCAACTTCGCAAACCATCGTCGCCATGATTCTTCCGCTGCAGACCCTGGCCCTGGGTGCCGCCCTTGCTCTCTCGAACCTCCCCCTTAGTCATGGCCTAAGTGCCAGCGACATTCCCGCCGATATTCCTGTCTCACAGTTGATCTCGTCTGCTACGGCCGCTCTCGCCCAGGGCAACGGCCAGGATGCCTTGACCTACTACGACGCTGCCATCACTCGTGATCCGCAAAACTACCTTACCATCTTCCGCCGAGGCGCTGCCTATCTTCAACTCGGAAAGAGTTCCCAGGCCAGCCACGACTTCGACCGCGTTCTCGCCATTAAACCCACTTTCGAAGGTGCTCTTGTCCAACGAGCAAAGATCAAGAGCAGGAACGGCGACTGGTCTGGTGCAAAGTCTGACTACGAAACGGCGGGCAAGAAAGATGGAGATGAGATCCGCGAGCTACTAGAGGCTCAGAATGCTGCCACTTTGGCACACAAGGCAGAACAAGACGGCCACTGGTCCGACTGCACCACTCAGGCAGATATCGCAGTCTTGGTCGCCGGAGGTGCAATGGATTTGAGACACACAAGAGCAAAATGTCGCTTCGAGAAAGGCGACATTGTCGAGGCTCTCAGTGACTTGCTGCACATAGCCCAGGTGTCTTCTGGCTCTAGCGAACACCTCCAGATTTCGGCCACATCCTTCTACGCTCTCAACGAACCCGTCTCTGGCATGGGCCAAGTCAAGAAATGCCTGCACTCTGACCCCGACTCCAAGCCTTGCAGAAAGCTCCTGAAAGCAGAGAAGGTCGTCGACAAGCAATTGAAGAAGGTGAAAGACGCCATGGAAAAGAGTCGTTACATCAACGCTGTCAACATATTGGTGCACACAAAAGATGACGAGGGTCTTCTCAAGACTGTCAAGGACTCCACTCAGCAATACCGTGACGAAGGCCTTATCCACAAGAACGCTCCGGATCGTCTGTACAACGACTTGATAGAGTTGACTTGCGAGGCATATACCGAGATGAACAACCTCAAGAAGGCCCAGCCTTACTGCGAGGAGGCTTTGACACACAACCCCAACTGTCTACCTGCCTTGATTGGCAAGGCCACGCGCCAGCTCGATGCCGACGAGTTCGAGCCCGCTATTCAAACCCTCAACCAAGCAAAGGAGCACCACCAAAACTCACAAAAAGTCCAGGAATTGCTGCAAAAAGCCCACACATTGCTGAAGAGATCCAAGCAAAAAGACTACTACAAGGTTCTCGGCGTCACAAGAGATTCTGAGGAAAGAGAAATCAAGAAAGCTTACCGCAAGCTCACCATTCTACACCACCCTGACAAGGCTGCTCAAAAGGGAACCAGCCCCGAGGAAGCACAGAAGAAGATGGCCGAGATCAATGAAGCATACGAAGTCCTATCTGACCCTGAACTCAAGGCCAGATTCGACCGTGGTGATGACCCCAACGACCAATCTCAACAAGGTAGTCCATTCCAGGGTCAACCATTCGGCTTCCCTGGCGGTGGTCAACAGCAATTCTTCCATCAACGACCAGGCGGTGGCCAAGGCTTCAAGTTCCAGCACCAGGGCGGTTTCCAATTCCCTGGCGGAGGCTTCCCGTTCTAGGAGACCATGCTTGCTCTACTATTATTCTGCATCTTTGGCGTTTCAGCGCTACTTAAATTTCGGAGGTAGAAGGCGTTATGGGGGGTTCGTGATGAACAAGACCACTGGGTATTCCTTGTTATTCCAGCTCTTGTTGGCTGTTCGATTACTTTCATTGTTCTAGTCGATAATTCGATAGATTCTCAAAGCGACATTCTTTGAACAAGCAGCTACAAAGTCTGACCACCAAAAGAACATTATGGAGGAACTGCCGCAATATCATATCGCTTCGAGAATTGTGTAGCTTTTTAACGGAGAGCGGCTAGCTTCTAGATGCTCGAAACACAACTCTCATGCTTGACATCGTTATGACTTTTGATAGCTATATGTTGGGCCCTGCTAATATGAGGCTCCGTGGTTAGACTTCCCGACATTGATGGGCAAAAGATCGGCAATCGACAACAGCAACAGCTCCGTGCATGAACCACCACGTAAACAAGTCCAGCCTTCCAACCTCTCCACCCGTGCTTGCGAATAGTTACATGCCCTAAAACAAGCATCATTTCTTCGGACTTTGGATCTCGCACTTCGGACTCTGATTTCCACTCCTTTGAGATAACTGGTGAGATTCGTAAGGTGTAGAAGCACGCTGACATCACGACTAGACAGGAGTCTCGGCGTGGGTGCCGCTTTTCTCGATGGGACGTCACCAGCCATCATTGATCCAAGCCGATGGCTTTTGGGGGATCGTCTGATCGGGATATATAAACAATGAGCTGCTGGAAGCTGGTTTTCATAGAGCTCTGCTAAACAATCAACAACCCTTTTCGAAAACACTTACGAACCACTATACAACATGCCTTCCGACGTCAAGCAGTCAGATATCACGGAGAAGAACGACCCCAGTGTCGCAAGACAGTGGGACAACAATGTCGACTTTGAGACCAAGTTTCAGGAATTCTACAAGATCGTTGATGGATTGAAGATTGGTCTGCTGGGCACTTATCGTCCTGGCATTGGCGTAAGCACCTTCCCTCCTAACCCACTCTCCCTTGCATCCAACCTGAACTTCCACTAACCACACAATCCACACACAGCCCGTCACCCGCTCCATGGCCCTAGCCAAACGCACCGGCCCGGACTTCCTCTTCCTCGCCAACGCGCACTCCCAAAAATTCAAGGATATCGAAGCCAACAAGGAAGTCAATGTTTCCTTCCAGGACACCAAGTCGCAAGATTGGATCTCCGTGTCTGGCACGGCCACCACTGCTTCCAACTCCGATCCTAGGATCAAGGAAGTTTGGAGCAGAGGCGCTGCCGCATGGTTCGGTGATGTCGGAGACGGCGTACACGACGGCAGTGCAGAGGACCCGAGAATGAGTTTGATCGAAGTAAAGGCCAAGTGTAAGTGCTCCCCTACGCAGTACCCTTACTATGCTGTCCTGAGGTGTGGATGGAAGAATCGAAAGCTGATTTGCAAAACCAGACATCTCGTACTACAAGACCAATGTTGGAGCTCTCGGATACCTCAAGGAGGTGGTCGCCGCTAACGTTACCGGTGGTGTTGCAAACACTGGTAGTCTTAGAGAGATGAAGGAGGATGAGATTACAAAGGCTAGAAGCCAGCATTCTAGCATGAGCTCGTAAATATTGCTCGCCCCTCCCACTCCTTCTGTAACGAAGATAATGAAATAATCAACAACTGAATTTTACAGTTCTTCGAAACTGTAGACATGTGTTGGGTGCTTGTTGTTGTCGACTTGGATGTAGCGATTGAGCATAGCAACCATCCCCGTGTGCCGGTGTGCCATTCATATGATCATTTGCATTGCCGACATGGTCCAACGACAAAAGGTCGAATCGTCTTCTCTGTGGACGAGTTGGGTATGATTGTGCATTGTGATGAGTTTAATGTGACGTATCTATCAAACTGAAGAATCGACGCAACAAGACCGAGTACAGAGAGATAAAGTGCCTAGATAGAGAACAAGAACTTGGGATTCTCGTCACCCAAATCAGCAATCTCTTCCTCACTCAAATCTTCAATCCTCGAATCTCGCTCGCCGTTGATTCTCTTCTTGTTCTCACGGCTGAAGAACCACCACATGAATGCATAGACAATCATGGCGAAAGAAACCATGCCCAACGAAACAGCGTGGCCTCTGATGAAACGAGGACCTTCTTCCTTTGGGTACAGGAAACTAGACATGATGCCAGCGCAGTTGCCGAACATGAGTTGCAGACCGGTTGCTGTAGTGCGCTTGCCGAAACGCGGGTTGTTGGCGAGAAGCCAGGCGATGGGAAGACCGACTGCGACGTAAAGGCCTAATGCGACGAGGAAGCAGCCTGCGTAGTGTACACCAGGTCCGCCGTCGGAGATCAACATTGCATAGCCGACGATTGAAACGATGCCAAACATGACAGTATAGACGCCGCGTTTCTGCGACCAGTCCGATATGCGAGCCATGATGAGGTAGCTGATGGCACCAACTGCGTAACAAGGAATTGTGAGGACCTGGACCAACGCGCTGGAGTAGGTGGGATCGATGTTCTTGATGATGGTGGGCAGGAAAGTCGAGTAGCCGTAAAGCATAGTATCAGCACCGAAGAGCGCGCAACAAAATGCCCACATCTTCCAGTCTTTGAGACCTGCGCGCACATCCTGCCAGGCAAACTCATCAGTCACGCCGATCTGCTGCAGACGACGGATCTCCATGAGCTTCTTTTCTTCGGAAGTCAAGAACCAAGCGGTTTCCGGGCCATCAGCTAGCCACCACCAACATGCGATTCCAAGGATAAAGGTCGGTATGCCTTCAATGATGAATATCCAACGCCATCCTGCTTGTCCAGCGACTCCATCCATGTGACCAATTCCATAAGCTAGCAAGCCTCCGAATGCACCAGCGAGTGCTGCGCTAACAAAAAGATAGCCAATGCGCAGTCCAATTTCTCTCTTAGTGTAGAAGAAGGAAAGATATACTGCCAGTCCAGGGAAAAGACCTGACTCAAAGAGACCGAGAAGTAAACGGCAAGCGACAAGGCCTCCGAAAGATTGAACGATGCCAGTCAAAGTCGCGATGATTCCCCAGCATACGGAAATGAATGCTATCCATCGTGATGGTCGACAGTAATGCTTCAGAATGATGTTTGACGGAACTTCGAAGAGTAGGTATGTGACGAAAAGTAATGAGACAGCTGTTTGGTATTTGTCCGATGATAAGTCAAGGTCCTCTTCCAGTCCATAGAGACGAGCATTGCCTATGTTGACACGATCCAGAAAGCTGAATAGGTATAATAGTGTGACTGGTGGGATGATTGAAAGATCGAGTTTGCGAACCAACTGCTTCTCTCTGACGGGATCAATTTCCAGCCGTTGAGTTGAAGTGCCAGCCGAAACAGCTTTGCGTTCTTTGAATTGACTGTCGCTGTCGTCCATGTTGAATTGTTCTCGTCTAGATAGACAATAATTGATGAGAGTTTCGTTAGGGCAATTGACTTTCTTCTACTCTTGTTCTCCCGCCTTCGGAAGTGAAGGATAACAGTCAGGCGAAGCCGAAAGAAAAATTTCTACCGCCTCTGTACGGAGCTAATCTCAAAACGCTTCAATGAACAAGATCGTTGATGGTTGCTTGGAAATCCAAGTCGTCTCGAGTCTTCGAAGGGGAAGATGGCATGATAAGATATTCGAGTGATGACTCCTCGTCGGCGCTATTACATTTGGGGTGGCACCGGTATTCTCGTGGATCGGGACATATCAACCACGCCATCATAGACTGCCAAAGGGATTTATGCCATTTTATGCAAGATGGTTGGCGGTGCTGTCTCACACAAGCCGACTCTTGGCTTGGCTTATCGTGTGCGCTCAAATGATGATGTGAGATGGGAGATGCTCAGCGACACGCCCTAGAGTAATAGGACCGGTAGAATCGAAGCGACGACATGGCAATTACAGAGCGCTGGTTGGTGGGTTTGGATTCTGGTACTTAATGAGGTTGGATAAAGTCGCTGCCTCCGGCGGAAGATACGAATGCAAGGAAAATGTCACGTGCTTTGAGTTCACTCGCGCTTGGGTCGATAGTCGAGAAAATATTTTCCAACCATCTTGAGGCAGTTTTTGGAAGAGACACTTGAAACTTCTGAACAATCGACAAAAAACAAAGCGCAGTACTGTAAAACGTATCACTAGACAAAATGAGCGATATCATCGAACAAGAGCAGATCGACGGCCAGGAGCATGCCGAAGGCACCGAAACCTCAGGTTCGGCAGTGCGCAGACGCTCTTCGTTCGAGGGCCGTGAGACAAAGAGACAGCGTCAGTCACTGCATTTTCTCCCATCGCAGCAACATCTCCACCACCACCACCACCACCACCTCCACCAGCCACAAGCAGCTCGTTCCCTTCCAACCCGCACACTTGTTGCTGCTCAACCTACACACAGTGTTTCCTCAAGAAGTTCTTCCAACAAGAACCTCGCCATGGCTGACATTAAACCTGAACTTCAAGGCACCCAGAGTCTTCCCCCTCCTTCCCTGCCTCAGCTTGTCGCTGAACAGCACGTTCCCATTGCAAACAACGACAAGGACTCACAGCGCCTGATCGTCGTTCTCTCCAATGCCAGTCTCGAGACATACAAGGCTTCGTCCGGTGGCCGTGGTGGTGCCAAGGACGACAAGTACTCGCTACTCAACAGTGACGAGCACATTGGTGTCATGCGCAAGATGAACCGCGACATCTCAGACGCCCGTCCCGATATCACCCACCAGGTTTGTTGTCTCTCTGTTCTCTCCTCCCTTCCCTTACCTAACCATCGCATAGTGCCTACTCACCCTCCTCGACTCACCTCTCAACAAGGCTGGTAAACTTCAAATCTACATTCACACAGCAAAAGGCGTCTTGATCGAGGTCAGCCCCACTGTCCGCATTCCTCGTACCTTCAAGCGCTTCGCTGGTTTGATGGTCCAACTCCTCCACAGACTCTCAATCCGTTCCACCACATCGCAAGAGAAGCTCCTCAAAGTCATCAAGAACCCCATCACCGACCACCTCCCTCCCAACTGCCGCAAGGTCACCCTCAGTTTCGATGCGTCCGTCGTTCGCGTGAGCGACTACATTGCCGAGCTCAAACCCAAGGAGAGCATTTGCGTCTTCGTTGGTGCCATGGCCAAGGGTAACGACACCTTCGCCGACGAGTTCAAGGACGACTCTATCAGTATCAGCAACTTCAGCTTGAGTGCCAGTGTTGCTTGCAGCAGATTTTGCCACGCCGCCGAGGAGGTCTGGGACGTCATCTAGGTCTACAAATCGTCGTCTTTCATGCTACAAAATAATGTCCCACACAAGAACACCAGAGCCCTCCCGCCCAAATATCATCAGGGTATGATAGCGGGCTTGGTTGTGTGGTATACGCCATTCTTGGACGGTTCCTGCCGTCATGTTCGTTGCAAGCCCATCGAAGCGCGTGTGCGCTCATCGCCTGCTGTCATCTTCTACAGCGCCAGTCAACACCTACCGACACGGTGCGCTTCGACGTAGGATTCTTGTTAGGATAGTCAATAGGTTCTGGAGAACGTTCCTAATGCACGCAGTCTGTTTTGGCTGATATATTGGACAAACAAAATAAGCTTCACAAATCACAATCCATTCAGGGTACTTTTCGACTCCTCCATGAGAATGTGCACTTTCAGTCACACAGCTAGCCGTTTACGCGTAATGTTGGGCAAAATACCATAAGCCCTTGGCTGTTTGCTCGTCTCTCGTTGGATGGAGCCTTTCGGATAATGTCTGAACAGAAGTTATTTGACACAACTCCTTCCATTATGGCATTTGCCGAGTGACAGCTTGTCGTCGTATTTAGCTTGCATGAAGCGCGCACTTTCGACGTGGCACGTCCACATGCGCATACCGCTCCTGATCTGCCGCCGCACAGACAATCGACTATATAGGCGATCGTGGCCGGGGTCCCTATTGGTGCTGGGGATCCTCTCCCGGCCGGACCCGCCTACTTTCTTTCTCCTGCTGCTCACCCTACCGAGGCGCACCTTCCGGCCGCAGGAACACTCCCTCATTAGTCGCGGATATATAGAGCGTGCAGTAGTCTGGACGCGAACTCAACGTGTCCATGATCGAGTCGATGTGACAGCTCGGCGGACTAATCATGTAAGTACTCGTGAGACTTGATAGTAGATACCGACAGGTAATATATCTGTCTTCACGTTCCTGCTCTTTTGTTCTCGCCATCACCTGTACACGCCCTGCCATGCCAGTATCACACGTTGGCTTAACCGTCTCTCACGTACCTTCTGCCTGCTCCTTCTTCCTATCGGCGCTCCAGCCTCTTGGATACAGATACGTTGGCAATCAGGGCGACTCGGTTGGTTTCGGGACGGACGATGCTGATTTCTTCCTGAGTCCGGAAGTGCCTGGGTAAGACTTTACTACAAGGAAGGTGCGATCTTATTCTTGGCTGACCAAGACTGCCACAGTGTCAATCGCAGCAATGCACATGTGGCATTTTCCGCGACCAGCAAATCGGCGGTGAGGGACTTCTATGCGGCTGCGCTGACCGCTGGCGGTCAACCCAACGGATCTCCCGCCTTCAGAGGATGCAACGATTGTATCTTCAATGCTGCAGTCCTCGATCTTGATGGTAATAGCATTGAGGTCATCTACCATCAGATTGAAGACGACGACGCATATACCACTGTCTCGGGAGGCAGCCGAGTCCTGACATGGAGAAGAGGCATCGTGAACGTCCTCGGAGATGAAGACAGGTCCACTTTCATCTCAACTAGTCCCAATCCTGCACCCAGCACTGCCCAGTCAACACCACAGTCCAAAGCTCCAAGTGTCGTCAGAACTGCATCGGCACCAGCAGTTACTACCTCGTCGCAAACCTCGAGTTCCGACAATGGCTTTCAGATCACTGGCAAAGCAATCATAGGCACTATACTCGGAGCTGCAGCTGGTGCAGCAGTCGCTTACGCCATGGTCAGAAGCGAGCAAGATGGCGCACAACAGGAAGCAGAGTTTGCCGAGGCGATTAGCAGGAAAGCTGCGTCTAGCAGGGCATCAAGTAAGGCACCCAGCAAAGCTACTCCGAGTCAAGCTCAAACTAGCAAGGCGAAGACCGTATACAACTCCGCGCCAATGAGCAAGGCAGCACCAGCGAGTAGGATCTCTGAGATAAAGGAGAGTACGGAAATTCGACCAAGGACAAGGGCGCATCGCAACTACAGCACTACCGAATCTGTGATTGCATCCAGGGTGATGGAGCAATTTAGTGACGATGAACCGGAGCTGGTGCTTCGACCACGAAAAGCACACTCTGTACGAGCCATTGAAGCTGCTCCAGAACCTCAATCACTGGAAGAGGTTGACGCAAAGAGCTACCACAGTCCCACCTATGTTTCTCTGGCACCTACTCCGAGGGCCGCAAAGAAGTCCGAAGCGATATACATACCCGCTTCTCAGATCGTCTCCAGAGCTCCCTCGAGAGCTCCCTCAGGTCCACCGTCGGTAGCGCCAACGGAACGTCAGATCGAATACATCCCAGCTTCATTGGCCACTCAGCGGCCCTCTATCGTATCTCGTCGGGCTGTCACATCACCTCCTTCCATCTGCCACACCGACCGTCAGATCGAGGATGTTCCGGCCCAAACCAACGACTGGACCTCACAAGATCTCGTAGTAGCGCGTCGAGACAGTGCAATGAGTATGTATTCGACACACTCGAGCAAGAGCAAGCACAGCAAACATCCGCACAAAGAGTCATCCAGGAGTCACCACAGCGAGAAAAGAGAAGTATCTCCTGACAGAGTCAGTAGACATTCCCATCGCTCGAGCAAACACCGAGATCCATCAGTCGTGAGTCGTCGGAGCGAAAGAGAATACTCAGTAGATCGACCGAGCAAACACCGCGACTCTTCCAGCCATCATTCGAAAACTTCAAAAAGGTCGTCAAAGCATCGATCTAGCGCTCACAGAGATGCATCGCCTTACGATGGCTCTGATGTGAGTACAATCAAAGCCAGCCGGATCAACGGCTCTTATCACTCCGCTGCCGGTATACCACTGCCTGGTTCCCGTAAATCTTCCGTCGTTTCGGTGGCAGATCTGCCTTTGCCAATATCCAGGAAAACATCGATCATCTCTGCGGCAGATTATGCTCTGCCAGGCTCTAGGACGACTTCCATCGTCTCAGGTGCAGATATGCCTTTACCGATATCCAGACGACCCTCCCTAGTCTCAGCAATGGAAAGACCTCTGCCAATCTCCAGAGCAGTATCAACGACCTCAGGCCACCAAATCCCACTTCCCGAATCACGCTCAGGAAGTATAATCGGCAGTATTCTTGGCCGACCAACCGCAGAGCACGAAACTTTTGCCGCAGGAGTCCCGCTTCCGGAGTCACGCAAAACAAGCCTCGTGGGCAGTCTCGGTCTTCTCGCCAATGATCCTATCCCTCGTATCGACGATCTCGAGACCGTAGCTCCAGATGATAGTATTTCCTGTGTTGCTTCCCGCCACACCCGCCACTCTCGTGAAGAATCTCGCCATGGCGACTGCAGTCACGACGGTGAGAGTAGGAAATCCGGCTCGAGCAAGAAACATAGGCATAGATCGTTACATGGTGAAGGCTCGAGAAGATCGAGTAGGCGTGCGGAGGCTGAGAGTGAAGCTACCGTTAAGCTCGAGAAGAGCAGTAAATATAGTGCTGTGAGTCTGCCTTTACATGCTAGAAGCAGAACGGGCATTGAGAAGGATGAGAAGAGGGGGCAGAGGAGTTTCGTTAGTGTTGCTTTTGGAGGTCGATGATTGTCTAGAGAAGAATTTCCATTCATGAGAATGTTGTGGAATGGATCTTTCTCATTCGATATATCATTAATCCGGGTTCCTGTGATAGCCTAGCTACTCAAGACCGTACGCAAACTAAGAGTCAACACCCTTGACCTTTTCATCAACAACATTGATCACTTCATTGCTCGTAACCTCCAACCCTTCGACCACTCGCTCGTCACCAAATCTGACTGCGATTTCTTCCAAGTTCAACCCTTTAGTTTCCACAAAGAAGAAGAACACGAAGACGAGGAACATGATATCCCAAGATGCGTTGATGAGGTAAAACTTCTAGCCCAAATCGGACATTGCAAAAGACATGGCGAAGGATGCCATAAGACTAGTTTCAGTACTGTCAGCAGCTTTCCGAATCAGGTGAACAAGATCTCATCGACTTACCCGCAGCCACTGTCGAGCAGTCTAAAGATGGCAGTACCTGCTGTTCGGAGCTTGTATTGACAGATCTCGGTGGGATACAGACTGGTCATTGGTGTGATTGAGAAGGCATAGAAGCCTTGGAATAAGAATATTACAGCTAGCGTTCCATAAATACCTGATGTGTCAGTACTCTCGCCATAGTCTGTCCGAGTCAGTCAATTGCGGTGTTGGAAATGGACGTGAGCTTACGTTTGATGAGGCCACCAATCATGTACAGGGTGATAATCATGCCAGATAGTCCGACGAGGGTTTGCAATCGTCGGCCCATGATATCCAGCATAAAGCTGCCGAGTATGGCTATGGCGAACGACCAACAAGAGAGAATAATGTTGATTTGTGTCTGCTTGTATGTCTCTTGTATACCAGCTTGATCAAGGATCTTAGATAGATAGAAACTAGATATTTGTTAGACAACAGTGTTGAAACTCATATACAGAGCACTTACGAGACGATGAAGTTTCCCAGTGTATTTATCATGGCTCCGAAGACGACCAAGAGTAGAAGTCGCCTTCTGTTAGCGGGGCCTGACAAAATCTCTCGCCATGCGTTACGAGGATACGCAGTCTCTTCGTTGGCGATTACCAAACGGATCTCTTGTGCAGCTACCGCTGCCTTATCGAGGTCTTCGTCTCCATTCATTATTGCCAGAACTTCCTGAGCATGTGCCTCTTCTCCATGCACGATGAGCCATCGTGGTGATTCGGGAATAAAAGGCAGAAATATGGCGGCGACCACGCTAGGTAGAAGCTGTAACAATGATGGAAGCCTCCAAGACCAGGTAGATTGTATGTTTTGACTACCGTAGTTGATAACCGCAGACAAGAGGCTTCCAACATAAAAGCAGGAAAAGAAGAGCCCGAGCATGAAACTTCGACTTCGAGGGGGAAGCAGTTCTCCCAGAAGCGGCGGTGCAGATACGTTGCTCAAGCAGGCTCCAGCTCCAATGATCATTCGACCCACGACGAACATGGCTATGCTCTGTGCCGAGGCTTGCAAGATGATACCGACAATGGTTATGCCGGTTGCAATCAGGATTGCTTTCTTTCTACCGTATCGGTCCGGAATAATTTGCATAATCGGAGTTGCGATGATCTCTCCGATCCATACTGCTGCGTTGTTGAGCCCAATCGTGGCGTCAGTCAGATGGAAGTACTCAGTGTACGACGGTAGAATCAACAGTCCGTTCATGACCGAGCTGTCGTAACCTAGAGTCTTCTTTGGCTCAGTACGGTTCAGTGGCGGATGGTTATGGAGAACATACCGCAGAATTGACCACTGCAACAGCCAGCAGGACTGCTGTAAGGATACGAGGGTTCGAAGGTACTAGACTCGAGACGTGCTGACGGTGTGGGGACCCCATGATCAAAGTTGACGAGATGATGAGATGTAGTCGATGATTCGAGTGAAGTAGATGTAGGGCGAAGTGGTCTTTATAAGTATGCCTTGATTACTTTATCTCTTCTTCGACGTGTGTGGTACTCGTCAGCTTCTGGCAGAGGGATGGGAGTCGGGACTGGATTTGGTCCTCGACGGCTCAGCAAAAGAGTCGATAGGTACCATCGCATATGTTTGGCGAGAGCTGAAAGCCAGTCGAACCGAGAAGTGTTCAGATGTCGCGAGGAAACAACGACTAATGGGCGAGATAAGCTTCGGCTAAGCTCGGTAAACTCGCCAAAGCTCGCTCAACGTCTACGCTCCTTCCCATTATTCCAGGTTATGTGTAACTACACCGGAGTCGATTGATGAGCTCTTAAAAAGTGTCAAACCTGAACTCGGAAACCTCTCATCCTCTCTGCGCCTTCCTCTTTTAATTCCCAAAATCTCCACCCCAAATCCAACCATGCCTGGCAGAGTTCGACAGTGGCCTTGGGACGAATACCCTCAAAAAAATATCAACGATGAGGACTTTCGCAAAGCCAAAGAAGCTATCATCCGCGAACACGGAGCTGAAGCTCTTCGAAAGAGCTGGATTGAAGTCTGTGGTCGGCTGTCGTTGATCACGGAGGATATCTCGGTGAATGGCAACAAGCTCATACCCATCGTTCCAGCAGACATTGTCCTCGAAGAGGGATTCTCGCCCGAGGTGGAACAACGCATCCGAGAAACAGGCTGTGTTGTTGTCCGTGGTGTCATACCAGAGCCAACAGCTCGCCAGCTATATTCGGACCTCAAGCAATATGTGTCCGACAACCGCAGTCAGATCAAAGGTTGGCCCGAGGAAAGCCCTTCAATGCTCCAGCTCTACAATTCGCCGACTCAGCACGCTGTCAGATCACACCCCAACCAACTTCGACTCCAATGTCTGTTGAACGAACTCTGGCATGATCACACTGAAAGGACTTCTTCGGAGCCCTTGGTCTACCTCGACGGTGTTCGAGACAGACCCCCACAGCAACCATTCCTCGGATTGGGTCCGCATGTCGATGCTGGAAGTTTGAGTCGTTGGTTAGATCCTGCATACCGCCGGTCCTACTCGGCTGTCTTCGGGGGTAAGAGCGGAGAGTGGGACTGTTGGGATCTGAGTGTGCGTCAAGACGCTGTTCAAGATCTTTTCAAAGCTCCTGCCCACTCCAGCGTTTTTAGAGCGTTCCAAGGGTGGACCGCACTAACACCATCTGGACCACACAGAGGGTCTATTCTTCTTTATCCCAATGTCAGCGCGGTGATGGCTTATGTGTTGCTCAGACCATTCTTCTGCCCACCAGAGGACCCTATGGAGGTGATGGATGCGAGCAAATGGTCTTTCGACGAAACCGGTTGCTCTTTCCCAGGTACCATGAAGGATCAAAGTCAGCGATTGAGTCGCACCTCACACCCACATCTACGCCTAGAAGAATGTCTTGTCCATGTTCCGGAGATCATGCCAGGTGATACTGTGTGGTGGCATAGTGATGTAAGTCTTTGCTCTTTCCTAAACCAGTAATCGCTTTTCGCTGACCAAACTCGTGCAGGTCTGTCATGCCGTGGATCCAGAACACGAAGGTTCAGAGAATGCCTCTGTTGTTTATGTCGCTGCCTGTCCTACCACACCCACAACAAAAGAGTACGTCAAACAGCAGTTGGCAGATACACTGGCTGGCTTCCAGCCAAAAGATGCCAATGGTGACTTGAAGGAGTCAATGTTGGCGGGATACCAGGGACATGCATCTTTGAGCGAAGAAGCACGCAAAGCTTTTGGATATTACCTGTAGAATCTGACAAGTCGTGAAGCTTACAACTTTATTGTATTCAAGGGCAACTTAATAAAGATGCCTGAATTGTATCTGCGGCCCTTCCTGCGTATTCGTTCCATTGCCGTATTTCCTCGAGATAAGTAACACACTTGGCGATCTCATCTTTCCAATCGCCATCGAATAGTGTGATGGGTATACGTCCGTGCTTGGCTTCTTGTATGAGCATATTTGCCGCCTTGAACAAGTCCATAGAGTGTGCCCTGGTCCACTTTAGCGAAGAACTGCAGTATGCAACAACAAACCAAACTTACCACTGTCTGCGGTAGTAAGTGGGCAAATTCCAATTCTGGTTGATCCAGAGGATATCCTTTGCAGACTGCAGACATACAGACTTTGCCCATTGGAAGTTGTCCGGATCATTACGCCAATTGGCGGAAAGTGTCGAATAGATGAGAAGACGATGAGTAAGAAGGACCAACGTGACATTCACACGCTGCCAACGCACCCACGGATGCTGTTCTTCGAGAAGTGAAACAGCAGCTCCACGCTCACCACTCTCCGGCTCAAGATGTTCTGGTAAGGTCGTGATGACTTGAGCCAGCTGTTCATCGGCCTGTCTTACGGTCTCTCCCTTTGTTTGGAAACCTTTTTGAAGAGCATTGTGGAAGTTGTGGTACACAACTGCAGTGCGAGCCATGAATTCGTGATAGCGTACCGAAGAGAGCATCTTGCCATCTTGCTCGGCATACAAGTCATCTACGTGAGGAGCGGGAAGACGACACCTGACTTCACGCTCGTTGATTAGAGGCGTGTATCCTGGGAATGGGAGCCTATCATGCTGTCAGTCTCAAAGCCAACGGACATGTGCAGCCATCACACGGAAGCAGTGAGATTTTCTTTGACTCACCAATCGCAAATGACTATGGTCCACCAAAGCCGGAGGCAGTGTTCTGAAGGGAATGGCAGCGGAGCCTTCATGTTTTCTGGTCGGTTCAAACCAATCTTGAGAGCAATCCTAATTGCACATGCCCACATCATTTGTCGCAGATCGTGGTCTCCCAGATTATGGAAACATATTCCCAGGATTGCGATAGCCTGAACTGTCCGTGCATGTGGCCGTCGCATGAACTCTGCCATCTCCAGACAGAACAGTGCTGCATCGTACCAGTTGCGTATCAACTTAGGGTGATCAGCCAAGGGAAGGTCCGAAGTAGCAGCCTTGTCTTCTCCCATAGTCAGGAGTGAAGCCTAGAACATAGGTCAGTCGACATGGCCCGAATGTGAGTCCGGGGTAGTGGCTAACAGCAAGAACGGAAAAGTAGATGGCTAACCATGAGGGATCGCTCGAGGACACCGGCTTCCCGCAGCGACGCATCATCAGGAAGTTGTCATGTTCTTTCTCAAATTGAGGATAGTAGATTGCTTGATGCACCCAGGAATTCCAGAGTTTGTCATGGGCTACAAGGACTTTACTAGCCGCACTGCTTGGTAGGATAATATCGTTCCATGTAAATCTTTCTTTAGGGCGCGGCGGAGTTTGTGCGAGTAAGACTGTATGGTCGTCGTCTTCCTGTTCGAGACTTTGTGGACGCCGATTTCCTACGGCTTCGGGTTCTGCTCCAGCGAAGTTGGTAGGAGAGTTTAGCCGACCCAATGCATGATCTTCGATGATAGTGTTTTCTCCAGAGATACTCTTTTCGGCTCTCTTACGTTTCCGCGCAGAGCTGCCAGAGTTGCCATTTGCACGATCCACCTCCGGTGTACAAAGATGATCCTCTCCGCGACGCTTGCAGTTCGTACATGGCGTCGCTCGGTCGCACTTGACTTTGCGAGATTGACAAATTCCACAAGGCCGCGGCCAACGCTGTCTCGTATGTTTCTCAGCTTTATCGGCCTTCTCGGCGTATTCTTGAATACCTTGCAGCATCGAAAATCGTTGTTGTGATTGTCGCTCCGAGGATGTTTAATCGCAGACGAGCGACATGTGTGCGCTCTACCGAGCTTAGCCGAGCTGACAGAGGCTGGAGAACGTTTTGTTTGGACGTTCTCTACTCAGGCCTGTCTTGCAAACAAATCAGAATGCTCGAGCACTCATTGTGTTCGATAAATATTCACCGCTCTGTAACATGCTGCTACCAGCCTCGTACTCTTGCCCTTGCTCGACAGCATCACGATAAGCCAGTCTTCATAAGACCTCGACATGTCCCTTGCTGCTCATGATGTAGATGCCCTATTTTTTGCATCGTCGACATGAATCACGTGCAGATTTTTGTCGGGTCTGTCGTACATTCGCTTTCTCTACAACATCTCGAGATAATAGATGATGCACTTCTCATTGTACGCGATGGTCGCATCATCGCACTAGGCCAGGCAGCAAGCGAACAAGATATTCTCCAATCATTCGGCATTGTCGACTACGATGTACATCAGCTCCCTCCTGGTGACTTCCTCATGCCCGGCTTTGTCGACACGCACAATCACGCACCCCAATATGCTCAACGAGGTCTGGGACAAGGCATGCACATCCTTGATTGGCTGGACAAGATCACCTTCCCGAACGAAGCCAAATTTGAGGATTCAGCTCATGCTCGTCGGATATATCCAGGATGCGTCGCAGGCTTCCTTCGCCAAGGCATCACTACTGCTAGCTACTATGGCTCGCGCCATGCGTCAGCAACCAAGATACTAGCAGACGAATGTCTGCGTCAGGGCCAGAGAGCACTCGTCGGCAATTGCAACATGAACCGTAATGCACCCGACTTCTACCGTGATGAGTCGGTCGAGGCTTCAGTTGAGGAGACGGAAGACTGCATTGCCCACCTGAAGTCCATCGACCCTGCCGGAGACCTGGTTCGGTACGTCGTCACTCCTAGATTCGCGATCATCTGCGACAACGATTTGCTGGCTCGATTAGGCGCTATTGCAAAACGGGACAATCTCGCTATTCAGACGCATTTCAATGAAGCAGAGCAAGAGATGGAAGCAACACGCGATTTGTTTCCTGAGTTCGACTGCGAAGCGGATCTGTATGAACACTTTCAACTTCTCAACAATCGCTCCATTCTCGCTCACTGCTGCTTCATGAGCGAGTACGAGCTGGACAAATTGTCTGTGCATGATGCTGGAGTAGCACATTGTCCTATAGCTAACATGACAGTGGGCGGCGGATTCATGACAGCCCCGGTACGCGCTTTTCTTCGCAAGGGTATCAAGGTCGGACTCGGCACTGATAGCGGTGGTGGCTTCTCTTCCAGCATCCTGGATGCCATGTGTCAAGCTCTTATTGCATCAAACGCTCGAGAAGTCGCTACTGATGGTACTGATAAGGGCTTGTCACTCGAAGAGCTGTTCTATATGGCCACTCTAGGCGGTGCCAGAGTTTGCAACTTTGATGCTAAGATTGGAAATTTCGAAGTGGGCAAAGAGTTCGACGCACTATGGATCTCTGGCAACGCGTCTGGTGTCATGGCTCCTTGTGAGCCCGAGGACAGCACACGCACGATTTTTAATAAATTTCTCATGACTGGCGATGATCGTAACATAAACAAGGTTTATGTGCGGGGTAGGGTAGTGAAGCAATGATAAGTCGGACCAGGTTTGTAGGTCGCATCGATAAGTATATGATCACATTAGCAGAACTTTTGTCTATAGCTTTGAACTCGTTAATCTAGTCTTGCCCTCTACCCAGGTAGTAATTCTTGCTACCAATGCCTCGACTTCTTCCTTTGTGTTTCCTGCATGCAAGCACACTCGGATACGCTCGGAACCTAAAGGCACAGTCGGTGGTACAATAGGTCTGACCACAAAATTCTTCTCCTGACAAAATTTCGCAAGACCGCGTGGGTCCGAACTGAGGACCGAGAATATCGGTGATGGTGGGCATTCTTCTAATACTTGAAGAAGGTGACGTTGATGTTGTGGTAAGCTCGAGGTAAGCACGAATAATCTTTCGTGTAAAAGAGTGATGAGGCCGAAGAGGTGTGCAGCGAGTGCGGTGGTGTTGTCGGTGGACAAGAATGTGTAAGCAGCTCGGATAGCAGCGAGTGCTGGGAAGGATAAAAAGGTCGTGTAAATAAGTGGCCGAGCGTAGTTGATAAGGTAGTGCTTTATCAGCGGACTACAGAGGATGATGGCTAGAACCGTTCGTCAGTACCAACAGATGTGATTTCAAAGTACAGCGAAGAGAACTTACCACCATTGCAAGCCATCGCCTTGCCGAATGTATGTAACCGGATGGTGATTCTGTCCTCGAGGCCAAGTGCAGAGACTAAGCCTCTGCCTTGAGGACCCAACACACCTGTAGAGTGTGCTTCGTCTACGATGATATGTCCATTACCATTGGGTAACAACTCGGTTACTGCCTCAACAATTCCCTTTAACGGTGCAACGTCACCGTCCATGCTGTAAATTGCCTCGACTGCAATAAAAATGTTACGATGACCAGATCTGAACTTCTCATCGGATTTGATACACCTCTCTAGCACCGATCGCAGATCCGTAATTGAGTTGTGTACAAAAGCAAAGTTGGCTCCTGCACGGCTTCCCCTCATGCCATCGTGTACACTGGCGTGGATATAGCTATCGTAGACCACGATGTCACCGGGTTGTGCTAGAACCGAGAACAGTCCTGCATTTGCGTCGAAGCCGGAATTACACAACAAGCCGTCTTCTGCGCCGTGGAAGGCTGCAATGTCTCTCTCCAGTGCTTCGGCATATTTGCTGTTGCCGTCGAGTAGCCTTGAGCCGCCACTGCCGAGAGGAAAGTCAGGGCGAGCAGTCAATTCGCGAAGATAGAGATTTCGTAAGGCAGAAGAGCTGGAGAGCGAGAGAAAGTCGTTTGAGCTGAAGTCGATGGCATTGGAAGAGGGAAGTGTCAGATTGCGAAGTGTTGAAGCTTGTCGACGCCGTGATAAGGCGAGGGCAAGGCTGTTTTCCAGATGAGACCGCGGCGGGCTTGACACAAAGCCTTTGGAGGCTGTTTTCTTTTCCACGTCCATCGAAGAATTGGCGAACGTAGAGATATTTTTGGTTTCCGGGCAATTCCTTCCAGTCGTAGTTTCCAAATTATGCTAGCGGTGGATTTTGTTTCTCCAAGGCGACCTCGAGTCCAGGATCAATGACAAGTAGGGAAAGTACAACTCCAGACTATGCTCATTCATGAAAGGAAGAAAGCTGTTTCTAGCTCATGATCATGCTGACAATCGCTACTGCCACACCGATGAGTCGTGTGTTCCCTCACCCGCGAAGGTGGTTGGGCTTGAGGCTTAAAGCCTCGGCCCGATCGACGTTTTCCTATTCCCCGAAGACGGCACCCCTAGCTCTCCGAACATGTGTTGCACCATATCTTTAGGAGGCTAATACGACATTCTTGCAATAGAGATGTACCATTGTTCACCCTCTCCTGTCAGCACATCTGAAGTATGCTTTTCAGTAGTGTTTTCTCGAAAAGCTGGAGTCTCACCAGAGTTCGCTAAGCACTTTTCGAGATTGCTATCGACATCTTCATTCCTATCACTTAGAGTCACACTTTCTATAACCATCAATTGCAAATGGCCGCAAGATACAGGTCTGCTTTCTTCGCAGGTATCGTACTTTCGAGAGCCATACCAACAGTCTATCAAACGAGAGGAAGTGAAGAGCGAGGAAAGATCCAAAGGTTCAAATAAGCTCGGTCCGATCGGCAATCAATTCCCCGAAGAGGGTGTCCGATACGCCGAAGACGGCTCTAGCGTGTATCCCATCAACTTTGCCGTGTCCTTTGGCCAGACCATTAACCAACTTAGTGAATCATCGTCGTCGTCGTCTTTCTTTGTCCGTTTCATCAGCTGCTTCTCTTCATGCTGCTATAACATTCAAAAGTAAATCTGCTCGCTGCACTCCTTCAACATGCGCCAAGTCGGGTCTGCTCTTTGGCCGAGGCTCAGAACTGTACAGGTATATGGAGCCAATACTGGTGTAGGAAAGACGGTCGTCAGCACATTGCTCTGCAAAGCCCTGCGGAAGAGACTGCCAGACTATAACGTACATTACTTGAAGCCTATCTCTACGGGGCCGCTGGAAGACCAAGACAACCGGTATGTCCATCCAAGAACATGGTCCGGAGAACACTAGTAATTGTATGGCAGCCATATAACACGATACTCGAAGGATATCACGTCAAAGACACTGCTCCAATTCGACGACCCCGTCAGCCCGCATATCGCGGCTAGGATCTCAAAGGAGCCAATTGATGATCAAAGCATCCTAACTCGTGTCCACGATGAATTGCTGAGCTACGCTACCGGAAAGGATGCTGTAGCAGTTGTAGAGACTGCTGGTGGTGTGCTTTCCCCTGCACCTTCTGGAAATGTGCAAGCGGATCTCTACAGACCATTGAGATTACCAACTCTCCTCGTAGGTGATCATCGTTTAGGCGGTATTGGCTCGACCATCTCATCTTGGGAGTCACTTCACGTTCGTGGATACGATGTCAACTCTGTATTGCTATTTGAGGAATCAAGATATGACAACCACACGTATCTGAGAGAATACTTCAAAGAGAGGGGTATCTTGACGCTTTCGTTGCCCCCACCTCCTGAAGCCAAATCCTCACAGGCAGAAGACGAACAATCAATGAAGCAATACTACGACTCCGCAAGCCACTCGTCCAGCTTGGAGCAATGCATCGACAATATCATCAGAACTCACGATCAAAGATTGTCTAGTCTGCAATCACTGCCAAAGAGGGCGGACAGCAGTATCTGGCATCCATTCATGCAGCACACCGAACGTTCAGAGCAAAACATTTTAGCCATCGATTCTGCTTACGGCGATTACTTCCAAACACACAACTCTACAGGCTCTGGCTCGAAAGAGGGCAACCAACTCAAGCCTGCATTCGATGGCTCGGCATCCTGGTGGACACAAGGTTTGGGCCACGGTAACCCCGCTCTGGCTCTCACTGCTGCTCACGCCGCTGGTCGTTATGGCCATGTCATGTTTGCCGGAGCTGCACATGAGCCTGCTGTATCGCTTTCCGAAACACTGCTCCAAAACATTGGTAACCCTCGTCTTTCCAAAGTCTTCTTCTCCGATAATGGAAGTACTGGCATGGAAGTTGCTGTCAAGATGGCGCTCAAGGCAGCAAGCAAGCGCTATGGCTGGTCACCAGACGACGAAGTCCTCATCCTCGGCCTCAAGGGCAGTTACCACGGTGACACCATCGGCACAATGGACCTGTCAGAACCCTCAACCTACAACAAGAAAGTTGAGTGGTACTCAGGCCGTGGCCACTGGTTCGATTTCCCACTCGTCAAGATGCAGCAAGGCAAATGGATTGTCGAACCTCCAGCAGGCATGGAAGAAGAATTTGGCCCCACCCGCGCTTTCTCAAGCTTGGACGAGGTGTTTGCTCTTTCTGGCAGAAAGGCTGATGCCGATCGCTACGAAGCTTACATCCAGACATCCCTTGAAGCTTTGACTGCGGAAGGTAAGAAGTTCGGTGCTCTTATCATGGAGCCAGTCATTCTCGGTGCTGGCGGTATGCTGTTCAGCGATCCTCTGTTCCAACACATTTTGGTCAAGGTCACACGCGAGCAATGTCCAGAACTTTACGGGAACGCTGAAGCCACGCCAGACTCGGAGCTCGGATGGAAGGGTGTCCCTGTCGTCTTCGACGAAGTCTTCACTGGCCTCTACCGTCTCGGTCGCTTCAGCAGTTCCTCCTTCGTCGACGTCCAGCCCGATATCTCTGTCCACGCTAAACTGCTCACCGGTGGCCTTCTCCCCCTCTGCACCACTCTCGCCAGCGAAAGCATCTTCGAGGCTTTCTTGAGTCCTGAGAAATCTGACGCTTTGCTCCATGGTCACAGTTACACTGCCCACGCAGTTGGCTGCGATATCGCAAAATATTCTCTCAAGACCATGCAAGAGATGGACGAAGGCTCCACCTGGACCAGTTTCAAATCCGCCTGGAAGCAGGAAGAGGGTGATGGCAAGCAGAATCTCTGGAGCATGTGGTCGCAAGACTTTGTGCGTGAGCTTTCGCTCAGACCTAATGTCGAGAGTGTGTTTGCTCTTGGCTCTGTTTTGGCAATCTCGCTCAAGGATCCGGCTGGGTCGGGGTATACTTCTACTGCGGCGACTGGGTTGAGGGATACGCTGCTGCATGATTCGTCCGAGGAGAATGCTATTCATTCGCGTGTGTTGGGCAATGTGCTGTATCTTATGGCCAGCATGACCACGACACCGGAGACTATTGCGAGCATTCAGAGAAAAGTGCAGGCAGCGATTTGATAGCGAAGACTCTCTGTATATATGCCGGGTATTATGTATCCTTTGAAATGGTAGAATAGTAGCCATTTGTATAAAAGTAACCAATCTAGTTCTGTTTTTCAACACCTTACACCCTGCTCTTTTGCGACTCTGTAGATCTCCGTGCATATCTTGTCGACGTCCGTCTTCTTCAGCGGCACGCGATGTGTACCGTCCCACTCAACCAGCGTAACAGCATCAGGATGGCAGTATTTCCTCATCAAATCCCTATGCAGATGCAAGCCCGCATCATTCAAGCCATGCACATGTATCGTCGGCAACCTCAACACATGCTCATTAGGTCCCTCATACCTGAATCCCTCACTGATCTCTCCAGCCCCCAGCGTGGCCGGCCCGACCGAATACTCAGACAACTGCATCAAAGGCTGTCTCCCAGCCAACAGCACCGCAAATTTATACGCCGTCTCCGCCACGCCAATCTTTTCCTCTCTTACCTGCTGATCATACAGCAAACTCGCTGCAAGCTTGGCTCCCTGACTAAACCCCATCAAGCCCACCCAAGGCCCCGTGCCGGGATCACCACGCTTGCAAGTCTCGATCGCATACATGACTTCCTCGATTGCGGCTTCGTCGTCTATGTCGGCGTGTTCGGGGAGCCAGCGCAGCCAGCGGCGGAAAGGGCCGTAGTCTTCGTAGACGGGGACGATGCCCGGGCCTGGGGGGCAGTAGAAGGGGCCGTCGGCGAAGATGAGGCGGAAGGTGGGGAGGGCTTTTATCAGGCTGCGGGCTTGGAGTTGGAAGATTTCTGCTGTTACGCCGCCGCCGTGGAGGCAGAGGATTCGGGGGAGGGAGAGGTCGGTTGGGTTGGGTGGTGTGTTTGTCATTGTGGGTGTGGGTGTGGGTGTGTTGCCTCGAAGACCGAGTGTGTGTGGGTTCGATCGGCGGTGGAAAATGCTCGTGGGCTCGTTTGATATGTCTGGTTCGTTGGTGGTGGTGGTGGTGGTGAGTGTGCTCGGGGAGCTGGCAGTCGTGAGTTGACCAAGATGGCGGTGGTGAGGTTCGAGCGATGGAGGACTAGAGATGAGTAGAGAGAAAACAACAATACGGTAGAAGCTACAGTACAAGTGTGCTACTCCAAAGCACTCGGAGGTCGCGAATGCATCGGATGCGCATGTTTCACTGCTCACCTCATCTACCCGGACCGGCTCTCCATGTCCCTTACCGCCATTGCCCAATCCCGACACCTGCGCGCATGCCACATATAGAAATTCTCCGACAATCAGTGATGATGGTTTCGGAGACTTTACAACCGAATGCCGCTTGCGACGTGTTGAGGGTTGCAATGTGCTGGTTGTATCTGTCGAAGAGAGGCACAAGTTGGCTTGACATGTTGAGCTTGGACCATCCAAGCTCTACCATATTCGCATTCGACCATCTGCTACTCTACATGATCAAGCATGTTCCCTTGATCTTCGAGAACTTCTTCTTCGCTCTATCTCTGTACCCGTCTCTACCCTTGCTACTGAACGTCTAGTCGATAACGTCGTCTCTCAGATCAAACAGTTGTCTGATGACCTCGTCTGCCTTGCTGCGAATTGCATTGTGGTACATGACATTGGTCGTGAAGGTCTTGCAACCCTTGATCTTCTCAGCCGTCTCGCGAGAGTAGTCGTAGTCGACGTACATCTATGAAAGTCACAGTCAGAAATAGACAAGTTTTCACATTGCAATCAGACTTACATCTTCCTGGTACACGGCTGCGTACACAGGCACTTCATTCTTGCTGAGCTGCTCTTCGTCGAACAACGCTGGCCAATCTGCGTCTGCTGCTACTCGGTTGGCGACATCCTGAATTTTGCGCAGCTCGCTGTAGTCCTCAAACATCCAGCTGAAGACCTGGTTCGTGTCAGTCAAGCTTCCATATCACAATACATGGATAGTGCATACCATCTCTCCAGTGAAGTAGATTGGTCCATCAGAAGTAATCTCAAACTCGGGGAACTCGTTACGCATGCGTTCAGCTGACCAGTTGGGTGCTTTGCTATAGACGTGTCAGAATTGCATCGATCAAAGAAGTCTTGCGTACATACCCCTCGCAGTAAATCTGCTCGTGCAAGATGGCATAGATGGGTGCTTCGTCAAAGGACAGGATTGAGTCAATAGCAGAGAGCGCGCCTCTTGTCAAGTGACCAAATGCCTCGATATCATAGGCAGCACGCAGCACAATCTCGTGCACCGAGTCGATGCCACCATGCATTCCGAACATGATACCTATCTGCTGAAAGCGTCTTGCAGTCAAGTGACCTTCAGAGGGCAATTTGATAGTACCGTCACCGAAACGTTGGATGTACTTTACTATCGTCTTGACTCTGTCGATATCCTCGGGATATTTGCTGTAGTAGTTCTGGTTGCGTTTGGCCACTCTCTTGTACAGTGCTCTGTATACTGGGTCGGGTTGCTTGACTAGCGGTTGGAGGCCACCATAGATGAACGCCTCGCGGAGTCCTTGTGGATAGAACGAGAGATACGTGATGCTGCAGAAGCCACCGAAACTCTGGCCCATGATGGACCACTTTTGCTTCTCAGGAGGGTAGTCTGCTGTGAGAGATTGTCGAATGGCCTCACAATCTCTTACAATACTATCGGCTCTGAAAAGCTTGAGATATCTTGCCTGTACATCATTCTCTCCACGCAGGCCTAGAGTGCTGGGTGTGATTGGCGTACTGAGGCCAGTGCCTCTCTGATCGAGGTACAGCATTTGGTATCCTTTGTCCAGAATGGTCCATGTGAAGGGATAAGCGTTTGGATGCCGACAAGCTCCTCCTGGGCCACCGTTCAGGAAGACCATCCACGGCAGTTGGCTCTTCTTGTCGTCATGATCACTGGGATCCGCTGGAGACTCATGCTTTCGGACACTGCGAGCAAAGATGCGAATTGTGCCAGAACTTGGTTTCGAGTAGTCTTTGGGAACATCAAAGAAATGTTCAGTGACCTTCAGTTTACCTGTAGCGTATTGAGCGTCAACATGTCTGAGTCGTAGATAAGCATCCTTTGCTCGAATGTTGTGAATCGCATCGAAGAACACGATAACCACTGACCAGATATCTGATGAGTTCTCTGCTCCACTATCTTCGCCGCAGTGACTTTGATCGAGGTAGCCATTTTGTGTGTGATAGGCAGACAAGTGATGGTGAGGGGCTGAATGTTGGGTTGACTATAGAGCGATTAATGACGCCCCAGACTTGGACGCTCCTGCCTGTTGTGATGCGCGGCTTGTTGTCAACAACAAGCAAAGCCGACTCATGAGGATCAGAGAATCCAATCGAACATCTATAGCGCTAAACAGGCTCTAAGAGCTCGTCAAATTCACGCTTCCCAGTTTATTCTTGACACATTCGACTTCTTGTCAAAATAGAGGGGAGGGGGTCTGGATAGCTGAGGATTTGGCTACCCGCACAGCTCGGACTCTGCTACGCCGACGATCCTCCACCGCCAGCAAGATTTGTTCACAAGAGATATATTTACAGCATTGCATCAAAACATTTTAGCGACTCTTCAGACAAAATCGACATCTGAACAGCCATGGCTAAGAAAGACAAGGGCAAGAAGGAAGCCAAGAAGGCGCGTGTAGCTGCAAAACAGGAGAAGGTTGCCAAAAAGACAGAAAAGAAGGCCAAGAACAAGAAGGATGCCGACGACAGCGATGTTGAAGAAGCCGATCTTGACGCGATCTTGGCCGAATACGCAAAGAAGCAAGAGCAATTCCTAAAGGTCACCGAGGACACCGTTTCCGGGCCATCGCCGAGAAGTGCTTCCACCTTCATCGCCTCACCTTCAGATGGCAGAGAACTTTTCCTTTTCGGAGGCGAACATTACAACGGAGCCATTGCAAATTTCTTCAATGATTTGTACATCTACAGGATCAATTCGGATGAGTGGCGCAAGGTAACGAGTCCTAACTCTCCCCTTCCTCGAAGTGGACATGCCATGTGCAGAGGCGGCAACACTGGAGGCATCTACATGTTTGGTGGAGAATTTAGTTCGCCGAAACAAGGAACATTTTACCACTACAACGATTTCTGGAGTCTGGAGCCATCGACTAGAGAGTGGACCAAGATTGAAACCAAGGGACCATCTCCGTCCGCACGCAGTGGTCATCGCATGGTAGCTTTCAAGCGTTACATCATCCTTTTTGGAGGTTTCCAGGACACATCTCAACAAACAAAATACTTGAACGATCTATACATCTACGATTGTCAGACTTTCCAATGGCATATTCCTGTCCTCCCACCTGCAGCCATGCGCCCGGATCCCAGATCATCATTCTCCTTCCTTCCGCACGAAACTGGTGCAGTCGTGTATGGTGGATATTCAAGAATCAAGACTTCGACCTCAGCTGGAAAATCAAAGGGAGGCAGACAAGCTTCTCGTGTCATCATGAAGCCTATGGTCCATCAAGATACCTGGTTCCTTCGTATCACACCACCTCCCCCGGAAGCTCCAATGAACACATTGCCGACAGTCCGTTGGGAGAAGAGAAAGAAGCCGGTCAATTCGCCTAACCCAGCTCGCGCCGGCGCCACCATGGTGCATCACAAGGGAAGAGGCATTGCATTCGGTGGTGTACACGATGTCGAGGAAGACGAAGAAGGTATCGACAGCGAATTCTTCAACCAGCTATTGGCATTCAACATCGACCGCAACCGTTTCTTCCAGCTGAGTCTCAGAAAGCCGCGCGCCCAAGCAGCCAAAAAGCAAGGTGGTGGAAACGAACGTGGTGGTAGACGTGGCAGAGGCAAAGCAGACGAAGAGGAACTTTTGCGCAACCTTGCCTTGATCGAAGGCAAAGGCTCCTTGGACGATGGCGAGCTTCCCCTCAAGCGCGATGACGACTCAGATGACGACGATGTCAAGATTGAGAAACCCGTGCAATACGAGATGCCTCATCCTCGCTTCAACGCACAACTCGCAGTGCAAGATGATACACTCTACATCTATGGTGGCACATTCGAAAAGGGTGATCGCGAATTCACGTTTGACGAGATGCACAGTATCGATCTAGGCAAGTTGGACGGTGCCAAGGAGATCTTCCGTCGTGAGCTCGAAGATTGGCAAGGTAGTGATGACGAGGATAGCGACGAAGATGACGAGGATGAGGAGGATGATGAAGATGACAGTGAAGATGAAACAGCCGGCACTGCCACTCCTGCCACCTCTGTTGCGCCTGAAGAGATTGCCAAGCCAGAAGATGTGGCCAAGAAGCAAGCAGCAGAGGATGAAGAGCCCGAAGACGAACCCGCCACCGAGAAGTCCGACGGCCTTCCTGGCCCGCGTCCCTTCGAGTCTCTGCGTGAGTTCTTCTCCCGCACAAATCATCAATGGCAAGACATCATCCTGGAGGAGCACAAGTTCAAGCACGCAACCCAGATCACCGAGAGATCGGTCAAGGAGATCCGAAAGAGTGCGTTCGAACGCGCAGAGCAGAAATGGTGGGATGTCAGAGAGGAAATGCAAGTCTTGGAAGACGAGCAGGAAGCTGCTGGTATTGGCGAGGTTGTCGCACTCGAGTCACGTGGCGAAGGTGCTGGTGGCGGCGGTGGCGCTGGTAGGAGAAGATAGGCACGCTACGTTCATTGTCGTACTAGTCTCGCTCACCTCCTGAACTATAGATACAAGCATTGTACGGGGACAGAAAATACAATATAGTCAATCTCCCAGCCTGCCGAAGTTGGCCATTAAAAGGCGCGATGTTTTTTATATCGGCATAATGGTTGACACAAGAGTGTGTGAGATTGCTAGTCTCCTGAAATCGGCCCGTGACAGAACACTGTCCGTTCTAGCTGAGGAGGGAGCATCTACAACACGACCACACAAAATCGTCATAAAAAGATGTTTAAGAGCATGGCCATCTCCATACATTGGACTAAAGTCACAGCCTATGTATTATATCTGGCTAAAGAGCGTGAGGTATTTCGTCAAAGAACCAATCTCGCACAATCGACAAAGTTCGCAACTTGAAGCCTTCAAAAAATACTCAACCCGAAGACGGACCCGACCCCCTTGAATAGAAGTGGGTAAGAAACGAAACCCATCAAGGTACACTGCACAGCAGCAACACCATCACAAGCACCATCAACCCCTCATGCACTCTACTTAGTCTGAACATAAATATCAGAAGAACCACTGCTCTGGTAGCCTTCAGTAGCAACGATCTGGTAGTAGTGAGTTCCAAGGTTGAGTCCATTCTTCTGCCACGCGTTGAAGTGGTTCTGCATGGTCACGGTTCCGCCGACACGCTTGCTGGTGCGGACGGACCAGTATTGCTGGAAGGTGCGAGTGCCATCGATGGAGGGTTGGTTGGTGCGGGTGGAGACGTAGACGTTGTAGGTGCCGCCGTCGGTGGAGAAGCTGCCTTTGAATTGGGCGCCCTGGCTGGGGTTGTAGGTTCCGTAGGATTCGATCACGTAGTATTCGACCTATTTGGGGAGTTAGTATGATAGGTTTGGTTCAGGAGGGAAGACACCGAGTTAATTACAAGCGGGTTGCGGGTCCATCCGTATACAGCGAGGTAGCCATTGCCACTCGGGCTGAAGCTTCCACCGTAGTTGATGGTGCTTGAGGTATTGTCAGTGAAGTTGGATCAACAGAAGCACTTTCGTCAACTTACCGGCCGGTACCGGGGTTCCAGCCCTTTCCACCGACGAAGTTGCCAGTGTTGGTCCACTTGACAGAGTAGCGACTGCCCTCACCCAGAGTGAACTGAGCAGAACCGCCGCCGTCAGTCCACCAGGAGTAGAAGTAGCCGTTGTGAGTACCCTCAGCACTGGGGGTGCTCTGACGCTTGGCGAGAGTTGCGTTTCCATCAACCTCGTCGGTAAGGAAGTCGAAAGGGGCGGCCAGCACCGAAGTAGCGGCCATCAAGGCGCAGAAGAAAGACTTGAAAGAGACCATGATGAAGGATGCAAGACCAGGATTGATCTTAGAACTGTGTTTGTTGGATTTGATGATAGTACATTTCCCTCGTCAGCATCGTGCTTCTTATACCCCTTCTCTTCGACACAGGTTCGCGATATCACTGATTGAGCCTAAACATAATTCAGTAAGCAAGTAGCACCGACTGATCAACGTCTCGAGGTGACGCTGACTCCAGACTCTCGCCTATGCAAGAAGTTGAGTAGAGTCTGCTCTATTTCTCTTGGACTCTTGGCTCGACAAGCTATTTGAACGGTATGCCAATGTTGTCTTATATATCCGGCATACGGCCGCACACCGGCTAAAGGAAATAGTACCTGCCAAGGCAATCTTAGCATGCGAGAGTCTTCCTATTATTGATCACGAGCGGCCTGATCAGCATGGTTATTTGGCTATAACATGGCAAGAGTGAAAGGAGGAGAAGCTTGTCAGCGCGGGAACATGGAAGACACAGCCTTGTCGCCAAGCGAACTATTGTATCAGATCAAGCGAGCCGAAGAGCCACTCTCTCCCCAGATCAACCTAATCACATAACTAGCCCAGTGCAGTGTATAGTGCAAGACGACATGGTGGGAGGACGTATTGCCACCACGCGCACGTTTGAGCTTCAAAGCCTCTACATGTTCAGGCTGTTCGGAAGCGTACATGGATTTTCCTTCTACACGCGCCGATCCGGTGATCCATGGCGACACAGGCCTGGAATGAAGGCCTTATTCGGTGAAGGCGTCTTCTGAAACAAACAACAGCAACCACAGAGCACAACACCGGTGCCACCGCGAAGGCTTGCTGCTTGTTGGATGGCGGCCACAGACAACTCACCCGCTCTGGTCCGTCACGACAAGAACTCTGGAGCGAGCGGGTTAATCAAAGATGGTGATCTGCATTGATGTCGTGCTATATCCAGCGGCAACAGCGCTTTTCGTGGAGGTGCAGTAGCGAGCAGAGTGGAAGAAACCTTGAAAACTCGTAAGAAACATGGCAGAAACGTTCACCGCCTCGGGAGATGAAGGGTAGATCCGATCGATAAGATGGGTTGTCTTTCGGCTATTTTTGTACGGTCCGATGACAGTCGCGACTGCCACAATATTCATGGACGCAAGTACTTGGGAAATACAGATCGAAATCTAGTGGGAACACAAGCTCGCACTGTCAATGTTTTATCAACTACATTGATGCTCTTCCTTAGATGCTCTCACGCATACACTACCAAAATTTACACGCCGAAGTGCGACAGAAGGACCTATGCCATGTACGACAGAATTGTCGTCGTTGGCCTTTATCCGCAAGACACGACTTCTCGAGACGAATGGACTTTTGCAACGTTCATGAATAGCTTCAACTTTGACACATACAAGTGGGGTGGTATGGACAGTTCTCCTTTATCCCACTCCGCACCCCTCACGGCTAATACCTGGAATGGCCAAGACTGGCAACAACTGACGAGACTGGGTGCTGGAATATTGGCGATTCACGCGGTTTAAGCATCCATGGAATCTAGAGCGAGCTGAATCGCGTATTCCTATTGGGTATCTTATACGAGTTGACTAGATGGTAGTCACGCCCTGACGCTTCGTAAGGATAGATTCGAAGCATTGATCAAGGATTCGGAGGCCCTCCTCGATCTCGTCGGCTGTGACGGTGACTGGCGGGGCTAAACGGAATACACCACCCATGCCTGGAAGATTGACGACATTGCAAGAAAGACCAGAGGCCATGGCCAGTTCAGATACAGCCTGACCGAGATCTGCGCCAGGTGCTTTGGTTGTGGCGTCCGAGATGATCTCGATACCCTGAAGGAGGCCTTTACCACGGATATCGCCAATACACCAGTACTTTTGCTGGAGTTTTTCTAGACCAGCACGTAGCTGCTGACCACGTTCTGTAGCCTTTTGGCATACGTTGTCGCGCTTGACTATCTCGAGAACCTTCGCTCCGACCGCTGCAGTCAGAGGGTCATTGAGGTGAGTAGTGAGCCATAGGAATCCTGCCTCTTTGCAGCCACGCTCTATCTCGGCAGTGGTTGTTACGGAAGCAAGAGGAAGACCACAACCTAGGGTCTTGGAAAGAGCAAGAATGTCAGGGACAAATTCCTCCTCATGCTCATACGCGAACATCTTGCCAGTACGTCCAACACCAGTCTGTGCTTCATCCAGAATCAGAAGCATGCCACGCTTCTTGCATTCTTCGCTCATACGCTTGAGGTAGCCCTTTGGCGGCTCCAGAATACCACCGGTCGAAAGAATTGGCTCCATTATGAAGGCAGCAAGCGATCCGACGCTCTGTCTATCGATCATAGACCAGCCGAACTCGAGCTCCGTCTCCCAGTCGTAAGAGCCATCTGCCTTCTTGAATGGCGAGCGATATGCGTAAGGTGCAGGGAAAGCCAGCTGGCCAGGCATTGATGGTCCGCCATTCTTTCTACCGGCCGAGTAGGTTGCTGAGCCCGAACCTTGAGTGAGACCGTGGTAACTCGCTGAGAAGGCGACAATTTCGAATTTGCCAGTATAGCATTTGGCCATCTTAATAGCAGCTTCCGTTGTCTCAGAGCCAGTGTTCAGGAAGAATGACTTGCTCAAGTGTTCTGGTAGAAAACTAGCAAGGCGTTCTGCGAGGTCGATCACAGGATCCGTCAACATGTTACTGAGCAGATGGTCAAGTTCGGCGACATAATGTTGCACAACTTCAACAATCTCTGGGTGAGAGTGTCCAAGTAGAGAGCTCATCTGACCAGACGTGAAATCCAGAATTTCTCGGCCATTTGCATCGTAAAGCCGTGTGCCTTTCGCCTTGACAATTCTCATAGGTGATGGAGGTACACCTGTGTACATGAGATACTTATTGGCCCGCTGCCAGAACGGGTCAATATGTGTGGTTTGTGCTGCAGCTGTGATCGTGGTTGTGGTTGTGGTCGTCATGTTGGCCGAATATTCGAGTGTGTTGATGGTGGAATTGGTTTGCAAAGATGGTAAGGATTTTGGGAGAAAGCAATGAGGGACTCGACATGTTATATACACACGAACTCAACATGGTAATACGTGGAGTCGTGGACGACCTCGACCTCCTGGGAGGACGGTGGACACGATACGGCAAACTACCAGGGCGGGAAAGTCAAGTCCGGGAAACTTTTCCGCGCTATCAGCACCATCGGGGAACTCAATGCACGGAAGACTTTCTCCCGGTACGATAACAAGATAGCAGGGGTACATGCCGAATGATTCCAATGGATAAAATCATGTCTGAGAATTACTACTGCCGCTTCGTGGCAAGTACAGCGCTGAGATGCTTGAAATGTTGACTCAACATGCGTTGGCAGAAAACCAGACACGGAGAAGAAATCATCCAAGAGCACTACAATAGCAAAGCTGTTTGCTTTTTGGTTATCCACACCATTCGGGTAAAGATGGAATGCTTAGGTCGAACGTTGGTTTGGTAATCGCGGTTCCTCTTACATTGACGGATTACCATTGCGACTTCCTCCTCACCGTGCTTGTCTTTGGGAGCCAAGCGATTAGCTAGTCGAGAAGGAACACGAAGCCACGAATGACTCGACAAGGAACGACACATAGAATAGTTATGCTGGGATAGAGGTTTGTTGTTCTTCCACGCGTGTCTGGTGACTTCGTATCAGTTCTGTCATTAAACTCATGCTCATGTCATTACACTCTCTGCGTATCCTGCACAGGGGTGATCTCATCTTTATCCTGGCTACCGGAGCTCTTCCCCTCATCCTCGCGGTCTTTCATCTCTCGGAGAGGGTTCTCGCCATCCTCTGCTCCTAGCATTTCAATGCCTTTCTCGACCGGATGGCCTTCGTTGACGCGTTCCTGTTGCGTCTCACCCTTTTCTGGATCTTGAGCCACGTCATGCTTGGACTCGATAACTCCCATGGTTTGTTTCTCATCAGCTTTTCCATCAGCGCTGTGGGCACTTTTCTTGTAGACGCTCCAACCGCCACCCCATCCGAACCATCCTTCCGCCCACGGTCCACGAGCAAAACAGCAAATTAGTGCAGCGCCGATGCTGGCTACGCTGTAGCTACCGCTGACGATCCATCCACCTCTCGCATACAGATGGTTGCCGGCTGCCGTGCCAACAAGCTGACCGCAGAACGTCGCAACCATGAATGCCGTGTTTACTCTATTGCGTGCTTTTGGCGCGATACTGTAGATGGCACTTCTGTTGGCGATCTGCGCTGTTTGCAATCCGAAGTCGTTGAAGAAAGCCTGGATCACCGGACCAGCGATTGTGATGCGTCCGGTATAGGTGCCGATACAAATGCCCAGCATACACCAGAGTTCGCCTAGTATTACAGAGAACAGAGGTACGAAGCGATCGATGACATATTTGGCCCAGAAAGGCCCAGTGAACATACTCGCAATGCCGATGAGAGAAAAGAGACCGATGGTCAGAGAGTCGTAGTTATAAGGTGAGCCCGCGAGAAGAAAGGTCAATGTTGTCCAGAAGCAGGTAAAGGTTGCTGCTGTGAAGAAGGTAACAAAACAAGCTTGTACCAAGACTGGCTCTTTGAAGAGCATCTCGAGAATCGACCATAAGATCTTGAAGTAATTGATGCCGCCAGGGTTGGTAGAGGGATAATCTGGCATGAATAGCCAGAGAAGGACAAAGATGGCATATTGCAGACCAAGCGCTAGCCAGTAGATGTTACGCCATGCTATGTGGATGCTGTCAGCACGGCATGCGAGCGGAACATTCAGGCTTTTACTTACAGGTAAAGTTGGTCAATACGCCGGACAGGAGTCGAGCAATCAGCATACCCAACAAAAGGCCAGACGTGACGATGGACAAAGATGCAGCCCTTTTATTAGGAGGTGCAAGGTCACCAACCAGCGGGAGCATAAGCTGTGGTGTAACGGTAGTGACAGCCGTAACGAAAGAGATAGCAGTAAACGCAGCCAAGTCCTTGGTCACACAAACGCCGATCCTAGACAAGACACATGAGCAACAAGATCCTCTTAACCATCCGGCAGACTTACCACATAGTTGCCGTGAAAAACACAAGACTCAAAACAAATGGTCTTCGCGGTAGCAAATCTCCCAACGGACATAGAAACAGCAGTCCCGCCGCATACCCAGCCTGCATCACAGTAGGAATCTGCGACACCTTCTCATACGGTACATTGAATTCTTCCGCCAGAATATTAAGGATGGGATGACTGTAGTAGAGATTCGCGACCGTGAAAGCACCAGCGAAGCCGAATAGGACATTCAGTGGCATACTGAACACGGGCGGTTTTTCCGGGTCCCAGCGACATCGCGGGGGTGTGTAGGTTATAGTGTTGTAGATGCGCTTCCATATCGAGGTATTATTCTTTATCTCCTTCTCTTGTATTTGCTGGCCGTCCGATCCTGAGGAGTATCCTTGGTCCAGCGATAGGTTTGAGGGTGAGTTGTGCTTTGCATCATCTTGCGCCATTCTACGTTATCGCGCTGCAGTCGCGCTTCAACAAGTCCTGTCGCAACAGTAATTGCGAGGGATGCGAAGTGGTAGTCAAGAGGCAAAGAAGATGCAGAAATGACATTGACACGGGTAACACGACATCTATGTACCTAGTCGAGGGAGTGCATCGCCTGTCACTGGTCTACGAGCCGCAATCCCGATGAGATCTTTGACTGGTGCCAGTGTTGATCACCGTTCGGCCCTCCGCCTCCGCATTTTCGAAGAAAGATAAAGGCATCAACTCCGTTAGATCCGTCTTGGAAAGGAATACATGAGTGCATGGCTGGCATGTGTCAGCCTTGGAGGAAACCGTTCGAGTAGTACTTGCTCGTCTCTGGAGAGATTTTCCGCTTGATAGTGCTGATCAGATGTGCGAGTCTGACCAAGAGGTAGCCATAGCTGATGATGAGATGTCGGATAAAATGCCGTAAATACTGAGGTTTGACAGGACGTGGAGTTGAGATAAGAACGCCAGCCGTGCCAAGATGTATCTCGAACAGGCTAGAGCATGCCCAAAGCTCGAGACTTGTCCCAAAACGGCAATCTTCCACATCATGAAAAAAAAACTTTCTTCTCAACCTAATCAAAGCCATCTATGGAGTGCTTTACAACAATAAGAGCCGCTCAATGATGGCACAGCGATGGTGGTCAGTACGGGGCTCCAAGTCACTGTCAGTGCCATGAGTTCTCTGCTTAACTTCCCAAAACTTCACCAATACCAAAATGACATTCTATCCCACCACAAAAAGAGTCCTGTATCTCTTCCGCACGCAAAAGGATGATGTAATGGTCAGTACGGGGGTCGAACCCGCGACCTTGGCGTGCCATGTATCGAGGGATATTAGCACCACGCTCTAACCAACTGAGCTAACCGACCAGGTTGATGAGTGAAAGTTCTTCCCTGCTAAATTAAGATGCACGCGAGCAACAGCGAACCTCTTCACGTGCTCCAGCGTCCTTGTTGGCCTCGGCCTCCTTGATCTCCTTCTGCCTTCCATCCTTGAGTATCTCGTTGATCCTGGCTTTCATATCCTCACCGGGCACGATCTTGATGAGCGGGCCTCTCTGAACCCATCCGGCAACGTCGTCGAGGCGATCCCAGACACCATCCATCTCAAGGTGATCAAGCTTAGGCAGGTGATCTCTGACCCAAACAGCCAATGACTCCCAGCTTCCCTGTAACCGGCAGTTCCTCAGAGTGATCCCTCGTATCGCTGCTTGATGCTTGGCAAGGAATCGCATCAGGTCTAGTTGGTTGATCGCAAATGCCAAAAGACTGACGCTTTCGATGGATGGTGATGGTATGCAATCAAGGACCTGATATTTAGTGAGGCTATGAAAGTCGTCGCTCACGGCGCCAAGATTAATATGTTTCAGATTGGTTGCTGCCGACAATATGCGCCTGGCGCAAAACAAGGTAGCCTTGATATCACCAAAGTCGAAGTTGATAGTGATAGATTCGAGCTGACGGCCTACAGTTGCTAGTTCGGCTTCGATCTCATCGGGGCAAAGAGTTGATTCCCAACGATAGCTTCCCAGTTGAACGCCTTCGATCGAAAGTCCATTTATGTTGCATCCTTGCTGATGAATCGCTTTGATCGTTGTATGAATTGTCTCTTTCCATGAGAGTGCCCAGATCCTATCATCGTTACCGAATTCATTGGAATATCTGTGGTATAGATACCCCTTGGCACCAACAGGATTGGACTCACCAACGTCGAAGGCAACCCCAAGATGCTGATCTCGCTTTGCGAGCACGGCAAAGGCTGCACCAAGCATCCACTTAGCGTCACGGTCGCTTAATCTTTTCTCTGCAAAATACCTGTTTGTGTAGAAGCAAACCTCCTTGGGGCCGGGCTCACACTTTTCCTTTTTCTGGTCTGTTTCCATCAGAACTGGGGTCAGGTTCCGTACCAACGCTGCGAGACCCTCTGAAAAAGCGTAGACAGGCGAGATATTGACCGTATGTACATAGCGACTGAAGCGGGGGTGTCTTGATATATCGATGAATGCTTGTATAGACGAGCGTGTCATGACGACAGTAAAGGACTCCAGATAGAACTCTGCGAATGAGTCTGACGCAAAGTCAGATATGTGCTTGTTTACGAGACGCAGTGACTTGAGATCTTTTCCCTTAAGGCCATCATCAAAACAGATTGCTCTGATGAGCTCATTAGGGAGGTCCATAAGGCGGAACGGCGCGGTTGAATTACAGGTTAGATATCAGTATGGGTCTCAATTGAGTTGCGCGTAGTCATCATACGTTTTTGGGATGTCTACCATGGTTGACGTGATTTGTTGCGTGCTGATATGTGTTGATGTATGTTGACGTGCCGGCACGAATAATGTGGAAGTGACAAGTGATGTGTTGCGCAATGGCGTGGATTGCTCTTTCTCAATCGAGCGACGTCGACAAAGAATCGTGTTCTTCCTCGATGGAAGCCGCGGGCAATTGGACGCTTCGAAGCAAGTCACATTCGACGAAGCTGCGGGATGTTGCACTTGAGTACGTGGAAGATCAACAGAGTGCTTGATTCTCTGTGATATATGGGACTAGCTACGACTATATAACTAGCCATCAAACAAAGAACTGCAGCTATAGGCAAACAGCAAAGCTCTGGACCAAAGATATCAAAGCTTATGAGACATGCATGGGTAGGCATAATCAAGTGTTGCCCCTAATTGTTCGACCTCCTACTTCCACGGTGTTCCTCCTTTGCTAAGAGAGATTAGTCGGTTTTGCAACTGAAAAAATGCAAGATGCCGTTGACGATCTTCTATTTGGCCATCAAGAGCAAGGTCCAAGTAAGCTCTCACTGAACAGACCGCCGTCCGACAACAATACTGTGCATTTTGATGTAATTATCATCGAGGGCCTAGCGGATGAGAGCCTTGTATGTATGCACAATTACTTCTGATTCCAGGGGGTTCCTACCTATGTTGCTGGAGTTCACCATGCAGAAACACACGACGATACTCTTTGATATGAGAGGTAGGTATGATTGAAACTGCCAGGCGGATGGCTGCAGAGAAAAAAATATCTTAGATGGCTTTCTATAACACAACTATGTATGCACGTCTATTGTTCATCTTTTACAACTCATCCTTGACAATCTCTGCCTTCTTGAGAGCCTCGCAGACAGCAGGTGAACCGACTTCCATGCGGTAGACACACTTCTCCTCCTCAAATACCTTCCAGATCTCGTCTTGCTCGGCACAAGCAAGAATAACAGTGGTGCTACGGTTAGGTCCGTTCCAGCAGTGTTGGCCGTTCTCGTGTCTCATAGCGATGCGCTCACCAGAGCCGAGACCCTTGCCATCGGCCGAAACCTCTTCGTCGACGGTGATCTTGTCGAAGCGGACGAAGTTGCCCATGCGTGTGTTGCTGCCACCCTTCTTGGACTTTTGGGTCGTGTGCTCCATGAAGCACAGCTCGTAGGTGTACTCGCCAGAGTCGACGGAAATGCATTGGCCTTTGAGGGCGCGGAAGACACCATCAGGACCGTACTCCTTGTTCAAGTCTTCGTTGTGTGATTCGAGGTCCTTACGCTGAGAATTCACGGCGTCCTGGGCAGACTTGAGGCGGTTCTTTGCGTCGTTGACAGCAGATGACTCGCCACCTTCTGCTGAAAGGTCGGCGAGAATGCCGTTCTCGATGAGCATGATGCGGAGGTCACGAAGCTTCTGGTCGACCCAGTCGCGGAGAGGCTTAGGGAGGTAGTTTTCGATCTCGTACACTGCAGGCTGTTAGTGGACATCAGGCTGGAGAGTCACAGGTCGAAACTTACAAACTTCGACATCCTCGCCCTCGGTCTGGAGATATGACTCCCAGTCGAGACCGTTGTCCGCGTCAGTCTTGGTAATCTCGTTGAGGTCTCTGTCGTGTGCAGAAGTGTCATCCCCAGACTTGTCGCGAGCAGCATAGTCTTCCCAAGCACGTACAGCTCTCTTGACACCCTCATCGTTGAAGTTGGGGTTGTACTCCTCCTTGAAGGTTGACAAGATAGCCTCGAGCTCCTTGACACGGTCTTTCGAAGTGTCACGTTCCTGACGGACGCGGACGAGGTGGTCTCTCAACTCCTCAGTCCTCTGCTTGGCAAGTCCCACGAGGACACCCATCTTGCCTTGCTTGGCTCCCTGGCTCTTGACAACCTTGCCCTTCTCGCGACGCTCGACTTCAGCAAGCTCTTTCTCCATGTCTGTGACGTGAATCTCCGAAGCCTTGAGTTGGGTGTGCAGGGTATTGATTCTGTCCTCGACTTCCTTTCTCAAACGCTGGGCCTCGTTGGTGTACTCCTTTCTCTTCTTGTTGGCATTGGTGAGAGCACGCTGGCGTGACTCGTTCTTCTTCCTCCATTCCTTGCCAATTTCGTCGCACTTGTTCTGGCACTTGACACCGCCAACTCCAGCCCATTCTTCACTGCCATCACAGCAGAGGTCGTAGTCGCAGAAGCCGTCGTTGACGCTGGTGTAGGGGACGTAGCTAGGCTGATGCCCCTTGTTCTTGCAGTAGAATCCAGGCAGGACTTGTGTGACATTTATCTGGTCCTTGTTGGTCGTATCCGAACGAGTCGAGGGTGAGAGTGGGGAGAGGTAGGAGCAAGCAGAGGTTCCAGGTTCATCGGAGCCGTCAGGACAATCGCAGTAGTCGTCGTTGACCTGGGAGAAAGGGATCTTGATGGACGGATTCGAAATGCAAGTAAATGATTCAGCATCCTTGAAGAACTTGGCGACTAAGAAAGTAGAAGGTCGTGTCAATTTAGATGTCTTCCAATAAAGCTACAATGGTAAACTTACACTCTGGGCCAACACCGCGAGGCCGCGAGGGCTCTGAAGCAGCAGACGCAATTGATGCGGCTGCAATGATCCAGGCTGCAGCCGTCTTCATGTTGACTGTCTTGCCGCAAAAGATAAAACACAAAGTTTGGTTTTTGTGGCACAAAACACAATTCTTGAGCTCATTTACTTGCTCACCATCTCCCCGGGCCAAGTTCGACACCTTTACCATCAGAAGTGTCCGTGCGCTTATCGCAACTTCTTATCGGAGCCATGCTTTGGGGAAGCATCATCATCTCCACACTTTTTGTGTCTCCTGCTCCCTCGTCTTCTTGCCACAAGGACATCAAACACCAGAATATCCAATTTGATTCATGATCTCCGAGGATGAGATCGCCAATTACGAAGACTTTCGAGACTGCGTGTCCGAAGTGTTGATTTCGAGACTTTCGGGTACTGCAGACAAGAAGAAGAAGAAGGCCACCAAAGGCCGCAAGAATGAGATCAAGCCAGTGAGCAAGCCAGAGCAAGATCAAGAGAACAGCGATGCTCTGGTTGCTGATCTGGGTGAAACGATAGAGGTATGTTTGAGCGCATTGCTTCCTTTCATACTCGTATGCTGACTCAATCGGTATTTCAGTATCTCGCCTCTGAGATATTCCCTTCATTGCCCGACGACTTACGAGTCTTGTCGTATAGTGATGTCCAAAATGATAAACAGCTAGCTGAAAAGTACAGCGTGCCTCTCGACTCGGATGTTTACGAGGATCTGTTACAGCCAATGCCATTGTCTGTGTCAGATTCGTTGACCTCGTATGGTCTACTCTCTGATTCTACAGACCTGCCACGGTTACTGGAACCTGTGTTCACGTCCTACATTACGAGTAGAACCACTGCACCGCCAGAGTTTGCACCAGCCAGTCGAGCCACCGAGTGTGAAATCTGCGAGAGGGAGCATCTGCCACTCACCTATCATCATCTGATCCCAAGAGCTGTGCATGCAAAGGTTGTCAAACGTGGCTGGCATGCTAGCTGGGAGTTGAACAAGGTTGCTTGGCTTTGTCGAGCGTGTCACAGCTTCGTACATCGCCTTGCAACGAACGAAGAATTGGCTAAGGAGTGGTATAGCATCGAGCTTTTGTTGGAAAGAGACGATGTTCAGAAGTGGGCAATTTGGGTCAGCAAAGTCCGATGGAAAGCCAAGTAGTAGTTCAAAAGAATATACATTGCTCATGCTACTTTCAGCAATCAAACTTCCTGTGCAGTAATGACACGCTATGCTTATGTACATCATTAGATCGTGTCCGCTCATGCTTCGCCAAAGTTCATGTGCCCTGTCTGCTTGGCATGCTCTGTGGCACCCTGCTCTCCCTTACCAGTCCAGCCGCAAATGTTACACTTGATGGTGAAGCCATGCGTATCGGTGAAGTAGTGTCTCTGCTGCAAGACCTGACACAGCTCTCTAGCAGCCTGCAAAGCTCCACCATCTTCGCCTTCCATACCCTCGATCTGTGCGACCTCGAAGACTTTTCTATCGAATTCGGGGCTCGTGCCTTGACCAGGTGAGACGGCAACAACATCGTAGTGGATACCAGAATAGATCAAGATGCAGCGTCTCGATTTGCCTTCGTTGAAACGGTCAATGCGCAAGTCCTGTACGTTGATGCTGCAGATCTCGATGTCGAACTGTTGGGACAGGATCGCGAGCTCAATACCGCCTCCCCATGAGTCCTCACGCTGGATCCAACGGCAGTAGTCATCCGGTGCTTTCTCGAGCATACCAGCCGTGTACAGATCAGGATTGGACTGGATTGTCTGAGCCACCATCGAGCGCAACTATATTCGTATGTTAGTTGAGAACGTGATAGTCAATCACTGCTGAACATACCTCGTTCATACTATCGAGCGCGTCACCCAGGACAGCGCTACCTAGAGCTCTGAACATACAGCTGTTGTCATCCGGCATAACACGAAGAACGAGAACACCTTCAAGGCCAGGCACAGGCACCTCGGGTGGGTCACTCTCCACATCGTTGGGCTTCCTTTGGAGTGAAAGTGCGGCTTGTTCTGCTTTTGTCGAGCTAGAAGGAAAGTCGCCAACATTGTGCTTAGGAGGTTGGATATTCTTCAAGGAAGGCAAGGTTCCATGATTTAGAGGATCCACGTGGCCGGACATGGGGTTATGCAACGACTGCTGAACATCGCGTGGCATGATGATGAGTTGTTCGCCATCCAGCTTGATGCCAACATCGGTCAGTTTTGTTTCGTTGTCAATGCTTGTTGTGTCCAGATTTTGTGGTGGGTATCCGTACTTGACATCGAAGTCGCCGACTGATGTCTTTGAAGATATCTCATGCTTGAGTTCTCCCCATGTTGCTGTCTCCGGCATGCTAACCTGGGACATGCCCGAAGGACCACGAATTCGAATGCGCATGGTACCCGTCTGGTTTTGATGTTCGATGTGTAGGTGTCAAGGTGATTTGTGGTATGCGATATACGGTGTTGTGTTCGGTGGATTGTTCGACGTGGCGGTGTCTTGAGTGATAGTGACAGCCGAGGCGATACGTCATCCCCAGGGTCACCCCCTCGGTAACATGATCCATGCATGTGAAAACATCCTCTCAATTTAATGTGTATATTGCGATGCGTGTGCTGATTGGGAGAGAGGAGCTTGTTTTTCTGGCTGTAGGTTTCATGCTATCGGATGGCCTCTCACACGCTCAGTCAGCAGAGCGTTTTCCACAAGAATGCAAAGTACTACTTGTGTCTTGAGGACTGTCCCACTCAGGCAAAACACCATCAGAATTCTGCCTGAAGGAGGGTGATATGCATGGACATATTCTTGCATTTTGATGAATGTCAGTCGACGGCATCATTGCAGAAGAAGCAAAGAGCTTCTAGGCACTCGACTGTTATCCTCTTCGATGTGACATGGGCTCAAGATACCTTCGTCAAGATACACAATAGTATCTGGATTACCAGTAGTAGAAACCTAGATCCAACGCAAGACGACATCCCAGCGGACAGATCAGGGTACACAAATGCTTTTATGCATTGCGATGGACAGTTGACAAGAGGTCTCCCGTCGCCGTGGCCACTACCATCGAGGTGACTTGTAACATCCGTGCGGAAGGTCCGGGCCGCCAAAAAGCGCGCTAGTATGAGTACCTTCTTGCCAAGACGCGCGTATACAGCTGAAGCCTTATTGATGCGTCGCGCAGTTCTCGCGCCCCGTCTCATCGAAAGGCATTGCCCGTGTCGAAGAAGAAGCCTCCTGAGGCAACAGCACCGAGCCACTGCTCTCTGAACTCGGCACCATGGCCGACACTACGATGAGCCAAGGCACGACTCCTGTTCCCTCGACCGAGGGCGGCGCCCAGAGCGTGTCGGAGGCCGAGCTCGATGCCATGCAGAGCATCCTCGACTTCATCTACGACTACAGAACACCTGAGTATGTGCATAGTGTTCGAACCACCTCCGCGACCCCTAACTAACTTGTGCGTCAGCGGCCATGACCCGTCCAAGGTCTTCCAGAGAATGGTCAACAAGCGTCTCCTCCCGGTCTACTACGATATCATCCAGGAGCCCATGGCAATGAGCACGATAAAGAGCAAGATCAACAACAAGAACTACCGGGGCTTCGCTGAGTACGTGCGCGACTGGGCCCTCATTATTCACAACGCACAACTCTTCAATCGACCCGATGCAGGTGCCTACCAAGACGCCTTGGTCCTTCGCGACGTCGTCGGTGCCGAACTCAAGAAGCTTGTCGACCTCAAGGTCATCTCTGAAGAAATCTCACAATTTCCATACCTCGGTGAAATTCCTCCTCCCGACGACTTTCCTCTCGAAGAGGAAGACGACGAGGACGACGAGGAAGATGAGGAGGATGATGAGATTGACGCCGAAGACTCAGACGACGACGGCGGCAAGCGCAAGAAGAAACGCGGTCGTCCTTCAAAGCGTGACCGTGACATGGACAGAGACAACGACCCGGACACTCGCAAGAAGCGCGGCAGACCACCAAAGGTGCTCACACCAATCGAAGCCCGCATCCAGGCTGTCCTCAAGGGCATCAGAAAGCCCAAAGGTCCTGGCGGACTCAAAATCGCATCATTCGAACGTCTTCCCGACAAGGCTGTTATGCCCGAGTACTACACGGAGATTCTCAATCCCATGGCCTTCGACATGCTTAAGCGCAAGCTGAAGAGAAAGAAGTACCAGTCGCTCGAGCAGTTTATGAGAGACGTGGATCTCATGTTCGAAAACGCGAAGAAATACAACGAGGATGAGAGCCAGATTTACAAGGACGCTGTTGAATTACAAGCTGAGGCGCACCGTCTAGCCAACGAGGAGCGCAACAAGCCCGACACGGACTATGTCATGGACGAAGGAAGGATTCCCCTGCCTACTGGTATCCTGTACAATGGCGAGCTGTACAAGGTTGGCGACTGGGTGCACGTCCAGAACGCGAACGACTTGACGAAACCCATCCCCTGCCAGATCTACCGCACCTGGCAAGACCCGCAAGGCGGCCAGTGGGTCAACGTCTGCTGGTACTACCGTCCCGAGCAAACAGTGCACCGCTTCGACAAGCACTTCTTGGAGAACGAGGTTGTCAAGACGGGCCAGTACAGAGACCATCGCGTCGACGAAATTGTCGGCAGATGTTTCATCATGTTCACGACACGCTACTACAAGGGCCGTCCTCGCCGTCTGCCCGCCGACATGGACATCTACGTCTGTGAGGCTCGTTACAACGAGGAGAAGCTCACCTTCAACAAGATCAAGACTTGGGCCAGCTGCCTGCCAGACGAAGTGCGCGACAAGGACTACGAGATGGATCTCTTCGACATGCCCCGCAAGATGAAGAAGATGCCCAGCCCGATTGCATACCTCCTGAAGGACAGCGACAAGGAGACAGACGATCTGCCCAAGCCCGAGTGGGGAGCTGAGAACGCGCCCCCTAAAATCGGCGCCGTCCACAGACGCCCGCGCGACGCCAGAGACTCTCCTCCGCCTGAGCCGACTCCCTCACCTCCACCTCAACCTCTCGTCGCGCCTCCCCAAGCCCGCCAATCATCACACATGTCTCCGTCCATGCCGGCACCTGCCATGCAAGCCTACTCGCCCATGCAGACTCAGATGACTCCCATGCAGCCGACTCCTGCGCCTACTCGTCCTATGCAACCGCTGCCTCGTAGCTCGCACACTCCCGCTCCCGCTCAGCACTACATGCAGCAGCAATCTGCTTCACCCGCTCCCATGCCTAGCTTGCACCGCGCCGCCTCAACCCAGCCTGGTCAATTCGCTCCCGCCACCCCTCAGCCAATGACCGGTCTTCCTATGCCTCGCACCTCCAGCTTCCAGCAGTCGGCATCTACCATCCCACCCGCTCCCACCACCGGCCGCTCATCCTACCGCGACCCCGCTCCTATCGAGGTCTGGACTCTACCTGATGCTGCCAACGCCAGCATTCCACCCGAGATCCGCAACATGTACCAGACTGACGACCAAGGTCGCGTCCTCTTCTTCGCCAATCCTCCCGTCGTCCTCGCCGACGAGCCCAACGACCCCAACAAGAACCTCGGTCATAGTCTCGCCTACCTCGCCGAAAAATCCCGCCGCTCCGCCAAAACCCAGGACATTGTCGCCAGACGCAAGGCCTACGAACAAGGCAAGCTCGAGCTAGCAGCCAAGAAGAAGCGCCATCGCGAACATGACGAGGAGATGAGACAGGGCGACTACGAGACCCAGGTCAACAGAGCTCTCAATATGTTCAACCAACACCTTGCCCGCAACACTGCGTCGGAGTTAAAGGCCATGTACGGCGAAGAGGGCTGGGAGGAAGGCATGGAAGCCATGCTCTCCAACGTCGAGCAGCAACAAAAGCTCGCCGCTCAACGCAAGGTTCTCATGGAGAAGAATGCAGCCCAACGCGCTTCCGAACAGGTCTCTCTCAAGTCCAACGGTGTCATGTTCGACATCGTCGGGGATGATGGTCCCTCCTACTAAGCAAGCTTTGCTGTCTCAAGCCCACACCGCCATCTCCTTCGACAGCTTTGAGGCAAATTGACGGAAGAAGAGAAGATCGAGCATGGAATGGGCGTTTGTTTTTTCTGCATTGTGGGCTTTCTTTTTCCCTTTGGCGCTCGCGGTTTACTGTTTTGATTGCTTACCTGATGATACCCCTCCACTGCCCGAGGAAATGCAACGAAGACGAAAGAAGAGAAAGAAAAAGGAAAGGAACGGCAGACTGTCCCTTTTCAACGTATAAAGGTAGCTGGATTCGTGGTTTACGGATCGTGAGAAAATGATACACGATTGATTCAAATGAGATATCTTCTCTGTACTGTGTCGTGGATACCATTGGATGTCTGGTGAAGTGTTGTCAGATCTTCTGATACTGAGTGATGCAGTATGTCGTCGTGCTTTTCTCATGCAGGTGGTCAGTCAGCTATGACGGTGCAATGAAGACGGAAGAGGAGAATGCAAACATACGCAATGCTACAGCAACTATGGTGATAGAATGAGCACCATGATCTTCACAATGCATATACGAAGAGTGATATCTCTACACACTACTCATATGCACAATTACCACGTGTGAGACTCAAGGCCATGGCATCGGGTCAGCCGGTGGTTGAGCAAAGTAACACAACATCGGACGTTTTGCAATCAAGAGCCTCATTCCGTCAAAACTCTGGCTCGGTTGTATCATGCGATCCACGCTTTGAATCTTCCTATACAAAACAAGTATCTACTACTACATACAGAAAGTCCCCTGCTCTGCCATGCAGACGGAGCTTGGCGATCAAAAGTGGCCGATGGGAATGAGGCTCTGTCTCTGCATCTATGACTATGGCTTCCGTCGTGATATCACGACGAAATACACAGCGATACCGACACCGATGGCATCGAGACCGAGGGCAAGACACCAAGCTCCTCGGATCCCCCACAAGGGCCCGTGTTTCTGGCTCACGTATCGCTCAACGGTACCTGCGATACCTAAGCCGATACTGATAGAGTAGTTGACCACAGTGGACACCAAGCTAGCAGAGATGCCTTGATGTTCCTTGGCCATGGCGTTGCTGAGCAGAATGGTGCCGGATGGGAAGCTCCAGTTCATGCCGATGGGCATGACGACGACACTCCAGAAGGTGAGGACCCAGTATGTTTGGTGTACGGGCACGAAGGCGAGGAACAAGGAGCCGATGAAGAAGCCGAGCATAGCGCACAGCATGAGATACGATGTCTTGAACTTTCGCGCTAGCCAGCCGGCGGACATGGCGAAGCCGACGCCGGTGATGGCGACTGGAGAGATCTGGGCAGCGGCAGCAATGGCACTGGATCCACGGAATCGCTGCACAAATTGGAAGAGGTAGAAGAGCCAGATACCGTGGCTGCTCCAACCAGCAGCGATGCATGAGAGCGCCAGAACAGCCTCTTTGCTGAGACCACGAACAGGCACCAGGGCTTGCTTTGCATGGTTCATCTCGAGGTAAACGAAGGCAATCAGTAGCATCACCCCAATGCCCAACGTAAACGGGATGTAGGTCTTGTTCCATCCTACCACAGGAGCTTGGTTGAGTGCGAAGTTGAACAAGACAAGCCCAGAAACGCCAGTGCAAGCGCCTGCAAAGTCGAAGGTTGAGTTGTTCACTGCTCGCGGAACCGGAGCTGGTATGACCATGAAGGACAACACCGCCATGCAGACACAGATTATGGCAAGCACCCAGAATGACCAAGGCCACCCTTCCTACGTCAGCTTGCATTTGCCAAATAAGATTGAGAGCAAGAACTTACATGCAAACTGCGACAATAGAGCAGAAAAGATTGCTCCGAATACGAAACCAGTGGGACCGCAGGCACCGAACGCCGAGAAGACCATATTGCGCTTCAGCCCCATAGGAAATGTGGTACCTACGAGCGCCATGGCATTGGGCACCAGAATCGCGGGTCCGATCCCCTGAAAGCCGCGTGTGACGCTGAGCATGATAGATCCATTCGTCTTTGGAGCATAGCTGAAGCCAACGATGATTGACGTCAAGGCATACCATATCCAGCCTATGATGAAAACACGTTTGTGCCCGTACATATCTCCTAAACGACCTGAATCGAGTTAGTCTCTCGTTGGGAACACAGATCGAGTAGAAAGCCTCACCAGCGGGCAGGATGAATGCACCAACTGTCAAACTGAATGCTGCAGTGTACCAACTCATCGTTCCAAGATCGGTTGGAGCAACACCCAAGTCCTTGCCAATGATGAAAAGCGGTGCAACAGATTGGCCAAGTCCGCCAAGTGTGAGAAATTGAGCCATACAGACGGTTATGATGAAGAGAAGCTCGCGAGCATTTATCTTGGCCTTTGGCGGCGTTTCTGGTACTGGGGGGACCGCTGTCGGATCGCTCTTCTCAACGCGAGGTTCGCGATTGATGGGTGTGATGGCTTCATCTGAGGCACGGCCGTGAAGTGTCGGCACCTTGCTCGTGCTCACCGAGAGATTGTTGAGATCAAAGTCGAAAGAAACGGCCTGGCCGATGGGCGTTTGAGGATAATTAGAGACCTGCCCGAGAGTCGTTTCGGATCGAGCAAAATCCGTCCTCGAGGGATGGTTCTCGTCGAAAGAGAACGCCTCGCTAGAAGAGTCTGCGAGCATCCGCTCTGCATGGTGCAGATTGTCCACCATGTGTCGCGGGTAAGGCGAGTGTCCACCCATGGTGCGTGTCTTGGATATATTGGTACTTCCTTGGTAGTATACCTGTTGGATGTCTCGTTTCTGCGAAACGGCGCAAGTGCAGCCAAGTCCAGTGATATATAAGATATACTCGGCGGCTTTACAGCTGTAGACGGCCTTCAAATGCGTGTCGCTTGGTCGGTAATTGAACACGACGATTGGTACGGCTGCGACCTACTATTTCCATATTTTCTTTGTCGTAGCCTCGCAGTCGGCAAGAATTCAAGTCAGCGTTATGGTGGGCTAAGAAACCGCGATAATTCAGGTCAGTCCAGGGTACCAAGCTAAGGTGCATATTGGAGGTACGACGAAGGTACGCAGTGAGCTTAGGCTACTCGGCCTTCTCTTGTTTTGGATGGTCAGCAAATAAGGTGTTCCAGTGAGTCGAAAAAAGAAACAAGCAAGGCTCATAAGCTGTTGGGTCACAATGTCGAAAGTTGGTCGGAGCATCGTGATCCTGCTGGCTGCGGGCTCCGAGAGATGGTACCTACTGTACATGCGACTGTGTCGCACAGCTTACCCGTTCCTTAGTGATCGTGGTGTATATTCTTAGCAACCACAAGGATGAGAGCGATTTCCAGCGCTGGTCTTACTGGATGTAAGAAGGTACCCATAGATGACGATGGTATCACTGTGTGGTAGAGCTGACGAGGTGCCTCGACACCAGAGACTAGGGGTTACCTTTCTGGAAACAGGTCTCGCGTGATTAGCTAATTCGTATGATGCATTGTTGTGTGTAGACAGTGGCTGTGAGTCCCAAGGATAGGTAGTGTGCAAGACAAAAGCTTGTCCACGAAGCCAAGTGCAAGGTACTCGAGTAGAGGTCGTGAAGTCTAGGAAGGTAGTAAGGAAGGCAGGGCCTGCCGTGCTCGGCGCTCGGCCTTGCAAAACTCCGATCTCGGGCCATTCTTTCGTCCCCCATCGCTCCTGCTTCCCATCGTGACTCCCCCTCAAGATCCCAGGCAACAATGAGCGCAATTTACTCTGCATCTGTATTGCAACATAACCATGGTTGCAGTATATTCTACAAGTTTCCTAGCAAACACAACCATGCTTCGGCTAACGCCAGCATAAATCGGTCAATGTTCAGATATCGTGACTCTCTATTTCTCTCTTGCATTTCCGAACTCGTCTGAATTCTTGTATATTCACCACCAGAATTTCGGCACTGGTGTTCAGAGGAACTTCTGACTCCGAATAAGCCAGCAATTGTAGTGAGTAGGCCATCGAGTAGTCAGACTTCCTTTTCCGGCCTTTCAGATATCGTCTGTGGGATTTCGTCAGTGCAGCGCAGCGTGCAGGCTTACTGCACTTCCAACTATACCTCGTGGCCTCGAGATCTCTGCACAGACCTTAGTACAACATCACTTCGCCCGAAGCCATGCGCGTGGAAGATCGACATGGTCGGTACTAAGCCTCGCTCTACACTGGTCTTGATCCGTTTGTCTAACACGAGCTAGCACTCGTTGCCTCAATTGGTACAGGGATCTGGTACTTTCTTGAATGCCATCTAGTCAGACGAGAATAGCCTCCTGTCAAGTTTACTTTTTGCGTACTAAAACTTTACGGCTCTGCGGCACCAGAGATGACAAGCCTGTTTATGGATCATCACAACACTGTCAACTAATGATTTCATTGTGCCTAGCGAGATTGTTCAGGACCGCCAACCAACCTTCCAAGCCTCGACCGGTATGTAGTATATACTGCGGGCTGTCCTCACCTTCATTCACTCCTTTGCTACAAGCTTAGCAGATGTGCAACCTCTCATTAAAAGGCAGCGAGCACTCTTGAGTCTCAACCCACTTAGTGTGTCTCGGCGTCTAACTCTTGTTTTCTTGTTCTACGTTGGCAATGTTTTCTACCAGTTCATTGGCTTTTGGCCTCGTTTGGGTCACTCTGACACGACACGTTGCGGCTGGAGGCTCAAATCCAAACCTTCCATGGGGACACCCATATGGAGGTTATCCCAACGGCTATTCAGACAACTCCAAGTCTTCATCTACCTGGCAGGACTCAAAGTCTTCGACCCCATCCTCCAGCGCGATTGCTGCTTCCTCCGTCAACTCAATCGACTCTGATTTTTCTACTTGGCAAAGCACATCAGCATCATCCTGGTCCACTGCAGTAACCGTTGCTACTACCAGCTCTTCTATCGAGTCTTCATCTACATGCACCACTATCATTTCTTCGGCACCTTATGCCTCAGCAAACTCAAGTAGCACCCATCACTCCGCATCTCCCTCAAAGACAGGGTCCGCACTCACCAGCCATGCTTCATCAACAACCGGCAACACCGTAACCTACGATTGGAACATTGAATGGGTGGTTGCCGCACCGGACGGAATTGCTCGTCCTGTCATTGGCGTCAACGGTCAATGGTACGTTCATACATGATTCTATTGTTCGCTCGTTACTAAACGGTTATAGGCCTTGTCCTTCTATTGACGTGATGCAAGGAGACCGCGTGGTCATCAACGTCTACAACGGTCTCGGTAACCAGAGTACAGCACTCCACTGGCATGGAATCCACCAACGAGGTACGAACCATATGGATGGCGCTACTGGCACGACTCAATGCCCAATTGCCCCCGGTCAGAGCTTCCAATACGAGTGGATTGTAAGTTCGGTACCTAGCCATTACTGGCAACCAAAACTGATTTAGTTCCAACAGGCCGACCAAGCAGGGACATACTGGTGGCACTCACATAACATGGGGCAGTATCCTGATGGACTTTGGGGCCCTCTCATCGTACGAGATCCTAACCCGCCCTTCGAATACGATGAAGAACTCATTATTACCCTTTCGGATTGGTACAACGACCAAATGCCCTATCTCATTCACCAATACCAATCCGCAGAGGGGTCAGCAGAAGATGGTACTCCCGACCCGTCGGGCGGAGCTTTGATCAATTCCGGAAAGAACGTCTCAATCCATATCAAGCCTAGCACAACATACTTGGTCCGAATTATCTGCCCTGCTGCTTTCACTGGCCACGGCTGGGTCTTTGATGGGCACAATCAAACGACAGTTGAGGTAGACGGAGTGTATACGGTACCTGTAGTGGCCACAGCCGGGGGCAAGAATGTCCGTGTTGCTCCCGGACAGAGGCAATCATTCCTCATGAGAACGAAAGATGATACAAGCAAGAACTATGCGATTCTTGACTTCCAGGATCCAAACATGCTGTTCATCAACAAAGGCCTCACACCGGACCCAGTCTATCCTCTCAACGCTACCGCCTGGCTGGTGTACAATACAAGCGCGGATTATCCAGCACCACCCGTTCTCTACAATCTGGGAAACGACGACTTCTTCGACGATCTCAACTATGTTCCGCTGGACAGGGAACCCCTTCTCGAACCTGTCGACCGACAGTTGGTCATCGACATGTCTATGGAAAATATCACTGGTATCTCAAGGTTCGTATCTCGTAACATTTCCCGTGCTCAACCCAAGACTAACAACAACACCAGATATATCCTGAACGGCCACACATATCTCGGTGCCAAAGTGCCTACTTTGTACTCATCGCTGACTGTAGATGAGACTGACGTTTCAGACCCGACGGTCTACGGCAATGTCAATCCATATGTTCTCAAGTATGGTGAGGTGGTGGAAGTTGTCATGAATAACTTGCACACGAACCTGGTACGTTTTGCACAAGATGTGCCGTTGTAGCGCATGCTGACAGGACCATCCATAGCACCCAATGCATATCCACGGCCATCAGTTCCAGATCATTGAGAGATCGGATCCAAAGGGTGGTTCATGGAGTGGGTCATACTCTAACTTGCCAGCTACCCCTATCAGAAGAGATACAGTCATGGTTCAAAATGAAGGCTATGCAGTCGTGAGATTCAGAGCCGACAACCCAGGTCAGTATCTACCCGCGAACCAAGGTGTACGAAACTACTGACACGTCAAAGGTATATGGTTGTTCCACTGCCACATCGAGCTCCATGTCGAGGCGGGATTCTCAGCTGCTTTCATCGAGGCTCCAGAGATGCTCGCTGCCAGCGACTTTACTCTTCCAGAAGACCACATCAATGCCTGTAAAACATATCCCATGGATTATGTAGGCAATGCTGCTGGCAATGACTACAACGCTTTAAACTTGACCGGTGCTCCCGACACGGTGCCAAAAGATTCTTGGGGGTGAGTTCCTCCAACCTTGACTAGATAGAATTGAGAGGCTAACATCTCACCAGTGCCATCTACCCGCCTGTTGGAGAAGCGGCACACAGTTAGATCTTTGTTTGTTAGAGTCGTAAATCCAGTGGCTGGGCGGATGTATATGGGTGATGCCGTTTTGCAATTTCTGTCTGGACTTGAAGCGAGGGTTTGTGTCCTTTCTCGTGTCGTTCTCAGCGAGTTTTAAACTGCACGGATTGTACATAAGTACTTCTTAATAACACTGCCGTTGCGGTCCTTTCTTAGTACAAAGTGGTCTTAGAGAAGCCCGTTTCCAGACAACCTCATCATTCATTGCAATCAGCAGCCCCATGACGAAGACTTCATCAAACAGCCAACTTTCATCCACACTTTATTGTGTTCAAGAAAATAAACAAAGAGGTTGGCAGGTGGTTGGCAAAAACTCTTCGGAGATTGGTGAAACGCGACTGCCGATGACGTACTGTACACATTTGCGTCGCGACCGCGGCAAGCATGCGACTCTCATGCCAATGATTCTCGCGGGTCGATTCGATATTTCATAGTGTCGACGACTCAGAGTGAGGTGTTGAAGCATGTCACAGTGTCAACAGCGTCCGCCCAAATCGCAACTGGAGAACAGGCAGGCGGCCAACAGGACCACGGCGGTTATTGTTCCGGCTCTGTTGATCGGGATTGTCGGTTATGCCACTTGGATCGTGGTCGTCCTTATAGGTGGTGAGTCTTTTATTGTGATAACCTTTCTATGTTTATGAGAATGCCATAGACGATGTGTGGCCAAATTGTTTGAGAAGGAGCAAACACCTTGTTCGAGACTGGCCTGCTTTGGGACGACTCTGGAAAATAGTAGCTAACTTCTCTCAGCCAACTATCTCATCAAGCATCAAAGTCGCAATGGCGCGGGCATCGCTGTCATTGTCCTGTATTTTATCTTTCTGTTTCCCATGGCCGCAAGCTATCTGCGACTGCTCATGACCGTACCGCATCCTGGATATGTGGAAAGGGGAAGCCCTACTGCTGCAACTCCAGTCAAACCACCTCAAGAAACACCACCTCAGCATAATGTCCAGGCTTCATGTACGAGTACCAAAGTTCAGGACGGTACGAACCAAAATAACACGAAACCACGACCTGCCGCTCCTCAAGAACCGTCTGTCACTGTGTTGGACACCAAGGCCATTCTTAGTGGGGAGTTGCCACCACCGCCTGGAACAGAATGTTTCTACTCAAAAGAAGTCTTTGCTTGCGACCAAAACGGACTTCCTATCTGGTGCGGAACCTGCAATAACTGGAAGCCGGATCGCTCTCATCATGGCAGTGATTTGGGTAGATGCGTCTTGAAGATGGACCACTTCTGTCCGGTAATGATGTGTCCACATCCTTTCTGGGAGAGCCTGTGCTGATTCATATTGTTGTTTTAGTGGGTAGGAGGAGTCGTTGGAGAGCAAAACTTCAACTTCTTTATTCAATTCTGCTCGTATGCTGGAGTTTATGCTCTGTTTGTCATGATAGTCATGGCTGTGTTCATTTCTGAAGCCAGGAGTAGAGTAAGTGCTTCTTTGATCCCATCACAATTGCTCCACTTCCGAATCATGAATGCTGACTTCGTGGCAGGGCAACCCGCTGGGCGGCAACTGGATCGCTGGAATAACCCTCGGAGCCGTCTTCACCCTATTCGCAGGCGGCATGTCGCTGACCAGCATCTCACTTGGGTTGAAGAACCTGACTACCATTGACAACATCGGCCACCAAAGACGAGTCATGCACATCGCAGTACTCATCGATCCCATGCAACAACGCCAACCTAGACCCATGTCGACAGATCACGTTAAGCACACTCATGGATCGGAAGAGAGCGAGGATCCATGGCAAGGAACAATCACATATCCACTGAATGCCATGCCGGATGCATCTTCAGAGACCACTTTACCACCTCGTACATCATCTGCGTCTAGGACGTTTGCTATATTGCGCACACATCCTGGCATGAATCCTTGGAACCTCGGAGCATTCCGCAACTTCGAATCTATCATGGGTGATCACTGGTACGACTGGTTTTTGCCGCTACGACACTCGCCTTGTTGTAATCATGATCGCGGAGACAGCATGTACGAGCTCGGCCCGGACGTTGAACGACTGAAGGTAGATGCGGGCTTATCGTCCTCGAGTAAGAGCCGTGCATCAAGCAGACGAAGACATAGAAAACATAGACATCACAGGGAAGATTCCGAAGATATGGATATCATGGGGTCGACGCTTGCGAATGTCAATGGCGTTACAGGGAGAGAGCGAAACAGTTTCGAGTCCGTGTAGTCAATCGTCTCGTGCTTGGCTGCATGCTCTCACACACTTACATAATTTGATACCCCTTCTTAGCAACAACATGTATAATATGATTCACCATATCAACAAAGTTAAGAGTACCAGAGAGAGTGCAGAACCATAATATCAATAACTTCTACAGTCCCCATACAAGAAGAAACGCAATTCTCAAGGCTCAAGCCATCTTCGAAAGTCTAAGCTCCCACTCCTCAGCCCTTCTCAATTCCTCCTGCGCAAGCCGAATAGCCTTCTCCATCGACGCTCTCAACCTCCCCTCAATCTCCTCAACCGGCGTCTCACAATTCATCAACCCAATAAACTTGCCCAGCTTACGTCTCTTAATAGCAACTCTTTCCCCATCAGTCAAGCCCTCCGCAAACTGCACACTAGGCCTCCTCTTCCCACCCACCACCACCACTTTATGCTCCTCCTCCTCAGCCGCCAACAATTCCTCCCACCACGCATTACTCTCCACCTGACTCGCACGACGTAAATGTTGCGCCACGCTAGCTCTACGCTTTGCCAACATCTCTTTATCCCAATTCATGCATGCTGGGTATTGGTGTGTCCAGATGCTCGGGGTGGATTGGTGGTAGTAGGATGCTATGCCGTCGAGTTGTTCTTCGGTGAGGAGGTGGTAGTCGAGCAGTGTTTTTGGGAAGTCTGGGTGGGGGGAGCCGGTTGGGAGGGGCACTAAGGGGGCGAGGCGGAGTTTTAGGTGGGCTATGCGGGCGGCGAGTTGGTCTTTTTTGGTTGCCATTGTGGGTGGTTGGTAGAGTGGATTGGTGTTGGTGGTTGCTGTGAGATGGAAGGATTTGTGATCAATGTCTTTGTTATTTTTTTCGACCAGCGAAAAGTGTCGGAGAGTTGAGATTGAAGTGTGCAACACAGATGGCAGAGGAGGAAAAGGTGGCAATGGATTGTGAACAAGGTCGAGGACGAATGGGTACTTATCGTCGAGAATTACCGCGTCTTTGAAGACATGTCTTTTGTTTCTCGAGATGCGGAGAGACAGTAAGCCACCAAGACACGCTTCTGTGTGAGACAAAGGATGAGCTGAGATTAGACATGCGTCGCTGCTTTGTCTGAGATTTGAGATGCTGTGTCAGGCGCAGTATCTTTCATTGTCTCTAGGCGTCGAGACTCGACGAGAAAGCGGTTTGCTTATGGGTCGATCTCAATCTGCTATTACAACATTGAGTTGATAGACGATGAGTTCAGAGACGCGCTTGTGATGGTCGAGGAAGGCGCAATCCGAACAATTTTACCCCTGACTTGGAAGAGAAGTATTGACAAGTTCACTAGGCGCAAACATAGGATCATATGGAATGAGGGCTGCCATTAATCCATCGAACCGGTGGTATGGTGCAGTTGGCAGCTCGTGACTCCCCAAAGCAACCCTTGGCCACTGGTTCGATCCTCCGCGTGGCTAGAGGTCCCAGTAATCCTCATCCGACAACAATTACGACGAAAGCTTGCTTTCTCTCCCCTCCAGAGCTAGTCACCTGGGGGGTTTCTGTTTTGTCAAATTCTGAGAAGAATTACTTGTGTTCTCTTTTCGTACATGGCGGGTTGGGTTGGTGTTTACGCGCTTGTTCGTGAGGTGGTAAAAAGGGATGAGACCAAGTATACATTGTAGTCACAACACAAAAGCACACCACAAGGTTCATGACCAATCCCATTGATGATCATAGAATAGGTAGTAGTTCATTTATGTATACATCGCAAAGTAATCATGACTTTTTTTGCGCAAAATGGCTCGATCCCTAAAGCCATTCCCCATCTTTGCGCGGCGCCGGAGGGAAACCTCCGACCGGAACCATTTTTATAGTCTTCTTGAGATCTTCCCTCCGTTTATTGGCCTTGCTCTCACGTTTGTGGTCTTTGATGCCGGCGAAAATACTCGGTCTCTTCTTTGCCGCATGAGATGGTCCAGAAGACATTGCTTGCAATCTCGCCGGATCATATGCTTCGGCGGCTGATATCGGTTGCGGTGCACTGATTACAGGGAAAGATGGCCTCCGCTGCTTGAACTTGTCGACTAAATTTGACAAGCCTTCAATCGATGTGACAGAAGATCTACGAGCATGGTTGCCGAATACTGAAGTCACGGCTGCGAGCCCCTTATGCGTGAAAGACTTCAGGGGCGCTCGTGAGCCTTTTGAAGAGGCACCGCTGCTGATCCCGCTGTCATAAGACGCCTTCCTTCGATTGAAGGACGACTCTTGGGATGATTTGGTAGTCTCTTCTGACGGATGTGAGAAGATAGTGGGAAGTGTGTTCATTTCGAATGTGACTTTGCTGCCAGGCTTGTTGTACTCCTTAGCCAGCTGCTCTGCATCCGCATTTATACGCTGATAGAATGCCGAGAAACTGTCCGAGTCGTCAATGCTCTGTTTCCTTTGTACAGGCGACGGCAACTCCTTTGCCTTTGTTGCTTCCGGAACGTGTCCTGGAAACGGTGGTGAAATTGGTATGCTACCACTTGTGCTGCGTCGACGGCTCAAGCCTGTAGATTCTGGTGTGAGAGAAAGTTTGTATGGAAAGTTGAGCGCGCGCTCCTTTGTCTTTGGACCGTTCCGCTGTTCGCGGGTAACGACTCGTGAGTCGGGCGATTTGCTTGCAGCGGGTGAGAAGCCCTTGTTGCGTGCTTTCTGGTACTCTAGTTCACGCTGTCTAGAGATTTGCCTTGGGTTGAAGAACAGCGGTTGTGGCACAAGCTTCATGTTTTCTTTGATACTATTAGAAGAAGCGCTATGCTTGCGGAAACCAGGGTTCTTAGCATCCTGCTTGAACAGAGCATGGTATTCGTTCGCCAGTCGCTTGGCTTCGTCGATCAGACTTTCATTTGAGGATGGATCCATACTCCTGTCTTCATATGCGTCAATTACATTGCTCTCATAATCATTGAGTCTTCTGCTGGAGCCTGTTCTCGACTGTTGACGAGGTCTACCACGCGGCTCGTAGTCTTGTGCAGGGGGGTCCATCGGACGAGTGACTGAGATCTCAATCGGGCTCTTCAGCTGTTTCTCAACAGGTGACATTGACATCCGTTTTTCCTTGTTCATCCCGAAATACCCATCAGACAGTTTCGACCCGTTTTTATCAGAATACGTGTTTGCTGGCAATGGCCAATCATAAGGAGTTGGTGACGGAAGCGTTGGACTAGGATTGACTGGAGACAAGACGGGACTTCTGAGAGGTACAATACCCTCGAAAGATCTGCTAACTCGCATGATGTGTTGTTGGTTTGCCTTCTTGGTGGCAGCCAATGCTCTCATCTCTTCAGGCAGAAGTTGTTGTACTCCCGGGGAACGTAGGGCAGCCTTCGCTTTGTCTAATGATACTGTTCTGATATGCTGAGTCGTTATGCGCAACATTTGCGGTGAGGGAGGCAAGAGCCTTTCACGTAAATGGGCCGGAGGTGGTGACGGTGTTGAGGTACGACTCGGACTCGGAGACGGACTGGTAATTAGTGGCGCGTACGGTCTCGGTGGGATCTCTAATTTCGGCGTATCTCCCAGTGTGAGCTCTGGAGTGCTCAAACTATACACTGACGGCTGTAGGAAGAAGGTTGGCATCAAATGTTCTTCGTCCCTCCAAGATTCCGGAGTCGGTGCATACTGCGAGACAGTGCGACTATAGATGCTTGAAGTGCGACGTGTAGATATTGGAGAAGAGTCGGCTGTCTCGATGATCGGAACTGGCGGAAGAGGTTTCTCTTGATTCGGCGTTGGGGTCTTCCTCACGAATGATTGGAATGATGGGACTGAGTTTTCGAACCCATTCAAATTGAGGGATGACGATGAATTGTTTAAAGCTGCTGGTGGCCGCCGCAGCTGTGCTTTGGGATGTTCCATCTCAGCAAAAGAGCTCCTCGAGCTATGTGAGCCACCTGAGAATAGAGATGTCGGTTTCGAGTCGATGAACATGGTTTAGGTTCTGCGCTACAAGGTGAGACTGAACAGTGGCAGGCAATTGCCTGAGACACAAAGAAGTACATATTGCAGGTTGATGTGAGGTTCGAAGAGGTCGCGAGACAATGATGATGCATGAAACAAAGAAGAATCATGGAAGTTCCTGCTTCCGGGTTGAACGATGGGAAAATAGTTCTTTGATCTTGAAGCCGGAAATCAAACCTCGGCAAGAGCAGTCCACATTCCTCATGCGACCTCAGCCAAAAGAGAATCTCTACTGCCAAATGCGACCGCCATTGCCTCAATCAGAGATCATGTTTTACACATTAAAGGCTCCGTTCCATACGACAACGGCAGATATGCTTTCGCTACTCGGAGTGTGGTGACAAAAGCCATTCACCTTGTGTGTAGTTTGTGACTGGGAAGTTCGTGCCTTCTATTCCATCCGTCGTCCCTTCTATCATCGGATCATGAAATCGTATTTTTGGTCATTATTCGTGAGGTGCTTGGTTGTGCGACGTTACTTTGCATGATCGACAACCTGCTGGTAAAGGTCCTCTGGCAATTTTCGAACAAAGCTGATAGCCATGGGCTTTATCTTTGATGCCTGTAGAGGTGGGAACGACCTTAGGATCTGGTTCGGGCTGCGTGTTTGATGGTCAACAGGATGCATGCAACATGACAGACAAGCGACATACCTTGGACTGCTCAGGAGCTGGTCGCGAATCAGAACTAACTGAGCGACAATGCATAGCAGGTTCAAGTGTGGCCCGTAAGCGAAGCAGAAATCCCACAGTTGGAGAACTTCTGGCAGAGGAGGGGTACAGGCACACATGGTCAGTACACTGGCAAAGGCATAGATTCTGGCCTCCATGCCTTTGCTCGCCAGGTAGGCAGAGAGCTTGGGGTCCACAATGGCCAGGATTCTGTCTACTAGAGCTAGGCCTCTGTGAACACCATCCATTGAGCCCCTCACATAGCCTGGGCACTCGACTGTGATGAAGCGGTCGAAGGCAGCAAAGGCTTCAGCCTCGCTACGAGCGGCGTACAGGAAAGGAGCGGCCATGACATTCATGCCCTGAACATAACCAACTTGGGAGGCGCCATCGCCAGCCTCGGAGCCTTCGGTGCCAGTGATGGAGGCGCGGTGTCTGGAGGTGGGCGAAGTGACTTGATCCGACTGGCCGTCGATGCTCCTGGGTACAGACAAAGTGGGTGGTGACATCCATCCGTTCACGCGGGCCTCGTGGGCATCGTGCAGCTTCCAGGCAATGGCGTTCAAAACCCGGGTAAGACTATTCTCGGTGACGCGACGACGGAACAAAGGATCTGTTGTCAAGGTGCGGAATGTGTCGTTGCGGATCTTGGTGTAGGCGGGTGAAGCACCCTGTCGCACGAGATCGAGGTAGGCATCGGTGCGGAGAGGAGGTACGTTGAGCAGGATGAGCCAGACGTACATGCGCAACTCGGACTAGATGGCAGTTGTTTGTTAGACGTTGCTGTGTTGGCTTGTTTACATCGAGACCCCTCACCATGCCATCGCTGTTGCTGGCTATACCATCTGACAAGACTGTGTAGCGCAACTGTTCCAAGCCTGCCTCTGCGTCACCCCCGGGCCCCTTGAGAACGAGTGTTTCAAGACTCGTCATGTTGATACGAATGAGAAGTCGTCGTCGCCGTCTCTCCAATCCACGAATGTTGCTGCGCCTGTACCGCGCCAACGCGCATCGCGATTAAGCTTTCCAGAGCGGCTGCTCCCGCTCTTCTGCTTTGGTAATTCACGTGACGTAGCTTTGTCTTCCGAAACTGCCGGGGCAGGCACCGGAAGGCGTGGCGTTGGCTCCTTGTGCTTGCGTCTACCGAACTCTTTTCGACAGCATTATCGTCTGTCTCCGCGGTGCGCTCAAGCCTCTCCCTGTGGGGACATGGAGTGAGAGCCCACATCCTGACATACCACAAGACCGACCTGCTTCTCGAGACTTGTGGAAACGTGAAGAGGCTTGCTTTCGTCCAGGGCTTGGAGACAGTCTTCGCACCGTGTTACGCGTTGTCAATTTCAGGAGCACAAGAGAGCCACCAGCATGAATTTTTGCCCCCCTGGACCCAGTTTCCACGATAATTGTTCTTCGCTTGCGCCGCGGTCTGCTGGCCGGTGCGGCTCTTGAGTCCTGACGTTCGCCGAGGTCGTCAAGCATAACGACAATGCTTTGTCTACTGCTTCTGTCCATCACAGGGCCGTTTCTCAGCCTTGTACTTCCATGTGGTTGGCTTCTAGATTTTGCTTGTTGCAAGCCCCTGCGCCGTCTCACAGCAACATGTGGCAGTACTTGGGAGCTTTTCTCAAGGCTTGCCCTGTCTTTGCGGTGCTTGAGCGTGAGAAATATCGATCTTGTGGAATGTCGTCAAACCTCAACAAAGCACGCCATGACAGGCGTTTATGATTGGGTCTAAAATCAGCGGGGATCGGTACAAAAGCGAAACAACTAACCCCAAACTGGCATCACCTCAATCACATCATGCCCATGCACTCTGGGCGGCCCACTATGCCCATACGACGACGAAAGCTCGACGTCGACTCAAAGCTTGATGGCTGCCGGTTGAGATCTGGATCTCTATGACCTCGTCGTGTCTACCGCACTTCTGTCCCAAAATTGCCTTTTCTCAATCGCATCTCTGCACCTTTCCTTCTTTCTCGTGCAGCATCGCCCTTCCGGACTCCTTCGTTGTTTTCGTGATTCGCCAAACCCGTTCGGCTTACGACCGTTCACCCAGTTCTGGCCCGAGTGTTCACCAATCCTCGTTGAGTTCTTTTCCTTTGGCTTGCAGCCCTTGCCTCATCCAAATACGCCTCCCACACTCTTTGGAGAGGATCATTTCCAGACCCCGGATTGCTCATCCAAGCCCTCAATTGGATAATAAACGGCGATTCAGAAGCAAGCGAGGCGGCTGGTCTATAAACCCTCTTGTTGTCTCTTCATAATCCCCTCCACTGTTCATATTCCCATTCCATATCCATCAACCCGGACTTTGGTGTGTTGATCAACACTACCTACACACTCCTTCGATATGCCTTCCAAGGGGTCTCAACTTGGTCATGGCCTGGCCAAGGTCCTAGGTATCAAGCTTGATTACCGCCAGGAGATGGAAGCCGAGAAGATCACCAGAGGTGAATCAGTCTTCTCTGTTTCCAGCGCCGACACCTTCGTCGAAGCCGAACCTACTGTCTATGAATGGTTCAGCGAGATCACTCCGAGTCGTTCGGACATGATGAACTATACTCGCAACCTCTTCCCTTTCACCCGCTGGATCGGTCGTTACAACCTACAATGGCTTGCTGGAGATCTGGTCGCCGGTATTACTATTGGTGCTGTCGTCGTTCCTCAGGGTATGGCTTATGCCAAACTGGCTGAGCTTCCTGTCGAATATGGTCTCTACTCCTCCTTCATGGGCGTCTTGATCTACTGGTTCTTCGCTACTTCAAAGGATATTACCATTGGTGTAAGTCTCATCGTTCCCACTCTCAGTAATATCATGCTTACATTGCTATAGCCTGTCGCTGTCATGTCCACCATCGTCGGAAACGTCGTTCTTAAGGCTCAGAAAAGCAACCCTGAACTCGATGCTCACGTTATTGCATCTGCACTCGCCATTATTTGCGGTGCGATCGTCTGTTTCTTGGGTCTCGCTCGTCTCGGTTGGATCGTCGACTTCATCTCGCTCACTTCCATCTCGGCCTTCATGACTGGCTCTGCTATCAACATTTGCGTTGGTCAGATCCCTACCATGATGGGCATCACTGGTTTCTCGACCCGCGACTCGACATACCTTGTTGTCATTCATATTCTGCAACATCTTGGAAGATCGAAGCTCGACGCAGCAATGGGTCTTACTGCCCTTGTGTTCCTTTACGTCTTGCGTTTCGGCTTCCAGTACCTTGGAAACAAGTTCCCCAAGCATCGCAAGCTTTTGTTCTTCATGTCGACCCTCCGCACTGTCTTCATCATCCTTCTGTACACCATGATCAGTTGGTTGGTCAACCGCAACATCCCAAGAATCCACAAGAAGAACAGCTTGTCCAAGTTCAAGCTTCTGGGAACCGTTCCTCGTGGTTTCAAGCACGCTGCCGTGCCTACCATCACAACCGAAATCATCAAGGTGTTTGCCAGCGAGATCCCTGCCTCTGTCATTGTCTTGCTTATTGAGCACATTTCTATCGCCAAGTCCTTCGGCAGAGTCAACAACTATGCCATCGACCCTTCTCAGGAGCTTGTAGCCATTGGCGTCTCTAACCTTCTCGGTCCCTTCCTTGGTGGTTACCCTGTGACCGGTTCCTTCTCGCGTACCGCCATCAAATCCAAGGCTGGTGTGCGTACACCTTTCGCTGGTGTCATTACTGCCGTCATCGTCCTGCTGGCCATCTACGCCCTGCCAGCAGTCTTCTTCTACATTCCCAACTCAGTCCTGTCGGCTGTCATCATCCACGCTGTTGGTGATCTCATTACCCCTCCTAACACTGTCTACCAATTCTGGAAGATCTCACCCATCGAGGTCCTTATCTTCTTTGCTGGTGTGCTCGTCACCGTCTTCTCTTCCATTGAGAACGGTATCTACACCACAATCTGTGTGTCGATCGCCCTCCTCCTCTTCCGTGTTGTCAAGGCTCGTGGTCGCTTCCTCGGAAAGGTCCAAGTTCACTCTGTCATTGGAGACCATCTCCTCGAGGACAAGGATAAGCCTTCGAACGGTTACGGTCACGAAAAGGCCGACCGTAGCATCTTCTTGCCTCTTGAACACAACGACGGTTCAAACCCTATGATCGATGCAAAGTCTCCTTACCCTGGTATCTTCATCTACAGATTCTCAGAAGGCTACAACTACCCCAACGCCAACCACTATCTCGACTACATGGTGCAATCTATCTTCCAGCAGACTCGTCGCACTAACCCCAACGCATATGGTAGACCTGGTGACCGTCCCTGGAATGACCCTGGCCCGCGCCGTGGAAAGACTGTTGACGTTGACTACGATAAACCAACTCTCAAGGCTGTCATTCTCGATTTCTCTTCTGTCAACAACGTTGATGTCACATCAGTACAACATCTCATCGATGTCCGCAACCAACTTGATCGTTACAGTTCTCCTGAGAAGGTTCAATGGCACTTTGCTCACATCAACAACCGCTGGACTAGACGAGCTCTTGCATCTGCTGGTTTCGGTTACCCCACTGAAGACGCCGAGGAGTTCAAGCGCTGGAAGCCCATTTTCAGTGTCGCTGAGCTTGGTGGTACTTCGAGTGCTGCTGCCGATGCTGAGTATGCCATGAACCACGCCGAGCACAAGAAGCACCGTGATCTCGAGATCGGACGCTCTCAGAGCAGAGAGATTACCGGCGAGAGCAGCGAAACTTCCAGCGACATCAACCAGACTATTCACAACAGCAAGGCATATGGCGCGCAAACCAGCCAGAAGAAGATTGTTGTGCACGGCCTTAACAGACCCTTCTTCCACATCGATCTGACGAGTGCTCTGCAAAGCGCCATTGCCAACATTCACGACCCCTCAGCTACTGCCGATGTTGTCCAGGATGACGACAAACTCGCATGAGGATTAATATCTTCCTAATCTGCCTTCATGTTTTGTGCTTTTTTTGATATCATGATGAGCGATTTGTTTTTCGGATTGGGTCCAAGGAGGGAGAGGTTTTCAAAAAGCATTGGATTGTAGATACGTGCTTTAGATTTTGCATCCTACTGGCTTGTACTTTGTTTGTTGCATGATGTTTTTCATGATGTAGATGCGCCCCGGGTTATACTGTACATATTGCGCTCACTACCGACGTTTTTCACCACCTCAAAATCGTTCACACCTCTCCCATTCAGTGATGTGCTCTCTCGTGCTATGTGCTACAGGACGTCGTCATCAATGGTCAGCATCATCCTGTGTCGCGGTGCCATCTCTGGGGCCCCAGGTTGCTTATCTGGTGTCCCTGTCGCAGTTTCCTGCATCCAGATCGTACCTGACTATCTTTTTAACGCTTGCAGCTCACCTCGTGGCCTACTAGACATCTCTCAAGAATATCGTTGGAATTCGCATTCGACTCTTGCTTCCACACATTGCATAGCGACGAGGCACACATTCGAACTGCCGATATCGCCACCTCGTCAAAACACACGTCAAAGAATTTGTTAATAATCATGAGGCAGGCTGGCTGACTTTCACACCACTTTTGTCACGCAACCATTAAACAACACTTTTTGACACACGACTCAGGCGCCCATCGCGAATCGCGATCCTCCAATGCGTTTTTTTAAAGGCTCATTTTTCTCAACAAAGCAAAACCGTGCCGAGTGGACGCCGGTTCTAAGCGTCTTCTTGGTATTTGGTACATAATAGCATATCCACATATTATTGGCATTCCTTTCGCTTGCTTGCTGCACATGTGCAAGAAAAAAAGTTGGTTAAACCATGGCAGTTTTTCATGCTGTCATCATAAGAAGCAGAGTGACGATGTGACGGGTGCGTTTTTATTGGAAATGTGGAAAGTTTATCTTTGGATTGAGAGAGCGTGGAGACGAGGAAAGCAGCGGAGCGGGACACCGTCGTAGGGGGGAGAGTTGATCCCCGAGACATGGCCGGAGAGGTTTTTTCCTTCGGTTTTCGGATGGGGGATGCTTCCGATGACGAGGCTGGTATTGTTGTGGGCGGATGTTTGGAGGAAGAAGGAATCATTGACTGGGTTTACGGATCGGGCAATTGCTTGCTGAGGTCTCGGGTAGTATGTGACGTTGGTATAGCGATGGGTTCGGTCGTGAAAGGAGAATGTGAATTCGAGTGTGAGAAAAGTGACGATGGTCTGGGCTTGGCATTGATCGATCACAGATGCCAGATGGTGAGTCTTCACAAACTCGTCTACCAACATCACATTAAAAATCTGGTCAAATATAAATCACCTGTATAACCATCACGGAAGCTCGTGTCTTTGTGACATTTACGACATTTACGACCATCTAAAAATCAAGTCGTCCGAGAGAGAACAATAATGCCGGTACCAAATATCAGCCAAGTAGTACCAGGCGCAGCCGTCTCCATCGTCCTCAAAGCAGACCAACCCACCGGCCGTCAAGTCCAAGGCACAGTCCAAAATGTCCTGACCAGCGGTAATCACCCCCGAGGCATCAAAGTGCGTCTAAGCGACGGTAGAGTCGGGCGCGTACAAAGAATGCACACTGGCGATATACCCGCCCAAGAAGCATCAACAATACCCAGCTCTGTATCAAGTTCTGGATCAAGAAACACAAGACCGCCTAGGGAAAGAGATAACCGTCGCTCCAAGTTCCAGTCGAGGGATATCAGGTTGGATGAGGATGGTGAGGCGCCGGCGGAGGAGATTGATCTGTTTGCGTATGTCAAGCCGGCTAAGCAGAAGAAGAAGGGAGGAGCGAAGGTGCAAGAACCAGTGGAGGAAGAGGAACCAGTTGTGGAAGCTGCAACTACGGCTACTTGCCCTGTCTGTGGTAACTTTGAAGGAGACGAAACTGCTGTGGCTCATCACGTCGAGTCGCATTTCAGCTGAGCCCACGTCACCGACTACGAAAAGTTCCACAACCCAGCGACTCTTCAAGATATTGATACAGTCTGCCTGCATCTTTCTGGACGAATCCTCCGTGCGACAACTTCTCTCATGGTCTTTTCAGTAAAATCTTGGCCTAGAATCACACCTGGCCAAGGCAGCGATCCAGATATCCTCTTGTGGAACATTTACCCTTACACATTCCGAGTCGAGGAATTCGTTTCTTCCTCTTCCAGCTTCCTAGTCGGCACAAAGCCAGGAGGGGTCTGGGTGGAAGTGATATGGCCTGTGAAGCTTTGTTGCCAAACTGTCTTGCAAGACAGCACTCCACACAATGGCCAGAAAGGCATCGATGTCGAGATGTTGCAGTGCGAGAGAAATTAGACTACTTTGTGTCAACCGGAGAGATCGATGTTGACATCATCGGCGATTGGGAAACACACTTGGACATCAATCACCATGTCTGAGTGCCATCAGTGAAGAAGAATTTGGAACAGCATTTGGACGACGAAAGAACCACAAACACCGACGATATGACTTCCAAGACGAACGTACCATATACACCTCAAGACCAAACTTACTCAGTGTACACTTGAACAATGTTGGAGAACAATGTGTGAGGATGGAAGGATGGTATATTTCGAGCAGGGTCACCCAAGCAACAGACATGACCACTGTAATTGCCAAAAAGAACTTGATCATCGAACTCATACCACCATCACAATCACCAGTAAGTCATTCCTAAAGTCCAAACGACAGCAGTCCAAGCCGCGCAAATGCAGAATCAAACCAATCTGCAGCGAGGAATCTACCTGCTTTACCTAAAGCGGAAGCGACAAGTTTAGGAGACGATTCGACAAGATGGATGGAGTGGCTAGGTATGAATTTAGAGAGGTAGTAAGCGGTAGAGACACGAATGATACCTGCTCCTATAATTACAGTAGATTCAGATGTGCTCATCGTGGAAGGTGGTGGTGTCTAGGGATAGTGTGATATAGAATTGTTCTTGTTATGGCATGTAGACCTCCAGTGCAGATATGGTTTTTGAAATTAGTAAAACCGAGTCTCACGAATAAGCATTCAAGTAACTCGGAGATATGTCAAGGACTGTAAGTAGAACCTCTCTGCGTTTACATGAGTAGACAAGGCAACATGGGATACAGAAGCGAAAGAGGCAAGAGGAAGGGACGCTGTGTGACGTGTGCGGGGGTGGGGCTCTCTCAAGGACAATTCATCCGAAGTTTTCTTGTCCGCCCAAAACACAGCTTCTTGTATCAACAACCGAAACAGCATCATCATGGCCGCAGACAAAGTTATCATTCTGACCGGAGCATCACGAGGTAGGCAGTACGAGCATACGTGGAAAGAGGATAGGAGTTGATGAGAAAGCCAGGCATTGGTCTTGCTATTGCGCACTATCTGCTTAAACAATCATGTCGCGTGGTGACTGTCGCAAGAAGCAGACAGCCCATGGACAGCCTGAGCAAGCAATACCCCGGACAGGTCGAAGTGCTCGCTGGTGATCTTTCAGACCTTTCACTCGGACAAAAGGCAGCAGATCTCGCCAAGTCAAAGTGGAACCGTCTGGACGGTGTGATTGTCAACCACGGCATCCTCGACCCTGTCAAGAGAGTCGCCAACGTTGAGGCAGAAGAGTGGAGAAACTTGTTCGATGTGAATGTCTTCTCAGCCATCGCCTTGGTCAGTTGATCTTCACTGTTGAGGTAGAAGACCATCATGACTGACTGTTGACATAGGTCAAGGCAAGTTTGCCAGCACTCCGCGAGTCTAAGGGCAACATCATCCTCTGCTCTTCAGGCGCTGCCGCCGGTGCCTACTCCACATGGGGAGCGTATGGTGCGTCCAAGGCTGTGTTGAACCACCTTGCTATGACTCTTGCTGTCGAAGAACCTGATGTGACCACCCTCTCTATCCGCCCTGGTGTCGTGGACACAGACATGCAAGTCTCTATCCGTGAGACCCACAACACCAGCATGGATGCAAAGGATGCCGCCAAGTTCAAGGAACTGAAGGAGACTGGAGGTCTGCTCAAGCCTGAGCAGCCCGGTCATGTCATGGCCAAATTGGCATTGGATGCGCCTAAGGACTTGAACGGCAAGTTCTTGAGTTGGAACGACGAGAAGCTCGCAGCTTTCCAGGAATGATGGGCTGGAGGACTATCTAGACTTTTTGATTCGTTAGCCGAATGTACTTCAAAGAGACTTTCAGTAGTGAAGGTGGATTAAAGAAGTGCAGTCAGTTGAAAGATGAAAAGCAATACATTTTGATCACCATAAGGCTTAAGCCTTCAGGTTTAGCATGGAATGATTTTGTTCATCACGCAAGGGGAGTGGAGGGTGGAGTTGAGGATGTACTAACCTTACGACGTGCATGGGTTGAAAATGGTGGGTGTTGTTGATTGCTTTACTGATACCTAAAACATGTGTTGGTAAACATGAAATTGAGACAATCGTTGAAAAGTGAAAGGAGAGAAGAAGTTTTTTTTCAGGTAATCGAACCATTATTTTATTCCTCAAGGATAATAGGTGGTGTTGTATATAACATAATTTTCTCATCATGTAAGAAGGAAGAGATGATGCTCGATCATTACTAACCTTGAATGTTCCAGCTGAGTGCCGCTCCATGCGCACACTCAGCGCGCGCAACCAAATGCTTCCACCCAGGCCAATGCGTTCGTAAGGTGCATGATATGAGCAGAGCTTGAGCGAAGCAAGAGTGTTGTGAAGATCTGTCTGGATTGCAATGTTAGCCAACATTCAAGCAAGAAGGTCTTGAGAAATGAGCGGGTTGTGCAAGATAATTATCAGAGAGTCCGTTTGGTTGAGACAGGTAAATCACCACGTAAAGGTAAGATAGGGGCGACACGAATGTTCATCCTTGAATGTGCAGGAGGGAGATAGAAGAGGAGAGCAATCAAATACCTTTTGCGCTGTTGTTTGTTGAAAGGAGAAGGCAGAAGGAAAAAAGTCGCGTTCGAAGAAATAGCAGTGAAGCTCGGACGCGTCGGTGACGGAAGCGGTGCTGCGGCATGTGCCGGGGCCCGGAGGTGTTGGTTCCTGTGAGACTTAAAGCTGCTGCATTCCCCCATCGCCGCGCGCTGCTGTGGTAGAATGTTGATTGAGACACTTCTTTGGCCGAACCGTTGATTTCACGACAGTCAGCAGCACCACAAAATCACTAAACATGTCGGACAAAGAGTTCGCTGGTTCGTAGTTCATACAAAATCCAAAACTCTCTTTGCGACCGAAGCATGCTAACTGTTTTACAGGCAGTGACGAGCTCACTCTGCCCAGAGGTATGCGCCAATCCGACGACAAAACAATCGATGCACGCGACTGACAAGGTCACAACAGCAACCGTTCAAAAGATCATCACCGAAGTACTGGCCAACGACCAGGGAATGTCCTTCGCCAAGGAGACGCGAGACCTGCTCATAGAATGCTGCGTCGAGTTCATCACCATGATATCCTCCGAAGCCAACGAGATTGCCGAAAAGGACGCGAAAAAGACGATTGCATGCGAACACATTGTCAAGGCATTGGAAGAGCTTGGGTTCAACGAATACGTACCGGACTTGCTCGAGGTCGCACAGCAGTTCAAGTCACAACAGGCAGTGAGTTGGGAACAGACACGAAAGAAAGAGGACATGACACTGACGTGCCGTCAACAGAGCCGCGAAAAGAAGCAAAGCAAGATTGAGCAGTCAGGAATGAGCGAGGAGGAATTGCTCAGACAGCAAGAAGAGTTGTTCAGATCAGCGAACGAGAAGTTCAACGCTGGACCTGCAGAGCCAGCTGCCGAGCCTGCAGCGTGAAGAGAAGTGGAATGAGAGAGACACAGCAATGGGACCAGGCGTCCAGGGCATTAGGGCGATACGATTCTTCTTTTGATACCCCATCTCTACTGGTTATGTTAGATTATATGGCGCAACATGGCATGAAAGCAATGACACAGAATGCATTATTACTTGTTTAATGTCTACATCTATCAACTTGAACTCTGACGGGAATGAATGCATGTGACAGTGACGAAAGAGCACGATCTGGCCAAGACCCCACACTCTCGTCGGCCTCGGCCGCTATCCATCATCATCAATCAACCAGAGCAACTGCCACATCTTCCACCGAACACGATCATCTATATGCCCTTCCAGTCTCACCGCTAACACACAACAACCATGTCCGGCCTCGAAAAAGCTCTCTTCAACTTGAAGGTACGCGCTTCACACCCACCTTCCACACCCGCATCCGTATCTACACAATCTCTGTGGAGCCCCACTAACACAACATCTCCCAGTTCACAGCCAAACAACTGAACCGCCAATCCGCCAAAGCTGGCAAGGACGAGAATGCCGAGAAAGCAAAATTGAAGAAGGCTATCCAACAAAACCACGGCGATATCGCCAAAATCTACGCTCAAAACGCCATTCGCAAGCAGAACGAGAAGCTCAACCTGTTACGCCTGGCTTCAAGAATCGATGCTGTCGCTAGCAGGGTACAGACGGCTGTGACGATGCGTCAAGTCACGGGCAGTATGGCGAATGTGGTGAAAGGCATGGACGGAGCTATGAAGGCTATGGATCTAGAAAAGGTGAGATGCGCTACTGCCTTGTCGCTGCTAGGACAGACAGTTTGAGAAAGAAGCATTGGCTGATACGAGAGGATACAGATTTCAGCAGTCATGGACCGATTCGAGACACAATTCGAGGACCTGGACGTCGCAACCGGATACTATGAGAATGCTACCTCCAGCGCCACCGCTGTGGGCACACCCCAAGAAGACGTCGACAGATTGATGTCCCAAGTCGCCGACGAAGCTGGTGTCGAACTGAACCAAGAAATGGCCGGCGCAACACCAGCACAGGGTATCAAGGCCCCTGCCAACCCCACTGAAGTCGAGGAAGATAATCTGGGCGAGAGACTGAGAGCTCTGAGAAGCTGAGCGAAAAAAAGAGACAAAAGGAAACTAGAAGATCTGAAATATCTCCGAAATCAGTGGCTTGGAGTTTGGGCGTCTCTTTTGACACTGCTTCTGGGACGGCGCGAGATTCGATCGTACAGATGCATGACCTACTGACTGTGTATACAATGACATTGTTCAAACCCTCTCTCACCGGCCAACGTAAGGCGTGCTCCTGAATACATTCGAATTGTGATACAATAACAGCCTGCTGGCACCATGTTTCTACTGACGTTCTCTAGAGGAAAGCATCTCTCAATAACTGACAGGCCACTGACTGTGTGACCATCTGACGAAGCAACATCAGCAAACACGTTCACAGTCTAGCCGAACAATATCAAAGTTCCGATGCATTAGGTTTTTCATTTCTATCTTGGCCATCATCAAGCCTCATTCTATCGTGTCGCGGAAAAGAAGATCCTCATTACATGTATACATAAGCAGAAGGAATGGACGATCAACCATCCCTCCTTCCATGGAAAACGCAAAATCAAAGAACGAGCGTGTCATCATCCAATCTTCAAGAATCCTTCATTTTTGTCCCACCCGTGTGGCAGAAACACACATCAAAGACGAGTGGTAGGTGTTACCGCATACCGATGACGTGGTGCGGTCTAAGCAAACTTGCCATTGGCACCGCCCTTCATTCTCACAGATCCAGATGCGAGACGAGTGGCCTCGGGTCTTTGGTTTGGGGGAGCGCCGGATTTCAATGCGAGCCATTTGTCTTCGGGAATGGTCAAGCAGTTGATACCCAAGTAGTTGCAAATGCTATTGCAGACATAGACGGCCCAGCGAGCATACACAATGGTAGCGAATGCGAAGTAACCTCTCAAGAACCAGAGCTCGGTGGTTGCGGACAGACCGGGGAGACCGATATAGGGCAAGTTGACGAGAACGCTGCCGGTGATGAGGGGAGCCAGCATGACAGTCCACATGGGGAAATCCTGGCGAGTGAGATGGGCGAGGATGATTTTGGTTGTCATGCGACCGAATGCAGGTGAAAGGGTGAAGCAGAGCAGAGACAGGTGGTTATCCTTGAGCAAATGCGAGTAAGGTGATCCCAGCCATGCGCACAAAGAACCAGTGAAGATGAAGATGGGAGCCCACTCCAGCAATGTGGGTATCAAGGGTTGACTTCTGCCTCTTCTGGCCTGGTATACGTTGTTGACGCAATCAGGGATATGTGCCAGGCAGAGTCCAAGCAACAGAATAGGACCCCAGAGATCGAGGAAGCTGGTCTTGCCCAGGAATTGTTCGTGGCCGAAGAGAGACGCAAGCGGAGATGTCCAGAGGGTAGGGCCGTAGTAGCCGGAGAGAATCATGATGAGCGCAGCGATGATCAGGCCTTCGGTAGGACCATTGAAGTAGCCGAGGAACAGGGTGTGGGTGTGGTATGTCTCCCAGGTCGAGAAGAACATGGGCAGTGTGGGGATGAGCGCGGTGAGAGCACCAAGGCGTGTTGAGCCGAGACCCATGGCTGATGTTTCGAGGAGGGATGCGAGGGTGCAGTTGAGACTGTCAATGCCGTGACTATGTGATTCACTCTTGTCAGTAGTGCTCTTCCTGCTAGACTGATGCAAAAGGTGAGGTAGCACTCACTCGAAGAGCTCGCCCAGAGGAGACGAAGTGCCAGTACGACGGGCTTGCTTGCCATCAATGTTGTCCATGGTGCTGTACGACCAGATGCCGAGGGCGTAGCTGTAGTAGACCCATGACGGAGCCAGGCCGGTCAAAGCAGGGTCATAGATGAGCATGAGGATGACATTGCTGAGGATGCAGAAGAAGCCCAGCAGGGTGACCATGTTTGGTGCCAGCCATAGCGGCAGGAATTCGACGCATGCGTTCCACTATTCATCAACAATCCAATGTCAGCCCATCTTGTCTCTTTGCGTATCCAATGTCTGCTTGTATGCAGGGTTCCGTCATGCCCTTTCCCCATGCTCTTCCTTCGTATGTGTGTGTTTGTTGCAATCTTGCTGGAGAGACCGATGATAGAGGTGCGCAATCAACGTACATAGTGTTTCAGGACATAGCGCGAGGTGAAAGACTTGTCTACAGACGAGTACTTGTAGAGCTTGAGGTTGGCCAAGGCGTCTTCTGAGAGAGGACCCTCGAGCGTGGACGAATCTTGTCCCGTCAGTCTCTTGTACTCAAGTTCGAGCAATGCGTCCATTGATGAGAGGAATAAGACTTACTGGAACTCATTTCCAACCGGCAGCACTAAAATAAAAGAATAAACTTAGTCAAGCAACAACAAGGAACCGTCCGGACCGCGACTTGACCGAGAAGCCCGCACTGTTCGCAATCCTCTCCTGAACCGGATACGCTGTTGTACGTTGCGGGGTGCCAATCATCCACCACCACGTCCACCTTCACTCATCGTTTACCCCTAATGACGGTCATTGATTGTTTGCTATATCAATCATGTCCCAGTTTAGACTAGCCTATCAATTCAGCTGTCAAAATGCAAGATGTTTTTGTAAAACCTCAGACGTCCAGAGAGAGCGTGACTAGTTCTCGCTCTCTTTGGAAGCTGTTCAATCCGGAAAACATCGTGCATCACGACAGCTTTGAAGTCTTAACAGTGATATCGAGAAGTCATCTTGCAAGTCTTTCTATGTTGGTGACAAACATCCGCACTTCGAGAATCCGTGGTACATAGAGGGAACATTGTGGAGATCTCATGTTGAGTTGTAGGAATCAACAATGACATTACAATTACGACAAGGACTTCGCTCTTGACATCACATAGTCACAATGCATCGGAATAACATGTTCTTTTGACATCGATTGTTCATTGAAGTTTTTGACTGCTTTTCGGTTTTGATCTCGCAAAGAGCAAGTCAGCAACACCTCAAAACTGCCTGCTGAAGATGCCCGCTTCCATGCTAGCGGCACCTGCATCTCATAAAGAAAAAACATGCATAGCTTTTTGAACCCAGCTGTACCAATCTAAAACACTAGAAGAAAGAAGAACGCCCATTAAACCGTCATACGATGCAAGACGTTTATCTTGTGGACATGGCCTTGGTAACGACACGCTTGAGGGCCAACTCCTTCTTCTTGAGGTCATCGGCAGAGGAGTCCTCGATCTCGAGCTGGGCCATGGCGTCGCTGAGAGCAGACTCAATCTTCTCCTTCTGGTTGCGCTTGAGCTTGAGGGAGAGAGTGGGGTCCGAGACGATCTCCTCGACACGGGAGATGTAGGACTCGAGCTGCTGGCGGGACTCGAACTTCTTGGTGAAGGCCTCGTCGGAGGACTTGAACTTGGCGGCATCCTCAACCATCTTGTCGATCTCGGCGGAGCTGAGCTTACCGACAGAGTTGGAGATGGTGATGTTAGCACTGCGTCCAGAGGTCTTCTCAGTGGCGGTGACCTTCAGAATACCGTTGACGTCGACCTCGAAGACACACTCGAGAACGGCCTCACCGGCGCGCATGTGGGGGATGGGAGCAAGAGTGAATTCACTGAAAGACATTGTTAGCACATTGTTTCAAACTTCGACTGGACATGTACAAACCCAAGACTGGTGTTGTGGGCGCACTCGGAACGCTCTCCTTGATAAACAGGGAATTGTACCTATAAGGATAGTCAGTAAAGTATTCGAAACAGTTGTGAGATGTTGGTGAATGATGTGGTGGAGAATTGATGGATGAGTGAAAAGTGTGGGGTAAACTCGGATCTCAGTGGAGCGATGCCAAGCTTTTCCACTTGCAGAAGTGCAGAATGGAATCTGATTCAGAGAGAGCCTCCAGTGAGAGTCATAAAGATACGACCTCTCAGTGGAGGCCTTCTCGATTCAGAAAACATCGTGCATTTTGGCAGCAAGAACAGGGGCTCGCATGTCCAGTGAGAGCCCGAAACATTCTCACTGGACACGATAACCACCGTAACATGATTTGTGCGTGTGATGAACGAAATGGACATGGAAGTGATTCAGGGAGTCTTACGGTAGTCTGGCCGTCGGCGACGGTGGTGAAGGTACGCTTCTTGATGGCTGTAGAAAGTGATTAGAAGATGTTCTTGAGGCAGAAATGTTATTGTTTGACTTACTGGGAACGGTGGTACCGCGGGGAACGACGGGGGCGAAGATGTTACCCTCCATGGCAACACCGAGGGAGAGAGGGCAGACATCGAGGAGGAGGAGGTCGGCGGTGTCGGCAGAGGTGGCCTTTCCGGAGAGGATACCGGCCTGGACGGCGGCACCGTAGGCAACAGCCTCATCGGGGTTGATGCTCTTCTCGAGCTTCTTGCCGTTGAAGAAGTCGGAAAGGAGCTTCTGGATGCGGGGAATACGGGTGGAACCACCAACAAGGACGATCTCGTCAACCTTTGACTTCTCAATGTTGGCGTCCTTGAGGACCTGCTCAACGGGCTGGATGGTGCCGTTGAAGGCCTTGGCGTTGATGTCCTCGAAACGAGCACGGGTGATGTTGGCGTTGAAGTCCTCGCCGTCGAAGAGGGAGTCGATCTCGACAGTAGCCTGGGTACCGTTGGATAGAGTACGCTTGGCACGCTCGCAAGCAGTTCTCAGACGACGGAGAGCACGGGCGTCACCGGACAGATCCTTCTTGGTTTTTCTGGTGAATTCCTTCTTGAAGTGGTCAAGGAGGTTGGTGTCGAAGTCCTGGCCACCCAAGTGGGTGTCACCAGCGGTGGCCTTGACAGTGAAGACACCACCCTGGATGTGGAGGAGGGAAACATCGAAAGTACCACCACCGAGATCGTAGATGAGGACGTTGCGCTCCTTCTCGGACTTGCCGGAACCGAGACCGTAGGCAATGGCGGCAGCGGTGGGCTCGTTGATGATACGGAGAACGTTGAGGCCAGAGATGGCACCGGCGTCCTTGGTGGCTTGACGCTGGTTGTCGTTGAAGTAGGCGGGGACGGTGACGACGGCCTTAGCGACCTTCTTGCCGAGCTTGGTCTCAGCGACCTCCTTCATCTTCAGGAGGACCATGGAGGAGATCTCCTGGGGGGAGAAAGTCTTGGTCTCGCCGAGGTACTCGACCTGGACCATGGGGGAACCGTTGTTGTCGGTGATCTTGAAGGGCCACGACTCGATATCCTTCTTGACGGTGGGGTCATCGAATCTACGACCGATCAAACGCTTAACATCGAAGACGGTGTTGGCGGGGTTCATGGCGGCCTGGTTCTTGGCGGCCTCACCGATCAGACGCTCCTCAGCAGTGAAGGAGACGAAAGAAGGGGTGGTGAAAGAACCCTGCTCGTTGGCGACTAAAAGACATGCGAGTCAGAATCATGCGCTGGATCCAATGGTGGGCTGCAAAATGCTCCAGAGTGATAACGTACTGATCTCGACATTGTTACCGTCGTAGTTGGCAACGCAAGAGTAGGTGGTACCTGAAGCTCTGTTAGCAATTTTGGTCTTGTGGGTTTGCGCTTCGGCAATGGGATTGGGCGCAAAAACTCACCAAGATCGATACCGATGGCACCGTCGTAAACCTCGTCGCTCATGATGAAGGATATAGAGGGGTATAAAAAGGGAAAAAAGATGGGGGGAGATGGAAGGAGGAAGAGGTGAGAGGTGCTGGGAGCTTAAGAAAAGGCTTGCGGGTAGGCGATTTTCGATTTTCGCGGTCTGTGCATCTCATCTTTTTTTCACTTCCCCATTTCGTCCGAGGTCTGGACGCCAAGCCCTATCCATTCTCACACCCCAGCAACATGTTGTGACCCTTTGTCGGTTGATGCGGGTCTTGCAGAGTGTCTTGTTCGGAGAATTGCTGCGTTGGGCCGAGATGATATTGGTCCGAGTAAGGCAGCTTCCTCTCTTGTCGAGTGCACCTTCCTAGAAACAATTGATCTGAAGAGGCAACCACGAGTTCCTTCCTCGCTTAGCTCACCACGACCACAGCTCATCAACCATGGCAGCTTCGATACATCAACCACACATCAATGATTGATGAGTCTTTCAAAGTTGTGTTGTTGTAGGAAGGTGCTACGAATGGTAAGTTTTTATGTTGATTGTGTGTTAATCCTGACTGAAGTAAACGAGCGTGCTGTCACTGCAAGAGTGAGTATGCACGGTTTGGCTCCTTGTTTCCTTGTTTTCCTGCAGTCCTGCTATCTTCGTAGTATCATGTCGATATCAGTCGAGATCATAATCATCACAAAGTCAGCTCAGATTTTGAAACAGCCAACCATGTTGTAACGTGTTTCCGGCTGCCACTTCTGCTCGGTGTTGGCTGCTTCATGAACTTCATATCGGCTCATGGCTTCAGGCCCGAAGAAAGACATTGATACTCAACGCACAGCACTCAAAAGCCAGACAACTACTGCATCTACAACCATCTTCGACAAAGCAAAGAACGGAATCTATCAACAAACACATAATCAGCTCTCGTCACACCAGATTCACACGGCTCCCCCATTACGTTTGTCTGTCACCCCTCACTTGATTGATCTTTCATATGCCTCCTCCACACTATCCCACCAGCTATAAGTATCTTCCCCAACCAGGACCTCTCCTTCCCTTCCAACCACCCTTCTACTTCTACTCGATCGTGCAGAAGACGTCCTGCTCGTCTCGAAGCCTCGTCCTTCACGGACTAACCGCGACGGGCGAACCGCGACCACAGATCGATGTATGCTTGGACTGGACAAGGAGATCGCAGCTCTCCGACCGAGTATCGTGCGTCAAACGTTGCCTTGTTTCCGTTCGGAAAGATGCTATCGGACGAGGAGAGGCCTTGTTCGTACCTACCCCTATGAGTCTTTGTTGGTCGGACCGGTATGTGTTTATGTCGAAACGAGGCATCGCAGCTCCCCGATTAATCATCATGCGTCAAACGTTGCCTTACTTCCGTTCGAAACGAGGTCGACCGACGAGGAGAGGCTTTATTCGTACCTACCGCTGCAATCATCGAAGGCCGAGTCGGTGTACATCCAAGTTAGATTGAGGGATCGCAACTTCCCGCTCGAGCAAGAGTCATCATACGTTGCCTTGCTTCCGTTCGGAACGAGGTTGACCGACAAGGAAGGAGGCTCTGTTTGTGTCCACCGCTGCGGTTCTTATTGCCCGGGCTGGTTTGTGTTCAAGCTTGAACGAGGTATCGCACACTTCTTGGAAAAATGTTATTAGGCGAGGAGTATGGTCTAGTTCTGCCCATAGCCGCGGGTGATCGGATGCCGGGTCGGTGTACGTTTAAGTTAGAACGAGGTATTACAGCTTCTCGATGGTGCATCATTCACTACGCCTTGTCTTGTTCCCATTTGGAAGACGTCGGCGCGTAAGGAGAAGGCCTATTTGTGTCTACTGCTACAGCTGTTCGATGCCTGAGCATGCACTCCCAGCGGAGAATCACCCAAGGATCAAAATCATCATGCCTTTTGATAGCTAGATTCGGCACCACTGGCTGAGATTTGAGATCACAATTCGGTTGCGTTGATATTGAACACTCAAGACTTTTGAAGAATATTGTAATACAAGCATCATCTCCTTCAATGCTAATCCATTCTTTGCACAATTACCTATCTATTTGAATCCTCCCAGTGTGACCCCTTCCCCAATTTCCAAACGCCTTTGAAACATGGCAGTGTGACAAGTACATGCTCAATCAGGTTTGTCTATCTAATCCTGTTGAGCTTGATTCTGTTCATGGCGATCTGATCGTCGACGGTCTCAGTCTGTGGAGGTTGTTAGTATCCAGCAAGGACAGATGGAAAAGGGAAGAAAACGCTTACCTTTCCGATGATACGGCCAATGTGCTTATTCTGCTCATCGAGCTCATCGCCCATAGCGTTGCCCAATGCATGCAGCGTCTTTGCACTCCTGTGGATGATATCCAAATTCTCCTCAATCTCACCTTCCATGGCTTCATCCTCGCTGTCGGCTTCGAATTGGTACTTGGCTCTGTTGGCCAGAGTGGCTTTGTCGTGCGTCTTGCCATTGCCACGCATGGTCTTTTCTTGACCGGCGTGACGTTGTGTAGTGGAGTAGGCGTTCTGTCTCGTGTCTTCTGCGCGCTCTCTTTCCACTCTGTGTTTCTCCAGGGCGATGGCGTTGGCGGCCTCCTCGCGCTTCTTTGCGGTGAAAGGGTTGGAGACGTGCATGGCGAACATGCTTCTGTTCAGTGTCTTGAGTTCGCGGGCTTTTTCTTCGGCGAGCCGGTTTTGGTGTTGTGCCATGTCGAGATTACGCTCGGTGTTATGGATGCGCTCGCCTTGGACACCTAGTCTGGCTAGGGTCTCACGACCTGTGGCTTCTGCTTGCTCGGCGATGCGGCGGGCGTTGCGGGTGGACGAAACGTCCTGCTGTTTGATGAACTTGATTTCGTCCTTGGAGGCCTTGACATCTTCCTCTTCTTGCTCTTCGGCAGTCAGGTAGCGATCGGGCTGACCGTAGAGTTCGCTGGAGCTGCCTCCGTAACCACCGGACATACCACTGTTTGCGTAGCTGTTGTCTGCTGAGGGCTCTTCGGCAGCCTGAGTAGCTTGAAGTTGTTGTTGTTGCTGTCTCTGAGGGGCATCGCCGAACAGAGCGGCTCTTCCAACATCGGTGCTCACGGTCTCCTGGCTGGCTCGTCGTCCGAGACCGCCGTAGCCGCCAGTACGGGCAGCCTGTGGTTGTTCACTGCCGTATGGGTTGCTGCCGTATCCTCCTTGCTGTGCGTAGTTGCTGGATCCGCCGAATCGTGGTGTGCTGCCGCCATAACCACCGGGTGGTACAGGCGACTTCTCACGCATGGCAGGCGAGGCAGAGCGGCCATCGTAAGCGGGAGGAGCACCGAGGTTTTGAGGTTTGGCGCCATAAGGATCGGGAGTAGATTGTGCGGCGTAGGGGTTTGACTCTGGTGCTGCTGCCTTGTCCTTGCCCTTGGAGCGTGAGAACAATGACGAGCGGGAGGCCTTCTCCTCGGCCGCCTCCTTATCTTTCTTTCCCATTCCAAAAGGCATCGTTGCGGAGTATGTTCAAGGGTTGATTGAAGAAAGGAAAAATCACAATTTCGAGTGGATAGAGGGGAAGTTGTTAGGAGGGTCTGATGCCCAATATAGATGAGGCTGTACTTCAGCGACTCCGCCCCCGGACTTTTGTGAAACCGCCGTTGACTGGCCGCCTCTGGAACCACCTCCTCCAGAAACACCTCAAAAAGACGACAAGGTCACAAAGAAGACCGATGTTTGTTTTTGAACAACAAATGCAATAAGCTTTTGCAAGCAATAGCTACGACTCGGCAGCATGACCCAACCATCTTCTTCCTATTGTACAATGAAAATTCTTGCTTTTGCATGCCAAAGACGTCTCGGAAAGAGTCCGTCGCAAATTTGCCAATAACTACCAGGTATCAAATTGCCGTAATTTACCATGCGTTAACATCAAAGTATTCCTGGAACATATATTAGCATGTGACATCAGTCAGATAGGGAGGGGTTATCACGAACCTCGCCGAAGAAGGTGACGACGACAGTGCGGTCAGCGAACTTTCTGCCTGCCAGGGCACGCAGGGCCTTGGAAGCCGACTCGTTGTTGTCGTATTTGACGTAGATCTTGCCAACACCGGTGGACTGTCTGCTACCTCCGGAAGGACGGGGGACCTTCATCTCGAGTACGTGTCCGTACTTGCTGCATTCCTCTTTGACGTCTTCGACGATTTCTGAACAACTGTTAGCCACTTGTATCATGTGATGGTCAAAACATCCCGGCTCACCTTCGTATTCATCATTGTCCAGCAACTCCTCTGCCGTAACCATGTTCAGCAAACAGAGCACGCGACCTTGCTCAACGTCTGCGCTTGTGGTACCAGCAAGCATGCTCATGGCGTTCACACTCATGTCACCACCAACCTGCTGCACACCGACAGCGGCTCTTGCAGCTCTTAGCGCGCCATCGCCCAATTCGATGCCATTCAAGCCTGTAACAGCTTCATCAGTCTTGGTGGGATCCATGTACTCGAAGAAGGCAAATCCACGGCTTGCGCCAGACGATGTGTCCTTGGCAAGGACGAAAGACTTGAGCTCGCCAAAAGTGGTGAGCAATTCTCTGACTTGTGCATCCTCGATGAATGTGGGAATGTTGGTCATTCTGAGCTTGTTTTGGGTGTCGGGAACATTCTCAGAGACAACGCCTTCTGTCTGTTCACTCTCGTCGGTGACGGCAGGAACGATGTAGTCCTTTGGACGACGGATCTGCAGACCAGCAGGTCTTCCATTGGCTGAGCCATTGGCAGAGTCCTCCATGGTGATGCCATCGAAGGCCAAAGCGGTTGTTGCGTCCTCGGGTGTCTTGAACTCGGTCAAAGCGAAGTCGTGCTCGGGGGAGATCTGGGCAGACACACAGGGATCCATGCCCTTGACAATGTTGAGGCCATTGAGTTGAAGGTTGAAGAAATCGATGATGTTGTCCTCTGTAGAAGTAGGAGGAATGCCGTGAACAAACAGACGTTTTGACTGGCGAGCGTTGGAGGGCTTGAGAGCGGTGTTTGCGCCAGCGTTAGCAGGTTGGTTCATGAAAGCCTGCAGTCTCGTAGGGTCCATAGGTTGTTGGCGAGGAGCACCAGGAAGAGGGAACATGCCCGAGAGCTTGGCCTGCTCAGCTGTGACATTCTCATAGCCAGGAGGCTTGATGTCCCATTGTGTGAGGCGACGTTTGCGCTCGAGGATGGGTACGATGTCGGTAAGATCGGGAGTAGGCTCCTTGGGCTTTCTCGGAGGGCTGGGACTGCGCTTTTGGTCGATGGATTGTTGAGGGGCGCGTCCACTGTCACGGTCACGGCCTCCTCTACCACCACCTCTGCGGTCGTCAAAGAGATCGCCACGGTCACCGCGCTCTCTAGCACCTCCGCGCGGGTCGTCACGGCGGTCTCGTCGCTCAGCACCACGGTCACCTCTGTCCCAGTCGCGGCCTCCTCCACGTCTGTCTCTACCAGCGTATCTGTCTTCTCTTTCGCGCTCCCTGTAGTCGCGGCTCGACGAGTATGTGTCTCCCTGGAACTCTTCTCTGCGCGGGCGGTGGCCGGGTGAGCGCGAACGTCTGCGTGGTCTCTCTCTCTCGCGCTCTCTGTCCCCACCACGATCGCGATCACGGCGGTCGTCTCTGGATGACTGGGATAGCGTCAGTTGCCTGTACGAGCAAACACATGTACAATACTCACATAGTGGTCGCGCGAAGACGCGTGTCTACCACTAGGACGATCTGTTCATGAAAAGTTAGAAAGCGGTTAGATGATTGTGCGCGAGCGCATTACCGCGGCTGGAATATGAATCACCGTTCATTCTGGCGGACTGTATAGCGCAAAGTCGGCAATCAAGGTCCAATGAATGGACTTAGTCGGAGGTATCAAAGGCGATGGATTGTGTCGATGGTCCCTTGAGCTTCGTTCGGTTGCGCGCTGCTCAGCCAGAGGCTCAGAGCGTCTAGAAGGAGGCCAAGCCGCTACTCCCGAAGTGGAAGCATGATTGATTATCACATCAACCATGTCTACCGCGTCAAGGTCGTGAATCACTGTCTCAGACTCGATCTCAAGCAAGACAACAATGTTGAATCTCCAAGAGTGGCAGAAGCTCCCAATTGGTCTCGGCGAACTCTGCATCAACACAACTCTCCGCTGTGGGCAATGTTTCCGGTGGCGCAAATCAGATGAAGGTGTCTGGTCAATGGCCCTCCACGGCCGCATTCTGGCACTGCATCAAGACCCTGAATACCTCTATTACCGTTCAATCATTCCGACAAAACAATCACCAGACTCAAAGGCTCAACCCGACGATGATACTCTACCCCTTCTCAGGCATTACCTCAATCTTGGTCCCAATCTCACCCAACTGTACGCCGAATGGTCCTCCGCCGACGCGAACTTCAATCGCAAAGCTCCCAAATTTACCGGTATTCGCATTCTGAAGCAAGATGCTTGGGAAGCTCTTGTTGGCTTTATCTGCAGTTCCAACAACAACATTGCCCGAATTTCCCAGATGGTCGAGAAGCTATGCACAAATTATGGTCCATTGATCGGCCAGTTCGAGAACAAGGACTACTACGACTTTCCCACTCCATCATCTTTGGCCAAGCCAGGTGTAGAGCAAAAGCTGAGAGAATTGGGCTTTGGATACAGAGCAAAATACCTGTACAAGACAGCATGCATGGTTACAGAGAAAGAGGATGGTTGGCTGGACCATTTACGCAATCCTGAAAGTCCCGTGCTAGGCATAAAGCCTGAGCCAGCTGGCGAGTGGGCAAATGAGGGAAGAGAAGGTTACAGACATGCACATGAACAACTGCTCGAACTTCAAGGTGTAGGGCCGAAGGTCGCTGACTGCGTCTGCCTCATGGGACTTGGCTGGGGCGAGGCTGTCCCAGTCGATACTCATGGTATGTTGAATCATCCTCTACTCCTGATAGGTAGTGGCTGACCATCTCTTAGTTTGGCAAATCGCTGTTCGTGACTACAAATTCGGCAAGGGCAAGCACGCAAGTCTAACAAAAGCCACGTATGATGCTGTTGCAAACAAGTTCCGCAGTCTATGGGGCCAAGAAGCTGGCTGGGCACATTCTGTTCTCTTCACTGCTGATCTCAAAGCCTTCTCGGAGCGACTAGTCGCCAAAACGGAAGTCAAAGAGGAGGTCAAGGAAATCAAGACAGAAGACGGTGAGCCTGTTGAAGAGACCATTGTCGAGGAAGACAAGACTCTCGTCAAAGGCATCAAAAGAGAAGCTGACGAGGACGAACAAAAACTGGTCGAGACGAAACACAATGTCGTCAAAAAAGCAAAGAGAAGAAAGAAGGCATCATATTGAGCACGCTATATCAACAGTTGACCACCGATCTTTCCTTTGACCGGACCCGAGGAAACAATCTGCTATTTAATGTTGGTGTGTGACATGAATCTCTCTGGTACCAGCATTCTGGTCTGAAGACACGGAAATTATTCGCGGTGGGACGGACACCCCTATCTTCAATCGCCGTATGGTGTCAAAGGAAAACATGCTGGGCCGCGGCAGTTTCACCACTCTTACAGAAGCTGAGCGCGGTGAGGAATGGCTTTTCAGCTTCCAGTATTCACGATTCTACATGTCTGGCGTGGCCTCTGAGCAGGATTTCCCGCGCAGTGGCTGTTCTTGTATGAGTTCAAACTTATCAGCACTGATTGCGATCAGCTCGCAGTGGCAGGCTTTTGGAAACGGCCTTGCATCCAGCAGCGATACATCTTCAGCTTTCTCTGTCTGTTGACAAGCATTCTGTTGTCAACTCCGAGGTTCGTAATCTCAAATGCGGGCATCTTGTTGTCTTCTGAGATTTCGGTAGTCTGCAGCCTTTCGGCCAGTTCATCTTCATCGCCCTTCTGTTCAGAGGCGTCAATCTGGAAACTGTTTGCGGGAAGCTTGCCAGACCAAATGTCTGCAAGTTCGTCTCTCTCGAAGAAGTAGACACGAGTGCCATCTCCACGGATGTAGAAGTTCTCCTCCAGGTAGCGACCCTTCTTGAAGCGGACCTGGGCCAAGTCACCACGGCCGTAGTCGCGGAACAGAACAAGACCACCAGGCTTGAGGACATTCCACACGTTCTTCACGGCCTGTGCCCATTGTCTCGGTGACAGTGCTGAGAAGATGAAAATCATGACAACCACATCAACACTGCCAGCTTCCAGACCAGGAGGAAGAGCCTGTTCTCCAGTTCCTGCTGCATCCCAGACATCTGCCTGCAGAGTGGTCTGGTTCTGGTATGCCTCTTGTGTACGGATAATCTCGATAGCCTTCTTTGAGTAATCGCAAGCGTGGATCTTCAACAGCGGGTTCTTGTTCAAGTTCAAGACAGGGTATGCCGTGTTTCCTGCACCTGCACCAACCTCCAACATGGTCGCAGCGCCGTAGTCCTCCTTTGTAATTTCTCCCAAGACAGGGAACTCCTGAGCCAGCCATTTGCGATCCTTGAAGAAATTTGCGCGGTTGTTGCTGTAGAATTTATCCCACCACTTCTCAGGATGTTGGTTGAAGCGCTTCTTGTCGAAATCGGTCACGGGAGCAGATCTCTGGAATTCTTCTTGGGACTTGATGAACTCCTTGTATGTGTCGTCGGTCTCGACGTGGTCCCAGGCATTGTGGGCGAAGATGTTGTCGCCTTCTTCGAGGTAGCGTGTGCCGAATTGGAAGGGATCGGTACGTTTCTGATCGTTGTTTGCGGAGTCGGTCTGGGGCTTTCTGACGGGTTGAATCGATGCGGGCACACCATATGCTGCTTCCTCTTCGACATGGGCGGCCGTGTCGGTCGGAGGGGTCGATGGAGCGTCCTGAACAGTGACCCATTCGCGCATGTGCTCCATACCCTTGGAGAGCTGCTGCTTGGGAGTCTTCTTGCGGTCTACGCCATCGGGCTGCATGATGTCGTTCTCGGCCATGATTTCGTTTGCTCGTTATGTCTGACCAAAATCCGAAGGCTGGAAAAAGTTCAAAGTCCGACAACCTTGAGGGGTTTGGCAGTAAACTCACCGCCTCGATCGGATCGGCCCGCAGCCAGGCACAGGTGGGGTCTCGATCTCTCTCCGATTCTCCACAGCCTGTCAGCGCGTCATGCAGTTTGCTGTTGAAAGTCAGAATATCAGGGTTCCATTGACCAGTCGCTTGTCAGGTCTGGCTCATTTCTAAGCATTCGAAGGTCCAATTCTCCTTTTACCACTTCTACGACACATCCTCAATCCTTGTCTACCACCAATTCACCACATACGGAATTCAACATGAAGTCAATTCGCACCAGCTCTGCACTGGCATCTCAGTTCTCGGCCACGACATGTTCACGAGCAGCAATTGCATCCCGCAACTCCACCTCTCCGCAAACCCGCTCATTCTTCCCGAATCCCTTTGCATCCCAAAGCCTCCAAACGTTAACAGCATCTCGCATCCTCCCTTACGACGCAAAAACTCTCTACGCAATCGTCGCCGACATCCAAAGCTACCACAAGTTCCTCCCCTTCTGCATCTCGTCCAATGTCACCAAGCAATCCTCCCCGGATGCAGAAGGAAAGACATGGCCTGAAGAAGCAGAGCTAGTCGTCGGCTACAAAGACGTCATGCGCGAGTCCTTCTACAGCCGCGTTTACTGCGCCCCCGAAGACTTCATCGTCGAGTCCGTGAGCGGAGAAACCGATACCACCGTCCCTTCTGCCAGCATCAAACACCACAGCACCCGTCCCTCGCCCGACCAAGATCCCGCTCGCAATGCTACTATCCTTACGCATCTCCGCTCTCGCTGGACATTGAGTCCTTTCCCGTACAAACCTGGTCCCATGGGTGATGAGAGGCCTCAAGAAGTCACTTCGGATATCCCGCCGAGGATGCAGACCGAGGTTAATCTGTCCATTGACTATCAATTCGCAAATCCGCTTTACACTACGCTGAGCGCGGCTGCTGCGCCAAAGGTTGCGGAGAAGATGATTGAGGCTTTCGAATTGAGAGCGAGGGAGATGTTGGATCGTCCTGCTACCAGCAAGACTGCCAAATTCAAGGGTGCCATGGGTATTCCTAGCGTTGGTGAGAAGGCAAAGGCTTAGTCTGGTTGCACAAAATCAAGAAGACGATATGTAAGATATTCATTGTATGAGTAGCTAGCTACCTTTGGGAAAATAACCGATATAATATCAATAACAGAGCATTGAAACTTGCATCCACGTACAGTCAACAGATATAACACAGCGCATAGAAAAAAATTCACAACTTCTCACAAAACCCGACACACAAAACCAATCTTCCTGGTGTTGAGGTACTCATCATCACAAAGGCTATACCACTCCACCAACGTGTGAGTGTTGAAGCAAGAAGATACAGTGTAATTTTGTCAGCAATAATTGCAACAAGGCGGACGAACGGCGAAATTCGCCAATTAGGTCGATGTATGGGTCCTCAGTTGCGACTCGCCTCGGCGGTAAGATACAGAAGGTGGTGTTGTTTACGGACGACAGGCAGGGATAAGGGTGTTTACACCAGCGCGAGGAGGGGAGTACGTTGATGAGGCTGCTTCTTGCCGGGGTCAGTGATTGAAGACAGAGGAGATGTGCAGCACTCGCGATCATGGTATCGGACACGAAAGAAGTCGAAACAATGCTGTGAACCCGATCGCTCCTGATCGACGAGCCTTATATTAGCTCCGTCATCACTTCAAAAGCAATCCAATGTTCTATACCCAATCCGAGAACCCTTCCCACTATTCACAATTCCTACTTGTCAACACCACACTTACATCCCAGGCAACCACACAACATCCACCTCACTCAATCCCGCATTGACCCACCCAATATCCCACTCAAACGTATCATTCTCCTCCTCCCATCTCTCCTGCTCCTCCTCATCCCCCATATCCTCCGGCCGCGCCGCCCCACTCCCACCAAAACACCATATCCTCTGCTGCCTATCCTCAACCTCGACCCCCAAATCCACAGGTTTCAACCCTTCCTCCGCGACCCCCAAAAATTTGATGCGATGATACCAAGCATCCCCATAACAGTCATACGTATAAAACATGTCCAACTTCCTGACTCGAGGTACTTGATGTTTACCCCAAATATCCATGAGGCGTATCTTTTTCGAATCCAAATCTTTGCGGAAATCATTGGTGCCTAGATTGTGCAAGCCCATCATGTCTTTTATATCCGTGACTTTGTAGCGAGGATGTGGAAATATGTCTTTGGGTGTTGTGGTGGTGGTGGTGGTGGTGGTGATTTGTGGAGGGGTTTGAAGGTCGAATTTCCAGAGATGGTCGCCTTCCCAGTCAAAGGCTAGTTGGATGGCGGAGGAGAATTGTTCGAAGAGTAGAGTAGATGGGAGGTGAAGTAGGCGGGTCACGGGTACTTTTGCTGATGGAAGCACCAGATGGATTTGGATTAGGAAGTTTATGTTTTTGGCGGAAGAGTTTGTTGTTAGATTTTGGGAAATGTGGATTTTGTTGATTGTGTCCTGGGTGTTGTTGGTTGTGGTGGTGTTGGTCGTGGTATTGAGGGCTGGTGCATGTTGGTTTTCGAGGTCGTAGTCATTTTCTTCCTCTTCCTCTTCGTCGAACTCTTCGTCTTCTTCATCCTCATCGAATTCTTCCTCTGGATCTTGATTTTCTTGATCAAATTCTTCTTCTTCATCAGAAGAGATTGTTTTGTGAGTGCCGGTTAGATAGTCTTCAAACGACGTGTCTCCAGATGGTCCTCCTAGACTGAAGCGCTGACGTTTTGGTTTTCTTTCTTGTGCCATATTTGAATCTAAGTCGTAAATCTAGACTCTTTTTGATGATGTTGATGTGGCTTCAGATAAATATGCACTTTGTTGTTTGAATGAAAGAGTTGTGGTCGAGACACGTGCCGTATACCTTAAGATTTGGAGGATCAATATATGAGACGTCATCGGCACACTGAATAATCTGTGTTTACTTTCAATAGGAACACTTCGTTCTCAGCCGACAACCTTCACCCTCTTGTAACCATCAATGTTCATCAACAATCATCGATACTCAGTGAGAGTATGGCTAAGCCCGATAATCCATCAGTAAAGCGCGTCGACGACATCGAGTCTCGCTTGCTCGGCCAGCGTCTTTCGAAATACCGTCTTGTCAGCAAATATCGCAATTACATTGCAACACGTCAATTTCACGAAACCTGGGATGGACATGCCGAGTTCATATTCACTGAGCACAGCCTCCGGATCCTATTCAAACTCACGGAGTCTCGCCGATGGGCCTCCAGGGTTAGGCGTATCAGCTTCAGCGCATTGCTTCTTGACTGGGACAAGATGTCCTTGCAGAGAGCCTCACGCGATCACAGTGACCAAGCTCAACACAATGATAATCCAGACGATACAACAGGTTTGCGAATGACTTTTCTTTAAAATTGCATCCTACAAAAGAGCGTAGGACTAACGGCGATCTGGCCAAATCAAGAGGTACCGGTCAAAAAAAGTGCCTGGCCTCTGATAATCTACAAAGCTCATTTTAGAGACTGGCTTTCCCTTTTGTTTCAAGCAAGATTCCTCAAAGATCGCCTCATAGCATACCTCTTCCCCTGGGTGATAAAATATACAGTGTAGAAGATTCTCAAATCTGGCATTTCAGACTCTTAACCCATGACCATACCCTTGAGGCCGGACATGTCGCCCTCCTTGGCAGCGATCTCGAAGTAAGAGTAGATGATGCTGGGATAGTTGTTAGCTGATGGTTTGTCTTGTCTGATTGAGGGCAGATCCAAACTTACGTGACAGCCATGAGGATACCAGTACCGCTACCAAGAGCGCCAACAAGATCACTGACAACGGAAAGGGCACCAATGCAGGCACCACCGAAGGCAGCAGCGGTGGGGATGACGCGCTTGAGTTCACGGTACATGGACTCATCACGGTGACCGGCCATAACGAGACCCTGCTCCTTGAGCTGCTTGGCAACATCGCGAGGGCTGGAACCAGAGACCTCAATCCAGGTCTTGGAGAAGGCGGCACAAGCAATGAGCATGTAGGCGATGAAGAGAGCGGTGTGGACGGGGTCAAGAAGGGCATCCTTGAAGTTGAGGGGAGGGGACCTGGGTGGGAGTGTTAGTAATTGCGCTGGAGACAAGAGACTCGAGCGATTCTAAACTTACATGTAGTAGACAAGACCAGAGATGGGAAGCATCTGAGAAGAGCCCTCACGAGCCTCCCAGACTCCGATCATCTTGACCAAAAGGTTGTCGCTGAAGCGAGAGTAGAGCATCTGACTGACGAGGAAGACGTTGGAGGACAGAGCCGACTGGAGCATGATGGGCATGTTGGAGGTGTAGAAGAGACGGACGGGGTAAGAACCGCGCATACCACGCTGGCGCGAGGACTTGACGGGAATCTCGACGCGGAAACCTTGGAGGTAGATGACAGCGGCGAAGACGGCAATAGTAGCGATCAAGTTCATAACGTTGGGCAGGTTCTGGCGGTAGAAAGCCTCCTTGAGGGCGAGCTGCTTGTTGGGCCAGGTGACCAAAAGGTGAACAAGGGCGATGATGGCACCCTCGAATTCAGGACCTCTGCCAGTGTTGACGGTGGTAGGCGAGAAAGCCTTCCAGACGATCGACTCGCAAATGTTGGTAGCGATGAAGAGCGAAATACCACTGCCGAGACCGTAGCCCTTCTGGAGGAGCTCGTCGAGGAGAATGACGATCAGAGCAGCGGTGAGGAGCTGGAGAACGAGGAGAACGCAGATACCGGCACCGAGGTCAGAAGGCTGGCCGTAAAGACCGGTCAGGACGTAAACGCAGGCTTGGCCGAAGGACAGGATGATGGCGAGGAGCTGCGCAAGTCAGTGCTGGCTCATCTTGACACGTAATTTCTGGATATCCTCACCTTCTGAGCAGTCTGGTAGAGCTCACGGTCGGCCTTGAGGTCAAGGTTGACGTCGATGAGGTGGGTACCAGCGAGAAGCTACCGAGTTTGTCAGATCCAAATATCCTATAGAGTTGTAGACTGCGGACATCTCTTGCGCACCTGGAAAACCATGCCGGAGGAGATGATAGGGGTGATACCCAACTCCATGAGGGTACCTCTGTTACTGGCCATCATCATTCTGAGCCAGTAGAGCGGGTCGGCGGTATCTGGGCTGCGTCAGTATCACTGTCGTGTGCGAGTTGACTTGATAGCTGCTCACCAGAGGACACAATGCCGTAGAGGGGCATCTGACCCATGACCAGGGTGATGAGCAGACATACTGCTGTCCAGATCAAGCGCTGCTGGAAGGGAGTCTTGGTCTCGGGGACGGCGATCTCGGGGATGAGGGGGGTGAAAGGCTTCACCAAGTCGAGGAATCGTACTGTGAGAGCGATAAGTTAGTCGTCATGCGACAGACGTGTCAGTTCAAGTGCTCCGCTGCGCCAGTATTGTCCGTCTCGCGATGGACCAGAGCCATTGCCGCAGAGCATCTTGTAGGGTGTAGACTCACGACCGCTCATGATGACAGTCTCTCTTTTCGAATCGTGGGGAGTGACGACGAATAGAGATGGATCAATGGGAGGAGAGAGTCAATTACCTGGCTGTTCTCCTAAAGCTCCAAGAGTGAGGCCAGCTGGCGACCGACATGCGGCTGGACCCGCAAATCTTGGCGAATCTCAGCCCTCCTCCCTCCATCAACCCCTCGATCAATCTGTCTCGCTTCCATGTTTCATGCTGAAGTCGCTGCCATCTACATGCAATTCACATGGAGGGCTACTCTCAATCATAGAGGAACACACAGGTCATATTGTATATCTAGGAGCAAAGTTGCTCCGGTCTAGGATACTTCGACCAGACTCGAGGACATTCGACCGCCATCTCAGGGCCATCGCCAAACCACCTAATCCGCGTAGTGCTTTCTGTAATACTTCTTGTGCTGTTCCAAGAAGAGGAATGTCGCAACAGTATGAGGCCCAAGTCGGATGAAAGCAGGGAGCCATCCACGGAACATCCATCTCGGTCCTTCAACTCTGTGCACCTTCTTGACTGTATGCCACATGCCGAGACGTTCATTCTGGGCCATGATCTGCGTCTTCAACACGTCAAATGGATTGCACAGTGTTGTTGCGACAAGACCTGCAAGAGTACTGGCTGCGATGTGTGTCATGGTGCCGTCTTGCATCTCAGTATGGGCCAAGATCTTGATCTTGAACACATCGTATCCGGCGAGCTGTCCTGCTGTCATCAAAACACCTCTTCCTAGATTGGGGACCATGCCTCTGAAGACACTTTGCTTCCAGCCTTCCTCTCGGACGATGGTGATGAATCCACGAACGGCATTTCCATAGTTGCGGCGATCAGCAGGGACCAAAGCAGCGTCATTTTGCATGCGGACGTTCAAGATGTCCGCTGGATTTCCAACAAGACCACCAACTAATCCAGAAATTGCAGCAAGCCCGACGAGCAGAGTATGAGGAGCTTTGACGCCGTCGTTCTCGGCCATGTATTTGAGCTTTTCGTAGGTTGCGAAGCGTGCAGTGGAATATGTGAGTTGACGCAGGAGCGATGCCGATATGCCACGGTACAGTCCAGTAATGCCTTCACTTCTGTAGACATGCTGAAATGTCTCAGCCATGTCAAGAGCTCCGTGATGGTGTTGTGCTTGTAGTCGGACCTTGACTATATCGCGTTAGTAACAGCATGCTTGCATCTGTATCAGGTACATGCCTAAGTCGAGCGGATGAGAGAACAGCGCTGCGAGAGCGGATGAAGTGCCACCGAACCAGAGAGGATACTTGATGGGACCATTGCCATAATCATTGCTTTTCACGATAGCTTTGGTGATGCCCTGATTGTCTGCCGGAAAGATAGTCATGGCTTTGGTAGCTGCTTCTGAACAATGATCGACGAAATTCGAAGAATAGTGATGATGGGTGATGGAGAGAAATTCTGCCACAAAACAACCGAGTCACTCAATCTGGACATATAGATCGTCCCACGAAGCATGTATTGTTCATCGTACCTGCGTTGTTTGACATAATATTTGGGGAAGGAGGAAAAGGCTCCTGCAAACGGGGTAACCCTGACTGAATCGTGCACTGACCGCCTCCACGCTTTCTGCCAGCCTCCAGCTTTGGTGTAACAAAGTCGCCGAGCATCGCATACCCAGACGGCACTCGAACCAAAACTTCCTATCGGGAAAGATGGTTAACCTCAGACCGCTTGGAACACTTGTTCCGGCATGCGTTAGATGCTCGAATGTCGCAAGTAAAACTCCAATTGTGTCTTGGACAATTTCGCGGCGACACAACAGCTCGGGTTAGTGGACAAACTTCTCATTTCAATGATTGCACCAAACACATCAAGATATGCTACTGTAAAAGCATCACAATTATTGTCAAAACCTCTCAGAGCATCCTCAAGGTTGCTGGTCTTAGCTGACTTTGTGCTTTCCTTTGAGCATGCAATATCAGCAAAGAATGCTCCACAATGTCTAAGACGACCGTCGTTATGATGACACTGACAGCAAATCATAGATTCCAGAGCAAAAGAGCTTACGATACATGGGAAAGTCTACCAAACAGACTCGTGGACAAATGTGCCGAGTACTATCCTGGAGTCCGTCTCACGAAAGCTGCATCAACAGGACAACCATCCAATTTCAATCACAAGAAAATTGATTGAGTCTCGTTTTCCGGGATACCGACATCATAATGAATTCTTTCCGGTTGTAACCGTGGGCCAAAATTTCGACTCCTTGGGCTTCCCAGTCGATCACCCTGGACGTAGCCGAACGGACACCTACTACATCAACAAGGATACTGTGCTGCGTACACACACATCTGCACACCAAGCTGATGTCTTCCGCGCGAACACAAGCGCAGGCTTCACCATCTCGGCCGATGTCTACCGTAGAGATGCTATCGACCGCTCACACTACCCTGTCTTCCACCAGATGGAGGGAGCCATGACATGGGACCGCAACACTGTACCCGAAGGCAAGACTCTCGCACAACAGATCTGGGAAGATGTTGAAAAGCTGCCCAAGCCCGACATTGTTGTTGAAGATCCTAATCCGACTACTCACCCCGAACGTAACCCTTTGCAGACACCGCACACTCAGGAAGAGGCAGAAGCTGTCGCTGCTCACCTGAAGCGTTCTCTGGAGAATGTGGTTGTTGAAATCTTCTCAAAGGCCAAGGAAGCCGCTGCCGCATCCACTGTTGATGAAATCCGTAACCAAGCTCAATCACAAGAACCTCTCAAAGTCCGCTGGATCGAGGCCTACTTCCCTTTCACCTCGCCTTCATGGGAGCTCGAGATCTTCTGGCAAGGCGACTGGCTTGAAGTCCTCGGCTGCGGTGTCATCTCTCAACCTCTTCTCGACAATGCCGATGCACCATCAAAAATTGGCTGGGCTTTCGGTATTGGTCTTGAGAGAATTGCTATGCTGCTCTACGAAATCCCTGACATCCGTCTCTTCTGGAGCAAGGACTCTCGTTTCTTGTCTCAGTTCGACGAGAAGAAGATTCGTCGTTTCGCACCTTTCTCCAAGTACCCCGCTGCACCCCGCGACGTCGCTTTCTGGCTGCCCAAGAGTGCGCCTCAAGATGAGGTTGTCACATCCACCGCTTCGAACACTTCTACATCACCTTCTCCTGCCGGTGGTCTTGCTTCCGAGGCAGCTGCACCTGCCCTTGCCTTCCACGAGAACGACATTATGGAGATTGTCCGTAGCGCTGCTGGAGACTCTGTCGAAGATGTCACTTTGGTCGATGAATTCACTCACCCCAAGACTGGCCGTAGAAGTTTGTGCTACAGAATCAACTACCGCAGTCTTGAAAGCACTTTGACCAAGGAGCAAGCAAACGACATGCATGAGAAGATCCGTGGAGAACTTGTCAGCAAATTCGGCGTCGAGTTGAGATAGGCAGAGTTGCTCGGAGAGAAACAATGTGTCGAGGTGATGAGAAGTCTTGTAAATTAGTGTATCACATATTTGATTTGGATTATCGCAATGCTCGTGCAATGCTACAATTCATCCAGAGTATCTTGTGTTGGGGATACCTATTATCTCACCCTTTAATAAGGGGTAATGCAGTGACATAGGAGAAGTACTATCGGAAACCTCTTCCATCTCAGCCTCCCAGCAGAGCGTCAAAATATGTGTCAAAAGGCAAGAAGTTATTTGGATTAGAATAAATGTCCGAAGAGAGTATGGGGAGTTCCTGCTCTCTGTGGACAAAGACTCAGATCTGGAAAACATGTTGCCTTTTTACAGAGGAATTCATCGGGAAGACTCGTGTTCGGAAAACAAGGCAAGCATGTATCTTTGATCCGTTTGTGTTCGCATTATCATTGGTTGATCTAGCGAGTAAATTCGCATGGAAAGTTGAAGCCGAAATATTTCAGAAGCGGACCATCCTTTCTCAGTCCGAGATTGTGCTCCTCATCGACTTTGTGTGTCAAAAACTTTTTGCCCCTCTCCAAAGATCTCCCGGAGGCATAGTATGTTGTGCGCTCTTCATGTTCTTCGCACGGGCTGAACCTTTTCAATCGTTGAGAACCAAAGCAGATCATGTTGTGTGTTTGTGAACGAACGAGACCGGTGGTCAGAGTTGCTTGTCGATGCTGCTTCTGTTGAGAGCTTCTGACAACTCGGGTCTGTCCTTCAACAAGACGATAGCCTCCTTATAGCCCATCCACCTTCTCTTGCGCTTGTGCTTTTCTGGCCACTCCTCCTTGACCTCGTCGACGGTGGCTTCGAAGAACTGGTAGGCGGCCTTGGGAGCTTGTGTCGTAAGCTGCTCCGGTTTCCGCTTCTCGGGGATCTTGCCTAGGTCGGCGTGGATCCTGCAGACAGCACCAGCTTCTTCCCAGGCCTCGCGGCAGGCAGCTTCTTCGACTGTCTCATCGACTTCCCAGCCGCCTTTGGGGAGGACCCAGCCGCCACGGCGCATGGACTGAATCAGAAGAACTGACTTGCGGTCGTTCGAGAGGGGCACAATGCCGGCTACGAGGCGCTCTCCTAGGGAACCGTAACCTTTTAAACAAGTTAGTAAAGTGGATCATTGTTGGTGAGGTTGTAGTTGTACGTACGCTGATTCTCCCTGCCGGTACGAGCCTCCATGGGCCTCTCGACACTCAGATCTTGAGTCATGGTTGCTACCGAAGCTCCTTCTTGGATGTCGATGTAATGTACGAGGCGACGACGACTGTCGGGAGTCGATTTAAAGCGCTCACGTGTCGGGTCAAATAAAGTCTAGGGCGATCAACAAAGCGGACTCGGAGGTGACGGCGGAGTGAGAGTCTGTTGTGAAAGACGGCGACAAGTAACGAGATTTGAGTCTCAGACCCGTTCGCGACGGGACTGGATTGAGGACCGGTTCAGGCTGGGAAGGCCAAAGAGACACATATTATTGAGGGTTCGAGCGAAGTGCAATGGCAACATTGTGGAGTTTTGGGGAAATTCGTCGAGACCATCCCACCCGTGGTCGCCGCCAAGTCTCTCCTTTGACCACCATCTATTAAACTATTGTCCCCCTGATTCTTCTTTGAAAGACACTTTGGACTTACCAGGTACTTACACGTCGGAAAATACTGTATCTATCTTGCCGATGTCTATAGGCTACCACATTGGTGGGATGAATTGGCATGATTCGCTGTCCGAGGATACTCCACCGTCACTGTCCAGAACTCCATAGACTTTCCATGCTCTCACATGTCTTGACCACCTATCACTTCAATCTATTTATTCTACCTCAGTTCCTTCTGTCCCCTCATCTGCCTCTCACCTGTATCGTCCGACACACCACGGTCACGCGTCTCTGCCACCTTCACTTTTTGCTTAGCCACCGACGCAGCCGCAATGCCCGCTGCCGCGACTCTCCTCAGACCAATTGGTAGGTACAGCAAAGCAATCCAATTACAAGAGCGTATCAAAACATGTGCTTTTTCGACTCCCAACAACCGGGCTCCACATAATGCAGCCTCCACTCTTGTATATTGGGCTGACATAGAAATTGTTGTAGGATACCAGCCAGGTGACATATTTTGAGGCCAACAACATCTCGGTACTGAGCTGACCATCGAACACAAAGGCGACTGTGGCTACTGCAAAAAAGATGATTCAAGTCAGAGAACCCCCAATTCTCGTGCGTATCGATCATTTGATGGGCAGCCCGCTTCATCATTCATCGTCGCCTCTTTACGCTGTCACATGCATGTATTCTGACACTCGCAGGTGGCTCGTACTACATGATCACAAAAATTCTAAGCGCCCAAGTTTACCAAGACTTGATTGACCGAGGATGGAGAAGGTAAGCTGCTGCACGTGTTCATTGTCCTGGAAGATACAGCTCGAGAGCATGAAATTCGAGATATACAAATATTTCGCTTCTCGCTTCCCAGGATATACTGTACAGTTACAAGCAGAGGACTTGTGCTGACAATTGTGAAGATCTGGTAACCTCCTATACAAACCCGATGTCTGTCGATCATGTTGCCCTCATTACACAATCAGGTGTGTATACATGTTGTTGATTCAACCCGATCTTACTGATGGATGATATAGATTGCCCGCCGACTCGCTTGTGGCAAGGAATGATCAACGAAAAGCCTTGAATAGCTGGAACAAATTTGTACTAGGGGAAGAGTACATCAAAGAGACCGCCAAGCGCTTTCCCAAGACAAAAGAGTAAAGGGAGATCATCTCAGTATCTAATCAGTTCGATTGTACTGACAGTGATGTTTTAGAGAGAAAGCTCGACAGAGAAATGGGTTCGATCTGCTTCAAACGGTTCACGAAGCAGAAAATGACAAGCTGAAGCCTGTTGAACCCGCTCACCGCTTTGAAGTCACCTTGGAACCCGACGACTGTACAGAAGAGAAGTTTCAACTCTACAAGAACTACCAGATTCACGTTCATCACGATGAGCCTGGTGAAGTCACCAAGAAAGGATTCGAACGCTTCCTCTGCAAATCGCCAATCATCAGAGAGACAGTGAAGAAGAACAGCAAAGAGCAACGCCTCGGATCATACCACCAGTGTTATCGCCTCGATGGCAGATTGATCGCTATCGGCGTATTAGATCTCCTACCACACGCAGTCAGTGGTGTCTACTTCATCTACCACCAAGACTTCGAAAAGTGGAGTTTCGGGAAACTCAGCGCGATGAGAGAGGCAGCACTGGCTCTGGAAGGTGGCTATGAATTCTACTACATGGGCTTCTACATCCACAACTGCATCAAAATGCGCTACAAGGGCGACTACAAGCCTCAATACGTGCTCGATCCGGAGACCAACGAATGGAACCCACTGGAAGGAGAACTGCGCGAGTTGATGGACAAGCAGAAATATGTCTCATTGTCTCGCGAGCATATAGACAAAGAAGAAGACAAGAGGTCTTATTTATTGGAAACCTCAGTGGAGGTATTCAAGAGCAAAGAAACTTTGTTCAAGTTGGGCATGCCTGGCATGATGAGTCCTGAAGAAGTGGAAGCACAGGTGGATCTCAGCAGAATGCGTATTCACCTGAGCAAAGGAATTACCGTGGACACAGAGGTGAATACATACTGACCCAACACAATCTGAAAGATGCTAACATAAATCAAGGATCTTGTGGCATGGGAGAGCGGAGACATCACTGACCCTAGATCAATCAAGGGCATCGTCGGCGAGTTTGCTGCATTAGTGGGACCTAGAGTCGCCGCAGCGGCCACCATGGACTTCTCTCAAGATTGATATTTGACCGTAATCAGACAACCGAAAGTGTACCAACTTCACCACAAATATTCCACTTTTTGAGAGGCCCAATGTGCAACGATGGACGATTGCGGATGTGTGTGATCCGCTGTGTCGTAGAAGTATCCGGCGTTCGTTCACGACAAGACGCAGACGAACTTTCGGCAGTAGCTACTGTCTCAGTCCTTTCCTTTCCACCTACGGAAGTCACGACACAAAGCCGACAAGCCTGGCGTTGTCTTCTCTCGCATTTGACAACGAATATCCCAATTGCTACTATTGCGGCATCGTCCTTATCATCAACTGCCTTGCATCTTCAGCCCACTACATCAACAGACGTATCATATCACCATCAACATCATCAACGATGGCTCCAGGAATTCCGAACAACTACTACGACGTGGACGAGGACATGGATACAGAAGAAAGCAACGTCCGGAACCAACCTCATCCTCCTCTCAACAGTCCTGTTCACCAAGCATTACCCATCAATGGAGGCGCCAACGGAGGCACCCAGCAAGGACAACCCGCCGATGCAGTCACCCAGCAATTCGATCCACTTGCCTCCGTTCCTCACTCAGAGTCCATCAACCAAGCCCTGTACCAGGCTTATCAGCTTCCACCACATACACCTGCCAACCAACCCCAGCCCGCAAACCATCAGGCTCCGGCCTTCACACCTTTCGGCCAACTCCAGTCTCAAGCTCATCAGCTTCCTCCGTCCCGAAATCCCGGCGTCTATGTACCCTCCACAGTCAGCAGTGGCATTGGCAGTTATACAGCACACGGAAGTGCGAATGCACAGCCACATGACAGCAGCGGTCAGTCGTCGGACATGATACTACATCCCGTTCATTCTGGACCGGCTCGTCGAGAGACACAGGCTCAACAGAACGACTTGGTGGGAACGATGGATGACATGAGTCTGGATCCTCCCACTCAAGATCCCAAATGAGGTGTTGATGAGACCAGCACTTCCTGTCAATGCTTACGCGGGTTCGAAGGAGTCTGTGTCATCTCATACTCAAACAGTCATTACGGTCATGTGCATCTCTGGTGAAGGTCTTGGTGCAAGCAGGAAACAGATGATGTCGCGTGCTCATACAAACAACCTCCTAGGACACATGCATGTCGCTCGAGGAGTCTTGAGAGGTCTGCCTCATCCAAAACACAATCTCTCAATGAGTCACAATCTTTTGCAAACGAAGCTGTATTTTGTTTTGGAGGTCTTCTTTCTTTTGATATGCAGAGTTGACTCATGAGGCTCTGAGAAGTTGGAAGTCTCGATCCAGGGACCAAGGGATCAACATGAAAGCACGGACAGAGCGGAGTTAAGGGACAAAGGTGGAGAAAACATCCGATGCAGCATTCAGTTTGGTCATTCAATCGAGCTCTACTCTAGTACATAGGACAAGGAAAACATATCCCACATGAGTAGCTCAATAGCAAGTTGCAATGTGTACAGCTCGACAGACCAATCGCCATACGATAGTGATGACTGCAGAAGGTTTCACGGGACAAACTACTGAATACCAGAGCAACGCGCGGAGAACGCCGTCTTGGTGACGTACGTGTACCTCAACTCTTTTGCGAGCCAATGGATTAGCGAATTTTGCTTGTCACAAGTGCTCGTCAATGAGATACAAGGATGTGAAGAAGTCTGAGGAAACTGATTGTAAACAAGAAGCATTTAGAGAATTGAGAACCCGTGTAGTGATGTAGATAGACGTGCAGTGTTTCGAGCAAATTTTCCAGACGACATGAAGTGAAAAGTTGCTGACCAGAAGCGACAAAGCGATCTCGGCGATCCCCACCACCGAATAACGGACCAAGGAGGACACAAAGATGAATCATAATCGCACGGACACCATTCTCCAGCTTCTTACAAAAAAGCGTCGGCACTCACATACCTATCCTGTCAAATCACCAACATCTCCATATACACCCATACAACATGTGTCCCACAGTCGACGACGGCGCTCCTGCCACCAACGGTGTTCAAGCCAATGGCTGTAAGTGATTGAAGGCCTGTATCACACTTTTCCTTCACTAACAGGCTGCACAGCTCACGATGGCTTCACCAAGTTCGAGAGCGAGAAGGTCGCAAAGCACACAGTCAACAAGAACCCCTACCAGCCCGTAGGAGACTTCTTGTCAAACGTGTCAAACTTCAAGATCATTGAGTCGACGCTGCGTGAGGGAGAGCAGTTTGCCAATGCCTACTTCGACACCGAGACCAAGATCAAGATCGCTAAGGCTCTGGATGAGTTCGGCGTTGACTGCATCGAGCTCACTTCACCGTGTGCTTCCGAGCAATCGCGTCTTGATTGCGAGGCTATCTGCAAGCTGGGTCTCAAGGCTAAGATCTTGACTCACGTTCGCTGTCACATGGACGATGTCAAGGTTGCTGTTGAGACTGGTGTCGACGGTGTCGATGTCGTCATTGGTACCAGCTCTTTCTTGAGAGAGCACTCTCACGGCAAGGACATGACCTACATCAAGGTGAGCGGTGATGCCTGAGTTGCAATCTGTTCTTCGGCCGCTGACTTTGTTTCTCAGAATGCCGCCATTGAGGTTATCCAATTCGTCAAGTCCAAGGGACTCGAGATCAGATTCTCGTCAGAGGACTCGTTCAGATCCGACTTGGTCGACCTTCTGTCGCTGTACGCTGCCGTCGACAAGGTCGGCGTGAACAGAGTCGGTATTGCTGACACCGTCGTACGTACATGGGAAAGAGCCACGACTGCGAAAATTTACTGACAAACGTCATCAGGGCTGCGCTTCCCCCAGACAAGTCTACGACCTCGTGAGAACTCTCCGTGGTGTCGTCAGCTGCGATATTGAGTGCCATTTCCACAACGACTCTGGCTGCGCTATTGCCAACGCATACTGTGCCCTCGAGGCCGGTGCCACTCACATCGACACCTCAGTCATCGGTATCGGTGAGCGTAACGGTATCACCCCTCTCGGTGGTCTCATGGCCCGCATGATCGTCGCCGACCGCGACTACGTCAAGGGCAAGTACGACCTGCACAAGCTCAAGGCTATTGAGGACTTGGTCGCCGACTCGGTCGAGATCAACATCCCCTTCAACAACTACATCACCGGTTTCTCCGCCTTCACCCACAAGGCCGGTATCCACGCCAAGGCCATTCTCGCCAACCCCTCTACCTACGAGATCATTGACCCTGCCGACGTATGTTTTGTCCACTGTCTGTACCCTGACTAAGCCTATACTAACCTTCCCCCTCTAGTTCGGCATGAAGCGCTACGTCCACTTCGCCTCCCGCCTGACCGGCTGGAACGCAATCAAGTCCCGTGTCGAGCAACTCTCCCTCACAATGACAGACGCCCAAGTCAAGCTCTGCACAGCCAAGATCAAGGCCCTCGCCGACGTCCGCCCCATCGCCATCGACGACGCCGACTCCATCATCCGTACCTTCTACTCCAACCTGCACAAGGAGACCGAGGAACCCCTCCTCCCCAACATGACCGAAGAGGAGAAGAAGAAGTTTGAGCAGAAGCAAAGGGAACTCGCCGGTGTTCCCGAGAAGCGCGAGCTCGAGGACAAGGTCGACGCCGAGGCCGAGGTTCCTCAGGCCAAGAAGACCAAGACTGATGCTGGTGCATAGATGTGCTTTGCTGGCGATTGATGATCTTTACTGATCATTGACCTCTTGCTTGTCACTCTTCTCCAACACCATCTCATCCCGCCCTGAGAGGGACTTTTGGTAGCCGCCAATCCACATTGGAAGGGCGAAAAAGAAAAAAAAAGGCGTTTTGCTGCTTTTCCTTTTCTTTCATCTCATATATTTATCACGAAGGTCATGGGACACATCCGAAGGGGGAGTTTTTTCCTTTATGCGTTTTTGTTATATCACGCCCCACCAGCTTTGTACTTTTTTCTTTTCTTTTTTTTTGCATCTAGATCTTATCTTGCACCCATCTTCTTGTGAATAGAGAGGGTCGAATATGAAAATGAAATTTGCAAAAATACTCTTCCCTAGTTGTATCAAACTGTTACTGTCATGATTGTCGCTAGTTTCACCAAAGCATGCCTCCCAGAACCGCTGCACAATGTATTCGAAGATGAGGAAGAATAACTTTAGGATTCAACAATGTGCGACTGCCTAGGAGGTGAAGTAAAATACAAAAACAACGAAACCCAAGCCCAAACTTCTTTCTTCCAGTAAAGAACAACTGAAGCCTACCGAATGACCATGGCAGACTCCTTCTCCGCTCCGTGCAATCCCTCAAGAATGTCGCTCCCTCCAAGACTGCCCATAAGACTGATGCTTACTCCCACAGGCGTCAGTGGTCCATTGCGATCTGACGTCGGATCCTCGCTCCAGACCTCATGGAACTTGATGCTCGCCTCGCTCGAGGCTATGACCAGGCAGCCTTCTGCACTTGTCCGTCTTGCATACCATGGTGTGCCTTCTCTTGCTGATGACCCTCCAGTTCCTTCGACATTCATTGATGCATCTGGTCCGCCTGGAAATCCAATGGCCCAAAGAGCACGTTCTTCATTTTGCTAAGGAATCCGAACGATACATTCACATGTCGGCCATGAGAAGACCGCCACACGGATAAGATGATCCGGCTGTGTGAATCCAAAGGTAGCAGCAATTTCCCGACGAGTACGACTCCAGATCAAGCTCGTCACTTGTGCCGAACAATCAATGGTTGCAAGTTTTGCTCCTGATGTGGTGTGGTAAAAGTGAATGCAACGGTCATTACTACCACCACCCGCTGCCAGTAACGATGGCTGCCACGGACAGAATGCCAATGCTTTTACTGCCGCATTCAGCAAGTAGCGGTGGTTTTCTCGGCCGGGCAAGATTCGTAATGCTTCGTCTTGACCTGACGGCGAGTTGTAGACATAATCGTGATGCACCATGATCAGAGGTGTTGTCTTTGGATCTTCGTAATGCAGAATCCGTCGTGTTTCGAAGATGAACATTGCGTTATCATTACCACCCGATGCAAAGTATTGGCCGTCAAGACTCCAGGCCAGTCCACAGATCTGTTGCGTGTGAACATCAAAGCGGGCAAGAACAGTCATGCTGCCAGACCAAGCAAAAATATCCACATCATTCTCGGGTGGCCACTCCACTGAATACAGGTAGACATGGCCATCTTCATCACCGACGAGAAGATACTCGGCCTGCACACTGGTTCTTGGATGCCTGGCGGATGCTCTACGGAAGGTCCGAGGGCTGAAGCAGACACACGATATTGCCGAGCGATGAGTGTAATCGAGTCGTGGGCCCAGTTCCGATGGAGACCAGAGTGATATGTGCCCATCGGCTCGACCAACAGCTAATATGGACTTTCCACCTTCTGTTGACGAGAACGAAAGCGATGTGACATGCCCAGAGAATGGTGGTGACAGGTTGTCCGGGGTCTCGACTCCTCGACTCTCGGACCAAGTATACACCTGCGTTCCGAGACCGACGGCAAGACACTTTGCAGTATCCGAGTATGCCAAGAGAGAACAGTAATAGTCGTCGCGGAGAGCCGGCGCATCTAGGACTGTGTGGTAGGTCAGCATTGATGAGAAGTCAGGTACAGACGGGTAAACATATCTGAAAGGAATGATCGGAACAGTCTTCTTTGGTCTGGTGCGTGGACGGTGCACTATGTCCAGCATGGGTCAGCTATGGCTTGCGTGAAGCAGCGAACGACTCACGTGGAGGAGAACCAGGTTTCGTCCATGCATTGTCCCGCCAGATAGTCGGGCCAAAGCGAGCAGTGTCGATGTTGGGTGAGCTTACAGGAGATCTTGGACCAGATCCATGGTCCAGTACTCGGTTGGCTTGATCAAAGTCCATCGCAGCACCCACACGTTTTCCATGCATGTGTAGCCAATCAGGATTGTCCTGCACGTTGTCGGAGAAATCGCATCTGACCATAGGCGCGTTCGTCCCGCTGGTGGTGTGACCACCTCTACCGTTGCTCGTACTTCGAACTCCGTCCGTTGGCATTGCTGAAGATGGCCCTGCAATATTCCATGCACCACCTTGACCCATCTCCCGAACAGGGTCAAAAGGATCGACACGGCTAGTCATGAACGAGGTCGGAGCCCGAAAGAGTCTGGGAACATCTGGTGATGCAGGTTCTGGTCGAGTGACCTTTGTTCTTGCTCCGAAGGCATCAAGGGCATGAGATTCTCGACGATTCCATCTCTCATGGAAGCTCAATTCTTGCGGTGGACTGGAGGTTATGTAGCGTTCTCGAGCGTGGAAATTGGGATCTCTAGCGAAAATAAAGCGATCGGGTGCTTTCGAAGGCCTGACATTCGGGCGATATTGATGCATGCGTAGAGAGGGCCGACAAACGAGTGGATCGACTGGCTGAGGTGTGTAGACGACATCTTCCATAGGGTCACTTTCTGGAAGGTCATGGTCGATATCAATATCCATGTCATCATTACATCCATCTAGAAAGGGGCAGACAGGTGGTAGAGGTGCTGGCTTGACAGAGATCGGAGAGACGCGACGGTCCGAACGACGAGTGGCCAGCCATGAGCCTGGAGCCGGTTTCGAAGGTTGCTAAGTCTTTGAAGCGGGCTGAGCACCGAGTCTGATGTTCTCACTGGACCTCTGCTGAGATGGGAACATGATGCGACCATTTGCAGAGGGTTGAGCGTTTGAGAGGGCGACGGGGACGGAAAGAGGATAAGGCATGGTCAAGGCAGATGAAACCAACGGCGCTTGGGAGTGGTCTCGGGAGGAATAGTGCGGTGAGAAGCAGAAGTCCTGCGTTGGTTGGAAGAAATATCAATGGGATGAGATGGGATGTGGAAGGGCTTTTGCTTTTGCTTTTGCTTTTGCTTGGATGGATGCAGAGTGAAATGTAAAGACAGGTGCTTGAAGAAGGTGCGAACAGGATAACGCGCTTTCACTCTCACGGTGAATGGACCGACTTTGACGTCCTGATTCGACTCAAAGAAGCGACGATGTTTCGTTCGAGGCTTCTTGGGAGGTGGATTCTTGGGATGTCGAAAGTGGTGGCTCCGGTTTGAAGCATCCGCCTTCGCGCGCATGAAATAAGCTAGACTTTATTGCTACACCAAGCAACCACACATATCAAGATACTAATAGGAATATGAGTGTAAGTGACAGTGAATGAGCGAGAGGGCGAAGGTGGGAGCTGATGAATGTTCAGCACGGCGTGCCCCGCGTCGCGGTCGGCGAGAAGACGGAAGCCTCGCGCAGGAAGGAGCTGAAGCAGATTGAAGCGTACCAGGGCCTGGTCGACAATGTACAAGCAAAGGTGATTATCTTGTCCCTGATATTCAGCTATATCCCAGATCTCTGACCATGTCGGCGACAGATCAAGGCAGAGGAATACACGGCCGAAACGCTGAGCTTGACGTCTGCGCTGCTCAGCCAGAACCCCGAATACTACACCATCTGGAACCACCGCCGACTCGTCCTTCAACATGTCTTTGCCAAAGAGATCCACTCACCGCCAGCTGAAGATGCTGAGTCGAAGCCACCGCCAGGCCTGACGCCAGCCCAACACGAAATTACTCTCCTGATCCGCGAAGACCTCGCTTTCCTCCTCCCGTTGCTCAAGCAATTCCCCAAATGCTACTGGGTCTGGAACCATCGCGCATGGCTCCTTCAACAAGCCTCGCAGTACCTGCCTGTCACATCAGCCAAGCGCCTGTGGCTTGAAGAGATGGCCCTGGTCAGCAAAATGCTCAGCTACGACTCGCGCAACTTCCACGGTTGGACCTACCGCAGAGAAGTCGTCAAGTCCATAGAGCTTCTCTCCGCCCAGGAACAACTATCGGCCCTTGAGCTTGACGACAAGACAGAAGAGAAGAAAGAGAAGAAGCCAGATCAGTCAATGACCGAGTCCGAGTTTGCATATACCACTAAGATGATCAACACGAATCTGTCAAACTTCTCCGCCTGGCACAACAGACTACAGCTGATACCCAAGCTCTTGAAAGAGAGAAACGCAGATCCTGCTGCGCGCAGGAAGTTCCTGGACGACGAGTTCGAACTCATCATCACTGCTCTTTACACCGATCCTGTTGACCAAAGTCTATGGTTCTACTACAACTACCTCATGACGAATCTGTCTCCCAAGACGTCTCCTGAGTTGAGAATCGTCGCTGATCTGACAAACAAACATCGCATCGACTATCTTGACACACAGTTCGATCTGCTGAAAGACATGCTCGAGGACAACAAGGACTGCAAGTGGATCTATCTAGCTCTGGTCACATACACGCCCGAGTACCTCGAAATCGACGCTGGCAACAAGAAGATCACTACACTCGAACTGTCAGACTGGCTCGACCAACTCGATCAACTAGATCCTTTGCGAAAGGGTAGATGGTTGGACCTGAGAAAGTCGTTGAATCTATAATGCCTCTAGATACCTTTGATCATGCAACTTTAACTTATATACACGAAAAGTTTTGAGCACTACTTGCTCGCTCAAGCCTTCCATCTGAGCATCGTGACCGAGTGCTTGGGGAAAGTGAACTCGCCCTTGCTGTCCCATTTGGTTTCCTTGATGACAACCTCCTCCTCGTTGCCGTTCGTGTTGGCAACCATGGGGTGCTCACCAGTGACAGTGTAAACAGTGACTGAGTCGCTGCTGACACCCTCAAGCTTGGTAGAAAAGTCCTTGCTATCGCTGACGTTGACGACAGCCATACTGACAATGCCCTCCTCATTGATGGTAGCAGAAACATCCAACCAGGGAGTCTCGATAGTACCACGGATCCAGCTGGGCTCGGTCTCGCCCTCGTACTCGCCACAGCGAACATTGACAGCCACGGTCCAGCCGCGCATGTACTTTGAGAACAACAGTAGAGGCCACCAAGTCGTCTGCTTGAGAATACCCTCCTTGGTGGTCATCAGAGGAGAAATGACATTGACACTCTGAGCAATGTTTGCCATGCCAATGTACTTGGCTTGACGAATGAAGACGTTCAACCAGACTCCGACAGCCAGAGCATCAGAAAGCGTATACTTCTCCTCAGCACCAATGTCACCAGGGGCACGAACAGGGTCCCAAACATTCCACTCGTCAAAGCAGATGGTAGGTGCGGGAACCGTATACGGTACCTTGTTCTCGATTCTCACCAGATCAATCAAGCCTCCAGTAATCTCAATAGCACGCTCAGCACTACGCGGCGCTGTTGCGTTCTTCAAGTGGTCGTTTGAAGCTGTGTAGATGTGGATACTGTGCATGTCGATGAGAGAGGCTGTTGTGCTGCCGCCCAGAGTGTGAGTATCCCATTTCACGCATTCCTTGAGGACGTAGCTGTCCCAGGTGCTGTAGCCGGTTTCTCCGCAGAGGATGAGGATTACACTCGGGTCTAGCAGTTTCATGGCTTTGGCCCATTGGTAGGCCTTGTCTGCGTATGCTTCCTTGGTCATTTGACCGACTTGCCAGGGTCCCCACATCTCGTTTCCGAGAGCCCAGTATTTGACCTGGACAGAGTCAGAATTGAAGGGTTTCAGCTCAACAAGTTCCACTCACGTTGTATGGCTTGTCGCGGCCATTCTTGCGTCTAAGATTGGCGTAGTAGGTGTTCTTGTCAGAGTTGCAGTACTCCAACCAGCCGAGAGCTTCGTCAAGTGTACCAGTGCCGAAGTTGAGAGCAAAGTAAGGCTCGGTGCCAACAACCTCGCACCACTTCAGAAACTCATCAGTTCCGAACTCGTTGCTCTCCTCGCCAAGCCAAGCAAGTTCAGGTCTACGATGGTCAACTTCGTCCGAACAATCTAGTAACTGATTGCATCTCACCTAACAGGTCTTTGGTCCTTAGGGCCAACACCATCGAGCCAGTGGTATGTGGCTACAAAGTTGCCACCGGGATATCTGACAACGGGGCAGTTGAGGTCCTTGAAGGCTTCAATGACATCCTTGCGGAAGCCATTCTCGTCTGAAAGAGGGCTACCAGGTTCGTAAATACCGCCGTAGATACAGCGTCCCATGTGCCTTTGGAGATGTCAGATGTATTTCTTGATATCACACGTAACCAGATTTGGGACATGGTGAACGATTCAAGTTCATGGGAATTTACATACTCTGTGAAACCTCCATAGACATTGTCATTGATCTTTGCGATCTTGTTAAGGTGGTTAACCGAAACCACAGGGGTCTCAGTATCCGGGATCTTGGTAAAGGTGGCCATATTGAAAGACGGGAAGGGACGATCAGGTGGTTTGCAATATTCCGTCCGCTTTCAAAAGTCCTCTGGTCTTCAACAAGGAAACAAAGCAAGCCAAAGGAGGTACGGAGAAAAGATACCTACTGAATTCCAGGAAAGCTTCAGTCCTAAATCGTCCTCCCTATTCACCACATGATCACAAGTACAAGGAGGAGCAAATTAATCGTGGCCCACAGTTTCACCTCAGGGCTTCGGCATCTCTGCTATTCAGGCGTGTAGCGAAAGGGCCGAGTCGCTGCGAGAACTCTGATGCTGCAGGATGCATGTTACAACTCGCCAATAGAGTTGCTGCTTTACTCGTAATTAACCGCGATGGCGCTTCGTCGTGCGGTTAATGGTCTGGTGATCGTCTATATTCAAACGGTACTGACTATCAGATGTTCAAGTCGTTCGCCAAGGCGCGAGATCCTCCATGGCTCCTTCTCGAGATGAGATGGGACAACTTGGCAGGTACGCGGTGCCGAAAATGACCGGAAGATTTGGCTGATGGTCGGTAGATACGGTTGATGTGCACAGCCTTACCCAAGAGCAGCTCTGATACCGAACTGTTCAGCCTTCGAAAGTTGATATGCTGATTAGGGTTTCACGGCATGATAGAGTTCTGTGTGGAGTTTCTCCGGCCGGCGCCTTTACCGACTCCATGTTTTCTCCTCCACTCTCCACGCGACCTGCACCACACTACCCCACATCACCGTCTACTTGACCTCGATCTAAGCCGTTATGGAAGCTCTAGGTTCGAATAGGCGACACAAACCGACTGTTAGATGTATGGGGAGTCCCGCCGGGGAGGCGTCTCCCAGATGTTTGTAGCGCCACCCACGAGACCTAACCACTGCATCGAGCTGATGAGATGTGAGTCTTGTTGCAATAGCGGCATCAATATCTGCCGTAGACAAGGAATGCGTCCGGTTGGACGGAATGGCAGCCTACTGTTTAGATCGCCCATGAGTTATATATCAGAGCAACAAGCCCCCCATGGGGACTGACTCTTTGATCATCATCCCTTCTCCACTGTTTGTTTCTCTATACTCACATACAGTCATGGCTCTTCCACCAAAGTGGTATCAGTTCCTCGTCTCAGTCTTTGCCTCCTTGGGCTCAGTACTTTACGGTTATGATCTCGGTGTCATCGCTGGAGCCATTGGCTCCAAGTCCTTCAACTGGGAATTCAACCCCAATGCCAACGAGACTGGTGCTGTCGTCAGTGTGTTCACTGGTGGTGCCTTCTTCGGCGCATTCTTCGCCGGCCCCATTGGTGACAAGCTTGGTAGAAAGATGACTATCTTGATCGGTTCCATTGTTTTCCTCGTTGGTGGAGCCCTCCAAACTGCTGCACAAAATCTCCATTACCTCTATGCTGGTCGTGCCATCGCTGGTCTTGGGTGAGTTACTTCGAAAACAAGGGCCTCATCGAATAGTCACTAACCTCGTTATAGTGTCGGCATGCTTGTCATGATCATCCCCCTGTACCAAGCCGAATTGGCTCACCCCAGTATTCGTGGCCGTGTTACATCGCTGCAACAGTTCATGTTGGGTATCGGTGCTTTCGTTGCATCCTGGGCCGCCTTCGGTTGCTACACCTCATACGGAGACCGCGATAGCAGGCAATGGAGAATTCCCTTGGGTATCCAGATGCTCCCCGCCGTTTTGCTCGCAGCCCTTATCCTGTTCTTCCCTGAATCTCCCAGAGTACGTATCTCGTCTTCGTAAAGTACGACATTCCTCTAACATACAACAGTGGCTTCTTTCCAACGGACACACCGAGAAGGGTCTCCAGACTCTCGCCAAGCTCCACTCCCACGGCAACACTCAAGATCCCTGGGTCGTCGCTGAGTTCGAGTCTATTCAAGATGCTGTTACCTACGAGAAAGAGCACGAGGCCAAGTCATACGCAGAGCTCTTCACCAACAAGTCAAGCTTCCGTCGCTTGTTTATTGCCGTCGCTCTCCAGGCTTCAGTCCAGATGACCGGTGTATCCGTCATTCAGTACTACAGTGTTGAGATCTTCGCACAGATCGGTATCTCCGGAGACGACACCCTCAAGTACCAGGCCATCTCTTCCCTTATCGCTCTGCTGGCACAGTTCTGCTGTCTGATGCTCATCGACAAATTCGGTCGTCGCTGGCCTCTTATCCTCGGTAACATCGGTAACGCTCTCTGCTTCATCGTCGCTACCTGCCTCCTCGCCAAGTTCCCTCCGGATGCCGAGAACCCATCAAACTCCAACAAGGGCGCCGGCTGGGGCTTCATCGTCGTCGGATGTTGGTTGTACAACTTCTCCTTCTCGGCCACCTGTGGTCCTCTGTCGTGGATCATCCCTGCCGAGATCTTCGACACCAGAACACGTTCCAAGGGTGTCTCCATCGCCACCATGGTCTCCTTCGCCTTCAACACCATGATCGGTCAAACCACCTCTGTCGCCATCAAGGCCATCGGCTGGCAATGGTACATTGTCTTCATCGTGTGTAACTTCACCAACGCCCTTTTCTTCTGGGCCATCCTTCCCGAGACCGCCGGCCGCCCTCTCGAGGAGATGAACTTCCTCTTCACAGAAGCTCCTCTGTTTGTTCCTGGAACTGCTGCTGCTGGTCGCAAGGGCTTCGCTACTGGCGAGCTCGAGAGACGTGTCGAGGAGGTCGAGAGAAAGGGTTCTATTACCATTCATCATGAGGAGACCGAGAAGGTTTAGGAGGTCTTTTGGTGTGATGTTCTAGAGCCTACGTGTTTATTACACTGGCTAGATAATTTGGACGCATGAATGAAGATATGAGTTGTTAATTATGCATTGATCCTTCTTCTATTTATGCCCCTCGTGACGTCTGGTATGCGCGGTCATCTGTAGCCGTAAATTTGACTCATGCATGAAGTCTTTATTTCATTCAAGACTTTGCGATAACAACTTTCTGGAGGTCGCGACTATATCGCTCTCAGCTCCAACGCGGCCTCTTGAATCAGCTGTCGAGAGGCAGGATGATTTTGGTAAGTAACAGGACTTGTGTCCAGAGAGAGCGCGCAAAGGATATGCTCTCTACGGACAATCTGAACAACAAGAACACTCTGTGCCTTTCATCAACTGTGTCCAAAACCTTGCTTGCTAGATAGAAGAGATCAAAATCATTTACAAAGCGTGTGTATACATAATATTCTATCGTCAAATGTGTGATCTGTATAAAACTGCGAGCACCCCGGCTGTTCAACCCAGATATCGTGTCTAGCTTTTGCTTTCCTAGCCCGATGATGTAAATTTCTCGCTAAGAGTCGATGCTCAGAATAGAGGTGATGGTGTTCTCAAAGGCGATTTCAAATTGGTTATGCGTGGTGCGCCAGGCGCTGAGAGTTGTGCGGAAGAGGATGGGATGGGCGAGTCGAATTTATGAGATGGTGGCGATGTAAAGGCGCAAGGTGGTGTCGAGGGGCGATATTGGGCCAGGGATGCAGGATAGGGTGCGGATGATTGCGAGGGCTCGGAGTAGAGTACAAAATCGTGTCCGGGATGCTCGATGCTTTGGCGAATTGTTGAATCGCTATGATATTGTTCTTGGCCGCTGTTTCTTTGAGAGTTTTCGGCAGTATTTTGTGTATATGCCTGTGGACCGGATTCCTTTTTTACTGGTCTCGACGGATCGCATTCAGACAAGAAAGTTGTGAGCTCATAGAGCGACTGCTCGATCACGCATGCCTCTGAGGTAAGCTGTTCCGGCCAGTATGACTCAAACGCGTCCCAGAGCTGAGTAGCTATTTTTTTGTGACGATTTCTTTCATGCCATTCGGGAATTGCATTACCGAGCATTGTATGGCATTTGACAGCGTACAAGCAAGGCAGGAGCGGCTCTTTCAGTAAGCTGCGTGTCTCTTGAACACACTCTGCAAAAGCGTCTCTCTGGTAAAGATCATCTAAATTCTTCAGCCGATTGCTCCACTCAGCGCTGGTGGTTGCTGCCATCTTTGTTATAGGCTACAAAAAACTGTGGAATATGCTGTTAAGCAACTCCAGCAGCAGTTTTGACGCAGAGGACAGGATGACTCTAAATTACACTGGTGGCTCTGTGATGAACTCGGGGTTCGGATCGACTGGATAGTTCGAGGCGATAAAGCGAAGGTGGGTGCGACGAGCGCAATACGGTGGTGGGAAAATCGCTGATGGGATATGTAATGAACGCTGATGGAAGAGACTGTGCGACTGCTTTTTATTTCGAAAAACCCGTCTTGTGAGTCAAGCTATTCGGTCTGCTTGCCATGTGCTTCACGGTGTATTGAGCGTGGCCGTATGCGCATATTTGGTCATTTGTCTCAGATTTCCTGATGGAACTGCCAAAACCGGAGCGTCTGTAGGTCGACCACTGCCATCAGCACCCTTATAAAGCGTTAGCACTCGTGAAAATGGCCATCGCACATGGTGTACCCTTTGTATACTACAACTATCATGTTTGGCGTCATGAGTGCCATGATGTGCTCTTTCGCGCTGTCTTTGCAACGCAACAACGATAGTAAAACGAACCAGCCATGAGATTTATCCAAGACATTCCGGGCAAGGATTGTCGATGGGACACTGTATGACATGTCTTGTCAATATCATCCTCGTTGTGCCATCGATGGCAGGAGCGAACGCATCGAACGCGCACGTGATGGGGACTGTAAGCTGGAACACACTCAGCGGGGAACAGTGTCTGTCACTTACTGAATGCATCGGATGGTAGATCGAAATTACTCTCTGTGTGCTTATATGCGAGCTCAAATTGCTCGTGTAGAATGGCAAGGCATCAGACAAATAACTGACGACGCTGGGCAGGATGGAAGAAGACTCCAGCACAGATTGCTTGAGCGGTCGGTCAGGCTGTGCCTTGGTTCTGAAGGGCTATTTCTTATGGACGTCAATCATAGAGGAAGACATAGCAACATAGTTAGCGGCTTGGAAGGGATATCCGAGAACAAATCATTGTAAGGCCAAGGGATGTCGAAACCCAGCATTTGTTTGTCGAAGGTGATCCCCAGCTCTTTGTGGCCTAGTATGGATATCTGACGGCGATTTACTGTTGTGCGTCTCTTGTGCATCGTAGCAAGATCATTTGTTGTTGCTTCTGTCAGAAGCTCTTTAAGCAGAGCGAAGAAGTCACTCAGCAGATCATTATTTCCATGCTCTCATCGGCCCGTGTTAGGGTGGACGTTGCTTCACGAGGCCACCGAGTTGATAATCGAATCTATCACGCAAGCAAGTGATGTTGGTCGTTCGGCGAATGTGTCCAATCTGACAAAAAACGTCCTCGTCGCTCAACCCGTCATTTCCCGACCAGCCGCGAACCTTGCGGGGTGGCTGGGGATTCTTGACACACGCTCACGTGCACACTTTAATCGAAGCCTCCCGTCTTGAGGAAGCAGCGGCTCAAGTCTTGCGACTGCATCTCTTGAACATGCTTCGCTTCACTTCGACGCCCTGCAAGACTGCGTCTCGATTCTTACCTGCATATTAACAGCATGTCGAGAGCATGGCAAAATCTTCACCATCGCCTCGGCTATCTGTCACGCCAGTAGCAAAACTCTCTTATCACTTGGCAAGGCATACCAAGACTGGCAGTGCATGTTGCCCAGAGAGTCGGTTCGCGGATCCCCCCTCAACAGCACCAATCGTTGTGAAACTTTTGTTTCCCTCCGAGTTAATCCTGATAAGCTGGCAGAGTTTGAACGGTCTCGGCCACTTTTTCGAGTAAATGGTCACATTTCAGCGTCACATCAATGCCTTCCGTGAAAATTCGCCGTCGACAGACTTCGCGGTAGGGCGTCCACGGCGTGACAGGGCGCATTCCTGGCTTGCAAGTACATCCTTGGCGCTTACAAGTAACAATGTGATAACACTTTGGGGTCATGGAAAAGGAACATCTTCAATAGTCCACCGGGTGACCTCTCCTTTGGCTGATAAGAAGAAATATCTCTTCAAGAAAAGCCATGGCGCTCTGGGCAAAGATATCAACGTAGACTCAATTGCTTCTAATAACCTCTTTGTATCCCTTTCGTCAAGTGCTCCTCCCTCTCTCCTCTCATCCTTCAGCGCACTAGAGATTTTCCATTAGTGAGAGATTGCTCTTTCTGGCGGAAATCCTGGTCCCCACGTTGACCAATTGCTGGGCATCTTGCTTTTCATCCTTTTCCGTACGTAATACCTCCTCATTCTCCAACGTACCGGTCCTGCTTTAAAAGAACCCCAGATCTGATCACATTTCTTCTCCAGATTCCCCACAAACCCCACATCTTGAGCATCTGGTAGTACCATCTTCATCATGGCTTCCTACGAGAAAGGAGGCGCCGATCCTGAGATCGCGAAGGGCGGCTATGAGTATGACAACCAAGACATTACTGCCGTCAAGGAGGGAACTACGAACGAGATTCCTGGAGAGCAGCTCCAGCGTGGTCTTCATTCTCGTCAAGTCTCTATGATTGCTATCGGTAAGACAGAGTGACCCTCTGGAACGCGACGTAAACTGATCAGACATAGGTGGTGCACTCGGTACTGGTCTCATTATCGGAACTGGCAAGGCTCTTGCCCAAGCTGGTCCCGGATCTATCTTGATCGCGTACAGCTTCGTAGGACTTCTTGTTTGGATCGTCATGGCCGCAGTGGTATGCTACCTTCTTTGCTATTTTAATGAGATTATTCAAGCTAATAAAATCTCAGGGTGAAATGGCTGCTTGGATTCCTGTTGCCGGTGGTTTCTCTCCTTTCGCTACTCGTTTCTGCGACCCTGCTCTCGGCTTTGCTCTCGGTTGGACGTACTGGTTCAAATACATCATCGTCACACCCAATCAGTTAACGGCTGCGGCACTGGTCATATCGTATTGGGTCGACGCAGACAAAGTCAATCCGGGTGTCTGGATTACGATCTTCTTGATTGCTATCGTTGCGATCAACTATCTGGGCATCCGCTTCTTCGGTGAATTCGAATTCTGGCTCTCGTCTATCAAAGTACTGGTAGTTTGCGGCATGATCATCCTTTCCCTCGTCCTCGCTCTTGGAGGCGGTCCAGACGGCGACAGGAAGGGCTTTAGATATTGGAAAAACCCTGGTGCATTTAAAGAGTACAAGGGTGAGGGTGCAACTGGTCGTTTCCTCGGATTATGGAGTTCGATGGTCACAGCCGTTTTCGCGTACCTTGGAACCGAATTGGTCGGTGTCACAGTTGGTGAAGCAGAGAACCCTCGCAAGACCATCCCTAGAGTCAGTAAAAGCCTGCCATGTTACTGCGATCAAGTCACTAACCATATTCGCAATACAGGCCATCAGATTGACCTTCTTCCGTATTGTCTTCTTCTACATCTTGTCCGTCCTTCTGGTCGGTATGATCGTTCCCTACAACAGCCCTCAGCTTGCCTTTGCTACCAAGCAATCCAACTCTGCCGCTGCCTCGCCTTTCGTTGTCGCCATCCAGCTTGCTGGTATCAAGGGATTGCCTGGATTCCTGAACGCCTGTATCTTGCTTTTCGTCTTCAGTGCTTGCAACTCTGATCTGTACATTGCCAGTCGTACTCTCCACGGTCTCGCTCTCCGTGGTCAAGCCCCTAAGTTCCTGGCCAAGACCGACAAGCGTGGTGTTCCTTACTACGCCCTTGGTCTTTCGACCTGTTTCTGTCTTTTGGCCTACATGAACGTCTCCGCAAGCAGCAAGGAGGTCTTCGGTTACTTCGTGAACTTGACTACCATCTTTGGTCTGCTCACCTGGATTTCCATCCTCGTCACCCACATCTACTTCCGCCGCGCATGCAAGGCCCAAGGTGTCACCCCCAAGCAATTGCCTTACGCGGCTCCCCTAGGAGCATGGGGTTCCTATTTCTCGCTTTTCTGGTGCTGCTTGATTGCCCTGACCAAGAACTTTGCCGCCTTTACTCGCGACCCCAAGACCTACGGCAACTTCGACTACAAGAACTTCATCACCGGGTACTTGGGCATTCCCCTTTACCTCATCCTCCTCTTCGGCTACAAGTTTGTGAAGAAGACTAAGGGTATCAAGCCCCACGAAGCTGATCTGTTCACTGGTAAGGATGTCTTTGATCGTGACGAGGAGTATTGGAAGGCTGTTGAGTATGAGAAGGATGCCAAGCGTGATGGAAGCTGGTTCTACAGAACTTTCCTCTCTTGGCTGTTCTGAGCTATTCGCTTTGTTAATGATTGGACGCGGAAGGGAGATGAGGTTGATTTCCTTGTTACGAAATGTTCATCTCATAGGTCACGATATTGTACACTTTTAGTCTAAAAACTCGAATCTCAAACGTTGTTATGATCACGCTACTTTAATATCGAGCATCGAATCCAAAAGTTTTCATGACACAATCGGATCCCCGCGGCTGGTGAGGCCACAATTAAGCCTGTAAAAAGGCACGAAGTTTTTGGTACTATCTATGTTGTCCAGAGAGAGCACAGAAAATACACGCTCTCTCTGGACGAGTCTTCGTTACGAAAAACATTCTGCATTTTGACAGCTGGATCAGAAAGGGGCTAAAGAGGCTGAGAGCTCGGTTGTAGCAACATGTGCCCCTGAATCCAGGTCATTATCAATCATAGAACTTCTGATGTACTCCGGCAATAATCTCGCCTTCTCTTCTTTCATCAAGACCCGTTCTGAATCTATGATCTTTGGCAATTCTCGCTCTGGCCCACTCTATGTGCACTCATTAGCAAGCAGCTCATTAGAAAATTGTTAGAGGATGTCATTACCTTCAGCAGTGACGCCTCTTGGCACATCTTCGGTGCTAGATTGTAAACCTAGACGCTGCAATAGAGGGCTCTCTACAGGTGCAAGCTCTACGTCGGCTTCAGGGCGTGCGAAATATATCAGACCTAGTCTAGGCTTATCGGCCTGATCAGGTGGAGGGCGGATAACTCGGTGGACGGTCGACTTTAGATAACCGCCACTTAGGAACTCCAGTGCATCTCTAAAGGGAAGGTAGAATTAGCAAAGTCCTTTAAACGAGTGAGATGCGGTACTTGTTCAACAAGCTGGCCCACACATTAAGTTCGACATCAACGAGACATTGTCCTAGACCCCGTCTCATCGATGCTAATCAATTTTGCAAGGCCAACTCGCTGTCTTTGTACCCTCAGCTTACGTACGCAACATTCACAATGATGGTGTCTTCGAAAGACTTGACGTACTTCCAGCCCTCAGGCGTCTGTACCTGGAGTCCCGAAACGGGCTGATGGAAGAGGAAGGTCAAGGTATTGTAGTCCGTATGACCCTTTGCCCAGATGTTGTTGACGGCGGCATCTTCTGCTTCAGTGCGTGGAAAGTATTTCATGTAGCGTAGGTATTCCAGGCCCCTAGCTTCGTACCTATGTCGACTGGCGAAGTAACTCTCATCGATCTCCAAAACATAGGCAAACAGGCGTAGTAGAGGCAACAGCACTTGATTATGCACATGCTGAATGCTGTCAGTGCTATGCGTATATAGGGCCAGTAACAAGTCTTACCAACGAGAACTCCTTGATTTCATCAAAATGGTCTTGAATCAGTTTGGGATGGGACCTCTCGTGCTCAGGCGTAAATTTGGGGATGTTGTATCTCTCATCATTGTCTCTTGCTCCAAGTTCACCTGTTGAGCGAGGCTTGTATCCGCGGAAGTCGCCAGCTTCAGTGTTTGCGATACATCGTAATTTCTCCTCGAGTGGAAGGTTGAAGAGCTCTCTTCCAATACTGTATTGTCGCTTGATCTGGTCTCCGGTCAAGCCATGCCCTTTGACGTAAAAAAATCCTGATGCTGTTAATACAGATTTCGATAGATCATCGTTGGTGCGATACCATTTTTGTTGACAAACGAGAGCACTTGGGATGCGAGCTCCTGCTTGCCCTGAGGGTCGTTCAGACGCGAGATATCAAGAGCATCAAGATCGGCATATTCCACTATGTTCCATCAGCGACATAGGACGCAGAGGCGTAGAGTCTTGACCAGAACCGAGCTCTCAGCCTGCCGAGGTACCACTGTCACTAGCCATCAAAAGGCACGATGTTTTTGATATCGACACGATCGTCCAGAAGCGCTTACGAGTATAGCTCTCAGTGGACATTTTTTGAGTATCAGAAAGCATCTTGCCTTTATGCAACTAGATCAGAGACCCTCAACGGGCGATGGGGCGTGATCTGGTGCTGTCTCTCTACAGCGACCCAGGCCTACGAATAGCTTACATTGATGTTCTGTTCCCAGAGGATACTGATACTGCGGAAGATCTGCGGTTGATTGCGCCATGGAGCGACGGGACGTCTTTCGAGCTTCGGAGGAAGGGGCTTTTCTGTTTATTACTCGAGCAACAGAAAGACCAACTTTTGTACAATTGTTCCAGCTGGGAGGAAGAACAGCTTACATAGATGGTGAAATATCACGCTCTCAGGCCGCCCTAATAAGGAAGCAATTTCCTGGCCGCATCTATGGCAGATATGCGAGCATGCGCATCCTTCATTGCACAATTGCGGAGTCCGAATGTCGTGATCGAACGAACACCCAATGATAAACGACCAATATTCTCGCCGACACCGCAAACACAATGTAAATGGCTTTTGGGTATCCATAAGTAGGCATGTTCATGATTCAGGCTGTTGAAACCTAATGTAGACATGGCTCAACAGTTCATAGTCAGTAGTATCTGCCGTGATTTTATGCGATAAGAAGGACCATTAGTATACCTTGCGCACCTGCTGAATTCTTAGCAAACTTGGTTACCTGGAAATTTGAAGACAAAGCTGAACAAAGATGGCAGCTCTCGAGAAATCAGATGCGAAGATCGCAGCTTCGGTTCTGCCAACATCATCGTTTGAGGTCCATAGCACACCGGACACACAAGAAGAGAGGCGTTCACTACGACACCGCTTCCGAGAGGTCATCTGGGATAGCTGGGATAGATCACCCGAGGAACGAAAGTTCGTCTCAAAGATTGATTTCTTCATCTTGTAAACATATATTCATCAAGTCAGCATGAACACCCGCTGACCGGACCAACAAGGACATGGGCAGGTTTTACTTACTTCTCGAAGAATCTCAACCAGAACAACCTCTGTAAGTGACAATTGCCTTTGTCGAATTGCTCGAAGTTCTAATAGCGGGTGTATAGCCAACGCATATGTGTCTGGGATGAAAGAAGAGATCAATGTAGTCGGTAACCAGTACCAGACATTCACCACTATGTGGACAATGTAAGCAGAACAACATATACTACAAGCCCATCGCTGAACAAAGGCAGTGGTTATGTGATTTCTCAAATCCCAAGTCAGATGATTACCACACGCGTCAGGCTCTCTTGGTGGTGTCCATCCTGGGAGCTGTTTTGGGTCATCGTCACCTTCGCGACTGCCGCTGTCAAGACGCCCCACCAAGTTTACGCATGTCGATTCCTCGTTGGCTTTGCGGAAGGAACGTTTTATCCGGTACGTCATGTTGTCACTTCCATCTACCAGATCAAAATATTAACGTCCGCTCAGGCAGTGCATACTGTGCTCGGAGGCTGGTACGTATTCAGGGCGTACAAATATTCTGTAGACTAGAGGAACACCACCAGTATCAAACTCCTGTCGCCGGGCAGGGGCGGCTTTACACCCATCAAAAGGCACAATGCTTTTCGGACCAGCTTGCTCATCCACTGAGAGCGACCAATACATATGCTCTCTTTGGACAGAGCCGTGTATCTGAAAAGCATCGTGCCTTCTGATGGAGGTGTGGCCGCCTCTGCTGGAGAACGGAGTGGGATGCTGACACGATTCCTTAGTGTCACCCTGTGGCAAGGTTGCATCGTTATATCAGGGATATACTGACTGTGCCCATTCAGGTACACGAAGCAGGAGCTAGCCAAGCGAGCATGCATATTTTTTGCTTCCGCGTTCGTCGGCTCGATGTTCTCAGGTTATCTCCAAGCCGCACTTTATACGGGGATGGATGGAGTTCATGGTCTCTCTGGCTGGCGTTGGCTGTTCATTTTCGACGGCGTGATCACGTTCCCAATGGCGCTTTGGGGTAAGCATTCTCGAGCTGGCTGGAGTATGTACGGTGCTGATTTAAGTCGTAGGATACTATGCCTTGCCGGACTTACCAAGTAATACCAGGGTAAATTGGCTGACACCTGCTGAGAAAGAGCTTGCCCTATTGCGGATGAAAAATGCCGGGAAACAGCTCGATGAACCGATTACTTGGGTTGGTGTTGCAAGAGTCCTCAAGAAGTGGCACTTCTGGGTGTATACCGCCTATTACACGTAAGCAAAGGCCGCCAATCTGGGACAACCAAGGCTAACACGACACGTAGCTTCTTCATCTGCAGTGAGAACATCGGAGGGTACATGAACCTCTGGTTAAAAAGCCTTGATCGGTGAGTGAACTTGGCGTGGCCGACATAAAACGACCCTAGCAAGCACAGCAGCTGACACTTCTCGTAGTTACTCTGTCCCACCGATCAACACATACCCGACTGTAACTAATGCCGTAACCATAGTGACAACACTATGTTATGGTTGGGTCAGCGATGGCATAGGCTTGCGATCTCCTATCGTGTACTTCTCGCTCACGGTCTGCTTTTTCGCTGCCATGAATCTAGCAGTATGGGACGGTGTGCCATTCGGACTTAAATGGGCGTCCTTCTACCTGACGGGCTTTGCCCAAGGCTCAGGGCCAGTCTTCCTCGTAAGTTGTCTAGTGCATAGCCAGTGACATTAGTACTGATCCGATGCTACAGACAATGGTGAACGAGATCTGCGCGGGCGACAGTCTCGAGCGAAAGCTCATCCTCGGGTCGACGAATTCCATCGCATATGCTTTTAATGCTTGGATACCTCTGATAACATACGACACCAACTATGCGCCCAGATTTTTGATTGGTAATTCTGTTACGGTCGGATTGATTGTGTGTGCGGCTTGTACATTGAGTCTCGCTCTCTACCTGCAGAGACGTGATGCTGCAAGAAGCAAGAGGGCGATGGTGTAGATGAAACCTCGTCGTTATCTCTTATGCCTGCGTCTACCATGACCATACCTTTAGAAATGCACGATGGTTTTCAGATAGGAGTCAATCAAATCTTCGCGCAAGGCGTGTCTCTTTGGACCAATGCATTGATCTCAAAAAGACCTCGTGCATTTCTGCAGCCTAGATTCGGTGGTGAGACGGGCCAATGAGGAAGCATGAACAAGATATGAATGCAGAGGGTGAACAACGATATAGTGACTGGACAATTAGTCGAAGAGGATTGAAGAGAACCACACCATCTTCTTCATGTATTTGCATGATCCGATTGGCATTCACATCTGCGGCAGTAAAAGATGAGAGTCAAGCTTGTGGCTTCCGGCGGCGGTCGCTAATTCTAGTCACGTGGTCAAAGCTTCGCACCCACGGATTAGCCGGAGTGCGAAATGCCAGCCAGCAAAGTTCGATTCTCTTTTGCTCTGGATAGCGCAGCGACCTCCGACGACGACAATCTCGACAAATAGTAAGATCTACCCTCATGCTGATGGTATGAGGACGGGCTCTGTGGTATGGGTGATATGGCTTGCGACAATCTTCTGGCACTCGACGGCATCTACGGCTACGACGACAATCACGGCGCCTGCAGACACGTCTTGCACACGACTCGATCGATCATTCGCGACTGCGCGCACGCTGCATCAATCCATTGAGAGCATGACTGTTGCAGCGAACGCAACATGAGATGGAAATATATGTCCTCGTTGGCTTGAAAATTCTCTGCGCTGCCACCGCGCACACCACAAAACGACGCCGAAAAAAACACACCCCCTCCGTCCCGCACACGACACAAAAAGCCCTCTCAACAACCAGAAGATTAGCGCAGCCATTTCGCACAACCTACAGCCCGCCCGAATGCCAATCAGCACTCACTTCTTCAGACCTCTCATACTGACCATCGCCTTAGAGCCACCATGAAGCTTAACATTTCGTACCCCGCCAACGGCTCGCAGAAGCTCATCGAGATTGAGGATGAGCGCCGTCTCCGTGTCTTCATGGACCGCCGCATGGGCCAGGAGGTTCCCGGTGACTCCGTCGGTGACGAGTGGAAGGGTTACGTCTTCAAGATCACCGGTGGCAACGACAAGCAGGGTTTCCCCATGAAGCAGGGTGTCATGCACCCCACTCGTGTCCGTCTCCTCCTCGCTGACGGCCACTCTTGCTACCGCCCCCGCCGTACCGGTGAGCGCAAGCGCAAGTCCGTCCGCGGCTGCATCGTTGCCATGGACCTGTCCGTCCTTGCCCTCGCTGTTGTCAAGCAGGGTGAGAACGACGTCCCCGGCCTTACCGACGTTGTCCACCCCAAGCGTCTCGGCCCCAAGCGTGCCACCAAGATCCGCCGCTTCTTCGGTCTCAGCAAGGATGATGATGTGGGTACCCCCCTTTCCATCGTCGCCGGTCCAGAGATTTACTTCTTCTTGGACCGAGTCTGAGTGTGAATGTATGTTGACTGTGTTGTGATATAGGTCCGCAAGTTCGTCATCCGCCGCGAGGTCCAGCCCAAGAAGGAGGGTGCCAAGCCCTACACCAAGGCTCCCCGTATCCAGCGCCTCGTTACTCCCCAGCGTCTCCAGCACAAGCGTCACCGCATGGCCCTCAAGCGCCGCAACGCCGAGGCTTCCAAGGACGCCGCCGTATGTTTCTCTCTTTGCTCTGTTCAACTCTCGATCCCCACTAATACACTCTCAGGCCGAGTACGCCAACATCCTCCACAAGCGTGTTGCCGAGGCCAAGAGCCAGCAGCAGGAGATGAAGAAGCGCCGTGCTTCTTCCATGCGCAAGTAAACTTGCCATCTCACCGCAAAATAGGATGGGTTAAGCACAAGGCACAACAACCGACAAGGCAAAAGACGTCAAGTCTAGCCATGTCAAGGTCAAGAGTCATGTCCACTGCAATTCGGCTTCGTGGGAGTCGGGAAATGGTCGTCACTGGAATGTGCAACGAACAAGAAAGAGGGCATCATAAAAGCGTTTGGGAGTTCGTTTTTTTACAATGCTCTTATGAACATTCCAAAGGTCTCTCAAAAAACTTCGAAAATTTTCTTCATCAATGTTCAAAAACTCCCCTGGAATTATGTCGCTCGATACCACCAACTGGGTTTCTTTTGTGTAACAACCTCGATCTACCTCTGCCTTTGTATGTGATGTGATCTGTAGCTACATGGATTGCTCGAAGTATTTCGACAGATTTGGCACAATCTTTCTCATCTTCTCGCTTTCATCTCTTTGTCCTGTCGCTTTATTCACGTATCCAATTCCTCATTGTCGTCGATCTCTCCGCTCTTGTCCCCTGACGTCGTAAGCATGGTGATATCGCTATCTCACCAGCACGGGATACTGTGGGAAGGGTCATCAAAAGGCAAGATACTTTCAAGGTTGGTTGCCAGTAGATAGTGCCTGTTAGTCTCACGGCAGCTACTGAAAAATATCGGCAAGGGAAGAAGAGACACATTTTCAAGCTACATTCGCCTACTCTGTAACGCCCTCGATGCATCCCTACTCTCCTCCACCTTCACACACCCCACCTCTAAAACGTCTCAGCACCCTCCTCAACAGGCACCAAATCCCCCTTCCCCTTGAACGACTCCAAAATATCCGCCTGCTCACTCAACATAAACCTCTCCACCTGCGACCCCTGCTTCGCCAAACCCCTCCACCTCCCAAAAACCTCTGCATCCCTCTTATCCCCTCTGGCTTGCTCGGCATTCTCCCAATGCCCCTTTGAAAACGCAATCAATGTGGTTATTTTGCTATTCTTGATATCGTAGACCAGAGAGCAGATTGTACCTGTTTCTTCCAGCCAGTTGCATTGCCAGAGTTCGTGGGGGCGGATGCATTGGTATGTGCAGGTTTGATAGTTTATGCGTCCTTTCATGGGGCCGCCGTGGATTGCCTGTTGTTTTGGGGAAGAGATGTTAGAAAAGAAGGTGGGATGTGAGGGTTTGGCAGGCAAGGGAGAGGAGGTGTGTACGGACGTAGTTTATACGGTTGGAGGATTGGAACCACATCTCATAGCGCCATTTTTCTGGTTTGCCGTCGGGGGATTGGGCGGCGTAGTCGTAGATTAGATGGACGTCTTTGATGTCGGCATCGAAAGAGGGGTGGAGGTCGGTGTTTGTGAGGAAAGTGGGCAAGCTGTTCGAGTCCGACATGATTGGTTCTCTACTCTTGAATGTGTTCTTGAAGACGATGATTGGTATAGAAATTGAAAGATGGTTGTTGGGGTGCAGTGCGGTCGAAATACAGACTACGAAAACGGTCCTTACCTCGGAGCCTACTTATAAGCTGCACAAGTGCTGAACTATTGAACTGCCGTTTGATCATGCCATGAGGCTCTTTCTGAGACTTTTCGAGTACTTGCTCCCATGACGTCTCGAACTGTGCAGTTCTTGCTCTGAACATGTTCGGATGGACCGGCTTGTCAACGGGTGAGCTGCGATGGTGGTCTGCTCGTGGTCCCGAGAGCTCGGGCCGAGGGATTCACCATTGGCACTGATAACCGGTACTTGCACGAGCAAAACAAACCACACTCGAGTCGGAGTAGGAATGGACAAAATAACCAGTATGTCTCGTAGGTCTCAAGAGAAGACGTTCCTCCAGTAATACTGAAGGTCGTCATCATGTGCATCGTCAAGGGATCTTCGGGAGGAAGTCACTTTACAAACAATACATTTCAAAGCTTCAACTGTAACACTCCTTTCTGATACTGCTGATGCATCACCACCGAGCCCTTCGGCCGATAATCTGGGTCCTCTCTACATGGCAGTCTTGTCAACAGAACTGTCATCCTTCTCATGCTGCACACCAACCACAACCTCCGCCTCAGCAATAGGACCGACATAAAACTTCCTTCCACCCAGCACCCAATAAACCCCAGCGCAAACGAAGATAGCCGCCAAAATAACAATAGCATAATTCATATTCTCCGCCGTAACCGGGTACAAAGTCGGGAATAAGAAAATGATACTGACAAAAGCCGTCCAAGCAACTGCGTAGCAATTGACAAAGGTGCTCGCTTTACCCATATACCAAGGTCCGGGGGTGAATCTGCCATAGACGAGCTTGCAGATGATGGGGATGCAGTAGGACCAGTCCATTGCGATGGCGCAGACGTTGAAGATGGCGTTGATGGTTTCGGGAGATCCTAAGGCGATGAGGTTGATTGCTGCACACCAGAAGACGCTGAACCAAACAGCCAAGATGGGTGTATCGGTGCGCTTATCGACCTTCTTCCAGAGCCTGGCGCCAGGGATGAGTTGGTCGCGGGAAAAGGCGAACACGGTGCGGGCGAGAGAGTGAATGGCTGTCAGGCAGACGGTGTTCAGGATCAGGAAAGCGCAGACGGCATAGAAGATTGCTCCTGCCTTTCCAAGATTGTTGTAGTAGATCTGAATGACAGGTTGTCCGTACTCGCTGGCGAGTGCGTCAGCAGGATCGCCCATGGTGAAGGCAAGGACGATGGTGAAGAGCCAGCCAAGAACATAAGTCAGAGCCATGGCGATGAAGATTGCCCAAGGTGCTTTGCGTGCCGGGTCATCTATTTCCTCCGTAATATGAGCTGTCGCATCGTAGTCCGTCATTGCTGCACGTGGGATAGTCAGTAGAGTTCTTGAGCAGGAAGTCATGTGGATACGTACTCCACGAGACGGAAAGGAAGCCAAACAGGAATGAGAAACCAATTGGTGTCCATCCTGAAGCGCTTGTGACATCGGTAAAGACGTAGCTCGCATTGTGGCGGTTGTCGCAGCAAGCAAGCAATGCAATGGCACAGGTAACCAGAACGGCGCCGTGAAAGACGATGTAAGAAGTTGTGATCTTAGCCAACCATTTGGTGTTGAGCGAGTTGACAAGACCGTGGAAGACACACAAGGCAGCTTGTACGCCGACGTAATGACTGGCAGTGGGCTTGTAAGTGCCATCCGATCCGATGGAGACAGCTGCGAGAAGAATCTGGGCAGCACCGTATTCAGATGAAGCAACACCACAAATTTGTCCGACAAGGTTGAGCCAGCCAGTGATCCTGTCATATCATGAGCGTTGTGCTTATGTATCTCTTTTGCTTCGGCTACATACCAGCTGATGGAAGGAACCCATTCGGGAGGAGCGAGGCGGCTAACGCAGGTGTAAAGACCGCCCGAGGTCGGGTAGGAAGAAACGAGCTCAGCAACTGAAGCCTGATTCTTATGTCAGCTCTCCTATCTGCATCATGGAATTCACAACTAAACTTACAGCAATACACATACATCCAGCGCCGGAGATGAGCCAACACCAAACAGCTGTACATTGTCAGCTCCATTCTGACCATCCAAAGAAGCTATTATGTAACAAGTCTGTGGGGTAGCATACCTGAAGCAGCACCACCAGCCTCGAGAGGATAGAGGAAAGTGGTCGTGACCGTAGCGAAACAGCCAGAGATACTAGCTGCAAAGGATAATGTAGCAAAGAAGCCAAAGTCTCGCTTGAACACCTTCACATTTTAAGTTAGCTAAACAGATTCAATGATGATATATGTCGCTTGTGGGAAGTGTCTGAGAGCTCCTGGTCCATGTGTTCGGAAGATCGTGCCGTGGTGCGTGGAGGCGGCCCGTGGGGTCTGGATGATCGATGTATGACCATAGCTTCTATCAACGGTTCGAAATTATGGTGTAGTGACCGTAGCTGCGTCGTGAATGGGCGTGGCATCGCAGGCTCCCAAGACTGTTCTTCGAGCCGTTGGGGTGAGATATGGTTTTCAAGTATGTAGTTTCCGAATGGTCAACGTAGGTCGCGTTGGAAGTCAGGACTTCATGCCGTTCTGCTCGCGCGGCAATTGTAGAGTTGTCTCTAGGTTTGTTGCTAAGGCAAGGGTTTGTCGCGTGGAATCTCGCTATAACCTGGGGTGTCGCTTTGGATTGTCGCTTCAGGATTGTTGCTTTGGCCAGGATGGACGTTGTTGCAGGGGATTGTATGTGGAGAGCACCCACGGATGTGAAAAGGCTGGAAGGACAGGGGAAAGCGCAAGGAAATGCTGTTAGAAAGTACCGGAGTGTAACCAAACTGTGCTGCTAGAGCAGCGTCCTCCTGATTCAATTGAGTAATGTCGACGACATTACGAGTCTCTTCGGTGCCAACCACAGCGGAAGATTTCCGTCGAAGGTCGGCCCCATGAGTAGTGTCTGTTGCAGTGGTAGACATGGTAAGATAGTCACAACTGGCCACAGAAACAAGGAAGGCTCGAGATAGTTTGTGTCAAGAGAAGACTTCGAGCTCGGGGCACAACGAAGATATAAGGGCTGTCGCTGACACGGAAATGGAAATTCGGTGAGAAAAAAGTTTGTGATATTAGTCGTGAAGCAATGGGCCGCTATTTATTAGCAGTCCAAAGTCCATGCACTAAGCAAGACGACTTGTATGGACATGTATACAAAGCCATTGCAGCTGATAGGCGTCTCCTACATATTGATCTTATCTCTACCCTCTATCAGAGTCTGTAGACGCTGTCATAAAGGTTTCGGGCAAACATGTTTGGATGTGTTGCACAAAACAGGTGCGCCTGTTGCACCACTGACCAGAAAAAGAAAGACAGTCCCTTCGAGTCAATGATGGACTCTGAGAAGCATAGACGAGGACCCTGCACTCTTGATAAGGTTCTCGGACACCAAGGATCGATCCTCGTCAAAGCTTGGAAAGCTTCGCGAAAAAGCTTGGCCAATTAAATGGGCTACAGAAACACCAGGTACGATCCATGGCAAGTCTGGCCGAGGGGGAACGAGCAGGAGTCTGAGGCGCTGCAGCGTGAGACGAGAGAGAACCGGAATCGTTCGAGAAACGGCTCAACAATTCGAAGCCACAAAGCCAAAGCCCTAATCTTTGACGCGCGGACGCTCAAAAGTCGCTTCTCGTCCCTATAACAAAAATCAAGGTGTCTTAACAAAGTGTTTTGAAGATCACTGGGATGCTGTCCATTGCTGTGAGATCACGTCTTTTTCCGGCCTTCTGTCAGGTAGGTGGTGCACCTGGTGATCCAATGCTGTGCCTAGGTAAAGAGCAGTTCGCGATTTACCATTGAGTGTTTTCAGATATGATAGTCATGAGTCAAGGCATTGATATCATGCCCGTCCCACAAAAGATACTGCCAGTTTAGGACATGAGTTCCGCGAGAGAGAGCGCAGTCAGATGACTTCCTCGTGTGCCGAGATGTGTCAGCATGTAGTCGTAGACTTCAACATACCCTTGAAACAGGTAGAGACGCCCTCAGAGAACGGTCGCTTGACACGGTCTCCTTGTAAGCGATCTTCGTTTCAAAAGGTTCATGCAGTTTCACGGCTTATGCATCGTTGAGACGATGATAGGAGAAGTGCATGAATGTCGACCATGGGTTCTCGTGTCAATTGTCACTAGTTGACTAGAGCTTCAGGAGGTAATTCTCAAGAAGCCAAAGGTGAGGTTGACCAGGAGCCCACTAAGCACGGAAATCTGCATGCGTCTTGTCCAGACACCTTCCTCACGCATCAGCCAGCAAGCAGCAGCGATAGGCCAGAAGAAGCCCATAAGGTTACCCCAAAGCATATCTTCCAAGCCGCCTTCTTCGTCGGTTCCTGCGCCTCCACCAGCGGCGGCATTGGCAGGGTCGTTCTCGAGCCATCTTTCTTCCAGCGAACGCAGGTCGTCACCTGTCGGCATAGTATCCGGGGTATGGGTATGTGCCTGGATGGCCATGAACTGAGCGCGGAGGTTGGCTACATCGGCAGGCGAGAAGCCTGCAGAGAGGAGACGGTCGAAGCCACGAGGAGCGGGTGTGGACGAAGTTGTTGTGGGATTCTGGGTCTGGTCTGGAGCGGGCACAGCTTGCACATCTAACAAGAGTGCTTTGTCGGCAGCTTCTGCGGCGTCTGCTTCAGATGCGATGTCTCCAGGGGTGAGAGTGTCGCCAATGGAACAATGGATGTAGACTCGAGGGACGGTGGTCTCAGCGGGAGCCTTGCCCTTGGCTTTGTTTTTGTTTTTGTTTTTGTCTTTCGAGGCAGCTGAATCAATTTTCGAGCGCGGAGGTGGTGGAGGGATGTTTATACATTTCGAAAGGGCTGTCGCGTCAGGGAGCACCTTTCCTGCCGAGATCAGACGTAGACGATTCGAGGCGAACGAGGCAGGCAGCTGCGCTCTGATCTGTTGTCGAAGAGCCAGAGGTGTTGTGAGCTTCGCCGAGGGCACTCGTATAACTGCATCTGGTATCGCGGCGGTGAACCGAATGACCAGATCGACTGGCTGGTCGTGTGGTGAGCTGCTCATTGCGTCTTCTGATGTGTGTGTGTGTCGGTGGAGAATGTGTCGAGTTCGCGTCGCGCCTATGAAACGCGCTGTTCATCTCTCTAGCATGACTGAATAGTAAGAGTGTGCTTGAAAATGCCTTGTACCAAGCTCATTCGCAGCTAGTATGAGAGAGAGAACATCTCCAATGCTCGGACAATCCATTGCCGAGGGACGGACGTCATCCATGCATGCAGAGCACGGGTCCGACTGACTTATAACCCCTCCAGCCCTCTCCTCCTCTTCGGTATACACATTCAGAATCACTGAATTTATCTTCCAGGATGCCTATTGTACACGTTGTCTTGTTCAAGTTCAAGGAGGGTATCGAGCCATCGGTGGTAAAAGACGTATGTGAAGCTTGTCTATCCTCGTGTACCTGTTGGATATCTACTCACGGTGACCCCAGATGTGTGACAGAGTGATCGCACTCAAGAATACTTGTATCCATCCCGAGACACAAAAGCCCTATATGAAGTCATATGGCGGTGGAAAGAACAACAGCCCTGAGGGAGCAGCAGTGAGTGTGACAATGTCAGTCAGGGTGGCCCGACTAACAAGATCAGGGTGGCCTCCAATATGGTTTCGTGTCCGAATTTGAGTCGGAGGCCGATAGAGACTACTACCTGACCAAAGACCCTTCTCATCTCAAGCTTGTAGAGGATGTGGGGAAGATTGTCGAAAAGGCCACTGTCGTTGATTTCGAGCCTGGCGTTTTGTCGTAGATGACATGGCTATGTTCACCGAGAAGCGGAGACAAGATGGACAGTGTCGAAACCGAGAGCAAGTATATGACTGTCTTGAAAAGAAGGAATTTTGGACACATGAGAGCAAACATATCACAATCGAACGGTAACACAATGAGAATGTCGCAAGCAAGAATGGTCTCATGAACAAAACGAGCGAGGGCAACAAGTGACCATGTTGACATCAGCTGTTGGCAACATTTACGCTCTTGGCAGCGTCTGAAATCGGTATGCACTTTTGGTGACATTCTTGATTCGAGACGACGACCTGCCGGGCGCAACTTTCTCCGCCTGATCACCTCTGAAATCTTTTTCGACTGGGCGCAAACTGGCTACTTAATCAAAACATATCAACAACACCACAATGTTCGCCTCGCTCCGGCCTCAGTGCCTCCACGCCGCGCCTGCCGCCCGTACCTTCACAACCAGCGCAAGCCTCGCCTGGAAATCACACAAGAATGCACTGGAGGAGTTGCACGCCAATGTACCGCCATACCCATACGGTCGCTCTCTGTGGTTCAAGCAATCCGACAAGGGTCTCTACGGCGGTCAGCGCATCCAATTCGGCAACAATGTATCACGCAAGACCGAGATCAAGACACGAAGGAGCTGGTATCCCAACATCAAGCGCAAGGCCCTCTTCTCAAAGGCGCTGAACCGTCGCATTCGTGTTCGTGTTAGCACCAGAGTCATGCGCACAATCGACAAGGTCGGAGGACTGGACGAATACCTGCTGGGCGAGAAGTCGGCACGCATCAAGACGCTAGGCATGGAGGGTTGGAGATTGCGCTGCATGATCATGGCCACAAAGTCTGTGCAGGACCGCTTCAACCAGCAAAGACGTGCTCTGGGTCTGCCGGAGTTGGACTACGACCTTCTGGCCAGCGAGCTCAACCAGCTTCCTGCCGAATTACTCGATGCTGAGGCATCAGGCGAGCCTCTTGAGTTTGGTGTTGAGGAAGAACAAGCAGATGAGGAGGCAGTGGTGTCTGTGCTCGGCGGTACTGAGCCAACTGGCAGCAGACAAGAGCAATTCCAACAAAGGGTGGACCAAGCGCTTTCCAACAACTGGGAGCAGGCAAGATAAAGAAGTCATGGATATTGGCGTTTCTTTCATGTACATTAAGGATGGAGCAAAAGACTGTACAATTTTTATCGTTCTGGAAATCATTGATAAACGGATACAAGAGTACTTCGGAGGTGCCGTGTATATACACATCTAAGGTTCTGTTCACCCTTGACGACGATAGAATTGTCCAGAGATTGAAGCATGCGTACTGCATGGTATTGTCAGATATAGACCAGGACAGGGTGACTGCGGAGAAGATGGTCACCCCCGAAGCGCCAATTCGGCCCAAGCTCCCCATGACGCGGCTGCTTGCCAGGAGAGGGTCAGTTTCTCTAGCAAACGGATTGAATGACTGGACGGGGAGTCGCGAAGGACGACGCATGAATTGACACGAATTGAACGAAACCCTCTTGCTCAGAATGGCCCCGCGCACGCTCAATCCGTGCTCATACCTGCCCCGGCGGTTGCAGATAGTGAGCAGCCTGGCACTGTTCATCCTCTTCTGCATCATCATCTTCGGCCAGTCGACCGTCGACGTCCCTTATCGCGACGAAGTCAACGAAGGCGCTCGACGAGTGACGGCATACCTACCGAAAACACCTGGCCTACCGTCCGGCCTCAACCCTTTCAGGACACCAGCACATTCACCACCACCCGAACAAGCCAACAGCACTAGCGGCGAGGCACGATGGTTCTCGGACTGGAAGTGGATGAATCCCTTCTCATCTTCGATAACGCTCGACGAGAACAGAGCCGTACTTCCCCCGTTGGCAAAAAGACCGCCGGTATACACCTACTTCGACGCCGAATGGTACAAAGACGAAACGTCGCTCGAGTCGGTCCACCACCTTCTCCTGATTTGGAGACGCGCCTGGTGGGCCCAAGGCTTCAAGCCTGTTGTGCTGGGGCGTCCTGAGGCTATGAACAACCCGCTGTATGCAAAGATGGCCCAGTTGGAGCTAGAAGATGACCTGAAGACGGACGTGATGCGCTGGCTCGCATGGGGCAACATGGGCACCGGAATCATGGCCAACTACGTCGCATTACCCATGGCGCCACACAACGACCCTGTACTGTCTTACCTACGTCGCGGCGAGTACCCTCAGCTCAACCGATACGAGGGCTTGGAGAGCGGTCTCTTTGATGGCCCCAAGGATCAGATCAACAAGGCCATTGAGCAAGTCCTTAGCGCGAAGAAGCCTATCAAGGCCAAGTCCGTCATCGACATGCTGCCTAAAGACACCTTCCACGTCGATACCAATCAGAAAGCCATTGCCTTCTACTCGAGCAAGAACATCAACAAATATTACAAGACCATCGCTGAGAAGCTGGCATCCGACGACAAGGATGTGAGCCGCGAAGGCCTGCGTCTCCTGCCTCAGCTCATCATCTCACACTTACACACCACCTGGCAGAACTCGTTCACCAGCGGCATCGCCATTTTGAAGCCACTGCCAGATCACATGTTCACTCTGGTCAAGCCAGCAATCGATCTCGCCCGTAACTTGTCCCAGTGCACAGAATCACCCGCACCATCTTCTTGTCCGCCAAATCGCGAGAAGTGCGTTCCCTGTGTAAGCAGCCATCCAATGCGCATCAGTCAGCCTATGATGTTCCGCAACACCTCCGATCTCTTCACTATCGGCACCGTACCTCATCCTTACACCATGACATCTTTGCAACATCAAACCGACTCCCTGACTGTGCGGTTCATCCGCCGTACAACCAAACGCGACGAGTGGGTGTTGGCATCAACGAAAGAGTTCTTGGGCACAGGCATGAGCAGTTTTGCTCGCATTCCTCACCTCAAGGACGCCGTCGCCTCCGACTATGGTAGTGCTCGATCGCTCTGGCTTACACCTGAGAACTTGTCTGACGAGAACAATGCCCTACTACGCCTCGATCTTGCCTGGTCTCTGGGTTTCCCCATCCCAACGATCGAGTCCACTCTTGATAACGGCCGCTCAGAAACACCCGTTCCAGGTCCCGAACGCCGTCCTCCTGCACCTAAACCCGAGGGTAGAATTCCCGATCCGGTCGAACTCGTGCACGAAGGCACCTTGCTAGAAAAGGCAAGAGCGGTCCTGAAGGGTAAAGGCCCTCGCAACAGTATACCCATCCGCGATGCAGTCGAGGCTTGGAACTTGGCCGATACAGAAGTGTGGAGATTCGTGAGAGCATGGAATGCACGACGAAGCGTCGAGAGAAAAAAGTGGGAAGCTGAAGAAAGAGCCTTTGCAGGCACTGAAGGCAGTAAAGGAAGCTGGAGTCGATGGTTCGACAGGGAATAAAGAGCGAGCATATAGCAGCAGCAGCACAGGATTTGTAGAATAGCGTTATAGCGGAGTATCTTTGGAATACGAACAAATTTGTATAAATCACTCGAATGCGTCGATGCGCGAAGCAGCAACCAAATGTACTGTATATCGTTCGTGAGTAATCCGAAGACGATCAAGGTGATTCAGAACACATTACAATGCTATACGTAGGGAAGTTCGACCATGCCCAACCTCCATGATCATCTAGCCAAAAAAAAAAAAAAGAGATACACAGACAAGTGCGAGTATAGTACATGGGCAAAAAGGACAAGCACCATGGGAAGGAATCGAACCCCCGACCTCCTCGGATCTAGACTGACACGGCGTTGAGTAACAACGAATGACTGCGCACGTGTTAAGACCACCGGTGTGTTATAACCACTACACCACCACGGCTGATTTTGCTTATTAAAAGGGACCTAAAGAACTTGGTATATAAAGGTTGATGCGAAGAGGCGGCAGGGAGGTCGGTGGCGGGAAGGGAAGTTTGATTGAGTTGATTTTGGTTGGTTGGCGGCTTCCCCCCTGAGGACTGAGGCAGCAAGGCTTCGGCTTTGTGCTTTGAGGTACTCGTCCTACTATCGATGTTGACGGTGTACTTCGTGTCTCCTGCCGATGTTCGAGCGCTGTTTGTGATCTTACAATGTTACGGCAATGGAAAGCAATAGTCCCATCATTGAATACCCCATCGCTACACTCTTCCATCCACCAGGATAGCGCGCGACGCCCGAGTTTTCAGACGTCATATTGTTCGCCGCGCTCGAATCGTCTGTCGTTCCGTTGTCTTTCGCGCCAGAGTCGTCTGTCGTGCTGTTGACCGGCCAAGAGCATGACCAAGGCCTAACAGCACCAGTGAACTTGACACAGCTCATCCAGTCATCGATCGTCATGTTTCCCATTGAGCAATAGGATCCTTCGTAGAGATGATAGGGGTGTTCCTTGCCGTCTGCAGAGTAGGGCACAACAGGGTTGTCACGGCAGCAGTACTGCATGATTGCTGAGTTGTTGCCACAAACGGGCATAGAGCAAGAGTTTGCGGTGCCGGAGATATAAAAGGGAGTGGATCCGCTGCAGAGTGGAATCTCGTCCAGATGGTCTGATGTGCCATTGTTTGACGTGTTCGAGTCCAGTGCTGTTCCATTGTTCTGGATGTTCGAGTCCTCTGTAGTCTCATTCTTCGGAGCGCTCTCCATGGTCTTGTTCAGGTTGATTTCGCTATCTCCAAGTGGCCCTTGACATTTGAAGGGCGCCTCGGCTCCCAACCTTAACACGCAGTCGATCCAATCGTTGGCTCCTTTGTCACCCAATTGGCACCAAGCTCCTCCACGAGTGTAGTTTCCTGGCTCATCGAGAGGGTGGGTGTAGGGGATTATCGGGTGACCATCGCAGCATGCTTTCATGATGTTGGTGTTGTTGCCGCACATGGGCATGGTGCAGGATTGTTCTGGGTTCCTAGAGTAGAACTGCGCGCTGGGGTCGCATTGTCCAAGGGTTATCTTGTGGAGAGCCATGCCGGTGGGTTTGTTGACCAAGTGTCAACTTCAAGTAAGCTGACGATACGAGTTGATAGAAAGAGCTGATTGTGGTTATTTCACTTGAGGGGAGCAAGTTTTTATCTACCTTGTGAGGAGCAGAAGGATTGTATCTCGAACAATTACCGAGTCCATATCGTTGTTGGATCTAACTTGGTGGCCTAGGTCTGATCCTTTCATGCACGCATTGGCTAAACCCGCTGCCTGGATCTATTGCTAGGATATAAGGCGATCTTGGCTACCGGATGAGAAAGGTCGAGCAGTGGAGTTTCTTGCCAGATCAGTCAGATGTCGCAAAGACGATCAAGTCAGGTTAAGCGTAGGATGAACATTAAGTGGAAGGAACACCTCAAAACACAGCCGAGCACTCCGATTTCTCCGAGTGCCATTAGGATATGTTACTAAATTATATGTGAAACAACCCAGCACAGTGGAAACTTGAGTCAGTGGCACGTAAAGATGGTGGTTCAAGTTGTTCCTTGCAATTCGGCGCCTTGCCGTCTGGATGATCTTCGGTGATTTTCTGGACGATCTTGAACCTCGAAGTCTGAATTGATACCAAGCAGACTACATTCGATTGTATACATTCTTTTCTACGGTACGGGCATTCATATATGCTCTACGTCTTTAAGTCTCGAGGTCGCTCCTATCTTGAAAGATTTGATAATGGGTTATCTTCAGGCATGTCGGACCAAGTCTTAAGAAATGGTAGCACACTGATCGCAAGCAACAAAAATCACTTTTACATTCTGCTACGGTCACCCAGCCGATACTGCTACGTGTCAGGATCTAGTAGACTCTCAAGAAATCTCATGTATGTAATTCAGACCATGTAAAGTGGTGGTACGACAAACACAAGGTAGACATATCAAAGCCGTCAGGGTCATCCCCAAACATGACAGACTTGATTATCATACTAACACTGTGCTCCCTCTCCCGTGCAAGGCCCCTAACAAATATATCAAAATGCAACATCCTTTTCACAACCAGGTGCATGTCTACTGAGAGTGTGATCCCGAGCGCGCTCTCTATCGACATTCACGCTGACTTCAAAACCATCGCGCATTTTGGCAGTCATTCCAGCTGGCACCTCGAAGACTGGAAGCTTGGAGTAAGTTTTTGATGATGCTCCACATACTGGTTGGGCTTGGAGTAAGTTTTTGATGATGCTCCACATACTGGTTGGTCGGCAAAACAGCAATCGAGGATGAGAATGCAGGTCCGATCAGGGAAGAGGAGAGAGGCACCACTTCCCAAAATTTGAGAATACAGTGGCGCAAGGATGGAAGGCACAATCATTGTCCGTCAGGCAAATGCTGTTGATGAGAGAAGATGAGCGTGGCAGGTTGAAATAGGCAGGCACCACCAAAGTCAACAAGGAGGCATGCGACCGATCGAAAACAGAAGAACCGGTTACACATATGTGATAGGAAATATGCATGGGATGCTTGAGAAGAAATCATGGGAATATTGAACAAACTTTCGCTTTTAGAAACTCTATACACCAGACCAAACATACTCTAGATGTTCGAGAAGAAGAAAGTAGGGTTACTGTCAATAAGTTGTTAGCATCATTTCGTCAAAATCATTATGAAATTCAAGGAAAACTTACGCAGGAACAGCGTTCTCAGCCTGAGGGGCGAGGTCAGACTTCTCCTCACCCTTGGCAGCAGCAGCATCACCGATGCTAGCAACAACCTTTCCGCTCTTGCCACCTTGCTCGACAGAAATGACCTCAATGCATACACATCTTTGGACAGTGCTCATCAAGCCAGGAACCATTTGAGTGAGAACATCAACCTCGTTGTAAGCGAGCTTACGCTCGAACACGGTGTTTGCGTCGATGCCGCCCTCGAGGCTCTTCTTGAGGGCTTGGATGAAGGGCATGGCCTTCTTGCTGTCGGCCTTGTTGACCTTCTTGCTGATTGACTTCATGTCAATGGTCATGCCGTCGAAAGCCTCGCGGACGAGATCGATAACGTTGGCTTGCCATGAAGGGTATTCGGAAGCCATGAAGATGGTGAGCTTCTTGGGCTGCTTGGGATCGTAGTTGGTGGCTTTACCCTTGGCCATTCGCTTCATCTGAGCACCCTCGGCGGATGTGATGTTACCACTAGTTTGACGGACATACTCGCGGGCGGCGGTCAGCTCGGGCTTGGTCTCGGGTACTTGAGGGAAGAGCTCGTTCTGGACAGTGGTGGGCTTTCCAAGAACCTCGAGCCAGACGTACTCTGCCCAATGAGGAGCAGTGACAGTGATCATCAAAGCCTGGAGCTCAACGTACTTGCGGACAAGATCCTGGTGCATGCCGATACCGGAAGACTTGGTGATCTCACGGTAGAAGTCACGGGCGCTAGTGAAGTCGTAGAATCCAGACTTGAGGGCGGACTTGTAGTTTGTGGCAGTGTAGTGCTCTCTTGTCTCACGGACCAGGCCATTGAGCTCGTTCTCAAAGACGTCGTCCCAGAAGGATCTCTCGCCAGTACGCTGAACAGAGTCGTTGTTCTTCAGGCGTTCATTCTTGTTGACCTCGACATAGTTCTCGCCATCCTTGAGTACGCGGGCATCCCTGACAGTCTCCTCACACCACTTCTTCAACTCGAAGAGCTTCAGAATGATAGCGTTAGCGACACTCTCCTCAAAGTTGGCGTCTTCGATCGAATCTCCGGCATCGGCAAGAGATACACGGGTGGCGTCTGCACCGAACTTCTTGGTAGAATCGTACAGGGTAAGGAAGTTACCGGTACTCTTGCTCATCTTCTCACCGTTCAAGAGAAGATGACCGTTGGCACGGATACCGCGGGGCCAGTACTCCTTGGGGAAGAGAGCAACGTGAATGTAGAGGAAGAAGGTCAAGTGGTTCTGGATAAGATCCTTGCCGGAAACACGAATATCCAGGGGGTACCAGTACTCAAACTCTCTGCGCATAGCCTGGAGGGTTTCCTTGGGAATGTCACTCTCAACGTCCTCGCGGCGAGTGAAGACGTAGTCCCAAACCTCATCGGTCATCTGGTCAGCTGAGATCTTGCCACTACCTTGAGTATCGCCAAATTTGTCTGAAGAGAGCAGATTGTACACAGTATAGAAACTCATGTACACCGTGCTGTCACTCAGAGACTCGACCAAGAACTGTTTATCCCATGGAAGCTTCGAACCAAGACCGTAAGAACGAGCGCAAGCCCACTGACCCAGCCAGTCGAGACTTTGCTCGAAGGCATTCTTGGCCTCACCCGAGAAAGTGTTGAGTTCGCCATTAACGTGGCGGAGAACCTCCTCTTGCCATTCGGGATCTTCCTGCTTGCCATATGCAAGGTACCACTGGTCGAGATGAGCGGCGACACAAGAATCACCCGAACGAGACATGACCTCTCCATCGGGTTCAGCGTAGTTGAAAGCGTCGCCAGCGTCGATGAGAGCTTGTCTAACAAGAGGCTTGGCTTGCTCGACAGATTTGCCCTTGTGCTCGCCGTAGCACATGGTACCCTTGTAGAAGCCCTCCTTATATGCAAGATCCTTGGCCTCGGCAAGCGGCTTGGTGTCCTTGGGAGAGGCGATCTTCATGTCCTCGACTAGCTTCTTGGCAGTCAAATTTCCGTAAGTGGGTGTCTCGATGATGGGAAGAATCTCAAGGTCGGCCCATTCCTTCTTGATGCCGTAGTAATCGGCCTTCTTGACCAAGTCGAGGATGGTGATGTAATCGTCAGGTGAGTCGGAAGGTACACAACTGACAACACCAGTACCCTTTGAAGCCTTGACGGTCTCCATGGGCAAAATACGAATGTTCTTGTAGACTGAAAGAGGAGCATTCACGATAGTTCCAACAACATCGGAACCCTGCAAGTCAGCAACCTTGGGGGATTCGCCCCATTTAGGGAACATGCCTTGGAAAGACATGTTGCGAGCAGCTCTCTCCGAGATGAAGTAGTACTCGTCGTCAGAGACCTTCCACACGCCGTATGTGATCTTGGGGCCCACGAAGCATGAAGTCTGGCCGTACATGGTCTCGGGACGGAGAGTGGCAGGGACGAAGTAGACCTTAGCGTTCTCAGGAAGCTTCCCTGCGAGAGCCTTCTGTGCGGGCTCAGCCCATTCTTCAACCTTGAGCTTCATGGCAGTGTATTCTTGAACTCCGACACCTTCTCCACTGCTTCTGTCGTGATCCATGCAGGCCTGACCATCCTTAGGAGAGTAGACGGTAAAGCGTTTGCCGAACTTGATCTTGCCCAACTCCTTCAAGCGGTTCATTTGCCATCGTACCTAGAGAGAAGGGGTTAGCACGGTCCTGTGCGAGCACGAACAGGCGCATTACAAAGCTGTCATAGTACGGGTTTCGATCAGTGGTCACGAAACTTCTTCTCCAGTCGATTCTAGCACCGATATTTGTGAGGTCGCGCTCGCAAAGCGGGGGGAAGTGGTCGATCCAGTGGTTGGGATCGGCGAATTTGTGGATCTCCTCCTTCTCAAGGCCAAGAGCGCCCATGATTTGGAACTGGTACTTCATGGCGACGTTCTTGGCAGCGGCCTTGCTCTTCTTCGCTCCGAACTTGAGGACGTCGGTCTTGGTGGTCTCCTGGGTGGGTGCGGGTACAGCGTCCTCCTCGGCATCCTCCTCCTTGTAGTTCTCGAAGTTCTTGCCAAACATCTCCATCTCGCGAGCCAGCTTGTCGGCGCAAGACTTGATGGGCATACCGGTGCAGTGGTATCCTTGGGGGAAGAGGGCTCTCTTGCCCTCCATGCGGGCCCAACCGGTAGCGAATTCGACCTTGGAAGCAGTAAAGGCCTAACCCAGAAATACAGTTAGCGTGGTTCTGGGGCGTGTAACAAGAGATCCACGAACGTGACCGGCGTGAAGAATTCCGTTCATGTCTAGTAGACAATTAGCAAGGCTCTGTGAAGTAAGGAATACAATCATTGCTCAGCGAACTAGACTTCGCAGGTTGTGTTCCGTGTGAACAGGACCAGGACGACACGCAGAGCTGGCTCGCTGAGTTCGTATTTTGGACGTGAATCACATACAAGGATATGCCATAGTTCCAAAGAACTTGGGTTGTTGCTCGCGGAGCTCGGCGGGGCTGATCGAGTGGAAGGGAACATCCTGGAGCGAAGGTGCGTTTTGTTCGAAGATCTTGTCTTGCTTCCACTGTTGCTGGTACTTCTTCTCGATAGCAATAAGGGTATCACGCTTGTCAGTCTGCGCAATATGTTGTTAGTGGTTTGTGGTGGAGTGAACGAAAGCGCATATGCGCAGAAGTGACTCACGTTCTCAATCTTGAGAGTACCCTGGGTATCCTGAGGAGCGGCCATGGTGAAAGAGCGGTATTGAAGTGGCCTCACACGCAATACACGCAAAGGGCGCAAAGAAAAGTTAAGCAACGACGTGGTGGGCGAGTGCTTTGCTCGTCAAGGATGTTGTGAATGACTGGCCGCTCTCCCAAAAGTTTCCCCAGACGCACTTTTCGGTGCTTTGGAGCTTGTTTCACGCCGCCTGTTTGCTCTGTTTGCAGTCCTGGTGCGTTGCGAATCTATCCACGAGGGTGCTTGCAACTTTTGGACTTGACAATTGAAAGCATATCAACATGTTCCAAACATTAATGCGGAGGGCTGCTGCTGCTCCTAAATTCGATTTCGCGAGGAATCCGTACAAGTCGAAACGTACTTGGCCGCCGGACTTTACCAAGCTCTCACAAAAACATCAATTCCGCCTGGAACGCCGATACCGAAGAAGGGCAAAGCTGAAGTGGGCAAGACCGACATGGACCAAGTTTGTCAAGCTGTCTACATGGGCTACTATTTCATGTATGTATGATCGGAGTCATGCTGTGGACCCCTGCTGACTCCATGCCTAGTTGTCGTCGTCTATGGTGTACTGTTCATGGAGACGGATGAACGAGGCACTGTCTTTGACACTGTACGTCATCCCTTCTGCATGAACTGATATGTTACTGACACGCTTATCAAGATCCGAGACTACTATGCAAGAGCGACCAAGGACATGTTCGGCACACCGAGAAGAGAGCCACCAACCAAGCCACGTGCTACGTCTGAAGAGCAGTCTGTGTGATTTCTGGTTTCAAGAGGATACGATGCGACACAAAGGATACAGACATCCCTGCCACCACACGAGATCGAACATGGTCGGCCAGCTGCATTGGACCATGTCTCGAGAAGGAAGATGATCGAGTGAAGCACATGGGGCAACTGTGACCAACGAGCAAATGCTCGTTTAAGGTCAAGACCCTGGCGAGCAAAGTGCCAAAGTTGTGGGACAAGATATCAAAGAACTGGCACAAGTCCAAACTTGAGTTTGGTGCTGTTTGATTATGATAGCTAGCCAGGGAGAGGCTCAACCAGAGATCGTAATTAGTGTATACATGCCGCCAAGCTGGGCGTACGGTGCAAATGAACATTCAATTCGGCGGAGCCGTAGCCGCCAATCTCCTTGCCGTGCGTTGCTGCAGAGAATGACTTGAAACATTCTCGACGAAATGTGGCTGGTTTCAGTCGACCTCTGGAATGCAGTCCACGCCTTCGAGACTTGGTGTATCCACATGGCTGACCAGGAGACACGGCTTCGTTCCTGGGCCGTTTCGCCATTGGAAGATGGTAATCAGGGCGCATGCCATTGTATGAAAGATCATCATCTGCCGGCCCAGATACCTGGTCCAAGGCCGCCAGTACGGCTGCCCTCGTTCACAGGCCTCTTAGCCACCTTTCCTTGTGCCTTGACTCCTTGTACCACTCTGCAGAAGGTTAGCACTGAGCACGAGAAGATAGATTAGATACGTACTTGTCCAAAGCTGTCTCAATAACCACACCGCCGACGATCATCTCGCCCAGTACAGCATGTAACGTTTCGAAGTTGAAGATGAGATCGAGTTCACAAACATTCTCAAAGAGCCTGTCCAGAGCCTCGACAAAGACTTGGATCAGGTCGAGCAGAGCTAGCGGAGACTCGGTACTAGTACTGATAACAATGAAATAGAGAGTCGCATAATGGCGGTACGTGACCAGGGATGGGACATCGTTGTGAGAATCCGAGACTGCCGAGGACTGCGCGGGAGCAAGAAGAGGCGGTAGAGGTAGGAAGTTGCATGATGAAGACGGCCGAGCAGAGACAAGAGTGAAAATCTCGGAGATCAGACGTTGTTGAACAGCGGTGTCCTACAAGACATGTTCAGCAAGATGATAATATGGACCTAGATGTTTATCGCACCAGCTGTGTGTAGAATTTGGTCAAACGTGGTTGCCCATTGTTGTTAAAAACCAGAACGGCGTTGATCATGGTTGCTGTCTATGAATTTTGTACTCTTTAGGAGAAAAAATCAAGCAGTCGGCACGGGTTATGAGTACAGTTTTCTGACCCTTGAAGTTGAGGTGTTTGATGTGTGGAAGGCACGTGGTTGGATGGTTTCAGGAACAGGTCGGGGTCCAGATTGGAGAAGATTGTCAAGCTTCGTGCGGGGCGCGCGTCATTGTTCGAGCTTCACGAATCGCTTCTTGGATTGAACAACTTCATCTCATCCACTACATTGAAGCCATTGCCAATTGACTATCGACACCACTTGAGCGCCTCTACCTTCCACTGAGACCTATAACTTCGACTCAGCAACCACCACCATGTCGGCTCCTAGATCAGCTCGCTGCTTGCGCCAAGCTGTCCGCAGCCTCTCGACTCGTCCTGCAGCTCCCAGATACCTGTCAAGATCAGCTCGTTGCGCCTCGACTCCTCAGAATGCTATCCGCTGCTTCTCCAATGTATCGCGCAACTTCAAGGGCATCCTGCCCGACACCGACGAGCCCACAATGAAGGAGAGAGAGCCTCTTCATACCGTCAACGACCCCACGCCTATTGAGATCGAAGAGTACCACGAGAGAGCAGACCAATACTTGGAAGAGCTTGTTTCCAGAGCCGAGGAGCTCGCTGAAGAGAAGCAGGATGTTGACGTCGAGTTCTCTGTAAGTCAAGACTGTTATTGTCGCCATCACACGAGCCTTCGTTGCTGACCTATGACCAAGGCCGGTGTGCTCTCCATCACCTACCCTCCCAATGGCACCTACGTTATCAACAAGCAGCCCCCTACCAAGCAAATTTGGCTCAGCTCCCCCATCAGCGGCCCCAAGAGATTTGACTGGGTCGTCCTGGGCGAGTCACAGCAACAGAAGGAAGGCGCTGCCTCTGGTGACTGGATCTATCTCAGAGATAAGACCAGCCTGACCACTCTGTTGAGAAAGGAGCTAGGTATCACTGTCGGTGAAGAGTCCAACCGTCCTTGATCCTTGATTCGTTTCCACACAACTGTCGCGCAGCTATTCTATAGGTCCAGACTAAGCCTGCCATATCGCATACTCAATCTCAACCTTCATGCAAGGACAATGTCCGACCTAATGCGATTGAATGTAGGCTCTCATTTCTGCTTCAAACGCACCTACAGTGGGGAAATCACCTTGACCATCCGCCGTTGCCACGTCGCGACTGTTTCAACCACTCCTCTTGCCGTCACCAGAGTTCCCATGTTTGTTTGCCCCGCGAACAGTAATGAAACCGGTTACACACGGTTGCAACTTGAACTGTAGCTGGCATCCCTTGCCGGAGATTTGTTCTGTACATCCACATCTGCGCTATCAAAATTATTCATTGACAGGTAGGGTACACTACTACACTCATCAACGAGTGATAGCCTTGTGTCACTCCTGCACTCCGCACTTTACTCTCGTATCCAACCTCTTTACCCTCGTCTCCTCACTTGTCAGACTGCAGTAGTATTAGGTTACTCCCTTACGATCGCCGTTACCACCGGCACATTGTCAACAGTACTTTCAAGAAACTCTGCCTTTCTGACAACAAGGCTTGTATTGCATGCATGCAAGTTTAGGCAGATACGGAAGTCCAAGGTAGGATGAGGCTTGAAAGGCGTTGTTCATGCGGGGCCCCTTCACCGCAATGAGTTCGTCAACGGTCTCACATCCCATGGCCTCATACTGTAAACAATCACTCTTCTCGTCAACTGAGACATATCTCATACTCAGAACGGGCTTACGAGTTGATGGCTAGTCATACATGCGCGGCACGACCATGTGACCTTGTTCGTATTGGCTCAACCATTCCGGTATGAAATGCTCACCCAGCCACCATAATGGAGATCTTGGATCTCCCCACCTCTTGGTTTGTTGTCCTTGCCACAGGATCTACTTTTATGCATGTCATCTAACAGGTATATCGTACCGCGCATATACTCATCTCGCGAGCCGGTGGCGGATGTAAGCAGCACTGGCTCCGCCATGGCATCACATAGAGCAGCACCGTTCATATCATGCGGCCGTTAAGCGTTGGCTGGTAGGAGATCGCAAAACGTAACTTACATCAACATTGGTTGCCGGCTAGCCGAAACGTCCTTGCTCAACTGCTCAGGAACAGAAACACCAAGCAAATGATGCAAAACAAATCGGTATGGAGCGAACAAATCGATGCCGCTTACAGTCGAAGAAGTCATCAACCGCGGAGGGTCTGATATGGAGCAATTAGGCTTTTGTCATGATGCGTCGATCATTGCCGATGGCACGGCTAGTCCTCCAACTCTGTTTCTTTACGGTCAAGGCAAGTTCGGAATCCAGCGATGCCGCAAACTCTACCTCGCATCCCCAGCATAGCCCCTACGTCAAAGAAGGCTGGATTTGATTTTGAGGTCGCACGTGAGGTGTTTTGAAGACGAAATAACATGAAACGAGCACAAGTGGTGACGATGCAGCCATGGTATGCACATCCAGAGTCGTCGTATGCATGAACAAGGTGCGGTGGGGTGCATTCCCTTGCCGTACCTAGCTCTTGGGGCTTGGCCGCAAATCCTACCAACCCTAGATGGGTCCATCGACTTCATCGAGTCTATCGAGTGCATTGTTGCTCGGCGAGCAGCTCTCTCAACAAGCAAGGAGACAAACCCCCCAGCCTGTACAACAATCAATTCACTTGCAAGCGAGAGTCTCGATCAATGCCTCCAGCTGAAGCTGAAGCTGTAGAACCTTCATCCTCAACGTCCTTCATACTAATACTAACAGGGCTGACTGGCTCCTTATTCGCGCGTGGGGGAGGCGTGCGGCGCGCACTTTGCGGAGTCAAGACCCCGCTCTTTCAAATGCATACGAGTGCTCTCGATGGGCTGCGAAATAGGTGATCGAAAGGTGATTATGTTCAGGATGGCTGGGCGCGGCACACGCTATGCGAGCATACGAATGCAGCGGTCATGGAAGGTTGTCAAGCGGAGGCAAGATGGTTGGTGAGGTTGCTTGATTTCTATTCCTGTCATGTACACTTGACTTTCTGAGCAGGGATTGGCATGACTCCGGAGTTTAAAGATCTTCAAGCATCATTCTCAACAGAGTTCGCAGTCAATGTGCAATAGCCCGACGGGATCACGACGTCACGAATTCTTCAAGGCTTCTCTCGCAAGGGAGAGTTTTGTGAATGCTGCTTGCAGGTTGCCGATGAGACGACTAGAACAAAGACATGCATGCAGCTGCGGGTGATTGGTGCGCTTGACTGCCTCCCGCCTGTCTCTTCCCGCCACGGCTGAAGCAGATCCTGGGCTCGTCTCCTCGTCACGCAGTACAACCAGCCAGAGCCGCATTGCTTGGTTGATACTTGGTTGCTGTTTGGAGAGGGTGTAGGTTTGATCAAATGGCCGGTTTCGTAGTTCATCTACCAAATGATTGGCACGACATGGAGCCGCCGAGCCGGTTTCTTGTCCAAAGCCAGCCGCTAAACTCCCAAGGCACGTCCGTTCCAACCTCTGGCCGTTGATCGCAAGCGGCCAACGGTAGGTACGTAAGTGCAAATGGCGCTACAGGCCGTCTTCACTTGAGCCAAGCGCTGGAACCAAATCCGGTGCAGTTGAGAGACTAACGCCGGGGGCTGGCAACCCCTCCCTGGCATTCCACAGGTTAATGAGCTCGGGATATAAGAAGGAAGCAGCATTCCTCTCATTGTTGCCTTCTGTTTACACATCAATTCGACTCGACACCTTTAAGAAGTCACTCACAAGCCCGACCTTTGCACTTTCCTCAGGTCACAGACTCACTTTCGCTGCCATTTATCATCACATCTGTCACCCAACTCTGTCGTTAACATCAACATCCATTCTTCTCTGCACATAATCATCGACGCATCTTCTCATCAGCCAACAACTACTTTACCATCAACATCATCATCACCATCAATATGAAGTCCTTCGCCATTGCCGCTGCCTTTGCCGGTGCCGCCGTTGCCCTCCCCCAAGGTGTCAACGAGGCCATTGCTCCCCAAGAGGCCACTCCTCAGGGCTGCTCGACCAGCTTCAACGGTCCCTTCTCCATCTCGATTGCTAACGTCACCACCAACGCCAAGCGTGATCTTGAGAGACGTCAGGACAAGGTCCTCACCATCACCCTCGCCAACGGTGTCTTGACTGACGATGAGGGCCGTACCGGTTACATTGCTGCCAACAACCAGTTCCAGTTCGACAAGCCCGCTCAGACTGGTGCTATCTACACCTCTGGCTTCTCCGTCTGCAGCAACGGCACCCTTGCCATCGGCAACTCTGCCATCTTCTACCAATGCTTGAGCGGCGACTTCTACAACCTGTACGACGAGTCCACTGGCAACCAGTGCTCTCCCATCTACATCAACGTCCTCGCTGCCGGTGGTTCTTCCGCCTCTGCTGTTGCCAGTGCTAGCGGTGCCGCCACCCAGATTGGCGATGGTCAGCTCCAGGCCCCCACCTCCACCCGCCCTGTCACTCAGATCTCTGATGGTCAGATCCAAGCATCCACTGGCGCTCCTGTCACCCAGATCTCCGATGGCCAGATTCAGGCCTCTACTGGCGGCGTTCCCGTCACTCAGATCTCCGACGGCCAGATCCAGGCTCCTACCTCCACCGCCGTCAAGGTCACCCAGATCTCCGACGGTCAGATCCAGGCACCCACCACCGGTGCTCCCGTCACTCAGATCTCTGACGGCCAGATCCAGGCTCCTACTGCCACTGGTGTCAAGGTCACTCAGATCTCCGACGGTCAGATCCAGGCCCCTACTGGTGGTGCCACCACTCGTGCTTCCAACGGCACCCAGGTGAACGCTGCCACCGCTTCGCCCATCGTCTCCTACACTGGCGCTGCTGCCATTCCCACCTTCGCCGCCGAGATGGTCATCGCTGCTGGTGCCTTCGCCGTCGCCTTCCTGTAAGCGCCTTTTTGCTTGCATGGACACTTTTCTTTTTACAACCATTCTCACGACTACTCGCTTCCGCCATGATATTCATGTTGATAATGGGCATTTTGGGCTTATCGGGAGGGGGTTTGTTCATTCTTGACGTCCCTCGTCGGTGAGACAAGGGTCAATACGAGGTTGAGGTTTGGGCAATAGGACTACGCCTACTAATGTTTGATCGGAGCGAGGAATGAGGTGCTCCCGACAGGGAGGTAATAAAGGCGTACATCGTCTTGGAAAACTGTTTTCCGCATTTTCTTATTTGCATTTTCTGGTTGGCATGATACCTTCTTGCATCCCGGAGTCTGCTTTCTTTGTCATTCCTTGTGCATATAGCCATTACTCTTTTTTCTTTCGGATAGACACCTTTGTCTGTCAATGATCAAGTCTTCTACCATTACGTTTCTGTCTTGCTTCCTCTCGCCTGTGACAACTGTCCTATTCCATTCTGTACAATGACAGGTTTCGTATTGGGAATTGCGCTCGACACTCAACGGAAAAAACAAAAGTGACTTGTGATTCGTATGCATTCGTACCTCTTGTGGAGCAAGTGTGGTGAGTCCTGCCGGAGCGAGCGAGCAGCCAAAGTCAGCCCAGCCCGTCCGCTCGTTCACCCGCGCCCGTTGATCCTCATTCAATGAATACGCTGCCTTTTATATCTCCACTTTACCTTGGTAAATACTTGGAAGTTGGAAGAGAATTGGAAAATGTCACTCACCTGTTCACATCGATTAAATCCCTCTCCCCAACAAACAATGGCGATGTGTAGGGTTGGGTTTCATACCAGACCCTCTTTTCGTGGTCTCACCAGCCAGGTGTCAGGACCCTTTTGAGATCATCCAATGTCTTATCTTCTACCCTCGATCTTCATGCAGGAACAATCGCGAGAACCTGCAGAGTACCACGTAGCGAAAAAGCAGCCGAGCGAGAGAGAGAGAGAGACGACCGAACTCAAAATGTTTGATGACAACTATTCAAAAAGAACAGTAGGTGGACTTGGCAAGCGACGTCTTTGCTTGGGAGTTGCATGGCCGCATGATTGATAGCGATGTCCACACCGAGCGGACTCTTTTCTCTGGACTGCGCTGTGCTCATCCTTGATAACTTCCACATCTCCTACAGCCTTCACGGCATCTTCAGTTGTGAACTTGTCGCTACGACACGCGTGCGGACTGTCGTACTCGGAAGCTTTTCTCTTCCCCAACAAAAAAAGATGGGGAGAGGGAAAAAGAAGGCTTGCGGCATTCCCGCTGTAGCTCGAGTTGGGCTTTTTTGATGGTGCGACGGGCTTGGTGGATTGCGCAACTGCTTTGCTTGCTGCGGCAAGTGACGGCTTGCGGGAGGATTTTTTGGAATTGCTTGGGTTTGTTTTGGCGGTTTATGATACACGACAGGTTGGTTTTGACAGGCTGGTATTATGGATGACATGCTTTGACAGGTTTGGTGCTATGACTATGGGACACGACGGCTTTGACAGATTGGTGGTATTTGTGAGATGTTGTGTTATCCTGGGTGTTTGCATGATAATTGTGGACGTGGAAGAATGCTGTGCCGCATCAATGTGAAGATATTGGTTTCTCAATTCCTATGCTACAAGATCGACCTTATTTCATCAGATCATCGCGGGAAGACAACCAGAGCGGTACGACAGACGCAGTAGAAGTCTTGTATGAGAATAGCTCGCATTATGGACTGACAAAGATCACGATATAAACCTGGGCAGGGTGATCCTGCGGACAAGCATTTTTTTTTTCGAATCTCGAAATATCATGCAAAGGAACACAAGGCACTTTGAGTTTCCTAGCCTCCACGCAAGATACATGCAAGGCACTCTAGTCTAGCAGAGACTTCCTTCGACTCTAGTGTTTGAGGATACGACAAGCGCCGCACCACATACCCGCCTCTGGCGTGGAAAGAAAGCGACCGAATGGGGAAACGTCCGGAAAGTGTGTGGACCTTGAAGCTGCCGTAAACAAGTGTTGTCATGGGAAGAGATAACAAGCTACTCAGCTCATGCGTTGTTTGCGATCAGGGCAAGAAGAAATTTGAACGTAGAAGGAGATTTAGCATGCAGTAGTTTGGCTGCAACCAGGAAACGAAGTCGCTGCAAGGCAGATTAGATGTGAAAGTGATCAGCTGCAGGATGCTTCTTTGCCCAGGATCTACCCGGCAGGAAGGAGATCTCTTGCGCATCCGGGTCGTTGGATCATAACGTGTGATGATGTTGATGATAGACATAAGACACGGAGAACAGGATGACACGTGAAAGACAACCGTTGAACATGTTCACATGATAGCAAGAGGAAGCAAAGTGAGATTGATGAGAATAATTTCATTACAACTATGGAGAGAAGAAGTGATACCATGGATCTGTGTCTTTGGGTTGGTCAGCAAAAGGTTCTTGCGAAGCATTGTTGATCAAGAATGTGAAGTGTGGAAAATTGAATCAGACATCCAAGGAAGATTGGACGCTCAACGACCGTCTAAGATAGGTTCTAGGCGACGGCTAGCGTGAAAACTGCGAATGTGGTATGGGTTTCATCATAAAAAGGGAGTGGTGTTGTTGTGCAGAGTGTAGAAGAAGCGAAGAGCGACTGACCATTATCGTGATAGGGCGCCAATGCTGTTGCAAAGCTGTCGACACCCAGAGTGTATTCCCATGTCCCATCTCTTGATTGTTGTCGAAGCGATTTGCAGTTCCTATTCTTCAGCGCATGTTAGCACGATGTTCCACAAATGCATGTTGCAAAACGAGGTAGTGGTGAATGAGGTGTCAGACAAAAATATACTGGCAAGTATACAGGCTGCCAGCGACGGCTGCCCGAACAGATAGTTTTCGTCAAGGTCGATTCTGTTGGGAAAAGAAGACATGATTGTAAAAGTTGTCATCATTCGGAGGAGGGGGTGGAAGAGTGTGCGCGCGAAGAAGAGAAGATACTCACAAATGATACAGCAGCCGTCGAGTGTCGCGCAGACAGGCATAGTAGATGCGCGAGGGTCTGACAGCAACAAACGACGGCAGTGTTTGGTGATGAAGATGGATGGATTTGCTTGCAGAGAAAAAAGATTTGAGCTTGGCCAAATAAATACTCAGCTTGACGCGCACGGTAGAACCTCGCGCCTGCCAAGAGGAGATCACGCCCGTGCATCTGATATCGGGTGCTTCAGCCCTTTCTATCCAACAACTATTTTGCTCGAGGATGAATCATTATGGTACACCGCATACCCAAATCCATAGAAATGATCCCTGACCGAGATGCTGTCAGCTTCGAACACCAACAGCTCTTGGAAGATGGTATCGAGATCAGGTCTAGATGCACGAAACTGATGGGCATGATCTTGGCAGTGTTGGATAGCAAGTAGCGTGTGCTCGTTAGTCACGCACGAGCCCCGTCAGCGGACAAATCACAAGGTCCGCTGGGATAGGACAGAAAGTGCGGTGATGGGAAACAACGACCCTCTTGTCAGGCATCTTGTGACAGGGCAACTCTGTCTTCGCATACAATCGTGCAACTCTGAAAACCGAGAGAGTCAAAAACTCTGCAGACGGCACACAGATCTGTGCATGAATCAGTGGAATATTTTTGGTGGGAAAAGAGGAGCACTGCTTGACCGTTGTTGGCCGAGTAAAGCGCGCTTGACCCTCGAGAAGGCTTTCGGCCGCTTGAGCATCCCAGACCCGGACGACGGAGAGGAACGCGCCGTGTCGCCCTAACACCCCGGTCCCTTCACTACGAGTGACCATCCTCTACCTGGTACCTGTCCTTCCCTCTCGCATTCTTCCTCCTGAAGTGATCGATCGTCCCGGTCCTCGACAACCCTTGACGCCCACGCACACGGCACTGCCTTGTACAGTCCGCTGTCGCTTGTTCAGGCTCGAAGGCGCGTCGATCTCGATCCACACCTCTTGCGCTTCAGAGCAACAGCACAAGCCGTTCCAAGTCGTGTCCCTACATGCATTTGAGCGCACCCATTGTCGCGCCATAATCTTCTCGCTCCGAACGACGCGCTTCGGGTACTCGACAAGTCCTCGTCGTCGTCTGATCCCACGCGTCTCGCTTGTCCACCTCCAAGCATTATGATGCAAGGCATGTCCTTTCCTCCGCACCCAGCGGGCATGCAACCTGGTGTGCCCCATGGTCATCCCGGAATGCCTCCCAATGGCCAGCATATGGGCCAACCCATGCAAATGCCTGGTGTCTCAGGACCTGGTGGTCCTCAGATGGGCCAACAAACCATGATGGGTATGCAACCTGGCCAGCAGAACATGCATCCCGGTATGGGACCCGGTCCGGGCGGTGGCATGCAGATGCCGCAGCAGTCGATGGGCGGACCCGGTGCAAACGCCATGGCCATGAGCCATCTCAATCCTCAGACCCATATGATGCAGCAACAGCACCACCAAATGCAGCAAGCCAGTACGTCTTTCTCTTCTGGCAATTAATTTCTCTTCCAATGCTGACCTGTGTCGCTATAGTGGCTGCAAACCCTCAATTGATGTTACAACAGCAGCAACACATGGCCCGTCAGCGACAGATCATGGCGCAACATCAGGCCCAGCAACAGCAGCAACAACAGCAGCAGATGAATGGTATGGGCATGTCAATGGGCATGAACGGGCAACCGGGCATGAGCCCTCAGCAATTCGCCCAGATGCAGAACAATCCCAACTTCCAAAATGCTCAAATGGCGAACCTACCACCCCAGCACATGATACAGATTCAACAGATGCGTCAACAACAGGCAATGGCTGCTCAGCAGGCACAGCAGCAACAGCAAGCCCAGCAACAACAGCAGCAGCAACAGCAGCAAACTCCGCATCCCCAAGGCCCTCAGGCTCCGGCAACACCGCAGATGACCCAACAGGCAATGGCTCAGCATATGGCAATGCAACATGCCAACTCCCAGGCTTCGCACCAGAGTGCCCAACCGAACAGCCAACCTCCCCCTCAGCAACCGCCATCAGCTCAGATGAGGAGTCAGTCACAGATTCCATCTGGGCCTGAAAGTCAGGGTCAAGCTCCTCAGCATATCCAGCCCCCTCAGCCTCAACAGCCTCAGGGCCCTCAAGGACAAGCTCAGCAGCAGCAACCCCAACAACCGCCTCAGCCTCCCAGCGCTCATCCCACGCCGCAGATGCAAGCACAACCATTGCCTCAGCAGCCTAGTGCTTCGCAGCCTCAACAGCCTAACCAGCAAACACCCCAGCAGCCAAATCCTGCTCAGGCTCAGAACCAGGCACAAAATGCTCAACAGCAACAACAGCAGGCGCAGCAACAAGCGCAGCAGCAGATGCAGCAGGCCGCCCAACAACAGCGCCAGCAAGCCATGAACATGAACGGCATGAACATGATGCGTCAGCAGCAGGCGATGGCTGCTCAGCAGCAGCAGCAACAACAGGCGCAGCAGCAGGGCCGCCCAAGCGGTGGGCAGTTCATACTCAAGTTGGTCCAATTCTCAGACCACCTGAGTATGTTCAACGCCAACGTAAGTCTATACCCCGTGAATGCTAAACGTAGAAATCTCGACTGATCAGAGTTTAGGCGCCACATTCAAGTACGCCTGAGCACTGGAATGCGTTCGTCAACCAGTTCTGGATGCCCGACGGCAAATTGGTGCAACACATCCTCGACAATACATCATCGTCGACTAAACAGTTCGCCATCAACGCCTCCTCGCTTGCACGATACTACTGGACCTATTTCGATAGCGGCGTACAGAACATCCAGCTCCAGCTCGAGGGTGTGAGAGAAAGCGCCCTTCCCAACGGCGGTGGCTCCATCGTACATTGCAACCGCGCTCGCTACATCTTCTGGTTCGAGAACAACACTCAAGTAAGTAGGCTCTCTCGGCAGTCGTGTATACTTTGGCTGACGTGTCTTGTAGTTGATCTGGCAAGGCAGACTATCGGCCACATTCCCTCCTGGCTCAGACAAATTCGACACGCTCGAATTCGAAGTGTCCAAGACGGAGGAGTTTGTCTCCCGCTCGGAAATCGCACGTATCGTCGCGCAGGGCTCGCCCCTCATGAACAAAAGTCCCAAGATGAGCAGAACACCGGCTAAGAAGGCCATGCAAAAGGCTCAGGGTGCCCTTCAGCTCGAAGACTTCCCGGCAGCCCCAGTCAACTCATATGCCGTAACCCCCGCCGTCATGCAATATCTTGAGGTAGATACGGTTGATACACAGTTCCAGTTTTTCGACCACCTGAACTGACCTGGGGACAGGTAGCGGAAACCATCTTCTTCATGAAGGATCTGATGGACTATTCCCAGAAGAACGAGCTCCGACCCCACGACGCCATGAACCAGATGGTCGCTCAGATCGAGGAGCAGCAACAGAACCAGTTCCAGCAGCCACAAAACATGGTCCCGAATCCCATGCAGCCCAACCACGCCCAGATGGCTCTGCAGAGGAACGGAATCGTTCAGCCTCTGCCCCAGGGTAGTGGTACCCCCAACCAGTCCCATATGCAGTTGCCTGGCCAGACGCCCAACTTCTCTTCGCCGTCAGTCCCCCATATGAACTTGCCGATGCAGCACCTGAACGGGCAACAGATGATGGCTATGAATGGCTCTCCCCACATTGCTCACCCGGGCTTGCCGGGTGCCTCCTTGATGGCCCCGAACCACATGATGGGGCAGATGCATCACTCCCCTAGCCCAAACATGGGTCCGCCGATGATGGTACCTCAGCACTCTCAGCAAGGCAACCCGAACAGTGCTCAGCAATCCGCATCGACGAGCCCGAACCTGAGCAGCAAGCGCCGGCGCTCACAAGTCAAGCTTGAGGGTGATGAAGGACTGGACGGACCGCCTTCACAACGCATGAAGCCCAGTCCTGGCCTCAAGAAGAAGTGAAGTCCGGGTAAGCTTGCTCAGTCACGACTCGACTGACATGTGCATTCCATTCTTGATAATCTTGTTTTTAGCCTGGTGCTCTCTTTCGACAAATCCAGAGGAGCTGGGTACTGGGCACGGCGTTTGATTCTTTCCGATATGAGTTGATCTTCTGCGAAAAAGGGGCGCGGGGCTCGCGAGACCACGAGGGGGCGTTCATGCTTCTCTCTCATCTACTGTGCATTTTCTCTCTCTTACCATCTCATTTTTCATCATCCATTTTTTACAATGAGGAAGAGCTACGGCGTAGCAAGGGATTCTACGTTCCCGTCGCGAAGGAGGGTCATTTCCTCTTGTTGACTTCCAAGGAGTACCAGTTTGCCTTGTTCTCTTTTCCTGGGTTCATTTCAACGAGATCAAAGGACAATGCTTTTATATGTCGCTACGGGGAAACGTCTATACTTGCCTTTGGGTGTGAATGTACATTATTTGGCTACCTTGCTTCTAAAATTCTTCTTTTTTTCCCTTGTCGTGAGGACTCAATGTTATGCACCGTGAACGTATGGGCAAGGTCACCGTCCAGAAAGGACGAGAAATTTGCTTCATGAATCGAGTCGAGTCTTTGGAATACGGTAGGTGTCGTCAGCATATCGCTGTTCGAGTCCACACTCTTGTCGAACAGCTCGACACCCAAAAGCACCATGACTTTTGAGGAACCGATTGGCAGAGCCCTGCGAAGAGAGTAGTTATATACCTCGTTCCATCTTCCTCTGCATGCCAGATGAGATCTTAGCCATGAACTACCAACCATGTATAGAAAACTCCAACACGCCGCAATATCAATCGTGTGGATCGTCTCCAATAAGTGATTGACATTCGACGCACATGAAGGGGTGCATGATACCGAACATTCAGCTCTCTGTCACTTGGACTGGATTCTCAGCATGACTGGAGGGATGACACCTTTGCGTTTCGAGATTGAGCATCGCGGGTCTGGCCAGGGGACGATGGAAGCGAACTGCACAGATGGAGTATAATCTTTTTGATGCAGGTCATTGATCGTGGTTTCTGAATTCGTTCGCATCGCATTCCACATGCAGAAACTTTTATAGCCAGGAGCGATCTCGTGGATGCTTGAAGGAATAAAATGTACGGTAGACACTGTCTGAGAGGAACATTGGGTCGATTGTATCCAGGTTAGCTATGTGGAGGAGGTCTTTGCACGGATGTCTTACAGATGCTAATAATGATACATTATCATATAAGGAGGAAAAAAAAAATGAGACTCTGCCCTGGCCCCCCTTGAAACTCTTCAACATTATATCGTTACTTCATTCATCCGTTCCTCTTCATGCGCCAATACCTGTCACACGTGTAGCGATCGAAATTCACGATGAGTTTCGAGCCAGAGTCGAGTCCGGTGAGATTGCATCCAATAGCTCATTTACCGTGGACGGCTCCGGTGAAACGAAAAGCATCGTGCATATCCACAGCCCGGACTTAACTGAAGATGATCGCAGGAGGGAACATCAGCCCCTTATCCGCACTAGTACCTGTCCTCGTCCCTCCTACCTCTTCTCTCCTTTCCACCTCCTTCGCTACCATGTCTGGCCTCCCACTTGACTTTCGCCTCTCTCTGTTCCTCTTTCATCTCTTCTCGATATATCCTGACCCTGTTCTCGAGTATATTCGCTCCTATTCCGCCGATGATGGCCCCCAGAGCCGTACTTCGCTTTTGATGGCGATGGTTGTCACTAGTTTCGCGGCCAATGTAGCCGCCGAGCAGGGCACCCGCTAGACCTGCGCCTAGGCCTAGAGGGGTGCGGTCGAGTGCCATCAGAGGGGAGTCGGTGAAGTCGCGGGATCGGGATGTGGAGCGAGAGCGCGAGCGAGATGAAGAAGGAGAGCGGCGGCGACGATGCCGTGATGGTGAGCGGCTTTTGGGTCGGGAGTATCGTGCTAGTTCATTGCGTTGGGGGCCGCGGGATGAGGATGTGGGTGTGTAGTCGCGGGATGAGGGGCGGGATGAATCATTGTAATACGGAGGGTTTGGTGGTACGGTGTCCTTTTGCCTTGTGTTTCCTGGTTGGTAGGCTGCGTGTGGTTGGTACGGTTGATATTGGGGTTGCGCATCTGGTGCGCGAGGATGGTAGCTTTGGCCTGGAGGGGAGTATCGTCGTGGTTTTCTATCCTCGTCTCGGTCGTCGCGGTCATCACGATCGTTGTATTGTCGTGGTTTCTTGTCATCGCGATCGTCTCTTTGAGGGCGTCTCCGTCTTGGACGTTCATTGTAACTGTCGTCTGAATCGTTGTCGTAGCCACGATCACGTCCTTGTGGGTCACTCATATTGTCTTTGCCGTTGCTGTCTCTCTGACGGTCGTCGTCTCTATGTCTGTGTTTATGCAATCTGTCGTATCCTTTATCGAAGTACTTGTCGGCTGTCTTGTCAAAGCCTTCCAGCCCGAGTTCCTTTGATCCAGAAAGTGTCAGGTCAATGAATTTATGGTATTCTGTTCGAGTCTCCAAGAACGAGTTTTGGCCTTGTCAGGTAGAAGGTGGGGAACAACATAGACGATTGAAGACAAAAAGGCAGCAGGAAACCTACAACAAAGTCGGCCATGGCGGAAGCCTTGGGTCAGACGAGCGTGATACCACCAAGCCCTCAGCAGAATGCGCCTCTACGTAATGAGCTTCCTTGGCCCAGATACCGGAATATTTTAAGCTTCTTGTGCGAAGTGACAAGGATGGTGAGAGTCGGTAGAATGCCGATCGGAGAAAAACACAAGGGTGTTGGAAGAGAGTTCGCAAAGAGAAATACACAAGAGACGGCACAGACAAACCTCATGTATATTTCAAGCAAACACCTTGCACTGAACCGAGATCTTACCCATGACGCATGTTGGTGGAGGCTGGTCTCAATATTGCCAGCGCTTCGATGCAGGTTGCCAGAGTGGACTGGGTTGAGAGAATCCTTGTGACGTCCTGACATGCAGGGATCGTTCGGCACGCGAGACTTGCTTGGCTGGTGAGCTTGTCCTTAGTTCTTAAGGAGTTGATATCAAGCGCCTGAGGATTTCTTACACAACATAGACCAAGTTCACTCTCCTTGCCTGGGAAGATTACTATTAGTAGCTATTACAATGCATAGTGTCACTGAAAACTTAAAGACAGTACATTGAGAGCTTGACTGTTTCATCCTTTCCTTAGACATTCTCCATATTCGCAAACAAACCATGCTTCGCTCTAGAGTGGTTGATGCGTTCTATAACAAGACCTTAGTATTCGCTCTTATATCTCACTTACAGCCTTCACAAGCAGGACTTTTTTTACGACGTACGACTCTGTGCCATTGATCGTGAGCTACTCACGATTACTTTGTAGAGAGTGGCGCTGTATATGAAGTGTATAGGGTGTTTGTATTCTCATTTTCCACCACCGAAGATTAAGCGCCATACTAAAAGGCTTGCAGACCAGACATCTTCCTGTAACCCGTCTGCAAGCAGCAAGCGGCTACCACCATGCTCAGAATATCAAACAGGGCCAGCGCTTTTTCTTCGCTATGCGGAGCGACCGGAAAATTGAAAGCAAAATCTTGGTTTCATTCAACAACACCACCCTTCTCTGCCTCTTCTGTCAACCACGTTCCTTCCAAGCCTCCAGAGGATTTACTGAGATGGACAAAATATCGAGAATATCGAGAGCGTCAGAACAAACGTTACCGAACCGATCCTGAATTTAGGAGGAAGGAATTTGAGAGAGTAGAACGATGGTTCAAGAGGCGGATGGAAGCTGATCCCGATTGGTGAATGAATCATTTAGCCTCGCGAAGAGCCAGGGCAGCAGAGACGCCTATTAATCCGCGCCTGGCCGCGAACAAAAGCCTGCGCAGGTGGATAACGAGTTGGCCCTGGTTTCGCGAACTCTGCTGGAAAGAACACATACCCGTTGTGTATCCCCATAGGGTACTTCATCATTGTAGCAGCTGCCAGCTCACGAGAGGGGCTGGCGTGAAGTCATGGTGGCTTCGTAAAGGCTCGGAGCATTCAGATCAACCGGAGCAATGGGTCTGTTCTGGATGTTTTGTCAAGGAGAACTGGCCAAACCTCATGCCCATTGGTTATGAGGGTCTCACGAATGCGAAGGAACTGTATGCACGACGAGCAGAACTGGAGATGGCCGCAGCTCGAGACCGTAGCAGAGATGAGAGTAGTCGTTGAAAGATGGGGTCTGAGTGGGAAGGAGTGAGAGAGCAAAGAGAAGCGACATTGCCAGTCAAGAACCTCTTGAGAAAGCATAAGCTGAGCGTGGTCATGTCAGCAAGGATGTGTGGGAAGATGGACAGAAGATGGATGGGTGACATGTGAAGTGTTTCAAGGAAGGAGCGAGAGCTCATAATTAAAAACTTCAAAGACATGATGATGAATGGCACGTGAAAGTAAATGTTGAGATATTACCAGACTAGGAAAGAAGGCTGGAAGGTCGGTCAGAGCACGGGCCACCTCAGGCTCACTCGCTAAACTTTTCGCGACAGCGACGCAGCAGCAAGGCCGGACGAGAGTGATAGCGCAACAACCCCTCTACCACACATCACATATCCTTCAACATGTCCAACCAACCAGGACGCACCGACTGGGCCGAAGACGACGAGCCCGATCTTGCCACCGCCCTCCCCGCTCCCCAGCACACCAAGAACAAGGACGGCACCGAAACCATTGTCACCATTTTCCTGAACGATGACGGCAAGAAGGTCAAGCGCACACAACGCATCCGCACCGTCGTGAAGCGAAAATACGAGAAGCCCGGTGTCGCTGAGCGCCGTGCATGGCCCAAGATGGGCCTTGAGGCAGGCCGCCCCGCTGGCCCCCAACCCGATACCACCACTCTCGGAGAGAACATCATCTTCCGCCCCCAGGTCGGCTTCAAGTCCGGCGCCGCCGAGCAGCCCACCGCCGAGGAGGACCAAAAGCAGCAGCAACTCAAGCAGATGAAGATCAAGTGTCGTATTTGTTCCGGCGAGCATTTCACCACAAAGTGTCCCTTCAAGAACACCATGGCCCCCGAGGGCGAGGCCGGCGCTGGTCTCGCAGACCTCGACGGTGATGTTGGTGCCGCCACTCTCCAGAACCTGGCTGCAGGCGGTCCCGCGGCAGGCGCTTCCGGTCCCGGTGGCTCTTCCTACGTGCCCCCGCATTTGCGCAAGGGTGGTGCTGCTACTGGCGAGAGAATGGGCGGCAAGTTCGAGAGAGACGACCTCGCTACCCTGCGTGTTACCAACGTGAGTCTTTGCTCATCTACCTACTACAAACAACAACAACCACCTGACATGTTCGACTCTAGGTTTCCGAATTCGCCGAAGAAGACGAGCTCCGCGCCCTGTTCGAGCGCTTCGGTCGTGTCACCCGTGTCTTCCTCGCAAAGGACAGAGAAACAGGCAAGGCCAAGGGCTTCGCTTTCGTCAGTTTCGTCGACCGATCAGATGCCGCCGTTGCATGCGAGAAGATGGAAGGCTACGGTTACGGCCATCTTATCCTGCGCGTCGAGTTCGCCAAGAAGGCCACCTAGGAGTACCCCAACAACACCTTTTAGCAGAAGAAGGGCCGGAAGGGTCAAGGGTGGAGATGACGGACCAGGCAAGAACGAAAGATGGGCAAGGGAGCCACAAAGGACGCACCAAAAGTTGTACAATTGCACGACCCCCTTTTTTCATCCTTTTTTTCAGACACACGTTTTGGCGCTTTTATGGGACATGATGGTTTCTTTATATCACGTATTCTTTCGTTCTTCTCTTTTTACTTTGTGCAACGCAAAAGCACACCAAAAAGAGCTGGGCCGAAGAGAGGTTAGAGGTTTTGGGAGACGATGAGAGAATACAATCTTGTTATATACCCCTGATTCTTGTCATCCTGTGACTTTTATCACTGTTGTCTGTATGCCACAACAGCAGCTACTCTCTGTCCCTGACCGTTCCAGAGCCTGTAGCAAGGCACAATGGTAGGTTGTCTCTCCTTGACCCATGCTCCGGGCAAGATCTGAGTTGTGTAGACAGTGCAGACGTATGATGCTGGCACTTCCACCTTTTCCAAAGCATCAACGCTGTTCACAGCAATCCAACCAGCAATCTCCACTTCCTCAAGTCCAGACTTGATGTTCAAAGTCTGCCTCGTACAAACATCTTCCACAATTTCTGCATCTTTGTCAGTTATGATCCCTTCGCGACCATCGTGATGTGACAACGTACCTTTAACCTCGATTTCACCAGCATATCTCACACCAGTACTAGCCCACTCGACAGGCGCATCCCTAGGCAAACTCTCCACCTCCGCCACAAAACAAGGAGGTACACTTTCCCCCTTTGCTCCGATATCTTTTCTTTGCGTATATGTCGTCGCCGCACTGCCATTGCCGAATTGTTGGCCATGCACGCGATCCCAGAGATCGATATCAGCCGATTCCTCATCTTCGTCCTGGTCATCGACTGCAGGTTTCTCATGTGCGAGATTCCACGCTTTGATAGCGGTATGGACGCGAGAGGAAGCGGAGACTGGAGAGGAAGCAGAGATGAACGCTACAGCGCCTAGGAAATCAGAGACGTGCATGATTTGTCCGATGCGCCAGAGATGTTGGAGTGCTAGGATCGCTTGGGTGGTAAAGTGTTTTGCTGGACTCATGTCTCCTTGGGTGGGGAATTCCATGGTAGGTGCGTGTAGGGGAATTTGACCTGCGATGTGGATTTGTTGCGGGAGGCTTGAGGGAGCAGAGGATGGCATGACGATGGCTTGGGAATAAGGACCGATGTTTGCTGGGGCCCAGTAGGAGCGTGATTGCACGTGGAGACCTTGCTTCTGACTGGCGACTTCATCGTTGAGGATGATGGTTGAGAGAGAAACGTGTGTGTTGTTGGGGAGACTGCTGCCACATGCTATTGTTACTCGGGCCGGTGGGTTGGGTGTTGTAAAGTGGGAGCCGTAGGCTTGGTTCACGGAGCCGAAGGTAGACATGTCGCGGAGGAGGATTGTGGTGAAGGCGATCGAGGAGGGGTTGATTTTGCGGTCTTTGGTTAGGCGTGTCATGATATTAGACATCTGTTCTCCCGCTGTAGCTCCTTCTGCCATGGCGTTCGAGATGATTGTGCTGGTATCTGTTTTCTGAATTATCCATCCCGATGTTGTGCTGAGTGCCTCGGTTCCCACTGCCAGTTCGTCGGAAGTCGATTTGTGCTCGGTGGTGTCGTCTATCTGTGATCCCAGAGTCGCAAACTTATCATCCAGAGTTGTTGGTTTTCGCAATTGCTCGTATGAGAAATCCGAGGACGGCTCCTTCGGCACCAGACTCGCAGTCTTGATCTTCAAAGACGCAGCACCCGCCTCTCCTGTAACGACCAATCTATCCTCGTCCTCAATTTGGATCGAGTTCTTCCATAGCGGCCAAGGTCCGTCTACAGCAAGCGTCTCAAATTCTCCTCCCTCGCCAAGCGCAGCACCGTCACCAATGATACCGAACCTCTCCATTGCTCTCACAAGTTTAGTCTTAGTGCGGAAGCTAGCCACATTTTCCCATAAGAAGCTGTCATCAAGACCTCCAGAGGCTACTTTGATGATACGGGCATCCTGTCCTGCAGCAGCCATATCATCAAGCAGGGAAGTCTCGGCATATGGAGGCAAGAATGGATATTGCCAAAGGTAGGATAAAGGCACGAGACCGAGACGAATAGCCACAGATTCCACTCTGGTACGTTGATAGTCTGATAGAATAGCTCCAGTACTGACGGCATTGACCTCTGGGTGCTCAGCCATAACCTTTCTCAACAGCGGTACCAGACTCTCCGTCTCATCCTGCTCCACAGATTGAGCAGTATTCGGTGAGGCATAGCTTTTGTTCTGATCCACGGCTTCACCCCAAATTTCCTGTCTGTAGAGTGGGAGTCCAAGTGCTTGTTCGTAAAGCGGAATGACGGTGTGGCCTATAGTTTGGTACATGTAGCTGTCGATATCCTCGGAGCGCTCGCCATCCTGGGCTGGCGGATGCAAGTTTGCAAGAGCGACGACTTCGTGGCCATTGGCGTGGCAGTGGAGGATTGAGAAGAAAGAATCTTTGCCCCCTGAGATCAGAGCAACAACTTTCAGTCCTGGCATGTTTGGTGTGTTATTGTTATTCATGTACAGAATTTTGGATAGAAGTTTTTTGGTTTCAAAGTTGGCTAGTCACAGGGTCGCAGAGCGAGTTGAGTTCTGAGGAAAAGGCACTTCACGGTCATCAGAGCACTGGAGAGAGAATGTTTGTAATGAAAGTAATTGATATTTGCTATTCCTGTAACAGTAGTCGATGTTGCGCAAAGGTTGCCCGCGCTGTTCGCAAACTCAGAAGACCTTCCGCAGACGCAGTCCCCAATATCAGAACTTTATCGCGGTCCGCAAGGATATTCTCAGAGCATTGCACAGAGCACTTGCTCCCTCGAAACTCCATCGCAACACAACAAATTACACAAAGCACGAAAGAGATGTCCAGCCATCAGCACACCAACAGAGCCAATCGTATAGGCTCCGTCGGAAGTGGCTGATAAGACTAGGTATGCAATATTTTTATTCTGTGTCCACGGGTTGACGCCAGCCTCTCATATACGTTTAACAATGAAGTTAGGAAAGACCAGCAACAGGGGAAACTGTATAATACCCGGACGCCGCACGAATTAGAAAACAGAGGGTGGAAGGGTGGAAAGCCTTTATATACCTCCACACGGAGAATTTTTCGGAAAGCTTTGGCCATAACTCTGAGTCTTGGCAGCAAGTGTTTGATCAAGTGTTTTGGCCAGTTTGTTGGAAGCTTGGACTTTTGCGTTGTGCTCTCTTCTTTTCTTTGAAGCTGGGAATTTTTTCTTCCCTTTCTTCTTCCTACGGCCGTTGATGAACGATGCTCAGGCATCTTTATTATAATAGGAAGAGAATGATTCCCGCTGGGAACTTGATCTCAACATGACACATTTCTGAGGCCAGTCACCAAAAAGCATCTTTTTGCTATTTTGCTCGAGGGAAGGGAGTGCAAAGTTCTGACGGAGCATGTCTCGATATGTTAGACATGTACCACAGAATCTCGCCTGATCTTGAAGAGCTCGAGTATTTGATCGAAGGGAAATGGATTGCGCGATGTATGTACTGTAGACGTATGTGCAATGAAATCCAAGATCCCGTTCAATCTACTGTCGAGTTGCGCGGTCCCAAGAACGTAGCCAGGCTCTACATGCTGTCCTCCTTCCATCTACTTCTGACCTTTGCAAAGTTGTCCTTTTCTTGCTTGCCTCCCTTGTGCTCAAGACCCATTCCTCTCTCCACCCACATTTGCGAGCCCATCTCAGAAAGACGAGACAAGGCACGCGCGAATGCAAAGGCCTCTTCATCGCCGGAGAAGAAGTTGGACTTCTTCAACATGTTCATGTTCATGCCTAGGTCATCCATCATCTGACGCATCACGTCGTCAACATCTGATCCGTCGTTCAAGGCAGCCTTCGCATTGGCGTCACCCTTCTTGGCTGCTTGCTTGATTGCTGCGTCGACTTCCTCACGAGAGAGGAAGAGCTCGGTCAAAGGTACGGCTGTGGTGAGGACGAGTTTGGCGTGAGACTCGTAGACTGCATCGATAAATGTGATGAAGCGACGAGCTCTATCACGACTACGGTGGTCCATCTGCGGCACATTGCTCACGATGAAAGCATCGTAGTTGCGCATCAACTCAATGTAATCAGCTGCGCCAGTCGCGCGACCGATCAACTCATCAAAGTCGAAATGTGCGGCCTTTCCACTGGCCTGGGGGACCTGAATTGGACGGCCCCAAACATGACATTCGGCCGGGTGCGGAGGGTCCTTCTCGAAATCGCCGAGGTACTTGAACCAATGTGATATATGCGTGCTCGCAGCCTTGTTCAGGGGGAAATGATATACACCTGACGGAGGGCGAGGGATCTTGCGGTAGTCGGTTGGCGAATCGAGGTTCAGAACACGCAATTGGCGCTGAAGAAGGTTGATACAGGGCACGAAGGACTCGCGCTGGACACCGTTCTTGTAGAGTTCTGTGGGATGACGGTTGCTGGTGGTTACAATGACAGTGCCATGGTGCATGAGAGACTCGACCAATCGTCTCAAGATCATGGCATCTGCCACGTCGGTGCATTGGAACTCATCGAAGCAGAGCACGCTGCTACGTTTGGCGATGTGAGCGGCCACGAAAGGAATGGCATCAATGTCGGTGCCATACTGCATCTTGACCTTGTGCAGGTCACGGTGGACCTCCTGCATGAAATTGTGGAAGTGGATGCGTGTAGCTCTCTTGATGTTTCCGGGCAATGTGTCGTAGAAAAGATCCATCATCATGGTCTTGCCGCTGCCAACATCGCCATACATGTACAAGCCTTTAGGCAGGTCGCTAGGTAATTCCAGACTCGATTGCATTTTCTGGCTGCCGAAAATAGCGGCAAAGAAACTCTTTTTGGGCTGCAGCGATTCTATCGTTGGTTCTTGCACTGTCGGGGGGTTGTAGTTGGCCAGCATATCGTGCAGATCTTGGAGCGATTCGATAATGGCTACAGCAGATCAGTCTAGTTCACCTCGTATGGTGTCGCTGAACTTACTTCTCTGATGTTGATCATCTCTGAGGACGCCAGCATTGACACGGCGATCGTATTCGGCCACGGGGCCATATTCACCTTGAAGACGCGGGCTGTTACTGACTGAAGTCGGTCGTGTCCAGGGAGCCCGTTGTTCACCTACTCTTTCTATAATCCGCCATGGAGACTGTCGAGTTGGAAGTCGCATAGGTTCGCTTCTTCACTTGGTGAGCTCCCCACTGTCCTCTGACCCTGCGGTCGCTCCAGGATCCCATGCATCGTTGCGATTGTGTCTGAGTTTGGAATGGGTTGATGTTTTGTGTTCTTGCTATCCTTGGCCGAAGAGAGGGCTTTCCAGCACTGCGAGCAGCTCTAGTCACCCCTCTCAAGCCGCCCATACACATCTGCCCGCTCATGGTGCTCTACCAGTAGCGGGGCTCGAGATGATCAGTTCCAAGTCGTAGAGATTGAAAAAGTTATCGTACGGTCGTGGTCAACTCTGTTCGGAGAGCGAACAGATCAGACAAAAGAGGGTCCAGACTTTCAAGTTATAACCAGGTCGAAGAGCAGAGTGAAAGTTGGAAGTATCAGGTAGCCCATTCGCAATCGCTGCCCGGTGACGCCGGTCTTGATTGCCGCATCGCCGAGATGCGGGCCACGCGCCTCGGCTTTCGTTCGGCTTTTGCACATGTCAAGCACGAGGTTTGATCTGTCTGCATATAAAATGCTTCATTGATGCCAGACCCAGCGATCTGTCTGTTCCTGCGTCTAAGGTGCTATATAAATATCATAATTCGTTCCGCTGATGGGTATTATCTGGCAACAGCAAGCCTCAAGCTAAAGGCTTTCTCAATTTCATCCCTTTGCAATCCATCCCGACCAGACGAAGAAGTCGAACAGTTTCCCTGCCTTCGTCGTATCGATCCTGCAGACCTCTTTGACATTCTTGCGTTTCAGACAACCGTTGGATCGAAGCGCCTCCTTCAATACAGCATCCTTCATCACCAAGTATGCCTTGGGCTGAACCCGAACCACTTTGCACATCTCTTGCTCGTTCTCAGTCAAAAGATGTGCATCTTGGCTGTTGTAGCCATATAGATCCATCTTGGAGACACCTGTGATTGCTTGCAGGGGGAATCGTGGTGGAGGGTTGGTACTAGGATTTGGTGATGTCGCTTCAGGTGGTGTTTGTAAACCGCTGGTATTCGGTTTTGGTGGCAGCTCTGGTCCGATCAACGCAGATGCTGCTGATGGAGGCTCTTGAGCGCTAGGCTTGTGAACTCTACCAGGCAGTGAGAAGCGATCCGCCGTCGCAGCAGCTCGAGCCTGCCGTGCGGCTTTTTCAACTTCGTACTTTTCTCCCGTTTTTAGGTCGCTGATCTGCATGCGGCGCCAGTCTTGCAACTGCTTGATGGCTTGACGTAAACTGTGTTCATACTCTATTCCTGTCGTGAAGGTTTCGAAGTCGGAGTGGTTCATCATGCGGGCGAAGGGCTTCATCTTGTTGCTCAAGTCACGCTCATCCTTAGTCCGCTTCTTGTCAACTGCAGTGTTCTTGCGATATTCCAGTAAGTTGTGCTCGAATAAGACCTTCTTTCTCTCCACACGAGCGGTGAGACGGTGGTTATAGATATCCATGACTGTCACCTTGAGATCCATTTCTGGTTCAAGTTCACCAGTAGTAGGATTGATGCCATCGCCGGGCTCGAATTGCATATGCTGTACGGCTTCTTCAGCCTCGTTGAAATATTCCGTCTCAAATTCGAGACGACCAGGCATGAAACCTTGGACTTCATGACATGAGGGAACACTCGAAGTCGGCTTCTGCTTGGAGTCGATTATAGCTTGGTTCTTGGCGGCCTCTTTTCGCTCTTCTATCCTTCGCTTCTTGCGAGCCTGGAACTCATCTCTAGGAATAGACTCGGAGAGAGTGGTGTCGGCAGGACTGGCTCGTTCCGGCAAGGGGAACTTGGAGCTGTTTATGTATGTTTCGATGTAGTGTTCGCGCACTTCGTCTTTTGTCCGGTAACCTCCAATGTGATCGGCAATGTCGGCCCATGATCCTAGTCCATAGGTCTCTGCGCCTTCTAGCAGCAGCAGTTCCTCGTCGGCGCCCCAGTCTTCGACATAAATGGGTATCGAATGTTGTTCTATGACTTGGAACGAATGTGTGGCAGGGTCGTGTTTGCCGGAGGATTTACCCTCGGAGAAACAGGGAACACAGAGATCGTAGTTGGAGCACTCATCGTCGGCGCATCTGATGCGAACCTAGGACGGTCATGTCAACATATAGCGCACAGACCAAGAGGTAGTGAAAGTGAAAGTGGAAGGAAAGCGAGAGTGAAAGTGGGCTACAAGACGTACAGTGGCAGTGATGTCTGCTGAACAGATGTCGCAAATATATTTAATGCCACCTTCAGTAGTCCGGACGGCCGTCTTCTTCTTGATGAGGCCCATGGCGGGTCAAGTACGAAGGTGGGGCTGAGGGATTGCACAAGGGGATGCGCGTTGAGAGCAGCCGGCGTGGGGGGTTGGAGGGCTCAATGTGGTCGCATAGCACGCGCGAACAAGGACCAGGGGCTGACGAGATGCGTGTAGATGAAATGGCGCGAGGGCGTTGCTTGATGGATGACTCGAGCGCGACAGCGAGACGTCGTGGTTACGAGATACGAGTTATCGCAGCTCCACGTCCAATGTCTTGGCAAAAGCTAAACTTAGGAAGAGCACCTTGAACAACAATAGTACGACACTGACAATCTGCATCAAAACATCTCCGTTATTTCACTGCCCGTAGCTAGACGGGTTCTCTTGAGAGACTGAAATCGACGAGCGATTTTGCTCATATCTGATTCGATCCTCTGACGTTTCAGACTGTGGACGTCTAGCCTACTCGTCCCCTTTTGCGGCCCACGGTCCACCGTTGTCTTTCCAGACCCCCACTCGCTGCCAACAGCCCTACGGAGTCTATTCATATACTTCGACTTCGACAGTGACCTCGACATCCCACACAACTGAATATCTGTCCGCCATGTCGTGGAAGCTCACAAAGAGTGCGTTCTCTCCGTCCGCCTGCTGCCCCTCATGACCGTCCATCGCTGACCGCCTCAGAACTCAAGGAGACGCATCTGGCGCCCTTGGCCAACACCTTCAGCCGTTCGTCTTCCACCTCGACCATCACTCCCGAGCCTGCACCCAAGCCGCCAAACAGCCCTCTCGCCTCGTCCACCACCGTCAACGACCCCAATGGAATCGGTACAAGACATGCCGCTGCCTTTCCTGACATATCGCCGCTGACACTGCACAGCCGCTTCTGAAGCCAATTCCTCGCCTCCTGCCCCACCTCTCAAGCCCGGTATCTTGATCCTCACCTTCCACGAAGGTCGTGGCTTCTCTCTGCCTGCCGGCGCCGAACAGATCTTCCAGCCTCGCCACGGCGCCTCTCTGTCCAGCGGCAGTGGCTTCTCAGTTGCCGGTGCTCGCCCTGGCTCCGTAGGCGGTGCAGGCTATGGCTCATATGCCCCTGGACGTCCACAATCCTCGCAAGGAGGCATCAATGCCGCCCCCTCGGTCCACGGTCGCTACTCTTCCAAGTATCTGCCCTACGCTCTCGTTGATTTCGACAAGCAACAAGTCTTCGTAAACTCTGTATCGGGCACACCAGAGAAGCCCGTTTGGGCTGGCGAAAACACCCAGTACAAGTTCGATGTGTCTCGCGCTTGCGACCTGAACCTGTCCATCTACATCAGAAACCCCAACGCTCCTCCCAACGCTGGCAGAAACGACGACATCTTCCTGGGAACCTGCAGAATCAACCCTCGCTTTGAGGAAGTCCACCCCTACGAGGAAGACCCCAAGCTGGGCAGAAAGGACAGAGAAAAGGCCGCTTTCGCTCACGCCGAAAAGGCAAAGACTCAAGGCCAATCGGGTACGGAATGGGTTGAGCTTCAATACGGAACCGGCTCGATCAAGTGTGGTGTCAAGTTTGTCGAAAACAGGCAAAGGTCGCTCAAGATAGAAGACTTCGAGCTGCTCAAGGTTGTCGGCAAGGGTAGTTTCGGAAAGGTCATGCAAGTACAGTGAGTATTTGCCCAAGCCTGTTTTGTCGCGCCTTTGAACTAACCAGTGGCCCAATTCTAGGAAGCGCGATACTCGCCGAATCTACGCCCTCAAGACGATCAGAAAAGCACACATCATTTCCCGCTCAGAAGTCGCCCACACGCTGGCCGAGCGCTCCGTGCTGGCCCAGATCAACAACCCTTTCATTGTTCCTATGAAGTTCTCCTTCCAGTCACCAGAGAAGCTCTACATTGTCTTGGCCTTCGTCAACGGTGGTGAGCTCTTCCACCACCTACAAAAAGAGCAGCGTTTCGACATCAACCGATCGCGTTTCTACGCAGCTGAACTTCTGTGTGCTCTCGAGTGCCTGCACGGCTTCAACGTCATTTACAGAGACTTGAAGCCCGAGAACATCTTGCTCGATTACACTGGTCACATTGCCCTGTGCGATTTCGGTTTGTGCAAGCTTGACATGAAGGATGAGGACAAGACCAATAGTGCGTATTATCTATTCAGGCTCCAGCAGAACAACACTGACAGACAATGTAGCATTCTGCGGAACGCCGGAATATCTTGCACCCGAGCTGCTTCACGGTACCGGTTACACCAAGACGGTCGACTGGTGGACACTTGGTGTTCTTCTTTACGAGATGCTTACAGGATTGCCGCCGTTCTATGACGAAAACACCAACGACATGTACCGCAAGATTCTGGCAGAGCCTCTACACTTCCCCGGACCCGAGATTGTACCTCCTGCAGCACGCGACTTGTTGCAGAAGCTGCTCGATAGGGACCCGACCAAGAGACTCGGTGTCAACGGCGCGGCAGAAATCAAGGCACATCCCTTCTTCCACAGCATTGACTGGAGAAAGCTTTTGGATCGCAAGTACGAGCCCAGCTTCAAGCCCAATGTGGTAAGTCTTAATTATTGCGGTGCGAAACTTCAAGATGTGCTGACGAAGATCTAGCTCGATGACAGAGATACTGCCAACTTCGACCGCGAATTCACGTCAGAAGCACCTACAGATTCATACGTAGAAGGACCCATGCTTTCATCAACGATGCAACAACAGTTCGCAGGTTGGTCGTACAACCGCCCAGTCGAGGGATTGGGTGATGCAGGAGGTAGCATCAAGGACCCGTCGTTCATGACTCACTGATTGACGAGATGAGATGGGATGACAAAGCGAATTTGCAATAGAGGGCCGGTCTGATCGTGTACATTTGCTCGTCGAGCAGCGGGACTGCTTGAAGAGGCGGCCGAAAAGCAGCAAGAAAGAATGACAGCAACCTGGCTAGGTAGATTTTGGGCTGGACGATATGGAAGTTTCGCGTAACAGCAGTATCTGAAACAACAGTCAATCAAGTTCTACTGAGTACAATCGAGGGGAGTCAAGTTCTACAATCGAGGGGAGTCAACAGCAGACCCAGGCATGCCATGGTGGCACTGCTTGTTCAAAGGCCGAAGAACGGCAGCTTCAGGCGTGGCTTGTGCACGTTCGTCCGAGTATGCCCCGCCCGAGCGCTTCGTCATACGGTGCTGTTTATCCGGAGCTCATCGGCCTCCCCATCACGTCAATTCAAATTGTGACTTGACACCGCCGCGTCTTTTTTGCTTCCATACGTTTCTCCTATCATTCCATCACCTAGTCCCTGTACGTGCCTGTTATATATCCACCGTCTCACTGCTCGCTCGACCTCCTGCTAACCTCGTTGCTCGCACGTGTAGTTCACGCATCACCCCACCTTTTCCCAACAAACATCAAGATGCCTGGTTTCGCCCAAGCAAGTGATCTGTCGGCATGGAAGTCGCTGCAGAAGCACCACCAAGAGCTTGGTCGCTCCATTGTCCTTAAGGAGGCCTTTGCCCAAGACCCCCAGCGCTACGAGAAGTTCTCGCGCACCTTCACCAACGACGTTGACAAGTCCGAGACCATCTTCGATTTCTCAAAGAACTTCATCACCGATGAGACTCTCCAGCTCCTGTGCCAGCTCGCTCGCGAGGCCAAGGTCGAGGAGCTCCGTGATGACATGTTCAAGGGCGAGAAGATCAACTTCACCGAGAAGCGCGCTGTCTACCACGTCGCTCTCCGCAACACCGAGAACTGGCCCATGCAGGTTGACGGCAAGAGCGTCGTCGAGGAGGTCAACTCTGTCCTTGAGCACATGAAGGAGTTCTCTGAGGAAGTCCGCAGCGGCAAGTGGGTCGGTTACACCGGCAAGGCCATCAACACCATTGTCAACATTGGTATCGGTGGTTCTGACCTGTAAGTGTCATTCTACCTCTTCAAATCGCCATCTTCGAGTCTGACATTTCACAGCGGCCCCGTCATGGTTTCTGAGGCCCTCAAGCCTTACGGCAAGCGCGACATGAAGCTTCACTTCGTCTCCAACATTGACGGTACCCACATGGCCGAGGCTCTCCGCGACTCTGACCCTGAGACCACTCTCTTCCTTGTCGCCTCCAAGACCTTCACCACTGCCGAGACCACCACCAACGCCAACACCGCCAAGAAGTGGTTCCTCGGACACGCAAAGGACGAGTCTGCCATTGCCAAGCACTTCGTCGCTCTCTCGACCAACGAGGAGGAGGTCACCAAGTTCGGTATTGACAAGAAGAACATGTTCGGATTCGCTGACTGGGTCGGTGGCCGTTACTCCGTCTGGAGTGCCATTGGTCTCTCCGTCTGCCTGTACATTGGCTACGACAACTTCCACGACTTCCTTGCTGGTGGCCACGCTATGGACAAGCACTTCAAGGAGACTCCCCTCGAGCAGAACATTCCCGTTCTTGGTGGTCTTTTGAGCGTCTGGTACTCTGACTTCTTCGGCGCCCAAACCCACCTTGTTTCTCCCTTCGACCAGTACTTGCACCGTTTCCCCGCATACCTCCAGCAGCTTTCCATGGAGTCCAACGGAAAGGCCATCACTCGCAGCGGCGACTACGTAAAGTACACCACTGGTGCCATCCTTTTCGGTGAGCCCGCCACCAACGCCCAGCACTCTTTCTACCAGCTCTTGCACCAGGGCACCAAGCTCATTCCTACCGACTTCATCCTGGCCGCCGAGTCGCACAACCCCATCGAGGACAACAAGCACCAAAAGATGCTTGCCTCCAACTACTTCGCTCAGGCCGAGGCCCTCATGATTGGCAAGACCCCTGAGGATGTCCGCGCCGAGGGTGCCGCTGATGAGCTTGTTCCCCACAAGACCTTCTTGGGCAACCGTCCTACCACCTCTATCCTCGCACAGAAGATCACCCCCGCCACTTTGGGTGCTCTGATCGCCTACTACGAGCACATGACTTTCACTGAGGGTGCCATCTGGAACATCAACTCCTTCGACCAGTGGGGTGTCGAGCTCGGCAAGTCCCTGGCCAAGAAGATCCAGGCTGAACTTGAGAGCTCTGGTGAGGTTTCTGGCCACGACGCCAGCACATCTGGCCTCATCAACGCCTTCAAGAAGAAGGCTGGTATCAACTGAATCCATGATCGGGATATCAAAGATAAAGAGAAGAGCAGGCTTTGAAATGTCACGTTCGAAAGCATATCTAATCGGATGATGGCCAGCATATGTTGATGTTTGTTTGATTTTCTGTAATTACCCAAGATGACGAAACGCAATGAGAACCAAAATATTATTCTTATCATAGTGCAGAACATTTGTTCTGAGATTGACCTGCACCGAACTTCCTTACCCCTATAAGACTTCCAAACTAGCTGTATAAAGGCAGAAAGCTTTTGACGACCAAGCACATGTCCGCTGAGAGCGGGCTTCTCCCTGATCTCCTTGGACAACCACGTCACAACTAAAAGCATCGTGCCTTCCGACGGCTGTTCTGTAAGGTACCTCGCCAAATGGAGGGCTCGGTGCTCATGCGATTGCTATGCCCCAAGATCGCCAAGTTTGCATGTGAAGATGCCAGCATCAACCGCGACTTCCCCAGGGCTTCACCTCCTCTTCTCCTCCATCACAACACAGTCAACAATCACGAAATTGACCGTAACATTATCTCACCTGAAATCCGAGACCCGATTCACTGCTTACAATGTGCTCTAACAAAAGCTCCGAAGCCGATGCCCAGGCTAAAGCCGACAAAGGCGGATGCTGTTTCTCCGCGGCTAAAGAAGTCGTTGTCAATGCCGACATCGAAAGAGACGATGTCGAAGTCAGTGGCTGCTGCAAGCCGGCGGGCGGCAAAGAATGTTTTGTCAAGGCTGAAATCAATCCCGAAGTCAAGGTCCAGGCGACCGGGGATTGTTCTGCTGCCACTGCCCAGTCTGCGACCGATGGCATCGGTCAGGGTAAGAAAGAGGACCGTTGCTCTGGAAGGGACGAGCACCCTATCCTTACTCCTAAAAGACCAGACGGATGCTGTTCGTCTACCGACCACCCAGCTCAAAAGCCGGATGTCCAGACCGAGGTGAAGCTTGGTGATTGCTGCGCTTCCAAGTCCAACGCGGATGGCATCATGGCCCCGATGCACGGCGGCAACGTCAACCAGCTTTCCGGCCAGGATGAAATGGCCAACAACCTCTCTGATAAAGACAAGAATGCTATCGGACTTGCTGAAGTCGTGCCCCCTTGTTGCGAAGGCATCGCAAGCAACTGCTGCGACGGTAGGCATCTTGATCTCAAGCTCAACTGTGAACCTTTACTGATTATGTGTACAGAGACGTGTCTGGATGAGCTGGCTTTCCGTGAGTGTGACAAAGACGGCTGCGTTGAGAATGTCCACGAGATTGGCTCCACCACAGGCTTTACTAGACGCAAGGGCATCGCTTGCGACAACCATGTCAAGTCTATTCGTCAGCGTTGGGCAACCAAACTCGAGACTCTGGGATGTCTCTGCCGTTCGTTGTTGGCCATGAATCAGAGCACCTGCTGCACCTCCCTGCGTAAGCAACGCCCGACTGGAAGCACAATTGTCTCAAGAGAAAGCTCTGCTGGTTGCCCCCAGAAGAAGGTCCCATACAATCGCTCAATTTCTACAGGAGGTACCTCTAGTTCGGCTTCCCAGAAGGGACAGTCCATGGGACCTAACAAGAAGGCTTGCTGCACCGGCAAGATCAGCACTGCTTGCCGTGACGAAAGAGTTGTTCTCGATGAAGCTCTAATCATCTCTCCAATGTGCACCAAGACGCGCAGGGCTAGTTGCTGCGCAGATAAGGTCGTCTCTCCAATGATCGTCGAGACTGTGGATCCTGAACAGGGCACTTCTACCACTGAACATGTCGTTATCGGCATCTCAGGCATGACATGCACCGGCTGCGAGACTAAGCTGAACAGAACACTTGGGAACCTGCCAATTTCGAACCTCAAGACCAGCCTGGTTCTTGGTCGTGCCGAGTTTGATCTGAATCCTAGAGTGATGTCCGCCACTGATATCGTGCTCCATCTCGAGAGGACTACCGAGTTCAAATGCACAGAGCTGACAACTCGTGGATCTGAACTGCATGTCATTCCTGAGTCCGACATGAAGACTTTCTTGAGACAGGACTGGCCAGAGGGAGTAACGGCTATGGAGAAGACCAGCAAATCAACTGTTCGTATATGCTTCGATGCGAAGATTGTCGGTGCACGTCATTTGTTACAGGGGCTCCAGCCTTCTGCTAAGCTCGCACCACAGGACGGAGATTCCAGTCTGTCGGCAGGCAGCAAGCATGTCCGCCATGTTGGCCTGACGACTCTGCTGTCCGCTGCCTTGACTATCCCTGTCTTGATACTATCTTGGGCTCCGCTTGCCCCGAGACCTGTTGTCCATGGCTCGGTATCTTTAGCCTTGGCCTCTCTCGTCCAAATCGTTATTGCAGGCCCCTTCTATTCAAATGCACTGAAGGCATTGTTTTTCTCACGCATCGTTGAGATGGACTTACTCATTGTTCTGAGTACGAGCGCTGCCTACATATTCTCCGTCGTCTCTTTCGCTTACATCTTGCGTGGCAATCCTCTTTCCACTGGAGAATTCTTCGAGACGAGTACACTTTTGGTCACGCTCATCATGGTAGGCCGCTATGTCAGCGCTCTGGCTCGACAAAAGGCTGTCGAGTCGGTTGCGATGAGATCACTCCAGGACTCAAAGGCAATACTCGTTACGGAAGACCCCAATACGGAGGTTGAGATTGATGCCAGGCTTCTCCATTACGATGATGTCTTCAAAGTCATGCCAGACAGTCGGGTCGTGACAGATGGTGTCGTGATCTCAGGCGTGTCTGAGGCAAACGAAGCTATGGTGACAGGCGAATCCAACCCAGTCGAAAAATCACCTGGGTCTACTGTGATTGCAGGCTCAGTCAATGGCTTTGGAACCTTACTCATCCGCACTACACGTCTGACCGGAGAAAACACAATCTCATCTATCGCTGATATGATCGATGAGGCCAAACTCTCGAAGCCCAAGCTGCAAGATATCGCTGACAAGGTTGCATCCTACTTCGTGCCTGTGATCATCGCCTTGAGCATCATCACCTTTTGCATATGGATTGCCATTGGCACCGCGGTCCGTGGACAGTCTGCTTCTGAGGCAACTGTGCAAGCCATTACCTATGCCATCACGGTCTTGATCGTCTCATGTCCTTGTGCCATCGGTCTAGCAGTACCGATGGTTGTTGTCATTGCCAATGGAGTTGCTGCAGAGCGAGGCGTGGTCTTCAAATCCGCTCATGTCGTTGAGCTCGGGTGCAAGGTCACTCATGTTATCTTTGACAAGACAGGTACACTGACCACAGGCGAGCCTGCCGTCGTGGCGGAAGAATACCTTACTGGTGATCCCGAGGTGGTGCGATCCCAACTTCTTGGACTAGTCTCTGGCATCAAGCATCCCGTGGCTGTCGCTATTGCTTCTCATCTTGTCGAAAACGAGGTTGCTGCCGTTCAGATCGCAAATGTGCGATCAGTGGCTGGTAAAGGCGTTGAGGCTGCAGTCAGCGAAGACACTACTATTAGGGCAGGCAACTCGCGATGGCTCGGTATCGAAACTCACCCTCGAGTCCACAATCTGCTCAGTCAAGGATATACCGTCTTCTGTGTCGAAATTGGTGGCAGTTTATGCGCCGTTTTCGGTCTACAAGACCAACCAAGAGCTGAAGCCGTCACTGTCATCAAGACTCTACAAGAGCGAGGTATAGTCGTGTCGATTGTCAGCGGCGACGACAAGGAAGCAGTCGCGACCACCGCATCACTTTTGGGCATCAGCACCTTCCGCGCCCAGTGCAGTCCAGCCAACAAACGGGACTTCCTCCGATCCATCGCAAACGCACCTACAAACGGGAAGAAGTCCGTCACGCTCTTCGTCGGTGACGGTGCAAACGACGGACCAGCACTAGCCCAAGCGACCATCGGCGTCCACATCTCCCCTGCCTCATCGACCTCAGACATCGCCTCCGATGCCGCACGTGCTGCTGCAGACGCCGTTCTTCTTCGCCCCACTCTTGAAGGGCTCTTGCTGTTGACCGCCATCTCGAAAGCCGCCGTCCGAAGAATCGCATTCAACTTCCTTTGGAGTTTCGTGTACAACCTGTTTGCTGTCCTGTTGGCTGCTGGGGCCTTTGTCAGTGTGAGAATCCCGCCCGAATATGCTGGGCTGGGCGAGCTGGTTAGTGTGGTGCCTGTTGTGGCCGTTGCCGTGATGCTCAAGTGGGTGAAGTTTTGAACCTGAGAATAGGTAAAGCGGTTGCCTGTCAAAAAGCACGATCTTGTGTGGAAGTAGAGATGGGTCCAGTGAGAGAGTGGATAGTCTCGTCTCAATGGACCTGCCTGCCGATTACAAATATCTTGTGCCTTTTGACAGGTGTTTTGCGTAGGACTCTGTGTTCGTGGGACTCAGGTGGATGATGAATTTATGAGTACACTGATATCTATGCTTCATTGCTTCTCAGATTTGTGTGTCGTTCCTTCTCCTTTTTGCTAACGTGATTGCGCTTTCTTCCACCTTTGCCTTCATACCTTGTTTAGACGATGATTTGCACCATTCCATTTCGTCTGTGGACTACCTGTCATGTTGTTTCGCACCTTCTATGTTTATCTATTGAGTTGTTTCTCTATAAATGGTTCAGATGTAGCTACCTTACTTCCCATATCTGTAAGACTAAGTTGGATCGCTCCTTTCCTTTCTGCCAACTTTGTTCGCTATTTTTTCCCTTTCTGTCGAAACTTTTGTCACTTCGACTCTCAAGGCCGCGAGCGATGCGCATGTTCCACCCATCAAAATGCAAAATAATGTTGAGCAGTAGCACGTCGGCCACAGAGAGCGACTATCTAATACCCCTCCCCTTGGACCTAGCTCTATTTTCGAAAGTCATCGTGCGTTTTTACAGTAGTGTCAGTGACAGGTTTAATCTACCACCGAATCGTTTTGCTGGAAGTCTAGAGGCAGTGGAAGCAAGGTATTTAAGCGAGAGTGATGAAGGAACCCTAGTTTCTTGCCCGTCTCTTCCAAGTGGACTTACAGAATCGTCAGGATACGATTGTCTTCGTTGCTTCCATTAGCGACGAGAGCGAATATATGGAAAGGCATTGCGATATGAGATAAAAATGTCTTCGATAGATCGTAGGAGGTAGTAGGTCCGAATTCCGATTTTGCTGGCATGACTGGTTTGATATCAAGCTCGCTATGGTGGGTGTTTGTTGACTCCATCGTGCCTTCCTGTTTTGTCGACTGGATCGTTGTTTGCTATTCTCGTTGACTGCCTTGTTCCTTCCTTTATAGCTGACAATTTTTTCCATCCAGTGTGTATTTCTTCCCCCTCCTGACTCAATGTTGTCGTGCAGTTGCGAGAACTTCATGCTCTTGAGGTCATAAGAAACAAAGATGTTTCAGCGTTGAGTGGTCATCTCAGATTGTAGAGATAGGGTGTTCCCATCGATGAACAATTTGATCGCTGCGGCCAAAATGCTTAAGCTAGCTGTGCAATGTAGCAAATTCTCTCTTGATAGCTAAACACAGATGGTTGCACTGTAGAGGCATTCGGACGTCCAGACCGCATAAGAGCAAAAGATCAATACGAGAGATGATGATGGAAGAGCAAAAAGCAAAACGTACAGCAGCAGGGATTCCCACGTGGTCACCCACCGTAGTACTAATCTGCCGTTCAACTGCTTATGTATGGCAGAGCGGACGGGATGCCCAGTTTTCAGCTGACTGTGGCCGTACGTGGAAGCGTGGCTGTCAAGTGCCAATAACAAATCGTTTTCGGAGGAGCCGTCACCACGATACGGATCAGCAGGTCACTCGACATCGGTGGCTGTGGACAGAAGGATTGAGACGGACAATCGTTATGAGAGTCAGTGACAATCGAGATTTCATAACAGAATCCGATATTCTCGAGTCTACGACTCTCGAGGTTATTGTGCCTTCTGATGGACGAATGATAGGTCCCGAAGATGCCCAGATGTTCCATCTCAGGGCACTCTGAAATTGAGTTCATGCTAGCATATTTCGAGCTCCAGGAGAGGCGAGTTCGTTGTTGAATCTGCCTAATGATCAAGCATTGTATTGTGCTGGTCCGGGATGATGTCTGTCGTTGGGGACCGGACAAAGATGCTCCGTAGACACACGCTGTCTGGCAAGTCGTCAAGTCTAAGGGCCAGAAAAGCTAGACTCTGCTCGCTGTGCTTTGTACCGAGATGACATGGTCGAGATCAGGTCTTCGATCATTTCGATCATGATCGCCCAGGCTGTGAGAAAGATGTTGCTTCTTCAGCCCAGCACGGAAGGCAAGAATAGACGTGACCAGGATTGAAACAAGCTTCTGCCCAGGCATGGCCGGCTGCGAAGATCACCCACCTCTCACAAGTCCCGTGAGGCTTGTTGTCGCTGACGAGAGTCATCATGTCTCACCAGTATCCGCAGAATGATGTGATCGCCATTCCGCTGGGTCTCGAATGGTAACAAACAGAGCTAGTCAGAGCGCCTGGATTCTCCACGCTCTTCTCTGACCTCTGCCTCGGTGTTCAGACCCCAAAAAGATGATCCCTTGCTGAACCCAAACTCAAAGATGGCTCGCAAGCAGTTGCCTACCATCAATGTCAAACCCTTCTCAGAACCGTGGCACGTCAAGATTGGACTTTGATAAAAGCCCCAACGGTGAGGTAGCGTTGTGCTGTATGGCGAACGAACCATGCTTCGACAACGATAGTCTGTACCTACAATCTCAGCGGTACGTGCACATGCACGTGCAGCCTTGACAGTCAACAGATGGGTCCGCGGATGGACCATGCTCCATCATCTCTAATGGGGTTTGACTTTGGGAGCTTAACGGATGGGAGCATTTGACTGTGTCTCGGCACGAATGTCAACGACATCCAAGATTGATCGCATGGGTTGTTGAAAAAACATCTGCCGGTCTTGTCCAACCGATCGATCGAATGCTGGCGGGCGAGCGCGGGAGAAGACCATCGTCCAGAGAATTGCCGGGTAAGATGGCAGTAGCTAATCGAGTAGAACCACATCCGATACGTGCGCAGCGACCGTCAATGATCATTGCTGTCATCCTGATGGCAAGTCGATCTGTTAGTACGTACATGCAGGTGTAGCGGGAGGTCCTGTAAGGCTACAAGGGTCTTTGGTGATCTTCAGGACGGGTCCCCGGACGAATGCTTCCATTGTCGATGATGGCCTGTAGTTCTTGAATGAACTATGCCGCTTTGGGAGAGCTTGTAGGGCAGCGAGAAGAATTCGTGAGGGCACAACGGTCGGGACTTATCCATCGAAGCCGAAGAGATGGGAAATTGCCGAGACCGAGAAACATTTTCTACAGAGCAGGAGTCATGGCGAAAAATCCCATGAGCAATTTCACAGCGCAACCCCCGAAACGGGTATTTGAAGTTGGGGCAGGGAAGTCAACGAGAAGTGCTAAGAGAGAAGTAGGAAGGAAGTAGGGCTGAGCTGGTCTGTGCTCATCCAAGCTTCAGGCGTGGACCTGGTTAAACTTTTGCTCAACTGTCAAGCCAGAATTTTGGCAGAAGGTCGAAGAACACCGCCCCTGGTCATGAGTCGATTGTGCTTCTCCTGCCGGCACAGCATGGAGTTTCCAGACCGTTTCTCGTCATAGCCGTTGTGCTTGCTGTAAGGCACAGACTCTAGCCACCCAGCGAGCGGGCAACCGGGAGCGGAACGAGCGACACATGCTTGTCTGCAATCAAGCTTGACCATATGTCTATGAAGATTTGATAGACTTCGACGTAGGTAGTGAACAGTATAAGTAGACCTGTGTATTCCTCCCAAGTAGCAGTATCATCATCCTACCAGCTTCTTCAGCTTCTACCTTCGTTTCTCACATCTACTCTCATTACATCGCCACAATGCGTGTTTCGGCTGCTATCGCTGCCACCATCCTGGCTGGCTCTGCCACTGCCGCACCTACTCCCAGTCTCTTGAGCAGCATTCTCGGTCTACTCACCAACGACTTGAACTCCCTTCTCAACTCCTTGGGCATCAAGTTGCAGACCAACGCCAACATCCACGGTGCTACCGTCAACTACCAGCAGCAGTGCCCCTTCACCATCGACACTTCGGTCTCTGTCTCTACCAACGTGTTCAGCCACGACATTACCTGGCCCCTCGGTGTCAACGGCGGCAACTACATCGACTGGAAGACCTTCAAGGCCAACGGTGCCAACCTCGGTGGATGGCTGGAGAAGGAGCGAACTCACGACCCCATCTGGTGGTCCCAGGTCGGCGGTGACAGCGCTCCCGATGAGTGGACTTTGTGCCAGACTCTTGGGTCTCAGTGTGGTCCCATTCTCGAGGCTCGCTACGCCTCGTTCCTGAACACCACCACCATCGATCAGCTCGCCAGTGTTGGTGTTAACACCCTCCGTATCCCTACCACCTACGCCGCTTGGGTCAAGGTCCCTGGCTCCCAGTTGTACTCTGGTAACCAGCAAAAGTGGCTCAAGATCATTACCGACTATGCAGTCCGCAAGTACAACATGCACATCATTGTTGGCCTCCACTCTCTGCCCGGTGGTGTCAACAACCTCGATATCGGCGAGGCCCTCTTCCACGATGACTGGTTCTACAACGCCACCAACCTCGACTACAGTTTCCAGGCTATCGACGGTGTCTTGAACTTCATCAAGTCATCTGGCTACCAGAACGCCTTCACCATTGCCCCTATCAACGAGGCTTCTGACAACCTCTCCGGCTTCGGTTCCGCTGCTGGTCTTTCTGACAACGCCACCAACTGGATCAACACCTACATCAACGGTGTCCTCAAGAAGATTGCTGTTGTTGACAAGCGTATTCCTCTCCAGCTCCAGGACTGCTTCAAGGGCGCTAGCTTCTGGGCTCCTTTCTACGATGCCAGCACCAACATTGTCATGGATTCCCACGTCTACTACTTCGCCGCTGCCGGAACCTACGCCAACTACGTCAACCCTGCTGTCTGTGGCCAGGCCCAGTACATTGCTCAGGAAACCAAGTTCCCTGTCTTCATCGGCGAATGGTCTCTTCAGGTATGTTTTTTCATTTTTTCCTCTTTTTGATTGAACACGCACTAACTTTGGACATAGGCTATGTACAACAACACCCTGGATGTAACTACCCGCAAGACCTTGTTCGATACTCAGCGCTACGCATGGCAGAAGTATGTTGCCGGCGGATCCTTCTGGACTGCTGTTTCCTACTCCACTGCCACCGTTGATGGTGAGGGCACACAGAGAGATTATTGGTCATACATCGACCTGATCAGACAAGGCGTAATTACTAAGCAGACCAACGCCTCTTACTGCTAGAGAATAGTAAAAATATCGAAGCAAGAAGAGCTGAGGATTTTGGCCGGACACACAGAGCAACGGCCACAGATGGAAGATAAAAGGAAAGACATTACGAACGCAATTTGATTCTGTAGCACTGTACATATTTCACCAAAAGCAAAAAGGGATATCCCCTGATTTCAGAAACACTCTTTGTTCATCTGAACCTTGTATATCCAGATCAACATCAAAAGTCGGGAATCTAGCGTCAAGAAGCACAACCACAAAGTTTCTCACCGTCTATCCCATTTGTCATGACTATAATGATTCCACGGCCCCGCCTCAGAAGCAATATCGTCAAGACAACTGCATCGATTAGAACGAGGTTGTGAAGATCTTCTGGTTGTTGCACAAATCAAGGGTGGTGATCGCTTTGTATTTTTACGGTTACAGGAAGTAGTCACCACAATCACATACATTACTGCTTTTACACATGGCCAATTCCGTGAGAAGTACAGCCACAACATCATAAAAATCAGTGTGATCCCTCCAGCGATGTATCCAACGAAGAAGACAAAGGCTAAAGTAAGGTCAAGAGGACCAACTGCTGCGAGGACAAGGAGAAAGTCAGACACCTTGAGCGTCTTGATCGTCACGTACTCAAAGCCACAGGTTCCTGACCGCCCGGCCAACAATCACATCTCCTGGAGCCATCACACCGCTTTCTTGCCAAAAGCTGAAGAGCGACACAAACTATGGCTTCATGATCAGTAGAGAAGGGGGACCTAGTCCAAAAACAAGAAAGATATGGACCTGTTGACGACTGTTCGGATTGACGTACTCGGAAGTTTGCGCACATTAGCTCTGGATCTGGGTTCTGTGTTGAGCGTGTATTCCTCACAGGCGACCTCGGTGGGTTTGGAAACACTCGACGATGCTGGCAACTAAAGAAGACAGGGGCAGGGTCAATAAAGTGATATCCCGAGTGCAAACATTGAACCTGACTTATCTCAACACTTCGGGGGATAGAGACGAATCAGGGAAATTCAGGATTGTGTCACTTCGATGGGTAGGGGTATCATAACTTTTCATCTAGATTTTGCCTGTTACTTTTAAGGGCACACCGATGTCTATCCAGCAGCCAAGTCGACGTGAGGCTTCTCGTCTGACTTTGAAGTCTCGAGATCTTCTTGTTGCTCGTCATAGTGCTTCTTTTCGGCCTGCTCAATACATGTCGTGTTTGCCTTGAGCTTGTTGATGGTCTCGATATACTCGTCATAGGGGTCAGAGTCGAAGACGATACCGCCACCAGCTTGCAAATATGCCACACCGTCCTTGATCAACATCGTGCGCAGAGCAATACATGTGTCCATGGCACCCTCAGTTTCCTGTCCGGTGGTGAGATCTATGCTGCTGTAACCGAAGTATCCGACAGCACCGGCATATACACCACGCTTCTCACCCTCGCACTCCGCGATCAGCTCCATAGCCTTGACCTTGGGAGCACCAGATACAGTACCAGCAGGGAAGATACTGCGGAAGGCGTCAAATCGGGTCTTGTCAGGACGCAAGACTCCACTGACTTCCGAAACCAGATGTTGAACATGAGAGAACTTTTGTACAACCATGAGCTTGTCAACGCGGGTGCTCAAGGGGTCGCAAACCCGGTTCACATCGTTACGAGCCAAGTCGACCAGCATAACGTGCTCTGCGCGGTCCTTGAGGGAGTCACGCAGTGTTTGTGCAAGCTTCTCATCTTCTTCGGCTGTGGGACCGCGCTTAACAGTGCCGGCGATAGGATGGGTGTAGATACGACCGTTCTCGGCCTTGACGAGGAGCTCAGGTGAAGCACCGACAATGTGGAAGTCTTCGCAGTCAAGGAAAAAGAGGTATGGCGAGGGGTTGACGGTACGGAGGTGGCGGTAGATGTTGAAGGGGTGTAGTGAGGTTGGGCGGGCCATGCGTTGAGATGGAACTGCCTGGATGATATCTCCAGAGCTGATGTGCTCCTTCAATGTGTGGACGTGCTTCTCGTAACCCTCCTGACCAATGTTGGAAGTATATTCGTTGCCCAGTTTGACGGGATCTTGTGTGGGCAACACAGCCTCGGTCTTCTTCAAAACTTGCAGCATGCGGTTGACAGTCTGCTTTGCTTCATCGTAGGCGGCATCCAGGTTATCAAGGCTCTCGGGCACCTTGACATATGTGACCACCATGACCTTTTGGAAGAAGTGGTCCAGTACAACGATCGTGTCGTACAGCATGAAAAGCGATTCGGGGACCTTGAGGATATCCTTCATAGGGCGACGGGTCTTGGGCTCAAAGTATTTGACACAGTCGTAGCCAACATATCCAACAGCACCACCGGTCATGGGAGGGAGCTTGAGAGTGGGGATCTCAGCGACACGGCATTTTGAGAGTTCCTGGTCCAGGATGGGCAAAGGGTCTGTCTCTGGTCCATGGCCTTCTCCAGTCTTGAGCATGTGTCGCGGGTCGGCACCAACAAAACTATAGCGGCCGATGGTCTCTGTTGTAGCAGCACTCTCGAAGAGGAATGAGTGTTTCGATTTGGCACTGTAAGGTGACTCAATGAGCTATTGTCATGGTTGCGCCGGACGGAGCGGGACTGACTTTGCCGATACCTTGAGGTATATCGATGAGGGAGTCAAGAACTCGGACGAGATGGAAGCGCATAGTGGGACGAGGTTCGGAGGGTTGGGCAGCTTAATTGCTTCTTGCAACAATTGGCGCACTTCGGGGAGGGTGGGTTGTACACCTGCCTGTGTTGGATGAATCAGCCGCTGTGTACTTTTCACGCAGAAGGAACCATGCAATGTGTGCCTACCATATTGTGTGTGATGCTCGAATATAGGACGTCTAGGAAGGAACACGAGTGAAACAGTCACAGTGGAGGAGGGAAGGAGCAACAATAAAGTTGAGTCAATTGTCAATCGTCAATAATTATGCAAGGCGCATCCGGCAGGCGCGAACCATGACCCGAGCCAAGCTTTTCCTCCCGCGACCTCTTTGGTAACCAACCCCTCGGCTTATGCAGTTGATGCCGTCTGTCAAGCAGCTCTCTGTTTGCGCCTCGTTACAGAACAACTTCAAAATATATGACTTCACTTTTGCAGTTGATCATTATCAGCCTTCACATATTAAGGAAATAACCCTTCACGATTTCATCATCTTGAAACCGCAATAAAACGGCAGAAGTGGCAGGGGTCCCATTACCAAGACTCTCCCAGCCACGCTTATGTGCTCATTTCAAAAGCTGGAGTATCGCAAAGCTTCCAAACGTTCCCTCGATAACGCGCCAACCTTGATAACTTCACCACATTTTTCCCACATGGCCATGTCGACGAGCTTCTCGTCGTCAGTGTCGAGCCAGACCTCACAGGGCTCCCAGTCGGCCTCGACCACTCCCTCGGGCCCACCTTCTGGAGCGCCGCGCACAAAATCATGGCATGTTCCCGGCCCCTCGACGCGTTACCACAAGAGCGAACACGCCAGACCGAAACCCACGGCACGATCCAGCACTCAGCAGCACATCCGTAATCAGTCTTCACTCTCAGCCCGCTCCTCGTACACGGAAGCTTCTGGCACAGCTTCACCTCTGGCGCGTCTCAATTTCACGCGCGACTCGCCCAAGGACTATTCCCACAACCCCAATGACACCATCAAGGCCCGCAACAACCCCGCTACGCCTTTGCGCTCGCCTCACCTGGCCAGCAACAACTTCAACAATCTACGCTTCCAAGGTTCCCCGTTCTCCGACTACTTTACAGACGATACGAGATCCGTAGACCACAATGCCCCTTACCACCCCTCGGACCCTGGCCAGAAGCTGGTCCTACGCCTGAACAATCTCGGTGCCGACATCATGCGCCTTGGTCTTCAAGAAGATTCCGTCTCGGATTTTAACGAAAAGCTGTGTACTCTCGAAGCAATGGTCAACGATGGCGCATTCAGCGATGCAGGCTCTCTGACCGAAGAAAGAGACCGTCGATATTCGTTCCCTGGACGTCTCTCAGAGGACCACTCTCAGGGCCACGAAGCTCGCGAGCGCAATCTTCTCTCGCCTGAACATTCAAACAAGTCACGCTTGTCTGACGTCTGGATGGCTGATGCCTGCGAGTATGCTGATACCTTCACTCAGACCGAGGATGAGTCTCAGCGTGGCCTAGCTATCGCATATGCCACTTCAACCACTCAAACCGAAGAAGAAGCTCCCAAGGATATGGCCGAGTCTGCAGTTTGGGTCAACGACTACACAGATGTCTCAACCCAGACCACCAACGACCGTCTTGTTGCTGATCTGCAGGAGGTTGTTGAGCGTCTGGCCAAGGCAAACGACTCTCTCCGTCATCGCTACGATCAGAGCAAGGACGTCTGCGACACTCAGGCCGTGCAGATTGAAGAGTTGACCACTCAATTGATGATTGTCAAGTCTGAGAATGACAGCCTCAAGCAGGACTTGGGCTTCGACCACTCAGAACTTTTGTTCCTCAAGCTGCAGCTGCAGGCTCTGGAAGTCCAAAAGGAGAACTACGATCACAACAACCACGTCTTGCTTGCCGAAGACTTTGCCCAGTGGAAGGCAGATTGGGACAGTGTTGATGCTCGTCTGCGCTCAAGAAGACAAAAGAACCGCGTCACTTCAGCAGACATCAAGGATCTGCCCAGCCTGGATACTGAGACCCCTGTTAACCCCGAAGATCAAGGCAATTGGCAGCTTGAGACTCGCAAGCACCGCCACGGACGCGTCCACTCCATCACCCTTAAGCGTGTTGATGAGCCAGAGGCTGAAGAAGAGGACGCTCCCCTGATTGACTCGCACTTCGACATTCCTGCTTCGCCTGTTGTCAAGATTGTCTACAGCGAGCAATCAACCCAGACCGAGGAAGCACCTTCCGAGGTTCAAAGCACCCAGACTGAGGAGCCATCTGCCATAACTCAAGGCACTCAGACCGATATCGCCCTCCCCTTCGCCAGAACCGAGATCAAAGCACAACATACAGAGCCTATCGAGGCATTTGAACCTGAAGACGAGATCGAGGACGAGTCAGAAGAAGAGGCTGAAGACGAGATCGAAGACGAGAAAGTCATCAGCCAGCCTCAGTCCCCGCCTACCCAATCACCTTGCTGCGAGAAAGAGCATCTGTGCACAGCTTGTGGCGATAAGATCGACTACTCGTCTGAAGATGAAGCAGACACCAAGACCCCATGGCGAGAGCTTTGCGACGGCCTCGTCGCTTTCGCCGGTATGCAACGTGATTGATCTAAATCACACTTGCACATACTTCCCCCTTCCGCGTTTTCGTTTGTTTCTTGAACACATTGCGCTTTGAAGATCACCAATCTTCCACCCATACCCCTCTCACCGCATTAGCGTCAATCCTGCATTTCCGAATCCTTTCCGCCTTTTGAATTTTCTGCTTCTTTGCACATTCGAATTGTTGTTTTTTGGTTGAGCCTGCGTTGTTTCCTCCTTTTTCTCGTTTGTTTCCATAATGATACCCACCCACAATCACACACCACACACTCATCGAACTGCTTTATCAGAAAGACAGACAGCAGAATTGTATATAGTCCATACCGAATCCGTTCAATTAATCATCATGCTTATATGATCTTGTTTGCACTTGCTTGTCACCTTGCGTGTTTTGAAACCCCATCTTTTTACCCGCTCACAACCTTACTCTTTTGGAAATTGTCGGCGGACTAGTTATTAGTATCTTGTGCCTCCTTCTCATTCTGCCATGAAGGCTTTCTTTTTGTTCCAGCACATCACCGAGCAGAGAAGGTCTTTTCGAGAATTGGTATTGAAGCCTCTATAGTGTTTTGTCCGTTCTACTCTGTCATATGGCCAACTGACTGCGTTCGGGGTTTGACCCATGCCAACCGTTTATATTCATGTCCTTGCATTGGGAGTAAATCGTATAATTTCAAGAGGCGAAACCTCAACTCCTTGAACGTGGCTTCCTGAAGATCAAGGAACTTGGGAGCCGAACCCTCGAGTCGGCGGATCAACTGATATTGAAGAGGACGTTAGGTATGATCAGTGCTCAATTTCAAGCACCCGCGTACTCGGCCAATAGCGACTGCATCCTGGGTATCAAATCCGGTATCCTGAATGGTTTCGTCACCACGGTATCCATTCCTGCATCCATCGCGATATTAATCTGCTCGCTTCGAGCATTGGCGGTGATGGCGATGACGGGCACATGGCCAACAATCTGGCCTGCCTGTTCGTATTCTCTGATTCTGCGCACACATGTCAAGCCATCCATTACGGGCATCTGTGAAATGTCAGCATCATGTTAGACATTCAACGAGGTGGTGTTGATGCACTGACCTCCAAATCCATGAGAACTATGGAAAGTGGCACATTCTGAGATCCAGGGGTGAAGGTTGTTGTTTGCAAAAAGTCAAGGCAATCTTGACCGTGATCTGCTGTATGGACTACGCATCCTAGCTTCTTGAGCTGTTGTGCCATCACGCGTTGGTTGATCGCATTGTCCTCTACTATGAGGATGTGGATCCGATTGGGAGGGATGTCTGTAATTGGCGATGGCAAAGTCTCGAGTGAGCCCTCACTGACATTGGCTCGCCTTGCCTCGGATGATGTATGTGGGAGAATGACCGGACTGGTGACGGTAGGGGCGGAGAAGCTAATCTGTCGTGGCTTTGGCTCTTCGACACAGCGTCTGGCTTTGATGTAGAACATGAAGATGCTTCCAACACCGGCTTCGCTGTGTACACCAATCTGCCCCCCTTGAAGTTCGGTCAATTCGCGCGAGATGAACAAGCCGAGTCCGCTTCCGCCGTACTGTTTCACGCACAGATGAGCAAATGTTACTGGTATAGTGGTAAAGTAATATAACTCACCTGTTTGTAAGTTTTCGGGTTCGCTTGGCTGAAGCGTTGCCATAGAAGTTTCATCTCGTCTTCGGTGAGTCCTTTTCCTGTATCTTGCACCGCAAACTGAATGTAGACTTCACCACCAGCGCCCCATTCCGGCGACGTGGATAGACTTGATTGTCGTGGGCGAGGTTCGATAAACGTTACACGACGGTCGCCTCCTTGTGGTGGTTTCTCAAATGCTGACAAAAACACCGAGATCTTCCTCGTTGGACAATCTCGAGTGAATTTTATTCCGTTTGTCAGGAGGTTGATTATCACTTGGAGTACTCTGCTGGGATCAAGCATGACGTAGTTGAGTCGTGCATCAAGATAGCTCTGCTCGATTACCAGATTCGCCTTGATGTCTGCTCTGGCAAGCTCAGCATCGTACATTTTGAGGGACTTCTCGATGAGTGTTGGCGGATGAACTCGATCGGGAGTGATGACAAGTAAGGATGAGTCCAGTTTGGACAAAGTCAAGATATCATCGACCTATGAGTAGACGATTAGTAAGGTACTTCCAATTGAATCTGAGGTTCGCATGATAGCGATACAAGAATGGTTGCGCGAAGAGGATGATTCATCCGACTTACAATGCATTTCTGATGTTGAGCACAAAGTGTCTGCATTGATAGTCAGTATCGAGGCATTTGCAATTCTTGCAGCACAACTTACAATCGTCTCGGCTGCGTCGACCATCATGTTTATAGTGTCGGCTGGCAAAGTTACGGCGTTTTGTGTGGTTGTGGTTTCGAGAGAGCCGAGGATACCATCCGCAAGCTGTAGAATGGCTGACAACGGGTTACGCATCTCATGCGACACCATGTCGATGAAGTTCTCCGATGCTCTTCGAGTTTCTAGGGCATCTTCTAGACGTTGCGCCATGAGGGTTTCCAGGCGCTTGCGAGGAGAAACGTCTATAAGCCAACCTTGCACTGTGACAACACGGCCACTTTCATCGACCTCTGGGAATGAGATTGTCTCGAGTGCTCGCACGCCAGGTTTCTCACCAGGCTTTGTTGGAGCAACCTTGACTCGGTACTCGGAAGTAAATGGTGTCTTAGAATCCCTGATTCGAGCCCATATATCTGTTGCCAGGTCGATATCCTCTTCGTAGATAGTATCTTGCCATGCAAGTCCACGAGATGCAGCTTGTTCGAACACTTCACGTTCAAGACCAATCAATCGAAGATAAGCGTCGTTGACATACTTTGGGTTGCCATCACAATCAAACATATACCTGTGCCTCGGTCAGCAGTTGACATCATAAACACGATCTTCCACCTCCCCGTGTGCTGAGTTTTGTCACTTCTAGCCACCTCCCACGTATTTCTACATCATGCGCGTGAGAGTCCAGCACACAGGGATGACAGAAGAAACATTACTTACATTCCGAAAGGCGCATTCTGTGCCATACGAGTAAATGTCTCCTCATTTTTCTCGGCTTTCAACGCAATAATCTGTAGCTGCTGAGAAAGCGCAAGGTTTATTTGTTCAAATTTCTCTTGGTCGCGTCTTTGTTCTTCGGGAAGAGCAATCAGAGCAGCGGCTTTGGATATCAAGTCGCACATGTGGCTGATAAAGACACGAGACTCATCGTTGAACAATCTTCTTGGGTTCATACCCAGAACAATGAAGGCGATCTGCTGTCCGGATACGCTTGTTATTGGTAAAATACAAGCGGTCGTCACGAAGCCGCGATCCGGTATGAGTAAAGCCAGCTCAGGTGGAAGGTTTTCTTGCTTCTCTTGCAATACAACGACCTGTTGGGTTCTGCGGGCTTCGGCGAAGGCGGGTCCAAGTGAAGGCCTGAGGAATCGGTCGCCAGGATGGACGACTGGTTCGAACCCTTGTGATGACACTCCTGACGTAATCTGTAATTCGAGTTGGAAAGTATCAACTCGATTTATGGCATGTGCTTCGCTGGGCTCGTTGACTGCTGTATATATCAGGGAGTATGCTGCATCGTGGAGGTTGTTTCGCAACTCCGATGCTACTGACGTCCACAAGTCGGGAAAGTTGTCGACAGTGGGTATAATGGCTTGAACCTTATCGATGAGCTTGCGCCGTTGGTTCTGGAAAACAGAAGACGTGCATTCTTGGTACGTATTCAAGACAGCCACCATCCGACCGTCCGGTCCACTGCAGGGCTGCAGAACGACATCCCAGTATGTCTCTTCAATGAAACCGTTACGCTCTAGTACTGCTTCCATCTCTTTGGCTTCAGCCACTTGTCCTCGGTCAAGGGCTGCTCTTATCATCTTCATGTGTTTGTCGTGTATCTCGGGGCCCCAAACGTCGACGAAGCGGTTTCCCAAGGCGAAGCTGGGGTGTTTGGATCCTAGTAATGATGCAGCTGCCTCATTGTAAAGAATGGCCTGCTCCGAACCCCAGTAGACCATTCTTGGGGCTGGAGAGGACATGATCTGCACAGCCAGTCGTCGCAAGTCGTCTGACCATCGCGATATGGGCCCGAGGTATGTGTTTTCGAAGGGGTACGTCTTGATGAAGTCTATCCATGTCGATTGTCGTACTCTCTGTGGAAATCGGGTCCAGTCAATAATCTTCTGCTGCGCGTCATGCCAGGGTGAATGCTCATGCTCATGTGGAGCATCATGCTCTGATGATAGGCCTGTCATGTGTGTGTCGTCGCTTGGGGTATGTGTCTCGGTGCGTGCCTCGGCCACGCTACCCAGTCGTCTGTCGTCCTCCCACTGGCTGCAATAAATGACCCTCCAGGCATTGCGAAAACGTTTGCTTGACCAAGCTCTTCCACCGAAGGATTTCACGGGTCGGTTACTAGGTATGGCGACACTTGTGGATAGAGATCGAAGCCAATCATCATATGAGTCCCTGGTGACGGTTCGTTCGAGGAAAGAGGTGAAAGCTGCATTCTGAAACACGACACGAGGTATATGAGGGACGGCAACATTCGAAGATAGGACCTCGATCAGGAAGGTAGGTCGGTCATCGTCGCTGAGGAACTCCAGCAGAGAGTTGATGTCGGTTAGACTGCTGAAGAGTGATCCGCTACATGATTGCGAAGAGGTCGAATTGGGCGACATCAGCCCACGGTGAGGGCTCTGCGACCGGAAAGACGAGGCCTGTGATCTTGACGGGTCTACCATGATGATGGCACGGTGGCAGGCTCTCCCATGTTGATGCAACTCGTAATGCTGTTATCCCTTCCCCAGTCTCATCTGCAGGCGAAAACCATTTCACGTTCTCTTCTCCGGTCACCGCGGCATAGCTATTTGTCAATGACGTAGAATAGCTTGTGAAACCGTTTGGCCAGACCTTTTTGAGCCAAAAAGTAGACGATCGCAGGATATTTGTTATCCAGCGTTGGAGATTTGAGCAGTCACAAATTGGATACAGAAATCACCGTGTTGAATGCGACTTTCATCAAAGTCTGGACAAATTTTGAGATACATTTTCAATCTCTCAAAGTAGCCTTGCTTCGCGCTTTGCTTCTGTGGAATATCGACGATCGACGCTGTACGTACTAAATAGGCAGGCGCATGGCATGTGTTGAATAATAAAGTACCTCCGTTTGCTAAGGACTCCTGACGATCGCTGACTCGGAGAGATTGAGGCTCAAATTAAGCACCGACGTTCATCGCAACACATGATATACTTGTAGAAGCGCGTGATGGATATTCGAAATTGCATACGTGCCTGCGCAAGAACGGTGCATGATCCATCTCGTGGACGCGAAATCATGCAGCGAAAGGGGCCATGCCCTCTGATGGCCGTTCTTCTTGCCTAGCGACCAGTATTGATGTCTGATGCTTTCGGAGATCGAGGCTCATGTTCCAGGCATGAGGTCAAGAGACGAGCTTAGAACGGTGGTACCTGCATAGAAGAATAACTTCGTTGTTTACTCTACAGCTGGCAGACAGGTGCGATGGGTCCGAATCGAGAATGACAGCAAATCGGTGACTTTTCAACATGCATCTCCTTTTGCTTACCAAGGCTTCACCACAATCGACCAGTATCATGTAAGAAAGATATCATATACAAGACACCGATCACGATGCCTCAACAATCGCAGTATTACAGCCATCAGGATGCAAAAGTGTGGAGTCTCAGTCTGTAAAAATATCAACCATTCTTTGCTGCGATCGCTTTGCGTCATACATATATCATGACGTCTTTATTTGTCTTTCCAAAGCATATATGTACCTTTCTCTCGAGCAACCATTTTCTTTCTCACACAATCCAATCCAACCCAATTCAAACTTCCATACACAACCCTCGAAACCCTCAAATCACAATGCCTCACACTAAGACCCCCGGTGGCTCTGGCATGTCCGAGAAGGAGCAGAAGAAGCAAGCCCAGAGTACGTTTCGACCTCTGTTGAATCTGTAGCTTCGAATAACACAAGCTGACAACTGTAATAGCCCACGGTACTGGTGCTGACAACGCCCCAGGCCACACTGAGCTCAAGGCCCCCGGCGAGGCCCCTGTCGCCTCTGACTCTGGTGTCACCCGCGTCGGCATCGACAACGGTACCAACCAGCCCGGAGAGAAGGGCATTGGCGGTGTTCCCGTCTCGAACGAGTCCACCACCAACGCCAACATGAAGTAAACTGCAACTTTGCAACATATCCGTATGCATTGAGGAGGGAACATACGTTGCAAGCTGTCTGAAAGAGGGCAGCTTGTGAAGCCAAGGGCTGGTCCCTTCTGTACAAAACATGTTACGAGGCCACGACCTTTTTACTGTACTATAGTCATGCTATGAAGACAAAAAGCATTGAACCTTTACCATCCACAATACCGCTCACGCCTTGAGTTTCGTGATTCGAGCTCGAGACGTTGACATCAAACCGTGTATTTACCAAATGTTTATTCTGTTAGACATCGGATGTAGCTTCTGCCAGGAGTCGGAATACTGTTCTGCGAGCTTGAGACAATTCAAGATAGATGGGTCGCAGCAGCTTCAGAGGGAGGTCTCTTGCCTCAGTGCACCCAGACTGGCAGCACGTGACCGGAATTCGGGAATTCTGCTGCGCAGTCTGGGCCAAAACCTGGGGTCTTTGCGTAGCAAACTAGACGATTTGTTAGTAGCAACATTATCTACTGTCTCCTACCTGCGCTATTAATAGCAGCGACTCGTCACTTTAGTAGGGAAATACTGTGCTTCTACGCTTCCATACGATACTAATTTAAGGCTAGCGACGCGTCCTTATAAATACTACTATGTCGTTAACGGTAGGGCCTACTTTACTACCCTCCTCCGTCTAATCGCCTATTTAGATCGAGTAAAGAAGGCTAGACTTAAGCCCGCGTTAGAAAGCGGACGACATTACCTACTATATTCGTAAACGGCATAACCTTAGTCCTAGGGACTTCGTCGTACTTCGCATAACCGCTAAACCGGAAGAGCTAGGGCCTAGGGTATTAAGCGCACGGCAGTAGAACAAACGCGTCTATATACGGCTATTAGAGTCTCTTAATATCTAAGAGTCCTTTGCCCAGGCCGGCATTCCTCTAGACGGCATTACTATTAAGTAAGCTCGTAGCGAGATAAAGGCCTTAATAGCTAATTCTCCTTTCTTTAGGAAGTAGGACTATACGATCCGGCCGGATATTCGTACCGCTATCTAATACGTTAAAAGTATACGCTATACGCTATTCGACTTCTTATCCGCTATTATAGCACCCTTCTATAGTAAGTCCACAAAAACGAGCTAGGAAAGGCGTGTTATAATTCTAATTAGCAACCTATATAACATGGCCGCTCGTAATACTTCGAATTACTTTATATACCTTATAGGCAACAACATAGCGTACTATAGACTTGTTAAGCGAGGCTAGGAATTTCTCTGCTCGATTAGATATACTGCCTCCTANAGGATAGGCCACTAAATATGCTTAGTTAGCGACGTTAACATATATAAGTTCTATTAACTTATAGATAGCCTTAATTACGTCTCTAGTCTCGCGCGGATCGTTACCGTTAGTAAGGTCTACGAGTTTGTTATATAGCTCGCGGGGGCTAAGATCTTAAGCGGTAAAGTAATCGGCAGAGTAATTAGCGCGTAATAACATTTTAAAGGATAGTAATNTAGGATTCGCTTCGGCGGCAGTAACACGTTATACGCGTTAGCGAAGAAGGAAGGAAGGAAGGAAGGGAGGAAGGGTAATAGAGCTTAAGGTTAGTGAAGTTTAGGCAAAAGTAAAGATCTTTAAGTAAGAGAGCAAAGGCGTCGCGTAAGTTAATAAGATGCGCGCCGCTTATAGATAATATAAAGAGAATAAGAGTAAGTCGGTGTCTTATAATGTAGGAGTATTAAGTAAGGTGCAAGTATAAGGGAAGGCTAGTTATAGATCCGAGAAGTTCTATAATTAATGTTAATGTTAATGTTAATGTAATAGGGAAGGACCTAAACCATTAAAAGCTCGGGTTTTTATGACTTAGTCTTAAGTTAACTAACAGTAATAATTGCCTTATAAAAGACATATTTACATGTAGTAAACCTTCTCGACGATCATTAATAAAGACGGTTAAGGCGGCTATAGAAGAGCCGTCGAGGCCGGGAGTAGCGTACGACACGGTAGTAAGTAGCGTACGATACGATATAAGCATATGCGTTATGTAAGCATAGCTAGCTAGTAACATATGTTATTTCCTAAGCATATTACCCTCTGCTACATTAAACCCGGCAGAAACGATAACTAGATCCAGATCGAAGTCCTATGTAATTAGCATTATAATCTTCTAGAAAGCGAGCATATAATCTACGTCCGTTATGCCTACGGTTCTCTAGGGAATGTTAATGTTCTTACCTAGGCTAGGCCCTTTACTATAGTAAAGATGGTCGCCCTTTAGTCTAGTAGGGTAGAATTTGCCCCCTTAGTAGACATAAAGGGAGATATATAGCACGTTAGGGTCGTTATAGAATGCCTATCGTACGCCGTTACTATAATCTATATCCTAGTCGAGAATAAGGACTTTACGACATATATCTCTAAACTCGTTCTAGTAGGCTTTAACTGCGATAGGTACGTTATTAAATAGATAGAAGCCTATCGGTTCCTTATGTTCGGCATAGTAACTAGGAGGTCGGATTACTATAATCGCGTTCTTAACATGTCTATTAAGAATACCCCGATAAGCCTCGATCGCACCTCTAGCCGATAGCCTTACGTACATTAGAGAATTCTTAGATAGATAGATACTATCTATTTAAGAACCGCCGTCGTAAAGATCTTCGTTCTCCTATAGTTCTAGACTAATAACGAACTCCTAGTGTCGCTCTAAGTGCACCGCGTAGACCTCCTATTTAGTGACGAACCTTGTCGGGATTCTTATAAGTACCGAGGGTGCTAGACTAACTATGCTTAGATCGTCGACTAAGCCCGCATTAACTAGTTCCTTATATATTACGTAGATCCGCCGTAGGTCTTCTAGATGCACGCCCTAGTTAACTTCTAGACGAACCTCTATATTAAACCGTATACGGACATCGTACACGAGGCTAGTCTAAGAGGTTAAATAAGGCAGCTACTCTAAAGCTAGCTTTGCTCTAGTCGTCATTATTTCTTAACGAAGCGAAGGTGTAACCTCTAGTGTTAGTGCCGGTCTATCTCGAGATAACACCGTTTTCTAGCGTTAGGGCGCCTAGGAATAATATAAGCAGGCCTTATTGTTTTATTCCCTATGCCTAAAATTTTGGTACTAGTAAGTCTTAACCCCTACGATATAGGTTACGCTGTCGATATAAACAGTTCGTCTAGGATGTTTAATAGCTAGTTCTCGTAAGAAGCATAGCTAGTATCTATCCTTTCTTCCGTATCCTAGCCCTAACGGTAGTAATAAGCAGTAAAGCATATCTTATCGAGGCAACTATATGCACTCTATATGTCTATTACATCCGAAATCGGTATCTCCTACTACTCTTTTAGGGATAATAGATAGCTACTAGCTAGTATAGGACGCCGCGGCGGCGGCGGCGGCGGCGGCGGCGGACATTAATCTTGTTTCTATTCTTAAGGTTAATAGCGACGTCGTGATTTACTAATAGGCTAGCTGTTACGTTATAATTCAAATCTAATGTCGTCTAAAGTGCTTAGTTCTGTTCTAGTAAGCGGGTAGTAAGAAATCTGTTTAGTTTTGATAGTAGTAAGATCGCTACGACTTATAATAAGATTAAAGGTACCTCGTCTCTTAAGATCCGACCGGTCTTCGATAGAGCTCTACTAGTAGCGTTCGATAAAGGCTCTTAAAACTATACGTAAAAATTAGTCGTATGTTATCGAAGTCGATATAATCTACGCGACTATCTATAACGACTAACGGCTACGATATTTACTATCTTAGAGCTTAAAAAGAGGGTAGTTATGTTATAAGCTAACCTCTAGCTATGCCTTCTTAATCCGACGGATAGCTAGTTCCTTTAGTACTAACATATCTGTTAAGATAATTTAGCCGCGACGCCCGTAATAGGGTAACTTTACGTAGCCGTAGTTTAAAATGACATCCGAGACCTCCTTACTCTATAATCTACGAGATTTAAGGTTACGGCATACGGCATAATTTAGCCGCGACGCCCGTAATAGGGTAACCCTACGTAACTACAGGTCGAAATAATATCTACTATCCCCTTACTCTATCGACTACGAGATAAATATAATGTTAGAGTACGACTAGATTTTAGTAGGTATAGATCGAGGAAGAACTATAGCTATGTTACATTTAACTACAAATATATGTATTTATTAATGAAAGTAAAGGCGACGGTAGTTCTATCTAACTAAAGAAAAAAAGAAAAGAGAAGAACTAAAAAAAGCTAGAGGTTATATTCGACCTCTTGCATATAGAAGTAAAGGAGAAAAGAGGAAAGAGGAAAGAGGAAAGAGGAAAGAGGAAAGAGGCTAACTATATCTATATCGATGTCCCTTCCTATATTCGTCATCCTTTACTATTGCCGTTATTTCTATTAGTGCTATAATTAGATAGGGTTGTTAAAGATGTAGTCGGTCTAGCCTAAGGCTCTTCTAAAGAAAAGTCTATAGAGCCTATCTAGTACGGCTACGATAAGATCCTAAGACTTAATTAGAGAAGCTAAGTCTTTATCGTTACTATAGTAAGGCTCGAAGAGCACCGAAGACTAGTTACGGACGACATCGAAGCGCTTTACTATATGCTCCTAGAATGCTTGTCTATCTACGTCCTATAGAGTAATTATTAACATAGGGCTTATAGACTAAGACTCTACGAGTCTTTCGTCGAGTAGTACGTATCCGAACGTAGCGAGTACTATACGGCTATCCTTAACGCTAGCGACTACATATCCGTATTCCTAGAGTTCTTCGGGGCTAGGTATAGTCTAGTGTTCTATTAATGCATGCTAGTAGGGTTTGTCTTGCTTAGATCTTCGACGAGTAAGGTAGGCTAAATCGATAGCTAGTCTATTATCGGAGGGGAGGGGCAAGGATCGGCGATATTCGACGTCGCGAGGCTATCTAACGCGGGTTATATTAGTAGAAGTACTTATAGTTACCTACGTTAATCTATTAGTTTTACTCGGATATCTACGGACGCTCTAATAACTTACTAGGTGTTGCTTAAAATCGTAGGTC